CCTCGTCCAGAGTTACTGAGCGCAGAGGCTCCGGCTGCGCGTCGTCTTCGCCATCCAGCAGGTGCTCGAAGACATCCTCCAGCCGGGCCCGTGAGACGGCAACCTGGACGCCCTCTCGTTTCTCGAAGGCGCGGCAATGCTGCACCAGACCCGCCAGAGCATGTGCATCTGGGACTAGTGCTGCAGGGATGGATATGCTGGCACGCCGTGGGTCCATTGTAACACCTAGCTCTTTAGCGCCAACTCCGAGCAGAATCCCTAGCTCCGTCGAGAGCAGCAGCGCTACTCGTGAAATGGCGTCGCGGCTTTCTGACGTCACTGAGACCACGTAGTCTCCATGCTCCTCAAGGAGTTGCACAACAGGGGCATCGGCCTGCGTCCGACCGGCCTTGAGCACGACAACGCGAGTGGCTAGCTCTGCTATCTCGTTGGCGTCGTGGGAGGACAGGACTGCTGCGGCGCCCTCTGTGACCAGTGCGCGAACGTACGCCCAGATCTGGCGCTTCAGGATCGGGTCCACGCCCACCGTAATCTCGTCGAGAAGTATCAGCCGCGGACCTCCCGCCGTTGCGTTTGCAAGGGCCAGGCGACGAAGCATCCCCCCAGACAGGGCAGACGCCTGCTTGTGCGCGTGGTCGTGCAACCCGAGGCGCTTCAGGAGTTCGTCGACGTATCCGTCGAGAGACCCGTTTCTGTGCTGGAGCTCGCCGAGGCGGCCCGTGACCCTGGCCCGGATCTCTGCGCACAGAAGAACGTTCTCCCTGACAGTGAGGTTGATCCAGAGGTTGTTCCACTCCTGGGGACAGAGCGAGATGAACCCCCGCAGGGACCGTGCGGTGTACGGGCAGAGGAGATCGTGTCCGAGCCCTGCGCACTGCCCGCCAGAGGGCGCCAGCTCGCCAGCCATGATCCCCAGGGCTGTGGACTTTCCGCCGCCGCTTGTCGCGACGAGGCCCGTGACTTCTCCCTGCTTAAGGTGCAAGTCCAGCCCGCACAGCGCCTCCTCCTTGACGACCGTGCATCTCTTTGCCTTACGGTATGTCTTCCGAAGCCCTGAGACAAACAGAAAGGGGAACTCCGGGTTGTCCTTGGGGCGCCTTGTACGGTAGAACTTGCGGCTGCAAAGGAAGCCGAGGGGAAGCCCTTGTGAGCCTGGCTCGTGTTTGCAGAATAGGAGAACCAGAGTTAATAGCGGAAGAGCTAGGATGCTCTGGACCAGGGACGTGACGACAAGAGATCCAAGGTAAGGAAGTTGGAAGGTACATCCGCTTGTGCCTAAACTAACAGTTCCTGAACATACGTATCGATTAGAATGGTAATTGTTAATATCACTAAATAGAATCTCAAACCCATATTGACTGTAGGTCGGTACAACAAGCTCAGCACTGGTACGTTCTGGTCTTAAAGCGACCAGCATGTCGCAGATGGCAACGAGCCCCAAGGGAGGAAAAAGGACGTAGAAGACCTTTGTTAGCCAGGTTGGGACGACGAGCTGCGTCCAAATTGTAGGGAAGCTAGGCTCCTCGAGGAGGATCAAGAAGGGAAATGCCACGAGCAGAATCAGGGCCACCGTCCCAAAGGCAATTGCCACCGACGTGTTGTAGAAGAACATGTGCAGGAGCAGCACGGAGGCGGTGGTGATGAGGGCGAAGGTGATGCTGACAAGGGCGTTAAGAGAAGGAGTGTAGCTTGAGAAGGGGAACAGCTTGAAGAGCGAGCCAGCACCAAAGAGAAGTCCGTATGCCAAGAGGTTGGCGATCAAAAGTGTGCCGAACGTGAGCCCGTACATGCAGAACTCCGAGACACCCAATCGGCGGAGCGTGGTCTGAAAGGGCCCGCGAAAGTGCGCCGCGAAGATGAGGGTCAGGATGCACTCAAGGAAGATAGAAAGCTGGAGAATCATATACGCCTGCATCCCGGCAAGGGTGGTGGTCGAGCCTTGCGACGGATACTCTCCTAGGCTGTACGAAATGGTTTTGTCGATAAAGGTTTCCGTCAGGGCGTTGTGAATCGCCTCGAAAATGCTGAAGGACGCCGGGCTCCACACATACGACATGGCGTGTGAGTTAGGCGCCGAGGACCTTGTCCGTGGACTAGGGTGTTTGACAGCGTACCGGGCCATCATCTCCTGGCTGTACCAGAGTGAGTACTGGACGGCCTGCGGGATGTCTGACGCTTCCCGGTTTGAGATGTTTAGGTCGAGCGCGAGGAAGACGCTGTCGGCCGGTCCCATGCTCGCGGCCCACTCGTCATCGAACGCATCCAGGGTTCTGTCATCAAGCCCGTACGCTGTGTCGAGCATCTCTGTAACGACATCCCTGTCTGCAAGGACCTTCCGCGGGGTGAGGATCGAAGCAAGGGAGCCATCGGCGCCTAGGAGGTGCCCCCGCACCGTCTCTCCCAGGTTGGCCGCAATCACGTCATCGACAAAGCTCGGGCCGAGATTCTTCCCGGCCACAAGCCTCTGCATCGTTGCGCGGTCCCTTACGGCAACAATCCGCTCCGACTCTAATCCGTTCTGTTGGACGAGTCTGTCAACGACCCGGCGTGCCTCGATCGTGTCGGGGGAGAATGCAAGGTACACGGTCTGGCTCGTGCAACCAGGCAGGTCCCTGCACAACGGGAGGCGCGGGAGAGTCCCTTCGCCTAGGCCGCTGCTAGGGCTTTGCAGTCTATCCTCGAACGAGAAGAAGAGGGCGACAGCGGCCATCACAACGACCGGCATGACAATCATGCAGATGTAGAGACAAAGATGGACCCTGGCCGTCTTGAGGTACAGCCGGAGCACTGGGTACATTATTTTTGAAATAACAGATTTTGAAACTATTTGAAGACTGGATTGACAATCCAATCTAGAAAACTAAACGTAGCAGCTAGTTAATGCGGCAGGCTTGGCAGCTACTGTCCAAGTAGGTTGTCAATTAAACAAGCCATCACTGTAACACTAGATGGCATCCTTTTTCACTGTCCAGAATCCAGAGTCCAAACTTCGGAATCTGGACGCCGTAGTTCCGCGAAAAAGAAGATTCTCGTGCCTTCTCGCTCTGAATACTACGGCTTAATCTGGCGTGATATCGGTCTAGGCCTTCAATCTCTTCACTCAGGCTCCTTGAGGACGCAGTTCTCCCGGCCGTGCAGTCCAGGGTCGCTCGGTGCTGGTGTCCATGATGAAGATCGTATGTGTCATAGCCTCGAGTGTCGACTTGGATTCCTCCTCGCCTCCTCGTGGAGTGGACCATCGGTCCTGCTGTCGGGGTGCGCTCGCCATGCGTCCTCCTGAACTGTAGCATGTGTCCATGGACCCCCACATCGATCCCTGGTTGGCGCGGAGGAGACGCCCGGCCTACCATTCTGCTCATGGACCGCAGTGCACCTGTGGTGCCAGATGGTCAGCAGCCAGTGTACAATCACGGACGCATTATTTTGTGTAGCCTGCCTACTGCAACTGCAGGAGGTTGGGTGCTGGCTCCTCTGCCGCGCTTTCTCTTCTGCCAGAACTGCAGTATCTGAATCATTGGAGTCAGCTGAATGGGGATGTCTAACGTGGTTGCTCGTCTCGAAGGACCTACCTGGATAGCAACTGACACGCCCATCGTAGCGAAGCAAGGTGAACTATCACTTGAGCAGAGTCTGCTGAGCTAGTAATTCAGGAACCAGGCACCAGCCTGAGAGGGTTACGGATTCAACAGATCCTAAGTATTCACTCATTATAAACTGGTTCGCGCAGCTGTAGAGTCAAAACCTATCATTGCCATGAGCCTCCTGGTCTCTACTGTCGAGATCCCCTTCGATCCCTGCTGTCGCCGCAGGACAAACCAGCACACAAGAGCAAGGACCACAGGGCGAGGACGGTGACGATGGCCGTCGTGGAGCCGGCCTTCCTGGCCTGAGGGGTGCAGTCGTCATTTTTGAGGCTGTATCCTCGCATGCACGTGCAGAAAGGCGCAAAGGACTCCACCTGTCCGGCAGCCTGGGACGCACGACCACTTATTTGGCTGAACGCTGTTGGCGCTATTCGAGTACGAGAGGCACTCGCTGTCTACATCATAGCTCGAGCAGCCCGTGTTCTGGGAAGGACAGTTGCTCGTGGGGACGCACTTCCCGGTGCTGTCTGATCCACAGCCGTTCACGCAGACATACCTGTTGTCGTTGTCCTTCTCTTGATCCGGCTCATTGCACTGGGCCCAGCTTGTAAATGGAACCACTCCATGGAAGCCTCCTGTGTCACGGACCTGTGCTGATCAGCGCGCCCCTGCTCTCCATCCTGGTGCTCGACGGGTGATGTGTCACACAGGCAGATCTGGAGACCGAGGAGGGAGGGAGGGGCGGGGCATTTTAATTCGCAAAATGAACTCGACGGAGAACGCGTAATCGCTCGACGGTGGCCCTGAGGGGGCGTCGGACGGTACCTATCTTGTTACCCACTGCGATCAGAGTCGAGAACACCACACGTCAACTGCTGGTGGTGCGCCATGGTCCACAAGAGGGCGATACGACGTAACTCTCGTAGCCCAGAACAGGCATCCACGAAGCACTCTGCGGAGTAGCTGGTCAGACATAAAGTGTTCAAAGTATTGCCGGCGCAACTCTATAACGATGAGGGTGGCAGAGGCGACCGCTGCAGCACTGGTGCGAAGGGATGATCGGCTGTGTCTGTGAGCCGGCATAATTAAATCCCGATTCTCTGGGCAGCACAACCTTTGCACGAGTCTTCTACTGCACGCTCTCTCTTTGCCACCTTGTGATTACTGTGCTCTCCAATGTAGACACGTATGAGTCCCGCCTTTCTTACATTGCCTCCATACACATCCATATGGTACAGGGGTCGCCTGTCTTGACGAGGAGACCTGAACAGCTGGTCGTATCGAGCCACCACCGATTCTAAATACCATATTATCTGACAAAGGGATTCACTCTGGCTGTACTATTCGCAGACAGTCGCTCAAACTGGATCACCGAGCCATCACATCAACTTACAACTCAACTAGGACACTCCCGTGTTAGACAGATGCCTGACGCCTCTTCTGCTCCAGCTGCTTCTGCTCTATCTGGGCGGCAGTGTTCTGCTCAAGGGGTGGCTTCACAAAACACAGAAAGAGGAGCGACGCGAAGCCATAGAGCAAGAAGAAGATCGACCCATTGCGCCAGTTCCAGTTGTAGAGCTCGCCGCCTATGAGCGCCCCTCCAAACCTTCCGATGCTATTTCCGATCTGGAAGAGCCCGAGAAGCGTCCCGCGGTTTTTCGGTGTCGTGTACAGCGTTGCAAACTGGATGAAGAGGGCATCCCCAAGACTGAAAGCGATGGAGTTGAAGGGAAGGAACATTATCCACTTGGGAATGGGTGGATCTACCGCCCAACGTAACAACGAAGGAAACATTGCAAAGTAGACAGAGATTACAATAATACGGAGCTCTCCAATCTTGTTAGCTATGATGCGGGTCAAGCCAAGTATAAAGCAGACAGTAATAGCGATCGCAACGATATCTGACAGAGCGTTCAATTGCTTAGCTTCCTGTGCACTTGTAAACCCGTAGAACTTCGCAACTAGGAAACCCCTAGTGGCAACAGGAAGCTGAGTACAGAAGATCTGGAAGACATATGCAAACCAGAGCAGAATTAGCTCTTTGTTCTTCAGAATATCTTTGAATGTCACACAGAAGCTATCCCGCCTTACGTTGGCCTTATATGCCTGGGAGTCCGTTTTGCCCATCTTCTTGGCAGCTTTGCGGGCTATAACGCCTGCAGAAGACTCCTTGAAGAAGCAGGAGAAAACGAGGCCGGCCACTAACAGAGCAATTGCAAGATAGAATGTATGAAGGAATGATTTCACATTGTCACCTGTATAGGTTCCAATGGTGAAGATAAAAGCAATTATTATAGAAGCTATTGCTGTGCCAATTAAAGTCATGACATTGATTGCGATCAGGGCCATTGGACGCGCGCGGGGGCTAGCGAGATCAGCAACAGTAACAAAACCAATAGGAATGGCATACGCGAAAATACCTGTGGCGAAGCGCATTCCAAGGATGTAGTTGATTTGGTCCTGAGAGTGTGTCTTAGAATTGTCTCTTGCTTGGAAGATGATCGGTGCAAGTCCAGTCAATCCAGTGGTAACCGCGTATCCGGCAAAGAGAACTATATAAACTGGCCTGCGGCCAATTATCTCCGATAGCCAAAGCCAGAGCGGACAGAAGAACAGCTGTGTGAGGTTGAAGAAGGATTGTAGATTCGCTGTTTGAGATGCATTAGCCCCCAGGTATGTTAGGTAAAATGGGATGGTGAGAGCCACAAGACTCAGTGAAAAGCCAAGAATGAAGCTCAAAATCATGACGTACCATACCCTGTTTGCGCACCAGTTTGGCTTACTCTGAAGATCCTTATTGTTGTCCATGGCGCTAATGGCCTCTGCGTCAAGGTTGATGACCAGCTTGACCTCGTCTGGACAGGGCTTGTAGTCCAGGGTGAAGTGGTCTGCGTTCCAGTCGATCTTCGGGGTGCCCATGAGCTTCTCCACATAGACCAAAGAGGAGAAAAGGTGATCGACGAGCTTGAAGTATGTCTCCGTGGTCGCCAGTTCGGGCGCGGGGTGCAGCGGGTCCGGATGCACCCTGTTCATCTCAGTGCAGTAGTTCTGGTAGCGACGGTGGGCCTCTGCCGGGTCCGCTGCTGGGAGGACCGCTCCGCTAGCTCCCATGGCCTCTGGCAGGTGCAAGTCCATCTTGGGAGAATCGGCATCCAGAGGCGCGCTGGACGGCCCGGCTGCTGCGCACCCTGCAGCACAGACGACGAGCTCCAAGATGTCTGTGCGCTGGATGCAGTCGCCGAGATAGCGGTCTCGGTTGCTGTCTCCGAGTCCGTACGCGTCGAAAGCGTGCCCCGCCGCAGCTACAAGGAGCCTCAGGTACTCGAAGCAGCGATACTGCGTGCGCGCCCTGGCCTCCCCGGCTGGGTTCAGAACGAGATTTGCCATGGCGTTTAAATTGGTAAATTCAATTTCTATAAACTAAACAATTACACGCTCGATAGTTTCACGCGTGGTTGAAAACTTCTTAAGCTGTAAGAAATATGCTGATTTCTGAGGGTGAATTTGAAGGATTACTTTTGCAATGCTTCATGTTATGAAGACCTCATTAGAATAGTATAACACCTTGAATCAGATTGTACAATCATAACCTATCTTGAAAAAGGGCGTCACATAACAGTAGACCGATATGCCTTGGCTCTGCTACAGTGCAAAGGGACGAACCTGCAGTGGTGCGGCCTACCATCATCGTCACCCATGGCAGAACCCTTGAGGAAGTGTGTGTCGGTCCCTCCACCAGCAGATCACTCGGCCCAGCTTCTCATATCTGCACCTACGAAGTGTTGAGACCGGCCGCCAAGATATAAAAAGTTACGGGTTGCCAGTGGCCCCACGCTCCCTGTGTTCTTCTGTGCTCCTCGCCTGTGGGGCCTTGCACGTTCTGCGTCGATAACCGACCGGCGTCGCTCCTGTCCTCTGGCCACCATCCTGAGGGCTCTGACGGACGAACACTCGACCATCGCACCCGGACCTTGCTGGCCAACGGCTACGGGCCTCTGGCCTGTGTACAGACCCAGTGCAGTGCCCCGCGCTCCTTCATGATCCCAGGTCAATACCTTTTCAAAAGGGCCTGCCTTCCCTAGAGATACACTGACCACAGGGGGAAGTGGGGCACTAGAGGATGCACACTAGATTGCAGCGATACCTGTACGTTATTGCCAAGAGATGCCTATGGCAGGCGCACCCAGCTCCGGTCACTTTTCCACTTATTGGACGCTGAGGGATGCACTCAGTAAGGACAGCCTGTACCAGCAACGCCGCAGCTCCAGCCTGAGCACTCCCTCCCGGGCTTCTTGTACACTGCTGGAGAGAGCGTCTACTTGGGCCTGCTAGGGGCAGACCCGCTCGATGAGGCCCTGGGACCTTCTCGTGCTCTTCGCTGCCATTAGTGTAGCCAGGTAGCATACCGGTACTTCGTGGCACCAGTGGGGAATGCTCTTCCTATCTACGCCTAGTTCCTTGAATCTCCTGCCAGTGAAGGACGCTTTGAACATAGGCTCACACGGAGCTTAGGGCGTCTGCGTGTTCCCCAGCAGACAGATCAGCACCAGGCGGATAGTCGTCATGCCGCGCTGGATGCCAGCTTCTTTAATCAAGGAGCCATTCGACGCGAAGCTCTTCCGGATACACAGCTTCTTGGATGGGTTGGCTCAGCAGGCCTGCTTATTGGGGTTTGCTGGGCACGGCTAGTGGTCAGCCGGCTCCTGGGTAAGGGAGTTCATCCATTTCTCGGCGGTGGGCAGTACACCCCTCCGGCGCACCTGCCCGTGCCAGGAGGTGTGCCCAGGATGATCGGAGATGCAGCTGCGCCGTGGTGGCCGCATCTGAGGCACAGGTGCGCAGACAATAGTACGCCTGGTGAGACAATCATCGCATCTCTTCTTGATAAAAGCTTCACCGAACGAGCGGATCGAGCATGCCATTTACAGAGCGCGTCCACTCTCCCACTCATGGCCTGCTAACAAGGAGACAAGCATCGGTCTGTGTCGAGAGCCGGCCTGCAGCTCCTTGGCGTGTCGGCGCGTGAAGACAGAGGGCCAGCCAGGGTGAATGTCGTGGCCGGCCAGCTGCGCATCAGCCCTAGCTCACGGCCCAGAGAGCATTCAGTCGCCTGTTACCGGACGGGCCTGTCTGGTAGATCGTTGGCCCAGACCGCGGTGTTCGAGTCGTCTGGGCACATGGGAGAGCCCTGCCTTCGTCTGCTGTGTGTGGTCTCTTCAACGATGTGTAAGCTACGTCTGGTGGGCCCTGCGCTGTGCCGTGGTTGAGCATGCTGCACGCTCTAGGCATGACTGTCTCGCCACTGACCAGGACTTCAACTATTAGCTGCTCCTACCGACCACTCTTCGCCAACCACCAAGCAAGCCGGGGTCTCCAGTCTTCAGCCCTTGCTGGGGTATGTATCGGCGCACCCAGGCACGCCCCCGTAGCCCGCAGGGGGGAAGCATGGCACGCATGCGAATGCAACGGGCGGCCCAAGGAGACCCTGGCCCGTCTGGAGCGGGAGGACGCCGGGCCCAGAAACGACCCCGGGTGGGAGGGCGAGGACGAGGCATCCCGGCGCGTGCGGGGGCAGAAGCGCAGAGACCGCGCCCGGGGCCACAAAGACCGGCCCCCCGACGGGCGGCACCAGCGGAGGCGCGGCGCAACCAAAAACGCAGGGGGGCGGGGGAGTGGCCGCCACAGGAGATGCCTCCTCCTCCTGCTTGGCCGCCCTCGGGCCGTATGTGCGGCGCGGCAGCACCACCCCGTGCTCCTCCAGGGCGGCGCGGACGTCCTGGGTGCGGAGCGCGTTGTTGTACGTCATCCGCAGCTCCTGGCGCGGATACTTCGCCCCGAAGCGCTCGTGGACCCTGCGGTAGAAGTCCGGGCCCAGGATGCTCCGGTCCCTGACCCCGGCGATGATCATCGCCTTGATGGCCCTGCGGTCCTCGCCGGTCATCTTCACGTTGAGGATGCTCCGCGAGTGCGTCTCGCGGTACCAGTGGTAGATCCTGCTCCGGTCCTCGGACAGGGCGCGGGCGATCTTCTTCCAGTCGATGGCCGTCCGGAGCACGTGCCGGTGGAGGAGCAGCGGCCGCCGCGCGAGGCTCTCGGCCGTCTCCTCCAGCCGCCGGGCAGCGACGACCTGCTTCGCGAGCTCGAGCAGAACGGAGGCGCGCGTCTCCGCCGTCATTGCCCCAGAGCCCATCCGATAGAAGCGGCGATAAAACTAAAAACAGACCAACGAATAATGTGAAATTAAATATGTACAGGCCTTGCATAAAAGCTTTAGCGGGTGTTTGTTGCCTGCCTGCCCCGGTCCGTCGGGCGAGCAGGGCGCCCTCACCCGGGCCATCGCTGCAGTACGAGCTGGCTTAGGCCGCCACACAGAACAGACTGCTTTGCACACGGCGGCGCCGGGGCTGATGTATTGATCGGAGTTTTTTGGTATTGCCGGGGACCCCTGCCCTCGGCCGCCAGGGAGAGCCGCACCCTGCGCAGCCCCGGTTTGTCTGCAGATGCCCGGAGCTCTGCGGAGGCGGGCAGGCTAGGGCCGTCCCCCTCGTTCGGGGCATCGCCGACGACGAGCTGCTGCCTGCGGCCCGCGGGGTCTTCCGCTCTGAGAGGGGTCGCCGAGTGTCGGGGGCCGCAGTGCTCTGCAAGGCCTGCACACGACCAGAGGCTGCCCAGTTTTTTGAGCAGCTGGCTCTGGCGCGGATTCTGCGGACGCCTGCTGCCGGCCCGGTCTACAGGGGCGTCCGCGTGTCTACTGTGGCCTGGCGTGCGTGTCTGCGCGTCCTCCTGCGGCGGCTCCCCTCGTGGCGCAGGAAGCCCTGCCTACCCCCTCCCACTGGGTTCTCCCGACGTGGTCTCTGTCGCTCCCGGCCGAGTTTCCAGCGGACAAAGGAGCGGCATGACCAAATCAGTCGCCAGATTGCAGTGTGCTCTGGAGCTGCGGATCTTGCTGGCATCTTACGCGACAGTGGCTCTGGGTGTGCCCGCTCAGCAGCAGCTACCTCATCCACAGAGTGCTGATGCAGATATTATGCGCTACGTATCAATGACCACAAGGGCACTAATGGGCGATAATGTGTTGGGAAAGTAAAGCAGTAAATCTCTCATGAATTTTGTATTGGGTCCGTGCTTCTGAGTTGTTGCTGCTGCTACGAGAACTCAATATCCCTTACAACCAAGACGATGACGTTCTTTAAGTGCTAGAAGCACCTGTTTATGGCGCCATCAATGGTCACCATTAACCAAGTGTCTTTTACATAGTACTATATCACGGCTCCTACTGCTGATCTACCTATGTTTCTATTAACAGACTTATTGTTGTGACCTTGCAATTCATCTCTTGGGAACGGTCATGGTGGATTTCTTGTGCCAGGATATAATATTATAATATCTGGCTCTAAATACTAACATAGAGCGTATTTGAGGTATATCTGTTTTAAAGGCTACAAGATGGAATTCTACTGCTTATTGACCCAAGAAGTTCTTATATTGTGCTTTTAATGGGCTATGAACGAGTCCTCTCAATGGAAAGGTCACTATACAAAATTTAGCTAGAAAATAAATGGCCGCCCTATTGATAATCGATATGCAGATCGACTTCTGCAAAGGAGGAGCCCTGGGCATCAACGATGGGGCAGAGGTTATTCCCTTTATTAATCAGTTACGCCAAAGTAGACATTACGACATGGTCGTCATCACTCAGGATTGGCATCCTCCACATCATTGCTCTTTTGCTTCCCGATATAATAAGCAGCCGTTCACTCCATATGGCGATCATGACTATCTGTGGCCAGACCACTGTGTACAGGACACCCCAGGGGCCCAGCTGCACCCGGATCTAGTGGTAGAGAAAACAGATGTACGCATCCGGAAAGGGACAAAGGTGGATCTGGATGCTTACTCATGCTTCGGGGGAACCAAACTAGCACAATTTCTCCGAGAGCACCACATAAAGACATGCGACATAGTTGGTTTGGCATTCGACTTTTGTGTTCGTTACAGCGCTATCGACGCCCGCCGAGAAGGGTTCGAAGTGCGTGTATTCCGCGAAGGCTCCAGGCCAGTTGACAAGGATGCTGTCGACATAGTTATTAAAGAGCTGACTGAGCTCGGCGTTAGAGTAGAGTGAATCTGAAGTCGTTTTGCACCTTCAAAAAACTACTTGGGATCTAGATCGCCCTTTGTCTTTGTGGGTAGATGGCAGACGACTACGACAGCTCCGATGATGCTAGCTCTGACTTTTCATCTTCAGTGGCATCCAGCATGGTCGATGGGAAAATCTTCCAACTATCCACCCAGCCTGTGCACAGTCTTCTCTGGAGGCATGCTGGCGCTTCTATTGTTAGCTCCCTCCTCGCCGTTGTAGCGAAGATGGTTATTTACGTTCAGGTGTTTCATTATTCAGGCTTTCGATCCACTTCCCTTTTTGCAACATATCAACCGATTATTTCTCTCCTTTGCCAGCACCCTATCCTTGCCCTCGCCAAAGCATCGGCCAGATTTGCGGGGCGTGCACTGGGGCAAATGCAAATTCAAATCGCCAACGTTTACTACTCTCATTACTTCTTTATGGCGGCGATATGGGCTCTCCTTATTCCCTTGCTCTTCACTAGCTGGTATCAATCCCTTGCTTGTTTTGTAACGATGTCTGCAACATCTGCAATAAGCTTCTCTACGCCTTACTTCGCCCTGATGACAGGCATGTCCACGCTCTTCAATGTCGTGACTATAGGTATGTCTCCATTTGTTCGTCTGGAGAATCGTACCTTTGTAGATATTGTACGCAGTGGGCTGCTTTCTGTGCTTTCTGTACTCTTTTGTTCCATATCGTATTATATAGCGTATATGTACGGAGCAACGGCCAACGAAGGAGGGTTGATAGCGGCTGGAACCGGAAACATAATAGCTCATCTGTTCGTGTCCATCTGGTTGACAATGCTCGTCTTCCGGAAGACGGTTCTTCAAGTAGCCTTGAAAGGTGGGCTCAAGTTTTCTACAAAGCGGCTGTTCCCACTAAATGGTCGCATATTACTAAAGGTCTTCCTTATCGGGATGCTGCACTGGTTTCTTGAATCCATAGATGATGTGTTAGTAGCACTGGTCAACATACTCTACGGCATTAAGTACACAGACCGTACCTCTATGCATGCTCGGCGTATAGCGTTTTATAACTATCTACTCATGCGTGAGGCAGCCAATGTCATCAACAATGGGCTACTATCAGGATTTGCAATCACTACAAACTATAACTTAGTACTCAGAAAGTACTCGCGTATGTACAAGGCCATGTTGTTTGCATTCATGTTTATGACCATAGCGAGCACGCTTGTATGCGTTATCTTGGGGCCCCTTGCTGAGCCTCTGCTCTTGGCTGTCCAACCTCTAATTCGCAAGCCCACTGACGACGTGATCCTTCTCCAGAAGTATCTCAAGCAAACAGGAAAGCTTGCTTTCATTACTCCTCCCCTCATGCCGGCGTACTGCATCATGACTGTGCTTGCTCAGCTTGAGGGTCGCTCACTACTGAGCATCCTACTGCCACTACCCAGGACTGTGACAACCATAGTCATACTCATCATTACAGCGTCAGTGAACGGAGACCAGGGCGACTACCTATTTCCATTTCCAATCGGAGACGCCATTTCAGCGATCATTGGGATCTGTATGTTTGCTTATAGTGTGTGCCGGTATAAGATACTGAGTCGAATGAGTGATCCAAACGTTGCACAAATCGAGGATAGCAGGAAAACAGCGGCTACAGGCAAGCAACTTTCTGAGGCTAAGCCCATGGAGCACATGCTTGGAAGCGGAAGCTCACTGGGAGAAAGCGGGACAGTTGGCTCTGGCAGCACCAGCGGTAACAGTACACCTAGGGGACGGGGCTGGGAATCCTCTAGTAATCCAGAATAAGAGTAAAAGGCCCACGGAAATAAATGTCAAATTATCAAATTATTTTATGATTTTCCAAACATAAAAATCGATGCCAGCAAAAAGTAGGGCTTCCGGAGGGGCGTCTGGACACCATGAAAGCGGTGCCTACTACGCGGGGCTCTACTTGTGCGCCATTGAATACATAGATTCCCTAACGCGCTCCATGGAAATGCGGAGGCAAGCATTTTTAACCCCAAACATCATCAATGAGCACCCCTTCCCCCAGGACGCGGATGTGGCCGGGAAAACCCGTGAAGAAATGAAAATCTGGTATTCGCGGCTCGTGGCTGAGCCTGGGCTCAAGCGCGACGTAGCTCATGGGTCTTATAGCTCCACTATGAACAGTCTTTTTCTAAAACTACAGGCAATCCTAATGAGCCTTATTCGCAACGATGAATACCGCTATTTCTTTATGCTGCGGGTAGATGAGAAGGAGCATCAAGCGCCTGGCTACTATTATCGGACGCCTGCCCCCATGCACTTTCTAGCGATTCTTGCACGAATATATGAGACGCGAAGCCAACTGGAAAGCAATACACTATTTCTCCAGTATGATTGGCGGGATATACCTCAGGAGAGCGAAGGTGATAACAGCCTTGAGGCTAGCGATAACGGCTTAGACGGGGAAAAGATAGCAGACAGGCAAGGCCCTTCAGGAGAGACTCCAGAGAGTAATAGAGAAGGAGCGGAGACCAAGCCGCCCAATGTAACGACAACAGTGGCGGTAACAGATCTTTTCTTAACATATAAAAGAGCAGACTACGGAGACGTCTTAATGAAAGTTGAACTGATTCGGAAATTGAGTCTCGAGGAGATACAGAACGTTGATAAAAAGAGTATTATCGACTGGTGTTATCGGATAGGAGCGATGGCGGCAAATAAATGTGATGAGGAGCGAAGGCCCAAGCCATACAGATCTGCCCAGGAGCTTCTGCGCGACCTCTTACTCATTGCTTTCAATGCACGGCGCTATAATTCATTAGACCACTTTCTACATAAAATGGGTGGTTCGATGCTTGCAGATATCCGCTCGGCCTGGAAGCGAGAATTTAGTGACATGCCTGATTGTTTCAGTCATTTCGTCAGCGAGGAGGCCGAGGAGCTCTTGTACCACATGCTTGCAAATGCGTATATGAGTGACATGCTTCCGTACGCACCAATCGAGCCGTCTAAGAGCCGTCGTTCCTCTGGAACAGTCCCTCAGGTTAGCGTTATTCATCGCCGTCCGCCGCCCCCTGCAGAAGCACCGGGAGAGCAGCGCCCTCCGCGCACACGGGGCTCAGTTAGCAGCACCCCGGTTCCTAAGCCCTCAGCTGAGTGCCCTCCAAAATCCAGCGGGGGTGACGGGGCCTCCGATAGTCAAAGTTTTCTTGGCATTGACGTAGACGAAGAACACTCCTCGCAGGCAGTTTCTCAGCCTTTAGATAACGATGCTGGCGAGCGGGACGCCCTTTTAGATGAAATCAGAACAATGATAACATATATTATGAATAATAAGAAGAGTGAGCATGAGGATATTGTTTATTCGGAGATGGTCAACGCTAGAGACGTGTGTGGCTTTAATAAGACCGACGACCTTCACGCAGTCCCCGTAGAGCGATTGCGGTTATTCAGCAATAAACTAATGCAGGTGATAGACAAGTATCCAGACTACTTTATTAGGCAGTACGGTGCGCCGGATTCAGTCTAGTTGTACTATGTAAATTCAATCGCCAGGCTACTCGGGAACCTGTAAGAGGACAAGGCAGGCGTGTAGGGAGGCGGGTGTCAGCACTCGGGCGAGGTCGCTTCGGAGGTCTCCGAACTTGTGATACTCAAGGCGAAGGTTGTTACATTTGTCGCAGTACATGGATACCAGTCCCATGATCCCAGCGGCGTCTTTTGCAGTAACATAGATGTGGAGCAAGCACGCTATTCCTTGGACAATGTCACAAAGGACGTTGCTGGCTAACTCAAAGGCGCTGTAGTCTGCCTGGTTCATGTGGGGCTTCAAAACACTGCACAAAGACATCGAATAGCATTTTTCGAAGCCACTGTATATGCGGGCCCATTCCTGAGGAGTGCTGGTTCCGATCATCTTCAGTATAAAATCCCAATCTGGGCCCGCCGCTTGGCCGCCTTTGGAGCCTTTCTTGGCCTTCTTTCCTGTGGTAGCACTGGGTTCTTCTTCTGAAGCATCCCTTTTACCAGTGGCTGCAGCGTAGAGGTTAGCAATGTCCTCCGTGGGGCTGTTTCGCGGAGTACGCCTGTACGCTATCCAGGCAATCAGAATTCGGGTTGTGATTGTATTCTGAGGGCACACCTTTCGGATTACCTGTTCCATGTCCTCTTTGTAGAGCCCTGCATACGCCTTCCTAAGGCCTATCCATTCATCGGGGCTGGACATAAGGGAAAGCTCGATACCGCGCCGGGGCGTCTTACTCTTGAAGGCATCGTGAATGAATGTCGCTTTGACGTCTAGATAGTATTTCCAGCTAGCTGCCAACAGTTCCCCGACATCCTTCGAGGCGAGGCGTGCAATGTCGCCGGTGAGCATCCGGTTTGTCAGGGTAAAGTAGTCCTCTGCAATCTTCAACTTATCTGCATTCTTATAGCGAACAGTGAAGTAGAGGAGCTTATCAAGGTCATTCTGTTCTATGCACTGCTTAAGCTCGCCGGCCACGAGGACGTGATTGCATGTAGAGGCCATACTAAAATTTTTAAAGGCTTCAGGCAGATGTCTGACTACGAGACGCAGGCAGCGGGGTATGTCCGCCAGGCAGAGGCGAAGCTAAAAAGGGGGGTCTTCAAGAAACCTGACACGGACTCAGCGATCGAGTTTTACGAGAAGGCAGGCAACTACTACAAGATGGCGAAGAACTACACCAAGGCCGGAGAGGCATATATGAAATGTGCTGATCTCCACGTGAGTAGCGGAAAGCCACAAATGGCAGTCAACTTATATAGTACAGCCGCAGCAACGCTCAAGGAGGACAACCCTGATGCCGCTAACGCTGCGTTCCTTAAGATGATAGAGGCAGCAAAAGAGGCAGGAAGATTCATGCAAGCAGGCAAGGCTATGCGCGAGCTTGCAGAGACTTTGGAGGAGCAAGGAAAAGAGGAGAAGGCCTATATAATGTACAAGGAAGCCATGGATCTATTCAGCAAGGAAGCATCGGCCGCAACAGAGATCCGCGCCTGTAAGGAGCACGTTGCTGAGCTGAATGGACGACTCAATGGAAGTTATGCCGAGAGCTCTAGGCTGCTAGAGGAAATCGGGACTGATTGTACCAAGATACAATTGCTTCAGTTCCATGCACGCGGCTACTTCCTCACTGCCTTTCTCTGTCTGTGCGTCTCCCCCGACAAGGTGACTTTGGACTTGGCTCGCGACCGTTACGCCTCTGTAGACCCTACGTTTAACGGGTCCTTTGAGTGCGAGTTCATGACTCAGGCAAGTGAAGCCCTCGAAAACAACGACCTAGAAGCATTTGCAGAAGCCACTGCGAAGCTCAAACAGCGCCTTGGAACGGCCTTTTCACGGAGCAAGTTCAGGAACTTCCTCTTTGAGAAGGTCCTTGAACATATGCAGCCCGTCCAGGCCGAGGACGGCGGCGTAGAAGACTACCTGTAGGACTCAGTAAATTCTCAATGTCACATCAGTGCCGACTTAGCTAAGCGGGTGAGGAGTCATAAGTCTCTTTAAGCTGAGCACAGGATCACTGTATCCTATGTTTCTGCCCACATCAGGGACCCAATGTTTAGATGTTTGAAATGACTGACCCGCGGAAATCGTGGCATCGGGCCCAAGCACGTGGTCAGTGTTGCTGGGCAACGTTCAGTGAGCGAGGGCTTCTATTTGGATATGCCATTGACCGCCATGCACAGCATGAAAAGGTTCTGTGGATGCTCTGAGATTGCAGCTTTCTGAATAGAGGTTTATAGTAGCTAGTATAGTTGAAGGCTGGTAATACAGAGGCCATTGTGTGGTCTTGGCGATCTCTCGACCGTATATTTGGACAACTACCAGCTATTGCTTGCGAAGTGTGAACTTGACGGCATCAGGACACAGAAGGCCCAGTGAAGGTACACACTGCATATTTTTCTAGCAGCACAAAGACTACATCTTTGATATCTATTCGTATCTATTCATGTAACATGCTTTCATACTAAAAGTATTGCATTCCCATGATGCATCACCGGGTTTTGTGCACTGGTACTACTAATATCGTCATTGCCGGCACAGTTCTATGGCTTGACCTTCTACGAGAGCGCCGATTTACCTGGCTTAAGCGCTTCTGCTCGGTAAAAAACAAGAGGGTGAATCTGGGCCGCAGTGCAGAAGAGAATGACGCGCACTTCCACAGCTGTGTCAGTAACTCGACTGGCAAAACCCAAAAAACAGGTCCAAAAAATTACCAAACTTGCAATTAAAAAGATTGCCCCCACAGCCCATGGATCTCGCGAGCTTTCAGAATCTGTTGCAGCAGTGCCAAACGGAACAGGACACCCAAAAGCGCAAGGAAGTGGAAGATTTTTACTTTAAGTACAAGCAAGAGGAACCAGCATCATATGTCGCAAACATTATTGAAGTTATATGCAGCAATTCTTCAAGCTCCAATTATGCCGCCATCCTTTTCCGCCGTGACATGGAACAATCAGGAGATGTGGCGGCCGTGTACAGAGCCGGGAATGGCAATCCCGAGTGCGTTCATGAGGTCATGGTCCGCATCCTGAACACCATGCTTGGACAGACAAGCAGCAACAGCATTCGATTTCTGAGTGAGATCCTTGGCGTCCATCTAGAGAGGATTCTGGAGAGCGATCCACAAGGGGGAGTTGCCCAGTTTCCCGAGTTCTTCCAGGCCCTTGAGACCCACTTCGCCGCTCCAACGACTACGTCCCAATTGCGCGTGGGCTTCCTGAATTGTATAAAGTACATCTGTGGGCTTGCATATACATCTGTTACAAAGATCGGCGGCAAGGCCATCATAGATCTCATATTTGCAGGCCTTGAGGACCAGGCAGACACTGTCGCAGTTGCTGCCATCAAGTGTGTCAACGCGCTGATCCTCTACGGAGATTCTGACGACGAAGACGAGAAGAACGATAGCGTAATTCCCAACAGCGTTCTTCAGCAGTTTGTTTATAAAATAATTCAGCGCTTGCCGGCCATGATTGGCAGGCACAACTTCATGGACGCTGAGCAGGCCCTTGAGCAGCTTGTAGATATAGCTGATATGAATGGGGCAGTGCTTAAGCCAATGGTGAAGGACGTCCACATACTTGTTACAGGGATCCTCTCGCCTCCTGAGATTGACGACTCGCTGAAGCGACTGACCATAGTGCTTTTCAGCTATCTTTGCGAAAACATTTCAGACATCCGAAAGCGTGCAAAGAAGGCCATCTCCGAGATCATTTCTCAGTTTATTTTCCCATACTGCGGTCTCTTTGACGATACTCTGACCCAGGCCTGGCTGACGTCGGAGGATCCGCACCACTTTGATGATCAGAATAGCCTCTTGGGTTACGCAGAGAGCGCTCTCGATAGAATCTCCACAACCTTGGGCTATAAGGTGATCTTTCCGCTTATTAAAGACTTTGTTAGCTATGCCAAGGCCAACCCAACCGTCCACAATTGCTTTGCCGTCGCTAATATTTTCACCATAACCGCCGAGGGCCTTGCTCGCCTTGTGACAAAGGAGGACATAGTTTTCACAATCGATACCCTTCTCGAGCTGAGCAACCATCCTCATCAGCGTGTCAGGTATAGCGTGCTCAGCGCCATTGGGCAGCTCTCGGAAGACTATGCTCCGACGTTCCAGACGTTCCACGAAAAGGTCATGCCCCTCCTTACAAAGATGGCCCAAGACCCCTGCATAGCGGTGGCCGCACACTCTCTTGGGGCCCTGGTGAATTTTCTGGAGCACCTTAAGAAGGCCGAGACCTATCTCTACAAGGATGCGTTGGAGCCAGTCATCACTATGCACCTCATGCAGAGCAATCACCTCCTCAGCAATACGAACTCACTTGCACTGGTTGCTAGTCTGTCCAACACGCTTCTGAAGAATGACTTCGCCGATATGTGCAAGAACTACATTCCTCACATCCTGGGCATGTTCACCAACGTAATGGAGACTCTACGTAAGTCCCCCAACATGTCGCTGAATAAGCCCCGACTGAGCTACATCTCTCGAATACTGGAGTGTCTCTCTATTGTAGCTGGAACCCTTCCGCAGCTGTTCGCTCCCCACATCGACCCGCTTTTGACGGCCATCATGGAGCTCTTTAACTTCTCCATAGATGATGCGGAGTCGTCTCTACTTAAGTATACGCTAATCGCTGTCAGCAGAATAGTCGACATTTACCCAGAAACCTTCCCCAAGTACATGGACCCGATCATTGCAAAGTTGAACGACATCTTCAATCTAAAGTACATCGAGTTTGATAATGTGAACGAGTTTGCGGTAACGGATGATGATGACTGCAGCTTTACTATTTCTCCGCACGTCCTTCAGCTACAAGCGGTCGGCTTCGACGTTATTTCTGGCATTATGCGCAAAACTCCTGCAGCATTTGCTCCGCACCTGGATGCATTTTTGACGAAGATCCAGGACAGAAGCTTCCACACAGGGTCCATATCAGAATCGCTCAAACTGAATAGCATCGAGTGCATCTGCACCGCTTTTCGTGTTGCCGTCGCTGCTCCCACTGTGGCTTCTCCTCCTGCAGTTCACCAGAGGGCATTCACCATGCTGATAGCTGCTACAGAATCTAACATTGATGACATCGACATTTACCAGAGCATAGCAGACTCGATGGCTGAGTATGTCATGGACTATTGCAAGTACATCACTTCGACTAAAGACATGACTTCATATACAGAGACAGTCAATAAGGTGTTTTCTCTTCTAGAGAATTTCGAGGATCAGTGCCGTAAGTTGCTCGAAGTGAGCATCCAGGATCTCGAGTGCGACGATGACCTTGATCCAGAAGAGACGGCGACCATGGTTTCAGACACTGTTGACGATTTCTCTGATGCCATCGCGACGTTTGCAGACGTTTATGGTACCTTTGCAGAGGCCCTGGGAGATCTCTCCTTGGATTTCATGTCACCTCTCCTTATGCCTGTGATCAAGAGGTGGGTGAATTACTACACCAGCACTAAGAAGAACGGGATCAGTGGCGCGCAAGTCGCCTTCCTGACGAGTGCTGTATCCATCCTGGCGGACATCGTTAAGTACCTGAGCCCGGCAAACTCCAAGTCTCTTGTGGAACCGTTTGTAACCATAATAATTGAGAACACAAAGCTCAATAAGGAGTGGGTAGAGATCAACCAAGTCTGCTGCTACACTGCCGGACTGCTGTTTGAGAAATATGAGGGCGATCCTGGCCTAGCCATTCTCATTCCTACGCTGTTGGCGAACGCCACTGAGTTGATAGGAGTCGTAAAGAGCGGGGAGCTGGTCAGCAAAGAGGCCTTGGCAGCATATGACAACGCTGTCACGCTCTCGGCTAGGATGGCACAGGCCTTTCCAACTGAGCTTGGCAACATGAGTGGTGGACTCACACAGTTCTGGGCGTCATGGCTGGACCTTGCGAGCACCGTCCAGACCGACCGCGAGGAGGTGATCGCTAGCATACAGTTGATAATAAGCGCGTTCGCACGCAACGACCCGAACTTCATGAGCGGAAACCTTGTGCACGCACTGTACGCCTTCCTCTCCCTTTACTTTGGGGATCACCACATTAGCATTGTTGAAGATCAGACGAATGCGAATTTAATCGAGGGGGCAAACACTGTTCTCACACAGATTGCTGGACATGGTACCATCCTGGCGGATACGATAGCAAAGTGCTCTGAGTATGTCCAGAAGACATACTCCTTGTACACAAGCGTGCGCCAGTGAGCAAGGGTGGAAGCACGTTGAGAAGTAAGTAGTAGTAAATATGCTTCCAAGCCAAACGGTCCTTCTATTTGACGCAGAAGTTCTCGCTTTCCTCGGGACAGGCGATGTCACTGTCGATCATGCGGGTCCAAAGATAGAGCTTCCAGGGAACAGGCTTCTTCTGATAGAGGAGGACCACTATGGTAAAGACCAAGATTCCACCTAGGACTATCCCCAGGAAACACCCCAGCAATGCATTGCGAATTCGCGCTGCATAGAAGAATCTGTCGGACGTGAAGTACGCAATGGCCTGTCCAGAGAGACCCCATATCTTGCTTACCTGGTAGTATTTGATGTTGTTGGATACTTGGCCGACCACTTTACCACTTGAAAATTGGATGTCGATGTGATCAGGAACCAAGATTGCGCTGTGGCGTGTGATAAAGTTGCTGTCGGAGTGGAGGTTTAGGAGGATGTTCGGAGTACCTTGGAGAGGCCTGCAGTTAGTTAGGTCAAAGAGTTGAATCTTCACGTGCGTAACTAGATCCACGATAGCATCACTGGAACTAAGGTATTCCTTTCCTTGATCGTTCAAGCAAATGCTCACCTGGCAGACGGTGTTTTCTGGACATGCTTTCCGCTCAAATCTATAAGCTGTGAAAGAGTCCCAGTACTCAATGAAAGAGTTCTGGAGTCGCACAACCTCGGCACCGGTAAGTGGTATACTGTAGTTGAGCTGGGCAACATTCCAATCTGCGCTTTTAAGTGAACTAGGAAAGACTGGCATCGTGGACGTCCGTTTCCCGATTTCAGAGACATAATCTGGATAAGGGATGGACGCGAAGAAGACATCGACATATTGTGGAACTAATTCTGGTGCGACTACCGATACGGAGGTATCATATTCAAAGGGTACAATGATAGTGAGGGTGTAAACAACTTCGGGGAGGATGTTGAAGGAGTGGCAAGTGTGCTCAGCATGGAGCTCTATCTCTAAGGTGCTTTTCACGTATGGCTTTATGGGAATGAGTGGCTCGGGGCTACACAAGAAAAAATCATAATAGGTGTATTGGGGCTGAAGGATATATGGCGAAGTCATGGTTAGGTTGTCCAATAATATGACGAGTTGACTATAGGGAACGTGGATGAAGGGAATCATGGAGATAATATGGATATATAGACCAATGCATGCACATATGACTGCTAGGCTTCCAAAGATGAGAAGTGCCACAAATAGCAGAAGGGTGAGTCCTACGATACGCTTCTTCTTAGGTTGGGTCTTGTTATGCTCTAGAGGCATGGATGCACAGGTAGGATGGTGATTTAAAATTAGATGCAGCATACGATTCTAATTGCAGATAGTGTGAATTCATGTGCTATGGCGGCTGCCTTATACACTTATCTATGTCATGAAGCTAAGTGTGGTGCTGCATCCCATAGCGTTGAAGATACCCCGTCCAACGACCTCACAAAACACCAACATCCCCACTTCAGATTCCTCGTGTCGGAGTCTTTCACGCTTTTATACATCAGAGACCTCGGTGCGGCAGGGACAAACCAATACTCTGGCGACTTCCAGGCTTTTGCGTGCAAGGTACTTGAGCGTCGCCTTGACGAATTGTCTGCCAACTCTGCCGATACTACTGTGCATGTGATTGCTTTAACGGAGCAAAGTACAAAGAACCAGGGCGACAAAGCCCAGATCTTAGTGTTAGGGCTGCAAACGCCTCCTACCGACATCACTGTCACCGGGGTGAGTGGAATGGTCTACGATTGGTGTCATTTCAACAAGCCAAGATATACTCGCCTTCAGACTTTGAAGTGCACTGTGCTTCTTCTACAGCACCCAGGCGCACCGGTTTATCCCTATTCCGGCTATGCAGAGTTGTACCTCTCCACTTCCGTATTAAAAGCTGCCGGGATTCCACCTAAGGGAGAGCTACGTAAGCGAATAGAAGCGATAGTCCAAACATATATGAACGCAATCTCTCTGGTATACATCTAGTCCCCATTAGTGGAATATGTCTCCAAGGCCTATATAAGTGCACCGTTCTGTACTGCAGATAGTAAAGCTCTTATTACCGAGCAAGCTAGCTATGTGGTATTCGGTTCCATAGACAGCCTGGAGGTCGATAGGCAGTGGCTGCACGTGTTTTCCACCAGAGCCAAAGGAGTGCTCTCTGATTAGCGGTGCATATCGCACAGGTCTCGGCACTATGAGAAAGGGAATTGAGTCGTGCAGGAGTCGCCGTCGAATCGTCTCTTCTGAGTGCTTAAGGTTGTTGAGTATCTCCGAGTGCCCGGGGATGGAGACACCGATGTGTACATTTGTAGGCCAACTTTTCTGGAGCCATCTGTGTTCTATGAGAACATCTATATGTCGTAGAATTTCAGATTGCTCCATACAAGGAGAATCTAGAAGCTGATCTATGACCGCTCCGATCGGGACGCACTTTACCTTTTCAGTCAGTTGTAAATTGGAAACTGTCTCCAACACCCTCAGAATCAGCGCCTGGTCGATCTGGTGTTCTACAGAAATAGTCTTGTCGGTAGCCACGTACTCAAAGATCCTTGTAGATAGAATAAGGGGGTCATAGGGGGAATCTCCCTCGCCACTGACTACGACAATGCTTTGGCAGGAGTAAAGGTCGTCAACGGTGTAGCCCAAATGTCTGAGGTGAGCATATGAACAGAACCGGAGGTAAGGTGGGGTGTGTCCCAAGCATATATTAACATAGTATCCTACCACTTTCCAAAGATCGGGGCGAGAACCACTCTTCATCAGAGAACACAGAAAAAGACAACTTACAAAAACCAATACTTTTTCTTGGCACCACAGGTATAATGTATGGAATTTCGTCGTTCTACTGCCGTGATCCACCAAATCTCACGTGTCTGACATGGATTGGAATTGATCTGGCTGTTGCAGCTTCTCAAACCGATCGTTGCCTTTACGAAATCATCGTGCCTCCGTCTCTCGGACAGGTCCGCGTTTCCCGTATCAGCGACCCCATTCCATCAACAATTATCTCTATGACAGCGCTTCCGCCCGGGAATGGTTCTAGCGCCTCGTCTTCCACGAGTGGCCCAGCTGTGATGGCTAACACGGCTTCATCGTACCAAATCACCAAGGGTAGCGGCAGCTCGTCAACAAGTGCAAGCCAGGCTACCATTGTGGCTGGATGCGCCAATGGCACCTTGATTTTCATTCAGGCGGATGTCCTAGGCTTGGGATGCACTTCTCAGAGGGTCAGCGTTCGGCGCCAGAAATCTATTTCCGTCTCGTCCTATGTCGGAGGAGAAGACGCCATTCATCCTGTTACATCCTTGTGCATGATGCAGCCGCGAGGGTCGTCCTTGTTGGTTGGATTGGAAACGGGCACTGTTCTCCTACTCACCATGATGGGCGGGCTATACCAGTTCAGACAAATCCTTAAATCCAATCTCAACGCCCCTGTTCATGCCATTAACTCCATTGACCGGAACAGAGCCGCGATTGCGTACGGGGGCAGTGTCACAGTGATAAACATTACCAAGAATAACTCTACTGAGCTTAGCTACAAGCTTCAAAGCGACGGAGACGCTATCACGGCCTTGGCAAACACGGGTCGTGTACTCGTCTTGGGGTGTGAGCATCGTGGGGCCATAGTTCTCGACCTCCTCTCTGGACTTGAGATTTCTGTTATTCCTCCGCCACCCTATGATGCCGTCGTCTCCGTAAGCAGTCAGCCCGTAGCTTCGAACGGATTTATTATTGCCACAAGACGCGGGGTCGTCATTGGATGCCGTGAGAATGGTACCGTGCGTTCGTGCGCAACCTTGGAGTATGATTCAGCTCATCTACCGGTCTCAAAGATAGCCGCAGACGGCGCCCCTGCCACCCTCCTTTCCCCCTTGGCAGACTCATCAATGACCAATGTGGATGAAAATCTTGGTAGCTCGGTTGGTGGAATACGAGATCTAGCGTTCGCGCCATATGGGGGCTCCTTCTTGTGTCTTTGTCTTAACGGCCTTGCTGTTGGATATCTAGCTCCTCAACGACTGTCGAGTGGTTATATTACCATAGAGGTCACGGGTCTCACAACGGTCATGATAACCGATGCACGTCTTCAGGTGTCCGAAGTCTACACAGCCCCAGAGCCTGTTATCAGTCTTTTTCTATCTAGATTTGCTCACACACTAAGGCTTGGTGCAACCACGGCATCGTCCGTCATTGTCTGGACACCGCCTACAATGGCAAAGATATCCTCCTTCTCATTAGAAGGGGGAATGCCCCTGGTTACCAAAATTCAGTGGATTACAGAGCCGGTCCGTTCAACGAGTTACGGAGACATGATACGACCATCTACCGTGCAGAATCAGCCTTCTACACAAGGCCTTCCCAATCGTCAACAGCAGGAGTTAGACTTTGATAACCTTTTGGAGAAACCAGGGGACACTCTGCAACAGACAGAGTCTCGACCGCTGCTGAAGAGTTTTTCGCAGAAGAAGCTTGAGCATGACAAAGCATCGAACCCGCCGATAAAAACTGCTGCATATGTTAGAAATCCTCCCCGTTATATCGTCCTTGGGGATAGCTACCATCTTGTCGTGGATATTTCTGGAGAAGCTAACATTGTGAGTGCAACCACGCTGGCGCTCGTTACTAGTATCTATATCTCCTCTTTAGACAGCGATAGACAGATTGCTATTATAGATTCTGCATTGGCATATGTTGAGGGAGGAACTACCTTGCGCATCATCGATCCCAGGTCAGGGAATTTCATTCTGCGTGGTGTGATTCACCACAAGGCTGTTCTGGACCTCACTATCGGTATCTCAAGCCAGCAACACATCCGTAACGCGTCGGAGACATCCGCCAAGGAAGGAACCCAAGGTAATGCTGTCAGTGACTTTGCTCTTGGAAGCGTATTCAGTAACCTAACTGGACATCAGGCTGGTAAACCAGTTGACGCAACAGCCTCGACTTCTTCTCTCAAACAGACCGAGATGTCTAGTAATGATGCTTCAAGCTACGTACTTGCTCTTTTGGACACGAGTAATAGCTTGTATGTTGGCCGCTTGACGACGTCTCCTCAGGCTTATGCTAAGTTAGGAAACTCCATGAGCACAGCGATTCTTCAGCAGAGCAAATTTCTAGACTCCATTCCCTACTCTATCCAGTTCATTGCGCAAACAGATTTACTATGCATGCTCATTTCTGAAAGCCAATCTCTTCCTCAGGCGCTGTCCCAAATAGGAGAGACAGTAGGCAGTGACTGTAAGCTTAGATTGGTGGTGGACGCCTGTCCCGTGCGTACAAGCATTATAACAGAGGACCCTGTGTTTGTAACTCCCACGACGATAGATTATTCGTCAGTTCAGAGATCCAATGCTGCAGTCTCTATCTTTGAAGAGGACCCGTCTCGTATTCTAGCGGCTTACCGTATGCTATCGCGCTCCAATATACACACAATACACCGCATTACCCCTATGGTTCTCAAGAACGACGGACTAATGAGCAATGCTATTACAATGAGCCACGCTGTCCTAGGCTTGGCCGGGGACTCTAGCCAAATGGTTGTCGCTGTGCCAGAGTTCAGTGTCTTACTAAATTACCTCGCCAAAAGCGGAAACACTCAGCGGGCGCTTAGACTTTGTCGATTCCTTGATCAGAAGCCTCTCTGGGCCCAGATGGCAACATACTGCATTGAGGCAAATAACATACAGCACCTGCAAAGCGCTTTGAGTGGTCTAGGTATGGTTGCAAAAGCATCCTACTGTCACAGCATCTCGTCACATAACGAGGTCAATGCAGGGGCAGTTAAGCTGGCTATCGGAGACCCGGAGGGGGCTAACATCCTAAGTAGCCAAGGAAAGATAGGGGCTGCTATCCTTGCTGCGTGCGATCTCTGGAACTTTTCCAAGGCCTTGGAGCTGTGCAGGGGCAACAAGAAGTACATGCCACTTCTCGTATACCTCAGAACAAAGTACCACAACAACCTGGGGATGAGTAACTGTAACAACGAAGAGCCGTGGTTGTCTCTTAGTAGACAGTACGGCAATGTGAGCGAAGACGAGATCCATAGACTCATGAAGGGCTAGCTTGACGGTCACATGAACGCGGTGATAAGGCTGCTGATAATGCCGTTATATCTCAGAAAGCGATAGGGACCCAGAAGGGTAGGGTTCCAGCATATTTCTAGGGAACGGCATGTACAGTTAGGGGCATGCTTGACGAGGAGACTAAGGTGCACTATAATCATTATTATCAGACTCAACTGTTGGCGGGACGTGTGTTTTTCTAGCAAAGTGTGTATCTTACTCTTTTCGGTTGCTGTAAATTCTGGTCCACAGTCCCTGAAAAACCTCTGGAGTTCGTCCAGCAACGTATCCGAAAACAACCCGTCCTCCTTCTGCTCTGTGAGTCGTCGAACAGCGCTTTTTGCCAGGGATGCAAGAGACGCAAAGTCCGAGGCTCCATTTGTATCAAGGCGCCGGTAATTCCAGTAATATTGGTACAATGCATCTAGCTCCTCCTTATTCCCTGCTGCACGATAGAGGTCAGGGGCATCAATGTGCTTTCGCTCAATGATATCAAAACACTCTGCGAGTAGGCGATATAGATGCGAGGCTGGAAGGACTCCTGGTTCTAAATCTAAATGCGCAGTCCCTACTATATCGTCATGGGTCTTGCCAGACTTCCGCATTTGATTTTGGGTTTACTCTTCAACAAGCTCTCCTGTTTTAAGAGAAGACTTAAGAAGAGCCGCTTTCTGTTGCATGACGGTGAGGGCCTCTAAGTAGATGTCTCGCGCTCTGTACCACGAGCATGACTCTATCGTGAAAACCAAGTGAGTCTTTACGAGCTCTAGCCGGATTCCACACTGGTTCTGCTCATCTGTAAAGGCTGCGATGCACTCCCTGCAAAGTGTGCAGGCTTCCGTCCGGTCTGGATGGTGCACGCTAAAGTCTTCTATATCCAGCTGCCTAGTAACATCAGCAAAGACGTTAACTGGACATACTTTGTGCAACTTTGTCACAAGCTTGTCTACATCCCCATTCACCTCTGGGTGCTGGAGCAGTGCATCCTTGTCAAGAGCAATCTGCGTTTTCATTTTGTACCATGCTGTCCCCACGGGCTGAAACTTGGCATGCATTCGGCCTATACCTTTGTGGCAGTATATTTCACAGAAAATCCGCTGACCTGGAGCCAGTTTTGCAAGTAGGATATCCGGATCTAGTGGCGCAGGGAGGGAGCTCATATCGGCCCGGACTTCTTGCTTCAGGAGCCAGTCCTTTTGTCCTCCTATAGGAACCCAGTAAATGTCTCTGCTGTAAACGTAGAACCACCCAGGCTCCTCATCATTAAAACTACTCGAATACGTCGCTGGTGCCGTGACATCCAGCTTAAAAACAACTGTATTTCGCTCGTGGATCTTATCACCGTCCTCATGGTACTCAAACAACCGAGGGTCGATGTTCATGGGCACCAGACCCAATCTGTGGGAAAAAATCTCATCTGCAATTATAGAAGAGTTCTCGTGCACCACAACGGTGTCTATGGCCATTGTGGGCACCTCGTCCAGAATAATGCGCCGTATAGTATTTGCGATAACAGGGCTAAGATTAATAACGTCAAAACTGAAGGTATCACACTCATCTTTCCAGATAACGTACTCAAGTCGGTTCTGGAAGGCCGAAAGGTCAGTAACCATGTCGTCCAGACTGAGAACATCCGTCTTTACGGACTGGAGCGTCAGTTGTGCAGACATTATTTATTTGGGCATCGTATTGGTCCCTTCCATTGCAAATTAATGGAGCTTATTTATTATGCCATTGTGTTGTAAACCTTATAATATTGTATCAAAACAAAGTTAGTACACTACACCAATCAATTTCAAAAAGGACAAAATTAAAGGCATGGCTGCAGCGAAGGCTACCGAGATCAAGACCCTCATCGACGCCAAGGACATGGACGGGCTTGCGAGGAGCGTCGCCGACTTCAATGACAAGCAGCGCGCCGAGATCCACGCCGCGTTCAGGGCGGCTACTGGAAAGACCACCTCCGAGTACCTCGACGCCTCGTTCAAGAACGGGGACTACAAGGACCTCATGATGATCGTCCTCGACGACGAGATCGACGTCCGCTGCAGGCTGATCAAGAAGGCCTTCAAGGGCGGGAACGACGAGAGGTGTCTCACGGACACGCTCCTGACGACGACCCCTGAGATCTACGCAAGGGTCAAGGACAGGTACCACCAGCTCTTCGGGGACGACTTCGAGTCCACGCTCAGGAAGGAGATCGGCTCCAAGACCGTCTGGGCCCGCATGGTGAACTCCTGGCTTGCCTTCTGCAGGTCCGCCCGCAACAACGTCCAGGGTGATGCAGAGGCCCTGAAGACCGCGCTGATCGGCGTCAAGCACCCGGACACGGACACGGTCATCCGCCTCCTCGGCACGACCGTCCCCAGCGAGTGGAAGCAGATTTCCGAGGCGTTCGAGAACATCGCCAAGAAGACGATCGAGCAGGCCCTCATCGAGGCCTACAAGGGCGACGACGAGCTCGCGCTCTGCTGCTGCAACGCGACGCTCCACTGCCCCGCCCGAGGCGCCGCCTACCTCCTGAGCCTGGCCTGCCAGAAGAAGGGCGACACCGACCGCTGCTGCCGCATCACCGGGATGCTCTACGACCAGGCGGAGCAGTGCAAGGTCCTCTACGCCCACTACGGGAACTTAGCCAAGGACATCAGGAAGACGATGTCCAAGAACCTCGCCGAGGCCTGCTGCGTCCTCTGGCACGTCATGTGAGTGTGAGTGAACTTCTTTACTTAATTATGCTTTGAGGAACACCCCCTGGCCGCTCGTGATGTCCTCGACGAGGTCCCGGACTAATGAGAGTCGCGACACAATCCTGTCCGAAGCAAGTGTAACAAGTTTGTTGTACAGACCACACATCACCGCACCCGTGACTTCTTGCTGTCTGCGCTTGAAAAGACCTGGGGATCGCGCAGCTTGATTGAACTGTCCATAGTAGTCGTATGTCTCGAGAGCTGCGTGCTCGGATTGTGAAACGCCTCCTAAGACATAAATGAGGACCTGATGCTCTTCAGAATCGCGTAGAACATCTGCCATTTGACTTCGGTCTGTTGCCGAGGTGATCGGAAAGTCACTCTCCAAGAGCAGATTGCAGATCGCAGCCTCTGCAACAGAGAGAACTCGTGGCTTGTATGAGTAATTTGCACCTATTTGGGAGAGAATCGTCGGGTCTGTTTGCTGGAGAGACGCGTTGTGGCCATTAAGGTATGCTGTCAGCTCCATGTTTCCATCTAGACTCGTCCCTTGTCCTGGAGAAGTCGCAGACACCACTCTATTAGTGATGGCTGTCTTGGCAGAGGTTTCAACATTATCCCATTGGTAGTAGAAGGCATTTGCCAGCTGCCGACCATAGTTAGTGAGATACACACTGGTAGCGTTAGTCAGTCTCTTGATGTGTCGGGATAGCTTCTCACTGTGTGCACCCATTTGCTGGGCTAACTCTATATTTGCCTGCTCTGCTGCATGAAAGAACTTTGTAGCTATGGCTTGTAACTTTTTCAGAACACTCTGGATGCTGAACACATTGTACTGAAGGGTAATTAACACAACTAGGGAGAAAAACAGAGAGACGACAATCTCGAGAAACAAAAGCTTCTTTGCAGTGCTAGTGTCACTTTCCATGATATGGAGCAGAATATCCTGTTTAGTCTTGCTTTTCTGCGTACCTTGAGACACAAAAAACTTTTCCAAAAGTGTGATGGCCTCACTGGAGTTGTCATTATGCATAGAGTTCTCAATCTGTGAAATCCTGGTATGGTTTATCTTCCCGATATACTCCGAGAGGGTAGATGCAGCGCTGCAAATGCCGATTACTGCATTCTTTTCTCCTTGACTTAAACTGAGCTCTTGTGAATACTTCCTTAACTCTGGAATAATGCTCATGGTCAAGACAAAAAAGTCTGCTGCGTACGTCTGGTCGAAGAGAACGGATGATGTCTTAGAAAACTGATGCTTTGTATTAGTTTCGTCGCAGAATTCCAATGTCTCGCTATTTAATAGTTCAAAATCGCTTAGAAGAGGCAGTAACGCCCAGTTTTGCTTAATCACCGATTGCAAGTCTGCCCTTCTATCGAGAATTATTATCTCTAGTGGCTTAGTACGGGGTGGAAAGCGAGCTTTTGAACCCACAATAGAGCCGTCACGCTTGACAGACTTGGTCTCGTAATTAATTAATCCTTTTGCATTATACCTAAAGAGATTCTTTCTTAGGGTGATGTGCTTATGGAGATGGCCTGCCAATGAGGCAGCTGCGGAGGAGACAGAAAGATACCTAACGGTAAATGGTTCCACTCCCATTGATAATAGAAAGTTCAGAAGGTTGTCTGATTGCCGCAGAATAGATGCTTCACTGTAAGGATTTTCGGCTTCTTGTGGTAGTAGTGCAAACCGCGCACCGAGCATAGAGTGGGCTCCAAATACGACACGGATGGTTTGGATGAATTTGCTAGAATCGCTTGTAGCTAGATCAGACACAGTATTTTCCGGCACAAGTCCCGTGAATACTAAGTGAAACTCTTTGAAGAGCTTCCTTTCTTGCGAAAGCCGAACAATTTTGTGTACAGTAGACAGCGATTCATTAGAGGGACATATATATGCAATGCACGGGTTTCCTGCTGCTCCAGAGAGTGACTCTACTGTATCAATGAGTACCACGGACACAACTCCGTGCTCTGCAATCTCTGTCTGCGTGCACATGTGAGTCAATGAGCGGAGGGTTACCTTGTCTACAAGCATCACTATAGACGTGCCGTACGCAGGCCTTATGATTTCTAGCAAACTCGTGCTCGTGCTAGGTGTGACTGGCTGGCTGAAGCGGCGCATGTGGAAATAGGAACTTATGTTTTTTGCTGAGACATGCCTTGCCATGCAGGAGCACAGAATATTGTCTTTCACGCAGCACTGTGGCTCTCACTAATTGCTGGAACAGGCATCTTAGCTGCTTGTCTCTATGGCTGCGTTGTTGCGGGAGGGCCTGCCATGTATATCGACCTGTTTGGTACTCCAGCACGGCTCCTGGTAACTTCTCTTCTTGGGCTTGCAGTTACTCTCCCTCAAGTTTCAATGGCCATAGTAGCGACATGGGCCCATCTTTCCGGGCTGCGTGGCCGAATAGAAACGGCGAAGTTGGTACAGGCTCGCACACAAGGGCTTTTGAACTATGGGGTAGATGACGATAACAGCGGAGAGCCGATTATGTCAGTCTTCCATTACAGTACTGCTCCCTTTAAGAAGCGCTCCCCATCTATCTTACTTTCTTTGAGAATACTGGGATGGATGTCCGTGGCCATCTTGACAGTGGAGGCTTTACTAGGCGTGGGAGCATTGGCCTATTATCCTTCCTATAGTGGTAACTCGGTGACAAGTTTTAGCCCCTTTCTAACTGTGGGCGAGGCCGACACGCATACTTCCGTCCAGCTAAATTGGGCCGATACGAGTCATCGAGGCAGCAACCTTCTACTCTACCAGGGTGACGATGTACCCACGTCCATTGATAAAGGTGTGTGGGTCTCTTATGCACCCACTATTGACAGCAATGTGTCTCATGTCGTATTAAGGGGCCTGAAAGAAGGAAAGACATACTACTATCATATCAAGTACTCCTCTAAGACTGTACGAATCAATAGCTTTACAACAGGAGACCCTGCAGATAGCCAGAGCAAGTTGCTCTTTTTCAGTGGGCTCAAAGGCATGCCTTCCTTCGGGCAGGGGCTTATAGGTGCAGCTGAAGACGGTCATAACACACTACTTGTGTCAATCGGTGGGCTAGCAAGCGCAACCATCGTAGACTGGAATAAGCTATTGTCACCAAAAAGCAATCTCTTATCGCAATTCGGTTTAATTGCAGCAGGAAGGGGAACAAGCGACGTCTTTGCATCTGCTGATAAATATCAGAATAGGCTTTTGAAGCCAGTCGCGTTTGATGCTATTGTGAAACCATACCAACCTAAAATCAGAACTGCCCCAGAATTGTCTGAAAAATTCGATAGTTTGTTGGATACATTCCCGTATTCAATTAGGATCCTTTATAGAAATAAAGATCTTCCGACATTTACTGACGGAGCGCACTACCATTTTGTACGCGGTCCTGTACTAGTAGTCATCCTGGATGTGGTTCAAGATTACTACAGGGCATCATATATGGGTTGCCCAGATTTTACAGTTCTGAGCGGCGAGCAGATACTATATCTCGACGAGGTTCTCACTAAGTATAGTCAAGAGGTCCATCCTGAAATAAGATACCGCTTTATTACAATCCATGGCGAGTTATATCAATTGTATGCAGATATTCCATGCGAGAATAATTTAGCAGCTACATTGGAACTGTTAGCCTGCAGGCACAACGCGACTGCCATCATAGGGAGAGGCAGTGACGGTTTCACAATGCACAACCGGACAGAGGCGTGTAGCCTGCTGGGATATGCTAGTAGTCTGCTTGCCGTGCAATTACCTGACGCCGGAGGCTTATCTGCATGGGGGCGGAGTCTATTGCGCAGTTATATAGGGGATTTCTTCCAATATTTCAAGGGACGTGCAGAGAAGCAAAGGTGGCCGGCTGAAGTCGTGCATGGACCCCTAGATAATCCTGCATACGGCTCTTCCACTCTCTTGATAGCCGCTACTGGAAATATAGTACTGCGCGTAGAATTTTTAACTTCCTCCAGTTCTGATGCAGCCCAGTGCGAGTTAATTGCATATGATATCACTGCACAGAAAGTGGTCTACAAGTTACCTCTTGCGTAAGGTAAGCTACAGAGGATATCGCACTGGCCTTGCGTAATGTTAATTGCACCGCTGGCACGCAGGTTCAGTGCTACAAGAAATAGTGCTGCCACCTCGTGGCGCTTCTGTTGCATGCTATGATCAGGCCTTAGCATGGAGCTAAGCGATACAGACTGAGGATACTCTTCTTCTAGACGCTGTAGAATAACTCTACTTGGCATAAACGCAAAATTTGTAGAGCCCAGAGAGTCAGACTTACCGTGATAGGAAATATTGAACGCGTCGCCATCAGAATAATCTATATTGTGGTTACGATTTTTATCGCTGAATGTGGATGCAGATGTAACTCCTGTACTGAGGACTGGATGAACAGGGAGGACGGTACTTGATGTACCACGCTGATCTAGATCATGGCTTGCCGTAAGAGTGTGCGTCTTGCTCTTTGAAATTAGAGCTCCGAAGAAGGCATAAGAGCCTCCTTCATAAGTGAAAATGAGTGCTGAAATATTCTTAGTCCACCATCGATCGGCCATCAACCACGAACGTTGACTAGTAAACAAAGGGAGGCATTTGAAAACGTGATCATCTAAAAGTGTATAGTTAGATGGCCATGCGGCTGTGAACTCGATAGGCTTGGGAGACTCCTTCGCTGCTTTATCATATAGGTGTGTAAAGGAACGCGGACGAGGTGGTCGTCTCTTGGTCACTAGACCTGATTGTTGATGTATCTGCTTTTCTATATTGAGTATAGCAGGTTCCTCATTGTCATCTTCCATCAAAAGATGGTCATGATGATGTATAGTTAGCAGAGAAGGATTCGTTGCTCCGTGACTTGGATTCGGCTCTGGCTCCATTGTAATATGCTGACTATTGGCATGGGCTATCGTAAGAAATTGGGCGTTGACGGAGTCTCCGGTTCGCAATTGGCTTCCCAGCTGTGTCTCAAGGAGACTCCTAGTGCTACTGGAACTTCGGCTACGAAGAACTGCCTCTGGATCCAGTCCATCCAGTCCAGCTCCGGCCCTGTCTGGGACATTTCCTTGAGTCCCAGAAAGACCTCCTTGTGACGCAGCGAGTTCCAGTGCTCTAGTCATGCTGGTCTTTAACGTGGCCCTTCTCTTGTTAGAAGATTCAGTCCGTCTTTGATCGGTTGGCCTCCTTCTTTCTCTCTTTGGACCTCCATCAAGTAGATAGATTGTCCGAAGTAGTCTTAGTTTCAAAACGTGTATTTGGTGTTGTAGAATGAAGATGCAAGTATAAATAACAGGAGAATAGAGATATATAGGAAGCTTATCTACTGAGATGCTGTTAACTGGCGTATTAATAGACTTAGAGTGATCAAGTGAAACCACTCCTGAATCTACAGATTGAATCTGGTCCCAAACTTCTTGGGCATCAGAAAGCTTCGTAATAGCAATTCGCGGCATGGAAGACTTTATAAGAAGAGCCTGTGAATCTAAGAGTACATAGTTAGAGTTCTTCACGGTTAGCACCCTCGCACGGAAGCATTAGAAAATCTTTAATTTCTGAGCGGCATATCGGACACCTGTGAGAAGAAAACTCAAGGCAATACCGGCAACAGCAGGCATGACCACAAGGAATGAAAATGCATTCGACAGCCCAGGACATGCATATGATGCATGCGGTGTCCACCTGGGACAAATCAGCATGAAGAAAGGAGTTATAAACGTTCATATATTCAGAAAGCTTCTCTCGGACGGTCCGAGTATGATACTGAAAGGAGTGCGATAGTTCCTGGGTTGCTAAGCTTATAGGCATTGTTTGAGTTGATTCATTGGCTACTCCAGAGGACGTGTCCATCGGTGATTGTGAGGACTCCTTATTCCCTTCAACACACTCATCTGAATTTATGGTTAATACCGGATGAACTGGGAGTTGTGTTGCGAGGTCCAGATCATCGAACATAACTGACGAGCAAATCTCAAACAGTACCTCCAGGTTTTTAAGGTCGCAAGGGTTCATCACATTGAGAAGTAAAGACTCATCTGAGAGGACCTCGACCTGGACTGATGCAACATCCAAGCCTGTATCTGAGCCATTAAGAGCATCAGAGACTTGCTGCTCAAGCAGAGACAAATTTGCACTTGCTCTCAGCTTTATTTGTGCAAGAGAGTTACAACTAGATTTCAGAATATGGAGAATCAGCTGCGCAAAGGCACTGCAAATGTGGTTGTAGAAAACATAGCAAGATAATCTACTTAGTGACATTAGACGAAGACGAGCATTAAGTAGAAGGTCGCTGAAATCGATGACACGCATATCGATGGCGTACTCATAACAAGACAAGTAGCGATTGTCGAGTGCAGGGATCTCCATAAGAAGCAGCCGGCAGAGCATAAAGTTCTTGTTTTGCAGCGCTAACATCAGCGCGGTCCTACCATTTACGTCCTGCATGGTTCTTTCTTTAGGCCCCAACAGCTCTACAATTTCCTTATGGCCCCGGCTAGCAGCAAGCATAAGAGCAGTTGTGCCTCTCGGAGTTTGCTGGCCAGCTTCATAGGGGAGAAGTAGTTGAACAGCAGATTCATTTCCACTGAGCGCAGCATGCATCAGTGCCGTCTGGCCCTCATTATCGCGCAGTCCTATTTCGCTTGCAGACGACGGTAGGTTGCAGTGATGAAGGCTGAGGCGATGCTTTATTATTAACTCCTTCAGCATCGACTGATTAGGCTCGGCAGCTGCCATCATCAATAGACTCATTCCTCTCTTATCCTGATACCCACTTTCATAATCCAGCAAATGAGAAACAACCTGACTGAATCCCAGCTTGAACCCCCACATGAGTGCCGTCATGGAATACCTGTCCTGCATACCTGCTTCATAGGGAGCTAAGCGCTTCACAAACTCGTGAAGATTACGCTGTGCAGCATAAATCATTGCAGTATATCCATTTGCATCCTTCATCCCTGCCTCGCTATCAGAAAGAAATGTCACGACATCGGTGGCTCCTGTCAGCGCAGCATGCATCAGCGCAGTTCTCTCATCATGATCTTTCATTTTCGGCTCAGTTTCTGCTAGTTTAGATATTATTATAAGATTCTTATCCTTCATAGAGTGCATCAAGGCGGTCATTCCCCGAGCATCAGTCATTCCGCACTCTAAATCATATAGACAGCTAGCCACTTCTGCATGAAGCTCATAAAGGTTTTCTGATCGGAGTTCTACCAAGATATCACGCTTGACCCTTGCATCTTGGGCGTGAAGATAAACTGAATGCATAAGCGCCGTCATTCCGTTGCTGTCCCTAGCCCGCGCTTCGAAGGGTGCGAGGATACGCGTGCCCTCTACGTTCCCGTGCATAGCTGCAGTCATCAATGCTGTACGTCCATTGGAGCAGGACATGCTAGCCTCATGCTCTGCTAGGAGAGCTATGACGTCGTTGTGGTCAAACTGTGACGCCATGATGAGGGCAGTGAGTCCCCCAGTGTTACGAAAGCCCTTTTCCCACGGAGCCAGTAGCTTGGCACACGCAGGCTGATTCTTAATGGCAGCATACATCAGGGCCGTGAAACCGTTGGTATCTATCTGCTGTGATTCCAGCGGTGCTAATATCTCTACAATCTTTTCAAAGCCATTCTGTGCGCCTCGCATAAGGGCGGTCCAACCGCGATTGTCTTGACACCGAGCCTGAGTTTCGCTCATAAAGTGCACTATTTCGTGATATCCCTTCTCTGCGGCCCACATCATAGGAGTCAGCCCTAAGCGATCTGCAATGCTGCCTTCTATGGAGTAGAGCTTCTCTACAATTGCCTTATGCCCCAAAAATGAAGCTATAACGAGCGCTGTCTTCCCTTCATAGTCTTGCAACATACCTTCATAGGGGAGAAGGGCCTCAACCACCTCAAGATGACCCTTAGATGCTGCATACATCATTGAGGTCCATTTCTTGCCGTCTGCAATCGAATGCTCCAGCTCTACAAGAAAAGGAAACTTGGCGAGAGTGTTGTTCTTTGCAGCCCGCATGAGTGCGGTCCAGCCCTTGTTATCCTGAAGTCTGTCCTCATAAGCAGCAAGGATGGTAGCAATCTCCACATGCTGGTTTTCCACTGCACACATAAGAGCAGTAACTCCGTTTTTATTCTTCATTCGCGCTTCTACGTCAACAAGCTGGAGTACACTATCGGTGTGTCCCTTAGAGGCGGCATACATCAAAGCCGTGTAGCCGTCTTTATCTTGGACCCCTGCCTCAAAGCTAGCAAGAATCTTGATGGTTTCCCCATGATTATGCATCGCTGCCCACATAAGTGCAGTCCGCCCTAACTGATCTGTCTGTTTCATATGCTCATCTAGATACGTCCTTACCCCCACAACATCATTGATCACCGCAGATACCATGAGGGGAGTCATACCAAGTGAGTCATCCATTGAAACTGGTCTGTTTCAGGATCTTTTTCAAAATCTTATCTAATCTTTCAATGGACAACTATTCCGAGGAGAGCTTTCAGCAGTGGCTCTCTGCCGTTGTGCAGAAAGTTAGGAGCCAGACAAAGAGCATCTCCAAGGAAAGCCTTGAAGTCTTCCAACCTGAGTCGTTTGTGGAAGCATGTACAGGTTTAGCATCTCTATCCACTAAAGGATATACATCGTCGGTCTTAAGCAAATGGCTCTCGATGTTACTAAAACAACTATCAAGCCCTGAAATACACAAAAAGCTTCCATATGCACTCGACCCTGATCTTTTCTGTCCTCTACAAGCAGATTTCTCAACGGGATTACTAGCACCTGAAGACGCTATCCGCAGGCTCCCAATGTGTGTTATCTGCGCTAGAGTAGCTATTAGGTTCACTATAAACACAAATTGCAAATGCATTGCATGCTATAAGTGTGCCAAGACCCATCTATTAGACAGTATGGTCCAAGCAAAAGGTAGAACAACAGCCATTCCCTGCTTTGGGTGCAATGGAATGCTTCGAAACGTGACGTGGAGCGTGGCTTACTATGAGCGTCTGCTAAATGCTAAAGTTCAATGTCATGATAGTCGCTGTACTTTTTCAGGAAGCATTGTGGAGTATTGCGAACACTCGCTGAGCGTACACAGGGCTAACAACTCCTTGGAGTCTCACAATACATCCGTGATAAATAGCTCCTTCATCGATGCAACACAGTACGAGGAAAGCACCCCAAATCACCAGCAGGCACCATACATGTTTGGAGCCTACGGAAATGAGGAGCCTGTAGTGTCATTGACAACATTTTCCCAGATAGAAACATGCACACCCTCGCAGACATTAGAGCCCGAGCAATTGAATGCCTCTCCCCAAATGATTCCAATGTACTCAGAAAGTGCAGTACGGCACGGAAAGGGCAGGGGCGGCAAGCGATTAAAGATAGACAATGCAGGAGAGAAGGAAGAGAGGAAGGAGAAGATATTACCAGTAGAGCCTCCACCCAATGGAGTCAGTGTCTTGCCCCTACCCTCTGAAGGTCAGCAACCCATAGTGCCACAGGTTCCTTTTTTCATTTCTGCAGCACCCTGCTCGAATCCATCGACTTCTTCATCTCTACTACCATCTGAGCCATTGACACAAGCCGCTGGGATGACCTCGGTCATGCCACCTGCCCAGTCCGCACCAGCAGCACCACCTCCATCAAAGGAAACCGAGAAAGCACCAAGAAAGAAACAAATGCCAATTGGAGCACTGATTATGGGCCTCATCGTTGGAGCTGTTGTTGCACAGATAGCATTATTCTTTACCAACCTTGGTTCCATTTTCCCCGTTGGGTATAATGGAATACGTTATGTAAATAAGATCTAGATCTACTGGGGTGTGTCAGTCATCAATAAACCCTCTCCTATACCGACTGCTATTACGTGTCTGTCAGGGCTGTCCACTACTAGGTTATGCTGCGTTCGGAAACCGATGCAGCAGCCACCTAACCCAGCACCCGTGAGCTTTGCAGTGAAGCACCCCATGTGGTAGAGCAGTTCCTTTGAGCGCTCTGTTTCTGGCACACTAACACCCAATGAGCATAAAAGATCGTGGTTTCGCTGAACAAGAGCGGAGAGCGTTAAGTAGAATGAGTCATTGCTTATTTTACCCGGGGTACTGGCAGTCAAGAGCAGCTCAATGAGGTCTTTCGAAGTCTCTCCTATGTGTGCCAACGTGTCGTTGTTTTCTCCTTGGCTTACTAACTCTACGGCCTGTGCTGTGGACTTTGCGATACCAGAATCTGCAATAAGAACTTGAATCATACGAGCGGCGAAAATGTCTGGAGATATCTTAGCGTTGCATAATGCACCGTGGCTGTAGATCTGGATGCCCCCATAAATGACGGTCTTCAGATCCATGCCAGTGGTCCTTCCGTGTATATGTCTCTCACCCAGCAAGGCGATATCAAATAACATGGAGGGAGAATAATTAGAACTTGCGGCTAAGAGAAGGGCGGTGTGCGTCACAAGGATACTTGCAGAAGAGCCTAGTCCTTTACCGAGAGTCCACCCATGGACTGCGATTTCTACAAATTCACAGTGATGACACGCAGCATCTGACCGTTTGATTGTAGGTAGTCTAGTAAGAACCTCCTCGTTAATTAGGCGAATGGCTTCTGTCATCGAACTACTAAGATCTAGTCGCTCACCTGTTCTAATATCTAAAAGTGTAGGGAAAGGGAGGCTTGACGGGCAAGTGGGATCTTTTGCTACGCGTGCATGCCCACTTGTGTACAAATCCAGTGCCATAGCGATACAGGGATGACCGTAGACAACCGAATGCTCACCACTGAGAATCGCTTTCAGTGGGGTCCGTACATACAGCTCCAAGGGGCACGGGCCCAAAGAAGGCATTTCCTTTTCCCTTTAAAAAAGTCGCCATGTTATGCTCCGTCTGTAACTCTCACTTTAAACCAATAGATTACTGCGCTTCCTCGCTTGCATCTGCATTACCATTACCAGCTATGCCTGATTTGACAGCAGTCTCCCTCCTTTGCTCGGCATGTTATGAACGAATTAGACAGGCTCTTCTTCTGCAGAAGGACCGGAATGCTCGTGACGCAGCCATCATTGAAAAGCAGATGGCGCGTAGAAAGCGAATGCGGGCCTTGTCTGGAAGCTTGAAGGCCGCTGCTCCTTCTATCAATATACAAAGTGAGATAGAAGAAGAGGAGCAAAAGATCAAGGAGCTTGAGGAACAGCTGAAACTTCAGAACCCCAACAAACAAATCCCCACCTTTACATGCCTCAATGATTGCCACCAACTGCGTGTCTCTCGGCAAGGGAGCATGCGTCCACTGTTTGTCTTCAATGAAGCAGCATCTGCGGTAAATGGGTTCTCGCTTTTGCAAGTAGATCCTGCTCATGCTGAGAAGCTTGGGGACACGCTTCAAGCTACAGATGCGCCTAGTACTGCCCTCCCAGTCCTGCGTAATAGGGACGGCATTAATGCAGCGCTAGCAGAGCTGACTCTCTGCATCCAGATGCTGTATCAAGCAACTTTTGGAGACGTCTATCGCTCTGTGTTTTCGCGCCAAGGTGCAATCTCAGAACCCGAAGGGGTTCGCATTACGAGGCTCTACTCTATTCTAGTTGCCGCTCTTCCTGCTCCATTAGTTATAGTCTACCATGACGGAGCTCCCACGTCTGTCCTGCAGGCAGTCTCTCAACAGACTCTAGACCCCCAGCTCCGGGGACTTCGGCGGGCAGGGAGGACTGTTTGTGAACTTGTGTGGGAGAAGCCGACGGCGAACGCGAAGCTCTTCACGGGCGCAGACAAGGATACATTCTCCCTCGGGCTGGGGGCTCTACTGGGTTTCGTTGTCGACCTCTACATCTTCCTGGGGCTTGAGTGCCCATGTGCCATCACGATCAGTCGATACCTACTGAATATGCACAGCAACCGTCAGATGCTTAGTGAGCACTACGGGCTGGGGCTGACGGTGGATAAGACTGAGACCGCAGGCCAGCGGAAACCTTTACTTCTGAATCCCCTCTATGTCTCTTCAGCAGTACTCGATGTACAAGCGCTTCGGAAGCTGAACATAATACTAACACCCGAAGGCGATCATCGAACGGCGAGCATCGATGGGGCCGCTCCCGTGCACCCCGCAGCGGGACCCGAGCAATGGAACAGCTTTGTTTGCAAGCTTGTCGTTGTGTGTAATCGGGTGTACGGGCACATCATGGAGCTCCTGCGGCAGTAGGTGCGTCCCTGGTGGAGACCTCTGTCATGACGCGATCGATCTTGCTGCGGTAGATAACGGGCACCGAAGCTCGAGTGTCTACTGCCGCCAGAACACGACCCCAGTGAGGCTGTATCTATGGATGCAAATTTCAGCCAGTAGGATCTTTGCCTTTCTACGACAGACTTGTAAGCTACTACCTACTTACTTGTTTACTCATGCTCACCAAGCAGTAGCTATAGCTATGTACAGGGCAATGCCCAGGCGGTGAAGCTGCCTTTCCAATGGCAGGAATCTCTGGGAACAGACCCTATTAAGATCTCCTCCTTGTGCATGTACTCAAAAGATGGTGGTTCTTGATCTCTCTAGGTATCAAGATCTCTCCTGAGTATCTAGAAAAAAGAGTGAATGAATTATGACGACTCTGTCTACTCCCACTCTTTTGAGAGGTGGGATCGTATGGAAATTAGGATAATAAGATAGAGCTCCCTGGAAACCTTTGGGTGAATGCTTGCCTCATGGTCCCAATATTCGAGGGTTTAGTACTCATATCAACACAAGATACACAAGTGCACAGAAGTTTACAGACTATTACTGGAAGATTGGCCTGTAATAAACCTTTCAAGTTCTGATGTACCTTACGGTTTTAATTTAAATTTTATAGAGATTGCCTTTAATGTTATGATTATATCTAAATTAGATTGGTTTAACAGTTGGGGATCCATCATACAACGAGGAGTTCCCAAACGTGGCGAGGCCTCGTAAAGCTTAACAGCTGGGTAGTTGACCATTCTGTGGTTCAATCTATATTCGGGGCCAGCCACTTCATCATCCTATAGGCGTTCTTTCCGTTCATGTAATAGTTCGAGAAGAGGCGCATCTTCCGGAAGCCAAGGGACTCGTAGAAAAGCAGCGCACCTATATTATCACTTTCTGTCTCAAGTGAAATGACTGTAACCCCGAAATTCCTCATTTCTTTTAACACTAGCATATAGAGCCTCTGACCTATCCTTCGCCTCTTGTATGCATCTATTACAGAGATCATACCTATATACCCCCGCTTATATGTAGAAGCAGCGTCTGTATGAGAAACACCAGGATTCTTAGCTACCCCATCTAGTTTAGCAGATTTAGACCTGGTCTCGATATTTGCCATGCAGCACCCCACAATTTCTTCATTGGACTCTGCAAAGATGGTGAGCGTCGGCCACGGCTCGACAAAGTACCTATACGTCCAAATCTGATACGGCTCGGACAACTCTCGTGCGAATAGGTTCTGGACGGTCCGTAAGTCTGCTTCGTCACGATAGTAACGATAAACTATTCCTTCGTGCTCCTCGATCACAGACATCTCTAGTCTCAATCTTTATGAGTATGGTGCTGAGCCTACTCTGTGCGGAGTTTTTGTTCGCACCGGTTTAGTTTTATGACAATTTCCATTAAACATTGGAGGTCTGATGAAGGTTGCATTCAAATGCGGCACGGCTGAGAGCCTAGAGATGTGTGGGAGAGGGCTTTTTGGCAAGATAAACCGAGTGCGTATTCAAGAAACAGAGGAAGTTTACGCTTGCATGGAAATAGACTATAGCATTATATCCACAGAAGAGCGCATAAGACTAAAACGGGAAATAGAAATCCTTCCCCACTTGGTGCACAAGCACGTAGTGCGCTATTTAGAATCAGTATACGACCATGAAGCTAAAATGAGCTATCTGCTTATGGAGCACTTCACACTAGGAGATCTCGCCGATGTCATTAGGTTCTACCGAAAGGAGCACACACAGATCGAGGAAGATCGAATATGGAGAATCTTCGCTCAACTTCTCATCGCCATGGAGTACTGCCACAGTGTAAGAAAGCCAAACGCAATTCATGTGGGCTCCATAGTCCATCGAAACATTATCCCGAGCAATATATTTGTCGGGGAGGGAGATCTAATCAAGTTAGGATACTTCAGCCTACACCAAGTCTTAGGTAGTAATTCTCTCATTCGTGACGCAGAATCCCCGTTCTATACCGCACCAGAGATTCTGCAGCAGCTACCATACACTGAGAAGGCAGACGTGTGGTCTCTCGGCTGTGTCGTTTACGAATTGTGTACTCTACGACGTCCGTTTATTGAGCTAGAAGGAGAGAGCCTCGTAGATGTGATCATGCATAACAGTTATGAACCTATCATGAACGAATATTCCCAAGAACTTCGCGATACTGTAAGCCTTATGCTCAGCGTTGATCCTAATGCCCGTCCATCAGCTGCGGATCTTTTAGGCCTGCCCAAATTTGGAGCCATAGGGGTTCACAAGACTATTTTGGATGCACAGAGTAGGGATATAGATATCTTGATTACTGACATCAAAAGCAAAGACCTCTCTTTAAAGAAGGCAGCTACGGACATATCTGAGCTCCACAATCAGGTGGAGACTTTAAAGAAGGAGGCTATTGATGCAAAAGGCATCAATTCTACTATGGAGTTGCAACTCCAGTCAACCACGGAAGCACTTCAGCGCGTTGAGGAAGAAAATAGGAAGCTTGTTAAGTCATATGAAGAGGAGGTTAGGGCAAGTAATGAACGGCAATTAAAAATCAAGGAGCAAACGGAGCAGATAGATTCTCTAGCCAGTACCCTGGAAAGTCTCAACGGTATTCTTGTTGCCCACGAAGAAGAAATTAAGGTACTAAATAAGAACCTGGATGACAAAGCACGGGACATCAGCACTTTGGAACGAAAAATTAGCTCCTTATTGGTAGACAAAGATGCGCAGCAGGCAGCAATAACTAATTTTGAATGTCTTCTGAGCTCTAAGGATGCAGAGCTTGGAGAGCTCAGAGATGAATCGGAAGCATTGAGGTGCCAGGTGTCTTCTCTGAAAGAAGAGAAAGTAAAAATGTGTCTGGAAATAGAGGAGCTTTCTGCCCAGGTAGCTCGTGTGTCAGAACAGGAAACTCAGATAGAAGCTCTCTCTGATAAGGTGGCGTCTCTCAAAGAGAGCGTTGCTTCTGGTGAGCGCAAGGTATGTGAGGCTAGACACTGCAATGATACATTAACCTTAGACTTGAACCAGACACGCCAACAGCTGGTAGCAGTGGAGTCAGAAAAGACTAGAATCAGTGAAAAGTATACTACTTTAACTGCACAGTACGAGGCTACATTGGACGAAAATGCCTGCTTGGCTGCTAAGCTAAAATCATATGAGTCTCTTATGGCAGACCAGAAAGCACGGCTGAGAGAATGGGGCGCTCTTATACCAGAACTCAATGAAAAGATATATCTGATGACCTTACAATTAAGGGACAAAGCCCAGGAGTGCGAGGGAAAAGCACTAGAAATCTCAAAGCTGACAGAGACAGTAGATGCTCTCACTACGGAACTAGGTCACACATCGTCAGAGCTGCACAGCTTTATGACAGCCAATCAGGTGATAATGCAAGAGAAAGATAAATGTACTGCAGCACTGGAAGAGGCAGAGCGACAACTGGAATTGGAAAAGAGCAAATCTACTTGGCGTAGTCATAACAATGCTCAATCTAAGCATCTCCTAAACAAGTACAAAGAGTATATTCAAATACCCAAGCTAGTGATCAAATGCAATCCAGGAGACACACCTCTTATGTTAGCTGTCACAAAGAATCAGTCACTGAAAGGGCTATTAGCATATGCAGGAGTCCAGGATCAGTATGGGCGCACAGCACTAATGCGCGCAGCATACCACAACAATGTCCCGGCAGTAAGGCTTCTTGTTGCTACAGAGGGAGGGCTGCAAGATACTGATGGAAACACAGCCCTCATGTTCGCAGTCGAAAGGGAAAACCATGCGTGTGTGAGCATTTTAGCAGGTGTAGAGGCAAACCGTTTGACGAGCACAGGCTTGTCTGCGCTAATGCGAGCGGCTTGCAATGGCAGCCCCCAGATAGTTGAGCTTTTATGTAGTCTTGAAGGAGGGCTCGCAACACCGGAGGGTCTCACGGCACTAATGCTTGCTGCATTAGCAGAGGACGCTAAGTCTGTCTCTATATTGCTAAAGCGGGAGTGTGGTATGCTACTTCTAGATGGTACCTCAGCGTTGCTAATGGCCACTAGTACGGGAAACATGAATGTGATCCGGCAACTGTTTTATTCTGAAGGACGCATAAGGGATGCCAGTGGGCGGACGCCTCTGATGGTTGCAGCGGAAATGGGCCATTTAGAAGCAGCCCGCTTCTTGGCTCCTACGCAGACAGGAGCCGTAACCACCGATGGCGAGACAGCTCTTATGATAGCATCTTTCCATGGCCATGCAGAGGTGGCCCGGATTTTGTACTATAGAGAAGCTGGTATCACGCGTCCAGATGGATGGACTGCAATGATGTATGCAGCATCATTTGGGCACTGCTCTATAATAGAAACATTGCTGCGTAGAGAAGGAAAATTATGTACGGACTGTGGACAAACTGCGCTAATGAATGCTGTTGCAAATAATCAATTTGAGGCTGTTAGATTGCTAGTTTCAGCAGAAGGAACTATTAAAGACGCTTCTGGAAAGACGGCGTTGGATCAAGCCATCGAACTAAATAATGCTGATATGATCGCATTTCTCACTACAAGTTTGGCGTAGAGCCTGCAATTTTCTCCTTTAGCAACTTGCGTAGGTGCTTGTAACGCCAACAGTAAGCTATTGAAGAGAGTACCCCACCGACTGCGGCACCGATAACAGCCATGACGCCCAGAATCGCCCCGAACAGCCACTGGCCTGTGCGCTTTCCATCAGGCGCTGGAAACGAGCACCTAGGCTCATCGGTGCCTGCAGCATACGACTCATCGACGCACATTGTGTTGGAGAACGACTTGTGGAATACCCGGCCGTTAGTGAGGAGGAAGTTATGGAATTGGACAAGTTCAATCGCCTGATTGTACATGTCGCTATCTTCTACCACACGGAGTGTGTGACTTGTTCTGACCTGGTCCTTGCGGGCTTGCCCTGAACCCTTATCAATTATGTCAATGCATGTGAGGCCCTTAATATCCCCATATTGCAGCGCTCCAGATCGGTCTTGACTGTTTGTTCGATAGAGCGTCCTCTCCGTCCTGTACTCTACCCCGAGACCAATAGAAGAAACACTGTGCCACGGACTGAGAACACGCCCCAGAGATGCGTTCTGCAGGACGTCTGCCAGGTTCCGTGTGAGTCGGTAGCTGGGCACTTTTGTGCGTCGATTCTCGTCCACGGCGAGAAGATAGGCCAGGTGCACTGCTTCACGGTTGTCTGTGGTGCCCATATAAGCAGTCCCTCTCCACTTTTCAAAGAAGTCATACACTCGTGCGTTGTAGGTGCCTTTTCCTGGGCCGCCGAGGTAGCGTAGGTATGCACCCGTAACAAAGGCGTTGTCGTCGAGAAATGCGGCTGTAAGGCACTCCTCGCTGTATGTCCAAGCATCACTTACGCCTTTTCTTAGACGCTTCTTATCAATGGAGACCCTCGTGCCGTGGTCCCCGACAATCACGACTATGGTATTGGGATGATGAGCTTCTAGAAACTCCAGGGTCTTTCCGAGGAAGTACTTGTCGGAGTACTTTAGGACCCGAGCGTACTTCACAATGTACGGATCCAACAGGAACCTGCACTCGGGGGTCTCCGGATCGGCTTGGCAGGATGCAATCATGCCATCCAGTACTTCGTCGGAGTAGAACTCTTCCTTGTCGAACCCGGTGAAGGGCGTGTGGGTGTCAACGTTCATGTAAACACCCAGAATAGGTTTGGTCGGATCCTTCTCTGCAACGTCAGAGAAGGTAGTGATAAACTGTCGGTTAGTTATTCGATCTGCAACCCAAGACTTTGTTTGAGGAACACTCTCTGGATCCACTCCGAGCTCCTCGGCCTGCTCGTCCGTTGGATGATAGTATACAACATCAGTAAACCAACCTGGGCGAGTCACCCAGGCGTCTTTCCCGTCGAAGGCAAACGAGCTAGGGCTAATATAAAAGTTCTTATATCCTGCATCTGAAAAGAATTGTGGTAGCCCATAAACATCTGTGACGGCAGATGTGATCATATTCACCCCATAGAAGTTGGGGACCAGGCCAGTCATCAGCGAGTGCCATCCAGAAACTGTGGGGAGTCCCAAGGAGGCCGAATTAACAAAGGAAATGCCATCTTGTACGAACCTCTGCAGGTTAGGGACGATAGTTGCCTTCAGCATACCATCTGCCGAGCGCAGGAGCTGCTCTTGTCCCTGAAGGAACGCGTCTGTGTAGAAATACGGACTCAGACTCAAGCTTTCCCAGAAAAGAATGACGACGTTTGGGGGGTCAGACTGAAGCCCGGGGTCGGACCTTATCTTTTGCTTCAGGTCAGCAGGACCTGATCTTAGCGCAGTGCAGTCCACGCCCTCAACGGCACGGTTATACGCACAGCAGACATCGTGGGACGCGTAGAGAAGAGGATAAACGGGGGGCTCCCGCTGGTCAAGCCAGCACTCCTCTGGAGACAGCGTGTACTGTGACCGGATGCGTTGGACCATAGCGGTATAGGTATCTTCAGTGCTGAACAGCGACGCTTGATACGGCCCCATCTGCTTCAGAAATATGTACGACATCGGAGCCCCCCTGTCAAGGAAGGTCGGGAGTACGGACTTTCTGACGATCATCACAAGCAAGATGATAATATAAAATAAAGTGCACACGGCAGCAACCAGGAACTCTGGAGAAGTGAAGAGGTTATCGTAGAGCTTGACAGGGAACTTTCGCCGTTCTGAAACTGCAACTCCATCAAGTATACGCGTCCCTAGGGCACTGGCTTCGCTCTGGTGCTGCCCAGAAACTGAAGACAGTGTCTGGACTTTCTGCATTTCAATGGACTGACTTGTAATCGCTTGCTCAGAGTAGAACAGGACTGATTTGGTAAGTTGATGGATTGCTGGAGGCGCCTTCACAGAGAACCCACTGATGCTGTTTAGAACCCGTAAGCTCTTATCTGCAAGGTCTGCTCGAGCGGGAATGCGCTTGTGCTGGGCCACAAGCGTTCTCCGTGAAAAGAGAGAAAAAACGAAGGCGTCCCAATTCATCACCAATGCAACAATAGCAGCTACTGTTAAAATAGCTAAGATACCGAATACAATAATCCAGTGTTGATAGTGAAGTCGGATACTGTCAAATAAAACTTCAATTCCTCCAGTCGGCGCTTTCCGTCCAACAATATAGTTGTCCGGAAGTGGCCAGGAAGGATATGAAACATGGAAGACATAGGTTTGGAGTATGGATAGCGTGAGAATACCTTGATATTCCCTCGCTGATTCAAGATCATACAGAGTTCCTACAAAGAGCCCCAAGCAGATAACAATCAAAAAAAGATTGACGAAAATTGGTGGCAAAGGAAGCTTTTGGCAAAAGGCGTAATGGAGCAGAGCGAAGACGAAGGACAGGGCTCCAAGCTCCACAAAGCTCATGAGAATCATAAGTAAAAAGTATGCGCTAAGCGGTAGGATTTTCCTTTGTGAGGTGTTCAAGCCAAAGAATTTCAATAAGGATAATAGGATAATAAATGGAAAGGCTATAACTGGAATCAGAAATGGCCCCGGTAAAAGCTCTCGCCGTACGATGCATCGTTTCATTTTTAACTGGCCATCCTTCATAACTATATTTACGAGATTAAAATTAGCAATTCGGTAGGTCCAAAATAAGTAATTTTTTAAGGTTCAACCAATCTGCTTTTTTTGGACCAGAAAAATAATTTATATCGATTATATAAAATCCAGTTGGAGTAAGCAGTGCATCGATCCCCAGTATGGACAATCCCAGCGAGGCGTAAATCAGCTGGGCAACGCTCTGGACCAGGCGCCATTCCACGGGGGTCGGAGCATATGCGATGCTGGTCTGGATCTCCAGACACGTTTGTGAATTTATCTTCCGGTAGCTAGCCTCCGAAGTGTCGCAAGCTCCGTATGCTTCGCACAATCCCTCTGGATGAAAGGCTTCTGGGAGACGAAGTGGAGCACGAAAGTCTGTATGGATAATCGTGCCTCGATATGTGTATAGTTTGAACACCGCACTGTGGGGTATGTACTGCTCCATCAGATAGATGCTGTTGCAGTGCAGCAGATCGACATCGGCGGTAGAGGCCTCGCCGACCTCCTGTGCCTTGCGTCGTTCTGCCTCATCCTGCAACTCAGGATAGAGCTTAGACAGGGACGAAGCACTCTTTACGAGGTACAAATTATGATTATTGCTATCATTAGGCTTCAACAAAAAGGGTGAATGCGTGTCAGCCCACAACAAAGCTTCGTCTGTCAGCTGGCTTTCTAACAAGTAAACACAGGGTGTATGCATTCCTTCTAACTCCAGTGTGGAAAGAATGGTGTGCATATCTAGACGAGAGTGTATCCTCTTGATAGACTCTAGTTTGTCCTGCACATAATAAAAGTGGTTCTCCATCTCTGTGTAGGCCTGCAAAAGCTGTTTGTTAGCAGAAGAAAACAACTCGTGAGGTTTATGGATGAGGATAGATGAGGCCAAATCGATGTCTTCGATGGCTCTTTCAAGTTGCTTTGCTGACTTCAAGCCGTCAAGCTCTATGACGGTAAGTCTTCGTATTTGGGATTGTTTGGCCATCTCATTTAGCATAAGTCGCATTGGCTCCTTATTTAACTTCTTTTTCGTGGCAATTACTACTAGTTCCATCGTAATTTTATAAGTCTAGAGCACCAGGGGTTAGCAACTAGTACCTTAGTAGTATGAATTTCTAATTCCTGCAAATCTCTTCTAATGCTTCCTAGACCTGTCGTAGACATTCTACCCGACCGTTCCTCTTATCTGCCAGGGGCCGTTATTTTTGGGAAAGTGGCAATAACAATGGCTGGAAATCTGCAGATTGACCGGGCTTCTATTATACTAACGCAAGTAGAAAAGGCGAAAGTCCGGTGGCTCGGGTTTACGGTGGGGTCTGGCGAAAAAGTCCACTATCTTCTGACTCAGCACATTCTCCGGCCTAGATCTCCTACTCATTCACCTATCATCCTATCCAAAGGGCTTATACATCTCCCTTTTTCATTGAAGATCCCCTCGGATGCTCCACCATCGTTGGCTATTGATAGCGATAACTTCTGCAAAGCCTCCCTATCCTTTACCATCGTGGCTCAAAACGATCTCATTTTCCGGTGGAGCACTTCCATCACCATTCTTCCGGTTTTTGTACCGATAGCCAGCTATGATACGATCCTCGAGAGACACGACGTGAAACTGGCACTAAAACCTGTCCAGTCTGCATTCGACAAAACTGATATTGTAAGGGCTAATTGGTCAGTTGACAATCAATCCTCTTCAAAGGTTTCTGAGCTAAGTCTGTCATTGCATGCGAAAGCAGTTGTGCGTTGCGATGGCGGAAGGACAAAGCAGCTCAGCGAAGCACTCATGGAGAGGTCACTTTTAAGCATGCCGATGCGTAAAGGGGCTAGGCGTTCTGGATGCATTGAATTCGACTTGACTCAACTGTCTCGTCTAGACTACTCTGTTCCCTCTTCAAGTCCCATAGTTCGTCGCACTGATTCTAAACCTATACTGACGGGATATCTTACACTCGACTATGTGCTACGCCTGTTGGTTGTGCATAAGGGACAGCAACTAAAGCTAAAGATCCCTATCTATATCTTACCACTACACGCCACTCCACTCCCCAGCTCGCCAACTATTGTTGTTAGCCAGCTGAAAACAGAGCTTTCATTACACGAACTACAGCTGCAGCGAACTCGTGAACTTGCAGCTTCACAAAAGGTGGAGATTGAGCAGCTCAAGGAGAGACTAAGTCGATCAGGCAACAGTGAGGTCTGCTGCATCTGCCTGGAGAACGATGCTAGTATCGTGTTCATCCCCTGCGGTCACTTCTGCACGTGCAGGGTGTGCGACAGATCACTGACAAGGCGACAGTGTCCCATCTGCAGAAAAAATATAGAGAGCTCCTACGCTATTTACAAATAAATCTGACCAGGCCTAGCTTACTTTTTGGACTTGTGGATACCAGTACATGGTCTGATGCCCATAAATGATACTAACAATTCAAAGACTTCTTTAGATTGCAACATCTCAAAGTGGCCCATCTCAGGAAATGCCACGCGATCATCTACATATCTGTCTGGAATAGGATCTGACAGCGATGATATCAATGGGACTGTCCCATCTCCAATAGTGAAAATGAACTTGGGCTTTCTGTAAGCCAGTTCATAAAGAGAAGACAAAATTTCGTCGTAGTATGCGTGGACAGCTGTTTGAAGGTTAGATCCATTAAGACTGTAGAAGCGGAAGAGCTCTGTATCTTCAGGGTACACGATTTCTCTGGATAAGATTTCTTTCGATTGGTTCCAGTACTCAAGAGATGGCTTATAGATGAGTTCGTCAAGGGAGTATGGTTTGACACAGCTACCGAGAAGGTCTGCATACGGCTTAGCCCTTACTTGGCTGAGGAGGGCGGTACATCGTATCGAATATTGCTCCTGAATTTCTGGCCCACCTATTTCCTTGAAGTTGAGCGTTGAAAGAGGTCGATAGAGGAATCTGTTAGAAGTCGACGCACCACTGATGGCAGTCGAATCTGATGTCATGCTGGTGGTGCTTGACCCCTGGGCTCCTTGTGATATCATAGATATGGATCTATTTTGGCTGTCTGCATGCTGTCTCAAGTTGCTCTTGTATTGTGAGATCATGTCCTTGACAATTATTATCATCTTCTTAAAGTTGTCTCTTGTTTGGAGGCGAGATCTATACGAGTAGTGCGGGGGAGTAAATGCATGGCCAACTGAATTGATAAAGCCTTCTGTGCTGGCCCCTGGCTCTGGCTGCATGTCTATGTAGTCTGTATTAAGTGGCAGACGGGTGTTATCCCTGGTTCTTATGGTTAAGTTATTATCCCCTACAAGCTTAGTCGGTCCCTCTAGCGTCATGCCTGTTAGTGGGTTGCAGATAGGAACTGCTGTCAATCCGCTTTCTAGGGGGTTGGCATGAGATGGCAGAGCTGCATTAGAAGAGTATGATGTGACGTGTCCTAATACAATAGATGGAGTCTCTTCAGAAGCGTCTGACAAAAGCAGCGTGTCCAAGTTATCTAAAGGATTATGGTCCGGGTCGTCCAGGTCTCCTGCATGTGAGAGCATTTTTCTGCCCGTGCCAACCTCTGATAAGCAATGTTGAAGGATTATACTTCGCAGCGATATGTTTTGATCGCGTAAAGAGGCTCTTTCAATGATTGATCGCAGGCCTGGCACTTCAGACTCTTTTAGAATACTCCCGTAGTCTATTTCATCGGCTTGTTGTTCATATTCTTGCATGGTCGTAAGGTCCTGAAACCCATGAATTGGAGCATTGCGGGGATACATGTCTATCCCTGGTGAATAGACCATCCAGCGCCACGATACTTTAGTGTCTGGTGGCAGCTCATTGACCGTTTCAGACGGAAATGGCAGAGCATCAAGAGCAGCTTCAAATGGGACATACTTCTCCTTGACAAACTTGAGAGGCGGATGAATTACAAATCCTGGCTCACAGTACCTTGCTAATAAGGCGATTACCTGCTCAAAATTTTCGCCAATGCAGTTTGGCATGTTCTCTATTTCCATGAGGAGCAATGCAGGTATATCTGGGGTTTTGTTTCTATACAACTGTCTATTCAGCTTAAGCGGTTCGTGAGGGTTTATATTATGGGGTATACTTCTAGATTGCTCTTGTTTCTCTTGAGGGGCAGTGATTGTGGCCATCAGTGGTACTTGAGGCGTGTCAACTATTCGCAAGAACATATAGCTCTTAAAGGACGCGTCTATCGCAGGGAGATTCAGACAGGCCATGGAGCCTCCTGGTCCTTGGATGCCGCGAGCCACACGGGGACGAAAGGGCATTCGCAGGTTATAGCCATAAGGTGCGGCGATTAGGCCGCTAGCGCCACTTCCAGCATAGGGAACTCCGAGGCTTACAAATTTTGCAATGTAGTCATTCCAGTCCGGGTGTAGGCGCATATATGTCGTCACCAGAAGGCCGCCCATAGAGTGTCCTACAACGATACATCGCTGCCCCGTTGTTTGACATGCCGCTTTGAGAAGTTCATCAAAAGCGCTCTGTATTGATGCTATGTGCAGAGCCTGGCGCCAGTCGTATGTGAACGCAAAGAGATTAAGGCCTTCTTTGTAGCCGAATTTCTCAGCGAGATAGACTGCAAAAGTTTCATAGTAGATACCAAGTTTCTTCTGGGCAATACCAGGTAGTCTTGTCAACTTGTGGTTCAAGAGCCTCGAACAACCAGAAAGCCCGGGAACGGCTTTGACACTAGAAAAGCCTTGGCGCTCTATAAAGGAGACAAATTTGTTGGTCACTGAGTCTCGAGATCCATACAGGTACTGCATGAGCTTTGCCGATGCTTGTGGATATGGAGTAAGTGTTTCGTTGAGCCACGCTACTTCATTATTATCAGCTACTAGCAATGATCCGCACACACCGGGAACCAGGATGATTGGTGGATTGAAAAGGTTGTCTGGGTCTGTAATTCCTTCCAGGTTATTTAGCTCTTCAGCTGGAAAAAACTCAGTCATGGTCTGAAATTTAATTTCGGCCTGCGAGACTAAGTATACGTTAGTAGCCATACTCTAGTAGTGAGGTAGGTAAAAACCCAGGCACGGACATTATATTGTCAGAATGCTGGATATCATGTCTGTCTCAATGTAAGATTTTAAGTTAATAAAAAGTTGCACTCCATGCCATTTACCCCATGTGAACTGGTCGTAGGAACGTATGATGGGAAGCTCTACGGGTTCCTGTTGTCGAAAGATGACGAAGATGAATATTCTCTTCAGAGCACGTTTGTTGTTGATGATTCTAGTCAGGCTATCAGGAGTCTTTCATTTACGACAAATGGGCTGTTAACTGCAACCTCAAACGACTGTATGATCAGGATCTATAACCTACGACGACACAAGCATGTGGCGGTCCTCGACAAGCACACATCGTCTGTACGGTGTTCTGCTAGCCTTGTGTCTAAGAGCTCAGACGGAAGTGAGGAGTATGTCATCACTGGCGGCGATGATAAAATGCTCTTCCTCTGGCGTGTCCGTGATTGGGAACCTATGCTGACTCTTCGTAGACACCGCCACCCTATATCATCCGTGGCAGTCCATCCCAGTAATTTCTGTGCTAGTTCCCTTGATAAGGACGGCCTGGTTATATGGGATTTAACGACTGGCAATTCAACCGCACGGATTACCACAGACCATCCATGTTTTCATCACGAATGGAACAAGCAGGACCTTTTGATTGTTCACCCCAGCGGGATTCAGGTCCTGACTGTTGGCGATAGTCCTACGAAGGCGGTGTGGACTATTCCGGGGATTGGTCATAAGGTTTCTTCGGCCACTTTTGGTATCTGGCCCTACAAGGCCAAGGGAGATGACTACACCATTCCGGTCATCCTTGTGGGGGATGAGAACGGAATATTACGCGTGTTCCAGCGGGATGGAGACCAGCTTAATGTGATAGCAAAGTTTGAAATAGGCGACGGAGATCCGGAGTTGGGAAAGGATTCTCGGAGGCTCAAGTTTATCAAGGATTGCAAGGCCTGTCATTATGTAATAGGCTTTAGCAGCGGGGATCTAGTATTACTTGAGGCGACAGACCTACAGGATATTGAGATTTGCAAGCGGTTTCATGTCCCGGGCCGCCCGACAGCAATGGAACTCTATATGGGTCAGTTAGACAAGCAGTATCTTGCAGAAGAGTCTAGTAAATAGATCTTTAAAGGGTTGCCTTGCCTGCACAGATGCATCAAGTTGGACGCTGTGTGAGCCACCACCCATTGGCGCTTTAATGATCTACTTGTTGCATAGATGAGGCAACTGAAAGTCACATGTTCACTTTTCACTTTCAATGGATTGCTTCTAAAAGACTCGGGTCCAGAAACTCCAACAGGCAGGCTGGACCGTTTGCTGTTGGATGCACAGCAGGCTATGTTACGTCACGTCATGGGGCTCCTGCGGCAGTAGGTGCGTCCCCGGCGGAGACCTCTGTCATGACGCGGTCGACCTTGTTGCGGTGGACGGCGATGTATGGGACGACGAGCCCGCCGCACGTGCATGCCCGTCCGCTCCAGCACCAGCCTCCCACCCGCTGGGCGCACTGGGGGCATGCGAGGTTGCCCTGATTCCCCAGGAGGTCCCCCATCCACCGGAGCTTCGGAAGGAAATACGACGAGCACCGGGCCTCGGGCACCTGTTGCCGCCGGAACGCAACCTTAGCGACAGACTCATGTTGTTGCACATGTTCTTCGAGAAAGAGTGGAGTACTGCACTTGTTGCACCGGAATATTCCGACGTAACGGGCCTGGCTCATCTATTTTTTGGACCCCGATTGTACTCTGTCCGTAAGGCGCAAAGGTGCGTGTCCGTGTCAAACGTGCCCGGAAGAGAGAGGCTACAGATAGCTGCTCCACGTAGCACGACGAATGGATGACAGATAGCGGTCGTTGCGCCCCGCGGAGTGTAGGACGCTTGAGAAAGGTGCACAACAAAGGTCGCATCAACCAGGGCGACAGTTCCCTCAATCATTCCGCCAGCTTTCAACTCGAACCGCACACGCTGCCCCTGAAGCTTTTGAACTAGGCGAATCAATTGCATCTCTGGCGTGATAATTTACTTTGTTATCAGTGCTGTTACCTGAGTGATCTTCCCATGCGAGTCATCGCCTCTCTGGGCAAGTCCCTCGCTCGTTCACCAACCGAGATCCAGATCCAGAGTTCGAAGGTGAGTGTCAAGCGACTCCGGCGGGAGAAGAACTCTTGTTCTTCCCTCTTCCCAAGGACGAGGCAGGGCAAGTGCAATCGGTGGACGATCATGATGCGCTCCACAAGGTAGTCCCGAGTCCCCTGGAGACCCAGACACTAGCCTTCCTCGAGATCGAGCAGACTGCGTTCTACTGACTGCACATGGTGGTGTTCGCATGGCGCAGGGAGATGCAGACTGATGGCCACGGTGGCCTCGCTCGACATAACGAGCACCCTAACAGTAGACGGCCTCTGCCAGGCGAGTGTGCCTCGTCCGAGGAGTTGCGTCGAGGCCTTCCTCCGGCTGTAACACGCTGCACCCCTGGACTCGGTCCCTCGGGGCCCTGAGCATGCTTCTGTGCTGCGGGGGACAGAACCTGCTCACCAGGAGCTGAAGGAGATACTCCACTCACTGCCCATGCCGACGACACACCCATCTTCCATAGTAGCAACAATGACGCGACGGGGATAGCCACAGAGGTGGCAGCCCTAGCGAAACGATATGGTTTGACAGTCAACATTGACAAGTGTAGGAGCACTGAGGGGCAGGGGGCCTCCTTCCTGGCCGGTCTCAAGGAGCTCCCAGGGCAACGGAGGGCCCAAGCCAGTGATGGCACCAATCACTCGCCCCGCTTGTCGAGATGGACCCACACGTGACCCGTGTGAGTCCCTCGACAAGAGATGGGGCTCCTGGGGTGCTTGGCTAACAGAGGCGGATTGATCCTGACCGTACCGAAGAGTGGTGACCTGGGCCACCTGCCGGGTGTCTGCTGCAGCAACTGGCAGTGCCTGACATCCTTGAGTGGACAGGCGCCGGTTGTAGAGAGACGACCAAGCGGTGAACCGGTCCTGATCGCTTCTGATGCTTCGGACGACGCCTCTCAGAGAGGTGGCCCTGGACTGATGCCTCGACAGACCGAATCATTCCCCCAGGTGTGCTGTGCAGTGCAGATGGACCAGCCCACACGTCACTGAGCCAGACACACTGCACAGGGTGAGCGTCGACGCGGTCTCGTACTGGATGACGGACCACCCACAAGAGTGCACTGTGATCCATGAGCAGAGGGCCATACTTCTCCCCCGACACAACGCATGGGAGTACTCCGCTGGCATCCACGAATGCGTACCACAACCCCAAGATAGAGGCATACAAGGAGCGCACCCTCCGATCATGCTCGGGACAGATGATCGCTTCATGAGAAGACGAAGAGGCACCCCAAGAAACGGGGTAGACACCCGGGGTCGTGGGGCGCGATCTTCGTCACGGAACACCAGGGCCCCGGGCCACGTGGAGACCAGATCGCCGCGACTGACGCAAGACCCGAGACAGCAGGTGCTCAATAAATGTCAGACGGAGCTGACCCAAGCTAGCCAAAGGAAGGGGGAGTCCTAGGGGGCACCGCGAGGAGCGGCAGGGACTCCCGAGAGGCAGAGCAAAGTTCCTTCTTCTTCTCCCACCGGAATCGCTACATCCGATCTCAGATTTCGGATTCTGGATCTCAACCGATGCAGGGGCGGGAGGTACCCGCTTGCCCAGGGCGGTGACTCGCATGGGGGATTTACTTGGACAGCAGCTAGCAAACTAATCTCAGTGAAACAGGGTAAACATTGTGATATGATCAGCAAGTAGGCGAGTTCACTCACAAGCTTCCTGGGCTGCATCTGTAAGTATGGATCTACAATACCCTTACTTTGGAGAAAAGATGCTACCTCGGAGTGATTCCATCTATTAGCCATATGGATGGCAAGTACGCCACTTATGTCCCTCTCCTTCTCCAGTAGCAACTTGACACAGTCCAGATGATCACATTCTGCTGCAAGCACGAGGGCAGTGAAACCTCTGTTTTTCTGCATGCCTCCCTCAACATCCAGGAGCAGTCTCACGACCTCGGTGCGGCCAAAAAGTGCCGCCCACATGAGGGCTGTCCATTCATTACTGCTCCTCATGCCGCCCTCGCACCTCATCAGCAGCTTCACCACTCTGGTGTGTCCAAGCACCGCAGCGACCATCAGGGCCGTCCCATCGTATATCTCTACTCTCCCCGCCGTAACAAACCTCGCCACCATCCTTGCCTGATAAGGGATGTAGCGCTTCACCGCCTTCACGTCGTTCCTCTTAGCTGCCTCCATAAGTGTGGTGACGCCGTCCTCGTCCACGCTGCCTTCATCATCTGTTTGTGAAGACTCAGTTGGGTTTCCTGCGCCCTCTTCACTTGCGTCCTTCTCAGACATGAGGAGTAAGGCGCAGTCGCACTCCTGAAGGAATTGATCTAAGTCATCCATAGACAACATTTTTACTCCGGGTCACATAGAGCCCGTGTGGCAGCACGCCTGCAATTCCTGGGCCTCTTGCAGCGCATCCAGATAGCGCATCATAAGCGGACTGCACGCCTTGGATTCCTTCCGTCGCCCCTACGTGTGTAACAAGACGCAGTGGGGTGACCTTCGGCCGTGGCGTCAGGCAAGCTGTGAACAAAAGAATTCGTTCTGCTTCCTCTGGTTGGTTTGTCAGCTGTTGTCTGAACAGGTCCTCCACGCGAGCCGCCGCCGCCCCAGGCCGGCAGTCTCTCGCTCGTTTACCAGCTGAGACCCAGAATCTGAAATCAGAAGGTCGGATATCGTCCAGTTCTGACAGATAAGGACCTTGTGGTTCCCCCAAGGCAATAGCGAATGCAGATGAGCGTTCAAGACTTCTACAAAGGCTGCGCGCACCTCCTTTAGCCTTGTGTCTTGGGCCTCCTGTTCATCAGTAGAATCACTGGCCATCTGAAGCAGACGGGCGAGCTCTCTGGCAGTCGGCCTCTCGGCGGGATCGAGGACGAGCATTCTTTCAAGGACGCTCCTTGCGAGGTCGTCTGCGATACCGCTCAGGTCCGGCCTCCACCCATCGACGAAGACCTCTGCAGGATCCCTGTCCCCTAGGAAGTCCGGCTTCCTCAGGGTGGCGAGCTCGTATGCGATGGCCCCGAGGCTCCAGACGTCGGATGCTTGGGTCATGTCACCGCAGAGGAGTGTCTCGGGGGCCATGTACGCGGGGTCGCCAGCCTTCGCAGCTCCGCTCGATATGCCCTCGCAGAACCCGAAGTCTGCAAGAACAACACGCCGCCCGTCCCCAGCGAACAGGACGTTGTCGGGCTCGAGGACAACGCTAGAGGGCAGGCCGCTGTGGGCACCTCTGCTGAACCCGTGGAGGTGGGCAAGGGCGCCAGCCAGCTGCCCCAGAAGGGAGAGCATCAGCTTGCTGGGAATAGGTTCGTGAATGTCCCTGTAGTCGGTGATGAACTGCCGGAGGTCTCCACAGCAGCGGTCTGTAACAACAAGGATCGTGTTGCCGTCTGTAAGTACCTGGTGGTATTTGAGAACGTCTGGGTGAAGGGTGCCTAGAAGAGCGGTCAGCCTGCGCCGAATGGCATCTACACTGTGCTGATCCAGGCCATCAAGCCGGATCTCTCTCACGACGAGGTAGGGGCATCCCCTGAGAGAGTAGATAACGCTGAGGGCCCCTGCTGAGCACGCTCCCCAAACGCCCATCGGCCCTGCAAAGCTGCTAACTGCACTGTTACTAGCGTCTCCCAGGACACCCTCCGCGGTGGTTGGGAAGTGGGCGCGGCTTGCCCGTGGGGCCTCTGAGCGCACCTGCAGGTGGGCCCAGTGATACAGTGACAGCAATGTACAGGAGTGCACCCTGAACAATCACTCCACAAGAGAGGTGCGATCTGAGTCTGGTCCTTACTGGTCCTGTTCCTATGGAAGCCAGGGGGAACCGCACTATCAGTTGGCCTCCGGTGGGTGTGCTCCTATCTTGTCCTTCTCCGGTCCAACTGGTTAAGGGAGCAAAAGTGACTGTCTCTCACTGCTCGCAGCAACACATCAGCCTGACAGAAGAGCAGTGGCATACGAACCCGGCTAATGTTGGTAGGATTTCTCCTAGTTTGTGTAACAGTGCTGGCAAAGCGCAGCGGGCAGAACGGCAGCGAAAAGTGCAACACGCCCAACTGCAGGGACTGCACAAACCCGAAGGCCGAGAACGAGGCCTGCACTGGCTGCGACCCCGCCTACGTTCTGAGCGGGAGCCAGTGCGTCGAGAGGAAGTGCAACACGCCCAACTGCAGGGACTGCACAAACCCGAAGGCCGAGAACGAGGCCTGCACTGGCTGCGACCCCGCCTACGTTCTGAGCGGGAGCCAGTGCGTCGAGAGGAAGTGCAACACGCCCAACTGCAGGGACTGCACAAACCCGAAGGCCGAGAACGAGGCCTGCACTGGCTGCGACCCCGCCTACGTTCTGAGCGGGAGCCAGTGCGTCGAGAGGAAGTGCAACACGCCCAACTGCAGGGACTGCACAAACCCGAAGGCCGAGAACGAGGCCTGCACTGGCTGCGACCCCGCCTACGTTCTGAGCGGGAGCCAGTGCGTCGAGAGGAAGTGCAACACGCCCAACTGCAGGGACTGCACAAACCCGAAGGCCGAGAACGAGGCCTGCACTGGCTGCGACCCCGCCTACGTTCTGAGCGGGAGCCAGTGCGTCGAGAGGAAGTGCAACACGCCCAACTGCAGGGACTGCACAAACCCGAAGGCCGAGAACGAGGCCTGCACTGGCTGCGACCCCGCCTACGTTCTGAGCGGGAGCCAGTGCGTCGAGAGGAAGTGCAACACGCCCAACTGCAGGGACTGCACAAACCCGAAGGCCGAGAACGAGGCCTGCACTGGCTGCGACCCCGCCTACGTTCTGAGCGGGAGCCAGTGCGTCGAGAGGAAGTGCAACACGCCCAACTGCAGGGACTGCACAAACCCGAAGGCCGAGAACGAGGCCTGCACTGGCTGCGACCCCGCCTACGTTCTGAGCGGGAGCCAGTGCGTCGAGAGGAAGTGCAACACGCCCAACTGCAGGGACTGCACAAACCCGAAGGCCGAGAACGAGGCCTGCACTGGCTGCGACCCCGCCTACGTTCTGAGCGGGAGCCAGTGCGTCGAGAGGAAGTGCAACACGCCCAACTGCAGGGACTGCACAAACCCGAAGGCCGAGAACGAGGCCTGCACTGGCTGCGACCCCGCCTACGTTCTGAGCGGGAGCCAGTGCGTCGAGAGGAAGTGCAACACGCCCAACTGCAGGGACTGCACAAACCCGAAGGCCGAGAACGAGGCCTGCACTGGCTGCGACCCCGCCTACGTTCTGAGCGGGAGCCAGTGCGTCGAGAGGAAGTGCAACACGCCCAACTGCAGGGACTGCACAAACCCGAAGGCCGAGAACGAGGCCTGCACTGGCTGCGACCCCGCCTACGTTCTGAGCGGGAGCCAGTGCGTCGAGAGGAAGTGCAACACGCCCAACTGCAGGGACTGCACAAACCCGAAGGCCGAGAACGAGGCCTGCACTGGCTGCGACCCCGCCTACGTTCTGAGCGGGAGCCAGTGCGTCGAGAGGAAGTGCAACACGCCCAACTGCAGGGACTGCACAAACCCGAAGGCCGAGAACGAGGCCTGCACTGGCTGCGACCCCGCCTACGTTCTGAGCGGGAGCCAGTGCGTCGAGAGGAAGTGCAACACGCCCAACTGCAGGGACTGCACAAACCCGAAGGCCGAGAACGAGGCCTGCACTGGCTGCGACCCCGCCTACGTTCTGAGCGGGAGCCAGTGCGTCGAGAGGAAGTGCAACACGCCCAACTGCAGGGACTGCACAAACCCGAAGGCCGAGAACGAGGCCTGCACTGGCTGCGACCCCGCCTACGTTCTGAGCGGGAGCCAGTGCGTCGAGAGGAAGTGCAACACGCCCAACTGCAGGGACTGCACAAACCCGAAGGCCGAGAACGAGGCCTGCACTGGCTGCGACCCCGCCTACGTTCTGAGCGGGAGCCAGTGCGTCGAGAGGAAGTGCAACACGCCCAACTGCAGGGACTGCACAAACCCGAAGGCCGAGAACGAGGCCTGCACTGGCTGCGACCCCGCCTACGTTCTGAGCGGGAGCCAGTGCGTCGAGAGGAAGTGCAACACGCCCAACTGCAGGGACTGCACAAACCCGAAGGCCGAGAACGAGGCCTGCACTGGCTGCGACCCCGCCTACGTTCTGAGCGGGAGCCAGTGCGTCGAGAGGAAGTGCAACACGCCCAACTGCAGGGACTGCACAAACCCGAAGGCCGAGAACGAGGCCTGCACTGGCTGCGACCCCGCCTACGTTCTGAGCGGGAGCCAGTGCGTCGAGAGGAAGTGCAACACGCCCAACTGCAGGGACTGCACAAACCCGAAGGCCGAGAACGAGGCCTGCACTGAATGTAATGACGGCGATTACCTCACCCCAACTAGTCAGTGCGTATCTGACTGCACGACCCTCAAGGGCTACTACGGAGACGATAGTGGCAAAAAGACATGCAAGAGGTGCAACGATGCGTGCGCAGAGTGTAAGGGTGAGGGTGCTGATAAGTGTACGGCCTGTCCTGCTGGGAAGATGCTCAAATACACGGATGAGAACAGTCCATCAAGCGGTACTTGCGTGGACGGGTGCAAGCCCCAGAGTGGAGCTAGCGGATGCGAGACCTGCGGAGCCACCATCGGAGGGACAAAGTATTGCTCGAAGTGCAGCACATCCACGGAGGTCCCCGTCAACGGGGTCTGTACAGCAGACAATGCCCGCGCAGCTGCGTGCAAGGTGAAAGATGGCAAGGGAGGGTGCACTACGTGTGCCAGTGGGTACTTCCGCCAGGACAACGGCTGCTATAAGACTGACAGACAACCTGGCATACAGATATGCACGCTAGCCAGTCAGGGCGACAAGTGCGAGACGTGCGCCAATAGTCTTCAGCCTAGTGCGGCTGGAGTATGCCCTTTGTGTGATTCCGCTTGCAAAACGTGCACTAGTGCAAACGATGCAAACACATGTTCATCTTGCGTTGTAGGATATTATCAGGTTGGAACCAAATGTGTAAGATGCGACACAAACGATCCTAACGGTAATAAGCCTATCACTGGAGTTAAAGATTGCGTAAGCTGTGCTCCTCCAGCTGGCGGCGATGGTGGCTCTGTCATCTGCTACGTCAAGACGGATGGCACTGACAACGGCGGAAGCGTCAATAAGAGTGGCCTTTCTACCGGCGCCATTGCAGGCATCGCCGTGGCTGTGATAGTTATTGTAGGTGGTCTTGTTGGCTTCTTGTGTTGGTGGTTCCTATGCAGAGGCAAAGCGTAGATGTACTTAGATAGTAAATGCGCCAATGAATAGTACTCAGTGGGCATCCGCCCGCTGCTTCTGTGCCGTGGGGCGGTCCTCAACCCAGCTCCTGATCGTCCATCCAATCCAGTCGCCGTGGATTGGCCAAAAACCACTATTGTTAGCGAGGACGATCGGATGTCCGCTTCTGCCGTGGAGGGCTCCGCTGCACCAAAGCTCCTAGCCAACGAGGCTTACAAGTGCATAGATGTCCTGCTTGGCAGGGGATCCTCCAGCGCTGTTTACTCTATTAAAGACTACCCTAATTTTGCTATAAAAGAGATCCAGATTGACGACCAAGACGAGGGTATCGTCAGCATTTTCAAGTCTGAGCTGGCTGCTCTCCTTAGACTCTCGCATCCGGGGGTCCTCAGATGCCACCAGGTCATTGAGGACGGGTGCCTTGTCTACGTGACCATGGACCGCTACAGCAGTTCTCTTGATAGGTTCATCACTGAGCACAAACGGATGGATGTTTACGTTTCCGACGAAATGATCTTCTCTGTCATGCAGCAGGTCGCCGATGCCCTCGCCTATCTCCATGGCATCCAGATGACAAATTCCAATGGAAGCACCGTCTGTGGAATCGTGCACCGGGACCTCAGGCCTGCCAGCATCCTTATCAGCGAAGACAAGAAGCGCGTCGTCATCACATGCTTTGGCCCCTGCAAGGACGTTCTGCGATCTGGAAACGCTTTTGTCGGAGCAAGACCGTATACAGCCCCTGAGACTCTTCTTCGTAACCACATCACCTCTGCCTCCGATATCTGGGCACTCGGAGTGATCATCTACGAGCTTGCCACCCTGAAGAGACCCAATTTCACAAGAACTGGCGACCCAAAGAGTACCTTCATCTCTGGATGGAGACCGGACTTAGGTGATATCACGAATAGTGTTATGAAGTGCATCCTCGAAAAAATCTTCGTTCTGGATCCAGGAGAAAGGCCAACAGCCAAAGAGCTCTGTGATCTACTCCAGGCATCCGACGCTTCTGCTACCAAGAGGAATCCATGGATTATGATGCTGGAGAATGCTCTGGACAAGGCAAACGCCAGAATAGCCTCTTTTGAGCAGAATCTTCGGACCGAAGCTAGGGACCTCGAACAACAGTTTACGAGGACCTTCAAGAGCCCCCAGAACTCGTGTGCACAGGTCCCTGCACCTCCTACATCAACACATGGGCTGGTGAATATCACAGCATTGTCAAGCCTCCCTAGATCCATACTACATTTCTCCTGGACCCCGCTCATGTGCGCCGCTGCGGACGGAGACATCGAGGCGGTCAAGGAACACCTCTCGGACAAAGACAAGAGGAACAACAACGACGAGACTGCGCTAATCATAGCCGCGAGGGCGGGGCACGAAGGTATTGTGGAGCTTTTAGACCCTACTGATGACAAAGGCGTCACGGCACTCATGAGGGCTGTTGACAGAAATGACGTAGATACTGTGAAGGCGCTTATACCTCTTCAGAAGAGAAAGAGAACAGCAGGGGAGGCTGAAACAGATGGATTGAGGATGACTAAGGGCACAGCATTGATGAGGGCAGCAGCGCATGGCCACACAGGAATGGTAAAGCTGTTAGTAGAACACGAGTGTCGTATGAAAGATGAGTGCGGTAAAACAGCTCTCATGAGAGCAGCACAAGGGAACAACCTTGAGTGCGTTAAGATTCTGTTACACGAAGAAGCCGGAATGACACAGAGTAGTGGCTGGACCGCTCTCATGTATGCAGCATATAGCAACAGCATAGAGTGTGCTGCATTATTAGTAAAGAAGGAGGCTGAGATGCAAAATAAGAATGGTCGGAGTGCCCTTATGATAGCAGTATTCAACAATAGTGTAGACTGCGTCGACATATTACTGGACCATGAAGGCGGTATGCAGGATAAAGACGGGTGGTCCGCTCTTATGCACGCAGTTTGTAACAACAAGCTAGAATGCGCTATGCTTTTACTAGAAAAAGAACGATGCATGCAAGACAATGACGGATGGACCGCTCTTATGTGTGCAGCGCGCAATAACCATTTAGAGTGTACAAGGTTGCTCTTAGAAGAAGAAAGCGGTATGCAAACTAACAACGGCGAAACTGCTCTCATAATGGCAGCAGAAAAGGGTCACGCAGGATGCGTTCGGCTGCTTTTGGAAAGGGAAGGTTGCATGTACGATAAGTCTGGCAGAACTGGTCTCATGGCTGCAGCATCTAATAACAATTTAGAGTGTGCTAGACTATTATTTGAAAAAGAGGGTGGCATGAAAAGCAGTGATGGTCGAACTGCTCTTATGAATGCGGCGTGCAATAACAGTCTAGAGTGTGTTAAGCTCCTACTAAAAAAGGAGGGCCGCATGCAAACTAACAGTGGCGAGACCGCTCTTATGATCGCAGCACAGAAGAATTGTCCTGAGTGCATCAAACAACTACTGAAAAAGGAAGGCAACATGCAGGATAACGACGGCGGATCCGCTCTTATGTGGGCAGCATACAATGGTAATCCAGAGTGCGTCAAGCTCTTACTAATGATGGAAAAGTGCATAAAAGATAATAGTGATATGACTGCTCTCATGTGGGCGGCATCTTGTAATGAACAGGAATGCGCACAACTCTTAGTGCAACATGAAAGCGATGCTTCTGGCTGGACTACTCTCATCTATGCTGCAATTTGTAATAACATAGATGATGTTAGAGACAGTCTTCATGAAGTGGGCCGTCAGGATATCGGTGGGAAAACAGCTCTTATGTATGCAGCCGCATATGGGCATGTTGAAATAGTCAGGCTACTGGTGAAAAAAGAAGGATGCATGGAAGATAATTGTGGACGAACTGCTCTAATGAGTGCAGCAGAAAATAATCATCCTCAATGTGTCGAAGTATTATTGGAGAAAGAGAAGGGCATGCAAGACGATGATGGTTGGACGGCTCTGATGTGTGCAGCGACTAACAACAATGGGGAATGCATTAGGTTATTACTAAAAAAGGAAGCACGCATGCAAGATAGAAGCGGCATGACAGCGCTTATGCATGCCGCTGAAAATAACTCAATTAATGCCATAAGAATCATCCTTAAACATGAGAAAGAGATGAAAAGCAAACAGGATCGCAATGCTTTGTATTATGCGCTCAAGAATGAACATCTAAAGGCTGCCAAGATTATTATGCCTCATGAAGCTCCTACTAATGGGGAAGGTGTCACAGCCCTTATGAGGGCAGCGGAAAAGGGTGACATAGAAGGCGTAGAGCTTCTACTTCCTTTTCAGGCAAGAAGAAACACAGGATGTGTAGAATTAGATGGATGGGAAATATATGAAGGAACAGCATTGATGATTGCTGCAGCATACGGATACACGGAATTAGTAAAATTATTAGTAAAATATGAGGGCGGCATGAGAAGTGGTAGCGGTAGAACTGCTCTTATGGGTGCAGCATTTAATAACTATCCCAAGTGTGTGGAATTATTGTTAGACCTGGAAGGCGGTATAAAAGATAGCTTTGGTTGGACTGCTCTCATTTATGCGGTATCTAATGGTAGCATAGATGCCGTAAGACTCCTTGCAGAAAGAGAAAGGGGTATAAGAGACCATGATGGTATCTCAGCTCTTGAATATGCTGACGCTTACGATTTTCTTGACATAAAACTCATTCTTTCAGGCGATATATCCTCCTCCGAATGACCTTCTAATTTCCTTTCAGAAGAGAAAGAAAACATCTGAGATATAGAGTAAATGGTAGGATGCCCAGGAGGTTGGAGCTGGTGGGCGCAATAGGCCGCTAGACAGATGCAGGCGAGGAAACCATTTTCACAAGCGCAGTACATGTTAATTATCTTAGTTAATGGGGGTTCCAGACTAAGAAAGTTCGCCTCAAATTAACAATAGTCGGACTGTCTACGATTTTAGCTAAATGTAGACTGCATCTGTCTGGTCCTAATGTATAGGCAACGGGGTACATAGCTTGTTCCACATGGCAGTTAGATCCATTGACACAGTAAAACCTTTAGGTTGGGCAACACTACCGGCCTTCAGGCAGTAGTGTACTGAGAATGTTAATGGTTTGGAGACAAGGTGCAAATTTTTGCTAACAAAGAAGAGAAATTTCGAAACCATGAAAAATGCAAAATGCGTCGGTCTCGGTGACGGATGTAATAGCTTCACTTCATGAGTTAAGACACGCAAATTCTATTGCTCTGAGCACATACAAGGACTTCCAAGCTCCAAAGACGAGTGATACTGTCCTACACATCGCAGCAAGCGTAGGTGTCCCTGAGGCGATTTTCTTCGCACATTCCCTCGGTCTAGACGTCAATGTACGCAATAGGGCCGGAGAAACACCCTTGCATCTGGCAGTGGTAGAGGATAATTTGGAAGTTGTAGATGCTTTGCTTGAGAATGGAGCAGATGTCAATTGCAGAACAGAGAGTGGACAGACTGCTCTGCATTATGCTGTCATCTTTAATGCCCGTGAGAGTCTGAACAGGGTTGTCTATAGAGGCGGAGTTGACTTTTTGATCCAAGACTCTGTTGGCTGGACAGCTCTCCACTACTCGGCGGTGAATGCAGACCTTGATGTGATGCAGCTTCTGCTCAGCATGGAGCCAAGGCTCTTGGAGACGGTGTCTGCTATGGGGGTGTCTATCCTGCATCTTCTTTCTCTATCTAATTCACCGATAATATGTCAGAATGGGGCGCCGAATGTAACATATACTGTCTCATTCCTCTATGATTCTAAAAGGAAGCACGTATGTGATCATGTGTCCAAACAGGACCTTCCGGTTGATGATTCCTCCATGGCTGAAGTAAAAAGGGCTCTCAGCACTATTCCTGCTAACATGGGTCTCGTTACAAGATCGTCCACTGTCGCAATAGAATATTCGTCTGATCTTTTTGTCACAAACGAAAACTACGAGCGGTGTATTCGTTGGCTTCTCATGGACTTTGTGCCTACGTTGGCAGAAAAAGATATCAACGTAGATGCCTTATTTAGATGCGACTTATTGGGGCGAACGCCTCTCCATTATGCTGCCTTCATGGGGAGCTACAGGTCCCTTTATACCATTGTTTCGTACGTCCATGTGCGGGTCAAGCAGTGTTACCAGGCAGGCACAGCTGGCTCGTGCCTCTCCACAATGAAGTGGTCTTCTGCAAATGGGGGCGCAGTACTTTGTGGGGTTTCTCCGTTCTTGGCTGTAGAAGGTGGAGTTGGGTTTCATTACTTTGCACACCCAGACAACGCTGGCTTGGGCCCACTTCAATTAGCATGCATGAGTGGCGTGGCTGCATCCAAGATTAAGCTCCTCTCTACTGTTTGTGATGTCACTGCGTACACACAGGCCCTTGGGAATACCCTCCACTGTGCCATTCGCAGTGGGTCGCTTCACACAGTTTCAGAACTGGTGGGAGCCGTTTCACGAATGCTGTTACTAAAGAGTAGTGGAGATCAGAGCACATTTCTCCTGGACTTTCTTACTGAGAAGGATTACAACGGTGTGACCTCTTTTGCGATGATATTCAAAGGGAATCGTACCATTCACCAAGTACACGCACTCATCACGGAATACAACAAGCTCGTCTTACTTCTTGACTCGCAATCGCTTCTGCTCTTTTTGCTTCAGGTGAGTCCTCTTCGCTCATTGATTAAGGCCACTGGTTCCGCCTCACGAATGGCATTGCTTGCCCGTTCGGATAGTAGTGAAAGTGATGAAGCCATTATCGAGGAAATCTTTTCAATGGTCTTCAACTGGTATGATGGTATTCCAATCGATATATACTGTTTGCTGTTTCCCACAGGGGTCTTTCAAATCACCCCAGATGAGCATCTTACCACCCAGGATGCCTATTCAATACTAAAGGATTTTTCTGCACGTGCAAATCCTAATGAGGTTATTGCCACGTCCTTGGAATCTGTTGCTGTTGTGCATTTGCGTGAGTGGAAGCAGACTACTCTGAATATGATGGCAAAGGACAAGAGTCAGCTCGTTTCCGCCATTAGCAAGGACAGAACTATTTACTCTGCCATTCTGCAAATACTGAAGTCCTACGGTTGCTTGATCATGAGACCAGTTAAGCAGGTTTGCACCAACAAAGACATGGCTGCTCCACAACCTCTCGTAGAGGATCCTCCAAATGCTGTAAAGGCCATAGAGGATCAGTATGCCTCTATCTTATCAGTATTGCAAGACTATCCCAAACAAGCTAACATATCTAAGAACCTTACATACGAGACCTCTGAGCAGACACTGACCTCGCACTACTTTCTAGATGAGTATGCCAAAGTTTACAATGCTGTGTTAGAGGCACCTCCGTTACTTACTGTTATTGTAGACGCCGTAATTTATAATAACAAGATTGCCCTTATGCTGCTTTTATCAAACATAGCTCGAGAAGAAGTTCTTTCTAGAATAGGGGCTAAGTATGGAAATAGCAGAATTGCAGCCTCACTAGAAAGCTATCTTAGCTTAGTGCGCAACGGATCTGCTTGTGACTCTTGCGACAGCAGCGTGTGGAGCCTGCTCTCCGAAGGGCCAAATGTGGCAGACGAAGGGATAGTGTCAAAACTATTTTCAGATCTTCATCTGAGTTTCGAGACCCTTTGGAGAGCAGAGCTGATTATGAATGCCGTGATTGTATCCATATTTACTAATAACTACGGAATATTTTGCATTTTATGTAGCCTTATGCCCGCAACCCATTACCGCTGTGATGTTTTGCTCTTTTTGCTGGGAACATTAGCGCTTGCACAATTTGAGAATTCATCAAAGCATGAGTCTGCTGTCAATGACAAGTACAAACGGCTCCAAAAAAGTGTTTACCGATATATTGAATTTATCCTAGACCATCTGGCATCTGTGCCAGCAGCTAGAATCGCTATAGCGCAAACCACTATTATTGCTGGCTCAACTAACATTTTGAAGGACTTATCTACATTCTCGAGCTCTTCAACATCCTTGGATGATTGCGGCTTAAAGGGGGCCGTTCGAAGCATACTGCCATTAATTGTCACTGTACAAGAACGGCTTATAGGGAAAAAGCCAGAAACTCCTACGCTTTCTCACACACCGAAGCGTTTGGGCTTGAATACTAGCTCGAGCCCTAGACAAATCCCATTTCTTGCGCTACTCATCATCCGCGGACAAGACTTCGGACAGGGACTCCTGAAGTATGTGCTGGCGTTTACACAACTAGGTATCTCATACGCACCTGACATAGAGGAGCCTAGCAAGGCAAGGAAAGGTACGTCTGCCTGGCATTACTTCTCCAGCGAATCTTACAATCCTCTGAGCAGATCGGAACCTCTCTATCCTGTGCCAGAGCTTTTTAGGCGTGCAACAAAGAATCTTGTGACAACATATGGTATTGGGCAGCACCTATCTAATAACTTAAGCATATACGCATCGGCCAAAGCCTTGCAACTTCGAGTCAGGGACCGGAGCTTTATGATGCGAATGGACGAAGTTACCAAACAAGCTAGGAAGGTCAAGACCATGAAACTGTTTGAGGGCCACAAGTACAACCGCCACGTAATTAATGGAGAGCCTCCTAATCCACCTCCAGCATTTGGATCAAGCATGGTAGACGTAGAGTCTGTGGAGGAGATGGTTCTTTCTACTTCAAATGACTCGGCGCGTATCTATGAGGATGGAACAGCGAACATAGCGTCAATATGTTTTGCCATCACTACGGCTGTTATAGCGTGGACAGCCTCCCTGCGGTACAAACTAGAATTCATATATGAGCGCATATCCAAAATATCGCGAGTTCTTGGTGGATGCTCTATAGAGTTTTCTTATGACGATATAAAAATCATTCAACTTCTCTGCTTAATACGCTTGGAGACCATTGGCCACATCTCGGCAGGCACTGTAGCAGATGAGGACGAGCACAACCTAACACCCTTTGAACTAGCAGTTAGATGTGGGTCTCCGACAAGCTTCCTCTTGCTTATGCTTTACGGGTGCTGCTTTAACGCTCAATCGGAGGAACCTCCTTCCTTGAATCCTTTCACTTCTAAGGTAGCTAAGATAGAAGCGCAACTCATAAAACGAATTGAAGCTGCGGGTAGCAGTGCGTCTCCTGCAGCTACAATAAATGCACTCCATATGCTTCTAACAGTCTCTGTGTTCAATCCATCACTTATCAATCTATTGACCAACTTCAAGGTTGATAATACAGGCACTAGCATGTTCACATCTGCACATGTCCACATTATACAGACTCTTCTGGAACAGTCCCCCTTGAAGCTCCAGCTCGTCGTTGACCCAAATCCCATAGACAACCTAGTTCGTTGCTATTTTGTTAGCACAAAGGCGTCAAGCATGCATCGCATAGTTACCAACAAAACTGTGAAGGATGTGGTTCGTGAATGGAGTCTCCTGCGCCATGCAGGCGTAGGGTCTCTCTGTCATGTGTGTAATCAGGAGAGCAATATAATCGAGCGCTTCATCGGTGGAGCTCAGCCATGTATCTGTTGCGAACGTGTTATGTGCGCACAGTGTGGAGTTTATCTAGGAAAGATACAGAAACGTCCCTGTATGGTTTGTGCTTCGTGTTATATACACAGGGTGTGTCAGTGCCTGCTAAACTTTCAGACTAATTGCTTAAAAGGCATTGCAACCTAACTCAGGACGCCGGCTCACATGCAACCTAGTAAATTAAATTTTCAAAATTTCGTAACCGTGACACAATCTTGACGACAAAAGATGCAACTTGCGAGTAGCATAATTGCAAAGATGATGGCTCAGTTGCCTCCACAGACAGATACCGGTTTCTGTGACACTTCGAAAGCTCTGGATCTCGCTGTCGACAATGAAGATCAATCTTCAAATAAGGCATCTAAGCCTGCACTACCTCCAAGATCATCTATCTGCACACCAAAGACACACTCTACTGCGTTACAGCAAGGTTCTATGCGCCCTTTGCCGTCTATGATTACAGTCCGAGAATGCATGGCCGTGATCCAGCCGGAGTTTCCCCCAATAACCACTCTTTATCAGCTGCTAGCTTTTTGTGACTGTAGCATTCTCTCTGTGCACTCTTTTGATGAGGGCTTCCCTTGTCCCATCCCGTATGTCTGCGATGTCAAGATCTACAGACTGCGGCTAGCGCGACACTGCCTCCGGATTCAGAGCCACCGGTACAAGGAGGCTATTACAAAGCTGATAGATAGAAAGCGGACTCACGAAGAAAGCCTGAGGCTCCTACAAAGTAATGCTTCACCAGAGCAGCACAGGGATCTCCATCAATTACGTAGATCGATCGTCAGAATCTCAAAGGAGGTTATCTTTATGTACTTACAGTCCAATTGCAAGCTGGCGAGGCTCAGGAGAATCATGCTTCGCTCGCTAGCAGAGGTTAATCGCAAGGTAGTAGCACTGATTGTTCTCTATAAGCTCAGACCAGCAACGGAGGAGAGCCAGTCTAAGATATCAGCGGAAGACCTTTTACCGGCTTCCGGAGACTGGCAGCACTCAATCAGCGATGAATATACCTACTGCTTTGACGGCGAGACCACCTTAGAAGACCTTGCTACTACCTATTCACGGACTCTTGTTGCTCGAGCTTATTCGTCCCTGAAGAACCGGTACCTCCATCTACGGCGCTCTGAGCAGGACTTGGCAAGATTAGACAGTTCACTTTCGCTCAGAACAGCTCTTGTGCTTATGCTATTTAACTATAAGTCTCATCTCTGCCTTATATTCGTAGACGAGTATGTCAAATTAAGCCTCTACAAACGCGTGCTGCAGTATCTACGGAAAATAGCGAGTCCGTCGGCAAAGTTGCTGCGTGTCGCTAGTCAGGTGGTGGGTTTGACGCATAAGCATATGCTCAAAGCTATTTCTGAGAAGCGTCGCTTCTGGGATGACCGAGTTCTTCCCTTGTTTCCGCCATATCACTTCTCTTGTCCAGCAGAGCCCAACCAAGGCCTATCTCAGCCTTCAGAAGCAGCATATTCAGAAGTGCGCACGACCCCTTATCCTACGTATCTAGATACCCTTAGTGCAATAGCCCCAGATGAGGGAGAAGGTAGTTACTCAATCAGTGGCAGGAAGAGAACGGCGAATCTATTTGAACGTATAGTGGTTCAAGATAGGTCCTTTGATGCCTTCACTAGTATGTCTTCTTGCGGAACGGCCAGCGATTCCTTTGATACGCATTTACTGAGTGGTCATAAGGACACTAATTCTGCGTATATTCAGTATAACAGAGATTCTACTCAATTAGACCAACTGACCGCAAAGCCTAGTGCACGGGCTGCAGCCAAGGCCTCTTACTTGACTCCATTTCTGGCCACTGGAGGCACTGATCAATCATTAGAATGCTCTAACAGAGTTCTTTTAACTTCCACACAGATTCAGAAGCTGTTTGACACCACCATCCTCATTAGAAACAGGCTATATAGGGGACAAACTTTATTCTATGGGGCCTCGTGTGTACCTATCCACCTGAGCAGCTCTCAAGTGAGCGCGCTAGTGAAGTACCAAACGTTTGACATCGACTCTTTTTCTGCAGCGAATAATATTAATGAATACACCCTCCTGGAGGTTGCCGAACTTTTTAGTCTTGCGTTTTTGCAAGCCCGTGCACTCCTGGCTATGCGGCTTATTCTACACAGGGTCCTCCTTTCCTCTTTTTATAATAAGTACCTGGGCAGACGGTCATTTGCCATCTTCATGTTGAGGAGGCTTCAGAACTGTATAATGTTGCAGAAGGCCAGTGAGACCCACATGGCCCGAGAGCTTTCCATTAGATTCACAATGCGTACAGCATTTCGAGCAATGCAAAAGCAGATCGATCGCGAGGGGCAAGAATGGGACAACAGATCGGACAATCTATTCAAATTCATCGTCATGAGAAGGCAGCTGAAGTACTGGATGGCTCTTGTTCAAAACCGGAGATGCAGATTGGAGCAGATGACACACATATTGCGTGAAATTGAAAAACGGCTTTATCTACGTCCTGCTTTGGCCGCCTTACTGACCCTTCATGCACAGAACCTGGCTGAGTCAGAAATATCAAGAAGATGTAGAGAAGTTCAGAATGCCGATCTATTAGAGCGAACATTTCACACACTACGTCATCAGTGCAAACTTAAGCAAGTGCTGAGAAGTGTTGTAAGTCAAGCGCTTCTACGGTGGAAGGAAGTGTTGGAAGATGAAGACCGCCGAGGGAGTACCTACAGAACTCAAACCTTAAAGACAATCTTTTCGAGTTGGAAGGAGCTCACGTTTGGTGGTTCCTTTATTAAAACAGCAGGCTTTACAGACGCACCCAAAGCGCTCAAGCCGTCCAGCAAAGCGCTCCACTTCGAAGGTTGGTCAGATACAGACTCTGAGTCTCTAGAGGATCTTTCAGATTCACAGACAAGGGTAAAGTTTACTACTGACACGCGGTCCTATGATGGCAACACTAATGGACATGTAGACATGGACAAGACGCTTCATTTCGATCTAGAAAGCAGTGATGATGAGGATTATGAAGGGCCAGAAGCTGCGCCTAAGGAAGGAGATCTGACCCTCGGAGATATAGGAGATGACTACTGGTCTATCTACTCTCCGCAAACAGCCACCGAGCTTCGGGAAGCGTATCGCCAAGTGGTTCCCCAGTTGGCTAAACTTCAGCAGAAAGAAAAGCGTGTTAGCGGAGTAGCCGAGCCCCTTCCTACACATCACATAGAAGTCTTATCCAAGGAGAACCTGACACAGCTCAAAGATGAGGTTGCACGGCGCTTTGATAGACTAGAGCGTAACGGCAAAATGGCAGCAAATGAACCCACCATGACAGATGGCTCTGATTGTGACGGGGACATCGGAGAGTGCTGCACCCAAGCGCTTATTAGGATAGACCACACAATAGAAAAGCAAAAGGAAAAGACACGCAAGAAGAGTATTCGCTTTGCTGACGATTCTTGGCGGGAAGATGCTACTCAAAATGAGCCAAAAATGAAGACAGTGTACTCTGACAATGATATCTCACTAACACTTGATCATCACTATACAAACAATCCAACGCTGCGGCAGGCAAAAATATGGTACAGGCGCGTCAGCTGCCACATATGCATCAGCTATTGGCGCCAACACTTCATCGAGGCGCAGCTAGCAAAGAAGTTTTATCGTGCTTTTCCTGGCAAGAGATTGCTAGTAGGAGTTTTCGACGAGTGGGCAACTAGAACTGAAATGCTAACCACACGCTACAGGCGAATCAACAGACTTCACGTCTATCTCCTCAAAGAAACATGCTTTCTAGAATGGCGGTATCATGCGTACATTCGTCGGGAACGTGCTAAGCAGCTCCAAGCTGAAGAGACGCGGAAGGAGGCCCTACTGCTGGTGGAGCAAATAGACAAGGAAGAGGCTATCATCGCGTCTGCCCAACCAAACCTAAAGTTTCCGGGATTAAACTCGTTCGTGGGCCAGTCTAAGATTATCGATCCGTGCAAGTACAATATAGACCAACAAGACTCCAACCGGGCACTTACGCTCAGGAGGATAGCAGACGAGCACTACCTTCTTAAAATTGCAGCTTGGGTCGCAAACCGTGGAATACTTGTTTCCCGCGAGCGGCTACTTCGGGCCAAGCTCTTGGCTGCAGAGTTTTCTGTCCCAGATAGTATCATCTTTCAAATTCCCACAAAATTAAATGCTTGGTACCTTCGCGAGGGCTTCTGTGCACTCCGCGAGCTGTACAAGTACCGATCAGTAAAAATAATTTAAACATATGATATTAGGGGCTTTAGCTGGGAATTCCGCGCTTTTTGGAAATCGCTGCTCTGCATTCGGAAGAGCCACACCAATGCTGGCTATGCTCTTTCCGCGCTTCGCGTCCTCATCTGTTCTAACTTTAAAGCGCCAACACCTTTTATTTGTCTCATTCCAAAAAAACCTATGGCTCTCCATGACCGAAGGGACTGGCTTCAGGCGATCGCACTGCACGAATATGACCTTGTCAAGACTTATTTGATACGCTTTGCAGGGACTGCCAACGGTATGGGTGAAACAGGGCTCATGCTCGCGGCAAGACTAAACGATGTTGAAATGATCAAGATTCTCTGCATCCAGGAGGCAACGCTGGTAAATAAGGAGGGCTACACTGCCCTCATGATTGCTGCGTGCTGCGACAACTTGGACGCATGCCGCATTCTCATTCCATTTGAAAAGGGCGTGTTTCTGCCGGATGGGCGCACGCCATTAATGCTTGCGGTGGAGGCAGGGAGCATCGACTGCGTCCGGCTCCTGTTGAATTACTACGGTATGGAGCGGGACAACCATAATCTGACCGCCCTTGACTACGCTGTCCGCTCGGATCGTCCCCACTTCGCGCAACTTATCAATTCGGTGAACAACGTCACGGATGAGAACTATGCATCTGCAATGGCCAGTGTAGGCCGCAGTTCGTCGGGAATGCGCGAGGTCCTCAGTGCATCTCGCAGTCGCGGCGTGGAAGAGTGCCCTACCTGCCACACTCCTGTTGGGTGTATTCATGCGGAGAATCAGGGCGTCTCAAGCATGCCACCAGCACTATTAAAGGAGGACCAGGACCTCCGCATGGTCTTTGAAAACGGGGCTTCCCTTTCGCCTGGGGGTGGGCGCACCCTGTCGTGGCACGAGCAGATTGTTGTGGACGTCCGAAATCTGCGTAAGCAATATAATAAGGTGGTTCGCGAGAATCTAGAGATGCGCAACGTGATGGACGAACTAAGCACTACACTGGAAAACCTTAAGGAGAATAATGCCCAACTCACAAGTGATCGCGATATCCTTAAAGAGACGAACAAACACCTCAGTGACATGGACCGCCGCCTAAAGCAAGTCATCAACCACACAGGCGAGGGTGATGTTGTGGAATGCGTCAGCGAGCTTGTGAACACAATGAGAGAGCAAGTGAAGGCGCGCGAGGAGGATCTGCGCAACGTTTCGAATGCACTAGATCAGGTTATCTCGGAGTCTCGCGTCATGAGCTCGGAGGCGTCGGACCTCAAGAAGGACCGCGCCCGCCTCCTCAACGACGTCAAGGATCTGCGCCAGAAGCTGTACGATAAGGAGCGCGAGCATCGCGAGCTTGAAATTAAGCTCGAGACATCCAACCGTGAGGCAGAGCAGCTCGTTTATGAGCGACAAGAGGTCGAAGAGACACTCACGAGACTCACCAACGAGCTACAATCAGCAAAGACTCTTTTGCAGATCATCAAGCAGGGTGCCGCATCCATTGAGGGCCCTGCTCGCATTTCTGATATAGATTCCCGCGGGTTCACTCCTCTCCTCCGCGCAATCGCTGACGGTGATTGTGATGGTCTTAGGGAGCTTCTTGGGCTCCCACTGCCAACACAGGATATCTATGATGATGACGTTTCCATGATCAAGGGCGGAAACACTAAGCATCTCAACTTGACTCTGGTTCCAAAGCACCTCGATATTTCTAAGATGCTGAACGAGCGCGACGGCCTCGCCGGCAGCACCGGGGCGACTACAGGTCATCGCACAGAGCTGATCAGTGCGGTTTTGAATAATGATATTCACTCTGTTTGGCAGCTTATTCCACAGCGGGCCGGAGAGCAGGACATGGACGGAAGAACTGCGATGATGTATGCTGCCCAGAAGGGATACACGGAGATGGTCCGCCTGCTAGTGGACAAGGAAGCCCGCATTCAGACGCCGTATGGAACGACCGCACTCATGGATGCTGCCTGCAACGGTCATACAAACGTGGTCCGCCTTCTCTGCGATCGTGAGGGCGGTATGTGCACAAACGCCAAACACACCGTTGGGGCGGGCCTCACCGCGCTAATGCTCGCTGCTCACGAAGGCCATGTCGAGTGCGTTAGGCTGCTCGCAGACAGGGAGCTGTCTATGCGCTGCGCCAATGGAAAGAACGCCATTGACTATGCACGCACCGAGGAGATCAAGCGCATCCTGAGCAACTGGGGCGCGTGAACACGGCGTGTGGACCCGTGTAAATTAGGCTTTTTAACAAAATTTACCAATCACAGCGGCATGCTGCTCCATAACAGGAAGGAATGGTTCAAGGCGGTGCTCAACCATGACCTTCTTAATGTGGAAGAGTCACTTTCGGTCTATAAAAAGTCCAGAGATGGCGGGGGAGAGACGGCACTAATGGCTGCAGCACGCACCAATGACGCCGCGATGGTTAAGCTTCTAGTCCACGAAGAGTCTCGAATGACCTCCCCAGAAGGCCAGACGGCGCTCATGTTGGCTGCTGCGCGGGACTTTTACGAGGTTTGCGCCATACTAGGACCTTATGAAGCTGATGTCCGAACAGCTGACGGCCGCACTGCTCTAATGATAGCAGCGATATCAGGGAGCACTGAAGCTATGAGGGCCATCATTCAGGAGTCAGAGGTTGATCGAGACAACGCAGGGCTCACTGCTTTGGACCATGCAGTTCTCAATAGCGAGCTGGAGGCAGTAAAGCTCCTTTGTGCCCAACTCAAACACACGCAAGAAGACTTTCATTCGGCCATATCCAAAGCGACCCAGGCAGGGGAGGAAGACATGACTAAATATTTGCAGAGCGCTCTCGCGGACCTTCTTGACCAGCAGATGAAGCCCAAAGTAAGATTTTCTACAGATGTCGAGGACCCTGAAGGACATTTTTCTACAGATAGATGTGCCAACTGTAGGACGTATCGAGGACAGATCTCATCCCTTCAGGAAGAAATTTCAACGCTGAGACATGAGAATAAGAAGCTCTTGGCGAAGGTTGAGATGTTGGACACACAGCTCCAGGAAACGCAAAAGTATGACAAGGAGCACCAGGCCTCGCTAACGAATAAGTGCAACTCCCTCGAGGATGAGCTAAACAAGATGCATGAGAAGTACCGCGTGTCCCTAGAAGAAAATAGCCGCATAAAGTTGGAGTTGGCCAAGTCCGACTCAACGTATGAACGGCGGAAAGACGCCGACACGATCGAGCAGCTCCAGCAACGCCTCAATAGCAAGAGTCACGAGTGTGCCTCTCTACGCGAACAGCTTACAGAGATTCAGCAGCAGCGAGAGCGAGAAAGACAGCGAGAACAGGATTGGTTGCACGATCCTGGGTCTCGTTATGAGAATGTGATGACAAAGGGTCCGGGAGGTAATGGCTCGGGATATAATCTATTCAAATACGAGTTTGACGTAGATAAGGATAGCTTAATGCCTAGCCTTTTGCCGCCGCACGCAACTGGTGGGGTTAAGCGGCCTGCGAGATCTGCTTCAACAGCTGCGGACACTAGAGGCCCCCAGGGCAGTCGAGCGAGCAGTGCATCTCAGCCATCAAGAACCTCAAGTGTGCGAGCCAGCAGTCGTATTTCAGATAGCCGAGCCCTTGATACTTCAAAAAGACCTGCCTCAGTCACAAGGCGCGAAAGTACCGCACCTGCACCGGGGATGAGAGCAGGATCCACTCGTCCTTCCAAGTCGGCTGTCCGTGGAACAAGTGGAACGCCCACACTCAGCACACACACTAGTCCTGGGATTTCAGGTCGGTCTGCCAGCCAGCGTCCACGGACTAGCTCAGCAGCAGAAGGTCGAAGAGGGCCCAACGCCATGGGATCGAGAACGGGCACAAGTAGCATGGGCTTGAGCAGTTTGAATCCAGAAAGCAAATCTGAGTTTGTCATGTCTGAGAAGATGCCCTCCCCTATAAGAAAGAGGGGGACTTTGGGTAATATTACTCGATTCATGACACATATGGATACAACAATAGCTCTAGATGCCCGAGGTAGGCATCAGCCTCCTCAGAGTCAGTCGGGTCAGAAAACAGAGCTAATGATAGCAGCTGAAAGCAATGACATAGTTTCTGTCTGGCACAGAATGAACACTCAGGCGGGGATACGAGACCATAGCGGGTCGACTGCGCTAATGTATGCCGTGCAGGCTGGGAACAGTGCAGTTGCACGCGTCTTGGCTGAAAAGGAAGGAGGAATTCAAAGACACGATGGATCGACGGCTCTGATGGATGCTGCCTGTATAGGGAATGTAGATTGCGTGCGGGCCCTGTTGAGCAGAGAGGCGGGGATGCAGCGATACGACGGGTGGACCGCTCTGATGACAGCCTCCAGCAACAATAAGCCAGAAATTGTTCAACTCCTTGTTGACCGGGAGGCAGGACTATGCACCAATAGCAAGTTTACTGCGGGTGCTGGGCTCACTGCTCTCATGGCAGCCTCCATTGAGGGACATCTGGAAATCGTTCACCTCCTAGTCCACATGGAAAACTCTATGCGCCATTCAAGCGGAAAATCTGCTGCCGACTTTGCAAAGAACGACGCGATACTGAACTTGCTTAAACGCTTTTGACCGAAAGAACACATCGTATGTAAATAGCTCTAAGCACTACTCACTATAAGTTCTTAAAAATTGGACTATAGCTGTCTTGAAAGTGCAACTAGCTCCCCAGCCCTTGCAGCATTCGGCGATGGCTCTGGACCCGTGTGCCTTGCCTTCCAGATCCGCAAGGTCTTTGACACACGCCAGGTTTCCATATTCTGCAGCGTAGACCAGCGCGGTCTTTCCTATTGTATCTGCTAGACCCGCTTCTGCGTCATGGAGAAGCCTCACAAGCATGGAGTTCCCGCGATATGCTGCCCACATGAGCGCAGTGCGCCCATTCACGTCTATACACCCTGCCTCGACATCACGGAGAGCCTCTGCGCACCCACTTCTGTTAAATATGGAGGAGATCACCAAAGCGGTTACCCCCATCCCCCTCTCTGCCAGCCCGGCCTCTAGACTCTTCAATAGCTCAACAACTCCACGGTGTCCGTGCATGCTCGCAAGCATAGTTGCAGTGGGCTCGACAAACGTGTATGCCCCGTAAGAGTAGCTGCCACTCACCCTCATTCCGTGCTCCAGTCCCATCAGCATGCGCACCCCGTCCTCATACCCATCAAGGGCGGCATACATCAAGGCAGTAAATCCGTTGCTGTCATAAGCCTTGGCAAACCTAAGTAGTTCCCCAACTTTCGAGGTATTCTTTCGAGCGACGGCCTGAAGCAGGCCGGAGTGGTCATCCATATACACCTCCGGTTTAGTGATGTCATAGGGGCGCACAGAAGCTGTCAACGACCGAGATAGAGACTGAAGCAGGGTCTCATTGAGTCCTTCCATTCTGATTTCTGTTTTTTGTTCACTTCATTTTGTGCTTCAAACAGCCAAAGAATTAGAATAAGATGGTACAGACTATGTACGCTCTGAAGAATGCTTGGACAGAGGTGACAAAGAAGAAGTAAAACAGCGCTTTGGAAGAAATGCAGAATAGGAGGGTAGCTTGGTCCAGCTAGAAGCAAAGCAATCAATCCGTGCGCGGCTAGAGAAAATGAGAAAGGATCAGTTTGATAGGTAGGAGGAGCTGTCACTGACATGTAGAGCTGAGGGGCAATATTAGTGTCTGTTGCGGTACAAAGACCCCCTCCAGAACACAAGTACTGCTACTCTTAAGATGACCAACATCTTTGTATACACAACTGCCACTGAAACTCAAGATAGTGATCGTACAGGAGCGATCGTTACGCGGGCAGGTTCAAATACTGAAACAGAACGTATGGTGGCAGCCTTCCTGTCTGCACGGCACAGTACACAGAGTGTGGGTGACTAAAGCACTTCCACACGGGTTGTTGCTAAAGGAAGATTATTGTATTTTTGGCTGAATCTGTCAAAAAAGTTTGAATTGTTTGTACTTCTGTGCACCAGCATGCCACGTTTTAGACAGCCGTGTCTATGGGAATATTCTTCGCGAATTGATGAATTCATTAGCGTTGCATAAAATTTGGTCTGTAGCTCCCAGAATCTAAAACATAATGTGCCTAAGTGGGCCGTCAGAGGGTCGCTTAAGTTGCTCTCGTTGGCTCAGTAATCATAACCTGTATTTATAAACATTATAGAAGCCAAAAATTTTAATGATTACCCTGCTCGTTGCTGTTGCCGCGACTCTGGCGGCGCAGGGGCCCTGGCGCTTTGCGCAGGTCTTCGTGGCCCCTGGCTCTCGGGGTCAGCAGACGCTCCATTACCTCGGCAAGGAGTACGTTGTTGTCGACAGCGGAGATGCTGACCTTGTGGCAGCCAATTTCGGCCACGCGCACTTTGCGCTTGACGAGGAAAGTGGCGAGGCCTGGATAAGCGCGTTCACCCATGAGGATATCGTTAACGCAAATGACACTGCCACCTACCATGAGTTCCGCAAAGTCATTAGCCGCCATACCGGTTCGGAGCCGCTTCTTCTCCGCGACGCTCCTTTAGACAGAAGGAATGCTCTCAAGGGAGCTGAAGAGGGATTCTCGGCGAACCTGACAAACTCTTTCCTGGACAGGGCTATCCCCATCGTCATCAATTGTCTGAGTATTGAGCTTTCTCCAAAGACGAAAACGGAGATGGGATATGACTACGTGCCAGAAACAATTAGAGACGATGGAGTCAGAAAGCTTGACGCCTTTATCCGGATGATGACCAACGGGCGTGTATACATTGATAACACAACTTCCTGGTATAATCCTGCTGGAAAATTTGTTGAGTTTGCAAACTACTATGCTACAGAAAACGATGTTCCAAAGAGGATCTTCGAAATTGTTAAAACAAGCCATGCTGATTGGCTCACAAGCATGGTACAGAATCCCACTATGATTTTTTACTCTGCTGAGCTTTTTGACAAATGGGCATCTCTGCGAGGAGTCGGGAAACTTGAATACGGCTTTACGCGTAGTGGAAAGACCTGCGAATCAGGGCCTGTGCATGTTCTTGTGCACTTGAATAAGGAGATAAATCAGCGCTACCTGTATTGGTTTTTCCTCAGGAACACTGGTACTGTCCAGGATAGGACACAGGGCACCAAGGACAGCTTTTTCAAGACGTATTTGATGAATGGAAATGCCAATGATCAGCACACTGTGACAAGGGATAATGGAGTGATCTTCCCGGCCGGCATGACGCTTCCTAAGGGAATGAAGTACATGTATCAGGCAGTAGAAAATCGCTGGATGCCTATTCACATGCCCAACGACACCTCGGCGAGCGGGACATTCAAGTACAGGCTTCTGGCCGCTGACTCTCAGTACTCTCGCCCGTTCCTCATGAACGATGCCCAGGCATACGTGATAGAAAAGCAGCCAAAGTCCTACTATTACCCTGACCTAGATATTGTCAGGACTGACCCTGTCCCCGTTGCCACCGGGTATGCAACATACACAGCCAATGACACTGGGCAGACATACACATACAATCCCGATGACGTCTATAACGGTCTCAAGCGCAGCCAGCATGTTATTGGCGTAGAGCTATTCCTCCCCGCTGATTCCTTCATCTCGACTATGGACAAGGAGGAGCCTTCTGTCATCATTGAATACCGTGCTGCTATAGCGGATGGAATCTTCCATGATCGCGGGTCCTTCAAGATCAACACGGGATACTTTAAGGGACTAGGCAACAGAGACTTCCATTCTGTTTCTTTGAATCTTCTATCTGAGCGTGACAACGCAGGAAAATGGAAATCACGCACTCTTCCAAACGTCAACATCGCTTTTGGACGCCTCTGGGTCTGCCCTGATTGCGACCGCGGAACCTTCACTGTACGGGCCACCGCCGTTAACACTGGCATCTTTGACAAGAATGACATTACACACATGACCACGCCATTTGTTTACCACGATGTCACCAAGATTCCTTCTCTTGATGTTGAAGTCACCTATATACCCAACACTCCATACGCTGGGCCACATCCCGATTCTGCAATCAAGTTCCGCTCTCTGGAGATCCAGACAACTTATGGAACAGATTGCTTCATAAAATCATCTCAGAGTCCTCGCGTCGATACAGTAGTTTGCAGTGTGACACTATCATGTTATCATATTTATTGCGAGCTTGCTGGTATGTTTTACGCAGCTTCGCGTCTTGATCAGGGTCCCCTGCGCTTCTTCTACGATGATTTTGTCGTTACAAAGAATACATATACGTACACCCTCCGTTCTACTGCCAGTCAGGGCACCACTGATCACAGGCTCTATCGCATGGGCGGCCTTGGGGAGTATGGTATTGACGTCGAGTTCCAGTGGAAAGACAGAAGTATAGTCAACCCGAGCTTTGAGGAAGCTTATCAGTTTTATACTGAGTATATAACTGCCAAATCGGGAGGACGTGGCGACCAATACTATGTCTTCAAAGGCCTGTCTACATATAACCGTACCGTTATCCCGTATTATTACTGGTGGGACGGAACTAACAACAATGTCCTTCAATCTCTTGGCACAAATGGGTATTTAGCTGTCTTTGGTGCTGATTGGACTGCTTTGCCGATGCAGATTGTGTACGACTCTAACTCTAGGACACTTGCCGATCGTGATATGGAACCCCACTCGGACGTCTTTCGTGTGGAGTGGACAAACGTCCAGTGCGGCTTTTCAGCTTCCTCGGCAGCGTTCTTTGCCAACGGAACCAACGCACGCAGGGGATGGGCAAGGATAATCGCCAACTCAATTAATGACGTCGATCGTGTTGCGTTCTCGCATATGAATTACACTGCTGGGACTTTCTTGCTTACCCCCGCAGCGTTGAAAGTGGGCCAACCACTTGACCAGGAGTGCTGGTCTCAGATCAACCGCAGAACTCTTTATCGCGCACACCGCTGGCACAACCTCTATGCGCGTGGCCAAGACAATACCAATTACGAGTTCTATCTTGACTTTGATAGCGACCTTCCTAGCGGCCTCGTGGTTTACATTGACACGGTTGAAAAGACCCACGTTATTGATACGCGCATGATGAAGGTCGTGCAGAAGTCTATTAACTCACAGCCTGGGAATAAGCGCTTTATCTCTACGAGTCTTCGCTTTAACTACAGCATTCTCTATAAGGACACAGAGTTCCGCATTCGAGGCGGGATAACCAGCACGTCCCTTCGCTTTGCGTTTAATAAGGATGTGTATCTTGTCGGAGTCCGCCACGTCATGAACGGATATGGAAAGCAACAGGATCTTAGGAATGGCACTATAAACTTCAGGGTCCGCTCAGCCAACTTTAAGGGCGAGGCATGGCGCAATATCACTGGGTATATGTATCAGCCATTCCAGGTTACTGTGTTTGACGCTGCCCCGTCTTCTAGGTCAAGTGCAGTATGTAACTTTGAAACTTCGTATACAGAGTGTCAGATGACTCTTCCGGAAAGCCTCAAACAGGAGCAGCTTGTCCATGTTCCTCCGCACCAATTCTCTGATGACGGATTCCAGCACACTAACCTTCGCTGTGAGAATGGGAAGTATCTCTGGCTTCATGCGAATGGGACGTATGCCTGTGAGCCGTGTCACGCCGGGTATTATTGCAAAGACAGTGTGATGCGTCGCTGTCCCTTTGGGCACTACTCCGAAGATGGTGCATCTGTATGCAAGACTCCTTATACCAATATTGACCGCTTCGACTCGCCGTCGGCAGCCAATGAAAAGGAGCTCACATACGACGCGCCCTTCTACTTCCAGTACAACGCTGACGGGACTGCAAAGGGCCTCTATCCCTGTAATGGAAACATGTATTACGACAAGGATACGAAGACGTGTCGCCCGTGCCCTCGCACAGGCTATTATTGCCTTTCTGGAGAGGACCCCAAGCCGTGTCCAGCTGGATTCCGTTGCATCTCCGGCGTTGCGTACCCGTGCTATGGAAATTACTATTCGCACCGCGATCGCATGTCTGTTTGCCTTCCTCTGTCATTCCAAGCATGTCCAATCAAGAGTGCTGATGGCACAATCATGGTATCAGGCAAGTCCAGCACCGGCGATGCTCGCTGGAGGAGGCCAGGCCTGGAGCACCTCTCATACTGGGCAGTCGAGGAACCAAATGTTGGGTGTCGCGAATGTCCCCGAGGGCACAAGTGCGAGGTGACCCCTGCCGGTCAACGCCTTCTCCGTCGTGCAAAGTTGCTGCAAGTACTTGAGACTCTTTCCCTGCACTGGGCAGCGCCTGTTTTTGGTCTTCCACACTTTGAGAAGAAGTTCCACAGGTTCAGTGCGTTCGATCGCCTGCATCATTTGGAGCAGCTCCGCGCCAAATGGAGCAACGGTCCTGTGAGGCTTAACCGTGCACTGTCTGACGAAAACGTCGTTGATATTGGAGACGCATCTCAACCCAATAGCAACTCCACATACGTTACTATCACGCCTTGCAAAGTCTCTGAGTACTCAGCGCCAGGCTCAAACGAGTGCACCACATGTCCGGCTGGCCAGATTGTTAATACGCACGGCGACGGTTGTGTCTCTTTGAACATCAAGACTCCAGAGGAAGCGGCTCTTGATGATACACCCAAAGTGCGAGAAAAGATTGATGCAGAAATAGAAGCTGATAATACGATAACTGATACGGGCCCAATCTACGGAGACAATGATGAAGAGGATGTGCCGTTGGATCCTGTCCCTGATCCACAGCCCAATCCTAATCCAGATGTACCGCCAAACCCTCCTGGACCAGGAGCAGTGACTAAAAAGCAGTCTGGAGCAGCTATAGGAGGCAGCATCGCTGCGGTTCTCATCATTGGGGCGATTGTCGGCGTGCTATGTTGGTACTTCCTAGTATATCGCAAGAAGAACCCGAGACCACAGTGGATTCAGAACATAATGGACAAGTTCAAGTTCCGCGCACCAGGCAAGAGCAAGTCCACTACAAAGGTTCCCGACAATTCTCTTGGAAAGCACGCAGAGGACGAGCACAAGAAGACGCTACCGCTCAGCCGGAACAACTCGTTCCTTGGAGACTCAAACATTAGCACACCTAACACGAGGTCGTTTGCGGACGGTGTTAGCTTGCAGGGCTCTTCCAATAACTCCAAACTACCGCCTCTGATAGTTTCCAAGAGCATTGTTTCCGGAGCCCCTCTGGGTCCTGGCGCGGTGAAGCGTCCGGAGATATAGGAGTGAATGGACCAACGAAAATTGACCGCACGGACACCGTCCGCATGTCGAGGTATGCGCAGCTGGTCGCCCTCTCTGGCACCCAGACCGTCATCGACGACGGGAAGCGTGCATCCAGCGGTTGTCTGAGGTGCACGCTGTGCGATCTCGCCTTCAAGGACTCCCTAACCCTGGTGCAACACCTGTCGTCCGAGGCCCACCGCCAGCGGAGCGGCCAGCTCGAAGAGCCCCCTGCTACTGCTGAGGACGTCCGACAGTTCTTCCAGACCCACGCTGATCTCTCCGATGCCCCCAGGGGCGACACTTAAAATGCTTGACGCCCATTGCCACTTCAGTCCGGCGTTTATCGGCACCTGGTTCAGGCCGGACCACGTCTATCTCCTGAACGCCACAGATCCGACTCAGTTCGAAGACCTTGCCGAGTTCAGGAGGATCCATCCCCTCTCTGTACGAGTCGGGTACGGAGTGCACCCGTACTACCTGCACATGCACCCCGATCTTGCAGCGACACTGGCTGAAGTCAGAGCAAGGCTGGCTGCGGACCAGACCGCGTTTGTGGGGGAGATAGGCCTGGACACTCGGCCGGCCGCGCTGGCTGACTCTCCACTGGACACACAGACCCGCTACTTTTCCCCGCAGCTGGAGATGGCCTTCGAGATGAACAGGGACTGCAACGTCCACATCATCTCTCGTAAGCCTGGCCTCTGGCCTATCTTCACGGAGCAGCTGGAGGCCATGGCCAGGAAGTATGCCAGCTACAATCGCAGCATTATAATGCACTCCTACAACGGGACCCACGAGACATTCCGCAAGCTGCAGGCTGCCGTCTCTACATGCCACGGACGCGTGCTCCTTTCCGTGTCCCACTTCACAGAGGCAAACAAGGCCACCCGGGCGTGCATACGGAAGTCTGACAAGGAGTGCCTGCTTCTGGAGACGGACTGGTACCGCGAGGACCAGGACGACTGGGACAGGTCAATGGCGACCGCGATTGAGGTTCTTGCGTCTGAGCGCAGCCTATCCAGGGACGAGGCGCTTTCTCTTGTGAGGGACAACTGGCGCCGGCACGAGCTGCTGCCTCCTGGTCTCAGTGCTGCTCAGTTGGGCATGTAACCTATTACAAATCCAGCGAACCGCAGCACCGTTCCTCGAACCTGGTCGTTGGACGACTCATACCGCGCGTGGATGAGGTACCCCATGTTGTGCTCCATCTTGCACACGTTGTCGTTCATTCCCGCCTTCAGCGTGACATTCTCTTCGCAGAACGTCGTCATAACGTTGACGTATTCGCTGTGGCTGTGCGTTGCTGCCAGCAGTGCGTCCTTGAAAGATGCCGTCCTCTGGTGCTCTGCCAGGGCCTCGATCTCTGCCTCGCTGTCGAATTGAGAGGGCGGCAGAGTCCTAAGGAGATTCACACCGTGCAGCGTGCTGATGGCGTTAAGGATAAGCAGTGGCATGTCTTCTCCAAACCCTGCTGCTCTCTTGAACAACTCTAAGGCAGCGGGAGTGCAAGCATCGCCGGCTTCCTCCTTCTGCTGCACCCGGGGCCCTGCCGGATACAAGAGCATGTCGATGAGCCGGGATGCGACAGACTGCCCGATCATGCAGCCCGCTGCGTCGAAGAGGCACTGTCTGAATAGGTACCCGGGATAGTTGATGCGCGTGGTCGGGTTGTAGAGGCACGGAAGCATGAATTCCGGGTAACACGAGCTCGCCCGGGGCTCGGGGTTTGTGCTATTGTCTTCTCTGTCCGCCCTGTCCGCTCGTCTGAACAGGACCGCGTCGTAGCGCTTCTTGGGATTGAAGTGGGCGTTGACCAGCCTGCCGTTTTCAAACACTGCGGCTGTGATGGGGTCCTGGGCCACGTAATGCTTATCGAAGTACTCCTCAAGGCTAGCATAGCTGCTAGAGCTTTGCTCGTATGTCCAGAAGAAGTCCGACGTCAGGCACCGAACGGTCACGTAGTTCTGTGGGGCAGACTTTGAGTCGGGGCTCCTGACGGCAGGCCAGCTCACTCGTACGCACCGGCAGCCCCCGTTGACGAGGCATACGGGGCACCCGCGCAGCACGTCCCACTCAACCTGTTTGGACTCGTTAAGGGGAAGGGTGAAGAGATGGGTCACGTAGGCCATCATGAAGACCAGCGCCTCCGCGTTGGACATGGCGTAGCGGTTGCACGGATCCATGCTGTGTGTCTGGGAGTAGACCGTCCCTCTGTACAGGGCCGCGACGAAGCGGCTCGAGAGCGGCTGGACGATGTACGCGGTTGAGTCGCTGGAGGTCATGTAGTTATTTGTTCCCAGCAAGTCCAGGCAGTGGAAGCACTCGTCCACAACCTCCCGGCTGATGAACATCCCGGCCACAGCTGGAGAGTAGTGCAGGTGTGCCGCGTCCACACTGATCTTATATGCAATTATCTTGTTACCAAGATCTACATCTATAGGACAAACTATCCTGTGACTGAAACCAAAAGAGCCAGTAAAGGACTAGTAAACTAGAAAGGCAAAAATCGGAAATCGTTCTGCAGACGTTATAGCTTTCATGGAGGGGAGCTCTGACGCTTGGTTTGCGGCCATCTTTGCCAGAGATTACGAGAAGATTAAGAGTGACTTGGGAATCTACAAGGGTTCGGTAAATTCAGACGGACTAACGGGGCTTCACTTGGCAGCCCAAATTGGCGATGTTGGGATAGTGCGCATACTGGCTGCTACCGAAAAGGGAATTTTAACACCAGATGGATTAACTGCATACATGCTCTCTGTTATTAATGGCCATTGGGAGGCAGCGGAATTTCTTTACCAGTTTGAAGGAGACATCAAGACAAACCGCAATAAGACAATACTTCACATTCTTGCAGAGCGGGGACTAGCAAGCGAACTTGAAGCTGTTGCACCAAAGATTCCCAATGAGTGTGACTGCAATGGAAACACAGCCCTGGAAAGTGCGTTGCTTTCCTCACAGATCGATGCTGCTGGCGTTTTATTAAGGCAATTTCCCTTAGATCTTTCAGAACTTAATCACTTGGAGGAGAAGTTTCGAGAAACAGGTCTTTCAGAAAGCATCACATTCATTGACCGCGCAGTGGTGCGCTTAGAACGTGAAGCAATCTCTCGATGCAAGGATTGCAACTATTTCAAGAAGCGATTGGAAGAAGCAAGGCGCGATCTAGGAAAGCAGCAGCGCTACTGCGAAGACATCAAGCGGGTTCTCCTACAATCAGAAGGCACACCGCTAGATGCTGCGCGAGCAGCTATGCGGGCATTCAAGGCTGAACTGGAGGAGAAGACAAAGATCCAGGATGCACTCAATAGTGAGCTCAGGTTGTTGAAAAGCGAGTCCGAACGGTCGAAACGTGCCGTTGTACAAGCAGAAACTCAAATGCAAGAAATCCGCGAGCAGTATATATCGGGCGACGGTCGCACTGTAAGAGACATGGACAGAATCATACGGGAGCTAACGACAAAAATTGAGAGTCTACAAGCAGATAACCTGTCGCTTGAGGCTACTCTCCAAAACGTCCGCGCACAACTTCATCTGCGTGACGAAAGAGTTTTAACCATATCCACACAATTGGCCGAGCAATCCAGGGCGAATTCAGCCTTGGCGAGGATCCATAGCCTGGAGAAGGAAAAGTGTAACAGCTTGGAATCTCAGGTTAGGTCGTTGCAAGGATCCCTGCATGTCTTGGAGGAGAGCAACGAGCAGCTTGCCGGTACCGTTGCAAGTCAGGAACAGAGCTTGAACACGCTGACAACTACAGTGACCCAGCTTGCCACAGAGAAGGCAGAATTCATGAATATATTGGAAGCTGGCCCTCCGGAATACAAAGAGATGCAAAGAGAAGCGTTAGAAACCAGTAACCAACTTTATCAGAGCATAAGGGAATGTGAGGAGTTACAGGGGACTGTAAATGCATTGCGAGAAGCAGAGCAGGAGTATCTTCGCATTATTCAGGAGAAAACAGAGGAGAGCATGAGGCTTTCCGCCACGATCAGAGAGCTTGAGGCAGACAAGGTAAATCTAAAGGCAAAGATCTCCATTCTGGAAGGACAAGTAGCGGTTTACGTAGAGGAGATCAAGCTGAAAGATGATGTCCTTGGAGCAAAAAGCACAGAGCTTGCTCAGCTGAAGGTTGGACGCACAGCTGAGCTGGGAGCCGCATCGTCTCATCAGCAACTTCACGAATCAAGAAGTTCTAAATTATCTATGCCCATCTCTAGCGTAGTCATCAATCCAGCACAAGCATTTTTGCCGCCTACCAATATGAGCCATTTGAGCAACTTCAGCGCATCCAATATGTCCAACATTTCGGTCAATCTTGACGGTGATGAAGAAGAGCCTGCATTTACTCATAACAATAATCGTCGATCTATTGGAGGTAACACAGATACTTATGTGCAAGTTGGAAGCCGGAGAACTAGACCACTTTCTGCCTCAGCCGTGACCAGCAGGCCTCGAACGAATACACGAGGGCGGATGGATGCTAGCCTCACAGCTTCGATGCTTAATCCAATCGCCGTGTCTGCAATACACGGACAGCCCGGTATAGGTATGTCAATGGGAACAGTTACATACAAAGGCCAGACACAAGATGACACACTGCTGATGCAAGCAGCAGCCGCAGGAGACTTGAGTGTCATACAACAAATGGCACACGAGATACGGCGCATTAACTCTAACGGAATGACCGCCCTCATGCTTGCAACTCTAAACAAGCAGAGGGACGCCATTATCAACCTTATCTCCCAAGAGTCTGGGATGCAGAATAATGACGGTGAAACAGCGCTCATGATAGCTGTTAGGACAGGCTACCATGAAGGCGTCAATCTGCTCGCCATGAAAGAGGCCCGGTGCACCAAGCCCGACGGCACTTCAGCTCTTTACATCGCCATTAATTCAAACAATGAGGTCGCAGCTCGTATGCTGGCGAGATATGAGGGTATTGATGTACGGGACGTTTCCACCCTCAACTATCGATTCAATGAAATGATGGAAGCGGCAGCACAGGATGACATTGTCACCTGCTATCTTCTTATAAGCCTCCAAGGAAGGCTTGTCGATGAAAGTGGAAGAACGGCACTGATGTACGCTGCTATGAACGGAGCTAGTTCTGCAGCACGACTCTTAGTGCCAATTCAGTTGCAGTGCCGAGATAAGTACGGAAACACTGCTCTTATGTATGCAGCCGAACTGGGGTATCAAGACCTTGTCGAGATCCTGAAGGGCGAGGCAGGTATGTCTAATCGCCTTGGAGAGACAGCCCTAATCAAGGCAATCAGGCGTGGACACATAGCGTGTGTTGGTGCTCTCTTTTTCGCCGAGTATAGCATCTGCACAGTAAGAGGGGAGTCCCCCATCGATATCGCCGCCTCTCTTGGTGGAGAGATACCCCAAGAGGTAAAGGCATCGATTGTGAACTTCCTAACGGACCTGCAGAACAGAATAAGACTGTGATTTGATGTAAATTCTGAAAAGCAAACACCGGATGCCTGTTAATAGCCGCAAGGAGTGGTTTGACTCCATCGCATCCCGGCAGTACGCAGAGATCCGTGCTGCACTTCCGCGATTCAGGGGTTCTGATGACGGAGATGGAGAGACAGGTCTCATGCTAGCGTGCCGCATCAATGATCTCGAAATGATCCGCTTACTCGCTCCAGAGGAGTCTGGGGTAACGAATAGGGATAATAAGACCGCCCTCATGATGGCCGCCCTGCGAGACAACGCAGGAGCCTGTGACATCCTTGCTCCATTGGAGAAAGGTATTACTCTACCAGACGGAAGGAATGCCCTCATGCTGGCAGCAGAAGCAGGATGCGTCGAGTCCCTTACTATATTACTGAATCATTTTGGGTTTGAACGAGACAGAAACGGGTATACATCTTTGGATCACGCAGCAGCCAGCGGCAAGCTTGATGCAGTAAAGCTCATTGCAACTCGCTCTGCAGGGCTTACCGTTGACGATGTTTCCAAGGCGCTATCCTTAGCGTCTGCTTGTAATCATGAGCGCATCGTTACCTTTCTTTCTGTAATTAAGAGCGGGCTCCAGTCAGGTGTGCGCTATTGTCTTAATTGTGTAGCACAGCTTGAGCTGCTAGATGAGTTACGCAGCACTAATGCATCTCTAAAAGTTATGATAGAAAAAGGGGACGAAAATGTACTCAGCCAGCAGAACGAGATAAGAAAATTGAATGTAGTGCTCAAGCAATTAGACACCGATGTGTCTACAATCAAGAAGCGTTACGATGACCTAAAGAAAGAGCACGAACAGATTTGTCAAGAGATACAGCCTTTGAAGGATCAGCTTGCTTTTTACGAACGAGAAAACATGGAGCTGAAAACAGAAAGCCTCGTTTTAACACAAGAACTGACACAGACCAAGATTCAGCGCGACCAATTTACGTCTCAGACAGGAAGGTCGGCCCCAGAGCTCGAGGAAGAGCTTTCCAGACTGAAAATATATCTAGCTCGTGCAGAAGAAGATATCAGGGCCTACAAGACTACTCTTGATGAGGTCGTGGACGCAAAAACACGTTTGGAGTCCAACGAGAAGGAACTTCTCAGTATAATTGACTCTAATGAGGCAGAGCGCTTGGTACTGGAGAAGAAACTCCACCGTCTTGAAGTAGAGAAGAACGAACTTATGGAGGACCTCTCGATAAGTCGTAACGAGGTTACACAGCTCACAGAGCGTGTAACATTAATTCAGACAGAGTCAGCACAGAGGATCGAACAAATTCTCTCATCCCCACCTGAGCTTGATGAATTTGGAACGACCCCGCTGATGACGGCCGCTGCAGCAGGAGATCTCCAACTTGCTAAGTCCTTCCTTTCACAGGCACGTATGTCTAATAACGATGGTATGACTGCGCTTATGTTTGCTGCAGAGGCCAACAGCGTTCCCGTTGTGAGCCTATTACTTGAATTGGAGGGCGGAATGATCAACAACTTCGGGGAGACAGCGCTGATGATTGCCGCGGAGTGTAATAATGTTGAAGTCACCGGGTACCTTGTCGAGCGCGAAGGTGGGATGAAGCGTCCAGATGGTAGTACTGCACTTGAGATTGCTCTACTCCGTGGATACTTCTCTGTTGCTGAGGTGCTTACCGGAGTAGAGGGTATCAGTGTAGAGGACGTAAGCACAGAAAATAGATGTATGACCGAGCTAATGATCTCTGCCAAGGAAAACAATATTGTTCGCGTCTGGTCCCTTCTTCCTCTACAGGGCGGGCTTGTCGATCAGGAAGGATGCACTGCTCTCATGTTTGCCGCTCAAAGGGGCCACGGAGAGGTTGTGCGTATTCTGCTAGAGAAGGAGGCAGGGATTTCCACAAATTGGGGCTCCACGGCGCTCATGTGGGCAGCACAGAATAACCACATAGACTCTGTACAGTTGCTTTTGGAAGCTGAAGCATGCTTCCAGAAAACTGATGGGGGGACGGCCTTAATGTATGCAGCTCAGGAAGGCCACACAGAGATTGTTCGGGTGCTTATGGAGAAAGAGACGGGTATCCAGAACAAGATCGGTTGGACTGCGTTGATGTATGCATGTAGCCGTGATCATCTAGCCTGTGCAGAGCTCCTTTTGGAGACCGAAGGAGGAATGTGCAGCAACGACAAAGACACCCATGGAGCAGGCTTTTCGGCGCTTATGGCTGCTGCACGCAACGGTGCCATTAACTGTGCAAGGTTATTGTTGAAGCGTGAAGGTGGAATGCGGCAAAACGACAACGGAACTGCTCTTATGTGGGCTGCAAAGAGTGATCACGCCAATATCGTCGAGCTTCTTGCTCCAAAGGAAGCAACCATGACTACCAATCACCGTCATAATATGGGCCAGGGCGTGACAGCCCTTATGATGGCGGCCGCTGATGGAAAGTATGCTTCTGTCCAAATGCTGCTTGCTCAGGAAGCCCACATGACAACAGGCACCGGAAAGACTGCGCTTGATTATGCTAAGACAAGCGAGATTTGGTCTCTAATAAGAAACTATGGGCAGTGACTTCTATAATGCACCTGTCCTGTAAACAACGCCAGGTTGAAATTTACGTCAAAATGCCTCGAAATCGTCAAAGTCTGCACCTGTGTCGTTGAGCCCAAGGGAAACTCCCGGGGCGTCATCATTTCCATCAGAAAAATCATCTTGGTATTGCTCTTCCTCTTTATCAGTTTTCTCAGGAGGGGAAACGGTTTGATCCTGATTCCTAACAGGTTGTGCCCGCGTCACAGATCGTCCTATGCCACGACTGACTGGTCGCCCATCGATAACTACGTTGACATTCATTTCTGTATGCCGCAGCCTGCCATCTTCCACTATCGCCTCCTCTGCAGGCTCACCTATCTCATCAAACACATTCTCCTCACTTTCAACAGCAATGTCAAGAGAGCCCGGGGCCTCCTGAGCAAAGTCGTTCAAGTCGTATTCTTGCTCGGATGAAGCCTTAGCATCACATTGCAGCTCCAGCGGCTGTTCGTCCGTTGATTCGAAATCAGCAGGCACCTCGTATGTCTCTTCCGGTGCATCAGCTTCCATCAAATCTTGAGGAGCCAAATCCTGCAAGTTGTCCGGGTAAATCTCTAGATTATGAACCTGAAGAGAATCAGCGCCATCTGCAGACTCCTGAATAGAAGACGCTACGTAATCTACCGTATTAGCTTCATACTCCTTCGCTGGCTGAAAATCAGTTACCGCAAGTTTCTGAGGTTCTACATCCAAGTGATCTTGAAGATCCTCTCCATTGTGGAAAGGTTCAGCATTATGAACAACACTACCAACAGCAGGCGTCTGCTGAGCACACTCCTCAGATGGCGTCTGCGCACAATCAGGGAATATATGATCACTAACTAGGCTATTTGTAAGACCGGGGGTTTTATCAATACAATGTGCATCTGGTGTATCGTTAGTGTTGTGATCTTGCACATCTTTGCTAGAAGCATCAGCGTGTTGGTCTTCTTCTAGTGACATGTGTTGAACGCTCTTTCTTGTCGGAGAAATCTCGTCTAGTTTAAGGTTCTTGGTTGTGGGAGACTCTCCTTTGAGTGATGGACTTCCAGATCTCGAGGTACTCATAGGATAGTACTTGGGAGGGGGATGCACCACATATGCGTTGGACGTGCCGACATACTCGCCGGCTATAACAGCAGACGGCCGGCGAGCTTCGAGAAGCTTTCGCTTGCCGGCCTTACCACTCTGAGTAGAGCCTGACCGGGCGGGCTTTTTAGCAGTAGAAGCTGATCGCGTCGTCGACCGTGGCTTATTTTGAGTCCCTAACTGGGGTGTATATTGTTTCGAGACACGGGTAGAAACGCTACGGGACTCAGTGTCCTGAGTCCGCAAGGGGGCACGGGACCTATGTGAAGACTTCGCAGGCTGCTTTGTACGGGGCTTGCAAGATGATGCTGCTCTTTTTGGCTGCTGCTGAGCATTGATGGAGGGAGATATAAAGGACGACTGAGTGGAGTGGACATCGTGATTTTGGGAGTAAAACAGCTCATTGTTAAGCATGTTCTGCACCTGCAGACTATTTTCCTTCTTATGTGCAGAAATTGCTCGACTATAAACAGATTTATGCTGCCGTGAACTAGACCGGGATTTGGGATACTTATCCAGCGGAGAGATTGCTGCATGGGCGTCGCTCATGCGCCGCTGACACTCTGCTTCTGCATTGTGGCGGAACTTATCAAAGATGAGCAAGGAGAAAACAAAGTACTGGTCTAAGGACGCGGCTCGACGCCGAACAAACTCAGATGTATGCGGATATGGCATCAAATATCGTGTCAATCTCTTATGCCCTGAAAAATACTCTAATAATGCGTCTATTGTCTGATCTGGAGAAGCCTCTATATAACGTGCCGGGTCGACCAGCGCTCCTGGCATAAGGTTACCGAACACCTGTATCAAGTCTGATCCAACGTGTGACTGTATATTGGCCGGCCTGGCCCCAGTTAGAAACATTAACGAAGCTAAGCTTTCCATCGTGCATGGAAGTTCTAGCAGTTGAGTCAATGTTGCAGAAACGTTGAGAAGCATAGCTACAGTTTTCTCAGCTCGAGAATCGTGGGATGATAGGTCTAGCTCATAAATATCATGGATGTGGTAAGAATCAACCAGTTTGTCGCGAGGATTCTGGGAAGGAGAGGCCATCGTCCGCGGAGGCGGCGACAGATCACTAAGATTGAGGGTTTTGTTCATAGTATTATCGTCGGGAATAGTGGAGCGGTCGGTAGCGGTTATAACAAACTTCTCAATCAAATCAGGTCTATCTATATACTTCTCGGAGATATATGTCATGATATCTGGATTGAAGAGCTCCTCAGCCAAAATGGCCCCCAGGATATCCTGGCCCCGGGGAGCATCGAAGCCAAGCTTGTACGGCTCATGCCTCTTTCCAGTGCATATATAGATCTTTAAACAGATCTCAATCAACGCTAGTGTGATGAGGCGTATCTCATCAAAGCTTGTAATAAAGCTTCGACGCAGTATTCCTCCACTATTCACCATGCTGCGAATGCGGCGCACATATTGATCTCGCGCAGAGAGTAGTCCGATAAAGCGGGTCCGCAATAAGAGAAACCACGCTAAGCGCTCTGCATATGCTCGCTTTGCAGCCGAAGATGATCTTATGTACTGAGCTGTTACTTCTCGTTCAGCTAGCTGTATGCCAATTTCATTCCAAAGAGTCTTGATGATTAAGCTCATGTTCTGCGACTCTGCTTGCGGTCCGTCGCGCAAAATAAGCCGTATGAGTTCTTTGTCTAACTTGCCATAGAGTTTTTGGCGCTTCATTATCATTGTGAGATAATATCGCAAGTTCCGATCAGTATGGCTGATATTACCATATTGGAACGTTGTTTTGGATGATCGGCCGTCTCCGTTGATAGAGGATCCCTGGTGAGAGCCTCCGTCGTGGTTATGCGGCCTCACATACATCGATTTTTTTAGTTCACTGGTCTATAAAGCATTGTCTAGATTGTCTCTACCTCGATCTTGTACTTCTGAACCACATCGTCCATGCACTTCTGATTCTCTGCTATAAGTAGGGAGACACTCAACCCTTTGCGACCAAATCTGCCACACCGCCCAGCCCGATGCATATAAGAGTGTGGATCACGAGGAAAGTCATAGTTGCACACAAAAGTCACCTGTTGAACGTCAAATCCGCGTGCAAGCAGGTCTGTACTGATAAGCAGTCGTGTCTTTCCTGCGCGGAAATTTGCAACCGTTGTTTCACGATCAAATGCAGGAAGATCCGCATGTATCCGCTCGCACGGGTGCTTTTGCTTGCGAAGAGCGTTATGTAACCAATCAACGGTGTGTTTGGAGTTGCAGAAAATTACACCTTGAACGATAGGTACTGACTCCAGAAGACTCGACAATACTCTAACCTTTTCGGCATAAATTTCCTCTTTTGATGAGCCCATGTCATTCTTGTCTTCGTCAAGAGCCTGCAATCCTTTGTATGATTTCCGTCTTGATCGACGTTTAATTCGAGGCTCTAGCCAGTCATCGCTATCTTCAGTCTTAAGTTGGTCTTGTTTCTGCTTATGAGAGACAGCCCTTTCAACGTCAGCATCTGTGTAGTTGAAAATGCGGATACAAACATGGCGAATAGCTGTTACACTGCTGTGCTTTGGTACTATGCTGATGTGGTTGATTGCTGGGCAGAGCTCCTTAATTGTTCGTTTGTATATATCGGTGGCGGTCGCTGAAAAGCATCCTATGATTGTCTCTGGTGCCAGGTCTCGTAGAAAAGAGACAACCCCGCGATAGCTCTGCTCCTCTAGGAGCTTGTCACACTCGTCCAATATTACTAACTGGAGCTTTGAGAGCTGTATGGCTGCACATAAACCACTCAGACGTTTTGGGGTCACGCAGACAAAGTGAGCGCTACCCTTTGTGATCTTCTCAAACTGTTCCTTCGCCATCACTCCACTTGTGAGACACACACCCCTTATGCCTGACCGAGTACCCAGAGTATTTATTACTTCTAATGTCTGATTGGACAATTCCTTGGTTGGCGAGATAATCACTGCTTGACAGATTGATTTTTGTGGATTCACTAATGACAGCAAAGAGATTCCAAAGGCAGCAGTTTTCCCGCTGCCAGTTTGTGCATTGACACTGATACTTTGGCCTTGAATCAATTTTGGGATTGAGTATTGTTGTACTGGAGACGGTATTTCAAAACCATATTTGTAAATAGCCTTAATGAGATCAAACGATGCCAGATCCTCAAATGCAAAAGCATCCATAGTAAAAATTTTTTGATTTGATACAACTATCAACTTGAACGGCTGTACTGGATCGGGTTAAATCTATATCAAGAGACTCCAGGAGAAAGGCGTATTCAAGCGGTAATACCTTTTAGCTAATGATAGCTCCTAACACAGCTATGAGACAAGAAATGTCGAGCATATCAGAGTGCCTTTGCATTAAATCTGGGGCTGGAAAGTAAGGGCTCATGCTATGTTATTATTAGTGTAAAGAAGATCGCATGTTCCATGGTTGGTGAGGTTACAGACCAGCCGGCTGGGCAGCCGCTGCCCCCGTGCATTAGCACCCTATGCAGCCACACCCATCGTCCCAACCATGCACGGACGGCCAGCATGGTGGACGTGCGGTAGCAAGGGAAACTAAGCGGCGAAAACAACACTGGCAGCAACTTGGAGTGCCGGGAGTCGAACCCGGGTCGTAACCGCATACGTAGTTGATAGCCATGCCATCAAAGGCCACTGTGCTCCCGCTGCACCACACCCCACGGGGAAGGGCAGCAGCGTAAACGTGTGTGTGTCGTACTTGGAAGTGGAGGGACGCGGATAGCACTGGTTGCTCAGACGTGGGGGCTCACCGAGGGTAGCTGGCCAGCCCTCATCGCCCCAGCTCCCCCCACCTCACTCACCGGCCGGCCTGCTGTGGAACCCAGGTGACCGCGACTGTAGAGCACTGCCCGGGACACAGCCGGACGGACACCGAGGGGCCCAGCCAGCGGAGGGCCCGATGGCAGACGGGGCATCTAAAAAGGACGGCGACCAGAGCTTCACCCACCGTGAAGGGAGACCAAGGAGAGGCGCCACCGGTAGAGCAGAGGGTCTGCGAGAGGACCCGAACCCCTAAAGGACCGACGTGCACACTCGGACCGAGTACACCTCTGCGGAGCGACCAGGGAAGGTGCCAGGTTTTAGATATACTAAAAGAGAGGAGCTCCTCGTTATATCATCCACAACCAGCCCTCGTCTCCGGACACGACCACAGGAGCGAGACTTACTCCTGGGATTTCTGGGTGCCCCTACAGGTAATCCCAACAGCATAGTGCAATAAGCCATATACGGTGACGCGTTTACTACCTAAGTCACGCCTTCCCTCTACATATGAACCACCAGCAGAGGAAGCCCACGAGGCCCCCCACGACGATGACAGCGACGGAGATCCCTGCTATGGCCCCCGTGCTGAGGCCGCTCCTGTTCGTGCTGTCTCCTCCAGTATCTCCGCCGGTGCCATCGTCAGCCTTTTGTTGCGTTACGTAACAGGTGACAGGGCCATTGCCACCAGCTGGCGGGGCACAGCTTATGCAGTTTTCTACACCAGTTATTGCATTAGAGCTAGCCTTATCACTATCCGTGCATTTGAAGCATTTATCACCGGCATCTTTGTAATACCCTGCTAAGCAATCTGTGCAGGTTTCCTTACTACCCGCACACTTCACACATCCTTCAGTACACGCCGGACATTTTCTTCCAGCTGGGCTTTGTCCATTGGCACACGTTTGGCATTGTCCCTTATTCTGTGCAGCCGTACACACAGAGCTACCAGGAAGCTTCTGTGTGTTGTAGCATCCGCCCGATAACAGAGCGTAGTTTGCTCCACACTCAGTGCATTTCCCGCCACTTGCCTTACATCCGGAGGCATCCCTCGCTGCTGCAGGTATGGATGTGCAAACGCCGTCGACTGGGGCGTACCCCTCCTCGCACTGATCGCAGTACTTCGAGCCTCCGACGTTCAGTGAGCAGCCGTCGGCCTTGCAGTGGGCCATAAAGTCTCCCGTGCACTCTTTTATGCACGTTCCTGTGTCATCAGATGACCGATTCAACACATACCCTGGATAGCAGGCCGTGCACGACGCTTCTGCGTTAGTGCTACAGCTTGCACACGATTCGTGGCACAGATTACAAACGTTAGCGTCAGTGCGAGTTCCCGCGGGACAGGCATCTAAGCACGCGTCTCCCAAGGGGCTCAGCTTCTTTTCTGATCCGCAAGCTTCGCAGACGTTGTCCTTACTGCACTTTTCGCAATGCTCCATGGGACACACAAAGCAGCCTGTTCCGGCTTCATTGGGTTTTTTAGTACCCTCGCAGGTAAGACACTTAACGGAATCTCCAGTCTTTGAGCACGTCTTGCAGTCGGCCACACCGCCCTCACTGACACTACCGCAGAGATGGCACTTTTTGTCCTCTGCTATTGGGAAGTGTGTGTTACCACATCCGTTTTCGTCAACACACGTGCCTGTCCCGTCGCTATTGGCCCCTTCTTTGAAGTATTGCTTACCAGTATCCTTGCAGGAGGTGCATTTATCCTCACCGTTGCCGGTGCACGTTCTACAATCTGCATGGCACTGCTGACAGCTTGTAGTGCCATAGTATCCGTCCACACAGCTTTTACATGTGGCCGTCTGTTCTGCACTGCTTTGTCCGGGAGTTTTCGGGGCGTCGCACGTCGCACAGTTCTGAACCCCCTTATTATGATCCACGCCGGCCGTGTTGTTGCATGCAATACAGGACTCCTTCGTTTTATCAGCGTCAGATGCAGGATTCTTGAAGTACCCGTCGTGGCAAGCTATGCATATTCCATCCTTATCAGCCGTGGCAGTTCTATCGTTGCACACAAGGAGCCCGATATCGCTTCCCATCTCGTAGCACCCTCCTCTGTGCAGGAAAAAGCCGGCTTTACAAGATTCACATGTGCCATCATTCTTTGCTGTACATTTTCCTTCAGTGTCTTCACCTTCAGGCACACATTTTCCATTGATAAGATGCTCTGCTGCTGTCGAGCACTGGGAGCAGAAGTTTGAGCCCCCAATCCAGACGTCGCACTTTCCTGTTGCGCACTGTCCTGTTTGCGGGTCACTGCTAGCCTCTGTGCATGTCGTTGCTGCCCATACCACTTGCAGGATGGCGATTCCGAAGATGATTTTCTCGAACATTGCCGGCAGCCCATAGAGCACGCAACACCAGGCGACGCTGCCACGTGGTGAGTGAGGATAATGTGCACCCTACAGGCTTACCCCGGTGTAGCGGATCTCTGGTGTCCTAGCGGCCTCTCCTGTGTGTGGTGTCTCTAGGGACCAAGGAGAGAATGGGCGTTGTGGCATCTCAAGAACGGCCCCTCGCACATCACCGGTGCTTACGACAGTAGCCATCACCCCACGAATGGTCCACTCAAATAATGAATGCACCCACTGCTATGAAACTGGACCGATGCTCTTCACAAGAGCTGCCTGGACGGGAAGAAGCGCTGTGCTGTTGGGATTACCTGTAGGGGCACCCAGAAATCCCAGGAGTAAGTCTCGCTCCTGTGGTCGTGTCCGGAGACGAGGGCTGGTTGTGGATGATATAACGAGGAGCTCCTCTCTTTTAGTATATCTAAAACCTGGCACCTTCCCTGGTCGCTCCGCAGAGGTGTACTCGGTCCGAGTGTGCACGTCGGTCCTTTAGGGGTTCGGGTCCTCTCGCAGACCCTCTGCTCTACCGGTGGCGCCTCTCCTTGGTCTCCCTTCACGGTGGGTGAAGCTCTGGTCGCCGTCCTTTTTAGATGCCCCGTCTGCCATCGGGCCCTCCGCTGGCTGGGCCCCTCGGTGTCCGTCCGGCTGTGTCCCGGGCAGTGCTCTACAGTCGCGGTCACCTGGGTTCCACAGCAGGCCGGCCGGTGAGTGAGGTGGGGGGAGCTGGGGCGATGAGGGCTGGCCAGCTACCCTCGGTGAGCCCCCACGTCTGAGCAACCAGTGCTATCCGCGTCCCTCCACTTCCAAGTACGACACACACACGTTTACGCTGCTGCCCTTCCCCGTGGGGTGTGGTGCAGCGGGAGCACAGTGGCCTTTGATGGCATGGCTATCAACTACGTATGCGGTTACGACCCGGGTTCGACTCCCGGCACTCCAAGTTGCTGCCAGTGTTGTTGGTCACGTGTCCAGCTGGTTAGCGTGAGAATAGGTTGCCAAGTACGATAGGTTTTGTTGTCCAGTCATCTGTTCGATACCGATTAGTTTTCACAACAAGGCATTAGCCACAGTTGTTCCTCTACTTCATCAATATGTTCGTGCACGCTTATTCTATAAGTTGCAAACGTATGTCAGCATCAAGAATATTTCTTTCAATTTGAAAATTTGGACGGCTTCAAGTACCTATCCTTTTCAGCAGGCGCACGCAAGCCCCTAAGCCATTCATCAGTAACCTAGTTGCATCTTCTAAGATACCTCTCGGCATCTTGCTCTGGATATCTAAAAAATGTCAAGTAGACTTTTAGCACGCACACGGCCAAGGCTTACGAACACTCCATCCCTCAGCGAATCTTCAGATCCTGTGGTAGCATCTGTTGTGCACACAATTTCCTTATCAGGCCAACCGACAAGTCCAGAACCCGATCTACATGACATCCATAGTTCTCCCACAACAACCCTCTCTGATCTAATTTCAAGACGGATACAGGCAGATCTTGTAAGTAATTCTGCGCAAAGTGCTGTTTCACAAGCATTACGAACAGTTTCATCTATGTCACCCATCGCTCCCAGACACACTATGACTCAAGACAATTCTGGGATATCGGATGCAGTGGTTGATATCTCAATAGCTAGAACTGCTGGAAACTTGCCTCCGTGGCATCAACACTATAGAGCTGGTCCATTAGAGCTTCTTGCTGTTCCTCACAACAAGACGCGTCAGCCAGCAGACAAGATACCAGAGGATATTGCCCCCTCTGTTCACCTCAATCACCACGATGTACTAGATACGAAATTTCAGCGGCCAATTACCGCTAAGTATCTTCCCACCGCGGGGGAAAGTCTTGCCGAGAATAATGAGACCTCATGTAAGGTCCTTAACGCGCATACACCTCCTGGTAGAATGTTTCCACATGCACCCAATCAAACTCCACCTCCATATGCGATATCACCGGCTTTGAACAAGGCTGGGATACAGGAGACTTTATCGTCCTTCAGCAATGATAGTGTAGATCTCCCTGGCGTCATAGCACATGTAGATAGAGACACGAAAACTGTACCTTTACCCACTGGTGCTGGACAAGTACTGAGCATAACAAGAACAGTTTTAGCCAATCGGATACCAGCACCTGCAGCTATTCAGCCGAGTTACTTCGATCGCGCCACAAGTTCTCCATCTATTGTACCTTCTGGTATCATTCCTGTCATTTCTAAACCAGAGCTACTACCTATGATGCCATCTGCTAAGTCAGCTCCTTCAATTGATCAGCGGGAACTAAATCCAAATGAATCCGCTACATCACCAGATATCGTGGAGATTGTTTCAGTCAAAAATTCTTATAACGATAAGCAGGAACCAGAGCCGCTGAGTGTTCTCATTCAAAAAGCCATACTAAGACAACACAAAGAGAAGCTGGATAAGGCTCCAGATAAAATGACAGAGATAGCTGCTCGAGCACAACAGATGAAAAACGCTTATGATATAGAAAACAGATTGTCTCAACCTGCCAGCGTTTTGACGCCATGTTTTGGACAAGCGAATGAGCATCTCTCGTCGGTTACATTCTCTAACTCTAACAGGGAATCTAACTCTAAAACTGATCAATCTATATCTACGACCCAGACATCAGCCAAGCCAAAAGTTAGCACGAAGTCTAAGAGAAGATCAAGCAAAAAGCCCTGCTCCAAAAGATCCTCTAGTACAGAGAGCAGCTCTTCGTCATATTACTATTCTAGTTATTCTGAGGATAGCAATGAAAAGGTAAAGTGGCTATCTCTGGGTAAGGACCTTGCCAATTATCCTTTATATGTAACCAAATACGCCCCTTGTGGGAAATGCCAACATAAGGCTGGGATATTATCAGGTAATCACCCAATAGAGTGTGCCTCTGAGGCTTTGAAGCAGGTAGATGCACAGCCTCCTCCCAGCGACTCACCTTCCTTAGAGCCGCAATTGAACTATCTACATAGAAGCTCTCTTACCAGGATTGCTCCAAAAGATATCACACTGGAAGCATCACTTCCCTCTGCTCAGCTAGTTGTTCACCAAGCAGCTCCACAACACTCATACGAAGATAACTGTACTGGCGAGCCGGTCCATGCTCATCAAATAACACGCCTCCAGCACACTATAGCGCAGAAAAGAACATCTGCAAAAGAGTCAGGACCGCAAGCTAAAGAGATAATCGTTACAGCTATCCGTCGCCCTGAAGTAGCCCCTGCCTCTAACACACCAATTGCTGATAATCTGGCCCATGCATCTAATCATATTGCACCTACAGTAGATCTGAATTATAACGCTAGCGGCTTTACGATTCAGGACCCTGATAGTACAGATTATAACGAAGTCCTTTTCGTACTCTCACGAGAGAAGAGTAGTGCATGTATTGACAGCACACCTAGCTCCACTCCATACTCTACGAGGGGGCGGCTTCCTCCACGAACAGTAAAGGACTTGTCACCCCCTATATCAACGCCTGCCTACAACTCTGCTTCCATTCAACAGGAGGTTCCTAACGTTTCAAAAAAGGTTACACCGCATCAAGCACAGCCCTCTGAAAAGCACTCTATAGATAGTCGGGAAGAAGTTCAGGCCATTCTTGCCCACCCGTTTCGTCCCAGCGGAGCTCCAATAGTCGCCAAGCCTGTTCCCAAAACGCCTTCTGATCTCAGCTATCTCTCGTGCGTAAATAACATCATGGACCTGCACTCTGTCTCCGCTGTCAGTGACACACCAGAGCGTTTTCAGCACTACCACAGCGACTCATCCATTATGGGCGGGTCCTTACAGCATGCGTCCTCCTATCTGTCCCCTAACCAACCATTCTATATTGCAGGAGGGTTATTTACGCCTGACATGCGGGAAGAAACCTTTTCTAATCTGGAAGAGGGGGAAATCCCTCCAACTTACCAGCACATTCATGAGAGATTCCTACCCCCTAGCTACACCTATGTTTCCCACAATCCGACTACTAGCTCAATCCCTTCTGTCGAAGGTGAACATGATATCCCTTCGTTGGTAGAGCTTGCGAACTGTTCCCTGACGCCAGAAGAAGATCTGGTCCTCGCCAAGGCTATGGAGGCGCTGAATATCTAGTTTACATGATTACATGGAGCTGAGCTTGCTTATCATTCCTGTGAGTTGCGCTACAAACATTGACATCATTTCATTGGCCTTGTCAGACAGCTGGTCGATCTTTTCAGCGGTATCCACTCTCACCCTGGTTATTTTTGCATTCTCGTCATTGATTTCTTGCTGTAGGGCTCTAACCTGACTGAGCTTCTTAGCATATGTGGCTTCCAGGCCTTCGCAATCTTCGGTGAGTCGCCGAAGCTCCTCTTCATCTGCGCGAAGACTAGGGTTGTCCTGTTCTTGCTCTACGGCAGATCCATACTGCATTGCATTGTTCATATTCTCTATTTCTTGTTTGGATGCATTAATCTGCGCGTCCAGGGTATTAACGGTATCCTTCATTACCTGTAGGCTCTCCAACTGTGCCTGCAGATTGTCACTGGAGCTACTATATTGATCAGCTGTGTCAATCAGTTCGGTTATCTTGTCGGTTATCCCCAGAAGATCATTGTTGTGCTGCTCAAAAATATTGATCGATGATAAGAGAGCATCGCACTGAGTTCTCAGGTCATTTCCTAAGGCCTCAGCAGCTTGTATGTCCTGAAGAACGGCATCGTTTTGTTTTTTAGTGATTAGAGTGCTTTTTTCAGATTCATATTCTTCGGTTTTCTTCTTGACTTGACCTTCCAGCTCAACTAGTTCGTTAGTCAGCACAAGTATCCGGTTGGTGAACTCGCTATTTTCCTTATCAAGACGTTGTTGGCTCTCGAGTGCTCTGTTGTATCGTTGAATAAGGGGATCGATCCGCGATGGCAGCTGAGAGGCCGTCTCCCGGAGCTTTACAGTTTCATCTGTTATGCGACTAATTCCTAGCTTAAGGGCTGATGCAGATTCCAAAACAGGCTTATTTTGAGTGTACGCAGTTTTGTATTCTGTTAGGGCTGAGTGAAGGATTTCAATTACCGCCTCACGGAACCATAAAAATTCAGAGATATTGTGCAGCTGGGCTTTGTAGCGCTTGAATGCAGGCATAAAGATGTCAGTAAAGGAAAAGCCCGGATACTTGCAATCGGCTAGGAACTCTTTCAAAATACCGTATTGAGCATAGATATTGAGGATATATTGATACTTTTCGGCGTAATGCTCGCTGAAAAGCGCTTTAAATTGCGGGGGGATGTCATCGATAACTTTGGACAAGGGAAGGAGATATGCTGTGTTGTAGAACATCATAAGGGTTGCAAGGACGCTTGACGGCTTCAGAGGCAACCCCTGATCCAGAGTGGCCACTGGGACTTCGATGTGCTGAGTTTCCTTGACCACTTTGGCAAGTCCAAAAATGGAGCCGTTGATTGCGTCGATGATCTTCTTTTCATGTATTTCCTTGAGCTGCTCATCGGTCATGACCTCCATTGGCTGGTCGGTGAACGGCTGTGTGAGCCCATCCATCCGGCTGCTCAGTGATTTTTTAGTTTTCAAGTGACTTGTCATCGAGAAGGTTTAACCGCCATATCTTCCCCTCCATAGTAAAGATTATAATGTATCCCCCAGAATAGTGCACATTGAGTACTTCATTTGAAACGATGTACGTCTTGAGCAGAACAGCCTCTGGGAGGTGTAGAAGTAGGATTTTGTTCTTCCAGGCTATGACTGCGTAATCTTTTAGAATGAGCATGGCTGTGGGCTTTGCACACAAGAGCGGCGTCAGTGAGCTGTACGTTGCTGTGTGCAATGTATCATAAAAGTCCACAATGAGGAGATAGTAGCCATCTGCTATGCGTAAGATAAGATGGAGACTGTGTATGCTGTAATTGATCAGTGGATCAGTGGATGCATTTGGCAAGGCGACGGCCGGCTTACCAACACAAACCAATGACGGGTTTCCAGTCGCGCAAGTACGCACCAATCCACAAACATCTACGTGGCTATTAAGGCGGAAGGTTATCAAATCAGTCACGAGCGAAAGTGCTTGCTTAGAGCCACCCCCGTGGTTGTTCAAGGTGGGGTTTTCAATCAACTCGTACATATAACAGTGCCCCGCAGAGGTAAAAACAATAACCTTGTCGTTAATCTGACAACTGTCAAGTACTTCTGTTTGTCCTGAAGTGATTTCGCTGAGCTCAGGAGAGCAATTCCGAGCAGAGGTCTGAAGAAATATGAATGCGGGATCCTTTTTAATTGCAGTCATGTAGCCTTTGCAATCTTGCATGCTCAAGTCTCGTGCGTATTCAAAGCTCTTATCCTTTAAAAACAAGAAGGGACATGCCACGCAATCTAGAAAAAGCGCCAGAAGAAAGAGCCGTCGAGCCCTGCTACAATACCCAAAGACGCCATAGAGGATAGCACTCTTCTGACTGAGGTCTTCTCCGCGCGAAAGCGCGTCCTGCAACACAGTAAGTTCCGTCTGAACGCGTTGGTTGGTGCTAGAGTCATGGAGCTTCATTATCTCAGGCAAGTTCAGGTCAAGGTGCTTGAAAATAGTTGACATAAGCCTTGGGTTTTGTGTACTGAAGAAGTGTAGGTGAACAAATTGATGCTCATATTTGTGTATGTGATTGATTGCTTCCAGATTAATTTGTACTTTGCGATACTTTCGCCTCTTCATGAGGATATTGCAAAGATTCCCACCTGCGTCATCAGCTGGGACATCCAGGCTTGTTAGGTCCATCTCTCTAGCCTTTGTGGTGACACTGTAGGTTAGAATCTGTTGTTTTTTGGGGAGATACAGCAGCATCGTGTTGGCGGCTTGAAAGACCTGAACTGTCTGCATCTGGATGTCTATGTCTTGCACGCGATCGTTGATGTCATCGATAAATAGATGATGACCTTCAAATGTCCACTTGTCCTCAAAGAAAAGACCGTTGCTGGATTGAGCTATCGAAAGTTCGAAGAAGCAGACCTTTTCATTGAAGGAGCTTAGAGCAACAAACCGAGTAGCCACAGAGTTGATACGATGTATCCCTAGGATTGGTTGAGAATAAATGTAGTATAGATCGTAATACCCATCCGTTTCTGACCAGCTGACATAGTAGAGATTAGAGCCTATAAAGACTACCAAACGATCGCTTGTTTGCATGATTGCCTTTGGCACACCCAACGACTTGATGTCCATCTTGGCATCCGTTACTGTGCACACAATCTCCCGAAGCTCATAGACCTTCTGCTGAAACGTTTGGAAGTCAAACACGATGAGAGTGTGGGACAGCTTCATCATGCAGAGAAGGTTGTCACAGAAGAACTGACAGCATATGGGGATCTTGTCAGCCTTGTCCTTAAGCTGGATGAGGATATCTGTTTCACCGCTATTACTCACATCTATGTGCTCTGCTACGCATCTACTGTCGAAGGACTTGGAGTCGGGGTTAGAATATCTAAACAGGACCTCTCCGTTTAGCGTAGAGACAAAGAACGCAACATCGGAGTTGTTCGGAAAGCCATAGAGCATCCTATTCATGCTTTTTTCTGTCAGTATACGGGGGAATTGAAAGTTGTCCAGGCTATTAGGCTCCATAAAGTTATACGTTTCAGAGACGGGGTCCCATGCGCACGGGAAGTCGAGTATCTGGCCCTTCTCGTCTGATTGCAGGGCTATAGAGATGATATCTATCTCTTCATACACTATTTTGCTGACCATGTTGTGAACAACCATGCCATGACCGTAGCTATGCGGGATGTCTATTTGTGTGATGAGTTTGAGACTTGGTTGCTTGCCACCTCCATCATCTACTTCTATAAAGATGATTCTGTAGACAACGAGCTGATTGTTTGTAACAAATAAGTAGTAGTCGGTCGGTGCTGCATGATTGCCCTCGAGTGCATAGACTTGTTGAACAGTGTCTCTGGTGGGCTCCTGCATAGGGTACTGCCAATAGCCTCGGCAGTAGATATTCCGTTCACAAATAACAAGCTGTCCTGCAGATAAGACGCTGACACCTTCTGTATCACGGAGAACCATGGATCCGAGAAATTCTGCGTTGACATTGGGCGTTTCACAAAGTAGAACCGATTCATTTTCCGTTATTAAAACATAGTGCAGTGGCAGGTCAGGAGCTGTAATAAACGTGCCATATATAGTGTCTGAAAGAATAAGGTTATCAGTGTAGACATAATCCAGCTCCTTAAGGCTGTTTTCTGAGAGAATATTCGGTAGCGGCTGAAAGGTGGGGATATAGAAGGCACCTGTTGTCCGCGAAATGCAGAGCAGAAGATCATCTGCAACGGCTGCAGAGAAAGTAACTGACATGTCACCATCAGCGCTAAGCTTTAGCAGTGGACGCATGTGTGTAACAGTAGAAACAATCATTGTATCTTCGGTGTGGGCAAGGAGCATGTCCTGTTCTGCCCAGCTCTGAATGAAGGAAAGACCGCGAATCTGGGGGGTCTCATCAGGGAAAAGTTCTTTGGCATAAGAAATTTCCCTCAACTGGTTAGCGTCAAGTAGTAACAAGTTGTTACCTATTATCACGTATAATTCTTTGGACTCATTTGATGGATGAAACTGTACGTTTATCGGAGAACGTATAGGTGTGGGGATAATGGTTGCGAATGAGTAAGTCGCAAAGCACTCTAATTTTCCCTCGGTGTTTCCAGAATAGAGATCGGTGAGCTTTCCGTAGAGTCTTATCTCCGCTGGACCAATGATAGCCAGAAGATCGTTCCAAAAATAGCAACCTAGAATAGGGTTGAGAATAGAAGCATGTGCAAGTATAGTATCTCCTTTGAAGATCGTGTACATACCGATGGACGAGTACGCCATAAATATGCACCCTTCTGGAAGCTTCTGGCCCACGAGGTGCGCAGCTGAATGGTGGAGGCGTATAGTAGAGACGCTTTTCAACGTGACGTTTGTGTCACTGACATTAATTGATAGAATAGAGACTGTTCGCTCGTTTAGGAGCACGCAATAGGGCCAAACAATGGTGGCAGCATCAGCCATGCACGGTAGTTTTAGTGCTAGCAAAGGGGAACCTGTAACCGCTTCATCGTTGTTAAGAAGCTCCTCGTTAATCTCAGGCCTCTGAAAAAAGAAAAGTTTGCTTGTACCACACAGAGCAAATAACAGTGCAGACCCACTGCATATCTGCGAACATTTGTCTGCGAATGATTGATCGATTAAAGCATATGCCAGTGGCTTGATTGACGGATGTACTAAATTCATGATTTATTTTTGAGTCCCCTGGAAAACAGCCAGAGTCTCTGCTGTTCACTTTCTGTCCTAAGAGCGTACTAGAGCGAGAGTAGTTCTGTGCATGGAGATTAGTAGAGAAATTAAAGCCTTGCGCTCGTCTCTTATTAACATAAAGTCTTCGTTAGAGCATGCCCACAATCCAGCGTTCCACTACTTTACAAAAGAGCTGGGGAACCAGCTACTATCTCTAAATAAACTAGACCAGTTAATGAACAAGCCCAACGCGGCCAAAGAAGACTTTCATAAGGTTCTGGAAAATACCGCCGCAGAGTCATTTACACTTGTATTCGATAACAGGAAGGCCTTTGCTCAAATGGATTTGAGTATTTTCAAGGGCATAGAGCCAATGAAAGGCAGAGAAGCACAAGCACCGTCATACGCCAAACAGAGCCCAGGCGCAGGTAGTACTGATAAAACCCCACCAAGAGAACTGTTGAACGACCCTTTGCGATAGCCCTCCCCATAAGATCCTTAGATGTTGGGACGCTACTGCTTGCGTATTCTCTTAAATATATTAACTATCGTACGCGAAGCAATCCTTTTCTTCCACTGCTGCGTCCGCTCGTGTTTTTTCTTTCTTGCCTCGAGCGTGTGTTGCCGGTGGTTCTCTTCTCTGATAGCTTTAGTTTTCCGACGCCTACCTCGATCAATTTCGGCGTCCATCTCATCGGGACCTCTATGCAAGTAGTCGCTTACCAGTGCAAGTTCTCCATTCGGTGCTTTGGCTGTCAATATTTCTGGTGGAAGGTCCTCGCCGGTCCATGTTTCCACTTTGTTTGGATAGAGGACTTTCTCAAGTGAACTTGGATCGGTACACATCTTAGAACTCCTCCTAGGGGGTGTGTCAACTGGATTGTTGCCTTCTACAATGCTGCTAGCCGCAACAGTTGACGTCTTCTTTGTATTCTGCTGAGCTGAGGAGGGTAGGGAACTTAAGATCTCCTCGTCCTCATGTACAGATGCAATAACTTCGTGAGCTACAGCAGCCCCTCTTACAGATATGTCTGCTTTTTCGTACAGTAGCACGTATGCATCGGTTCCTGCTGAAACTTCTGCCTCAGATGCCCGCGTGACTATCGAGTCATCCACAAGGTACCAGACCCCCGAGGTGACATCTCGAACAAACGCGGTATAGTGGCCCGAATTCATGGTAGAACCGTGGTGATTTATCATTGCAACAAGCCGATGAGTCACAGTGGATGGGGCGCCAATATGTTTGTCAGGGTTGGCTAGCATGCTTGCCAACGAACCCCTCTGCTTACCGTGCTTCTTCTGTTTGCTATGCTTTGGAGCAAGAGGCTCAACTATATCCCGTGACAGACCTCGAGACATGTCAAGCTCCAGCGGACACGCACATGGCTGAGAGTTCTTCATTCCATAGCTGTCCCACCGCGAAATGCAGAAAAGGGCAATCGTTGGTGTATTACATATGTTCTGAACCATAGATATCTTTGTCTTCTGTCCACACTTTTCACATCGATATCCGTCCACCTCGCTGCCCCTAAAATACTTCTTCATCGCCCCATAGAGCGAGGTGTTCAGAGGAAGCTGGAGGGACCGTGTCAAAGAGTAGCTGATAGTATCCTTTTTGCATGTGCTGCAGGAAATTGTTGTTCGTTGTAGCTGCCCGAATAGCTGATCAATCGCTGTTGTGTCGCGATTTGGGGGAACGTACTCATCTGCCCTGGCTACTCGGATTTCTGCAGTGGAAATATTGTCCAGGATCAGCAGAAGAAGCTCATAAGCATCGCCCATTGAGTACGGAGACATGTGAAAGCGCGGCAGTTGGTTGATGATTTGCTTAGGATACATCGTCCCATACGACGCACCGGAGCTCCTGTGAGAGCTCCTGGCTGCATCACGGAGATCGTCAAGGGTGCTGAAAACAGCACGAGAAAGCTGATCCTTTGCGAGTAGTCCGCGATATTGCGTGCTGATAAGCAACTTCATTGCATGGACGCTAGCCTGTAACATCTGGATGCATGCATTAACATAGCATGTAACGCCATGGTTGTGCATTCCGACAACAAAGCATTTAGACAATTCCGCGGGTCCGAGAAGCGGTCCAGAAAGAGCATCACGCACCAGTTCGGGGGACGTGACATAACACGTGGGACGAGGAGCATCGGATGTCAGACACGTCGAGTCCTGGTCTGCGATGGTAATCTTAAAAAGGCCCTGGTCTGCTCCCAACGAAACTTCGTGCTGCCCAATAGCCTTCTCGATGAACTTGAGAGGCATTGGGACAAACCGTTGCGAAGATACAGCTGGGTCCTGTACGTGGAAGCCGGCAGAATGCATGGCAAGAATTACACGCGGTCCCTAAAAAATACATTTAAATCTCAGCTTCTTACTAAACTATGTTCAACTCCCGGATGTCGCGATACTGGGCGGGGCATTCTGATAAGATTATTCTTGCAAAATCCCGTGCATTCAAGGGTGGTTCGTCTGCTCGCTCCTTTGTTCGTAGAAGTTCTGATAAATTGACAAAATTAAAGTTATCAAATCTTCTCTGGAAAAGGACGTTATCAAACTCGCTGTAAGATGTGAAAGGCCCGATTCCGATGCCTAGTGCAATTATGGAAATGGAGAAGTTACTGGCGTCTATGATAGCCTGTGCATCTCGACCGATATCTGTGAGGTCTCCATCCGTGAGGATAATGAGAATCTGGTAGTCCTTATTTTTCACTGTGTCCTTGATTGTTTCATATATAACTGGGGCGATGGTGCTGCTCTCCGCTTCTGCGTTGGCTTCAATCCGTGAAAAGAACTCTGCAGTCATGACATCATAATGCTTTACAAGGTCATCGACAGAGATCTGCTCGGCGGTCAGCTTCTTTTTCATCCCGAAGGTGAGGAACTTGATCTCTGTTTCAGAGTCAAAGAGCTGTATGACCTCGATGAGCTTCTCTAGAGCGTATCTATAATCGTTTGGGATTACATTCCCATATATGTCCTTCGAGCTATGAAGGCTTGCGCCCCTTTTGGGGTCCTTCTGACCCCTACTAATGTTGGACCGGCTGAAATCAACAGCCACCACAAAGCGAGCACACTCTATTTTAGCATCTCTAACAGCGCTAATAAACTGCTCGTACGTATTATATCCCCCACTGTTAATTTTAAATGCCTTGGCAAGAGATGCAGAGGACCCCATTTTTTAATGGCTCTTGATTTAGATTTGGTTACAGAGAGACCGAGCTCGCTCTGGAACGCTTTTTGTGTGCAAGAGTGTACTCTCTTCGTGCAGCACGTACATTTCCCTTCTTGGCGGCTACTACAGAGTGGTCGGAAACTCCCGGTTCTGTGCGGCGCTGACTTTCCAAGGTAGACAATCGGAGAGTCTCTTCATTAATGCGAAAGTTTTGACGCTGTAATCCGGCGGCTGGTTCACCAATTGCATCTCTTTCCTGTATAAAGCTTGTGTATATATTCTCGAAGGGAAAGCGCAGACGTGGTATATTAAGCACCGCTGTAAGGACATAAAGCGCAAGACCTGCGGATGATACTAGCCGTACAACGGTAGAAACAGCTCCTGAACTGATGCTGAACTTGGTCACATCGTGGGCGTACTGTAAAAAGCAGTCGTGAGTCTCACTAGAGCACCCAAACTTACTGTGCAGGGACGTAGCACTCAGTACGTCCACATAGTCAGATTCCCACAAACCATACATGTAGCCATAGAATATTTCTTTATATCCCATTCCGGGAGTGATGCGAACCTGTGACTCGTAGGACCGCAGGCAAGGCTCATTGCCTTCGCAGCTTAGAAAAAGAAATCTCCGAATGCGACGGATTCGAAACCACTCGGCAACCCGCCCGAACAAAGCTATGAACGGTGCACAACCGTAAAGCCATATGGCCGTCAGGATCTTGTTCAGTGTCGTGTTTATCAGGAGTTCTGCACCGTATGAAAGGAGAACGACCAGAAGAGCAACACGCTTTACTGATACAGCATGTCTCCCGCTGGCTCCTAGCTTAATCAGCGTCTGTGCACATATGTGCAGTGCAAGATACCAAAGGATTCCACCGGGAGCAGCTCTTTCTAGCTTCCATAGCAGTTGCAATGGCCCTACTCTTTTCCAAGATGACTCTGAGGAGCCATCACCTCCTAATCCACTGCTAATGCTGCCTACTGCACTATTTATGTTAGATAGTGTTTTTGCCTGCTTCTTGGCCTGCTGCTCTATAGATTCCATTGCTAATCGCGTATTGACCATGATATCTCTGCTAGCTTCTTGGTTAGCCTCAATCACCTTTCTGCTCTCATCTACAGCCTCCGATAGATGCTGGAATTTCTCTGACAATGCATCTGTGTCATTGCTTACCGTTTCTAGCCTCTGGGAAATTGCACTCACGTTGTCTGTGAGTTGCTTGGCTCCTTCTCCAAGAACTTCAAGCTGGTCATTGATGGTGTCTAAACGAGAATAGAGAGTCGTGACGGAGTAGTCAACCTTGTGCAAGACCTGCTCTTGGAGCGATGCAGTATGCAGCATTAGGTCGTTGAGCTCTTTCTCGCCATCTTGCATGCTCAGACGAATCGCCATTAAAGAGCGTAGTATGTGGTCTTGATCTTCTCGGGCAGTAGTCTCAACGCGGGTAAGATTTTTGGATAGAGTGTCAAGCAGACGGACATACCCCTCAAGAATTTCATAACTGCCTTGGACGGTTCCGAGAACCGATGTTATCAAAGCAGACGCGTCCTTGGATGACCTAAGGAGGGTTTCTGCCGCCTCGGCTGACTGTCGCTGGAAGTCTTTCGCATCTAGATACATGCAAATATCAAAGACGCGCCCTAGCTGCTGTACAAACACCTGAAAGGCAGCACCAGAGTTCTGCTCACCAATCCTTTTGAGGCATTCTGCCATGGCCCGACTCACACTCTTTGCCTTAGATACCCCGAAGCTTCCCAAAATAGTGCCTTTCCAGCCAGTCACAGAGCAGTTTATTGGAGACATTCCTGCCATCTCGAGGTAGCAGTTTGTCAATCGCAGTGCAAGAATTCTTTGAATGGTCTCGCCTTCTGCTTCGTGGTCCGACTGGAGTAGGATTTTCTTGCACATGGGGACCATATCCTTGCTCACCTCTGCTATGCAGTTGTGCTCACTTGCGGCCGCAGCGATGTCCCCATATGCCTTTTGGCCTCGCAAATATATGTCAAGAAGAGCAGCCTGCTGGGCCACTGCAGAGAAGAGTAGTGTCCATATAAGCATATTGTTCCAAGACCCGACCCATGTGACGCTGTAAAGGTTACAGCTGGAGTCATCTATTTAGAATTGGAATTAGACTTTGAAATTCATCGCCCTCCGATCCATTCGTATGAGATATGATGATTGGGAGCGACCTATCTTGAGGACGACGGCCGCCCGTCTTACCTTGTGACGTTTGCCGTCTTACAATGCTCTGACCCTTTACTTAAGCTGCCGAGGCACTCGTGGTCGCTACTCTGTCTCAGCACGCAGGGTTGCCCATCCTACCGATTGGATTTGGGAGTACAAGCCAGCGAGATAAGGGTTTCTGATCGCTGCACTGTTGATCTTGCACTCAAGTGCCTCTCTGTAATCCACAGCTGGAACACACGACAAGACTACTAGCGCTACAATCAAACAGCGTAATTCGTAGTCGGCAGAACTCTCGCTTGAAAGTCCCTGGAGCATATAGGCCTTGCTCATAATAGTTGGCGGGCCGAGCTTGGCAGCTCCTGTCCGGTCTCTCCAAAGGGACGAAGGGACAGCTCCTCCAAGCCCCCTGGACGGGATGCAGTTGAATATGGCTGCTCTGAGAGCGTGAACAACACACTGAACATCGGCCTTGGATGGGCTGCTCAAGAGTGAGGCTGGTTCTGCTAGCACTATGACGAAGTGCGAGGAGGTCAAAGATATTGCATTGAGGACTGATTGAATACCATCACACTTATTGCCTGCAATTGGTTTGTTTTCGTAGGTAAAGATCCCCTTGATGGCGAGGCGGCCCTCTACATCTGGCAACAACGTCCATAAAGTGAGCTGGTCTACATATGTTTCTACCACATTAGCAGAAGAAAACTCAGATGCGAAAACAAGGGCAGGCTCGGGGGGTTCTCCTACCATTGCGGGAAATGTGTATATGAAAAAGGTCCCGCTTTCTTGCGTCCACTTACTACAACCAGAACAATCATCAGTACTAGCGTACTGATTTGCGCCGGTACTAATGTATTTCCTCACAGATTGGAGCTGGCTGATTACATTCGGTGAGATTGTAGAGCGGATCTCATGGAGTTGTCTTGCGAACTTAGCCGTGAATGATGCAGAACTTGATTTGTTGGGCTCATCAACAACAGATATAGATGCTGCTGCTTCGTCTGTGTTTTTTGCTAACAGATTCTTTCCCAGCTCATTTCTAAGGACAGAAAGTAACGGGATTCCCGACAATACTCTCTGGCCAGATGTACTCAGGGTTGCATTCTGGTACTTTTTGCGCATGGCCTCGCGCTCTTCTATGGTCGCCCCTTTATTTGCAGACACGTAAGACCCTTTGAAGATAGTCTCCGGAGGCCTGTTGAAAAACCTATACAGGAGGAATGGTACAATGAAGATAACCAGCGTGAGTAATGCAATCGCCAAAACAAGTACTCCCCACGCCATTTTTGGGTGGTTAAGCCCCGCTGGCTCGTTCACCCACGTCACCAATTGTTGCATAACGCTTGGAGAAAGCTCCAGGTCATGGTCATCTTTATCTGTCAATTTGAAGAGGTACTGGCCTTGGGCATTAATAACAACCGGTTTTGTTGTGCAATAATGTGTCCCGTTTTTGACAAAGTGTAGCTCTGCCACCTCGTCGAGTCCTTGCGCGCTACTAACGGTAGAGTAATCAACGTCCTCGGGATACTGTGAGATGTTGTACACTATAAGCTTGAAAAAGTCACAGTTCGGTAGAGAAGCAGCCGCGCGAGTGTCTGCAAACACTAGTCTGTTTCCGTACTTGTCTCCGGGTATGACCGAGACACTGAGTTGCCGATCTTTTCGTAGTATAGACGGGTTGAATATCACCGCGTTGACAGTAGTTTGCTCAGTGGGAGTGACAGAAAGGTTGCCAGTTGCAACCAATACTCCTGCTGAATACAGGCCCAGTTGGTAGTTGTGTGCATATATAGGGACCTGAAACGTGTACACACATGAGAGGTATGTACCAGCATTAGCTGATGTAGTGCTGGTATATGACTTAGTAGAGATATCACTCGGCAAAAGACCGATGTTGCTGCCAGTATATTGCAAACTGAATAGCAAGCACTTGGCCGAGTCTGTGCCGCTTCCACTGGGTGGTGAGGTAGTTGAAAATAAAGTGTTATACGTGATGGTGATATTACTACCCGCAGAAGCTGTACTTGTGTTGAGTTCAAGTTCTGGAAGTTTATCGCCGACAAGAACACTGTACATGCTTAGGTTTCCAAGATATAGCGTTTGAGTTCTGATATTGGTCGGATTAAACGCAACGATCCGGCCATTGCTGTAGGAGAGGGAGACAAGGTTCCTTCTCGACCGGGGAATAATCTTATCTGACTGTACCTGAAAGTCTGAGTCTTCTTCTGTTGTTTCTACGGTGGTAGGTGCTGTAATGGTCATCCACTCAATGGTGGAGGTCGTGGAGAGCACTGTGTCGGCTGTAACTGGTTGCGCGCTCGGAAGACGAGCAAACCTCACTTGACTTCTATCTTGATTGTCTATAATGGCCACGCTATCTAGCCCAAATCCCAGGGGGGATAATATATGAGGAGTGGACATGTTAACGATAGCTCCCAGTTTGACTACGTTTGTGGAATCGCTTAGATTGTACTCCAAAACGACAGCAGGAGATTGCCCAGAGTCTATTCCAACGAGGAAGGTGTTGTTGTACGTGAAGGTCATTGCTGGACCAACGGTTGACGTTCTGTCCCTTGGTTCCGGGCCAGGCGTCAACGGAGAAGCGTTGTCTTGAAAAACAGTGATTGAGCTCAGGGTCTTTGTCTTACCCTGAAGGCTACCATAGTCACCAGAGCTCAGAAATGTGTAGTATAACACCTGGCTTCCTCCAGAAAGAAACACTCGTCCGTTTTGAATGGCTGCTGTAGTAAATTGGTAATTCCTCATTATTTCTGTCAGTGGAGCGTCTGAGGGTATGTCGGGGACAAGGAGCAGAGGTGTGGTTTGACCCAGCCAGGTGCCATCCTTCTTTAGGACAAAGGCAAACGCGGTCCCAACGTTTGTGGCCGTAAAGATGAAGTTGTGCGTATAGCTACTGTTTGGACAAGTTACTATTGCCCCCAGGATGTATTCTTTTGTGCCTACCTTGTCCAGGGCGACACTCCCTTTATGACAGCTGTTTGCAGTGAATGACCCTATCTTTGTCCCGCTGGTGCTCCCACGAAATAGCATGTCTGTTGTCTTGGTCTTAACAGAGAATTGCTTAATCTTTTTATCCAATGTACTTTCGGTTATGTTTAATTCAAATATTCTAAAGCCAATCTGGGACCCACCATTGGTTTGGCCGAACATGATGATAAGAAACTCATCCGAGATGTCAACTGACATGACGGTCATCTCTCCTGGGAGAATTTCAGTTGGAAATAGGTCTGCTCCTGAGAGAACTTTAAAGTTGCTTGAAGACGTATCCTGGTCGAAGTAGACAGTGACCCTGTTGGCTGTGTAGCATGCTGCTATTCTCCCAGACGGAGAGATAGCGGTGCCATAGATGGGCAGCTCACTCACGTTTGCATACGTCTTTCCGTTGACTTCATACGTTTTAAAAGACGCGTACATACTACTGTAACTTTCGTCCGTGTCAAAGAACGACGTATTGTGGAGCAGAGGAAGATAGTCTATGTACCCATCAACCTTATTAGCAATGGGAATACTCACACTATCAATAGTGCAGGTGCTAGGTGAAGAGGCAGATGATGCAGTGTAGGGATATGTATAGACACAAGTAGACGACGAGATTACTTGAGAGGCAGGATCCGTATATCCTGGACAGGTTATAGACTTTGAACCACACGTTGGAGACTCCTGAGGAAGCATATCCGTATTTGTTCTTTCATAGACCACGAGGCTAATCGGCGTCTTCGCAGCAATGGGCGGGGAAACAAAAGAGTAGTTTGCTAGAGTAGAGCAGAGGAGCAAGAGCACCCTCATTTTAAAACTTATGCAGGATAAACATTAGATCCGAGGTTTTCATTCACAAGCCGGATTAGCTCGTGGTCCCCTTTTGTGATGGCAATATCAAGGGGACTGGGACCGTTTTCTCGCCAAACGTCGATCTCTAGAGCAATAACAGCCATAATGCAAGCCACGTTTCCTTCTTCAATTGCATACATAAGGGCGCTATATCCGCGCTTATCCAGGTGCCCAGCTTCATACTTGGCCAGGATCTCTGCACACTTTAAGTGTCCAAACTTACACGCATACATTAATGCCGTGCATCTCTCAGCATCTTCACAATTGGATTGCAACTCTGCTAATAGCGCCACGGCGTCCACATCGTTGCGAATGGTTAGCAGCATCAGGTCAGTCATCCCTCGAATTCGTGCCTCACGCCCCTGGAGTATCTCAAAACACTTATACTTATTGTGTTGCAGAGCTATATCTAGCGCAAGCTGACCGTCCCTATTTCGGATGAACGCTTCCGCGAAAAGATGAAATAAGCAATCTGCATGCCCCCTTGATGCAGCATACATCAACGCAGTCCAGCCTGTTTCGTTCTGGATACACGCCTCATGGGCTGCGAGTTTCTGCACGCATTCTGCATGACCGCTGCTTGCTGCCAGCATTAGGGCGGTTGTTCCTGTGTGTGTTTGCATCCCATGCTCCTCTGGGATAAGAGCTTCTATGATAGCCAGATGTCCTAGCGAAGCCGCCAGCATAAGTGCACTGAACCCATCACTGTTTTGTATTCCCCCTTCGTCATCAATCAGAAGCCTGACACATTCGACGTGATTGTTCACCGCGGCCTCCATCAGTGCTGTGACACCTTTTGGATTACGAAGGTTGCTCTCGTGGGAACGCAAGAGGGCAATAACGTCTTCATGCCCGTACCTGGCTGCTAGCATTAAGGCAGTGAGGCCTGTGTCTGTAGCCCGACCCAGCAGTTTAACACCTTCTGGAGCCCCTAAAATATGCTCACACGCATTACAGTTACCCATACTCGCGTTTGCTATAAGCTGGGTCACTCCAACTAAGTCCAACTCGTAAGGGATCAAAAGGGCTATCATGTCCCGGTCCCCTCTTTCACATGCTCGCAGCAGAGAGCTATATCCATCATCACTAAGAATACCCACTTCCGCCAGCAACAGCCGGGCAGCTTCAATGTGTCCTGCACAGACTGCCCATTGTAAGGCAGTTCCCCCGCCTGCAAGCAGCTTCCCTTCACATAGAGCTCCTAACTGCGAAATGTGCTTAGCAATTGCTGTTGTGTCCCCTGCCCGAGTGGCAATCATGAGCTCAGTGGGCTGTCTAACACGTTCCCGAGGTAGCAAAGGCTCTGAGCAGACTGGACGCCCATACTTCCGTGCAGATGCACCAAGGGAAGTCATATATTCTGTCTTCCTCATGGATACCACGGTACTAAGCACTTCTTTTATATCCATTTTCCCCTTCTCGAAATAATAGTCAATAATTGTATCAAAGCAGAGTCGCCTCTCTAGTGCTATTGCTGTGCGAATAATTGACTGCTTTGAGGACTCATGAAGGTGCTCTTCACTATCCAACAGGAGCATCATACATGCCAGATGGTTCTGCCTTAGGGCCAGCATCAACGCCGTATCTCCCGCATCTGTCTTTCTTCCTGCCTCGATGTCCATCAAGAGCTCAACACATGCAGCGTTCCCGGCGGCTGCGGCGTACATCAAAGCAGTTGCGCCTATTTCATCTGTCATTCCTGCTTGATTGATATAATACCGAACCTGGTCAACGCTTCCCGCACTGGCACCAATCATCAAATTGGTAACAGGAGTGGATTTATCCTCTAGCCGTCCTAATAGCCGCGTTCCCTCGGCAAAGCCCATTCTCATGGCAATTAGAAGGGCAGTTGTTCCCTTAGTATCTGATGATCCTGACAACGCTCCCGTAAATGGTAGCGACTTATGCGTTGTTAGTTGAGCCTCCATCAGAAGTATCTCTGCGCACTCCAGATGGCCATTCGTCACTGCGATCATGAGGGCTGTCTGACCTTTTCTGTCTTGAATTCCTGCTTCGTGCTGAACCAGTAGTTTCACTGCACCGATGTCGTTCTGTGCAGCAGCGTGCATCAGCGCAGTCCACCCGTGTCTGTTTCGAAGCCTGTGCTCATACTGGCAGAGACGATCGAGACACGACGAATGGCCGCCCTTGGTGGCCAGAATAAGTGCAGTTTCTCCGTCTCTATTTTCAAGCCGGGCCTCTGCAAAGAGAAGCCAGATGCAAGCGGCGTTCCCAAAGGCGGCTGCATACATGAGTGCCGTCCAGCCAGCTTGACTACGCAGCTTGAGCTCATAGTCTACCAGAACTTGGACGCATGCAATATGACCCTGTTGTGCAGCATACATCAGCGCTGTTACTCCCGTAATAGTTTGTTTGCGCACATCTCGGAGGTTTTGGACGACAAATTCTATATCTCCCTTGTAAGAGTGCCACATCAAGCTAGTAACATTGCTACTGTACTTTTCTACAGGATAAAGGATGTCTGCACAAGGTCCAGCATTCGCTGCCATGGCATGGGTAAGTGCAGTGTTTCTGCCCTTCACACCGATATTTCCCTCGTGCAGAAGTAACTCGCAACACTGTAGGTGGTTGTTCTTGGCTGCAAGCATTAAGGCAGTCCAACCATCAGTGGTGATTTGGCCCTGCTGCTCGAGGTACTGCTTGACTCTTTGCGTGTCTCCTGCCTCTGCTGCAAGCATCAGGTCTGTCTTGTTCTTACATACAGACTTGGGGTTTCTTAGTCCGCTTCCGAGCGCAATACTATGCTTTGCCGCGTGTGCCTCTAGGGTCTGATAGAACTCCTCACTTTCGCTTTGCATCAAAGACCTAAGTACAAGACGGCAACCTTCCTCTGTCATTGCTTCATGTTCTAGAAGAATAGTGAAGCCTTCCAAATAGTGTTGCTCAAGTGCTATAATGATGGCCAACTTTCCTTCGACACTAGAGATGCCTGCTTCCAGCTCAGCTAGCTTCTTAACACACTCTATGTTCTCAAAGCGAATAGCAGAAATCAGGGCCGTTTCACCCTCTAGATTGGTGATACGTGCCTCACAAAGCATCAGAATGTTAACACAAGAGAGCTTCTCGTGGAGGACAGCATGCATCAGTGCTGTCATCCCTGCCGCATCCTTCATACCACTTTCAAGGGTAAGAAGTAGATGAACGCAGACCTCGGAGCCGGTTGTAGCCGCCAGCATAAGGGCTGTTTGCCCGATGGAGCTGGTCAGACCGCCCTCTGCCTCTTTAAGAAGTCCTACACACCCCGCATGCCCATGTTCTGCAGCATACATGAGGGCGGTTTTGCCTGCTGCATCTCGTAAACCGTGTTCACACTCCAGGAGCAAAGCAACACAATCTGAATGGCCGTACATGGCTGCCAACATCATGGCTGTTTGGCCCTGAGCGTTAGATACACCTGCTTGCATAATGTATTGTTGAACTGCAAATGCTTTTCCAACTGCCGCAGCCAAGATAAGCTCTGTGTCTCCCTCTACCATGTTATACCGTTGTCCTCGCGACTCTGACCGTAAAACTCCGGGGGAGGGTGGGGAGGCACACGATGCCGTGATAGATTGAAACTGAGAAAGGGCTTGCTTCACCTGGGGTAGCAAGCAAAGATTTTCGCTAGAAATACGATCAGATGCATGTTTTCGAAGACACATTCGCACCATTATTCTAAGATCCTCCGAGTAGTGATCCATCTTCGTGGTGATCACATCATCTATAGGGTCTGCTAGTGCCGTAACTGATTGAAGCGTACACAGCTCAAGAAGTATGCAGCCCAGTGACCATATATCTGAACTAGGTGTAAATCCGTAACCGCCGTCTGGCCCACGAGGCGCTCTCTTATCTTCAAAGAGCTCAGGTGGCAGAGAGGAAGTAACACGCATCGGAAGACTGTGACTAAGAGAACAAGGGCTTAGGTCACCAAGTTTTAGCCTTCCAGCATTGGTAAATAACACACTCGAAGGTCTAAGACGTATAAGCACTTTTCTTTCTGTCTGCTTGTACAGTCTATGCAGGTCGCGGAGTCCATAGGCCATCTGCGATAGGACCTCCCAGACAAATGGCTCTGGAGCAGAAGTGCCACCTTTTCGATGCTGCTTGATAAGATCCTCGAGAGAGCCGCCCGTACAATACTCTGACTCCAAATATAAGTAATTAAGCGCGCTATCACGAAAAATGCTATACACATTAACCAAATAATCGCTATTTCCGTCTAATAAAACGTTCAGCTCTGTCTCAATGGCGATTGCTTCATCGGTAAAGAAGGCACCTAAGTCAATCTCCTTGACTACTACCTGCCGTCCATCGCTTGTTCGTTCTGCAACATACGTTCTCCCTAGCGCTCCTTGACCCAAGATAGACGGCACTGTGTACCTCTGGGAAGCGCTGTCTGATAACATTTAATGTTGGACCATGGGAATTTGCCCTTGTCACATTCACTTTAACTCAGGCATCCGCAGCACAGTAGGTACACCTGAAAACAACCTGATGCGCTTACTTCTATCAGTTCAAATCGAGGTGGCCGGATTCTAATGAGATTCCAGCAAGAGAGTGTAATTGTGCGCTCCGAGGTCATCGGTGAGTAACTGTGAATTAAAACTAGTGGCCATAGGTACCGGTCCCAGCAATTCAATCCTTGAGACTTCAGAGGTTGAACCTGCCATGGCATCGGGCACCGCGATGGCACGCTGAAAGTTATCTTCGTTTGGCTCCAGCCTTCGTGTCACATGTGCAGCGATCTTCGGTTGTGTAGTGGTGGGCACAAGTTCGCGCTGGACTTGCGGTGACGAGGACAGTGCGCTGCCTGTCTCACTCATGTCAATTCCAGCAAACATCACACGGCTCCGGCTTCGAGGCTTCTTGGTTTGCCTAGACGTGTTGTCTATAGTCACCTGCTTTCGGGTTAACAGCTTTGTTTGCTTTCCCCGACCAGCATCCATCCGCACAGTTGCCCCGGAAAAGATTGGTGACTCATCTTTGGTGATGTCAATAACGGATTCTGTGAGCGCTTCCTCTATGTTGTTTATGTCGTCTATCTTGACCGGAACTAGTTGAGGCAAGATACAGTCACTGCGATAGTCTGAGTGACTTGTGCTTCGTTCAGCAAGATAGCACGTGCTTCCGATGAGGACATTCTTGTCTAGAATGCTCTTAGCAAAAAACTGTGTGTGCGTGCTTTGGCCAATGAGGCCACTTGTGCCGAGGACGCTGGATGCAGTCGCCACTTTTCCTTGAGACACACACCCTCCCTGAGATTCCTGGAGGGTTGGCTTCATTTGAATGGCATCGCCGTCCTCAAACAGTGCAGACGATATAATGGGAATGAATTCGTGTCGTTGAGTCAGCGTCTTGGCCATTCGTTGGTCCTGCTCGGGTGTATTAACTGGAGCATATTGATTGTAAATTTCTGTCGCGTCCAAGAGACGCGGTGTGATTGTCTTCCTCAGATGTGCCAGAATTTGTGGCTGTTCCTGAGGCTCCAGCTCAGTAAACTCAGAATAAACTGGCACGGCATGATTATTCGAAGGTTTTGTGGGCTTGTTCATGGGGCGCAGCTTGTTGCGGTACAGTTGCTCTAGGGACTTCTGGGCATCTTCGAGAGCATCGACAGATGGCGTCGTGGCTCGTTCAACAGCGCTCTTCTTACTGCGTCTCTTTGTTTTCTTAATGTCTGGTTGAACCGGTGACAATCCGCCACCAGATGAAGATACCATATCATTGGTATTGACAGAATGCTCCCTTTGACGGTGTCCATCGCCCCAACTTGCAAATAATAAGTGAGACTCATCATACGTAAGAGGATTTGTCTGTGACTGAGAAGATTCCTGATCTTTTCTAGCGGGACATGTCACAGGCTGTGGATATAGGGGTGTAGCATGCACATTGACATCCATGTAGACATCTTGCGGATCGCGAGGCCTTGGAACGCGAGATCTGTGTGCATGTATGTCAACATTTGGGACAACTTGTTTTTCCTGCTGACGTTTGAATTCTCTTGGCGAGACAGACTTGGGACCAAGAGAAAGCCCCAAAGCACTGTGCTCATCTGAAACGAGGAATTGCTTTGTAAGATGACAGTGAACATCGTGTGTTAAAGGCGGAGTGATGCCCTTACTTGCAAGCACTACACTCTCTGCCTCTGGAGTCGGTGAAAGGTCTGCGTCCTGTGTGATGAGAGGTTTAACTGCGTCAACTGTGCCCCAGAATTGCTGGGGATTCCATGCATGTTGCGACATGAGGCGTAGCTCCTCCTGTTGTGAGGTGGTGAGGTGGGTGGTAGCTGATGTTGGCTGCTGTATCTGGGACTCCTGCTGTGTGTCCATAACTGCTGTCTTCTGCGCGTCTAATCTGTCACAGGTGAGCTGATTACGCTCGCTTTGAAGTTTATGTTGGTACTTCAGGGTGATAGCATCTCTGTCAGCCTCCAACTGACGAATCCGGTCTTCAAGCTCTTCTAATGTACTGGTAGGGGATCTATTGGATTTGTCTGTCTTTCCCCTTTTGTGTTGCGGGCTTCTGAGCCGTTTTGGACTCATCGTTTTGAACTGCAGAAACTGCGGAGTCACGATAGGAACTGTGGATACCGAGAGTGCAAGATTCGTTTCCTCAATAGGGGGCGCACGTATTGCCTCAGGAACTGCAGGGGGCGCAGAGCTGAGTCGCGGCTTCTCCTGGTAGCGTGCATGCACTAGCTTAGGTATAGCACCAGGCCGCGCAGTCACTAGGCGGAGGAGATCGGTCAGTTCGTTGCCAAGCTCAGTATGTCTGGTGTCTCTATTCAGTTCTGTCTGAAACGGGGCTAAGGGCATACCATCGCTGAACCTACGGCTGCTGGAGGGCAAAGGCTGGTAGCTCTTGAATTTGGGTCGTGTGAGCTCCATGAACGAGACAGGAGCCTGGTGGGGTTCTGAAAGAGCTGATCCCTGCTCGAACGCGGTCCAGCTCATGCAGAGCTTGAGCGGTGTAAGTACTGATATTTACTAGGTAATTACCGTTTCTTCTTACTCTTTGAACTCTTGCGACTTCCCTGTTTGCTATTCTTCCGGGACTTTTTACCCTGTGGAGGAGGAGGAGCTTCCTCAACAGGCGGTGGAGGTGGGTCGTTCAATATGTCATCCTCCTCTGCCTCATAGTCACGCGGAAAGTATAAGGGCATAAGCTCCTGAAGAATATGGGTCTCCCTGTCAGTTGCACAACAGATTATGAAGAGATCGACCCTATCTCTTACATCCTGCCGATCTAGCCAAGACCGGAGAACAGAGAGCATGACGTGAATGCTGCCAACTAACGGATAGTACTCCGTTCCAGCACGGGGATACGGAACCCCAGCAAGAATGGGCGTGGCGATGGTCCGCAGCTCTTCGGACAGAGCTATGTAAAGAGTTCTTTCATAGCAAGACTTTAATGCTGCCGCGTCCTCTGTCTTTGGAGTGAGCGTGTGCAGCAAGAACATAGGATAAAGGAGCCCTGTCTCCTCATCGGGGTCATCGGCGCCTACGTTGTATGCCCGGGTCAAGCACGCTTCTCCGGTACGCAATGTGGCTCCCACTCGCTTCAACTCCGTGTGAAGCTGCGGTCCTGCCTTAGCATGAACCAAAGCGTTCACCTCGCTTCCATCTGCGCCCGAGAGGGAGGGGGACACCGGGACTATATAGGCCTCGGTCCGTAGAGCCGTCAGATCGCCCTGAACCACGCAGATGCGCTTATTTATTTCGTTGTTGGGCTTTGGAATGTTAACAAGTGAGCCCAGGTTGGCCGTCTTGGCATATGAGTGCATCGGTTGGTAGAGGGGCGGCAGCTTCGCTGCCCTGGTAAGTGCTTTGACGGCTTCGGACCAAAGCACATTTCCCGAATCCATTAGGGTGCGCCGTAAAAGAATAGGGAGGTTATCCCAGTGGCTGAACTTCTTTTCAGGCAGTTCGTCCATTTGAATCTGCTGCTGCTGTTGCTCTGCTTGTGCATTTGCAAAGGCCTGATTGACCTCCACCTCCATAGAGTAGTCCACCCCCGCGCTGGGCTGAGCCGGGGGCGCCTCCCTTTGTGGGGATTGAGCGACCGCCTCCGAGGCTGCGGATTCTGTCATTTTGCCAAGCACCAGTTACGCATCGTAAAATGGAATATGTGACAACGCATAGTGGAAAGGTGGAAAATTAAAAGTCGATGTCGACAACATCCAGGAATCTCGAGGCCTGCCCCTACACATCTGTCTTCTATTCGTACCTGGGGATAGCCTGCGGTCTTGCGTTTTCGTGTCTTGGAAGCGCATATGGCACCGCGAAATCTGGGAAAGGAGTTGTGGCCTCTGGGGTCATGAAGCCCAGCGCAGCCATGAAGAATACTCTTCCGGTCATCATGGCAGGTATCCTTGGGATTTATGGGCTCATCAACGCTATAGTCACCAATACAAGCCTCAGCAGTCTTGGGACTGAGGTTCCTCTCTTCCGCAGCTTTGCTCACCTTGCAGCCGGGCTCTGCACGGGTCTGTCTGCGCTTGCAGCTGGGATAGCCATTGGGGTGACTGGTAACGCTGGTGTCCGTGCTGTGGCGCGAAAGCCCAAGCTCTTTGTTGTCATGCTCTTGACCCTCGTCTTTGGCGAGGCTCTGGCCCTCTATGGTCTTATCATTGCCCTAATTCTCAACTTCAGCGGCAGCAATGGTGGGAACATTTGCGTGCAGCAGTGATGTTGGCGCCTACCGATCAGCGACTGAAGGTATCGGTTTCAGATAATTAAGGAGTGATCGAGTGAACTATGAACAGCATGACACGGATGAGTTTACACCTTTGCTAGGCCTCGGCATGCAAGGCTGCCCTTAGATAGTACGAGCCTAGTACGCTGTCATGAATGGATTTGCGTTTTCTTCCAACAGGTCGCGATAGAGCTCCACCATCTTGTTGATGTCACGGAGAATGTAATTGACGCGACGGATCTCATCGAGAGGGACCCAGACCTTGTAAGACTCGCGCCCTTTGACGTTTGCAACCAGTATTGTCACCTGACTCGCCACGTTCTGAGATGGGATAGCTTGGATGATTTGGGACGCCGGGATCGTCGCGACGTTCTTCCCATTATCAGGCTCTGTCAGCGTTATTTCCAGCTTATCATAGTTAATATTAAGGTCTGTAGGAACCTTCACTCCGATGCCATTGCGGAATGTCACAACGTATGTCAGAAGTTTCGCTTCGTCGTAGTCTGGCTTGGCATAGGTAGTCTTTGTGTCTAAGGATACTAGCTTTCCGATCCTTACGAACGGGGGGAGAGCGGCGCCACCCAACACGGTCATTATTTTTTAGTTTGTTCCTTTAATTTAACCCATAGCTGCTCTCCATACCGGTTTTTACAGCGCCATTTCACGGCAGAGACGGCCTAGAGAGCCACCAAGAGACTTTTCCCCTGTTTTTTCTGACTTTCGTGGCGCCGGAGATGCTCATTCTGTATTTAATGGGCAGAGTCAGTCTGCACTGGTGCCTGCAGACACCGTTGTTTCCCACAAAAGTATTTCAGCCCCGATGACTCTCTCTGCCCTAGCGGAGGCCAACGACTTTACAGCTGTGGCGACAGAATTGAGTGCAAGCTCCTTGCCAAGTTCCTTGCCAAGCACCGAGACTACTCTCATGCAGCTGCGGTTTCGCATTTCAAGCAGGCCGGCCCCACTTCCTCTTAGATCTATTTCGCCACTGTCCTCATCGTCATCGGGTATCTTCTTGCCTTCGTCTCTAGGCGCCCCTGCGGTAGACCTTCAAGCAAATTCATTGTCCCTTTCTGCGTCTGCCCTTGCTATGCCTACCACCTATGATGGCAAAGATGTCAGGTTATCTCAGCTAGCGAGGAATTCTCTTTCTCTTTCTGCTAACGATGTAGGTACCGACACCGCTGTTATTACAACTTCTCTGCTCAGCAACAACACTGCGGACTCATCTGGCCAACGGTGCCAACAAGACTGTCAAGAAGACGTTCCCGAAACAGCCTTGCGAACACGCTCTCCCTTCTTGCGCTCTCCATCCGCCGCCTCATCTTCTGACAATAGATCCAGATGCATCTTGTCGGATGATGAAAACATTTTGGTAATATCCCCCATTTGTGCGCACTTCGCTTGTGAGCCCAGGGCCACTCCAGGTATGCATGTCTCCTTTGGACACGTTATCAAGGGGAGGATATGCTCTCTTTATTTTACATATTGGAAGGCGTGGTACGTTTCTAGAAAAGATAGAGTGTCGGTACTCCAGAGTTCCATAAAGAAAAGGTTGATGGGCGAGGCACTCTCATCTGTCAAGCTAGCTTATGCAAAGAATATCTGCAATAAGATGCTTCTTCACTGGGCATGGTTTACCCTACGGCAGAGATACACTAGTGCGTACCGTTTCAGAACATGTAAAGCGTTGCATGAGGCTTTCCTTCTTCGGAAGAGTTTTAAGAGCTTTCAATCCAAGGCTTTGCTGATAAGTACACTGAGTATGCAGGCCTCCTTGCACTACCGAACGATAGTGATGCGGCGATGCCTCTGCCACGGGCTGATCTTTGCTTATCGTGAACTGGTGGGAGCGTGTGCACAGGCAGCGCTGCACCATTGTTCGCTCTTGCGTAGGGTATCACTTCGCAGTATGTGCTGCAAGACCAGACATCTCTCAGCCTGCGAGAACTCCTGCGTATCTCTCCGGGCCACCTATCTAGTTACAACATCCTTTTACTCTATAATAAAGATTCACGCGGCAATTCGCAACCTTGCTCATCGTAGATCTCTAGCGTTAACACAGAGGGCTCTAGACTGCTGGCAATATGTCTTTTTTAGGCGTCTTCGTGTGTATGCGAGCTATGATGCTGTTTCCTCCATCGTCACTAAGCGCTCATTACTCTTGGCATTTACTATGTGGCATGAACAACTGAGAATATCAGTAGCCTTCCGCAGATGGCGAAAGCTATGCACAGCCCGGTTTCTTATCAGAAGGTATTCTGGGACGAGCAGATTTAGTTGCCTAAGTGATGATGAGGCAGGCTACAATTGTACATATAGAGGCATTCATCCACGGGTTGAGACGATATTTAGAGGTGCGTTCGAGTACTTACGTGACAGAGCCCGCCTTCTGCTGATAAAAGAAAAGCTTGTTGTTATAATACTTAAGAGGAGGGTTTTTGAGAGGATTGTGCTGGCGTATTGCAAACGGGAGACGTCTATTAATTGGAAGGGTCAAGAGGATGCAGCTACTCATGAATTGGACAAGCTAGATGTTAAAGGTGTGCCGGAGAGTAATAGTCTTTGCACAGACACACCTAAGTTAATCTTTTTAGATGCTCATAGGTATAAAGCTAAGAACAAGCAAGATGCTACAATGGAATCTGGAGCCCTCTACGCTGAGATTGGAGTCCAGGTCCTCCCAGTTGATTTTCATGCCCAACCATGTCAGCCACCCTTGGTGATGAGCAGATCATGTGGAGGGTTCTATAGCATGTGTAAAGAAGACACAGCAAACAGAAGAGATTCCTCTACCCAGGTGGAACTGTCACACACTCATGTGGACGTACAGAAATTGAATACGGTGCTTACTCATTCACCAACAACAGTGCGGCAGATTATTAACAAATATAGGCGTCAACCGATCAATGAGCAGCCGTCCCCTGCAGAGCCAGTCACCGAGAATGCACCTGTTCAAAGTGAAGACTCCGACGAAACCTATTGCGTTACAAAAATCGTTTCGCCGCTTGTCCGAAGTCCTCAGCGGAGCCAGAGTCCCAAGCAGCTACCAATCTTGAGGCAAGTACATCGGGTGAGATCAGCACAGCAACTGCGAACTCAATTTATCATAGAAAGACATAGTACAACAGGGAAGCGAGGTAGCGAGGCTGGCGCAGGGTCTTCTAGCGTGGAGGAGATATCGTCTGTTGTGTACGAGAATCAAGTTACGCTTGAAGTAGCTTCTCCCAGACACCCAAATGATGTTTCTGTATATTCAGAGACAGCTTCACCGTTTCACTTTGCGCGAGAACAGTCTACCAGGCCAGTCACTGCTGATTTTTCCGAGCAACTACCACCGATGCAAATGCCAGACACGCCCAGCGACTTCAACAAAGAATGCGAAGGTATTCTAATAGAAGGCCCAGAAGGATCGCTGAGTTCATCGGCACCTCCACCTGTGCCTCTTTCCCCGGAGGACCTTACGTCAGATATGTTCGCTGGTATGCAGATCATCTCATTTAGTACAGGCCAGCTGAATGAGTCTGTAATCGCACTTCCGGTAGAACGTCAAGAGAATGCTGTAGTAACTCTGAGCACGGAGCAGAGGGACTCCAGACTGACTGCATCGCACCCGCTGCCATCGACCGGGGTGAGATCTTATAAAATGCTTGATGCTCGGTACCATCTTGTCTCTAGTTTTACGGAGGCAATCAAGAAGCATGAAGAAGCATCTAGATACGACCCTACCAACTTACTCCTCTGATTGAGGCAGGCTGCTTGGTCGTAGGGCAACGTAAATTAACTTTGTACTGCAAAAGAGCTCATGGCCAACTCGGGCAAAACGGTCAGTTTCGCCCCGCAGCCCATGATGGATAGCACCTCCAGGCCAGGGCTTAGCATGAACATCTCTGTTCGCCAGGATGTCAAAATTCAAGGTGCTATCGATAATGCCATTAAGGTTCTCGTTAGAAAGGGATTTACGGAAGTGGACGCCCACGACCTGGTATCTAGCATCAAGAAGCCTCATGATGAGAAGTATAGAGCCCTTGAAAGGGAGTATTTTCTAGTGAGAGACCGATGTAATTTCTTGGAGCAGCAATTGAATTTAGGTCGGGACCTGGCCCCAGAAGAGTTGATAAGGACAAATACTGTAGCACACATAGATGATTCTTATGCAGGTGAGCCCGTGTTTGCTCCTAGTTATATAGGTGGAACAACACTTCCTCAGTCAATTACAAATCTTAATGCTGGCTTCCAACGCGAACTAGAGGCTCTCCGAGAAGAGAATAAAGTTCTTATTTTAGAGAAAGATAGCATTACTGAGCGTCTGAAGGAGCTTGAGCAGGAGAGAGAGAAGCACTTAGAAGCAGATGCTCACCTCCAGATACTCGCTAACAAGATAGAAAACTATAAGGCGCTACTACTTACTAAGGAAAACTATGCTGCAGAAATAGACGCATTGACACATGAGAGAAACGACCTTGCTGCAGCTCTAGAAGAACTCAGACGCAACGGCCTTCAAACAGACTCCCACCACGAGTCTCAGGATAGTCCTAAAGTCAGGGTCAATGAAGGAGTTGGCACAGAAGACTTGGAACCTGCAATGTCCCAGAAACTCTCTGAGCTTATCAAGCTAAACCAGGAGCTCTATGAAGAAAACCAGATCTTGGCTGCAGAATTGGATAGAGTTTATTCTGAAAATACTGGCAAGTGTCCAGGCGGCCAGGACGAAGAGAACAAGGAGAGTGTGCCAAAGAAAGTTCCCCTTAAGGTACGCCTAGACGTTTCATCGATCACACCAGAAAGCATAACATTTGGGATGACTGAAAAACCAATCAATGCAGCAAGCACTTTGCAATCTACTCGTGGGGGAAGAGCGAAGAATCACCAACCAATCAACCTCACGGAGCTAACTATAGACGCTGGAACAGCGAGTAACTTCAGGGCGACAGACTTCTTTGACGAACTAGCAGCTGAGGAAAGCCAGGTCTGCCCGCCAAGAACAGAGATTCAGGTCATGATGAATAATCCGGGAGATCCTGCTGCTGTGGATATAACCCGAACGTCTTCTGCTGTGTCTCCGGTTTCTCGTGGGGGTGTCGATTATGGTGATTCCAAAAGTATCTCTCCAGCCTATCGGCAGGCTATGGCAGACACCCCAAAGAAGCCCGTTCCTCTCACTGTTAGTCCAACTACAGGCAAAGACACAGGACCGGCATTACAACGAGACCCAAAGGTCGAGCTTTCAGAAACTCAGATGGCAGAGCTTGCTCAGCAGCTGGCCATGCTGGAAACAGAAAAAATCAACGCGGTCCGAGAGATTGAGCAGATCGAAACTGCCTACAAAGCATTACAAGACACACATGAAGATTTACGGAGGCAATATGACGAGCTTGTCCGCAAGTACGCCATTCAGGAGAATAGAATCAACCAGCTTGAGGAGACACACCTGCGAATGCAGGAACTATTCAATATGAAGTCTCCAGACCGGCATATTTCAAGCATTGATGTCAGTCAATCTTCACAGCAGGAAAAAAACGCAAGACCCATTCGCCCCTTGGTGCGGATCCGTGAATCTGACTTGGATGTCTGTGACCTCACGAGTTCAGGGCATCATATAACCGAAGGAGAAAGGTTCTTAGAAGATCCTCCATCCACATCTACCCAGTCTTTTGCAGAGTTACCAGATGGAGATAATAAGACAGGGAAGGTAAAGACTGTCTTAGTGTTGAAGGAGAAGTGCTCGCAATTAGAATCGCAGGTCAACTTTGCGGTGAAAAAGGCCAACACTCTAATGCAGGAAAAGCGTGATTTGGAAGAAGAACTCGAAGAGCTTGATGAGCAATATAAAAGATTGGAGGCTACCAATAAAGAGCTAATTGCAGAGATAGATCGCCTCAAGACGCTTCTCGACAAAGCTCAAGCCGAGGTTCTGCTGTTTAGAACCACCAACGACGGGATTAGAAAGCAACTGAAGGAGCTACTCGTTAATTCTGCCTATTCAACCACATCGGCTTCCAAAGAGGTAGCTCGTACCATGACCAATACCACTCCTTTGACCACTCTTTTGGTAGAAGAGACACGAGATCTGGGCGAGGCCGTTCATAACAACTCACCTGGCAAGGTTTTTGCAGAGGACGATGTTAATAAAATGGTGACTGAATTGGGTGTAGAGCTCGTAGCACTGCGAGGAGAAGCTGACAAGCACCAGGAGGCAGCCACAGTATTTGCCAATGAAATCAGATCTTTGCAGGCCAGGATAGACTCTCTTTATGCAGAATCAGCAGCGAAAGACCACACTTTGAATCAAAAGACAGAGGAAATTAAGGCCTTGTCTGGCAAAGTAGTAGAGCTTCAAGCAGAGATTGACAGGCTCAATGTCTGTATTGCAAAGCTTCACACACAGACGGCTGAGCTAGATACTGTCAACGCAACCAACAGAGAATTGACAGAACAAATACGGCAGCTGACAGCTCAATTAGATAGGTCTAAAATCAATCAGACAGACAATAATAATCAGCAAAATGAGATGAAGCAAGCGACGGAGCTTCCTGTGCCCAAACGGCGTTCGGTTTCTATGGAAACAGAAAAGGTAGCTACTAATGATGTTTCTCTTCTTGTGTCTAATAACGTTACATCTGTTCCTACAACGTTAGCTGGTGTAGATTTGTTAGAGAAGAGCACGGTGAGCCGATGTCCAGATTGCAGTACTAATAGAGAGATAATTGATAGATTAATTACTCAGAATGACCAGGCTGCAGTGCAAATCTCTGAGCTTCAGGAACAGCTGTCCAGCATGGCCTCAACAACTGACATGTGTGCTCTTCTACAGAAGGAAAACCGGGACTACGCTGCATCAAATCAGCATCTGACTCTTCAGTTAGCAGAAGTAGAGCAAGCTTATAAGCATACTACCGAGCTAATTTCTAAGTACGAAAATCAGATACGTCACTTGAAAGAAGAAATGTCCTCCATGGAAAAGCCTCTCCCTGTGGCTTCCACTGCAATGCTCCACAGACCTGTTGTGCCTACAGAGGAAAGATGGACACAACCTAACCAACTGGTAACGGTCACACAGGGGGTCCAAGTGGACACTCAACCCTTCGTATCCACCTTCTCAGAAAAAGAGTCCGGTGGCGAAGACCCAGCAGCGTCTTCTGCTTCCCTGACAATAGATAGATTCTTGGAGTCTATAGCTAAGACAAATCGCATATTGGGACTAGAGCAAGAGCCAGTTACCATTGTCGACGACGTGAAGAACTCAACTACCACACTTGCACGCCTCATTGATCAGCACACAGCACGAATGGAGAAGCGGCTCAACGAATACGCTAAGCTCGTCAATCTTCAAGCGCAATGTAGTAAGGATGATCAACAGGTTCGGATTTCCGAGCAGGCCTTTAGTGTAGAGAGTGCTCAGCTAAATCCCACCAACTACCCCTGTAAAACGGGTCTCTCTCTAGACGTCATTGCGACGCTGCAGAATGAGCTTCGGCTTATTTCTGATCATGTTCGGACAAATAACGAAAACATTTCTTCTGTAGCACGCACCACTGAACTTGCATTTAACAGAGTACGGAAAGCACTTGCTACTCGTACACCCGAGCAGTCTCAAAAGCAGGATGCTCACACAGAAAATGCGGCATCTCCAGAGCTCCTCCTGTATGCGGATCTCCTGCAGGCGCTTCTTGAGAACATCGTCCGCCTCAATAGCAGACTAGATACGATGGAGCAAGACCGGCAAAGCCTTATTGTTGACTTAGCTCTACATCTTGGACTGCCGCAGTCTACAAACGAGACAGCTCTCAAAGAGTACATTCGAGATTTAGCCACGGCAAAGACAACCATCGACCCTGGTGTTTTGATAGAAAATATAGCAGATCTGAAGAAGGGGGTATTAGAAACAAATGTTCAGCTTCAAGCTTGGGAAGAACACGTGCGGGAACACGTGCGCGCAGCATCTGCTCCTATTGCTGCCAACGCCCTCGCTATTTTGGACCATGATAAAAGCGCGTCGTTATCAGGTGTCAAGGCAGATGCCCTAGCCTTGCAGCTGTCTAATATAGATGTTAAACAAGCACATGAGCAGTCTAGTCATCATACAGAGGGCACGGTACCAAATACAGTGGAGCACATCTTGCAGCAAAGCACGTCACACGACATACGGTCCGCTCATGAAAGCATCCAGCAGACACTGAAGAGTATAGTTGACGCCACGAGCAACTGCAACGATGCAAAGCAAAAGTACTTGGAAGAGCAAATTGAGATCCTCGAGGTAGAGAACACACGCTTTAAAGAGTACAACGCTAGCTATGTGAAGAAGCTCGCAGAGCAGACGGAGGAGATAACCCGCCTGCAGAGCATCAATCATCAGCTTTCTCTGAAGATTGCTGAGCACAATTCGTTTCAAGAGCAGATCCAGATGGCAGAACACACCAGACAGGGCATTACAGAGCAAATTCGAAACGTTCGTTCGACACTCATCGAGATCAAGACCTGTATTCAGAGTGATCGCAGTGATGGAGAGGAAAACGCTACTGCTCCAACGAAGGAGAGCAAAGGAATTGAAGCAGTGGAAGAAAAGCTTATAGAGCTGACGGAAAGCGCCTGCAATTGGCGCCTGAAGTATGAAAAGGCTAACGCAGAAAGAAAGGAGATGCGGGCGCGCGCGAGGACAGAAAACGCACTACGGATTAAGGTCGAAAAGGCACATAAAAAGTTGGAGCGTAACTTTGCACAGCTTCAGACTCAGCTGAAAGAAGGAGCCGAGTCTCTTGCATGGCTCAAGGCCGCAACTGCACGGTACATCGAAGCCGTCCAACAAGAGCTTGATAGAATCAACGGGCTGCATCTAGACAGGGATTAATGATATTTACTTCGATATTTGCACAAGAACATAACACATTGTTATAAGAAATGCTGGAATTGCAATCAGAGTCTTTACATTCTCCAACCTTACTGCAGCATTTAGTAGTTTTGTTGATATGAGACTAGACGCTACTGCAGCCCCCAAATATCCGATAACGACCACCTTCTGGGCATGTTCTAAAGCCTCTTGCCTTAAAAATGAACAGATTATCATAGGGATCAGCAGGGGAAGTAGCCCATATGAGAGCGCAGACATGACCGTATAGAGGTCCAGGTGGACTGCTGTTTGCTGGAGCATGGACAGAAGAAACGTTAGAAGAAGTGATCCGTAGATGTACACTCCAAACAGGAAGCCTAGGTGCGTACCGGTCGACTTGGTGAGGAGGTTGACAAAGGTGAACACTATTAGCACGCAAATACCGATAATCATGTCTCCGCTCTGCGCAACTTCGTCTGAGACGGGGACAAAAGGCAGGATGGAGAGAAGCTTTTTCCCCACTAGACGCAGATCTATCCCCAATTCTTGCACCAGAGACCCGTAGTATAGATCCATTTCGTTTTGCTCCGCTGTCTGACGTACTTGTGGGGGTTGCTGCATAGTGAAGCTAGGTTGTTGGAGGGGCGGAGACACCTGTGGGCCTCCTACGGCCTTTTTGCTTTTACCTTCAAACAGCTGCCAGACGCCCTTCTTTTTGCTAGAGTTACCGTTGCTAGGCATTGGCGGAACTAAAGGGCCAGATTCTGTGTCATCACCAACATAGCCTGGTATCATAAGTTTTTACAGTCAGCGCAACGGGTGTCGGCGTAGCTTCAAGGGGCACATAAGCTTTAGATTGTCACCGTAGTACAGAAGGAGCTATTTACATAACTTCACGGGCAACGCTTTCTAATTTAGTCATTAAGGGAGCAGCAGCAACGGCCAGGTCATCATCCTCCACAATTGCGTCGACTTCATGATGAGCACTTATACTAGGGTTAGTAAATACGCTAGTGTTGTTCATAGAATCCCGAGGAGCCGTCACTGGAGACAATTTCATTGAATAAGCCTTCGGGGGGATGACACCCACAGGAAGCCTTGATTGTAAAGGGGTTTCAGTGCGAGCCGAAATAGATCCCTGTTTCGGTTTTGTGGTAACTTGCTCTGGAATCAAGGGGGCCTGGTAATTTAGAGCGGGAACAGACACCGATTCTGGATCGCTTAGACGATTCGGGGGCAAATTGCTAGTCTGAGAAGGCAACTCCTGTGCAAGTGAGGATGTCCCAGCGTGAGGGTCAGCAGGGGGAGCGGTCGCCAGAGCCTCTTCATGTGCCCCAGAAGGCTCCTGAGGCACCGCTGTAGGTGCAGATGTAGAAGACTTCGAGTCCCAATCCAAGAGTATGTCGACAGGGACGAGATAGTGCTCTTCACAGCTTTCAGGAGACGCGTCACAGTGAACAGGATCGCCCCTCGCAAGACGGGAAGGGTCAAGGTTTTCAGGCAGGTAAGCATTTGCAACACGAAGATTTGAGAGGATTGCCCCAACTGTAGGCCTATCATCGGGGGACGGCTCCAACATCTTATTAATAAACCTGGCGAGTTCTTCGGAACAGGCGATAGGGATCGGTCGCTTCAATCCCTTCTGCTCAGTCAAGAGAGTTGCTTCCGTGTGGGTGTGGAAGAGCTTGCGGCCCTGACAAAGCTCATAAAGACACGTACCAAGACTCCACACATCTGCCGGAGGCTTGAAGGGACAATACTCCGCTATTTCTGGGGCTATGTACCCCGCATCTGAAATCACGCGGTAAGGGTCATAAACACCTTCCAGGTTGTGTCCAACCAGGCAGCAATCCGTGAGAACCGCGCGTCCACCGGGAGTAAGTATAATATTGGTGCCCTTGACATTTCGGTGGTAGATACGGTTGAAGTCGTAATGACGGCTGTGTATGTAATTAAAAGCCTCTGCAACCTGACGGATGATCGACCAAACCAGTTGCTCGGGGCAGTGCTTCTTGAGTATGTGGTATTTCTTGGCAACATTACTAAGGTTGCTGCCGGGCAGGTAGCTTTGTACTATAGATATCAGTTGTCGCTTCTGATCGCGAAGAATAGCGTGTATGCGGACAATATTGGGGTGGTCGAAAGCGGAAGCTTCTATCGCTGCCTTTATGAGGCCGTTGACGGCGTCGTCGCTCAGAGTCGCATAGGTGATCTCCTTGGCAACAAGGGTGCAACCATCTGAGATCCTGGTGACCATATAAACCCGGCCTAGCCCTCCACCGCCAATTTGGCGCCCGTTCCTGTAGTATTTACGTATTTCAACATCTTGAAGTTGCATCTTCCCTGAAAGCAAAATCCTTTTTTAAATGCGAGGACTACCTCAAACTAATCTCTGATAAAGACCGCCGAACGGGCCTGAATTAGAACAGGGTTATGCCGCATATCTACCACAGAGCAGCGGACATTGACATTCTCTTGAAGGAGCGCATTCACAAGTACCTCCAGGGTCTTGGAGTAACCTAAGCCCGTCAAGTTCACTGGGAGCTTGCCAGGCGCCGGGCCAGAGGCGTCGAATAGACGCTCCAGAGTACACATTTCTGAGATGATGCAACCCAGGGACCAGGCATCAGCCATTGCACCGTAGGGCTCGCCTGCAAGAGCCTCGGGGGCCAGGTATGGGCTCGGAGCAAGGCGATCCATATGCCTGCGGGGAAGCTCTTGCTCTTCAGCCAGACGAAGGGTTGCAAGACCGATAAGCCCGTTGAGCTTCAGTAAGATGTTCTCTGGCCGCAGGTTTCTGTGCACAATTTGGTGGACTTCTGCTGAGTCGGTCTTGTATGTCTCATGCAGATAGGCTAACACGTCCGTAAGTTGACCGAAGATCTCTAACACCCGTTCTTCGGGAATTCGAACGTTTGCCTGGCTATACTCTGAGATCATTGTGGCCAGGTCCCCGTTGTCAAAGAGTTCTATCACGGTATGCCAGGTACTTGTTAGGGGGTTGTTGTATACAGACACCGTCTTTGGAAGACATCTATGAGCAAGCCTTGAGAACAGGTTGGCCTCCTTTCGAAGCATCGCTAACAGGGCTTCAGAGCTACACTCTTGGTCTGGTCCTCCATAGACCACCTCCTTAACCGCGTAGAGATCCCCAGAATCCGGAGGAATGCAAAGGAATACCTTTGCGAAACGGCCTTCTCCAATCAGTGCCCCTTTAGTATAGTCGGACTCGAGTGTATGAGCCATTCGACCGTCTTTTTAAATTCCTAGAAAGAACTTTCTGTCGTACTATGACGTTTCTTATACCCTTCGAGGCTCCTGAGTTCATTGTTGACGACTCAATTGCCACTATTTCACGGCTTTTCTGTCAACGAGCCCTGAAGACACCAAGAAGACGCTGTCTCGGTACACGCGAGTTCCTTGCCCGGAACGATGAAAACCCCGAGGCACGGGGTGATTATGAGTGGTACTCGTATCTTGATGTTCTTCGTATGTCCAGTGAGCTCTTCTATGGATTGCAAGCAATTGGGATCAAGCAAGGAGACCATGCGGGGATCATGTCAGCTAATAGGGTTGAGTGGGCGTTGGTAGATCTAGCATGTAGTGCACTGGGAGTCGTGACAGTCCCCATCTATGACACCCTCTCCTTGACTGATACTATTTTCATAGCCAACGACTCCCATGTCACAACCGTCTTTCTTACTCTCGATACACTTCACACGTGGAGCACTGCTGCGCTCAGCTGCCCCATGGTCAAGACTGTTATACTTTTCGATGATAGGTATGACGACAGATGGTTTCTCCACAAGGCCTGGGCCCACGCTACGAAGATTAAGCATCCTCTTCCGTCATCTGTTCCAGTTGCTTATAAATCTTTTGAAGAGTGCGATGCTGACGATAGAGTAGATGGGATTGCCTTTGAGCGAGCCCTTACTCCTGCAGAGAAGGCCCATAAGGCAGGAACCAAAATTCGCTATCCACGTCGCCTTGTTTGCAATAGCATTCCATCTGAGCAGGTTGATGATCCATTCACTTGTCAGTACACCTACCTTCCTTCCCTAGAAGTTTCTCACGATCTTGACAAGACTGGTTCACCAATTAATGTGTTGCACTTGGTGAGCTATACGCTGCACGGAGTGATGGCCTGTGGCCGTAAAGCCTCTGCTTACCGTGGCGTCGACTTCAGAAAGGCGTACCTCAGTCCAGATACACTGATCACACCTGTGTATGCCCTAGACCTCACAGGGCCAGACGATCTGATGACATTGGTCTACACATCTGGAACTACTGGAAACCCAAAAGGAGTTAAGCTGACCCAGGGAAACGTCCTCTGGACTAGTGCATCAATGGCTGAGCATCGGGTTGAAAAGCGCCCAAATGTGCAAGAATTTAATCTCTCTTACCTTCCTAATGCGCACATTTATCAGCGAGTCATTCAGGGGGTCATGTGGTACTGTAGCGGTGCCACGGGCTTCTGGTGCGGCTCTATCAAAGGATTGACAAATGATATCCAAGCTCTGCGTCCCACTATCTTTATCGCCGTGCCGCGTATCCTCAACAGGCTCTTCGAAGGAATTATGGCCAGCATTGAAAAGCTCTCAGTATTTCGGAGATTTCTTTTTTTCTTGGTGTTCTCAACCCGGCGTAAAGCCATGAGGCGTAACACCAGCTGGCCCAGATGGACAAATATATTCTTCTCAGCAACAAAGGCTCTCTTGGGAGGCCGCTGCTCTCTTTGCGTGACAGGATCTGCTCCTCTTTCACAGAAAGTTGGCGAGTTTCTACATATCGCATGCGATACACAAGTGATAGAAGGCTGGGGGATGACTGAGACGGCAGCACATGGGACGGTTCAGTCCATAAACACGAACCATTGGGGCTATGTCGGTGTGACCCTGGATAGTTCCACCAAGATACGCCTTACCTCTGTCCCTGACATGGACTATCTTGTGACGGACAAGCCAAACCCGCGCGGAGAGGTCTGGATCAAGGGGCCCTCGGTCTTCAGTGGCTACTACAACGACGACGCCAAGACCAAAGAGACGCTCACCGAGGACGGCTGGTTCATGACGGGAGACATAGGGGAATACGATAGGTCCCTTGGGGAACTGCGTCTGATTGACCGCAAGGGCTGTATTTTCAAATTATCTCAGGGAGAGTTCATTTGTACAACGACCATTGAAAATACTCTGCTCCAATCTAAACTTATAGATCAGTGTTTTGTCTATGGTGACAGACTTCAGTCATATCTGCTTGCTATCATAGTGCCAAACTTTACCGAACTTCGAGCTGTTCTCTCTGCGACGCCAGGCACAGTCAAGGACCTTGCCCATCTATCTAACAGCGAATTAGTTATCAAAGAAGCGGCAATAATCACTATACTGCGCGAGGTCGATCAAGCATGTGTAGCCCGCAACTTTAGACCCTATGAAATCCCAAGGGCTGTGATCTTAGAGCATCAACCTTGGACACAAAAAGATGAATCTTTAACACCTGCTCTGAAGATACGGCGAACAATGCTTACCAATCGTTACAAACCTTGTCTAAGTTCTCTCTATCATCATATAAATAAAATATCTTCTCACAAACCGTCTATGCAACAAATCGCGCTCACCGTCATCAAGGTAATTGACGGGGCTACACTGAGCGAGGTCTCAACGCAGATCACAGGGGCGTCTGGGCTCTCGGAAATGAGTCGTCAGTAACAAAGTGAATAGACTATCTCTTGCTAGACTATCTTTTGCTAGCGTTTTTCAATTGAATTTAGAAATAAATGGAGGACCTCAAGGACATATGCGCCCAGGCCATGCACACCGTTCTTGGAGATCACATTGCCCCTCTCTCGGCTCAGGAAGGCTGGAAGGAGAGCATGCTCGGCGTTTTCACGTCCCCTCTTGTCACGCCGACCACAAACATTAAGTACGGGCACTATCAGTTCAACAGCACGATGGGCATTGCTAAGCTTATCAAGGATCTTCACTACGATGCACTCCCGTCAAATCCTGCCGAACTGTCTGGTCTCTTCACTCAAGCAATGCTTTGTGTCCAAGACAAATATGCAGAGGAAAAGGGGTGCCCCAAGCCCATAGAGGCAGTTAATATAGCAGGCTGCTTCATAAACATTGCACTCACCCCTGCATATTTGCTTTCGAAGTGCTTTGACATCTACATGGCCGTGCCGTTTGGGACTCTGCCAAAGCCTCCCACTCTACCCAGAAAACGCGTTGTCGTCGACTTTTCGTCACCTAACGTGGCAAAGTCTATGCACGTGGGTCACCTGCGATCAACGATTATCGGGGACTCTATTTGCCGTCTCTATGAGTATGTGGGGTATGACGTCCACCGCATCAACCACGTGGGCGACTGGGGCACGCAGTTCGGCATGCTCATCACTCACCTAACGGATATGCATCCAGAGATAGCTGATGCTGCGGCTCACTGCAGGCGCATAACAATGCTTCCAATCGACAACCTTGTGGCCTTCTACAAAGCAGCAAAGGAGAGATTTGACAACGATCCAGCCTTCCAGAAGCGGGCCTATGAGGCTGTTGTCAAGCTACAACGCCTCAACTTGGCAGAGTTTTACCTCTGGTGCAAGATTTGTGACATCTCTAGGCACGAGTTTCAGCGCATTTATGATCGCCTAGACATCAAGATTGATGAGTTTGGAGAGAGTTCCTACAAGTTCAAGCTGGGCACCACTGTCGCGCGGTTGAAAAGGCTCCACTTGACTCAGATGTCCGACAAGGCAACTGTCATACCAATTGAGGGGATGGACTATCCTCTCATCATCGTCAAGTCCGACGGCGGCTTTACTTACGACACAACAGACATGGCAGCTATTTATCACCGCACCCAGGTCCTTCACGCGGACAAGTGCGTGTACGTTGTTGACGCCGGCCAGTCGAGTCACTTTGATCTTGTTTTCAAAGCTGCTGAGAAGGCTGGCTGGATCACAAAGGACCAGGCCGTGCACGTCCCATTCGGGGTTGTGCTCGGAAGCGATGGCAAGCGCCTCAAAACAAGAGCAGGAGAGACCGTTAAGCTGGAGGATTTGCTCGATGAGGCGGTCACGGAGTCCATGCGGCTCCTTGAGGAGCGCAACCGTGACCAAGAGTTCAGCCAAGAGGAAATGCGCCAGGTTGCAGAGGCTGTCGGCTACGGAGCTGTCAAATATGCTGACTTGTCCTCTCACAGGATTAAGGACTATAAGTATGACCCTAAGCGAATGCTCAATCTGAAAGGAAATACTGCGGCATACCTGTTGTATAGCTTTACGCGAATCTCGTCTATCTGTCGCAAAGCCGGAATCGATCGGGAAGAGCTCTACACCAGTGACACTCTCAGGAACTTGTCTATCACAGAACCCTCTGAAATTAATCTCTTAGTTGCGCTGTTGAAGGTCCGTGATACCATTCTATTTACTCTAGAAGATCTGTGTCCGCACCGTATTTGTGACTGGGTGTACTCTGTAGCCTCCGCGTACACAGACTTCTATGAAAAGTGCCGAGTCATTGAGACTTCTGCGTCTGGGGACAGCGTCTGCAACAAATCTCGTCTTGTCCTGTGTGAAATGGCCCGTCAGAGCCTCCGCCTGGCATTCCACTTGCTTGGAATCCGTGAGATCGACAGAATGTGAGGCTGTCTACACGGTAGTGAATTTTCTTCGAATGACCGATGCTAGACAACGTACTGCTTGACGGGGCTGCGGCTCCTCATCGTAAATGCGGGACCGTTGTTGCGCAACTTGTAGTCATAGGCTCCAGGGCCGGGGATATCTGCTTGCGGTATTCGTACAGGGCTCCTCGTTCCACCCATGGAGAAGGAAGGACCAGTGTTCTTCAGCTGAGGATTATATGCCCCGGGGCCGGGAGACTCTGTACGGGGTTTACGCACTGGACTTCTCCCACTCAGCGAAAAAGATGGGCCCGAACTCTGAGGTCGCGGATTGTATGCACCAGGGCCAGGGGTGACGGGGCCTTGCTTCGGAGTCTTGGAGCGGATTCCAAAGGAGTAAGAAGGAGAGCTACTCGTGACATATGAGATGTTTACGTCGTACATCCCAGGTCCAGGCACTTCACCAGCTGTCGCTGTATCTTGCGCTATGCCACTCCGGTTGGTCGCACGTGTTCCAAGCAAGGAATAGGAAACTGCAGAGAGTGCGGTCGAGCGGGACGCAGATCTAGAATTCGACCTACTAGTTTGCCTCATTCCTGACTGAGAGAGAGAACGAGAGGGGCCTATAGAGAATGAGGGGCCGTGACTCTTAAGCTCCAGACCTGTCGAGTTGTAAGCTCCAGGCCCTGGGGTTACGTCGGTTTGATAGTTAGAAGCGCTTAACTTAGTGGGCACGCGCTTATGGAGACGAGACATGTTCTGAGCCACTGCAGAGATGGTTGCTGATGACTCCGAAACTCGCTTACTGCGAGCTCCAGCCGATTGGGACCTAGAAGATGAGCGTGCAGAAGTGAAGCTGCTCGGTATGTTATACGCTCCTGGTCCTGGGCCCTCAGAAACATACTCATAGCAGCTCATAGCAAAATTGAAATTTGCAACAATTTTTGTTCAAAAACACTGGGCAATCTGTATACGCCATGCCAGAATGGAACGATGTCATCTCAATCGGGCCTGGTCCGGGCGGATATTGTCCAAAAAGCACAAACGACGGTCCCCGCTTCACAATTCAGAGGCGCTACAACAATTCGGCGGTAGAGTCATCTCCGGGGCCAGCTGACTACACACCAATCCTTCGCAATCCTGGGCCTGCGTTCACTATGAGGAGCCGTACAAGCCAATCTAGCATACAGTCCACGCCGGGGCCCAGTGATTATCATGGCAACGCCCTCGCACTCCGGCATCGCTCCCCAGCGTACCGATTTAGCACCCAACCTCGGAGAGCACAGTCTGCTGTATTGCGTGAGCGAAGCCCCGGACCCGCAGATTACCATATCCCAAGCATTGCTGTAACACATCGGTCTGCGAGAGCCTCAAGCATCTCGGGCCGTCCCCGGTCACCGCCACAGGATGCCACTCCAGGGCCTGGAGATTACCAGGTGAGCATGACGCCTCTCTGGCCCCGCATCCACGGAGGGACGATAGGCATGCGGCCTGTCTCCAGTCCCGCAACAGGACCCCTGAGTCTCTCTGCCCCTGCTCCCGGCCCAGCAGACTACACACCTAAAGTTCCTGCTCGGTGGTGCTCGTCATCTGGGTTCACGTTCGGGTCTCGACACAGGCAGACGACAGAGACATTAGGCCCAGGGCCGGCTGGATACCACCCTAGACTGCTCAGAAGAAGCGCACCTGCATTCACGATCCAACGGAAAGGTAGGTCACTCAACGAGGTCTGCGAGGGGATTCAGACGATTTCTCCCGGGCCAGGGCATTACCATGTTGGTAGTTTAACATTAACTACACGCAGAGCCCCTGCGTTTAGCTTTTCAAGGAGACACTACATTTACCAGAATATAGTGACCTAATACATGCGTAGCCTGATGTTTCTTGGCGGAAACTTTCCTCTGGCTTTCCTTTAGCTTTTCCGCCTCGTTAAAAAAGATGCCCGAAAAAATATCATGTTATCCTCAACCGCCCATGACCCAGTAGCCCGCAACATCCCGTCCACCACCCTAAAGAAGACTATGCACACCGTAGACCTCTACCCGCGGGCCGGGAAGTCGACAGGACCCGTGGATGCATACCACAGCCACATCAACGCAGTTCACATAGTTCCCTCAAATCCCTGCTACGCTGCGACCGGCCACATCCATGAGTACGGGGATTACACACGTGTCAAGGCCCCAGAACTTTCCAAGGCCTCTCTGGTAACGACGATGTATCCTGACCCAATTAAGTATAGCCAGCTGGACGCTCCGCCGATTAACGAGTACAAGGCATCGTCGTTCTATGACGCCTTCCCACGCGATAAGGCGTCCATCGCTCTTACCCGCAGGAGCAGCGGCTATGGGAAGTTTGGCGGCGCACCGTACAATGAGTGCAGGGCAGAGTCTTCCGTCAGTGGTATTGGGGGAGCCCAGACGAAGAGCTACAGGCGATCGTCTGTGGACAGCGTGAACCGCCTGCTGTCTTCTCAGTACACTCTTGGCTCTACGGCAGGCTCGTTCCGCGACGGCTGCCTTTCGGAGTCTGCCCTCCGCAACTACTCTAGCATCAAGTGCTACCCTACAACCATGGAGTCCTACAGTACAGGGCGTGTCAACACGCTGGCTGGACGCAGGTTCTCGGACCAAACATACACTGGACTGAATTTACATAATTACAATACTACAACGTTTTTCAAGAGCACAGCCGGCCAGATTTTTGCGTAGAGGACCAGCCTGCACCGGTATGGGACCGCAGAGTAAACCAGGGCTGGTATTCGTTGGTGCCATTGGACCATTTGCGTGTAGCCCGGTGCTTCCGCGCGCCAGCCGCAAAAATAGAATTCAAAAAAGGATGCCTGGGTACTCTCTCATTACCGATGGACGCCACGGCTCGGCAATCCGCTCACTCACCCCGCTAAAGAACCGTGTCCGTGCTCGGCCAAACGGTGCTGCTTCACTCCTGACCCCATCCGGAGGCAGGTCCACCAGCTATTGCGAACGGAGGAGCCCGGGGATGTCCAAGCCAAGCCTTCACGAGTCCATCCTCCGCGATTCGTTGGCAGAAGAGCTGGGCCTCACTGCCTCGATGCGCGTGCTGCCCGAAAGGAGTACCAGGACCAACTTATTTCAGGCCTTGGACAGTCAAATGCAAGAGATCAATGCGCAGCTGACGGTACACCCTGACATAGAGGTACCCAAGTACACAAGAAAGGACTTTTACGGCGCGGATGTGCCGAGAGATGTCGCCCCCTCTTACTCTGGTGCCGTCACAACCACAGAGCCCGGCTATCGCCGCTCACCTGTCTCTCTGTCTGGGGAGTACCGTCCTACGAGAAGCTACGTGGATAATAGCCACTCTGGTCTGAGTGGTAAGCCGTTCCCGGAGCTCCTGCAATTCAACCAGGGGGATATCAGTGACTACAATCCCATGGGTGTCTATAGCTCTTGTAGCGTTATTAAGAACCGGGCCCTTGCGCAGTCCAGCTACAATCCTGACCTGTTCCCGGACGCCCTCATAGGGAAGCCGAAGGTCGACACAACCAGGGTGATAACCGCTCCTAAAAATAATGGGACGCTTAATGGGCCTCTGCGGTACAGTTCAGAGTATGAGCATGGTAATGCACGAATTGAGCTGGGGACTTTCGACAGAAGCGCAACGATACGCACCATCGGCAACGTCACTCAGAACGCCACTTCTACTAGCCGCCCTCTAACAGTGAGCACCCTCTCTTGAGCGCCTCCTATGGGCTGTCAACAGACTTGTAAACAAACTCGTCCCTTACTTCGCCTAGCCACAGCTTCGCTTCTCTGATTTGCGTGCGGAGCTTCTGAAAAACTAAATAAATTTTACCCCCACCAAAAATTCCACGCAAGCATGTTCAAGACCTCTGCAAACCTCCTTAGTTCTGGGATACCAGACCAGCCCTTTATGAGTGTTAGCGCTTCGATGTCTATGACGTCCACACAGGGGGGTCGCACGCGGGCCCGGCCTGATGATTTTGCACGCCAGTTGGGAATAGAGGAGGTTGAGCCACGGACATATACGCGGTCGAGATCTCAGGGTCTTCCGATCAAATTTCAAAGCGTATCAGGCCTTACAGGGCCTCCCTCGCACTATGTTGTGGAGAATCCTCTTATGGACCCCAGCTTGCAGCACAGTGCTGCGGCCCAGATGGCAGACCTGGAGCCTTCGTTTAAGGTAGAGCAATTCTTTAAGGTCGATCATTCCCCCAAAACAACCCGCGACCCCGAGACGTTGAATGTACAAATTCTGCGAAAAGAGGGGGACGGCACCACTCAAAAGGATCACCACCTCACCACGCCGACCAAGCGCGCAGCTACCAGACGCACACCAGCCCTGAGCGACCCCAATTACATAGAGAGGTACAGGGATAGATTGGTGGCCCCTGTTGACTCTCTGAGCGTAAAGAAAGAAAGTATGATGAAAACTATCGGCTCCAAGAAGCAGAAAACGCGTGTGGAAGAGCCACAACATAACGATGAGTGGTTCAAGCGCCAGCCTACATCAACCACAGCACACACATTCATGTTTCACGCAAACAATATAAACAAAGATATTCGTGAGCATAGGCGTGAGGTTGACTATGTCCTGGCTAAGGACCCTGTGAACCTCCACATAAGCACGTTCAAGCGAGGAACCGATACCCTGCTGTATGATAACCGCGTGGACTCCGTCACGGGTGTGTCCACGGGGTCTTTGCTTCCGACGTCATCATACTTAACTTCTACGCCGATCACAAACAATCTGCGTGCTAACCTGAGTAAGATATCCAAGCAGGGCTCTAGAATCAGCGATTTTTGACGCTTGCAAGAGTGAATTTGCAGTTCCTCGGATGCTACCAAATCTTATCTGATATTAGAAAAATGGCGAGTTGGTTCAGAACAGGAGTGACCAGTCCTGGTCCGGCTGCTTACAGTATTAGGCGAGACTTCGATCCTCGAGGGGCTCGCATAGAGAACGAGCTGAGACCCTCAACCAATCCCTTGCTGTCTTCGAGGTCCACGACTGTCAATCTTTTGAATAGGAGCCAAAGCCCTGTTAACCTGACGCACACTGAGAGGAAATCACCTGGGCATAAAGATCTTTCTCTCAAAAGGACTACTAAAGGCTCTTTACTCCCTTCTCCTTGGTCAGAAACATATCGCAGCACGTCGCCTCCTGCAAAGGAGATTACGTATTCACTTAACATGCGTCGCAGCCCGGTAACCCAAGTAGTATATAACGTCACGCCTTGCCGGCAGGCACACAGCAGAGCTGCTTCTCCTCTATACCGCTCTGGATCCCTTAGCATTCCCCACATACGCTCTCAATCACCACCTCAAGCATCTCGGTTTGCCCTCACTACGCAGAGAACACAGCCAACCCTTTCCACCTCTTCTGGCCGTCTTTCAAAGCCCTGCACGGGTCCCGCCTTTTCGATCAAGGGCCGGGAGATCATGTGGCAAGAGGCATGGGGACTCATGCTGAGTGCAGCAGCTAGCCATCGGTAGTGGTTAGTTGCTCGTTCTTTTCGGAAACAGCCTGTCCCTCCACGGTCGAATTCTCTTCTTGAACAAGCTTGCGTAAGCGTTTAATAGCAGCCTTCCCTTGCCGTAGATTCTCATCATTATCGGGATCCAGTTCCTTGAGTTTGACGGAGAATTGTGCCGCGGTAGTCAGGTCGTTGGCCTGTAGAAAAATCAAGAGTCCCGTCAAGCATGCAGCATAAAGCCCTCCGTCAGCAGCTTTTGAAAGGCACACCATAGCTATTCGAAGTTCACCCAGCTTCGCGGCTGCAATACCAAGTAGCCATTGGGACTCATATGCCCGGGTGTCTCCCATGGCTGGGGAAAGGATCTGGAACGCCCTACAGTAGTCACCTAGGCAGATGTACACGTGGCCCAGGGCACGCCTACAAGGTTCAGACGTGGAGTTCAACTGAAACGCACGAGTAGCACAGACGAGAGCGGCCTCTAAGTTGCTTAACGAGACAAACACATAGGTAAGATTAGCCCATATGTGCGGATCCTTGCTGTCCCCTTTAAGGCTTGCTGCCACTCTGTATTTCAACAAAGCAGTCCGTGGGTCCTTAGCTTGAATTGTGTACCCAAGAGAGAAAAATGCCGGACTGAAAATAAACGAGTCTTGCGGAGTAGAGAGAGTCATGCTGCTTCTACATGCCAGCTGCTTTTGTACAGCTATCACTGCTCTAGAGAAGCATTCGAATGCATCATCTAGAGAGTTCAACTTAACGTACAAGAGTCCCAGCTCAATGAGCACGTTGATGGACTCTGGTGATAATGCTATAATATCGTTCATTGTAGCTATAGCCTCTTGCGATTTGCCGGCTGCTGCCTGTAGCTCTCCTATAAGTTGCTTCGCTTGCAGTGTTGGATGAAGGTCATATGCCAGAAAAAGATGTTTTTCTGCTGCATGTCTGTCACCCATGCGGAAGGATGCCAATCCTCGCAGTTGATGTGCAAGCCAGGGCGCCCGACCTTCTGTTGAAATTATGCTATCACACTGTGCGATAACAGAGGGGTAGTTTCCTTGGAGATAGAAGCACTTAGCCAACTCTAGAGTGGTAGACTGGTCGAAGGGGTCTAGCTTCTGGGATGCAAGAAAGGAGCTTATCGCCTCGGATATTCTGTTGAGTGCACGCAGAGCCAGACCCTCTGTGTGGAGCAGCTGGTGCGTGGTCCCACGCTTCTTCTCTACTGCGATAGACGAAAGGCACTGCTCGTAAAGACCTGCATAGTAGAGATTGAGGGGCATTCCCTAGACTCGTTGGAAATAGAAGTCTGAAATGAGTGATTACATTGCAAGAAATATTGCAGCGGATTTAGCGTAAGGGATATAATTACTTTTCCCATGTCATCTATAGACAGCCCCGTCGCTGTTGAGAAGTGTCCTGCAGGGGCGTCCTTCTGGTCGATGCTTGGACAGGTTGTGGCCGTCGTTTTTTCGTCTATAGGCGCGGCATATGGCACAGCAAAGGCCGGCTCGGGGCTTGGTGTCGCTGGTCTGATCAATCCGGCCCCCGTCACAAAGCTTACTCTTCCAGTCATCATGGCAGGTATTCTGAGTATCTACGGGCTGATTACTTCCTTGTTGATTAACTCGCGGGTTCGTTCGTACACAAACGGCATGCCCCTTTACGTTTCATACGCACATTTTGGAGCGGGGCTTTGCTGTGGCCTTGCTGCGCTGGCGGCAGGGCTTGCTATCGGTGTTTCTGGAAGCGCTGCTGTGAAAGCTGTCGCCAAACAACCCAGTCTATTTGTTGTGATGCTTATTGTATTGATATTCTCAGAAGCTCTTGCCCTCTATGGTCTTATCATAGCACTGATTTTGTCCACGAAAAGCGCAGACAGCAATTTTTGCGTGAATAATGTCAATCAGTAAATAGGATTATCCCCGCTGAACCATCTCAGCACACAATGTTTCCAGATCTATCACACCATCAACCGTGCCGCAGCAAAGCGTTGTTAAATCGCATTCTTGGTGGATCTGATCTTGTGACTAATTCTTACACTGTGAGCCGACCCAGGTATCCAGTTAAGAAAGGTTTGCTAGGGGGCCAAAGAGGATCGGCATATAGTTTAGAAATTCCATAAACAGAAAACAGCTCTCTCTATTGGTTTAGCTGCAAGCTCCCTCTGTAAACAGACAGCTAGTTAGTTCTACATCTCCCTGGGCACCTTATAGATATCCATCGCAGATTTTAGAAAATTGGGCACTATGACCCTGACCCTTCGCCACCTCAGAGCACTTCTTGAGAACTATGGGTCCATCCCTGATGACCTTCGAAAGACAGCGTGGCGGTTCATGCTTGCGCTGCCCAACGACGTAGACTATTATGACAGCCTGGTGACTAGAGGCATACACAAAGATGCACACAGTCTCTCCAGGCTTTTCCCTATCAGTGACCGCAGGCTCCTTGTTAGGCTCCAGAAAACATGTACAGCACTCTACTACTGGTCACCAGACCTGGCATCGGTGTCATGGCTTGCGCAGTTTGTGTTTCCTTTCGTGAAGTTCTGGGAGCGAGATACAGTTGCTGCTTTTGAAACGTGCGTAATCCTTCTTTCTACTTATCAATCTTGGCTGCAGTTTCGCGACGTTCCTCCAAATAGAGAGGTTGTCTTTGTCGATGCCATAAGCGCCAAGTACACTAACAGTAACGGAGTTGGCACAGAGAGACCGGCAGACTGGGCCTGGAGGCTCTTCATTGGCCTGTTTACAGACCAATTATCTGGCGATGAATGGTTGAGGTTTTGTGATCATTGGTTTTGCGACGGACATCGTATCTTTCTGTACGCTGCTTTAGCTGCTTTTCCCGTGGTAGTCCCCCCACGCTATTTAGCTGAATCACTATCTGCACCGTATCACGGTTTTTCTATTACTGAATTCCTAAAGCGCACAAAAGAGATCATCAACATGCTTAAGCGGCAGCAGCGGCAGCAGGGGCTCTATCCACCTGCCTACCATGACACAGATGGAGCTCTATCTTGTCCAGACTCTGCCACTGAGGAGGATATGGCATCTTTTCTGCGATCTCGATTTACGCTCATACCTACATCTGGAATGCAACACATGAGTTCCATCGCTTTGCCAAGAATGACTATACTAGATTACAATCAGGATTTGAAGCTAATAGAGCAGGAGCAAAAGGAATTCGTCAATATTATGAAGCGCGCCCACTTTCGTGACATGGCAGATGACCCTCTTGACACTAGATACTCTGACACCACAATCAGCAGAAGCATAGACTCTGATCTATCTCAACATGGCATGCCAACTAAAGCACAGCGGGCGATTGATGTGAGTAGGTCAGGAGTAACTAACCTTAGATCGTCTGGACTCACAAGCACCGTGTTTCCTAACAAAGTGCAAAGTACTCAAACAGTTGCACGCAATCTTGGAGATACTGGGAACACCACGCAAGCAGCTGCAGTTCAGGATGGGTTAGCGCGCTCTGTTTGTTCGGCTAAATCTTACAGACAGGGTACGACGACTTGCGAGCCACCTTCGCCTGCTGTCAACGATAATGCCGATCATGAATTAGGTTCAACGTTTACCATCTCTGCATTTAAGCCCAGATCTCAGCGCCTCGATCAATCCGGTAGAGCAGTGCAAACAGAGGACATTGAATTTATTCCAGTCAGCTCTTCGAAGTCCCAGCAGATAGCTGAACACATTGCACGAGAAATGGCCCAGGAAGTAGCAACCACAGATGTGCATGTACGCGAAGCTACTAGTGCCATAGAAGGCGATCTGCGTGAAAGACGGTCGGTCCATCCTGCGGTTCAAAAGCAAGACTCGGTTACCTATAGAGGGGCCATCAATGATGCAAATGGATTTGTGGTAAATCTGAGCGAACAGGCTCGAAAACGCTCAGAATCCGATAAGAGGAACAAGCAGCTTATTGGAAACGCGGTTCAGCATGCCCTTTTGAAAGGTATCACGGCGGTCAGAAGCTGCTCCAGGAAAGAACGGGGGTCACGGGCTGCAGACCTTCCGTTGAAGCAGGAACCTGGGACCAGTTCTATCGGGCCAGCACGCGCCAGGAGCACCGAGTTTGACCTACCACCCCAACCGGAGTCTACATTGTGCCAAGTTTGTGAAGATCGCGGAGTGTATGATCCACGCCCAGGAGAATCTCCTAAATGCAGGCAAACTGCAAGCAATGAACAAGTTAAGCCTTTGACTAATCAACAAAAGGTGTCCTCAAGACCAGTATCAATTTCTGTACAGACTCCATTGTCTAGGAGTGCCCCAAAGGCCCTTCCAACACGCTGTATTGAGCACATAACTGTGGAAACACAAACACCACGAGCCACTTCCAGAACGCCCAAAACGCAAGTTAAAAGCACCGGAGTACCGTATCAGCTACGTCAGCGCCAGCTCCAGCGTCAGCAACTACAGCAACCTAAAAGACCTGCAACAGGATCCAAGGTCAGTCAACCCAAGCGCACAGTATGCTCTGTAGATAGGTCCGTTGCTGCTTCAAGAGCACAATCACTTAAAACCTCTGTGGGAGTTCAGCATGTGAGTATGCGTAGCACAACCAGCGACACAGAAGAGACGCAGGAGCTTGTTAATAAGGTTGACATGCTCCTCAACACAGACCGCCTTGCTCCACGGAGAGAGTTGCTTGAATTGGAGCGGGCTCCCAGAGACACTCTTCTGGACCTTATCGATACCTTGGATCGTCAAGTAGCATCTGCTGATCCGTCTACATACGCTCTCCGGGATTCAATACCGTCAAGCAATGGCTCTGATCTCATTGCAGAAAAGCTTGGAGTTGACCCCCAGCTTGAGTATACTCACCCCGAAGCACGCCCAGTGATCAAGAGCGCCTACCTTAGCGAGTGTGAGGAAGATCTACTACATTATCCCCAGCCTCCACAAACACTACATCCCGTTGATAGCGTTCGCTTTGTCTCCGCCTCTTCAAAAACCCCGGTGTCTCAGCAGACAACTGCTCCCTCTATTAGCACGACTGCTAGTAGAGGCAGGGCTTTAGGTGATTCATCGATGGGTGATGCAACAGGAGTATCTCATAACTCTATCAGTTCATTGGCCCAACAACTTCCTTACCAAATCCCATTGGTAGCCCCACAAAGCAACTTGCGTATCACAATACCATCTGTTTCTGCAGCTCGCGGTTCCGAAGGCGGAAGCACGTCCCCCTATACAAATTCTGATAATACCCAAAAGCCTAGCGTCAGTTTCATGCTTCCAGAGAGCACAGAACCGCAAGACACATATAGGTCTATCTTAGCGCGCCGCAGTGCTCTCGAGAGTATTTCCGTTTCATCTACAGCGATAGAGCCGCTGCATCTCAGTGTTCATCCTGTACCCCATCGAGCCTCCTACCAGCCAGAGCCAGGGTTTCCACTGGCAGCCAATGAAAAAGACTTGACGATAAGCTCTGTGCAGGAACCCATACTTGCACCAGATGCTCACCAGGGTAAGCAGGCTCATTCCCATTCACAGCCTGAGTTTTCACGAAACTATCTAGAGACAACGACATCTACCTTCTTACCACAACCATCGGTGTCCTTGCATGCCTCAACCTCACAACCACTTGGAACTCAACTGCCTTCGCACTCTACTTCCTTGCCTATTCCGTCTCGTAGTGCCTCGAGAACAGGATCAGTACCGCCTCAAAATCCTCGTACAAATAGCCAGACACCTAGACAGATTGGGATGCATCGGCCAGAGAAATCCGACTCTCAGATAACGAAGGTGACAGGAGTAGATAACATGGGGTATGAAAATAGTAATACGTACGCAGCCACCATGACCAATTATGAGAAGAGCGCAGGGAGCATGCTTCAGACCCAGAAGAACCAGTTGCCTGTGCAAGTGATTATCCAAGATAGGGATCAGAGCTATACCCTTGGCAACAAGGATATAGAAACGCTTGAAGATAGCGGATCAAATGACCTTAACTTAAAAGGCACTGCCAGAGACTTGCTACAGTCTGTGCGGCGCAAGTTAGGGGAGTTCAACGAGGTAGATGATCCCTCTTTTTCTACTGTCACAAGCGGAACAGACAAATCATCAACGCGACCATTCAATGGGCTGCTGTCATCAGCGGCTCGACTCGGTGAGACAAGCATGATCGACTTGCAAGGTACCAAACACACATTTCAATCTAATAGGCAGATGAAGTCTGAGGACTACTCTGCCCTTGAAGATCCAATAGTGGACGTCGATTCACCGTATCACCAAGACCAGACGCCTGCGCGGGCAATACGACACTCAACGACAGACCAGCAGAACCTTGCATGGAGCAGTGCTGTAGTAGACCCGAGCGTACTCGAGATGTTATGTGACCATACGTCACCTGCATCCAACACGATGTATAGCAATGTCAGGGGGTATTGTAACCAAGTCGATAGTACATTGGCCAACCTCAAGCAAGGCATAGATGATGTGCTTAACAAAGCGAATCATTCTGATGTCGTAGGGTGACTACCTATCAAATGGAGTGCCTGCCAGTGATGGCTCCAACTAATGGCCTTTGCGATTGCAGAGTTAAACTTAAAAGACAGAACATTCTCTTGTATCTTGTCAAGAGAAACTTCAGCAGACGAGTCCGCGCCAAACGCTGCTCTCACCTTTACCATGAGCTCCTCAATAAGAAGATAAGAGAGCCTAGCATTATGTGTATGAAGTACCGTAAGGAGCGGTTGTTCGTCCTGTTTATCGAGGATCGTCAATTCGTACGGTAGTAGGATCCTTAGCTCTGCCTCCCTTTGCAGCCGTATTGCCAACATTAGGGCCGAAATTCCATCATTATTTAGAATACCCGCCTCCAGTGGCGCTAGATCCTGCACAATTTGGGTATGACCACACGCTACGGCTATCATAAGGGCTGTGTCCCCATAAAGATTCTGTTTTCGTGCTTCAGACTCCATTAGCAATGATGAGATTTCCTGAACGTTTTGCTGTGCGGCCATCATCAGTGGTGTGGTACCCTCGTCACTGCAAAGACCAACAGAGTGCGGTAATAATATCCTGCATGCCGTCGCAGTCTTTGCTCTTTCCTCTCTATTAGTGTCTTGACATTCTTGGGGATAGTCCGCTGCCATTTTGATCGCCTCAAATATGGGGAGGTTCCCCTTAGAGGTTGTGATGTGTGCTTGGTGGGGAGCAAGAATGTCAATTGCGAAGATGTTCTTATCGTTTAGTACTAGCTCTAGAGCTGTCTCGTTGTTCTTATTTCGCAAATCAGCCTCTATCTCTGCAAGTTGCCGGAAAAGAGAAACCGCCGTAATGTCGTCTGGGGAAAGCATAGGCTCTAACTCTGCGGTGATCATTGCGTCAAAATAGGGTATAAGTACCTCTATCTGCAGCTGGCAATCTATAAACCTTAACGGAGCACATGTACTGAAAAATGGGTCTAATGTGCTACTTAAGCTGACTGTGTCACTACCATCTATACAGGGGGGCTGAGATGATATGACTGTTTGACAATCTTCTGTAGGTAACTCTTTGAACTGCAGAGCATGCACTTTTTGGTGCTGATTGGATGTGACTGTATCTCTGTCCGCTAGAGGCGTGTACACCTGCATATCTATACGTCCAGTAGCGTGCTGTTTTTCTTTCTGTTTGCTCAGGAGCGAGCTATAGCCTTTAACGGACGCAGGACTAGGACAGAGACGCTTCGCTTGCAACAACAGGTGTAGGGCTGTCGACCCGTCGCCAGACTTTCTTCCTGCATATCTCTTAACAAAGCTCATAGCAGCGTCAAAGTCCCCCAGCATAATGCTTTTCATTAACGGGGTGATACCGTCTTTGGTAACTGTAGCATCTTCATAAGCTAATATCTCCAGCTGGTGTACTAGTTCATTATTCTGTTTCGTCAGGGTAGCTATTGCGTCTTTGCTTTTCCTTAGCTCATCTTCTTGTAGAGAGACCCGGATATTAAATTCCTTGTGCTTATCAATAACCTTTGCAATTTCCTGCTCTTTAGCTTTAATTACAACTGCTAGTTTCTCCTGAGCATGCTCTGAATTGCTGAGCTTCCTCCGAAGAAGGTCTTTTTCGTTTGTGAGTGTTTCAATCTGTTGTCGGAGAATAAAAATTTGGTGATTGTACTTTTCCACTGCATTTAAAATGTGTTTATTTAATTGGTCTAGCGCCTGTATTGAGGGTAAGGGTAGCTCCTTTAAGCTTCTAGTTGAGAAACACTCGTGATCGAAAAGCTCCATGGGAACCTTGAGCAGGCTCTCTGGGATAGTGAGAAGATAACATAGCATCTGGTCCAGTTTTTGAAACACAATGTCCTTTGGGCATTCCAGCTTGTCTGCTAGCTCTTGAAGTTTTGAATGCAATGTTTTATTCTGCACATGTTCTGTCTGTAGAATGTTCTGGAGCCTCCTGATCTCCTGCTCAAGTGACAGCATTCTAGTTGTCAGCGTTTGACAGTTGCAGCAAAGCTCGGATTTGAGGCGACGACTCTGCAGATAAATCAAGCTGCTGGTTTCCACAAAATTTGGCCCGGAGAAGTTGTGAAGAGTGCTAAGAAGCTCTTGCTCTGTAAAGCTAAACCGCTGCAGTAAATACTTAATGATCTTGGTATCCCCTCGACGGACGGCAAATGAAAGAGCCGTTTGGCCGTATGCATCTGTATTCTTTTCAACGTGTTGTGCCAGGAGAGCGACTATATCCAGATCCGCGACTTCTGCGGCTAACATGAGGCAGTCTCGGCCATCTTTATAACGGAAGGTAGACTCGTGATAAACCAGGGCCTTCGCGGCCTCCAGGTTTCCCGCTAAGATTGCTAGTGAGAGTGCGCAATTATCTGTGTTATCGACCATGAGTTTCTCTTCTGGAACAAGGAGGGAAATGACCCCAACTGCCCCCGACTCTGCAGCGTGCATGAGCGCAGTGCGTCCCCGGGAATCTCTGCTGCCTGCAAAGGAGGATAGCTGAGGCTCGACGCGCCCCCTGTCGCCCTTGCGCGCCGCAGCAAACCAGGCGTCTGCCATCTCGATAAAGCGTACCCGGCAGGACTTGAACCTGCAACCTCCTGATCCGTAGTCAGGCGCGCTATCCAATTACGCCACGGGCACGTGCGGGCGCGAGGGCGCGAAGGACGGGCGTGTCTGTGTCTGCTTGGGCTGTGTGGCTGGAAAATGCCCCGGAAGACCCGCGCGCCGCAGCCCCCGCAGCCGCCGCCCCACAAGATTACCGACACGCCCGCCCCCAGCCCCGGGGGCATCCTCGGCCCGGTCGCGCAGGCCCCGCTCTACAGCGAGGCCCCCCGGATCTCGCCCCTTCGGGAAATCCCGGCAGCCGAGCTCTTCCACCAGGAGGTGGACCTGGAGATCCCCCAGTCACGCGGTGGTCAGCGCAAGCCTGCCCCCGCTGCAGACACCGTCGACATCCAAAGGTTCGATGCCTTCCAGTGCATGCCGCCCCAGGCTTCGGGCCACTGAGCCCTTCAGGTTGCAGCTGAAATAAAATCTGCATTCACATTTCAATTACATGGCTCGCATCATTCTGACAAAGCTAAGACTAGTAAACTTCAAGTCTTACGCAGGAGAGCACGTGCTGGGCCCGTTCAAGCCATCCTTTTCGTGTATTCTAGGCGCTAATGGCTCGGGGAAAAGTAACGTTATAGACTCGCTCCTTTTTGTTTTCGGGTGGCGAGCCCGTGCCCTGCGCCACTCTAGGCTCGCAGACTTAATACACACGTCCTCAGAGCATCCGGAGCTGGATCATGCGCGCGTAGATGTTTACTTTACGCTCTGGGATGACAGCCAGGATGCAGCTGTTCCAGGAGCAGAGTTCACTATTTCTAGAGCCGTTCGTCGTAAAAGCTCGGAGTCATATTATGAAATCAATGCAATGCGCGCCACACAAGCTGATATCGTAACCTTTATGCGAGAGCGGGGAATGGACCTCTCCAGCCACCGGTTCCTAATTCTACAGGGCGAGATAGAGCAAGTTTCGCTTATGAAGCCCCGAAATGCAGAGTCCCTACTGGATTTACAAACAGAAGCCTTTCTGAAGCACTTGAGAGACAAGACCCAAAACCCTCCAAATCTGGATTCCGTAACCTCTGCGGGAGAGGGTGGGCTTTTGGAGTTTCTTGAGAACATAGTGGGGACCCATAAGCATGTGCCCGTCATTGCTCAGCTCACAGCTGAAACCCAATTGCTCGAAGAGGCCCGATCCCAAGTACGAACGCGTCTACGCACTGCAGTTTCCTATAGAGATGAGCTCGAGGAGCAGCACGCTGCTGTGGTGGACTCCCTAAAGTCATTGGCAGAAGGTACCAAGCTTTACGCACGGTACTCTCAGGTGCAAGCTTTCAGCCAACGGAAGCTGATAGCTGCAAGGCGCATAGAGCAACAACAGCTTCGCCAACAAAGCGAGCACTTGGTGAATGAGCGACTGTCCCCACTGAATGTAGAAATCTCATCCATTGAAACTGAAGTTGGTAAACTCAATGATAGGTTAAAGGAGCTAGCAGCACTGGAAAAGGGATGTACAGAGCGCATGAGAGAATTGGAGGTAGAGAAGACAGTAACCGAGGAGAAGCTGGACCTTCATGTGTCCTGGTTGACTAAGTGTGATGTAGAGATAGCCTCACACGAAGCGGCTATTCAACAATATCAAGCAGAAATGAATGAATTTCCGGCACGAGAACAGGCCTTGCGGCATGAGATTGCTAGTCTGGATGGTATAATTTCTGAATTAAGTGACAAACTTTTCAAAGCGGGAGGGTCTCAAGCAGGTAAGAAAGGAGCAGGAGAAGAGTTAGAGACAATCTCACAGAATATTGTACCGTTGCGCAAGCAATTAATAGGTGTTACCGCGCGACTTTCAACCATTAGACAGTCTGGCCTTGCCACAGCAGCGGCTTTAGGGGAACTCTGCTGCAACATTATGTTGTGGATTCTTTTGATTGGCACTAGCCTTAAATCGTTGATGGAATCTCTCGAGTCCTACGTCAATTCTTCGCAGTTACTGTCTGGCATCGAGGAGAGGCTTCAAGAATACCAACAGGTGCAGAACAAAAATAGATTATTACATGCAGAAAAGGCACAGCTTCAAGCGTTACTAGTAGAGCTGCAGGAGCGTCTAAAGGCCGTCGATGCCTCCCAGGACGTGTTGAGGGAGCAAACAGAAACAGAACGAATGCTTCTAGATGCTCAAGCGAAAGGAATACTTAAAGGAATCTATGGCAGAGTAGGAAGCTTAGCATTGGTTGCTTCTCAAGACATTAATTTGGCAGCAATATCTGCATTTGGGGGGTCTCTGAACATGATAGTCGTGGATTCCATGGAAAATATAGAGCTTGCCCTTCGCTTTCTACGGGAACAACGAAGAGGCGTCACAAACTTCATAGACCTATCCCGCGTTAGTGACCAATATCGAAAGTATATTGCGGGGCAACCTCAAGTTAACGTTCCGCCGGGCACTGTTCTCTTCCTGGATCAGCTACATGTAAGAGATGAGGCTTGCAGACCAGCCCTGTGGCATGTGGTCAGGGACACCCTTCTGTGTGAGGACATGAACCTTGCAAATAGGCTTACATCTGGAAGGGGTGCAACTCAGCGTGTAGTTACCTATGAGGGAGATGTTTTTGACCCATCTGGAGTAATCAGTGGCGGCGGAGACAAGGCCAAAACGCTTCGGGGTGGTAGGGGATTTGCTCTTGGCACTGGCGCCTCTGGAGCCCGCGGGAGAGACTTGGGAGAAGATGAAGCGGTGCACAGGAGAAAGCTGAAGAATGACATTTCTGTAGAGATTGACACTATACACGAAAAGCTGGAAGGTCTGAATAGCGAATTGGAAACGTGTAGACGAGCATTGGCGCAAACCACGTTGTCTGAAGAAGCTGCTGCTAAGTCTGCCATAACGGCAAAAATCACCGCCTTCCAGGACGAGTTTTCAAAGGCACGGGAGTTGATCTTTCGCGCTCTTAGCTCTCTTCGCAGCTCGTTTGCATCTTCAGTACTGGCTAAGTCTGCCATTGAGATTACTGCCCTAGTTAGAAATGAGGTCTCTGATCTCTATCATGCTCTGGAGGAGCAGGACGTTTCTGGTTGCGGAGATATTGAGAATGCTCTACATAACCTAATGGGACTGTGTCCTACGCTTCTTAGCATCTCTGAGGACACTCTGTCGGAGTTTCCTGACATAGGTCCAGCACTCCTCAGCACATCAATGTCACACCATCTAAAGTCACTTAAGAACAGTGCCCTTGCTTCCATCCTATCGATGGGGCTTTTTGGAGACATCTTTTCGGGAGGAGAGCCCTCGAACAGAGATGTTACGGATGTTCTGGACCAATGTGCCGATGCCTTCACAACTAGAAGCATACCGTGCAGCATATTCATCTTTCATGCTGATATGAGACAAATGATTCTTCTTGGGGACCAGGAGCTGCAGCTGAAGTCAGAAGAGGAACGCCTTTCCAACGAGATTCAAGCGCTAGAAGCTTTAACAAGGAAAATCGAAGAGAACCAAGCAAACAACGAGCAAATAGAGATCAAGCGGAACCTTAACATTCATTCAGAGAAACAGAAAGAGCTAACAAAAGCCCTTCAGGAGGCCAGCATCAATCAAAAGAAGCTGGAGCCTCGAATAGCCAGGACTCGCAAGCAAATAACAGAGCTGCAGAACAACAGGCATCGATTCCAAAACGAAATTAATAATTATCGTCACAAGTTGCAAGAGCTGGACCAGCAGCGGGAAACACTGAGTAGCGAAAAGCTTCCACACCTTCAAACTGAAACATCCACGTTAAAGACTCAACTAACAGAAGCAGGCAACAGACACTCCAGTGTTGTCAGCCAAAGAGAAGAGCTTCTCAAAGAGTTACATGACTTAGAGCAAGGAATTCAAACTATTGAGCAGACAATCCAGACGAAAGAAGCAGAGTGCCGACGACACATAGCAAAGTATACAGAACACTTGCATCTTCTGGATAAGCTGTTCAGCACATTACAGCTGACGGTTTTTAACTTTGCCGACTTGGGAATAGTGCTCAATCCCCAGTCAGTAGAGGTGCTAGCAAATCAGCAGAACATCGATGCTGTGCAAGAGCTCTGCATGTTTCCACAGCGAGAACTGGATTCTCAAGAGGTCTCCGATTTGGTATTGGAGCTCTACGGAGGTATCAAGGTTGACAAGAAAGCCGCTAAATCCTTGGAGACAGGCCTTGATCTAGATACCAGCACAGCGCTTCTGATAGAGTATCGCACCCGTGCTCAGGCTGTATTTGAGCGCCAGGCTGAATTCCAATCCATTTCTGCTTCGTATGATACAAAGAAGGCGGAGCTGAATGCCAAGCGGGACCAGCGGGCGTCTGAGTTCATCACTGCTTTTACCCTAATTAACACTTATTTGCGAGACATTTATAAGACGCTTACACTTGGTGGAGACGCGCAGCTGGAGTTTATCAATCAGTTTGATCCATTTGACGGCGTTCTCTTCAGTGTGATGCCTCCGAGAAAGTCCTGGAAGCAAATATGCAACCTCTCTGGGGGAGAAAAAACTCTGTCTAGCCTTAGTCTCATTTTCGCATTGCACTGCTACAAACCAACGCCACTTTACGTTATGGATGAGATAGACGCGGCGCTAGACTTTCGCAACGTTTCTATTATCGCTAAGTATATCAAGGGGCGAACGAAGAACGCCCAATTCATCGTTATAAGTCTTCGTAACAATACCTTTGAGTTGGCAGATAGATTGGTAGGCATATATAAACAAGGAAACTGCAGCCGGTGCATTATCTGCGATCCGGACGCAGTCTTGGCTAAAGTAAGAGTCTCAGAATGAGTCACCATACTCGAAAACCAACAGAATAGAATAGAACAGAGCAACTGCACAACATTTGAATAAAGGAAACTCACCAGCGCACTGGCATACTGACATAATGACATACACGTTATAAAATAATGGCATACTGCGACTACACAGATTACAAACATACCCTATAGGACCGAACTTCCGTCTCTCGATGACGATTGCATGGAAGAAGATCAGAGCAAACAAAATACTCTTGAACTCGTTACCCTTGGAGCACATTTCAAACGTGTCTGGTGTAAATAGTCCGATGGCTCTGTTCATATTGGCCTTGATCCCTCGCGGGGGCTCGTTGGTCACCTTAATACACATCTGTACAATCCCAGGGAGAACAGACGCTACAGCAGGGTCAGAATCCGGCTCCCCTGATAGGAAGAGACGGAAGTTGTCGTGCGCTGTTTCGGAACAATACTGCTCCATCATCTTCTCTAGCTTGACCTGCCAAATCTTCATAAGGTGGATGTTCTGGAGGAGCACCCAGCCACCTTTCTGCGCCATGTCCTCCATGGCCTTTTCAGCAAACTTCTCCTGACCCTGACCGAGAGAAATTGCCTTGAATTTTCCGTTATCTGCAGTGAAGCCTAACTGCTTTCCCAAGCTCTCAACGTCCTTGACCGGGTCGACGCCTGGAGAGAGGATAAAGAACACAGGCTCCGTCTTGCTAGAGTCTGCGTAGACGTTCTTGAAGGAAAACGGCAGCGCTTCAACGTATTTTTCGCCGATCGACTCACTCACAAAATCAGTCATAGCGGTCATAAGACGATCAGGCCTCAACGCACGAATGATGCAGAGACGCTGCAGACTCGTTCTGTTCTTCCAATCCTGTGGCAGCTTCTCACGCTCTGGCTGCTCGTGCTGAATCCACTCCTTCCAGCGCTTGGCAGAGCCTTCGATGTCATCAGGGAGCTTTCCAAAGATGTCTGGTATGCTCTCCGCAAGCCCCACGACACTGTTCCAAGACGAAGTGGGGATAAACTCTGATAGCGCGTTTTCACGGGAAACAGAGGCAGTCCCGCGCAGCAAGAAGTTAAATTCGTTTGCAGGAAGATTGTTGTCCTTGCGGAGGACGTTGAAGCAGAGCTGCGAAATGAAGATGAGCTTATGCCGCTCGAAAAGGCCGCGAGCAGCATAGGAATAAATATCAAACGTGAGAGCATCCAGAAGAATGTTCACGCGCTCCTGGACGTCTTCGCTTTTCTGTGAGAGCCTGATGGCCCTGTAGAAGACCGTTATAAAGGCGGAGAGGGAAAACTGATAAAAGTGATCGATGACATTCAAGGAGTTCAAAAGGAAGTAGAGCATAGCCGCACGGGCTGCAACAGGCCTGTACTGCTCCCGAGCCTTGTTTATATTTTCCTCCGTTATCTTGGCTTCCTTGACCTTCTCGGAAATCTCTGATGACGTGGCCTTTGTTTTCTCCAAATTCTCTATGAGATCGGTGTCACCAAGAATGTCTCCCGTTGCCGAAGAAAGACGCTTGAGCAGGTCCTCTTCCAACTGCTGGAGCGTGATCTTAAATTCATTCTGCTGGCGCATGAGACTAGCCTTCAGTTCCTCTAGGTCGGGCCGCTCCTCAGACACAACCAGAGCAAGGAGCTGGTCTTCCAGGCCATCGATTGTGACGGTGAAATTGATCAAGGTAGTCTGTGCCTGAATCTCTGGCGAATAGTGGGGATTCGGCATCTTGGTCTGGATATAGAGACGAAAGTTATCGTCATACTCAACTTCTTTGTCTCCAAACTTGATGAACTTAGAGCGGCCCCTCTTGATTATGTTACGTCCCAAAAGAGGATTGAGCACGGCATCAATAGTCTCGTGAATGTTCTCGATGATGACAGTATCACCATCCTGGACAGCCTTCTCAATGGCATCGAGCCACTTGTTCTGGGAAAAGCGAACAACTTGAAGGCGGCCAAGCTTCTCATCACTTGGGCGGGGCCTCTCCAACACAACGTCGTCTACAAACTTCTCCCCTTTCTCCTCGGCTTCCCGCATTCGGCGCTCTCGGTCCGCTTCAAACGTGGCCTTCTTCGCCTGATATTCGGCCTCCAATTCCATGAAGCGACGCTCTTCTTCCTTCCGGCGCTCCTCTCTGGCCTTTATCCACGCAATTCCCTGCAGCTGAGGATCAATGATAAGCGGCCAGCGCTCCGCGGTTGAAAAGATGGAAGCGTTCTCGAGTGAAACCCTGTCAGTGGGAAGCTTGTCATTATTCCAGCGTGCAATCAGGGCATCGTTGGTCAAAAGCTGCAACGGATCAAAGTTTTCTTGCATGGGAATCTTGAGCTCCTTCGCCCTGCTGATCCACTTGGAGAGAAGCTCTGTCCTGAATTGGCGATTGAATGGCCCAGAATATGATATGAAGGCTGCCGTTATAAGAACGTCTCCAACCAGAGTTCCGTCGCGACTCTGGAGATCGGTAACCGATTGTTTCCAACGTTCCTTTTCAGATGCAAGACCGTTAACGAGTCGATTAGCAAGATCTAGGCGTGCCTTCGTGGCATTCGCCTGCCGGATGACCTCCTCCTTATCTTCAGTGGCTGTGTGTTAGTATTGTCTGGAAAGGCTTCTGTCGGTGAAACGCTACTTATTTTTTGGATTTTGCTTTTACTTCAAAAAACTACAAAAAACACCGTAATTATTTGAATGGGTACAGACTATCGAAACAGCGGGCGCGGGGGCCGTGACGGGCCGGGAGGCCGCGGGCCGGGCAACGATCGCCGAGACAGTGGCCGGAGCTTCGGAGACCGTAGGCCAGAGAGACCGGACTTCAAGAGAGGTGACGGGGGGCGCGGCTTCGGGGACAGGCGCGGCTCAGGCCCCCCCGGAGGCCCCGATCGGGGTGATCGCCGCGGACCAAGGGATGGGCCTGGCGGCCGTGGAGGACCCGGGGGCCCTGGCGGCGGGTTCAAGGGAGGAGCAAAGACCATGGTCAAGCCTCATCCCAAGTATGATGGAATATTTATATCCCATGGACGGGGCGATGTTTTAGTGACGAAGTCTCTTGCACCAGGCGTGGCCGTATACGGAGAGAAGCGCATTTCAGTCGAGGGGACCGAGTCCAAGATAGAATATCGTGAGTGGAACCCGTTCCGCTCCAAGCTGGGCGCGGCCGTCCGCCTCAACGTGTTGGACATGCCAATAAAGCCAGGGGCGAAGGTCCTCTACCTTGGCGCTGCATCGGGGACCACTGTCTCGCACGTTTCGGACATAGTTGGGCCTACCGGCGCCGTTTATGCCGTCGAGTTTTCGCAGAGGTCTGGCCGCGATTTACTTGAGGTTGCTAAGGCTAGAACGAACGTTTACCCCATCATTGCTGACGCAAGGCATCCTTACAAGTATCGTATGATAGTCCCGGAGGTCGATTGCATCTTTTCTGATGTGGCACAGCCGGACCAGGCACGGATTGTCGCAGAGAATGCGAGGTACTATTTGAAGGCCAATGGAGGCATGCTGATATCTATCAAGGCAAGCTCTGTCGACTCGACGCTGAAGCCGGAGGCCGTCTTTGCGCGTGAAATAGAGACATTGCGCGAGCACGACTTTAAGTGCAAGGAGCAGCTGGACATAGGAGAGTTCCACAGGAATCATGCTATAGTTGTGGGGAGATTCCGTGTCAAGGCAGCGTGATGCACAGGTATGTATTTATGAGGAATGACGTCAAAGTAGCTTCATAAGTAAATATACTAATGAGATAACTATGAGAAGCAGAGGTATGATGACTGCGCCGGCCTGTTCGGAGCGCAGAAGGCTAGAGAGCAAGTGTCGGCCGACGGTTACTTTGGACCCTAGATTTGAGATTTTTTCTAGCAAGACGTTTATGTGCCCTGTCTGATCATGGAGCGCAGAGGTTGTGTGGAGCGCCAAAGCGATCGTTTCGTCTGCTGACCGATGGGCTGCAGAGAGGTCGAAAGCCTGCGTGTCAGCAATTTCCGAGGCTGGATGCATGCGCTCCTGGTCTTCCAGCGCCTTGATATCATCTTCAATATATTGAAGCTTCTCTAGAAGATACTGGACATCTGTCTTTGCTAGCTCAGGGGCCGACGCCTGCAGCTGGGCACGAAGCTCATTGAGGCGAATCCAGAGCGTGGCCAGTGGCGGGGAGGGCAGAGAGGCCGTGCGGGCGAGGTCTTCGACGGCGGCCGCAAAGTTGGGGGCGGGCATAAAAGCGTACCCGGCAGGACTTGAACCTGCAACCTCCTGATCCGTAGTCAGGCGCGCTATCCAATTACGCCACGGGCACGTGCGGGCGCGAGGGCGCGAAGAATAGGACATTTTGACTATGTTGGGTGAGAGTGGACTGGGGGATGGGAATAAGCGGCCACTCGCACTCTGTCTCAGATACCAGGGAGTCGTGCTGGCCTGGGGCGTCACCCTTACCAGAGGCGCACGGAACGGCTAGAGCAGCCCGCCGTAGCTCTTCCATTGTCCAGGCAGAGGCACTGTGAGGTGTACCGGTTGAGGTGATGCGGCACATGGATGCGTTTACTACCTAAGTGGATGCCACCTACGCCTTCCCCCTGCAGAGGAAGCCCACGAGGCCCCCCACGACAGCGACCACAGCCACGGAGATGCCCGCGATGGCCCCCGTGGAGAGCCCGCTCCTGTTGGTGCCAGAGGACACACACTTGCCACCCTCTAGACTGAAGCCACTGTTGCACTCCCCACACACACCATCCACCACACAGCTCTTGCAATCACCCACAGAGCACAGCACACACCCACTGCCGTCCCTGTTGGGCTTCCTATCACTGTCACAGGCAGTACATATAGCAGGGGTCATACCAAGAGTGTCTATCTGTGTTGGCGCTTTACACTGGGAGCAGCCATCCACCCCCACGTATGCCTTAGCGGTACCACCAGTGCCTACTAGTGTGCCCAGGGGGTTCCCACAGGCTAGCACGGACTGCTGAGTAGGCTTTGCCTCTGGGACTATGAAGTACTTATTGTTGGCCGCCTCTGTGCATATCCCATTATTACCTGCTGTCTTGCACATGAGGTTACCAGGTTGAGCTGATACACTATAGCAGCCACCCATGTATAAGAAGTAGTTGTTGGTGCACTGTGTACAGACACCTTTAGCACAATGATTACTATCGTAACTACCAGAAGCCACACACTTTCCATTAATGGGAGCTTGTGAACTATCTCCACAGAATGAACAGTAATGAAGCTCCTTTCCATCATTGTCGATCACTATAGCATCGCAGGCCCCTGCTGTCCCACCACACGCAGTATCATCTTCACAGGCCTTTGTACATGTGACCCCAGTTGAAGGTTCTCCACTGGGTCTGTAGTTCACCTTGCACTTTGTGCACTTGAGGGCGTCTTCTGTTCCCTCACAAACATCACATCCATCGATGCCGCCCTTTTGGCTATCTCCGCAAAGAACGCACTCTTTTCCTCCGCTGGACTTTAGGAAGAACCCGGGAAGGCACTTTGTACATGTATCAATTTGACCCGCTGTTCCGCACTCTGCGCAATGTCCTGTACAATCGGTGCATGTTGTCGGATTAGTCTCAAAGAAGCCCGGAAGGCACTTAGTGCATTGTTGTGCAGCACTACAGGTTTCACAATTAGCCACTCCTTTAGATTCATCACCACACGGAAGACACTTTGTTCCAGCAGTTTTATCAACAAAGTGCGTTTCACCTGTCGGACATCCGTTCTCATCGACGCACTCCGCTGTCCCGTCGACCTTCTTCTTGAGAAGATTCTTTGCTTGTCCACTGTCGCACTCGCTGCATACGGGCTGCTGGAGGACATCGTCATACGCGCACACCCTGCAAGCTTCGGGGCATGCCTTGCACTCTCTGGTAGTTGGATCGGGGTACTTCTTTTCACCACAGGTGCTCCCGCTCCCATCGACACAGCTGCCACCAGTTTTCAGGTACCTTCCAGGCATGCAGTGCGTGCACACTGTGTTGGACGTGCACTCGGAGCAACCGGTGCCGCATGCCTGGCACGTCCCATCTGTGTGTAGGAAGTGTCCCTCTGTGCAAGCAGTGCACTTAGCTACCCCCTTATTATTAGCTGGTGCCGTACACTTGAGACAGTTATCCACTCCCATGACCTCGTCTCTCTGTGTAGTATCAGAGCACAGTATACACTCCCTTCCCTTCTCTGATGGTGCAGCAGGGTTCTGGAATATGTACTGGTTATCTGTCTTACAAGTAGTACACACTCCATTACTGGCTGCTGTGCATATCACCCTCTATCACCTTCTATCACCCTATCACCCATTATCACACTATCACACTATAGAGCATTCACTACCTAAGTCACGCCTTCCCTCTACACACGAACCACCAGCAGAGGAAGCCCACGAGGCCCCCCACGACGACGACGACAGCGATGGAGATCCCCGCGATGGCGCCAGTGGAGAGGCCGCCCCTGTTGGTGCTTCCGCCGGTGTTGTTATCACCACCACTAGTGCCATCTGTTTTGACATAGCAAGTAACAGAGCCACTACCACCAGCTGGCGGGGCGCAGCTTATGCAATTAGGCACACCAACTATTCCGTTGTCACTAGCATCACACTTCACGCAGCTACTTCCGGACTTGTAGTATCCGGGGAGGCACTCCGAACACTGCTGTGGAGAAGCACTTTCCGTGCACTTTGAGCACCCATCCGGACACGCCGGGCAGGAACCCGAAGTGGTATCTGCTGCTTGCCCGTTGGCACATGTCTGGCACTTTCCATTGGCAGCACTAGAGCAGAGAGTATTACCCGGAAAGGCTCCGGCGCTGTAGCATCCGCCAGATTGCAGGAAGTATGTGGTTGTACACGCTTTGCATGTTCCATCATTGTTATCACTCGGCGTGCATCCAGTCGGCGCCCTTGTCGTTATCGACACACAGACGCCGTCCACTGGAACGTATCCAGCCTTGCACCTGCTGCAGTACTTGGAGCCCCCAACGACGGCCGTGCACTGGCCAGCCTCGCAGTTCTCTGCGTACTTTCCCGTGCACTCTTTCATGCACGCTCCTGTGCCACCAGACGACCGACTCAGCACAGACCCCGGATAGCAGGCCGTGCACGACGCTTCTGCGTTAGTGCTACAGCTTGCGCACGACTCGTGGCAGGGGGTGCACACCTTGTTGTTGGCATACATCCCGGCAGGGCAGTCTGTTAAGCACGCGTCCTTCAGCGGACTAAGGTTCTTTGTCGTGCACCTATTGCAGGTCGCAGTCGTGGCAGGGACGCTTAGCGTGCACTCGGCACAGCCTTTCACGCCCTTGTAGAGCTTGGTTCTGCCCGGTGCCCCCTCGCCGTCGCCGCACGAGACGACGGACTGGTGGGAGGCGTCTCGGTCGTCTGCTGGGAGCACGAAGTATCCGGGGGCCGGGCTGGTGCACACCCCGTCTGTCGCCTCCTTGCACATCTTGACGCCGGGGACGCCGATCGTGGAGTAGCACCCTCCCTTGTACATGAAGGTCTTCTTGGCGCACTGTGTGCACACCCCGTCGGACATCTGGGTGCATGCTTGGGTTTCTTCAGAGTTATCACAGGCCCCATTGAGGGGGACCTCGGTAGCATCTGCGCACTGCGAGCAGTAGCTTAGCTCCTCACCTCCGATTCCAAAGCACTTTCCGGGCTTGCAGTTGCCTGGTCCGCTGACAGCTTCCGGGCACAGGACGGGGTCTGGGGCCTGCATCCCTGCTCCGGGCTCTCTCCTGTGGCACTTGCCCATATAGAGGAAAGATCCCTCCTGGCACTCTGCCAGTGCAATTGCAAGTGTCAAGGTTATTTTTAGTAACATTGATGGATGGACAGCCAAGCTCTAATACATCGTACAGCGTGCATTCTGTGATGCTACGCACCTGCTATCGTGTCTAGTGCTCTTTAGCGTTGCTGCGTCTCCGTGAAACTACGCTAATAGAGTAGGCACACCGTTATAGAAGCCACCGCAGTAGAAGATTCCGATGAAAAGCTCTACACGTGCTCAGGGCTCCATGATCAGCCAACGGCGAAGCATATGGAGCTGACACCTAATTCCATGCTAGTTGGCTTGTCCTCATTTCAGAATAGGCTATGTACATGGGTTCAACTTGAGCGAAGACAACCTACGATAGCCACGTGGTTGCATTGATTTTTCGTAGGATCTGCAGATCAAGCTAGATTGCTTGCTGAGGAATAATACTAATGTCATCTTGACGACATTCTAATCCAACGTGCCCTTCAGATGCCAAGTGCAGAAGCGCGCTAAAGACAAGTGAAATAGCAGCTGCAGACTTGTTCGTAATGTCATTAGGAAGACGCTTCATGTGAGAAAGCCGAGCAAAAACCTCTGCTAGCGTGGTCTGGTGAGTAAGCTCGTTATGAATAGCCCCCTTTAGCTGTGCTATGTTAACTTTTGTGGGAGTAGAATCAATGAGACTTTCTGTCTTGACCATGTTGAGAATGTACTCGGAGTTATCGAACGGCGGAGCCGATTCTGCAAGCGAGCTTCCGTGCAAGTCTGAAATGTCTAGTGTAGCTCGGCGTGAACTTGCAAGTGCTTGAGTGTGTGGCGGATCAAAGTCCAGTTCATCGGCTTCTAAGTTGATGCTGCAGTCGCTTAAGGCAATCTCAACAGATTCTAAAGGTGCATGATCAGTCAGCTTAGGGGCAGCGAAAGAAGACGACCGGGGCGCGCGGGGCGCTCGAGGGGGATTGGGGGCCCGAGACTTCTTACACGCCTGTGAAGTAGCTCGCCGAGCAACTCGCTGCTTCTTGGGGGGTTTGGGAAGTTTTGCTGCACTCCAGAGTGCATTCTTGCCAGAAACAGCTATGAGATCTTCGGTGACAGAGAGGTTATCAGAGGTCTCTACGTAACGAGCCACATCATCCTGTAGCTTCTGAGACAGTACGAGAGAATCTGAAACAGAGTGGACCGCAGACTCTATCCTGGAAGAAAAGTTGCCATATTGGCTCTGCATCGCAGGATTCACCATAATAAGTGATCTATCAAGTGATCCAGATGGCGCTACAAGTGGTGTTGCGATTAGAGAGGCCTGTGCAGCTTGAATCATGTGTGTGGTTATAGGTCGCACATTGGCTAGTATGCGGTCAGAAAGAGCTTGGGAGACCGACAAGGTGGCTGGTTTGGCGTACATGCCAAAGATTGGGAGCGATTTAGTGGTGCATGTGAGCTCCTGCATCTGCAACTGGGAGTAAAGGGGGTCCAAGCGGAAAAGCGCGTCACGTGAGGCAGGCTTCATCTGTAGGGCAGAGAAGTCCTTGGTTAATGCAGCATTCTTGTAAGGAACCCGCTTGGTGGCCTTTGAATGCTTATCCAGGGGCCTGCGCGCCTGGCTTGAGTTGGCATCTGTTTCACCCTCAAGATCCATGGGAGAGTGGTCATGCACGCGTCCTGCAGCAGCAGTGTGACGCACCATAGTATATAGGGAGTCCACTCTTCCTGCATAGATCTTTGCAGACGCAGAGATGGCCGAAGATACATAGACAAAATCGCACGATTGCCGCATGGAATCAATGATGCCATCTATGTTCTCCAGCAGCTGAAGAGACCAGGAGTTCTTGGCAGTGATTTTGTCCTGTGCAGCGAGCGCAAGACAGTCTACTAGAATTTGCTCAAGCTGGCTCATTTTTGAAAATAATGAGCTGGAGAGATACCCTGGACTTTCTCTATGGTCGCAATGCACAAGAAAACCCACGACCGCAGGACCCCACCATGTTTTCTGTCCCCTGCGATGAATTCTTCTACACCAAATTTTGCTCCGAAATAACAAAGTATCGCGAAGGAAAGAGTACACCAGAGGCGCTCACTGAGGCGTTCAATCAACTTGCTAATCACACATCTATACCCTTAGCTGCGCATGCCTTTTGGAAGGACATGCGGCTATTTTCGTGCATCACAGAGTTCTTTGAGGAGTGTGTGAATGGTAAGAATAACGAAGCCGATCATCACTGGACAGATATGGTTGTTTTTGCTCTTGCGAAGCTTGTAGACACGCGAGCCGGAGTGTCCACGCTGGAGTCTTTGCCCCTGGAGCAGTTAGATACCATACTAGTGTTTCTTCTGAACCACGCGACCAACTTTCCACGCCTGTGGAAAATCACGTATGAGATTTCGTGTGTCTCGAAGCTCTTAGAAGGGTACGAAAAGAACATAGTGCGTGCTGGCACAGACTATATCGGTTCTATCTTGAATAAGTTCACTCGTCTCCAAGCTCAGTTAGAGAATAAAAGGGTGGTACACACCACCCTTCCAGAGCACAAAGCAGTTCAAGAGCAGATAACGATCCTCAAATATGTTGTCTCCTCGGTCTACAACATCTCAGTAACATGTAGGGATGCCTTCGACCTTATAATCGATACTGCTCCAAACACGTTTTTAGATCTCTTCAAACGCACATACGATATATTTATAGTGTCTTCGGATTACGGGCTACACCTGGTAGAGGATTCTGTCGTTGAGATGAACACGTTCATTGACTCTGTTATTCTATTTGATAGTTCGTCATCACTAAGCTTCAGTACAGGGACTCTGCCACGCAACCTTATCATCTTGTTTGGTGATTTCAATACACATGTTGCAAGTACAGCAGCCTTGGCATTCGGGCGCATATGCTCCTCAAATGCAGCAGTGCACTCCGTGTGGAACACCCTCATGTTCGATGAGAACATGGCCCATGTCGTCGCCGGGTTCAGGACAGGCCTCTCCCACACAGATGATGCATTTCGCGAGGCATGCTGCTCCGCGCTACTTTCTATGCTCGACGGCCCCTTCAGAGTGAAGAAGGACGTCTTTAAGGCGGTTATCTTTGAACCTGGCGCCGCCGAAAGGAATGCAGATGACCCTAACTATGCTGCACTGTGTTCGCTTTTCGAGTAATGTGATCAACATAATAGGCCTAGTAAATTGATTTGAATTGCCTAATTCTAACCGCTCCAGTCCGCCAGATTGCTTGTTTCATGGGCAATCCCTATTATCCGGCTTGCTGAAAGAGCCTCTACGGTAGTTTACTGGTGATCAATTGATTTCATCGTAAAAATTAATCAACATTACCCTCGGCCAATCTCTTTCTTTTTTAAAATGTCGTTCCCCCGGTTTGTTCTCCATACCTACAAGACACGTATGGGAACAGTCATCACCTTAGCCGTGGCACCCGTGCTGACGTTTCTGTTGCTCTGGGGGATATTTTACTCACGCCTTGACTACCCGCTTTTGCCCGGCAAGGGTACCAAGTACGCTGTCCCCGCGCTGCCCTTGTGCAAGGACCTCACGGGGTGTACAGCTGATACAGTTTATTTGGCATATGGTCCAAAAACATTGACAACTTATAGAATTATTAATTCTATTATCGAGTCCCAGAAGATCACAGGTAAGGTGCTTCCGTATGCCAACGCTGCAGATATGGAGCAGGACATTGCCGCTGTCGGGCTGTCTGGGCCGGACCTGGAAAAGTTTACTGCCGAATGGCTCGAAGCAGAGGTCCGTGGAACCATTGGAAACTGCACAGAACAGTTCAGTGCTCAGCTGACATCAGACCAGATTTTTACCGACAGCGATGTCGATAACCTGATGAAAGACTCTTACGGATTGACTCCTGCTGCACTAAATGAACGTGCAAAGAGCCTTACGGGCCGTACATACTTCCTGGCCATACGATTCGATGTCCCGGACAAATTCGATGGAACAGCTAATATTTCATATACAATTTTTTACAATCAATCTATGGTTGGGTCGCTGGCATACGGGGCCCACGATCGTCTTGTGCGACAGATCTCAAATTCCTGGACGATGAAGACCTGGACAAGCCTTGGATACACAGTGCAGCAGATGGTAGACTCTGCCATCGCCAAAGTGCTCTTGGGAAAGGATATTTCATACGATCTTTCACCGCTTCCAGACCGGGTAGACACATCAGTTGCCGTGTTTCACAAATCATATATATATTATACTGTTCCAATGACTATCATGATCGTCTTGTCGGCCATGCTGGGGACTATCTTCAGAGGTCCGTTCCACTCTGGACTGAGACGCCTGGGTGTTCCCGAGTTTAAAGTGCTGCTGTCGAACTATCTGTGCCTCCTTTTCTTGGACTTCCTGTCCTCCCTCTTACTATTTTACACTATGTACTTCTCCAAGCAATATCCCATTGCCGCGTTTGATGGCTGGCTTCCTCTCATACTGTCTATTGTGACATCCTTGAGTATATCGGCTTTCACTCTATTCCTAACTTACCTCGTGTATACACCTGCCTTCTCGCTTATTCTCTCCACTATTGTAGCCCTGAGCACTACGCTGGTACCCACCGTTGTCCTTATGACGCTTTCAGGTCTTCTTGGTATGTTCAGTCCAGCCCTCGTGCCACCACCGATAACGTGGATATTTGTTGCAATTGCACCTTACCTTACCAACTTCGCTCTTTATGACAATCTGCTCGTGATAGCCAAGCATGGAGATGAGTTAATATACAATAAGGATCTTTACCCCACAATTCCCATAAGCTTCATCACCACAAACTATGACAACTACTACACCACGGATCGCAAGCAGTTTGGTGCCACTAAGACCTATCGCATTCCGGCCATGTGGATCCTAATCCTCATATCTCTGATTCAATCTCTTATAGTTTTCCCACTCATCTGCATATTCCTTTCGCATATAAAACCCGAAGAGGCTTGGCGTGGCTTGCCATGGAACTTTCTTTGTTCAAGAAGCTTCTACCGCCGCAAGAAGCTGGACTTGACTAAGGTCTCAAGCGTGCGCATGGAGACAACAGAGCTTGAAAAGACGTACAAGACGCGGAGAAAGTGCTCTATCAAGAGTAGTGAAAACCATGTCCTTAAGAAGTTGACCTTGTCGTCCCACGAAAACAGTATCTTAGGAGTCATTGCGCCGAGTGCTGGCGGGAAGTCCACAACAATGAAAATCCTCTCTGGTGAGCTGGCTATGAATAAAAATGGCGGGTCCTGTATCGTGCTGGGCGAATTTGATATGTCAAATAAGTATGACGCATACCACATTAGACCGTATGTGGGATACTGTCCCCAAGACCGTACAAACGTGTGGATGGGACTGTCGGTTTGGGAGAACGTGATGTACTCAGCTATCTTCCGTGCTGAAAGCATAGGCACCATGGACCGAATTCTCAGTAGGCATAAGACTTTGGACGAGTACGTTCTATCAACCTTAGATAAGATTGGTCTGGGCTCTACTGCTGTGCACAAGCGCGCAGCCAAGGATCTATCTGGAGGAATGTTGCGACGGCTAGCCCTGGCAAATGCAACAGTCTCCTATCCACCAATATATCTATTGGACGAAGTCACACTTGGCGTTGACCCAGTGTTGAAGAGAGACATTTGGAATTACATTCATGAATTAGTGGAAGAAAGTGGTAGCTCAGTCGTTCTTACTACCCATGATGCAGACGAGATTGGTGAGCTAGCCAATGACATAGTCATAGTTAAGGACGGGAAGGTGATGACCTCAAACTCCCCATTGGGCCTTCGTTCAGAGTTGGGTGACTATAGTATCATTCTCACTATCACCAGCAACGCACAGCTAGAGGCCTGGGGGTGCAGTAGGCATGCACTTATCAAAGAGTGTATGGAGAGCCTGACGAGGATTGTCTGGCCTACTGAACATCCTGATCCGACCCTACAGCCATACGTAGCGAAGGATCTCGAACACGTAGTACGCATTACCCTTCCACTCCATGCCAAGATAACCCCGGCGGTCATCTGTGAAATCGCCGACATGCTCCAAGCAATGGCTATTCGATATAGAATAGATTACGCAATAGAAAAGGCTAGTCTAGATGATATTTTTACTAAGCTGGTCGATGATAGCTGCTCCATGGACATGGACAATGTGTTTATTGATAACACCCACGGAGGGTCCGTGAAAGTCCGACCAAATCAGATGCGATGGCTGCTCCACAAAAATCTTCTCATTGATTTAAAGGAGTACTTTATCTCCTTCATTGTGATATTCCTGTTAATCCTCTGCCTTTGCTTGGTGGTCATTAATGGAATCAGTGCGGCGAAAAAGACAATCCTGAAGGAGAACGCTGAGCTTCTCTCAAAGGCGAAGGCAGGATACTTTGAGGCATGTTTCGCTCCGTGCGTGGTAGCACAAAAACTGAATATCCTGCAAAAGTTCTCATTCAACGGAGCGATTGCCAAATGCATGAGTAGAAACACGAATATTTTGTTTAATGCTCCCTATCAAACTATCAATCAGATATCACCATGCGTGAATTATCTAAAGTATGCAGGATTAGACTCGTGGGGCAGCGATGAGATACAGTTGGGCGATGGTAGTAGCACTCTTCCACTTGGTGATAGGGACATGCAGTATGCTGGGCGCACATTCTACGGAATTGTAACAGGAGGCAAACTGGATAGCTGGCTCGGATTAATGGTAGATGGGAGCTCTGCTCCATTGTGGAGTGAAGTGATTACAAATAAAACGGGCGTCAAGCTGGCAAATGAGTTTCTAAAGTCACAGTATACGCTTGTTCCACTTGAGAACGCCAACTGGACACATGTGTTTGCTGATGCTGACCCCAGTGAAAGCGTTGCCGATCCTTTGAAGGACAGGAATAACATTTTTGCGTTTATGATGCCACGACAGTCAATAACAACTATTCCATTGAAGTGTGTGAAGACCAACTGCCCCAGCGGCGACAGGAATAACACTGTTTATATTGAGAATCAGCTCATATTCTCTCAACATCTCCGAGACATGCTGAAGGATCTCCGTTCGGCGCAAAGCACCGTTATACACATGACTGAAGACGACTTTAATAATCCTTCTGTGCGAGTCACAAAGGTTAAGCAGGGGTTCCAGTCTTTGAAAGCGGGGATCTTTGACCTGTCATCTACAACGCCAGACACGTTGAAGTTCACGTACTATACGCAATTACCCCCCTTTGGGACACAGAATTGGACATTTGTTAAAGGACTTGTTAATATATCCGTTGATAATGGAACGACAGTGACCTACCCCATGCCAGGTTTCCCAACAAACCTGGACAACAATCCATCAAATGTATTCCCCTTCTACCTACCAACTAGGCCCTATCCCACTCTCTCTATCTACACGCTGGACCCGTTAGTGAAGCTCACGGGTGCACTGTTTCGTAGAGCACTGGCGGCAATGCTGACGTCACCTGAATTCTATAAGGAGATCTACAACTTCACATATAGCGCTAGAATAAAACCAATGCCCTACTACTCTGAATCCCGGTTTCTGGCTGTAAGCAAGAAGATTGGCAACACAATCGCCTTAGATGTCAGTGCAAACTATTTGCTACCCTTTGTCGTTATTGTGCCGATGACAATCATCTCAGCCAGAGTCGCTAGGGAATACGAATCGCGTGTAGTGCGGCTCTATGTGTTGCACAACGTCCCAAAGGTCAAGCTGGTTCTGAGTCACCTAATCTACTACACTGCCTGGTCCTTTGTGCCCATTCTCATTGCCATGCTCATTGTTTCAGCCAACTTCCCGGAGCTGTTATGGGAAAAGTCGATTGGAAATATATTCCTTTTGATCGCAATGTATCTGCTTGCGTCTGCCAGTTCAACAATCTTCGCAATAATTATTGGGATATTTACAAAGACAGTCCGAACGTCAATCCTCATTTCATTTGTGTTTGTCGTGATTACAGTTATCACGCATGCAACATTTGAGATGAACGAAGTCTTAACCATTGTGTTTAGCTTTTTCCTACCGGCATTGAATGCACTTTATCAGATTCGTAGGGCAATAGTTTATGACTATGTCACTGCTGTCGGTGCATGGTTATGTCCAGTTGTTTTTATTATCCACTTATGCGTTGCCCTTATAATTGTCTACTTCCTTGACGCAGGAAGAAAGCGTCATACCTGTAAGAGGGAACCAGTCCCATCCACAGAGCCAAAAATGCATCAGATCCCCCAGGAGCACCACACGGAGGCGTCAGACATAATGAGCCAAGAACTTAGTCGCGCAGTGACAAACCTTGATTTTGCAGCTAATGAGGTGAAGCCACACTTAAGCGTTCAGCACGTCACTCATCGATATCCTGACGGGTACTACGCAGTCAAGGACGTCTCCTTCGAGGTCAGACACAACGAAGTCTTTGCCTTGCTCGGAGCTAACGGGGCTGGGAAGTCGACGATCATGAATGCTCTCACTGGAATCCATGTACCTACGGAAGGAAAAGCGATGTGCATTAAAAACGATCAGAATACTACCCGGCAGAACATTCTCAGCACGTCTATTCGCCAAGGAGAGTATATAACGGTCGTTCCACAGGACGATATCTTTTGGCCAGAACTCACGCCCCTTGAACATTTGCGCCTTATGGTTGGCTTTACCTGTAGAAATCTTAAGCCCAATATCAAGGACATAGAGACTGTTCTTCGTGTGACTAGCCTCTACGATGACAGGAACAGGAAGGTGTCACAGTTATCCGGAGGGTCTCAACGCCGGCTCACGCTTGCGATGGTCATAGTATCATCCCCCTCTTTGGTTTGCCTTGATGAGATCACCACAGGCCTCTCCAGTCGGATGAAGAACGATATCTGGAAAGCCATTTTAGCAAGTCGCAGTGTATGCCGCACGATGATGCTGACTACACACGACATGCAGGAAGTAGAAGCCCTTGCAGATAGGTGCTGCATCATGAAATTAGGGAAGGTTATTGCTGAGGGTACAATTGCAGATATTTGCCGTCTCAGCAAAGTACAGTTTACATTAATTTGTTCTACCGCGTTGCTGGAGGGAAGCAGCAACGACGATGCTCGTCAACACTTTGAAAAGCTGCGAAAGGAGTTTGTGAGCCACCCCGATGTTTCCAAGTTCCTTGTTCGTTTCGTTGACGATGTCCGGGCCAGTGAGGTCCGGTTTGAGTTCAAGAATAAAGGTGCACTATCTGATGTATTACGTGCGGCAGATTCTTTTGGTCTTCTCGCAAATGAATGGTCTATTGATGTGAGCCGCCTGGAGAACAGCTTCATGCAGATAATAAATGAGTAAAGACGGCGTGCTCTACTTCTTATTACTTCCTTTCGTGCCCTTCTTACCCTTCTTGCTCTTTTTTCCTTTCTTTTCTTTCTTGGTGATCTCTCGAGGACATGGATCCGTGTTCATTCGGGACATTATGGATGCAATGTTGACCAGCGTCGGATTGTTATCGCGCTGTGTAAGAGCAGGGACGGTCGCATTCCGTGAAGGGATTACAGAAATATTCGCTTGCTGAAGATCTTTCAGTAGGTTATTGTCCTTGACACGTGCTAACTCCCTGCCAATCAAAGACATACTTGGTAACACGGCGGGTCTACCAAACACTGAGCTGGCTAATCGCTCCTGCTGGAACTCAGATGCATGGCTCTTATACTCAGATATGACAGATCTTGTCATTCCAGCCAAAGCAACAGTTCTATCCGCCTGTGCAATCAGGGGGGTCATCTGCTCAGTGACAGCAGAGTCGCCATCTAGCCTTGAGGGAGATGCTGTACTGAGAGCTGCTGCTTTATCGGCGCCAAGGTCTATGTCTGGCAGGGTAGACTCATCAAGTCCACTTGAGCTCATAACCTTGGCATCAGCATTCCTTCGTGCCAAGTCACGCTTTACTAAAGCAGCGTTCAGCTTCTGGCTTTTGTCTGTGTTGAGAGTGAATAAGGAGGCGATGTTTTGTGCAGAAGCTACTGCCCCGTCCACTTTCAGACTTGAGTCTGTCTCAATGCTTTGCATCTTAAATACTTGTGTTTGTGGATTGGCAGTGTTGATGGCACGGTCATCAAAGAAAGTACGTATCTCTTTCCGATTTGGTTGCGGGAGGGGCTTGGTCCTCTGGGCATTTCGTGCGCTGACTTCAGCGGTGACGGTCGAGGCTACTGAGCCGATATCGGGTGCAAACGGCGGAGCACAACCGGACTCGGTGTAGTCATACATGTCTTCTTTAAACTGCATGCCACTGAGATGCCGACCCATCATCGTCCGTTGAAATAAGGATGGCGCACTTGTAGGCTGCTCTATATATGGCAGAGTCATGTCCGTGCACCCTGGCTTGCGGGATGCAGCGTTGATGGGCTGATACGTTCGTTCGAACAGGGGCACAGTTCCATCGTCTTCTTTGCGAAGTGGAGTTGATGTGATCTCAGTAATTTTACTGAGCTTTTCTAGAGTCTTACTATTATCATAAAGATACGGTTTGAGACTCAGGTCTATCTTAGTGATAATTGCTGAATTATCTTCTGCTTCTTCGTCAGACAGACGCTGCCGCTCATACTTCTCTAGGCCCGGCTTGTAAAAGACAGTGTTACCTAGATGTGCCTTGGCGACGTGCGTGATGCCTGCAGTCCTCATAGAGTTCAGGTCTCCCGTTCTCTCTGCAACCTTCTTACACGCCTCCGTGAGACCATTGAAAGCAGCGGTCTTCCGCATCTCTACGCGCTGTTTCTCAACAAAAGCCTCTTCACGCTGCTTTGATCGTTCTATCTCGGCATCGGCAAGGCTCCGTACAGCCTCCGCGTTCTGTGCCAGCTCTTCGACTATAGCTGCAGCTTTGTAAGTATCTGCCGCCATAGTTTCGTAGCTAACCGGGGCTCCCGATGCTGTATATTTGGACATCGTGTCTGTGACGCTTGGCCCTTGAGATTGCTTTTTAACCTTGGGTGCTTTGGTACCTTTAGAATTCTTTGTCTTTTCATTAGCTTCAGCTGCCTTTCGTGCCTTTTCTCGTGCAAGCTTTGCTGCTAAGGCAGCCTGCTCTTCTCTAGCTGCTACTTCTGCTTTGATGGCTTTGGCCTTCATACTAGCTGCTTGCTTCATAATAAGAGGGCCGACGGGATCTGGTGTTATCAGCAAGCCTTTTGGATCTTTAGCGATGTCTGCTATCGGGGCGAGCGTGTCCCTGACTCCTTCCAGTATAACAGATTCACGGACAAATGATAACTCGGGGGCCTCTATCTTGTCCTCCTGAGCAGGAGCATCAGGATCGGATGGGTCGGAATCAAGATAGAGGTCTTCGTAGAGATGCTGATCCGGGAGTGCTTTCGCCGGACGACGACCTAAGTTATCCTCGCTGTCACTGTCTAAGAGCAAATCTTCATTATTCAATATGTTCTTAGATGCGTCAAGTACTTGATACAAACGAGGATCAAAGCCGTGTTTTCCTCCTGACAGAAGATCCTTAGTCTTTAGATCTCCAGCAGCGGCCATTGACTGCTGAGGACTGGAGTAGAATGCACCCGACTTCTCAGTATCCTGAGGGAAAATCATGGGCTGGAGCTTGTTGTCATACTGAGGAAGGTTAACTTGAGAGGTCACATACTCTGCTATGGCTTTACGATATATGAAAGCATTGGCTGCAGAGATGCCATTCTTCCCCATAGAACGCTTCTTGGCTTTGTCCACAGAGTCGTCGCTGTCCTCCAGATCGTTGTCAGATTCATCTCCCTGGGCCCCATCAGCTCCTTCTTCCGTCTCAGCATACTTTGGACTGGTAACGATTCCTGCCAACGCTCGAAGCTTTGATTGGTTAAGTTTGGCTATTCCAAGGCCGGTAAAGTCTTCGTTGAAGTCCAGGAGCTCGTCTGGTTGGTCTATTTCTGTGGTACTAAAGTCATACTCATTATTATACTGTTCATACAGCGCTTTTGTGTGTCGTCGAGTCTGTGGAGTGAAGTAGTCTGGAACAACGACGACACCGCGGCCCATCTGCACTTCTTTAAAGCCTGTTGCTCCGTAGCGCCGACTTTCAACCATAGTGCCGTGAACAGACTTGGCTCTCACGCGGCCCTCGTGATAAGCTTTGACATTCATTTTTATTTCTGCTTCCAGCTCATTAAGGTGTAAGGCTTCTTCTGCCAGCCGTACCGATGAGGAATTCATACTCCGGAAGGTCCTGCCAGCTGTGTTGACCTGTCTGTCTCCAGATGCAAGTATGTTTTTATATAGCTCATACCTATGCCGCGCCGCGTCCAACGAAGACGTGTACGGGGCTGTTAATGGTTTGATATTTTTTGGTGCCTGGTCGATGATACGAGTGGGCTTTGAGTAAACAGTCTTGTAAATAATTTGTTCTGCCCTAGTAAGCTGCTGTGATGCAGGCCGCATGGGTGTATGGTTGAGTATCGGCTGCCGCGCTCCATAGATGGCCTCGTTTGCGGCGTCTGATAATATTTGCTGTGCCTCTCCGTGTGGACACCGAGAGTTCAAATAGAAGTCCTTGGTTCTGTCTACAAAGTTGTATGAAAAGCCCGGTCTAGACCGTGCCTGATGATATACATGTGGCTTCACAATTTGATTGGCCTGCTGTTCTTGTGAGGCTTGCTCTGCAGTCAATTTAGCAAGAAGATCTCTAGCAGATATATCTTCAGTGTCGTCGTAAAAATCTATAGATGGTGTTTTTGCTCCACTGTACAGCTCCTTAGACCATTTTTTGCTCTGTGCACGGCCGGTATTTATGTCAATACTCCAATCCTCATCGTCCCGCACGTCCTCAGGGGAGTCCTGGGGTAGAAGGAGTTTTTCACGGCCCATCATTTCTGCCTTTTCGTTGATTAGTGCCATGAAGCTGGCTGGGAACCAGGACTCAAAATACCTGCAACTATCAGCAATCCTGCCTGCCACCCAGTCTACTGAGTCATGGCAAATGCTCAAGCACTCGGTCAGAGAAACAGGAAGGTGCAGGATGATGGTCTCTATCATCCGCGCGGTGCGAGCGCGACCAATCTTCGTTTGACAATTGAAGCCGGAAGATCCGCTCAATTTCAACTGTGGAGTGAATCCGTCATGAGCATTGAGGTGTTCACGGTCACCCCATCTGCGGCAGATGCCACAGAGAACCCTATAGTCAGCGTTTTCGCGCAGCCGCTGCTCTGCTACAACAAACCCTTGCCGAGTAGAACTTGGGCGCGACCGGACTCGACTCTCTTGAGTGTCTTGCTGAGACTGTCTAATAATTTTTCCAAGATTTGGTGGAAGCATTTCGGCCACCGATGCAGCCTGTTGGGTGTCTGCTTCACCGGCCAGCATTTTAATTTTTAAATTCTGTTCTCCCAACAAAGCTAGAAGGCAGGAATCATGACTGCGCTCTGTTCTACCGTGTTCTGCATTGGCAACTTCACTGCCTGTTGTCACCCTTTTTGCTTTTGACTCCTTTCACACTGCTGAGTAGCTTTCAAAAAATGAGCTTTAGACTATTAACTGCTCTTAAGCTAGACGACTGGAATGGATACTTAAAAGGCACGCTTGGCAATCTCCTCCGTGCGCTCCGTAAAGAGCTGGTTGAGGCTGCCGGCCTGTTATCCGTTACGCGGATTGTGGAGTTAGTATATTACTTTAGCTCTATGATGGAGCGCTTCCTTAGCTTTTACTCCCCCGAGTCGACGCGCTTTGCTCCTAAGTTTCCTCGTTACCTGTTCTTTGACGTAGCCGCCGATGGGGCTCTCTATATCATTATTGCAACTATATATCGATACTGTCTAGAAAGGGGCAATACCACTGTCTCGCTAATAGGGTTAACATATGAGGACTTTAAGGAGCTTTATCTGAGAGTCTATGATCTCCTATTAGAACGTGGAGTATTGGATGTCCCCAAAATCCATCTATCAGAAGATCTAAATGGCCTAAAGAAGGATCTGACAGAATCTATTATTGCATTGCGCGGAGAAGTTATCTATATTCCTGAAGATTCTACCTGCTCCATTCGCCTTCAACCCAAGAATGTCTTCTGTCCATCCATCCCGTCTGAGTTCCTGACTTACAAGAGAAAAATTTTATCATCACAACTATCGAATGAGCCAATCTCCTCTACCAGCCTAGCGTTTGTGGTTGATAAGGGAGATTCTCCGGTCATTGACTTACTCTCTATCCCGACAACTAACAACTTCTTCTTACGGATGGTGGAGCCTCCTGAGGGCAACAAAAAGCAGGGCGACACGCTTGTACATGTGCGGTGTACACCCCATGATTATGATTTTATAATGCGCTCTCGGGATCTCCAAGCAATCCGGAGCAAGCAGATTGGCGCGTCAGCGGCTGCCTCTCTGATTATTGATGAGTACCCACCGAGTGCTTTTCTTCGACCAAAAATCACGATGGAGCAGCAGACGGTCGGACTTTATATCAGTGATGAGCGCAAGGGACCTATACTTGTACCTCCCCAGTATGTAACAGACTCCATCTTCTTTAATGAGTGGATGGACCCGTATGACTATGTTAATAGCGTCCAGGAAGCAAAGATAAGCATGACTCAACTTGGCTTGGCAGCAGACCAATTGGGAATCACGGAACGCTCGGCATCAAAGCGTGCTCAGCGCTTAACAACAACTAAGCCAGTCTCTACAGTCCCTGCAGACCCGAGCCTGTCTATGAATGCCCCACCTTTTCAGCATCAATCCTCTGGACTCCAAGTTGAACGGTCAGGTCCACAAAACACGGTTACCCTTGCACAGAATATTGAAGCGTTGCTGCAAAAGATTAATCAGATTGCCCTTACTCCTTCTGGAGCCACTCCTTCCATGCAGCAAATGCAGCGACAAAGTGCTGGACACGTGACACTTTCTGCCGGGGTGCATCAGCAACAACCTCACCAGACACCTGGCCAGTCATATCTAGTGGCTGCTGCCAATCAGTCTAAGCATCCCGTCCCCACCATAGGCAGAGGACCAACCTTACATCACGCACAGTATAGAGGCAGTCACCTGACGGTGCACGGCCAACCTACGATTCTGCGGGGTTTTGAAATGGTCATAGGGAGTGTTGTTGTTCATGGAAACACGATCGTTCTGATACCGAATGCCTCAAAGGTAGAGTACTCCACGCAGCGATATAGTAGCCCGGACGCACTTAGAGAGTTTGGGCTTCTGCTGGCAGGAATACCTGTCTGCGAAAACCCCACACCACTCTTTTCAGACATGCTAAAGTCACGGATGGTGGGGAGGCCTAGACGCGAGGATTTTAATGTCCAGACGTTGATGTTGACGGCCAAAATGCGGAGATTCTTGGAATATGGAGACTCTGGCTCGAGTCTGCTGAACATATATGTAAAATATAATCAGAATAAGCGAAGTACAGTGACGATAAATATTCAGGAGTTGTGTGCAAGCATGCGAGGACATCCTATCCCCATTATATGGCACAGAAGAGTTGATCCTCTATTCTCTACGAACATCAGCCTGCTATACCATAGTATGAAGCTCACAAATTCCTATAGTACTCATTTGAACGAGACCCTCAAACTTTTGAAAAGTAGGAATAGTAACCAAATGTCTACGCACACTCAGTCTTTCCACAACTTCGACTTTCTTTTAGATAACCAGCCAGCTGCAAGCGCGCGCCCTAAGCAGAGCGCATCCAACGTGCAAGCGAACACTAAGTCGCGTGTGGATGAGCAGGATAACTTGACACGAATCCCCCTGAATACCGTCATGGACACAATTCATAATACTTTGTTATTCGACCCTCACCACTCTCCGATAGCACAGCACGCTTGCCTTTACTTTGACCCTCAGCACAATGAGCCAAAAGGCAATCGCAACTCTATTTCGCCAAGGGAGCAGGCACACTTTGCACAGATCCCTGGCTTTGATTGGCAGTCCTACATAACTACACGGAACATCATCATTGCCGCTTGGAGGTGTAGACCGCACATCTACCTGACTCTTGATGCATGCAAGTCCGTGATTCAGCAAGATTACACCTACATTTGGTGCATACACGAGTATCTGGAAAGAAGGCGTATCATTAACGAGCCGTCCATGGTTGTCATGTCGACTGTTCCACCGCTGGGGAGAACCTTCGAAGATCCCCTTCAACTTCTCATAGGAAGGGAGTCCATCTTTCGCAATTATAACAAATTTGTGCACCTCTATTGCGGGGAATGCAAGAACTACACTCAAACAGAGCACTACAATCTCAGTGTGTCCAGGCACTATCCTCACGGTCGATTTGTTTGTGAGCCGTGCTTTAAGAAAATATTGGCAGTCAGAGGCGAGAAGACGGCTGTCAACTACTGTAAAATCGACACCTCAAAGGAGAGTGAGCGGGCACGAAAGGAAAAAGACGGCTCATCCATTTTGAGTAAGTGGACAACCATAGAGCAATTCGTGCTTCTCAATACTGTCAGGCGCGTCGTAGCAGAAAATAGGGGGTTCTTCGGCGTGTTTGATTACGTTTCTAAGCAACTTAACCGCCCTCCAGAAATTTGTTTACAAGCATATCTCGCAATAACTGCTAAGCTATACGAACCCAACGAAACTATGAGCTCTGCGGAGGTATTGGATGTGTACATTAAGCAGTTGGAAAAAGAAATATTGAAATCCAAGGAGTTCGGGGGAGTTGTGGAGCACCTCAAGGCCACATTTAGTATTTCTACTGCTGAGGCATTATACATAGCAATCATGGCCAGAGCTAAAATTTTGGCGCAGGTGGAGAAGAGCAAAGCTCTTAGTGAGCTGCACAGTGCGCTTTGGCAGTAGCAAAAGCGGCCCATAATCAAAAATTTCAGCGTTGTTTCAAAATTGGGGGATGGCATTCAATTCATATGCAAGCATAAAGGGATTCTACAAGAACCTGAAAGAGGGGACTGCCCAGTGTGCAGGATGCTTTGCTGCCATTTATGGGGCGTGGAGCAGGTTTAGTGGAATAGCAGTGCAGTCCCTGGACTTTATGCAGAGGTTAGCTGCTCTAGAGACTGCGCCAGTTCGTGTGGTTATTGAGACCATAGCCCAACGTCAAAGCCAGTTGCTGGAAATCATGGCGCAAGCCTTTGACAGGTACGCTGCTCTTGCCGGAGCTTTGAGCGACATAAGCCCAACCGTAGATGCAATAAACAACGCCATCAATACAGCACAGAGATCCCATCGGCTTCTTACCAAGAAAGGACAGGTGGGGATGCAGTCCGATGCAATGCAAGCCTACCTGGACTCAAACAGGCAGCTAGTAGGGATGTGCGCACGGTTCGATGCACGGCGATATGTGCAGTGGGCAGACCTTTTCCAGACCATGAAGCACGCGCAGCTGATTTTGTCGACAACCGCCTTAAACATCTGGTCATCCGAGACTGCTGGTGTGAGTACTGAAGTTACCCGTGACGTAGCCACTGCACAGGTCAATCTGTTTTCCGCTCTAGAACTTCCATATAACATGAAGGTGGAGGCTGTTCTCTATCAGGAAGCGTGTCAGGAATCTGCCCTCATACAGCAGCCCAAGGATGCCATTGCAGCCCTCGCTGTGCAACCAGCATATCAACCCTCCACTGTTTTTCAATCTCAAAATGCGGTATCGCCTAGCGATCAGCCTCAACAAACCATCTATAGCCAAAATACGCAGACTCATGATCCCACAGTGGTTCCCCAGAGTGTTAACCATTATCAACACTCGCAGACGATGATACATGGGCCTTATACCTAGTGTGTGTCGTCCTTGGCCCGCCTTTTTCATCTCAAGGAGGCACAAGAAATCGCAAATAAAAAATCAATGTCGTCTCAGGAGGTGGTGCAAGTTGAGGAGGAGAAGCGCAAGAACCTGAACATTGTATTCATTGGACACGTTGACGCGGGGAAGTCTACAATAAGCGGCCACCTCGTCTCAGATTTGGGAAAGCTGGACAAGAGACAGCTCGAGAAATTGGAGCAGCAGGCCAAGGCCCTCAACCGTGAGTCATGGAAGTATGCGTTCGCGATGGACACGTCAGAGGAGGAGCGAGAAAAAGGTAAGACTGTTGAATGCGCCAGGGAATCATTTCTAACCCCGAACGGCCGTAGAATTACCATAATAGACGCGCCAGGCCATAAAGGATTTGTTCACAACATGATCTCCGGGGCAGCACAAGCAGACACGGCTATTTTAGTGATCAGCGCCCGCAAGGGGGAGTTTGAGAGTGGTTTCGAGCGGGGCGGGCAGACATCTGAACACGCGCTGCTGGCATATGTTAATGGCATCAAGCAGATTGTCTGCCTCATTAACAAGATGGACGATATCACGGTGGAGTACTGCAAGAAGAGATACGACTCGATCGTCTCCCAACTGAAGCTCTACCTCGAGAATGTGGGGTACGCTTCCAAGAATATCTTCTTTCTACCCATCTCGGGCTTCACGGGCGAGAATCTGATATCAACCAAGGAGCTGAACCCCAAACTGTCTGAGTGGTACTCAGGACCATCATTCCTGGACCTCCTGGACGAGCTGAAGGTCCCTAAACGTGATACAAAGTCTCCTCTCTGCGCCTGTGTCAGTGGTCACTATAAGGAGAACAGTGCATTCATTGTGGTTAAGGTTGAGCAGGGGAAAATGAGCATTGGAGATACCGTTCTTTGCCTCCCCGAAAATAAGGCCTTCGACATTTTGGACATTGAGGGCGAACAAGAAGAGGGGAGCAAGCTTGTACAAGCCAAGGCAGGAGACAATGTGCGTATTAAGGTGAAGGATGACATATGGGAATTTTTGACGGAGGGATCGGTGATTTGCGCCCAGCCGTCTCCCGGCCAATCACCATCGGTATCTGTTACAAACAGATTTCAGGCCAATCTGCTGATAGTGTCCACAGCAGAGAACCTTGTCATTACAAGCGGCTACTCTTGTGTTGCACACATTAATCTCCAGCAGGTGGGCTGCCAGATTCGTGCCATTTTGGCTGACCTTGATCTCAAGACAGGGAAGGTGAAGCCCGAGTACATAGTGTCCACTGAGCCTCTCAAGGTACGTAGGCCTACACACGTTCTTTCCAAGGCTAGAATCATTTGCGAAATTATAACTCAGAAGCCGGTGTGTGTCCAGAGCTACGCCGGACACGAGGCTCTGGGGCGTATCATTCTCCGTCATGAGAGCGATACTGTTGCAATAGGGTATATAGTTAGCGTCAAGCCCGCTAAGTAAACCGTGAGGTCGGTCGGTCCAAATAAATCATTTACATTTCATTTCTCTTGTAAAGGCGCAGGTTCGCTCTCTCCGTAATGCAGCTTCAACACCTTCGCAGGCGTCTGCAGACACTCATTGGGACCAAGAAGAGCCTGCCAGATGTCTTGGAAATCTTAGAGCTCCTGTATGTGGAGCTAAACGCATCGGCTACCTTTCTCACGAGGCGCGACATGGCCAACTTTCTTTATATATGCCGTGAAGCGCTTGGTTGGGGTCCTGCCGCCATCGCAAAAGTGAGTCTTGTACTGGATCTCTTGGTTTCCACGGATACGTATCTCTTGGGCCAAATATTAACGCGAGCTCCTCATGTGCCCGCCACTTTCCGTAAGGGCTGGTTGCCCAGTCCTGGAGCCGCCTCTGATACGCCTCACTCAGTTGGAAGGCATTGCAAAAAGTACAGCACAGCACAAGTAGCCAAGAGCCTCAGACACGACAAACTTTCGCGAGCAGATTGCACAGCTCAGCCTGCAGCACAGAACCAGTTGGGCCGTATCTTCCAGAATGCTGATTGCGTCAAAGCCATGTGCCGTTTGTACAAGCGCTTCTTTAACCAGATCTCTGCAGCAGCAGGGCTGCCGACGGACGAGTCTATTGACTTCTTCAAGGGAGTATCTCTATGCTTCATAGACTTTCTCAAGCCCATAGTCTTCATCCTGTTACGTAACTCCAGCCATTTGAATTGGTTTACATCGCTTCTGACCCCTATTTTGTCGTATTTAGTCGGAACAGACCTATCTACGCTTCACAGTGCTGGCGTACACTTCTTTGTGTTAGTTTCGGAAGTCATGTTTTGTATTCTCTCGCCTACTCAGCCCTTTTCGGAAAGATATATTAATATTAATTTTGAACACTCCCACCTATTGAGCAGCAGAACCGCACTTTCTAGAGAGTTACTCTCCACCATAAATAACTTGTCTGTGTTTAAGGAGCTACTAATTCCATCTCACTTCAACGCTACCTTGGACACGACCGCAAACGCAGGACATTCTGCACCCTCAAAAGCAGCCGCAGCATTCCATCTTACTGTAACAGACCCTGATACCGTAACCAATTTAGACATATTGCATTTAATAAAGTTCTATACCCTGCAGAAGGAAATCCCCATAGTCACCAGCATTACCTCTAAATATTCGTTGCACCATGCTCTCTTTATTTACAGCTGGTGTTCGAAACTATTGACTGCTATAAACAAGAGCAAAGACTTTGCCTCTGTGGCCGAATTTCTTCTATTACTTCGACTGTTAGAGTACTACGCTGAGATTCCCATTATCGTCATTGCTTATTTGTTAGAAATTATTACCCCAGCATTTTTTAAGCTTTTAAGCATGAACCTGATGCAGGAGCTTGCGCTTCCCTTAACGGCATGCTTGGTTTCCCTTAACACCTTTTTGACCCAGTTCATTACCCAAAGGCAGAACACATCTACATATGCAGAGCTACTGGCTTTTATGCGCAACAAGACAATGCTCCTCATATTGAAGTTCTCCGTTCAGATGACAACGTGGTCAGGGAACAACTGCTTTCACATTCTATGCGCATTCCACGAACTCCTGCCTACAGCAGAGCTTCTTATGCGAACCAGCCCACGTACCTTGGATGGAGAATCTGTGAGGCTGGAGTCGGCTACATTAGTAACGTACTCCTTGACGACCCTGCAAAACTATATATCCGGTTTGATTCTGTTTCTCAGAGATGCTAGTCCAAGCGAGCTGCGCAGCTTCTTTGCAGATGTACACCTCGGCAAGTTGATAGACGAGCTTCTCTGGCCCGTGCATTTCTTCGAGCAGACTCTTCTCCCAGCGATTGCTAGCTCCCTCGCAACTCTCATTTTGAAGCTCATAAAGGCCATCCCCAGGATCTTCAAGGATCTCACTCTAGCTACAGAGATGTCGTCCTCCGCTGCGCACGCTAATACTCTGTTCTGGCAATATGCCCAGCTGATTGATACCTTTTTTCACAATTTGTTTCTGAGTCCAGTCAGTTTCTTCAGAGTCACGCTGCGATACGCAGAGGCCTGCTCATCAAAGAGATTGGATACCATGGAGCTAATACGTGCTATAAGCAGCATCAAGGTCGTCCAGTACATTTTCACTGAATCTTTCATCAAGGATCTTTTCTTTGTACTTTTAACGGAAACATGCTACTTGAATAAGGCATACTCTCTTCTGCGTCTCTACAAGTTGCACTCCTACTGCGAGAAGGAGCGCAGTCAGCTAGGCAGCATCTCCTCCCATACGGGAGCTACCATCCTGCTCCAGAATATAATGAAGGAAGACGAGTATGGCCTTGGATACTATGTGCTTGAACTTGTGATTCGCCCCATGACCATGATAATCAGATTCGCTGCTCTAGAGTCGTTCCTTAGTGTACTAACACAGGCATTATATACTAATCTTTACTTACACGCAGAGCAATCACTCGCAAATCGGGCAGCCACAGAGGACTTTATGTTCCGTCTCCTGATCGCGTTCAGACCTACGACGGCTGAAACGTCCTCCTTTATTGATTACTACAAGGTCTTGAACGCCAGAGGATTGCTGGAGGCTCTTCTTCGCATATCTCAGCACTGCATCTTTGGAGACAGCTACATCGGTACGATTCAATCTCTGTCCTCTGTAGTGCCAAAGCGGCATGAATGCACTCCTATAAATATAACTGAAATGGAAGCCAGCTTAATCTATGACATATTGACGCTTCTCTTCTACAATGTCATCTTTCCTTCACCCGTACACCCCGTACTCCTGCGGAGGTGTATCATGTCCCTTGTGGACTATTGCAGTGACCACATTTTTCTCTACTCGCACATGGCCGCAGTCTTTGCCACGCGTGAGCAGAGTATTCTGAATATTCTAATAGAGCTGCCAGCCATGGCTATAGCGACGTTTCCACCCATTGAGGTCTTGCTGCAAAGGCCAGAATACTTTAAAGAGGACGATACAATTCACTTATCACGGGCAAAATTCCACGGAAACGTAGAGAGTACCATTGTACAGTACATACATTCCGACCTGATGGCTATTCTGCGAGTCTGTGCCGCTGAGCATGACGCTAAGGCTCTATATAAGAATTTCAAATGGCAGACCTTTAAGTATCTCCGAGGACTCACTGAATTCTCGAACTATCTCTCGATGAATAGGTTTTCCACTCTCGAGCTCACCATCTATTGCTACGTTAACATCCCTTTTATCGGGCATAACTCACGCCTGAGCTCCATGGTTAACTTTATCCGATTGGCACCGTACTGTCTTCTTAGTGACAACCTTTCGTTCCGCAGCTATGTCCTCCGCATTTTGGCTGGAGAAGGGGTCTCCCTTGTAGGAGACGCTTCTTTCTATAAGAGTAGAAACTCTATCCAGATACAGAACTCGTTAGACATGCTCATCTATCCCCATTCTCTCGCAGCCCGCGGAATCTACTATACTAGAATAGACTTTTCCTTTCGGAAGTCTGTGTCACTATTTTTAAGTAATCACGCATCGGCCAGCGTCCTAGTTGAGACAGCACTAATGCACATTCTTGTAATACTAGAGTACTACATAAGTGAGCACGCCATCTTTGCAGAAGATATGGCCCTTGCCACAACGGCTCTTGTGAACATCGAGAATCAAGCGCCTGGTGGAGCCAGCTCGATGAAGAAAACAACCAAGGTTGGGCCTCTTATCCGAGCACGGCCCTATCGTCACAGACTTGACGATCTTCTTCTGCCCTTAACACGAGATCTGCACGAGTCAAGTAGCGCGGATGCAGATGTTTATAGCGGAGTGCTGGGTTGCTACCCTTCGTTTGTGGACTTTCTCAGGAAGAAGCTTCACGACTGCTCGTTTACAAATCTAACTCTATCCACATTTCAGATGCTTCCGACGACCTCGTTTGAATTAGCTAATTTCTCCATGAGCGCGGAGCACCCTGTTCAGTACTCAGATATGTATGTATCTGGCCGACACATCCTCTCGCCAATAGCCTTTGGAGAGCTTTCGCTATTGATCAAGGGGCGCCTAGGTGTCTATGGAGAACAATTATTAAACCGCTTTTGGGCGAATGTTCCTCGTGCTCTGGATCCAAGGTCATGTGCTGAGAGCGACGGAACTCATACTCACACATATAAGATGTACACAAGTGTCCCTAGTTTCGTCCTACAGGCGCAGAACGCGTCGTTTCCTCAATATAAGCACTATTATACGGAAGATGAGCTCTCCACCATTCCGTTTACCCAACTTAAGGTGAGTATCAAGAGAGCCGTTTATCACTATGCGGTGTTCTTCTCTCGGCAACCGATATTTTTCCATCAGTTTTCTGAAAAGGTTAGAGCAGACAAGGATTTTGTCGCATTCAATGTCTTGATCTTGCTTGAGCACGCCTGGAGGTTGCTAGGAATCAACTTAACTGACTTCCCCACTGCCACCTCAAGCGGAAAAGTCTGGGAAATGCAGATAGACGACCTCCTTCTGATAGTTAATCATCCAAAGGGGCTTTGTGCAATGCAGTACAGTGCAGAGGGGATAAGTCACATTGCTTCTCTGCACTACATCCTCTTATCCTTGATATTGCAATCCATCTCGCTTCCTTGGCCTGTGCGCGAGTCTGAGAAAACCATAGTTAACGGCAAGTCCCTGATGATTTATATCATTTCAGCCGCGACCGCGCAGCATAACTACGACGTCCTAAATGTTTTCCTATTGATGATGTTGGGGAAGTGTGAACATAGTGACCATGTTGTTAGTGACAACATGCGTCAACTAATGCTCGTGATTATTCAGGATATTTTTCTTAAGCTGGACACAATCAGCACTCCCGATTTGTCTGCTCAGTCGCACGTCTGTCCATATGGAGGCTGCTTTGTTATTGGGCTTCAGGCATGTCTTTTTCTAGAGCACGTTGTGCGCCACTGGGCGGGAAGTCAGTTTCCAATGCTCCACATATGCAAATTTCTCTTAACCCTTATGGACTTGGTTGGAAGGCTGAAGCACCATATTATTATTCGCACTAGCTTGGCACTTGGGCTCCTTTCTTTCTCCAGAGAGATCCTTTCAGCCATTTCTCACTCCACGTCGAGCCACGACTTGATTCCCATGACTGCCTTTGCCTTGATCTCAATCACGAAGACGCTGAAGCAAGCAGCACACGTGTGCGCTCCCATTTACGGCTCTTACGAGTTTTCTAACTCCGTCCCTCTTCATCCCGTATTGAAGAATCGCGTTACTGTTCTCCTTTACGAAGATGCCAAGTCCTTCTACCGCCTTCTGGATTGGCTCAAGCAACCTCCTACATTCTATAATAGAGTGCTCTTTTCTGCCTTCTCTGAAACCATCCTGCCAAAAATCCTCGGCTCGTGCGCAGATGGCGTCTTTAATGTTCGTGGGGAACTTGCAAAGATGGCATCACTTACAGAATCTACGTTCCTAGAGATTGGGTTGAAGTTTCTTAATAGTCAGGAGGTTTTTTCTGCTATTAGGGCTGGAACGTATAAACAGGCTCAGGAGCATTTGATTTATGCCCTCAACGTTACATGTGATGTAGCTTGCAGTGCTAGGGCTAGCCTCCTCGACTTAGGGTCTCAAAGGTTCTATGCTGTTATCTACACAGCAATAAAGAGTACAGGTGGCCATGCTCAGCAGTGTTTCTCCAATCTCTGTGCATTTGTCAGGGGAATGCACTATGATGCTGTCTTTTCTCACGGTGCAAAATTGGAGCTGGCTGATCGCATGCATGCGATACGCCTTTGTAGCCTGTTGCAGCGATCAGCGATCAACTTTATCTTCCAGCTGATTGCTGGCCTTTCTCAATGCATTGCTAGTGTCGACACCGCGTCCCCGGACGGCTTAAGTAGCTTTCTCTGCTCTTTAAAGGAGCATCTGACAGTGGCCTGCCTCCGGGGCATACTCGCGTTTGCTGACGAGACTCGCTATGCGCGCTACTTTGCTTCCTTTGGCTACCATTCTATTTCAAAGGAGCAAGCTAACAGATACTTTTCAGTGGTCCCTACATCGTTTAATGTGTCCCTTAGCGACCGCCAGATCTTTTATGTCCCTGTTGTAGGTGTTTCTTGGACCACGGTGGAACTCAAGTATCTCTACTACGAGCTAAGAATCGCTGCTGAATGCATTGCATCCGGGCTTGCTGGCGTAAACATGGACGCCATTGCGCCCCTGATCCAAAGAACGCTGGAGCCCGTTATTGCATATTACGCCGATTGTCACTATCCATCCCCATTGTTTTTCAAACTAGGGGAAGTATTCGTTCGCTATTTTAATTATATGTCCCTGCCATTTCTCTCTGCACTGCTATCCCCCGATAAACTAAGATTGTTGTTTCTTACCGAAGAAACGCTCTACACAGAACTAACCACAAACAAATTATTCCCCTACGCGTACCTCATTCAGTATGCTCTTCTAACAAAGTTTACGTGTTCCAATTGGGTTAAGCAGGGATGTACAAGTAACATCCTGCTGATTAACAATACCATCAAGTCCTGCATATATAGCTTCGATAGGATGCTCTATGCGCTTCTTTCTAAAGGAGACACGTATCAGGACAGTACAGGCAACACGTTCAGTATTTCTAATGTCATAACCCAGGATCTCTTGACTGCATGCAGAAACGCTATCGATACACTTCTTGTGATTGACAGATATGAGCTAGATAGTCTCAACCAGCCTAGGCTGCGTATGAAGGCCCACTTCTACATATACAATCCCCCAATCTTTTCGTCTCGAAGATACACCCCGACAGGCATGCTATCCCTGCTTATGATGGACGCTTATGACTCTGCTTCACCTCTGCCACAACACAACGTAGAAGCATGCTCTCTAGAGCAGGTTGAAGAGTGTCTCATGCCTAGTTTCCCAGACAGTCATGTCAACCTGACCTTTGCCTTCACGACGTTGAGGTCCCGGCTGCTTCCAGCTTTGTGCATCTCTTATGGTAGATATCTGGAGTACATAAAGCACTTATTTACAGCTGTATTCAGCCTTCTTGATCGCATTGATATCACCATAGGCACCGGGCAACAAGATGAGCAGCAAAGGGTTGCGTCTATTTCTGCAACCCTTTTGAAGCTTGTCTCTATTGCTTTGCATATTGGAGAGCGTACCGCTACCAATCCGCAAGACTTCAGTTGCCTCTCTACTACCTCGGCACGCTTCGATGCGGAGACAGAGCGAGCATTGATTGAGAGCACATGCAACTGTATTGTTCAGTTTCTTCCTGAGAAGATTGCCAAGCTCCGAGCCATGGCAGCAAGGCTCTTTAACTCATCAATACGCATAGGAGCACGAGCCTTTTGTGTGCTCAATCCAGACTTCTATGTACCACAGTACAAGCTTCACACCGCTGCGTTCCTTCTTGCTTCAGAGACTCGCATATCAACGTCAGATAGATTGGAACTGCGTCAGTTGGCTCTCGATGGGGTATATCTTAGCACGCTGCGAACCATGTTTCCGCGTCTTGCCGAGTCCAATCTCTCAAAGCTATCTTTTGAAGCCGCAGACATTACGGACGAGGCTTCTGCTAAGGACTTCTTTTTCATCCACCTGTCTTCGTATATCGTGGGCCTGGGTCGAGCTCATAATTTTGTTGGCATCTATAACCTATTAGAAAAGTATTTTTTTCCACTCCTTTACGCTGGATTGGAAAAAGGTTGGCTTTCCTTTGATTCCTACGTAGCCATAGTGAAACATTATCGGCAGATTTTAAAGGACTTCACGTATGACCTCACAGGGCTCCACATGGGCCAGATGGTCAGGTTTCTAGGTCCCCTCGCGCTAGCTATGGAGAGCTTTAAGCCACTGTTGTACATGGCCATTCTAATGGTGACCCAACCGCAAGATCTGCTAATAGACTCTCTTTCTCGACTTCTTCTGTTTGAGCTCAGCATGGAAGAAGTAGCCCGTCTGGACGATCTCTGCCTTAAGGTCATAAAGCAGTGCCATTGGTATAACTACGTGTCCATCCCGGGCCAAAGTTCGACCCTGGATCTCCCTATCACTGTGACACAGTACTTCTTGGCCTTTTCCTTGACAAGCCTTCTAGAGGTCCGGTACAGTGAGGACATTAAGATAGGATTTTGGCGAGCAGTATTACCCTTTCTCCGACTATTTCCCATAGTACGGGGCTATAGGTGCTGCCACGACCCAGCACACTACTCTTCTGCGATTGCACTGATGAACTCGTATGTTATTATGATCGTTTCCCAGATGTCTGTGTTGCGTCGCTCGCGATTTGTGTTTTGCGGCCGAATCATCAACTATATGACGAGCCTTTCCAATGCACTGGCCACAACTAGTGAAGAGAGTCTTTTCGATGATGAAGACACTGTCTTACTGCTTCAGACAAGCAGCGAGTTGATCTTTACGATCTCCACATTTATTCTTGGACTTGACCTGAACGTGGTCAATGGAAGCTCCAACCACCACGACGCTCTGAAGGCATGTATCACTTTGGAGTCTGATTCTGAAACAGATAAGGAGGTTATTGGGCTCATCAATGAAAGAAAGCAGAAACACATTTTCGCCATTTACAAGCGCCTTTTACCAGCATTAGCCGACGACTCTATTTTACAAGCAGCGCTATCATCTATCATAAACCTAATAGCCATATGCTACGTACACATACTTTGCACATCCAACTTCATGTTTTCGCAAACATTCGACACCGTTTCTAAAGCTCTAGAACCGTATTTAACCGGCCTAATCTTCGTTCTGTTGAAAATTATTGCAGTGTGTCCTAAGGTAGGGAACTCCGAAGAAACATTATACCAGGAGTCTAATAACGTGATGAACAGTATCACAGAGGAGTTGGAATGGGCACAACTCCACAAAGAGCTTACCGTCAGCGTCAAGCATCGGGCGTTCTCCATCCACACAGAGAGCCCGTTGAAGCACGGCCTAAAGCATTATAGTTCTGGATCCAAAGGGTCTAAGAGCAGAGGATCCAGGCATCAGGCAGATGTTTTAGTCATCAGCCACGAATTTCTTGGAGACATACTTGTGGGGTTGTACAAGTTGCTCACTCCCCGCGATGTACTTCCCAATATGACTGGCTCAATGGCCATAAAGCATGATGCACACTTGGTAGTTTATATCCTCACAAGCTCAATAGATACCAGGATGGAGAATATTCAATTTAGGGAACACAAGTCGTCTAACGAGCAACTTCGACCGCCAAAGCAATCTACACTACCGGACAGCTCTAAGAGGATCCTCCCTGTGTGCATCAGAACCACGGATTTATCAGAACTCGCCATAGAACTCATTGTACACAGCGGACGTGTGGCAGAATACAAGTGGTTTCTATTAAGTATTCTCGCGCACACGAAGTCGTCAGGGACTGAGTTTTTGCTGCAACGTACCTCTTTCCTTCAACGACTTTGCTTTGCTCTCTCGTTTGATAGATCGTTTCGCTTTGAGTACAGTGCACGAGAGTTGACACTTTCTTACCGCAAGGACATCGTAGAGGAGTGTTACTACTATTTGGCCAAGCTATCAAGCTGCCTCTTTACACTGCACAGGTTTATAATCGCCTTATCTAGCGAGCTTCGATCTGTGTATGCTACTGATTGGTGCTTGGAGATACCAAGCGCGAACTATGATATACATCCAGGGGCACCGGCGTTTTATAGCTTGGATTTGGCTGCATCTTACTCCGGGAAAAACATTGATCGGACTGACACACTTTCTATGCTGAGGATTACTCTGGTACGGTATGTTCATGCCTACAGATATTATAGTAACCTGCTTAAACCAGTCATCCTTCACTTGCACTCCTCCTATGATCCAAAACAGGTCTCAACCCTTTCTCTCGTGCTTCGCTTTTCCTTTATTCTTCTAAACGACATAGCCAGCGCGCCGATTGTGAAGTGTTCCGTGGCCTTCATGAGCACTAACATCTACAACACATTCTTTCTTGGCCACACCAACATTATCCATGCTCTAGAGGATCTCCTAGGTCTTGCCATTGTTGCCTTCACTACAGACAGAGATAGAAGGGATGTGAGTGATGGGGCTGTGCTCAAGATACCCTCGTCCGTGCTGAGCTATATTAAGGCCTTCTTAGCCCAATTGCTCGAGCACTACAAGTCCGCTGATAGGCCCAACTCTGATTCAGCTATCTCACCCTCGGTGTTCATGTCTCTGTACACCAGTCTATTTTCTGAGTCGCGCGACATTGACATGCGGAAGATTGACCAGATTTCCTGGAATACATTGGCTCTACCACAGGAGTATCTGCACGCATACAATCGATACACTTCCATGATGTCTTCTTCCTCAGATCATAATAAGGCAGTGTTGGAGGCACGAGTGTTCATTTTTCTGATCCACTTTAACCTGGTGAATCAACTGCTCAGGAGCCTGGAGCCGTTCTCCTTCACAATCGTGATTTCTACTCTTTTGTTTCTTCGGATGCTTATATATTTTAATTCGTTCATTAATTTTACCCTAACCAACTTTAATTACTTCAAAACTTTCTTTCTTGGAGAATTTAAGGACAGAATTAACGAACTGGTCCAGTTTCTTATCCACCTTTTGAACAAAAATGTTGGGCACTACATTGCCGTACTGGAGCCAACGCCCGCGGTTCTATTCTCTGCTATTGACAACGAGATTGTTATCTTGCAACGTGAATGCAATAAGCTATGGCACCTACTTTCTCCAGGAGGCTATTTCCTGGAGTCGAACTTTTTCATAGCTAACTTGACATACCATGCATCAGACTTTTCAAGGTACTTTGTCGATGCGCTGTGTAAGCGTATACTCTGGAACATAGTCTGCGAGACCGTATCTTGGTATGAGGACGAGTCCAACGCCGCCCAGCGTGATCTCTTGCATGCGTCTGTCAAGGAGAAGCTCGTGGCCTTTGTCAAGTTCTTGAAGCAGCGGGAACAGCTACTTGCACAGACAGAATCCGAATGCTATTCACACATTCTAAGGGATCTGCGGCTCATATATCTTTCACTGGAGAACAACTATGTAGACCCTACCATGCCACTCCACAAAGACACTGCACAGCAATATATTCTTCCGGCTGCATTTCTTTATGACATCACCTCATCGGCTCCAGGAGAAATTCCAGAGGACGGTGTCATTAAGATTCTCTTTAGTCAAGTCTTGCCACAGCAGCCCCTGAATCTATTACGGCAGAGGAGCGACGCCTTTCTTTTGTTGTCTCTGTTTATGCGTCTAGCTGCGCGGCCGATTGATGGTCTGGCGGAGTTTTGCAGAGTAGTCACCATGTACACTAGCTCATTCGCTATCCTATCGAGCTTTGCAGCGGAGACGTACCATGATTTTATGACTAGCCTTTTGAACAGCACTCCGGACAGACACGCATGGTCTCTTGACCTAGCTAATGAAAAGCGCGACTTAAGTAGATACAATTGTAACTGTCACCCGTCGATACTCATCAGCTCGCAGTCCAGGATGGGTGTTCAGCGTCTGTATCAGAAGCTTCTGAACTACCTACCGACGCTAAGAAATCTCGACAGTTTTCTTTTCACCCGCAACTCCTTCTATCGCCTTGTTCTGGGTCTCATAGTGGAGTTTGGGCACTTCCCCTGCGAGCCAGACACTGTGATATCAATCACTGAAAGTTTTTGCCGTCACATACCCCAGCAGTCCAACACGTCTATGGGTGGGTTGATACGTAACTTTTCTAAAACACTCGGATTTACATCCTTTATCCCTACCCACGCAGAGCCTACGGTTAGCGGAATTGGTGCCGGGCTTCCTCACATAGGGAACACTGCAGGGAACAAGTACGGATTTGGTCTTATCTGGATGTTTTATGAGTTTTTGCTCAAGCAGTGGAAGGCTGGGCCCCCCATAGAATATGAGAGCTGCCAGGCCCGGGCTCCGAGTACCATTATATCCAGGCGTTTTTACACAGACCTCAGACAGAATGTCAGGGTTGTCCTGGAGCTATACAACATCGTTACTGATTTGCTGTCAACCAGCGCGGGGGATGGCTCCTTGCCGCCAAACAATCTCTTTCAAGCACCTATTGACACAGCAAAGTACTTTGTTTTTAGCGCTCAATCGACAGACGGTTTCTACGACAACCTCACGCTTACCTGTGACTTGCAAAAGATAACTCATATTTACCTAGAACTCCTCGCTATTAGCATGCAACTCTATGACCGGATACTCTTTCTGCCTAGACTTCATGACAAGGTCAGCACATACAAGGCAAAGATGCTCTCCGGGATACCCAAGTACAATGAGCCTATCATCAAGTTCGAGGCCAATACGCTGACTTCTATTGAGCGCATCTTCGCAGGTCGTAAAGATACACATAGCATCATAAGGAAGAAGTTGGAAGCTTATATGGTAAGTGCAGATAAGCTGTATATGGTCCGGGAGAAGCTCCAATCCAAGGAGACAGCAAGCATCATACCGACCTCAGACGACATAGCCGAAATTAGGAGTGTAGAAAAGGGCGTGACAGATGTGTATAGAGAGTATATAGAGGCACTGAAGAAGGACAAGAAGGAGCAGCTAGACATGCTCATGTCATATAACTACTTGATACCGAGGTACTTTCACGTCTTCAATATGGCGATCAATGACGATCCAACGACCTTACAGGGCATCTGTCCAGAGCTCTTCGAAGACTTCAAGGAGCAGCTTGCTCTTCGCAATGGCCCGGCCTTTTCGCTCCCTCACGTTTCAGAGTATAGTCTTGGGGACATAGAGTTGCTAAGAAAGAACCTCTATGCTACGGTGACTGCTCTCTTCAAGATTCTTCACATTGGGGTAGACTGCTTTTCGAACCAGAAGTACTGTGTCTTCAATCTTTCAGGCTTGAACAAGGCGCTAACGTGGGAGCTGCTGCTGAAGCGCACGGCTCATGCTAGCATCAAGCTATTAAACGACAAGGAGCTGCGACTGGGGTGGTTGCTCCCCTTTAGATTAGGGACCCCGCCGGCCCCGAATTTGCTAGGGAAACAGTACATATACCTTGGTACCGGCAGCTGGCGTCTTTCTCGGATCAATGTCTTTCAGGCCGTCCAGCCCACACACCCGTCTGTGTATCGGCCCAATCTTCTCTATTTACAGAGCAGTCTCGGTATTCAGAAGCTCTACTATAAAGTATTCCAACGATTGTCTCCAGTGGACATGTTCTCTATGCAGTTCCTGAAGCACACAGGACAATATAGGGAAGCAGCAGCTATTTCTATCCTGTATCTCAACCACTTCGTCAATGAAAACCCTGAGGAGGCCTCAGAATACATGGTCATTTACTTGTCTGAGTTGCGCAACCTGTATTATAATCCCTTCCGGACATACCTCCAGCAGCTGTCTGAAGACAAGTACACCCAGCTGCTTTCTTTCTGGATAAACGAGACGTACTATAGCGTCTCGCATATCCAGCCGCGCATAGCCAACAGAGAAACACCTTACAATTCTTCGCCTATCCTGTCCCATGCAAGCAGAATGGATCCTCGGTATAATATGACTGAGGCAAGGTTTGCATACAATGGCCACCTTGTGGCTGAGCGTAACATGGAATTCCTTAACATACCCAGATACATAGTCAACTACTTCTTAAATACGCACGGGACCTATGTGCTCAGTTACTTCATGTCCGCGCTTCGCCAGGTCTTCTCGTTCAATTCCAACACCCACGCCTCTGCACGCTTTATCTGGGACAAGGCAATACTTGATTTTCATCAGAATATAAAGGCTATCAGACAAAAGTTTGAACGAGCAGTCGAGGTGGTGATGGCATCCAGGCGCTTTAAGCGCGACAATCCGCAGCATCAAGATACAGACAAGCTAACTGACTTCTTCAACTACTTGAATGAGGTGCTAAAGTCTTCAGAGTTCAATACCAATGCACAGCAATCCAATTCTCTTGAATCATATAGTTCTGGGCAGATAATGGCTAGCACTCCGGTACCTCATATTAACTCTCTTTGCATACTAGCAAATCTCTTTCCAGGACCATCAGAGGAGCTTTTCGGTCTCCATCTTCCTATCACGGTTCTTTCTAGTAGCATTCTAAGCTATACTCAAGAAGCATTTTCATCATTCAGCAACGCCTCTGATGCTGTCAATGATGCCATGCTTTACTCGTCTCCATACCTTGACGACGACAAGATCATTCAGCCGTCAATACTCAGCACCCTTACTGACAGCATCTTTCTGTTCGCATACCTGTACCCAAAGGAAGCCATTGAGTTCGTCTTGAAATCGACTATCTTGAAGCGGTCCTTCTGCACTCATAGAAGCTTAAGCAACTATCAATTCAGAGCCTTGCCGTACGCTATCAATATTAATGCCGCCGACTTTGCACACTTATCCCCCATAGTGGGATTTCAGATAGCTACCTATGTTCCAACCGGATGCATGCCGGGTCTACAGGGGATGGCTCTCACCTATCGTTTAGATGATCTTGTATCTGGGTCCGGAAAATATGAGCAATACTGCAAATCTGCGCTAGACTTACGTGCTTCTACACTTCACCAGGCCTTTCTTACCGATAACCAGGTAGGCTTGGCCTCTGCCGTCACTGATTCAAAGCTGCGTAGCATACTGAGCTGCAACTTGGATGCCAATGCAGATCAATCTGCACTCAAGTCTGCTGTCTCTTGCGATGCAATGCTAACAAATCTGACCGTGGAGTCACAGATCTATCTTCTTTACTTCGCTCTCACCAATCCTTTGGACAACGCAGCACTCATTCGCCGCTTGCTCCTGTCCATCAGAGATATGCTGATCTCAGAGCGAGTGTTCTTAGATGCTAACATAACGTCGCTACTGTATCAGTATGCAGACCTTTCAGATATATATTCAACGCTGCTGTACTCTATCACCGCAATCAAGCGCGCCTATAAGCAGGTTATCGATAAGGAACTCCTATCGCAAGGGCAAAGTCTACAACAAGCGATTCAATCAAGAAAGAGGACAACGGATCGATTCTATCGAAACTTCATACATTTACCCATAGTTAGCTTGCTTTCAAGCTTCAGAACGAGACACAAGGACATCTATTTGGCTGGACCAAGAGAAATTAGCACGTGGGCCACATGTCGGCTCATGGTCATTATAAGCTACACAAAGGTTTTCTCAGCGCCGTATCAGTACTTGGATGACCTCTACGATGAAAGCATCGATGCTCAGGTTCGGGCTATTGCTAGAAGCTATTCTGCGTGTCTATGGGATAGCTTGCGCAGCAACTTTGCGATTACAAGACCGCATACCCTGAACTCTATAATTGAACATGCGCTCCTATTGGGGATGCCTGCAGCAGCTCGTGTCGCAAACAAGAAAGAGGTTAATTGGAATGAAATGCAGAAGCTCTCCAACAACTTACCCTATATTGCCGAGACGGTGAGATGCATCAGAAGTCAAATCTTTTCATTAATGAAATCGGGAAAGTTCTTCAACCATAAGGCAGTGATGTCCGAAGATTTGAAGACCAGTGCACAGGCTACCTCCTTTCTTGCGGACAATATTAAGATAGACGACAACTATGCAGCCTTAAATGAATGCCTTATGTACCTCGAGAATCCGACCTTTCTGAACGATTATATTAAGACCCAGAAGCATCTCCTCGAAGAAATACGCACCAGTCTGAGCCACATGCGCATCCTCGTTGAGAGGTCAGAGATGCCCTTCCCTTCCACTGTGTCTGAAAGCACGTCAATGGCCCTGAAGAGCCTGGGTGCTGGCAGCAACAATCCGGGGGCCAAGGATCTTCCACGATATTGGCAGGCTAACACAGATCTATTTCTTCATCACATTGACAGCTTCATTAAGCATACCCCTGCTTACCCGTCCTCCAACAGCACACATCTTGGGCCCGTGGCTAGTGCTGATTCATCGCATCTATCAGACCCCCAACATAGTGTGTTGAGCCCTGCTTCCTTGGCCCATCTATGGGATCTACTAGTCTCCTTCTTTGTTAGCTGTATAAACAGCATTTCTAATATCAACGAGGCTGCCGATATTGAGACACTCAACCAGCTCTATGAGAGCATCCATATCGAGCACGTAATCCCCAGCAAAGGGGTGCAGGGCGACGACTCTACCATTAAAAGGCGTACTACTATGTTACGATATTATAGGAACATTCTGGAAAGCCGATTCTGCGAGTCCAGGGACCGTGCAGCCTTGGGAACTTTTAATAGCATGCTAAACTTTATTTTAATGCCTCCATCCGTCTTTTATATGGAGTGTGGCCCTGCTATCGCAAACCTGTACGATGGTCTGTCAAGCTCTTCTGTCTTCTCTGTCTTTTTAAAGCCACAGTATGGGCAGTGGTCAATGCTAGACAGCATTTTGCTGTACACACTGATAACTTCGGTCATGCACATTCATCCTCATCACATTGCGTACAACTATCGACGCATTTTCTGCACTATTTCATTCTACCCTCGCATCTCAAGGCATAACTCTGTTGCTAGGTTGGGATTTCTTACTGGATTGCTAATCAATATGTATAGTGATTGTGACAGACAATACCCAGTTCTGCTTAAGGATGGCAATTACACTGCCTTCCCATCCTATCACGTGAGTCCCCGACTGTTCGTTGAACTGACGTTCATCCTCGGGATTGATATATTGAAGGTGCGAAACTACCTAATAAAGTCAAGCCCTATACAAGACGACACTCATCAAGCAAGCATCTCATTACTACGACAGATTAAGTACTGGGAGATCTTGTTGGTACTTCTCTGCGAAGCAGACGCCTATACTAAGGAAATCACATACCTTGATTCATCCTATCGGTTTGATGTTCTTTCAGCTTTGTCCGAACTAGCTAAGAGGCAGCCTTTGCTTAGGAAAATAGCACCTAATTCTATGCAATACAAAACAGACCACGATGGGCTGAGTTTATGGCTCTATCTTCTTCATGTGAGAGGCAACTCTTCCGAAGCCCGCGCTAGCAAGACCTCTACTGAGGACGTTGAAAACATAGACCAACTGTTGTCTCTTCAGCAAATATTTATCGGGAAGATCACACAGCTTGTTTCGTATGACGTCCAGGAGAAAAGAAAGAAGGTGGTGTACGATATTTTGCTTGCACTGATACTGGAAGTAGAGCTGTGTGTGCGGAATGCTTGTTCCTCCAGGTCGGTGGGAGAGAGAAGCGCGGCAGACAAGGCACTGTCCATGTTATTAGGCTTCGGCTTCCTGCTTTTTGTCTTTGCATACTCGATTTACAGAATATCAACGACGCTGGAGAATGAATCTATCTCTCTCATTGCTGCGTTTGATGGCATCTCTGCCGGCACTGCACCCTGGTATTATTCTATTACGAAAAAGCTCCATTCCCACCTGGTCGCACATAATTATGAGATCTTTCTCGGGAAGAATAAGACCTTCCTAGTAAGCTATAAGAATCTCATTTCAGAGAAGTTCCAAGCGAGGCAACAGCTCATAGAGTGTATAGATAGAATCATTAACATGCAGGCACAAAACGGTGGCTCCTCCGATGTGGTTTTTAAATTCTTTGAAACGTATGTCCACGATTATATGTGCTACCTCAGGGATCTAGTGGTGCAGAGAAACCTCGAAAGCACCGAGTTCTGGGGCATCCCGTCCATAAATACACGGCGCTTTAGAGCATCCCAGGTAGTTGATGCGTCTCTAGGGTGCCATAACCCTCAGGCTGGGGCAACAACATCTCCATTGCTTACGGACATCATCGGGGGGTTCTTCTATGACGACGGACTTCTGTACGCTGAGAACTCTATCAGTTCAGCAACCCACTTCGACATCGACAGCTTCAGTGGTGTCCTACCTACTCCAGACCCATCATTTGCCATGCCAGCATACAATAACCGCACAGACCACATCTCTAGTGGTGTCGGCAATAGCCTCACCGACAACGTTCTCTCATATCTCATACACACCTCCAGCTACTGCAAAAGGCCAATTGGACCCATCATCTTGTTCATTTCTGGCCTGCCAATAGTCAAGTTGAGCATGTCAAATGTATCATATAGGTTTGGAGGGACTGTGGACTATTTGGTTCTTGAAATACCGAACAATCCGTACATCATCGATTGTCTCTCTGTGCTTATGCCCTACGCTGTTCCGCTGAGAATGGGTCTTTACAAGGATGCGTCAAATATAGTCAACGGAGCTATAAATCCATCGTCTCACGTAATATTCTGGGAAAAGTACATCAATATTTCGAGAAATGTGCACGTTTATCACTGCAAGCAAACAACCTATGTTGACAAGTTCGCAGGTTGTTCTGCTGCAACGTTTCAGTACAATTATCGGAAGCTTTTTGGAGTGCGAAAGGCAGTCTCTATCGGCATTGCACAGAGGCTCATTCTTCATGAACTATTCAATCTTCCAAAGATGCAGCTGGCCGAGGAAGCTTATGACTTCTCAACGGGAGAGGTCATCTCGTTCGCCCCTCTGAGTACTCCAGACATGTACGGAGACACCTCTGCCTTCAAGGAGCTTTGCCTCCGGTCAATTATAATTAAAAGTCTAGCTACAGGACAATCTGTACAAGACTTGCATAGGTGCTCTCCTCATACTGAGCACTTTGACACCCAGCTGACGTCACATCCCAGAGCGACGATTGGACAGAGCTTGGTACACACCTTGAGCCTTCAAATACTCATGGCGTATTGTCCATTGGCCATTTCCCGAGCAGTTCGGCATATGCTCCTAGACAGCAAGTCCCGGTATCCTCAGGCTGTAGCCCAGAATGTGGCGAGAACCATTTCTGTACAAAATGCAACAACACACATCTCTCGCACTTGGACTGATGAAATAGAAATGCAGCTACTCGTTAATGGACTAGTGGAGGAGTATGAAGGACTCCAAAGGGACAATGTCGCCCGCGCTGCCATGCTACTGACTTCGACTGTTAGCTCCCTGGATTCAAGAATCCCCGTTTCCAAGGTCTGCGTAGACAGCAATGACTACACTCATATTAACGATGTGTCCGAGCTCACTGTCAATGAATCTTTGACACAACCGTCACTAGAGTATGTTGCCTACTGTATTGACGCAGGAATAGATGAGGGATCATGAGAAGATCAGTGATGTCGCAGGCCTTCCTGATAAGTGACGAAGCTGCTGGGCTGTACTCTATTAACTTAGCTCTATATAGAACGCATTGTATCATTCTATAATAAACACTCGGATTGTACTCTCTTACACAGCCAATCATCATACACAGATGCTCTGTACAGAATCTGTGCTTAGTACATGTTGTAAGTTAGCTCCCCCTAGGCTCTGGTCCAGTGCATAGGAGCATGACCTAGAGGTAGAAAAATGCTACTTGGGATTCGCGCGCAGGTAGCCGAAGAGTCAATGATCTTTTAAACTATCAATCTCCTCCCTGTATGGCTTCATTAAGTTTATAATTTCGCGACAGTTGCATTCCTCTGCGAGAATAGCCGCCGTTTTGCCCTGAGCGTTTCTGATCCCCTGCTCATATGGCAGAAGTATCTGCGTCGCCTCATAATTGGCGGCTTGGGCGGCAAACATAAGAGCAGTATATCCATTAGAGTCTTGAATTTGCGCTTCGTGCTCTACAAGCAATCTAATTGCCTCCAGATTGTTGCATATGCTTGCACCCATTAGTGCAGTCCTCCCAGTGACGAAGTAACTGCCTATAGCCTCTTCGCTCAGAGTCCTAAGCCCCTTCTGCAAAGGAATAAGAAAGGGTAGAAGATCAAGGTTGTCTTCGTCTACGGCACGCATGAGAGCCGTGCGGCCAATATCGTCTACTGGATCATCATACTGCAAGAGCAGGGTTGCTGCCTCCTTGTGTCCACGCAGCAATGCATGCAGAAAGGCTGTGTGCCCGTTGTTGTCCTTCACCATAGCTTCATGCTGGGCTAGGATATTGATGATGCCACAGTTATTGTTGTCTGCTGCATACATCAGCGCAGTCTGGCCCTCATTGTCTTGTAATCTGCACTCCTCGTCCTTTAGAATGGTAACTAGTTTTCTGTGGCCATAGATGACCGCATACATTAATGCGGTTATTCCATGGACGTCACTCAATGTCTTTTCGTGCTCAAGTAGGTACTTGACCATTGTTAGCCGCCCATCGATAGCTGCATGGATCAAGGCAGTCTTCCCGGTATAGTCCTGCATGCCTCGTTCAAGGCATACAAGCAGCTTTGCCACGTCAAGACTCTGAGTCCGTGCAGCATGCATAAGAGCCGTCATCCCAAGATCATCTTTAGCACACACGTCTGTCTTGGAAAGTATTAACGGTTTAGCGACGGCAACATTATTACTCCGTGCGGCAGCCATTAGTTTTGTAAGTGTGGTAGATTTTAGTTTAGGTGGGAAAAGGGGCTTCCCTTGTCCCTGTTGCGCTTTGACTTCTTGCTTCCCAGCAGATGGGCCAACAACTGTGTGATGCACTGGTACTGTTGTTGTTGCTAAGTTAGCTAGCTGAGTCCTTAGTTCCAGGTTATCGCGACTAAGCGAGTCTATCTGTTGCTTGCATTCTCTCAGGTCACGTTCCAAACGCCTCGTTGTTAACATATATGTGACACAAATGGGAGGAATGCTTTCGTGGAGAAGACCCACAAGCTCGTCGGCAGTGAGGCGGGCGTGTGGATCTAAGGTAAAGATGTGTTCGAGGATAGCTTTGAATACAGGGTCCCTAACCTCGCTCAAATCCGGCGTCCAACCCTCCACAAAAACGTTCTTCGGTGTGTCACTCTTCAGAAAGGGAATCTTAGTTCCAGTCGCTAGCTCATAGAGGATGACCCCTAGGCTCCAAATATCGGACTCAGGAAAGTATTGTTCGTGGAGGAGCGTTTCAGGAGCCATGTACATCTGCGCTAAGCCAAGGGTGGAACTAAAGTCCTCTAACTCACCTCCGTATATCCCTGCGTCTGATATGACGAAATCGGACTCATCCTTATTTGCTAATATGTTAGTAGGCTTTAAGTTTCCGTGCACAAACGAAGAAACAGAGTCTCCATTTGCAGCGCTTCCAGTCCACTTGTGAAGATGCGCTAGCCCCATGGCTACTTGTCGTATGATTGAAAATATCAACCTTTGTGGGAACGTCTGCTTTTTTCGTCTGTATGAGCGGCAGATGGCATCGAGAGACGTCCCATAGCGCTTCATCCTTAGATACACAGAGATATCTGTTTCAAGAACGCCCTGACAATCGACTATGTTCGGGTGCTTCAGGGTAGCAAACGTGCGCAGCCTCTCGAGCAGTGTTTTAAAGGTCGCTGTTGAGACGTGATCATTCAGAATCTCCTTCAGAACCAGACTCGAGTCACTCTTGAAGGAGTATATAACTCCGTGTACCCCTTTGCCAATTTCATCTCCTTGATCAGCAAGCCAGTGGTCTGGTGAAGAAGCACTGACCTCATGACTATCATTCCCAGAGGGCAGCGCGTTAAACGTCGATTGGGTATTACTCATAATGGAAAGTAATTTTTAAGAGAGTTACTCAATTTCCATTAATTTTCACGCGTGCTGTTTGCGTATACCACTGTAGCGGTATGGCCTGTAAGCTGCGCCCTAAAAGACCTTGTGCGTCACCCACTGGGGTAATCACTGGCACTCTCTGCCTTGGTTTTGAGGTAAGATTGGTTTACTTGGAGTTTATAAAGGGATTGATCAGCTCTGATTTTCCATCTCCATACGCAATTGCAAGAACTGCACCTGTGGGACCGTATCTGACCCGACACAAGGGCCTTTCAACGGTTTTGGTGTACACAGCTGTGCTTAGTTCGACCTTCTCTCCTGTAATAGCCTTGTATATGAGCAGTTCTCCCGTCTCGTAGCCGACAGCCAGCGAGCCGTATGGATTAAGTAGCGCACTCCCCCAGGCAACGGATCGAATTGGTGAAGGAGTCTGGATCAACTGGCAGTACTCCTGCTCTATGAACTCCCCCGATCCTGCAACGAGAAAAATGGTTAGAAACCCCGACAAGAGCCCGCATGCGACCTGAAATTGATCACCAACAGGACGGGCATCTATTGCCAAGGGTACGAACTTACAGGTTGTGGATCCGATGCAATCAATGGCTGGGTTTTGTTGAAAGTACGCTTTGCAGTAGTGCAGACTACCATCAAGAGATGCTACAAACACGTTATCATTCAGAACAGAAATGTCAGCTATCGGTTGCTGGAACTTGTGCTCTGCACCGATACGCCAGCCCCCGTCTAGCTTCTGCCAAACAAGGAGGAGGCCGTCATGCCCTGCACTGATGATAAAGTTCCCATAAGCCGGAGGAACCCAAACTACGCGACAAACCGAAGCCCTGTGATGTGTGAGGCAAAAGACAGCATCTGTTGCTACCCCCGAATCTCCTGTGTTTGCTGAATAGATGCGAATAGTTCCGTCAGAACTAGCTGTCGCAACCATCTGGCTATACGGGTCTGTGCATATGTCTAGTACAGCTCCCGCTGCTGCTGTATGAATCTTACCCATGGGTACGGTCTCTACCTGGACCCCGGGTGTGTACTGTGCCATAGTCAATTAAAAAATTTTCATTAAAATGTCTCTCCGAAAGCCCGCCAAATCCCGGAAGGCCATGAAAGGTCGGAAGCGCGAGGTCGAGGGAGTCATCCCTATAACTCGCTTCTTGATTAACATCGATAAGCTGGATTCGGCCCCTTTGTACAGCCCGCGTACCCAACGATTCGTACCCATCCCTAGCAATCTTCTTAATAGGCACGATTTCTTTCTGCAAAGCATCCGGACCTCCGACGCAGTGGAAACATGGGCTAATGCGTTTGTAGCGCTGCAGAGGATGGCGAACTCTTCTGCGAATGGCGGACACGTGGACCAATCTGATCATTTGGCGCTGCTTCCTCCCAATGTTCGTAAGAAGGGCAGGCCAACGCTAGTTCTTGATCTCGATGCGACCTTATTCTATACGTCTGCGGAGCTTCTGAATACGCCCTTGGACTACTTCGACATGGGAGAAGAGTCCACATACCGTTATCTCTATCTGCGACCATATGCGTTGGACTTCCTTGGGTGGGCCTCGACTGTCTTTGAGGTTATCATTTGGACCGCAGCAATGGAATCATACGCAGAGCCGAGAATCAGAGCTACTGAGATAGATCGTTACGCAGATGTTGTCCTGTACAGAGGTGCATGCGACATGATAGATGGCTCCCTGGTAAAGAACCTGGCTAAGCTGGGGCGCCCCCTGTCAGATATGATCATTGTAGATGACAATCCGGTTTCCTATGCTCTGAATGTGGAACTAGCCTATCCTATACCCCCCTTCAGCGGCGAAGAAGATGATCTAGAGCTTCTTCGGCTTGTTCCGATCCTTCGCAAGGTGCTAGAGCTGTCCTCGCTGAAGCGAGGAATATACAAGACTATCTTCAGCGGGTCATCGATGCATCGAGCACTCGAGACTATCGGACAGTATACTTATGCTTCTGGTCTCTAACCTCACTCTAGCTATTTACTCTTGGTGCAGCTGCTGCCTTCTGTGCATCTAATCCATTGTTGCGTACGAGTTAGGCACGCCGCGCTGCTGCTTCTGCTTGATATCCATCAATATTTCCTTCCGAATGTTTGTGTACTTGATGACCTCCATGGCTGCTAGAATGGCTGTCAGAGATGCCTCAATCGTAGCTGCAGACATCGCCGTTGAGCCTAGGGCCTGACCAGAGTAGTCGACATATATTAAAACGTTCCCCACTGCAAGTGCTGCCAATGGAAGAACTGATACTACAAAAAATGCGACCGATGCCAGGCATGCATTAGCGATCAGGAGTACCACATCGTTTTTCTTCAACAACGAGAACTGTAGTACAGAGTAAGCTGCGTTTGTTAACGGAACCGCTTTTACAATAAAGGTAAATAATATTGACGGCGATTGATGCAGTGCAGACACCAGGGACGCCGCAATACCGAGAGTGGCTGTTAGGAGATACAGCATGCTGGATGCTGAGGACTGTAACAAAGACAGCTCAATGATCTGCATGACAATTGAAATTAGAAAGATTGTGCATGCAGCTGTACTTGTGAAATTCCTGTGTATGGAGTTCGATGCTCCATAACAGAACATGCCGATAAAGTAGAGAATGGATAATATAGGCAAAAGACCAATCATGTTGACGAAGTATGTAAGCCCGAGAAACTCTAGAACCATATCGTGTCGGAAAGCAAGGAGACAGATAATGGTGGTCGAAGACACCAAGCCTATTGATGCAAGGATGGGAACCAACCGCTGGTGCTTACCCATAGTTTTAAATATCAACTGGCGTTTACAGTAGACTACAGCTTGGAGGCAGAAACGCCCCCTGCTCCTCTATACCCGTACTCCCGTGCCATTGGAAGCAATCTAAAAAGCAGGTTGCAAGGCAAAACGAGAGCACCTAATACAAGAGTCACAATCCACCCTTGCCATCCTATACTAAAAAACTTCAGGGGGTGCGGAACGACCCCATTGGCTCCGCCTAAAAGACACGAGTCGCCTAGACAGTTAAATGTCTTGAAAACAAAAGTCACCCCAGGAACCATCATGACTACGACATGGGTACATGCAATCACTGCAATAACAATCCACATATTGATGGACTTTTTAATGTAAACAAACACATTCATCTCCCTATACGTAGTTCTTGCCCAAAACATATTAAAAATAAGCGAGATAACGAGGATGTTGTATGCACACGTCTGCTTGAAGCTATTAGCCAGCGCCAGTGCAAACTCGTCCTCTGTGGCAGAGGGACCGCCCAGTCGACTAGGGATTCCAAAAAGCTTATCTGCAACATCGGGAATAAGTGCTAGGATGCATGACACTAGGGTAAAGAGAGCCGAGATGTATATATTTCTCGTCATGGACGGATTGAAAATTTTATAGGTCCTCCTCAATAGTGGAGGAACACTACCCGTGCGGTGCGGAGGCTCACCTCCAAAAGCGAACGCAGCCAGAGCATCTATGACAAGGTTGATGTAGAGCAGCTGAGCAGCAGAGAAAAGTATTATGTTGAAGATTGCAGAGGACAGGAGCGTGAGGAGGATGACCAGTACGCCCGCAGTATATTGAAACTGGATAAACTTCCTTACATTGTGCACAATGTTGCTGCCCCAGCGGATAGCCTCAATAAGATCAGAAAAGCTACCCTGCTCAAGCACAATATCTGAACTGTCTTTGCAGAGATCCGTCCCATTGAGCCTGGTAGATAGTCCCACATCGGCAGTACGCAATGCAGCAGCATGCAGGTTATCTGTTCCAATATACGCAACCACGTCCTCTGGGCTTCTAAGGAAGCATACGAGACGGTGCAGATCTTGCGCCGTTATCTCCGAGATAACGTGCGTCTCCTTCAGCCTCATATTAATGGTTTCCTGAGGATAAGAGAATAGCTCAGACGCGCGCACAGAAGCTACACAGGAAGAGTCCTGATCCAGCAATCCAGCGACCTTTGCCTTATTAACAGCTATGTCATGGGGGTCAGAAGAGGCGTAGCATAGCTTGATCCCTGCGCTAGATGCTTGAAGGAGTTCGTCCTGAGTTGATGGAAGCGTGTTTGTGGAAAGAACAAGATGAGTACAGCACGCAAGGTTTTCAATGGAATCGTAGTTCTTTATATGGATGCCATCCTTACACATGGTCTTCATACTGTAACTCAACGAAAGGCTTAGTGCCATCTGAAGAGCCTCTGGTGCCGTAACAATAAAGACGATGAGCGCAATGGAGATCTGCCGCACTACAGTAGTGACCTGTCGATTATCATTGGCCGTCCCTGCCAAGAAGAATCGAACAGCCATGACAAGGAATATAATCAGTGAGCCTATTAGCGATCCGATTGTTGTCCACCGATAAAGCTTTTCTAAACGCTTCTGGAGGTCTGTTGCAAAGTTCTGATAGCCCTTGCTCAAGCGAGTCTTCCCTAAAATAGTGGCCTCTCCAACAACTAGCACGAGCATTCGCACCTCTTCGGTGGCGTCGCTAATGTATGTTCCTGCACTCAGGAATGGATCAGTTGTTTGGGTTACGGACGTGCTCGTTAATGAGCCATTTAGAACCGTAGACAGATCAGTGATCACTTTCACGTCAGTATTAATCAGCAAGACGCCATCAGCGGGGACAAACGAACCAGCAGTAAGACATACCACATCACCTACTACAAGGCTGTCAGACGATTCATCTTGGGGTCTGCCATCTCTGACCACAGTGACAGTATGCTTATTGGCGTTTACGTTAGCCTGCCACAGCACTTTGTCCTTATGGTAAACAATAGCCGCATTAATAGACAAGAGTAGCAAAAGCATCACTAGGGTAATCACCCCGTCAATCCATGCATAAACATCATAGGTATAATCCGGAAGCAATCCGAAGGTAATCAACAAAATGGAGATGACAGTTAGTACAATCACCACGGGGTCTTTCAGACCTCTGAGAAATGCCCAACCATATCCTCTCGGCCGCCGAAGAGGCATTGTATTGCTACCATAGGTTTTTCGATGGAGCAAAACGGTAGGTTTCAAAAGGCCTGTGGCAGGGTCAGACCCCAATTCTTTTGCTAGACCTTCTATACTGCCATACTTGTCTCTAAGTGCCCCGAGGTCTCGAGAAGTAAACAGTGCGAGCAGGTCTGCGGTTGTTGGAGCAGACATTTTTTTACATAACCCCCTTCTTTGTCAACTCTCACTAACAATATAATATAAAAGAAAGTCCTTTACTCTAAATGCTTAGGTTATCAGACCTACTAGGATGGGACAAGGAATCAGTCGCTACCAGATGGCTCGAGAAGTTTCTTCGCCTCCGCCTTACCAGCCCTTTTCTCCTTGTCGGCCTTCTTTTCTCTCTTAGCCGCGCGAGCGTTCTTCTTCTCCATGGCCCTCTTGGCTGCCTTCTCACTAACCTTGAACTCAGGCTTCAGTTTCTTCAGCCTTCCAAAGAGGTGGACAAATACAGTGAAGAGTGCAAAGGCCAAGGTGATGGCCCACGACTGCCAGAGGATACCGTGATCATGGCTATTCCCACAGTAGCTCTGGTGGTTCTCACTACAGTCGAAGATATGGAAGATATAACGGACACCAGGAGCAAGCATAATAATGAGTTGCATACCGACCGTACCGAGGAAGATTAAGATGAACATGGGTGATTTGTGGAGGCCAGAGAAGACGTTGAGCTCATTGTTTATACGCCTCGAACTGATTTCATTGAAAAGCTGGGCGAATATAAAGAAATTGTATATGCACGTATACCTGTAGGCCTTTGCTCCGTGCTCGTTGTAGGCGCACGAGCCGTCAGCCATGGGTATACACTTAACAGAATCTGGAACCATGAGCAGGGTGTCTCCTACCACACCAAAGATCATTAGAAGGATAACAGCGATCTGATAGAAGGCGACGATGAGAATGTTGCGCAGCATGCCAGGGGCGATGAGGCTGGCAGCTCTATGGACAGGCTCATAGTCAAGCACATTCTTAGCTGGGTCTTCAGTCGCTAAAGCCAGCGCACCGAGAGAGTCCATGAGGAGGTTGACATAAAGCATCTGCAGAGCAGTCAGCGGAGACTCCTCCAGAACAGCCGCTCCGAGGAAAGCAACGACGACGGCAGCAACATTGACAGTGAGCTGGAATTGAAGGAACTTGCGAACATTTGTAAGGACTGCACGACCCCACTCCACAGCACGGACGATAGAGAGGAAGTTATCATCCATAATTATTATGTCGGAGGCCTCCTTGGCTACCTCAGTCCCGGCAATCCCCATAGCAAGTCCCACGTCTGCAGCCTTGAGCTGGGGAGCATCGTTGGATCCGTCACCCGTCGCAGCGACCGTGTGGTTGTAGTGCTTCAGTCTCTTGACCAAGCGGTACTTGTCTTTAGGAGCAGCACGCGCAATGACTCGGAGGGTATCAAGGATCTCGTCCAACTCTGTATCTGAAAGCTTGCGGAACTCTGGCCCTGTAGTAACGTACTTATCAATTATATCGTCCGATATGTCGTCTGGAAGGATTCCACATTCTTTTGCAATGGCAACAGCAGTGATCTTGTTGTCGCCTGTAACCATCCGCACAGTGATTCCAGCACGCTTGCAGCGCTCTACGGCATTAGTGACACCAGGGCGCAAAGGGTCCATGATGCCGACTAAGCATATCAGCGTAAGATCCTTCTCAATATAATCCGCATTGGCGTAGTTGTGGATGTTCTCCACTGTACCATCCTCCATCGTGGCACCCTCCTTCCTGTCTCCGTCAACCTTGGAAACCGACCTATAGGCAACGCAAAGAGTGCGGAGTGACTTGGTTGCATATGAGATAATCGTTTTCTCATATTCGGAACGCATGCTCTCTGTGAGAGGCACAACAGTCCCATCTGTCTTAAGAATGTTTCTGCAGCGCTCCAACATTATCTCGGAAGCACCTTTAGACAGAACAAGGTAAGAACGACGATCGTCAATTAGATCGAGAGCGCCCTTTAAGCTTTCAGCAGCACTCGTCTTCCCAAACTTTTCCAGATCTAAAACCACGGACATCCTCTTACGATCAGACGTAAACTCAAAGGCATGCGCGATTGCGCCCTTGGCCTGTCCGTCTATGACAAGCATCTCTCTGAACTCCTGGTAGTCGAATCCCATGTCGCGTGAAAGCATCAAGAGCGCGCCCTCTGTCTTGTTGCCAATGACCTCAATAGAAGACGACCCGTCCTCCTCAGCCACGGCTGCTTTGCCCCTCTTAATACCCTTTGGAGGCTTACTACTCTCATCAACACGGAGGTTGGCGGTAGAGTTAAGTGCCGAGTTCAATGCAAAAATGCCCGCAACACCCCTGGAAAACTTCTTGTCTGCGATCGCCTCGGCATCCGGCATTGGAGAACACTCGGAGTCATCGGCACTCGTTTTACCACTTGTCCTCAAGTAAAAGCTGTTCTCAATCCTCATGCGAACGACCGTCATTCTGTTGAGAGTAAGTGTTCCGGTCTTGTCACTGGTAATATTATTGACACTGCCCATCGTTTCACATGCATGAAGCTTCCGGACGAGGCACTGGTCACGCATCATCTTCTTCATAGAAAACGCAAGAGAGATCGTCACAGCAAGCGGAAGGCCCTCCGGCACGGCGACGACGATGATGGTGATCGACGTGATCATATAGCCGACCCACTGCGTGAAGTTCTTTGAATTGCTTTGACGGCCATCAACAAAGAACCGGGAAACCAGAACAATGAACGTGAGAATGGCAGCAGCAATCCCAGCATAGCCGATGTACTTCGCAAGAACCTCGAGCTTCTCTTGCAGGGGGGTCTGCTCATCCTCCTCCTGAAGGGTAGCAAGAATATCGCCGTGCTTACTGTACTTGCCAACAGCAGCAACGACCATGCGCCCAGATCCATGAGTGACAAGGCAGCTCCCGATCACGAACGGATTTGCAGCAAGATCCTTTTTAATTTCATCACTTTCACCGGTCATCCCAGACTCATCACACTTCATGTCATTGCAAGAGACGAGGACACCGTCTGCAGGAATCTGATCGCCTAGCTCCATGACGACAATATCACCAACAACTACGTCAAAAATGGAAACGACTGTCTCTTTTCCGTCTCTTACGACTTTAATTTGCTTGTTATTCTTTATAGCGTTAAGCTTACGAAACTGCTTCTCCTTAGAGAATTCGTTAATTGACGACACCAGAGCAACTATCAGGACGGCAACCAGTATTGCAACTCCATCAATCCAGCCGTACTCCTCTTCGCTGAGTGAGGGAATGGAACCAACGATTATTGAAACAATCGAGGCAATTAGGAGGATGATGATGGTCACATCCTTGAAGGTCTCGAAGAAAAGCCTACAGAAGGACTTAGGGGGTCTTGGCTCGACCTTGTTGCGTCCATAATACTCCAAATGCTTGGGGACATCCTTAGATGATAACCCCTTGAGACTGGTAGTCTTCAGACTCCTCAAAAGGCCGTCGGTGCCCTCGAACCGCGTCCTTAGGCTCTCGACGGTCGCATCCGTCATTAGGGCCTTGAGATCCTCCGGACTGTGGCGAAAGCCCCCGCTGGACATCTTTAAATTAAAACGGTACAAGCTTTAACATTGAAAAATATCATCATGAGTAAGGCTCAGCGAGACGAGCAAGACTCGCAAGTCCCTACAAAGTTCGCGCTTACTATAGCAGAAAAGGAGGTAATTTATCGCTTTTATAATCTCACCGCTCTCTGCAAGGAGGAGGAAAATTGGCACACCCTGTCTAAACATATTATAAGTCTTTTCTTTATGGCATTTTACTATGTTCTAGATAACTACGGGCTCCTTAAAGATCCGGAGATCGCGGCTGAATTCCAGAACCAGCGGGAGACCTTTCTAATTAAGTGCTTCTTAAAGGCGTACCTCTCCGTCATGAGAGAGCGTGCTTTCTTTGAAGACATCTCTAACTCTTGGGAGTCATTTATTGATGTGTGTCTAAAGAAGCTTCGCGAGCACTCGAGGCTGCGCATAAACGGTGAAAAAGCGGCTCTTGTTATTCTTAACCAAGACTTGACGAAAGTGCTGCTTGTTCGAGGCCAATTTATGCACGGACCCAAATACTCTATTCCCAAGGGTGGTTTAGAGGACGGAGAGGACTCGACTGTCGCCTCTCTTAGAGAAGCATACGAAGAAACTCAGCTCTATCTCGGTCCTTTTCTGTGGGATCCGTATTGCTACTACCATCAAGACCTCAAGGCGATTCTTCCTATGAATGCATGGGGACCCATGCCCATCGGGCCGTATGATTTTCTCTCCGGACAGACACCGCTAATACGATCAGACCCCATCAAGCTGACTGCCTCTGGGTACCATCTTCACTTTGCCCCCGGCGTACCAGACTCCATGCTGGAGAAAGCAGAGGCACTTTGCTCCTCTGAGATTGCAGGGTGTAATTTGATACCCATTGATGCCTTTTGTAAGAAAAAGTGGGCGCAGAAAAACCTTCCCGTAAGGCAGGCAGACAATATAGAGAGCATAAGGGAGATCCTAGAGAAGCTAGAGAAGGGGTACAGGAAGCTGCCGCCTCTGCAGCAGCTAACAAAGCCGGAGATATCAGATTGGAAGCTTATCAGCCTCTTTATTAAAATGTGCACCTAGCACTTGATAGAACACTTTTTTGGGTGTTCGCGATATACCTCTAGCATGTGTGGAAATAGCATTGCTAATGCCTTAGCAGATACAGGACTACAGACGCATGCATATAGAGCAGTTGTGCTGAGAATAGTTTCGCAAATAATGAACCTGTTGGCACTGTTCCTTAAGCAGCTTGACAGGTGGATAAGAATCTCCTCTGAATTGTCCTCTTTGCTTAGCCTACTGTACGTTACACTTGGGCCAGAGCTGTTGCGCCTAAGTACGTTATATAGCCCTGCTTTGATGAAAGGAAGTAAGATCTCACTTGTTGTACTGGTAAGGGCCCGATCGTATGATGATTTAGATGTACCTGGATTTGGCACCTCAGTCAGCGCAGCTAATAAGCCGATATACTTCTCTGCCAGTTGAAGAGCCTCAATTATCTTTTGTTCTCTTAGCCTATGTCTCCTGGCCCACTCCTCTCTAATTATTCGGTCTTTCTTCAGCTCAGCATAAGCATCCAGGATTTTTAAAAGAAGCAAGTGATCACCTTGTGAGCCCCCAAAGGTTATCCCTTGCTGTTCCGGTGGCCCTGTGGCAGTAGAGATTAAGAAACTATGCTCATTCTGGAGCACAGAGAGGGCAGCAGCAATTCTGGCGCATGGGGTCAAAGTTCCGCGAGAGGCTGCTTCAAAAAGTACAGACCCCAACCTAGGATCTTCGGGTATTTTTGATAGACACATCCCTATTGGTGTCAGGGCCATGGAGTCAGATATAGCTCCAAGGGAGTATAGGTATCTGTAAGCTGCCTCCATAGCTGTAACGGGTGGTCTATCTAAGAGCCAGGAGTCTTCAATTCTGAAGCCTGCTGTTAGGAGCGCCAAGGTGGAAGACGAAAGGTCGCACCGGAGTATCTCTGGCTCGATATGGGCTTCAAGAGATGCATATATAGCCCGCGTGTACGCTCTATATACAGCTCCCTTTTGTACGCGTCCTGCACGGCCCTTTCTTTGCACTGCCTGAGCTTTCGATATCCGTTTTGTGACCAAGCGATAGTATCCTGTCTCTGTGTCAAACATCATTTGTTTGCAGTAGCCGGAGTCCACCACAACCGTTACATCTGGAATGGTTATGGACGTCTCTGCAACATTCGTAGCGAAAATAATTTTTATTGTCCCCGGTGGAGGCGCGTCAAAGAGCAGTTGGATAGACCCATCAGGCAGCCCAGAGTAACACTGTAGTAGGAGTAGTTTGTATGTTGAGCCATCTCTCTGTTTGTTACGTTCTGCCATATTGAGCATTGAAATGGCCGTGTGAATTTCTTGCTTCCCTGGTAGAAATACCAGGTATGATCCTGCTGTGGCACCATCCAGTGGTGTGTGTGCATGATTGTCAATCAGGTATTGGACGACTGATATGCATTTCTCAAGGAAGCCCTGTGGGCCAAAGAAGCTACTATTAAGCTCCGTAAGTGCAGATGGGTATAAATCCTCGTAATAGACCTCTTTTACCGGAAAGGTCTTGCCACAAACATGTAGTGCAGCTACGCTCTTGCTCAATTGCTGCACATATTTCTTTAATGCCTCCGTCTCCGCAGTTGCAGAGCAGATGAGGATCTTGGGCCCTTTGAAAATGCAAAGGAGAAACAAAATAATATATGAATTGATTGTCTTCTCATGTACTTCATCAATCAGGAAGACGGTATATTTGCGGATTATGTCTATCGCCCCTTCATCGCCTTTCATTGCATCTATGAGCATCCTAAGCAAAATCCCCTCTGTGGCATATGTAATTTGCGTATGAGGAGTAACGGTACTTTCAAAGCGAACAGAATATGCTGCCGTCCCATGACGACAATGTGGTGACATGCATCTGTCTACGTATCGAGCCAAAGATATTGCTGAAACGCGGCGAGGCTGAGTAACCATCATAAAGAGACTCGACCCGAAGTGCGAGTAGAGAATCTGTGGAAGTTGGGTGGACTTTCCGGATCCTGTCTCTGCAATAACAATCAATACATCGTTTTCTTCTAAAAGACGCACAAGTTCTTCGGCGCGTAAGGTAATTGGTAGATTGGCCAGCTGCTTAGTCTTTGTTGCTTCTGTAGTTGTTCTAATTAGAGTTGAATGACCCCTTGCAAATGAATTGAGCGCATTCAACCCATTTGAACAAAAGAACTTTCGGGCTGAATTCAAGGATAAAGAGCGAAGGGGGTTTTTCTTTATAGAAAGATGTGTGGCCTGCTCGTCCCGCAGAAGAGAAGAAACAGCTCTATAATGGTCACTATATCCCCTGGGCCCAGCCTCTCTGGATTGACTAGAAGACTTGATGAGCTTTGCACATAGTCTCCTAAACTCTGGAGACAAGGTGCTGTCTATTTCAGAGATCTTATCTTGTATCCTATCTTCTGTAAACTTAGAAAAAGGGGCTAGCTTTTCATAAAGAGCAATAGAAACAGATTGCAAGTGCTGCTCAGGGATTCTTGTGTAGCGCCCGAGCAGCCCTGTGATTTCTAAAATTGGAGTATTCGTCAAAGTATTTAAAACCGCCACAAAAAATGAGCCGCTCAAAGGCCAAGGACAAGAATGCAGCAAAGGAGGAGCTGGAGTTTTGGTCTGAAAAATTGCAGACCTCTAACAAGGTTGAGGATCACCGCGAGGTTGTCGGCCAGATACTTTCTGCGCTATCTCTCGGGCGCGACGTCAGCAGCATCTTTCCCCTTGTTTGCCGTTTTGCCGCAACCAAGGATATAAAGCTCAAGAAAGTCGTATACCTTTTCGTCCTGAACTACCATAAGATGAATCCGGACACCCCCGTGCAGGTAGGCTCTGTCTTGGATATGGACTCTCAAGACCGTGAGCAGGCTGTTATTCGTGCCCTTGCAATCCGTACTATGGGGAACTTGTGCACCCAGGAGACCTTACAGGTCTTTACAAATGCTATTGGGCGGGCACTTGGTGACGCAGATCCCTTTGTTCGTAAGACCGCCGCCACGGCTGTTGCCAAGATCTATAGGATCTCTCCTGAGATGGTTATTCAAATGAATATGCTGCTGATTCTGAAGGAGCTTCTTTCAGACGGAAACCAGGCTGTAGTCGCCGCCGCCGCCTCGTCTCTTGTCAACGTGGCCACTCAGCTCTCGCCGGAGCAGCTTTACGGGATCTTTGGTATCCAGGACATCGGCATGCTATTCAACTGGCAGGAGGTTCAGGCCCTTTTGACAGCCCTCACATCATCTACTGAATGGTCGGCAATGCACATTTTAACAGCAATTGCAAATTATGGACAACTGCCTCTGAACTATGAAGAAGCAGATGCGACCATTCAACGTTTAGCAAACTTCCTTCGCCACAACAACCCGGCTGTCAGCCTTGTCACTATCAACCTAGTCCTCAAGTACATCTACGCCGACCCTCCCATCCTTAATACAGAGCAGTGCTACAAGGTGCAGGGTATGTGTGTTGGGCCCCTTCTCTCCTTCGTTGGCTCTTCGACGTCCCCAGAGTCACAGTGGATCGCTCTTCGTTGCCTGAGACTTGTGGCGTCTGCGTTCATCAACCAGGAGCAGGAGAATCCCTTTAGTAAGCAGATCCGTCTCTTCTTTGTCAAGTATAACGACCCTCTGTACATCAAGCTTGAGAAGATCGAGATGCTTGCCCTTCTGGCGGACTCGCAGAACTGTCAGGAGGTCGTGATGGAGCTCTCTGAGTATGCTAGAGACGTTGACCCCCAGTTTGTCCGGGCTAGCATCCGTGCACTGGGCACGGTTGCCATCCGTGTCCCTGCGGCGGCCGATCTAGCAGTTCATCGCTTTGTTAAGCTTATCACAGGCCAAAGCGGCGAGGAAGGAGAATCCGAGCGAGAGACCCAGTACTATAAGTTTCCCGACTATGCTGCTCAGGAGCTTATGGTCGCCACACAGCTTATTTTCAGGCGATACCCAGAGCGTTATGAAGGCATCATTGGAATCCTCTGTGAAACCATCGTTACCCTCGATGACCCTGACGCAAAGGCTGCGCTCATTTGGATCATCGGAGAGTATGCCAACCGTATTGAGGGGTCGGAGGAGGTTATTTCGGATTTAGTTGGTCTGTCGCCTATCTTAACCGCAACCGAGGAGGACTATGATCCTAACTTCAAGGGTTCATTTCTGGATGAGCCTGCCGTTGTGCAGCTTCAGTTTATCACCTCTTGCACCAAGCTTTTCCTCCATGTACCTACCATTGATACTCAGAGACTCTTGCAGCACACGCTCCAATTGGCGACGGAAAGAGCAGAATCACCCGACGTTCGTCAACGCGCTTCCTTCTATTGGAGGCTCCTCGGTGTTGACCCGACTCTTCAGACGGCTAAAGGGGTGCTTTTCTCCCAGAAGGCTGCCCCACAGATAACGGATGGCATGCCTGATGCAATTCGTGCTACACTCGTACGCGAGCTCGGTAGTGTTTCTTGCGTAATGCGTGAGATGATCACAGATACCGTTTATAGCGGCCCTGACGTTGAGGAGGCCATCCGTATTCTGGACGCGGTTGGAACTAACATCCAGGAGGTGAATTATGACGAGATTGTGGGTGCGAAGACAGACACACTTTCCAGTACTCTTCCTCCTCCGCTGACCGCCGAGACTACTATCTCAAGCATTGCTACATCAGAGGCGGCGGCTCTTCCTGCAGCATTCGCCTCTGCACACACGATTCCTAACGTGACTCTTCCAACAGCACCAGTTAGACAAGTCCAACCTGCTACCAATCTGCCCGCCTTTGGCGCTCCAGTGACAGATTTACTTAGTCATGGCTCTGCAACCCCCGCAGCTCCGATTACCCAGCCTCCAGCCCCTGACAAGCTGGCATCGCTCATTGGGGGTCCCATTGCGGCATCGGAGCCTGTTCCCGCTGCCGCGCCGGTTGCACCGACTGCACCTCCGGTCACCGAGCCAGCGCCAAGTTTCAATGCAGCTTCGTTCATAACTCCGAAAGTGGAGACGCCTGCGGTACCTGCTCCAGAGCACAAGCCAGAGCTTGTCATGCCTCCGGCTGCCTCTCCACCCGTCGCGCCCCCCACAAGCACTCAGTTACTCGCTGCTTCTCTGCCCTACTTTTCTTCGGACTATCCGTTTGCCACTGTGCAGAACGCCCCTATCCGTGTTGTCAACGATCACGGTGTCATGGGGGTCTCTATTTCCTGGACTCGCGAGAACCAAAAGCCTCTCCTTCTTCTAACAGTACACAACAAGGGCTCTGCTCCACTCACCAACTTGTTGATCGGATTTGCACCCAATGGTCTTGGGATTTCTCCCGTTTCTCCTCAGCTTTCAATAGCTTCCGTGGAGCCTGGACAGAAGAGTAATGGTGGGGAGCCTGTTCTCGTTCCCGTGCAATTCAAGCAAGATCCCAACACGCAGTTCAATCAAGCCCGTCTTAGCCAGCCAGATCCTCAGTGTACTGGCAATCTAAATCTTCTCACGTTCGCGATAAAGTGCGATGGTGCCCCAGGGCCCTGTCAGTTCCAATGTAAGATACCCATTCATGTCTTGGCCTCAGAGACCTCAAATATGCATGGCCCGGACCGCAACCTGATCAATCCTACGCAAGCTGTGCAGCAGTTTAACAAGAACTGGGGCCTTGTCCAGGACAGCCTGGCTCACAGGGATACTTCGTCGCTGACATACGCCAACTTAGGGATTTCAAGCATTGATGAGGTTGCTGCTGTGATCGTTCGTAAGGCCAAAAGAGCAAACTTCAACCTCGTGGAAATGCAGCCGACTAACGTTTCTCTTCTCATGTCCATCCCCCTTGCAGCATATCCGCAGAACCTCCCGGTGCTTATTCGCGTGGGCTGGCGCGCATCGGCTAATGGTCAAGGTGTAGATTTGTGTGCACTGATGAAGATACCCCCCATCGGTGTAATGTGCATGGCATATGTGGCACAAAGCCTCAAGTTTTCCATACTGAAGTAGACGTAAACTGTGTTATTGCTTAAGACTTCTCTTCTTGGAGAACATCACGTTTCGGGATTTGCGGAATATGCTTTCGTCGTTCTCAGTGGGTGGCTGTGTGTAGTACGTTAGTACATAGCCGCCAAATGACTCTCCTAGCATCGCCGGCCTGGTACGCCCGGGTAGAATCTGATAGTCGAGGAGTCTGTTATCTGTGTATGACTGAATGTGGCCAGACCGTGTAGACAATAGGTAATGCCCAAGCTCTGCAAGGGCCTCTGCAGAGGGCGAGTAGACCGAGACAGGGGCTGCTGGCCTAATAAACTTAGAGAGTAACTGCGCTAAAGGAAGGGGTCGCGACCTGGCAGCAATCACTAGTGAATCAAAAGATAGGGGGAGTAAATCTGTGTCTAGAGGAGTGCAAAGCGGCGCCCGAGTGTTTCTAGAGAACGATTCTAAATCGGGAGCTGAGTAAATTACTTCTTTGAGCTTGTCCACGGGAATCTTGAGAAGACAGAGTCTGCGCTCAAGCCACATATCATAATCACACATAATTGCACGAGTTATACTTTCAGGCGTCCAGATATCCGTACGCACAGAATCGTCCTCGGGCTTTGGGCAAGACGTATCATCACCAACAATACTATACCCTAGAAGACCCAGATCGTCGTCATCGGCAAGCTTGGTAGAGTTGACGGCACACACAAACGGCGCAATATTGGGTCTAGAAGCCTCTAAGCCATGCTTTGCTGGAAGTACGTTGCTATCTATCAAAGCGTTCTTTAAGCCTGCACCAAGGGTCCGGCCCGTGACAGCCACAACTTCCTGGTCGCATCTTGGCAAGTTCAAAACAGTCCTGACCCTTTCCAAAAATAAGAACCCCAGACGATGCCGCTCTCTGAAGGTTTTAACTTCTGAACACTGGTTAATAAGCTCAGTGCATTCATCCATGAGCATCTTGACATTTGCGTTGGTGGGGTCGACTACTGCATCCGTCAAAACCATCCTAGACGCGATACCCGCTGCTACACGCCCATCCAAATCATCGTAGACAAGGATCCGTGAATACCCCGGAATTCTTGCTGCATCTGAGTGGTGAAGAAGAAGAGAATAGTTCCCCGGACTCATGAAGAGATTTGTCTCCGGTGTCTTACCAGTGTAAAGATACTTACAGATACTATATGGATTGGCTAGCTCTATGCTGAAAATTAAAACGTGGCGCTTCCGTGCTCTATTCACCGCCTTCTGTCTAGAAAACTCGGTGTCTTTCCCTTGATAAGACTCCGATTCTAGCAGCGCTTGCCTGAGCTCTTCTGCCTCATTATCACAGAGACCGGCAAGCGCATCTCCAGCTCCTCCAGCTGTCAGAGCTGTGTACCCCTGAACAGTGGGGTCATCTGCCCGATCAATAGTGATGTTAGACCCCCCTCCCCTTAGCATGTAGAAGGCATTATATATTAGACCTATGAGCAGATCACTCTGAACGCGATGGTGATATATGTCAACGGGCTTACTCATCGCTATGCGTGTGATATAACTGCGATCACCTCGCACATGGAGAAGGACGCTGTCACCATTTTGTACCTGGTTTTTGTCCATCGTCCACTTTTTTCTTTGAGAATGGGCCTTTAACAATGCCAAAGAGTACATGTTCGGCCATAGCTGGGGTCTTCAGCGTTATATTTACATATGAAAAGTACAGGACTTTAGATCCTTAGACGCTAAAAGCCTCTTAGACCGCTCAAGGGCAGATTCTACCACCCCAAACATCTGCTTCACCAGAGACTCTGTCATCTGAAAATCCTGCGCCTTGGTGGCCTCACTCAAGCAAAGAATAAAGCTTACCAGTCCTCTGTCTGTCTTAAAACAGTCCCGAAGAAGCTGCAAAAGGGGATCTACGACTAAGTCTTCATCCGTCACATAGTCATAATGCCTAACTCCTGCTATGACTTTCTCTAAGCTCGTCTTGAGATGTAGGTCTACTCGGAGAGAACACGGAAATACGTTAATTTCCGCAACGGAAAGCCGGCCGTGAAAGCCCTTTATCTCATACTCCATGACCCAAAGAGAATTCCAAATCCCTTTGCGCTGAAGTCGCCGAAGTTGACGAGACCCCAACTTTATCAAATCTACGGAATCTGCCAACTGAAGCACAGGTCGGAGAAAGCTGTCATACCGAACAGAGGGTGTGAGTACGGGATCAACTGGAACTGTCACGGGAACAGGATCGAAACTGAGGGCTAACAAGTCAATGCTTTTAAGAAGGGGACTGACGGCAAGTGCAGCTAAGCTCAGCTTATCGGGAGAATTGTTGAGTATGTACTTTAGCGCATTATATATGAGCCCTGCTGCGCAATTCTCATCTGGGTTTCCTTCTATGGTGAATGATTTCCCACTCGAAGCAGGGCCTGCAACAAATAAAACGGGGGTTTTATCTTCTAGCAAAGATGCATCTATTAAGGGGGCTGCAACTGTTTTAAAAATTGACGCCTGGGTACTGCTGAGGTCAAATACTTCTGAGCACGGAAGACGCCCTATTAAGTCATCCTGGAAGTCTACGGCGTCCCCCAGTACCTGATACCCTCGACTCCCTCCTATCTCTTTGCCAATAAAAGGCCGAATGCGAATAAAAGAGTCTACTCTCATTGGCCAGATGGTCCTATAATTCGTAAATTTAAAATTTCCCTCGGAAACTTTGTAGGGAACTCGGGAGATGAGCGGTGGGATTGAATTTTTATGATGCCTTAAATGTCTGTGCTTAGTTGACTTAGTGGACAGATCTACTCATCTGGATGACCCCCTTGATACCGCTGGCGGTATGAAGGTGGCATGATCGCTTCTGTTGACTGGGCATATTGATGAAGTGAGTAGAGGTATCTATTTTGTTGCTCCTGAATAGCCGCGTCATGGATCTGTTGCTCGTGGAGGCGTTGCTGGTAATAATAATTGCGTCCACAATTAATAGCACTCTGTGAGTAGGGGTTATTAGCCACGTAGTTCCCGTACTGCTGCCTATACATAATTCCATTAAGGTACGGCTGCTGCGGCCTATTGTAGTCGTATGTTACGCCATCACTAGTAATAGCTCTATAGTTATTACTGGCTTGCCCTGCACCCATGTAATGGCTATGCTTGAAATAGTGGACAGCATATCCATCAGCGAGTGCCCCATTGGGCAAGCACTCACCTTCTTCATATTCATAGTCCTGCGCAGGTGGCGGACCTGGTGGAATGACGTAACCTTGTGGATTGATTGGTAACTTCGTAGAGACATATTTGGGATTTGCGGTATTGATTGGTAGCTGCCCTGGTTCGTCGTCGTAGACGGTGTAATTTATTGTAGAGAGATCCCATGTTGTATCCAAATTTCCGTCCCAGGGACCCATGCCCTTTCCCATGTACCTCAAATAGTCTGCATAACCCGCATCATAGCGGGGCCAGATTTCTCCCGGATCAACGTCGTCAATATCTGTGCCCTTTTTCTGCTCAACAGGCTTTGCAACATGCTCTTTCAAAGAGGGGTCATTTGGTTGTGGCAATCTAGGAGAAGATTGATTAGCCGGTTGGCACGAGCTTGTACTAGAGATAGACGAACCTTCTAAATCCTGTGATTTCCGCGAAGGCTTACGCGACGAAGAAAGGAGCTGGGGGGAGTTATATCTGTGGATTGTTGGAAGACATATAACTTGTGGGTTAACGTCACTCTGGGGCTGTGGCTCTTCCTGCTTCTTCTGCTCAGTACTCGGTTGTGGAGCAGTTGCTTGACGCTGAGGTACCTCTTTTCGAAAAGACATTGGATTACTATAGGTCGGCGTATCGCAGGGACTAGTCTCTAATTCATCTGCTTTGGGCTTGTCTTGCTTTCCAAGGGAAGTTCTGAGCTGTCGTTCTTGCCGCTGTTGCTCTTGCTGACGAGGAGCATCATAAGTATTTTGGATATGCAGATCCTTGGGCGCAAGTGGAGCGGATTTATCTATCGAGTCAGAGACAGCTGGACTCTGACTTCGAGGTGGGAAGCGTGTAACAGGCTCTGCTTGCTGAGTCTTTTGACGAAGAGGCTCTGAAGACCCTCGTGTAGAAGGCAAAAGAATTACCTCTGTAGTGATATTTTTTCTTTTCTGCGATGGATTTCCTACACGTTGTACATTACGAGATCCTGGCGGACCGTGGAGAGCACCTGTTTGACAAGGAATAGTCATGTCCTGGTTCGATGTACCCTTTTTTTCTGGTCTAGAAAGAGGGATCGCAGTCGAGGCTGATGACAGCTTAAAACTCTTGGGGGGCATATCTGCGTGATTGGTTAGAGCAGAGTGCTTACGGGGTATTGCTGCGGCTCTTACTATCTCTGGTTTCTCACTATGTGGACTTCGTAGGGTATTTGCGGAGATGGGCCTTCTGGTGCTCTGCGTATCTGCTATGAAATCTGGCTCATAATCCGCTGTTAACTGTGAATTATCGGGGTTTAGGGGAGTGGATTCATTCACTGATGGATCCTCTTGATCTGCAGTTCTATTTGAAGAGATTATTGTGACAGAGCTGGCTGGCCCTTGCTCAATAATATTAACAACCGTGTGCTTGCTAATCTTGGTCTCCGTGATGCTTACATCACAGGAGGATGAATTTGACCTGGGCTTCCACGAGTCCTTACGAGTGTGGTAGTCTAGCATTATGCTTAGCGCCGCGTTGTGAATGGCATCTTCAGTGTCACAACGAATGCTATCGCATAGAATGGATATGACTTTGCTCCCCACTTTGCCTTCTACGGATGGGGTCGGAGATGTTGGCGTGGAGTCTATTTGCTCCGTCATTTTATGATGCTAGGAATTCTGCTATTAAATTTTGATAAAGCTTTTATGCTCATTCTGGGCGATGAGTTACAATCTTACGTCAGAAGCTCTACACTTCTACGTCAAGCATTTACGCGCTCGCTTCTTTCATAGATGGGTGCGGTACGTTAAGGAAAAGAACCAATCCGCTGTACATCTAAAGCTGCAAACAGACAAGGCCCTCTTGTTCTTCGTCCGTTGGCGCCTAACAAGCTGCATTCACCAATGGGTCACGTTTGTTTACGAAACGGTTCCTCAGATGACTCTGTTTGCAGAGGAGTTTTACACTGTTATGCTAACTCGGATCGCGTTCGGCTCTTGGAAACGTCGGTATGTTTGCGTTGTATCGATGGAGATACGAGCGGACGAGCACTACCGACGAAACCAGATTCCTATGTTGGGGAACCTTCTTTCCCTCTGGAGAACGGCTGCAAATGCCCAACAGACAATCAAAATCTACGCCTATGCGGATGATTATTGGACAGCCCGAGAATTGCGTCTTGCATTTACTGCATGGCATATGAAATCTCAGGCTATTTTAGCCCTGCAGCCACGGCTCCACCACTTGACAGCTAAGACTTTTAGAACACTGATGAAGGACGCATTCTGGAGCTTAAGGGAGGCTCACCAGAAAGCTACTCAGCGACGTAAAGATGTTCAAGAGGCCCTAGAGTATTACTCCACCCAGAAGGCAACGCTGCTTATGCGTTATATCATTGAACAAGGCATAGGCTTTGTGCGTGCTGAAGATACCAGACGTGCATCTGCAGTAGCCAAAAAAGCAGAAGAGGCATACTTACAAGGTGTCCTCAAGGATCGTAGAACCCTTTTAAACTCAGCTTTTGCACCTGCTACGCCTGCTATTGACTCGAAGGAGCCGGATCGCCACACCTTGGAACCTATAGATTTAGTCCTCCCCAATCCAATTCGCGCCAATCCAATTTGCGCAGCTATTCATGATAGAAGGAATGACCCTAACTCTCATACTCTAAGCACAAATACTGGTCCTGAACGTAAGAAAGGGACTGGCGTACAATCTCTACAAGAGTCCAAGCCCAGGTCCAGTTCTAGATTTGGGACCGGACCTGTGCCTCCGCGTGCCCAGCCTCGCACTCTGCAAAAGGCCCAACCCCATGGAACCAAGACCTTTAGCCAGCCATTTGGTAAGCTTGATATCCCAAAAGATATATCTGTCTATTCATGTACGGAAGAGCCTTCCCAGCAGGCATCTCTCACCGTCGAGGACGAACGACTCCTCACTCAGTACATGGACTCTTATGACGCTGTATTGAAGGAGCTAGGGCACATTAACAGCCAAATGAAGCTGATAGAAGCAGCCATAGATAGAAAAGCTGCTGAGCTTGCAACGACTCCATACCCCCAGACTATGCAACTAGAAATTATCTCACTCAAGATGCAAAGGGAAGAGCTTGTCGCCCAGCTCGAGCACAAAAATGCTCAGGCAGAGACTCTCCGCGCCATACTTGCAGACTATAAATCGAGGCTCATTTCTTAAATTCTTAAAAACAATTGTCAAAATGAAATCGAACAGAATTTATTTTTAAGACGTTTTTAGAATTTGTCAAGCTCATTACCGTAATTAATTAATAGAAATTGGAAGAAGATTGAGGAATGGGAGCTGTCATCGTTCCGTCGAACGGGACGTCTACGATGGCTTGGTGTTTCTTCATCTCGGCATACACGCGCATGGCCAGCTCCTTTGCGCTGCGATAGTTGGCCCACCTTATGCGTATTACTGGGATTCTTTTGGATATCTCGGCAAGGAAAATGTTATATTCATCGTAGAGGTCCTGCAAATAAGAAAGGGGTATTCCTGCTTCACAGTTGCGTGATCTTTCCTTGATTCTTTCCAAGGATTCTTCGGGTGTGACATCTAAGTGAATCAGAAAGTTTGGGTGTGTCAAGTACTTGCTCATATTGTTGTATAGATCGGTGTAGGTCTTATAGTCGCGCTTCGACATGTTCCCCTGCTTCACAAGAATGCGCGCAAAGACGGCGTCTTCGTATATGGATCTATCCTGTACGGCGCCCTCTCCACTCCAGATGATTTGCTGGTGCTGTTGGTAACGTTTGTTGAGTAGGTAAACCTGCATGGGGAAGCCATACGTCTTCATGTCTTTGTAGAAGTCTTCCAAATAGATGTTATCTTCAACGGGCTCGTAGTAAACAGGAAATCCCATCTCCTTGGCGAGCTCTTCTGCCAAGGTCGTCTTTCCAGCACCTATCAGCCCTGATATAGAGATGAACATCTTTGGATACGGAAACCCCATGTCATCATCCTTTTTACCTACCTGTGGGTCCAACTTTTGATTGGTTGCATCCAGATTTCGCGCAGCCATTTTATTATTTAGTGGAAACCGCGCTACTGTGAAGCAGCAAAAGATATATCAATAGACTACTCAATGTAAATGTTTGTTTGCATATTTCTAAGGTTATCCTCTTTTGAAGGATGCTCAGCGGTACTGCCAACAGAAAGAGCAAAAAGGAATCCACGGCGTGCAGCCCGCTTATGATGCGCTATCTGGATGAACTGTAAACATTACCATGAATCGCAAGTTTACCAGTACATGCGTTTCCTTTATAATATGTGAGATAAAAATGTCGTCTGCGGATGATTCAAGTCAGTTCCTTCAGGAGCACGACTGCGCCCCGCCCCTCGCGCCCGAGAAGGACACGAGCGAAGAGGGCGCAGGAAACCCAACTGAGTCTTCAGAAATGGATGATGAAGGCAGTGTGGACGAGGACGGCGTCACCACACTTATGAAGGCAGCCAGCAGGAACGACGTGAAAGCGGTGAAGCGCTACATCCCTTATCAGGCAAGGATGGTGGCAAAGCTTGTCAAGGCAGGGAGGAAAGACATAAGTGGGGGGACGGCCCTGATGGTCGCTGCGGTGCTCGGACACACCAAAGTAGTAAAGCTGCTGATGAGGTGCGAGGGCGGCATGAGGAGCAGCAATGAGCATACGGCCCTCATGTGGGCGGCACTTGTTGGCCGCACCGAGGTCGTGAGACTGCTCCTGGATGCTGAGGGAGGCATGCAGAAAGGCAGAGGTTTTACTGCCCTCGTGCTTGCAGCAGGGCATGATCATCTGGACTGTGTCAAGTTGCTACTGGAGAAGGAGAGGGACATAGGTGGCGTACATGCCATCCGTACGGCCAATAGATGGAATCACTCCGAGGTAGCATCTTTTCTCGAGAGTGAGGGTATTGTAGATCCATACTTACAGATGCCGCCCAGGAAACTTGTGAGTGAACGCGCTTAACTGTTGATTGCATTCGATAGTGTACTAGGGCCTCTCCAGCTATGCAGCGAACAGACACACTAATGAAGTGGTGGCCGTCAGTGGGTCACACAGCTGCCCGTTTCCGCAGAGGTCAGGGGAGCAGTCCTTCCGCCCCCGGCCAGCACTGGAGCGCCAGGGGTGGGTGAAACGGTTGCACAGATGGTCTTCTTGCCCCTGATACAGAAGCCCATACAGGCACGGGACTGCTGTAGACCTATAGATATGAACCCATGTAAAACGGCCCGTTTCCAAAACGGCAGATTACCAAAATAATAAAACCAGGATGCACGCTGCCTCGTCTGAGCCTGCAACAACAGCTCTCAGTGCCCCGCAGTTCACCCCCAGGGAGCTCTACGAGGGGCTGGATGATGTGCTTAGTGAAAGTGCCGCGGGAACAGTCTACTCTCTCAAGGACTATCCGAGTCTCGCTGTAAAAGTCATCCAGCTCAGTGGCTTGGACAAGGACAGTGTAGACGCCGCAAAAGCCAAATTGACCGTCCTCCTTACCCTCTCCTACATAGGAGTTCTCAAGCACTATCAGGTGATCGAGTACAAGGGCCTCATCTACGTCGTCACGGACCGGTATAACAAGACCCTTGAGCACCTCCTCGCCGAGCACAAACGAAGGAAGATCCCCGTCCCTATCGCTATGATTCTCTCCGTCCTGAGGCAGGTCGCTGCCGCCCTCGCCTACCTCCACAGCGTCAATGGAGCAAACACTAGAGGCCTCGTCCACTGTGATCTCAGGCCTGCCAATGTCCTTATCAGCGCAGACGGAGAGCGCTTCGTCATCGCCGACTTCGGCCTCTGCAAGGACGCCCTGTGGAGCGGGAGCACTCTCATAGGAATAATGGCATACGTGGCCCCCGAGGTGCTCCTCCGCAACGATACCAGCCCCGCCTCCGACGTGTGGAGCCTCGGGGTCATCATTTATGAACTAGTAACTTTGAGGAGACCGAACTTCTTGGGGGGCAAGGAGCCGGCAGAGGTCTTCGTTGACGAGTGGACACCGGACCTGAGCGGTGTCGCTGATGGCTTCATAAAGAATGTTCTGGAGAGGATATTCGTGCTGGAGCCAAAGGAAAGACTGACAGCCAGGGAGCTGCACGAGACGCTCACTGCGGCTGACATCCCAGTTGGTGAGCTGGGGCATTGGTATATGGCACTAGAAGACAAATGCAGCGCCTTGGAGACTGCTTTGAACAGTACTAATGCCAGGATCACTGCTCTTGAGGCAGCCCTCGAGAACAGGTTAAGTGGAGCCGACGCCCTAGGACAGGGGCCCCGACTTAAGACCGCCAGGATCGACGTGCTTGAATATCAATGCAAGAAACATTTAGCCATGATTAAGGCACTGGAGAATAGATTCACAAAATTTAGTAGTGAGATGAACAGGGCTGACTCCCAGACCAACCTCTCCACGCTGCCTCAACTGATATACGCTGCACACACGAATGACATGGAGACCATCCGGATCCTGGCCAACGATGAAGATTGTATCGGCCAGCGCGACGAGCAGAAGATGACGGCCCTCATGCACGCGGCCCAGCAGGGGCACATTGGTCCTGTCAAGCTGCTTGTTGAGAAGGAGAAGGGTCTCAAGGACAACAATGGCTGGACTGCACTCATGCACGCCGCACATTGCAACCACTCCGAGATAGTTGAAATTCTCGCCCCTTACGAACATGGGAGAAGAAATAACAACAATCGCACTGCTCTGATGATCATTGCAGAGGAGGGTCATGCAGAAGCTGCCTCTGTTCTAGTCCCATATGAGAGGGACTTAATCGACAGCGAAGGCAACACGGCTCTGATGATTGCGGGGGAGGCGAGGCACGAAATTGTTGCGAATATTCTTGAGTCAACCGACAAACTCGGCAGAACAAGGCTTATGCGAGCGGCTATACGCGGTTGCATAGAGACAGCAAAGTTGGTAATTAAATATGACGGTGGTGCACAAGACATATTCGGTGTAACTGCACTTATGATTGCAGCTTCTGTGGGAAACGTAGAAATAGTAAAATTGTTAGTAGGTCTGGAGGGGGGTATGAGAGACGGATCAGAAACGACTGCACTTATGAACGCGGCTTCTGCGGGAAACGTAGAAATAGTAAAATTGTTAGTAGATCTGGAGGGGGGTGTAAAGAATATGGAGGAGATGACTGCCCTTGAATGTGGGGCGGTAAATGGCCACTTAGAGGTAGTGAAGCTGCTATTTGAAAAGGAGGGGCATCTAATAGACAAGTCTGACGAATCCTTCTTTGGTGAGCTTGAGAATGATGGCTACTCTGAGATAGCATCCTTCCTTAGGAACAGCCGTACACCGGGCGCCGACGACTGCAACGATCACCAAGCTGCTCCACGATCTCACGAGTAAACCCGTCGTTCCCTTCACGAGAAGCAGAAGGCCCTGGAGAACAGGCCCTACGGACCAGCGCCCCATGCTTCTGGCCGTGCCAAAGTGCCATGAAACAACGCCTCCAAGTTTTCTATCAATATGTCTTATGAAGAGCCGCGATCGCACGGGGAGCAAAGAATGGCATTTATTGAGGCGGCCAAGGAGAACAGGCTGGACTACGTCAGGGCCCACAAGGCCGCGGACGCAGGCCAGAGGGACGCAGACGGGAAGACGGCGCTCATGTGGGCCGCCGAAGCCGGGCACACCGCCGTCGCCCTGGAGCTGGTCGACGCAGAGGCGGGCCTGGTCTCGAACGACGGGTCCTTCGCGCTGATCGCGGCGGCAAAGAGGGGGAACCTCGAGCTGATCCAGGCCCTTTTCGAGAAGGAGGGGAGGCTGCGGGACGCCGGCAAGCTCTCCGCCCTCAACCACGCCTCCAGGGCGAAGCAGTTCGAGGCGGCCAAGGTCCTCCGGCTGAAGACCATCGAGACGATGGACGCGGCGATGCTGGAGCAGCTCCGGCAGAGGGTCGCGGCCACCTACACCGAGATGGCCAAGAAGTCGCAGCAGGCCGAGGTCAAGAGCCACAACATGGCCATCTTCCGCTCGTTCTTCGAGGCGTTCTACTCCCTCTCCTGCTCGGGGATCGACTAGGGGGCGGAGATCTCGGAGGAACAGCTGAACAAGTCCCTCGAGAAGTGCCTGGGCGAGATCCGCAAGCTCCTCAACTCGAAGAAGTACACGAAGTGCCGCAACCCTGCTTCCAGTCTGTATTATCCAGTTGCTGATGTTCCAGTCATCAGCTTAAGCTTTACGTATAGCATTCTGAGTATTTGAGAACTCATAAATATGTGTAACTGTTACATTCTGTATTGGAGAACCATGAGCCTTGTCTGTGGAGAAGTCAACAGAGTATGCTATTCGGTACTTTCCAAAACCTATGGTCCCCTTCTTAGGCATCCATCGAGAGTTTTTAGTTCCTGCGCAGAGCTTGCTTCGTATGAAGGATTCCGGCTGTAAGTGCTTGTATCCAGGGGTGCTGGATACTATGCGATTAAATACATGTAGAGCATCATCCTGGATTTGCAATCTGATTTCTTGCGTTTTAAACGTCTTTTCTGAAAACCATCTATCGCTATCATGACTATTTGACCTTGAAAGTTGAACATCTATGAGAGAAATTGTGGGCTGACATACTTGGCTGGGAAAAAACTCAACACTAAGTATTGGAGATTGATGGAGTGCATCTAGCCCTACTACTGGTAGCAAACCCTCAGGGTTTATAGACCCAGAAATATAAGCATAGGACATTGCAATTTGATTTGGCCGTGATGGGGATCTTGTTGAAAAAAGGCCGACAGATACTGATCCAGGGGCTGGTACTTTAGGCCTAAATGTATAATTCTTCGAAAAGCAGTACAGAATACGCACATACCCCATGGGTGTGGAGGACAAACGTGAAATAATTGATGGTAGATAAGGAGGGAAGAAATGCAATGTTTGCGATGTATTTTCCGCTAGCGACCTCTTTGCTGCCGTGAACGAAAACATGTGAGCACTTTCAATGTAACCGATTGGCCCAATAGTGTAAATACTTTGAACAAATGCTATGCGCTTGTGTGAGTTTGCATCTTTGTCAGCAATGGAGCATGCATTTTTCAAATAATTACTAACGAACTCTTTAGAAAGACCCGTACGGGCCTCTGCCTTCGGTAGGAGCGTTCGCAGTGCGCGGAGCTTTGCCCGCTTGTGAAGAACCTCTGCAGTCAGAGCTTCTTCCTGACGCTTCAACGCTTGCATAGAAGCCCAGCTTCGGCCTAGGCTAGCACTCATCGCAAAATGTGCATCGCATAATATTATAGAGAAGTATAATTATACATTTCAGTATAATTATATAATTGAATTTTGCGCAAGGAACTCTGTAATTTCCGCTTATGCCCGTGGAAGACGACTTCGACGGCTACGTCGATTACACGACAGACGGGCCAGGACCTGCTGGCTACACAATTGGCTCAACAATAGGTGATGCACCTGCGTTTACTCTTAAGGGGCGGCATCCAGAACATCTAGACATGACCGGTCCTGGACCTGGCGCATACGCAACTCCTGAAGGCACGCTAAAGGGCCCAGCTTTCAGCCTCTCGGGCCGGACAGGGATCGACGCAAAGAACACGAATCCAGGCCCCGGGGCCTATGACCAGGGCGAAGATGCCGTCCGCAGGAAGGCTCCCGCCTACACCCTTGCAGGCCGGACAGCGGCGCACCGCCCCGAGGACACCCCGGGCCCGGGTGCATACAACGCAGAGCAGTACGGGACGACCGGGTCTGATGCGCCGGCGGCCTCTCTTGCAGGCAGACACGCAGACAACACAAAGAACACCAACCCGGGCCCGGGCGCGTATGAGCAGGGCGAGGACGCCATCCGCCAGAAGGCCCCGGCGTACTCCATGGCCAGTCGCACAGAGATGGAGGCGAAGAATACAAACCCCGGCCCGGGCGCATACGATGTGGGATCCACGCTCGGAGGGCCTGCGGCATCCCTTGCAGGCCGCACCGTAACCGCAAAGCCGGACCAGACTCCTGGCCCCGGCGACTATGAGCAAGACGTCAACCCCATAAAGAGCGCTGCTCCGTCCTACTCCCTTGCCTCCCGGCACAACCCGAATGAGGTCAACACAAACCCCGGCCCTGGAGCGTACGATCACGGTAACTACGGCGTTGTCAAGGACAGCGCGCCCGCCTTCAGCCTCTCGGGCCGAAGCGATATTAACTCTAGAAACTCAAATCCGGGGCCAGGCACGTATGATCAGAATGAAAGTCCAATAAGACGAGCCGCCCCAGCCTTTTCTTTATCTAGTAGACCTGTACTGAATTCAAGAAATACGAATCCAGGCCCAGGTGCATATAATGCAGAACAGTATAAGACAACCGGATCCGACGCCCCTGCTTCTTCTCTTGCTAGTAGACATGCTGACAATGTGAAGAACACTAATCCTGGTCCCGGTGCATATGAAACTGCTCTTGATCCTATTATGCCGAAGCCTCCTTCATTTTCTCTTAAGTCAAGAACAACCCAAGAGTCTCAAAATACTAACCCAGGTCCTGGCGCATATGCTATGCAGTCAACATTAGGCGGACCAGCATCATCGCTAGCAGGACGAACTCCTCTACACAAACCCGAGGATACTCCTGGTCCGGCTGCATATGCAACTGACTCCTACGCCCTGACTAAAGGATCTGCTCCTGCCTTCTCTCTTGCAAGTAGACACATGGATAATCGACCCAACACGAATCCAGGACCAGGCGCATATACACCAGCATCCAAGGCAACCAAAACGTCTGCTCCGTCCTTTTCCCTATCAGGGCGTCACAGCCAACTTAATAAATCAAACAATCCTGGCCCTGGTGCATACACACCTACTACGGATCAAGTGAAGCGCAAAATGCCGGCATATTCACTTGCAGGACGTACTAACCAGGCCCGACCAAACACTAATCCTGGACCTGGGGCCTACAACGCCGAGCAATATAAAACTACTGGATCTGACGCTCCTGCAATGAGTATGTCTAGTAGACACAAACTGTCTGGAATTAACTCTAACCCAGGCCCCGGTGCATATGATCCAAATCTATCTAAGACAGCGCCTGCATTTTCATTGAAGGGGAGAACGAGTTCTGCCGTACAAGGAGAGGGTCCTGGTCCCGGGTTGTACAAACTACCCTCAACGCTTGGTGGCCCGAAGTTTAGCCTTTCTGGACGTACAAAACGAAGGTGGCGTTAATGGGAATGCTTGTAAATTTCTATTATGCACGTCTTCTGCGTGCAAGAAGCTCGGCTCGTTTCTTAACGCTCTTGGGGATCTTCTTTGTGCGGCGCTCCTGTGCATCCCTCTTAACCTCCTTCTGTATTTCGCGCCATTCCTCTTTGCTATAGTCCGATCGACTAAGCATCTTAAGGTTGCGTTCTCGCTCCTCTATCTCCTCATTGGCCTCAGAAGAATTTTGATCTGATTCAGATTGCTCGCTGTCACTATCATCACTTTCATAGAGCTCAATATTAAGCGCTTGAAGCTGACTGTAGTCTGCATAGTTATTATCTAAGTAATCGGTAGCTGTGATTGCGCTAAGGCTTTCAAAAACAGGATAGTTGACGATATCCCTCTCTCCATTGACTTCTTCTGGAGTGTACAACCTCGCACACTCCGCTCTTAGATAGCGTATGTATGCCGTGAGTTTAGGATCTAGGGAAGGCGCATTGCGTGGACTCATACTATCATACTCTACAACATTTGCTGGCCGACAGTACATGTCATCTGTCTTTGGGATGTTTGGACTACATATAAACGCTAAAACCTCACGAGCTGAAAGCACCGGGATGCCTTGTCGTGCAAAGAAAAAATTAATATTAATGATATCTATCCGTAGAAACTGAAGGGCGTTAGGGTGTGTCACATGAACAGATTGGCCCATGTCGATGAGATAAAGCTTCTTGTTGAGGTATAAAAGATTATATTCAGAGAGATCTCCATGTACAAGGCCTGCGCCAATATAGAGAGTACGGAGAACTCTCATGATGGACCAGTAAAGCTTGATTATCCTAGCTTGTGAAAGATCAGAAATAACGTCCTTCAAGCGAGGAGCTGGTGCACGATCATATCCTATAAATTCCAGCCCAATCATGGTCGTGGTGATAAAGAGAGGCTTGGGAATACAAATAGAACCCAGTTGTTGGGTTCGAATCAAATTTCTAAATTCCTTTTCGGCCCAGAGCTTCACCATACGTCTGGAATTGGACTTCTGAGATCGTGTGACCGTTTCAAATCTATGTTCACCTTCTACGTACTCAATCCTGTTTCTAAAACTCAGTATGGATGTGGAATAGATCTTCAATGCCACATTGCCCGCTTCTGAGTTGCAAAGAAACACATTGGCTTCTTTGCCTGTATTAATAACAGAATCAACAGAGAGCAAGGCACCCTTTTCGATTAGTCTGAAAATCAGCTTTCTTACTCGATCATCAAGGACCAAGTTTGTCGTAGCCCTATCACTCTTGTCATCGTACTTGCGCGCATGCTTGACGCGATTTGTGACGGTCCGCAGCTGATTCATGTTGCTTTAATATGTTGATCCTAGTGCAATTTTTATTTCCAGCGTGAGGTCAGCACACTTAGATTTACTGAGGCACTGGAGCGCGAAAGTAGCACTCAGTGGGTCTCCACCTCAATGCGTGGAAAGACTCCCATGCCTATTATCTCCTGAAAGAAAAGTTTGGCTGCATATGGTATTGTGATCCTTGCAAAGCTATCTGTTGTGGAGCTTTCGCTACATATCATACAGTGAGGAGATTTCTTTGTGGTGAGCTTGCGTGAGTCAGCATGCCAACAGATTATACCGCAGTTTTGGCAAACTAGGAATTCAGACACATCTGAGCTGAAAAGTAGACGGTCACGAAGAATCGCAGTGGCTCCATGAGCAATGAAGGCATCCTTTTCCATTTCACCAATGCGCATTCCGCCATAGTTACTGCGTCCCTCATTAGGCTGTCTTGTCAATGTGACAATTGGGCCTGTGTTACGACTACTTATTTTATCTAGAACCATGTGCTTAAGGCGCTGATAGAAGGTTGGTCCGATAAATATGCGGTAGGTCATCATCTCGCCCGTCATACCATTCATCATTGCCTCATAGTTGTGCTTCTGATACCCACGTGCGTGCAAGTCCGCAGCGATTTGCTTGTCTGTTGACCCTGGGGGCGCGTTGAATGCAGTCCCGTCCACTTCGTGGCCAGACAGGGCACCAAGCTTGGACGCAACGGACTCCATGAGCTGCCCTATGGTCATCCGCGAGGGGATCGCGTGTGGATTCATGATTATGTCTGGCGTTATCCCATCCAGGGTAAAGGGGAGATCTTCGTGTCTAAGGAGCATACCAACTGTCCCCTTCTGGCCGTGCCTGCTGCTGAACTTATCACCCAGTTGCGGCACTCGGCTGCTGCGAACACGCACCTTAGCCAGTAGTGACCCCTCAGCGCCCGTGGTGTTAGAGTCCACACCTTCTGAAAGAAAGCTTTGCTCCCGAAGGTCGGGGGCGATAATTACTGAGTCAACACGCCCTGTTTCCTCCATTTTGACCTTCAAAGAGACATCTTGAAAGTCGTATGTCGAGACTGCCCGGCTATTCATCGATCGCTTATTTGGTCGAATCTTTCCAATAATTAAGCGCTGGCTATTAACGGCATTCCCCACTCGCGGCAATCCATCTGCCTCCAAGTACGACGCACATCCAGGGTCTTTTATTCCCTTAATATTTGGGCCTATAGGCCTGCAAAACTTCTCAATCCGATCTGGAGCATTTATACTGGAGGCTGCAGAGCTGATCATCTCTTCATATGTGTGATAATACGTTGCGCGCATAAACCCTCTATCAACCGCGGATTGAGACATGATGAGAGAGTCTTCCTGGTTGAAACCTGAGTACACAGCAATAGCAATTATCACATTCTGACCGGCAGGGAGATAGCGGAACTTCACATGAGGCATGGATCGGGTCGTGACCAGTGGCAATTGGGGATAATGCATGACATTTATTCCAGACGTATCGAACCGTTTGAGATAGTTTAGTGCGTAGATCCCTACCGCCTGCTTTCCCATGGATGCCTGGTACAAGTTACGAGGAGATTGATTATGATCTGGGAATGGAATAAGTGACGTTATTGCTGAAAGAACCATTGATGGATGTATTTCGAGATGTGTGTAGTTATTTGCTAATGGAATGTTATGTGCCTTTATATAATTAATGGCGTTGTCTTCGCCGTGGGCCAGTATGATATCTCTTATGGTATGTGCCTTTTGAATCTCCTCTTTGAAGTGGTAAATATCCATACAGATAAGGGCCATCTCCTCTTCGTTGGGGTCCAGAAATTCGATCATGCACTTTCCAGTCCCTAGCCCCGACAACAGGCTGTTCCATTGCTCCATTTGTGGGATCGTGGCGAGAGTCTCCACATCTTCTTCTGTGATGGCTAGGCTCAGGTTTGTTACTAATTTTAGGGTCGGATGGATGTCTGTTATCACAACAAATACAGGCCTTGTCACTCGTCCTTCGTCACTGCTGATAGATATCTCCTGCTTGTGTGCTAGATATGAAATGCTGACTTCACGGTTAATTTTTCCCTCGAATCGCCATCTTTTAAGATCTGTTATGAGGCGCTGCACGTACTCTCGATCTATAAAGCCCAACCAGGAGCCATTAAGAAATATCTTTACGTCACTGACTAACTTCTTAGCATTTGTGACTGTGTGGAAGGACTTTAAGACAGAAATAGGGCCGTGAGAGGCCTGCACACGATATTCCGTTAAAAGCTTACGTAGATCGTGCTCATCTTTCGGATTGTCTAGGGTCACATTCGCCATTAATGAAAAGTTCTTGATGAGACCAACCTTGGCGCCCTCGGGGGTTTCTGCTGGACACATGTATCCAAATTGAGTTGTATGGAGCAAGCGGGGCCCTATTGCTTTAGAGGTCTCTTCAACACTCGAACTGGACCGTCTGATCTGGCTGAGGGCACTGGTATAGCTTAGTCTGACGAGGCTCTGGGAGACACCCGATTTCGTGTTACCCACTACCTCGTTCGTCTTCCAGGTGCCTGTTGACAGGGCAGATGTTATATTCTTTGAGATATAGCTTGTGGCAGCAACCTTTATACGGTCAAGGAGACGCCTAGGGTCTTCGAGTCCTGGTACCTTGCCATGAGTGTCATACTTCGACTGAGGTATGAACGAGCTGCCCTCAATGTTCGGGCTGACCATGCTGATATCCTCTTTAACTTTCAAAATAGAGCCAGTATCGTGTAACTTTCGCGCCAATCTGCGAAGAAACAATTCATATTCAAATCGGAATTTATCTGCCAGCAAGGACCCAGTCAGTTGTAGACGCTTACCTCCCCAGTGATCTCTGTCATCTGGGGAACGTCTCCCTACCACTGTTTGAAGCAAAAGGTTGGTCATATACCCAATGAAAAACGCCTTATCGAGATGAAACTCCGGGGTAACTCCGATGTGTGGTAGAAGACGTGTTGACAGATGACTCATGAGGCGGTCATACTTTGCTTTGGCACTATCCATTTGCTCTCCCACAACAAGTCTTCCGGCGAGAAACTCAATACATTTATCCTTGCTTGACTGAGGCGTAGAGCAGAATAAGTTATAGCTGGGCAGAAGGTGCTCGATAAGCTCTGTGTCGGACTCGTCAGGGACGACTATTGAAAGAAGGTCTCGTGCTGCATAAACATTGTCTTGCCAAAGGGCTAAAATAAGTAAAAATAACGGAAGATCGTCCCGTATTCCTTGCATAGTGAATGTTATCTGCGGCTGATTAATATCTTGAATCGTTCTGCCCCACTTGTTAGTGCTCCAATACTTTAGGACTACCTTACTGTGCAAATTCTTTGTAGAATTGGTGGAGACTAGCTGTGCAGTGTATGGAATTTTTGAACCAGGGTCACCTGGGAGAATAAGAAGCCTGTTTGGCCTATTTCCTTCTTGGGCAATTACAGCCTTTTCAGCCCCCCTAATAATGAAGTATCCACCCTCGTCATACGGACACTCGTCATTAATAATCCTATGAGCCTTAATGTCGCTTCCTGCCACCTTGTTAGTGTTCAGATAACACAGACACGAATTAACCATGACAGGGAAGAGGCAGAAATCGATAAGCTTTGGTTCATAAGTGACTTCTTGGACAAGCCCCTCATTATTACTGAACGAATACTGCTGGATGGTATAGGAAATCTTGACCTTGATGGCCGCCATGTAGCTAGACGACTGGATGCGACAATCATTTGGCTTGATGTGGACGTTTGGCTCTAGTTGCGGGTCGGAAAAGGAGAGGATGTGATTATAGCAGCAGAAGTTCTCGGTTCGCGTGACCTGGATCGGAGGAAAGGAGGCCATGATATTCTTCATTGTGTGCTTGACAAAATGATTATAGCTATCTATTTGCATGGCAGCAAGCCCACGGCAGTAGAACCACGAGTCCACAACCTTCCATACTTTCGCCTCGGATATGCAACCGTCCGTACCATCCATTTTTTAAGAAAAAGTGAGCCAGAAAAATCCCATTCACTCTTCAAAGGTCCAGAGACAACTGTGGAATGGATATGTTAATACGTCATGCGGATACTTCGTAGTTCCGTAGATATTGACCTATCAATTCTTTATATAGCGCTAACAACTCAACAAGATCGTCCTCCGAAAAGACGGGTCCATCACGCGTGTTAGCGGCTTTGAATAATGTGCTAAGTGCGTTCTTTATTGCATAACATTCAAGAATTGAGGAGCCCTTAGAGTCTATAGTAGACCTCAACATAGTTTCTGGATTGAACGGCGTGTGGACTTGCTTAGCTATTTGGTTCCTGTCATTGCAGGCCTTGAAGATTGTATCTATTCTGGATAGGCGCTTCAGTTGAACTGGATTCTTGATGATTTTTTCGGCATTGTCTATAGAGTCTTTGAGAGCATAGTAGGACGACGTATATCCTAGGGTGGGAGCATCCTTCAGGTCACTAAGCAGCATCCGCATGTTACTAAGAAAGCTTTGAGCAGAGAACGACCTCTTGTAAGTGATCCTGTACGTGGGCCGGTCCTTTTCGCGTCTGACATCAAAGAAGGGACTGGTGATATTGTACCAAAGCTTAGTCGTCATGTAAGGCCTTGGCTGCTCACTTGGATATCCGTAGGGGATTGGTGCCATAATTAACAATATGACGCCGGAAATATCAACTTCGCAGCCAATAGTAAAGTATGTCAAGCCGTTGTGAAGGGTCTTGGGCCTCCCACTCCAAGATTTAATGATAACCCCTTGTATCTGAAACCGATCCTTGTCCCTATCTACACTGTTCCATAGGTCCACAACCCTATCTACATTGACGTACTGCCCAATTTTCCGTATTCTCGCTTCAACAGAGTCAGCCCCGCTGTTCATTGTCTGGAAAGTCAGTCCTGGAGCTTTTTATAGTTTATTCTTATAGTTTGTAACGTCGCGACAAAAATTATCCTCTATGGCCTTATCTCACCTCGAGATAGCCTATGAACTTTCAGAGCCAGTTGCACAAGATCCTTATTTAATAATCCGGCACGCCATTAGACGCGCTGATCATCGGATTTGCATGTGCCACAGTCTCTCTTACAGCAGGCTTCTGGCCGATGGTGAATCGCCGTGCTTTGACGATATCGACCTCTGGTCTCAGCTGAGCCATCCGTGCCTACTGAAAATTCATGAGGTGCTCCATGAGGTGCAGTCCAAGCAGGTGCACATTGTGGTAGATGAGCCACTAGGGCAGAGCATGCGTGATGTTATATCTAAAAACGAGAAACACAACAGGTATGTCGACGAAAAGACCCAATGGAAGGCGTTGTCTTCCCTCGCCGATGCCTTGGCGTATCTGCACTCTCCCATCAGAACGAATACCCGAGTCAACCGGCGGATGGCCCATCGCTACATTTGCCCTGATACTATTTATGTTCTAGAGTCAGGCGTTGCCCAGCTGGGCCCGCCACCACTGCTACATCTGCTGGGGATCCGACAGCTTTCAGATATGCCCACATCAGCTCACAGGTACCTCGCCCCTGAGATCCTCATGATGCGCTCCTATGGAGATAAGGTCGATATCTGGAGTTTGGGCTGTACCCTCTTTGAATACGGTTCGAACAAGCCCTTTATCATAGACACACAGCCCGCTTTAATAGAAAAGCGGTGCCAAGAATTCTACGGAAACGTTGCCATGTATAATCTTTCCCCAGTAATGATAAAGCTTCTCTCATCTCTCTTAGAGTTCCAAGAAGACTTGAGGATATCTGCTGTCGATCTACGTCAGCATTTCAGAATCAAAGACACTCTTCTAGACCCCGATACTCTAGACTATTACGGACGAAATCATGATATAGCAAGAAGCTGTGGTTATATCACCTCTTCGGCAGTCTCTGACACTACCAGTGATAGGGCAACCTCTAGTGCTTCTAGTGTATCAAGCACTTGTGCCATTGAGTCTTCCTCGCAAATACCAACGCTGGATACTGTTAGCATGACGCGTAAAACCCTTCCTCTGGCAGACGGAGCTGTCTTTGGGAGAAACAGTGTCATAGCAACGTCAAGGGAACCGGTGACTCTCACTGTGGAGACTGTACCCCTGACTTCACATAAAAATAAGTTGAATAGCAAACAAGTAACACTTGTCCCTGAGCAAAAAGAGCATGTACTTGACAATACTGAGCAAGAGATTAGTGAAAAGAAGCAGTGGTTATCTGAAAATAATTACGGCATCAATCCTGATTTACCCATCTTGAAATATGCACCTGATATTGTTGATAGGCTAGTTATAGACTTTCTAAATAATCATGACATCAATACCATAACCATCGAAGACATCTTAAATAGAGTAACACGCCTAGTACCGGGGTACTTCCCCCTATCAGACGATTTAAAAACCCACAAGTATACCAGTTCCGATTTAGTTGATATGAATGTCATAAAGGATGTGCTGGAAGAGCGGCTGAAACCATACCGTGAGCAATTACTGACTTCGTCAACTGTTACGCGGCCTGCTACCTTCCATTATGGGGAGAGATTCCTTCCCAAGCTGCATAGGAGCAATCTGGGTCCAGTAGTGCTTAACCCGGAGTCTCGTGTGTTTAGGAAGGAGCCACTGAGTGCAGAATTAGAGAATCAGCTGACCCAAGCCTCCAGTACGACAGGTCATGAAGAGAGTTTGCCACCAATATCGACCGGCGCCCTTGCCATGGCAGCTCGTAGCAATGCGAATCCACCGAATAGGAACGTATCCCTCGGTGCCTACAATATCACCGCCATTTTGCATGATAAATATCTGGAAGAAACTCCTGCTGATGCACTGGTCTTAAAACGACAGTACTTTGTTCTATTTCCAAATCTACTCTTGCCTGACTTATGGGCGCCTGATGTAACTGGTTTGATGCGTGCCGCAGCGACCAATGACATGAACACCTTGCGACACCTGGTGTGTGACGAAAGGCAGCTGAGAGCGGTTGATGACTGTGGGCGGACGGCTTTGATGTATGCTGCTGCTAACAACTCCATCGATGCCGTGGAGATGCTGATGCGATATGAGGCTGGTTTTATCTCCAACGACGGAGCTACAGCCTTGATGTTTGCCTCCCAAAGAGGAAGTAATGATGTGGTTAAACTACTTCTTCATCAGGAGGCACAACTGCAGACAAATAGTGGTACAACAGCGCTAATGATAGCTGCAAAGTATTATCGCGCGACAACCGCATACATATTATTGGATCTTGAAGCAGGAATTCAGGATGCAAGTGGGAAAACAGCCCTGATGTATGCTTCTCTAAATGGTGACGAAGAAATAGCGTTTCTGCTGGCTCCCAGAGAATCAGGAATCCAAAATATCAACGGAGAAACTGCCCTAATGCATGCGTTAGCAAATGGCAATAATCACATAGCACGGTTGCTTTACTTCAGAGAAGCCGGGCGTGTGTCAAATACTAAAAGCACTGCATTAATGCTTTGTGCAAAGACTAACAATCTCGAAATAGGACGGGAGCTGGTGGAAAAGGAAGGCCGTCTTCGAAACACCCATGGAGACACAGCGCTAATGCACGCGGCATCTGCTGGAAACATTGACCTTGTGGCTTTGCTACATAGAATCGAAGGTAAGATGCAGAATACAGGAGGACTTACGGCCATGATGATAGCCGCACAAAAGGGGCACTTAGACGTTGTCAGGATGCTGTCAGCAGCTGAGATGAGGATTAAGGATTATGCCGGAAACACCGCTCTCATGTACGCAGCTCAGAACAATCGTATAGACATCGTAAAGTATTTGTCCGACATAGAGGGTGGAATGCAACGAACAACCGGAGAGACTGCATTGGTTGATGCGATATTAATGAATAACACGGACATTGTTAAAGTTCTTGCGCCTTTGGAACGCACTCTTCTCCTCACCGATGGGAGGACCCCCGGAGATATTGCTAGAAGCGTTAACAATGAAGAAGTAAGTCTAATAATAGGAATCTGATCATGTGATGGGGGGCTATGATACAAGCTTGCTTTCATTACTCAGGTTTTTTAACTATTAACTGTTACACTTAGTCTGTATCTGCTCTTACGGTTGTCACAGAGGAATAGGGCTTATAAATGTCACCAACAACGTTGATGAATAGACCCAGTTCCCTGACGTGAGAGCGCATTTTTATATAAGCGTCTAGTTTGTCCAGGTAAATCCTTGTTGACTCACTAATACTCTCCTGTATGGAATCTAGAGTTAATGCGTTCCAATCCACGTTCTCCTCTAGAGAAAAAACGGGCATCTCGAATAGGATGGGGTGCGTAGAGATATCGCGAACAGAGTTTTTAGATACAATAGACACAGGCGCCTGGGTGGCATTTGCGTCAACCTCTTTCTGTCCTGCAATAGCGTCAGGTTCTGCAGCAAGGGTAGGTGCTTCCGGAACTTCTTGCTGCTCATTTTGTGCACCTGGCTCGCTTCTCAGCGGCTCTTGTTGGGGAGCAGGATTGAAAACATCGCGTCCACACAGGGGGCAAAGCGTGTTCCCGCTCACAATCCAACTCTGAATGCAATCCTTGTGGTAAAGATGGTTGCACGGAAGCTTCCTCACCGGATTGTTTTTCCCCTCATCACCAAATAGCGTGAAGCTGCCCATGCATATGCTGCAGGCCTCAATGCTCTCATGCGCGTCTGGGTTAGTGGATACTACGTCGAGGGGAAGTCCGTATATCTCCTCGCAGCTGGGCTGCACTAATATGTTAAACTTGTTCATAATCAAGCGTGCACGTTGCATTCTCTTCCAGCTCTTGGAGCAATGAATAAAGGACTCATTAAGACTGAAGAGTTCCACAAAGAAGATATAGAAGTAGCGAGATTGTAGCCCCAGATGGCCTTTGTTATGTGCTGTACCCTTCATCAGGTCTGCAATAGAGTCTGCCTTGAAGGCATGAGCTACTGAGTTGAGGGTGACTACGAAAATGATGCCGAACTCTAGCAAGTCTAGAGAAAGCGTTGCAAGAGTCTTTGCGTAAATGACCTCGGGCTTTCGTCCATTCTGAGCAGAGTTGTTAAAAATGGTCAGTCCTCCTTCGGCAAGCACCTTGAAATACTGAATCATGAGTTTTAGTGCAACAAATAGACTCGTGCGGTAATAAAATGGCATAGGACCGTCTCTATGGTCCTTAAAGAAGCGTAGAGAAGAGTAGATAACTACCGGAATGACAATGGTCGGTCGTAGAAGCTCCCATCTGAGAATTCTTAGCTTGCGACGGTGGTGCTCCTGAGCCTCTTCGGCAATAAAGTTGTTGTTGGTGTCTATTTCTGAAAGTAGAGTATTCATGCGGTAACTATAAAATTCGACAACTACTCGCATATGTGAAAGTACTACGGCCATACTCAGTGTCTTAAGAGCCCCAATGTTGAGATAGTTATGAAATGACGCCCATTTAACAATGTTGAAAAACGTTGTAACGTAAGAAAAGAGGACTACATGATAGATCTGCAAAAGCTCCATGTTGGTTGTTCTAGGGAAAAGGATGTGTCTTATGGAAAGAACTATCAGAAAGAGCAAGGATTCAAAGAGCAGGACCGTCATGGTACGTGTGAGGGTGAAGCGCTCAACAGCAATCAATCTCTCGTAAATCCCTTCTGCATCCTTCGTAAAGACTAGAATAATAATACTGGCAACGAGAAAAGAGGCTAAGGGAACAAGAAACTCCATAGCAACATACGATTTCATCTTTTTATATGTCTGAAAAACCCAAGTTGACTAGAGAGTAACTCCACTGGCTAACTCCGCTTGTTTACTCACTCAGATTTACTCACTCAACTGGATAAAGCTCATTGTTGGTCTGAAATTCTGGGTGGACGTGGTGTCTTTTCAGTTGGCTCTTTGGATTGAGTTTATAATACTTACGAATGGCCAGTCTCCGTTTCTGCAGACGTGATTGGACCATCCGTTGTGTTAAATTTGGAATGTGATGGCGCAGTTCATCCCATATGGCCTTATCAGTTGCTCTGTCGACTCCAATCCGATGATGGACCCGATCGAATAATTCTGCTTGCTCACGCGTCCAGTAAAAGGGTGTCTGCGAGCTCTGAGCGTCTCCCGATGAGGTAGAAGCGCGCCTGGGCTTCCGTCGTGTAGCATAGGTCTGAGAATGTAGAGGCTGGAGACCATGAGAAACCATGGCGTGTGCAGACGGTTGGGTCAGAGGTGGTTGCAGCTGGATTGGGTGTCCCAAAGCGGCGACAGTATATTGTATTGGTTGACCTGCGATGATACCAGGACAATAATATGCAGGGATCTGAGGTGTTAGAGTAAGAGGAGTTGAGTAGGGGAACACGCTAGTGGAGGGATAATGTGACCCCATTGTCTGAAAGTTAGTGCCATTCAAAGAGCTAATGGATATAGCTGAGCCGCTGTGCTGTATAACGGAATTATCAAGCACAGAAACGACGCTATCTGAGGTAGGAGATGGTGTCAAAAGATCCATTGTGATTGACCCCACATGATCCGCAGTAGATAGAGGCCCAACAACCCCCATTTTTGGAAACCCGGGGTCTCCATAGTAAACGCCTGTAGGCAGGATCTGTCCCATTTCATTCAAAGATGGGGGATACACTACCTGCTCGACATCGACATTCTCGGTGTTCATCGCCGGAGCAGAGATTGACTCAGGAGCCGAACAAAATGAATTCAAAGATATGCCAGGACGAATACTTACTCTATTTGTGGTAAAGACCGCAGGGGTCTGACGCAGCCTCTGACCGGCACGGACCTCCTTCACGAATGCAGTCCGAAAGGCAGGGCTGATTGCTGAATCAAACGATCCGTTGAAAGGAAGCTCAAGGCACAACTGACAACGTGCCTGCTCAGAGCCCTCGGGCGGTGCTTGTACCTCTTTAATTTCAGAATTACTTACATCGCTTTCAACAGGGACAATCAGGCCAGAATCCTTGATAGAATCCTTACTATTACTTATATTGTTTGTAGAATACATTGTGTGGCAGTTTGATGCTTGGGTAGATGTATTGATAGGGTCGCTAAACTTTCCAGTACATTGAGGTTGCTCAACCAACATCGCACCAAGACTGGGACGAAGCAAAGCCGTGGGCGGAGCCACTGTGTTGTCGTCACAGTAATTCTCATAAAGAGGACGGATACAGGAGAGCTGCTGAAGAGTATAAGCAGATTCATTGATCATGGAGGACAGGTCGTTCCGTACAACTCCTTGGTTCTGATAAACTAGTGGCCACCCCAACTGAAAAACCGAAAGGTCACCGGCGGAGAGCATGTCTGTCTTGACTGGTAATGGGGTGGTCATTAAACCTGTAGCATTCATTTTATTGACAAGCTAGTTTATGTTTTGATTGCAAATCTTCATGAAAAGAGTAGAGGAGCTAGATACTAGTTTGGTCCAGTATTTCTTGCGAGATTGTCATCTTGTCACTATGAATACTTTCGTCAACTTATTTTCAAAAAAATATAACATGTGCATGAACAACGAGTCCGAAACCTTACTAGTCACGGCATACGATGTTCTCCAAGACATAATAATGCTGATATTAAACCGGTCGTGGTATGTCGTTGAACCAGAAGATGGTCCTGGTGTACTCTATAACGTGGCTCATAACGGCGTTTCTCTTGACACCAAGTGGCAGACATCGAGCTATAGTACCGCCTCCCTCTTGAAGGTTTCACGCATGGTTAATGAGGCTCTTTACTCTGTGTGCCCAGCGCAGCCAATGACGCTTGAAACCGTCTCAGTACTGAAAACTTTACGGGATAAGCTAAGGTCCGTGCCTGTGTCCACTGCGTCCAGGTCGATCACCCCATTGGGGTGTAATGCTTTTAGGGATGACATCTTTGCCAAGCTTTTCCTATTGTCGAAGAACACTCACTTCAATTGGTTCACTCCGTTGGACTACGATGCTCCTGATAAGGATTATGGATTCTTCAAGGGTATATTTGAGATGCTCATAAAGGAATATGGTAACTTGGCGCATTACAGGGAGCACTTAGAGCAAGCATGGAAACTTGTAAGTATGGCTATAAACATGGTACAAGAGAGTTGCCACAGACCTGTCGAACAACTGCGTGACTACGACAATCAATCTAGTGACATAATTAGCGCCATTGAAAAAGAGTGCACGGAACTCTATCCGTTCTTTTTTCTACACATGCTAGAGCAGTACCTAGAATCATTGGAGACGCGAAACTTTTGGTTTCTTCAAGACAACCTTTTTAGTTACTTTGAAAGCATTCCTGTTGAGCGCTTTATTTCTTTTCTTGAGGCAAGGAGCGGCACACTTTCAAGTTTGCTTTCAAGCTCAGCATCTAGACCTAATATCACTAATAGATCGTCATTAGGTTTCATAGCACAATGGTATGAGGACCTTGCGCGGGTCTCACTGAGGCGCTGCATTATGCTGTGTACCATCTTCATAGAGGAAGTATCGATACAGGACACCCCGCCGAAAGAACTGGACGATAAGATCGCAAAGATATGTCCAAAGCGTCTTATCAATGAATGGAAGTACAGTCACAGTACCTGCACAATGGTGTCTGTGTACGAACGACTTAACGAGATGATGCAAAGACACGCTGTCCAGAATAATGAGCGACAAGCCTAACTAAGCCTAGCATTTTCTTTTGAAGAGGAAAGCCAGATGCTCCGGAGGGGCTTTATGTCCTTGCCATATGCCAATATATTCTTAAGCGAGCAAACCCACGCTTGTAGGATGCTGCGATCCCTCGCATAAATCTCGTACTTTGTCTGTGGAGTCGTTAAGACAAGACAGTAGTATACATTACCACCACAAGTGAGGGTAGATGATGCAACATATACTGCGATAACACTGCCGAGACTTAAGGAGAAGGATCCCTCTTCGAAGGCAAACTCGATGTGCCGAAGACTGAAGTGCAGCTTTACATAGACACTCTCCATCGTGCCTTCCGACCCGTTTTCAATACCATAGAATACTGACCCCTTGGCGGCTATGTCCAATGCTTTGGCTACTTTTAGCGTGTTTGATATGGAATTCTTTCCGGTGGGTGACAACACGGGGACACGTATTGCCATTGCTGATTCCGTTTTTGTACTGGCTTTCTTTGCTTCCAACCCAACGCCGCCCCCCTCTGTAATCTCCTCATTCTCGTTTATAAACGGGGCACAGATGCTGGACACTAAACTCTGGGACGGTGGAAATTGAGAGTACATTAAGCACGGCTCAATAAGTGCCTTCATGTCCGCAAACTTCGTCCTGTCCTCCGCTGCCTCAGCGTGCAGCGTTTGCGTAAGTTGATCATACTTTAGAATCCCTTCATTCCATAACTCTTTGAGCTGTTCGGCATAATTGTCGCTAGCTTGCTTTAGTATCTCCAATGATCTATCACATATTGCATTGTGAGACTCTACAATCTTAGCTATCTCGTCTCCGAGACTAGTAAACCTCTTGCTCTCTTGACACAGCTCTTCTAAGTGCGCCGAATAGCGCTTTCTGCTCTTGATGAATTTTTCTATAGTGGATAGCTCAGATTGCATGGTCAATTGTCCAGTCTTCAATGTGAGATCCTTTAGTGATCCATATAGTTCCCCGTATTGTGCTCGTGCATCGAGTTCGGGTGGCTGTGGAGATCCTATAATTTTCGACAGTGTTTGTACCTTTTGCCCGAGCAAATCTGCGGTACTGTTACTAAGTATCATGATAGCCCTGTTGTGAACGTCAAAGCATCGTCTAATCTTCCCCATCATGTCCTCAAGTCGCATCTTATTGCGTACTGCATAAGCTCGAGATAAGTCTGCCAGTCGCGCACTTCTGTTGTCGTTAAATATACCTGCAGAAAGAACACGTGTGCCTTCCCCCGCAGATTGAATAATTTCTGATGCATTATGCAGAGCATGTGAGAGTACACCGTGCGGCTCTGTGAGCGGGCGCAAAGCCACGGTGATCAAATCTGCCTCCTGCAAGAGGGCACTTGTCGGGATTTGACAGTGACTGGTCAACGCAAACAAATTGGGTGTTATATCTTTTAACCCCGGGATTGGTAACCCTTTAGTAAACTTCTGAAATGAAGATAAGAGAGAGCCAGATGCGATTGATACCGCAGTTAGTAAAGACAGCTCATGAAGCAGCTTATATTGAGTCTCAAGTCTACCCGAAGGAGTATCTACGTTGCACGTTTCGGTCCTACCAGTCGTGCCTTCAGCGTTAACTAATTTTGTGAGTGCATCATCAAAATGTGCATCGAACACCTGTAGAAGATGGGAAACATACTGATGGTCCTCGTCTCCTGGTTGAACAATGGCAAGAAGAGATTTGATATAATATTCCATTGCCTTTACAGAGAGCGAGACCTCTGCATATTCTTGCAGAAGTGTGTCGGGGTCTAGGCGATATCGTTGTAATGCGTCAAGTATACGGCGTGCAGGAAAGTCCTTATTACCCACGGAAGTGTAGACTCCCACTTCAACCATCAAGTGATCTTCTAGGCGCTGTACTGCTTCTGGAATACTTAACCTAAGCTGAGCATTCAGTTGTCGCAACTTTTTCTCGATATCTGCAAGGGAGTGCTCCACATCTAGAATGTCAAACTGGGCGTGCAAGCCAATTTGCTTCTTAATAAAGGCAAGAACTCTTGTCTGAGTTTGAAGTCGGACATCAAGCGCTGAAGCGGCTGAAAAGGATGGAGGATCGAGAAGTATTGCCTGTGGAAGCTCGCTCGTTGCACTGCTGATGCATGACTCCAAGGCCGACACTACTGAGCCCATGTCAGTGTATTCGCCTTGACGTATAAAGGACATAGCTTGTTTGAGCAGGCGATGCTCGTCATTAAGTGTTGTTCTCGTATGCAGCTTTCTAAACAAAGAGGAGTCGTGGACTTTCAAGGAGTCTTCCAGAGATTGGTGGATTTCATAATATGAAGAAAGCACATGCTCATGAAATGCTAGCTTTGTTTTAAGATACTTTCGCTGATTATAAAGCAATCTATCGGAGATTTGTACAGTACTATGTGGACTCTGTGAATTCATGCCTTTAGAGTCAAGTAGGCGAAATGCAGCGCCAACTAATGAAGAAGGGTAAGGAGAAACATCCTCTCCATAGTCACGAACAAGAATCTGAAATAGCAAGTTGTAAATCCCCCTGGTATCATTCAGATAGGAGTCAATCATGGCATTTTTGATGGCCAGAGGCCCCTCCTTACCAGAGAAGAGAGCCTGAATAGAAACAGTATCTGGCTTGAGCTTTTCATAGGCCCATGTAAATTGTTTGATCCCAGATATGTTCAGTTCGAGAAGAGGGGCGTCGGGAACGCTATATTCAGAAACAAGTTGACGGAGATGAGAGCGGACCGCTACCACTGGAGACCGGGGTGGTGAAAAGGATGTGACATCTATTATCGGGGCTGTTACGCCGTAGAAGAACAGATTAGAGTAAGTTTGCAGAAGACCCCTCAGAAGAACAAAGGCATCAGAAACCTCCCTCTTCCGTGAGCGCGCCTCCTTATAGGCGTCAATGATATTGTCCAGTAATGCCTGAATGCGTTCTCCAAGACCAGAAGCATATCTTTCCAGTGACTCCGTTATTGCTTCCGCCTTTTCAGTGTTATGTTTCCAGAAATCGGCTCCTATAGACTGTATGCTGGTCTCTATCTTAGCTCTAAGCTGCTCTGCAGAGCTCCCGAAGCTATCTATGTGGCTGCGCAAGGCCTCCGCTAGATACGTGTTCCTGTCACGTAACATTAAAAAAGTAGCGTTGAAAATCTTGCGTGATCTTCTTGCTCGATTTTCTTGTTTGGTCTGCTCATGACTAATCGCCTCTCCTATCTGCCTCCAGCTGTTGATAAAAACAGCATCATCTCTGAGGGAAGGAGGCACATAGCAAATCAGCAGAACTCTGTAAGCTCGGTAGCCAATGTGGTCGAGAGCAGCAATGACAGGGCCACAGACATATCGTCAATCTCAAGCGATGGACTGAAGCTTCCTGCACTCAAGCAAATTATTGCCGGACCGTCACCGAGCTTCTTGTCCGCCTCTGATGCTGTCTCCAGCTTGCTGTATGAGCTTAAGTACATTTCTCTTTCCATTCGCTCCGTTCCCTATAGAAAAATAGAGATAGCAAACGTTACACTGTATTACAATATACACGACGGCAACTGTACCTCTGTTAGCCCACCCGGGTTCTTTCTCATACCGCCTCCTACTACTCTGTCTACCTTGCAGGCTCTTAAGCTGGATCAAAAATTAATTACAGATTGTCCAGCGCCACCGGTGAGGATGCCCAAAGAGCTCTTGAAGAAATTTCAATCTATTGAAGCCGACTTCCTCTCGCAAGTTATAAGCAAAAAAGATTTAGATAAAATAGATGGTATATGCGACGCGGCTGCAAAACCGTTTTTGCACGCTAACACCTCCTTTATAGATGCTGGTTCGTCCACCGAATATCAGTTTCTTCGCGCCAATTTTAAATTCAGAGCTGCAAAGGCCGTCTTCGCGAGGAAAGTGCAGAAACTTATCCCACTTGACCGTAACACTAACATGAACCTCATAGAACTGCTTCTTTTACGTCCAGAGTGTAGCTACTTGTCAAAAAGCACTTGTCTCCGCTATTGCCAATCAAGATACAATACTTCCGGACACCAGTACACCTCTCGTAGCCTTTCGCTATCGTGGCGAATCCTCACGCTTGTGTTCCCGATTATGTTATTGAAGGAGGGGCAGAGAATTAACGACCATTTAAGACCAGGTGACCAGAGACTTGTGGAGATATTTACAGAGCGCAACATCAGAAAGTACCTGAGAGCAGAGTTGTATGATTATAGCGCGACTACCACAACTCCATACTTTTACCGCTCGCTGTGGTCTCTTGTTTCAACACATGTGTCTCTCCAACCATCTTTGCAGTCTGGCACCTCTTCTATTCACATCTCAAATTCTTGCAAAAAATGTGCCGCTACTCAATCTGTACTTTCCAATGATTTACATTCAATTGTGCAGAAGATTTTATTTTTACAATCTTGGGGTGATGTATGGAAGGTTAGTACAGATGGCCCTGCTTTAAATGCCAGCAAACCGAGTGACCATGCAGATGACCATATGACCTCCTTGAACGACCTCAGGTTGCATTCACTTGAGCACATTGAGGAGGAGTGCTTACTGGATAACTGGGTCATATCCTTCTGGAAACATCAGGAGATGAATAACCATCTTGTTGCATGTGACGCCCTTATCACTGAACTCGGGCACTTACCTAAGGAGCAACTTATAGAGCTTATATACGCAGTTGCAATCAGAGGAACGAAGAGAGCATTGCGTGGGTTTTCGTCCTATCGATTGTGGGCCACTAACATTGAGCTGGACAGCGACCTACTGTTTGCACAGTATTGTCTTCTGTTTAACAGACCCTTAATCCTGGACATAGTATCCTTAGAACTGGATGAGCTACAATGGAAAAAGAAACTTCGTTTAAATACGAATAAAATGGACATGACAAAGCTTCATCGAGCCTGCCCTGTTGCTTGGTTCTACTTGCCTAGTGAGGAATTTCAAACTCAGCTTTACGAAACCATCTCAGTCATAAATTATAGCATATCTCAAATTGCGTTCACTTCAAGCGGCGTCTTTGACAGGCTAATACAAAGCAGCGATATTCCGAATCAGGAGAAGCTCGAGCGGATGCACTCCATTCTACCGAATGTTGCCTCTGGGGTATTAGATCGTTGTCTCTACTATGCCCGTACAAACATTCTGGACAGCATATCTTAGATCGCATTAAGATATGGTGGTAAAGTAGAGTCAAGGTGCTCCTTGCATTCACTTCTTCACTAATCCACTGGCTTCACATGCATTTTTGTACGGCTTCGAAGGGTGAATGCAGGACCACCCAGCTCTCCTTGAACACCATACGCCCCTGGGCCGGGGGTCTCGTTTGTCTTCGTGACGTCGTACCTCCCGGAGAGCGAGAACGCCGGTTCGGACCTGTTGATGACGCGGTCATTGTCTACATTATATGCACCCGGACCCGGATTTGTGTTCTTGGCCAGGTCTGGGTGGCGACCCGAAAGGGAGGCGGCCGGCGCGTCCTTCCCCGTGGAGAGGTAGTTGTTTTCATAGGCCCCCGGCCCCGGGTTGTCGTTGCTGGCGGCGACCGCATGCCTTCCAGAGAGGGAGAACGCAGGAGCCTTCTTTTTTCCGACTATATCGCTCACAGTGTATGCACCAGGGCCAGGAACGTTCTTCTTATCAAGAGTCTGAGTGCGACTAGAGAGAGAGAATGACGGTAAAGACCGTTTGGTCGCTTTCATTCCATTGGTGACATCATATTGAGCAGGGCCAGGACCTGCATCTTTGGAGCTTTCCTTGTGCCTTCCACGCAAAGAAAATGCTGGGGCTTTACCAATGGTTGATTGGATCATGTAGCCGCCCGGCCCGGGGCCATCGGTTGTGTAATCCATCCAGCTCATTTTTTAATGCGCTCTCGATTTGCTCTGTGAAATTTCGCGCCTTTCTTAAACGTCCAGACCTCTTCAACTGTAGTAGCTCGCAAGATAAGAAGATGGTTGAGAGTTTGCATGGTAGTAAATTTACTAAGCTGATTCACAGATAATATGCTTCTACAACATCTTGCATACCCATGGTAATCTACCAAGGATTGTCGTTAGTTGCATCGGGGTTTAGGTTGCAAAAAATAAAAATGCAATTAACCTATGATGTCTTCACATCCCATATGCATGAGGCAGCAGACTATATCAAGAACATCATTGGTAAGAAGGTGGACATAGCCGTAGTCTTGGGCTCTGGTCTTTCTGGGTTTGCCGATAGGATGTTTTCCACTGGTTACACTGAGATAGATTACGAACGCGTTCCCTTCATGGCAAAGACCTCTGTTTCAGGCCATTCTGGCAAGGTTCTAGTGGGGGAAATGGGAGATAAGACAATTTTATGTTTCAGTGGCCGATTTCATAGCTACGAAGGATACACGCCGCCGACACTGACTATTTTCCCTTACGTTGCATGCTACCTTGGAGCACGCATTTATATTGTTACAAATGCGGCAGGAGGGACAAAGCGGGGCATGGAAGCAGGGTGTTTGATGCTAATTAACGACCAGATGTCCCTTCTCCGCTGGAACCCTCTTTATGGGTACGAATCCTGCCAGCTCCAACATGATCCTGACTGCCTTCTGGAGTTAGAGAATCTCAAAGCGTTGCTGGGTTATTTAAAGACCCCGGGTCTATTTCATTATCCAAGTAGCATCCCCAATGCTAACATATATTCTGCAGAGCTTCGTAGCTTGGTCAGAGAACTAGCAAAAGATAAGGCCTTCATTGATAAGACCAGTATCATGCTCAAGGGGCATAAGCACATGGTAAAGGTCTATGAGGGTACTTACGTGCTCAACTCGGGGCCTCACTATGAAACGCAGATTGACACGGAGACTATCATGTCACTAGGGCCCGGGGCAGTAGGAATGTCTAGCATTCCTGAAGCTCTTTGCGCCCGTCTCCTTGGAATGCACGTCATTGGTCTCAGCGTGGTAACAAATCTAGCCGCCGGTCTTTCTAAGGAGACCCTTGATCATGCAGATGTAAAATTGGTAAGTGATGCTGTCAGTACAGCTGTTTACGCTTTAATTGGGGCACTTATTGCGAGAGTCAACATCCCCAGACTGCCCCTGCTTTCGAGGTATACCCCCAAGGTCCGGGATACACCGATTGTCCCGGCTACCGAGTCCCTTCCCAGCGCAGAAGACGTTAAAGAGATTCTAAACGATGTTCCAGGTCTGAGTAAGCTTCGATTTTGTCTCTTCATCTCTTCCCCAATCTTCTTTGTTAAACCCATGGATACTTGTCTGGTTGTTGGTGTGCCTCTCAACCTCTCCCTGCGAAAGATTGTGGCCGTCTTCGAGGCATCTATGGAGTTAGGGATAAGTGTCTTTCTGATTTTAGACAGAACCCTTATGCACCCTGGGCTGGTGCGTCTTGAAAACATCATGAATTTTACCAGCGTTCATGGTGCCTGCCTTGTCGAATTGGAAGGCCGAGGACAACCTCTGTTCAACGGCTCTGCATATAAATACTTGTCTTCGCTAGCCAATAATACATTCTTATTGGTCGTAGAATCGCTTGAAAACCCTGCTAGTACATACATTACTGCGATGCTAGGTAAGACCACCATGACTGCAGTGACTAATGCCTTCCATTTCGGTCTGGTCGCCGTTGCACGGGCTCTTGGTCTCAAAAATCTTTTCGTAGGGTCTGCTCAGCAGCTCTTGGAGATATGCAGTGATCCTCGCTTTGTATCTATTTTGTCGACGGCCACAAAGGTTTCGATTACACATTCCTTGGTTAAAAAGTATGAGTTTTCACTCTTTGATAACATTCAGCAGTTAAAATATGAACACGTAGGGCGTGTTGCCAATGAAATTAAAACGTATGTGATTGCAGATTTTAAGAACGCTATTCTGATTGATTCTGTTAAGAACCGTGTTGATCTGTCCAGCTATCGTCGCCTTTCAGTATCAAGTCCGTTAGATATCTACTTTGATGTGCGCACGGGCATTCTTATCTTCGTAGTTCCAAGTATATGCAACAAGGTGTCACTACAAGAAACGACGTTCCCCGCTAGGCTCTGTCAAGTCCTCGGTGTTCAGCGCGTTATTCTCATAACTGATCAGGTGCAAACTAAAGACATATATTGTGCAACTGATGTGTATAACGTTTCTTGTGTCAATGCTCTTCGAGGACACAACGACGATAGATGGGGAGCACGCTTCATAGACGTAAGTGGCATTTGTAACAAGGGGCTATCCATGAACTTGCAGCGTCTGGGTTGTAGGTCCGCTATAGCCACACTGACTTGCTCTCCACTTTGTGTTCTCACTGTCTTTCCATATGCACACAGACAAGGGTTTATAGTGGTTGCATCAGGGTGTTTGCTCTCCATGTTTGAGCTTTCCCAGGCTCGTATAGTTGCTGGTGCAATCATGGGACCTGATCAGCAACAGCTGTTTAACATAGCACGGAGGTGTATCAACGAGAATACTATCTAAAACTGGTCCTGGTCTTATGTTTTAATGATTAAACTGCTGTTGTTGCTTTTGTTATCGCTTTTATCTCTGTAGACTGTGCTTATGTGTCTGATGGTCTTTGCCTCTATGGCGCGGTTTGGGTTCAAACGGAGACAAAGGGTCCCCTGAAAACTGCTCATGTAGAACTCTAGATAGCCAGCTTGTACTAACTCTAAGACGGTCTGAAGGATCTTACGCTTGCTATAAAAGGGGCCTTCCGGCTGCTTTCGTCCTTTAGATTGCTTTCGGATGAAGATCTTGTCCAAATGATTTATGGCAGCAGTGAAGCCTGTCTTTCCATCAGCTTCGTGCATCTTATTGTGCTCAATGAATAGTAAGAGCGATAGTACTAGAGGCTGGCAGTCACTGGAATCAGATTCGTGATCTTCATTGACTTCCACGGGGGACGAACAGCAATAGCTACAATGACCGCACCGTTCTATCGGGGCACCACTCCTTTCTATCTCTTGACCAAAGTACAGTAACATTAGCCGCCACTTACAGATATCATCTCGAAGGTAGAAAAGGCAAGCAGAAACGGCGGCAGAAAGAAGGCTCTGGTCATGATCCCGTGCTACAATAAGAAGAAGCTTCTGCAGCTCCTTGCAATTGTAATAAAGGGCTGCCTTCGCTGGCTGCCCATCCCTTCCACACCTTCCAATCTTCTGAAGGATAGTGTTGATGGAGCCAGAGGGGTCAGCATCGATAACGAGTCGAACATTTGGCTTATTGATCCCCATCCCGAAAGCAATAGTGGCGCATACACAGAGGGTTCTTCCGCTAAGCCACCGCTGCACAATTTCACTCTGGTCCTGCTTACTACTATGATATGATTCTGCAAATCCTTTCTTCAGGGCACAATTTAGGTTATTGGCTAGTACATCGTTATCTGCCCGTCTCCGACAGTATATGATACTGGAGTCAGCCATGTATCCCTTCAGCGCATCCAGGACTTCTTCAATAAGTGGGGTGTTTGCTCCAATCTCTACTACATCCAGAAATATATTGTCTTTGTAAGCAGGAAAGACAAGCAAATGATCCACAGCACTGGTTCGGTACAGAAGCTGTCTTTCGCTTGTGCACATCTCGTCCACCCTGTCATTGCAGGTAAAATGGAATATCTCCATAAGGCGTCGGCAGGCTGTGGAGGTGAGCGTTGCCGTCAGCAAGAGAAGACTGCTATTACCTTGCATGTGCCACTTTTGAAGAAGATCTGCTGCACTAAGAAACTCGGGTCGGAAGGAGACCCACTCCAGAACAAGGTGTGCCTCATCAATGGCAAACAGACAGATTCGCCCCCTTTGCGTGAGAGAAGTAATGGCTTCTTGGAGGATAGCATCTATGCAAAGCTTTTCTGGAGTGACAATGAGTATTAACGGGCCAGTGAGTGCAGCAACGTCTCGAGAGCGAATCGCCCCTTCTCTATGCCCTGATTGTGAAGTGCACACCCGGACAGTCAAGTACTGAGCCCACTGATTAAACTGGTCCTGTTGCAAAGAAACAGTGGGCATAATGACAACAGCAATTCTGGAGGAGGCCAGCGCAGGGAGGACGAACAGGGCAGACTTCCCGTGGCCAGTAGGCATAATTGCTAGAACCTTGCGCATGGTATTAATGCAGTACAGCGCGGCTCGCTGACCATGCCTGTATTCTGTAAATCCCACGTGCTGCATAGCTTTCTTGTAGTAGGCCTCATCTGGGAATGATCGGTGCTGAAAGAAGGAGTCTTCGTCGAATCCTCTATGCAAGGGTACACCGGTTGGGTCATGGTTAAAGCACGCAGTGAATGGCGAGCGCTCAAAGGCAGAGGCAGGTGGCTGTGTCGCCAAAGTAGGTGGCTTTCCGGGATTGATCAGCGTGGGTACAGAGGAAGTGGGAGAGGCTTGCTTCAGCACGGGCTCCTTGACACCGTCGCCATCTGTGATAAGTGCAGGGTCACTGGTCGACGTTGTAAGCTCATCTACTGAATTATCCTGTGGACTCTTAGACGGCTGCATATATACTGGACCCGGCTTTGACTGAAAAACATCGTGCTGCAGTACTTGCGATTGGAGTATTGTTATTGGCTCCCACATCTTACCTAGATAGGTCTTGATCTTCTCCATTGCTTCTAAACTACAGGCTAATTTTTCTTTACTAAAGTCTTCCCAATAGAATGTCCTGGATGGCTCTGCCCACTGTCAAAAAGTATCTACATAACTTTCTGTTTCCTTAACAAGATCTGCACACATTGCTTCCGGGTTTCTCCAACTGCTCATTCAGCTCACGTCTTGACCGCTTCAAATGTGTAACACAAAAGCTAAGATATTTTCATTTTACTAAAGCTTTGTCCCTCGACAAATCTACAGGAATATCGGCAGCGGCCTTCATGGTTTGAACATGTCACTGTTGCATTGTAATCGCCATATAACTGCTAAGTGTCCAGCTGCACAGCTGTATAATTTACTTAGTATACAAATTCACAAAGGAAAAGCGTTGATAAGTTGCACGCAGCACATAGCTATCTATTCAACGCTATGCTTCTCGGAATGCTTCTTGGCTTGTGTCTAAGTGGCCTTGTGTGGGCAAACGACTGGAATGGCTTTTCTATTAGTCCGTCCCTATGTATGCTGTGGCATGCAGTTGCATCTATAACTGAATACGGGCTGTTTCAATTTTCTATTTGTTATGGGATTGCGATATTCTGCCTGGGCTGCAGCTTCTATGACATATATAGCAACTCGGTAGCAGCTCGTCAACTAAAGAACGAGCTTGAATTTTGTGCTGGTTATTGCATATTTGTTTGGACTACCATCAGAAACCCAGCTTGGGTACTTCTTGGTGCAGAGCTTCTACTTACTCTTTTGTTCCCACGTTTCCTGACAGCCCACAGAATTCGCAGTTACATAGTATGCATGTTTGCGTCCTGCATCTTTGTCTGGAAACGATACGACGCAATGAACACCAATTTCATGATGGCTTTAAGCCTTACATACAGCTGCTCTATTCTATGGCTTACTGCGCGAGCTGTATCATTCAAAGTAGACTAAACATAGATGCAGCTATCTGAGCCGCCCATGTTATCTGACAAGGCTGTTGCTTGCCGCCCAGCAGGAGATTCCAAGCCATATATGGTAGAGAACTTGGATGTACTAGGCGGTGGAAATGGTTGGGGCACCTCCGATCCACGCATACCCATGTATCCCTCGAGATAGCCTCCGCTTTGAGACAACGATGGGGGATCCAGAGTAAGGCTCTCTGCTCCAGAGCGATTTAATATGTCCTCCACTCGCTGAAGGAGCTGAGAGTCTGGAAGATTCACAGCGTTCATATTAGATGTTGAGCTGACAGGGATTTGCAGCAGAGCACTAGCGCTTTCTGGCTTAGTTATAGCAGAGATGGATGTGTGAGTTGCATCACTGTATTGAATGGGTAACGGCTTCCTGGTAAGATTCTCAGTCTTCATGAGTAAACGGTTTATTTCTGCTGCGTTCTGCTTTGCTTCTCGATAGTACGGCCTGTCGTGGGAGCCTATACTTGTAGTGGATATAGATGAAGTATTAGCCGTAATCGATGTCTTGTCGGTCGAGGGTGATGGGTCTGCCAGGCTAGTCATGGTTTCAGAGCTTGATATTAGATTGACAGGGCGAACACTTCCGGTGGTATTGTACCCTCGTCGAAGGTAAGTATCCAGCGCCTGGACAGAATCCCCGGTTAGAAGAATAGACTGAGCAGTTGCTTTGCTGCCCGCTCCATCATGGGGCGATAATACATGCTCCAACACACCACTGAATCTAACGCTTCTCGTATCTGGATTGGAAGCTGTTCGCCCAAGAGAATGACTTCGAGACGGTGTCCCTCGTGACGACAGCGAGTCATCCTTCGAAAGATCTGCAGCTGTGCGAGACAGCATAGTGGGGGCATGAGTCTGGTTCAGGGTATCTAGCATGCTGAAGCGGCTGTACCTAGGCTTGCTTTCTGAGAAGTTGGTAAGACCACTTCGTGAAAGAGATACTGGAAGTATATCTACTTGGCTGGGAGTTCCATTTAAGGCTGAAGCAGCCGCATGAATGGAAATATTGGGACGAGCTGCACTTGGGGAGAGTCGGGCAGAATGTGTAGATTGCAGAGTGGATGCGGCCACTGGCAACTTATTCACCGAGGATTGCAACTGGTCTGCAATAGCATAAAATTCTTTCAATTCTGAGAGTCTTGTATCGGTCTGGACACCCTTGTCACTGGCATCACGGACAGTAACGCTTGAAATGATAGCGTTTGATCTGCCGCAGAACTCACACCTGAAAGACTTAGATGACACCGGCAGTGCCTCTGCTGGGGAAGTCACAGTCCCGTGATTCTTAACTGTGCTAGTTGACTGGTTGTCCACAATGCGCTGTATAGATTCCGATCGGTTGACAGATGCTGCTCGCGAGATGATACGTTCTAATATGTAGACTGCATCGGCTTCAGGCATCTGCTTATGTAATCGAAGAATTTCGATGAAAGACTTCTTGAACTCAGGCGATAACAGTTCTGCGCTTCTCTCTTTTTCATAGATAGCTAGCTTGGTTTGTAGTTGCATTTTCACCTCTTCGGCTATTATCTTCTCAATTTCATTCCTTTGTTGCTCTAAGTTACTACGTTCAACTACAAGGCTTTCTGCATCTGCTTTGATTTGCCCACAAATCTGCTGGATGAGCTCCTCTTTTGCTTGAAGCTCCTGCGACTTGCGAAATATATAGTCTATAGTCTTGGATGCATCCCGGTGTAGAGCCGACAAAAAGTCCTCGGACTGCATCAGCCCTCTTTCGTATTTCAGTCTAATGGTGTGAATCCCCTCCAGAGTACGATATGCTGTTGCTTCAACACCATTTGGGTGCGAGCCTACATCACCAGCGACACTGTGGGACTTGGCGGACAATCTGCTGGTGTCTCCCCCTGTTTGCTGAAGATCTTGCACTTCTAACAGGCGCTCATTAGCGTCTTCTTTTCGTCGGTTAATTGCGCTTTTAAGACCATCTATTGGTTGGGATCTGGAGAGTATGGAATTATAATGAGTGATGCGATCTGCTGCAAGCCTAGCGGCGGGAGACATTGGACGGTGAGATAGTGAACTTTCAGTTACAGCATCACTTGGGGGCATTGGTTGTTGTATTGTCTTCGTAAACCTTTGTAGTTGCTCTAACATTGTTCCATTTCGTTTATTTTCTTCTAGAAGCTTTATGTTTTCCATTTGTAGCTTATCCAGTGCGGCGTTGACCGAGAGCAGATGACTAGTGAGCTCTTCTACGTGTGCTGAAAGAGCTTTGTTGGCACTCTTAAGCTCAGTAGCATTTTCAATAGAGAGAGAATTGGCTGTGACCTCTTTAAGATGCGTGTTTTCCATCTGTAGCTTGGATAGCTCTATGTCTTTGGATTTAATGCGATGTGTCAAGGAATCTATTGCAGACTTATATTCTAACTTAGCCTTTTGATGTTCTAGCTCCATTTTTGCAGTCTTATCATCTGACATATGATGCAGTCCTTCGATTTCTTTAAGCATACGCTCTAATTCTCGTTCTCGAAGTGCTATCGCGGTTTCCCGAGCAGTGCAAAGTTCGTCCATTCGTTGAATGTGCGCTTTATCCTGCTTGAGGTGGAAGGCTTCTGATTCTTGTTGAGCACGGAAACGAGAGACCTCGTCATCTCTCACCTTATTTAGCCTGTCTAGTTCTTCCAATTTCCTCTTCAGCTCTTTGTTTTCTAGCTGCAGAAACTGATAATTAGCATTTTTCTCATCGAGCTGTGCTTTGTCGCTAAGGTACCGTTTGCAGAGCTTTGCTGCCTCCTCCTTGGCTGTCACAGCCTCGTCCACCATATCGTTTGCCTTCTTCTTTAGCTCTGCAAGCCGCTGCCGCTCTAGGGTAATGTGTCCTTCTGCTGTAACAATATTCATAGCCCGCGATTCAAGTCGCCGCTCTAACTCGACAACACGCTGTTTCATGGCTGCATGACTAGCTGTAAGCTGCATCAGTTCGCTATTTTTAGCTTGAAGAGCTGTCTCTGCTTCACTAAGCTGCCTCTGCACCTTTGCAAGACGCTTCTCTGCACGAGAGACAGCCTCAAGCCGGCGCTGCAATTCGTTCATATCTTTTTCCAGGCTCTTCGACTTCACCTTCAGCTCCTCTTCCCGCCGCTGCATGTCATCGACCAAGCTCTGTCTAAATGTAAGCGCCTGGCCACAGAAGTGTTGCGCAGAGCAGGCAAGGCTAGAATCGGTTGAGGCCCGGGCCATGGCCTCTGTAGGTAGGGATGCGTTGGTATACTGCAGGGGTGCCATGCGTGGAGGTAGCCGTGGTGCCCGCTTGAGCATGGGTCTTCCCCGTCAAATCTTTAAAATGCATTCACTTATGGCTCCCCGCGACATCTCTCCGCAGACCCTGGACATACGATCTCTCTACACATTCCATGAAGCAATCGGCACAGGTCGTACAGGAACCGTATATAGGTGCACAAGCATTCGGTCGCGAGACACGGTAGCCATAAAAGTGATTAAGGCACGTGAGATACAAGGATTTAATGAGTATAGGCTTTGTCAATGGGTAGAGACTCTAATAGGCCTAGACGTAGCAGGGATTGCAAAATTCTATAAAGTGTACGCTGATAAAAGTCGTCGAATATTCTATGTCATTATGAAATATTACTCCAATGGAAGTATTGCAAATAGCATATCTGGAGGCAATAGGTGCAAGTGGGCAGGGGCCAACAATGAAAGAGTGTACGATGCTTGTACCCGTCTAATATCTGCCATTTCTTTTCTACACAATCGACTCTGGGTTATAAATACTGCAACAATAGGTGTACCTCTTGGGGCTATATCTCTTGACAATATCCTTCTGGACGACGAACTTTCTTTATGCTTCCTCCCGGGAATTGGAGCTCCCTTGAACTGGGTCGGTAGCACGTTTCCTGCAGAAGCTCCTAATAACCAATTATCTGCGCCGGCTCCAGAGAAGATTGTGACGCCTGGTAGACAGAAAACCCGGCCAAATCCAGGAGCAAAAGCTAATATCCTGGGTGACTCCAGTCTTATACCTGGAAGAATTGAGCTTCCTGTTAAGGGATATGTTCCAACTAAGGACTGCTGGATGCTGCCGTGGAACAACATATCGTATCTAAGGCCTACCTTCGCATCAGATAGCTGGGACCTTGGTTGTCTCCTCTTTGCACTTATCTTTCAGAAGTATCCATTTAGAAAACCCAAAGCTACGCAGCAATCATACGTCTTATCTGAAAAGGTAATGGAAACAATCGGTACCACTCTCAAGCCCATTGGTGAAATAATTTGCGGCCTTTTGGTGCCAGATCCATCCGACCGAATGTCAACTCTTCAAGCATATAACATGCTCACCTCACCAAATAACAAGGTAGACGATGTAGCAGATGTGACGGACACTTCAATAGAATGGCCGGTCAAGACCGACGAGAAGCTCTACTTTGCACAGCTCAAGTATATTATCTCAACAATGGATGAATCTCTTGCTAAATTAAGTGCGATGCTCTCAGATTCTGTTAGTGCTCAGGCGGAGGCGCAAGAGGAAGTGGTAAGACTATCAACGCTGCATACCAGCCTAGAAAAAGACGCTCGGGCTAAAGATAAAACGATTCAGGAGCTAAGACAGGAGCTAAAAAGAACCATAGCTAGCATGAAGGTGGATATAACAAAAGCCGATGAAATAGATACGACCACTCTTACAAACGAAGAGTTAATGTCTCTAGAGAACGAGTGCAGAAAGCTACAAGATAAGATAGTCAGCACACGCCTTCTTCGGTGTAGCCCAGAATGCGTAGTGTGTCTTCACAGACCAAAGAATATAAAGTTGGATCCCTGCAAGCATGTGTGCATCTGCCATGAATGCTACCTTCAGTTGCTAGATAAGCGTTGTCCAATCTGTAGGGTTTCCATAAATAGCGTGGAAAAGGTGTTCATTTGAACCTGACTCCCGGTCTGCCGGCTTTATTGAAGTGTGAGACTTACAGTACCACCCCCTAAGATAAAGTGGAAGTAGATAAGACATGTATCAATAGACAATAAGCGTGCCACCGAAAAGAAGGTGTTAGACTATGGACATAGCATCGTATCTATGCATGAAATGAGGGACACGATGGAAGAAAAGCCTCTTTCAGAAAATAGCACTCATGTTTAAATCCGTCTAATAAGCTTCATATAAAGCAACAAGGTTGACATAGAAGGGGAAGGCTACGCACAGTTGCGTGATGCAAATAGTAGTATGTCTTGTTCATCGACTTAGAGACAGAGAAAGCAAGGTAAATTTCTGCCTCTCGCTTTCACTGATCAATGAATTAATTGAAGTCTAATGTAGTGTATGGTAGTGTAGGAAAATTTCTTTTCTAGGCAACAACTATTGCCAAATAATTTCTGTAGATGTCGGAAAATAGTTCCCATATTTATGCAGAGCAAGCCGGCCAATGAGCGTGTCAACAGTACCGGCTTCAGTCCCTTTGCATGGCTGTGTGCAGCAGGGGTCCTTATCTTTGGGTCGTCATCGGCAATAGCAGTCAAGAGCATGGGTATGATGGACCCAGTTCCGGCAAGACCGGGGGGTTCTCCTGTTGTTTTTGACCACACATACATGACCTCTCTCTTCCTGTTCGTGGGAGAGGCTTGCAGCTTAATTCTTTATGGAGTCTATCGCGTGATTACTTGCACCCGGTCAAAGAAGACGGTAACCAAAACAACTAGCTTCCTAGAGCCTCTTTCGATCAAGCAACTTGAGAAGAAGCCCTTCAAACCGTGTCCTCATGCCTTTCTCTTTCTTGTCCCAACACTTTTCGATCTCGGTGCAACCGTTATGCTCAACTTTTCTATTTTCTTTGTAGTGGTGTCTGTGCAGCAAACAATCAGCAACTTTGTTGTAGTGTTTGTCGCTCTTTTTTCTCTGATCTGCTGGCGCGACTATCGCCAGCAATTTGATCTACCTCACGGAATCGGCCTTCTAGTTATAGCAGGAGGAATCGCAGCCGCATCTTCCGTTTCTATTGTGTACGGAGACAGCATAGGGACCTCTCGTAACGCAGTACTAGGGGTTGTGCTGGGATTCGGGGGGACGATATTTGCGGCGCTTTGCTTCATATTTGAAGAGTTATTCCTCCGAAGAATTCATGTTCCTGGAATGATCGGTGTCGGCATAGAGGGGCTGTGGGGTATTGGCTTCTGTGCCTGTCTCATTGCTATCATGAACTTTGTACCAGATCCCTCGCGGTCCGGCAGTCCAGACACGGGAAGGTCCACAATGCTAGAGTCAGCAGTTGAGTGGGCATACCAAGTGTCTATTCAGCCTATACAAATCCTTTTCATAGTTATCTATGCATTCAGTACGCTGCTTTTCAATGTATCTGGCATGGAGGTTACCCGGCGGATATCATCGGCTACACGGGCCACATTCAACTCCTGCCGCGCAATGATTGTCTGGCTGGCCTCATTGGCCATAGGATGGGAGCACTGGAGCATCCCAGGGTCAATCATCATGATTATCGGGTACGTCCTTATCGTCGTGGGGACGCTTATATTTAATAACGTGTTCAGAATTGTTCCATACTGCAAGAAGACCAATATTTCCAGATATGGGTGTTGGATGGGTAGAAGCAAAACGACGGAAAGGAAACTGAAAGAAGAAGCACCTTTCCTTCCTTCTGAGGGTGGCTCTTCAAGTAACTGTAACTCGAGCACGCCCAACGATCCTCCAGTGACCCTCGAGTGCTAATTGTAAATTATTCTTTTGAAAGTACTAAGATACCCTTCAAAATGTTTGGATGCCGATACTAGGGCAAGTAGCTCGTAGCTTATATGGCCATAGTTAAGTCAGCATTAAGTCAGTAGTGTTGTGTTTTATTTTTGGTACTCGGAAGAATAATCATGCAATCCATTCAGGCATATCTGGATCGAAAGGCCCTTAGTGCACAGCTGTCTGTACGTTCATTGAGCCTTAATGCCGCACAGCCTACTAAATCAATGCGCCTTCATGAGAATTTCCCGATACAACCGAGCCGGCCATACGGGGAGTCTCGAGTCTCCAATTTTACAAGCCTTCCAGAGAACCGAGACACAGAACCGAGTAGCACCCAGAATAATCCCGAAGTGACAGAGATACTCCACCTAGAAAATGCACTAAGATACGAGGCAGATGCACAAGGGGTGGGCATGGGGCTGGACCAGCTCATTCTTAACAAAATGACCGCTCAAGGAGTCACAGATCCTACTCAGGTCCGTAGATTTTTAACTGATGAAGCTATTGAGGACGTCTTGAATGAAAGAGCGCACGTTCTCCTAACAAAATTCAACTCCCACATTACTGAGATAACTCGCACAGTAGCTGAAAGCATGGCCTCTATGAATAAACTTTATGACAATAAGGTTGAGCTGCTTTCTGCAGCCTTTGAAGCCGACTTTGCCAGGCTCTCCAACCTCTTTGCTGGTCTAAATAAGCGCTTGGAGGACCTCAAAGCTGTTTCTGGTGTCCTTCCGAAAGATGATTTTACGGCCTTCTTACAAAGATACAAGCAGCAGGATGAAATACCAAGCATTATTGAGGAGAGGATGCTCATTATGGCACGGTGTGTGCAGAACCGTGTGTCAAGCCTTCGGACATCCTTTGAGGAGCAGCATATCGAAATGAAGCATGTCATTGCCGCTGCGACTTCCTCCATTAAGTCATATTTGGATCTATCCTGTCCTAAGTGTTTCGAACGGTACGGACCCTCGCGCCGAATCATTGCCCTTGCTCCTTGCGGACATAGCATTTGCGAGTCTTGCTTTTACAATCTATCTGGGCAGGTGTATATGGGTCAAGTAGTCGTCCTAACCGCCAAGCGAGCTGTATGCTCTCTTTGCAACAGCCTAATTTCGCACGCAGTCCTCGATAGAATGATGAATGCACGCGTCTCCAGACACGAGTTAGACCCCCGTGAGGCTTATCAGGCCATTGCAGAGACGCTCACTCAAGTGCACAAAACGCTCATGCAGATTGACGTCCTGAACCCCGACGCCATCCCCCAAAACAGCTTGGAAGCACAGACAGACACAAGTGGTTAGCCGGCGTCAACCCGTAATCCGTTTACTTAATGGAGCTTCACTCGTCATCCGTGCCAGCCTCGTCGTCGTCGTCTTCAATAGTGTATGGCTTGAGAGTGTACGTCTCCTTATCGGTGGAGAGGACTCTAAAGACACCCTGGTAGTCTTGGTACAAAAAGCGCTTGGTGAGATACTTCACATAGCGCTTGGCAAACTCGTAGCCTGTCGTTTGGATAACGAGGGAGTCTCCCTCCACAGAACAGGCTACCTTCTCGGCGACCCCGTGCTTGCGATTGTTAATTTTGAAGTGTGTTCTCACATAGTCCGCAAACTCGTTGAGGTTAAGCTCCAGATCTTTTCCCGCGCTGCAGTCAACAGCGAAGCGGATGTTGCCTTGCTCCTTCTTGACGCACTTCTTGATACGGGGCCTCATCTCGCTGCTGGGTGAAAAATAGTACGCATAATTTGATTTTAAATTACTTTTTGACGACACCCTGGCCTGCAGTCTATGGTCTGCATGTCTACAGAGGTGGTTTACAATTTGGTCGGGAAATAAAATCCACTGTCCCTCCATGCTGAGTAAAGATGCAGTATTATCTCTTTTGGAAGAGGGCCAACTAGAGGCCGCGGTGGCTCTGGTGCGGACCTGCGAATCTCTCACCTCGAGGCCAAGGTTTAACGAGGCCCTTCTTACCCTTCTTCAAGATCCTCACTTTCTCCAGGTGGCTCTTGAGAGTGATTTTGTTGAGTTGTTCGACTATGGGATTGCCCAAGGCCTTGTCGATGTCCAACTTATTAGTGACTTGCTCGATGGCAAGACATCAGAGTATGCACTGTACACTAGGTCCCTTATCAACGCCTTAGGACATCCTCGTCGGCCTAAATTGAGGCCCATGAACCGTTGTGGGCCTGTCCTGATCTCTACGTACCTCATCATGCACTTGAGCATGGCCCATCATTGGGTTCCTCTCCATCTACTTGCTATTTGTCTCTTCCTATCCGCATCAGTACTTACATGGTACAAGTCCGGGCAGTATGCATTCTACAGTAACGCCAGCCACCACGGAGCACCGTTTTCGGCTACAAGATGTCACCTGTGCCGTCTTCCTATGCGAGCCAGCCCACGATGGCGTCGAAAACAAGTCCACTGTCGATACTGCAACACCTGTGTCGACCGGTTCGACCATCACTGCTTCTGGCTCGGATGCTGCATCAACGAGGCCAACTATAAGTGGTTCCTCTTCGCCCTGATCAGTGCAATCCACATGTACTTTCTCGGCTTGCTTGATAGCGCCGTTCATTTCTATAGACGAGCTAAAGTGCCTGTACAATTTCGAACAGGCATCGCAGTGCAGCTACTATGCTATGTTTGCTTCTTTACCACACTACTGATGCACGTCAATAGAAGAAGATACACTACTATCAGCCTTGCAGATAGATTCAGAAAATAAAAAGAGCCTGTGTGCAGAAATGCAGGAGCGGAAGAGCGTCGATCAACATATTGTACAGACGCTGACCTCAAAGCATCTTCGGTACATATGTAGCTATACAGATCCAGTGTTGTCTATGTCCATTTCTCCCCACACATCTGACCCCCCTGGTGTCCTCATACGCCATCAAAAGCGCGTTTCTGTTAATGGAGTCACACTATCGTCAGCTGCTTCTCCATACCATGTACAGTGGTATACTGAGCAGCGTCTTTTTCTCCACTCGTACAAGCCAGGGGCATCTACCTTTACTAACGTCCTACAATTAATTGATATCGAACTGGATAAGACTATCGACTCCATTGCAATTACTTTCAACGATACCACCTCTGCCCCAGCCGAAGTTACTGACTGTCCGTGCACCACATGTAGCAAGGACATGCAGACCTTTCTCGTAGGAGGAAAGACCATGCAGGCTATTGATATCCGAACCAAGAAAAGACTCTTTGTTAGTAACTCTGCCCCAGTTCGCGCGCTAGCCCTCTACTCCAAGACTCCCTACAGCATTTTCTACTTGGCTGGCCATCAGTATCTGTCCCTGTTTACAATGGATCTCCGAACCCAGAAGGAGATCTTGCTATTCCCCAAGGCGACCCAGACCTCCGCCAAATTAGCTTTAGAAGTCTGTCCACATTTAGAAAGTAAGACATTGCTATATACCATCCAATCAGACAGATTATTTACAGTCGTTGGTCATCATGCACGTAACAATGATAACAATAATGGACTCGATACGAAATCCACAGCGTCTTTAATGTCACGTGTGGCAAAACATCCCAGTGAAACCTTCACCTGGCTTCACAGCATACTATGTTACAATAATACCTTGGTGTCTCCATATCTTGTGTGCAGTAGAACGGAAAGTAGATTAGCTCTGTTGAATGCTACAAGCACTGAGTCTGAACACGAAGGTCTCGACCCCTTACTGTGCAGTAACATTGCCAGTAGAAACACCTCTTTGAGGTTAGGATCTGCTATATCAAGGGCATGCTCTGCAGCGGCAGCCCGGGATGTCCTCGCGGTCGCCATTGATGGGGGCGTGTATGCAACGTCTACCTTTTGACCTTTTTAAGGATCTTATCAAAGAATGATTCTGTGCGGGGCTTAATAGTGAGCTTTGATCGTGACTCTGGCTCCCTAGATACAGAGGGTAGGGAGTTACTTGCCTTAGTGTAGGCTATCCCAGAATGCCCAAGAAGCCTATGAGGCTCTGAATTGCCTGAGGCAGCACTTCTTCTCTCAGAGCCGTCAAGGCGCCTAAATGTCTCCATGATCTTTTTGTCTCCCTCCGTCTGCTTGACGGCATACCCAAGGCCTGCCTTAGAGTCGTAAGATAGTCGCGAAGGCATGACAGTCACTGAGGTATCGTCTGCCATAGTCTCGGGAAACAGAGCATCTAATAGGGCGTCGAGCTCCTTTTTGTCCATTTAAATTTTAAAGAAAGCATCACAGACGACAGTGGCAGTGGCAGTGTTATGGTTAGCTTATTCTACTACTGATTAAAAGGATGTGTATACCTAAATGCAAAAACACTAACAATTTTAAGATAAGGCTTAAGGGTTAAAGTTATTATGAATGCCTTTCTCTCCATTTATTCGACCATTCCAGGGTCCAGCGAGCTCGACATCAGCGCTGTTCTTGCACCATTGATTAAAGCCCATAATAGCGTCGTTAAGTCTCAGATAGATGCTGCTCTGACCACTCTACTTTGCTTTGCAGAGAAGAACAACGATAGCGACCATACAATGCACATTCTGCGAAGTTTTTTGAAGCTGCTTCTAGCCCACATACAACTGCCAGAAAACAGAGGAACTACCGTCACGGGATGCAAGGGGCTGTGGGTTTTGCTAGGACAGCTCATTCTAAAGGTAGATGGAGCCGCCAGCGACTTTGTCACTTGGTTTGCAAAGCAGGATATTTGTAAAGCCTTGCTTGGTAGCAGTGTTTCGTCAGAAGTATTGACTTTCAGACACGTGTTCAACTGCCTACTTCTGTACACCCAGGCACTATTTTCTGGCGATAGTTATGGTGCTTCGTCTCGCACAACAAGCTCTGGTGAGACAACGACATCTGTAGAAGATCGGAGAACTTATCTATGCCTTTCTGATATGGCTTTGTATCTGCAAAACTTTATATTGATCTTTTCACAAACCAATCTAGCAAATATTAGCACATTAGATCAAGATAAGGAGGCATACACTTCGTCTCTTCAAATGATCGTCAGGCTCTGCAGTATCCACAATCCAGCTTTTCTATCTACAATTAAGTTCCCCAATAAGAGTGTCAATCCAATGACGGAGTCGATAGATGTAACTCATGGCCGCATGCTTATCCACCTATTCCTCCAGCCAGAGGACTTCAGGCTCTATGTACAAGATGACGCTTGTCCATATGCACTGCTACTGAAATTCCTTCATCCAGAGTCATCTCCAGTCTTGTTTATGCTTGTAGCTGATGCAGAGCGCCTCATTTCACATCCACGGACAGATTGGTCCTCTAGATATTATCTTGCTCTCTTTGAAACAATCGTTTCTATAGATAGCTTTGCGTCCTCAGGACTATTGACAAAGCTACCACATAAGCTTTCTCCAATAGCCCTGCCCATTTATGGAAGAGTAGTGTCACGCACTGTTGAGTATTTGCTGCGTACACATAAAACCCAATCAAAGACTTTCTGGAAGCTAGTAGAGATACAATTATCCTGTTTCAGCATTTTCCCTTCTGATGCAGTATTCTTTGAAATGCGGAAGTTTATTGTTCAACATGGAAAGGCATCTATCTTCATTAGCAGGATGATCAGCACCATTAACCACAAAGCGCTTTCTTCCCAAGATCTGCTTAAGATAATCAAGTTGTACGCGTTATTCCTTATTGAGGGAGATGCACCAACCGCAGGGGTTGTGCGACTTAAGGTTGAAGAGCTGACCCGAGACTTTCCCGCTGCACTCCAGGAGGCACTGCCGCATGAACTTTTCATAAGAGTCTGTTTACGAAGTCACATTAACATCAGCAAAGAGGTGCTCTGTCAGTTTTTATTGAGTGTGACATCCCTTGCTCCTGGAGATGAGCAAATTAAAGACTGCACGATCGGGCTTTTCAAGGACTTTCTCACAACATCCATGGATACTCACTGCTACTATAGCGATCTTTGTTGCGGTGTCCCAGCTAATAGCAAAGTTATTTTGTTTCCCTTAGGGCCTCTTCTGCTTGCTATCAACAATACCTTCGGAACCAATTTACACCAGAAGGAGTATGCCCTACTATTCAAATTCTTCTTTGGTGGCGCTGATCGAGACACCGCACAAGTTGTTTATGCACAGCTAGAGCCTTTGCTATCAAAGTATACAGCCTTATTTTCAAGCGCTCTGGTCCCTGGAATGCTTGGGAGCGAATCGCAAGAGTACGCTCCTCTCAGCGTCTTACACTTTCTGTTTGTCCAGGGAGGCCTGGATTGCTTTACAACGTCTTTGCAGGAAGCCGAATCCAACGGAAGTATTATTTCAAAGTTTCACATAAATGAGATGATTACGTTGCAGCTACTCACCTTAGGTTCTTGCCTATTCACACACCTTCCAGATACTTATTTAGACATACTCTGTGCAAAGTTTGTTGATGAGTGCATCGACAACTGTAACTTCCAGGCTATAATATTGGCTACCAACAAAGCATTCGTGTCCTATTCTCTATCGATTAGTATAGATACGTCCACTGTGGATATCCCCATCCGTATAGGGCGCATGCTTGGGTACTTCATTAAGTATTCCTATAGTGCGTATCAGACAGTGGAGAACGACGAGCTTCTTGGCATAATAATTGGTCTGCTGAACTTCTTCATACTCTGTAAGAACTCCAGCTCTCTTGTCCTCTTTGTGGATGAGCCACGCCGAAGTATTTCAGAGCAAGATGTAAAGCAGGTTGTTTCCGATGCAGGATACCGTATTTCTCAGATTTTAAATTACATATTCGAAGGTGCAAATACAACTGATCAGGGCGCAAATAAGCTGCTTACCGTCTCCTACGTTTTGTCTCCTATTAACTCACAACCACGTGATAGAAGGTTGCGCTCTCCTTTGGGCACTCCAAGCTCAAGTAGCTCTACGGGTACCAGCTCGATGCAGACGGTGACGAGTCCCAACGGAACATCCGTCCTGGTTGGGGACGTATATGTGAAGAGACAGCCCGCGGCTATCAACTCTCCTGCATATCGTATGTTATGGTTGTATACTCCTTTCTTTCTAGAGCTCTTGAATACGCTAGCATCTATTGTCAATATGCCGTTGAAACTGATGCCCACGTGTCTACATGTCCCCATGGGGTGGGTGTCCTTTGGAATTAGTCGACCAAGTGAGATGCACAGCGCTGAGTTCGGCAGGCTACTTACGGAAGAAATATACGTTCCAGTCATAGATCACTATTGTCTTGCAGGAGGCAGAACGTTAAGCTTGGAGCAGTGTGTTGCAGAGAGACCTAGTGAAGGACAGAGTGACGGTGTCCCCTTTGACCCAGCGCAAGAAGTGGTTATTCCTGACACCTCTCGCTTCTCTGTCAACACGATCCTTCCATATCCCATTAGCCCAGGCACGCATGACTACCTCATGTCCCAGCGGTTTACTGTCAGAAGCGAGAATCTCTCAATGCTATTAAGCACCTATCCTATGTCATACATAAGGCGTCTTTTCGGATGCGTAGACTTGTGGAAATCCTTTCTTAAAACAGATCCAACAGAAGCAATGCGTCAACTGGCCGTGGTGCCCTTCTTTGTAACAACTCTAAACTGTAAGACAACATCGGAAAATATCCGCTCTCTCTATTCATCCCTCATTAACACGTTAGAAAAGGAGCTTTCGTTAACTCTTCGGCAGAAGTTTTCTAAGTTACTGACCGACATGGCTACGATGTTGCTTAATAGATTTAAAACAGTGTCAAGGGCTTTCTCCCACAAGCGGCGCTCATATGGTATCGTCAATGGAATTCTCTGCTTCACCCATTGTGCCATGCTGGCCCCTTTTACCGACTCTGTAGCAAATTTTATCATTAGATTTCTCAGGCACCCAAATTGCTTTGATGATCTGGCATGCTACGATAATCTTGTCTCCTACATTCATCTCGCAGAGGGCTTTTATCTGTCGTTCATATCAAGAGATGGAAAGAGTACGATGTCTACAATTAGCCGTAGAATAGGATCTGAAGCCCTCATTTCTTCGATCATGCATATGAAAAGCTCAAGCTGGGAAATACATAACGCATGGATGTCTCTCTTTGGAACCGTGGCAAAGACAACCTTTTATAATACAGGTCTCGACCGGCGAAAACTACTTGATAGACTCAATTCCAGTGCCTTGGAACGTATCGGAAACTCTCTCGAAAGATTTATCTATGCAAAAGGGGCAGATGACTGTACAGTGGAGCAAATACTCAGCGCTGGACTTGTATATGCACACGTTCCTAGCATCCAAAGTGACAACCTGAGGCTCTTCAAATCAGTCATTCATCTTCTATTTTCTTCACACATCTCGCTCCGAGCTCTGGCTGGTAAGATATTTGCTGTTCAATTTGGCGACTCCGTGGAGCAAATGGTAACAGAGGTGCTGTGTTGGCTTAGAACTGCAGATTTTGCCGATGAGTTGACTGATGAGTGGGATGATACAATAGACTATGGAGACAGATACATTGTCTTTAGCTCTTCTATGCTACCGGATCTTAAGTGCAGTCCACTTCCTAGACGTATATGCAGCCTAATGGAATCACGATACAATCGTCAAAAGTATGTTGTTACTCTTTTGGAATCATTATCCTTCGTACTGCATTATGCAGACTGCTCTGGTAATGAGCTATGTTATGGTATTTTAGACCTATTACAGCGATTGAAAGTTTCTGAAGTGGACGTACTAATAATTAGATCGAGAGCCTATTCCTTAGGAACACGGGAGTGAAGGGGTATTTACTCCGACCACTACTGTCTGAGTAAATTCCCCCGTGCACCTCTATCTTGAAGTTTGTGTCCAGGTAGCCAGCGGGCTTTCATAAAGCTCTATTAGCTGTGAGTACATGCTGAGCGATAACTCATGAACTTATGCCAGTAGGGTCAACACCACTGCTCAATCCTTCGATGCAGAGGGCTAAAAATGTATTGTCTGTCCTAGGTACAAAGAAGACAAGAAGTGAACCCTCAGGACCGGCCAGTATGTTTGTTGATGGTGTTCATTTTTATTTTAAAGTGTGGTGTACAATCTGTACCTTCAAATGTAGTTCAGGAAACAGTACAATAATAAGAGTGCCCAGCAAATAGTTAACACGTCGCCAAAGTGCTTGTGAACAAAAATCTCACAACCGAAAAAATGTCTAACAGTGAAAATAGCAGCTCCTCTGGCTTCTTCTCAGATGATGAAGATGCGTACAGACGGGACTACCAGTTAGAAAGAGAATATCAAGCAGATGATTTAGCCAGAGGAGGGCTTAAGCTTGACACTGTCGGATCTGAGAAAAGGCCAGAGCCAGAGGAGAAGCAACCGGAGGTAGTTCGCCAAACAAATCAGGCATTTCTGCACTCATCTAAGTTCACGGGTGTTAGTGGAATGATCAACGATAACGTTGTTCGATCTTTGGATGAATCATTGAAAGATATTCTAAAGAAAGTTGACTCTGGCCCAGAACAGCCACTACCCAACGGGAGATTTAGCCGACTCGGCCGAGGGCGGGCCCCAGCCAATGACCAAACTTCAATGGCAGATAGAATATTAACAAACGTCCAGAGAACTACTGCATATGCTGCGACACAGTTGAAACCAATTGTGCTACCACGTGCTGGGAAGATAGCTACTAATACTACGTCAGAAGCTAAATACGCGCCCAACGTTGATCACTCTCCGCCCGTTGCTTCCCCTGCTACTTCTACAGCCACTTTATCTTCTCTCTCCAATGAGCAGCAGAAATTATCAAATAATATAGCCGTGACAGAGACTGCACATGCCTTTAAGCATGATCATTCTGATCTCAAGGGTGCGCTCACAGAGAATACCGAACCAACAGGCACAAGCAATTATCATAACTTTGATAGTACCGAGGAGGCAGGCCTTCTTATCACAGAGCTGACCATGGATCCCCTTGGATTTGAGGCAGAGCAGGAGGACTCATGCCCACAGTCTTGTCAGCTCAATGAGATGCAATTCAAAACCTTAGTGGACACAGACCCATACTCCTTGTCAGTGGAAAAAGATATCCATCCTCTTTCTGATAAAATGGTGCGAAATAACACCCTCTTGATGTTCTGTTACAATATCGAGTTGATGCCCCAGGCCGATGATATTGCGCTACTATGGGGGAAGGTGCTAACCACTCCAGAAGACGGTAAAAAGTTTAATGCCACTAACCCCTATGTCAATCGAGCCCAGAGCGCTTGTGTAGTTGTTAAGGGTCTGCGGCGCATCTTTTATATTCTTCCCCATGGTCCTATTGAGAATTGCGATACAAAGACTATGACCTCAGATGAAATTAATGCTCTATTTGAGCGAGTCTATGCTAAAGTACCAGATCCCACGTATAATGACGAGATAGATTACATGTGCTTAGATCAACCCATCCTCCCGGATGACACACAGCGTCACCAGGCGGATCTTGTCAACATAAGCGTCTTTCTAAAACTGAAAGCGGATATCCTTGAAGTACTGCAGAAACATGGCATTAATTCCAGTACGGTTACCGTAAGGCCTGTGTGGAGGCGCTATGTGTTCAACGAGCGCACTCTTCCTAGACACCCTAGGGTTTGGATCGAAGTGACTTATCCCGCCAACAAACCCCCAGTGAGCCCGATGTTCTTTGGACCACAGGTACTTGGTGTTCGGAAGGATGTAGGTGATGCGGCCGCTGCCAATTTGCAGTTCGATATCGGTGTAGAAGCAGTTGTCGGGCACACCATCTCTCCACTAGAGTACTGGTTGGCTAAGACACGCATTTCAGGACCAATGTGGCTCCATGTCACTCAGATAGACTGGGACTTCTACAAAGCTCGTACTCAAGCAATCTCGGCACTTATTAAGCAGCATCCGAAGCTCACCCTCCCTCAAGCTATATCCCTATATTCAGATAGTAGGAGTTGCACGCTGGTCTATCACGAATTCCATACGAGCCTACAGCAATCTCAATCTGATTCTGTTATACGGCCTATCTACAAGTTTGGCACCAAAAAGGATCAGAATACGACACCGCTACCGCTGTTATCTGTGTGTACGGTGCAGGTGCGCTACATTCCAGAGGCTAGTCGAGTGCAGCCCTCCTCAAAAACAGGAAAGAACATAGCACCCGTAGTCAAAAATGTTGCCACGACGATCACAGTCACGTACCATCCAGGGTATTCTGCAGAGGGGGCCAGTTTCCAGACGGAGCTCCTTACACAGACGCATATCCTGGCGCGGAAGCTTGTCCACATAAACATGCCGTCCGACAGCAGCCACATTGTCCCACTATCTAAACTAAGTTACGATTCACTTAACAAGGAACCCCTAAGCGACTCTGCGACGATCAGCATACGCATAAAGTTGGTAGACAAAGAGCTCCAGCTTTACGAGGAGCTTTCTAAGGTTTTGATGCATTTTAATCCGGATATCATAATGGGCCACAACATTTACTTTCACCTTTACAACACCATGTGGCACTCTCGGTCGTGCCTTACAACGGACTCCTTTAAAAACACAATCCTAGCTGGGCTTTCACGGCTCAATCCCAGAATTTTACGGATTGAAAATTTATTCAAGACGTTTCAGGCAGCTCGGAGCAGCTGGCATGTGATGAACACTATCCATGGACGCTTACTTATGGACTTAGAGAGGGGCATCAGTGAGTTCTCTACTGACACTAAGCTTACAACAATCGACTATGCAGCATCGTCTCTTCTTAAGAGGGACCTTACGTTAACGCCTCCTTCCCATTTAGGGTCAAAGCTTAAAGCCGGGGCGCAATTCAAAACCCAGGTGATACCAGAATTGATTGCTGAAATCCTAGCTCTCATCGGAATTGCAAATGCGCTAAATTATATTCCACTTACCTGCCGAATCTCTCAGCTAACTGCTCTGCCTTGGCAGCTTGTGTGTTCAATTGGCCGTGCCAGACGAGCAGAGAGCCTTATATTGTATAACTTCTTTGTAATGCCGTACATACTTCCTGACACGGAGTATAAGACACATGAGCAAAGTGCTAAAAGTCACGACGAGTTCAGGCCAAAGGATGATACAGCCGCTGATGCAACTGAGGAAGCTCGGCATGGGGCTGGGTATGAGGGTGGCTATGTTATGGATCCTGTAGCAGGATTTCATGATAAAATAGTAATAGTATTGGATTTTAATAGTCTCTATCCAAATATCATTCGTGAGTACAGTCTATGCTTTACAACCCTAGATCCTCAAAACTACGTCACTTGGCCCGATCCCACCAATACTACCGACGACCCATCGGGTTTAATCCACTTACACGCAGATCCACAGGATACCTGGAACCAGACGATAGAGGAAGAGGTTCGTGCCTCTAAGCAAATTAGTCACACAGTTATTCTGCCGAAGATTATTGCACGGCTTATCACACAGAGACAGGCCATAAAGAGAAAAATCAAGGACCTCGAAGCCATGCAAGTTAAGGATGATAAGACAATCAGCCAACGCCTGAAGATGTTGGAGATTTCACAGCTTGCTATCAAGCTGTGCGCCAATGCCATGTATGGCTCTCTAGGTTATCAGTACGGACGATTCTATTGTCCTCACGTAGCAGCTCGCATTCCGGCCAGAGGCAGGCTGGAATTGACTCGAGCCAGCAACATAGCAAAGCAGCAAGGATATCAAGTCATTTATGGAGACACAGATTCCATCATGATCAAAACAAATATTGAATACAACAAATCAGAGAAACACAAAATTATGGCTCAAGTCAAGGCAATAGCCACAACTATCAGCAGTAGAGTGGGAGAAGATCGGAAGTACCTTCAGCTAGGCCTAGATTATATCTTTATAAAATATCTACTTCTTCAGAAGAAAAAGTACGCTGCAACGCGCCTGTTTCCAGACTTCTCTGTTGCACTGGAGTACAAGGGGCTAGACCTTGTCCGCAGAGATTGGTGTCCTATTTCCAGAACTATCTCCAAGCGGGCCCTGGAAATCATAATGGGCTATCCTCAAAATGTGATTGCCAGCAACCTACTCAATATGCTTGTAGCCTCCTACAAAGATATATTAGCCTCCCGCACACCTGCTCGCGAGCTCAAATACGCCCAGCAGTTCAAAATGACCAAATCTCTGACCAAGCAACTCCACCAGTACTCTGCCACTGCCGTTACTCAGTTGCCGCACGTCTTTGTGGCAAGGGAACTACAACGGGTTGGTAAGCCTGTTAGAATAGGGGATATTATTGAATACCTTGTCCTAAGCAATAAGGGTATCTCGGCATTGCAGGTAGCAATGGGTAAGGATAGTAAGCAGGCTGCCTTTAACGATGCCCCAGATCTGAAGCAGGCCTCTGTAAGTTCCAGTGGAGATATCGCACGCAGATCCATACCATTTGAATACTACTCTCAGTATCTTTCAGGCTGTCCACTTGTTAATGTCCTGGACATTGAGTGGTACATCAAGAGCCAAATAATTCCCCCATTACAGCGTGTATGTAGCTATGTACCCGATCTCTCCGCAGGCCAGCTTGCTGAGTGCTTTGGACTAGACTCTCGGGACTATATTGCAGATACTGTATCTGAAGAGCAACTCACTGGCTTCAATAGGCAAGAGTACAGTATTGAAGTGCGGCGTCGGTATGGATCCTGCTGCTGCTTCATATACCATTGTGCCTGCGGAAACCCGAAATCTGTTACTGCATGGCCTCCGCCGCTCAGAGACTATCGCTCATCTGAAGAAGTTATAGTTACGCCACACCCAGACCTTGAAACACCGTCAAACGCATTCAGAAAGGAAAAGGCGATCCAGGGTGACGAGCCTCTTCTTTCCCCACTGGACTTCGATGTCCTACGCTGTGGATGCCGCCTAAATTTGGGCTGTTTTGTGTCATCGCTCCATAAGCAGCTCGCACAGATGTTTAGGCTTTATGAAGCACAGCTTTCGTACTGTGTGCATCAAACGTGTCCCTTGTACCTTACGGAAGAAGTACGGAGAAAGATTTATCCGGGATGCTACACAAGCCAGCTAGACGCTTACAATATACAGTATAAGAAATATGCGATCGCCACCCTTTCTGGCAAAGACTGCGGAGTCCCTGGCTGTGGCGGGATGCTAGTTCCTGTCTTCACGTCCTCCATGCTACGTGACCAGTTACTTTTCTTTTCTCTTCTCTTTGATCTAACGTCAGTTCTCTATACTGTGCCAGACAAAGCGGTACCTTTTCAGAGTGACCCTGGGGATAGACTGCGAACGATATTCAACGAGGGCGCCCGATTAATTAATAGCTACATAGAGAAGAACGATTATATAAATATCGATCTTGCAGACCATATTGAGTCCATCTTCGCGGCCTTGGCGGGCCCGCAAAGAGTGTCAACGCAGTGATCCAACAGCCTTAATTTACAGCCCTCAGTTACAGTGCGTAAGTCTACTCAGTACTCTGCACAATCCGGTCACACTACAATCTCATCGTTGCTCCCTGAGTCTTTCAGCGGCGCATTCTCCCGGGAAACTTGGTCTGTGGAGGACTTCTCAATCCCCCTCTTTGCCTTGGGGCTCTTGGTGTCTCTAGCGTTTTCGTATAGGCCTTGCTCATATTTCTTCGCATTCTTAATCCCAAAGACCCAACCGACAATGATGACCACAATGAGAGCCAAGCTTAGTACTACGCTTAGCCAGTTGGTTGGGGGAGGAGGATCAGCGCAAGCGACTATGGATTTAGCAGCATCCATGATGTTTGTGCACTTCTGCAGATTAGACACCTCCTCAGTGCCACTAAACGTGGTGATGTAAACGGTCGTCGACTGTCGGAACGGATACGTTCGGAGCATGTTGCTGAATGAGTCTAGGGTACGACTATCCTTAACATTAGAGTCCAGAGCGCGCTCAATCTGAATGATGCGGAAATCGGATTTCATTGGCTTCTCCATATTGTAACGCTCTGGAGACTGCACAATGCGCCACCCATCGTCTGTGCTTGGGTCCAGCGTGCGCGAATACCCAACACTATCTGTGGTAAGAATCTGTCCCATATATTCTGCAAAGTTGGCAAATGCAATGAGATAGGAATAAGGGTAGTTCCTGCTTCCGCTCCTAATAAAATAGTCAGACGCTGTAGGCGTGGGGAGACTCTTCGTTTCGTAGATTTCATAGATAAACGACTGGAAAAGCTGTGAAGGCAGCTCATATCCATCTGCGAGTTTCTTGGCCAACTCAGTCACAAGGAATGAAAAATGGTTGTCGTCCTGGATCGCAGGGAAGGGCTTCTTGCCGCCGTTGTCGAAAACTCGAGATATGATCAGCTCCGCATAGTCAGAGCGTGTGATCGAATACCCAAAGGAGCCAGCAAACGTGACGGCGACCGCAGAATACTCGCCATCCATATAGTTAACCTCGTAGGTCAACTCTTGCAGGTACTTATAGAGCTCGTCAGCGTAGGATATCTTATTATCTATCGTTTGCGAGTAGCCCATATAGGTCCCAACCGGAGACACCCCGGACATGAGGGCTACCATGGAGTTTGACGCCACCTCAAAGAAGCTGTTATAGAGGAGAAAGTCTGTGTACTTAGTGTCCGGCACCGCGCGGACAAACTCTGCTGCCAAATCGGAGCTGTACGCATTATTAACGTACGTCTCAAACTCAATTATGTCAGCAACATTGAGATATTGGGACCTTATACGATCCAGGACCTCTCGTATTGTCTTAGCATGTTTTGCGGTCTGGGCTGCAAACAAGCTCACAAAAGGCGAGTTATCAAAGGACGTATTGATCACTTGCATAGGCTTAGGCCACGCTTCCCGTGAAAAGCACGCGCAAGCGAGGAAAAGGAGCCCCACCAGCATGCTCATTTGCAAATAAAGAAATGAAAAATATGCTTTTGAAAATTATTGACCTAAAATAAGATTTCCCCATTTGCTGAACGGAATCGGACCGCATCTCTAGCGCAGTAATGTGAGTCCTTTCAATGAATAGACGTGGATCATTATTTTATTGATTCTGCAAATCTGTCGCAAAAGTCCAATGAGGTACTTTTGCCCATATTGTAAAATACGTCTGAGGCGAGGGACGATGCAAAGCATCATCTCCCATATTAATGGACAGAAGCATCGGTACAATGTCCAAAGGTATTGGTCTGCAGTCCTACCACCTGCATCAAGGCAAAAAAGCCTCTGAGTGCGTCTTTACATGATACATATCGACTTCTGAGGTTTTAAGATCTTGCTAGGAAGTAGGAATCAGCATTGTCGGAGGTCTCACCGGTCCTGCTCGCGCTCTGACCGCATTTCGGCGAGCAATTGTAGCATATTGAGGAACAGGAGCGCGCGTAGCTGCAGGAACTGATGTGACCACAGAAGGAGGTGCCAGTGGCACTGGTATGTTAGTGGATGCTACAGAAAGCGCGAGTGAAGACGCGCTAGAAGGGTAGACAGCTTCGTTGAAAAATGCGACATCTGGCGATGTCTCAGTAGACAGCTTAGATACAAGTGGCTGCACAACGGGCTGTGTACACTGAAGTGGTCCTAGCTCATCTGAGAAAGAAATGTCCGGGCCTGCATGAGTATCAACGCCTTCTGACACATCCTTAAGCCATGAGCTGGATCTGTTATGAGGATATGGGTGATGGAGGATACTGGGAGAGGTGGGCGCCTGTTTAGTGACGGTGAACGGGTTTAGTGAGCCGGTCTGAAGCGGCTGCTGCAAGAATTGGGACTGATTTGTGCTTTGTAACTCCCTGGCACAAGAAGTCTCCATGATGCAGTCTGTTTCTGGATCGAGTGTTCCGAAGAGCTTGCCAAGGCCTGTCGTCGCTTTTTTGCCCAGATTGCTGAGAAGCGTCCCCCCATCCGTCTGTTGCTTGTTCTCACCTGAGCACTCGGACGTCATGCTGGTATTACAAGAGGGAAGAATTTCAGATGCACTGTCATACCCTGGAAGGGCACTTTCAGATATAGTGGAGATGTTGCAAGATTGACGTATTGTTAGAGCTCCTAGAAGAAATACCTTTTCCGAGAGCTGCCGGGATAGTCTATGAGCAATAAACGCCGTTTCAGGCATCGTGTCTCTTCTGGACTTAATATCTGTTCCAATTCTGGTAAGCTCTGACCAGGCATGCATTGCCACAGGTGAAAGTGGAAGTAATATTGCAGAGAACGGGACCGTTGGCACGATTTTCACCGTTCTTACTTTAGGCTCAGGCCAGACAAGCGTAGTTAACGATTGAAGCCCTTTTTTGTCCTTTTTATTGTTAGTGACTCCGATTGCATCTGCCAAATTTGCTGTGGGAAGAATCTCAGCAGGAGGTAGTGACGCCTTCCCAGTTGAGGGTAAGATAGTACAATTATCGTATGCTGATGTGACGAACGGGGTGTTTGTGAATTGCTCGGGGATAATGACCAGTAGCGTATGCAGGAACCGTAGGGCTAGCTCAACGTAGCCACGGGAAAGTATCTCGTGAACTTTGTATGGCAGCAAGTGGGGAAATAGAGTAAGGTTCTGATGAATACTGGAGTCGAAGATGCTTTTGGGTTCAGGCGGAAAGAACCTTCCTCGAACTTTTGCTGCACAATAGAAGTAGGTCGCCATGTGTGTATACTCGACTAGCTCTGCAAGAAGGAGCATCTCTGGAGATATTTGCTGCTTTTCCTTGATGTCCTCGACAAAGACTTGTGTGATAACACGCAAATTGTTGGTTCTGAGTTCGATGGATGATGTGGATGCCATAAGCTTTTGTCTGTGAAGAGGCTGTTGAGGATTAATAAACATTGCCTGTACCATATGGTTTGGCAGGGCTGTAGCAGGTTTAAAATTAAGGAGGGCACTTACAGATGCGTGTAAAAGATTTGCATTGTTTTGAATAAATGTGGTGTAAGATCCTGGTTCTAAGATATATCCAAGAGCAATGCCAGAGAGCTGTGCTTCGAGTATGTAGCCGTGGAGTAGCAACTTAAGAAAATAGCGCCTCTGCATACCTAGGAAATCTGGATTCCAGCTTCCCTTGGGGGCACGTATTATTGTCTTGATAAACCAAAGAAGCACCGCGGGCCAGGCGTCAATATCACTGGTCTGCACACCAGAGGAGGAGAGGGATGGGAGTATGTCATTAAGAAACCGAAGCACTGTGGGGGACACGCTTTTGCTAGCACTGAAGAGTTGAGTAATCCAGACATTGTTTGAGCAGGAAAATGCTAAAAGGTATGCATTGTAGTAGTCGCGCGTGTTTATTAGGAAATCAAACGTCTCTTGTATAGAATGTGAGCTCATATAGTCCTCGAGGGTAGTATCTGGGGCTTGCTGGGTAGAATGTGGCCAAGTCATGGTTGCAGTTAGTGTAGAAGAACTAGAGTGTGCCTGCGCTAACTCTAGCTCACGTAACTCCTGCAGAAAAGGTGAGGCATCGGGAAGAAACAGCGACTGGTAATTGTCGTCAGTCGAGATGAGTTCCAGCCGAAAGCGGATGGCAAGATACAAAAGCCGGTGCTGCGGTGTCTCACAAAAGCTCAGAATGCTGTCGATGTACCTACAAACGGCCAGTGGATTTGTGGAGGGAAGCAGAGGGAAAATGGCATCTGGCAGCGAGACATTGAGGACAGGAGCAGGCTGGACTGCAATGCCGAACGTTGCTGAGATCGGTTGATGGATGGGTTTCTCCGGTTTCAAAGTATCTGATGCTCCCCTCAAAGGCTTGTCTGATGCCAACGTAACATCGGAGGATGGCAAGAGATTCGGCTGAGCTAGAGGAAGGGGAGTGAGTATCCCCGAGTTGAGGTTAGAGTTAGTGGGTTTTGCAGTGGAAATCGAGGAATCTTTCTGGTCGGCATTTACGGATACCGGGCTGCCCACGGGTATCTTAAGTCGTCTCCGGCCTCTTCCTGATCCCTGTTGCTGCTGACTTCGAACAGCGCCGCTCATTATCGGCCTTCCAATTAAAGGACAATTTACCCTTTCTGGGATAGTTTAATTTAAGAGTGTCAATGCAGAACTTATAGAAGCACCTAACATGCACTTTTCTTTAGGCGGACGCTCTACAGAGGTAGTGGCAATAGAAAGAGCATCTCCAAGTAGCAGATCGAGCTGGCGAAGCGGTGAGGTTGATCCTCTCACAGAGAGGTTCATCTCTTTGGCGATCTGTGTGATTTTTTTAATGTGCCCACTTATCTGCTCCATCCGCTCCCTCTTTTCTAGGTGAATTTCTGCGTCGTGTTTTGCGTGCAGTTCAGAGAGCTTTTCCTGTGATTGACTCAGTAGCGTCGACAGTCCCTTAGCCCCAGAAGCCATGTATGTGGTAGAGAGAACGTCCAAATCTGTAAATAACTTACTACTAAGAACAGGGATGTCTAGGAGAGGAGCAAGGCATGCATCACTCGCTAATTGTGGAACCTCTTGGTCTCGAACTGTCTTCAGAAGGTCCTTGCTTGCACAGCTATCTGCAAGGGAAGTGACTATCGACCTCTCGTTTTGGTCAAGTGTCGCCTTCTCAGGGGCGATCATATCTTCCAATATTGGGATGTGGACTAGGGCTCGATCGATAAGTGTGATGCACTCGGTAACAAAATCTGTAACACCCTGGATGTCATCTTCAATAGAGCGGTAGAGCTCGTCTATCGATTCAAGCCGTCTTGTGACACTGTCATCGGAGTAGAACAAGCTCTTTGTAGATGTTTCCTCTGCAAGTGCATCTATGCTATCTAAGACACCGATTAGCTCTGTGTACTTAGAGTCAAGCGGCTCGCACAGAGCAGTAGCTGCCTTTGATAGTTTGCTTGCACAATCTAAGAGATAGTTATGAACGTAGACACTGATAGTACTGACGGTGGATGTTAAATAAAGAGCGTGTGCAGATCTAAAGTTCTCTTCCCAGGCGAGAAATTGCTGATAGAATTGAGAGATGACTCCTTTGCTGGTACCTATCGAAGGGACCTCCTGACGGATCTCTTGCTCGATGGATGTCAACGTCTTCTTAATGGAGATAGCTTGCGTAGCCAAGTAACTTTGCTCAATGTTAAGCTGATCTTGAAAGTCTTGCATAGAAAGTATTGATGTTAGAAAATAGTTATCCCGATGCTTAAGGATCCGCAAACATGCCTCTAAATTGATAATTGCATCTGCTTTAAATTTATTTTCATTGAGCACCCCGTTGTTGAGCAACTGTGCAAGGCTGGAATGTTCAGATGCCGTAAACGCCTTCGAATACTGATAGCACACCGCATTGGTGATTGCATTTTTAGTCATGGACAGTATTGCAGAGATGTCTTTGGTTATCTTGGAGTTCAATGAAGACGATCCCAGGGTTTTATGAGAATCATTTATTGTGCTGATCCGCAAGGAAGGATCCGCTTCAAAAAGGTCGCTGCAAAAGAGAAAAATCTGGCTGACGTTGGATAAGCTTGTATCAGCTTGGTAGCTGGAGTACAAATAGGCGATATATTGCTGGAGTAAAATGGTCTTTGTTTGCTCCAACCCTTCGGATATCTTTGTATGGTCATCAAATAATCTAGATGATAGTGTATTAGAAATGTCCTCGTCTGGCACACTTTTCAGAGCAGCAAGAGTGTTGGCAATGTGATATTTCGCGTTAAATATTTGAAGCATAGTATCGATAGCAAGTGCCTTGTATCCAATGCAATTAGGAGAGAGTGAAAGCGATAGAAACAGCTCCTCGAATGCAGGCTTAATACGCTCATAGGCTCTTTCTGTACTTTCTACTACCGGGTTAGCACATCCGAGATAAATATCGAGGAAATGGATGATATCGGCCTTAGGAAATTCGGAAAGCTTGCTAGCAAAAGTTCGCATAGCAGCACAAACCTGTTTGCCAAGTCCCGCCAGACTGAAACTAACAACAGTGGAAAGCTTATCCTGCTCCATGATGGTCAATACCCGTGCTGTGAAAAGACGCATGTAGAGGCTCAAATGAAAACACTCCTCAGAAAATATGATATATTCTTGACCTAACTTGGTCGAGATTATGCTGTGCCGCTCCAGAATTTCTTTTGAACAATCCTTAAAAAGAAAGTCAGCCGATAATAGTGATTGGTCGTTGCCTTTTTCGGTAGATGATTGGAAGTTCTCTCTCACCGCGTTGCTCCAGCCCATACAATTCTTATTGTAGGCCGCCTCTAGTCTGCGACCATGACAATAAAGTGAGCTGACAGAGCGTAGGAGGCGGCTCTTTTCTAGAATGAGCCTACGCAGCTCTTGCTCAGACACGTGCACAAGCTTACAAACGAGGCTCGCATACAAGTTTGGATGAAGAATCTTCCCAAGCGAGTCTCCAATACTCTCCTGCAATGTATTTATCTGCTCCTCAGTTTCTCTTATTGCTTCGCGAATGATGTTCAGCTCCTCGGTTGTACGAGTTTTGGGCAAAATAGAAGCGGGCACGACAGACCTGTCCATCAGTTCTGGTTCTGACAAAATCATTGCATAGAGTGGAGATAGATCTGGAAGGCCTTGCTGTAGAGCCTTTACCTTCTCGCCTACTGTATGTATGAACCTGTGTCGCGAAGATTCTAAGGATTCGGTCAACTTATGCAGATTTTCACAAATACGTGACTCAATGGTCTGTTGCATAATACGTTGCTTGGCTGTGGTTATAGAAGCCTCGAGTGCTCGTATCTGTGCATCAAGGTGGACCAAAGAGGAGTTTTCTGTGGAAGAAGCCTTCACTGTTGCAATCGCCGATGAGCACGTGGTTGCAGGGGAAATTTCCTTCAATAACTCACCTGTGTTTGATATCAGTTCATTAATTTCACTAATCTCGTCAGCGACTTTCCGCCCAAGCTGCACAACTCCCTGCATTTTCTTTTATCCCATGTGAGTTTTTCAGCGCAAACTCTGTAGTTAGTGAACATTGACACTAATGTGTGTTCCTTCTATCCCCTAATATGCATGCCTCATACGATTTTACCCGTATTTTCAGTCATGCAGCATAAAATAGTTTTGCCTTAATGACGATTCACTCCACCCTAACTACGTCCAGAGATGTGCTGCTGGGCCCGCCTGAGGCGTGTCCAGAAGCCGCATGGACAGCAAGCCTGGCCCTCTGAGGATGGGGTGGTTGTAGGTAGCAAGCAGGGGCTCCCTCCACTAGTGCAGAGGGACGACCATGGGTCCAGTGCGGTCGTCGGTGCCTCTGTCTCGGGAGTACAACGAAGACTGGAGATCAGACACAACCACCTTGGCAAACAGAGCGGGGATCACCCCAATGACCCACCGAACCCAGAGGCACATACAACACCGCCCACCTCAGCCCCCACCAGGAGCCCCTCCAGCCTCACCGCCCCATACCCCTGCCTCACCCACCAGCCGGCCCACTGAGACCTGCGTGACCGCGACTGTGGGAGCGCTTCCCGGGACACAGCCAGCGGAGAGCCCGATGGCAGCCCCTGACAGATGGGAGCATCTAAAAAGGACAGCGACCAGGGCTTCACCCACCAAGGCGGCAGACCAAGGAGAGGCGCCACTGGTAGAGCGGAGAGCCTGCGAGAAGGCCTGAATCCAAGGCAGATCGGCATGGACATCCAGACAGAGCATATCCTCATGGAGCGGCGAGGAATGCCCAGACTCTGAATATATCACTGGAGGGCACTCCTTGTTATATCATCCATGACCAACGTTTGTCTCCGGACACGGCCAGGAAGGAACGGGTCCACTCGCATGATCTCTGGACCGCTCTCAGATAGCCCCAGCAGCACATTTATATAAGCCATATACAGCAACGCGTTTACTACCTAAGTCACGCCTTCCCCCTGCATATGAACCACCAGCAGAGGAAGCCCACGAGGCCGGCCACGACGACGATGACAGCGACGGAGATCCCCGCTATGGCGCCTGTGCTGAGGCCGCTCCTGTTGGCGCTACCACCGGTGTTATCATCACCACCACTAGTGCCATCTGTTTTAACATAGCAAGTAACAGAGCCACTACCACCAGCTGGAGGAGCGCAGCTTATGCAATTAGGCACACCAACTATTCCGTTGGCACTAGCATCACACTTCACGCAGCTATCCCCGGACTTGTAGTATCCGGGGAGACAAGTTTGACACTGCTGTGGAGAAGCACTTCCCGTGCACTTTGAGCACCCATCCGGACACGCCGGGCAGGAGCCTTGGTTATCTGCTGTTTGCCCGTTGGCACATGTCTGGCACTTTCCATTGGTAGCACTAGAGCAGAGAGTATTACCAGGATACGTTGTTGACTGATAGCACCCACCCGATTGCAGAAAGTATGAACCTGTACACGCAGTACATACCCCATCACCCGGGGTGCATCCAGTTACTGCTCTTGTCGTTGTCGACACACAGACGCCGTCCACTGGAACGTATCCGGCCTTGCACTTGCTGCAGTACTTCGAGCCCCCAACGATGGCCGTGCATTGTCCATCTGCACAGTTCTCTGCGTACTGTCCTGTGCACTCTGGGATGCATGTGCCAGCAGACGCACCGGATGCAGCGTTCAACACAAACCCAGGGTAGCATGCGGTGCAAGTAGTGCTGGTCGCATCTGTGCAGCTGGCGCACGACGAGTGGCAAGGGGTACAGACGTTTTGCTTGTCGTATGTCCCGGCGGGGCAGCTGTCCATGCACTCGTCCTTGAGGGGGCTAAGCTTCTTTTGACTGTCGCACTCAGAGCAGGTGACCTTGACTCCTGCCTCAGGAGCAGGCGTCTTAAGCGTGCACTTTGCGCATTTGTCTATGCCACCGTTTCCGGCTTCACTACAGCCAATACACTTCTTAACACCGCCGACGGTTGTCGGGAAGAAGCCCTCGCCGCATCCTGCTGCCGCGACGCACTCCATAACGCCTCTATCTATTTTCAAGTAGAGGTCTGCGGCGCACTCAGTGCAAACTGCAGGGCCAGCACTCTGTGGCTGAGTGCACTTGGCGCAGTTAGCAATTCCTTTGTAGCTGTTAGCTCCTGTTGTGTCATTGCACTTGATGCACTTGCCCTCTCCACCAGAGGCTGCGCCCAGGAAGTAGCCATCCTTACATGACTTGCACTTGTCTTCTCCACTGCTGGTGCAGGTCAGGCAGTTCTCTGCGCATTGTACCGCTACGCATGTCTTCCCAGTAGAATCCGGGGAGAACCCGTCCACGCATGCTGTGCACGTGGCGGTCTGTGGTGCATTCTCAGTTCCGGCTGCACTGGGAGAGGCGCACGTCTTACAGTTGGCGATCCCCACGTTATTACTGTTACCGACCGTGTCGTTGCATGCTATACAGGGTGGCGTCCCTGCAGCATCAGCAGCTGGATTCTTGAAATATCCCGAGCTGCACGCCTCGCAGACCCCTTGAGTTTGTGACGCCTGCGTGTCCTCGCAAATGAGATTCCCCGGCTCCGTCCCTATCTTGTAGCACCCTCCCCTGTGCAGGAAGAAGCCCTGAGCACACTGGGTGCAAACGCCAGTAGATGGCTGTCCCTCGCATCCGTTGTCTTTGTTATCTGGATAACAGAGTCCGTTGATAAGGTATTCTGCTGCTGTCGAGCACTGGGAGCAGAAGTTTGAGCCCCCAATCCAGACGTCGCACTTTCCTGTTGCGCACTGTCCTGTTTGCGGGTCACTGCTAGCCTCTGTGCATGTCGTTGCTGCCCATACCACTTGCAGGATGGCGATTCCGAAGATGATTTTCTCGAACATTGCCGGCAGCCCATAGAGCACGCAACACCAGGTGACGCTGCCACGTGGTGAGTGAGGATAATGTGCACCCCACAGGCATGCCCCGGTGTAGCGGATCTCTGGTGTCCTAGTGGCCTCTCCTGTGTGTGGCGTCTCTAGGGACCAAGGAGAGAATGGGCGTTGTGACATCTCAAGAACGGCCCCTCGCACATCACCGGTACCTATGACAGTAATCATCACTACGTGGATAGGTCCACTCAAGTAATGAATGCACCCACTGCTATGAAACTGGACCGATGCTCCTCACAAGAGCTGCCTGGATAAAGGAGAGAGCCACCGACAAGCCTCAGCTGTGCTCTGTCCAGGACCACCACACAGGGGCGAGAAGTCGGCTGGCCGTCACTTTTTAGCAATGACACCAACCACTGCCTCTGCTGGGTCCTCCTGGGATGCCTAGAGCGCTCACACATGGATTCTTGTGTGTCCTCCACGGCTATCTGGGCATAGTCGCCACGGTCTCTCGTAGTTCTGTTCCCTACTGTTACAGGCCACATGCTAGCCGCCTACACAGTACTAGAGCAGCTGTAGACAAGACCTAGGCGGATCGATGAACCAGTGTGTCTGGCTTCCCCTCTGGCTGTATCTTCTATTCAGTTCAACACTCTCAGATAGCATCCTTTACATAACAGATTTTGTTAAGCACATGGATCCATTCTTAACCTTCCACTGTTACTACAGACGACCGAGCTGTTTGGCTGGCGTATGCCTCTGTAGACGGTGTTATTCTAAACTATACAATTTACAGGGGTAGGCAGAGAGTATGAGGACTGAAGAGAAGGGAACTCAGATAGAGTCCTAGCTCAGCGGGATAGTGTCATCGTGGTCACGTTATCAATGAGTGGCAGGCTTGCACATATAGAAACCCTTTGGTACATATTGTGCTACACTTTATGAAAAACGCTAAATGCTCGGCCTTCTGCCGCTGGCTCTCCTTGCTTCTCTTTGCAAAAGTTCAAGAGATGTGTATTACAACAAGTTCGGCGTGGGATGTGATGGCAAGCAGGAGAATTGCGCCCAGGATAGATGTATCTTACTAGGATCAGATCAATTGTGCACCCAGTGCGTTCCTGGGTATGTTCCAATAGATGGAAAATGCCAGAAATACCCAGGAGCTAGCTCCTCTCCGTGCACTCCGGATGACCCTGCATCGCCGACTCGGTGTATTGCATGCAAACAGGAAACAAACATATTTTTATTCTATGGCAGCTGCTATACAATTACAACAGCACAGGACAGAAATCTGGGCAATTTTTTGTGCTCTGAAGCATCGAATGGTGTGTGTACTGAATGCTTTGAAAGTAAGTTTGAAAGGTATGTCTTTACCAATCCAGATGTGGGTGCAGTTGAGAAGTGCATTCTGTGCTCCGATACGGTCGGGTTCAATGGGTACAAGGGCGCCTCTGGGTGCTCAGACTGCCTTCCCCCCATCACTGATAAAATAGGCATCGCTCTGTGTGTTAGGTGTCACTATACTACCGAGGATAGACATTTTTATCCGATTGACTATCAATGCCAAGCCAAAGGGCCTCACAATTGCGTCAATGGTTACTGCACGTCATGCTACAAGACACATTTACTTTATAAGCTTGGATGTTATAGTCGGCACAGTTCAACCGGACTTGCCATCTGTGTAGAAGCCAACCAGTACGAACTAGATAATGTTACTATCTGCAAAGAGTGCGCAAATGCATCATACGCACCCAGGAACGGAGCATGCATTCTTATCAAGGAAAATCCATCTATTGAAGAGATCGCTTTTAAGTGCACAAAGGATCCAACTAAGGGACTATACACGGCCTGTCCCGCTTCTGCGAAGTCCTTCCTCTTCTACGGCGGCTGCTACGACGAGGACGCCCATATTAGCTCAAGACTCTGTTCAAGAATTGGATCAAATGCCTGTGAACAATGGAATAGTGCTTTCAAATGGATCTTCTCTAAGAATGGCGATAACAATAAAAATGGATATCTGTGTGGCGATATTACAAACGGTGGCATCTCTGGCTGTGCTACGTGTAACTATGCCAGCGGTGCTGTCACTTGCACGCGGTGCTCGGCAGGGTACCTAGGAGTGGACGGGAAGTCCTGCAGTGAAAGCTGCAGCGGAGACACCCAAGGAGCATGCACAGAGATAGTAGAAAAGAGTAGCTCAACCAAGATACTGTCGTGCCGGTGCATCTGCAGGATGGGCCTCTACAACAGCTCCGGAACCTGCACACCATGTACGGACTCGTGCGCTGTCTGCAAGGATGGCACACTAACCGGCTGCCAGCAGTGCAGCCCTGGCAAGATCCTAAGCTTCTCGATCGCCTCCAGCGAGAGTGCAGACTGCGTTAGCCAGTGTTCTGTTGGTAGTGAGTGTGCAGAGTGCGGCATCACCATCGACGGCAGCAGGTACTGCACGCGCTGCAAGGACGCAAGCACGTATCCGTTCAACGGGGTGTGTATTCTGAACACACAAAGGGACGCGTACTGCACCAGCAAGGCGAACGGTGTCTGTACCACCTGTTCCTCTAGTGCCTTCCTGATGAACGGGGGCTGCTACACAAAGGCACACTATCCAGGAAGCACTATTTGTGATAAGCAGTCAAACGGAAAGTGCACAACGACCAAGAAGGGGTACGGGATATCGCCCGATGGAAAGCTGCTGGAGTGCGATCCGACATGTCTGGCGTGCACCGCCCCTGGCCCCGGCCGCTGCACCAGGTGCCCCTCTGACAAGCTCCTGAAGAGGGCCTCGGGTGCCACCACCGGAAGCTGCGTCGACCCCGGCGCCTGTGTGGACGGGTACTACGCAGACGGAGACGCGTGCCTGCCCTGCGCCACTCCGGGGTGCAAGGCCTGCGGGCATGCCTCCTTCTGCACAGAGTGCGCGGGGGAGCTCTTCGTGAGCCTGGACGGGCAGTCGTGCCTGGAGGAGTGCACCGGGGACAAGGTGGTGGGAGAGGTGCCCGGCGGCGTGCGGAGGTGCTGGTGCGAGCGGGGCTTCCTACCGGCACTGGACAGATCCGAGTGTGTGCTCCCAATCGAGTGTCCTCCTGACATGCCGTCGTGTGCTGCCTGCAATGAGTCGGGTAACTGCCTCTCGTGTGTCACTTCGGGCCACAACGTCCAAGTAGACCAGCGGACGTGTGCAGAGGGGTGCGGTGCCAGGGCCTCATCGAACCAGGGGGTGTGCATGTGCGAGTTCGACGCGGTTCTCACGAAGGACATCTGTGTCTCAGCCAAGGAGCTGGCCAAGAAGAGAACGGCGGCGATCGCAGGAGGGACGGTGGCCGGGGTCATTGTGATTGGGAGCCTGGTTGGCTTCCTGTGCTGGTAGTTCCTTTGTAGAGGCAAGCGCATCAGCTCCTCCACGAGCGTCACATCGCTCATTCACTCCAAGTCTATGTAATGGCCGCATAAGCTTGCCGGCGTGTGCGTGCACTGTGAGGTGGTGCTTATTGCATACCGGACATCATGCCCCACGGCAATGCTATGTGAATGACTTTTGCATTATTGGCTTATCAGTCTGCCTTATCGCGGTCCCACTGTGTGCAGAGGAGTGTGCCTGCTGGCTGTTCTTCCAAGCAGCGTCCGTTCTATCGTGACACAGCAGGAGAGGAGCCACTCACTTACTCTGTTTCACTGAATTTAGCTTGTCAACTGCTGTCCGAACAGGTTTTCCATGCGAGTCATCGCCTCCCTGAGCATGCTTCCCGCTCACCGTCCGAGACCCGAGAACCGGATGTCCTAGATCCCCGTGGGAGAAGAAGAAGGTTTGCCCTATCCTCTTGGGATCTGTTGTGCTTCTCGCAGTGTTTTCTAAGACCTCCCCTTCCTCCGGCCGATTAGGGTAGCCAGGACTCAGTCTGCTTCTGTCAGCCAAGCACCCCAAGGATCCCGACTTGCCTGTCGAGGGATTCACATGAGTCACGTGTGGGTCCATCTCAACCAGCGTGGCGAGTGATTAGTACCATCACTGGCTTCAGCCCTCCGTTGCCCTGGGGGCTCCTTCGACCGGCCAGGAAGAAGGCCTCCTGCTCCTCAGTGCTCCCACACCCAGTGTTGACCGTCGAGCCATAGCACCTCATTAGTTTTATCACATCACTGTTATCATCACAAAAGATCCGTGCGTTGTAGCATAGATGGTGAGCTTGGAGCTGCTTGCCAGACAGTAGCTGACCCCGCGGGGATTGAGTGAAGGGAATGAAAATTTCTAGAAGGGCAGTGTGAAAGGCGGGACGGTGGCCCTCGAACCGGAAGCACGAAGCTCTCCTTTCCCGCCAGAACTATGGCATCCGAATCTCGGATTTTGGGTTCGGACCTAGGATCTCCTCCAAAATCCCGCCCATCTCTAGGGTATGCGGGACTACTGGGCCCGCCCCACCTCGCTAACCAGAGCTCCGTTTATCTCCTCGATCATACAACATTCCTGTGCGCCCACTTCCAACGGATTGCTAAGGCGCGCAAACCTGGCAATTAACAAGACACGTGTCAAAGGCTCACTGAAGGTCGCAGTAGTTTCTGCTAAATCGTGCAGCAGCGTGTTCGTCAAGCAACCTCAGACGCGTTGGAATGTGGCCCTAGCAATGCTACACTTGATCCCGATACACGTCTGCAAGGAGTACCCAGGCTATAACCCGTGCCCGTGGCCAGCCTTTCACTCGACTGAGGGGCCTCTGAGCTACTCTATCCTCTGTCCGTCGCCCCTGCCTCTCCTATACGTCGTAGCATAGGATATAGCGCCTGCAGCACTTCAGTAGCGAGGTATGTAGGCGTGGCCCTCATCCTTCAGTGTGTGCATAAAAATGTTACTAAAATTCTAAACCATTATGACACGTCCAATCTTTGTTGAGATTGGATGTGAGCACTCTACGGCCAACTCCATCGGCAAGAGCAGGGATGGCTGTGTGCCCATCTGCTTTCTGTTGCCCCTAGTGGGCAATGGCAGATTAGAACCAACCTGCGCCTCTTACTTGGGAACAAGAGGTCTGGTAACGATATATCAACAGACGCTGCTGCGAGATGTCCCTTTATTGCGGACATTATTTAAAAAGAAATTGAAGGCATGGGGCGCTACTGGTCTGGAAGGATAAGGATGCTCCTGCTCGTGGGGCTCCCATGCATTTTGTGTTCGCTGGCGCTAGGCTCTATGCCGCGTAATATTACGGCTGTCAAGCTGCACATAGACCGCTGCAGCAAGGAGGAGAGGAAGTTTGGTGCGTGCGTCTTCGATGAGGCCGCCAGCACCGACTTTAAGATATGGGTCGGTGTCAATATGACCCTCATTCTTTTCGTCCTCTATTACGGCGTCACCCACTCCATCAGCTGGTTTCAATGCTTGAAGGAGCACGGCTGTTGCGATTGCGACAGCTGCGATTGCTGTTGTTACTGTGATTGCGACTGTGACTGTGACTGCTGCGAAAGCTTCGACTGCTACGACGCGTGCACAGACGGTTGCCAGGATCTGGACGGGTTTGTATATTTCTACCTCATGTCAATCGGATTGGGGTACTGTGCTCTCGTTGACCTGATATGCTACTTTGCAATGCCGTTTCTTGTCACCGTTGTTTCACTGGGAAAGTGGTACAGGTCTTCCATGAGCCCTGTGGTCTTCGTGCTAGGCCAGTACAGCGGGTATGCGTCGCTGTGCATGGGCGTGGCGTGGATCCTCACCCTCACCGTCTGCCTCCCGTGTGTGACCTCGCGAAACAAGTGCGTGAGAAGCCTGGCTCCTGTGCTTGGAACCAGTCTTTCCTTCGGGCTCATCTTCGTCATCATCGCCGCCAGCTCCCAGAAGACAATGGAGAAGCTTAAAGTAGCTCATCACTTCGAGAAGTATCAGCTGATGACCTCCGGGCTCATCCTCGCGTTCACCAACGTCGTATGCTATCTCCTTACGTACCTCATCGAGCTGCGCAGAAAGCACATCCAAGAGAGCAACGAGCAGTTTTACGACCTCGACGACGAGTACACTCCTCAGAGCTCGTTCTCTAACGTTACGCAAAGCGGCTCCTATGCGTACGAGCTGACGCGCTCTCCGGCGGAAGTAACTGACCCATATGATGGCTCGACTCTTACTGTGTCCCGTGCACAACTGAGCACCTTCGTATAGTAAACGGAGGCGTAGCCGCGCTGTTGTGTCAACGAGGGCTTGAAGAGTGCTGATGTAGGCCTGTAGGAGACCCGGACCGATCCCTGGAAAAGTCGAGATGGTCGATCAACGCATCCACTGGAGCAGCGGCCCACACTGTGACTACGCGGCGCAAGTGGCTTGGTCGGGACTTCGACGAAGCAGGATCGAGAGCAATGGCCTGGATGGGATACAGCTGGAAATGTATCCTAGGTGTCCACACATCATCCTAGACCCCAACCTCAGGAGAGCGCTGCAGCTCTCTAGCCACATCGTTGGCCCACCGCGGCGAGGTATCTAAGACATGGCCAGCTAACCCCCAACTACAGCCTGCGCATCTGCCCGGACACTAGAGACAGCAGCAGTCAGCCGATTCCGGAGGAGAGAGATGTAGTGGGCCGTGCTATGAGGCCGCAGCTCGTCCAAGCACGGCACGAAAGCAGCTGTCTAGGGGCCATTGTCCAGACCCCAGAATGAGCAATCCGATACGCTCTAGCATCCCTACTACTCACGGTGGTGCTGACGATAGTATCTAGGCTGCTCACAAGGGGGACATCTCATCGCCGACGCCACTCAAGCAAACAACGGCCCGGAGACACGGCATAAGGCAGTGCTCCATCAGCAGAAGAGAGGGGTAGACAGAGCACTTCTTCGGTCAAGGAGCTGCGCGGGGGTACGAAGGACCAGTGCTAGGGAAGACAGCACGGGCCGTTGCAGGTCGCCAGAGATGTTGCAGGCGCGTGGTTGGCAGCCCGAGGGCCCCCACTCTGGCCATTCTGTGACCAGGCTATAGCCCGCGCAGTAACGACAGACGCTGTGTTCCCACCTCAATAATGAGCCTTTAAAAAAAGATCGCAACGACAAGATGCTCCTACAGCACACCCAGAACAGCGCCGCTCTTCGTCTTCCACAAGTCATGATCAACAGCGACTAAGGCGGCCCAACTGGAAGCTCGAGCTGTGGATGCAGACTATCCTTGGGCCGGCACAACCAGGGCGAACAAGAACGCTTGATACCTGGACCAGGGCCCTGGCTGGGCTGCTTCTCCAGCGACGAAGCACCAGGTACTGCCCTTTGGCAAGCCAGTCTGTCTTCAGAAAGTGCCTCGTCCCTGGGGCTATCGCTTTGACCCTCAGCTGTATTCATGGGCTTGCCAGTGCAGCAGGGTGCATTGTATTCCGTCGCTAGAGAGCGCCCTATAGACCCGCTGACGTGGGGAAGGCTGTCCTTCAATTCGCCCATGGGTGCCCCTGTGATAGGGACATATACAGATGCGCGTGAGCCATGCAGCAGATGTCGTTGTCTGGTGCTAATTCAGTGCATAGTGTAACGAGGCTGAAGCGTGTACAATAGAACATCGGCATTGGTCGCTTGCTGCTGAGGCCTTCCCACTGGTGGTGGATTTGAGAGACTTGGCGTCACTGCCACAATCGCTGCATCTACATGGCAAGGCCCTTCCTCGTGGAGCGATCGTGAAGATGCTTCAAGCCACTCTGCCACCCTTCCTTTCGTCGTGTACAGGGGCGTGTAAACACTCTAAACGTGATTAGGCGAGTCGTTTGCTCTGAATCACAAGCCGTCGCCACTGAGGCTGGCTGAATCTAGCGCGAGACCTGGGCTCTCGCTGTGTTCTGACCCTTGGAGCCCTGTCTTGTGCATGCGTGTCCCCTCGTGGCCATCACATCGTTGACTGCGCAGCTTGGGTGCCTTCACAGATATCCAATAGAAGCCGTGCGAGCAACTAGCGCTTTGTTTCCTCCGAGCCGCGGCTAAGACAGGTCGGCTACGGTCCAAAACGCGACCCTTGTGTCTGTTACTCACGCAGCTGTCGCCGGTCCCCAAGTGCGTCAGTGGCCCTGGTAGCAACCAACATCGAGGACCGGGCTGGTAGTGGAACGGTCTTGTCCTCAACCTGTCCACAGGAGACTAGACGCGTAAAGCAGCTTCTGCCCTATGCCTTATCCTACCGGCAGCTCATTAGTGGTCGCTCCTACCCTCGTAGTCTTCTAGAACAGTACCACATATGTCACGCCTTTCAGTGCCGTCGAAGAAGCGACTAGACAGCTCACAGGCATGCACACTGAGACAAGTGTTATGAGTGTTAGTGCTCAGAAAGATAGGATGCCACTTACTTTAGGTCCTGCTGTCTCTCTGCTATTGCCCAGGCTTCTCAATTATGGGACCCTGCAGACGCAATTCACCGAGCTGGGACGCCACACTCCGCAGAACGTTGCTTCTCTCGTCTACTTTAGCTAATAGAGCTATTTCACAAATAGGAGGTCAGCGAGGCCTGCATGACTGCTATATCCTTCCTTCGTGGTGGCCGCTGTCTTGGTACCCCGAACACCCGCCTCTGTGGCCTCGCTTCTCTTGCCTTTAGTACTCCTCGCCCCAGGTTGCAACACTGTACGCAGCACCGAAGAATCACAGGGCACCTCTTGGACTCCTCTAAGCCGGATCCAGCGTCGAGGCGCTTGATGGCTCGCAGGCCTCGCTGAACAACAGACCGTCTGCGCCGCCGATTCACTCCCTCAACACCACAAAATTGCGTGTTTGAGAACAGGTAAATCCCTTTGATGTGAGCTTCCTTATCTTCAGTTCCAGCGGACTACTCTACAGTCCTCAATATCATAGTAAGAGGATCCAGCCTTGCATCAGGAAAAGTACGGATTACCCGCTATGTCAGCCATAAAGAGAATGCGGTCCTCGGTGGGAAGGTAGACAGCTACGGCTGTCGTGTAATTAACAAAGTTCCCGTTGATTAGTATGATGCCGGGGTCGCTGAGGACCCTATTTGCCTCCGGGATGTACCCCACAGAGATCATGTACCTGGCGAGCGCGTTGGAGTCCAGCTCCGGGCAGCTACTTTCTACCTTGGCCGTGGTCAGCTCGACGAGGCCCTTCAGGACGACGTACCCGTACGCCCTGTCACTATTGAAGCCGGCGTTGTACGAGCTCAGATTGAGCGTGCCCAATATGACCGCAACACCCTCAATCTTTGCAAGGGACCTGATTTCGACATCCTTCTGGGCGGTAATGTAAAAAATGCCGTCGAAGTAGACAGGGAACCCGGCCGCCCCGAGCCACGGAACGTGCGGAGCCTTGGCCAACCGGACAGAAAGGCCCAGTTTGACATCGCTCCCGGCGTCGTCCTCTGAGGCCAGAAGCCCCGCCTCCACAAGGGCCTTTGTAAGACCTGGGATGTCTACCTTCCTCAGATCCCTGTACTCAATACTCGGGGCAGACAGGTCGTAGCTGCTGCGGAGGCTCTGCCACGCGTGCAGATACGAGTTTGTCGCCTCCCGGTCGAAGTAGATTTCGTAGTCTCTGTCCGAGTAGACTGCTTTGGGCAAGGGAGAGGATATGTCGACGGGGTAACGCTCAGACGCTGGGGTGTCGGTGCCGGGGTAGCAGATGTACGAGTACCCATCGAGGTCTGCCACAACCTTCCCGCCGAGTATGTTGATTCCGCTGACGTACCGCTGATCTGTCCGATACTCGCCTTTGCGAGACATCGTGGGTACTCCAAGCATTATGTTTTGGATAGAATGTAAGATGGTGTCCAGCATCGATTGGAGGATGGTTGTTCGGAGCAGCGACTCTAACGAGGGAGCCATTGTCTGGAGCGTCATGGCAACGACGCTTCCTATTGTGTCCAGGCCGACGGCATCCACGTCTAACTTGCTTATATAGACCTGATTGGCGAATTCAAACAGCCCGAAGTGAAATGGACAATCGAAGTCTTCTCCGATCCTCGCAGAGAGGTCAGCGCCGAAGCCGTGGAGCGAGAAGATAGCGTCTGCAGCGCCGGACAGGGTGCCGAGGGTAGCCCCAATGCGCATGGACAGCTGCATGAATCCGTCGCGCCCCTCCATTTTGATCCGCCCGCTGCTCTGCAGAAACATTTTCATGGTCGCGAGCTGGACCGCACGGACGCGCACGTTCGACAGTGAGATCCTGAGCCCCCCGAGAGCAATCCCTTCGATTTCAAAGGGAGGCAACTGGGCGAGAATGTCAGGAACAATGCTATATCCCTTCTGGCAGAACTTCTCCAGTCCACGCTCGGTGTATCGCACGCCCATTCCGTGGCCCGGGGGGACTTCGCTGACCACGGGGTCGTTGCATCTGCACAACAGCGCAATGAAGAGGCTTATGGTCAACATAATTCGTTTTCTTTTAGGTTCGTTCCACATGTTGATAAGGAATTGAAAATATGATTTACCCTGAACTGCACACATGTGTGTGCCTGCGCAGGCCAGCGCCAGAGGACAGCTCCTCCAGAGCTAGTAGCACGTGGAGGCACAGCCAGTGTTAGCATGTACCAATGTTCGCTCTCGCTGACGTACTACTGTCAGGGCTCAGCAGGCCGTAGCTTATCTTCGGCGTGCAACGGCTTTTGCGTAGCCCCTTCAAATGTCCCTGGCTCCAGTCTCACCCGGTGTGGTTACTTGCACTTCAAGGGCACTCGCACCGAAGTTTTGTGTCCAGCAAGGGCGGGTTGTAGACTTCCTGACTGTTTCGCTGAGCTCTGGTGTCGTTCACCCGAACTGTAACAGCCAGCACTCACAGATATTGCTAGGGGCCACAAGAGCATAAGTATCCTCAATCGCTGGAGCGATTTCCAATTCCATTTCGCGTGAACACAACGGGTCAATTGCTCTCAAGAGTCTGCGGCCCCCAAGTGAGTGTCGATAGTAACCACACCTGCTTGCTCAGCAGTTCACAGACAAGATTCTGCAGTCAGCAAGGACTACAGTGCCCCTCGTGACTGTGATCTTCGCCCTCAGCAAAGCCTGCCCGCCCATATCCTGCTCTAGCTGGCCGGGCTTCAGCTAGCGGCCTGGACAATTCGATTGCGTGGGCACTACTCCGTAGCTCTCAACTCCCTCACGTATCTTACAAATCCACCAGCTCAGACCAGTGAAGAGACGCACAAAGATGCCAGCCTTATAGTTCGGCAGGTGAGGCGAGCAACACTGCCTCTGGATCTTGGTGTCCTTCTCAGCCGTTCTGGCCTACCTTGGAGGTCCTGCTGCCAGCCAGAAGTGATCCGGCAGACGGTTGCCCTGGGTCCTGTCTGGTTGGCTTCGTCCGATGTCCGCTATCACGTAGGCGATAACGGAGGTTCAGGCTGGTGGGACTTCTCGAGGCACTTCTTGGGTCTGAATGTGCTGGCCCTCATAGATCGGAGGGTCCAATCCCTGTGGGCCTTCATCTTCCACTGCAGTATCCATCTAGGGAATAGCTTGCACATGGTGATGGCCATGTGCTCTTTCGACTCCGCATTGACTAGCCCCTTCCTACTTCATTGCTCTCGTCCAGCGGATACTCCACGCATCTATAGGCAGCATGTCGCCACTCTATTGAGAGTAATGCGGGTCGGCTCCTCCTGCAAGTGATAATCTACCCTCGTCTCCGGACGTAGCCAAGTCGAACGAAAGCTTGCCCGCGAGATTGTTGGCCCATATCCACAGACGATGCCCCGATGGCACAGTGTCGAGAGTAGCCAGCTGGTGAAGTAGACCGCTGTGGGGTATCTGCAGTGGTTGGAAGAACGTCTGCAGAAGGTTCTCTCTAATCATGGACACACAGTACACGACCCGGCTCTGTCATTACAGGATAGAAGAATGCTGCTTCCCATGGGCTTTGATAAGTATGTGGATATTTTATGTCTGTTCAGACGCGCGCTGTGCATGCTTATGGCTCCCCACAAGCAATCCAGCGTCTATGCAGTGAAGCTTCAGGACAAAAGCCGTGGAACTCATACGCTTAGTGCGGCGCTCTTTGAATCTGATAGGCAAGTCGATTTTAGTAATTTACAAGACAAACTAGGCCCTGTCCATTATGCGGAATCATGGCACTCCACCATCCTCATTGGAATGGAATGCCCCAGTAGAGCCGCTTCTTTCGCTCTCTGGCATAACCGACAGCTACCGCGCTCGTCGGCTCAGAATGTTGTCGAGCGCCCAACGGAGAGTTTCTTGTGGTGGGCAACGAACGCCCGAACTGGTCGGTATGCGATTTACATCGTGGACTCGATAGAGAGATGTCCCTGCTGGGGCTTCCTTTCTGATGCCCTCCTGTTTCCTACCAAAGACGTCGCCACGAAAGAAGCCAGCCCCACCTCCGCTGCCCGCATTGGAGATGAGTGTCGCAAGCTTCTTCAGCAGAGATGCAGCGAAGCCAGGGCCAGGCACGGACCGGGCTCATGGAGCCTGGGATGGCGATGTAATCGCTCTACACACACCGGCGGAGGGCCGTGTGCGGGCAGCTAATGGGAGGCCTTGAAGGGGCCGAACATCTCGAAGTGGATGCGGCTATTGGGCACGGACTTGGTCTTGAGCTGCTCCTCCACGGCGGTCATGAAGCCGGTCGGGCCGACGAAGAAGTAGTGCGGATTGGCGTTGTCTGCCTCCAGCTTGGTGAGTTCCGAGATACGGTCAAGGTTGATGCGCCCGGCGAAGTCGTAATCCTCGCCCTCTCTGTCCGTCGCCCTGACCTCGCTCAGAAAGGTCACGACGCGCAGGCTTGGCAGAGCCGTCTCTCTGATCGCGTCAACCTCTTCCTTGAAGGCGCGGACGCGGCTGTTGTGCGCGGCATGGATCCAGAAGATGGGGCGGGCCGTCTCCTTGCCCTCCTTCTGCGCGAGGAACCTGAGCATCGACAGCAGCGGGGTCTGGCCGATGCCGCCGGAGATGAGCACAATCGGCATCGTCTTCTCTGCCGCAAAGTTGATGGCCCCGCTCTGCAGCATTTGGAACTCTTGCGAGGCCTGTGTGTCCGCAGGGGCCTGCTCATCGGCCTCGAGATACCTGAGGAAGAAGTCCCCGTAAGGCGGCGCGACCTCGAGCAGATCGCCAGTGCTCACGTAATCATGGAGATAGCGGGAAACAGTCCCCTTTTCGTCCCTGTGCACCGCGATCTCGTAGTACGCGCTATTCGGCGCCGAAATAATTGAGTACTGGCGAATCTGCTGGTGCTGGAAGTGCTCGGGGCTGCGGACGAAGATAGCAAGGTACTGCCCGGGCCTGTGCTCTACCACGCCGGCGCCCTCCTCAGCCGGGACGAGCCTGAACTTGCAGATGATTTCGTTGACCCTGGTCTTTTCCTCGACGCGGAACGTGCGAGTCTGGCGCCACCCGCCCTTGCAGCCCTCTGTCGCGGCATAGATCTCCTCCTCGCGTTTGATGAAGAGGTCGGCGAGGAATTGGTAGGCCTTGGCCCACTCTGCGAGAATGTCCTTGTCTTTGGTTATGCGATCCTCGATGGTAGCGAGCAGGTGTGCGCCGACAATCTGATACTGCGCAGGTTGGATGCCAAAGCTGGTGTGCTTGTTCGCGACACGCTCGGCGGCAGAGAAGAAGCCCTGCAGCTCGGCCCAGTGCTCTGGCGGCACCGGCAGGCCCTTCCCCTTCAGCTCGTACAGCTCATTGATCCTACGGATATTCAGCGCGTAGGCGACGAGGGAGTCGAGCAGGGCCTTGGGCTGGCGCAGGGTGCGCTGGTGGGCTAGATTGAAGATGTTCTTCAGCTCTTCGTTCTTGGTCAACATGCGCTCGTAGAAGGCGCGAGTAAACTCGATGCCTTGAGCGGCGATGAGGCCGGCGGTCGCCTCCACGGCCCTCAGGGTGTCTTCGGAAAGCGTCATTTGATATTTTAGTAGATCTGTTGAACAGAAGAATGATCGCTTGTGGTGGCGAACATAATCGTGGTTGAAATTAAATGCAAAAGATGTGCCGAAGCGAGTGGACCAGAAAAGCACAGGATCTGGCTAGCGTCACAGGTTAAGGCCAGGATTGAAGGAGAGGGGAGGCTAGGCTGAGCTGACTAGGCCCGCTTCTATTGACTGAGATCGGCCGAGGTGATTCACCCCTCGTCGATTAGCCCCAGTGCTGTGCTGCTGGTCATCGCTTGTGGCCGTGGTCCAGAGACCTCACGAGTAAATTCTTGTCCACTTCTTGGCCATACCCAGAGGCGATGGCTGATTTTGGATAACACAATAGGCGCTCCCTCCGCCAACACATCCAGAATCCGGCACGTTCCTCGGTTGCTCCGTGTGGCGTGGACCCTGTCTGGGTGTGCTTCCAGATCTCTGGCCTTCTCATGGACTCGTGTTGTCTATTAATGGCGCCCTCCTTGGTCTGCCGTCTTAGTGGGCGGACCCAGCCCTGGAAGTAATCGGGGTGGAGTGAATTATCGTCATGTTCACTCATTAAGGACTACAAAAAGCTAGGGGGCTAGAACTCGTCCACGGTGCCTGCAAGCCTTCGGGATCCCGCCATAGTCGAGAGGCTCTTCGGTCCTCGCCGCCGCCGCAGAACGAGCCAGCAGACGAGAGCGACGACCATGATCCCGACGACAGAGGCGGCGACCCCCACAGCAATCGGCACGGAGCTGGCCCTCCTGGCCTGGAGAACGCAAACGCCATCTCTCAGGGTGTACCCACCCACGCAGACACAGTTGTCGCTGCCGTTCTTTACTTGGTTGGGCCCGTTGCACTCAGAAGAGCACGAGGATCCGTCGGCGGAGAGGTACCCGGAGGAGCACGCCGTGCACTTGATTCCGTTGCCGCTCTTGCTACAGGCCTTGCATGCGTCGATGCCGCACGGGGTGCAGGTGTAACTGTCGCTGTTCGCGTAGTACCCGTCGCCGCACTCAGAGGGCTCCACGCAGGATCTGCCGGAGTCGCCGTACCTAATGTAACGGCCCGGGGCGCACGACACGCACCCGTCGGCGCCGGGGCTCATGCAGTCTGCGCAGGCCGGGTCGCAGGGGGTGCAGCTGTTGGTGGTGGTGCTGAGGTAAGACCCTACCCCGCAGCTGCAGCGACAGAGCCCGTCCGTGCAGGTGGGCGTCGTCGGCTGAGAGCACGAGGCGTCGCAAGAGGCCCCGCCTACGGCTGCATACTTGCCGTTCCTGCATCCGACACAGATGGGTATGTCGGACGTGCCAGAGCGGGGGACGCAGCTGGCACAGTCGGCGATCACAGCGGCGCACGAATCGCATCCCAGGTCCTTCTTATAGTATCCCTGCGCTTCGTTACAAGAAGTGCACCTGCCGTTGAAGGCTTCTGTGCACACGGTCCCTCCGACGGGGTCGGTGGTGTTGTAGCAACCGCCCTCGTACAGGAAGACCGTGCGGCCGGGGAAGCCCTGGTTGCAGGCCGCACACATTCCACCGGAGGCGTCCTTTTTACAGTTATACAGCTCGTCGATCGGCCCGCAATTCCCGTTGTGCGGGACCTCGCTGGAGTTGACGCACTTCTTACAGGCCGAGTAGCCGGCTATCTCGAAGAGATCGCCTTCCGCACAGACCTTGTTTCCCACCCCGTTCTTGCTATAGCAGCCCCCTCGATGATAGACGTAATCAGCCGCGCAGTGAGTGCAGTACCCATTCGCGCACCTATTGGCGCCGACATCCGTGCATCGGCCGTCAATCGGGGCCTTGTCGTTAGCGGAGCAGGCAGTGCACTGGATAGCGCTTGCTGGACTACTTGACACGGACTCCTGCGACAGAGGGACACAGACCGCACAGCCGTCTATTCCGACGCTGCTGCCGAAGCCGGCCGTGTCGCCGCACAGAATACACTTTTCGGCGGCGCTCTGCCCCGTGTTCATGAAGACATACCCATGCTCTGTCTCGCAGACGCTGCACGCCCCACCTGAGGCGGTCCTGCAGATGTGCGAGCCCGGCCACTCGCTCTTGCTGTAGCAGCCCCCGTAGAAGAGGAAGATGTCTGTGTCCTCACTAGCGTCCTCGTTCTGGTCTCTACACGCCTTGCAGCGTTGTCCGCCGCTGCTGCCGTTTTCCGAAGTGCAGACGCTCGAGTCTAGAAGTGAGTCTGGATCGTCGGGTCCTACGCATCTGCCATTGATCGGTACCTTCCCAGATTGGCACTCGGTGCAGAGTGTTGCGCCCCGGCCGAATGCGACACACCTGTCCTTCACGCAATCTGACTGATCCTCCGTGCAGGGAACGTAGTAGCTGTTCTTATACGGAGTAGAGCCATCGCCTACCAGGATTGCCTGGCCGATGGCACACGCACCAAAACATAACAATCCCAACATCAGCGATTTTTTGAATATCAATTGTGAACACTCGTCTTTACAATACGTGTGAAGGGCTCCTCTAGTCGGTCGCAACGGGCCACTCGGCGAGGCACTGTGCGCACACCGGGGCCTCTATGTCCAGATACCGGGTGGGGGAGTGGTTAGCACCTGATCTCACCGGCCAGTGTCCGAGCAGGCAACCATCCAGAACACACCGTACTATTCTGGCTCTGGTGCCGACACAGTCCTACTTCGGGAGAATGGCTTTTTCGGGCTTTAACACCCGTCTACCGTGCGCTGATCTGGGACTCGAGGAGCGTTCCTCTGCCTGGGTTGGACTACATGCTTCTTGTCTGGAGTACTGTATCGGGCAACGACTGACATAACTTCTGAGCATCAGGTACCATGAGGGCCTGCGGGCTCCACTCGGAATGCAGCACGGCCTTGAGCCTTATGGAGGATCGCCAAGTGTCTCATGGGCTCAGTCGTGCGGCCAACAATCAGTTCTTTGGTGCAGCTCAGTGAAACAGGCATGCTGGTCTTGTGTATGCAGACGTAGACAGCCTAGCCAGCAGGGATGAGTGCTGGGACAAGGGCCCTATGTGCTGTTGCCCATCGGTGGTCTCTGCCAGAGACGGGGTGTCTCTTGGGCTCTCTGGCTCCTCGGAGGGTGGAATCTATAGGATGGCTCAGGTGTCAGATGCCAGAACAGGGACTGCCCCTATTACTGTCAAGCCTCTGTATTTGTAAGGTGTCTCTGTGGTGGAAAAGAGGATTGTACCGCGAAAAGTAAAGATCACCTATGCAAATAACCGGTGGCTTCCTTGCATGATTCTTAGCACCGCCACTAAGGGAAGCCGATACTTCTGAAACCACATCGCTGTACTCTGTGTCAAGTATTCCCGACGCTTCTGTGGGCTCATCGTCTGCGACATCGTATCCTGGCTGCCTTATGCCCATGTGTGACAGCTCAGTCGGTGTCAAGGCGCCCAGAAACGCCTGATTGCATCGCGGTGGGACAACCAGCTTCTGGACCAGATTCGTTTCTGCGGTCTGAAGGGTCTGGCATATGGTCTTCGCAGCAGACTCTGTTTCCTCTACAATTCTGGCTGCCATGCCACTATCAGCAGCCACGGAGGATTGCAGCAAGTCACGAGGGAGCTTGGTCTCCTTCAAATAGGCAGAGTAGGTCAGTGTCCAAATGTCCCGACGAGGCCACCCTGTCTCTTTCGGACATCACCCGCCAAAATTCTGCCGCCGGCAACCTGGTCAACCTCCTCTTCGCAGACACGATGAGAATCTCGAACTTTATGCTTTTGCTCATCTTCATGATGACGATGCCGCTGATGTTTGTCTGTTACCTGGTCTACATGGCCATCGAGATCGACCCCAAAGGGATTGGAGGCCTGATTGCTCTCTTCATCATCCTGCCGATTGTTGGACTGATCCTGTTTGCCTTTACCCGGCTCCTCTTTTCCTTGCTCAGCATGACAGACCTGCGTGTCAAGAAGATCTCTGAGGTCCTCAACGGAATGAAGGTCGTCAAGCTCTTCGGAATGGAGGATGTCCAAGAGGCGCGAGTGATGAACATCCGCAACAAGGAGATAGGGATGATTTTCCGCTTTGGCATCATTCTCTCCGGCTTTGGTCTTGTCGTCAACGGTGCAGCGCCATTAATGTCCCTCTTCGGGTTCCTCTTCTTCATGACCAGCTCAAGCTTTGACGTTGCCAACGCATACACCGCGGTGTTCGTATACAACATGCTGGGCCTGGTGTTTGTCTTCATGCCACTGATGATGTCCGGGATTTCCGAGTCGAAGATAAGCTCCAAGCACATCCTGACCTTTATAACGCTTCCGCAGCCGGACTACGGGGTCGTCACCCGCGAGAGGTCCTATACCCTTACCAAGGGCGAGACGGTGCCCTACGCAATCAAAACGTCCAACCAGCCCAGCTTCTGCTGGGGCCTGAGGGAGGACTCCATTATACCGCCGCTCCTGGACCCGATGTTCAAGGACAACATGAAGAAGCAGAGGCAGGTCTTGCAGCTCTATCCCCAATTTAAGAAGCACTACGAGAAAAAGGTCAAGGAGTACAAGGCGTGGAAGACAAAGAACCCCTCCGTATCCGTGGACGCCACCGAGGAAGACATCCTGCTGAATCGATTCGACTCCATCGATGTTACCGACAAGGAGGCCGATGCAATGCGCTACATCGACTCGTGAGTCATTGAGTTCGGCCTCCTACCGCCCGACAAGGTGACGTCGTTCGGCGCCTACATTCCCCAGGCCTACTAGGCGTCGCCGGACGATAATCCCTACCAGGTGCTGAAGAAGACGTTCCTGCACCGGATTGTGGTACGGGGTCTCTACGACCTGGCCGCCGAGCAGAACCAAGTGTCGCGCGACCTCAAGAAGTACAGAAAAGACCCTGCCAGGTGCAAGCAGATCATTGACACGCAGCTCGACAAGAACCCCAACCACGTTGATCTGCCTCCACGCATCAAGAACCTCGACCTCAGCATACCGAAGGGCTACCTCGTGGGGATCTGCGGGCCTGTTGGCGCCGGCAAGACCACGCTGTTCTCTGCTCTGCTGGGCGAGCTGCGCCTGGTGAGAGAGCAGCGTGCAAAGCTGGACTCCTACAAGTTTAACAACCTGGAGATCAAGTTCGACTACCAGACCGGCTTAACGCCTCCTACCTCGTTCGTCGAGAAGTACTCGACGGAGGACCCCAGGTTCGACCCGCAGATCCCCCACGTCCACATCTACGGGTCCGTCGCGTACTTTGCCCAGTCGTCCTGCATCTTCTCTGGCACCCTGCGTGACAACATCGTCTTCTACCGGCCCTTCGACCGTGCTCGCTATGAAAAGGTGCTCGACATCTGCTGCCTGATACCCGACCTCAAGCTCTTCAAGGCGGGCGACCTGACAGAGATCGGTGAAAAGGGCGTCTCTCTGTCGGGCGGGCAGAAGGCGCGCGTCGCTCTGGCCCGGGCCGTGTACTCGGGCTGTGACATCCTGCTCCTTGACGACCCCCTCTCCGCCGTCGACTCGCACGTCGGGCAGAGGCTGTGGAACGAGGTCATTTGTGGATTCCTGAAGGAGCAGGGGACCACCGTCTTGATAGCGTCCCACCAGACGCAGTACTTCGGAAACTGCGACCTTGTCATCAGGATCGAGGACGGGGAGATCGTCCACAGCGACACGCCGGACAACCTGATGAACAAGGGCATCGACTTCGGATTTTCCCGCACCACGTCCGTGGCCAGCGGGCTAAACAATGCCGGACGCATCGAGAGCGTGGCGAGCCAGCTCGTTATTCCAACCCAGACCGACGAGGAGAAGAGGCGCGACCTGGCGCTGATGACCGATGACGGCAACGAGGCCAAGGGGAAGCTCATGCTTGCAGAGGCCTTTGCTCAGCAGGGGTCCGTCTCAGGGACGTTCTACAAGCGCTGGTTCAGGTCCGGGTCTCGCTGCAGCCTCCTCTGCTACCTTGTCTTTGTCTTGCTATGGCAGGGATCCACCCAATACCAGGGCGTGTTGATCAATCACTGGGTTAAGGACCAGTATCATTTCAAACTGTCTGACACCGATAAGTCGTACAACTACAAGTACATCGGGATTTACGCCGGAATGACCGTGTCTACGATGCTTATGGCCTACCTGTCGTCTGTCTTCCTCGTCTCGTTCATTAATTCTGCCGCGCGCGCACTCTTCAAGAAGATGCTCCGATCTATCTTCAGATCGCCGATGTCGTTCTTTGACACAACTCCGACGGGGCGGATCCTCAACCGCTTCAGCAAGGACACAGACTCCATGGACATCCAGGTGATGCGGTTCATAAACCAGGCGCTGGGGAATGGCGCGTCACTGGTAGGGATGCTTGTAATGATATGCGTCCTGGCCTGGCCGGCCCTTATAGTCGTCATCCCGACGATCATCCTCTACGCTGTCATCTTCTTCATGTTCCGCCGCGTTGCCCCGCAGGTGAAGCGACTGGAGAGCATAACCAAGTCCCCGGTCATCAACATCTGCACAGAGAGCCTTGGGGCTCTGCCGTCGATTCGTGCGTACAGCTTCGAGTCCCACTTCATCGCCAAGGCCCGGGAGCAGATAACGATCAACTCGTCGGCATACTGGATGCAGATCTCTCTCCCCCGCTGGCTGAGCTTCCGACTGAACGTCATTGGGGCCTTCTTTTGCGGCTTCATCGCTCTTATCAGCTGCGTCATTGCGCCTGTCAACATCGGCGGGATACAGTTCCTTCAGTATGCGGGCCTGATACTGTCGTACTCCTTCAACATCCAAATGATACTCAGTCAGTTCGTCACGGCGTGTGTGCTTCGCGATGGGCATGGGGCTACCCTCTTCAGCTTCCCTCCCGCCCGGTGCTTCTGGACGTGCGCAAGTGACGGCTGTAGTGTGAAATCTGAAAACGCCAAGATATAAACTTAATGTACAGTTTCATCGAGATCGACTATAAGATTAGCAGGGAGCTGCCTGCGCTGGAATCACGTGTGCAAGGATTTACACAGGCCGTTTCTCGGTCTGTAGGGTTTGACCCGGGGCTGGAGAGCCAGGGCACTATTATCCGGCGGGAGATCGAGACGACCCTAATGCGTCTTTTGGAGACGAAGACACATCTGCAGGGCGTGAGTCCGAGCCTAGAGGATGACGCTGATGCTGGCCTTGGCACCGACGAAGGCGCGGATACAGGTGGCGGCACCGGGGTTCACTCCAGCGAAAAGGCTCGTCACCAGGACATGAAGGCGGGAGGGTCGTTAGAGAATGCGAACACCATGCAGCAGACAAAGATCCTCAATGGGTATATTGAAGAATATGTGGCGCTCAAGCAGACAGGTATAAAACTATCCACTCCACGGGTGCGAAGACGATGAGGGAAGAAGGCCAGACGGTTGATTAATGTCCGAACAGCAGACGTGGGGTTGCGCCGAGACCATCCCTTCTGTCGGCTAGTGACTGCAACCCTTGGCACTAGCAGTCCTTTCTGATGTCCCTCAGACCTCTCGTCCTTTGTGGTTCCAGGATAACTTGTAGTCGTGTCTTAACATAACTACCGGCACTGTGGCCTGTCACAAAAAATGCACATCGTCCTCTATTACTCCCACCCCGCAGAGCCGAAGAGCGTCGTCAACGCGCCCCTCGTTGAGGCGGCCAAGAAGCTCAAGAACGTGGAGGTCCGCTGGCTGGATGAGCTCTACCCGAGCCTGCATATGACCCCTGAGCAGGTCAGCGAGGAGCAGAGGATCATAGAGAAGGCGGACGCAGTTTTCTTCCAGTTCCCCGTGTATTGGTTTTCATCACCGCCTTCTCTTAAGGTCTTTATGGATAGCGTGCTGACGTACGGATGGGCCTTTGGCTCCAAGGCTGTGATCGCGGGCAAGAAGTTCCGCGTCATCTGCACGTGCGGGGGCACGGCGGAGAAGTACGCCGGGGAGTTCTCTGCAGGCGATGTGGTCAAGCCGTTCAACCAGAGCTTCAGGTTCTGCAAGTGCGATCCGCTCCCGTCCTTCGTCATCTTCACCGACACTGACAAGGACACGCTAGTGGACAGCTACCTGAAGCTCTTCGAGTAAACCCGGCTATGCTCGGCCAGGAACAATGCGCACCGAGAGCTGTCTCTTCCCTCAGCGCCTGCAGTACGGGGCGTAGTTGGACTGCGTGGTCACTACGGAATGACAAAGGCTTTCAGGCCCGCTTGCACAGAAGAGGCGGCGCCTCACACAGCGGGTTTTGTGTGCCATGGGGCTTCTCTAGCGGATTGTCCTAGAGCTGCCTGCCTTCTCTGGGGCGATGGTCCGGAGAGGCCTCGCCACAGTGCGTTGTCTGCAGAGAGGGGCTAAATGGAGGACCGTGCGTCAAGGTAAGGTTGCCCGCCTCGTCCAACTGACACCACATGTATCTTCTGACAAACATGGGACGGTGGTAGCCATACAGGACCCAGGGTCCACGAGTGACCAATGATGAAGCTCAGAGACCAGACCGCGGATCCCATGCACTGAATGCGGTCCCTCTGCAGCTGCAGGACGGGCCGGTCTGGTAATCTATGGTCAAGCAGGAGCCATGTTCTCGCAAACCTTTGTAGTGCTTTAGAAATAGATCGACAGTTCTGTCACCTTTCTAAGACTCCTAGATCTGCGGTACAGGAACATCACGGAGCTTCTTGACCTCACTGACAAAAACGATGTCATGACTTTCATGAGAACTACTGATAGAAATGATAAAGCAGAAGAGTGGTCTAAAATGGCATCAATGCTCGGCCTCAGTGGGCTCTCTTGGATTCTTGTGTGAATGCTTCTATTACTCTTAGAAAAAGCGCTAGTCGTAACGATGGCCTGTAATAGGGATAACATTAACCACACTAGCCATCAGGAACGGAGCAAGCGACTGTCCGATGATTAAATCAACGAAGAGTAGGGCGGGGATTGCATGCAATGATAGCCTTATCTGCTTCACACTCAGCAATCCTGTCGAGGTAACGAAGCGAGTAATACTTTCCCAGGTACGACTTGCGGCAGTGTAAACTTTTATCCCCGGCAAGAGAAGCGGCAGACTCTGTCAGCTTCTTCCCCTTGCGGGAACTTATAGCCCTGACGACCTCAGTCTTTTACATAATAAGATCTTCTAATCTGTTAATAATATCGCTAGCATCAGCGTAGTATGCTAGAAGAAACATAAAGCTCAGCACAGAGAACTTCTGTGGCGTGAATGATGCGGTATACCAACCAGTTTCAAAAAAAGGTTTCCAATGATTCTTTCATGAAGAAAAAAGCGTGATATTCACTCATTCATTGGATAATTGGTAGTCAGTCTTGAAACTACTCTTGAGAATAACACACTTTGAAAACAAAACACATAAATGGGAAATCAACAGTCACCTGAAAACGCCATCAATTAGGAGACGTTGGTTCCGCCTTTTGTTCACCTCTGCACGTAGCCTTCGCGCCAAACCCACGGACGTCGTTGTGGATCATGACGCCCAAGATCATCACTCCAAACCCAAACAGCTCCAGAAGTGAGTAGAAGGTGAGGGGTTCTCCGTACGGACGATTGTAGTGCCTCGTCGAATAGTATATTATGACCATGATGACCCATATCAACAGCGATCTCAAGTTGTCGAACAGAGACCGATGGGTCGACGTAAGGGACTTCCCGACAGTCAGCCCAGACCAGTTGAAGAAGAGAATGGACAACACATACAGGATGTTCATGGCTAGTATGTTCCCATTGACGAAGGACATGTACAACGAGTTAGCATAGTTCTCCAGGCTCCCGTGGTCGCTGCCAGGTATCACGTGTGCCAGCGGGCACGCAACGCACAGCGACAGAATCACGCCACAGACACCCTCCCAGCCGACAACCATTAGGGGGTCTATGTCCTGACTCTTGAGGATCTTCTCTTCCGCAAGATATTGTGTTGCAGAGAAGAGCTGACCAGCAATAACGAGCAGGACGCCTATGATGGTCTTGAGAGCGCTTCCATATTCTCCCAAGTTCTGCGCCTGGATGGTAGTGGCAATGCCGACCAGAACTAGCCCAAGAAACGCAAAGCAAACCCCCATAATCTCCCACATTTTCGGCTTCCTCTTCAGCAAGGGGATCGCGAGAACCAAGCAGAAGACTATGGTAAACCCTCGGAGAATCTGGGCTGCAGATGCCGGCACATATACCATGGCTATGTTGAAGGCCGTTGTCTGTATAAGGTCCAGGACAGCGAAGCAGGTCGTTGCTAGAACAAACTTCCAATAAGGCAGTGAGCCTGTCACACCCTTCCTCGCATCCGCTATTGTCACCTGGGTATTCTGCGGGGACTCAGTAGTCTCCACGCAGCCAGAGTTATGGATGACATCATTGAGGACCGTGGTGCTTCTCTGCTCAGGTTCCGTTGCGCTGCCAGCAGTTGCATCAAGAGGTGTTGCAGAAGCTTTCCGCTTGGCGATGCACCTCTTTATGTAAAAGATGACCAAGCAGATACTCTCGCCAAGGAACATGAAGAAAGTTGTGATCCACGCTTTGTTATATTGCTCTTGTTCACCCTTAATGTTCTTACCTTCCATTTGGTATGAAATCTTCCTGGAGACAGTATTGAAGGTGCCTGTAATTATCATCGCCATGGCAAGGAACAGAGTATGGTGCTTGGAGCCGACGCTGCATCGCATTGGATATGTAGCAAATATGAGCGATGTAAAGATAAATCCTTAAGAACGTGGCAATTTAGGCTGACTTTTAACTATTCATATGACGTGTCTAATTAATAGAAACATTAAACGCCATTATTCTGCAAAGTATTTCTCTTCTCACCGCGTTTTGTGTTTTAGGTTAAGCAATTTGGCGAAGTTGAGATTTGTGCCAGTCATGTAATCGTCCTCTTGTAGATCAATGGATGGTGTCATAGCTCTTGATATGGTATTATCTATAGTACACAAGCATTTCAACGTATCACATCTCAACAAGGGCATAGTAATTACTTTTCATTAGTTTAGCAGATCGGGTGTGCATCGAGCTTCGTGAAGACTCCACAACCAGCTGAGGTAAAACAATAGTTATAGCTAGTGGCAGGCTCTGACTACACATTTCATGGTAACCAAGCTCATATACGACGCTCTATCCCAGAGCAGTTGAGCTCTTGGGGTCGGCACTGGCTCTGCTTCACAACCGGTCCATCAGTGCTTAGATTGCCGATATTGAACTGGATGCATGCCTATGAGTTCGGATGGTCCGGGCGCCCTAGATATACAGGGGTCTTACATGAGAGGAGATTGTTTGCCTCTCTGGCTGGTTCAATATGTCACTGTGTGCTAGCCCAGTCACTCTGTCCTAATATATGCAGGGATTCTCAAGAGCTGGACTGCTGCAATCTGAGTTTCTCAGCCCCGTGCTCCATTGTCTGGTGACCCTGGGACTGTGAGCATGGCGCCATGTTATTGGATCCCTACGTTGGTAAGCACGTAAGATTTCTAATCTGCATAGAAACAGTTCACGGGAAGTTCTGCAGTATAGACTCTTTCAAGACGACAGAGCCGGTGGCAGAGTCATTTGCGAGAGTAAGATCACCTGGTGAAGGAAACAGACACGTACTGCGGCGACACAGGAGCCTGTGGTCCTGTTCTGTCGGATGTTAGGAGCTTACCAGAAGGGAAACACCGGAGTTAGCTTACTGATTGTCCGAGTAAACCCCCAGTGTGAGTCACCGCCGCTCTGGGCAAGCAGGCCTCCCACTCACTTTTAACAAAGTCCAGAATTCAAGACTTGAAACCCAGGATCCAGAATCTGGAATTTGGATGTCCTCAGATCTTGGTGGGAGAAGAAAAGTTCATATTCTGTTTCCTTAGAAACTCGCTGCCGCTCCTCGCAGTGTCTTCTAGAACTTCTCTTCCTTTGGTCCGTCGGAGTCAACCATCGTCTGATATCTAGTGAACACCCGTTGTCTCGGGCCTGCCGTCGGTCACAGCAGTCTGGTCTCAGAGCAATTGACTCTGGCCATGTACTTCAGGATTGCTTCGTGGCCCTGGTGTTCCGTGACGAAGATAGGATACGCCACGACCTCGGGTGTCTACCCCGTTCCTCGAGGTGCCTCTTCGTCTTCTCATAGATTATACCGTCGATCCCGAGTATGATCGGGAGGGTGCGCTCCCCGTACACCTCTATCTTGGAGTTAGAGTACGCGTTCGTGGATGCCGGCGGACAGCTCCCATGTGTTGTGTCGGGGAAGAGGCCCGGCCCTCTGCTCATGGATCGCAGGGCGCTCTTGCAGATGCTCCGTCATCCAGTACGAGATCATGTCGACGCTCACTCTGTGCAGTGTGTTTGGCTGCAGCTGCAAAGACTAAATTCCGGCTTCTCTATCGCGTTTCCCCTTCTGCTGAATTGCGGCATCTAATCGTTGGAGCCAATTGGGTAAGAGGGCGAGGGTGTCCAGTGACGTGACTCGCCTCGGTGAACCAAGTAGGTCATGCCTCAGAGCAGAGTCTGGTTGAGTCACAGCCCAGGATGGAAACTAACGAGGAGCCAAGCGCCAGCCTGAAGGGTGCGGGCTCAGAATGGATCACTGAGCATTCACTCGTTATGAGCTACAGTCTGCACGGCCACAGAGCTAGAACTCGTCCACCGTCCCCATGAGCTTCATATTCTCAGCTATCACCCTTTTCTTCAAAGCTGCCCTCGATTCTCTCCGCCTCCGCAGGACGAACCAACATGTGAGGGCGACAGCCGCTATGATGAGAAGAGAGACAACGACTGCCACGATGATCGTCGTGGAGCTGGAACTGGCCTTCCTGGTCTGAGAGACGCATGTGTCACCCCTGAGGGTGTACCCCTCCATGCATATGCAGAGAGAGCCGACTGATTCTGATCCGCTTGGACAGCCTGAAGCGCAGGATCTCTTGCTCGGCTGGACGTTGTGATTGCTGTCCGCACATGAGAGGCACTCGCCACTTGCGCTGCAGCTCGAGCACCCTGTGGCGTCTGATGGACAGGTGTTCTTAACGATGCATGCGCCGTCACTGCTGGGCTCGAAGCCCTCTGCACAGACGCACCTTCCATCCTCCTCTCTCTGACTCAGCTCCGTGCATGTGAGTGGGCACGAGAAACCATCGACGGAGACAAGTCCGGGGGAGCACCGTGTGCACACGAGGTCGTTGTCCTTAGGAGTGCATGCTTGACAGCTCTCAATTCCACATGTGGCACACTGGAGCTCTTCTGGATCCGCATAGTATCCATCGCCACAGCCAGACGCGTCGACACATGTGGCCGTGTCAGAACCATTCATCTTGGTGTACTTTCCCGAGGAGCACTTGTGCAGTGATCAGACCCTGGACCCACTCCAGGCGTGCTGAGTCGCACTGGACACAGCCCTCCAGATAAGCCCCTGCAATGCATTCGCAAACGGATTTGCCATTGGCATGTCCTTGCTGATTTGGTCCATCACACTGGGACTGACATGAAAGGCTATCGATGGAAAGATACCCAGAAAGGCACTTCATACACTTGACCACACCACTATCAGAAGCACACGTCTGGCACTTGTCAATACCACACGAAGAACAAGTGTTGGTAGCACTATCTGCATAATACCCCTCACCACAGTCAACAGAATCTATACATTCAATGGCACCAGATGCATCGCGCTTGAGATATTTTCCTGAAGCACACGATGTACACTTATCGGGTTCAGGGCCTATACAGTCTGCGCAAGCTGAATTGCATGCGCTACATGTATTTGTGGCGGCATCCAAGTAGGTTCCTGTACTGCACTTACAGCTACAGACATTACTTTTATCGCAGCTACCTGAGCTACCCGATGGACATGAGTCGACGCAGGAAGCACCGTCTACGGTTGCATATTTACCGGCCCTGCAGCTGGCACACACAGGAGCACTGGAGGCATCAGGGCTAGGGGTGCACACAGCGCAACCAGGGACAAACTCATCGCATCTAGTACATGTCGAATCCTTCATGAAGTATCCTTGGTCCCCATTACAAATAGTACATTTACCGTTGAACGTCTTTTTGCATATGGTGTCTCCAAGGGGGTCAGTGATGACGTAGCAGCCGCCTTTGTACAGGAAGATAGGGCGGCCATAGAAATGCTGGTTGCAAGCTTCGCACATTCCGGTTGAACTATCTTTTCTGCAGCTATGTAAAATACTTACCTGCCTACAGTTTCCATTGTGTGGGGCCTCACTAGTGTTGGTACACTGCTTACAAGCAGAATAGCCACCTATCTCTATTTGGTTGACCTCAGCACATATTTTAGTTCCCTCCTTGTTATTACTATAGCACCCGCCCCTATGATAAATATAACCAACTACACAATGAGTACAGTATCCATTTCTGCACCTGTTAGAGCCAAAGGTTGCGCATACTCCATCGATTGGGGCTTTGGTCTCATCTAAGCAGGAAGTACATTGGAGATTGGCGGCGCCCTTTGCATTATCTGGCGCAGGATTCTGAGGAAGGGACACACAAGTCGCACAGCCTTCCATTCCGGATAGTGTATCACTACATAGGATACACCTTTCATCGGTGGTAGTATCTAAATTTGTAAAAACGGCCCCATACTCAGTATCACAAACTGTGCACACCCCGTTTGAAACGGTCTTGCAGATGTCTGTGCCAGGCCACTCATCATTATTGTAGCAGCCCCCGTAAAATAGAAAATAACCTACACCGTCACTAGTATTCCTACTTCCATTTCCACTAGAACATGACTTACAGCGTGTTCCACCGCCGTTAACATTTTCTTGTTCACACACAGTTGTCCCTGGCACACTGTTGGCGTCGACACACTCTCCGTCGATAGGGATTTTTCCAGACTTGCATTCGGTACATAGAGGCCTCTCGTGAGCGAATATAACGCACTTATTTTCCACACAATCAGATTGGTCCTCCTCACAGGCAACATAGTAGGTACTCCTGTCTAGAGTAGACCTGTCGTCTGTCTGAGGTATCAGATTGTTAGAAAACATGTTGAAGAACAATAATACCAGCATTAGTAGATTTTTAATTGCTGATGTTTCCCCGTGTAGGGTAAAAATGACCGCCTGTGGCCGGACACACTAGCCAGTTGCAGAGTGCGTGCTGCACACACTGGAGACCCGCACATCCAGAAGCAACGCGTAAAAAGCAACTAGTCATTTACTCCACCCACCGGTTGCTTCCAGTGGTGTGCTGCTGGGGCCCTCGCCTGCGGGCGCTGTCCGCAAATCTCGCGAGTAAATTCCCGCTCAATTTTTGGCGATGTCCAGAGACGAGGGTTGGTCGTGTATCAATATAAAGACCACAGTGGTGGTAGGGAGGAGCTATTGCGTTCCTCGGCTGTTCTGCGGGTGTGTGCTCGATCTAGGTGTGCACATAGGTCCTTTTGGAGATCAGGCCGTCTTGCAGGCTCGCTGGTCTACTAGGGTGCCTCTCCTTGGTCTCTCTTCATAGTAGGTGAAGCTCTGGTCTTTGTTGTCATCCTCAATACTGTCCATACAGATCGGCAGCAGCTATCAGGGCTTTCTCTTCTGGTTGGGATTCAACTCGGTTGTGTGTCCAGTCTTGCGCCCCCTCTCGGTCGTTGTCGTCGGGTCCCAGGGATGGATTCGTTCAGTTGTCAGAAGTAGGATGACAGGAGACGGTCGCTCTGGGTGACCAGGCTTTCGGCCCGGCCCGTTTGATCAGCTTCGTCAGGTGCTCGTTCGCCTTTGCAGCCATGTGGGCGATGGCGAAGGCAGCCCGGACAGAGGTCCACGTGGAGCTCCTCGAGGTGCTTCTTGGACTTGGGGTGGAGGGATCCATCCGTCCCATAGATGATCGGGAGCGTCCCGTCCTTGTACTTCTTGACCTTCTCGTTGTAGTAGGCATCCATCTGGCGGGGCTGGATGACACCCACCTCTATCGCCTTGCACTTGTCGACGAGCCAGATGTCGGGCTTCTGGTTCTGGTCGCCGTGCTGGTCTGATCTCCAGCCCGCGTTGCACGAGACACAAGCCCAGGCACCGACGACCGCACTGGATCCATGGTTGTCCTTCTGCACTAGTGGAGGGGAGCCCCTCTTGTTACCTACAACCACCCCACCCTCAGAGGGCCAGGCTTGCTGCCCGTGAGACGTCTGGACACGCTTCAGGCGAGGGACAATTACTCTCAGTAGATGATTCCTCTACTCGAGCTGAGTGAGTCTTATACCCAGATTTACAGTTTTGGAGGGCCAACTCGTGCATGCTGTAATATCTTGCATGGATGGCGGCGAACTAGAGTTGGACACTAGAACCGGCATGAGATGACCGGCTCAGTAGGGGCGCAGTGGCGTGGAGCGACGCCTTGGAGCTTGCTTGCTTCTTGAGCTTTTGCGAGCCACTAAAGCTAGGGCCTTTCCGCGGGGCGCGCTCCCTCAACTCACCGCTCTTCCTGGGCCGTATCACGAACCACCAGACGAGGAAGCCGGCCACTGCAACGAGGACGAGGAGGACGACGACCACGACTGCAATCGTTATGGTACTTGATGACTTGTTGGATGGAGCAGGGACTCCGCAGACGAAGTCGCTTGTGAGAGAGAAGCCCTCGTTGCACACGCAGCTGGGAGTCACGCCGTTCTCAGACACGCACTTGCCGTTGCCCCCGCAGATCGTCACGGTGCCGTCGGTGCCGCGCTGGACGCACTGGCTGCTGATGCAGAGCTGGTCAAGAACACTTTCATACCCATACTTGCACTCGCATGTACTATCTGTGGAAAGTGGACAGTTGCCATTCCCCCCGCAGAGCGTCCCACTGGAAACGCAGGCTGCCGGGTAGCAGAGGTTATTCAGCGAAGCCCAGCCCTGGTTGCAGCTACAGGTCGCAGAGGATCCCTCGCCGGAGCACGTGCCGCCGCCGTTGCAGACTTTCCCGTCCTTGAGACACCTTGTGGGGATGCAGTCCTTATCGACCAGAGTATAGTAACTTGCGCACAGGCAGCCGTAGGTGTCGCCGGTCTTCTCGCAGGCCCCAAAGCCGCTACAAAGCTTGTTGTTCGACGAGACGCAGCTGCTGTGCACGCAGCCGTTCTGGCCGTCGAGGCTCTGGAAGCCGTCTACGCTACAGTTGCACTTTTTAGTGTCTTCACTGCATGTTCCACCGCCATCGCAGACCTCGGCCAGGATGCTCTCGTGTGCCCCGAAGCACTCCTTGACAAAGCACTGGCCGGTCTTCTTGTCTGTGCGGTATCTGCTGCTGTTGCATCTGCACAGTCCTGTCCCGGCGACAGGGCCCTCTACGCATGTCCCGCGCCCCTTGCATATTGCTTTGGGGTCGCTTCCATCCGAGATGCACTGGCTATAAACACAGATGTTTGTCCCGACTAGGGTTGTCCCGGGGTTGCAAACACACGCCCCAGTGTCCTCGCCGTTATCATTGCACGTACCCATGCCATAGCACGTTTTTTCTGTCTGATCGTATGGATCCGACCAAACGCATCTGGATTTTCGGCACTTCTTGCTAGCACTGTCAACGACGAAGCTCGAGTTGACGCAGACGCAAGCAAAACTGTTTCCGCTAAATTGGCAAGCCCCTACGCTAGTATTTTCCTCCGTGCCACAATTGTCTGCCGGACAGCCATTGAGGTAGCACTGTGCATCTGTGTGTTCCTTGTAGCCATTTGCACACGTCTCACATTTGGTACCATCATACCCAGGCCTACACTCGCACTTTCCTGGGTCTGTCTTGAACTGACAGGTCCCTCTTCCGTTGCATATAGTACTGGAATTTGTCTCTGATACAACACAGACAGCTGGTACGCACAAATAACGGCGATCGTCTGCAACCGTTTGATAATTTTCGTCACAATTGCACGAGTACCCCACAATATGATCCCCTATACACTTCCCATGTCCAGAACATTCAACGTATCCCTCCGGACCTCCAGAAAGAGAGTCGCTAAGACAGGTTTTCTTCATACACTTTCCATTTGTTATTTGAATAATGTCATATCGATTTATGCACTTACAGTATGACTTGGATGATTGAGTAGCATTAAGAACGCATGTTCCAAACTGCTTTCCACCGCACATCGTCCTCACCTGCTGATTAGTCAAGGTTGTGATTTCAAATATGCAAGCTTTTGGTAGACAGAACCCATCAAGTTCTTCATACTCGTCAGGCTTCGGGTCCTTGCACTTACAAGCGTAGTCTCGACGATCGCCGTGCGACGCTATCTTTGTGCACACCCCAACGGTCTCGCCACCGCACACAGACTCAACAAGTTGTCCGCTATCATCTACGGTGTTAATAAAGCAGTTGATGCCAAAGCAAGCCCTTTTAAATAACTTTGTCCCCAGATCGCATACGCATCCTGTGGGCCCACAACTGCCTAGTCCTCCACAGATAATCGGCGGTTCCACTCCGTCCTCACTAGAAATGCACTCACTTAATATACATGTTTCTCTCAACTCCCCATTCACATCTCTAAGTGTGACTAGCTTAGCACCAGACTTGCACTCACACCGCCTATTCTTCAACAAAGATCCTTCTCCGCCACATGTTCCTAACCCATTGCATGCAATAGTGGGATCACTCAGCAGCCTTCTGTAAACACACTTACTTGGAATGCATTCCGAATTGAGCTGGCCCCTCTCATAGCCTTCGGAGCAGACACACCCGTAATAGTAATTACTCCCCTGCACGCATGCAGCCAGGACATCTCCTCCGCAATAGACGTTATCATACGATACGCAACGCTGATGAACACAGATCCCATTGACAGATCTATACGGAGTAGTACACTTGCAGGAATATGTGCCCTTATCGTTTGTACAATCTCCAGTTGTCCCATCGTAGATTTTGCACTCAACATACTTAATTTCTCCGTTATGCATTACCTTTCCGGCGCATCCTGGATGAGTGCAGTAGCCCCCGAAGGCCTCCAGTCCGTCGCTGCACTCGCAGCCGTACCGGCCAGTCAGCTGGTTGTATGCGCAGACCCCCTTTCCGGAGCAGACAAGCACGTTGATATCCGGATTCCTTATGTTATCTGATATGCCAACTGGCAGGCAGTCGTAGCTGTAGCACATGTCACCGATCTTGAGGAAGCCATTGCTGCAGACGCAGGTTCCAGTACTGTCTATATATCCCGCCCCGGGGCCGCCACAGAGTCCCCTTGCTCGCTGAGTCTTTGGATCAGCGTTCTTACTCTTTGAAATGCACGTCTTGTTGTACGTAACATAGTCCCCAGTGCAATTACACTGCCACGTTGCGTCCCGTCCGACAGTGCATTCGAGTGTAAAGGTAGACTGAGGAATACAGTAGTCTGGTGCATAGGGGCCAGCAAGACTCTTGTTGAGCTTGCATGCATCAGTAACACACGCCTTCAAATTTGGATCCCATTTAGCAGCAGTCCCACAATCACACTCGTATCCGCTTTTATCCTTCTTCTGAATACAGTCTCCCACGCCGCCGCAGTAATTGTACCACATATGACTGGATTTGCCATCGTGACAACTCTTGTGCATACATGTGCTATTGTTTTCCCCAAAGTGTACAAGGTGAAAGTCAGTTGGACAGTGAGTACATGTTTCAGGCAGATCGGGTTTTTCGGAAGGTTTAGCGCACGTAGGCAAGTTACCAGTTGACAGGTTTTCTGTTATATTCTCAAGGAATCCACAAAAGAATCTTCTTGTCTTGTCTATCTTACTGATAAATACACATCCAGGTTTAGCAGAGAAGGTGCCGTTGTAGGCGGAGACATTTCCACTATCAGCATCTTTAGGGACGCATGTGATGAACGGATTGCTCGGATCACCATAAGTGGTGTACGTGCCTGTGTTCCCGCAGATATCCTGAGCAGTAGCCGTGCGCAGACTGGGCTGTGGATCCGGTGGCTGTTGCTGCACAATGCACTTCTTTGCAATACATTTCTCGCCAATCACTTGCGCGTTCTGTTGATCACATTCTGCGCACTTAGCTCCTGTGTAGATAGGCGAACACTGGCACGTCATCGTATCAGGAGCCTCAGCACTAACGACAATGCGTCCATGATCGCTGCAAACCGTGGCAGGGCTATCTACCAAAGTGCTCAAGATGCAACGCCCCGGGGCGACGTAGGTATAATCAGCTTCGCAAGTACACTTTATGTCTCGTGGGTCGTCCGTCTTGCACGTGCCGTGCCCCGAGCAGACCTTCCCAAGTTCCTCGTCCATGCACGCGGGGGACGTGCACTCTCCGTCAACGGCAATGAGCATGTCCGGGCAGCGGCAGTGGTACTCGCCGTCGGACTTGACGCAGACTCCTTTATTCGTACATGAGCTCTGTTTGTTGGAAGTAAGACACCCCACTGGAACACAGGTGCCGTCTATACTCTCAGACTTCTCTGGAACACAGTTTTCACATAAGTTTCCTGTGGCAAGCCCTCGGCAATCGCAGCTATAACCAGCGCCGTCACGCACACAGGCGCCCACTCCGCCACATATTTTCGCAGGGGTTTCGGTCGTGCATGTAGGAGAGGTACAGAACTTATCGACCTGGACTGCATCTGGGTCGCAGGCACACTTGGGGGCACCGTCGCCCTCTTCTATACATTTTCCAAAGCCCCCGCAGACGACCGGGGACCCGTCGATCGTGGCCACGCACTCCGTCTTGACGCACCTGTGCCCAACGCGTGTGTAGCCATCATTGCACTTGCAGCGGTAGCGGTACGATTCGCGATCGAGGCCCACGTCGAGGGTGCACGTTCCCTGGCCTGAGCACACGATGCCATCCGAGTCCTGGCAGGCCCGCGCATTGCACGTAGGGAGGGCGTCAGACGAAGAGCTTTCCACAGCGATCGCGTTGGCGTCGTCGCACGACTGGCAGAGGCCCCCGCGGTAGATCGGGTAGCAGTCGCACGCGTAGTCGTCAGCACTCAGCCCGGCCAGCCCGGGGTCCTTCAGGAGGCAGCGGCCGCGGCCGTTGCAGGGGGCCTTCGTTGCCTCCTGTCCTGAGAGGTCACCTGTGTTGAAGCAGCCCCTCGGCAGGCACTCGTCCTCGTAAGACACGAAGCCAGCAGGACAGGGGTCGCACGAGTACGCCCCCGCGTAGTAGGTGCACTTGTTCGACTCTGTGCACTCCGTCCCGTTCACGAGGCAAGCGTAGTTGACGGCCCTGTCTGTGGATGCCTTGCCAGTATTAGTAGTTACCCTGCGGAACCCTGCACGGGGGGCGTCGCACGCAGCCCCCGCCCAGCCCCGCCTGCACTGGCAGAAGTGTGCTCCGTCCCCGTAGGCGCAGTCTCCGTTAACACATGCAGGTCCTGTCCCGCACGCCTCGGCGAGACATGCAGCAGCACACAGGAGAATCAGCATGCGGTGTGCCTAGGACTGGCTTGGCTTATTTATTAGTATGTTGTAAACATAAGAAGGAAACCTGTGAACTGATCGGTACGAGAGAAAAGCCATGTCCAGGCCAGCCCCGGCTATCCCCGTGGTAGGGCGAACCGATGCACTGGAGAGTTGCATCAAGTCACGCGCTTTTGGAAACACCCACTCTACTTCAGTGGCGTGTTACATAGTCAGATCCCCAATACCGGATTAGGGCACCGGGCCTCAAGGGCTGTTCACAATCGACTGAGCAATAAACTACGTACGGAACTGAAGCCAGACGAGTCAGGGCTTGCTCACTGTAGCCATCTACTGGGAGCATAGCTTCTAAGAAGGCCGAGCGCCGCCCACCACAGGGTCTACAGGGCGCCTATCGACCACATCTCAACATGCACTCCCCATTGCAAGCACAACATTCGGTACACAGCGGGCGGCGGAGGCGGACCCTCTGAGGCGGCACCCACTGCTGTGTGTAGGAACCACGCTTGCAGTCACACTCGCGGCGCCTTGTCAGCCAGACGGAGACCATGCCGCGAATTGCCAGACCGATAAGTGCGAGACGGTCGGGTACTCCGAGATCTGCACCGGGTGCAGGGCCGGGGGCGTCCCGGTCGGCGGCTTCTGCTGGCCCCCCGGCTCCCCCCAGGCCGCGGCGGCCGGGTGCACCAGGGCAGACGGGACCGCGTTGGCGGGCTCGGATACTGCCTACGGGAAGTGCGGGGACGGGTACTTCCTCTTCATGGGCGGGTGCTACAAGACGAGCCAGTGGTCTGAGATCTGCACGGCGGCCGACAAGGGGGTGTGCACCACCTGCAAGGCAGGCGCCGCGTATCTATTCCAGAACCCGGCCAGCCCAGTAGCCCCTGGCAACGAGTGCGTGCTTTGCTCAGACGTCACTCCGCGAGACGGAGTCACGGGGGTGGCGGGCTGCTACACATGCACGGCGCCAGGTGGCGGTACAGGGGCTGCCACGTGCACTGCATGCCAAGGAGGGTACGCTACGAAGGATGGTGCATGTGTGCAATGCGGACCCGGCTGTTTGACGTGTGAGTCTGCTACGCCGACCCAGTGCACCGCCTGCCTTGGGGGGAAGTTCCTGAAGGGCACTGAGTGTGTAGAGGCTGGTGGATGTGGTAGTGATAGCTATGCAGACCCAAAAGCAGACGAGTGCAAGGCCTGCGCTACTGACATAGCTGGGTGCGCGGCATGCGAATATAGTGACGCCACGGGAAAGCCGAGGTGCACCGATTGTAACGGGAAGCTGGTAAGAACTGCTGCCGACGGGACGACGACGTGCGTGGAAAAGACAGACGACGGCTGCAAAGCCACCGATAGTGGGCTATTCATGAAAGACGACGCAACAGCGTGTATTCTATGCAGCGACACAGTGACAGAGCAAGAGAAGAAGAACCAGGGCATCGTCGGCTGTAAGAAGTGCTCGAGGACTGGCGCCACACCGCCGACCTGCACAGAGTGCCTGGAGGGGTACATCAAGAACACCAACAGCGGCTTCACATGTGACGCCTGTGGCGAGAACTGCGCAACCTGCTCTGAGAAAGCTGACAAGACCAAATGCCAAACCTGCAAGACCGGGTTCTTCTTGAGAGGGGGCACTTCCCCCGGCACATGCGTCCCCTGTGATAACCCGACAGATGGAGTCGATGGGTGTGCAACGTGCACCTTCGCTGGCTCGTTGACCTGCAACTCCTGTAAGCTCAACTATCGCAAGGAGGGAACCAATCCGGTGAAGTGCACAAAGGCCTGCGAGGACCCCACGGCCTGCGGGGGGACGTCTGGGACCTGCGGGGCGACCGTCGTTGACAGCGCCGGGGCGTTCTCCCAGTACTGCTCGCTGTGCGGAGACCCCGCCACGTTCCCCATCGATGGCGTCTGCACAGGAACTAAGGGTGACAACACCTGCGAGAACGGCGTCTGCACCCGGTGTGCTGCCGGGTTCTTCCTGTACATGGGCGGCTGCTACAGTACTCAGAAGGCTCCTGGCAGCCACATGTGCAAGACTGCCGAGGGAGGGAGGTGCACCGCCCCCAGCGAGAACGGCCGGTACTTTCTGGTCCCGGGGGCATCCAATACTGATCAGTCTGTCCTGGCCTGCGAGAACCCCCTTGGCACAGTGATAGGGGCTGGCAGCACCGCTAAGGCATATGTGGGGGTATATGGCTGCACAGCATGCACGGCCCCAGCAGCGCTAGAGGCTCCTGGCATGGCCCCCGCCACGTGCACAGCGTGTAGCGCCAACAACAAGCCCAACCTGGCTGGGAGCGGGTGCTTCGCATGTGCCGTTGTTGGATGCTCACACTGTGATATGGACAACAAGTGCTCCGCCTGCACAGAGGGGGGCAAGAGGCCGAACACAGACGGCTCCCAGTGCATCGCCTGCAGTATCGACGGGTGTATCAGGTGCAGCGAGGAGAACAAGTGCGGCCAGTGCGGGGACGACTACAGGCTGGAGGGTGAGGCGTGCGTGTCCACCAAGCCCAGCGGGGGCAGCAGAAGCGGCCTCAGCACAGGCGCCATAGCAGGTATCTCCGTCGCTGTGGTGGTTGTCGTGGCTGGCCTTGTGGGCTTCCTCTGCTGGTGGTTCATATGCAGAGGGAAGGCATGACTTAGGTAGTAAACGCGCCGATGAATCCTGCTCGTGACTTTCTGGGCACCGATTGCGAGGGAGCCCCCGGTGCGTGATAGGTTCTAGGAATATGGTGAGCAGTGGCGTCCACATCCTTGCAAATATACCTCATTCCTATGTCCTGGACACTGCTATATACTAATACTCATGGTCGGCTATCAGGCTGAGAACGTGACAATTGCAAATTGTGGTACTTAGTAATGGATATGAACTCAGGGAAAATACGGCACGCATACTTAAGAACAGGCTGAATGTCGGTACTTTATTAGCTAATGTAAGTTTATCAGATTGCCTTTTTCGTAGTAGTCCCATTACTATGCCTATCTAAATCCGCACATGAAAAACCGCATGCAGAAATTAGCAATGTAACCATACTGATCTGATTTACACGATTTGCGTCCTATCACAGGAGAGTACATTGCTCTTCTGGATATTGAGAGAGAAAGTCTGCAATCTCTGAGTGTCCAAACTTAAGAGCCATAGTACGCGCTGTCCGCCCTAGATTATCTTTAACTCCTTTCTCATGATCCACAAGTATCCTTACTACATCAATGTACCCGTGCTTAGCTGCCTCCATCAGTGCTGTAAGACCATGACGATTCTGCATTCGAGACTCGTAGGGTATAAGGAGTTCCACAATCTGAGAGTGGTTATTGTATGCAGCACTGATAAGCGCAGTGCTTTGCGTCAAGCTCCGCATCCCCTTTTCATGCTCAACAAGAAGCTGCACGATGTCAAACTGGCCTTCGTTCGCTGCAATCATAAGCGCACTATAGCCCATGTTATTCTTCATGCCCACTTCGCAAAGCAAGAAGGGAACAACATTCACGTTTCCACGTTGTACAGCCAAGATGAGAGCTGTTTGGCTCATACTATCTTGTAACCCTCCCTCACGAGAAGCTAGGAGCTGCACCGCTTCAAGATGATTTTGGCTAGCAGCATACATGAGCGCTGTCTGATGAAGCTCATCACGAAGTCCCCCTTCGTACTGAAGAAGCGCTTCAACTGCTCGTGTGAATCCTTGTGCCGCGGCACCCATGAGTGCTGTTCTAGACTTGACAGAAATTCCTGCCAAGGAGTTCAGTCTCTTGGTTTTCATCCCTGCCTCGTATTGTGCCAATAGGTGAATGGCCTGAGGATCGTTCATCTGAGCAGCGTGCATCAAGGCTGTTTGACCACCATTATCATAGATACCATGTTCAAATGCAACAAGGACCTTGATAGCATCATACTGCTTTTTAACAGTTGCATGCATTAGTGCTGTTAACCCCGCTGCATCTTGAGCACGGACTCCCTCACCAGTATCGATTAATTGTTTTATGACGTCAACATTTCCGGAGCGAGCTGCACACATTAATGTCGTGAGGCCATCGCTTCTTGGTAGGAGCTGCCTTTTTTCTATAACACTATGCAGCATGGATATTTCCAAAGCCAGTTGCACGACGTCTCTTTCAAGAATATCTAGGCGAAAGTAGTTCTCTATATCAGCTAGTGATTGGCTATCCTGTAGAATGGATGATAGCTCAGATGAAGACATTCTACTGATTGGATCAAAGATAAGTAGGCGTCGGATGATATTATTAAGTAATACATCCTCGACACTACTTAAGTCTGGTACCCATCCTTCAGCGAAGCCACATTCGAGCATACAGCCACTTATAAACTCAGGTCTGTTCTTTGTTGCGAGCTCATACAGAATGACCCCAAGACTCCACATATCAGCTGCAGGCGTAAGGTCAGCATCTAGTAATATCTCTGGCGCCGTGTATACTGTATTGCTAAACTTCTGCCTGCTTCTATGAACGCCCGCATTGGAGAGAGCAAACTGTCTTCCATCTTCGTTGACAAGGATATTAGCAGGCTGAACTCTTCCGTGTACTATAGCTGACAGAGATTCTCTGTCCTTATGCGCACTGTGGAGGTATGCGAGAGCGGCAGAGACTTGGGTAACAATTGTAAGTATTTGTGACTTCGAAAATTGCAGTCTTCTTAGCCTGGAAGTACGTATCATAGTCTCAAGAGATGTGCAGTAGCGGTCCATCTGCACGTATAAGTATCCATCGTGTTCTATGGGGAACTCGGAGTGCACGATGTTTGGGTGATGGATGCGCGCAAGGTCCTGGAACGACATCCTCAAAGCTTTAAGCTTTGCTTCCTGAAGACCGTAAATCGACACCTCTTTAATAACTTTGCCAGGGCGGGTGATGTGTGCATAGATGCTTGCACCCACTCCTTGGTAAAGTACAGGACCCAAGGCGTCTACGATGGCCTCTCCCTCAGGTTTCTCGAGCGGAGAGCTGGTGGGGCTTACACTGGCCATGAGGCTGCTGATATTTTTGGTAAAGCCTTGACTTCAATCAGCTTTATAATTGATAGGCTTTCTATCCGTAGAACCAGGTAGTAAGTTCCGTAGCATTAGTTTACTGGGACCGGTGGCCCTAGTACTGAGTATCCACCTAACAAATCAATCCCATCTTACTTTATAATCTAAGAACTTCTGGTAAAAGAAAATTATAGACTTTCAGATTACCTCTCCTCAGGGGCCACCTCTTTAATTGATGTAACACTGTAGGTCACTGTTGTTCTGTTAAAAGTAGAAGAATACTAGTCTCGAGACAGTGCTCTAGCTGCCTAACCATGAATACTACCCTGCTGTACATGCGTATCTGCAGGTTTACTTCTACTTCATGGTTCCTTTCATCCTCCTGTTGTGCATGAAACCGTGGAACTGAAATGAGGCAGACCCCGATTTACTACACACAAACTTGCTGTATCTGAGATTAAATGACATTGGTAGGAGTCTTGTTGCTTATCAGATGATAAGTGTTGGGGTATACTCCCTGACGAACTGACGGAAGGTTCACAAGAGCAATGGAGACCCGGACTTGACCTGACGCCCCTTGACTCGGCGTCCCTTGATACAATGCACTGGCGCTGCCGACGGCTATAGCAAGTTTCTGATCATCGATACTGAAGCTGCATATCTCTCCAAAAGACGTACCCGGGATCTTGCCCCACTCGCCAGTGTTGTTTCCAACCGTTTGATAGTATGCTATTTCAGTTCCAGCGGTGAAAAGAAACGTCCTGTGATGATCTGAATAACATGCATGTAAGATCGGGAATTGAAGCTGTTTCTGATTGACCAGTTTGTTGTTAAGGTCATACACCAGCATGCATCTGTCATTAGTAACTACCATGGCCTTAAGCCCTACTCTATCGTAGCCACACCCAATTACTCCAGAACTTAGGCGCTTATTTCCAGCAATAGTACTGAGCTTCACACTAATGGATGTATCTTCAGCAATGCTCATTCTTGAACTTATGCCTACTCCTCCCTGCTTAATATTGTAGACGATAAACGGCCTCTCATTGTTAATGTTCGGGACCATAAGTACGCAGCTAAGCGATCCTCCAGTGGTCGCTCCAGTGGACACCAAGAAGAAGTGCCCGCTACACGCTGCCTCAGCGACATCTAGCTCCGGCTTGTAAGTTCCATCGTACATTCCTACCTTAATCGTATACGCTATAGGGAGGTTCTCTTGGTTGCCGGTATTCACGTGGGCACTCCAGGAGTTCTTGCTCTGCTGGATCGTACGCTTCGGCCCAGCCTGGGTAAGCACCATCTCACTATGAAAGATGTACTTGCCAATTGTAGCTATCTGGAAGACTGGGCCACTATAGGTGCCAATTTGCACGGGCTGGCTGCCCTGCTGAATTACATACAGGCCGTTCATTGTCCCAGTAAAGATCTCCTTGTTATTATTGACCGCCAAAGAAAGAATTGGGCTCGACAGCTTGAATTGCTGAATAGGCGCCTGTGGGGCAGTTGTGGATCCTATGGCAACGGTACCATCAATCAACCCGTAAACAAAATCTGTCTTATCGATAATTTGGATACACACTACATCGGCGTTGGTGTTGCTGGCCGTATTATAAATGCAGGTATTTCCATTCTGATTTGAAATTTGGCCCACAGCATTTCCAAATCCCATGGTGGTCCCCATGGATCCTTGGTTGTTAACCATTGGCCCACTAAATAAGTTATTTTGTTGCTGATTAAACATCCCAGTGCCCATTGAGGTTGTCTGGCTGCCCAATGTCCCAAATGAATTGCTTTGCTGTGTAGTGCCTGTATAAGTTTGTCCAAAAGATGTTCCAAACCCTCCAAAGGACGATTGCCCGGGTCCTGTGGAAAGCTTGTTCATTGAGCTGTTAAACCCCCCTACCTGAGGTGTCGAAAGAAAGTTACTACTAGATGTAGTGAATTGATTCTGCGGTTGGCCAAACACGTTGCCTTGGCCCGTATTCAGTTTGTTGCCCAAAAATTGATTCGTGGTAGACGTTGAGAACGCGTTCCCAAAAGTCGAGCTTAGCGAGTTCCCCTGTGTGTTTTGAAAAGGGTTCTGCTGCGTAGGTTGTTGTCCCTGGTTGAAAAAATTCAGGCCAAAGCCCTGTGCTCCATTGGACTGTTGTCCATACATTTTTTAAGCTCGGATGGCCCCTCTAGCCACTAGCAATATCTTCGCTCGAATGGATTCTGAATGCGTGTATAGTCCACGAGCCGTGCCTACTGGAAGGCCCATCCTCGACAATAGATATCGCTACAATCCCTCTGCAGAACTTCTGCGCAAATTGTCTCTTACCGAGCTGCAACGTGTTAACAACTTCATGGTGTCAAATGAGTACGGAATGATATGCTGGTCTGGTGAAACTGACATATCTGGCGTGGACTTTACCAAGGATCTGGTGCTGGAGAAGGGCGGCTGCGAGGTCTACCCCAATGGTAATGCACCGCCGCGGGGCACTAAGCTCAATAAGCACGCGATTATTACACTTCTCCGCATCGAGTTTTTCCTGCCCGGGCCGCAAGAATCCTTCCTTCAGACGCAGGTAGAGCAGAGAACCCTGGAAATGGGCGCCCGATTCATTTCCTTTGATAACGTCACCGGAAAGTGGTCATTTGCCGTCGACTACTTCGTCTAGCATTATTCGCATCATAATTTACTCATCACTTTAGACAGTCATCAAGCATGCGCTGGCTGAGCGTTACCGACAAATTGTGTGTTGTTTGTCTCAGGAACAACCATCGTTCCGCCCACACTCAGTGCTTGCCGCTCCTGAGAGATGTATTGTTGAAGGAGGTTCCGCAACTCTTCATTCTGAGCTGCTAGCTGATCATTATGCGTCACTAGGTCTGTCCGGGCCTGCAGGATCTCTTTGTACTGAATCAGGGAGTCGTCCAAAGCTTTCCAAAGGACCTGTTTCTCCGGAGATATAAGGTTGGCGAGCTCTCTCCAGAAGGTCTTGAGGGACGCGTTGCTCCAGATGCCGCCCTTCTTTGAGCTTCCTGCTGTAGTGGTCTCACCTTGCCGCCCAGCCTCTCGTTTAACAACCACCTCAGCTGCAAATGCACGCAGAGAGTTCACGATCTTGTCTCGTGGCAATAGTTCAAATCCCTTTCCGTTAACAGTAACGTGTGTGAACAACAAGTCAAGCTCACTTGCATTTCGTATTCCCAAGGTGGAGAGGAGTGCATCGGTACGCATCTTGGGTGTCAGTTCCTCGCCTGGTGCCATAATCTTTAAGAGGTCATCACTTGCAAGGAAGCTTGCTTCAGCCGCTAGCTCTGTCAGAAGTCGCGAGGCTGCAACAGGCCCCAAGGCGCACGATGCAATGGGATCAATTGAGCGGGTAATATCCAGGATTGAATTTTCCTTGGTAACGGTCATGGTGTCGTCATACTCAGCGACTCCAGCTGCATGCTGTAACTTCTTAAGCATCACCATCACAGAATACTCTATTGAGCTTTCATTAATCCCTTTCTTGGCCTCAACACAGAGCACAGACTCGTTGATGATCTGCTCTGCTAACAGAAGGTCCCTGAGGGACTCGGCTATGCGACGCTCATGGTATGCCCAGAGTTCACGAAACTTTTGGGTGTCTACTCGTTCAAACAACTTGAACTTGGCCTGGAGGTCGCAATATAAGTTGGACATTCGCTTGTAAGATGTTGATAGCTCTAGATTCTCCTCCCTGAGTTGACTATCTATGGTTGTGTGCCGCGCAATGAGGGCGGTAAGCTGATTTTGAAGCTTTGAGATCTTTTTCTTTTGCTGGACCATGAGATTCTGGCTCTCTACGTCCCTTGCAGCAAGCAAGCGGTAGTTATATTCCAGCTTGTCTGTGTTCAATTGATAGACAGAGCGCATCTCTTCTAGCTGCTGCCGAAGAGCAACGCCCTCTGCCTCTAAGCGCCGTTTTAGAGAGGTATATTCCTCGTAGTCCTGCAGAACCTGTAAGGCCACGTTGTCGTTATATTCCTCTGCCAATTTAGTGCGCGCATCAAGAGACGCATTTTCTATTGCAGTTATCTCGTCGCGCAGCTTGTCGAGTCCTGCCTCGCGTTCTTTAATAAAAGCAGCACGATCTTCGTTGAATGCGTCTTCGCACTCCTTTATTTTGGCGAGGGAGTAATTCTTTAGTTCTCCCAGTACCTTTCGCATATACGTAATGACTTCATCAATCTCTTTCGATTGTTCTCGAATTAGACGGATATAATCCTCATCCACTGTGGCTAGATACTCCTCGAATGCGCTCACCACTCTATCTTTGGACTCCAACATTTCCAACGTGTATCGACGAAGCTCTAGAATTCCAGCTGCAAGCTCCTCTGGGGTATCCTTTTCCATGAGTGTCGACCACCGCATACTGAAAGAGGCATCAATCTTATTGCAAGCCGTCTTTTCATTGGCAAGCGTCTGCCGCCTGATAAGGGCGCTCTCTTTGTCTGTGTTAAAGATTACTAAGGCTTCTTTGTCAGCTCGTGTCCGTAGGCCATCGACGTGGGCCATGAAACCGCTAGTCTTGTCCCTAAACCCCGCTAGTGTGTCATACACAACTTTCTCTGCGTTTGATACTGCTATTTGGTCAACCGATGACGAAATCACCACCCCTGCGTTCTCCCCGGTTAGATCCATGTCTTGTGTTAGCTCTGCTAACTTTGCACGAATGTTCTTCCTGCGTTCGGCAATTCGCTTTTGACGGTCCGTCTGGTTGTTCATGCCGAATTTGGTTGCGTAAAAATTGCCAAAAACCGGCCCGCGGGCACGCTTAAATAATAAACCATTTTAAATTGACTTTTTACAGTAAAAGTGGCCTCGCCGCGAGATGGGCAAAGTCAGGACCAAGACAATCAAGCGTGCTGCGCGCAAGATTGTTGAGAACAATTACGAATCACTGAAACCCAAGGATTTCCAGAACAACAAGGCTATTTGCTCGAAGAGGAACGTAGCTATAATACCATCCAAGCGCCTGAGGAATAAGGTTGCTGGCTATGTCACAACGCTCATGAATCGCGTCGTTAAGGGACCCGTCCACGGCATCTCTCTGAGGCTCCAGGAGGAGGAGCGCGAGCGTAGGGACAACTATGCCCCAAAGAAGTCTGAGTTTGATGTAGAGAACATCACCGTCTCTGGGGCAACGCAGCAGATGATAGACTCGATTGGCTTCAAATGCATGTCCACCTCTCTGAAGGTCATCGACCCAACGATGAGAAAGAGGGCCAGGGACACCCGGGAGTAAATGATCGTCTTCTAGCTGCGCCTACGACCTTCGCGGGGTGCATAGAATCGGGCCCGCTTGAGTGCGAAAAATGCTCGGAGGAGCTTCCAGCGACGCGCAAAAGCAGCGGCAGCGGCTGATGATGAATACTTACCATCCCTACTCAGCTTCTCTACGATGTCTGCAGCCAGAGATCTCGGGCCTGCAAGACCTCCTATGTAAAGGTAGCCTGCTGAACCCCCCAAGGCCGCAGCAATCCGGCAGCTTTCGCGATGCTTCAGACGGGCTTCGGTACGTAATCGCTGCCGCCACGCACGTTGGATGCATATTGTGCTATCCAGCACGCGCTTTTTGATCTGCCTTCCCGACAAGCGCAGTTCTGGTGACAAAGCTTGCTTCTTGTTTGCACAGGATCCATCACTGAACCATGCTTGGCGTGCAAGATAAGCCTGAGTAACCATCTGGCATATACCCCTGGCTCTTTGTAGCGTCTCGCACACCGAAGAGTCAACTTGCCATGGCATCCTGTTTGCCCCTACCAGATAGATGTTATTCAATGTATTTTAAAATGAAATCTAGCGAAAAAGATCGGGGGCCCGCGATGCCCGGACTTAAAGCAAAAGATCTCGTCGGCCTCTCCCAGGAGGACCTTCAGCGCAAGTTGGCAGATCTCAAGCGCGAGCTGCTAAGCCTCCGCACAATGAAGGCCACTGCAGGCCCAGTCCCGGAGCGCATTGCCCGTTTCCGTGTCTGCAAGAAGGACGTCGCTCGCGTCCTCACCGTCATTAATCAAAAGGCAAGAGACGAGGCGCGCGCCGCGTTCGAGGGCGCGGAGCACATTCCAAAGACATTTCGTCCAAGACTGACACATGCCATGCGCTGCCAACTGACAGAGAAGCAAAAGCGCCTCCTGCCAAGCAAGCTCATGAAGCGCAAGCTCCAGTTCCCGAAGCTGAAGTATGCTGTAAAGGTCTGAGCACCCTGGTGTTAGTAAATACTCTCTTGCTTCCCTTTCACCGCGTAGAACATAGCAGATGCGGAGTGCGTATGGCGCACGTGTGAAACTCGCCAGGTTTTGCAAGGGTAGCGAGGTGGAGCCTCTTCTTCCTGAGGATTTCCAACGCTTGCGGGTGGGCACCCGCAATGCGCTATCTCCGAAGCACATCGGCTCTCCTCGCGAGCGCCTATTGGACCGACGGTTCTCCATGCACTCGACGATGTTTTACTCCGGTAGGGCGTACTGCCGTCCTTCACGGCCATCGCTCCCACCTGGTGTTATGCTCAATAAATGTGAGCTCATCCTTGTATTCACCGCTGGGATCTTCGCCGCTTTTCCTTCCATGTACATTAATGACGCTCTTGTGCCTCTTAGCACGTATCTGCCCTACTATTATAAGGGGATCACAGATTCTGCAATGGGATGGCTGACCTCTGTGCCTTTCCTTCCCTCATTAGTCATTACTATTTTAGTAGCCCCTCTAATAGACAAATACGGACCCGTAGCAGTAGGGATCTTTTGCTGCATTTGGTTTGTAGCTGTCTCCATCCTTATTCCCTTTGTGCAGGCGTCTTTTAGCTGGCTACTTGTCACCCGTGTCTTGTTTGGTCTTTTCTCTGAATCATCGTGGATCGTCCAGGCCTCTCTGATAGCCAAGTATATGCCAATCCACCTAGAGTCCTTTGGGTTCGGCCTGTGCATGAGCATCTCTACCGCAGCTGCCTTGCTTTGCTTTGGCACGATTCCTCCCCTCTTCAGCGACATAAACTTATCTGTCTTGGAGGGACCAGAGCCCATGGCTCAAGTAGAGTACCTTAGGTTAGAGAAGAGAATAATACTCTCATACTGGCTATCTGTTGTCATTGCCGTATTATCCCTAGTCATCTTTTCCGCGTGCAGTCTGCCATTGGTGAGGATTGACAAGCGAGCACGGGTGGCCCGGGAAGAATACTTCAAACACACAGCGTTCGTGCCCACGCTTCCGGTGTACATCAATACTACAATCCTTCCACGACTACCTGCAAGGCCGAATCGCTCCTCTCAGACATTCTTTCTGAAACAGCTGGTCAGCCTGCCCCCGGACTTCTGGCTAATTAACTTCAGCTTCAGCATCCTCCTTGCCGTTTGTGAGAGCTGTCAGACTCTTCTTCTCACCTTCATTCAAGTGCAACATGAGGAGATCACTAGCCATACTGCGGAGTACTTTGGTGTCATGCGGACCCTCTTTGCCGTCATTTTTGGGCCACTTTGTGGAATCCTTGCTGGCGCAGTCGGCAGGCGGCCCTTTCTGGGGTGCATTACGTACATCAGCATTACTGTGGCATTTGTCCTCATCATGGTCCTCCCGGCGTGGTACAATCTGATTCCGATGGCGATCATTGGGATTGCAGACGGTGGTAGCTCGGCCTTCCTCAAGAGCCTCTTCAGCAAGGTTGTGAGCAGCTCTCAAATCAACACTGCCTATGCCATTTCGGAGAGTTTTCTTAATGTCTATCAGTTTGCTCTGCCTCCTCTCGCGGGGTTTGTTAGTGATCTTGTTCGTCTAAATAATGGCAAGTCGTATGGGACTCCCTTGACATTTACCGGGGTCCTGATTGTCGGTACAATTATTATCTTTATTAGTATACGTCGAGACAAGTCTGTCTTTCGAGGAAGACTTAGTTCACGCACGTAGAGAAGAGTGGAATGATGCAGTAGCAAGCTAATCTCTGTCCGTGGGCTCTGGGAGTTTACTTACCTGTTGCGTAAAAACTCTGAGCGTTCCAGTGAGTTCAAAACTAAATGAAACAACAGTGAAAAGTTTTGTCGGGCAGCTTAGAACAAGGTATTCGATTTACCAGCTCTACACAATCTTGGAGTATAAAGGAGGAGATTAGCAAGAGGAATGATATGTATTAAGCAGGAGTGCTTTGCCCAGCAGAAAGAGGACGCCGACAGACAATCCCGTGCACAGCCAGAGTAGTGGATATTGCCTCTCCTTTGCTGCAGCGGTCCTTATGGCACTTTCTTGCTTGAGTGACTGATAATAGTTGCGCAACTCTGCCAGCTTTTCAATCTTTGCACGTCGACTTTCTTCTAGTCGCTGCAGCCCAAACCGCATCATCTCCAGCTCATTTTGTGCAATAGAAACATCTAGTTCTAGCCTATTCGTATACTGCTCTCGGGGATTGGGCTCGCCAAGCGAATCTGGACACATGGTATCGCCACTATTTTTTGGATTCTTGATGGAGTCATGCAGTGCATGCCAGCAACCTGCTCGCTATCGCTGCCCCTCATGCCAGCTCATGACATGCTCACTAGCATGCTTCACGACACACAAGGAAGTCACCGGGTGCAGTGGAAAGGCAGACCTTCCAACCGCCTATATCCCCTTAACAGAGTATGACGAGAATGCCTTCTACCGGGATATAGCTTTCCTTCAGCGAAAGATTATCCATGCACCGGAATCCCGTGCTTCTGATGATGCCATGGATCCGCCTTTCGCGCTCTGGACGTCAGGCAGGCAAAGCCTCGCTACCCTTCAGGCACGCTACAAAGAGTACATAGATTTGCCCTATTTTACTGAGACGCAACGCGCTATAATGCAAGCGTGTTTGCAGCGCGAGACGTTCCTGTGCATGGCACCACCTGCATCTGCCAGGCGACGGTATGTCCCTACCTACGATCTCCGCGCAGACCTCCTCAAATGGCCTCTCAGGGTACGCCTTGTCAATTCAGAGACAAGTCTGCTCATAGATAGGATGCTACCCGCCATCCCAGAGACAGACACCATTCAAAAGATTCTCGAGGCGATTCTCTCCACCCCTTGCTCCATTCTGGATTCAACAGACAACCCTGCAATCTTTCTTGAGGATGAACGACTGTCTTCTGAGGCTACTCGACCTACAGAGCTTTTGCGCGCGTCTCTCCGCATCCCTCCATCTTGCTATCTCACACCACTTAGGAAACTCCTGGCCCACCACTTCCTCATGCAATACCCCGTCTTCACAATACTCACGTAGACCAAGACCCTGTCGAGCTACTTGACAGCCCACGTGCTCAATTGCCCATTTGACTAGCTGTCTACCGTTTACTCATGGCGCTTAGTTGACCCTGGAGTACTTGCTCTTAAGAGCCTCCAGCTTGGAGTCATCAATGCTGAGGAAGTTGCGCTTGCTGACCACTGCCTTCCTGGTTACGCGCTCGCGGGCCTTGACGATCACCTCCTTTCCGCGCGCTCTACGAGATGCAAGAGTCCAGCGGATCTTGCGAGGATTCCACTTGTTTAAGTAGTGCACAGAGGCCTTTCTGTTGAGGAAAATAAGGAGGACCTTGTCGTGGCGGCTCATGCGCTTGCCGTACCCAGGGAGGATCTTCCTGCCCGAGTAGCTGCACTGATTTGTCGTGACCATCGGGCACGCCCTTTTGAAGGGTTAAAAAGTGAAATTTAAATTGTTTTAAGCAGGGAACTTTTACTCGACCTCCTCGTTGAATTCGTTGTTTTCCTCTATCTTTTCCTCCCCGCTCATGATGCGCTGAGCCTTCTTAAAGATCTCGTCTTGCTTCTCGCCGTAAATCTGCTTGCACTCTTCGCGGTACGAATCAAGGTACTCCTTGTCCTGCATCACATAGTCGCTTTCCAAAATTTGAGTGAACGAAGGGCGCTTTGCAGGATCTATGTTGAGCATGGATATGATCAGCCCCATTGACTCCTTGGTGAAGTAGCCCTTCTTCACGCGGTCCTCGGGGAACGAGAATTGTCCGGTACGGATGCGCTCGAAAAGAGCCTCTAGTGTATTGGCCTGGAACGGAAGCGTGCGGCCGAGCATGAGGTAGAGAAGAACGCCGACAGACCAAATGTCTGCCTTTTCTCCGAAGTAGCCCACATTCGTCTTCGACACCACCTCTGGAGAAACATAGTGAGGAGACCCACAGGCGGTTGTCAGAAGCTTGCTGCCCCTTGTACCGGGGGCCTTCTGCTCGCCCCCTCCTTGCCCGTCGTCGTCCTCAGCATCTTCAGTGAGGGCAGAAAGCCCAAAGTCTGTGATGACGACCGATTGGCGGCCCTTTCTCAGCAGGAGATTCTCCGCCTTGATGTCTCTGTGGGATATGTGGAGCTTCTGGCAGTACTCCAGAGCGGAGCAGATCTGAATGAAGTAGCGGCGAACCTGCTCTATGGTGAAATCGTTCTCTCTGAGAGCAGTCAGGATGTCTCCGCCCTCCAGGTACTCCATGACTATATAGATCTTGTTCTTGCTGGCTAAGATCTCTTTCAGCTTGACTATGTTGGGATGCGAGACCAGACGAAGGACGACGATCTCTGTTCGTATGTGCTTGAGCTGCTTCTTAGTAAGTTGGCCAGACTTTGTTATTATCTTTATGGCAACCTCCTCCTTCGTACGTGAGTCTGTCGCCAACTTTACGGTCGCATACGTTCCCCTCCCCAGGACGCCGGTGACCTCATACGGGCCAATCTTCTTCCGGGACATATTTTTTGCCCTTCTTACAGCGTTCCTAATTATGAAACAAAAGCTCAACATTAGAGGAGTGCAGCGGCGTTTCGTTTTGGAGAAAGTAGAACGCCGCGCATGGTTTACATGAACACGCTGGAGAGTTGTGCATACAAAGTTGAGCATAACTTTGCCCTCTCTCCACACTCTTATTCCAAAGGGGAATGATGACATAAGTGGACTCTGACCTACCGTGTGGACTTCATGAAATGGTTGGCAAAGAAGCTTGGCTGCATCTTCTCCTCGGCCACCTCTTCGTGGCGCGCCCTTTCCTGCGCGTCCCTACGTTCTGCTATCGCACGTCTGTTTTGCTCTGCGACATACTCCTCGTATGCTCTACGGGCTTCTTTCTGCTCCTGCTCAAGCATCTCCTCATACTTGATCCGCTCCAGGACCTCCAGGGCGTGCCTACGGTTCTCCTGTGCCTCCAGAGATTCCTGCGCCTTCCGCTCTGAAATGAGAGTATCGAGCTCAGACGCCAATTTCTGAGCGATCTCCCTCTTTTCCTCGCGTGTGCCATGGATGGCTCGAAGCCTCTCCGCTTCCTGCTGCATGTATTGCTCTCGTCGACGACGCAGAGCTGCATCCTCAGCCGTGTACTGGCGCTCCATAGACTCCATATTGGACTTGGACGGCTCCTTAATGGGGCGGTTCATTATGCTCTGTCTCGGAGCCGTGCATGCAGTGGACCATGTAGGTTTCATTTTTTGAATTTTGCTCTTTTAATTTGTCCACAGCTGCTCGGGTCCTCCATGGCTCAGCTTTTTTATGTTCCAAAGGTGTACAACCAGGAGGCCGATACTCTTGAGGACCTTGAAATCCCTTTAACAGAAGCTCGACGTGTGGTGACCATGATCTTCAGAAGCATCAACACTGAGGATTTGGCCATATATTACGAAGGAGCTCAGTGTAACCTTTCCTTTTACCTGTTCAGTTACTTAATTAATGCAGGGGATCCAGACCAGGAGGCTGCAGATAAGCAGGGAAGCAAAACCAGCGCTGTGCACTTTCTCTATAGTAGTAGCTGCAAACGGCTATTCTCGCTCTCGCCCTCAGGGTTCATAGAAGTAACCAGGAACTACTCTAACTTCCTCCACATGCTCAGGCTTTCAGGGGCCAATCTTCTGCGGGAGGTATACAGATTCACTCCTGTGGCCAAGGCTGTAATTGATGATAAGCTCCAAGTCAAAAGTGCCACCTTGTGTGCTTACGAGTGCAGCACTTTGGCCATGATTCAGATACCAGATAAACTCCAGGACCCAGTGACTTACATCGTTAGTCTGGACCCCTATTTCGTTTACTACAGGCTAGCATTCTCGTGTCAGCTGAATGAAGGTCGTGGGGATGAAGACACGGCAGCCTCAGACTCGTCCAGTAGCAGCTACAACTTAGTCCAGCACAAGACCGTGGCAGACATCCTAATGAATGGAGTCATTATGTCTCTTCTGCTCTCTTCTCTGCAGACTCCCCTTCAAAAGCACACCTTTATCACACTGCAGTATGTTTCCGTCGAAGGGGACCAGCACGACGTTCTCTTTCACAGTGCTCCAGACCATGTACTTGTGCACACCATGTCAGATACCATTATCGAGCAGCACCAGATTTGTTCCAGCAGCGTATTCAACAATCGCTCTCCCACCCTTATATGTCCTTCTTCTCTTCTTCCCCGAGGAGTTGTCAATACAGCTCAGGCGCGGCTCATCAACAGCCTGCGAAATGCCGGTTGCATCGGGAACCCCTGGCTTTATAGGTTCCTCTCTCTGCTCAGCCTGAAGCTATGATGCCTGTCCCTGTATTCTTACTATTCATCAATGATCTTTTATCATGCTTCCATTTACACACACCTACCTCACACTGATAGAATGTTCTCCAGCTGGGACTTCAGCTGGACTACTTGCTTCTTTAGGAAAACAACTTCCTCTGCATGCCTCTTTTCATCTAAAGCACGCCTTTCGGCTTCTGTCCTCTCGGCAGCGTCCAGCCTTGCCTTATGCTCTGCCAGTTGCCTCTTGAGCCTTTCGTTTTCTGACTCTAGTTCTTCAATCTTTGCTTTCATCTCTGCTTTTCCTTGCTCGGCCAGTAACGTTTTTCTGATCCCGAACGACACTGCCGATTCATATAGTGTCTGATATGCTGCAATAGTCATGCGTAGCTCGTCACGGACGCGGGTCAGTAGCACGCCACGCTCAGCGCAGTTAATGGCGACGTGACGAATCAACTCATCGAAGCATTGGCTGTATATGTCTTCTCTGATCGGACACAAGCCCATCTCACGAGCCTGGCGAACCTTTAACTGCTGATCCAGTTTCTCTTGTAGGTTGAGGACATCAAGCCGTGTAGCTGGGGTGCTGGACACAAACTGGACCCACTGTTCTCCGTCTTGCTCGAAGGTCCTCGGGGGGAGGATAGAGTTCAGGATGTCCTCTGTCTGAAGAGTCCCTTTTGTGCCCTGGTTAGTGGCCTGGGATGCCTTTGCCTTCTTTTGTTTCTCCTTTGCAGCTGTTGCCTGCATAGGTGGGTCATAACGGACAAGGGACTCCCTAAGGGTTGAGCTCATTTTTTTAAAATCTCTCTTACCTGGATCTCTAGCAGAGCACGTTGTCACAGCCACTATGGTTGCTACAACTGAGCAGAGAAGAAATACAGAGTGAACAACGCGAATTCACTATTTCGTTAGGGTGTAGCGAAGGGTCTCCATGACTGCGTCTCTGCTGACGGCAAAGATAGCCCTTGTATTGCCCTTGTCATTCTTGCGAAAGACGGTTTCCCCGAAGTGAGGCGTGTCTTCCAGGACGACCTCCACAGACCCGCGCATCTCTTCTTCGATGATTGCCTCGTTACAGCAGACCATTGCGGCAAGTGGGTCACAGAGGGCGAAGTAGTCGCCTCCGTGCTTGCGAGTCATGTCCTCCATGTGCTTTGAGATGGATCGGTGGAAGCGCCCGACGAGAGACTTCGAATTGAGCTCGTCCATCTCCGCTATGCTGACGGAGGCCACAAGAGTGAGTGTCCAATCAACGACGCGAATGTTATCGAAGCTGTTGAACATCACCTGGGCCGCCACGGGGTCGCACCCAATGTTGTGCTCCGCGTGAGGCATACCGCATTCAGGCATGTTGCCCTGGAGAAGCCCCGTCATCCCACTGTCTTCGTATTGCTTTATCTTCCCAGCTGTGAATTTATTTTGCGAATACGCCTTGAAAGCAGGATAGAACCCAGCTCCCATGATGTAGAGGTCAATCTCGGCATGAAGATGGATGATGCTCATGAGACTCGTGAAGGGACCAATAGCAACTACGGAGAGGTTCTTCCCCGTTGCCTGCTTGGCGGTGACGCACGCCCTCTTGATGAGGACAGAAGGAGCCTCGTCAGAAAACGGAATGGGGGTGTCTATTATCCTCCTCTCCTCAGAACTCATATGAATACTGAAGTCGGCATCACCGAGACCATCATTCCCATGCCAGTTTTCATCATTCGACTTGCCTCGCTCTCCTTTTCCAGTCTTGAGAAAGGCCAAGTCGGATGCCGAGTCCAAAGGACCCCTACACAGGACTGGCATGGTAAATTTCACGCCACGCTGTCTGCACGACTCCCTTATGATGTTCAGGACTCGTGTAACATTGCGCTCCACGGCGCTGCGCTTGTTGTTGCCGTAAGTACACGAGACCCCGACGAGCTGGACAGTCGTGGAGAGTCCGAGGATCATCAGAGCCAGAGCGTCGTCGATGCCGCAATCGGTGTCCAACCAGACGTGCTTTGTGACAGCCATCTTTTTACTTCTTATTTAAACCCTTTATTTTTATCATTAATTGGACAGCTTTTTTTGTTTTTCAATCCGAACCCTCCCCTTGCCTATTCCTGCTAGTCTGTTAGGCGTGCGAGGCCATGGAGGGGCACGAAGCAAATATAAGTACGAACGTGCGCGCTGTACGGCCTTTTGTCCCCGGCGTCGTGGTGCACTATACTCTGTCGGATGTGCAGGACATGGGGATTATTGCCTCAATCACAGAGCTTTCTCCAGCTCTCAGGGAAAGCTATTACGGTGACAGCCATGAACTTACATGCCTCGTGCGAAGCGAAGACCAAGGAAGGCTCGTCTACCATTTAATACCAGAAAAGGACATATCTTTGGCCACACGGGACTCTCTGACTGGAGCACCCCAAACCCCAACCGTTATCTCTTTCCTATCTCTGCTGAATATAGGGGAAATTTGTCCAGAGCAAGTCTTCGGCCAACATGTTTTAATTTATCATCCAACGTATAAAAGCCCAAGTCCCTGTGGGACATTGGGCGTTCCTCTTAGTCCAATGTTTTTGACCAGCATAAACCATAGCTTCACACTCAGGTATCTCAAAACTTTGGCATTAAAACTACAAAGAGAACCGACCCTACTTTGTCTCCGTGATCTCTGGCGTTTCCTTACCTTGCACGACTACGATCAAAAGCTAGAAGAGCCAGATCCCAAGGATACCTTCACGTGCAGAACCCCAAGTGTGGCTAACTATAGCACCAAGGGAAGTGATACATTAGGGAACTTTATCATCAATGAGTACAGTAGATGCTATAATATCCACGGTGTTGAGCTTTCAGTGGGCGATATCTGCAGAGTAACTGGAGCTTTGCAGCCCGTGAGGATAGACAGAATCTTGGAGATGGGCCCGAATGGCACCGGTGGCCATTCCACAGATCAAAAGATATACATATATGGACTCACGTACCTCAGCGATTCCCGCAGTACCTCAGATATTGTGCCCTGTGTTTATCCTGTCTCCTTGGTCGAGCAGCTGGTAAGCACAGATTCAACCAGCTTTGCTGAAGAGTTCCAAATAGATTCTGATGTGTATGATCTCTGGACACTGGTCACAGCAGAACACATTCAAGAGGAAAATCATTACATCGCTACAATAGATATGCAAACAGGATTCAACTTTGTGAGTGCACTGGATGTCTACCTTTCCCCCAATGACGCTGAGGTTACATATGCTACTCCGATCGAGTGCTCTCTGTGTAGGTATCTCTATGTTCAAGGAAACATTTATAAAATACCTACCGGAGAGCATGTAGCTTCATGGAAGCACGGACGTGATGGAAGTGTTACTATTCACGAACAAGATCCGAACTCAGAGCCCAGTCCGGTCTCGTTCTTTGATTTGAGAAAGTCATATGACGCAGAGCAGTCTGTCGTCACACAGGAGCCGTGGCTTTACACAGCTCCGTGCACATACACATATAGCAAGGTCACGGACAGATCCCTTAATGAGCTGTTAGAATTGGCGGAACGCATATTGGAGAGGACCAGTAACATTGCTGTCGCTAGGAAATTCCAGTGCTGCTACTGTGGTGATGCACTGACAGGGGAGGATAGGGTTGCTGGCCCATTTATCTATGCATTGGTGAAGTGCCCTACGCCACTGTTTTTAGCACAGTATGTGCCTCCGGTGCTCTTCGTGGCCCACCACTCTTGTGCTTTCTATACCCCAGAGGTAGCATTCCTTAAAGCCAAGGACCTCAAGTCAGAGCATACTCGAATCTTGTCAGAAAAGCGCTTCGACCTTACTGTAGCTAAGCGCGTCACAAGAAATCAGACCCCAATACCTCTGATCGTCCAGGCAACAGCCCTTGACCGTGTCCTTCGGGCACTGCTCACAGAGTTTAGTCCACGTGTCTACCTCAACTTCAGGAAAACATTCAAGAAGAATCGCATTGAGCTTAGTTGCTCCATTTGTGGAAAGCCAGGCGCCTTGATAGGATGTTATAACAAAGCATGCCAGTTTACGGCCCACTATCCCTGTGTAGTAAGTAAGGGATTGGTCATAACCGAAAAGAGAGAGATGTACTGCAAACGTCATTCACGATGCTCAACTTAACGCCCGCACAGCCACAGAGCTAGAGACAGCGTTCGCCATGTCAAACAGTAGACTATCCGCGAGATCATGCTCAAGACTATCACTAGGAGACTCTTGAGTCTCGCGAATCTGAGGTCTCATACCAGCAACAGAATCGGGATCAGTGAACTCTGGGCTTTCTTGCGTGGGCGCTTGAGAAAGTGTAAGATACGTGACACCCTCAAATTTCGTGGTCTTTGTGATTGGAACGCGCGGGCGTGTGGCTTTCATAGGAGGATTGGAAGACGTTGAAATCATTTTACTAGAACTAACGGCGAGCGGCACCGCTCGGATACTGTCTTTGAGTAGTAAGGAGGGTACCGATTGCCTTTCTTGAGAGGCTGTGACACCAGAGAGAGGTGCAGGAACTGAAATAGAGGGGGCATCTAGACCAGCAGTGGCAGCTCGGGACACCCCAGGCGTATCATGAATGCGCGTGTCACACTCTCTAAGAAAGACTTCCCTTAGATAATCAGCCGCTGAATGCCCGGTATTCTGCTGTGGCACAATGGTCTCTGAGAAAGACTCTTGCGAGGGACACCCCTGCTGAACGCTAGAAGGAACAACGGGGCACTGCTGCATGGTGTCCAAGCGTGCGCTACGCCGGAAAAAGCGAAACATTCAAATTTTGAAGTTCTCACAGAAAGTGATTGAACTGAGCAATATGAAACAGATTTGCCTGTAAATTAGAGCCTTAACTTAAACCTGTAGCTACTGTTTACTCATCACAGATTTTGGTGATCGACGCCGCCTAGCGTCGTTGCTAAAGGTTAAAGAATCAGTTAATATCGTAGTAAGGAGCTCTGACGCCGCAGCCTTAGATCTAACGAGGTCTACGTTCGACCTCCGGGGCAGACTGGTCGCTGTTAAGTTGAGGGCGCTGCAGACAGTTTCGGCTCTCTGCTTAGACACGCTGTAGGGGTTCAATTCAGTCGTGAAATTGCTATGGCTTGAGGAGTTGTGAGGTACTGTAAAGTCGGAAAGACTGATATCGTCTTCAACGGGGGAGATAGCGGCCGTCTGCTGCAGCTTGGCCCTCGACGCAATAGATAGAGCACACGGTCTACTGATAGTGTACGGTATCATGCTAGAGCGAGAATGTGCTGAATATATGCGGGGCTGCGGCGCCGCAACCCTGATCTCAGCCCCTTTAGCACTGGTGAGTTTCCGATGAAACTCGTTAAGAGCAGTATTAGAATAGGGTGGTTCGACAGAATCAATGCTATCAAAGGTGCCCCTGTGCTCCAGCAGGTTGACAGAGTTAGCCACAGGTAGGCTTGCTTCCTTCTTAATCCGCACAGTGGACTTTAAGAAGCATAGAAGGCCTTCTTCTATAGCCCTACCATCTGCTCCGATGTACCAGGGGTGTGTGCGGGGGGTTTCGCACCTGTGATTGCTTTGAGCCTCTGTGGTAACACCCATATTCCGACTGACAGGAGCATAGACCCTAGCCGGGGGTAGATATTCTCGAACGTCTATCACACTGGTAGACAGCCGCATGGACTCTGGGGCATAGTGTATAGTCATTGGTCGGACTGCCCTCGCGTTAACTTTTAACTTCACCGAGTGTCAAGTCGCTGTACACAGCGTTAGACATTACAAGTTGCGAAGCCTTTCTAGCACCCTTCTGCGCTCATCCCAATTGTAAGATACAGTTAATTTAAGTAAAACGCTTGGTGACCCGATGTAGAAAAAAGATGAAGGCATTTGATGTCGTTAAACATAAGTACGACGGCTCTCCCGAGGAGGTGTCTCGCTCCACTTACTCCTCCATCAATCCAGTCAGTATAATTGACGAGCCCAACGGGCATTCCTACTTCACCCATAACGCCTACCTTTTGCTCTCCAGGTGTTACCTTTATGTTTACTCTAGATCTCCTCCCTATTCGCTTAGGCTTCCACTTAAGCGAGTGAATGGCATAGAGTTCCGAAAGAAAGGTACAAAGGTCAACGGTAAACGGGTGAGCGACAACGCGGTCGTGATTGTTTGTAACACTGACAGTAAGTACAACGATTTGGCAAACGATAATGCCTCTAATTCACTTACGCTTGTGTTTGGCCAACCCAAAAAGGGCGAAAAGCTTCCAAGAACGCCCGCAGAAGACTTTCAGGACTTAGAGGCCAAGCTTATGCCGGCCTATCAGACCAGTAGCCGCGATTCTGTAGAGGACGTAAGGTCTGCTTGTATACTAAACCCCCTTCGTGAGCGGTACAGCCAAATCCTGAGGGAAATCGACCTTCCTAAAGACTTCAGATTTAATATTACCAGCATCAGAAATAAAGAAATATACACCAAACTGATCAAGTTGGCTGAGCACTGGGTGGAGCAAGACGCATTCAAGAAAGAGAGCTCTCGATATCTGCATACGAAGAAGTACGAAGATGGGATCAAGGCTGCAAAAACGCTTCTGCATGAGACTGCTATGACAAGAGACACGTTAGCAATGACTGCAAAAGACACAGTGTCTCTTGCACCCCCCAACTTTGTCTCTCCTACCCCCGTCAAGGAGCTGCCTAGCAGCGCTAACGGGACCGGGGGAGGGATCACCGTATTTAAGCTGTATAACGATGAGAAGCTCTGTCAGTCTTATGCACAGGTTGTCATATTTAATAGGACGCAGCCCTTTGACCTTGCCATTGAGCTTTCTGATGTTTTGCATGCCTTTCTATCAATCAGGCCATCCTCGGTTGCCTCGCCTGTCAGTGACAAGGACGCGTTTGTGACTGAGCTCATGAGTGCTATTGAGTATTATGTCGCCCTTTCGCCGCTCTACATACAGCAGCGCATTTTGCAGTGCGTCTTTCTGCCAGTAGACGAGGTATTTGCTCTTATTAATCGGTCTCGACCCAATAACCCTGTCCATGTCACAGAGCTAAATGGTATTTTCGACTATATCGAGAACGAAAGGCGTACACGAGGACATGATGCATTTCCCTACGTGCCATGGACCCTCAATGGCCACAGATACTTGGTTACTAAGGAGGTTCGTTCATACAAGATGTTCTACTTATATGTCATACTAATTTTATATAACGAGTACAATAGGGTGCGAAACCGTCGACCTATTAAACATCCGTGTGTAAGTGTCCACAGGATCATTGAGATGATCCACGTCAATGTAACTACGGCCACAGACATTCTAAACGCCATGCAGCAGCTTGGCTGTCTGGTCAGCGAGACCAACGGGGGAGTTAAGCATTATTATCTCAACAGGATCACATTCAACTACCGTGTTATGCTGAAGGAAGCAATAGATTGCAAGATAATCAAGGAGGTCACGATCTCTTAACGCTCTACTGGTACGTTCACACTCTTTACCAGGGCTGAGTCACTCCGATCCAAAGCCTCTCAGTCCCACATCGTTCTCCCTTCTATAGCTCTTATCAAGCGTAGGAGTCTTTTATCAAACCAGAACTGACGAGTAAATAGTCTATGAGGACGTATAGGTACTGTGTGTCAATCTAAAAATGGCCGGAAATTACCCTGTCTTCGATGAAGGCAGCGGGGCACTCTTTTGCCAAAAGTTTCTGGACCACTTACTCTTTGGGATCACCATCAGAAGTACGGGCAATTTTGGTGGTGCAGTCTATGCTATCGCATCTCTCATAAATCTTATCCCCCTGGTTGTGGCAGTCGTGTTTAGTCAGTTTCCAAGAAGGATATGGTCGCTCGTGACGTCGCTCGTCTTGAGTCTCTGTCTCTCCGTGACATACGGACTTTTGGCTCGAGCGGGAGAACGCTATAAGAGATCTTCCAAAGTGGGCTCCAGAGGTGGTGCCAGCTCCACAAGGCGGTGTCCGACAGCAGGGGCTATCGGGGCTGTCTTGTTTCCTGTCAACAAGGGTCCGTGCGTGCAGGCAGCCATTCAGCTTCTCGCACTGTCTCTAGCGGTGATCTTCCATATCGCTGTTTACTTCGGTGTAGCAGAGCGTTGGGTCGGTGTCTTTGTCGCAATGCTATGGGTCCCGGCACTCAGGGGTTTGGACTCTGCCATGAATGTTTTCACACCAGCACAGCTGTTTGAATGCTCCTTCACCAATCTGTTCTATACCTTTTGCATCTTTATTCCCAACATAATATTTCTAAGTGATAAACCTCGTGAGCTTGTTGCTCAAGATATAAAGTGGTTTAATGTGGCCTATGCACTTATTCCTCCCCTCTCTTTTTTCGGGGTCCTCCCACAGTTCCGCTGCCTGCTCTTGTATGTCATTGATTTAATCTGTAGGATCGTCAAGCTGCCCACTTTTGGCGGTTGGTCTATCCTTCTATTTCCGAGTGTATTGTTAGCAATAGTCGGTACTAATTTTCTCTCCTTTGTTCCAGGCGTCTTCTTTGTCCTCATGAATGTTAAGTATGGTACGCTTAAGAGCTATACAGCGCGCATCTTCATTCGGTTTGCCTTTGCAATTCTAGCGGCAGTTGCATCAATTACAATCTTCTGTTTGCTTTTGCTAGCTGATATACACATTAGCCCGTTGCCATCTCAGGTCATTACTATGTGGTCCTCTCATATCAAGTTTCTTGTTCCACTCGGGATTGGCGCTGGCTGTTACTTGCTGTTTCAGCTGGGGTCTTTGTTTGCGCGTAAGCGACGTATACAGAGTCGCATATACGCCATAATTAATCATATTTCCGGAGTAGCTATTCTTATTCTAGGAATTTTTGACGGCATTGTCTCGATTTCTTCATATACACAGTCTACCAAAGAGTCCAGCTTAATGACCCTAAACCTAGAGGCTGGCACAATCCACGCCCTGTCGCTGCTTCATCTTACTGTGTCTGCATGCACAGATCCAGCAGCTCTCTATGTATCTCTCCTACTCGGTGGTCTCATCCTAACGATAGTACAACTTGCGCTAGGGTCATCATCTAACAACTTCAGCTCTCTGCCTTTAGAACTGCGGCCTACAAATCTTCCAGCAATAGCTGTCTCTGCGCTTGTGGGAGCAGTTGCGGACGGGTTCCTCCACCGGCTCACTGTAGGTATCAACATGTATATCTCTGTGGCCAAGTTTGCATTTTCTAAGCCACGCACGGGTTGGAGAAAGGTCATGCTCTACTTGCTGCCCATACTAATTCCGTGGAACATGCTCGTCCTTGTACTCTCATCACTACTCAACATCCCCCCGCTTCCAATTGGAGGCACACCGATTTTGGTACCATCTTACCCTCGGTATTCTCAGTTCTTCTACAGCTCTGTTGATATTAATCTCACCTTTGGGGACTATATGAAGACCGTTGTATCCACAATTCTCGACAACGATGGTCGACTGAAGCCAGAGGATACAGATGACATTATGTTCTATGACTCCGCACTGCAAAGCCTCAGTGGATGGAGCCAGGACATGAGTTCAGAAGCCAGCTTTTGCTGCCTGTTTAGATCGAAGCTGGACTCTGGGGCATTGGGTACTCAGGGGACCATTCTTCCTCTCCTTACACCTATTGGGTATGGCGGCATGCGACCGGGTGATGTTGTCGTCCTTCTCAGCGGTAAAAACATGCTCATCCTTCGCTCTATGGGGATGCTATCCTTTGCAACTGGTGTCCTGTGCAACGTTACGGCGCTGGAAACAAAGGAAACCTCGTGCCATACCGTGGAGAGAGTAAGCCTGGAAGAGCTTTATAACGCAGCAACTCGCCGTGAGCGTAAGGCCAAACCAGGGAAGAAGGCTGCCACTGAGATGCAGGCAAGCGTTACATCTCCTAATGCAGAAGCCCTGGAACACGCAGATGTTGCTGTCAATCCGGTCGCTAGTGGCAGAAAATCTGCTTCAGCATCTACAAGGAAGTGGTACTGGCTACCAAGGTATAAGTTTTCTCTTATGACTGACGACTATACCTATCAGGATTACAGCTTGGCTGGAGTCTTTTCCCATCCTGACTCTCGACGGGGTCTTGTGGACCTATTGCTCAAGTTCATATTTGTCTTTGCCATATCGTCTACTGATGATAAGTTGTGCCAAGTGATTACTAAGTTAGCCAAATGCTATGATCATTGCTTTTCTGGAAATGTATACAAAAATTCAAATCAGGAGACTATCAATGCGTGTTTGATGACGCACTACAAGGATCTAGAGGAAAGCGCAACTACGGACACACGTAGACGAGAAGTGCTCAAGGCCTCTATCTTTTTATTCCACTGTATCTCTCCGCGTGGTTGGGACATTAGAGAAGCAGATATATACCAACTATTTAACGGAGCCTATATTCTACAACGGGCCTTTGTATTTTCACCGCTGGCGTCCAGCAATCTAACAGCCATGTCTCACTCTGCAGTTGCTGTTGAAGAAATGGCTATGGAATCTCCTTCTAGAAAGCAGCCAACTGAAACGCCTGTAGCTCACGGTCGCAGCAACAAGAGTGCTATAGGGAACAATACCCCAATGGCTCCGCATAACATTGCCAATGACATTGCGGATGAGCTGGCTGAAGTAGGCCTGGACGCAGAAGACGTTTCCGTTGACCTGGGCTCCATCGCCCAGAGTCGTCTTGATGCCCATAATAGAGCTCTTGAAGAGGGCTCTGCGCGTCAAGAGCTCCCCTCATTTTCACCGCCTCCTTCACAAACTCAGCTGGCCAGTGTAGACACCACCAGCTTCGAACCAATCCCACTAGCCTCTATTGGGGCATCTCCTTTCAATGTAGATCAGGTCTCGCCTTTCGGAGCAGCGTATGGATCATCTTCGTTTAGCGCCCTTCTTATCTCTGTCCTTGATACTGCCCCATCACAGATTGACCCTGACGATCAAGATGTGGCAAAGACACTGGGGGTGAAGGCCATGAAGCATGCCATAGAACACAGCATTCAGTGCTTATCCATTGGCGACTCTCTCCCCTCTACTTTATCTGAGGCAGAAACCGTAGTATATGAGCAACTCACAGAAGTATACATAGATCAAGGAGACAAGCGGCAATGGAGAACAACGCTTATGGAGAAAAAGCTGAAGAGGCTCTTCACCATCAAGCCTGGTCCACGGGCGTACTCATACTCACACAGCAAGGTTCAGTGGGACGTCTATACGTATCCATCGTTTGCCTGTGAGATGATCTGGGCGACAATTCAAGCAGATCTACTTGTTTTTGCGTCTGGTGACGAAGAACGGTTCAGTGTTCAGTCCCTGCCTGCAGTTCTTCGCAACTTATTCTGCGAGGCTGCAAGTGCACCGTATGGCTACCCTCTTCGGCATTATGGCCTAATGGAAATCTAAATTAAATGTTGATCAATGTGGCTCCTACCGACACAAAGCTCGCATTCTACTTCGAATGCGACAAGGCCGAAAGCACAGAGGATGTAAACAACCGAGGAATCCGCCTCCTGAATAGTCTGATCTTTTTGTCATCCTTGGTTGATCCCCTGGAGGATCTAGCGAAGCACGGACCCCTGCGGGCTCCTGAGTACAAAGCATTGACAGGCCAGCAGGAAGGTGAAGAGCCCCTTGGCCCAAGCGTCGATGCCTACAACCTGCGAACGGGTCATGCTCCTGACGAAACGGGCAAGAAGACCCTGACGGATGTCGCGGCTGAAATACGTCGAGTTTGTTATACACTACCATCCCAGCGAAACCCTGTGACAGAGGAAGTTGTCAAAGAGGCGATCGCCATAGCAAAGGGGGCACTGATGATGGTCTGGCCAATGGGTCTTCCCGACTACGATCCAGCCAAAGAGCTTCTGGATGCAGAGGAGGACATCCTAGAAGGAAAGGTAGAGCCCCAGAAGTATTATAGCACGGAGACTAGCTGCCTTTTCTTTGCAGGGTCTTCTTTGTGCTCTAAGGGGCCTGCTATGAGTAGCATCAAGTGCGGAGCAAATGCAGTGCTAAAGGTCATACCAAGTCGATCAAACACAGTTGTGCCGCGCAAAGCAGATGATGAGGCACGTGCAGCTATGATGAGCTACATGTTTAAGCGCGAGAAAAGCCTCAAGGAAGCTGAGCTAAACACTACCGAGGAGGTATATACCCGAGAATGGACAAACAAGAATTCACTCCGCAACCAGCTGCATGGACTTTCAGAGATAAGACACTAGCCTAGTGAACTTCCTTAAAATTCCTATGCCCCCGACCATCCTAGACGTGGTCCCTTTACTGGGGCACTTTGGGCCCTCTGCGGACGGAGCCACGTACATTACACGATCGCTGGATTGTTCATCAGTGCCTGATTTCGCCATTTCGGAGATATATAGCCAGTTTTCTTTTGTAGAGCGCCTCTCTGTCGCTGGACGGAGACTGAGTTCTGCAGATGTAACGGATCTTTTCTCCCTGCCACATCTTACTGAGCTGAACCTTTCGAACTGCGGGCTGAATGATGCACAGGTCGAGTGGCACATGCTCCCTGTTTGCCCCCTGTTACTTACGTTAACTCTCTCGTGCAATGATCTTGAAGAGCTTCCATCTCTTCGCTTCTGTCCTAATCTAGTTAACCTGGACTTGAGCCGTAACAAATTGTTTGAGTTTCCGTCAGAGGTCTCTGGAGATGCTCTCCCATACCTGGAGCGTTTAGACATTTCTCGAAACGTCATTTCATCTCTCAAAGGCAATAATTGTTGTCCCAACGTGTTTTGGCTCGATGCTGCTCATAACATTTTAACTAGCGATGCACATATAGACCGCTTCCCAAGTCTTCGATACTGCAACCTTAGCCATAACAGAATCACTTCTATTGAACACCTAGCACCGTTACAAAACCCCAATCTCAGAACACTCCTCCTCCACGCGAATTGCATTAATCAACTTTCCTGCATAAAGAAGCTCATTCCCTTCAAGCTACTGAGGGAACTTGTTGTGACATCTGACGATACGTTATCGCCCTCTCAAAAAGAGTTTACTAATGGAAGACGATTTAAGCGTCCAGACAATGACGGGCTCCACGTGGCCGTGACACTTAAGGACGCACGGATCTTAGCACTAGGGGACTTGATGGCCCGCCAGGACGAGGTCTCATTTGCTGTGGGAGTCAATAGAACAGTTGATCCGTATGCAGATGCCCCGAGCGCAAACAAAAGTCTATTTGAACAATACAGGAAGAATGCCGTGGCCACACTCCCTACCCCAGCAAATACCATTAGAGCGCTACTGATCTATATCCTCCCTCAACTTCTTTATCTCAACTGGGCTGAGGTGACCATCGACGAGCGTCTTGAGGCAGAGACCTGGATTCTCCCTTCCGAAAAGGTCTTAGCTCTATCCCATGTTATCGGACTGTAAAGCTAATAAGTTTATTGTATAGTTTACTTTAAAGCAAGGCATGTATGGTCGGTGTCATGTTGTAAGTTCTGTGTTCGCTGATTGGTTAGTCTCTTTCCGTCTGGTTGGTTGTCTTAATAAAGCTGCTAATATACATAATGGTTAGGTGCTACTTGATTGTATCTACTACTAAGCTCTTCTATTATCTATTTAATATTCATCGCTCATCGGTCACCATCACAGTTCATGGATCTGAATATTGTCTCGAACTAATTGTGATCTGATCCGGAGCCACACAGGCAAACCCGCCCCATTATGGCCTCTCTGACTACACGGTGAGTCGGTGTACGGGATCACTATTTCTAAGAGGAGCAGGCCCTCTAAAGATGTCTCCCGCCTATGCTAGCTCTTGGGGAAAATAGACATCCCGGCCACAGACGTGTGCCAGCCAGCACAGAGTGATGGACACGGGGGCATCCCCGAATGGACTGTTGTATGAGAGGGCGGAGGCCCTAGAGATGGGTTGCTCTCAGCACCTGCAGCGGGCAGCAAGTTGTTAGGTCAGGAACAGGCACGGACGAGGCCTGCCGGATGGGTCCGAGCCAGTCACCCGATGCCCCCTATGGGCCTCGTCCAGCCGATACTCTTGATCCTTGCCGGATAGCTCAGACCGACTGGGGAGAGGAAGGACTACCGGTCACCGAGGTCGAGCGGGCCTGGTTCGTCCCCGTCTTCACACAGGAGCGGGGAGGTGGGTTTATTCGTGCGACCCTTGGACCATGGCTGTAGAAGCCCCGTTCGCACCAGCACCTCCGCACGCCGCCGGGCACCTCTCCCACCACCTTGTTCCCGGTGCACTCCCCCAGGCACGACCGCCCGTCCAGGCTCACGAAGAGCTCCCCCGCGCACTCTGTGCAGAAGGAGGCATGCCCGCAGGTCTTGCACCCCGGAGTGGCGCAGGGCAGGCACGCGTCTCCGTCTGCATAGTACCCGTCTACACAGGCATTAAGGCCGACGCAGCTCCCGGTGGCGGCACCCGAGGCCCTCTTCAGGAGCGCTCCAGAGGGGCACCTGGTGCAGCGGCCGGGGCCAGGGGCGGTGCACGCCAGACATGTCGGATCGCACTCCAGCAGCTTTCCATCGGGCGATATCCCGTACCCCTCCTTGGTCTTCTCACACTTTCCGTTTGACTGCTTACCACAGATAGTGCTTCCCGGATAGTGCTCCGTTGTGTAGCAGCCCCCGTTCATCAGGAAGGCGCCTGAGGAACAGGTGGTGCAGACGCCATTTGCCTTGCTGGTGCAGTACGCGTCCCTTTGTGTGTTCAGAATACACACCCCGTTGAACGGATACGTGCTTGCGTCCTTGCAGCGCGTGCAGTACCTGCTGCCGTCGATGGTGATGCCGCATTCTGCACACTCACTACTAACAGAACACTGATCGACACAGTCTGCACTCTCGCTGGAGACGATCGAGAAGCTTAGGATCTTGCCAGGGCTGCACTGCTGGCAGCCGGTTAGTGTGCCATCCTTGCAGACAGCGCACGAGTCCGTACATGATATGCACGTTCCGGAGCTGTTGTAGAACGTCGGCTTGCAGACGCATCGACACGACACTTCAGTTGATTCGCTCCCTTCTGTTACCTCCGTACACGCCCCCCCGAGTGTCTCCGCTGCAGCCTTCACTGCAGGACCTCCCATCCACCCCGAGGTATCCCGTCGAGCACCGCGTACACGTCACACCGTTATTGTACCCGCATGTAGCGCAGCCACGCACACCACTGCTGGTATCACCGCACAGGTATCGGTCGGCCCCCTCAGCTTTAGAGAAGGTGAAGTTAAAATTGCTACGCCACTGCTTACACACTCCGCCCGCTGCTTCCAGACAGAGCTTTGAACCAACGTGGGAGTCTCTGTTATAGCAACCACCATAGAACAAGAAAGACTTCCCGGTGCTGGAGCAACCTGTGCACAACCCTCTGCTTGCATCTTTCGTGCAGTCAGAAAACAGGCTTCTGGAGGCGCTTTCCCCGACGAAGGTGCACCCCCCATTCTTGGGTGCATGCGACGTGTTCACGCATTCTGTGCAGATCGTCACGTTGTCTAGCTCGCACTGGTTCGCCCCCGCGCATATGGCAAATCCAGTCGAACTGTGTCGGCTGTAGCATCCATACTTACAGAACAGATGCGTCTTGTGGCATGACGTGCAGTAGCCGCTGCTGCAGCTGTGAGATCCCTCGGTCGCACCGCTGTTCGGGTTGACGAGCACACACCGCCCGCCCCTACCACGCTGCACTCGTGTCCACCTCGTAGAGCAGGAACGCGTTCGCCTCCGAGCCCGAGCCCCTGCACTCGACGCAGTGGACCGAGCCGCGGTGCTGTCCAGGATGCACACAGAGGAAGCGCTCTCGGAGTACGCCGTGCGCGTTCCGTTCATCGGACTTGGCCAGGGGCGCACCTATTCTGGGCACAGCCATCCTTGTGCTTGCTGCACTCCGCACCGAGGCTGTTGTGATGCGTGCCTGTGGAGGCCCGCAGGAGGGGCAGCGACCACCCGCTTTTTCACAGGACGTGACACACTGCGAGACGAAGGAGTTCTGTATGTGTACGTTCGCCACTTACCAGGGGCGTGAGTGTGCTCTCCGGGCTCCGACACCCCAGATGCACCCCTGCCTGCCGCCCGTGTGTCCGTTAGCGTAGGGCCGTCTGCAAGCGCGTCCACGGCCAAGTGTCTCGCCGTCTGGCAGCGGGGGCCGGGAACGATTCATATATCGATAACATCTGCTTGGGGATCGTCTGCGGCGATGAACGGATGGACGATGCCAGGCCACAGCTGGCTTAATGCCGTGAGATGGCTATCGTGTGCTCCGTGCCCGGAGAGTCGTGCCTCCCAGCAGGACCACAGCCTCGCAGAAGCACCTATCTCTGCTCTGACCCGGCGCGGGAGTCTTCCGGGTGGCTCCTACGCCGTGATGATGTTAGCGTTGGTTCCCAACTCCGTTGGTGCAGAACGCAAAAAAGGCTTTAGTACGTAACTAGTTTATTTATGGGCTTAAAGAAGCCTAAATGCAGTACCCTCATGCTCCATCTTACAAGCTGCTTGGGGATGTAATACGTATCCTCCTTTGTGTTTATAAAAACATAAAGATTGGATTGGGCCTATCTATTCAAATAATTGCAATATTGAAAATAATCTTTGCCTGCAATGTCATCGGATGGTTCAGATACCACTTCTGATGATGGCTTTTTGAATCGGTTTGGCCACTGCATAGGGCAAGGAGTCTATGGAACTGTTTACTCGCTGAGCGATAACCCTGATGAGGCGGTCAAAGAGATGCGAATAGACGGCATGCCTGAGGACGTGCTAGAGGCTTTCGAAACAGAGATAAGAATTATGCCTCAGCTATCTCATCCGAATATCCTTAGATATAAAGCGGTGCATCAGGAAGGTGATTTTGTGTATATTCGCATGCAGCGCTATGCTAAGTCCCTAGAGGACACAATAAAGGTGTACAAAAGAAAAAGAAAGGAATTTCCAAGGGATAAGATAATAGAAGTTCTTCTGCAAGTGACGACAGGGCTCATGTACCTTCACAGCCCAAATAAGCATGATACCACTGGGAATCCGCTATCTGCTGTTATCATTCATCGCGACCTTAAACCAGCTAACATTTTGACTAATGATGACGAGACGCAGTTTGTTATTGCAGATTTTGGGTTCTGCAGAGAGGCTCTTAAAGACGGATCCACCACGGCAGGCTCTCCTATGTACTTTGCTCCAGAGGTTCTCTTGAAGAAAAAGTACAGTCCAGCCTCAGACATGTGGAGCCTTGGGGTAATCATTTACGAGCTTGCTAGTGGTGTTAGACCCTTTTTCCTGTCAAATGTTAAATCGGAGAGTGACCTATCTGAGGCATGGAGACCTGACTTGAATGCCATTAATGATGGGTTCATTAAAAGCGTGCTAGAGACGCTTCTCGTTCCAAACCCAAGTGACCGTCCTTCAGCTGAGCAACTCTTGAAGGAACTAGATGAATACCTTACTTCCAAAGAGTCTAAGGGAACGTTTCGTTTTAAAGAGCTAGAAGCCGAGCATAGTGCGTTGCAGAATACTCACAAGCAATGCACTGTTGAGATAAATTTGCTCAAGAAAATGTGTGAAGCCAAAGACGCAGACCTAATTGGTTATAAAGAACACAGCACAAAATTAGAGACAGAGGTGGCCACGTTAAAGCAACAACTGAACTCTCTCAAGGCAACAGTCTCAGCACTAGAACACACACTCAAAGACGAACAGCTTTTAAAGAAATCCTTAACCTATGAAAATGACGAGTTGAGGAAAAAACTAGAATGCATGGAGTCGCTGCAGCGCTTTTCAATGCTCACTAGACTGATGCGCACAGTTATAAGCAATAATATAATGCTGGCACATGCCTTCATAGACGAGGACGCACAGAAGAGGGATGACCGCTCATTTACGGCACTGATGCACGCAGCTCAACGTGGTCGCACTGCTTTTATTCCGCTTCTTGTGGACAAAGAAAAGGGAATCCAGGATAAGTATGGCTATACTGCGCTCATGCATGCCGCGTACAGTGGCCATACTGATGTTGTAAAGAAGCTTGCTGCGTATGAGAGCGAATTGAGAAATAACCAAACCCTTACAGCGCTGATGGTTGCCGCCGGAAAAAACCACGTTGACTCGGTTAAGATCCTCATCAACTATGAGAAGAACCTAACAAATGGCAAGGGCGAGACCTCCCTCATGATTGCTGCGCAGCACGGACACATAGAGACAGTCAAGGTACTAATGGATTACGAATCAAAGGCACAGTCCAGGCTGGGATACACAGCTCTTATGGAAGCTGCTCGAAAGGGACACACCGAGGTTATACGTCTACTGGTAGAGGTGGAGGAGAATTTGCGAGCAAACGACGGTCGCACGGCCTTAATGATTGCTGCAGAGAACTCTAATAAGGAGGCTGCAGAGGTTCTTATGGCCTATGAAAAGGACGCTTCCAACTGGACCACGCTTATGTGTGCGGCGGCTCTTGGAGACGTCCAATTGATAGAGCGCTCTATACACGAGCGAGGACAAGCAGACAATCTGGGAAGGACATCTCTCATTATTGCTGCCCAAAATAACAAGATTGCAGCAGTTAAGAAACTTGCGCAGCATGAAAGTGGTGTCTCGGGGTGGACTGTTCTTATGTATGCATCGTGTATTGGAGATGCTGAGCTGGCTGCACAAAACCTCCATGAGGTGAAGCGTAAGGATGACACAGGAATGACAGCTCTCATGTGGGCTGCGATGCACGGCCATCACGAGCTTGTAGAGCTACTGGTTGAGCATGAGCATGGTATCCTAGACAAGGATGGTCACACTGCCATGATGTGGGCTTCACGGAACGGACATAGCAAATCTGTCTCCCTGCTGCTTGATCATGAGAAGGGTATGAAGAATTCTAAGGGCATGACCAGCCTTATGTTAGGAGCTGCAGCAGGATACTTAGAGGTGGTGCAGATTCTTCTCGATGTTGAATGCAACTTGCAGGATGCAGATTTGAGAACAGCCTTGATGCACGCCGCCATGAATGGCCATGTTAGTGTGGTTAAAGCCTTAGCGGAACATGAGCGCGATGTCGTTGATGCAGATTGTTGCACCGCCCTTCAATTAGCAAAGCAGTATGGACAGCAAGACGTCGCAGAATTCCTGGGCGGCAGTACCGTCTTAACCTGAGTCCATGAAGTTGTCATGTGCATATATAGGTTAAAGGGATAAGACGCTTCTGCGAGTCTCCTAACACACTCTCTCTTTTGTGAACTTGTGCATTCAATCCTGCTTGTTTCCTCATTGATCTTGGATGCTTTCAGTGTCTCTGGTGGACCGTTGTTGGACCTGGGATATTTCCAAAAACCATCTCAACTGAAAAAAGCTGCTACATGAGCGACCAAAGACTTAATGTGCTACCGACAAAGATGCAGCTTATGGCGCTGCGGCAGCGATATGCTGCTTCGCAGAGGGGACACAGCCTCCTCAAAAAGAAGCTGGATGCGATGACTTTGCAGCTCAGATCCCTAAACTCTCAACTGGTAACAGCTCGTGAGGCAATGGTTAGTGCTCTCAAGGAGGCGAACTGGTCTCTCACCCTCGCCCAGCGGTCCGTGACGTCGGGATCGGATCTGTATTCGACGCTTTTCAGTGCATGCGAAGCAGCCCCCAACCTTACTGTCCATAAGATCATCCAGAATGTAGCTGGGGTACGTGTCTCATCGTTTACTCTATGTGACTTCACGGGGAAGGCGCTGGACATTCGTCCGGATGACCCCACAAAGCAGAGTCCAAACACAACAGCTGCCGGGCTCACTGCCATGAACTCTGTTTCTCTCGGTTTCTCTAGCAATCAGGGCCACCTGAACGAGACCAAGGCGAAGTGGATTGTTGCCCTCAGCGCTATGGTTGCCGTGGCGGGGCTCCAGAGGTCCTGTGCGGATCTGACCGAAGAGGTTAAGGTGACATCCCGACGTGTCAATGCCATCGAGTACATCCTTTTACCTAAGCTAGAGAACACTATAAAGTGGATTACAGACTCTCTGGAGGAGACGGAAAGAGAGGAGTTTGCTCGTATAAAGAAGGTGGCAGATGGAAGGCGTGAAGCTGCAGAGGCGGAGCGCCAACAGGGGAAGGGGGCAGAACCACACTCAGATATCATTGAGTGCGCTGTAGAAGACCCAGATATTATGTTTTAACTTTAACGAAGGCGGTAGTGAATTGACTTCCTGTACAATCTTTTTTATGCTGCTTACTATTACAATTGATAGAATATGTATTAAACCAATCTTAGTAAGGATTGTTAACTAGAGTGTAGAGATAGGAGATACGTTGCAACCTCCTCAAAAGAGCCCTTGGACATCCATTTACAGCTCTCGAAGAGGTTGAAATTAAAAGTAAACCAACACATTTATATCTGCTAGTTCTCAACAGTAGACTAGGCCTTAACAGTTGTTCTTCCAAGTCGAGACATCGTTTCTAGAACCAGGTCAGCCGCCTCGCAATAAGATCCATACATTTTTCGAAGCTGCTTCAGCGTAGGAGCATGCATTGCAACTGTCAAGGTTGTATCGTCAACAGAAAAGGTAACAGTATCTGCGGCGTCAAGAGAAACACCTCCCTGGAGAGACTTTATCAGGATACCTATCTCCTCAGAGCTGGACAGCGTCAGAATCAAGGTGCCAGAGAACTGTTTGCCGTTGGACATTTAAAAAATCGCGCCCATGTCTAACTACCTACAGACAATCCAATATGCCTCAACACACTGCAAAAAGACACTTGCCAGTTCAGACTATGGAAAGTATCTGCTTAGCCAGGCTCGGCTTTATGAGCAGCTTGACAATGCCATTACCTTCCTCCAAATTCCTCCGTCTGCGTCCCCAGCGGCTGTCGCTGCTATTCTTCCCAATATCACTGACGAGTTTAAATCAGAAACGTTAGCACAGCCCCAACAGCAACTGTCAAAGGGTCTGACCTCGGGCAAGCAGAGCGCGTCTATTGACACGTTTCCCAACGAGACAGCCCTTTATGGTGGTCCAGTTATCGGCCCGGTCAGCCAATTCTCTGTCATCAAGCGGCACTAATTCGAGACAGAGAGTCCGGGCATCAATTCCCAACAGGGAGAAAGACATGCCATGTAGTTTACATTAATCAAGAGATAGATATCACTCGTCATTACTGAGTATGTGAGCAACAAGGTCCTTTACACGCTTTTCAGATGTCTGGGGTTGAAATGTGTAATCCTTGAGGGCGACCGAGGCTATCTTATCTCTTTCAAAAGCAGACTTCCTTGCGCTCATTTCATATGATAGGTTAAACGGCTGAGGTATCGTGTACGGCTTTCCTGTCTTTCCTGACGGATTGAGCCCAAATACCTTGCTTTCCCGAAGCTTTTGTTCCTCCACCTTTTTCCTTGCCAACTCTTGCTTTTCCATGAACCGTCCTAAGCCCTTTATACTGCTTCCAAATGCCTCATCCACGTCCTGCGTGACGGTTGGGCCATTGTAAACGGTTCGAGGCACTGTGCTTTTTATCTCAGGCCTGAAAGAGCACGTTTGCACTTCATCATATTCCAATTTCTTCTTCATCATGTTTAGTTTGACTGCCTTCTGCTGCCGCTCCATCTCGATTTGGACCAACAAGGATTCTGGCCGATGGATATTGTAGTGCGATTTGGCCTTGTCAGAGTGGATTGTAGGCTTGAATGTGCACTCCTTCTGCTGTTCTTCATCGATAACCTTACATAGAGCATCCTTCTTGTTACTTGCTAAAGTATTTCTGTATAATTCCTCAATTGTCGACTTTCTTCCTATGTTCTTTGAGTGCTGGTTGATCTCAGGGATGAAACGACACTCATCATGCACACCTTGTGGCTCTGGCTGATGCACAGTGCCTTTGGATCTAGAGATTGATCGTCTGTAAAGTCTTTCATGCACAGACACACCATCTATATCCTCGCTTACTCTGCTGGGGGCACACGGGAATGTGGGGCTACCATCTGACTCTCGTCTCTTACCGCCCGTTCCAGCCGAGGACGCACGTCGTATATTGGGTTGAAACGTAAGTGCAGATGCCTCATCTCGCTCCATTGCTTGGATATGACGCATCTTCTTGTCTTTATAATATGTCTGTCTCTGAAAGAAATCCCCACTAAGCTGACTATTTTTTCGAGCTATAGCCATACTTTCCTTATTAATTTGTGGCTTGAAAGAGCATTCAATGGCCTCGTTGGCATCCTGTGGTGTACTGTCCTTTGCGACTCTGAGATTGGCACGCTTAGCTCCTGGACTGTACAAGCGCTCTTCTGGGGGAGCAAATGGATCTATTCCACTTCTCGTCAGTGCTTTCTGCGCCAGTATATCTCTTCGCATTCGAGCCTTCTCATCAATTTCGGGATAGTACTGTTCAGCCTCTGCCAAAGCTGCAAGCTCTTCGACTTTCTGTCTGTGCTGCTCCATGGTTTCGGCATACCTTTCATATATAGGCTTCATATTCTTCTTTGCCATTATCTTTTCGGTGCGAGCCGACAGTTCTGGCTTGAAGGTGCAAACTTCGAACTCAGCACGTTCTTTGTACACACGCATTTTCTCGTGCTCTATCCGCTTTCTCTCTCCCTCGTTTCTAAGTCTATCTTCAGGCGCTTCTCTCTCTGAATCCTTCTTGGGGTGCTTTTTTGTCAATATTTTGGGATGAAATGTACACTCCTTGAGTTCACGCTCCTCCTTTTCGCGTAGGTATGCCTCCAGGCGAGATTCGGCTATAGATGCTGCCATTTTGCTCCTTGCCGACGCTGCTCGAGGAATCCCTGATGAAGAAGAACGTGGTATTCTGTCTGGTGTTCCTGGACGCGATAGTTTGGGAGGCCTATGCTTTGGTGTATTACTTCGTTGAGCGGCTGCACCAGGCTGTTGGCTATGAGGTGATCTGTTTGCAGCTAGACGGTTTTGTGTGGGGGATGCTGGTTTCCTAGGTGCGGCCAGTGCGGTGTTTTTAATAAGCGCCGTACTACCCTCCTTATCTACACTAGATCTCATCTCCTTTGCATCAGAGCCCCTTCGAGGATCTGTAGTGGCTGGTTTTGGCGCTTCTTCTGCTGTAATCGAATTAGATTCCGACCCGACTTTGACAGTGGGCTCATGATAGGAAGAGACAGACGGTCTATCTTGCCCGCGCTTGCGAGGGAGAAGATTGATCGTACGCTTCACAAGTGGATTTTCTTCTATCGGGACTGCCTGGCGATCAGGAATACTTCCACTAGATGCCGACTTGGGCAGCATAAGAGGCTTGCTGGGTGCATTCCTCTTAGATTCTGATCTACTCTTCTGAAATATCTCTAGTACTGGTTGACTATCTAACCTTACCCCATCATCTTCCTTGTAGCTCTTCTCACTCTTTGAGACGGACAACGAGGCATTTGCATCCATGCGCTTATTCAGCAACCCTACACCATCGTCAGTTGTGACAGAATATGTAGGAGCAGATAAGACCGGCTGTTGCTCAGTGCCGGGAAGTGATGCTTCAATCGGAAGATGGCTGAAGTCCAGAGTAAAGTCCTCGTTGGCAAGAAATGCCTCACATTTACGGATGGAATCTTCTACCTCATCAAGATCAAAATCTCCTATTTCTCGAGAGCCTATGATGTCCATAACTCGGCTGCACTCCTCAGCTGCAGAATTTGTTCAATAAACTTACTTTTATCTTTTATATTTTATGACAATATGGCATATTAGAGTAAAAGTCGCCCCGTTGCCTTGCCATGCTCACGTTCACTGGGCTCCTAATCACGGCCAATTTTCTCCTCAGCGTAGTGATACTAACGTTATTCACCATCAACCGTGATGGCTTCTTTGCAATCTCGCTACTCGGAGAGATCTCAGCTGACTCTCTTGCTGCTGTGGGGGAGAGATATAATCTGGTCCATATCAACACAAATTATATTCTTCAGGGACTCGCATATTATGCTGGGAGGCACAAGATCAGTGTGGACGACAACAGGCTTCGGTACTTGATGTCTTCATTTGATAGAGCATGCACCTTCACGCTTACAAGGGATACGTTTGTGCTCAGTTGCGGTGACCACCCCATCGCTCAAAAAGCCCTTAGAGACCAGATGACACTGATGAGTACAGAAATGGAATGCTTGAAGAACAGTCAAGCCTTGTATACATATTCCAAGGGGCTTGTTGCTGCACTTTCGCAACAGGCTAAGCGTGCGGGTTACAAAGGCGTTCTTTGCACCGGGGTCCTTTGCAGCTCGCAGACTATCCTGCGTAGTGATCTAATCTTATACCTTGACTATGGCCGTGATTCTGATAGCAAGCGAGAACGTAGCGAGATGGTTCTTCCACCAGGGGCTATATTTATTGCCGGAGAAACAGAGGCGCAGGTTCTGGGCCGGATTTTCGATGAATTGAACCGATCCAAGGCAGTGAGGCGGGAAAAAATGCGTAGATTTACAGTGATACACCCCCGGATGGCATCTCACATACACTAGCGTACAGCTGCTGCAACCTAGGATAGCACTTACTTCTTTTTCGCCGGGACACCAGAGCAAGGTTCATAAAGGTATGGCTGCTCTAGAGAGCTCATCCGCCGCCGATTCTCCTCAAATATAAGTGCGAGCACGTCTTCCTTCTTGACTTGCTCTTCTCCTCCTGTCTGCTCATCTGCATATGACAACTTGGCATCCGTTCCCAAATAGCAAAGCGATGTATGCTGCAATAGTCCTTCTAGTCTCTTCACAGTTGCTACATCGTCTAGGTCGATCTCATTTCCCTTAAGATTTATCCCGAGTATAGAATTGTTCGGTGTCACATACTCTCCTACCTGACTGTATTCAAAGGATACTGATTGCAGATTTGATGGAGGCAAGGCAACGGCTATTACATGCAGCTCGTCATCAGTAATGTCTATGAGTGACTTGCTTCGGTGTATACTTTGTACAAATTCCCTAACAGTGTTGGCCATCATGAGTGGTTGCGGGGCATCGTCTTTCAGCTTCGCCTTAGCAGCAGATCCACCAGCCGTGTTGGCTGGTGGATAACAGAGAGACTTTCCGGCAGATACTATGTCAGCTATCTTGGTGGCTAAGGTCTCTGTGGCGGATTCGAATGAAGGAAGAATTCGACCTACTTTTCTGATAGTGCCTGGTAAGTCGAGTGGACAGTCCTGCAGAAGGATAGCATTGAGTAATGCGTAGCATAGCTCTTTTTTCACAAATGCTAGCTGGATTTCTGGGGACTTTAGTTGGCGCTTCTTGAATAGGGACTCTAACAACAGAATTACCTGATCTGAGTCTAATTCATTATCCTCAAGGTTTAAGAACTTAACTCCACAGTTTTTATGCATGAGGCATTCGAGCGCATCATATGCATCTAGTGTGAACGTTGACTCGCTAACAGCAAGCGAATTTGTTAGGGCAGTCAGTTCAGTTGTCCCTAGGCTGCAGTTTGCTATTGTCAGATGAGTTATAGCGTACGCTTGTGGACTGGATATATATTTGCACAGCTTATCGAAGTCTAGGAACTTGCATTGACGGAATGAGAGTTTTCTGACAAACGGTGTAGAGCCCAAGGATTCGAAGAGCATATCTAAAAGGGCAGAGCTGATACACATGCGTTCAAATGATAAACTCATTATATTTGGATTGGATTTAGCAAATCCGAAGATTGCTTCAGAATCCAAAAGTACATCTGTCAATGTGAGCGCCCTAACATCTGCTGCTTCTGTTAATGCATACCCGATAACGGTTGCAGACGCGCTGTCAATATCATGAGAGTGAATGTGAATATGTTCACAAGGCTTTATTGTTTTGAGAGCAAGTTGAAGACAGGGAAGCGGTGCCATTTGTAATGCTGCGAGGCACTGACTATAGACCTCAAAGAAACACTTTGATGCCCCCTTGTCAATCTTGAGTGTAGGAGGAAACTTATCCTTGTTCTCTTCAAATTTCTCCAAATTGTACCCCTTTGACCATAGAACGTCTGGTTGCGAGGGATCACTTTTGGCAGGTTTGGGGGGCATGCTTAAATTTTCAATTTAATTGCAACTAAAATGGTTGATGCATACCCTGCTGATTTCTCTAAAGACGTTGCACAGGCAGCCGAAGACGAAGTGGATATTGATATTGCAGCAGCGTTTAAGGCATTCACAGATCCAGCGGTGTATAACCAGCCGATCAAAGAGGATGTGAAAACCGATCCGACTCTCTCTACCACGAAGGTGGGCCGCATGCAGAAGTTGTCAAAACTTGAGCTCAACGAACAGCAGTCCAGAACCCTTGTTCTGACCAATGTGGCAGTCTCTACAACCCGCAAAACCCTCGAGCAGACGTTCTTGGTCCTAATCAAGAACCTCACTGGGCAGACGATAACCATTGTGCACCCTAGTACGCGGCATGACTACGCAGCCATAGATGCCATAGAGTCGACCACACCCCTGGTGCAGGTGGATCCAATCCGCTTCCCTTCTATCGAGGTCGTCTACTACAGAGGCATTGAAGTAGACGACCCGTCTAAGGTGGCTACTTGCCTCGATAAGAAGCTCATAGCTATCAGTGGCGGCGGGAGCAAGGCACAGGGAGCGACCAAATTAGCACTGGTACGATTCACAAATGATACCCTAATAGATCTCATCATCACACATTTTTCTGGGCGTATCAAGATCGATGGCCGTCATATCTTCATGTACCCAGGGAAGCTGGAGCACGCCGAGCTCAAGCAACCCCAAAGCATCTTTATAAGCGGCCTGACAGACAAGAAGATGGACATAGAGCTGTTGCTGGATTACTTGGAGAAGAAGTACAAGTTCATTCTTACCAATTTGCGTATTTTTAAGGCGGAGGGCACATCTGAACGGCGTAGCTTTTGCATAGTTGAGCTGGACAAATCCTGCTGGCCTTTAGACAATCGAATATGGCTTACGGAAGACACCATTCCCGACACGGAGGTAACCTTCAAGATTATGAAGTGCGTGAGTGAGAAGAAGGCTCAGAAGCGCAAGGAGAAGAGCATTCGTAGCGAGAAATTCAGACAATCACGCATGGGCCAGAATCAATTCATAGATCGGCAACAACGGGACGGTCCTGCAATTCTGCGAACAATGCAAAACAAGTATCGCGACCAGACTGAAAGGGCACAGCGTTCTCGCGAAGATGAGCGAGCAGCACGGAGTACGTTCAATTCCACTGGCCCAGCCAGATCCGTAAGGCCTGTAGAGATGAAGGCTCCGCGGGACCCTTCAAAAAAGCCCAGGTGGACCCCAGAGCAGCGCAGTGCAAGAGCTGCCACATCTGGCAATGCTGGCCGAGCGTAGTTTAGAGGCAAGGCCATTAGTCAGAACAGCTAGCTAGGATTACCGAATCTGAATAAATTAAAAACTTTGGTTGGCCTCCGTCTGGATGGGAAAGGTCGCCAACGTCTACACAGCCCATGTCTTCAGTCTCCATGGGCATACACGCCCTATTACAAAGCTACGATACACTCCCGACGGAGATTATATCATCACCGGGTCCACAGACGGCTATACACACATGTGGACCAGTACAAACGGGCAGTTTGTCCAGACTTTTGGACCGATCGGCTCGGAAGGAGACCCTGGAACAATAGCATCTGACCAAGGTATAGCTGTGTCTGACTTCACAGTGAGCTCTGACGGTGAGTACGTTGCAGTGTCCCATGTTCTCGACTTCATTGCTCTCTACAAGGTCACCAGTGACCGCGCATACATCAGGACCTATAAATTCCCGGAAATCACAGCCTACAGCGCCATCCAGTATAGCAGAGATGGAAGGCGCCTGTTTGTTGGAGGACGGTTGATCATGAAGTCCAAGGCTGGTATCCTTGTCCTTGATGCCAGCGACCCAAAGGATGTGAAGTGCACCAAGATAAAGTGCATGTCCGAAGACGTCACTTGCATAGCTTTGTCCCCCCTGGACGACTACCTGGTCGTGGGGTTCGCGTCTGGTGTAGTGCAGCTCTTTGATGCAGAGACCCTAGAGCCGTACTCAAAGATGAAGGACCCAATAGTCGTCGGGAACGGTCAGATAATGAGCATACAACTGTATAACAACTCCATGTTTACTATCTGCTGCAGTGATAAGAAGATAGTCATACTGGGGGCCAAGACACTAACGGTTCTTAAGAAGGTCAGCACAGAGTACCCGGTGCACTGTTGCGCCATCCACCCAAACATTCCCAATCTCATGGTCTACGCCGGAGGGATGGACAGCAAAATAGTCACTCAAACAACACATATTGAGAACACGTTTAAGCTGTTCTTTATTGACATAGCCCAGGACGTGAAGTTAGGCAGCATCCAGGCACATGTCGGGCCTGTCCACGACCTTGCATTTAATCCCAATGGTGAGGATTTGGTAAGCTGCTCTGAGGATTCTACAACCTTTCTTATTAAAGTAGGTAAAGACTTTAAGAATTACAATTTCATAAAGTAGCAGGCAATGCGTACTGAGAGCTTTGAAAAGTGAAAATAGGGAAGACAAATTAGGATAGAAGAAGTAGTACATGTTGCTGTTGGAGAGCAAATGCTTGATGATGGCTAATCCCAGTAATAAGCGCACGAAAACGCAAGTAAACACGCGATGAAAGCAAGTGGTGGAAGAATAAGAGTTGTCCTGCTCTGGCCTTGCACCTCTCTTGTGTTTTCATAAAGCCAGAAGAGCAAGGTCTCACTGAAACTTCAGCTGTGCCCGATTGCGCAGCATCAGCTTGTCACTAATATACAACGACGTGATAATGATCCACGGACCCGCGAGGGCTTGCTCCTCGAAGTTGTGTCCACGCTTGAATTCAGGCTCATATAGTGTTTCCCATGTATTCTGCGTTCTAGGGGCAAGAAACATGAGGTCAAAGTCGTACCGCTGAAGAGGAACTCCTTGAAGGATGTGCTCTTCGACTATCTTTATGCCGCTTATGGGTTCATCTCCTCTGTTAGTAATCACAATCTGACATGCGATGGCCGATGCGCGCAGGAACTCTGTAGGAAGGATGTAGCAAATGCCGTTTGTGGGAGGAACGTCTGGTAAGAGCTCTATTTGACCAACGTCTGGCGACGCTGTGTTGCGGTTAAAGTAGATTTTTCCTGTGCTGGGGTTTCGTATGGTGAACCCGGTAATTCCAATGGCCAGATCGGGGCTGGTGTAGTAGAGAGGGTCGGAGCTGTCAGTACCTTGCATTACCACTTTAGTCCTTGCCACTCTAATACTTTGTAAGTCAATATCAATTTTAAGAAGCGAATTTTTAGAAATCTCGTAAGATATGGCCAGGGTTGTACGGCCTCGTGGGCTCAAGGCACAGGTGCAAGCGGCGGTGAGTACCCACCAAGGTTCTGCAGCAAGCAATAACAAAACAACAGAATGTGCGTATTACGACGAGCTAGAGTTAAGTGGCACCGTTGGAATGTTTACAACGCGACAGAACAGTGCTGTACCAGGTCAGCAGGCCACGAAGACGCCGTCCTTTCTTCCCGATCTCCCCCGAGTCACAAGTAAAACGGAAACACCACTGCATACAACGAGGCTGGAAGAACATCTCAAAAAGCGACTCGATGAGAGAGACAAGCAAATCTCTGTCTTAACGGCAGAAAACGAAGAGCTTACAGCGCATTGTGCGACTAATAGGGCCATTATGGACGGTCTTCAGAAGGAACTGGAGGAGCTCACTGCACAGCTCAAGGAGAAGACACGCCAGCTGGTTGAAAAGACTGGCCAGCTGGAGACAGAACAAGTAATTACTGCTGATCTTCTGAGCAAATTTACAGCCCTTCAGGAGGCACATGACACCCTCCAGATTGAAAATTCCATCTTGCGGAAAAAACTTGAAGATCTGACCTCATCTACCAAATTTGATGGAGATATTTCTACGGGGCTTACCACCCATGAACTCAGTGGACCTTGTAACGCACGCAGTATCCATACAATGCAATCTATCGCTAAGCGCCTGTCTCTTGACAAGGAAGAGACCACGTCACATAACTCATCTTCTCAAATATCATCTGATAGATTATCTGATAAGTTAGTCCCCCACTCAACTAGCAGTCCTGAGGAATGTGTAGAGTCTTACATTGCAATTAGTCAAGGAGCCACAGACCCTGTCTTTCTCAACCCCACTACTGGCCTACATGCTAGCGTAAGCAAACCCAGTGACTTTCTTGGCGGATACCCTGACGAGGGACACCAGAGGCGACAGCGAGGAACAAGTGCACATAATTACACAGCATACCTGGATAATGTTGAGGACCTAGATGATCTTGAGCTGGACGGTCAGGATGATAATACTAATATTACTGGATCTTATGCAGACGAGCTAAGGCCCACGAGAGAAGTGGTTGATAATCCAAAAGACAACTCAACAGGACACGGCCTTCCGTGTGATGATGCATCATACTCGGAGGTGTACTGTTCCCGCAGCAAGTCTCGCAACACATCCCTATTAGGTGACATGCAAGAATCTTTGCTAAATGGCTCCTTGAGTCCGCATGCAATATCGCACGCCGCAGAACTTGAACTTGTTATCCAAGAAAATGGCTCAGACGACTGTGTTCAGGCTTCTCACCTGAGTGCATCACTGATGAGATCTCATAGCTTCGCCAACAATTATGGTAGCAACGCAGCAAACGACGGCGAAATTGCATGTGCCAACACGGAGGAGATATGTGTAGGGAGAGCTGATAAGCAAATGTCCCAGGGTGAGAACAGCATCAACTCATCAGGACTTGATTCTATGATCCTAGGGACCATTAAACAAACAATAGACAATACTACGAAAAACATTTCTAAAGCAGAAGTAGAGTGCACACAAGACAATGCACTACACAACGCAGCAGAGACCACCGCAGCAGAGGAAGACGAGGCGGGTCTGGTAACTAAAGCAGCTGGGGCAGGTGTTGCCTTGGAAATTATGTTCGATGATGCACCTAATAAGCAGATATCGGTAGCTCGGAATCAGAAGCTGTTAGAGGCTCAGAATCAACGCGTGCAGCAATTCAAGGAGCGGCGTGCACAGATGCGGCAACGTGAGCTTGAGGAGGCAGCGGAACAGAGCGATTTGGTACATTCGAGAAGTTCCAGCAGCATACTTGGGTCGCCAGGAAGCAACAGACGTGGCGTCCATCTCAACAGACGAAGCGCACGGCCTCGAGAAAAGCAGTCATCAGCAGGAAGCTCATATCAAGGTTCATACCAAGACACCCATGTTAGCTCTAGCACGACGAATCCTGACAGAGAGTCCGGCTCTTCTAAAAGCTACGTTGGGAGGCGTAACAGCTTTAGTGTACATGCCAACTCTGGAGTAGCAAGCTATTTGGACAGCGATAGCGGTGTCAAAGAAGGTGGGGCCGAGGGCACAGAGCTCGTCTACAAGGTTGCCAATAGGCCAACGAAGTCTGCGGTTCAGCAGGAATCGCACTTCATAGAGTACCTGCCCCCTGCGAAGTTTGACAACTCCAGTTTTGTGCAGAAACTCATTCTCCACAACCTTCTCCCAGGGACTGCAAATTACGAAAGGAGAATGTTAGCCATGGATAACGTGTCTCGGGAACGTGGACACCTGCTTCTTGTGTTTAGAGATACGGAACGTAAATCGTATCACTCATGTGTTAAGGTTGACGAGCTCAGCGGTAGTCTCATTAAGGTTGACGGGCCCGACAACATGCCAAATGAGCTGGCCCAGAGCATTATAGAGTCTATGCTAAAATACGATAGCAGCTCACGCTCTTTCCTTGTTGTGGACCAGCGGCAACTCTCGACCTTGGTGGTGGCCATAACACTTAAGGTCCGGCGTAAGAAAGTCAGTGGGCGGTAGCTGCGTGTCTCGAGACAAACGGTATGTAACACCGCGTGCGCTTCATATACTCTAAGTACTCGTCTCCGAACAAGGCAAGGAGGGTTTCTTCTTCGTATCTAATTCTGTCACTGAAGAACTTCCAGGAAACGAAAATGTAAACTATAATTGATAGTGGATTGGCGAGCATCACTTGGGTGGAAACGGCCCAAATGAACCAGCCAAGGTATCCGGGATGTCTGGTCAATCGGTATACCCCTGAGACAACTAGTTGGTGGTCTTTCTCACGGGTTGTGGCTATCTTGTGAGTGAATCCAATTCCATTCTGCATCATAGCAAGCTTGCGCAGACCATCACCGAGAACCATCCCAATTAACCCGATCACATAGCATATAGTTACTAGTGGCTTAGACCTCTTCCATGAGCAGAAGAAGTATTCTAAATAGTATTCTGTGAGGGCGAATGCAAATGCTGCCACATACTCCGTAGAACAGAGGCAAGCAGCGAAGCTGATGGGCTGCGGATGGTGTCTATTGTGGAGAGAAAAATCTAGAGCGTGGTACAAGATAAGAGATCCCGCTAGTGTGAAAACTCTGAGAGTGGGAATGGATTCCACGAGCATTTCAGCAGAATGGAGATACAATATTTTTTGCATTTTTGCATTTTCACTTTTACTAAGAGCGCGGAGTTTTCGCTACAACAAAATTTAGTACGCACTAAATATGGACTCGTCGGAGCTCTCTTTAGACCGCATACAGGAGTATCTCGCCGACCTTGGCTATCAAGGAGTTCCAGAGGAAACTCTTCTGCAGCTGAAGGGCGAGTTGCTGCGTCGTATGGCCAGTGGAATGAGAGACACAGAACAAGACTACGAAGACGATCACGAGGAAGCCCCCATTAGACACCGCCGTAGAAAGCAGCGCAGACATAGTCCCGAGGCTGAGGAGGATTCGCCTCAGGACGAGTTGCACCCGCAGCCTTTAACTCACGATAGAGGTTACGTGTCTGCGCACATGCCGGAGCAGCCACGGACGGCTCCTGCTCCTCAACGAAAAATGCACCGGCAAGATATAAATGAATATGATGAGTACTACGACCCTCACGAGGATAGTAAGCCATCAAGTGGATACTACAAGCAGAGGCCAGTCAGTGGAGACTCTTACAGCAATATGCGCCTCTCCCGCAAAACCAACTCTGCACGACCCATGGGCCAGAGTAGCGGATATGGCCAACCGTTTTATCGACAGAGCACACAAATGTCACAAAGGTACCGATCGGATGGGACGGACCCTTATGATCCTGCCGCCAAGTCTGCCATGTTTAACTCTGGCACTAGTAAGTATACACTCAAGGAGAAGAAGCTCAGAAAGTCTGATCCTGTGAGCAACTGGGCTAGATACACAGATATGTGGGACGTGCAGGGAGGCCTCGATGACGTCAGAAAGCGGGAAACGCGACCGAAGTACATGAACAGTGCGTCCATTAGAAGTGCAGTATATAGGCCAGCCTATGACTAGCGTGTCTCTTGTATTAGACTGAGCTGCATAGACTCTCTCCCAGTCAGCTGTGCACATGTAAATTTTCCATTCAGGGGAAGAAAACAAAATGGAGCAGCAGTGGGCATCGCCATCTCTGCGCAGAGAGCTCTTGGAGGCTCTCCGAGATACAGCACATTTAACTTCGTTCAAGCTCTTTCTAGTGCCTTCAGCTGGATACTTAGTACTTGGAGATGATGTCGATGCATTGAGGAGACTCATGCAGGTGACAGTACAGTACTGGAAGGACGACGGTATTTGTGATACTGAGACACCAGAGGCTACTGCCATCTTAGTATTTAGTGAGACAGAGGTAGAAAGGCTTGTGAGGGCAGTGTTTTTCTCGCTGAAGCGAGGGCTTGACCTCTTTGAGGAAAGGAGCGACGGGCGCTTTGTACGAACACGCTCAGGATCTCCGGGGAATCTTTACGCCTTCTATGAACTATGCCCTTCTTTGGCATCTAATGACACCTCTGTCTTCGCATTCATTTATGTTGATCACTTCAGTGATGCTCCCAGCAGTGCCATAAGCGGCTCACGGTCGAGTGTGGCTTCTACAGAAGTCGTTAATGTGTATATTGTATACACTGACTGTCAAACAACCATAGGAGGCTGTATTCTCACTGACACGCCTCAACTGTCCAATCTTTCAGCGCAGATCTGCCAGCTAAGTGTCAGGGAGGCAGCTATTGTTGAAAATAAGACACTAGAAGGCATCTTAGTGGAACAAGGTTTGGTATATGCGGTTGCAACCGAAACATTCAAGCGATCTCTAGGCTTTGACTATGATGCAGCCCATGTTCGCATAAGGCGGCTACTTCTTATGGAAGCGTATGAGGTTTATGCTTCTCTTCTGGCACAGTCACGCGGTGCCGGCCTTGTCACGAGGATCCCCTTTTTAAATGCAAAGCATGCTCCAGTTCAAGGAAACCAAGTTCTTGTGGCGTGCCTTATTTCTCTTTTGGAGCACGTTAATTTAGAAAGTCTCTCTGAGCAATCTCAACACTCCCAAGATTCTGTTGATGCATCCTCTTCTGTCGGTACTTTCCTTTTTGAGGTGCCCATCTTTTCATCGACCATGCTCTACACAATGGCAGATATGAACTCTCTTAAAATAGTAGACTATCAATCCACTACGCGCAAGACACTCTACAATCTTTTAAACAAAACAGTCACGCAACACGGAGCCCTGCAGCTACTCAGATGGCTGCGCGCCCCCACTACTGATCTTGCTGTCATTTCATATAGGCACGATATTGTTCAGTATCTTTCAGGAGAGCATCTGAGCGGACCGCTTCATGCATCTGTCCGGCGGACACTTCGATCATGCCCCTCATTTTCAAGAACCGCCTTCCTTCTACGTGCTTATGCAAGAGCACATCAGTCTTCTACCATTTTCTCGCAACTTCTTGATGTCTACGTATTCATGCGTGACACTTACGGGCTCATCATCGATATCTTCTGCGACTCCAGCGATGCTAACTCCAACTCAACAGAGACGTCTGTGGTTGCATTAGCCACAAAGCTTCAAGAGCTCCAAATAGAGATACTAGATTTTTCCCAGCTCATTGAGAAGACATTCGATCTCGAGTCTCCGTATCTCTCAAAGAATGTAGACACCCTCTTTGCAGATCCTGAAGAGATATATCTTTGCCCTGGGTACAGCGAAGAACTAGACGCCTTGCGGAGAGATCTAGATACTAACAATGCATCTATACAAAGAGACTACCTAGATATTGCAGAGAGCGTTAAGGGGTGTAGGTTGATTTTCATTCCGTCTCAAGGATACGTTATTAGGGCACCAAAGAGCTCGTATGCGCGCATCTCAAGTTGTTCCAACGTCATAGTGCTAGAGAACAAGGCTAACTATGTTAAGTTTACTACAGAGGGGCTCAAGAACTACTCTCTCCAAAGAATGGATGCATATAATGCATACTTCTTGCTACAGAAGGAGATGGAACCGGAAATTGTCCAAAAGTTCGCTCCATTTAGTCAAGTGTTAGATAGAATTGGAGTGTTGTTGGCTGAAATAGATTGCCTAGCATCTTTTTCATATGTTTCTGCAGGTACTCTTGGAGAGACAGATAATACAATGGTGTGGAAGTGGGCTCGACCAAAGATATCTGAGGCTGGCTCGTTGCGCTTAATTGAATGCAAAAACCCTGTCTTGATGAGCACAATTGGAACACAGTCCACGGTGAGTAACACCATTGACTTCAGCTCACGAATACTACTCCTCACTGGTCCCAATGCCGGAGGGAAGACAACGCTGCTTCGCTCTATCGGATATTGTATTGTACTAGCACAGATTGGCTGCTTTGTCCCTTGTGAGGCCGCATACATTCCTATCCAGAAGCGTCTCTCTATTAGACTGGGTACTGGAGACTGTTTGAGTAAGGGGTACTCCACTTTTATGTACGAAATGGTAAGCATGAGTCACATCCTGTCCTCTTTGAACGATGCATCGCTGGTCCTAATAGATGAGCTGGGAAGGGGCACTTCTACCGCAGAGGGCTTCGGAATATCTAGAGGCATAGTGGAGACCCTTGTACAGCAGCCGAACTGTTTGGCCCTTCTTTCCACACACATAGTTGAGCTACCAGCCAGTTTTGCAGGGGTCAGTGCTGTAAAACCTGTGCACATGCTGTCTAAAATGGTCAATAATCAGCTGAGGCTGCTTTATCGCATGAATGACGGCATCATAGAGTCCACCTATGGCCTTGATGTCGCTAGCAGCATGGGAATTCCCCAAAACATCTTGGATGATGCTCGGACCATCATCAATCTTACTCCAAAGCATACATTCAGAGATTGCGCTGTTGACAAGGATTACATGGGTGTTCTTATGGAGTTGACAGGAAGCCTAGTTGGCTATCAAAAGGGAGTCTTGACTAGAGAGCAGCTAAGAATGGCTCACAATCGCGCTTTGAAAGAGCTTCGTATCGCTGGTGAAGCAACCTGAATGAAAAAATGAGTGAGGTGCACAAATACGTTCAAAGCCTTATTTCCACCCATGTGCTAGTGCGTTTAGACAATGGTGCGACTGCTCGCGGGCTCACGATAAGCATTGACGACCGCTGCAACGTCTTGCTTGTAGATTGCACCTATACATCCGGCACTCAAAAGAGCTTCCTTAACGAGATGCTCATTCGTAGCAACCATATCCTTTTCATGACAGCGGATCCATATAGCCAGCAGAAGGAATAGAACTTGCTTCGATCTGCAGATGAGATGTAGGCATCCTCTCACAACCATTTATGCATGGTGCATATACCTTTCAAAATCATTACATATTACCGGTGATGCTTGGAAGGCTCAGACTTATGGTTTCGTGGCCTCCAGCAGATCCAGTAAATCAAGATTAACAATTGAATTAAAAATGCGTGAGCTGAAGCCAGAGGAGGTGGAAACCGTCTTTGGCAAGCTGGCTAAGTACATAGGAAAGAACGTCGAGAAACTCATTGACAGAAATGACGGAAAGTACGTGTTCAGAGTTCTGAAAGATCGAGTTTATTACATGTCACAGCAGCTCGAGAAAATGGCTTCGAACATCCCCCGAAAGCAGCTCATTGGCTCTGGCCTGCTTATCGGAAAATTCACACACCATAAGAAGTTTCACATTAAGATCACGGCACTTCCCCTACTAGCGGTCTTTGCACCCTATAGGATTCGCATAACACCCGCTTCTGAGCTGTCATTTCTTTATAAAAATGATGTGATGAAGTCCCACATCACGCACATGAGTGAAGGAATTCCAGACAACGCTGGCGTAGTAATTGTCAGCGCCGATGATCAACCCGTTGGGTTCGGAGTCACGACAAAATCTGGGAACGAAGCACTGAACTCTGATCCTGCCAGTAAAATTGTCATTCACCAGGCAGACGTAGGGGAATTCTTGCGTGACCAGGACACGATGTTTTAAGGTGTTATGGGCTTCTTTTTCAGAGCTTTAGGAATCAATCATATATGTAAATAGCTTTCTTCTTGATACTAGAGCTATGTGCTGCTTATAAACTTATTTAGGCTACTTGTGAGAACGCCTGTGGAATCTATGATAAGGTCAATCTGTGTTAAGGCGTCATATTCGAATACTCTGCCTACATGGGTGTGTACATGTAGAGGATAGATCTCCTCAATAACCTTTATGGCAGCAACCTTGGCCGCCAAAATGCAAATGTGAACATGATATGCAAGATGCTTTCGTAGAATTAAGGGCGTCGGAATTGCGCAAGTGGACTTGTACTTCGTTAAGAACTTCCCCCTGAGCACACGAAAGAGGCTTGTCGAGAGGGTGCTCATATCCATGTTGAGCATTATGCTACTGACGTACTCTATGAGCTCTCGAGCACCTGACTCTGTGACTATATCCGGTAAAACACTTACATCTCGGAGTTTCTTGATCAGGGTATGAATGCTGTGTATTTGTTCCTTCGTGTAACTAGTTGCAATTGCCTCCTCCCTCTGTGCATAGATTCTCTTCATGAACGGGCGATAGTAGCGATTTTTGTACTTTGAATGTTCTAGCTCTGTCAGAGCCTTTCCTTCGCGGCGGAGAAGATCGAGGATAAGATCGTCCACAGTGGCGCTTTCTTTAGAAAGAGTAGCTTCGCGGATCTGGCTCTTTATATCGGCTTCTGTCATCACAGACACAAGCGGCTCGACGTAGACGTGGAGAAAGAAGCGAGAAATGCATAAACTTAGGGCAGCTGTAATTGGTGAGATGATCTTTGTGCAGAGCATGGAGCGCTCATCAGAGTCTAGGGCTACACCGCTATGCAGGGTGCTCCAGTTAGCTACCATAATAAAGCCCTCTAGATAGCGATAGATATCACTAAATGATGGACCACCAGCTACCCGCTCTGTTATGTGGCAGGAGACCCATTCAATTCCATCTGGATCTGTAACCGGTGAAGGGGGCTTATTGAAACAGTGTTTAGTATAGATGTCCAATAACTTGACATGCACTGGGTCGTTGTTGGTAAGAGTGCCGCAATCTTTTAAGGCTTCAATAAGCTCTAGGACACTGCGCAGAAAGAGTGACTCTAAGTATTTAAGAAGCTGATCCTGAATAGAGTAGATGAGCTCCATTGGTGGAAAGGTGGGGTCCTTCTTTATGTTTCTGGAGCCCGTTGCCTGGGTGGTCTGCTGGTTTAGAGATGTCTGTCTTTGAGAGGTGAGTTGACTAGTCTGGCCACGCCGAGAAGAGTTCTGGTTAGTTCCAGAAGCTTGCGTAGATGACTTGGTGGAGCAATCAGACCCATATCCTACAGGCAGGTTGACGTGCTCTATGGATGAATACTTTCCAGAAATACCGGTTATGGCTATGAGCTCTGCAACCCCCAAGGGCCAGACATCATCAAAGGACTTTGGATAGATTCTAACTTTATTGTCAAAGAGGAGTTCTCTGGCCTTGACGCCACGCTCGAAAGCAATTTGCTGGCACAGTGCTATTATTTTCCGGCGAACGGGATTGAAGGGAACTCCTTTCTTAAAGGTATAGAGCTCGTCTTGGAGAATCCGTGACTTCCTTGGCGCTATAATGCGTATCATTATCTCATGGAAGCTAAGTCCACCTACACAGTACGTATATCCACTGCCATCCGAGAGCTCTTCCAGCTGTGTGTATATCCGCTTCATTTCCCGGATATCGTTAATTGTAGCACTAGGCACATATGCAGCAATTGCGTCCACCTTCTGGGATGGAGAATCTGTTGCTTTTTCGACGTCTTCTGTCTCATAATTGTAAGACTGGAAAGCTGCTGAGGCTAGCAGTATGCCGGATATGCGGCCATGTTTGAGATCTGGAACAGATGTAGGAGCCTTCCCAGGGTACAATGTCAAGGACTTTTGGCTACCTGAATGTGCAGTTGATTGCTCCGTGAACTTCTCAATGACTTGTATCTTGCTGGTTATAGGGGGAAGACTCACAGTATCCGCACTAATGCGCTCTACACCGGACTGGGCGCCGATTTTATAGTATGCTTTAAAGAATGGAGTAGTTGTGACATTGAATTTGTCCACTGGTTGTTCTACGCGTACAGAGCGCTTAATTTTTCGTCGTTTAGCATCCTCTGCTTCTTGACCTCGAGATAGGGCGGCTAGCTGGTCCTTGTGCGGATCCTTCTCAGCACCAACAACAAACTTTATTTCATAATCCCCCTTGCGCCGAGAGGATTGCACGCTTTTGGGGTCGCACGTCATTGCGTCACGGAAAAATGAAGAGGCAGATTGTATGCTTTTTGCGGTAGGGGAGACAGATGCGGAGTCTAGAAAACGAAGGGCAGTCTCCTGCACAACGACATTATCAGAGATGCTCTTTATTTCGTCGCCAAGCAACGTAGTAGTCGTAGGGAGGGTTATGCATAAATTCTTCACTTCTTTTCCAGATTTAGGACTCATTCGGCATTCAGCGCTGGTCTCTGTTTACCCTGAGGTGTGTACAATTTTTGCATTTTCCACTTTTCAGTTCCTCTTCATGGTTTACTTCGCTTATTCCACAAACGTTACGTCTATGCCTTCGACTAAGTCTGGAAGGAGAAGTGGCCTGTGGTACTTCATAGCCCCAATTCCCAGAACAAACGCGAGGAGAACGGTGTGCGACTGAGGTACATCAAATATGTTTGGACAAGAGTCAGACAGGCTTTGAACATCGTTTAGATGGGGCTGAAGGATCCTACACAAGTGAGTCCCGTATCCGCGTATCTCTGAGTGAAGCTGCAGGTCCCGATATAGCATGTGAGCTTGTGTAAATGCATCTAGACCTGGACCATCATCCTTAGGATCATCCTCATTGTGTCCTGTCGATATCAAGATAAGCCAGGGTGCACCGTGAAAAATGGGGTCACCTCCATGTGCGCGTACTTTGGGCAGCCATGCATACTTTGAAGTTTTCGATAGCGCAGTCACAAACACCTCAATGACCGCATCCACATTGTTTCGTTTGAGGTCCACGGCGGTAAAATGGAAGGCGGAATTGTAGGCATTGGCTCCAGAGTACTTCGCTATATTGAGAATCCTTAAGACCTCTTGTGGTGAAATGGATGTTGACCTGAAAAACCTGTGCTGTCTTGCCATCTTAATGCTTCGTACTACAGGCTTGTCTGCCATGATTTCTTCCTCGACGGTATCTGGTAGGATGCCAAACATCGATATGGCTGCGGTCCTGCAAACGGACGCACAGTGTCCACAACTAATGCACGTCTCCTTGGCTCTGAAGACAAGTTTCCTCGTTTCTGCGTTAACCTCTATGCACTGAGTGGGACATCCCTGTACGCACACATTGCAACCTATGCACAGATCCTCGTCGACCTCTGGAAAGCGTGACATAGCTCAAATAGAAGACCGGAAGAAAAGTGTTGACTAGCAACCTTGCTATACGTTTAGTCTTATATTAAATGTACTTTTTCTTATGATTATTATACGTACAAAGAACATGTATCTTCAACCTTCCTTTACCTACCCACTCCGATAGTTTACTCTTATACTAGTCTGTGCCCTAGCGATGACTACAAAGGCAGAGCTTCAAGCATCGCACGGAGCCTGTAAAGGTACGCGAAGGACTCTGGCATCCGGCCTCTTTCTTCGAGTGTGAGCTCAGTAAGAGGGAGTGTGGCCACCCTATGGGTTAACACCAGTCTGCGAGCCTCAGAGACGTGAGCTGGAAGGACAACTGGCCTGAGGGGGGAGGAGCTCAGAAGGGTGTCATAGTATGCAATCGCCCTGGCCCAGTATTCAATGACTCTTATTAAGTAGAGATCTAATTTAACGGGTGTCAGCTCAAAGGTTTTCGGCGCGCCATCTTCTCCGTCTGCAGGAAGTAGTAACACGTCATGATAAAAGACAGTTGATTGAATGCTCATTACGATACTATAGATACTATCTGTGAGTTTAGGGTGAATCGGTATTTTATCAATCTTATCATTAGTCACTGTCTGTTCCCTTAACTTAGCTGAAAGTTGGCTCCACACCTTATGGTTTTGCAGGTCTTCACCACCTGCCAACGCGCTTAGATCCTCATATATATCGAAGAATCGCATAAATGTGTAGGGTATCAGCTCAGAGGTGATAAAACACACAATGGCTAGATGTTCGTGTGTAAATAATAGCTCATCGAGCTTTGCAAGGAGCTCTGTGGTGACGTCAACCTGTTCCAAGCCTGAGAAGAAAATGAAGGTGGCAGCTGCAGGCTCTCCTGAAGATATAGCCCCCTTGACATCGTTATTCATTAGGTCCTGAAATGACCAGTAGTGTGACTTGCATTGTTTAGGGAGGTGTTCAATCAGCAATTTAGTAAATACTCTCTCAGTCGCCCCTGTCAACATGTGCTCCTCATTTTTAGAAACATTATAACTGCGGTCTCCAGGGCGCTCGTTACCACTGGATACTTTAAGAAGCGCAGAGCGCTGAGTAAGGGCTAACAACCCGGCTATCCGGATCATCTTATAAAATTGACTTTCAAGGTCAGTGAGCCATAGAACGGGCGCCTAATGCTAGATCTAAACTTTGAGGCTAAATTTGAAGGAGGTAATCTACAATCCTTTGAACGGATAAGTCCTTGTGAGTACGATTTATATGTCCGGCCGGATGCCGGTTCAAACTCCTGCCTTTGGTTCTACTTCTGCGTAAACTCTATAGTCATCAACAAGCCCTTTCTGTTTCACATCATAGGCTTCAGTAAGATAACTACAACCTTCCAGACAGAGCAAACACCACTCGTGCGGTCTACATCACGAACGAAGTGGGAGCACATCCCGAAGTCCCTGTGCTGGTATGGAAACGTGGTGCCACGGCATAAACTAAAGACGCAATCCCGAGTGCTTTCCTTTCTCTTCCAATTTGATAAAGACGAGAATTACTTCTTTGCCTTCACATACCCTTACACTTACTCCATGCTCACAAAGTTTCTTGCTCGCATAAAAGACCACCGCCTTAGTTACACAAAGATAGTCAGCTTAGGACGCACCACTGCTGGGAACGATATACAGGTGGTTCTTATTAGCCAAGACATTCACACCATGCAGCCAATAACTAGCACAAGCACACCAGTGGTAGTATCCGTAGATAGAAGCTCATCCAACTTCACTCGTGGTGGCATGTCAACATCAGCAGTTAACATTTCTAGTTCAGTGAGTACCGGAGCCAACCGTGCTGCCAGTGCCCTTAGCTCTGTGGGGACGGCAACTGCAGCAGGAGCAAGTGGCCTTGGGACTACATCAATGCACACTTCTCCCAGGTCAATCAACACTAACTTTGGCTGGCAGACCAAGGACAAGAGGGTCGTTTTAGTAACAGCCCGAGTACACTCAGGAGAAGTCCCATCATCCTTTGTTATGCATGGACTACTAGAATATCTAACCACTAATGATCCCCGGGCAAAGTTCTTGCGGGAAAAGGTCGTGTTTATTCTGATCCCGATGGTGAATCCAGACGGGTGCTCAGCTGGGAACTACCGGGCAAATGCGTCTGGTTATGACCTCAATCGTTGTTATAAGAATCCTAGCCTTGAGTTCCACAAGGAAGCCTACAAGTTGCGCAGACTGTTCCTCAATCTAATCCTCTCGTATAAAGGCTATGCACAGTATTCTAGAAAAGAAGACGCAGAATCGGGGTTTACACGGCAGATTCTAAACAAGTCTCTTTTAGATGTAGCCTCGTCTCTTAATCTAACGGAGGACCTTTTTGCACCAACAACTCCAGAGTCGGGGGCAGTCCGGGGAGACACAGTCACCCCTCCTCAGACATCATCAGCATCCCTTTTTAAGCGATCGATCAAGACATCTGATGACTTGACCATTTCCTGGGAGCCTGGCACAGAGATCTTGGCGGGGTTGCGACTAGATTATGTATTAGACTTGCACTCTCATAGCTGTCTCAGCGGCGGGTTCCTGTTCTATAACCCCGACTCATGTGTCTTATGTGGTAACCGGCGACACATATGTGAGTTAGTTTTTCCGACTCTGCTTGCCAAGAAGTGTCTGGCCTTTGGAGCTATACGTCAAGATGATAAGGTAGGGGTTCAGCTTCGGGACACTCCAGGGAGTCTGCGGCGAATCTTCAATTTACTAGGGAAGCAATACTGCCAGGACAATGGGCCATACGTTTATGGGATGGAGGTCACAAACTCCCATGGACCCGACCCTAGCCTCGACCATGCAGATCTCAACGTCCGGCTCCTCGAAGAGGCAGATGATGAAGATAACGAGACCGATGCAGATGAGCGGACTGTAAAGCCTGTCATTTATACCCCGAAGCACTGGCTCACGATTGGCGAAAAGATCGGGGAGACATTCTACGCCATATACTCGTCGCTGCCATACCCTATATACGAGTGAACCTCATGCGTTTACTCTGGCTTGATGACACAGCCGCCCAAAATGTGTTCCTTGCGCTTCGGGGGGCGCTTGTTGAGGAGCTCCATGAGATCTGCCGGGAGCTTTCCATGCTTTTCGATCTTGACAGCTGACGCAGCAGTAACGCTGAACATCGCATTACTCTCCTTGAATTTGGCGTAGGTCAGGCGCCCCTCATTCTCTGCATTCATATCCTCTATCTCCTTCTGCTTTTCATCAAAGCGCTCCTGCCTCTGTCTCTCCCATTCCTCCTGCTTAGCGGTACGGTCGTTTTGATCGCCGCGCATGCGAGAACGAGGATCGGTCTGGTTCTCGCCACCCTTGCCGTGGCCGCCCTTACGCTCTCCATACGACGGATTGTTCGGCTTGCGATCGTTCTTGGTTGGCTCGTGTCGGTTTGTGGCGTGGTCAGGCTTTCCCTTTCCTTGATCCTTGTGCTCCTCACTCATGGGATTTCAAATTAAGTTTATATGTTAATCAACTAGTAAAATTTTAAATCCCTGTAAAAAATATACCGCCAGTAAGGCTTTGCACCCACTGAGTCTTTAGACCTTTCCTGTAAAGATTGCGGGACTGCGATGAGTATCCTGGCAGCGTCGCTCATTGATGGAGACGGATCAGTTTCTGTTTCCAGGACTTACATACCTGGATCTGTTGGGTCCTCTACTTCTTACTGGACCACTCTGTACAGATTTCTTAAGGACCCCTCACTCAGTGTTGAGAGCAAAGCAGCGGGGTCCATGGAGGTAGAGGGTTTTATCTGCACTTATCGGAAGCTTCTGTACGATCACTATCTTGCCTTAGTCTGTAAGCGACATGTTAACATCGCAGACATTAGTGACACAGCCGCCGTGCTTGTTGATCTTCTTAATGAACTCGGGCCCCTGGATAGTCGGGAAACCCTTTTTGATGCTCTCTTTGTCCTAGACGAGACAGTGCAGTTTGGCTTTGCAGATAGGCCTATCTCCCTTAGATCTGTACGCGAACGATTGGATATGCACAGCGCCGCAGAGGAGGCGGCAATAGAGGAGCGGAAGGCCAAAGAAGCAGAGGCAGAAAAGATTCGCCGAAAGAAGGAGGCCGAGTTTGCTGCCCAGAAGGACCTCGAGACAGGGATAGGTACTGGCGCACTTGGATTATTTAACAAAGCGAAAGGCTGGCTTGGTCTAGGTGAGGCCAGGCCAGAGAAAAAGTGGGGCCATGGGATCCCTGAGGCAGAACTGGAGAGATTACGGAAGAAAAATCCTCGGGGAGCCGATGCAGTCGCTTCTAAGGTGACAGAGAGCAGTAGCGAAGAAACGTCCACTGACAGTAGCAGAGATCAGAATTGGACTTCTGCCACATCGAAGACAAAGCATCCAAAGGAAAGCGCTCCCGTAGCACCAGCGTCTGTAGACAATGAGTCTAGTTCTGATAGTAGTAGCGAGCCTCCCCCATCGACTAAGAGGCCCGTTGGCCGTGGCATAACACTTACGAAGCGAAAGTAAATATGCGAGCTATGCCGGACTTTGCTATAAGAAAATGCCACTTTGTACCCCAAAGTCCACTCCAGCTGGCACCGTTAGAATTTCTGATATCATCCGGGCGTTTCATGGGTCTAAGCGGGGAGGGCTGCTGTTCCGGTACACTCTAAGACAGGCGAGGAAAAACCCACAAGCCCTTTTTAGATATCATGACGTGGAAGGAAATCATGTACTACATCACTGTGTTCTTAGAAAGGCAGCGGCTGACGTGCAATCGTTGATGAATTATATCACAATTTCGAAGTTTGAGCGGGTTGAAATCTGCAATTCAGTGAATGCACAGGGACAAACTGCCCTGCATATAGCAGTGCTAAATGGGGACTCCACAATGGTCCAGATGTTGCTGAAGTTTGGGGTCAATCCACTAGTTCGGGACAATAATGGATATACATGCATCCATAACGCATGCAGACATCGCGACTACCAATCTATGGTCGATATAGTTAACATACTTCTTTCGTGGAATCCACAGTTGGCGTCTGTAACCTCAGAAAACGGACGGACACCTCTTATGCTTGCCGTCCAAGAATGTAACACTGTTTTAACACGAACAATCTTATCACATTTGGTTGCATTCACAAAGTATACACCCTTACTTTCAGACGAAGCAACCACACCACGACAAGGTACACCCTCTTTTTTAGATACATATTTCCGCACGAGCAATCTAACAGAATACTTTCAATCTACGACACCAGACAATCAAACGGTTTTTCACATTGCAGCCATTAACCGCAGCACAGATTTATTGAAACTTCTCTTAGATATTTCTGGCATTACCGAATTCACTTATTCATCTGAAGGCTACTTGCCCATCCATTATGCTTGCAAAAACGGAGACTCGAACAGCCTCATGGTACTTCACTCCGTGACTCCGGAGCTACTGGGGAGTTTAGAGCACAGCAGAACCCGAGGAAAGAAAACCTATCCACTTCATCTTGTGGCCGCCTCGGGATATACGGAGGCGCTACGATTTGTACTTTGCCACGGCGGAGGTTTTGCATGCAATATCCAGGATCACAGGAAGAGGACCCCGCTCCACTATGCAGCACTTCAAGAAGACCCTGCCTCGGTGCAGATGTTGCTGGAATTTGGATGCGACCCTCTAATGGCAGATGATGAAGGGCAAACAGCGATTGATATTGCGCTACAGAGAAATAGTCAAGGAAGCATCAGTGCCATGCGCCAGGTTTTGGATAAAAACAATATTGCGGTTAAGCAGTTGCTTCCTGTGGTCAACACCCTCACTGACAGTCATCTTTCAGCAAACACATTGTGATTAGAGAAACGAAGCACGCCCTCTTGCACGCTTTACATATTTCAATAGCATTATACTTGTTCTATTCAAGCAACATGAAATATTCTAGTCTACCCCATGGCCCTCTACACTAATGATGCTTGTCACGTTCTTCACCTGAAGTCCTTTGATCAGGGGTCGTACTTATGAAGAACGTATACTTCAAAAAAACTCGAAGCTGAACTTGGCATTCTCTACAACAGAAGGGCTAGTGGCCCCTCTGCAGCGTCTTACTAAAATCAACGGTCAATGGGTTTGTCTTCTTGAAGATATTATAATTAATTCATTCCTTCGGAAATAAAATGTGGGTGCGTGCACTCGCTGCGATCCTGGCCACAACACTGGGCGCCTGCATTCCCAAGGCCGATATTGTGTCCCTCTCGACGGAGAGTGATCTGGCACAGATACGCGCCTGTCCCTGCTGCGATTTTAAGATGGAACAGAATATTACAGTTCCGCGCACCCACATCCCCATTAAGGAGTTCTCCGGGAGCCTTGACGGAAACGGTAATTCGTTGCTGATATCATCTCTCGAGATTGGTGAAAGCTATGAAGATTTTGGATTTTTCGCTACCATCCGTAGAGGCCAGGTTTTTAATTTGAGTATCGTCCTAGAGAACCAGATTACTCTGCCTGGCTCCATAAGGAGCTTTGGCTTTCTTGCTGGCGACGCGGTTGATCCGTACTTGTACAACGTCGCGTTGCTCTCGGACAGCTCTGGATCGGCCAAGATAACCATAAATTCCTTGCAGGCAAACTCAGATGGACAGCCCATGTTTGTTGGTGGACTCATAGGGAGTGTTCTCCTGGAGGCACACACATTTGAGAATGTCTTCAGTAAGGCCAATCTTACTGTCTACTCCCGCTCCTCGGCTCCGCTGACGGTTGGGTCTATCTTCGGATCAGTCGGCGGGTCCCAGCGCGTTAGCTCGATCAGGGTTGATAGCCTTTCTGGCTTGAATGTGTCGGCCCATAACACAAAGACGCTTATTGTTGGCGGTGCCATAGGTTCTGCGGAAGGGTCCCGCATGGTAAGCACTTCGGCCGCGCTTGGACTTGGTCTCAGGGTAGATATTGGGACGGCAACCAGTGCTATGGTCGGAGGCTTCGTGGGTGTGGCTGCCCAGCTCAAGAACGTCAATACTTCGTGGGATAGCGTCAACTGCTACGGCACTGACGGTGCTGACAGCGCCAGCAACTGCATAGTCGGGGGAATCGTAGGGATGCTTCGGTCTACTGCAGACGACACCAGGGTGTCTGGGAATCTGGCGACGCATAGTATAGGGACGGTAGGGTGCTACTATGCCTCGATCTGCTACGCTGGTGGATTAGCCGGGTGGATGGAGAACAGTGACCTTAATGAAGGGTCCACCTCCATGAATGTGTCCGTCCATAGCGTGCAGATGTGCCACGTAGGTGGCGCTGTTGGCTACACCAATGGCGGCATATTTACAGCAGTATCTGCAGCAGCCTACAGTGTTAGTGCCAATTCGAACAAGACTATCATAGACTCCGCCGCAGTTTATCTAACTGTCGTTGGAGGCGCCATAGGCAGCGTCGAGCGTAAGGCGTTGTCAGAATATTTTGAGCTCTATCGCGTATATGCACGTGTGTCCACGCTTTCTGCTGAAGGAAAGGGTGCTATCGTGTCTGGTGGGCTTGCAGGACGAGTAGTGAGCTTTGCCGTCTATGTCAATGACATGACCTACGAGTCGGATGTGGATAGTGGCGGGAGCATTATAAGGTGCGGCTCGACGATCGACAATTATTCTGTCTCAGTACCCAGTACCGGCGGCGCTGAACCGCTGCTAGACCTATACCTTTCAGTTGGTGGCCTCATTGGCGATCTTAAGTTGGGGCGCGTAAGCAGTTGCCATCACTACTCAACGAATTTTATTGTCAACGCACGTAACAACGGCGGGTATACAGGTGGCATTGTCGGGCTTTGCCTCTCCGCCCACATCGATAGCTCACTTGCCAATATTGGCACCATGAAGGTAAGCAGTGATGAAGCACAGAGCCTACTATACTCCTTTGTTGGAGGAGCAGTCGGGAGCCTCACCAATCATTCCAGCCTCAAAGAGTCGTATGCAAATGTTAACTCGACTACGGTGTCTTCGAGTTCCGGCATATCCTATGGTGGAATTGCTGGAAGTATTCGCAACTCAACTGCCACCACTAGCTTTGCAATCATTAAAGCAGTCTCCCTCACGCGTAAAGCAGCATCGACAAAGAGGTTGTCCTATGTTGGCGGTTTCGCTGGTTCGTGCCGCATGGGGGCTGAGGTCGTGGCATCGTGGACTAGAGCAAAGATTACGCTGGTCGATGAGGTGACCGATTCGAGCGCCAAGCCTCTGCTGGTAGGCGGCTTCACTGCTTCTACGGGAGACACCTATATTGGACAGTCGTACTCCGAGACTGAGCTCATATTGAATAAGGAAAACAAAAACTGTGGGCGATTTGCAGGCTACCTTTACAGCAACACTAACTTTTCTTACAATCTGGCTCTCACTAAGATAAGCCTTTCCACAGAGGCGACGCCTGCATATGTACCTCGTGGATTCTGCGGCAACGCTAGTCAGTACTATCTTAAGAAAGGAACTAAGCAGGATAATAAAATGCGCATACTAGGGTGTATAGCATACAAAACAGATGGGGAGACACCAGATGACAGTCCCCTGCCTTCGACAAGCACAGAAGACGTTATCCCCACAAACACTAATTACACCAATGGAGTCTCTTATCATACGGAGACAGACCTCAAGACGAATACACCGTATGCCAAATGGACAAATGTCATTCAAACAACTGCTAAGCCCAATCGATATAATGTAACAGCTAATTTACTTCCTGTCTTAACACAACTTCCAACCTTATCAGCATCTAGAACTTTGTTTACTTCTACTTACACTTTGTCTATACCTGTGTGCACGTATACTTATGGCTGCTGGACTAACGGCTCGGAGTGTCTATGGAAAAATAAGCTAGACAATGCCTACAATACCTTGCCGGTTCCAAAGCGGACCGTCAATGAATGCCTGGGGCTGAGTGCCTGTAAGAGCTCTTTCCCAGGAATTGTCACATGTTCAAGGGGCGTTCCAGTTTCTAAAGACTTCCTCTGTATCAAGTGTGGCGCAGACAAGGATTGTGTGACCTTTGACTCTAGCGACCCTAGCACATGTGATACGACAGAGAACACATGCAAATGTGGTCTAGGAACTGCTGGCTTGACCTGTGCCATTCCGTTTTGCCGGGGACCAAGCCAGAAGTGCAATGACCCAAAGATTGGAACATGCACCGCTGTGTCTGGAATCAGCCGCTGTGTCTGTGCACAAGGATTCTACTCGCTTGATAACCAGTGCGTTGAGCGACACTCCAACTGGAACCGTGTTCCCTATAATTCTAATGACTCTTTGAGGAGGTCAGGGGACATTTCGGTTGCTCCCACTATCACTCTCCTCATCCTCTTGCTGATTGTCGGGGCTTTAGTCATATACTTTGGACTGGCATCATGTGGCAAGGTACACCTTCCATGCCAGTCAAAATCCGCTATGGCCGCAAGTGGATCTTACTTGCGTGTCTCAGACTCCACTCGTACTATATCAGCTCTTTAATAAGTAAACTAATTATTGTCATTTGCGGCTTTTCGCGCCGGGGCCTGGATTTTGTGTTGTATTGCAGTCGTGCTTTGGACGACTTTTTCTATGTAGTGATATTCATCTTCCGTTAGGTCATCAGCAAGAAAACCATATGTAAGAAAATCTGCGAGTGATTGGGGGAGAGAGCTCTTCTGCAACCTGTCGCGTCTGCTCGCATATGGCTCCGACCCGGGACACCCTATATCCAGTGCCATGATAAGCTCAGGTATCCCCTCGTTGACGCTATCTCGCATTCTCCTTGCGATACAATTCATGCGGTAATCCATTGGATACCGAAAAGCACGCCTTTTGATTATCTTTGCGAAACTCTTCTTCCTAAGATATAGGAACTGTAGTGTGCCAGCGAAGAGGAGTGTGTAGAAAACGATTGCTATGACAACAATAAGTGTTCCGAATGTTTCAACATTACTGGGAACAACCTGGCCCATTTTAAAAAATTATCAATCCACCTGTAATCGGAAAGCCATGTCATGGTGGTCTGACACAGCGTTCTTAAGTAGGAAGAAGCTTCCCCAGAACCCCAAAGGGCTGGAGTTTTGTGATGGAGAGCCCATCTTGTTTCAAGGTTGGTTCTTTAAGAGACACAAGAGTAAGAGTCTTGGGACAGAGCGTTATGTCATCATTACAGAAACACTTTTTGCATACTATGATGACGTCACGAATCAACAGCTCTCTTCTGGGAAGAAGAGCTACAGAAAGTCCGCGATTTGTGATTTAGCGTTCGCCTGTGGCCCAAAGTTTCTCCCTGGTCTTGGAGTAATTACTAGTTCTGGGATAGACATATTTTTGCACGACGACCCCAGGGAAATAGATCGCTTTTATAACTTTCTTGTTATCTGGACGAAGAACAAAAACATAGCCAATGACCCACAGGAGGAGAGCTTTTCTCAAAGACGGCAACGTATACAGCGAGAGATAACTGCGCTCAAACCAGCAGCGCCGCCCGGTTGGCCGAATCCGCAAACGTACACCGGCCAGCTTCCAATAGTTGCCGTTGGATACTGCGCTCCAGGAGGCATACCTCCTTACCTATATCCCGCGTTCAAGAGCGATCCTTTGCTGACTCCGTCTCAAATAGCGTGCTTGGAATCAAGTAGGCTTCTTATCCAAGCAGTTGTTGAGATGCCGGGGGTACTTTCCAGGAAAGAATACAGACTAGTGATCACCAATGAGCTTCTTCTGATACTCAACGAAGATGGTGAGGAAATACTTCGATGTACTCCGGGAGAAATCGAAGAGATATCGACCCTCGAAGGGGATGATGTTCATAACGTCGTCAATCCCATAAGCATCGGCGTGGCTACAGGGCCCTTGGTACTGACGCTCCGAGATGGAGACACAAAGCGTCTGTATCCCTCAGCAATCGGGTCAAAGTATTGGGGGAGTGCCCTGGCCTCGTTTATGGGGGTCATTCCGCCGAAAGATTGTTTATACAGTATTAGTCAGTTCACGGAAACTGATATAGTTTTCTATGCCATAGATAAGAATATCGAGAGAAGCACAACAAAAAATAAAAAGCCCCGATACAGCCGATCGATTATCAGTCGTGCCGACTACTCAGAAGAGTCTTTACGCAGTTCTGCACATAAGTATCTAAGCACTACTAGCACAGGACACTATGATGAGCATCACGAAGGAACTGAAAATGACAGACTGTACTTTAAAGACGATTATTACTATGAAGATGGAGAGTTTCTTACTAAAGATATCCACACGTCTGGTGACAACGACCACGCTACTCACAGTCTAACTCCAAGCTCTGGGGCTGTTCCGGCTAATACAGACAAAACTGCAGATGAGGATACTGATTCTGAAGAGTACCTAGATCTCTTTGGAAACTATGATCTTTTGGTGCCTTATGATCTGCAGGAGAGCGACTCAGAGACAAGCAAAGACGAAGGCGTAGAGGCATCTGATAAATATCAGGAGAAGCACGTCGTTTCCTCTGGCCGAGCAGCTGCAATTGCAACTGCGTCCATGCCAGATGATCAGGCCACTCCCATCCATGAAGCACCGTCTGCGATGAACGATCGGCTAAGTGCCAAAAACTATGCCGATAAACTTCTGAGCTTTTCATCAAATAACCCCACAGAATCCTCCACTACCACGGGGCTTAAGTATACAGAGAGTCGCGAAAACCTGGCAGATGTCCTCCAAACGACAGCGGGAAACATCAAGACCTTGGCGATAAGCCGCCTTGAGCAAATACCCAGCATTTCCGGTTCACAATGTATCTCCTCGATTCCCAGTGTGGCAAACGTTGGTTCAGGCCCGAATGCGGTTAAGCAAAAGCGACAAAAGCGTTTCCAGTTCACAAGTAAGTTGGAGAGGCGGAGAATACAGGTAGCAAAACAAAATGATAAGATTCTCTGTGATATTGAGACGCGCTATCACGATAGTAGTGAGTCTGAAAGTTCTACAGAATATTACTCGGGTTCAGAGACCGAATCTGACGTGGACTTGCCAACAGACTTGGCCCGCATTCAAGAAGCAAGCGTGCTGTATGCTATCAGCTCCTTACGCTATTGCTTTGTTGACCCAGATAGGTACCAAACCCCTGAATTGAACACATGGGAGCTTCTCTGCCCTGCATATGCTCCAGAGGACGCGCTTATTAGAGCAGGTGATTCAAAGTTTGCAGTGAGATTCAACCTTCCCGACAAGCTAAAGCGGACCGACGAAGCAGCACAGGTGCGTCGAAAAATCTTACGAGGCTACACGATACCCCTCCATGAGCACCACAACCAAACCATAACAGTTAAGGAGATTGACGAGGCCTTTGGGCGAACGGATGAATTTCTTGAAAAATTAGAGGTTATACTCCCTCCGGATCTTGATCCTGCGTTGATGGGCGTTCCCTATCCTCCGCACAACATAATAGATAAGTACTCTCTGCAAGCGCGTAATGAGCTTACGGAAGAATATAATAAATCCCTCCAGTGTTATAAGGAAATGCTCTGGCTTAGTAGCTTTATAATAACCACGGAACAGGAGCTTCTGGAGTCAGATGATGAGGATAGTGGCGACTCTGAAATCAGTGGCAATAGTAGCTCAAGCGCCAAGGATCAAAGGCAACGTTCCACTCACAAGCGTGTTTTGCATAATATGGACAGCATTCCACAGTTTGATTACGGAAAGAAGATTTCCACTGCAGAGGAGTATCCCAACAGCTACCTTTTGAAGCCTGACCATAGGGTAACACTAAAAACAGTAATGGAGAACTGTCCTACGTACTTCGAGTATCAGCTATGCTTGACAAAGCACTACACGATAATTGACCTTTATAAGATGCTATTGTGGTATGCAACCAACGTTGGCGTTTATCTTTCACGGAAACTCCGCATATACACAGCGTCTCAAGCCATTTCTGCAGCCTGTATTGCCGATACAGTTAAGGAGTTGGAATTTGATACAGTTACCGCGGCAGCAGCAGATATGATGATTCTAGACTCGCTTATCCTGGCGAATGACGCAGATGTTCTGATAGACACTATGGTTAGCACTGCAGAGAGAATGACAGAGTCAGGCCGGGAACGGAACGCAACAGAAATAGCCATGTCTGGCATGGGAGGCCTGGAGAATCTTTCCGTGCAAAGAGATCATGAGATATTTGCATACTTTGGCCATAATTTACATATCTTTGGTGCAAATGAACAAATTAGGCGTGCAAGCCGCTTAATTCTTGCTGTGTTCATATCTCGATTAGAAACGCGCTTGATTCAACAATGGAATGAGTACTTCCTCGACATAGTATCTATTGATGAGTTCTGCTTAGCTTATGAGAAGGCGTCAAACTACATTAAAAGCACTGGAACTGAATACATGGAAATTCTGGCCCCACAGCACGCATGGCACTTGCTTGGTCTATGCTTTGAGATTATCGATCAATACGCTCTGTTGCACATTAAGCGTGGTGCTCGTTTGGTACGTCATCATGAATCTCTTATTAACAAGGAAGTATGTAAAATCGTTATTGATTACTCTTCCGTAGAAAAGTATTTTAACTTTCTTACTCTTCTTACGAATACATGCGGAAAGGAAGCTGTTGAGAGTTTGCTGGGTAATTCACAACACTTGTGCGCTGCTCAGACTTCTTTGCATGACTCTGGAGTAGATTACGTCGCCCTAAAGCCGATGCACGAGTTAACTAGTTGTTCCTGGGAGTACAGCTGTGAAACCGGAATATTCCGATTCTGTGACCGGTCGTCAGACTCACAGACTGTGACTAATCTTGGGCTAGATAACGGCATGTTTCGCTGGAGGGGCTACGTTCTTGAAAGGATAAGGGGAGCCCGCCCAGATTTCCACACAGCGATCTCGTGCTTTGCAATCTGGCTGAACGCCATGATATTATTTTGCTCGTTGAAGCACGGTTCAGCCCTCAATCTAATGAGAGCTTTTATGTTGGAGACCACCGGAGCATATGATAAATACACAGACGTTACTTCAAAGCTATTGACAAACAGACAAATCGTTGACAAACTCCCAGTGATAATAGTGGAATACTTGTGGGGGGATTCCAAGCCTACCGTCTCCGTCTCAGTCAACAACGCGGTTGTTTATTCTGCCAGTTATGATACCCGCGTTCCTACAATAGTTCATTTCTACATGATGCTCTACCCCTTTGTGGACTCTAGACATGTGCTGTCGCACATTCCTGTGACAGCCGAGCAATATCGGCTACTAACGTACAACGCTCCCCTGGACGCAGAATTCATCGCGGAAAGAAAGAAGGAGGATGCAGAAGACGAAGAGGGTCTGCTTAAGTGCGGTCCTCCGTCTAATCGCCCTCTGATAAACAAAGAGATTGAGTTGTCATTTGCTTCTAAAGTCTTTAACGTTACCTTCAATGAATTAGACACCGCTGAACTGACCGAATCTACCCTCAGATCCCGTAATAACGATCTCAGCTCCTCACGTATACAGAGAGAATCAAGAGCTTCTTTGGCCATATCTCCTTGATCTGGAAGTGATGATGTAGCTATAAATCAAATATTCAAGTAAATTTCAATGGCGAATGACTTATTTTCGTGAGTAGCCGTGGTGGATTCCGAATGTCGAGAGTGGGGCCACCAGAAGGTTCTCCCCGTGCAATGTCCTGATAACTTTGAAAGTCTAAGTCACGTAAGTCTGCCCCGCGTCCATCCATGTCTACCTCCACTGACGTAGAATCATTAATTTTATTTTTATTCATTGGATTGATTGGCCAAAGAAGCAGAGGAGCTTCGGCCTTTTTTGCTAAAAACTTGAGGCTGTCTTCATTCGCCTGCATTTTTCTGGCCATCGCCTTGCGGGCTTCCTCACGCTGCTTAACCTTTTGACTAAGCTGCTCTGCAACCTCAAGATCGTGTAGGTTTTTCTGTAGGTCAGACCGAAACGTAAGAAATGCCACCATTGCATTGTCTTTGCTGTGATATGAGATAAAGCCCTCTTCATCCTTTTTCTTGTCTTTTGCGTCGCCCTCCACAAGTGCTCTTGATAGTGCAGCTGTTCGCGCACCTCCACCTTTCAAGGCCTTGTTGAGAAACAGCTCCTTTTGAACCTCTAACTCCACCATTTCAGCCTTATGTTTCTTCGCGTCATCTGCTGCCTGCCGCTTAAGTTTTTTCTTTGCCGCTTCATACTGTAAGTGGAATCTATTGGGACTTAGACGTTCGTTGCAAACACCACTCAATGATTCTTTGCGAACAGGTGACTCCACTCGTCCTCGCGTAGGATATAGTACACCTTTTTGGTCTATAGTTACTCGTGTATCTTGAGCCGACAACGCTGCTTCACTGTCTTCAGGTGCCTCAAATTGCCGCTTTTCAATCCCGGCTTCATAACTGATAACATCTGCCTTATTCCACGGATCGTTTCGTGTACGCCTAACTATGCTTATTTCCTTATCAATAGATGCACAGGAGCTCTGTGTAGGGCGCCCAGCACGTCGATTTGTTATGCGCTTGAGTGCATCAGACTGTCCTAGTGATGGATCAAGAAATGCAGAGTCCCTAATATAGGACGAGAAATCAGAAGCCGCAGGAGCACCTGTAATTGTTAGGTATCTGACCATCACGGGTGTCACCCTAGTCGTCGCTATCTTCTGATGCGCTATCCCCAGGGGATTTCCAAGAAGCTTCTCAATTGTGTCCTTACGCGACGTATCAGTCGTGCGCGGAAGTAGCTTTATGATCTGTTCTGCTCGATATCCCGGTGATCCTGCCCTTGATGCAGATGGAGACGCGATGGACCCTACTTTGTTGAGAGGCTTATGTTCACGAGCGGCGTGATTGAAATTCTCTGGATGCATAGCATCGTTCATGGCATTGCTCACGTGCTTCATGTACTCGTCATCATTTTCTACCAGCACCACATCGCCTGAAGTGACTAACTCAGTACCCAAAATCCCTTCAATCTTCGGATTTGAATTGATATGCAACTTTCGATTGAGTCGTATGAGAAATGTATTATCTACAGACATGCTATGCGTCTTCTGATACGTATCTAAAGAGATTCTGTCAACAGTAGAATCACATTGAGGCTGTGATCCAACTACTGATATAGCTTCGATATCATGGTTCTTCAGCAAAGTATGAAGGGATCCTGGCTGTGTAGATTGTTGTTCTGCTGCAGGATCTTCTCCTGCTACATCTCCTCTCAAAATAATACTTGAAATAGAGGCCCGCTTTAGCTCTGGAATACTCTCCAAAGAAGAAATTCCATAACTGGATACCTTCTCAATTGCAGCGTCTAAATTAACATTCTCCTGCTTCTTTGATGGGCCATTTTCTGGTACAGCCTCACTGTTCACCCGCACTCTGTCTTCGGTTCTGAATGCACATGATTGCCGACCATGACGAAGAATCGAGTCCACCTGATCCAACTGTGACAGAGTGCTTTTAACAATCTTATGCTTATTAACTCGTGCTTCTTCTGCATTGAGGTGACTGAGACCAGATTGTCCGTAACCGGAGAACTGAGCTGCTTGTTTGGTTCCTGTCACCAGAATGTTCTCGTTTTCAACTGTGTCAGTACTAAATGCGGTCCTTGCACTCATAGAATCATCACTACGGTTCTTGCATCCTGCAGAAAGTACTTCTGCTTGACACTCTTCCCTTTTACATGAAGCTGCTGTGGTTGGAATCTCAATGAGAAAGGGGTATGTAGATAGGGTAGTTCTTCCAGTGGGATATTCAGACAGGTTCAAAGATGCATCATGATAATGTTGCATACTTGGCACAGGGCTTACACTCCGATTCCTAACTGCGGATTGAGAGATGTTAAAAAGAAAATCTGTGTTCTTTTCAGCCTCTGGAAAGAGAACAATGTCGAATTCAATGGGCTTTAGAGCCGATTCCTTTGCCGCAGCTTGTTCTCCGACTGTGCATGTGGCTCGAAGAGTTCTATCATGAGTTTTTGAGACGAGGAGGAGATTGTCTACAAAAGGGGTGTAGGAGAAATTGCGATACCTTCCTAGCATTATATCTTTGGGACTACTATATCCATTTATGGTTTGCACGTTGATAAGAGTTGCCGTGTTCTTTGGAAAATATTGTAAAAAAGATTCGACCGTGTAAGGCTCTGTAGGAAAATAGCTCTTGCGTATATCTTGCAAAATATCTATATATGGTGGTACACCTGTTAGATAGTAGATAACATTTTCATATATAGAGAGTCTAAACTTAACGCTAAAGATATGAGAGTAAACAGGAAAGCACCGGAAGAAGCCGCGAATAACTGCAGAACTAATAACATAGGGCAGCATTTCAACTGCTTTCTCCTTGTCAGAGGAGCGGCAGCCAATCCAGTTACGCTCGATAGCAACAAACGCATCCACGAAGCGATTCCTTAAGTAGTCTTGACTATTTAAGTTTAGCTCCATGGGACGGAGATGAGGTGGAAGCCGGAGAGGCTTGTAATGAACACGGCCATCGAGCCCCACGACTGCTCGCGATGGCGGGGCATTGCTTGATGTGACTGGTTCTGCATAACTTGGTCGTTTTGGAAGCAGACCGCCAAGCGTTGAATCGGCAGATTGCTCTACCTTAGAGTCCGAGATGCTGTCCTCATTGCTGTCGTGAGTTGTTCGGCAAAATCTGGAGCTATTGTACAAATTAGGATGCATAGTACGCATGACTTCAGACGCTGGAATACTGGTACTCTTGGGACTAAAGACAACAGAGTGAACGAGCCAGAATAGGGTCTCCACCATGTCGACCACGCGAGGAGAAAGGAAGAACGCGAAAAACCCTTCGCTTAGCTTTATTTTCATAGAAACAAGGGTGAGAAGGAGTAAAAGACGCGGGTAGATGTCCATTTGCGGGAACGGAAGAGGGTTTGTAACAGAGGGGTCTATCTCAGATGCATTTAGGGGCTGGTACCAGCAAGAAAAAATGTCCGATGCCTCAAATAGCTGTTCCTGCTGTGTTAGCTCAAAGAATTTCCAGTTTTCGGCCCGAAAAGTCTCGACAATGACACGTGCACGCAATGGCAAATTGTGCAGTTGCTCGTCGCTGGCAGTTACTGCACCAGGCAACGCTGCGACAGAATAGTTGAAGTCATTGCTGGCTGGTCCCTCATTGTAGGAACTTCGCACTGCTCGCGGTAGAAGCATTTGCTGGTCGCGCACAAATCCATCAATGATAGACTTATGTGCTTGAATGGTTCCCAATGAGGGATCCTTCTTGTACGTTAAAGAAATTAGCCGGACAAGTTGCTCAAGACTTACATCACTGAGAGAGTCCTTGAGTGTCGGTAAGGTCCATGTCGGCAGCATTGAAATAGCCGCTTCACGGGCATACGTAGTAACTGCTTTAGATGCAGCCCCTAAAGGGTTGAGACCAGAGGTCCCCCAGAAAGAAGACTCCTGTGAAGTGGACGCTTTCTTCGCCTCCATTAATCGATTGACCCCTTTTGCATCGTCAGCACTCACCTCTCTGTTGTCAGAGATGCACCGGAGGCGGTCCAATTTCTGGGATAATGCCACAGCACCATCCATTAAAGCCCAAAGTCCAAAATATTAAGCTAGGCTCCGTAAGCGAGACGTATAACGAACAGGACACACAAAAAAGCAATAGAGAGCCGCAGGAGTAACTGCGCAGAGCTGAATAACAAAATCTTAATGGCAAGGTGTTCTCAAAATACTGAACTCTGGATGACTTGAGATGAAATTCTGTGGCAACTTATGTATCTACAACAATTCTTCAAATAACCTACACATCAACATTTGTGGTACCAGTCTTGATAATCAACAATATTGACAGTATTTAATAAACTATAGTAGAATATAAAAATTATCACAGGCCTCCATGAAGCAGAATACAACTGATGATATGAGCCATACTGCTACGCCGATATGTATTGAAAACGACGGATACGTTACTCCAGCAGATAAAACACCGAGCTCTGTAGGCGTGGCTCCGACAGCCCCAAGTGTCAAGCCGTTTACAATTGTAAAACGAACTGTTCTCTGGAAAGACCCCGAGACGGTTGAGCTGACATGCTACGCTCCTGAAGTTGCTGAGGCCAGTAAGGCCGGGCACTTCGTCACAGTCAAAGCCTATGCTCCCTCCGAAAGACTTCCGATCCCTATCAGCGACTGTGATCCCGTTAAGAAGACCATCACGTTCATTTGTTCATCCATAACGCATGCAACAAGCAAGATAGTATCCTTTGCTGAAGGTCAGAGTCTGTCATCAATTACTGGGCCCTTAGGTCATGCGGCTGATATTACAGCAAAGATGGGCCACGTAGCAGTAGTTGCAGAAGGGGCTGGGCTTGGTCCTGTTCAGCTATACGCTAGGTCAATCCATCAGCTGCCCGGTAACAGCGTATCTGCTTTTATCGGTGCTCCGTCAAAGGACCAGCTCGTTGGAGAAAACAAGCTTGCAGAAACAGTCGATGCTCTTTCAGTGGTGATTGCTGATGAAATCCCTCCAGAAAAGAAGGAAAAGGGACTTGTAGGGGTATTCGAAGATTTTCTTCAAGAAACTCTGAAGACTCCTCAGAAGTATGTACCTGTGGACCTTGTCTACGTGATGGGACCTTATCCATTGCTTCGTAAGATTTCTGAACTCACTAGGGATTACGGCATTCGCACTATCGGTCTTCTCAGCACCGTTACAGTCGATGGGTCCATGCTTCTCGGGACTTTCCGGGTAGAATTGTATAACGAGCTCCCGTATCTCACGAGCATTTATGATAAATATGCTCTTCGTAAGGAACACGTCCCTTCCCATATTCCATGCATTAATTTGGATGAGTTTGTCAGAAGCAATATTAATCCCAGCTTTTCCAAAGGTAAGATTAGCACTAGCTATGTCTTTGTCGACGGTCCAGAAGTTGACGCTCATCGTATTTCTTGGGAGAAGTTTAGACTTGGGACAAGTATTTATTCGTCTACAACATCTTCAGCTGGTAATGCACACAAGAAGGGTCCATCTGTACGTTCAGTAAAGCCTGCTCCCACACAGACACCAATGCCTATGCAGCATCCTAAAGTTCGCTGTCATAACTGGGCCGAAATATCTCTAGGCTACACTCCAGAAATGGCACTGATGGAGGCGTCACGGTGCTTGCAGTGTAAGAAGCCTATGTGTGTCAGGGGCTGTCCAGTACAAGTTCCAATACCCCAGTTCATTAAAAAGATCACTGAGCGGGACTTCCTTGGAGCATATAAAATCATAAAGACTGCACATAATTGTCCGTCTGTTACTGGACGTGTCTGCCCTCAAGAGAACCAGTGCCAGTCTGCAGAGGGAAATTACGGGTGTATCCTTTGTCGTACTGGTAAAGAGCCTGTTGGCATTGGGAAGCTAGAGCGGTTTGTTGCCGACTACGTGCGCGAAAACAATTTGGAGGATGAATCACTTAAGGATGGTAAAAATATGCCTGAGATAGTTTTGTCCGGGTATAAAGTTGCTATAATTGGCTCTGGCCCGACAGGTCTTGCAGCCGCCCGGGAGTGTGCACTTGCGGGTCATTATGTTACAATCTTTGAGGCACTAGATCAGCCTGGTGGTGTATTAAATTACGGAATCCCTAAGTTCCGGTTGCCAAAGCAAATAGTTGCTCACGAAATAAATAGTGTTAAGCGCTTGGGGCTCGTCGATATAAAGACAAAGACTGTCGTGGGGAAGGACGTCACTATCCCACAACTCCAAAGCGAGGGGTACACTGCCATATTCATCGGTACAGGTGTAGGAATACCACGTAGCCTTGGCATCCCTGGAGAAGACCTTCCAGGTGTCTTCACAGCAAACGAGTTTTTGAAGAGGTGTAACCTAGAAGACAACTGTGTATTTCCATTCATTAGCAGAGCTGACAGTAACGAGCCACGCAAAAAGGTCGTGGTCATTGGGTGTGGAAATGTTGCAATGGATTGTGCTTCGTCTGCACGAAGGCTAGGAGCTGATGTTGTAGTGGTATATCGTCGTCGTCTACAGGATTCTCCTGCGCGTTTTGAGGAGATCGAGAGTGCCGAAGCAGAAGGAGTCTACTTTGCTACCTTAAATTCGCCCTTAGAAATAATCCCTAACGATAGCCGTACCGGCATAAAGGGACTAAGGTGCCAGGTTAACTCCTTCGAAGCAGGAGCTATTGTGCCCTTGGATGGAGAATTTTCCTTTTTTGCCTGTAGTATGATTATTGTTGCGGTAGGATTTGGGCCTAATAACATTATCGTGAAGACGACAGAAAATTTGAAGATAAATGACAAAGGTCTTGTGATTACTGATGAGAACTTCGAGACTTCTGTCCCAGGTGTCTTTTGCGCAGGAGATGTTCAGACTGGGGCTGCAACCGTCATCAAGGCCCTTGGCAATGGAAAGGTTGCAGGTCAAAGCATGAACTTTTGGATTGCACAGAATCATGCGACACTTCCTCGAGACAATGATCTCTTCGGAAAAGTAATTAGCCCTGGTATTTGTCCACCCGCAGAAAAAGTTGACAGGCCTCCACAGGATGCTCTTTCTGTGTCTTCCTCTGCGACCTCACTTCTCCTCAACAGCGATATAGAGGAGACTCTGACCACTCACATATAGTCTGTGAATCTATGGGCATTTTGCGGGAGAAATACAACTACGATAGAAGGCTGAATAAACTGAACAAGATGTTGCACTGAACAAAGTAATCTTCTCCGCTAACTATTTTTAATGGCCGCAGTTCAGGTTCTTCTGCACTCAATCCATGGCAGCCAGAAAGACTTGCTGCGAGAGGAGAACCTCCGTGAGCTCCTCCTCCCGCTCTGGCGTGGACCTGGCCTTTGCAGACAGGGCATCGATGACAGCAGGGGACGACAGGGCGGAGATTACGTCGGGGTCATCCGAGGCCCGTACCAGCGTCGTGAGCGTCTCTGCAGTTAACGACGGCGGCGTCCTTTTCAGCGCAGAAAGACAGGGATCCATGTTCAGGGAAATGTCCTCAGTTGCCGGGGGCTGGCTCTTTGCCCACAACAGTGGGGGATTTTTTGCTACCCCCAACCTGGGGTGTAAAGCAGCCGGACTTCACCGTGCACAGAATAGAGCCTATCTTGGCTGGGACTACTTCCGAGTCCACACCGGTGGCTTTCTGCCGTACAACACACCACATCATTGGAACAAGAAGGCGTTGTGACTGAGGGGCTCTGGGCTGCTTATCCAATGAAGGGGCGGCTTCCAAGCTCACTGGCGGGATATACCTACGCTAGTGCACATTGTAGGCTACGCCAATGGAGCAGAGCTACGGCTCCGTCTGAACGGCCGCACATCCCGCTGTGCACCCCTGGATTAGCACTCGTGGCTACACGTACTGAACAGAACATCCCCGCCAGCTCGCCTGTTCTGCTGATACTGTCAGGATCACCGATCCCTCCAACGTCCCAGTAAGCCGGCCATCCGATACCGGCCAGGAAGCACAGATACATAGGACATCGGAGGATGCTCGAAATCTCCTGCTCTGGAATGGCTGTCGTCCTCCCCCTCTGGGTCTCTATTATAGTTGTACTAGTAGTCCACTGGCGTCCAACTCAATAATCACACACTCATCAAGCTAGTAACATCCAGAACAAGCCCTCTATAGATTCCTGCTAGTGTAACTGCCACGTGGTTGGAAGCGCACTACTAGAGGCTGGCCATTTACTATAGGGCTACTTTGTAAGGATGGCCACTATCTCCTCATAGCCTTTCTTCCTGGCCATGTCGAGGGGTGTCTCTGTACATGCACAAGTTAAATGGGGTTCTGTATTGTACTGGGTTCTTCTAACATCTCCTTCCTTCTCTGCAAGAAGTCTTACACACTCTATGTTGTTATTATCTATTGCCCATATAAGAGCAGTCCAGCCGTACTTATCATGCATCCCCGCCTCCCTGCCCAGAAGTAGCTTGACACATTCTGGATGATTATTACGTACTGCACCCATGAGAGCAGTTCTACCCTTATTGTCCTGCATGCCCCCCTCCTCACTCAAGAGTAATCTAATACATTCTAGATGACCGTTATATGCAGCAAGGATGAGAGCAGTCTGACCGTCACTGTCTTTCATTCCACTTTCGTGAGCTACTAGCTGTCTCACCGCTTCTGTGTATCCATATATTGCCGCTCTCATAAGTGCTGTTCCTTCGTATATTTCCCATTTATCTATTTTGACATATTCTGCTTTTCGTCCTTTTTGAAGAGATATAAGTGTTTTCAGCACCTCTACATCGTTTGTATCTGCCGCCCGCATAAGAGCCGTAGTACCTCTGCCATCTGTTGGGCTGAGAATCTCTACGACGTCCTCGTAGCCCGCTTGTGCAGCAAGCGTCAGAGCTGTATCGCCATCATCATTCTTCTTTTCCTTGTCAGAGAGCTGATTCCTGACTGTTTCAATGTCTCCAATGAAGGAAGCACACATGAGTTGGGTCCAGGATGAAGCCTCGTATTCACGAAGAATCATAGCAGTGTCTGTACGGTCATTATTGAGAGCATGCACGAACGCTGTGTTCCCACTGCTATCCTTTATTCCTTTCTGGATTGGTATAAGCAGTTTTACCATCTCAGTATCTCCTCTGGCTGCTGCCCTCATGAGTGCCGTGATATCATCTTTATCTGTAGGATCGTCGTGCTCTACGAGGATCTCAACGAGTTCTGGATGTCCATTCTTAAGAGCGTAGTATAAGGCGTTGTGATTCTGCTTATCCTTTATTCCCTTTTCGTGACCAAGAAGGATTTTTACCATTTCAAGATTCCCCTTTTGTGCGGCAACCATTAAGGCAGTTTTGCCTTCATTGTCAGCCAGACCCTTTTCATGTGAGGCCAGAAGGGATGCAACTTCTGCATGGCCTTTCTCTGCGGCGATCATCAAAGCAGTTTGATTATTCTTGTTTGTCTCTCTACACTCGTGAAGAATGAGAATCCTGGTTACCTCAGGATGGTTGTTGTATGAGGCGTGCATGAGCGCAGTCCAGCCGTTCTTGTCCTGGAGGCCGTTTTCCTCCCCAACAAGCAACTCGACGGGATCAACGTGCCCCTGCTGGGCCGCGTGCATGAGGGCCGTCATCCCCTGTGCGTCACGCTGACCAACGCCGAGTCTTTCTTCAAGCAGCATCCAGACGGTCTCCGTGCTATTCGTATGCGCGGCACGCATCAGCCTTGGCAGCAAAAAGAGGCTGGACTGAGGGTCAGTCGTGTTCATCCTGTCACTGAACTGTGCAAGCCTATTCTCCAGTGCCTTAATCATAGCTAGATGTTCCTTACTTTGGTCTTCAAGTGCGTCGATCTTAGTAGATTTAATCTTAACATCCTCTTCCAGCAGCGCGATCCTGGCGTTAGCGCCATTCAGCGCAGCCTCCAAGGATCCGCACTTATACTTCAGCATCACGCACTGACCTCCCAACTCACCAACTGGGATGTCGAATGTAGCGAGCGTCTCGTGCAGCTCCCTGGCCGTCGGCCTCCTCTCTGGCTCCAATACGAATATCCGCTCCAGAACACTCTTTATGAAGCCATCAGTGACACCGCTCAGGTCCGGCCTCCACCCATCGATGAAGACCTCTGCCGGCTCCTTGCCCCCCAAGAAGTCCGGTCTCCTCAGAGTTACTAATTCATAAATGATGACCCCGAGGCTCCATACGTCGGAGGCAGGGCTGGCCTCGTTGTGGAGGAGCACCTCGGGGGCAACGTATGCCATTATTCCTATGAGAGTGCTCCCACTCCACAGGGCGTCCCTGCAGAGGCCGAAGTCGGCGATGACGAAGCGCTCTCCGTCTGCGTTGATAAATATATTGGCAGGCCTGAGGTCGCGGTGGACGAGGCCTCTAGTGTTTGCTCCATTGACGCTGTGGAGGTAGGCGAGGGCGGCGGTGAGCTGTTTCATGACAGAGAGAATCACGCCGGCAGACACGGGGATCTTCCTTCGCTTGTGCTCAGTGAGGAGGCGCTCAAGGGTCTTGTCGTGCCGGTCCGTGACGACGTAGAAGAAGCTTTCGTCTTCGACAACTTGATGGTACTTGATGACTCCCGGGTGAAAGAGGGTAAAAAGAGCGGCCAGCTCAAGCTTGATAGTATCCACGCTGCTCCTATCCAAGCCTTCAAGCAAGATCTCCTTCACGGCGAGACTCGGATAACCTTCGAGGGAGTAGACTACACCTGTGGCATCTCTTCCTAGCACGCCATTCAGCCGCTCGTGGAGCTCCTTAAAGGTGAACGGTGGGATGGTGGGAGTCACTGCAGAAAGACTGAATGCGTTATTGCCATTGTCGGCCATGACAGTTTATTTTCAAAAATAAGACCAAGCGATTGGATTGAACGAGTGATTGGGCCGCACCCTCAGAGGCTACAAGAGAGCACAGGCATCTGCCAGCCTCACTTCTCGAATCTGTGTTCACGACAGCAGACACGTCGTCCCATACACTGTGGAGCGCCCTTGCATGCGCTGGCATGGCGTCCCTGTCTGTCCTGGCCCGTTCGCGACTATCACGCATTACTAGTACTCTGCGCCAGCTCTCTCGACTGTGTAGTCATGGCAATTCCACGTGTGCACAGGCCATCTAGCAGCACTCGCCCGCGTCCTCTGCTCCTCCGCCACTCATCCACGCGGGCCATGCAGGGTCTAGTGGCCCTTCCAGCGCTGGCCACGTTGGTGCTCTCTTCTGATGCTGCATGCCCTACAGGATCACCCGTGCTCACCATATTCCTAGAACCCATCACGCACCAGGGGGCTCCCTCGCAATTGGTGCCCAGAAAGTCGCGAGCAGGATTCATCGGCGCGTTTACTACCTAAGTCATGCCTTCCCTCTGCATATGAACCACCAGCAGAGGAAGCCCACAAGGCCAGCCACGACGACCACCACGGCGACGGAGATACCTGCTATGGCCCCCGTGGAGAGCCCGCTACTCTTGTTGGCGCCAGAGGACACACACTTGTCACCCTCCAGACTGTAGTCGTCCCCGCACTGACCGCACTTGTTCTCCTCGCTGCACCTGACGCACCCGTCGATACTGCAGGGGATGCACTTCGTTCCGTCTGTGTTCGGTCTCTGGTCTTTACTGGTACAGGCCTCGCACTTGCCGCCTGCTCCACAGTGCGAGCATCCGTCAATGGTACATGTGAAGCACCCGCTCCCAGCCAGGTTGGGTTTATTATTGCCGCTACACGCTGTGCACGTGGCAGGGGCCATGCCAGGAGCCTCTAGCGCTGCTGGGGCCGTGCATGCTGTGCAGCCATATACCCCCACATATGCCTTAGCGGTGCTGCCAGCCCCTATCACTGTGCCAAGGGGGTTCTCGCAGGCCAGGACAGACTGATCAGTATTGGATGCCCCCGGGACCAGGAAGTACCGGCTGTTCTCGCTGGGGGCGGTGCACCTCCCTCCCTCGGCAGTCTTGCACATGTGGCTGCCAGGAGCCTTCTGAGTACTGTAGCAGCCGCCCATGTACAGGAAGTACCCGGCAGCACACTGGGTGCAGACGCCATTGGCACAGGTGTTGTCACCCTTAGTTCCTGTGCAGACGCCATCGATGGGGAACGTGGCGGGGTCTCCGCACAGCGAGCAGTACTGGGAGAACGCCCCGGCGCTGTCAACGACGACCGCCCCGCAGGCCCCAGACGTCCCCCCGCAGGCCGTGGGGTCCTCGCAGGCCTTTGTGCACTTCACCGGATTGGTTCCCTCCTTGCGATAGTTGGGCTTACAGGAGTTGCAGGTCAACGAGCCAGCGAAGGTGCACGTTGCACACCCATCGACTCCATCTGTCGGGTTATCACAGGGGACGCATGTGCCGGGGGAAGTGCCCCCTCTCAAGAAGAACCCGGTCTTGCAGGTTTGGCATTTGGTCTTGTCAGCTTTCTCAGAGCAGGTTGCGCAGTTCTCGCCACAGGCGTCACATGTGAAGCCGCTGTTGGTGTTCTTGATGTACCCCTCCAGGCACTCTGTGCAGGTCGGCGGTGTGGCGCCAGTCCTCGAGCACTTCTTACAGCCGACGATGCCCTGGTTCTTCTTCTCTTGCTCTGTCACTGTGTCGCTGCATAGAATACACGCTGTTGCGTCGTCTTTCATGAATAGCCCACTATCGGTGGCTTTGCAGCCGTCGTCTGTCTTTTCCACGCACGTCGTCGTCCCGTCGGCAGCAGTTCTTACCAGCTTCCCGTTACAATCGGTGCACCTCGGCTTTCCCGTGGCGTCACTATATTCGCATGCCGCGCACCCAGCTATGTCAGTAGCGCAGGCCTTGCACTCGTCTGCTTTTGGGTCTGCATAGCTATCACTACCACATCCACCAGCCTCTACACACTCAGTGCCCTTCAGGAACTTCCCCCCAAGGCAGGCGGTGCACTGGGTCGGCGTAGCAGACTCACACGTCAAACAGCCGGGTCCGCATTGCACACATGCACCATCCTTCGTAGCGTACCCTCCTTGGCATGCAGTGCACGTGGCAGCCCCTGTACCGCCACCTGGCGCCGTGCATGTGTAGCAGCCCGCCACCCCCGTGACTCCGTCTCGCGGAGTGACGTCTGAGCAAAGCACGCACTCGTTGCCAGGGGCTACTGGGCTGGCCGGGTTCTGGAATAGATACACAGCGTCTGCCTTGCAGGTGGTGCACACCCCCTTGTCGGCCGCCGTGCAGATCTCAGACCACTGGCTCGTCTTGTAGCACCCGCCCATGAAGAGGAAGTACCCGTCCCCGCACTTTCCGCAGGCAGTATCCGAGCCCGCCAACGCGGTCCCGTCTGCCCTGGTGCACCCGGCCGCCGCGGCCTGGGGGGAGCCGGGGGGCCAGCAGAAGCCGCCGACCGGGACGCCCCCGGCCCTGCACTCGGTGCAGATCTCGGAGTACCCGACCGTCTCGCACTTGTCGGTCTGGCAGCTCGCGGCATGGTCTCCGTCTGGCTGGCAAGGCGCCGCGAGTATGCTTGTCGCAAGGTGCAATGCAATCAGCAACATTATAGTGCGACACAGATGGTGATAAAGCTCTGCTGGTGGCAGCGCACTCTTCTGGTGAACAAGCTCTGTTTTTAGAGTTACCAGTCAATCTCGATTATCATCAACTTCCATCTCAAAAGGCTGTCCAATACGTGCCCAGTGGAGAGTGCTGACTGTCAGATCGCATCTCTACCAGTACTTAGGGCGCAGTGGCATCCAGCTCTGGAGTATTGAGTGCTGTCCTCTACCATAGTGCCCACAGCCTTCTTGTATGTGACACCCGTAACTATCACGTGTTCTACCGCACCCAACTGGCGATCACTATCCTGATGCTTTGCTATTGCTCTCACTCTTTATACAGGTCGTCTTAGAGAGGATGGCTCTGCTCAAGACTAAGTCGGCCAACGCCAAACAGGCTGCTCCCCTAGACACTGATATCCGTTTATACTGTGCTGCTAAGCCCCCATCTGAGCGTGATCTAGGAGTCTCACGAATAACTTCTCGTTCAATTCCTGGCCAGTCTGAGGGCGAGAGTTGGTTGTAGACAGCAAACAGGGGCTTCTCTCTAGTATTGTATCCAGAGTCTTTTGCCTTCCTCGGTTGCTCCGCGGGGACGTGCGCTATCTGAGAGTGTGCGTCTAAAGCCCTGGCCTTCTCACAGGCTCGTGTGGTTTGCTAGAGGTCCCTCGCTTCACGGTGGGTGAGGCTCTGGCCGCTGTCCTTTTAGATGCTCCCATTTATCACAACTGCTGCCATCGGGGCTCCCCGTTGGCTGGGCCCCTCGGTGTCCGTCCGGCTGTGTCCCGGGCAGCGCTCCTACAGTTGCAGTCCCTGGGTCCCGGTCCAGCTAGTGGGTAGAAGAGGACTGATAGGGGGCTCCTGATGGGGACCGGGTGGGTGGTGTCCGTATGTGCCCCTGTCCTCTCGCTGTGGTATCCCTCTGATTGCTGGATGACACCCACGCCCACCGCCTTGCACTTGTCGGGCTCTGCACTGGTCGCCGGGCTGGTCTGATCTCCAGCTTGCGCTGCACGAGACACGGAGGCACGGGCACCGACGACCGCACGGGGCCCCTGGTCGTCCCTTTGCACCAGTGGAGGAGAGTCCCTGCTTGCTACCTACAACCACCCCACCCTCAGAGGGCCAGGCTTGCTGCCCGTGAGACGTCTGGACACGCTTCAGGCGAGGGACAATTACTCTCAGTAGATGATTCCTCTACTCGAGCTGAGTGAGTCTTATACCCAGATTTACAGTTTTGGAGGGCCAACTCGTGCATGCTGTAATATCTTGCATGGATGGCGGCGAACTAGAGCTGGACACTAGAACCGGCATGAGATGACCGGCTCAGTAGGGGCGCAGTGGCGTGGAGCGACGCCTTGGAGCTTGCTTGCTTCTTGAGCTTTTGCGAGCCACTAAAGCTAGGGCCTTTCCGCGGGGCGCGCTCCCTCAACTCACCGCTCTTCCTGGGCCGTATCACGAACCACCAGACGAGGAAGCCGGCCACTGCAACGAGGACGAGGAGGACGACGACCACGACTGCAATCGTTATGGTACTTGATGACTTGTTGGATGGAGCAGGGACTCCGCAGACGAAGTCGCTTGTGAGAGAGAAGCCCTCGTTGCACACGCAGCTGGGAGTCACGCCGTTCTCAGACACGCACCTGCCGTTGCCCCCGCAGATCGTCACGGTGCCGTCGGTGCCGCGCTGGACGCACTGGCTGCTGATACAGAGCTGGTCAAGAACACTTTCATACCCATACTTGCACTCGCATGTACTATCTGTGGAAAGTGGACAGTTGCCATTCCCCCCGCAGAGCGTCCCACTGGAAACGCAGGCTGCCGGGTAGCAGAGGTTATTCAGCGAAGCCCAGCCCTGGTTGCAGCTACAGGTCGCAGAGGATCCCTCGCCGGAGCACGTGCCGCCGCCGTTGCAGACTTTCCCGTCCTTGAGACACCTTGTGGGGATGCAGTCTTTGTCGACCAGAGTATAGTAACTTGCGCACAGGCAGCCGTAGGTGTCACCGGTCTTCTCGCAGGCCCCAAAGCCGCTACAAAGCTTGTTGTTCGACGAGACGCAGCTGCTGTGCACGCAGCCGTTCTGGCCGTCGAGGCTCTGGAAGCCGTCTACGCTACAGTTGCACTTTTTAGTGTCTTCACTGCATGTTCCACCGCCATCGCAGACCTCGGCCAGGATGCTCTCGTGTGCCCCGAAGCACTCCTTGACAAAGCACTGGCCGGTCTTCTTGTCTGTGCGGTATCTGCTGCTGTCGCATCTGCACAGTCCTGTCCCGGCGACAGGGCCCTCTACGCATGTCCCGCGCCCCTTGCATATTGCTTTGGGGTCGCTTCCATCCGAGATGCACTGGCTATAAACACAGATGTTTGTCCCGACTAGGGTTGTCCCGGGGTTGCAAACACACGCCCCAGTGTCCTCGCCGTTATCATTGCACGTACCCATGCCATAGCACGTTTTTTCTGTCTGATCGTATGGATCCGACCAAACGCATCTGGATTTTCGGCACTTCTTGCTAGCACTGTCAACGACGAAGCTCGAGTTGACGCAGACGCAAGCAAAACTGTTTCCGCTAAATTGGCAAGCCCCTACGCTAGTATTTTCCTCCGTGCCACAATTGTCTGCCGGACAGCCATTGAGGTAGCACTGTGCATCTGTGTGTTCCTTGTAGCCATTTGCACACGTCTCACATTTGGTACCATCATACCCAGGCCTACACTCGCACTTTCCTGGGTCTGTCTTGAACTGACAGGTCCCTCTTCCGTTGCATATAGTACTGGAATTTGTCTCTGATACAACACAGACAGCTGGTACGCACAAATAACGGCGATCGTCTGCAACCGTTTGATAATTTTCGTCACAATTGCACGAGTACCCCACAATATGATCCCCTATACACTTCCCATGTCCAGAACATTCAACGTATCCCTCCGGACCTCCAGAAAGAGAGTCGCTAAGACAGGTTTTCTTCATACACTTTCCATTTGTTATTTGAATAATGTCATATCGATTTATGCACTTACAGTATGACTTGGATGATTGAGTAGCATTAAGAACGCATGTTCCAAACTGCTTTCCACCGCACATCGTCCTCACCTGCTGATTAGTCAAGGTTGTGATTTCAAATATGCAAGCTTTTGGTAGACAGAACCCATCAAGTTCTTCATACTCGTCAGGCTTCGGGTCCTTGCACTTACAAGCGTAGTCTCGACGATCGCCGTGCGACGCTATCTTTGTGCACACCCCAACGGTCTCGCCACCGCACACAGACTCAACAAGTTGTCCGCTATCATCTACGGTGTTAATAAAGCAGTTGATGCCAAAGCAAGCCTTTTTAAATAACTTTGTCCCCAGATCGCATACGCATCCTGTGGACCCACAACTGCCTAGTCCTCCACAGATAATCGGCGGTTCCACTCCGTCCTCACTAGAAATGCACTCACTTAATATACATGTTTCTCTCAACTCCCCATTCACATCTCTAAGTGTGACTAGCTTAGCACCAGACTTGCACTCACACCGCCTATTCTTCAACAAAGATCCTTCTCCGCCACATGTTCCTAACCCATTGCATGCAATAGTGGGATCACTCAGCAGCCTTCTGTAAACACACTTACTTGGAATGCATTCCGAATTGAGCTGGCCCCTCTCATAGCCTTCGGAGCAGACACACCCGTAATAGTAATTACTCCCCTGCACGCATGCAGCCAGGACATCTCCTCCGCAATAGACGTTATCATACGATACGCAACGCTGATGAACACAGATCCCATTGACAGATCTATACGGAGTAGTACACTTGCAGGAATATGTGCCCTTATCGTTTGTACAATCTCCAGTTGTTCCATCGTAGATTTTGCACTCAACATACTTAATTTCTCCGTTATGCATTACCTTTCCGGCGCATCCTGGATGAGTGCAGTAGCCCCCGAAGGCCTCCAGTCCGTCGCTGCACTCGCAGCCGTACCGGCCAGTCAGCTGGTTGTATGCGCAGACCCCCTTTCCGGAGCAGACAAGCACGTTGATATCCGGATTCCTTATGTTATCTGATATGCCAACTGGCAGGCAGTCGTAGCTGTAGCACATGTCACCGATCTTGAGGAAGCCATTGCTGCAGACGCAGGTTCCAGTACTGTCTATATATCCCGCCCCGGGGCCGCCACAGAGTCCCCTTGCTCGCTGAGTCTTTGGATCAGCGTTCTTACTCTTTGAAATGCACGTCTTGTTGTACGTAACATAGTCCCCAGTGCAATTACACTGCCACGTTGCGTCCCGTCCGACAGTGCATTCGAGTGTAAAGGTAGACTGAGGAATACAGTAGTCTGGTGCATAGGGGCCAGCAAGACTCTTGTTGAGCTTGCATGCATCAGTAACACACGCCTTCAAATTTGGATCCCATTTAGCAGCAGTCCCACAATCACACTCGTATCCGCTTTTATCCTTCTTCTGAATACAGTCTCCCACGCCGCCGCAGTAATTGTACCACATATGACTGGATTTGCCATCGTGACAACTCTTGTGCATACATGTGCTATTGTTTTCCCCAAAGTGTACAAGGTGAAAGTCAGTTGGACAGTGAGTACATGTTTCAGGCAGATCGGGTTTTTCGGAAGGTTTAGCGCACGTAGGCAAGTTACCAGTTGACAGGTTTTCTGTTATATTCTCAAGGAATCCACAAAAGAATCTTCTTGTCTTGTCTATCTTACTGATAAATACACATCCAGGTTTAGCAGAGAAGGTGCCGTTGTAGGCGGAGACATTTCCACTATCAGCATCTTTAGGGACGCATGTGATGAACGGATTGCTCGGATCACCATAAGTGGTGTACGTGCCTGTGTTCCCGCAGATATCCTGAGCAGTAGCCGTGCGCAGACTGGGCTGTGGATCCGGTGGCTGTTGCTGCACAATGCACTTCTTTGCAATACATTTCTCGCCAATCATTTGCGCGTTCTGTTGATCACATTCTGCGCACTTAGCTCCTGTGTGGATAGGCGAACACTGGCACGTCATCGTATCAGGAGCCTCAGCACTAACGACAATGCGTCCATGGTCACTGCAAACCGTGGCAGGGCTATCTACCAAAGTGCTCAAGATGCAACGCCCCGGAGCGATGTAGGTATAGTCCTGATCACAAGTGCATTGTATATTTCGTAGATCGTCCGTCTTGCACGTGCCGTGCCCCGAGCAGACCTTCCCCAGTTCCTCGTCCATGCACGCGGGGGACGTGCACTCTCCGTCGACGGCAAGAGCATGTCCGGGCAGCGGCAGTGGTACTCGCCGTTGGACTTGACACATGTTCCTCCGTTCTTGCATGATTCCTGGTTGTTTGAAGTGAGGCACCCCACTGGAACACAGGTGCCATTTATCTTAGCAGACTTGTCAGTGCAAGTATCGCAGAGGTCGCCCGTGGCAAGCCCTCGGCAATCGCAACTATAGCCAGCGCCATTGCGCACACACGCGCCCACTCCGCCACAGATCTTTGAGCGGGACTCGTCTGTGCACGCGGAATATGTGCAAAACTTATCGACCTGGACTGCATCCGAATCGCAAACACATCTGAACACCCCGTTGTTTCCTTCATCTGTGCACTTCCCGAAGCCCCCGCAGACGACCGGGGACCCGTCAATCGTGGCCACGCACTCCGTCCTGACGCACCTGTGCCCAACGCGTGTGTAGCCATCATTGCACTTGCAGCGGTAGCGGTACGATTCGCGATCGAGGCCCACGTCGAGGGTGCACGTTCCCTGGCCTGAGCACACGATGCCATCCGAGTCCTGGCAGGCCCGCGCATTGCACGTAGGGAGGGCGTCAGACGAAGAGCTTTCTGTAGCGATCGCGTTGGCGTCGTCGCACGACTGGCAGAGGCCCCCGCGGTAGATCGGGTAGCAGTCGCACGCGTAGTCGTCAGCACTCAGCCCGGCCAGCCCGGGGTCCTTCAGGAGGCAGCGGCCGCGGCCGTTGCAGGGGGCCTTCGTTGCCTCCTGGTTTGAGAAGTCGTCGGTGTTGAAGCAGCCCCTCGGCAGGCACTCGCCCTCGTAGGACACGAAGCCATCGGGACAGGGGTCGCACGAGTACGCCCCCGCGTAGTAGGTGCACTTGCTCGACCCTGTGCACTCCGTCCCGTTCACGAGGCAGGCGTAGTTGACGGCCCTGTCTGTAGACGCCTTGCCAGTATTAGTAGTTACCCTGCAGAACCCTGCACGGGGAGCATCGCACGCAGCCCCCGCCCAGCCCCGCCTGCACTGGCAGAAGTGTGCTCCGTCCCCGTAGGCGCAGTCTCCGTTAACACATGCAGGTCCTGTCCCGCACGCCTCGGCGAGACATGCAGCAGCACACAGGAGAATCAGCATGCGGTGTGCCTAGGACTGGCTTGGCTTATTTATTAGTATGTTGTAAACATAAGAAGGAAACCTGTGAACTGATCGGTACGAGAGAAAAGCCCTGTCCAGGCCAGCCCCGGCTATCCCCCGTGGTAGGGCGAACCGATGCACTGGAGAGTTGCATCAAGTCACGCGCTTTTGGAAACACCCACTCTACTTCAGTGGCGTGTTACATAGTCAGATCCCCAATACCGGATTAGGGCACCGGGCCTCAAGGGCTGTTCACAATCGACTGAGCAATAAACTACGTACGGAACTGAAGCCAGACGAGTCAGGGCTTGCTCACTGTAGCCATCTACTGGGAGCATAGCTTCTAGGAAGGCCGAGTGCCGCCCACCACAGGGTCTGCAGGGCGCCTATCGACCACATCTCAACATGCACTCCCCATTGCAAGCACAACATTCGGTACACAGCAGGTGGCGGAGGCGGGCCCTCTGAGGCGATACCCACTGCTGTGTGTAGGAACCACGCTTGCAGTCACACTCGCGGCGGCCTATCAGCCAGACGGAGACCATGCCGCGAGCTGCCAGACCGACAAGTGCGAGACGGTCGGGTACTCCGAGATCTGCACCGAGTGCAGGGCCGGGGGCGTCCCGGTCGGCGGCTTCTGCTGGCCCCCCGGCTCCCCCCAGGCCGCGGCGGCCGGGTGCACCAGGGCAGACGGGACCGCGTTGGCGGGCTCGGATACTGCCTGCGGAAAGTGCGGGGACGGGTACTTCCTCTTCATGGGCGGGTGCTACAAGACGAGCCAGTGGTCTGAGATCTGCACGGCGGCCGACAAGGGGGTGTGCACCACCTGCAAGGCAGACGCTGTGTATCTATTCCAGAACCCGGCCAGCCCAGTAGCCCCTGGCAACGAGTGCGTGCTTTGCTCAGACGTCACTCCGCGAGACGGAGTCACGGGGGTGGCGGGCTGCTACACATGCACGGCGCCAGGTGGCGGTACAGGGGCTGCCACGTGCACTGCATGCCAAGGAGGGTACGCTACGAAGGATGGTGCATGTGTGCAATGCGGACCCGGCTGTTTGACGTGTGAGTCTGCTACGCCGACCCAGTGCACCGCCTGCCTTGGGGGGAAGTTCCTGAAGGGCACTGAGTGTGTAGAGGCTGGTGGATGTGGTAGTGATAGCTATGCAGACCCAAAAGCAGACGAGTGCAAGGCCTGCGCTACTGACATAGCTGGGTGCGCGGCATGCGAATATAGTGACGCCACGGGAAAGCCGAGGTGCACCGATTGTAACGGGAAGCTGGTAAGAACTGCTGCCGACGGGACGACGACGTGCGTGGAAAAGACAGACGACGGCTGCAAAGCCACCGATAGTGGGCTATTCATGAAAGACGACGCAACAGCGTGTATTCTATGCAGCGACACAGTGACAGAGCAAGAGAAGAAGAACCAGGGCATCGTCGGCTGTAAGAAGTGCTCGAGGACTGGCGCCACACCGCCGACCTGCACAGAGTGCCTGGAGGGGTACATCAAGAACACCAACAGCGGCTTCACATGTGACGCCTGTGGCGAGAACTGCGCAACCTGCTCTGAGAAAGCTGACAAGACCAAATGCCAAACCTGCAAGACCGGGTTCTTCTTGAGAGGGGGCACTTCCCCCGGCACATGCGTCCCCTGTGATAACCCGACAGATGGAGTCGATGGGTGTGCAACGTGCACCTTCGCTGGCTCGTTGACCTGCAACTCCTGTAAGCCCAACTATCGCAAGGAGGGAACCAATCCGGTGAAGTGCACAAAGGCCTGCGAGGACCCCACGGCCTGCGGGGGGACGTCTGGGGCCTGCGGGGCGGTCGTCGTTGACAGCGCCGGGGCGTTCTCCCAGTACTGCTCGCTGTGCGGAGACCCCGCCACGTTCCCCATCGATGGCGTCTGCACAGGAACTAAGGGTGACAACACCTGTGCCAATGGCGTCTGCACCCAGTGTGCTGCCGGGTACTTCCTGTACATGGGCGGCTGCTACAGTACTCAGAAGGCTCCTGGCAGCCACATGTGCAAGACTGCCGAGGGAGGGAGGTGCACCGCCCCCAGCGAGAACAGCCGGTACTTCCTGGTCCCGGGGGCATCCAATACTGATCAGTCTGTCCTGGCCTGCGAGAACCCCCTTGGCACAGTGATAGGGGCTGGCAGCACCGCTAAGGCATATGTGGGGGTATATGGCTGCACAGCATGCACGGCCCCAGCAGCGCTAGAGGCTCCTGGCATGGCCCCTGCCACGTGCACAGCGTGTAGCGGCAATAATAAACCCAACCTGGCTGGGAGCGGGTGCTTCACATGTACCATTGACGGATGCTCGCACTGTGGAGCAGGCGGCAAGTGCGAGGCCTGTACCAGTAAAGACCAGAGACCGAACACAGACGGAACGAAGTGCATCCCCTGCAGTATCGACGGGTGCGTCAGGTGCAGCGAGGAGAACAAGTGCGGTCAGTGCGGGGACGACTACAGTCTGGAGGGTGACAAGTGTGTGTCCTCTGGCGCCAACAAGAGTAGCGGGCTCTCCACGGGGGCCATAGCAGGTATCTCCGTCGCCGTGGTGGTCGTCGTGGCTGGCCTTGTGGGCTTCCTCTGCTGGTGGTTCATATGCAGAGGGAAGGCATGACTTAGGTAGTAAACGCGCCGATGAATCCTGCTCGCGACTTTCTGGGCACCAATTGCGAGGGAGCCCCCTGGTGCGTGATGGGTTCTAGGAATATGGTGAGCACGGGTGATCCTGTAGGGCATGCAGCATCAGAAGAGAGCACCAACGTGGCCAGCGCTGGAAGGGCCACTAGACCCTGCATGGCCCGCGTGGATGAGTGGCGGAGGAGCAGAGGACGCGGGCGAGTGCTGCTAGATGGCCTGTGCACACGTGGAATTGCCATGACTACACAGTCGAGAGAGCTGGCGCAGAGTACTAGTAATGCGTGATAGTCGCGAACGGGCCAGGACAGACAGGGACGCCATGCCAGCGCATGCAAGGGCGCTCCACAGTGTATGGGACGACGTGTCTGCTGTCGTGAACACAGATTCGAGAAGTGAGGCTGGCAGATGCCTGTGCTCTCTTGTAGCCTCTGAGGGTGCGGCCCAATCACTCGTTCAATCCAATCGCTTGGTCTTATTTTTGAAAATAAACTGTCATGGCCGACAATGGCAATAACGCATTCAGTCTTTCTGCAGTGACTCCCACCATCCCACCGTTCACCTTTAAGGAGCTCCACGAGCGGCTGAATGGCGTGCTAGGAAGAGATGCCACAGGTGTAGTCTACTCCCTCGAAGGTTATCCGAGTCTCGCCGTGAAGGAGATCTTGCTTGAAGGCTTGGATAGGAGCAGCGTGGATACTATCAAGCTTGAGCTGGCCGCTCTTTTTACCCTCTTTCACCCGGGAGTCATCAAGTACCATCAAGTTGTCGAAGACGAAAGCTTCTTCTACGTCGTCACGGACCGGCACGACAAGACCCTTGAGCGCCTCCTCACTGAGCACAAGCGAAGGAAGATCCCCGTGTCTGCCGGCGTGATTCTCTCTGTCATGAAACAGCTCACCGCCGCCCTCGCCTACCTCCACAGCGTCAATGGAGCAAACACTAGAGGCCTCGTCCACCGCGACCTCAGGCCTGCCAATATATTTATCAACGCAGACGGAGAGCGCTTCGTCATCGCCGACTTCGGCCTCTGCAGGGACGCCCTGTGGAGTGGGAGCACTCTCATAGGAATAATGGCATACGTTGCCCCCGAGGTGCTCCTCCACAACGAGGCCAGCCCTGCCTCCGACGTATGGAGCCTCGGGGTCATCATTTATGAATTAGTAACTCTGAGGAGACCGGACTTCTTGGGGGGCAAGGAGCCGGCAGAGGTCTTCATCGATGGGTGGAGGCCGGACCTGAGCGGTGTCACTGATGGCTTCATAAAGAGTGTTCTGGAGCGGATATTCGTATTGGAGCCAGAGAGGAGGCCGACGGCCAGGGAGCTGCACGAGACGCTCGCTACATTCGACATCCCAGTTGGTGAGTTGGGAGGTCAGTGCGTGATGCTGAAGTATAAGTGCGGATCCTTGGAGGCTGCGCTGAATGGCGCTAACGCCAGGATCGCGCTGCTGGAAGAGGATGTTAAGATTAAATCTACTAAGATCGACGCACTTGAAGACCAAAGTAAGGAACATCTAGCTATGATTAAGGCACTGGAGAATAGGCTTGCACAGTTCAGTGACAGGATGAACACGACTGACCCTCAGTCCAGCCTCTTTTTGCTGCCAAGGCTGATGCGTGCCGCGCATACGAATAGCACGGAGACCGTCTGGATGCTGCTTGAAGAAAGACTCGGCGTTGGTCAGCGTGACGCACAGGGGATGACGGCCCTCATGCACGCGGCCCAGCAGGGGCACGTTGATCCCGTCGAGTTGCTTGTTGGGGAGGAAAACGGCCTCCAGGACAAGAACGGCTGGACTGCGCTCATGCACGCCTCATACAACAACCATCCTGAGGTAACCAGGATTCTCATTCTTCACGAGTGTAGAGAGACAAACAAGAATAATCAAACTGCTTTGATGATCGCCGCAGAGAAAGGCCATGCAGAAGTTGCATCCCTTCTGGCCTCACATGAAAAGGGTCTGGCTGACAATGAAGGCAAAACTGCCTTAATGGTTGCCGCACAAAAGGGGAATCTTGAAATGGTAAAAATCCTTCTTGGTCACGAAAAGGGAATAAAGGATAAGCAGAATCACAACGCCTTATACTACGCTCTTAAGAATGGACATCCAGAACTCGTTGAGATCCTCGTAGAGCACGACGATCCTACAGATAAAGATGATATCACGGCACTCATGAGGGCAGCAGCCAGAGGAGATACTGAGATGGTAAAACTGCTTATACCAATCCAGAAAGGAATAAAGGATAGCAGTGGGAACACAGCGTTCGTGCATGCTCTCAATAATGACCGTACAGACACTGCTATGATTCTTCGTGAATACGAGGCTTCATCCTGGACCCAACTCATGTGTGCTTCCTTCATTGGAGACATTGAAACAGTCAGGAATCAGCTCTCTGACAAGGAAAAGAAGAATGATGATGGCGATACAGCTCTGACGCTTGCTGCACAAGCGGGCTACGAGGACGTCGTAGAGATTCTCAGCCCAACAGATGGCAGAGGTACTACGGCTCTTATGCGGGCGGCAGATACAAACGATGTAGAGGTGCTGAAAACACTTATATCTCTTCAAAAAGGACGAAAAGCAGAATATGTCAAAATAGATAAATGGGAAATATACGAAGGAACAGCACTTATGAGAGCGGCAATATATGGATACACAGAAGCGGTGAGACAGCTAGTAGCTCACGAAAGTGGAATGAAAGACAGTGACGGTCAGACTGCTCTCATCCTTGCTGCATATAACGGTCATCTAGAATGTATTAGATTACTCTTGAGTGAGGAGGGGGGCATGCAGGACAATAAGGGTAGAACTGCTCTCATGGGTGCAGTACGTAATAATCATCCAGAATGTGTCAAGCTACTTCTGGGCAGGGAGGCGGGGATGCATGATAAGTACGGCTGGACTGCTCTTATATGGGCAATAGATAATAACAACATAGAGTGTGTAAGACTTCTTGCAGAGAAGGAAGGAGATGTTAGAAGAACCCAGTACAATACAGAACCCCATTTAACTTGTGCATGTACAGAGACACCCCTCGACATGGCCAGGAAGAAAGGCTATGAGGAGATAGTGGCCATCCTTACAAAGTAGCCCTATAGTAAATGGCCAGCCTCTAGTAGTGCGCTTCCAACCACGTGGCAGTTACACTAGCAGGAATCTATAGAGGGCTTGTTCTGGATGTTACTAGCTTGATGAGTGTGTGATTATTGAGTTGGACGCCAGTGGACTACTAGTACAACTATAATAGAGACCCAGAGGGGGAGGACGACAGCCATTCCAGAGCAGGAGATTTCGAGCATCCTCCGATGTCCTATGTATCTGTGCTTCCTGGCCGGTATCGGATGGCCGGCTTACTGGGACGTTGGAGGGATCGGTGATCCTGACAGTATCAGCAGAACAGGCGAGCTGGCGGGGATGTTCTGTTCAGTACGTGTAGCCACGAGTGCTAATCCAGGGGTGCACAGCGGGATGTGCGGCCGTTCAGACGGAGCCGTAGCTCTGCTCCATTGGCGTAGCCTACAATGTGCACTAGCGTAGGTATATCCCGCCAGTGAGCTTGGAAGCCGCCCCTTCATTGGATAAGCAGCCCAGAGCCCCTCAGTCACAACGCCTTCTTGTTCCAATGATGTGGTGTGTTGTACGGCAGAAAGCCACCGGTGTGGACTCGGAAGTAGTCCCAGCCAAGATAGGCTCTATTCTGTGCACGGTGAAGTCCGGCTGCTTTACACCCCAGGTTGGGGGTAGCAAAAAATCCCCCACTGTTGTGGGCAAAGAGCCAGCCCCCGGCAACTGAGGACATTTCCCTGAACATGGATCCCTGTCTTTCTGCGCTGAAAAGGACGCCGCCGTCGTTAACTGCAGAGACGCTCACGACGCTGGTACGGGCCTCGGATGACCCCGACGTAATCTCCGCCCTGTCGTCCCCTGCTGTCATCGATGCCCTGTCTGCAAAGGCCAGGTCCACGCCAGAGCGGGAGGAGGAGCTCACGGAGGTTCTCCTCTCGCAGCAAGTCTTTTTGGCTGCAAGCAGAGCCCAGGAGTTTCTAGACGCCCTCGCCGCCTCTCCGTCTTTATCTCCTCTTTTAGAGTACCTTCTAATGGCCCTCCTGCGTCTAACACCGGAGAATAGGATTCACACGGTGTTTGCTGCCATTCTGATAAATTTTACTCGATGTCTGGAGATAACTAGGACCCTGCTGACGTCTCCTAGCTTGCCAAATGCTGCAGGGCTCATGTTTAACATATCGTTCACTAAAGCAACGGTTGGCACTGCTCCGCTCATTCAGCGATCGCTCTACCTGCTGATCAACATTGCCACAGCCACAGGGGACGCTCCATCTGTCGCGCACCTCTTTGTCGACTCTCTCGCGGCGAACCTTGTTGGAGCCCACATTGTTGATACAGCCGCTGATTATCCAGGGATATCCTTTCAGTACAGCCAGCTCCTCCACAACATGTTTTTGATGCTCCGACCCGCTGACCAGTCCGCTACTGGGTCCGATCAGGCCGAGAACCGGGCTCAGACCGCCGAGATGCTTGAGCCGTTGGTAGAACATATCTTGCTAGCTCTTGTTTGCGAGAGAAGCCTTGAGACCAAAGCGGAGCCACGTGGAGCCGGGCTGACTCCAGAAGAGCATGCTGCCCTGCCAGAGAGGATTCAGGCGCACATGGCTAGCCTTTCGTCGCTTAGGTTTCCCAGCGAAGAGACGTGTGCCAACCTTAGCGATTGCTTGCTCCTGTATTGCCACACCGATCACGGAAAGAAAAGCCTGCAGGACCTGGGAGCCTATCCCCTTCTGCGGGAGCTCCACTTGAGCACTGTGGAGTCGCTGGGAGACCGCTGCTATCTAGCCGACTCGCTGCTGACGGTCATCGAGGGCATCATTGCCGAGCCGGATTTGGACGGTGTAAATTAGACGCAAATATTAACAAATGGCCGGGGTATTTGCTCTCATCCTCTTCCAGGCCCTGCTGGCAGGGGCGTTTCCAGCACACAAGCCCCGTGAGCGGGTAGGCTACAACACGGTATACACTGGCTCGTGCACCTCCACGACAAACGGTGCCCGAACGGTTCTCCTGACGTTCTCGGTCAGGGTAAACAAGCACTCGATCAACATACTAAAGGCCGGGTTCGATGACACGAGCCACTTCGGAATCGAACTGGCCAATCCTCCTGGCGCATCCATTACCACAGAAACCGGAGACAGCAAGAGCTACGCTATCACTGCATTTTCCAGCACGGTCTTCGGCGGAAAGGCCTCAAGCTTTGTATACACGCAGTCGGGCCAGAAATTCACATGCACAAACGGAGAAGGTGCCAGCTGCCTAATGGACTTCAACTTCGTCAACAGCAAGTTTACCACCTCAGAAACAAAGCCGTGGGCCGATCTTGTCACAGAGAAGGTTAGGCGACACTGGCCCAAGCTCAATGGAGTGCCCACAGGCCCTCCCCCCGCCGAGCGCCTCATGGCAACGGTTAAATTATCGAACCTATCGACAAGTTCATCAACAACTACTGTTACCACCATGACTGTCTCTTCTCTTAAAGACGTACTCGAGAAGAACTATGGCAATATAGTGAGTGGAGTTACCTTGAAGTTAGACGGTACCACTACTGCAGGGTCGCCCACGTGCACGTTCACTGTCGCAATGGATTACGATATTGGCTGGACAGTTTGGCCCCTTGCCCTGACGGTTACCGTGGGTGTCCTGGTCACGGTTGCCATCAGCGTGCTCAAGTGCTGCCCTTGCGCCGCCGTCAAGAAGCTGTACGACCGCACCAAGGCCACCGCCCTTACTCAGCCAGACGCCCTCACTGCAGAGCCAACCAACGACCCGTCAGAGGTTGACGTGCCTGAGGAGACCCTCAAGGTAGATCAGGAGTAGCCTGGTCTTCAGTGGCACTGTGTCCCTATGTCTATTTCTATACTCTCGAATTCCCTTCAAGTGAACTAAGCGATCTGCTCATAGGGATTGAGGCTGCAAGGTCGACTGATGTCGGTACAGAGCGCTAAAGCTCTGATCGGTAGAGGCTGTGGGAGTACTGTCTTTCTAGCTGCTTGTCGCGCTTCAGCTCGCAGCAGTGGAGACTGATTGTGACGAGGAGGAGGATGAGGAAGGTTCCCAGGGCGAAGACAATGACAAACGATTCGGTTCCTCTGACATCAGGGAGAAACGAGTTGAGAACCCACCGAGACGCGGCGCTCGGAGGATACTGCGATATGGTTACATAAGAATTGGGGACAATTCCGCTCCAGTACATATAGTTGTCGTTGCCTGAATAAATGTTCCCGGCAAAGAGGACGTCGATGTACTGGGCAACGTCGCTAATGCCCCAGAACATATGCGGGAGCATAAGCGGGTTAGCCGCGATAGTGCAGAACTGCGATCCTGCCCCCGCAGCTGGAACAGCAGAAGTATCGCTAGTAACATACTTGAAGCTAACTCCAGGTACCGCAGTTGTGTAATAACATTTCTTCCATTTAGGATTTGCTGACTTGCAAGAGTCAAAGCAAAGATCATTCAAGCCCTTGACTTTGAGAAAGAAGCCAGTGATCTGCTGAGGCAGAGAAATCTGGAGGAAAACCGATGTACTAGGAATGTTGACAACCAGGTTAGCATGGCCATTTCCAACAAAATCAACAAAGTTACCGAGGTAGGCGCCCTTAGTGTTCTCTATGTTGAGAAGATTAGTATCGACATAGGAGGGGTAAACGCGGTAGTCTGCAATAGAACTTATCTGAAGGTAATCTGGACAATGCTCAGTCTCTCTGAGTGCGCTCTGATGTAGCTGCAGAAGCTCATCATAGCGCTTATTTTCCCATGCGTCCATCATTTTACTAGTACTTCCACTGCATGGCTCTAGATCTAAGATAAGGAGTGTGTTTTCGTTGTTTGCCTTCACTGGAACAATGAGCGATAGCTTGCGTTGGAGTCGGTAGTCTATAGCCACTACACGAGGAACATTGAACTGGCTGGCCATAGTGTTTGCAGTTAAGGAGATTATTTCTTCGGTGTCCGGCTCTTTAATATTAGCTATGGGATATATGATAATGTCCATCTCACGGCTATTAAAGGCATAGTTGGGGTCATCCAAACACATGTCTGTTTTCCCGCGACAAAGACCTTGTGTGCTCGAGGAAGACGCACAAACATACATTTGCTTATTGTGCAGGATGTGAATGCTATTCTCTAAAAGGCATTCAGATGTCTCACGTCCTCGACAGATGGTGAAGACAATATCTATCGCTGCATTATTGTTTATGTCGACAAAGGTGAGCATGCCAACGCCTACTCCGAGAAAGATAGAATGCTCAGGGCTTGGTGTATAGAGGGTAACGGGAGATGTGCTGGAGTAATTAAGAGTGAAGACCTGCACAACAGAGCAAACGTCAGTCTGTCCATAGGGGAGGTGTTGCTTGAGCACAGCCGAAGAAACCTTTGAAAGTCTACTTATCTGATCAATAAAGACGGCATCTTGACTTATGTCGTGGCACTTAACATCCATTTTCAGTGCAAGCTCAGGCTTGCAGTTTCCACTGAGGTCAACTTGCGATATGTCCAGTGGGATAGAAACCTCAGCACCCTGTATCGTTGACATGCTTTCATCATATAGTACTGCATCTCTAAAACAATCGGAAGCCACCTTAGCATCATTTAGACAGCGGTATAGTGAAATATTACCATCGTCTCCTATTGTATAGTCTGCCAGCTGATTGATGAGTACCTTCAGTGTTGTGTTATTCTCTGCATAGACCAAGTCTGGTGCATACACATTGTCGTTTATCATGAGAGGGACTGGCGGTTCTGCTGTATTGATCAATCTGATGGGCTTATAAAAGTCTATAGTATTTTCTGGGAAAAGAGTGGGAAGGGTGTTTAGTGAGTACTTGCTTTTCTCTTCGCCGACCTGAAGATACAGAAGGTTGACCACCTGTTTGTTGTTACGGTCAATTTTATAACTATCAGGAGCTAAGGATACCAGCAGATCCATGCGTCCATTCCTGCTAAAGTCTAACACCTTTATTTGGATAATGATAAGATTCTGTGTCACAGAATCATCATTATCGCGTGGACAAATAGACGGATAACCCTCAGAGCTGAGAGTAACGTCTGAATTGGCTGGTCGGCCGCTTGGTAAACGTACCGGGCCCTTATTAGTTTGAATAGTAATACACTTACGATCAGAAGTTAGAGAAACCAAATCTATCAGTCTCTTGTCGTTGAAACTTGCTAGAGCCATAACTGGTCCGTCCACTGTCATGTCTGAGCTACCGTATGTAATAGATGCCAAGATCATGGATATAAAGGCGTACAATAGCAAGTGCAGTCTCATAATGTACAAAAGGCGTTCGCCTCTTAAAAATTGTATCAAGAAAAATTATATCAAGTTGTGTCCGCTAAGGCTAGAGCTACATGTCCTTAGTACTATATTGCGGGATGTCTCGCAACTGTACTATCTCTAACATGACTAATAAGCTTTCTCAACTCAAAGATGCAATTACTAGACATGACCATAAGATGATAATTTCTCTGAGTAAGTCTCTTTCGCGGCAGCAAGCAGTCTATATGACGCTCAAGTACCAAGCTTATTTTGGCGAGCTCTTCTTTACAGCTCATGGCTTCTCCCACCGAAGCTTTGGTCACTTGTCCATCTATGGTTCGTCCTCCGTCAACGGTATTGCTGCGATATATGAGGGGCTGGAGCATGAAGAAGGAGGACCTGATGACGGAGAATCAATCATTCCTTCTTCTTGTTACTACGGAGAGCTTCTTCGAGGCTACTTTACAGACCCCTACAAGTATGATGCAGAGTGCCTGTACGGCTCTCTTTACCACAGTGATGGCATAATTGCAAAGGCAAGAGACAGCCAGTCCAGCCTGCCTAACTTTTTAGAGGTCATTGAGCTTCTTTGCACGCGGACAGATGCCGACATAATGGGGATGAGGAACGCCTACAATATGCTTACAGGCGGTTTAGATATGTTTGTTGATGTCCTCAGTTTTCTCAGCAGACAGTCGGCTCTCCACCAGCTCGTTAGTGTCGGCTTATATAGTTTATCTTATCGTGGCATGTATGCGCTGTGCACTGAAAAGCCGAATGATTCACATGGAAAATCTTCTTCACTGACGACTATTGCAAGCATAGATCATTTGGATACCACCAGTACTCAGTTCAGGGCCCAGGTCGACGCGTCTGTAGATGAGCTTCTAGAGGCCACCAAAGGCTTTGCACACAGGGAAGCGACCTTTTATGAAATGCTGTTTCTTTCGTCTCCAGCACACCTCCGAGCAGTTGCAGCCGAGTATAAGTCCAGAACTGGAACAGAGTTGGACACGGTCCTGGAAGAAGAATTCACAGGCGTTATATCCTATGCCTTACGCCTGAGATACTACTTTGTTACCAACCCCGCTCGGTGTTATGCATGGATCATTTACAGAACTATTAGGGAATACAGGGATAGGAGCCTGCTTCGGGCATTTTTGGCCTGCCTTGAAGACATCAGCAACGTTGCACAAGAATTCCAGCACTTTAGCAAGAAGCCCTTACGTACTGAGCTACGAAGTATCTCTACAGGTAACTTTAAGCGCCTTCTCTTGGCTCTTTTTGATGGAAATTATCAAAGATTGGCAACAATCTCCTGACGCTATAAAGGCCCCTCTTGCTATTGTTCAGGTTTATCGTGAATAGTCACGATCACCGAATGTATACTTCAGTATCTTCATTTACTGGATTCATTATTTTAGGTTACATTTGGTGTACCGCGAATTGTTTAATGAAGACTCAGCGATCAAGAAACAATCGTCTCGCCTTCTACCTGCCTTCTTGCATACTTTAGTGTATCATACGTTACTATGTGATTCTATAGAGGGATTTATATCTGTTTACACCTTCAATCTAATGGTCAGTTTTTCGATATTCTGTCCCATAATGCGAAGGGGGTCCTCGCGGAGTTGGAGCTGTTTAATTAATTCAGCCCATGGTCCGCGGCCTTCATAGGCCATTCCAAGCAAACGAAGACCTTCGTGCCCATATCGAATCTCAATAACTTCCTCTTCTTCAGAATTCTTATTACTCACACCAGTACGTGTAATAAAGATATCTTTAGAGCAGCCTGGGGCAATAATACAGCTGTCAGGTATGGTCTTGTATGCCTCTGACGCCGTGTGCGAAAGGTACCCAGACGCGTCTGGAACCTTCGGTTGAACGATGGCTGCAGTTTTGACAAAAGCAGGGGCCAGGCCATCGTTCTTCAATCGGAGAGATACTTGGTCACCAATTTTAATAAGAGCATCGGGGCGAGACAAGTCATCCCCCATGAGTGTCAGAAATGGACGCCCTGCTATGCCAAGAAGAGGTATTTGAAAGGCACGATTATCATGCTGGTCGCTGTGGACATCGGGTGCCACATTTATGATGACTTTCGCCGCATGAAGAATAGTATTAATATGGGAAGGAGAAAAGCGGATTGAGATCTCTCTAAAGTTCTTTGTTTGATCTGCAGATGCGGGTATACGGAACTCCGCCTGAGAAACTATTTCAAATGCTCCTGATCCTACAGCAAGTTCTGGGTAAATGCTTTGCTTCTCGGAAGCAAAAGATCGAGATGCGATAGCACACTCAACACGTATATCTGACGAGTAGATGTTACGAATTCTAATAGTACGCATTTGAGGGTGTACAGTGGTTGCAGGGCCAAAGAGGCAATCTGAGGGTAGGACTCTGATATACTTCTTTTTTGAGACAGTGAACGACTCTACATGCTGGCCTCTAAGCATTGGACTGACGGGTCGGACGTCCACCAAGTTGGCAGATGGTGGTATAGGCTGGTCCAAAATTGCTCTATCAGGAAAGTGGTTTTGGCAGGTATATACAGTATTAGAGACGTCAACTCCAGAAGGAGGCCTAAAGTTGCCCTCATTGACGTGGGGATGATGCAATGACATGTTGCCGTATGCACTAGCTGATGCACTTTCAAGGCGGTCGAGTAGTTGCGTATCGCTTGAATTCGTGAGGCAAACGTCAGGGCGAAGAGTACTATCATAGAACCCCGCAACTTCTTGCCTTGTAATATCCAGCGCACGCGTGTCATCTACATTGCCGTGCTCAGGAGGATGCAGAACATGGAGAGGAACAAAGTCAGGTCTGTAAGCCAAAGGTGGAGCAGGTTGGTCCCTTAAGGACACATGCATAGACTCTCCAGGCTTATACTCAGTTGTACTAAGACGCGAGACATTGATGTCGTTCGTTACTACTATATCTATTATTATTTGTGCAACAGGCGACATTCGAGAGATCTCCACAGTTGCGCGTCCCTCACCAAGGTCAAGAGATCTTACAAACAACTTTGCAACGTATGCGTTTCCTTGCAAATGCTCTAGAAGAGGGCGCAAAAAGCATTCTATATTTCCTGCTACATCAGTACGACAGACGCAAGAGGATGCGTTATCGGATATCAGTGTAACGCTCACATCCATCTCAGAGTGAGGAGGCATGCGCAGGGGAGTCCTAACTTGGTAAGTCGGCACCGTCGCGTTTGGAACACGCGATAACGTGGGGCCCATAATTGATCCTTCATCAGGCAGCACGGCAGCAAGCTGAGATACAACCTGCAGATCATTCATCTCTGCGGTGGATGTATCTATCCTGGTACGAGATATGTTGGGAGAGGAAATGGCAGACAGTTGCATTTTTTGGGGTTATGGGCTGTCAAACACAAGGCACGCTTGTGAAATATTTCGCTTCCTCCGAAGAAGGCTGCTTGGCGAGTTAAAAAGTGCATTGGTCCCTATGGCATATTTAGAATGCTTGAGCAGCTTGGCTGTCGGTGCTGCAAGTCTCAGAGAAACATATAGAGATTCTGGGCTTTGCTCACGGTATGAGAATTGCATAACTCGAGGGAAAAGCTCTTGTAAGCAGCGTTCCATAGCTTGATGATCGCTTGCACGTGTCCAGAAAGGATTGTCGGAAACCAACAGTTTCACAAGAGGCAGGTGAGTGAGGCTATAGAGTGCACTGAAGTCTGAGATAGAGTTGTGGCAAAGGTCAATCACCTCAAGGGTAAAGCATTCTAAAAAAGGGCTCAAGTCTTCGATACAATTGGACCGAGCCCTAAACTTCTTTAAATTTGATAGCATGAAAATGCCAGTAAGGTCGCTGAGCTCGCACTCATCGAGGATAAGCTCGCGCAAATTAGGGAATGCGCTAGATATGTCTAAAATGGTGACTTCGGAATGGCTTACATTGAGGACTTTCAAGTTTGGCAACAACATAGAAAGCTGATCTAGCGACTGAGTTGACACGTCTATAATAAGAGATAGAGACTCGACCATGGAGAGATCCTCAATCCCTGTTAGTTCTCTCAGGTATTGTGCAGTGTTGTCCATCTTTTTTAAAGATAACTACATAGGATTGGTACTAAGATTTACTAGGGTATTTTGGTGAGAGAGGAACCTGGAGGACACTCGCCAAAGCTGCACCAGATAATGGCTGCGGTTGTTGGCTTTGTGAAGGGGCTCCCTCACCACTCTCAATGCTCGGCCGACTAATCAAACTCTTCAGTGATTGAATCAGGTTGTTCCCAAACTGAGCCAGTATACTCTCAAATTGACTGGCAGGTATGTGGCCATCAGCGTCAATGTACTGGGATAATACGCTGTTCGTCGGGCTGTGGGGTGTGACCTTGGAGGCTTCTGCAGATGACGTCAGCATAGAGGACGAAGAATGGAGTGTTGCAAGTGTTGATACTTTATATTGCACGTGGCTCAAGTGCTTTGCCTCCTCTTGAAGCTGAGGCGCTGCAGAGGTTAGAATACTGGCATATTCGTCTTCACTACAATGCTCCCGTAAGTTCTCTAGTTCAGCCAAGGCGGCAGCTATATTCATGCGTGCAGCAGATATGCTTTGCAAAAGCGTAGATGATTTCTTGATAGACATACTCAAATCTATAGCCTCTATGACTCTCTTCGCGTCTCCGGCGGCTTTAGAATCACCAGGTGGCTTTATTGTATTGTTGAATTCATCATGCCCGCTGGGTGAGAAGATCGTACCAATAGGCTTTGCTTCCTTGGATGGCTCTGGTTCCGGCTCTGGCTTCGATGCTGGAGACGTAGGGAGACTTCCTGCCTCCACCTCCTTTTTTTCCTGTGGGATGTGCTGCACTGATGAGGCTGTTTCGAACTTTGACTCTGGAAGAGCAGCAGATGTTATCTGACCCACATTTTCGTTGAAAATTATGACAGGCTTTAGATTGCCTACCTTTATACGTGCTGAAACATCTGGAGAAATAGCGGCTTTTACCTTAGGGGTGATTGGTGGTAATTGGGAAGGGGGCGAATGCTGACGTGCAGAGCCTGGAGGTGAGGCCAGAGACGGCATAATCGGAGTATTTTGTGCGCTTCCTTTGTCAGGCGCCAACGGTGATGAATCATTGCTCAACAGGATATCCTTCATTGTCAAAATAATGGACTCGGAGAGGGTTTGGCGTGCTTCTTTAGAGTCGAGCCTCTTCAGTACGGATTCCTCGTCAAGGATGTCTACATTTTCAAATATACTATCTAGGGTTGTTTCTGTTAGCTTCGGTGCTTGGTTTGCGTTCACAGTCTGCATATTGTACTCATACGCCTCTAACACAGCGTTTGAAAGGTCGGAATCCTCACTTAGGGAAGCATATTTGGAATCATTATGCATTGTATCTTGCTGCTCTTGAGAATCACCAGTGTGTCCATTCCCTTTTGTAGAAAGGTTGTGTGCAGAAAGAGCGCATTCCAGAGATTCGGCTCCCCAATTAGAGTGTCTATCAGATGGCTGAATGTGATCGCTTATACCGTGCTTTCCAGGGTTTATACCTGTGTATGTTGCTTCTAGCTTTATCGTGAGCTCTGTAGAGATTGGCCTCGGAAGTAGAATCCCGGAGTCAGCCTCATCAAAGTATGTCCCCTCTCCAAATACAAAGTCAGTGGATGAGGGAACATCATCTGTGGAACTTCTGGCTGAGGTCTGCAATTGCAATGATGAGTGGAACGCGGCTACAGACAGCGGTGAAAACTTAACGATTGCCTTATCGTTAGCTACATAAACGATAAGATTTCCATAATTGTTAATATATAGCTGATGGTTGTGCAAAGAAGAGTCAAGTTGAAGTGAATTAACTAATGCAATTCTTTTATTGAGAATAACAGAACGTATGCTAATAAGGCTTTTGTATTTAAAGAATACAGCATAAATCATGTCTGAAAGATCCCCTTGATTACTGACCATATTAGCAAATCCAGTGGAGGTATTTTTGCCGTTTCTTGGCAAAGTCTCGCTGTTACGGCCGAGATAGCCGACTGCCAATGCGTTTGGACCCTCCGGTATCTCCGATAATGACAGCGTTTCAACAATATTTTGCTTCAGCAATATTCTAGTGCTCTCTCTGTCTATATTAATTATGAAGACGTCAGACCGAAGATAGGAATCGGTAGGAGAGTTTTTGAGGGAGGAATCAATCATAGAGGTGATACCCACTAGCAGATACTTTCCATTTGGACTTATGTGTACCCCAAACACATCTATGACATCTTGTGGGGGCTGGAAAATTGTACGCGTATGCGTCTTGATGTCTGTGCCAAACGCCACTTGGTAGATAGACCCCATTTTAGTCAAGCAATAGCAGAAGTTCGGCACCTGAGGCGTGATGATTGAAGTAAAAGCGTCCGCTGCTTTCAGGTGCGGCAACTTAGCACAAAGAGGCACAATATTGTGAAAGGCTGATTGCTTCACATCCAGATTCCGGAAATAGAAGATGTTTCCGTCAACAACAAAGTATATCTGCAGCTTGTCGTCTGGAGTAAAGCTTGCTGTCAGTAAATCCACCTTGGTAAACTTCTTAAAGGAGTAAGAGAGAATGAACTTTCTCGCGTTGATACTATATATAACCATGCAAACAGTGGAAAGAGGATCCGCCTTGGCCAATAGCTTTATCCGCGTAGCTTCAGCTGTTGTGCAAAAGCCTATCACAAGCTCACCTAAAGAGAAGAAGTTGATGTAGTGAGGGAAGACATCGAAGAAGTGCACCTGCCCATACTCTGCTCCACGAATCGACAGGTAACAGGGGTTACCTGGAGTCTGTGCATATGAGTACGTGATAGATTCTCCCAGGAATATGCTATCTGAAAAAGGAGTATGTCCATAGAACACGCTCGCTAGCACAAGAGTATTTGAATCACGGGCGTGGGTGTTTGCCGAGGCACATCCATCTCCACTGCTGGGTGCTCCTGCTCGCGATCGCAACATGCTCCGCGGATTCTTGAGCGCCTCATCTGAGGGGGATTCTTGCTTGTAAATGGCGATCGTGCTATCTTCTAAAACAGAACATATTCCAGACTTGGACACATGCATAGCTACAATTGAAGAAGAGGAGTAGTAGTGTAGGTGCTTGAAAGAGCTAATGGTTACCTTGTGGTAGAGCTTAAGAGTATCACAGGTAAGTAAGCGAACGACCCCATTAGTGCCGTAGCAGTGGAAAAGCTCGCTGCTCTGCGTTACCCCGAGCACTGTAAAAACATGAATAGGTCGATTCAATGTCCGTAGAGCCTTTCCGTCGCTAAGCTTAACCTGCAGCACGCGGCTATCATCGGAAAAGACATAAATGTATCGGCCATACTTGACGATGGAGACGATGTTAATTGGGGTACTATCTCCTTGTTTTGACATTTGGCTCAGATCGATATACCGTACGCTCCCGCCATCAAACGGACTCACCATTGCAACATATCCCACTCCGCCCAAAAATAGCTGCGAAATATTGGTAGATCTTGGGCACTCAACGATGGTAGTGCAGGGGGCTTTCAGAGCTACTGCACAGATCTCTGGAGAGTTATTATAAGTGTAGTAGAACTTCCCACTCTGCGTTACAATGGCGATTACGGTGCTGTATTGCGACTCATCTGCATTGCTAGGTCGCATGCTAGTGTCGGGAGAATCTGGAGTGGCTAATCCAACAATTCTAAGAAGAACGATTGGCTCCTTGATTCGAAGGGTCAACTCTGCCGGTAATGGGCTTAGAAAGGCTATACCAGCTGTCCCAGGGTCTGTGGTGTATCGCCGCATTAATTGTGTAACGCTCCCTGCAAACAGATAGCTAGAGGAGTGCCCCTCCTTGAGAGGGCTGTGTAGTGGATTAATGCCGTCCTTTTGTTCACTGTTTCTAGTAAGTCCAGAGGATGCGGCAGCAAATAAAGTTTCACCCTGTATAGCAATTGCTGTGATTCTACAAGACTCCTTTGTTTCCAATAGCACACAGAAGCCTGCAGTAGTGACTGAAGGGTTCTCGTCAACCGTGGAGTAATGGTAGACCGAAACGTAGCAATTAGTCACCATAAAGATAAAGACACTCTGGTCGACCTCATGAAAGACCACTTGCGCGTTTGACTGAACTGTGCCCCCTACAATTGCAGTAGGGTAAAGAAATTGCATGTCCTCGGGTGTTTTTTTGCTAGATAATTTCTAAAGCACCTGCGAATTAGAACATGATTTTCGTGCTCTTAGACTCCATCCTAACGCGAACAGTAGACAGTAATTCCTTGAAAGGCCCTGAAGCTATACTCAAATTGCAACAACTAGGCTTCAATCTTGGTTTTCGCTCCGGCAGTGCATATACCAAGACTCTGCCTCCACAACAGCTCAGCGACTCCAAGATGCAAGTTTCTTTTATTGCGTTTATTTGGGAAGCGCTGTTTGGGCCAGAAACCAGAACGTTCCTTGGAAATCCTACCATTAAAGATATTGAGACACTCTTTGAGGGAGCAGAATTGCCTCTTGCGAGCTATAAGCTTGTTATGCAAAAAGACAATTTACTCACCTTCTATTGTGCATTTATTGAGGGGTGCATTTCAGGTGCAATAGATTCTCTTGGCCTACTGGGCAATGTGACCATTACCCAGGTGGATGGCCCGAAGGTCATGCTCTCTGTTTCTGTAGCTGTAGAGTAACCGCGCTATGCACCGAAGGCCCCGGAGTCAATTTAGCCGACAGCGACGGGCAATGAAGGCAACTGAGGCTAACTAACCCGTTTACTCTCTTCCCGCAAGAGGAGGCGCCAGAACTTAATACAGGAGGATACAAAACGACACGCTCTGCAAACATATGAGCCCTTATCTCTTCTTCCCCTTCTTCTTGTTCTTCTTGTCGAAGATGTAGTCACTAAGCCAATCAAGCCCTTGGTAGAGTCCGTCGCCGGATCGAGCACAGGTCGGCTGGATGTACCAGTCGCGCTTCTTGAGTTCTTGGAGGCCCAGCTTCTCTGTCAGATCTGTCGTAGACATTGCTTTGGGAAGGTCTTGCTTGTTCGCGAATACAAGGAGTGCCGCGTCGCGAAGCTCGTCCTCACCGAGTAGAGTGTGGAGCTCGTTCCTCGCGTCCTCAATTCTCTTGGGCTCAAGGTCTGCCGAATCTATGACGTAAATGAGTGCATCGGTGTTCTGATAGTAGTGGCGCCAAAGGGGTCGGATCGAATCCTGGCCTCCAACGTCCCAGACTGTGAAGTTAATGTTTTTATACTCCACAGTCTCAACATTGAACCCGATTGTGGGAACGGTGGTCACGACCTCGCCGAGCATGAGTTTGTAAAGAATGGTCGTTTTCCCGGCAGCGTCCAGCCCGACCATAAGGATCCTAACCTCCTTTTTGCTAAAGAGTTTACCGAAGATCTTTGATGCGCCTTGGCCCATTCTTTTTAATGGCCAGCCTTCTATTTTTTGAAATCATAATAGTTTGTACAGGATGCCAAAGGATCTGCAGGACTTCTAAACACTTCTACTAGAATGCCTTAGACAATCTTGTTTGGCGACTCCCAGCCACTCAGAGACTAAATTGGGTGGTGTATCATTACGTGTTACTGCGCACAACTTATCGCCAAGACCTATATGGGGACATGTACCGGATTTCGTTGAAAGTGTTTGACATTAGGATAGAAAACACTCTGTTCTTGGCTGTGTTAACATAAAAGCATTGCCTAGAGAAATAATTTGACTGGTGGTGAAGGTGCAAAGGATAATGAGCTCTCTGACTGCTGTTACCATTTTTATACTTCAGCTTATTACTGCTTCGACAGCAAGTGGTTCAGTGGACGCCCCTTGGCATGTGAACAGAGGTGTCGGATTACGACCCCACGTTCTTTGCCTCTATGTCGGGGGAACCATTGGAATGACTAAGGATGAGACTGGGGAGTATGTTCCAACTCCAGGATACCTGGAAGAAGTTGTTGCCTCTCTTCCATGCTTCTCGGCCGATGACGTGCCTCTCTTTACCATACGTGAATATGATGTACTGCTGGACTCATCCAATATGAGGCCAGAAGACTGGCTATTGATAGCACGTGACATTGCAGATGCATATGACAACTACACTGGATTTGTAGTCATCCATGGAACTGATACCCTTTCATACACAGCATCTGCGCTGTCCTTTCTTCTTCCAAACCTGTCAAAGCCTGTCATACTAACGGGATCCCAGATACCTCTTGCTGAAACATATAATGACGGTGTCTTCAACTTGTTGGGCTCAATTCTGTTAGCTGGATGGTATGACATTCCCGAGGTTGGGTTGTTCTTTGCTGGAAAGCTCTACAGAGGCAATAGGGCACAGAAGTACTCCTCTTGGCAGTTGAATGCTTTTGACTCGGGAGCCTACCCGCCACTAGCTATCATGGGAGTCAGTGTTTTTGTCAACACGGAGAAGATTCGCAGGGCAGACAGTGATCAAAAGCCAACTGTGCAGGACGCAGTTTCCTCAGCTGTTGGAATTGTACACATTTATCCGGGAGTTTCTGGCAACGACTTGCTTGCAACAGCCGTCGGAAAGAAAGGGCTGGTACTTCTAGCGTTTGGATCTGGGAACGGTCCATCCTCTGATCCAGAGTTTATCGCCGCTCTAGAAACTCTTCATGCAAGAGGTTTGGTAATCGTGGATGCTACGCAGACATTTTGGGGCATGGTGGATCTCGGTCTCTATGAGACTGGCGGGGCCATGCGCCGTGCCGGTGTAATTTCAGCATACACTATGACTCCAGAGGCTGCTTACACCAAATTGTCTATTTTACTTGGTCAGGACCTTGATCAGAGCGGTGTGGAGACGCTCTTTCAGAGCAATCTAGCAGGTGAGCTGGACATTCCTACAATCCAATCTCGTGTTATGTAAATGCATCAAGAATTGTTTATAAGCCTCAGTAAAAGCTCCTCAAGCTCCTGCCATGAGTTGACGAGGTAGGTAGGATTCTCAGCAGCCAAGATGTCCGTGCCGTGGAAGCCCCATGTACATGCAATCGTCCTGACGCCTGCAGCAACTCCGGCTTGAATATCGACCGTCATGTCTCCAATCATCAACGTGTCTTCTGGCGTGGCACAACAGCGTTGCATGATGTCGAGCAGACCATCGGGATGCGGTTTGGACCGACGGGATTTCTCGGCTCCAAGGATAACATCGAACGAGAAGGCTGAGAATGCCTTATCGGCAACGATGAGAGTTGCGTCATGTTCCTTGTTCGATAAAATTGCCAGCTTAAGGGCCTGGCAACTTGAATCCCTGGTTCTTTGAGCAATCTTGGTCAAGCGCATCATCACATCAAAGGCGCCATTGAAGAGCTCTTGAGGTTCAGATTGTATGGCCTTGATCTCTTCACGATACTCTCTGGCCAGCTGGAGTTGTGTGCTTTCATCTACGTCTGGAAGGAGTGCCTTAATAGTATGCTCGCATCCCCACCCTATGACAGACGTGATGTGCTCCTGAGAAAATGAAGGGTAACCGTGCCTACCCAAGATACCGTTAATGCAGGAGACAAAGACGTGAACGTTGTCGATGAGAGTGCCGTCAACATCAAAGACAAGCAGCATTTGAATTTTCAGTCTCAATCATTTGGCCACCTTAGTAAATCCCAAGGTATATTTACTACAGTAGATTGCACTAGATAGGCTAGCAAGTGCGCGTATTTTCCTCAAAGAATTGAACAAAGCTAATTTTCATGTCCTTTGAGACCTGCATAACCGCAGAAGCTGTAATGTCCTTGACGTTCTTATGATAGTGTGTTGCCCCAAACACCGTGAAGACGCGCCCAGAGACAGAGGTGCTCATCCCGTCATGGAAGCACTCGTGGCCCCGGACTAATATGTCAAAACCGTACTTGTCCAAAATGCTGCAAGACAGCTCATCAGGTGTCTTTTCGCCGGACCCCCTCTTAGGATTTTCATATGCAGTGATAGTAGAGCCTCCTATTTTTGCCACATTCTTGACTGGAAACGAGTCCTGCTTGTCTGTATACTCAAAAGGATCACTCCAAAGAAGGTTTGTGACGATGTCACGCATCTCATCGGTGAGGCTGTTCAGGCTGAAGGGGAGCTTCTGCTCCTTGAGCTTCTCGAGAGAGAAGTTTGATGCCAAACACCCATGCACACACAGGATGCGCCGGCCGATGATTGCAACAAGGGGTAACGAGTCCATGGCCCGCATCAGCAGATTGAACACAAGATCTGGCTCTTCGCTATAGCGTTCGTCGCACTCCTCTTTGAGACTGGCGCCACGGCCATTTGGCTGTAGATCTGTTGTTTCGTGGTTTCCGCGGATTATAAAGAAGTTATTTGGCCGCTTTATTTTGCACACAAGCATGAGAAGGAGGCATTCTACACTCTGGTATCCTCTGTCCACGACGTCTCCCAAAAACAGATAATTCTTTGTCAGTGGAGAGCCCAGAACATTAAAGTAATTGAGAATATCGTGGAGCTGTCCGTGTGTATCTCCTACGATGTATATGTTGGATTTTATGTACAAGACATTTGGCTGCGCATTAAGGACGGCGCACCCCCTCTCCACAATAGTACGGATGTCACTAACATCTAGATCAACAGCCATCCCTGGCTCGCGTACTTGGGTCAGGCTCTCATATGCTTTGTCTATAACGTCCATTGTCAATTTCTTTTTAGAGTAGGAATGGAGGACCTTCACACTCTCTATACCCACGCCAAGGTCTTTGCAGAGAAGACTCACAGCATGGATGTGGAGCGGCTGCGGACAAAAACTAATTTGACGGAGGACCCAGAGGTGTTTTTTGAGGAATATGTCTACACTGTCCTTGCAAGTGGATTTCGTGCCAGAGTTGCCTCAGAATACACGAAGAAGATATTATCATGCTTGAACTTTTCAACAGGAGTTGTCATAACTCCTCTCGAGGAGGTGTTCAGGAACCAGAGAAAATGTGCCGCCATTAGGGAAACCTTCATGCAGTTCTCGGGCCCAGCCGGAGCAGAGAAGTACCGACTTGTTTCTCGCACTTGGAAAGAGCCCCGAGATCTGACAAAGCTTCCTATGATCGGGCCTACGACTTGCTGGCAACTGGCGAGAAACATAGGTCTTTGTTCCGCCGCAAAGCCCGATGTTCACATGAAGAGGTTATTTCAGCGTCTCTTTCACAATAGCGACAGCGGGTTCATTCTGAAAACTTTTCAGCAATTAGCCAGCACATTACACGAACCTGCTGGCATAGTAGACTTTGTCGTGTGGATCTACCTTTCACACAACGGTGAGGAAAAGGACTGCTGCTACGGCGAATATCTCCTTAGGTAACGCTTGAACTACCATGTACTTCCATTCCGACACGCTGATTCAGGCCCAAAAAGTTCGGAGTTAAAAATAAAAGCTGGGCATCTGGTCTTGGCTGTCTATCCTGTTGACACAGTCTATCAAATTGTCGATTTTGGCACGGTATTCCCATGGATTATTCTGAATTGGCTATACTTGTTATTCTTTTCTTTACTGCAGCAGCTCTAACATATACGGGAATAGTATTTAAGTTGTTCCCAAATTCTTCAACTATCAATCTTTTAGATTACATCATTGTGGGTACCGCCCTAGTTTTTGGAATGACCGCTTTCCTTGGCTTTCCGCCGGACATAGCTGAGTCCAGTTCTATGGTATCTTCTGAGTCATCAGCCTTCTCCACTGGCCCCATGGTAGGCCTCTGGAAGTTTCTGTACTTTGGCTGGCTGGCCTTCAACTGGGCTGTGATCTTTCTCTATAAGCAGCTCCTCAAGTCTGGCCACTGGAACTTCTGGGGCCGGCTGGGTCATGGGATGCTTCGCACCCTGACCATCTACCTGCTTATAGGCATCCCTGCAATTATTGTGGTTGTCGTGCTGATAGCTACCAGAAAATTCACCATGAATGTCCTCTACACGCTATTGATATCTCTTATTAACACGTTTGGAACATTCCAGATAGTCATCTTGCTGGCCTATGGCATCGTCGACGTGCCCAGGAGACTTATTATGGCTGCCTTTCCTACTCTTAGGCTGTATCAGGTTTACTATGATGCGTTCAAGACCGCACGCAATATCCGCAAGATATACAAAAGCATTCTCTTTCAGAGGAGCAACCAAAATGTGGGCCTGTCCATTATTCCTCGCTCGAATCACATGTATGTTTATAGTCAGCGCCTTGTTGCGATGCAGTTGGTCCCAAACGAGAAGCTGGATGCGTTGGTGGAAAAAGCAACTGTTACTGGAAGGGGTTCTGCTAAAGTGCCATCTTCGGCAAAGGTTTTGTATTCGTCCAATTGTGAGTCCAATAAGTTGTATCAGAGTGCCCCTGTTCTTCCAGATCAGGTCTCTTCCAGTTCCGGTGTTCAGAACAACACCCGCCAAATGAAAAACGTTCCCCTCCCACCAAGGAGTCATCATTCCAACATCAAGTCAGATTCTACTTGCAATTTGTTCCATGAGGTTAAAGAAAAAACCATAGTTGAATGCAGGACATCAACACAGTTCTCACGCTTATCAGGGGCTAGTGCCAATTCTCAGCAACGAGGGTCCAGCGCTCTCACAGAAGATTCTATTGAGATGTCTTCATCTAAGTTTCTTGGTGGAAAGACAGAGGCCGAGAACACATCTTCCGCGACTGACGCGCACCTCGTAGAAAGCCCAACAGAGAGGCCTGTCTCGGACTACTGTACACCAGAAGTAAAGTTGGCTGGGCGGTTGGTGAAGTTTCCGAGCGGCCCCACGACGGTGGACATGCCCTTCTGCAGCTGTAACTGTCATGGAGGACCACGGAGGACCATCACTACCTCTGTTGTCCAGGGCTTAAAGCTTGTTGAAAAGTCCAACTTCAAGTTGAAGTTCTTGTACTGGAATGCTATGCGTGAGCATGGTGCAATGGAGTATCTGGTTGTGCAGAGAAACTATTATGAAATGCTCGTTAATTGCCGTAAAAAAGGCAGTACTCTACATGATCTGATGGGTCAGCCAAACCTTAACCCGTATTGGGCTAAGGTGCTGGGGAGTAGGTGCTTAGGAAAGATGAGTTTCTTGTACATTAAGTATTTTCGCTCGCTTTTGTTGATGCTGGTAGCCATGATCTTTGTATTCTTTTCGGTCGTTCTAGTCCTGTCTGAGCTGATGTCTCCCATAGAGGCATTTGCAGCCCATTCCCCCTTGCTGGTTCTCTACAATTATGTCACTGATACGAGCTCTGCTAGTGCCAGATTAGTTCTTGTCTATGCTATCTTTGGACTTTTGGTTGCATATCTTCAATGCGCCCTGCTCAACCTTCGGTTTTTCAATATCTATCGTCTTGTGAAGCACTCCACAGACATTATGTCTCTTCTGTTCATCATCGCTCGGGTGCCAACGTATATATTTCCTTTGGGGTGGAATCTGATGCTCTTGCTCAACATTCAGTTTGACACTGCGTACGGAACAGTTATGGCTCAAATGAGTGCGATACCCATCATGGGCATGGACTTCTCAAACTATTTTCCAATTGTGATAATTGTTCTGACAATCCTTTTTGCCAGTAATCTCGATAGAATTATTTGGGCAGCAATGGGTCAGGACATCACACCTAATATGATATGTCTTTTACGCAAGAGCTACAAGGTCGAGGAAGGCAAGGAGCATTTAAACCAATGGGTCACAGGAACGTTTGAGTATCTTGAAACAGAGGAGAACACGCCACAGAAGCCGCCAAACTGCTGTACAAGGTGCATAAGATCCATCTTTGCACCAGCAAACAGCGGAGATTAGTCGCGGTTGCTGCACATTACATCACTCAATACAGACTATGCAAGTTCTTTACTTAAGTAACCATAATGACTTAGTCAAAGAAAGGCTTGGGATCAAATCTGTTCAGGTCGTTGTCCACTTGTCGCAATGCCTCCACGATACGCTTTGTTCGCTCATCTGCCTCTACAATTTCAAAGCAATGTGCGTTAAGAACCACCACTTTTCCTACATCAAGATCAGTAAAGTCTATGTAGATCTTCTTTTTGCTTTGGAGCCCGGTGCCTGCGAGGTCTTGGGCCTCGGTGGCGGCTTCGTTCACGATCCGGGAGCGCTCCAGGAACTTGTACCCAAAACCAGGAGTTGTGGTCTCAGTCGGCTCAAAAACAGAAACAGTGCCGTCGCTAAAGAAATAAGAAATAACAAACTGCCTGTCAGCCTGAGTGATGTGGACGGGTTTGTTACAATCACAGGGGGCAAACTTGGCAAGGAACCTCAGGCAAAGATTGCCAAACTTGATCCACCGAAGAACGTCCGTGCGTGGGGCATCCGGATGGATGGAGATGCAGCTGCCGACGGTATCCACATCAGCCCCGATATGGTGGATATCAGCTGGGAAGAGCGCAGACATGTCTGCTCGTGTTTTACCCATGAGATTAGCAGGCTGTGTAAGTGACATCTGCTGCGCGGGAGTGCCTATGAGCTCTTGCTTATTAATGGGCTGAACGGCCTGAGGCGGATAACCCAGTTCCCTGACCATGTATTCGCGGGTGTAATTGTCGCAGTCATAAATATATACAGGACGTCCGTAGATTGAGACCACTGACCCAATCCGGAAGTCCCTGGCCCCGAAGAACTCGTTGGTGACGAGGGAATGCTCGGCGAACTGCGTCATCGTGTGCTGCTTCGGAACCTTTTGCCTGCGAAGAAAGGCTGGGAATGGATCACGGCCAGAATTCTGTGGCAAGACTTCCAAAACCTCTACGGTATCATCTGCCAGGAAGAAATGAATTATGAGTTGGCGAAGCTCACCGTAGACCAAGTGCCTATTGTCCCAAATAGCATAGAAGCGAAGCACCTCACGATCATGACGCAGAAACTTGGCCAGCTTCTCTTCGGGGACGTGCTGTGTGACATGCGTCTTGCGCATGACCGCTATCTCAGTGGCTTGACGCTCTGCAAGATAAGGATCCTGAGGAATGCTTTCTGGGGGGAGGTTCGGTGGAATCACTTCTCCCGGAGCGGCTTGGCACTCCAGGAACTGACGCGTGGAGTCGTTGCATCCATAGATGTAAAACACCTTTGAATAGATGCAGACTGCGTCACCCACACGAAGATCCTCGAGGCTAAGAAATCCGGCAGATGCGTCGCGGTGATCACGGGGAATGCGGTGGCGTTTAACAAGGTCTCCCTGTGGAATACCAGAGTTCTTGACTGGGCGTTCCTGAATCTGGATTGTCCGGTCCGCAAGGTAGTAGTCAATAAAGACGTGTCTGATACGACGCTTTTCGGACTGGGACTCAAAGACATCTTCCATAAACCAGGCGAAAAAGCGCATTACCACTCTGTCGAGGACAGCGTGCTCAGGCTTGAACTTTGGTATGCTTCTAGCAAACTGGCGCTCCTCTTCATGGGTGCGCGGAAGAAGAGTCGCATCCGGTCGTACTCCCGATGCCATCAGTGCATTTAATGAGTTAGTCCTGCATCCAATTGCCCCTCGAGTTGTGCGAAGAAACTCACCCCGAACAGTCATCGACTTTGTGTGACCCTCTCCCCACTGAAGATAGTCCGCGGGTTGACGCATCGTCCAAGTTGTGCGGAGAGCCCGTCGCTCATCGTAATCAATAGGAGCAAGAGTAGCTGTGTATGCCGACGTTAGACCTGTTGGTGCGGCAAGAGCCTTCTCGTCGTCGTGAGTCTTGATCCTATGGTCCATGTCAAGAGAATGAGACACGGGGAAATTTGTGCGGTGAGGATCTGGAAATGCAGTGCCCGGCATGAATGGTATGTCCTTGGGGTCTACATTGGTCTGCGACATGAGACGGTACGTGGTGTTCCTACTCATCAAAATTTAGTTTAAAGTTTTGCTCAGAGATTTTGCGCTCTCGTTTTTTTTGTGCCATGGAAAACTGAAATGCCCAGGCAGGGAGCAGGCGTCGCACCGGTCTCCATGGGGCGACTTTCAGAGATTAGGGAAATGAACGAATCGTGGAAACTTGCAAGGAGCATGCGGCGCAAGGTCATGCAAAACCTTGCAGAGCACAAAGATACAGCAGATGATAAGCTGGCTTTGAATATTAGCCACGAGCTTCGAGCCCGAAGTGGAGTGCAAAAGAGCCGGCTCAGCAATGCTAACAAGGTGCACTCATTTGATAAACCTATTCAGCTCCCGAAGGACTTCTACACTGACGAGCAACGCGAAGCGTTTGCGGCCTGGAAGCAACAGGATCATCGTCGAAGCAAGCACGTACGACCCCAAGCATCAAGCAACTACTTTATGAGATTTATGCGTAGCATACGTGTCCCTTTCATTGCAAAGAAATCAATGCCACTAGTTGATCCGTACAACGGTGACGAGTCTGTCACTGACGAGTGCCACCACAACGTACAAACTCAGAACTTGCGCGAGGCCCACCACGTTCGTTTACACACAGCTATGCAGGCAGTGAAAAGGCAAGCATTTGACGATTTTGTGAAGAAGAAGATGGAACAAGAAAAGCGCGAAGAGGAGGAAAGAAAACGGGTGATACATGAAAATGAGCTCAGGGATCTGAAGGAAGAGTATGAAAAGAACCGCTTTCGGGCTCGTGAATGGCATAAGGTTGAGCACCCTTTTGTGCCGGCAAAGTCTGCTAAAAAGCTCACAGTCCCTGCAACACCCAAGTTTAGCACCTTCTCGTGGATGAAGAAGTCATTCGGACTGGAGAAGAAGTCCTGATTGTAAATTCAATAGTATGCAGCTGTTGGCTGTCATTACGAAACGTGACTCTTCTCCGTATATTTTACCGCAATATCATACTTGATTGTTTGCAAGATGATCATCTGGCATCGCTTCCATGACATGCAACAGCACGACATATTAGTCGATAGATTGACAGTATGCATACCCGTAAGGGCCCATATGGAAGCATCGTATACTTCATTCTTTAGCTACAGAGTAGTGATGGCCATCTGGCAGCTCTTATGCTTTGTCTTTGTGTAACTGAAACATAGAAGCACAACCAATGTACTTCTTCATACAAATGAGTACAAAAGTGGCGTCATTATTAGCGTCCGAAAGCCAGATACATACTCTGCGAGAAGTTACATGGATTCTATTGTGCTCCACCTTGCATTCCATCTGTGCAACCGAGCTTCTACCTGAGGCCATCTCTACCGAAGGCCCATTGCCTCTGCATAGCTTCTGGGCACCACCAGACCGCGACACCCTGCTCTGCCCACGCCCGGTTCATAGGTGAACACGGTAGCATGCAGTCAATGGTCTTGCTGTGCCGTGCACGTCAGCGGGTACGAAAGGCTGGTAGTGATCGGCTGTCTCACCTACAGGTAAGGGAGAGGAGGACCATGCCATCACGCAATAGCAGCACCCTTAATCAGCACAGCCTGCAGAGGGTCACGTGTCAGGCCCCTCTATAGAGACTGTTGAGTGGGTGCAGGGAAGGCCTCAGACGACGATTCGCTGGATGTGCTGTGCCTCTGGAAAGAGATGAAGATTCTCCCGACACTGGATCTGCGCTGAAGAGTCTCGAACGGTCATTGCAGGGGCCAGCACTCTGATGACTGGACATCTTCTGGGCTCGATGCTTCAAGCATTGAGGGCCTTGTGGACAATGAGGCACCGGTGGGCAGAAAGACACAACCCCATGGCCACGATCCCTTTCAGAAAAGAAGACCTGGATAGCCTGTGCTGGCAAATGATGCCTTCTGGCGAGCTGGTGCTCCCAGACATCCAGCGGACCTTGGAGTGCTATCCTCATAGCACCCTACTTATCAGAGGTGTTAGTGCTGGCCCTTGGCGCGTGACTTGTCCAGGTCATAGAATGGACAACTACCTGAAGCCATGCAGCTCCCTAAGAGCCTGCCCACAGGTGCCCACTCACGACCCGAAATGGTGTTCATGAAGCTGAAGAGCCCTTGGTGAGATACATTATGTGCCAGACGCGTTCGTCCAGTGCATCTCCACTGAGGAGCCCTCTGCACCGTAGACCTTGCGGGAGCACCAGGACATCAATATGCCAATACTGTAGCGTAAGTAGTCTCTTTAACAATGAATACAGGCAGAATAGAATGACGTCTTTTGTTGTGGAGCTTAGACAGTCTATGTCTAGGCTGTCGTGTAACCGAGTGATTCGTGTAAGTAGAGTGAGTTTTTCTACAAATAACGCGCCCATGCTCTTCTTCCAGGGATCGTGAGGGAGGTTGATTCAATAATCTTGTTTCTGAAACTGGTTTCCCAATAACCTGCTTACTTCATTGCATGTAAATTCTATAGGTATTTGATAAATAATAATGCTCAGCATGTCACGATCTTTATCAGTTCTGCTATTGGTCTGTCTTCTGGCAGAGTTCTTCTCTGAAGAGGCACCTATATATCGCAATGGGTTTGGATACTTCTGCGAAGGTAAAATACCAAATTGCCTTCCAAATAGTTGCATATTGGGTGTAATCTCGCAATTTCTTTGTACAGAATGCGAGTCTGGATACGTACCGATTGATGGCAAGTGTGTTCTGGCTGGAGATTCCAAGGCTACTCGGTCTGGCTGTGCTAAATCTCAAACAGGCGGATGGTGCACTAAGTGCGGCGATGACCATTTTGTCTTTTACGGTGGGTGCTATAATTTATCTCAAGACTGGACAAAGTTCATTTGTGAACGAGCAGAAAAGGGGATATGTGTAGAATGTGCAAAAGCAAACGGAATGCGCCCATCTGCAGTCCTCACCAACCCCAACACTAGCGCTCCCGAGCGATGCATCTCATGCGGAGACACTGTGGGTTTTGGTGGATATAGTGGGATATATGGGTGTCTAGTTTGTAACTCTTCAAGGATAAAGCAAGAAGTGGTCCCAAATTGCTACCAATGTTCAGACCACAAAAATACATGCTCGTATGATTATCGATGTAAGCACATCACTGAAGGTGCAAGCAATGGTCTTTGTGGATACTGTCCCGAAACACACATTTGGAGCTTTTATGCTTGTTATGCCAGAGATACTCCAATAAGCAACAGCATCTGTCTACCGGAGAATATCATGGAGATGTCTGGGCAAGCTCTATGCTCTCGCTGCACCAACCCGTTAGAAATACCTCTGAATGGCCTCTGTCTATCAATAACTGAGTTTGAAGACATTTGCGTAAAGGATCCTGAATCGGGAAGGTGTACGTCTTGTAAGAATGAGGGCAAAAGGCAATACTTCTTGTTTTATGGTGGATGCTACTTATTTAAAGATGTTTCGGGTCGAATAGAATCTCAGATTTGTCAAGCAATGCAGGGCAACGTTTGCACCACATGTAACAGTTCAACCAAAGAGGTGTTCACCAAGAACAACGGATGCTGGCGCTGCGGGGACTCAGCCAACGGGGGAATAGAGGGATGCCAAAGGTGTGAGATGAAGGACAGTGGTCTTCAGTGTCTGGAGTGCCGCGACCTCTACCTGAGCCTGGATAAGAGGAGCTGCCTGGCCAGCTGTCCCAAGGGGCAGAAGGGCATACAGGGGTCCTCATCCTCGATCCACATCTGCACATGCGATGACGGGTCCTATCTGAAGGACGGGAAGTGCGTCGGGTGCGCGGTGGAGAACTGCGCTGAGTGCGACGAGTCGAGCTGTAAGAGGTGCAAGTATGGCTACACACTCTCCGGCAGTCAGTGCGTGGCGACCAAGTGCAAGGACCCCAACTGCGACACGTGCGAGGACAGAGACGTGTGCACAAAGTGTACCGATGACAACAGCCTCGACCTCCACGGTCTGTGCGTGAAGGACTGCTTGGGCTCCGCCGGGTACTACAAGGCCACCGTGGGCGGCGTCTCGAGGTGCGTGGCGTGCACGCTCGGCAACTGCGCAGTCTGCGAGTCGGAATCCAAGTGCAAGACGTGCAGGGACGGGTTCTACGTCGAGGGCTCGGGAGGATGCAAGCCGTGTAGCTCTGAGTGCGCCACGTGCAGCGGACCGGCATCCGATGACTGCACCTCCTGCCCTGTCAGGAAGCGGTTGGAGTACAGCGACGGTGCCAAGGGATCGTGCGTCCCGCAGTGCGTGCAGGACAGCAGCTGCGCAGAGTGCGGGCTCACGGTGGGCGGGACCAGCTACTGCTCGCGCTGTGTCAAGAGCACGGAGTACCCCAACAACGGGGCGTGCACCTCCTCCAGCTCGCGGGCGGCTGGCATCGCGTGCGCGAATGTCGCCGCCGGTAGATGTGCTCTCTGCAGCTCGAACTCCTTCAGCCTCAACGGGGGGTGCTACACCTCCACGCTCCTCCCCGGGAAGACTGTCTGCACGAAGGCGAGCGACGGCTGGTGTGATAGCACCGTGGCCGGGTACGGGATAACGTACAACGGAACGCTCCTTACATGCCCGACGAACTGTGCAACGTGTAGCGGTGGGGTCTGCAGCGCCTGCAACAGCGGGTTCTACCTGGAGAAGGGGGCGTGCAAGGCGTGCTCCAAGGGCTGCGCCACCTGTCCTCATGGGGAGGCATGCTTCGACTGCCTGGCCGGGTACTACTTCTCCGAGAGCACGTGCAAGGCGTGTCACAAGGTGATCTCCAAGTGCAGCCTCTGCGTGGTTCCAGAGGGTGCAGCCACACCCATATGTCTGGAGTACGACAACACCTCCAAAAAGTCCGCCCTCTCGTCGGGGGCCATCTCTGGCATCGCCATCGGCGTGGTCCTTGTCGTCGGCGGTGTGGCGGCTGTGCTGGTTTGGTTTTTCGTTTTCCGAAAGAAGAACTGAGTGGCGCTACTTTATGACCTTAGAAAGCTTACCTCTAAAGTGTGAATCTGAGACAAAGTGAAAACTTGCAAAGTAGCGACAGGGGATGTACCCATTGGTACCCATCAAAGAGGAACATGGGACAATTGATGATACTCCCTATCCAGAACAAGTGCTGCTCAACATGCTGATAAGATTCTATTATAAACGGCATACATTATAAACCTGTCTGACAATGATACAGAACGCGAATAAAGCTGCTAGGATTGTTAGTTAATAAGGGAGGGCAGTATATGAATCGAAAAACAAATAAGACTTGCACACAGTTCCGAGTGACGTGTGCGTGTGGCGAATAATTGGGGCGTCAAAAAATGGCAGTTACTCGTGTCTTGCTAACGATACCATCTAGCACTAGAGTTGGCTCTTTTGCGTGCATTGTCGTTATTGCCTGTACCACCCTGGTCTTCTTCTTGGGTTTTGGGAATTATACATATGACATCCAGGGCGTCATCACCAAGAGCTTTACATTTCAATCAGAGATCCTCGATATCATCGCTATCTTCGCCATCCCTATTGGATTTCTATATCTCTACATTGTGGAGATGACTCGGCTTCGTTTGAATCTGGCCTTCAAATCCGGATGGATTATTTCGCATCTTGTCTTTTTCGGACTCTCCTTCCTTATTTCTGTCTACTACATCATATGCCGGCCAAAGGAGACTCTCAGCTTTGTTATTTCTCTCGTCCCAGAGGATGTCGACATTTCCTCATTTACCAACTTCATCGACAAACTGGTCAAGATGGGCCTCGATGGGGAAGGACCCGCAAAGAAGCCTCTTTTCGCTGTGTTTGACAACAACGGAAGCGTCGTTACCAACAGTACAAACACTTTTATTGGTGTCGTCATGTGTGTCCTTGCCTCTTGGTCCTTTGTTCTTCAGACTGTTGTGGCTGCTCTTTTTACAGCGATGGCATGTAGCAAGTACGGAGAACGCAACATCATAGTCGGAATTAAAACGACGGGCGACACGTACCGCGTGCATGTAGAGCGGCATAGCACACGCGATCTGGGGAAGAAGTCTAAGCTCTCCGCTGGCACAGCCGCGTGACCCTGTGAATTTATTGACTGGCATTTCCTTGCAGCCTACTTCTGGGAGGGGCTGGTTGTGGGATTAAAAAAGAGCGTTCCTTCGGCGTGCAGCATGGCTCATGCTCGTGAAGATCCCTTTTACAACATCCCAGACATAGTTACAAAGGAGCTACAGCAGATACGTTCGAGCATTTCTCTACTGGAGGTGAAGTGCACGGAGGTAGAGAAAAAGTGCGCGAACCTGCAATCAGAGAACGCTCTTCTGCGAGAACAGCTCCTGAAAACCACTCAGCTGCTTGCTAACTATCCTACTAGCAGAGACTACGACACACTGAAAGCATCAATCACACAGGTATTAAACAATCTCTGGCAGCCGACGGCTCCGTTTATAAATCAGCTAAAGCAACAGTTACTCTCCGAATTGCAAGAATCCCTCCAAGACTTTTCTCCAAAGGATAGAGTCTCCAAAGGCGGTTTAAGTGTTGCACTGGCAGAGCAAATTGCGCTGGAGCTGTCCCCTATCTATGCCAAGATCAGCTCCATCGAAGAGGCACTACAAAGCAAGGCGAACAAGCGCACTGTCATAGCAACAATAAAGCAGCGCTTTGAAGAGATTGCCGGCATGGTTACCTCTCTCCAGGAATCCCTTGCTGATGTTATGAGTGAGAAGGCAGATGCAGAGAGCGTGTCAGACGCATTGCTTGCAAAGGTAGATATCACCAGGTTGCCTGCAATTCTCGATCCCTACCTAAAAGCAGAGACCTTCAATCAATTTAAGCAAGAAGTATCTGCAGACGATGGTATACTGAGTCGCATGTCTAAGATAGAATTGAAAATTATCGCTCAGCAGCAAGCACTCGAAGAAACTATTCGCACGAGCGTTTCTGTAGTAATGGATAAGCTTCAGGAGCAAATCAGCGAGCTAGAAGTACTGGTGAGGGCCAATACGGCCACCATATCTAAAGCCTGTGCATCGGCAGACGCTGCCATGGCAGATGTCAAATTGCTGCGTTCAGATGGTCCTGAGGAAACCACTAAGACCTACAGTCAAATACTCCGCGAAATACAATCTTTTGGTTCTCGCCTATCTAACATAGAGGCAGACATTATCCGAAAGGTAGACCATCTTGATTTCCAAGCCATGCAAAGGCGAACTCAAGCACAACTCAATGCCGAGCGGTCCCTTTCACAAGATCACAATCGTCCAACTGTTGGACAAGTACGTCAAATGATTGCAGAGTCCATTGATGCTGTTATTTCTCACAGGTCCAATGATAACCTATAGTAGAGGAGAGAGATGAGGGCAGTAGGGTGTGACTGTTGACAAAGACAAAAAATCCGTTTGAGGAAAATGGCCGAGGAGATGCACCCAGAGCTTCGAGAGCTACTTGCGGGCGTCCGAAAAAAGAGGGCATTCAGCCCTAGCGTATGGGTTGCCAAGAAGGTAGATGCATTGAATGAGTATGCAAGGAAAACAGGAATTGCAGGATGTATCGTGAATCTCTCTGGAGGCATTGATTCTGCCGTCACTTTTGCTTTGCTTGCTCGTTCGAAGGCCGCAGAAAAGTCCCCTATCACTAGAGTCCTTGGGCTGGCTCAGCCTATTTTGTCAACAGCATCGATCCAGAATCGTGCCTATGAGCTGTCCAGCTATGGAGAGATAGTAACGGTTGATCAGACAGACATCTTTATGTCACTGACATCGCTAGTAGAAGACGCTTGCGGTATTAGGGGCAAGGAGTTTGCAAGAGGTAACCTTAAGTCGTATATGCGGACGCCTGCCGCCTTCTACGTAGCGCAACTTCTTTCTCAGGAGGGCACGCCATCTGTAGTCGTGGGGACAGGAAACTATGATGAGGACGGCTTTCTCTACTACTTTTCTAAGGCAGGAGATGGCGTTTCAGACATCCAACTGATTCACGATTTGCATAAGAGTGAGGTGTTTGCAGTTGGCAGGTACCTAGGTCTCCCTGAATCTATTTTGGATGCACCGCCCAGTGCTGACCTTTGGGAAGGTCAAACAGATGAGGAGGAAATAGGTGCAAGTTATGACTTTGTGGAGCTTTATGTATCCCTAGAGAAGGACGCAGAATTAAAGAAGACACTGGAGACCGTGTCACGTGACGCACAATTACAGTATGAAAAAGTTGGAAGGCTGTTAGAAAGTATACATGTTAAAAATGGACATAAGAAAGTGTTCCCATTGAACATCTGAAACTGGTAGTAACTGTGTGACTAGTCAGTTTTTATTCATCGTCGATTTAAGTATCTTCCAAACCAAAACTAATATAAATCTCATATTCTTCGCAAGGTTGTGAACCATGTTCTTAAGTAAAATGTTAGGGTTCGGGCATACGCCCTTATGGCCAATGATCATTGTCCTGAAAAACACAATTGGACAGTCTCGGAAAAAACACATCAGGGGGCTGTTCCGTTACGGTGCTTTGCCAGCACGAGAGATTGTGCCCATCCTTTCCCAATGCACAGAAGAGCTTATAGACTTCAACCTCGTTAGACTTTGCAGCACGCTCTCCTGCAAGATATATGGACCTGAGTTTAATCGCTTTTTTGACGAGAGCGCCCCATACATTGTTAGGTTAATGGGTATGTTGGCCACCTATATGCCTGCTCCCCATTTGAAGTACTCCCGGCAAATGACGAAGTGGGAGTGTGAGCGGGTGACAGAGCTGGTAGACATAGCAGACGCGGAGTACCTGGCGTCGAATATGAAGGGTACGCGGGCATACCAGCCTGGCTGGGCACTGCTTGTACAGAGGACCTTAGCGTGCTTTTTCTTGGTCATTCGAGGCACAGTTAATAAAGGGGATTTAGTTCTCAACCTGGATGCTATATCAACGGAATTGGAAAGCGGGGTTACTCTTCATGCAGGCATGCAAAAAGCAGCACTCTGGGTCGCCGAGAACGTTCACCCTATACTCCAGAACTACAAGAAGAATCATGCTGCCAAATCTTACAAGTTGATAATAACCGGACACAGCCTGGGGGCAGGGGTAGCCATGGCTCTGGGCCACCATCTTATCTCAATCCATCCAGAAGTTTACAACTCAAGCAATCTAAAGGCTCTTGGCTTCGGCTGCCCGGCTATGGCTGGTCTGAGTTTTGCCAATGATGCACGGTCATGGGCCACCAATTACGTCTATGATTTCGATACTATTTCTAGGCTTAGCTTGCACTCAATAAAAACCTTTCTCAAGCGTCTGGAGATACTTGCTGAAGACAAAGAGCGAGGAAAGAAGATAACAACCAGAGAGCTATCCCGAAGCGTGTACACTGATGCAGACTTGTATGTACCTGGAAAGATCATCCTTCTGCAGTCGGTACACATCAGAGATGGAAGATGTGTGTTGCCACAAATAAGTGGGGAGCTGAGTATAGTAGAGGAGAGCGAATATGCCCAGACAGTATGTACCACATATGAACAAGCAGGGGAAACAAATAAAAGAATCTTGGCTTCAGAAATATCGCCCCACGACCTAGGAGAGTTTTTACCAGACGAAGTTGGGCTTGTGGACCACGGATTTTATGGATATTTATTCAACCAGGCAATACCTATTGAGATGCACATACCGAATGGACTTAGTCCGTAATTCATAGCTAATGTGAAGATGACTCGACAGTACTGTCTGGCCTCTTGCAATAGATCGCTGTCTGTACCTTCAAGGAGTGGTCAGACTCGGTGGTAGAAGAAGAACGATTCGTATATGAATGTGGTTTTCCTACTAGTTTCAGTAGACACCGAGATTTATCACACGAGTCACTGTCATCCGATGCAATCTTATCTGTCAAAGTTGAGGACGTTGAAGACAGAGCAAGGCCAGGTCCACGAGACTCTCGAAATGGAGGGGCAATAGCTGTGGGGTTAATGGGGATATACGTATATGCCTTACTTGTCTGTGTTCCGTAGTTAGGGGTAGTCACAGTGATCCCGACTTTGTCCCGTGCATCAACCCATGGCACAAGTGTATTATTATTAGATGGCCTACCCAGCAGTAGCCGTTTCGTGAAAGCTGACCTTGGACGTGCCTCGTGTGATTGAGTGTACATTGCTGCTGCACTTTGTGGGCGACGTTTTGGCAACTCGATCTTGAGCTGCCCTATTAGCAAGCGTGCAGCTGTGCGTACAGCTTCAATTCTATCATATCTACATTCTTCTGCTACTTTTATAATTGAGCTAACTAGGGTAGAGGGGAGATTGTTTAGGAGGTCTTCAGATTCAAGAATCCGCAGTGAAGTCTCCCTAATTCTCCAATTTTTGTGCTTACAACCATCTGTGACAAATGTAGTCACTTTTCTAGCAATAGGAGGCACGCTGATTATATCTGGACTTATTTGGACGACTGCATGCAGCAAAAGACATGACTGTAATAGAGCTTGATCGTCCGGATCTTTCTTTATTTTCTGCGCTAGTTGACAAATATACTCAGAGATGTGTATGCCGTGTTCCATTGGATCAAAGAGTGCACGGGAGTGCATCTCCTCTACCACTCTAGAGAGTGCCATTATTCCTGCTGCTTTATTAATTGGTGGCACTTTCTCAATCAGATCTTTTAATAACGAAACCAACACAGCGATATCTGTAGGCTCCAGAACATGCTTTGTGTATGCACCACACACTGCCGCAAGACTTGCCATATAGTGACTGTCTACCTCAAAGACATCCCGCAATTGTAGCTCCTTATTTATGTACCGCAGAATCTTCGGCCACATGAGCCCACTAAGCTTCCCTAACCTAGACGCTATCGCACAAAGGCTCTGGCATGTTATTGTCCGCTCCATCCTAGTGCCCGTACGCGCTGATTTTGCAGTTAGAGCGGACACGAGACCATCTAGAGCATCACAGTCGTCTGTACAGTCAGAAATAATCTTCTCAATTTCTAAACAAACTTGCGCAGTTAAGTCTCTAGAGTATGCCTTCTGCAGAGCTACATTAGCCGCTTGAAATGCGTCGTTATAAGAGCTTGGACGACTGTATCCTTGTCGCACACTAACTGGACGGTTTATGCCTGAGACGCGGGTTCCTGAGGTAGCCTGGCGTGCAGAAGCCTGAGGTGCCTGCATGAGTCCGCGGGTCCTGGTTGGACGCATGGACAGTGCTTCTGTTCTATCAAGTATTAAAACAATTTCAAAGTGAATTTGTGGACGCTCTAAAAAGCCGGGCCGAGACCAGAGGGATGATGCAGAAGTATATCGTCTACGGCCGCAGGCTTCCTTCGGAGAAATTCCCAGAACCGGAGGTCTTCCGCATGACAATCTACGCCCCCAACGAGATCGTAGCAAAGAGCCGCTTCTGGTACCACTTGAAGTCTCTGAAGAAGATCAAGCGCACGCACGGAGAGATCCTTGACTGCCAGCACATTGAGGAGAATGGGGATTTTGTTAAGAACTTCGGTGTTCTCTTGCGCTATCGTTCCCGTGTAGGCCAGCATAACATGTATCGCGAGGTGCGTGAGACCACGAGCGCTAGAGCGATGGACAAGGTTTACTCTGAGATGGCTGGACAGTGCCGTGCGCGCTACCATGATATTCAGATTATCAATGTGAAGGAGGTTGCCGACGAAGATGTCCGCCGCGAGAAGGTGGCTATGTTTACCCAGAAGGGCGTTAGGTTCCCCCACCCTTGTCCCTACGTTCATGTGAAGCGCGCAGCAAGGACAGCACGCTTCCAGGACAGAGCTCCTCACGTTCCACAATGATTCCGTGCACTCTGCTAGCGTACTGCCAATCAAGGATGAAGTAAATCATTCATCAAGGACTTTGCTTATACCTGTGCCACTATGCTTGCTAGGGCGGTTTGGAAATTCATTCCGCGCTCTAGAAGGGCACAGAACCGGATTAGCATCTCAACGGGAGTGATAGAGGAGTATCCTCCGCTAGCCTCAAATAGGCATGGAACCAATTTGACAGTTGCTTCTTCAGAGTCTGGCTCTCCAAAACAGATTCCTAGCATATCCTTAGAAACATACAGAACAGCGCTCCTTTCACCTGGAGTAATTAGACTGAGACAAAGCCTTAGCTTTGATTCTCGATTCTCTCCGGTGTCATCTGCCCATGAGTCAGCAACCACAGCTAACGACTCTTCCGTTACAGAAACTATATTCATATGCCGTAAGACGAGAGCGGCATCCCCTTTCAATCTGTAGGCAAGCTCATCAGAGTCATCAGTAGACTTTGTAAACAAGCTCTCCAGGGGACAGGAAAGCCAGTATGGAACAGCTCGTTCAGCAAGAAAGTCTCTGCAATCGGAGAGAAAAGCTAAGGAGATAGGACGGCCACTGCTCTCTAGCAGGATGATAAAGGATGGCCGTGTTGGGATAGTATCTTGCGCAAACAAGTTATCAAGATGGTTTAAAATGATACTTCCGTGGGAAGAAACGTTTATAGCAGAGGGGTCTTGTGTATTCTCTGCACTAGTTTTTAAGGTAATCACATGGTCCGAGCTCGCACCGTTATAGCTCTTATCCTGTCCAGATGCAGTGACCAAAATCCAACGCCACGATAATTCAGGACAATGAGTCATAGTGTAAGTTTGGAAAGAGGCAGCACACTGTACCATGTCATTAGACTTAGCCAATGTCGGTAAGGTGCACATCTTATCCTGATCTATGCAGAGTACTCCCGGTGATATTAGGAGCATAAAGAGTCTCTACTTCTCTTTTTTGGCTCTAAATTCTTTTCATTTTCGTAACCATCGGCGTGTTCATGAAGTGTATCGGATTTTACACAGACGTAACTACAAAAAGTGGGAAGACTCATTTTTCTAAATTTTGCCAAGCAATCCTATCAAAGGTATTTTCATATCATTTATTCAAGGCTAGTACTAGTAAAGCATACTATGAACTAGGACATCTTCAGTCTTTAGTGTTTACTTCTTACATAGTATTAACAGAATGCCAATCTTTGCATCTTTATAAACAAATAGTTACACTACTCATTGAGTAATGGTTTTAGCCGTTTATGTCAGAGCCTTTTATGCACCACTTGATGGCCTCTATAGTATAGTTGGAGATAGAGATGGGGCCTTGGAGACCGACAATTACTCTTTAGTTGCGACATTCAGAACTCGTCGTGGTTAGGAAGTAGCTTCCATGGAGGTTCACTAAAGAATTGTTAAGGGATACGCTAGAGAACTAGATATAGATGTTTAAAGCGTCAAAGATCATAGCCAAGCATAGAATTTGATGTCCATTGCCACATAACCCTGAAGGAAGTAAATAACTATATAGCAGCGCTCTATAGGTGTCATACTCCGTACTTTCGGGTTCTCTATATAATGCAGAGTATCTTGATTATCAGATATCTTTACAACATATATGATAGACGGCGGGGCGAGTCACAAGGATTATTCTAGAGCAATTGTAATTATACTGTAGTGTCCTAAGACCACAGATGGTGATACTAGATTTATGAGGAGAGACAGACAGAGGGCGCATATGTATCTCAGTATGTCTCCCGCCCATGCTAGCTCTCGGGGAGAACAGACATCCCGGCCACAGACGTGTGCCAGCCAGCACAGAGTGATGGACACGGGGGCATCCCCGAATGGACTGTTGTATGAGAGGGCGGAGGCCCTAGAGATGGGTTGCTCTCAGCACCTGCAGCGGGCAGCAAGTTGTTAGGTCAGGAACAGGCACGGACGAGGCCTGCCGGATGGGTCCGAGCCAGTCACCCGATGCCCCCTATGGGCCTCGTCCAGCCGATACTCTTGATCCTTGCCGGATAGCTCAGACCGACTGGGGAGAGGAAGGACTACCGGTCACCGAGGTCGAGCGGGCCTGGTTCGTCCCCGTCTTCACACAAGAGCGGGGAGGTGGGTTTATTCGTACGACCCTTGGACCATGGCTGTAGAAGCCCCGTTCGCACCAGCACCTCCGCACGCCGCCGGGCACCTCTCCTACTACCTTGTCCCCGGTGCACTCCCCCAGGCACGACCGCCCGTCCAGGGTCACGAAGAGCTCCCCCGCGCACTCTGTGCAGAAGGAGGCATGCCCGCAGGTCTTGCACCCCGGAGTGGCGCAGGGCAGGCACGCGTCTCCGTCTGCATAGTACCCGTCTACACAGGCATTGGGGTCGACGCAGCTCCCGGTGGCGGCACCCGAGGCCCTCTTCAGGAGCGCTCCAGAGGGGCACCTGGTGCAGCGGCCGGGGCCAGGGGCAGTGCACGCCAGACATGTCGGATCGCACTCCAGCAGCTTTCCATCGGGCGATATCCCGTACCCCTCCTTGGTCTTCTCACACTTTCCGTTTGACTGCTTACCACAGATAGTGCTTCCCGGATAGTGCTCCGTTGTGTAGCAGCCCCCGTTCATCAGGAAGGCGCCTGAGGAACAGGTGGTGCAGACGCCATTTGCCTTGCTGGTGCAGTACGCGTCCCTTTGTGTGTTCAGAATACACACCCCGTTGAACGGATACGTGCTTGCGTCCTTGCAGCGCGTGCAGTACCTGCTGCCGTCGATGGTGATGCCGCACTCTGCACACTCACTACCAACAGAACACTGGCTAACGCAGTCTGCGCTCTCGCTGGAGGCAATCGAGAAGTTCAGGATCTTGCCGGGGCTGCACTGCTGGCAGCCGGTTAGTGTGCCATCCTTGCAGACAGCACATGAGTCCGTACATGATATGCACGTTCCGGAGCTGCTGTAGAACGTCGGCTTGCAGACGCATCGACACGACACTTCAGTTGATTCGCTCCCTTCTGTTACCTTCGTGCACGCCCCCCGAGTGTCTCCGCTGCAGCTCTCACTGCAGGACCTCCCATCCACCCCGAGGTATCCCGTCGAGCACCGCGTACACGTCACACCGTTATTGTACCCGCATGTAGCGCAGCCACGCACACCACTGCTGGTATCACCGCACAGGTATCGGTCGGCCCCCTCAGCTTTAGAGAAGGTGAAGTTAAAATTGCTACGCCATTGCTTACACACTCCGCCCGCTGCTTCCAGACAGAGCTTTGAACCAACGTGGGAGTTTCTGTCATAGCAGCCGCCATAGAACAAGAAAGACTTCCCGGTGCTGGAGCAACCTGTGCACAACCCTCTGCTTGCATCTTTCGTGCAGTCAGAAAACAGGCTTCTGGAGGCGCTTTCCCCGACGAAGGTGCACCCCCCATTCTTGGGTGCATGCGACGTGTTCACGCATTCTGTGCAGATCGTCACGTTGTCTAGCTCGCACTGGTTCGCCCCCGCGCATATGGCAAATCCAGTCGAACTGTGTCGGCTGTAGCATCCATACTTACAGAACAGATGCGTCTTGTGGCATGACGTGCAGTAGCCGCTGCTGCAGCTGTGAGATCCCTCGGTCGCACCGCTGCCCGGGTTGGCGAGCACACACCGCCCGCCCCTACCACGCTGCACTCGTGTCCACCTCGTAGAGCAGGAGCGCGTTCGCCTCCGAGCCCGAGCCCCTGCACTCGACGCAGTGGACCGAGCCGCGGTGCTGTCCAGGATGCACACAGAGGAAGCGCTCTCGGAGTACGCCGTGCGCGTTCCGTTCATCGGACTTGGCCAGGGGCGCACCTATTCTGGGCACAGCCATCCTTGTGCTTGCTGCACTCCACACCGAGGCTGTTGTGATGCGTGCCTGTGGAGGCCCGCAGGAGGGGCAGCGACCACCCGCTTTTTCACAGGACGTGACACACTGCGAGACGAGGGAGTTCTGTATGTGTACGTTCGCCACTTACCAGGGGCGTGAGTGTGCTCTCCGGGCTCCGACACCCCAGATGCACCCCTGCCTGCCGCCCGTGTGTCCGTTAGCGTAGGGCCGTCTGCAAGCGCGTCCACGGCCAAGTGTCTCGCCGTCTGGCAGCGGGGGCCGGGAACGATTCATATATCGATAACATCTGCTTGGGGATCGTCTGCGGCGATGAACGGATGGACGATGCCAGGCCACAGCTGGCTTAATGCCGTGAGATGGCTATCGTGTGCTCCGTGCCCGGAGAGTCGTGCCTCCCAGCAGGACCACAGCCTCGTAGAAGCACCCATCTCTGCTCTGACCCGGCGCGGGAGTCTTCTGGGTGGCTCCTACGCCGTGATGACGTTACTTCTATGTTATGACATTGTTTGCATGGAAGAAGAAGAGTAGGGTCTCCACGCTCTCCGTCAACCCCAAATAGAGAACCATGAATATCATCTAGATAAAATTTACTGCTAATTTATACAATAGAAGAGACGTGGAAAATACACCGTGGCTATCCGAGGCTATAGAAAAGAACCCTCGTTAGTACCATCATAGAAGTAATCAGATATTAACACCCCTCTGGGAGTGCTTCTTCTTTTTGTTGTTGCACAAGATATATGAAGTCAAAGCGACAATTGCAACGACAATTGGAATGAACACAAGTGCTATTATAATAGATCCACTCTTCGAAGATATAGAGTTGCGGACTGGGTCGACATCTAAAGAGTTCTCATTCCCTCGTTGAAGAATATTGTCCCAGACATTGTCTTTAAGCGAAGACGCTCTATTAGCATACAACTGATCTGCAGCCTTTTTATTCAGAGGAAAATATCTTGGTATTTCTGTGTACATTTGCTGTTCGGTGCACAGTGAGTTCTTCCCAATTGGAGCATAGAAGTGCCCTTTGCTGCCCCAGCGTTCACCCCAGGAGTTGCGAACAACCCAAACGTCAACCCCATTCTTTCTTCCATAGCCCACTATTATCACCTGGTGGTCTATAACGTTGTTGGTGCAAGGAACGTCAAGGATACCTGACTTGTAGGATTGCATGGCCTTCTGCGTCTCTTCTTTCCCATTGGCGACAGTACTCATAGTAATAACAATAGGGATTCCACGCGCAAGGAGAGACTTTGCAACCTTGACGGAGCTCTTGAAATCACTGTCGGCAGCACCACTGTCATAAACGCGGAAAATAGCTGCTGGACAACTAGCCACAGTTACCGTATTACCAGGGACAAATGCGTTCTTGACTTTCATTTGTGCATCTCTTTTTATATTGTCAGGATTAGTAGTCAGTTGGAAGGATTCAAAAGGGAAATTAGTTAGAGACTCAAGCGTATCCAGCTCCTGGTGGACAGCATAGTCGCGAGAAACTGTTACATAATTGCCACCTTGACAATAATTATTGGATTGATATGACTTGTTCATAATGTACTGCTCTGAAGCTTTGAAGTGAGGATCCTTGAAAGCGCCATCAACGGCAGAGTCAGACTGAAAGTAGTTCCTTGTTGAGCGAACTGATATTTCGTAAAGCGCAGCAGAAGCCATTGCCCAGCAACAGCCGCAAAAACCCTGATTTCTAGCTAGATCGATCAAACCAAGTTCTCGCAGATCCACTGAAAGAGGAGGCGAGGAGAATGTACGTAGCGGGTTATCACGAAGACGAAAGTTCTTTTTGCAGTAATCATCATCATTTTCAAGGCCCCCAGACGTAGAGCGACTAAGTTTGAGCAAGAGCCGCTTGACCGAGAAGGAGAACCGGCGCCAGGGGGTGCTTAGATCAATCATGTCAGCAGGATCAATCGGCACGTACCCATTCTGGCTGATATCGCGGTTAAGAGTGGGGTTGAGGCCGTATTTAACTGACCCCTCCGTGCGCTCGAGAATGTCGCGGAGGTGACTGAGGTTCTGCGCGTGGTCAGCCCCGAGAAGAGCCAGATTCTTGTGAAAGTGCTCCAGCGCCGTCTCATACTCCTCAGCGGACCTGTAGAAGTGAGCAAAGTGTGCGTTAAACTCGTCAAAGAGAGCCGTGTCCTTATGTGGACTATCGACACCTTCATTCTGGCCGACAAAGAGTTCAAGCAAAAAGATCACCAGAAAATAGGACAACCACATCACTACTTTTATAAAAGTCCTTCAGGTTTTACACTCGCTTAACTAATAAATATGAATATTTCATTTAATCAGATCACTGAAACCATACATTACGTAAGGCAGGATATGCTGGTTCATGATGGTCTATGATCAGGATTTATAATTTTAGTATTGGTATGTTTTTCTATTAAAAGTTAACCACGTGATGAATAGTTACATATAAGTGAATTACTTATTGGCTGTATAATTACTGCATCTTGTATTCTAGTTACTTATCGAAGAGTAAAGCTTGTTTTCAAGCACCATACCACTAAGAAGGTCAAGAAGATAGGATTTTCTTCGCTGCTCACGCACGTTGACCAGCATCGCCAGCTTCTTGTTCTGTGCATCCGTCAACGTGCTGCATGGAGACACCATAATTGATTTTAAATTTTATTATGCATGAGAAGAAGTCTGCCTTCAGCAAGACGTGCGAGTCTCTGGGGATCGACCCCAACGCCGAGTACTCTTCATCAACCATTGAATGCCTCAATATACTAGTTAAAAAGGTTCCCCAAGATCGTTTGGCACACCGTTCTTTTCTACTTTCCAAGGTAATGAGCGGCTTCTCTACCAAGCAGCTCAACGCTGCTATCGCATACCTGGCCAGCAATCAATCTCCAACCATCAATGAAGTAGAGTTCGACAAGGCCTGCGGGATTGGGGTCACCTACACAGAGAAGGAGATATCCAGCGCCTTGGACAAGGCATTGGCAAAGCCGGACAGCATAAAGAATCCTTACCAGCTTGTTTCATTAATGGGAAGAGACCTTCCATGGGCCGAGCACGACTTTCTTCTCAACCTCGCCACCGAGAAATTCGCTGAGCTTGAGGAAATGAGGATAACTGCACATAGTTGTGAGGAAGATGCTATCACTACGAAAACATCAGAAGCCGCCCAGTCTAAAGATTCCCCTCCGACTGGATCCATCCACGTCCCTCCCATTGCACAGGTCCTGTCAGCTATTCCAAAGCAGAATCGCTACGAGCAGCTTCTCAAGTATAAGTGGCAGCATAAAGACTTTCTCAAGAACCTTGGCGTCAGTGTTCTCACGCGCTTTCCCCCTGAGCCGAATGGATACTTGCATCTGGGCCACGCAAAGGCCATGTTCATTTCCTTCAACTATGCTCTTCTTAATAACGGAAAGACCTATCTTCGTATGGATGATACCAATCCAGAGGCGGAGTCCAAGGAGTATATTGACTCTATCTTAGCTAGTATCGAGTGGCTGGGTCACAAGCCCTTCAAATTCACACATACCTCCGACTATTTCCAGCGCCTTTATGATGTTGCTGTGGAGCTTGTACGCCAAGGCAAAGCCTACGTCTGCGATCAAACTGTGGAAGAGGTTGCTAAGTATCGAGAAGAGCGTCTAGACCCACCTGGGAGAAAACGATCAATCCAGGAGAATCTTCGAATCTTTGAAGGAATGAAGTGCGGGCTGTATAAGGAATCACAGTACACGCTACGCCTTAAGATAGATATGCAGTCAGATAATCCAAATATGCGCGATCCCATCGCCTATCGTATCAAATACTGCAGACATCCATTGACCGGTAGCGCCTGGTGTATCTATCCATCCTATGATTTCTCTCATTGTCTTATCGACGCATTTGAGCACATTACACATTCACTATGCACTCTGGAGTTCGGCATTCGTCGAGAATCGTACGACTGGGTCACGCACAATGTCCATGATTTCCGCACGTCTGATGGATTTGATGTAGGTTATAGGCCTATGCAATGGGAATTCTCACGGCTCAACATAACCTATAATGTCATGAGCAAGAGGCGCTTGCTCACCCTCGTTGACAAGAAGATTGTTATGGGGTGGGATGACCCCAGGTTACTCACTTTGGATGGCCTTAGGCGTCGTGGATATACACCGAGCTCCATCAATACCTTCTGTCAGGTGGTAGGCATTTCTCGTAACGCACAGACAATAGACTACCACCTTCTAGAACATGTTCTTCGTTTGGAGCTGGATCCCATTGCTGAGCGAACTATGGCAGTTACTTCGCCTATTCGCGTGGAGCTTCTTGACTTTGGATCTGACCCTCTGGATACCGTACCCATTTCCTACAGCTTGCACCCGAAGAATAGTGAAATGGGTACTGAGGAAATTAAATTGGAGCGCATCCTCTACATAGATGCAGAGGACTTTTGCGAGAACAATACTCCTGACTTCTTCCGACTAGCACCAGGGCAACCAGTAGGTCTTCGCTATGGACCACTGCTTCTTGTTGATCACTTTGAGAGACGAACTCTCAAAGGCGGGGATACTGAGTTGGTCCTGTATTGCACGCACTCTTGGTGTCCAGAAAAGAAGGAAGAAGCTTCCAAGAGGCTCAAGGCAGAGAAGAAACAGTTGACGCACATTCACTGGGTTTCGGAGACGGGAAGCAGAGTGGCAGAAGTACGCCTTTTTGACAAGTTATTTAAGTCCGCAAATCCATATGAGGTTGAAGGAGATTGGATAGACGACGTTAATCCGAATAGTATGGTCGTGTGTCCAAGGGCACGTGTGCCCAGATATGTCGCTGAGCAGGCCAAAAATAACACCTCTCCTAAGCGTTACCAATTTGAACGCAGCGGGTATTTTATTGTAGATACCAGCAGTACAGCAAAGCACTTGGTTTTCAACCGCATTGTGGAGCTTCGTGGAACCTTTGTCCCTCCAACAAACTAAGGTAAAAACTAGTAAATATGTCTCTAGCAGCGACCAAGGACATGTGTTTTGCAGCCTTCCAAAGCCTTGATGACAAGGTCCATGGCCGCGCCCCCAGAGCTGTGAATCATCTGATACCGGACGTTGAGTGTCCGCTCTTTGTAACATGGCACACGGCTTTGCGCACAGGAGACCCAGATCTCAGGGGGTGCATCGGCTGTCTTACCCCGTTGAAGATTCAGCAAGGAATTCCTAAGTATGCATGCGTGGCTGCTTTGGAGGATACACGATTTTCTCCTGTGACAGCAGGGGAATTTGACAAAGGTGATCTACTTGTGGATGTCTCCCTTTTAGTCCGCTTTACCCCTTGCGACCCTCTGGATTGGGTGGTGGGGAAGCACGGGATAACAATTATCTACGAGGGACGCTCCTCTGTCTTCCTTCCGTGCGTTGCTGAGGAGCAAGGATGGGATCAGTCTACAACCTTGCTGCATCTTCTCCATAAGGGAGGGTCTTATGTCAGAGACGTAACGGCTGATGTACTAAAGAGGATAACATGCACGCGCTTCGAATCCAGCGTTGAGCATATGACCTTTACTGAGTATAAACAAAGACTATCTTCCCAAGCATAGCTTTCCTTTAAACCAGTGAATGGTAGTTTTCAGTATGTCATAAAAACATAATGAACGTGGTCCGGCGCAACACATTACTTTCTCTCAATGCAGCAAGAATTCAAACAATCTGTGAAGCTTCGTCTCACGGCTACAGGGATCTTACACTTCAGTACTTTGAAGACGCACTGTCAACGCTTGTCGATCTAATAGAGTATGATAAGCATGGAGTTATGGTTGTGCCTATCGACAAATCCAATTCACAACAAGAAATCATATCAGTTTCCAACGCTACTTTGCCAGAGCACGCTCAGAGCCTTCTAGCTCCTCCCACATGCTTGCAATCTCCGCAGCGTAGCGCTTCGCAAAGAAGCGATGCTGCTTCTTCAGGGACGGAGTCATGAGATCTTGGTCCGTGCTCCAATCGATATCAAAGAGCCACCTGAAACACTTGGGGACACAATATCCTTTTAGCCCAACGCGCTTGACAAAGGATGCTGCCTCGGCCTCAAGAATCTTCTTGGTTGCAGCTGCGTACTCGGCCTTCTCCACATCATCAGTGCTACACTTCAGACGGTGAGCAAGCGCAGTCTTGTCCAAGACAGCAACGCAAATCGGGAACGACTTGTCACTCTGAGCATGCACGAAGACGCTTGCAAAGAGTGGGCTCTTCTCCATGGCGTCCTCAACTGCGCATATGTCAATGAATTCGCCCATGAGAGACTTCACAACCATGTTTATGCGGCGGACAAATGTGAGGGAACCGTCATCGTTGAGCCTCATCAGATCTCCCGTGTGGAAGTAGCCGTCCGCGTCCCGTAGAGGGCTCTCCGGCATCTTGTAGTACTCCTTCGCAATGCCGGGACCTTTCAGGAGAAGCTCCCCAACACGGTGAGTCTTCAGCGAGAGCTCGCAGGTGTCGCTCTTGTCAATGAGCTTAGCTTGCATGAATGGCACAAGGCTTCCTGTCGGCGATCCCACATAAGGCATGTGAGGAAGTTGACAAAGACCAGAAGCACACGTCTCTGTCAAGCCATATCCACATGTGATCCGAGCACCGGTGCAGAGACGCATGAATCGCCACACCTCCTGGGGGAGAGCAGAGGATCCGCTGACGATGAGCTCGAGGTGGCCCCCGAGGGCGGCTTTAATGTCCTTGAAGACGACGTTGTCGAGCCAGGGGAGTGTTCCCGTCTTAATCCAGGACCCCTCCGTGTACTCCTTCACCTTGCATGCTAGACAGAAGACAGCCTTCTTGACAAGCGACGCCTCAACCTTCGCCATCACGGCGTTGTAGATCTTCTGGAGCACCCGCGGAACGGCCAGTAGAATCGTCGGCTTGGCCAGCTTGATGTCCGTGGTTAGGTTCTTTGTGTTACCACTATAGTATGCTATCTTGTACCCCCGGACGGTAAAAAGTATCTCTCCAGCAGATTCGTATATATGGCCGAGAGGAAGATAGGACATAGTTACCATTTGACCACCGTCCCTAGATACATATGGAAGAAATCCATATACCATGGTGTAAGACCCTTGTATTGTACTGTGGGTGTGTGTCACTCCCTTAGGGTTTCCAGACGATCCAGAGGTATATAGGATAGTGTGCACCTCATCCACGCTTGCCTCATAGTCCCCTTTGTAGTCAAGGCCCTTCACTTCATCCAGCATGTTCTTCAAAAAAGATATTTTGCCTGGCGATTCCTTAATCTGTGTTTTTTCCAAGATTTCGTTAATTACCTCGGCTATGTGAGTATTTGAGTCATTGATGTTCGCATTAGCCATACGAACATCAGTGGCATCAGATAAGGCTCCCAGCTGGGACGTAACAGTAGAGAGCACATTGAATTTGTAAACAGAGTCATCTGCTTTCCCAGCCACGTAAAGCTTGGATAGGTCAATTCCGAGGGAAGCCCCGTCAGACTGCTGTGCCTCTATATATGAGGGCACAGCCTTATGCAAGCAATTGTTCATAGTTTGGTCATCTAGTTCTGATATGCTTGTATCGATAATTAGGACGCGCTGCAGCTCCGGGCACGATGGCCATATTCCGAGAACCAGTGGGAGTAGCTCTGTCTGAGTGACCAGAAGGCGAACCTCTGCGTGGTTGATGCAGTACGATGTCTTGGCGGCCCCAAGGGTGTCGTAGATAGGGACGACCACTGCGCCCACGGCCGTGCACGCGAAGTCGAAAAGCAGCCAGAGGGGGGAGTTGCGTGCAAAGATGCCAACGCGGTCGCCTTTCCCAATACCAAGCTTTGCCAGGACCTTGGCGAGCTCGGTCACGTAGGAGTCTGCCTCGCCATAGGTCATGTAGGTATACTTGTCGGTTACCTCCTTAACGCACGTGGCCAGGCCAGCACGATACCCGAGGTAAGGTTTATCAGAAAACCTTTTGAAAGCTTTCCGGACCAACTTCAAGACCGGGATGGATGGATTCAGTTCCCTCTCCTCGTCGAGAGCTACATGACTAATAGTATCTAGAGGCGACGGATGAATAAAAGCGCATCCGTCTGCTATCTGTACACGGTCCATTTCAAAGGGGGCCTTTTTTAGTTCAAAGAATGCAGAGTTAATCTTTTGAAATCTCATTTAATATTTGCATGTCGTATTTTATTCACGTATGTAGATCTATAAGCAGTGTGTTGCGAAGAAGCCTCTCCAACTGTCCTGATAGAATGGTGTCCTCGAGGACCGCTTGATCTCCGCTTTTATGAACCCGAAGGGCGAGCGAAGTAAGCGCAACTAGTAGGGCATATACCCTCGACTCTGCACAAGCATCCACCATGCTTGCTAAAATCTTTAGAATAGCTTTTTCAATGTCGAGATCTTTTTGTGAGGATAGTGCCTTTTCATATTGAATATAATTAGTCAATTCATTACCGTAGACCCCTGAGGCACACAGCAACAGCAAACTTAAGTTGTGGATAGATTGCGAGAGTGCCAAAAACCACGATGATTTAGCTAGTTGCTCTCTATCTGCGTCAAGCACAATGCAAAGCCGGGTTGTTACCATAGATAGACAGCTGAAGCTGTTGAGGGTATTGAAGCTACAATCCATACCATGACTATCATCTTTCCAGGCACGAAACAGGGCAGTAGCATTCTTTTCTAGTGCAATAAGCTCTTCACTTATCCAATCGGAAAGCCTGTCCAGCATGGCGTCTTCCTCGCGAAGAAGATCTTCTTTTTCTGGTTTAGGATGATAGTTCACCATAGTTTTGTAATTGAGATATTGTCCAGGAAGAATTGAAAAGGAAAAGTAAAGATACGACTGCGAAATGTCGGTCGTTATGATACTTTCGGCTATGTAATCAAATCCTTTGTCATAGAAGTCCTGAGAGTGTTCAGAAATCAGCATGAAGAGGCCATCAGCCGTGTGTAACTGGGATTTCAGATATTGAATGTTGGTTCCTTTGGTGGCAGATGTGATACATTCGTTCCTGGTTATGTATATTGTTCCTGTTGTGGCGCACATCATCAGAAACTGGCACAAAAAGAAGGGCGTCAACATGCTTACTTCGGGATCATCATCGACTATGTGCAGTGCTTCGTATACATTGTGTACGCTGCTAGGATCATCGCACAGAGTGCTAGGCGAAACAGTGTAAGCATGTGACGGAACGGTTTGTGTGAACAAATTATCTGGCCCGTTGATAACAAACGACTTAGAATTAAGAAAGAGAGACAAAGCGACGATTGAATGATCAGCCAGAGCGATGGAAAAGGAAATGACTAAGATAGGTAGATTGGTATCCTTTCTTATAAGCTTCATCAGAAGCAGCTCCAATACATAGCCTATAGGCTCTGCTAGCTCTGCGATGGACGGAATTATGATTGCTGTAGGCCTTGTAAACAGTTTGTCAATTTCTTTGTAAACTGTACACGTATTCATATACGGTATATTATTTTCCCTTGCAAGTTGTCCGCTGATCCCACCGACACTGCCTACAATTAAAGCATCTACTTTATAACTTGCTGAGACGTCCCGTATGAAAGACAGAATGCTGCTGAGCATCTCCGCCTGCTGTAGATAGAGACAGTTCCCTGCAATGAAAACAGAATCGGATCCTGAGCTCAGGCCTGAAGCGCGTCCCAGGTTTGCAATTGTGGTCTCAACATGAGCAGTTATAGCTGATATCTCATTACCACTGCATTCCTTAATGGACACACCTGCTACTAAACTCTTATTAGGGTCTGCGCTTACCAAATCAATACGTATAGAGGACGTGGCAAATAAAAGCTCTTCAAGATAAAGGTGCATATTGCACACCCATAGTTCGGCAGTAGCGCTGAAGCGTAATGTTACATCTAGTTCCTCATTGAGCTGTATGGATAGAGAGATTGCCTTGAGCGTCTTCTCTTCGGCCTCTATTGCACAATGTAACGAAAACGTTTGCTCTGAGCAACGAAGAATAGTCTGGCTTCCGATAAGACAACAGTGAAACCGGACCTCGTAGTGCTTAGGGTCTAACTGACATAGGGTTACAATCTTACCTCTGAGGATCGGGTATCCTACAATAGCTGTGCGTAGATGAGATAGCTGCCGTTTATCGAGTGGGGTTCTATCATCTGGAGAAACAATTATCTGAGAAAGCTGGTCTACTGTCAATCTGCGAAGAACATTTGGACTGAATTGTTTTAACTCTAATTGTTCTATCCACAGTATGTACTCTGGTGAGAGAAAATCGAATTTGAATAAAGGATTGCTCAGAACTTCTCGCACAAATAGAAACGCAGGCCAGCATCGAGACTGAAGCATACAATACAGCCTGGTTAGAGCCTGGTGAGATTTGCTTTGGATGAGAAGGCACGCAAGTTCTCTAAGGCATCCTGTGATTCTTGGGGCAGACGCGATAATGCTAGCATAGTCGGACATAAGTGAAAGACTACTAAATGCAACTGATGTTGTGCCATAACAAGGCCCAGTAGAAATGTAGACTTGCAAAAGAAGACAGATCTTACCGAGCCCCTGGTTTGTGACAAAGGGCGGATATCTAATAGGAGTATACTCTTCTAACGATGTCAGTTCAAATCCCTCATCTGCTCTTACGAATATAGAAGCATATTCGTGAGACATTGCGATCAACAATAAAGCCTGCTGTATAGAGTCGATTGGGGACTGCGATAAAACAGCATTGGATCGAACGATAGTAAAGGGCGAAACATAATATTTGACGCACAGCTGTGCCAAGGGTGTAGGATGATATTGAAGTAGATGAGGACATGAGTCGTCAAGCTTTTTTTCTAACAAACTTACATCGCAACAGCAATCTAGTAGTGTACTCACAATATCAGTAATGATTTGTGATCCATTCAGTGAATTAGGAAGCCTTTCAAACAGTTGCACTGCAAACAGTGAAGACTGAACAATCTGAACTAGTTCATCTACAAACACATGAGCAGAAAGAAATGCTTCTGTTATAATTAGCTTTGAGAGCTTCTCAAGTGCTGTATGAGACGTTAAAAAAGATGATTCTATATTAAATCTATTACTAAAGATAGTCAGACAGCGATAGGCATCATTTGCTGATGGGATAATGAAGCACTCACCATTGGTGTCGAAGGAGGGTCGTCCAGCTCTTCCAGCCATTTGCAAAATATCTGCAAAAGAGAGGTCTTCCCAGCAAGAGTCAGCATATACCTTTGTACCAAGAATAATAACCGTGTGAGCTGGCATATTGACCCCCCAGGCAAGAGTCGCAGTTGACACCAGGATAGAGATCTTTTTCTCAGCGAAGAGCTCCTCAACTAGGTACCTATCTGTGCGAGTAAGCCCGGCGTGGTGAAACAATACTGCCGAGTTTGTTGATAAAAGACTATAGAGCCTCTTGTTTCTAGATTTTTCCGCGTAGGCGTTAGAGTAATTGGTAGTGTCTAACTTAGCCTGTAGCTGTATTGCTAATCGTTCCGCATCACGTCTTGTATGTGTAAATAAAAGTATGCTTCCCTTGGATAGCTGCTTTGGAATGATGCTATGCAAAAATCCCTCTCTCGTTGTACGTAAATACGACTCTTCAGAATGCTTATAATGCAACTCACAAACTGTTACTTGCAGAGAAACAGCTCTGTACGACGAGTCAAATGCAAGAGTGTTACTTGATGCGCATCGAAGAAAATCTGCTATCTGTTGGACATTTGGAATCGTTGCTGACAGAGCTAGCAGCATAGCCTCCTGGTAATGTCTATGAAAGCGAAGCACCAATTCCTCAATCACACTCCCACGGGTGTGATCACCTATTAGATGCAATTCATCAAAAACAATAAGAGCCAGGCGATTCCGAATCAGCTGGAAATCCTCTCCAGTTAGTTTGGAAGTAAACACATCCAACTTCTCTGGAGTGGCAACTAGAATTACCAATGCTGTGGTTGTCTGTGGGCAATGAAGCAAAGAAGATATAGTATTCAGAGAAATGGACTCTTCTCCAGTATACTCACAAATTGTAGCAGTGTATTCCTTAGGAAGTCGCTGGAAGGATGATTCCAATTGTGAGAGAATCTCATGCACAAGCGCCTTGAGAGGGGCCACGTAAACAACCAATTGGGCCGGCCGGCACTTGTAACGAGAAGTATGGAGCAAACATATCATAGCCCAAAGGGCAATGTTTGTCTTTCCGGCTCCGGTAGGTGCTGCCACGAGGGTGTTGCCCCCGTTGAAAATGGGATCGACTACTCGCATCTGGACGCTGTTGAAGGTGGTAATAGAGCCATAGACACGTCCAAATGCTAGATCCATCTGTAAACGAACAAGCACAGAAGTAATAGAAACAGTCTCATTTGCATGCTTAGTCTCCCAAAGCAGGGAGTACTCAGTGCGATTCCCATACGCCGTGACAGTCGGCTCAGGTGGTGGTAGCGCTACTAGCGCACACTCATCACTCCCAGTAAGCTTATTAGAAATTGGCCCCGGTAAGGAGAGTTGTCCATGAGGAAGCGTGTCTGAGGTTAGAAAATCAGAAAAATACTGACGAACCTCATTGCATAGGATGCTGGACAGATGAGCATCCGGAGGGCACTGTTTCTTCTGGTTTTTTTCACGATTTATCATACCTTGATCCAGTAATTCAGCAAGCTCAATCTGGCATTCAAAAGCTGCATCTAAAAGGTCACCAATAAGAGCAGCGGCATCTGGATCAACATCACCAAATACGTTGACCAAATAGGACACCCCGATGTCTTTGCTCTCCTTATTAAGTGCAGCCAAAACATCAGTGATGGCTAAGTACAGCTCCTCGTCATCCTGCGGGCCGAGAATGCGCTCCAATAGAAAAAGCACCTTGGATGCTTTATGTATACCGGGTGATTGCGTTATAAAACTTGTCATCAAAGATGGTGAGATTTTCCCTTTAAAAAATGACAGTGAATTTGCAAGAGTGGCTAGAGACAGCTGTAGAAGCTGCATTCAGCGCAGGAGATGTGATAGTGAAGGTGGGGGCCGATTCCTCCAGCATTGAGAAAGATATTAAGACTAAATCTAATGACGGGGATTTTGTGACTATTGCTGATCGTTCTGCGCAACGCGTGATTTTTTCAGTGCTTACAGGGCAGTTTCCTCAGTTGAAGATAGTCGGTGAAGAGGTTAATTGTGAGGGCTGCTCTCCAGAATCATCTTCTGTTCTCTGCAGCTCAAACATAGAGGAAAGAATCTCTTCTATAAGCACGCTGGCCAGTGATTGCGGCCTCCCTCATACAAAATTAAAGCATAGTCCAAGGAGTCTGTGCAGCAAGTCTATGTGTTTAGCCAGAGAAGCCCTACAGGGGTATGATGAAGACAGCCCTGTAGAGCAAACTATGTCTTGCCACAAGGTTCCTCATGTCCCCTGCTCTATTGACCTACCGGTAGAAGATTGTATTGTCTTTGTCGATCCTCTTGATGGCACATTCAACTTTGTTCATGGCTGCTTATTTGGCGTTGGAGTGAGCATTGGGCTAACTTATAAAGGCCAGGCAATAGCCGGAGTTATGTTTTATCCGTTTTTCTCTAAGAAGCTCCTTCACAAGTACAACTTTCCGAAGGATTTACACATATACATGGACAATGGGGCATTGCTTCATCCTTTCCACGCACAGATTACCGAACTTAAGAAACAACACGTCCCGATAGACCTTTTCTTCGGGGCCCAGTATGGTGATTACTGCAATTGCAACTTGACTGAGTACCGACAGACTCTCTGGACCAGCAGGCTGAGCCAGCTCTCTGAGTCTAAGCCCTTCTCCGAGCACTATTTTCAAATACAGAATATGTCACCTGACCGACTCAACCCGCTGCTGGAGTGGATTGACAAACAAACTGATGAGACACATATCAAGATTAGATCCAAGGATGGTCTTCAAACCTTCTATGGTGCATTGTGTAAGTTTAGGGAGTTCCTCCTCGGTCTTGGGGGATGCTTTGGTGTCATTTATATAGATGGATTTCTGAAGCCATGGGACATCTGCGCATTTATGGGGATTGCTCATTCTTTGAACATCGACGTATACACCAAGGAGTCCAGACCGCTAACTCTTTCTAAGAGCTCTGGAAGTGCGTATGTCCTGAAAAAAGGATATCTTTTCAAGCCAGATAGAAAGGGTAATATCCCGTTCTTCATCACAGCTGACTACGATTCGACCCACTCTGACCAGCTAGCTGCTGTATCCTTAGATATTGCAAACTCACTAGAGTCACTGCAGACAGACAAGAGCACATAGATATGTAGGGCGTATGGCAGACTACTCTACACACAAGTCTACAAAAGACGGAGTGATGCGTGATAAGAATGAAGGATTTCATTAGCTGCTTTAGCCTTATAAATTCTACTTAAGTCAAGAGCCGTGTTACCATCCTCATTCTTCAATGTAAACTCAGTCTTAAGTAGAAGCTCTACACAGTCTGGCTTGTTTGAGAAAGCTGCAAACATCAGTGCAGACCAGCCTTGAACGGTTTGCATTCCTACCTCTTCGTGGATCAGGGCTTTGACACACTTTACGTGACCCATTTTAGAAGCTAGCATGAGTGCAGTTATGCCAGACTCCGTTGTCATCTTATTTTCATAGGACGCAAGAAGTAGCACAGATTCAATAGAATTATTGATAGCTGCATACATAAGGGCTGTAAATCCAATGGGACTGGTCTTCCGTGCATCTCCTTCATCGATTCCCATTCGGACTGCATCTAGATCGTTAAGAGAAGCGGCCAGCATCAAATTGGTAAAGCCCTGTGTCGTCAGAGAAAGTCCTCGGTCAAGGCAAGAGCTGTGCAAAAATCTCACGCACTCAGTATACCCTCCTGATGCTGCTGCTGCAAGTGCAGTCAATCTATTATGATTAGCCATACCGAGCTCGCTGCTTCCAGTGACTATCTTCTTAACTATGTTGATGTACCCCTCCTGTGCAGCGAGCATCAACGCAGTGCTTCCATCATTGGATGTCATGTTGCACTCTAACGGAAGGAGGATGTCAACGCATGAGGCTCTATTGTTACAGGAGGCATACATGAGAGCAGTCATGCCATTAGCATCTCGTTCCCGAGATAGATGGATGACTATATTATCTAGTGTAGCTTTGTCGTATTTCAGTAACTCCTTCACGCAATCAGCATGCCCTTGAAGGGCTGCGTGCATAAGCGCTGTCATGCCTTGAGAGTCAACTTTGACAAGTTGCTTACGCAAGATGAGATTCGAGGTGGCAAGCTTTATCACATCCAAATTACCAACACTTGCAGCCAAGGATAAGGGAGTCGTGTCACCATAATCAGAAAGATAGGCCTCGTGTAGCAGCAGCTGAATACATCGCTGAACTTGCATCCTAGTCATAAAATCGGAGCTGTCATACTTTGAGTTAATTGCATACATAAGAGCTGTAAAGCCATTTTCATCCTGCGCCTCCCTTTCTATGGTACAGAGTAGCTCCACACAGGAATCATTGTGTGCATACGCTGAAATCATAAGGGCAGTCCGTCCTGTCACCAGTTGCATGCTACCCTCATGAGCTGCGAGGATAGCAACAACCTCACAGTGGCCTTCACGTGCCGCATACATCATGGCAGTCCAGCCAGCGCCATCAATACAGCTAGAGTTAGTCTGCAGCGTGGCTTCGTGATTAGCAAGGAGGCGCACCATGTCCACATCTCCCAATTGTGCTGCTATCATCAGGGTAGTCATCCCATTGACGTCTTGCATCCCTGCCTCAAAGGGCATCAACACTTCTGCAATCGGATGATTTCTAAGAATAACTGCCAACATGAGAGCAGTTGTCCCATTAATGTCTTGCTTTTTTGCCTCTGCTTTTGCTAGTAGCCTCACACAAGGAAGAGACCCTCCTTTGACGGCTACCATCAGGGCTGTCTCTTTTCTTCTTGTTAAAAGCCCATAAGAGTGCTCAACAAGCTCATGAACCAAGTCCGCATCACCATTCGCAGCAGCGACCATCAGCGGCGACCATCCAGTTAGATTTTGGATGGTTGCCTCGCATACCAATGCAGCTGTGGCATCACGGTTTCTGTGCCGAACAGCATACATTAACGCTGTGTTTCCGTGTACGTCAGTTAGCCCCAACTGAAAAAGATAGTTCGATATCTCCGCTACGTCATTACTTATCGCACACTTCATCAATTTTGTGATAGAAGTCCCGAGTCGCCGGGAAACACAAATCCCCAGAGAGTGTTCCAGAGCATACGAATAGATAATGCTTAGTATTTGAAAGCTGCCGCTTCTGATGGCTAAGTCCAAGCAGCTTCCATCTGGCTGGTGCACGAACGGCAGTTCAAACGAAAGTAGCTCCTTGACAGCTTGAGCATTGTTGCTCTTTATGGCATAGGAAAGATGACTGGTGTTAGAAAGCTCGTGGCTTTGTGAATACACCGGAGTGCTGATTGTCGCTAAGCGCTTGTCACCAGACTTCAATGCATAAAGCAACGGAGTTTCTCCTGCATGCAGCTTTAGTTCATAGCGAGAAAGAATGTCTGCACAGTCTGCATGGGAGTTAATGAGCGCCAGCTCTAGCGCGCGGTCCCCGTTCAATGCTTTCATGCCTGCCTCCTTTGGTGCTAGAAGCTTGACATAGTTCACATTTCCATTTCTAGCTGCATACATCAACGCTGTGCTACCGTCCACATTAATAAGTTTTGCTTCCTTGACAAGGTAATCTGCTACTTCATTGTTCCAATACTGGGTCGCCATCATCAATGCCGTTTCCCCCTTGAGATTTTGCTTCTTGAGCTCTTTACCTGCTGCTTTCTTCATGAGAATGGATACAATCTCACTGTTATTGTCTATAGCAGCGTACATCAGCGCAGTAAACCCCTGATCGTCTTGCATCCCAGCCTCGTCCTTGGCCAGTGAGAGAATAGCGTCTTTGTACCTATTCTTGACAGCATACATAAGGGCCGTGAGCCCTTGCTGATCTTTCATACGAGATTCTTTAATCAGTGACTTGATGCACTTTGTGTGGCCATTCCCCGCAGCAAACATCAGAGCTGTCCGGCCTCCTGACCCTGTTTTACCAAGATATCCTATATTCTGCTTCACTGCATCGTAGTTTCCAATTTCTGCTGCCTTTATCAGCGGGTTATCAGTCTGCTCAGAGTTCAGCTGCTGCCTTTGTTGAAACTTGTTACTACTGGGGATGCACCCTCGGGGAGTGGTTAGAATAAGCTGGTTTGTGCAGCTCGTTGATTCGCTCATGTGACAGCAGAAGCTTCCCCGTAAGGATTCGGGTAAAGATAGACGGGGCGCCATATGGATTTGTATTCGCTCCTTGAGTATAGATAGAGCTGGTCGCTTCACAGGGTCTGGCTGTAAGCAGCTACAGATGAATGAGCACAACGAGTAAGAGTATAAGCATGACCCTAGCTTGGAGTTTTTGCGAAGATCAGTTGCCAGGTGCACACAATCGTCCCTATGATTCAGTGGCCGACCAAGGCAGAGACACAACAGGAGAGCTCCCATGGCCCAAACATCAGCCTTAAACTGCTTGGACGGCGAGAGACCTGCTAGTTCTATCATATGCTGCACCCTTTGTATTTCTTCAGATCCCTCCTTAGAATATGAAGATGGCGGAGGAGCATCACCTTGACGGGCCGAGGATGCATGTGAGGGTGATAGTCGGTGAATTAAGCAAGGTGTGACAGATGACTTAAAAACTCCCAGGCCCTGCTCTATTGTAAAATCATTTCTATCATTGCGAGGGGTTGAGAGATTATCACAATTGGCGAAGGAGCTAGTATCAATAGAGTTAATATTTAAAGCAAGGGGGTTCTTCGTACATGTGCTTCGATTTGATGTTCCATTGGTGCCAAACTGCGCATCAGCTTCAGCCGATATGGCACACTCCTTGTCCAGATAGGTAGCGTCCGATATCTTCTCAGAGGTTGATAAGTACATGCTTGAAATTTCTGGAGCCAAAAATGGATCGACAACCTTTGATAGAAGCGTTCTAAAACGAAAAGAAGCGAAATAGTTATCTAAGATAGGTTCGTTTTGAGTGGTCAAATGCACAAAAGAGGGCGACAAGCCAGACCAAGCTAGCAAGTGATGCTTGTGTAAATAGACGAGAAGCTCCACCAGATTTGTGGCAATATCCCAAATAGCATCTTCTAAAAAGGCATGATTGCGAGCTAAAAGTGTTAATATTGTTGGACTGCTAGGATACACGACCTTTACATACAAGACCTGTGACGATTGTTCTTTGACCCACCCTTGATATTTTGCTAGGCCAGGATTAGTGAGGGATGAGCAATAATCGAGAGAGGCCTCCTTACTAGCCTGTCTCCGGATCCAGCTATCCGTAAATTCAATAGAGATCAATTTTAAACAAGTGCCAGTAGATCTGTCTCTAACAAGATAGAAGCTTGCACCAAACTGAGTTTTCGCCACGCTCTCTACGTCATAGAAGTCTGAGATTGACTGGATCAATCCAGCACATTCCATCTTTAGCCTTAATGGAAAAGCCTGTCGTTCTAAAATCTATTTCAAGTGTATGCGGCAGCCAAAAGAACTAAAAAAAATGTCAAATTTAATTGCATAGGGCGCCAATCATTGTTGGAGGCTGCTAGTTAACAAGTTCTTAGATCGGATCAATTGGCTTTTTAAATTTTAATTCAATATTGCTAAGTATATGGCTTTAATTTTTTGAATTTACAGTAACTACATTCACAAAGGCCTAATACCTTATGATGTTTATTACTCGCTTTGCCACTTGTCTTAAGTGCATTTATGAGGGAGACTAGACCTGGAAGCCTACTTACCAGACAATGCAAGCTTCAGGTGCCATCAGTTAAGTTTGTGGCTTTACAGTACAACTTCTACGGCTCTAAAATTTAATTAGATGCTCCCCAACATTGACGCGCTCGCTTACGTGAACAAGGCCCAGGAATACAAGCCCGGGATGGCCTACATGATCGAAGTGTTTACAACCTGGTGCCCGCCCTGCCGTGGTATGATTCCGCACCTGGCAGAACTGCCGACAAAGTATCCCAATGTATACCTCGTTGCAGTCACAGAGGAAGAGCAGGACAAGGTCGAGGCCTTTGCCCAAAAGATTCCACCCATGAAAAAGTACAATGTTGCTTGTGACGCCAAAGGAGAGGTTAAGGCGCTCCGTGAGGCAGAGGCACCGAACATGGGCACCCCCGGTGCGTTCCTCTTTGACAAGGACGGGAAGCTGATCTGGCACGGAGTTCCGTCATCCCCGGAGTGTGATGAATGGCTCGGAAAGCTCAATAGTGCTTAATTCCTCATTTTTCCAAGGGTAAACTACCTTTCGCCTCTTCGTTATTGTATCCTGGTGCAGTACATCTTCAGTTTTTTGTCCTCAAACTGTTTCTCGTTTTGACTTTCGGCTGCACTAGCGAAACCAGGCTGCATTAAATGCAGACAGACAAATATGTCATCAGTTCAAATGTGAAGGGGTCAGGTAGCTATGGATGCGTGCTTGAAGGCCATCTGAAAAGCGATCCGGCTGTGAAGCTTGCATTTAAGTTTCTCCGTGTAACTGACGGTCATGGACTTTTGCCTCATACCCAGACCAGAGATATCATGGCACTGGTTTCCCTGGAGAAGATTATGGCTGAAAGACCCGATTTGGGAGGTGGAGACATATTCGTGGACTTCCCGATTATTCCACTTCTCGATATTATAAATGGAAGCGACGTGCAGCTATTAGATCCGCACCCACCTATAGACTATGTTCCCTACTCTTTGATTTTAGTCTTTCCTTTCTGTCCATGCGACCTGCATTCATTTTTACACTCAGGCAATCTCATCAATTATTCATGGGATCGGTTTTTGCATTTGTGCTTTCTCCTAGTCCGTAGCGTGGCTATTTTACATTCTGTTGGCTGGTCCCATCGCGACATCAAGCCCAGCAACGCCCTAGTCTCCGGTGACGGGCAGCTCCTCCTTTGTGACTTCGGGATGGCACGCTGTGAAATTCCTTTCTTCGGTCGGTTTGGTCACAAAGGCTGCTACAATCACTCTACAAAGCGCTACCTTCGGAACAAGATGACAGACGTGGGGTCAATCAATTGTAAAGTGCCAACTATCCCACAATTGGAATTGCTGAACGGCAACACCGCCATATGTGGAACGGTTTGGTGGCGAGCTCCTGAACAGTGCTTCGGGCTGAACAAGCACTACTCTGGATTTGTGGGAGACTCATGGAGCCTGGGATGCAGTATCTGTGACTTGATATTCGATGTACCCCTGTTCAAGACAATCCACCGTGATGATCTCAAGGCTACTGGAGAGGTTCTAGCACTGATTAACTATCTCAATCCTCTTGTTAATTGCACAAAGTATCACGCTGGATTCCTTGACACCAGCAAGCACCAGATGCGGGCAGAACTATTCAATGTCTATAAGCAGACCATCAGAGCACTGAACTCAGATGAGCTCATAGAGAAACTGTTTGCGTTGAGAAGTAAAAATGACAAGCTAAAGTGTGTCGATGACGAAGATACTACGTCGTCTCCGAATAAGCACCTGCAGGATCGGGATCCGTCCATACGTGCAAGAAGCCTTTCGCTGACTGTTGCTTATGAAAAGCATAAGAGTGAGCGAATAAAAGCTGTTCGCCAGACCTTGGGGCCGCTGGTTGCGGAGAGAACGCCAGAGGGGATCAACTCTATCTCTGAGAGCATACGGCTAGCGCGATTGGTCATGAGAAATATGCTCTTATTGAGCGGGAAGTATTGGAGGAGGAAGATTTACTACACCACATCCAGCTACAGTATCCGTGAGCTTCTGTTTTTCAGCCTTTTGATTCGGTTTTCTAGTACCACTGGATTGGAAACCCTTCGGACATCATCCTTACAGCTAGGGCACTACAAGGACCTTCTTATTCTGCTGGAGCTCAACGAGGATGTCGTTGTAGAGATGCGAACACTAGCAGCCCTTCTGGAAAAGATGCTAAATATAGATCCAGATGGGAGGACTCTCCCAACAATAGTGATGAACAGCCCCATTTTCAAGGCGCTGCTGGGGAGCACTGGAATTGACATCCATGATTTAAAGGATAATAAGCGCTCGGTTCAACTGGAGAAATATAAATTTCTTCAGAATCTGCGCTGCCTGGTATCATTCGATATGTCCACTTTATTAACAATAAGTATAATCACTGTCATTGAGAAAGTGTCGGTCCCAATACTTCAGAACTTCATTTGGGACTATTGCTCGGTGGAGTAAGCACGCCAGTATGAGAGCTACAGTTAGCTCCAGTACACGTTGTATCGTCTTTAAAAGTGGTATTGACAACACGCTCCTTGAGCTTCTACCAAGGACATTAAAGATTGCATCAAAGTTAAATCTATTAAAAATCTATAAAACTGCTCTGCTACGGTTTGATAAATGCTTTACTTGACATTCCTCTCTAAGCTCGTGGGACGTAAGGTATACGTGGAGCTCAAGTCTGGGATGCAGATGCACGGAGTACTTCTAGCTTCTGACAACTTTGCCAACCTGTCTCTGGATAACCCCGTCATCTATGGCTCTGACATCTCCTTTACACACGTTTCTGGCGGCCGAAGAGTATTCATCCGAGGGTCTGCAATTCAATTTCTTTATCTGAATGATGTGGAGGGTGATGAGTCGTTGTCCCTCCGTGCACTGGCCGATGACTCGCGCATTAACTGGGCCAAAGAACACCACAGCCAAGAGAACCTGGCTACCTAGCAATCGCAGCAATTTCTTGTACAGTGTATGTACTATCGAAGTCTAGGAGCCCCCAATAACCAAAATTGTAAATTAAAACGATGAAGCAGGCCTTACTAGTTTTGCAACTGGAGCAAGATGCTGAGCGGAGAGCAGAGGCAGAAAGACAAGTTGTGAGGGCCGAACCAGAAGACCTTTGCACCTACATATTTGACCCTAATGAGAGTGTAGGTACCCGCTTAATAGCATGCTCTGTACTTGCCTTACAACCACAGCTTTCCATCGATGCCATTAAGTACATTATAACCCAGCTGTGTCTTCTCGAGCGGACTCATTTGGTAGCTCCCCTTGTTTCCAAACTTGCTCAAATTGTGGCTATGAATTTGGTTAAGGCGTCCGGCCAACTTCAGATGGATCTTCAAGAGCTGGTGTCTGGAATGAGCACCTGCTTCGACGTATATGCGCCAATCCTGGAGGAGCTCCTTTTAAACTCTCTTACGTTACAGTGTAAGACCAACATAAAGCCCATTGCTGCGCTATCAGCAAACATATTTGCCGCCGTTTCTAAGTTTCCTATTCACCAAATGAACACGAATCAGAAGCTTCAACTAGTCACACTTCTTAAGGCTGCCACGGGGGCCTTACCCAATGATCCAGCTCTTTTCAGTTTCATATTTACTGCTCCTGACTTTTCTTCTGCTTTCATGGACATGTTCCTACAGCAGGAAATTACCTGCGATGTTGCTGATTTGGTAGTTACTTTGTTAACCATAAAATTGCCGAAGAATAACCCGTCTGCTCTTCCGTATCTAGGTCCTCCTCTCCTCTACTTGATTACTAATGGTCCTAGGTTCTATTCCTGCTTTAATTACAATCAGTTGAAGGCCGTCACCATGTGTTTCACCACTATCTACACCGCTCACAGCAACACCCTCCGTCCCAATAAAGATTTCATAGTTTCTGCACTCAACAACATCTTCTGCGTCTTTGCCCAGCATCCCTCCCACTTTATTTTCGATCTACTACTACCCTCTTTGATTAACATCTTTAACGACCTTTCCCTTCGGGTATATGAGATACCTACATCTCTAACTATGTACCTAATCGAGCGTGTCTGCTTCTACGTCAATAGGCATAATCTTCGAAGCCTGCTATCTGTGACCGAAGGAGATACTCTAACAGAGTCTGAAGAGTACCTGGCACAGGATTCAATAGATTCTAACACCTCGTTCTGGCTCACGTGGTTTGCTGCCTTCAAGGGAAATTGCATGTCCTTAGTCGGTAAGCTGGCAATTTTCTACCCCCACATCACCCTCACTACGCTGACTCAGCATCTCGGCCAGTTTCTGACATCTTTGGCCAGTTTTGAGAACAATATGACCATGGAACAAGCACAACAATTTACACGTCACACTGAACAATACAATGCGATGGACTCCGTCATAGCGATAGTCGATGCATCGGTGTACTCTGTGCTTAGGCACTTGCTATTCACTAATACATACAAAGATGTGTTGAAACCAGGTGACGTCCTTGGTGTTGCTCACGTTCTTCTTTCCTATCGACCTATCCACCCTATTATCTATTATAGACTAATGGCTATATTGGAAAACTTTTATAGAGACTTTATGCACAGTATATCTAGCGCCACTGGAGATGTGGTAGTAAAGCCTTTCAAGGGTAAGAGAAAGCAAGCCCAAGGACAGAACCCTCCATCGGCAGAATCGGTAAAGGACTCTTCAGAGAATGAATCCGGTACATCAGTTAAAGGACTATTGGCAGAGTACATAGCACCCCTTCTGCAACCTATCTTTCAGCTGTATGTGCAGATGATTGCTTTTAAGTCTCAAGTTCTCGGGGAAACAGATATATCTGGAGAAGAGCTTTATTCTAGGCTGAGCCAGGACACGTTGGCAATCAGACGTCTGGCGGCAGACCGGGCCAAGATTCTAGCAGGCAATAGATATCTCCTTAAGGAGTACATCATCTCATCACCTGACGTGTTTGCTGCCTTTGTAGGCCATGTTACGCTTCTTCAACAGCAGAATCAGGTAACTGCATATGAGCATGTGCTTCTGAATCAGATAGTTGCGTGTACAATGCTTGCACATAACGATAGTGAAGGGTTCCAGCGTATAGTCACTGACGCACTTCAGCAATCACGCAGTGTCCTCTTCAGTCAAGAGATTACAGCGATTCTCTTCTCTCCTGAAGCCTTTATTAGTTACTTTGGGCTAGACAATGTTTCCGTCTCGAACCCTGTTTCTCTAACGACACCCACGCCGCTACCAAGCTTATTACTCCGCAGGAAGATTATGTTCGCGATACAGCAAGCCAAGGAAGTGCTTAATCGCGTTCATGACGCATCTGGAACAACCTCGAGTCAAAGCGATCTTATAGACAGGTTGAAGGACATCACACGTATGCTATTGGTAATTGCATCCAAAGGCTTTTTATCCGCAACACCTAAATACTTTGAGCAGCAGCTTTCCAACCAACGCGTTCTCCTAGGGGGGACCATTTCTGGTGGGGTGGCAAAGGTTGATCTTGAGAATCATGATGCGACAGCAACAGACATTGAGCACGCCCACAGCTGGCTCGAGCGCTGCTTAATCAGTAGCTTGCAGTGCATTTCCCTGAACCAGAATGACTTCCTTCAATATCTGCTCCAGCTGGACTACGACACTATCCCTATCTACATTCTGCGGCTTATCTTGCTCGTTGTCCCCCGACTTTGTGATGTTCAAGTCATCCTCATTCTCTCAAAGATAGTAAGCGTGCAATACTATGACGTGCATTCTATTTACACTGCGCTTACCAAGGATGAACACAAAGCGTTGAGTGCTCTCCTTCCTAAGACTCGCGAGACGTGTGTTCTTTCTCGCACCGCGGAAAGCATGTTGTGGGAGGACCTTCGAGAAAAGAAAGAAGTTCTTGCTAGAAACATTTTAAACCTATGCAATAGAGCAGTGATGGACATATGTGTAAAGCTTTTTCTTCAAGATGGAGACATCAATGAACGGATCCAAGCCGTGCTATCAACGAATCAGCAGTTTGTGGACTACTCATTGGGTCTTCTCTTTAGTTTGCTAGTATCCTTTAGCAATGATGCAAAATACGCAGCACAAATAGCAATTCTCATATGCAAAATCTTTGACTACATATCGTCATGGCCACCAACTGGATTGGGACAGCCAAACCAGTGCTCATCGTCTGGAGAAAGCGTACGTTCTGATGGTGTGGCCAACTCGGGTCTAGACGGTCCTGCAACACCACCTATCACCCCTATCTTAGCCTGCACTAATAAGGCACCTGATGAGCTGCTACACAAGATCGCCACTTTCTCTTTTGCATTTATCTTACAGTATAGTCAGTATGACTCATACCTTTCTTGCTTTTGCGTACTGGCTGGGAGATCCATCCAATTAGCTGAAGATCAGCTGCCAATAGGCATATTCTACTCTGGAAACGAACATATAGTACCCGAGCTCACTGCAGAGCTAAAGAGTATACCTTTTAACAGCACCAAGCAAATTAGGCAGGCTGTCCTTAATAGCCTCAAGCACTCGAAGCGGATACAACTCAACACACAAGTACCCACTAACATCACCATAGCTGCTTTGATGACCCAGCGCGCTGAAATAAACGATAGCATGGAGGTCAATATTGGAGACTACACAATAGGCGAGATGCTAGGCGACACGCTCAGTACAGAGTAGGTGTCTTTAAGAGATAGAAGTATATGTCGGGCTGGGTATAAAAGATTAGCTAATTGACGCTAGTATCCCGGCCCCGAACCTTAGTTGACCACACTCAGAAGCTATAGTAGTAGAGGCATCTGTGTTTAGTTGGTGCGCAAGCGCAAGATCAATGGACAGCCTGTCTGGGCAGAATCTAGCCATGAGCAGTCTAGTGAAAATAGGGAGGCCAATGCGTGGCACAAACGCATATTGCCAGCATATGATCCCCAAATGGAGAGACATCAGCCTATAGTACGAGGAGAACGACTCGCATAGTGTATAGAGATCGTTGATAGTGATATCTACAGATACACTGTAAGATCCTGGCAAGAACCAGACCGACCCCCGCTCAAGTGAATTTGATAGGGAAATGAAGACCGTACCGAAGCTGTCATGGGAAAGAATACCAAGAGGGATGTTATTATTCTTATGACGAATGCGGACTACCCGTATGTCCTGCACCTGATTCAGTAAAAAGCGTCCTGCGATTTTTTCCTCAGTTCCAAAGTGCCAGCATGTGTCCAATCCATTCCTTTGCCGGTAAAAAGAAACAAGGTCCGGCGGAAGGTCTATATCGTTTCTCTTGGTCCAATTCTCAAAATCTGTTTGGGTCGCTGGGCCTCGTGCCTGGTACTCGATCTTGCTCACCTGCGGAAGTGCCTTCAGTCGAAAAATAACGTCCTCATATGTAACGGACATAAACCCCAAATTTTACTGGCAAACTCTCTAGATTGCGAAAAGCTATCTCTTCTTATATGTACAAGGAGTAAGACACTTTTCGTACTTCGTGATATCTGCACGTTTCTTCTCACTCGGGTGGCCCTCTTCGAGATCTTCAAGGCGCCTGAAGCTAATCAGCGTGAAGTGAGTAAATGGGATCACCTTTATCTTGCGAAAACTGCAAGCAGAGAACAGTTCTATCAAGTGCTTTGTATTTGTAATACGACTATTGACCTCAGCAAGCCACAACTCACCGCCGGGCCTCACCACTCTGAACGCTTCTTTGATAAAGGAGACATAATCGGAGCCCATAAGACTGAGGCAATATATTGCTAGGTCAAGTCTATGTGGCTCCAACGGCAGTGCACGAATGTTCGCCACGGTAACGAATGAGTTGAGTGCTACAAGATCGAAGCTATGGACAGCAACACCAGGAGAGTACTTAGGAACTATAGCCTGAGCTAGAGCAGCTTTACCACAACCCATGTCACCTATCGTCTTAATATCGTCCCGAGTGAGGCCAGTAAACGAGGGAAAAATTTGGTGCTTGTTAGCTTTAGAAGGCTTGGCGGAATGTCGTACGTCAAGGTCTTGAAGATTCTGAACAAGCTCTGCATCTAATAAGCCGATTCCTGCTGAGTTCGCGGATGGAGTCCCTACTGTAGCTGCAGACCCATCTCCACCCTCCGCATCCCCAGCTAGAACGCGCTCTAGTAAATCGATAAAGAGTGCAATGGGATTTACTTCCCACTTGCTCACTTGTTCTTGATATCCCTTATGATAATCCACGAACTCAGCTGGGTTCATGCGGAGTCGCTCCTGTGTTTGCAAGGAGGACTCTGTGTAGAACGCTTCATTAAGCACCCGGAAGCGCGAACCCGCAAGGCGCTTGGTCACACTGCCGTGTTTCATGGAAATTGAGCGGGGCCGAGACATCACTCTCTGTGCTAAACCTTGAGGACCAGTTGAATTTTAATTAAAGGAACAGCAGAAGTGTTCAACCAAGGGGAATAAAAGCTAAAGAAGCTCATAAAGCACGAGGAAAAAACAAGAGTGCCCACTGAGTAAGCTACAACAATAGGTAGACTGTCGAATGCCTTACGGCACACTCTATGGGTGAGATACCGTATGGCCACACACAGCCTCGTCTTCATTCATAAAGAAAGTACGTCTATGCGTTGAAGTGTCACTCTTAGAGTTTGATTAGTAAATGACGCTTTAACGCTCTTAGGATCAATAGGGTGAGGTAGAGTAAGGTGCAGACGATGATGCTTGGCATATAGGGTCAGCGTTGTCTCGGTCACATCGAGGTCTACATCCTTCCCATCCTCTCCTGGAAGAGCAAAGCGAACAACCAGGTATTGGCTATCTGCATTTGACGGCGTTTGGCCACTAAATCCTCCATACACCTCTGCTGCCTCTACTCGTTGCTTGTATGCAAAAGAATACTCTGGCGCTTTGAAGCCCTTCCCAAATGTGTCCTCGATCATGGGAGCGGCGGGTGTTGAGGTTGGGGCTGTGCCTACCACCTGCTTCGAAGAGCCCTGGACAGCCCTCATCTCACTAGAATCAGCAACCCGAGTGCCATGTGCTCCACTTTTCTCTGCCAATTCCATGGACTCATTTAGCATCGCAGCCAAATCATTGAGTTGAAAGCCGTCCATCCTGGATTTTTGATTCAGCTCTTTCCCGATGCCAAGTGTCCAATATTCAATAGCAACCAGGGCATCTGCAAGGACACCGAAATTGTTATGAGTCTGCCACAACCATAGCTTTAGTTAGGTCGTCTAGTGCCTGCTCCAGGGAGACAGCCTTAGAAGCCAGGAGCCGGCTCTTTCTAATAATAGATCCAACGGTGATACAGAGTCCGCGGTCATAGCCGTTTCTTATGCATTCCTTTATTGCACTCACATCTGCGAATGTTAGATTGTAAAGCCTTTCAATCTCCGTCCACATCTTTTCTTCCATGATAGTTTCTTTAGGAAGATGTCCTATGAGTATCTTGTGGTCAGCTCTACCAGGCCTAATTAAAGCCCGGTCAATACAGTCTGGACGGCTCGTTATAGCGAGGACAGTAACCTGGCCGAAGCTTCCCGTCGAGAGCCCATCCAATTCCACCAGCAAGGTAGCTAACACTCTAGACGCCACGGAGTCACCAGAGGTATCCCCTGAATCACGATTTCCAGCCAAAGAGTCATAGTTGTCCAAAATGAGAACCGACGGCATGTTGCTCCGGGCCTCTTGAAATGCTTTTCTAATGTTCTTCTCCGTATGCCCAACGTATAGCGAAAACACCTGTGCACAATTGAGTTCAAAAAAGTTTATACGGCCTGAAAGTTGCCTAATCAATCTACGAATTAAAAATGTCTTACCTGAGCCTGCACACCCCATGCACAAGATATTACCGGAAGATCTGCTCCTCATCAGTTTCCAGAATAAGTCCTTGTACAATACAGGCATTAGTATGATGTCAGTTAATTTGCTCAAGACATCCTCATGTACAGAGACTACCTCAAAGGGCTCGAAGGGGCTGGGATCAGGAACCCTACAAGACGATAGTTCACCTGACAATTCTAGAGTGTTTCGTCCTCTAAACTCCTGTACGTGCTGCTGCACGGCTTTAACTAGGTGCACCTGATCACCAGCACCACACATAGTGAGCAGCTCTTTGATGTCGCCTAGTGGCATACTTGCCGTAGCCTTCGTCAACGATTCTACTACTGAGCTATCTAAGGTGTTGCCACGGTCTGCAAAGACCTTCTGCAAGAACTGGCTTCGCATTTCAAATGTTGGATTTGTGAGGGTGACTGCCTCTTCAAAGCGTCCAGGCCTCCTTAGTGCTGCATCTACAGTGGCCAGATCGGTGACTATTCCAATATACTTGCACCGGCCTTGTGCACCGACAGAACGTTTTGTCCCCCCGTCTAATAGCATCAAAAGAGTACTAGTTAGTTGACGTTGCTCTGGGGATGCCAAGTCAGACCGCTGGACAAATACTGAGTCGAATTCCCTAAAGATGAGAAAGTCGTAGGCATCGGCTCTAACTATTATATTAATTAACGATGAAGATAGATTGGCTCGTCCTTGTGTCGCCTCCCACTTTTTGGAGAGCAACGAAAAGTCCACTTGCTCATGACATGACACAGCTAAGATACGGAGAAAGTCGTTATAGCTAGAAAAGAAATCGCGGATACATCCTTCCGTGACTTGAGACAGGATGCGATTAGAGGTCGTAGAGCTATCAGGTGATAGAATGCTATCGCTGGTATACTCCTTCCACAGATTCTTCCCTTCAAGAAGATCATTGGCGGACACTATGAGGCTGTTAAACTTTTCCAATCTGTGTAAACAGGTTTTAAGTAGTGTCATTTTTCCACTTCCTCTGGGGCCAGAGATAAGAAAATGAGAAACAGAGGGGGACGATAGGCAATAGCTAAGCCTGTCTCTAATAGCTGTACACCCTATCCACGAACATTGAGATTCTGATACGGGAGGAAGTCTAACATTTGTTGTGTGATTACCATCTAGTTCAGTCTGAGTACTTTCTTCCGTGTGAGTTACTCTTATCCTCATTTTAACCATGACGAGGCAGATACCCATCCAAGTGTTGTGAAGATACGGAGCTCCATGCATCACCGTTTTAATGATACTGATGGCTTCTTTCTTTATTGCTGTGTGGCGAAATGCCGATGGAAGACAGATTGTTATGGAGTCTAACTCCGACTTAAAGATAAGACCAGAGGAAAGTTTTTCCACATTAATTTCAGAGGTCTGCCCATTGGACTCATGAAGGTTGTCTACTACGGGGTCCTCTAACAGAGTAATGCATCCGCCTATTGTAACCTTCGGCCTATCCCGTCTATAGGTTATGCACATGTAGCACGTACCATCAAGCAAGATACGAACAATATTACCATGCTGAAGCCCATAGCCATCGAGGACATCCTGTGGTGCCTCAAAATACCAAGAATAAGGATGGAGCTCTGCATGGCGTTCCCAACTGCACAAGTGCATTTATTTACTAGCCCGCCTCAAACAGCCAAAGCGCCAGGTCAACGTGACACGTTTGCCTGCAGAGTGTGCTGGATAGTTAAAATGTAAAGTTGCCATACTCGTCTTCAATGTTTGCCAAGAGATCGGGGTCAATCACAATGTCAATGTCTCTCGGGCCCTTTGGTGCATTGTCCGCGCTCTTCAGCTTCATCTCTTTAGTCCTCTGCTCCAGCGCCTTCTCGCGCTTGGACTCTCGCTCGAAAAGGTTCTGAATAAACTGTTTTTCTAAGACCATATTTGTCGAGGTGTGCAGTCCAGAGGACATCTGTAGCAAGTTAACTGCACCATCATTAGCCCCCAGAAGCAGGAACTCACCTGTAGGATCAATCTCCAAGGAGCAAAGGCTCGCGTTGCCGACGTTACAAGATAAAGTAGGGGTGTCGACCTTGTAGAAGAGATCATAGATATCTAAATAACCATCTGAGCGGGCAGTTGCGAAGACTCCCGGGCGTGTGTTGCTGAAGCAACATGCATTTACCGAACCAGGCGAGTACGCCGTCGTAAGGATGGGGGTCCTTATATCATCTGCCCATATCTTGCACGACCAGTCTGCACAGCTGATAAAGAACTTGCCAAAGAATGGAGATCGGTTGATACAGTGGACGGGCCCATTGTGGCCAATCAGAACCTGAGTTACACGTTCCGAAGGCTTGTTCTTTCTATTACAGTGAATTATGTGCCCGGCTTCAGACCCCACAAGGAATTTGGAAAGGCCGGCAACAGGGTCTATGTTTAAGCACGTCCCGCCTATCAAGAATTCTGCTTCTCCTGCGCTTCTGCCCGTAGAGTTTTTCGTGTCTGGTCTGGACTTGGACTTCTCACCCGAAAACCCATCGTCACTTGTAATGAATAGCTCCACAGGCTCCTGCGTATACTTGCTGAAGTTACGGGCATCCCACCAGAGCACCCTTCCGTCCGTTGATATGGACGCAAACTCTGTGCTAGACTTGCTCTTGACAACATATAGATCATAGACAGAGTCCTTGTGGCTAATTTCCACCGGTGATGTATCGACGATGTGGTGCGACTTCCTACAATCATAAAAGCCCACCTGGCCGTTGTATAACCCAGCGAAGAGGATGTTTGCGTCTTTGGTAGAGTACCGGAGAGACGTGATAGCTGCATTACTGCTACTATTTGGTGCTATGAGCTCGAAGTCAGGCGCGTTGCTATTATTAACATCGTAGATGTACGACGATGAGTTCTGCAAGTTGAATGAACCAATTATGTTGGGCTCTCCTCCTGTGATAGTCAGACCTGTTTCTGTCGGGTCCCGGTAAAGCTCGGTGTCGGCTAGGGAGCTCGTTTTTGCTAGCGCCCGGTTGAGATTGATGTCGTACTGGTAAGTCATGTTGCAAAATGCGGTGACGAATTTCTTAGGGAGCTTAGATGTCTCAGGAGCCCAAAGTACTCGGCGAGCAGTGCGCTTAATGCTGGCTGGATCCCTGAATATGGAAATGACTTTCACTGTGGGTGGCTGCGCGTGCAAAAGAAGAGAGCTCTCCGCAGTATCACTGAAGTATCTTTCTGTCAAGTCCATAGCATTGTTCAAAAGGGTTGCATCCTCGAGCTTATCCACACACGCTTTAATCGAGACTGCATAGCCAGGGTCACGTTCCACCTTTTTGCGGTAGCGCGTGGTGTGCTCTGCATCTGTTGGGTCTATCTCCCTGGGCCAGCCGCCTTGCTTGTGTTGAACTCCGCGTGTGTCAACTGTTATCCTGTGGGTATTGACGGTGTGCTCAGAAAAATCTTCACCAGATTGGACGGCCTTTTCAGCGTACTGCTCCTCAGTCCACAGATCCTTGGTGTCGTCTGCGTTTGGGGTATAATCCAGGAGAACTTCAGCATCGACGCGCTTGTAGGAAACGTAGCGCCCGAAATCCTTGCGGAGCTTGGTGTACACGTAGGTGATCTCCATCCTTTTTGAAGTTGGTTTTCAGCCGACTTGCAAGAGGATATGTCGCAAGGAGTTGAATTATTAACTAAACGAAGCAGTGAAAATTAGCAATGAAAAGTGAATGGTGACCTAGCCAGTTTCCACAAATAATTTTAATTTGAATTTTCATTTAACCAGATCAATTCCCTCGATGACCTTCCCCGCGCAGCGCAAGATCAGGAAGCCCTTCGAGAAGCTATCTGAGCTTGAGAAGCAGGTGGCCGGTACTCTCTTGAAATTGGAGGACGATCCAGATTTGAGGGAGATGGGCCTGGGGACCCTGTATATTAGCTCTGTCAAAGAGATAGCAGTCGACGGAGACAAGAAGGCTGCGGTGGTCTATGTCCCCTATCCTATGCTGCAGAGCTTCCAGAAAAACTCGGAGGCTCTCATCCTTAAGTTAGAGAAGAACCACTCGGGACACCGCTTCATTATAGTGGCTAACAGAACGATAATGAAGAATGCGTACGTATTCACCGGTAAGAAGAGCATAAGGCGTCCGAGGTCGCGTACCATGACATCTGTTTACAACTGCATCCTGGACGACATCTGCTACCCGATCCATGTCATTGGAAAGCGCACCCTTTACCCTGCGGGCTCTAACCCGAGGCTCCAGGTTGTGCTCCCGAAGGCTGTATACAACGAGGTTAGCGAGCGTACCAAAACATATTCAGCGGTCTACAAGGCTCTAACGGAGAGGGATACTGAGTTCATATTCATGTAAACGCTCTGCGCCGGTTGCTTACTCAGCACCTCTGTGTCAAATTTTCCTGCGGAGTATGTGATCGTATATGACTACGTGCATGTATTCGTGGGTGTCGATGACGTGGCGTACGGTTTTGTCGTCATTGACGGCCGTAGGATTGACATTTATTACCTTTCTATCTCTTTTACACTTGAACAAGAAGCCCTCTTCGTTGTCGGCGATAATCTCAAATGTGTTACTTGCCAGTGAGGACACAAACTGCGTATCCCAATTGTAAAAACTGAGGTCTGTAGATCGAGGGAGAAGCTTCTTTGCTCGCGTGAAGTATGCTACAAAGTTGTCTGTCTTCAATCGATGAGCGTAATCTATGTATCCCGAAATTTCTTGCCCCGAGTGATTTCTGTCTCGAATGAAAATGATACAAGCAAGTCGCCCATCTCTAACTTGTTCCTCCCTTTGAGCAAGTGCAAAGAGAAATGGATATTCGCTAAGATTGAGGCCCGTTGATGCGAGCTGACTATTCATGAAAGACGTCCCCTTGAGCTTTGTGGTTGAAATTTCCTTTTTCGCCGCCTCAAACTCGTCTCGCTTGAGTATCTCATTACGAAGCGAGGAAGTCTCGACTATGGCCCGCGCGATTTCCTGGCTCTCCAAAAAGAACAATGCATCACTCTTAATATGAGAGTCCAAGTACTCTTCGTAGGTCTTGAACTTCTGCACAACATCCATCAGGTTTGCATTCATAGGCTGAGACATGTCGTTCTCCTGCAGAACTAGAGTTATTCTTTAGTAAATCTTCGGTAAATTTTTGCTTGCAGTCTTTCTTCGACGCTCCTTCAGTGTTCTGTCGTTCTAGGGACCTGAATTTCGATAATACATGAATGTGTATGAGCGCTTAGCTGCTGCAACAACTCCTAAGCTGTCAGCTCAGCCTTCTGTAAGAACTGCGCCAGCTGAGAAACGAAGACCTAACACAACAGCGTGCCGGAACCATCCAGCCCAATCATCAACAGCACCAACTTCTCGGCCCGCTGCTCAAACACCCTTATCTAAAGGAGGGCCTAAAGTGCGGACATTAGGTAAATCACAGTCACAGTCCAGCCTACGGAAAACCAAGCCCAATGAGAGTGACCTGCGCCCAACCACAGCTCCCTCGGAAACACCTGCCTCTTCGGGTGCTGCTCTTTGTGACGACACTCAAATTGACCGAGATGAGGCGGCTATCACTACCCTGGCTCAAACTATCAAAGAGGCCAATTATATCCTTATAGGGACTGGGGCAGGGTTTTCAGCAGACTCTGGCCTAGCGGTATACAAGGATATTGCAAGGGTACCTGCCTATGACCTTATGGGGGTTGACTATGCTACCCTCTGTGACCCCATCTGGCTTCAGAGAAACCCAGAGGTGTTCTACGGTTTTTGGGGATATTGCTTTAACTCCTACAGAGACACTACACCTCACGAGGGGTACACAATTATTAAGAACATGATAGCAGCATATCCTAACAAGCACATTTACATCTATTCGAGTAACGTAGATTCTCATTTTGAAAAAATCGGGGTGTCAAGGCAGCACTTTTATGAGTTTCACGGAACATGCATGGACTGGCAATGCTCCCGGTCGTGTAGAATAGATTCAATCTATCGGCTTCCGTTCTATTATAGATTTAATATTAACAAGCAAACAATGCGCTGTTCTACTGGCAGCACTGTACATGCTATCAGGAGCGGACCCGGGTATTCATCTACTACGTCTACCACATCAGTCGCTATTCCCAGGCCACCTCCTATTCTATCGAGATTTACAAAGCCTGGTAAGAATACATCAGTGTTTTCTCAACTGTATTTCTCATACTATGGAGATAACGCGGTGCAAGATTCGTCTAGCTGCTCTCAAGTAGTTCCTCTATCACCTGTGCAGGAAGCCTCTGTAGTCAGGCCAGTGGCTCCTCTGAACACTACCAATCCACCAGTGCAAGTGGATACTAAAAGGGGGTCTCCCATGGTTAGAAGAGAGGTGTATGACAGAGTGTATTCCCAATGTAGTCGTAATTCACAGACAAGGGGCGCTCTACACGATGCACTAGCTAAGCAGGGAATAGACTACTTAGCAATAAGGCACGAGGCCAAAAGGGTGTGCAGCCTATCATCACTTTCTACTTCTACTACAACAAGCACTCCCGTACTGAACCAAGAGGGTGCACACTCAGCAAAGAGTGCCCCCAAAGTATGCGATGCAGTAGAACGCCCAGCTCAGTCTCTGAGTGTGACTGACGATACCACTAAAGAGATACGCGTAGAGGAAGAGTCATTGCCAATGAGCAAGGATACTTTGTCACCCCCTAGTGCATCTTCAATGAATAAGGGCGAACGTGGATGTGTTGCAGTGCATGACCCAATCCATATCGAATCTAATTACAAGAAGATATATGAGTCAGTAAGACCGATTGCATCACAAAATAACGATGGACATCCAATCTGTCCGCACTGTAAGTACTATCTTCGCCCCAGAGTACTTATGTTTGATGATGCAATGTTCATGGAACTCACTGACGAAGAAGAAAAGTACAACTCGTTCAAAAGACAATTGTTTAGAAATAAAAATAGAAAGGTCTGTCTACTTGAAATAGGTTGCGGAGTTCGCATACCAACTATTCGCCACGAGTTCAACAGTATTCTCAGACGATGCGCTAAGAGCGACATTCCGTGTAGTCTATTCAGAATCAACCCTGAAAGAAAGCGTGCGCGGACCACTTCTCGTATAGGCTCACCTCAGTTCTATCATATAGCTCAAGGTGGAAAAGACGCCATGATTCGCCTTGCAAACATTCTAAATATCCCATATTAATCTATCATATTACAAGTTGCACCGATAAAAGCGGCTACTTACTCTACATTATCTAGTAAGCTCGCTCACCATTCATTTGTCTATTGGCACATCATCTCTACCGTTCTGCATGTTTTGCAAGATCCTCAGTATGTCATCTAGTTTGTTCTTACAGTACTCGAATGTGAATTCTGGCCTTAATAGACTGTGTGTTTTGAGAGACTCTAGAAGAACACTGTCTGAAAGATAACAAAGGATTGCTGCCTCTTTTACGCGTCGGAACCTCCGCTTATCTTTGATATCACAAAGGAGTGCTAGCTGTGGGACATTCACATTAAGCTTTGCATCTAGCAAGACCAAAAGATGTGCAGGTTTGTCCAGTCTGTATGTGACTACTAGATCTTCAAAGTGTGGGGTAAGAGCCAGTGTACAAAGAGAGAGAAGGACAGCATGTTTGTTGTATCCTCTGAACAATAGAATGTGTTCCTCAGGGGCTAGGTCTTTTAATCCAAGAGAAGCCCTGTACATATGAGCATCCGACAACGTCTCTGCAACGGTGTTTGTTGAAGCACAGCAGACTCTAGCTACATACCACATGATGGGCATTGTTTTACAACTCTGATTCCCCTTCACCGGCTCATCAAGGAACCTAACAGCTATTGATACGTCTGCAGCGGAGGTTGAAGCATCCTGGTCAAGCAGCGCCTCGTTAATAGCCAGCCCGATAGAAAGTAGTGAAATGAAGTAGTAGAGTGTGTCTAAATTAACCTTCAGAGCATCAATGTAGAGCTTTTCTTTTACCTTCTGCGCAGCAGTAGAATACTCTTCCCAGATTTCCACTGTTCTCTGATATATTGAGTGTACATTCAGCTCTTTATTCATAGAAGTGTTTAGAATGTACAGAAAGATCTCCTCAAATATGTGCATATTAAATAGACCACGAAGGCCACAAAGTGCAGTCTCTCCTGAGAGGATTTCTATAAGCTCCTTGTTGTATCGCTGTCTAGAAACTATCTGCAATCTTGCTGTAAGCTCTTTACTTTCTACTGCCTGATACATCTTTTTGTCCAACTCGAAACCCAGCCTCTTCGAGAAACGAATAGCTCTAAGTATGCGGAGAGGATCGTCATAAAAGGTTATATTATAATCTAATGGTGTTCTAATCAATCTACTTTTTAAATCTGCAAGCCCTTGGCCTGTAAAATCTTCAATCTCTCTTGTATTTATATTATAAAACAGCGCATTGACTGTAAAGTCTCTACGCAACGCATCTTCATGGGGGCTCCCAAACTTTATTGCACTGGGGACTCTGCTAGTTTCCTGATAAGACTCCGCACGTAGATTTACCAAATCCACGTCATAACCACACACTGTTATACAAGCTGTTTCTAGATGTTTAGACTTCTCCGGGTTTTGACTTACGACCCCCATTTTGTGCACAGTCTCTCCCTGAGATGTTATGTACTCGTTGATGATCGTACCTAATTCAACGCCCGTCATGTTATCTACCGCTATGTCTATGTCATGAGATTCATACCCGAGTAGCTTGTCACGAACCCACCCCCCTGCCACACGCAGTGTAGTATCTTGCTTATTGACCGAGGCTATGGCAGCCAAAAGAGTGTTGAAAAGACGTGCCTCACTTTCTGTTACTTGAATAGATGTCGATAGTTGTTGGCTCTTGGAACACGGCTCTGAAGCCATAGTTGTGATTTTTAAATTACGGTGCCCCAGGAAACTTCAGTAGACTAGTGTGACAATGCCGTCTCGCGAGTAGTTCTAATTCCCCATTATGCTTGCACTAACACTTAGGATGAGAACAAGGATGTAGAATGCCTTCCTTCAGTTCATGGATAGAGAGCAAGGTGATAATGTAGCTCTAAAATCATCACTGTATAAGCTCCAAAGAAGTGGCGTAGACGTGAAGCATCACTCTGACAGTGACCACTCTAAAATTGAAGTACTATCGTATTTTGCAAATCACTAAGCTCATTTTGACGGGAAAGCAATAGACTAGTAAAGGAAATTCAGATTTAAAATCAGAAGTATCAATCTCAGGAAATAAATTACTGTTAAGTTTCTAACAGAATGCTCATAAGTGCTTTTAAAATCCAAAAAGTCACCCTCTTCTCCTCGATGGCAAAAGTTTTAGCAGTAATGATTGAGCTCATTGCTAACGCTAAAGCCAGCCCACCCTGAATAGGCTGCTACACATTAAAAATGGATAAGCCCTAAGCAAAACATTATATTTACATTAAGATTCATAAATATCTAAGTTATATTACAAAATATGGAGGCATATAAGCTCAGACGTTCCATGAGCGTAGTCCTGGGTTTAATGAGAGTGAAAGTAATCATATCTAAAATATGCTGAGCCTTTCTAAATATCTAGTATTAAAGGTAGTACGTATCCTTCTAAGTCTTAATTACACAAGAGCGCTAAAGACAGAGTCAAAGGTTCAGTAAGTTAAAGCTTATTGAAACACTCGCTAGTGATGGAGCTCTATGCTATGCAGACGTGCAGTCGGCGCCTCGTCCTTCTGCCGGGTCCGAGACTGAGCCGGCGGCTGGCTCTGGAATCGGCCGGGAAGAACAGCCAAAGAGCACAGGCTAGTCGGCCCCGCTCAGCCACTGGTTGATATAAAGACATTGCTCGGGAGAGATGGCGCTCCCCGGGCCACAAACATACAGGTGAGGGCACTTGCAGCAGGGGGTTGCTGCCACGTGCATGCCCTGGTGTCCAGGCACCTGGTCGTAGCTCGGGCAGTAGGAGTAGAAGTCGCTGTTGACTGATCGATATGCCGGACCCATGTTTGTGAGCATCTCCACCACAGCGCCATCTGCTATCAAGGCCCCCACGATCACCCGGACCTCCTCAGGTGTTAGAGTCCCGACCTCGTTCTTCTGAATGGCCTTGCAGATGTCATCGAAGACGACAGGCGCGCGTCCCACCGCCTTGTACACAAGGGCAGACAGCTTGGAGAGTTCGTCATCGCTGAACCGGCCGGCCAAGGACGAGGAGACGGCGTCGCTGGCCCGGGAAAGCTCCTTTGGGAAATAGTATCGCGCCTGCTTTTCCTGTACCGAGACTATCAGCTGCCGTGTTTCGAGCTTCTTCAGTGAGTCGGCGACGTTTCCTGCGGTGTAGCCCCGCCTCTGCAGGACGTCCTTCACCTCAGAGGCCGTGATTCCACGTGTCCGGGCCTTCAGCGAATGCATGCATACGACGACGTAGACATTCCGGAGATCCGTTTCCTGTAGTCCTGCATAGTTCTTCTTCATGGTTTCTGAAAGCTTCACGTCGGGGGGCATTGGTTTTTTAGAACAGGTAGTGGAGAGGCACAAGCGTGGGCCCTGGACGGTAGCGTGACGACCAGTACTGACACAAAGGCCTTCCAGAAGTTGTGTGGCATTCGGGAGCCATAGGCTGTGCAGGGCGTTGATCTGTTATCTTGAATGATTGTGCACGCCAGGCTTCTTCAATTAGAATGGTTACTAACATTACAGCTTTCTGCTAGTCGTCCTTTGCAATCCTTCCGTGACGGCCTTCATCTGACGCTCTATACAGCTACTCACTGCGGTGATCTCGCAAACCACGTGAAACATATCTGTGCTGCAGTAGAGCCCACCTAGACTACTCCAGACCAGAATCGCCTTGCCTTGTCCTCAGCTCCAGCGACCATAGGCTTTCCCTAGAAGGCCGACGCATCCTTCCCTACTATCGTGCAGCTGAGGATCACATCGGGATACAGCTCTTGTTCTAAGGAAGAGCCGGGCTGCACTTGTCCTGTATACTTGCGCAGCACAGAGAACCCTACAAGTCGTAGTGCTAGGTCGTGTAGTGCGCTGTTTTGCTTTCTTGCATGGACTGCGGGGCTTATGCAAGAAAGTTGATAGCAAGAAACGTGTACACACTGGTGCTTATATCCTTCTGCTTGATACAAGGCAGCAACGACGCGTTTTTGTACACACAGTCTAGGATTAATGGCTAAGTACCTTCACACATTGCGTGCCCTGATTTCTGCTTGCTATGGGCCTGTCTGAGCTCTACAACCCTCTGCAGAGAGAGCTAATCTACCTAACGTTAGCCAAGGCCGCATTCTGACGCTGATAAGCTGGCCACTGACTCACCAATCAACAGCACATGCCACCTTGCACTTCTACCCATAGAAGCTGCATCTCGGTGTTCTGCTTAACCATAATGTACGGCCTCTCTGCAAGACACGCGTTCCCTGTCTCGGCGCAGCCATAGTAGGATCTGTGGTCAAATGCGTAGAAGAACGTACCCAAAAGGTATCGTCTCGGCTCTCCACCTACTGTGATGCGTACTAGCATATGCCAAGTAACTAGTTCATGCGTATCTGTAAGAGTCTTCAGATACCGCGTAGATATGCGCAGAAGTACTTAACCCTGCCCGTACAGCGCGGCCCCTAGATCACAGATCTTTGCAAACAACCTGGACCGCTATCACATGTGCTTCTCCGAGCAAGAAGGCAGTACCTCGGGCTCGCCTAAAAGTAACCGCTATGGATCAGCAATCCTTTAAGGAGTGTCTCGCTAGCATCACACGTGCCTATTGGTGGGTGGTTTGTACATCCGTGATATGGCTGTTCTTGTACCTCCAATTACTTCGAGAAAGAACCAGGGAGCGCTCCTTGCGGATTACAGCCGTGCCACATCAAGCATGCGGCCGCACACCCTTCCAACGTGAGTGACGCACACCGCTGAGACCCATGCACGTTGCTCCGCGGTGTTGCATTGGCACGCAAGTAGGCTATTCTGAAGACTGCAAACTGTTTCAAGCACCCTGTTACTCCATTCCATATCTTGCAGACGCGCCACAGCGGACGCTTTCACAGATGCCTATAGCAGAGGAGCTCCTTCGAAGTAAGGGTTACCTGAAGGTCTTTCTTTATATTGAGGTGACTTGCTAGCCAGCTGGTATAGGCGTCGAAGGAGCCCCATACCTCGCCTCGGCGATATACCCACCTGCGCACTCGCCGCCCTTCAAGCCTGCCTGCGCTCCCAACGAACTCGGCGAAGGTGGGCAGCAGGCGCGCTGGGAAAGTTCGGCACCCCGTGTTCCCACGACGTCTCCGATCGCAGTACTGGCGGGGCCTGACGGCGCTTCTCTTCCTAATTCGGAACGAGTTAAGGAGTTTCCGCCGTAGGATGGCCGAACTGGCGGTCGGTGGGGCTGTGCAATGCACAAAAGACTTGAGCTTGTAAATTTAGCTTGTTACAATTGGTCTATCGCCGGGGCTGTGTACAAGGGCTGACCAATCGAAATGGGATAAGCGGAACGGTCTCTTGCCGAGGAAAAAGATCGCGCCCGAGGCAGTGCTGGAGTCGTCCTCGAGGGCAAACATCTGGGGACAGCTACCAACATGCGACCCCTGCCAACCAGCACACGGAATTTGGTCGATAAGCTGACTAGGCAGCATGCATCTAGGGGATTAGCGTTTACCAAAGGACCACGCGCAGTCTCTTGAATAGATGAGATGTCGCGTTTGGGTCGAAGGCAGTTAGGTAGCTTCTAGCCCCCAGAATGCTAACCAGTGCCCTGTAGGCTGTCTTGCTAGCACTTGCCTTTCTGCACCCACTGATTGCAGTGTGTCGAACGGATAGCTTCTAGAAGGTAATGCTAGATTCAGGAGGGATCACCGCGGAGCCCTCCGGCACGTGCTTAGTCAATTAAGGGGTACTACTACGATGTGTATCACATACTATAGCCAGTTACGCCAGCATGGGAGGCTAGCCATGTCTGGGAAGTAGTAGCTAGTGACACGGTCGACTGCCGGCCATGAGAGCTCCGCGGGGCTGTTCTACTGCGGCTCCATCCTTACACAGAAGGTGCTGCTATGGGCTAGGATGCGCTGCAGTCCATCAAAACTTGATGGCGAGAGTCTCGATGAAGACGGAGACGTGCGTGTTCTGAGGGCTGATCCTGCTTCTATTGGTACCTTATCATGCGCTGCTCTCCGTGAAGCAATAGAACTGCATGCCGGGAGCTTCATTTATATGTACACATGACAAAGCAGGAACAAGTAGTTCTCTTGGCTGCTGATCAATGGCACCTCTGTAGCCTACGTCGATCCGGTGGCGAGCCGGCTATTGAAGCTTCCTGTGTCCAATACTAATACTGCCTACGACGGGCGCCATACTAGCCAAGAATTTGGATAAACAATACCACGATTCATGGGTACGGAGAGTGGCTAGATCGCGTGACTATGCCTTCCAGTTCTCTGCTCACCGCTGGCCGCGCACCAGCTATCTTGGATGCCACAAGAAAAGAGATCAAGCGTTATGCTCTCATTACAAGTATCTCTACGTGGCTCAACAGAATACCTGCCCTGGCACTGTATGCGTTCTAAGGGCCTCTTACTCAACGAGCAGGACACGGACCCTGTGGTGCTACATCCAGACACAGGAAGGGTGGAGGCTGACTGCTAGAGACAGTACGGGCCTGCACTGCCTGTCAGGCCAGTCGGATCCTCATGCGCTCTCCGGCCCCTCTGCTGGGCGCTGAGTCCTTGCTAACCTTAGTTACACACCGTCCGCGGAAGCACATGCGGCAGACCTCGCGGACATGCAGGTGTGCTCCGAAGTCTAGTAACCTGGGCACAGGATGCTGTGGCCATCTGGTTAGTATTACAGCTTCATCCTGGGCGCGTACAGGTGACCCAGATTGGCACGGGACGTACGGGAAACCGACGGAAGCCATCTGGTGGCGGGATGCACCACAACCAGCCCCGTCGCCCGATATAAGATACCTCCAGCTGGAAACAAAGTATTCTGTACTGATACGTGCTCGTTCAGAGGTGTGCCCTATTTATCACTTCCTGCTCGGGTAGTCGGGAGCTAGCTGTTTAGTGCATCTGCCTAAAGCTAAGTAAAGGCAATAGTGGGCACAGCAGCCAAGAACGGCCAATCAGACAGCCACCGGACGCACCTCTTCGCTGTTATCATTGTCAAATCTGGAAGCAGCTGGTGCTTTATTGACACACTATGAGTGGCTGCCTGGTCCCAGCCTTCTCCCATGTTGCAGCACAATGCCCACACACCGCAAGGGGCGCACAAGTACTCGGTGCGTATGTTACAGGGCTTGTATGATCGTGGATGGCCGACATGAGGCTAATCTTTTTGCTTCAAGTAACTTGGTTGATGAAGGATATGGAGCTGTGGTCTTCAGGGATAGCCTCTGGTCCATCATTGCGAGATCAGCCATAGATAAGCATGAGTATATCCAGTCACACCACAGTGGAGCCCTTAGCCAAGGATGGCAAATGCTCAAGGCCCAACGTCCAAGAAAGATATACAAGTGCTCGGTCCCTTCTTCTGAGAGCCCAGCATCCTCCCAGCGGGTCTGGAGGCCATGGTGCTCTTCATAAGGAAGGGTATAAGAGTCAGACGTAATTGCTGACTAGTCACTGTTCTGAATGTGACTAGTAGGTATGAGAGAATCAGGGTGGATCTAGTCAAGGAAGAGCGAGGAGATGCTATCAGAGGGAGCAAGGAGATACTGAGTCAGACAGGCCAGGGACATGAATCTAAATTGCGAAATATACCTGTAGATAGCCGAAACAATGAATTAGCAGAGTCGTGTCGCCTGATGAAAAGTCAGCCTGCTTTTCACCTTCTATCTCGGTCTAAGCTTTCACTAGAGGGTCATCCTCAAAGACCTTCAGCAATAGCTACAGAGATCATACAATTGTTAATAGAATGGTTGATGCGTTTACTACCTAAGTATCTATGCTTTTCCTCTACAGATGAACCACCAGCAGAGGAAGCCGACGAGACCACCAACAACTATGACAGCAGCCACGGCGATACCAGCTATGGCCCCCGTGGAGAGCCCGCTCTTGTTCGTGCTATTCCCTCCACTGCTGCCATCCATCTTCACATAGCAAGTGACAGAACCGCTATCACCAGATGGTGGAGCACAACTCACGCAATCGGTTACGCCAGTAATTTGGCCGTCACTAGCATCACACTTCACACACTTTGTTCCAGACTTATAGTACCCAGAGAAGCAAGTTTGACACTGCTGTGTCTGTCCTGCTGTGCACGTCTTGCAGGTGGAGTCGCACAACGGGCACACTCCAGTCCCTCCGTCTGGGGTTTGTCCGTTAGCACACGTTTGGCATTTCCCTCCATTGTCAGTCGTGCAGATGCTCTTCCCGGGGAGCCTCGTCGTCTGGTAGCACCCGCCCTCCTGGATGAAGTATCCGGCGGCGCAGGCCGTGCAGGCACCGTCAGCGGCAGTGGTGCAGAACTGAGTCCTGGCCGCGTTGCTTGTGCAGACGCCATTGAGCGGCACGTTGCTCCCCTTGCACTTCGAGCAGTACTTGGTACCTCCAATTGTTAGGCCGCACGTCTCGCACTCCGGGCCCTCCACACATTGCTCCACGCACTGGCCGCCCTCATTAAGCTTGGTCTCGTCGGTGTACCTCAGCATCTTCCCGGCGGGACAGGCCGTGCACTTGGAAGCGCCGGCCCCGCTGCACTCCGCACAGGAGGGGTCGCAGGGCGCGCACGTTTGTCCGGATAGATACGTTCCGACAGGGCAGGCATCTAAGCATGCCTTCTTCGTCGGGGTCAGATGCTTGCCTGGTTCACATGCCACGCAAGTCTGCTTGTCCTGGGAGCACGTCTGGCAGTTCACGATCGGGCACTCGGCCGGCGCTGGGTTGCACTGCTTTGTGTTTTCGTCGAGGTCGAAGCCAGAGTTACACGCCTCGCACTTTGTTTCGTCGCTGGGGACGCACCGCTCGCAGTTGTCGACCTGGCAGCCGGACGTGGGTTGTTTAGTGCGTTGCGCGGCGAGGCCGCTCATCAAAAAGCAGAGAGCTGGTAGTAACATTGGTGCTCGACTCACGTGTTGCTTGTGGTTTCACTCAGTAATATGAGACGTCAGGAGAAGAATGTTTAACAGCCAATTAGCCCGCAAGGATCCTTTCTAGGATCTTCCAGCGCACTCCATCCAGTAGTAGTGTCGCTTGCCACGCCAGCGCTCCTTTATAACCCTTCATGACGGAGGAACCTGTATGGCAGTCCATCGCTGCAATCCCAGCACATTGTATCCCCGTCCGGAGAGACAGGCTGTCTCATTTCTACGTGCATTCCAAAGATTCTATCTGTTTGTGTGGTGTCAAGCTCGGCCTCTCGCTCACTTAAGGATCGTCAGTTTAACGTCTCCCTGCGTTCCCTCTGATAGCATCTCCTCGCTCTTCCTTGACTAGATCCACCCTGATTCTCTCATACCTACTAGTCACATTCAGAACAGTGACTAGTCAGCAATTACGTCTGACTCTTATACCCTTCCTTATGAAGAGCACCATGGCCTCCAGACCCGCTGGGAGGATGCTGGGCTCTCAGAAGAAGGGACCGAGCACTTGTATATCTTTCTTGGACGTTGGGCCTTGAGCATTTGCCATCCTTGGCTAAGGGCTCCACTGTGGTGTGACTGGATATACTCATGCTTATCTATGGCTGATCTCGCAATGATGGACCAGAGGCTATCCCTGAAGACCACAGCTCCATATCCTTCATCAACCAAGTTACTTGAAGCAAAAAGATTAGCCTCATGTCGGCCATCCACGATCATACAAGCCCTGTAACATACGCACCGAGTACTTGTGCGCCCCTTGCGGTGTGTGGGCATTGTGCTGCAACATGGGAGAAGGCTGGGACCAGGCAGCCACTCATAGTGTGTCAATAAAGCACCAGCTGCTTCCAGATTTGACAATGATAACAGCGAAGAGGTGCGTCCGGTGGCTGTCTGATTGGCCGTTCTTGGCTGCTGTGCCCACTATTGCCTTTACTTAGCTTTAGGCAGATGCACTAAACAGCTAGCTCCCGACTACCCGAGCAGGAAGTGATAAATAGGGCACACCTCTGAACGAGCACGTATCAGTACAGAATACTTTGTTTCCAGCTGGAGGTATCTTATATCGGGCGACGGGGCTGGTTGTGGTGCATCCCGCCACCAGATGGCTTCCGTCGGTTTCCCGTACGTCCCGTGCCAATCTGGGTCACCTGTACGCGCCCAGGATGAAGCTGTAATACTAACCAGATGGCCACAGCATCCTGTGCCCAGGTTACTAGACTTCGGAGCACACCTGCATGTCCGCGAGGTCTGCCGCATGTGCTTCCGCGGACGGTGTGTAACTAAGGTTAGCAAGGACTCAGCGCCCAGCAGAGGGGCCGGAGAGCGCATGAGGATCCGACTGGCCTGACAGGCAGTGCAGGCCCGTACTGTCTCTAGCAGTCAGCCTCCACCCTTCCTGTGTCTGGATGTAGCACCACAGGGTCCGTGTCCTGCTCGTTGAGTAAGAGGCCCTTAGAACGCATACAGTGCCAGGGCAGGTATTCTGTTGAGCCACGTAGAGATACTTGTAATGAGAGCATAACGCTTGATCTCTTTTCTTGTGGCATCCAAGATAGCTGGTGCGCGGCCAGCGGTGAGCAGAGAACTGGAAGGCATAGTCACGCGATCTAGCCACTCTCCGTACCCATGAATCGTGGTATTGTTTATCCAAATTCTTGGCTAGTATGGCGCCCGTCGTAGGCAGTATTAGTATTGGACACAGGAAGCTTCAATAGCCGGCTCGCCACCGGATCGACGTAGGCTACAGAGGTGCCATTGATCAGCAGCCAAGAGAACTACTTGTTCCTGCTTTGTCATGTGTACATATAAATGAAGCTCCCGGCATGCAGTTCTATTGCTTCACGGAGAGCAGCGCATGATAAGGTACCAATAGAAGCAGGATCAGCCCTCAGAACACGCACGTCTCCGTCTTCATCGAGACTCTCGCCATCAAGTTTTGATGGACTGCAGCGCATCCTAGCCCATAGCAGCACCTTCTGTGTAAGGATGGAGCCGCAGTAGAACAGCCCCGCGGAGCTCTCATGGCCGGCAGTCGACCGTGTCACTAGCTACTACTTCCCAGACATGGCTAGCCTCCCATGCTGGCGTAACTGGCTATAGTATGTGATACACATCGTAGTAGTACCCCTTAATTGACTAAGCACGTGCCGGAGGGCTCCGCGGTGATCCCTCCTGAATCTAGCATTACCTTCTAGAAGCTATCCGTTCGACACACTGCAATCAGTGGGTGCAGAAAGGCAAGTGCTAGCAAGACAGCCTACAGGGCACTGGTTAGCATTCTGGGGGCTAGAAGCTACCTAACTGCCTTCGACCCAAACGCGACATCTCATCTATTCAAGAGACTGCGCGTGGTCCTTTGGTAAACGCTAATCCCCTAGATGCATGCTGCCTAGTCAGCTTATCGACCAAATTCCGTGTGCTGGTTGGCAGGGGTCGCATGTTGGTAGCTGTCCCCAGATGTTTGCCCTCGAGGACGACTCCAGCACTGCCTCGGGCGCGATCTTTTTCCTCGGCAAGAGACCGTTCCGCTTATCCCATTTCGATTGGTCAGCCCTTGTACACAGCCCCGGCGATAGACCAATTGTAACAAGCTAAATTTACAAGCTCAAGTCTTTTGTGCATTGCACAGCCCCACCGACCGCCAGTTCGGCCATCCTACGGCGGAAACTCCTTAACTCGTTCCGAATTAGGAAGAGAAGCGCCGTCAGGCCCCGCCAGTACTGCGATCGGAGACGTCGTGGGAACACGGGGTGCCGAACTTTCCCAGCGCGCCTGCTGCCCACCTTCGCCGAGTTCGTTGGGAGCGCAGGCAGGCTTGAAGGGCGGCGAGTGCGCAGGTGGGTATATCGCCGAGGCGAGGTATGGGGCTCCTTCGACGCCTATACCAGCTGGCTAGCAAGTCACCTCAATATAAAGAAAGACCTTCAGGTAACCCTTACTTCGAAGGAGCTCCTCTGCTATAGGCATCTGTGAAAGCGTCCGCTGTGGCGCGTCTGCAAGATATGGAATGGAGTAACAGGGTGCTTGAAACAGTTTGCAGTCTTCAGAATAGCCTACTTGCGTGCCAATGCAACACCGCGGAGCAACGTGCATGGGTCTCAGCGGTGTGCGTCACTCACGTTGGAAGGGTGTGCGGCCGCATGCTTGATGTGGCACGGCTGTAATCCGCAAGGAGCGCTCCCTGGTTCTTTCTCGAAGTAATTGGAGGTACAAGAACAGCCATATCACGGATGTACAAACCACCCACCAATAGGCACGTGTGATGCTAGCGAGACACTCCTTAAAGGATTGCTGATCCATAGCGGTTACTTTTAGGCGAGCCCGAGGTACTGCCTTCTTGCTCGGAGAAGCACATGTGATAGCGGTCCAGGTTGTTTGCAAAGATCTGTGATCTAGGGGCCGCGCTGTACGGGCAGGGTTAAGTACTTCTGCGCATATCTACGCGGTATCTGAAGACTCTTACAGATACGCATGAACTAGTTACTTGGCATATGCTAGTACGCATCACAGTAGGTGGAGAGCCGAGACGATACCTTTTGGGTACGTTCTTCTACGCATTTGACCACAGATCCTACTATGGCTGCGCCGAGACAGGGAACGCGTGTCTTGCAGAGAGGCCGTACATTATGGTTAAGCAGAACACCGAGATGCAGCTTCTATGGGTAGAAGTGCAAGGTGGCATGTGCTGTTGATTGGTGAGTCAGTGGCCAGCTTATCAGCGTCAGAATGCGGCCTTGGCTAACGTTAGGTAGATTAGCTCTCTCTGCAGAGGGTTGTAGAGCTCAGACAGGCCCATAGCAAGCAGAAATCAGGGCACGCAATGTGTGAAGGTACTTAGCCATTAATCCTAGACTGTGTGTACAAAAACGCGTCGTTGCTGCCTTGTATCAAGCAGAAGGATATAAGCACCAGTGTGTACACGTTTCTTGCTATCAACTTTCTTGCATAAGCCCCGCAGTCCATGCAAGAAAGCAAAACAGCGCACTACACGACCTAGCACTACGACTTGTAGGGTTCTCTGTGCTGCGCAAGTATACAGGACAAGTGCAGCCCGGCTCTTCCTTAGAACAAGAGCTGTATCCCGATGTGATCCTCAGCTGCACGATAGTAGGGAAGGATGCGTCGGCCTTCTAGGGAAAGCCTATGGTCGCTGGAGCTGAGGACAAGGCAAGGCGATTCTGGTCTGGAGTAGTCTAGGTGGGCTCTACTGCAGCACAGATATGTTTCACGTGGTTTGCGAGATCACCGCAGTGAGTAGCTGTATAGAGCGTCAGATGAAGGCCGTCACGGAAGGATTGCAAAGGACGACTAGCAGAAAGCTGTAATGTTAGTAACCATTCTAATTGAAGAAGCCTGGCGTGCACAATCATTCAAGATAACAGATCAACGCCCTGCACAGCCTATGGCTCCCGAATGCCACACAACTTCTGGAAGGCCTTTGTGTCAGTACTGGTCGTCACGCTACCGTCCAGGGCCCACGCTTGTGCCTCTCCACTACCTGTTCTAAAAAACCAATGCCCCCCGACGTGAAGCTTTCAGAAACCATGAAGAAGAACTATGCAGGACTACAGGAAACGGATCTCCGGAATGTCTACGTCGTCGTATGCATGCATTCGCTGAAGGCCCGGACACGTGGAATCACGGCCTCTGAGGTGAAGGACGTCCTGCAGAGGCGGGGCTACACCGCAGGAAACGTCGCCGACTCACTGAAGAAGCTCGAAACACGGCAGCTGATAGTCTCGGTACAGGAAAAGCAGGCGCGATACTATTTCCCAAAGGAGCTTTCCCGGGCCAGCGACGCCGTCTCCTCGTCCTTGGCCGGCCGGTTCAGCGATGACGAACTCTCCAAGCTGTCTGCCCTTGTGTACAAGGCGGTGGGACGCGCGCCTGTCGTCTTCGATGACATCTGCAAGGCCATTCAGAAGAACGAGGTCGGGACTCTAACACCTGAGGAGGTCCGGGTGATCGTGGGGGCCTTGATAGCAGATGGCGCTGTGGTGGAGATGCTCACAAACATGGGTCCGGCATATCGATCAGTCAACAGCGACTTCTACTCCTACTGCCCGAGCTACGACCAGGTGCCTGGACACCAGGGCATGCACGTGGCAGCAACCCCCTGCTGCAAGTGCCCTCACCTGTATGTTTGTGGCCCGGGGAGCGCCATCTCTCCCGAGCAATGTCTTTATATCAACCAGTGGCTGAGCGGGGCCGACTAGCCTGTGCTCTTTGGCTGTTCTTCCCGGCCGATTCCAGAGCCAGCCGCCGGCTCAGTCTCGGACCCGGCACAAGGATGGTGCCGCCGAGTCGGGCGTCAATTGTAGAGTAAGGATATCAAGAGGGCACTGGGCCAGTTTCCATGCGCCTAAGCGCTTCTCAGCATCAGGGCCCACTGGGGAGCGCACTGTCATTGTTGGTGTGCACGATCGATGACAAAATTATCTTAGCACTATATTCACAATATTGTAGCATAAAAGATAATCTTTGGATTATCCTTGGAACGTAATCAATCTTCCGCTTTTCTTTAAATAGTCACAAGCCTCTTTGAGAAGCGCTGCGGAATCAGCAACATTTTCATGGTTATCAGCAAATATATACTTAAGGACCGGGTTCCCTTTACAGTGTTTATCATCGTCCATTTCAGGAGGGGAACACGCCCTCCCATCGAGCGCTTGGTAGGCTAGTTTGTCATTACCAATAGCACAAGCTATGCGATACTTTAGAGCAAGATCAGTAGTGAGGCTGCTTAACTCATTAAGCTTTTCAACACTACCCACAATATAGGCACACAAAAAGCACATGGGATAATTTTCCACGTCTTTGTATAGAGAATACGCATCTTCCAAATAGCCACTACGAAAGGCCAAGTCGCCCATCTTCCGCTTTGCTTCGGGACTATCATAATCAGCAGATTTAGGAAAGAGAGTAAGCTGTATGTCCACACGACCAGCATACGAAGCGATTAGACTCTTTTGCTCGGCATTATGTAGAATTCCCTCAACGTCTTCGTAAGATAAGCCTGCTTTAATAAGTTGGTGAGCTGCGGGAACGGTATTTTCTGTGAAACAACGGGCCAACTCAAGTGCTTCTTGCAGTTTCTTTTCCAGCAGAAGCTGCTTCAACTTAATCATACGGTTATCTAACCTAGCGTTCAGTAGGGTTATGGTGTTAGAATGCAACGACCCAGATCCATTGTGTATTGGCGTGCCAAGTACAATGATCTGGTCATTCTGTAAGTTAATTACATCACCATCCTTTTCTTTAATGGGTTGAACGAGCCCTATGCCCAATATTCTATTAGCACCCTCTACAACTATGGCAGACGGCATTATTGATATTCCAGCCGATTCAGATGATACGTTTACCAAAGAGATAAGTTCTTTGGTACTCATCTGATAAATTAGGCTAGTGGAATTTTCTAGTTGGCTGGAGCTCCCCCGAAGACTTACGCAATAAAGAATGGAGGTTCCATCAGTGTTGAAAGCTATGGACTCTACTTCCTTGTCTATAACATGCAAAAGAGCTACCGCATTCAGTAACCCATCTTCCTTATCATAAACTTCTTCATTATCAATATTTGCAGTTATGTATCCCCAGTTTATGCCAAGGATGTATGTTTCCGCGGGCGAAGTGATTGCAAGCATGTCTCCAGCGCCACTCCAAATCAAGGATGTTGCCGTCACGTTGACCTGACAGAGGAACTTGAAGCTTCGGGACCAGTCAAAGAATACAACAGCATCTTCAGCTAGCACAGCCAGCAAGGGCCCTGAAACAAGGGTCTGGGCGGTATAAATAAGCTTCAAAGAACATAGCTCCACATTTTCTTTTGCTAGAGAATGCATTGCCAGTCTTCTCCGTTTTTCATCAACAATAGCGTATAGCCCCTCTTCGGCACGATCAGTGAGCAAAAGTTTGGAGGCCTTTTCATCCAGCGCGTCGTCTCTATAAACAAAATTCAAGGGCTCACAGTCTGTCGCAAAAGCGAGTGCATAGCAAGAGCCGACAATCTTCTTTTTGAGAGACATTGTAGAAACTAGTGCGTAGCTACCGTCTCCAGTTATGGCCAAGAAGCGACCGTTCGGGCTGTAAGTTAAGTCCTTTACAAAAGGTCCTGTCTCCTCCGGTGAAATTGTCTTCCATTCCACTTGCTCTAAAGCGCCTGTCAAGGTGCAAAATGCTACGCCAGCTCCTGGCCCTGGAATTATGCTACGACTTCCAGGAACTGGAGTTCCCGCAATTGCTAGAAAAGATCTGTGTCCAGCAGTTGAGGATCCGTCATAGGAGGCGTATTTAAGAGTACTTTCACCTATCCTCACAACAGCAAGCCCTTGGTCACAGCCAATTGCAGCATAGACCCCAGAAACATCAAAATTGTAAGAGACAGCCCACATTCTCCCAAGGCTATAGTTCATTGTGCGTTCCAAAGTCATGGACGTTGTATTAATGATGGAAAGATTATTATCCTCAGCAACAGCGAGAAGATAGCTAGAACCAGTAACATACGAAACACAGCTGACACTTGCTGAGTGGTGGTCAAACTCACGAACGACCGCACGAGAGTGAGTGTCCCAGATCCTGATAGTTGTATCATCGGATCCTGATGCAATGTACTGCAATCCCCCGGTGTAATACGGATTGCTTGTAACATCATTGTTGAGACTCTCGCACCAGCACACGCTATTGACCCCTTGCTCGTGACCAAATAACGTAAACAACGAAATCGCTGTGGCTTTCGGCATAAGAGTCTTCATGTCATCGGCAGACGTATACCCGTCATCCCTCCCCCTTTTCAAGACTGTTCCGATTGCCCTTGTAAGTCCTTGTGCCGCCAAAGTAGCATAAGTCATGGCGAGGCCTCTATCCTCTTCATCATTAGTATAGGTGCTGAAGTTTGTCTGGAGAACCCCAACAGCAGGAGCATCTGCGGCTATAGTAGCCTTGGCACGGAATGACTCCATATTGACAAGGCGGCTGACATCCCACGCTTTGATTGTAGAGTCCATCGATCCAGAGATAAGCTTGAGACCTGCTGGGTCTATGCAGAGTGACATCACGAAGTGCGCATGCCCGTGCAATTCTTGCTCTAAATTAAATCCGGTAGCCTGACTGTTGAGACTCCAGACACGTATGACTCCATCATCGCCACCTGTAAATACGACGGTTTCATCACTTGTAGGATGGATCTCAATGGCCCGGATGCAGTCAGAATGAGCCGTCACTTCGGCACGCTTCTGAAGGGAGCCAGATTCATAAAGGCGTAGAACGCCATCATCAGAACCTACAAGAAGAAAACTAGTCTTTGGAAGAAAACGAACTGCGCGAATAGGGTGCGGACAAACAGATATGGTCTTAAGGACTCTTCCTACTGCCCAGTCATAGAGGGCCAGCTCCCCACTGAACAGCCCTTGCACGACCCATGGTTGCTGGCAGTGAAAGTCAACAGCCTTTATCCTTGATGTGCGGATGGTCTGAAGGGTAGACAAGGCAGGGGGCTGCGTCATTCTGACTGAATCTTTTATTTTTTAAGGTTTGTGTAGGTGTGAAAACGCACTATGGCAGAAGATCCTTCGAGCTGTAGTTCTTGTTCTGAGCTACCGGACTTAGAGGAAATGGACCTGGGAACCAATGAGACGGAACAGCTGCTCATTGATTACCGAGCCCTAAGTCTAGGCGATCCTCTCAAATCATACGATGACGATGCTTTCGAAGAGGCTATGCAACTACGAGCCCGTGCATTGAATGCCTACCCGGAAAAATTGAATACAGCCATCCTCCTTCTCACGGATGCTATTAATCTCTGCCCGTGTTCGGCCTTGATGCTTATGTCCCGAGCACAAGTGTTGTTTGACATAGGTGAACTTGCTGCTGCTATACGGGATCTCAAAGCTGCTACAGAGCGCTCCCCTACCCACGTTGGCTCCTTTAGGCTTCTTGGCAAAGCCTACACTTATCTCTGCCATTACGGAGAAGCGCTTGCAGCTTATCAGAAGGCACAGAGCCTTGATTATAGCGAAGACGTTGCAGAGCTTATTAAAGGCTTGAATCCGAAGGTCGAAGCAGAGAAGCGGGAGGAAGCAGAGGCAAAACGTCTCTTCGAAGAACAGCAAAACAAGGCATCTGCCAAGGCACAGGAGAAGAAGGAACAATCATTTGCAGACCGAGTGTATGCAGAGGTCGAAACTGCAAAGTCTAAGGGGGGTCCCCTACCAGAAGCATTTCGTGTTCTTGACAATCTGAAATCAGAGGCACAGAGCCTCTCCGCCTCCACAGCTCAGAAGTTGCTATCGAATAACACTACTGCTCAGGCCATGGAGGACCCTGAGTTTACTCGGAAGCTTGACGAAGTCGCCAAGGATCCGGCCGCCGCTGCCGTTCACATGAGAGACCCTAAGTTTGCTAAGGCGTTCATGGAAATTATCAACTGCTTCAAGTAACGCGCTCTTTCACGGATAAATCTTGCCGCTTATGAAAGTAAATCGAATAATTGGCCATTAGTATGGGCATAACCATAGTTACAATTCTTTTGCAATCGTTGCTTCTGACGATTCTAGTAGTTTCTTGCCTAGCAGTGAAGAAACGACGCTTTGTTCCCACAATCCTTATCCTTGGACGAGCACATGGCGATTCAGTCGCAGTCTACCGGCTTTTGACAAACATGACCACAGCTCATGATCAGCAACACACTGCACTCCTTGTCAACACAGGGTATGTGCACCTCTTAAACTGTATTGCCAGAGTGGCGTGCGTACCTCCAAGTCATATAGACTCGGCTATTGCTGATTCACTCCCAAATGTCTATTTAGCACATACAATGCTAGTAGTATACATTGCAGGTCCAGTAGATCTGGATAAAACTGTAGATGATATTCTAAAACTCCTTAAAATTGTTTCCATTGGATGCGAGATTGTAGTCAGCACTCGTTCAAAAGAATTAGAGTTGCTGCGAACTGTGCTTAGCCCCAGACTAGCTAAGGATCTTCCCAACGAAGCATCAAGAGTCGTCTATGCTACAGGAGATCCACAAGACGACTGGCGTGAACTGCTAGCAGCTATATGGAGACATACATGAAGAGTTTGAGATAGAATTGGTGGAACTGCGGGCACCTGTAAACCTTGCCTGTTTATTAACTGGTCAAAAATTAGCTAGCGTGTGGCTCAATTTGAAATGTCTGCTTTCGAGGTTTACCGTAGGAAATTCAAGCCAGCGCTTCCTCGTGCAATTCAGGGCGCAAGCTATCATCTCCACACAGAAGAGAAGACGCACCCTGTCGCTGACGAGCAGGATATAGCGGCGCTCTTCCCGAAGACCACGCATCTTCCCCTTCTTGACATTCAGCCCGACACTGGTGCACCGAAGCTCCTTGAGCCAAAGAGGGTTGGAGTAATCTTCTCTGGAGGACAAGCCCCCGGTGGTCACAATGTGCTCTGTGGTCTCTATGATAAGTTGCAGCAGATCGCCCCCAAGTCTGTTCTCCTCGGGTTCCAGAACGGACCAAAAGGCCTTATGACTAACAAGTATGTTGAGCTCACGGAGAAGTTCCTCGAGCCCTTCAGAAATATGGGTGGCTTCCATGCTATCGGGAGTGGCCGCGACAAGATTGCTAAGCCTGAGGATTTTGATGCAGCCGCCAAAACTGCAAAGGACAATAACCTTGACATAATTTGTATCATTGGGGGAGACGACAGCAATACTAACGCATGCCTCCTCGCCGAGGACTTTCTCAAGCGTGGTCTAAAGACTGCTGTAATCGGCGTTCCCAAAACAATCGACCGTGACCTGTACTCCACGAAGGGGATCGAATGTTCCTTCGGGTTTGATAGCTCTACGAAAGTCTACGCAGAGCTCATAGGCAACATATGTTATGATTGTCTTAGCGCTAAGAAGTATTGGCACTTCATCAGGCTTATGGGCCGTTCGGCCTCTCATATTACGCTAGAGTGCGGGCTGCAGACACACGCAAACATCTGCCTCGTCGGTGAAGAGATCCTAAGTAAGAAAATGACATCTCGCCAGCTGTTTGAATATCTGGCTGATTGTGTTACGAAGCGAGCTGACAGTGGCAAGAACTATGGGGTCTGCTTGGTTCCAGAGGGACTTATTGAGTTCATTCCCGAGAACAACGAGCTCTTTGCATACCTCAATAACACACTTCTGCCTCACTGGACCGGAGAGCTCACTGCGGACGCCGTGGCGGCTAAGCTTCCAGATCCACTGAGAACGACCTTCATGGCAATTCCCGCCAGTATCCGCACCCAGTTGCTTCTTGATAGAGACCCCCATGGTAACATTGCAATCTCTCAGATTGAAACGGAAAAGTTTCTGGGGGCAGGGGTGCAGCAAGTGCTGAGGGAGCGCGGTTCAAAGACAAAGTTTACTCCGCTCTATCACTTCTTTGGCTATGAGGGAAGGTGTGCTGCGCCCTCCGACTTCGACTGCTCCCTTTGTTATAGCTTGGGGGCTGTTGCAGCAATCTTGGGTTGCAATGGAAAGACAGGCTACATGGCCTCTCTTCGCAACCTTGTCAGGCCTCCCGCCGATTGGTCTCCTATTGGCCTTCCTCTTACATGCCTTATGAACATGGAGATGCGCCACGGCCACAAGACCCCTGTCATTATGAAGCAGATGACCGACCTGAATGGCAATCCGTACAAGCTATTAGCAAGAAACCGTGACACTTGGCTCATGAATGATGATTACCAAAACCCAGGGCCAATCCAGCAAATTGCTACAGAATCTGCAGAGGGGACCGCTGTCTGTGCACGCCCCACGATAACCCTGATCGAAGAGGCTCGAAAGTAAGGCTTTAGGCCAGCCGATCGAGCAACAAGTGAATGATTGCGAAGGTCTGCGTCACGACCTGGAGCTTGCATTAGTGACAATCCGCTAGATTCCTAAATTTGTCGGTTGCCAAAGTCACGAGTAAATCATAATCATATACGGAAGTCTCCAAGTATTCCGCGGCTCCAGGGTATGATAAGCTATAGTCTCGCGTATCCTCAACAGTAAGCATTCTCGTCGGAATTTGAAGATCTGGACTGTCTCGCTCTTCACTGCATTGGTCGTGGCATCCAAAACTCAAGAGTCGCTCGCTGTCCAAGTCAAAGCTGAAAACGTCTTTCTTGGGCAAAGGCTCTGTCAGGTGATTAGAGCAAGGCAAAATTAGAGGGATCATTTGCCGCTAAATTTTTGAATTTTCACGGCAAGCCTTTCGGTGGAGTCCGCGGAAATGACTCCAAAGAAGACATGTTTAAGGATAGGTATAACAAACAGATCTGCATGACATGTGGCATCCTTGCTATTGAGATCTTAGCACTCACATTAAAAAAACCCATGAGTGTACCAGTCCCATATACAGATATACCAGAGAATTTTTCGACCTGGCTAAAGACAGAAAGGGAGAATGGTACCATGGGTCGTGCACTCAATTACAAGCTTTCTGCCTACCTGTCAGACGTTTATAATATTGTCACTGTCACAGACCCAGAGGTTATAGAGAATACTGCGCTCGGTATACTCCATGCGATAACTGGAAAGGACCCCACACCACCGAAAGTAGATAATATTAATTCCAGACCTCAAAGTCCATCAGTTGGGAAGGTGAAGAACGGTGGAGTTGCGAGTCTTTCAAAGAAGGACACTACTCCTGCTGCCCTACCATATCAGATAGACCTAGTATCTCCAGAACCTTATCTTGAGCGAGAAGCATTCTTTTACACCTCCAACACTGCTCTAAATGCTGACTATAAAGCAATGAGAATTACGATATTGAACGTTCTTTTGTTTGCAACTTCACAGTCGCTTATCGCGCACCCAGATCCTACTTCTACTAATATTCTGCACGTTGCTATTGAGCTTGCTCACAGAGCGATCTTGGTCAATCACATTCCCCCTACTTCCTGTCTTCCTCTCTCTATGAGTCAATTTCTGGCGACAGCATCTTTCATTGAATGTCTCTGTGTAGCCATAGAAAGGGTTCTCCCTCTAGTGTGGAAGATTGCAAAGGAATATACGGATGCACAAATGCAACAGCGTCCCCGGAGCCCAAGCATACGAAAGGTCATATCGGAGTCTGCATGCCACGAAATCACTTGTATATTGTCATGCATCTCTGGTTTCCTCAGGATTTTTCTTGGTCACTATGATGAGTTGCTTCTGTTTGTGGAGGGGCAAGGGGGGTCTGGTGTTGAGCTATATCCCGCTATGGTTGGTGCAGTGACGTCGGATAAGGCGAAAGGAAAGGATGCACCTGTATCCCAGTTTGATTGTTCACGTTTTAACCTGGCTACCTCTAACAGAGAGCTGCTCCAAAAGATAGCCCGGACATATCTGCATCTCTCTGACGTTCTCTGTAACGCCCTGCAACCGATATTAGGAACGTTTTCAGTTCACAGGATCGTCGTGCCGTACAACTTATGTGAGGGTATCCTATCGTTTCATACCAGATATGAATCACTGCTTACTCATGTACAGAAGAGATTTGACTTTCTACAGCGTAGTTTTGCGTATTTGAAGGACCACATTTCAGATAAGGACCAGCTGCCTCCGGACTATTCAGCATACTGCGAACTCTTAACCGGTGTTCCGCGAAAACCAGCGAACGCTGAAGCTGCAAATGTGGCTAGTTCTAATCACTATGCTGTCCTCACAAAGGACTATCTGACCATATGTAATTCTTTTATGACCATGTCTAGATTGGCAGGTCTCTCCTGCACAGTCCTCCTGTTCTCTGAGCCTTATGTTTCGGCCTCTGTACCTGAAGATGGTGCTCAGCAATCTGGCCAAATTGGTGCAAGTAATACAGCTAGAATAGTACAATATCCCGACAGCTACAGTTTTTCTGAGTCACTATTGGTCGCTGCTTTGTCAACTTGTCATAGAACGCCTCGCTCACAGAAGCTACCATCGCAGGACGATTGCGCTGCAATAATTTCTTTTTGTCACTTGCCTATCGCGTTCATCACTTTGTCTCTTGATACAACGGAGTTATTTCCAGATTTCTTTCCGCGAAAAAATAGACCTTCTGCTTTGGTGGGTACTCTAGGCACATTTATTTCTACTTTTAGCAGGATCTACAAGCAATCCATTCAATGTTTATCTCTTGTCTCCGGACGACCTATTTATCGTTACGATATCAAAGGGGACACACTCACATATCATCCAGATGTGATGTGTGTCATTCAGTCTATTGTGATCAATGCGATAGCCTTCGATAGCATCTCAGTACCTGAAAAGTCCGATAAAGGTGGCGATAAAAAGCAATCACTTATCTCTGGTTGTACCCCAGGAGCGAGCCTGTCTTCACTGATTCCCACTCTTCAACCCCTACTTAATGACCCACCCCTGCAAATATCTTGCTACTTGGCTTTAGGATCTTTTTCCTATCTCCTACTCAAGCATGCCCGGGACCAGACAAAGCTTTACTCAGTGTGCCTAACTATATTTCTAGATATGAACAAGCAATGTATCAATCTTCCTACCACTCAGGTGTTGGTAGATGGCCCACCAGTTGAAGAGGTTAAAAGGCCCCCAAGTACGTCCGTTGCAAAGAAGGGGGACAAGAAGGTAGCCGTGGTAGAAGCTGTGACCACTCTTCCGGAGGCTGCTGCGATGATTACATCTACCTTCAAAGATTCTTTCCCTCTTACGTTTACGCTTTTATATGATCTCCTCTATCTAGGCGCAGCCACACTTTATGCAATTGGATTCAACTCCACCTATCCCACAGAGCTGTACGCCTCTAAAACTGTTACCTCTGTCTTTACTCTTTTGGAGAATCTTTACCTTTTGCTTGCCTCGAAACATATAGCGCTAGACAATTGTAATGAGCCAGTGGATATCCTGTTGAGCTCGGCAAAGACATACCTTGAATATGCTCGGTTTAATACAGTCATCTTTCCTTACGAGAGCCAGAGCATATGTCCTGAGGGTGCGAAGACGACAGAGTTAGTACATCAGATTTATGATGCAGCATATGAAACGGCTAGTCTTTTGGTTGAGAGCCATAGAACTGGACGTGTGAGCACCGCAATGTACAGCAGATGTGTCGCAGACATAACCATTGGGCTCATTCTTCTCTTTAAGCGGGCCATGCAGCTAGCCCGCATAGAGATAGCCGACCGACTTTTTGAGCTTTATAAACTGGTATCGCCCGCTTCTGGAGCATCTGTCTCGCAAACGATCAAGTCTATGGATGTGTTGTCTGCGGATAAAGAGCTCCTTGCGGCAACTAGAGACCTTGTGGCCAATGCGTCTGAGTCAGCAGGACAGCAGCTTCTCTTGCGGCAAACTGCAACGACACAATTGTCACTTTGTGTCGACGACATGTTTCTTCACACAGGACCGGTTGTGAAGCACAGCAATGCAGCGACTCAACTGCCTCCGACAACCATGGTGCAGCCGACGCAATGGATGCAGATGCTCGTGTCTTTATGTATAGAAACTCTCATGTTACACACGCGCTATTCTAAGTGTGTTCCCGTTTTCCAGGCAAATATGTTTCTGGTCGCGTCATCTTACGAGCTGTCACTGTATTATCTTGTTTTGTTAGCGGCTACTAGAGACTTCAATGATGAAATACGACCATTTATTGTGTCCCTCAATCTCCCAGAGGTTCAACTGGTGAAGCTTCTCTTTGCAGGAATTAAGCTGCTCCTATCGTTGCCAGAAGTACGCACCAATGAGTATACGCGTTTATCAGAAAACATCCTCTTTCTTCTGGAAACTACTTCTCTTCGTTTAGAGGCTCTTTCTGACACGCAAATACGCGGAAAGTTTTCACTAGCATTTTCTGCATTGAAGTATTCCGTTCTAATTCAACTGGGTCTTTACCTGGAAGAAGAGCATGATGCTGACCTTTTAGAGCTAATTTCCAAGGAATCCAAGCCGTTCTTTACTGAAGATAGTGCACCTGTGGTATCTCAACCTACTAGCAGGCCAGCCTCTCGTACTGCGACTGCCACAAAGCAGGGAAGTAAGCAGACAAAGGCTACAGATCAGCACAATGCGGATCAAACTATTGTGCGTCCATCTATCAACGAAGATACAGTCTCCCTTACCCTTTCTTATCTCGTTCGTAAATCAAAGTTGACACCACCATCTGATGAGGATCTCCAGGTGATGTACCTGTATCACAGACTTATGACTAAGCAAGCGATTTCTGCTGGTTGGCAGTCGACAGAGTCTATGCTGAATACAAACGATCCATCTACCTATACAGAGCAGTATCTTTTTGAGCTATTAAAAGGGTTGAATACTCAAGTTGAACTAGGATCTACGGTGTTGGGGGAGCAGGAGTTGTTTCAGCGTCTGTCCACGCCGATATCGATGGTTGGCCCATCGCATGCTGATACGTGCGTACTTGTTCTTTCTGATTATGTGGAAATGGTGGTTCTTCGACAACATACCTTTCTTGATAACACTTCTCAATTATCGAGCTGCTCCTATGGCTCCATTGTGGTGATGTATGGCGTAGCTTTGGTAGGAACGATTCGCGCCTATCTCGCCACATTGACATGGTACTCCCTTGCCACAGCGATTGTAGCTTTGCAACTTGTCATTGCATGGTTACGAGATTACGAAACTGAGCAGCTGTGGTCTTTGCTGGCAGCCCAGCTAGATAAGTTTGTTATCAGTAACAATCTGTTTACAGATTTTGAGAAGTTTGCCATAGAGTCATCTAGATGCGGCTCTGGATCCTTGATACTTAGGCACATACAGTCAAAGATATTAGTATATGCTATCAACTCAACCCTTTGGGGCTCCATCTCCGTTGGAAGTTATATCCTTAATGAAACACCTATAGGGACCGAGGATCTGAATGTATCGTTATTTGAGCACGCACTTCATAAGCTGTGTGGTGGAAAGGCATCTACTAATGGTGAACAAGCACCTTTGCAGCCGCTTCAAGAGGAGCTTACATCATATATCACGCTCTGTCATGCTCCTCGTCTTCTTCTAGAAGGAATTATTGAGTTCTTCCAATCCCGGGTAACGGCAGCGCAATGTACCATCTATGCCCTCGATCTCCTTATGGATGAAAGAACTTATCGGATAGCGCTTGCACACATAACTGAGAGAGTTTCAACTGAGTTGACTAAGAGAAGCCGATCTCTTGAAAGTCCCCTTCATAGTTATGTGCCTCATTTGTCAGTAGATTCTGAGAATGAAAGCCACACCTCTTTCTATCTCAGCCTCCCCTTGATGGACATTTATCTGCGCCTCACCACTGCGGTGCGGTTACTTGCACGCGCGGACATGGAGTCTTTTCAGGCTTTTCTTTGGCGTCTTCTTTCACATACAAAGCGGTTCTCTTCACAACAAGACAACTTTCGGAGTAAGCATTTAGCGACTGTGCGTAGCCTAAAACCATGTTCACCTCTCCTAGAAGAAAGGCAACTTGGAGAAAAGCGTGCGCGATTTCTTTCTGACTACACGGCGGTTGGAGCAGGCTGTTATCTTTTCGACTCACTTGTCATTCAGAGGGTCAGAACGCTTCAATCCACAATTTTAGAGTGTCTCCACGCATCTAACGTGGTAGCGGTTTATGGCGACCATGCCTACTGGCGAGAAAATCAGTATGCGGCCCACTTCTTCAGCGAGCACGACAACCTAACTAGTACCTCCGAAAAGCTTGTTGTCGAAGGAGGGATTCCCCCGGATGTTCTCGATGCAGGCGCCTTTATTGGCACCTTGAGCATCCAGCTATTGCAAGCAGGGGCTTTGGGCACGAGCATGGGGTACATCTTCTCTGATTATACTAAGTACTCTCTTCTGTTTCTTAGGCCCAGCCGAGTGCTGCTTCCCACCAGTGGTCAGCTTCACAACTACCACAGTTCTCTGATAGAGTGTATTGCTTTCGTGGAGGATGCTTTGGGTCATCTATCCGATCACCCTGTAGAGCAGTCAAGAATAGCACGACTTTCTATTCTTATAATCGCTGCATTATTGACGGCACCACACATTTCGCTGATGGAATTTCTTGCCGATACCACCCTGGATAAGGTACACGTGTCTCTTGCTGGAATGGCTGGAAAGCGGCTTGAGTTGGCTGCCCTCATTCTTCTGAAGCTTACAGGCCCCTCGTTTGTTCTTGGTAGCCCTCATCTGAAGGAGTGTCCTTTACGACGGCAATTAGAGTTGCTGAAGGCAATCATTTTGGAGCGCTTGGCGTTCATTGTGGAGACAATCCCAGAGCAAATCCAAGACATTGTCTTAGGAAGCAAGCTCGTGACCAACCATGTTGTTGCGCGATGGCTAACAGAAACGACGTCTTCATTTGTGTTTGATCCCACCTCGATGAGTGTGGTTGAATATTGTAGAAACCCCACTAGCTTCTGCGTTCATCTCCCGTCGTTGCTTTTTGCATCCAATAAGGCTCTTCTGGCATCTGGCTTTTGTAAGCTAGACTTTACTGGCCTAAACCTGGACGAGATACCTGCATACTCTTCCTGTAACGACAGCATCAAAAAGAAAGCAACATCCGATTTAGGGTCTGCGATAAATGACGCAGCCGATTTCACTGTTCAGCTCCTAAGGTTGTTTCTGACTCGTGGTCCTTTTCAGCAGACACAGATAGGCATTATACCCTTTGTAGATACAATTGTTGCACGCTATGGTAAGGAAGCACCGCTGTTTACTGAGGCTCTACCTGGTCTCCTTGCAGATCTAAATAATGTTGACAAAAAGTCGGGCGCGGCTGTCGACAAGAAGGGCGATTCGCTCCCCCCGGCGTACGGTGTCCACAGTCTTCCACAAGCTATCTTTGCGCTGTCGACACTCACAGGACTATATAGACAAGGATTTAAAGAATTTCTGCGTGTCACTGCACAGATAGGTGTCTGCTTGCTAGATGAGATTAACATCGGGGAATTTATATCATCGAGATGTACAAGTACGGATGACCAAGAGCGTGATGTTTCCCTGAGCGTTGTGTATCCTCCCCCCAATCCGTTACATTATTCAATCCGTCTGATCTGTATTGCGCTATTGAGTTCCTTGGACTTGCATTCTGCTATGAATGGTCACGATGAATCTGTTCAAAAATATATTGATCTGCTGAATGGCCTTGCGAAGGCAGACAGTTCCATTCCTAGCTTTGTCCAGGAGATTTTAGATAGCTCTTCTCTTCGGAAGGACGACGCAGCTGTAGGGTCAGCTGAAAAGGGTGCATCCACGTCGCAAAAGAAGACACAGCAATCTTCCAACTCTGATAATACATCTAGTCTGATAGATTTGGTATTTTCAACCAGAGAATTTCGTTTATTAATGCTTTTTTATGACTCTCTTCAGACGTTGCTTTCTATCTCTGCCTCGTATAGCCACGCTCCCTTTGTGCTAGAGGTTCTTGACCATTTGATATGCAGCCGCCTTAGCAGAGCAGTAACCTCCCCGTCGTTGTCTGACAGTTGTCTCTATCTTACACGGGCGAGTATCCTAACCGAAGTGCAATCGCAGATGCTTTCGCAGATCGTCTACATGCAGTCACAGAAGTTTGTAGGACCCACAAATCTATTGTCAAATATAGTATGGAGTAGTGGGGCGATTATAGGGCACAAACTACTGATAGGTGCACATACATCCAGTCCAATTATAGTATCCGCATCTTCAGCTCAGGACTTGCAGTCACTAACTCTTTTTGACCCTCATTACGACGACCTTCTCAGGATCCACGGCGAGTATGTTTTCACTCACAAACGACCGCCCACAGCACCGGTACAAGGGTCTGGAAAGGACTCAAAGGGAAAGACTCAGCAGGTAGCACCATCAATCCTTTTGCCCGATGGTTCTCTAGACATGTCTCCGGATTTCTTAACTATTTCGCCGGATAGGGCCCACATTTTTGCAGCACTATTCCAGGATCCTGTAGCGGCAATAATAACAAGCTTAGATGCCCGTTATCTTAAGCTACAGCATGATCTTTTAACCGCTATCGAATCAGCCCTCCCGGGCATATCAGAAAAGTCTAGGATTATCACCACTAGTGCCAGTATTGGCAGCGACATCTATCTTCAACTAAATCCCATGGTAAAGTGGACAATTATATGCTATATTCAAAAGGACGTTGTTACCATCCGGCCTATAGAAACATCGGAGTCTTCTTCATTTAGTGATGAGGTTGCAAAAGCATCACTACGCTACACAGACTGGTATAGTTGTGCACGAAGACTCATGGCTTCCTACTGGAACTACGTACCAGCAGCAGTCATCAATCAACTTCAGACAGTTTTGAGCAGGATGGAGGCAGAACTGGATCCAGATCGAGAAACAATCATCCTGAAGAATCTCTTCACTTATCTAAAGTCAATCAGGAAGGGTATGTCACGACTGTATTACAAACGCAAATCGGCGCGCTCGCGTGCTAGTTCTGCGCTAGGACAGTCGGAGGTAGCTAACACTAAAGTATTAAACGATACTGACTCTGCACCCATGGAGTCTAACTCGAGGACCATACGACCATTATCTTCCGCAACCTCTCAAAGATCCGCCATGTCGCCAAAGACGATAGCGTCAGCCAAGTTAGTTAGTACAGCAGAGTTGTATGGATTTATTCCTTCTCACCTGAAAAAGGCCAGCGATCTTCTCCACGAGATAATTACATCACTATGTGATAACCTTAGAAGTGCGCTGCCACAGGAAATAACAGCCAATTGTGCTTTTAATGAAGGTTCCACATCAGAGTCTGCAGATGACAAAGAGCTTCATTCCCTGACACTTATATTATCTGACTACTCTATGTGTTGCTTGCCATATGCGGTGCTTTTAAACATTGTATTTTCTGATCTTGGACGTATTCGTGTGATTGTTCCACGGCTTAAGGATAGGGAGACGCTGATAGAGCCAGAAATTCTTGCGTCAGAGTGTCATAAGGGCAATGCAAGCATCGATGTACACGACGACCTTTCCTTTGCATTGTCGAGTGGGCTGAATCTCGCATTCGCAGATCTGATTCCATTCCTTAGAGGTGTATTTAATCACGGCAATCCGCTGACGAGCGTGCCATATGAGATAATGCAGTATCTGAACGAGGATAGCCTAGCATTCATATGTTCGTTCGCCGCTCCACGTCTACTCCTCAAACCGTCGCTAGTAATTGCTAAACCAAAGACACTTGCTGCTGTTAAAAAGATCGCTATCCTACATTCCGAGTTTGAGTTCAGTAACATGCGATCTAAGCGCGAGCTGCTTCGGTCGCCAAGCCTGCAATTTATAGATTCAGACTTTGGAGTGCGACTATCTCTCCTCTCCTCCGGGCCCAGGATTATAGTTATGAACGAGATTCCATTCTCGCCTACTACTATTGCATCTATAACTACGTTGTATCTCTTGGACCACTTAAAGCAAAGGATTGATGAAAGTCTAAAGAAAAATAAGCCCCCTACAGCACAGGAGAAGAAGCCACAAGGAGCAAAGAAGCCTGCAGCGGGGGCTCAGGAGACACAGGTGTCTGTCGAGCCAGTTGATCTCACGAACATGTGTACAAAGCTGCTTCGAGGATGTGAAGAAACGCTCCTCTTTAATTCGGTAGTTACATATGCTTCGCAATGAGAGGCCTATAAGTACTACTCATACAGATCACTACTGAATATTGTTGATCCCGGCGGAGGAGGAGAGCATGTTCTCACCTCTGTATTCATCTCAGGACTGCCTTGTATGTGGCCTAGGATGGAGTACGGGCGCCGTGGAACTGTACTGGCTGGGGGCTGTTTTACAAGTGCAGAGCCTCCAATCTTTCCTGGTTGAGGGGTCAAAATTCTTCTCACAGTTCCTTGTATCCTAGAGGGTAGTTGTATATCAGAAGTCAGTACGTAATCGGCACTTCGTATACAGGTGTCCCCCTTGAGATAGGGGCCGGAGTCAGCTCCTGTTATCTTGTTGTCTGGAGAATGCCTTGTGCCCAAGTGCTTTGAACCCTCCTGTATCATGTGCCTGATTTGATTTCGCCATGCGGACATCGATGATCCACGTATTCTAATGTCGTTGACATTCTGTGCTAATTTGTGTGTTGTCTCTTCTGCGTTCTTGATAATTGATGACAAAGTACTCTTGACCTCTGGCGACTCAGTGGACGAAAGTCGCAACATCTCATTCAGTTCATGCTGTCTTTTTATAGACTCTATCTTTATGCATTGTTCTCTAAGCTCACGCATTGGAGTGACGAGATCCATGCTTTCATCTGTCCGGAAACTAGTTGGAGATAGATTTCTCCTTATAACGCGAAGCTTCTCAGTGAGCTGTTTAGATACAGCATACTCAATGAACTGCTCGCCCATTTCGTCTGCCTGCCTTTCGTCACGCACCTCTGTAATCTCGTAGTCGGCAGCATTGGAACTCGGCTCTTGATTGTCCAGGATGACCTTGAGCTCATTCATTCGAAAGTCTAATTCTGCTCGCATTGCGTCTACGTTATCCCTCTGCATGTTTGTGGCAAAGCTTCCTCGCTGCTGTACCCTTTCTATCATATCATCGGTGACAAACTGGTCCCTATCTATTTTCAGGAGCTCATCGGTGGCCTTCGTAAGCCTTTCATGGCGTGCTGGAGATGATATTTGACGCATACCTTCTATAAGCCCGAGTGGCACGTCTATTCCTGCCTCTGTGTGGGCTTCAGTGTTTGCTGCGTTGGGTGGTGCCGGGTGATCTTCCTCTGGGTCTGCTTGTGTGCTGAGCTCTCCTTTTGCGGATATAGAGGCATTGCTAAAACAGATTGTATGCTCGTCATGTGCAACGAAAGAAACCAATGCTGAAATCATTGTTTGCTGCTTCTGCAGATAACTAATGACATCCTTCTTTGCTGCGTTTCTGGTCGTCATGTAAACGTTCTTGAATGTAATTTCTAGCCATTCTGCAAGCATCTCAGTGTTAAACGAACCCAACAGCACTGTCAAGCGGGGCCAGTCCACGACATAGGAATTGTCCATGCGCAACTTCAGCTCAAAGAGCACCAAGTTGTAGAAGCAATGTGCTAGATGCGTCTCTGTGACGTTCTGATAAAGCATAGCAGCTACATGGATAAGAAAGCTGTATCCCGAGCGTATCCTATTGACGTGGTGCTTTATAAACATCATAAATAGAAGAGCAGTGAAATTGTAAACACTTTTAACGCTACTATGCGATGAAAGATCCCTTGTACTTAAACTTTCCGTGTCCGTGTTGCAATCTATTTGAGTGGGAGAATCACCGAAGGCTTGGGCTTTGCTATGCATTACATGTGCAATCAAGTTAGAACTCAGTGTATATAACGTGTGTATGTTGATAATTAGCGAGAGCGGATAGACAAGCAGAAGGCTGCTGGACTTAATTCCTAGCAGAGCATCGTCTATATATTTGTAGCCATAAATACGTAGAACTGCGTAGGCATGTATTTGTGCTTCACGCCTCATGTCTTCTAAAACAAGAAATCTCATATTAGCTACATAGTCATCTGCTGTGCTACTTTTCAGACAGAAATCTTCGTACAGACAAACGAACTGGTCGTTTAGCCTACGCAAGTAAATGACCACTGGAGATGCTCGTCGGCCCATGGCAACAATGCCGCTGAAGTCGCTCAGTGTGTTCTCGTAGAACGTTGAAAAACGTGCAGCCTCTATAAGGTTGTTGTGTGCAGCTGTGCTCGTTGCAATGTTATTATATTTAGATGCCACCTCAGCAAAAGCGTCCCCTTTTTGAAAACCGCCCTTGTCACGCTTTGCGATCTGCCGAAGCTTCCATATCATCAGTTGACGAGTTCTTCCTGCAGCCAAACGAGTATGATAAAGGAGAAGGACACAGTAGTTAAAAAGACGCTTGTTGCTATTAACATCTGACTCCTTGTCCCCCCAAGATCCATCGAAGTCCAGAAGCTGAGAACATGGTCTATACATTAGTTCTCTCCACGAAGCATTGGACCCTGACGGACGATCGCCTGTGACAGATTCTTGATCACTCTGCAGCGCATCATCCTTGAAGGAAGCACGGATAAAATTTTCTTCTTCCACTGCTTTCCTCTGAGTCTTCTGCACTTCTAGTAAATGTATCTTCTTCATGGCATGACGCAAGTATATAAGTAAATCTCTGGCTGGCCTGTAAAGCAACTGAGCCTGCAACAAGACAAATGGCAACATCTGGAGCTCCTCTGGACGAAAGATATTTCCGTTTTCAACTAGCTTCTTTGCAATAAATCGCGCAAATGGTGGCAAGGAGGCCAGACACTCAAACAAAATGTCCCGCATGACCGCCTTTATTGGCATCAATCCGAACCTATAAACCCTATCATTGAGTGTGGATTGCATGACTATGTGCTCATAGTACTTATAGTTTGTTTCAAATACGTAGTCCGTTTGAAGATTCATGATAGTCTTGTAGCTAGTAGGTAGCACTCGATTGTCCGGACTGAGCTCAGCAATGTTTATCCCCGAATCTGCTAATGGGGTAAGTGGTGGCGTTGGCTGGGCGTTGCTCTTGTCTATTGGTACAGGGCTATTACCGAACGAGTCTGGCTGGCCTGTTTGCTGTAAAAAGGGCGCTGATCTTAGAGGGCTCTCCGGTTGGTCTAATCCTCTGACTACCGATGTGTTTAAGTATATATCCAAATCAGTGACCTTAGCGATAACTTCGGTTGCGACGTGATCTATACTGCTTGCATAGCCTTCGAGTTCTGATGCAGATAGTGAGCAAAACGAGTCTGACATAGCGGACTTCCACTCCTGCTCCTGAGCGTGAGGATCCAATTTTAGAGAGTGCTCTTCGACGGTGAAGTTGGTGATAAGCTTGGAAATGTCAGAGATATCTGAATTAACGTCCATTCTTTTGATTCGTTTGCTTAATAGAAGCTCTGTAAGATTTGTATATAAAACAGGGTACATTGTGTAGAGAAATTTCATGTCAAAAAGAGTGACATCTTCATTACTGATCTTACTTGCCCGCTTGATCAACTCTTCAAGGTCAGTAAGCTCGCCATCGGGCCCGCGTGCATAGGCGTTTGCTGATTCCTTGCAGACACCCAGTTGTTTATCAACAAGCCCTTTGAGCTCTTCCTCCAAATCGTTATCTTTTTCGAACTTATAAGGAGGTAAGAACGGGATTTCAATGAAAACCCCGGCGCAAAAGTAGCATCTTCCTGGACGTAAGTCCTTGTAATCGAAGCGCATATCAAATGGGATAGATATATTCGATATGTCAACTGCAGTTCCGGCTTTTAACTCAAACATCAGAGCCTTCGTATTAGTTTCTAAAGCACGCTTGCGCTTTCTCTCCTGTTGCTCTCTTTTGCGCTTTTCCTGTAGCTTCAGTAGAAGCGATGCCGCAGACGAACAGGTGAAAATATCAGACAAGTCTTTGGCAGTGGTATCATCAACTGGCTGTCGGGGAGACAGGGCACTAGTAACGCTATTAGACCCTGTCGAGGTGTCATCATCTACAAGACTATTGACACCAGCTAGTACGCTTTTAAAAGGATTCTTCTTCAGGTATGGCCTAAAGAGCATGACGTTTATGCAGAGACCGTAAAGCTTGGCATTTCCTGTGCGATTTGCCACATCGTACAGGTCCTTAAGGTGCTTTTCAGTCTCCAAACGCTCGATCTTGTATAACTTTGCGAACATACCTGCAACTTCTGCGGAATATAGGTCTGCCTTAGACATCTCTGCGATCGCTTGCCTGTAGTCGATACCTTTCCAGCGCATACTGTTGAAGAACGTATGTATGTAAGGGGTTGCCAGGGTCTTCCCATGCTTTAGGGGATGTCCGTTCCCTATGCTGCTAGTAAGCACCTCAGTTCTAAGAAAGCTGAGAGCGCTGCTATCCAGTTGTGGCCCGGAAACAGCATGATCAACACTGAGCTGCCTGGTTGGTGACGCTCTCTTAAAAGCAAGCGTAGAGTCCCAAAGCACTCTGTTTTGAGCAACACCGTATGTCTCTTCCCAAAGATCAAGAATGGATTGCTCTTTTCGCTTCTTTCCAAGCCACAATGGAGCAGATTTGGGTCGTGTATATATCTTATCAGTTAGCACTAAGTGTCGAGAAAAATAAACGTTTAATGCAGCGTAATTCCGCACTAGGTAATAGCACTGAAGCAAATTGATAAGGGGATTATGATAGTAGTGCGACCGCTTATAATCTCGCACTAAGATGTCAGGTTCTACATCAGATGGAGCTTTAGACGCTTGCTTAATAGACGCACTACAGTAAAACTGGTTTGCAGCTGTGAGGTCAGCGCGTTCAGCTCTCCCAAAACCAGACAAGCAACCCGAATGAGGGGTACTTGCAAATGAAAGAAGCTTTCCATATGCTTGATCAACCCTGTGCTTCCGTGTATGGTCGTCCAGCATGTAGTTATCTGGCATGCGAGGTTTTGTGAACCCCAACCCGTTGGCCATCAGATCGAAAATACTCTCCTCGGCGTAAATGGTTCTCCTTTGACGGTCTCTGTTCCTCTTCTGCATAAAGTACCCTAACTCATCAAGAGTCTTGCTTAGATACAAATGTGTTGCATCAACATACGGCTCGTTCAGCAAGTATCTTAGCTTCTGGTCAGGAGTCAAATCCTCGTAGGCAAGGGCGCTGACGCTTTCTTCGAAAATATCTAGGTCTAAGTCTTCCGGCGTTTCCTCTGGTATGCGTGCTTCTTCGCTGTTCTCACCATCGGGTAATGCAGTTGTCAACAAGGAGACCATGTCCTCATAAGTATGATGCTCCGCTATGTCTCCTAGGGTAAGATGCGTCCTAACTCGTTGAAACGAAAGAGCATTTCGCTGAGCAACGGATTGCTCCTTGGCTGGTGGGTCGCTGTCCTCCAGTGGAGAAAAAATATATCCTGTTTTCATGAACCATAATTGTGGGTCTACTCGGTGATCTATGGTGTTAGCGTATAGAGATGGTGCATCAGACACATCTAGCCGTCGCAGCCGCCTGCTCAGGTCTGCATCAAGGTGAAACAAGGTCCTATATTGCTCAGTGGTCAACATTAGTGGTACATACTTCGGGTTATCCTCTGTGTATATAGGGTCTGTGTCAGAGTACTCCTGATCTTCTGCGTAAATATCGAAGAGAACCTTTGTTCGGTCTCTATGAATGACATATCTCTGCGATGGCTCTCCTGCATGTTCATATCGTTCAAAGACATGCACCTCAGGAGAAGAAGGTCTTGAATCCTCCGCAGGTAGAATAGGGTTTTGATTTGAAGAGTCCTTGAAGGGATCACTAGAATGGTCCGCTATTATATCATAATGTTTTGGAGATTGGGAACTTTTTGCATCGATGTTACTGATACTCGGCTCATTAATTGGCGTTGCATTCATTAGGAATGAATTATTGGCCTGGCAGTTTTGACTGGACGAATCCTCCTTTGAGAGACTAGTGTTAAGTTGATCCAAAGTCAGAATAGATGGGTCACCAGTGAGTGCTTCCTCTGGTATTTCTTGATATACTTGACGCTCTTCTAGATTAACGGATGAGTCATCTTGTAGTCGAAGTATGGACTCTTCAGCGAAGGGATTTTTAGAATTATCATGACATTTGCGTAAACCATCTGTCTCAGAGTCACTATCTTGTGAGAACGACTCGGCGTCTGAACCAGAGTATTCTATTACACATTGTTTCCTTAAGGAATAGTATTTGTCCTTTCCTAGCGTAACCTTTTTAATGCAATCTTGCTCGCAAAGGCGATCGATATTGTTTAATATGCGTCTAATTATCTCTCTGTATAGCTGTTGCATTCTATCCTTCTTCAGATTAGCTCGCTGCAGTTGCGCGCTCATAGTGGATATAGTTTGACGGTACAGCCCCAAGTTTTTGAGTACACTTTGCTGTGCGGAGATGTAGGACCCTGTAAGTGTAAGGCTATTGCCAGGATCACTGGTATCAAGATGAAACCTGCTCCGCTGCTCCATGACCTCTAGAAATCGTTTTGTGTCATCGTCTATCTGGGGCAGGGGACCACGATAGGTGCAAATGCTCAAGAGATCATATTTGTTGTGTGAAATGCGCATCTTATTGTGTGGGAAAAGATCCAGGCTTATCCCTAGCTCTGCATCCTCCTGCGACCCGAAAAAGTTGTGCCGAAATACCCCTGGCAACTTCAAAGCCAGGGGCTCTTCAACAGAGTCCTGAGATAGATCTTCTAGACCATCTAATACAGGTCTGAGGGTGCAATCCTTAATAATATCACTAAGAATTGGACTTATGGGTGTCGAAAATATGACTAACTGCCCTCCTTCGTCAACTAGGACACATGGATCATGCAGCTGAGAAGATGCGGGAACCATATCAGCCTGATTGTGCTGTTCTCGTGGTAAAGTGTGGTCCTGCACACTTTGCATAGGCAACCCTATTTTAGGAGGAATTTCAGAAAGAGAGCTGTCAGTGCACAACTCTCGTGGATCAGTGATAATCTGGTTGTTTAAAACCTCCACCTGATCAGTTACTAAAGCGGAGGGAATAATTGGATCGGGTGGTAAATATCTTGAATCACATAGCTTACTACTATCTACGCCATTATCGGGATTCCTTACAATAGTGGAGGAATCCCAGAGTCCTGACTTCGAGGTGAGAAGCCGCCGGTCTCCTCCGAGATTGGGCTGCTTTTCCTCATCGTGACTTAGCACTTCATAGCCCATATGCTCATCCAAGATTCTGCTAGTATCTTCAATACCTATTTTCTTAGGAAGTTTAGCTGCCAAGGTTTGAGCTGATGGCTGTGGTATTATTGTGCTAGTTGAGGTCACATTAATTTTCAGAATCTGCTTAGCTATTGAATTTGCAAAGAGGTCGTTCAGATTGACTACGAAAAAGCTTACAGCATTTGCAGGACGATTTCTTCCATGATGGCTGGCTTTTGAAGTGGAAAATCCGTGACTATAATGTCTTTTTGTGGTAAAATGCTTGGAGTGCCATCTCTTTCTGAGGTTATCTGAGTGAGAATATATCTTAGCCGGAGCTACATTAAGGGCACTTGCATGGAGATGTGAATTGGCCAAAAATTGTCCTGAAGCGGCTTTATACTTGTATTTAGAACGCACTGAGCCTGTCCAGATACTCTTGGATTGAGACGTTCTGGAGCGTTCTTGTAGTGCGTCTTCTGATTGGATACTAAAGTTTAGAGTGCAGCTAAACGAGTCTTCAGACCCGTGTGTAAGCCGCTTGTGGGGATATATCAGCCTCAAGTCACCATTCTTCTTGCAGAAGTCCGAGTGCCGGTAAACTGATAGAGATTCTACCGGACCAAAAGGTGTATAGCATCTGTCTACAGCCGTGCACTCTGTGCTTAAGTCACGTGACTCTAAGTGAGAAAGAAACAGCTCGTCTAAAGAGCTTTCGCTCTTACCCCTTATTGGCAATATTCTAGCCCCCAGAGCAATATTATCACGCAGTGGAAGCACATGTTCAGCGATGGAATTGTTAGTCGCTTTTCGCGTGCTAGTGAATGGAGATGCAGATAAATGATGCTGTTTGGATTTAATTCCTTCTGCAGAAAATGAGGGCATTGGTAGCTCAATATTTAGAAGATGACTTCTATGCAGCTGAGGAGGAGAGGGTGGTCGTGGCCGAGTCGGTTTGCTCGTTGAGAGCTGAGGAGCTATGGAAGTGAGCTCTGCTTGTGCATGGTTTGAGTGCTTAGTAGGTATCTGTGACTGAACATCAGCGCCTCCAAATAAAGCGTTAACTTGGGCAAGTATAGGCTTTGGTTTGCTGATAGTCCCATCTAACAGTCGCAAAACAGGATTTCCAGTTGGTAAAAAATTAAGAACGAAGCGTGACCGAACAGGAGTCATAGGATTTAGGATTACTTGGTGATAGACTTTCTCGTTAGGGATTGCTTTGGCGATTTTAAGAGTTGCATGCCTCTCAAGAGACTTCAGTGCTGAATTGTTACTCTTCGTCGCTTGTGCTACTAAGGGGCTATTCTGAGCAAACAAGTTGGTGAAGCACGGACCAGAAGGCCCAGTATGAGAAGGAGGGAGGCTACGTGTAGCCTGTCCTGAGCGAGATACTGATGTAGCAGGTGGCCTTAGCTGGGTATCTGTTAGCAATGCATTTAGTAGAGTTGCATTTCGCTGTTTGGTAATGAAGGGATCTGCAGAATGGAGTTTGTCGGCTGATACAGCAGTCATGCTATTATCAGAATAATATTGCCCATAGGGGAAGAGGTTAGCGATAATTATAGAGCTGTTGACGACCATTTTCTCTAGATTCTTGGTGGAAGAGATAAGGGGATGTCGTGACGGCTGCATGCCAGTACTCAGCGGTTTATCAAGTAAATCTGACACAATATCAGCAACGCTGTTATCGTTGCAAGAAGTGTTATGCTCTTTTAATTTGTCAGGGCTATGTGGTGCTTTTGGTGGAGGTGGACTGAGGGCAGAGTAAAGGAATACGTGAGCAGGAAGCAGGAGCCGAAAGATGGAGCCATTAGAGAGCTGTACGTAAATTGCTTGAGTGAATCCACTGTTTGTAAGAAAAAGGATCTGGGTGATGCTGACTGCAAGCATTTGCAGCTGGGCGGGTCTCTCGTATGTTAAGACTAATTTTAGCTCATTCTGTGGGAAAACTCTCAAAAGGAATACATCAGCTGAGTTACTAATCGTTACTAAAAGGTACAGATTAAGGTGGCTGAAGGGGCTTGGGACATCCTGCATGGTCGAGGACATTGCCTGATTAGAAAGCTCAGTCAGATAGATAGTTGTGTGATCGTCGTCATCTTGTTGCGATTCAAGACGTGGTTGACAGGTGGTCGTGTCCCACAGGTACACGGGATGCAGTGCTGAAACTCCTTTGTGTAAGGTCTGGTCATCACTTGTGTGCACAGTAGTGCTTATTGAGTGGATACTTTTATATAGCTCTAAAGTATTGAATGATACTATTGGTTGTGTGGCTAACTTTCCCTGGGACATGTCGTCCTTGATTTTCTCCAGAGCATAAACGCTGAGAAAGCCGTTGGCAAAGCCGACGAACAGATAGCCAGATGCTAATGAAATCGTTGTTGGCCGAACTATAGATGATGTCTTAGATGGTGTTGATTGCTTGTCAGAACAGAACGCAGAAAAGGTTAGCGCTTTCCCGAGTTGATGTGGCTGCAAAAGTGCATAGAGAGTAATAGAAAGGCCATGCAATGCCAATAGTGCACCGTTCTGATATAGTAAGAATAGGTGCGAGGAAGAGGTGAAGGCTAAGGGTGTAATAGCCACGTTTAACATCAGCAGTCGGCAAACTACATTAAAAGAGGATTGCGCAAAGAGCTTTCCGCAGTGTATAAGTAATTTTACCGCTAAGTCATGTGAACTAGAGAACTTCCTAATAAGGGTCAAAGAGTCCCCTGTACAGGTGTAGAAGAAAACTTCACCTTCGTGGCCTAGAAGCATTATATAGCCATCCCCTGGAATGCACTCTTTAATTACAGACCCAGGAAGAGGGACGGAGTACTGTTTTTTCTGATGATAATATACACTGATTTGTGAGTCGAAAGAGACTGGAAATCGGGTAGAATCTAATGAAGATTGTAAGATTGAGCATACAATAATAATGTTCTTGCTTCCATGCGCAAAGCAACCAGCAGTTAGCAGGGCGTTGGAGAGAGGGAGACGGAAAACAAGCTCTGCTTCAATGCGGCCAGAGTCGTCTCTAAACAGCTTGTAGAGCTCTCCATTTGAAAGAAAACAAGTAAGACAGTTACTGTGCACTCTATGGAAGAGAATAGGAGCTGGAAGCAATGAGGAAAACGCAGGAGAGAACTCCCCTTGACGTATGTTAGAACGGTCTAATGGTGCGTCCTTGACCATGTTAGAGCACAGCACCATGTTGTGCGCATTCATAATGTGTTCTAGATGAACTTGATCAAACACTCCAGAGCAGTGCCTCTTTTTTCAACTGCATGCCTGTACTAGACTCAATTAAAGAAGAGCTGTCTCCATGTCTCATGGGAGTCCTGTGGTTATTAGGACAGAGAATTTTCCTTCTATTGGAACTACCAAGTATGACACACAATTTACGTTACTTTACTACGGCGGGTTGTTGTCCAAGCGGATCAGTCAGAGTGAGCTGGCACACTGGACAGCTTCCTTGCCGGAGCTTGATCCTATGGCCAGAATAAATCTAGCTTTGGCGGAGGAAAAGAAGATCGCGTTTCTTCAATCTGAGCCCAACTACAAACTTTCCCGTACTACCAGTGTACAGCAGTACTGAGAACATGCGGGATGCAGTAGCATGTATACAGATGCTTGCTTCTTACTAGCCTTTTGGGATCTGCCACTCACTGGAGAGTTCGTAGATAGATGGCTACCAGCAGAGGATACCGACGATGATCACAGCGACAGCGAGCCCTGCATTGTCGTGTGCAGCTCTACCCGCCCTGTGACAGGCTGTGATGGTACTGGACCTCGATGGGGCTATGGCAACCCTTGCATGACCAGTGACTGAGTCCACCCGTCTCCCATGGATTCCGGTCCCCGAGGGCTCTCTTCCACTGGGTCTCCCATCAGCTGACCACAGTGGGGGGCTGTGCAGGCCAGCCTGGCCTTATGAGACGGACGGGCACGTGTAGTGGATGGCCACCGGGAGCACTGCCATCAGCACCCGACAGAATACACCTGTCTCCTATCCCACTCTACCGCCAGTGTTGCCGGAGTGCCTGGTGCCCACCCGGACACACACCCAAGTCCCGGGTATCCCTGAGCATACCGATTCCCACAGAACAGGAGAGCACCGTGTATTTCGGAGCCTCTGGAGCGTCCGTTTGTCGGAGCATGGGCAGGATATGCGTCGCGACTCATACCAGTCACCCTGTCCTGACCATGGGGACTGAGTGCACACCATTGCAAGACCCCCACTGTGGTCAAGCAAGAGACCTCTGAACCAACACTAGGATCGAGGGTCGTAGATCTAAGGCACACAAAGGCGTAGGTCCCACAGTGCGTCACTTTCATCTTGGTGCCTAGTAGATGGTGAGAATCGACTGCAGTCGCACGGCACAGCTGTTACTCGTGTGTCAACGACTACATAGGGGTCATTAGCCTATGCCTTCATTGTAACTGCTTGCCAGACCACGGGGCGTCGACAGCAGTCAGGCTAGCATGTGCAAGTGGACGCTTGCAGGCAAAGGGTAGCTGCACGACAAGGGCCCAGGCATGCACGGAGCTGCCCCAGTACACAGATACAGGCAGAGGCCGCAGTGGCTGAGCGTATCTGCAAGTGGCCTCTGCGACTAAGGATTAGTGTCTACCCGGATAGTAGGCACATCGCATACTGTGAATGGATATGTGCAGCCATGACGGCGCATAGCTGGTGCATTTGGCAGGGAGCACAGTCAATCGCTAGTGACCATGTATCCAATCCCGAGGATCAAGGAACAAAGCAAGCGTCCGCGGCTCAGTATACAGTTCAACGCCCACATGTCTGCGCGGGATCCGGTTTGCAGTTCCAGAGCTCAGGGATACCAGGGCTTATCTGTGACACGCTGAAGATGCATTCTCAATGTCATGGTCTGTGATTGCAAACGTCCATCGGCCGACCCTGCTAAGCCCAGCCCAGGAGCTCACGAGCACACGCATCTCCTCGGTCCGCTTGTCCTCGTCATTGGAGAAGACTCATGCTCCTGTGCATCATCAGTGCGACGGTGCACGTCGATGCTCAGAAGCCCTGGCCTAAGGCGTTTCGCCGGGGAGGTCTACAAACATTTACTACTAAATAGTGTTACTAATAAGACACGCTTTCGTTCAGTCAAGCCGTTCATATGGTACAGGCTGAACCCTCGACGTGCGAGGATATACGTGATGCAAGATTTAGGAAAAATATCGATTCTTCTCGATGTCAACAACAAAGAGCACTCTGTCCTCGCTGCACAGATAAACAGTGTCGATGGTAGCGTAGTCGATGAAGTTCCCGTTCATGAGGGCCACTCCTGTCCCGGCCAGAATCAGGTTAACAAGGGGGAGGTACTTATCTAGAAGAAGACGCTTCAGTAGGGGAACAGGATCATCTATTCCTCCGCCATACAATAACGAACATATTGATAGTAGTTGTATCAGTTTTGGTAGCTATTGCATATGCTCAATATGGCTCATTCTTATACTATGGGTTTGGTTAGGGAAGTGAGCCAGCTTTATCTAGATTAAAAATCACTATCTCATGTGTTCTTATCACAACACTATTGTGAAATTCCTCTACTTTGATAAATCCATCTTCACTATGCAGCTTTGTTTTCATAATGATAACAATAAGCAAGAAAGTTCATCTCCAACGCATAGAAATGTAGACGGGCGGTGTACATATGCATATAGCCTTATAGGGATCTGTATTTCAGATTATCGGCGACTGTATGAGATAACCTGTTAGACCACGCATCTATGCATCGCCCTCAGCCTGCACTAAGCCTCATATTTATTGTGTGAACATCTTTGCAGCATGGTGAATGGAAATACTGTCGAAGCTATCGTTGTCCACACCGTCCTCATCTATGTAGTTAGTAACTGCAGTAGTCTTCTTGCTACCGAATTTTGATGGGAGCGACCGTTGGACTTTAACTCTACGAGGTTGGGGAGCCTCCTTTGGGTCAGGATCTGTTGTATTAATGGCAGACGCTTCACTAAACGTACTGTGCACACTATGGATTGATTCTAGCACTGTGCTATCATTATCTAGAACGGAAAAGGCATGAGGTGGCTCTCTTCCTGATGGCGGTATGGGTGTCATTTTGAGTGCTCCTTCAACAGCCTTTAGATCTTTTGCAGTTTTCTTACATCGGAGGAGGAACACAACTAGAAGCACAACTATAATTACCAACACAATTATAATAGAGGCAGATATAGCTGCAATCTTTGCCGTCCTCATCGCCTGGTTATCTGGAATCACAATGACATCTGTTGAATTGTCGTACAGCAGATCATCCGTAGGCAGGAATGGTGGAATATAAGGCGGGGGAGTTGGAGAAGGAGGATTGGTGGGTGGAATAGGCTTGTCATCTGGTGTCTGTGATACCTGTCGATCGACTCGTACTTGGCAAAGCGATGGACCAAGAAACGACTCCTCAATGACAAGTGTAGTAGAATCAACTACTCCCGCATTATGACACCAGTGCTGAAGATTATGCATATCAATAAGGCCTTGAACCTCAACTCGAATTGGTCGCGGAGAGGAAATAACAGGATCACGCATTATGAGATAGTATGTATTATCAGTCACTTTAAACAAGATTTGAACCGTGTCATTTGCTGCAATGGTTATCCCGCTTGCAAGAGTCGCACTCCCCTTTTCAAAGAAGCTGATTGCGATAATATCCTGCGTGGAGTTACTGAAGGATACCAGCATGTATTTGTTACTATGGACGGAAGCATTCTCATCTACCCGACCCTTTTTGAAGAGCAATCTGTACTTTTGTTCCATAGTAGCCAAGTCCTGGTCATTGGTTGAATAAGGTAAGTACGGGTAATAGGAGTAGAAAATAGCTTTGCGAGCGTTCCAGTATATCTTATCTGTGTAGTAAAAACTGGTTAGCTTGAGAGTGAGGGAAATGTGAATCCCGTAGGTTTTGATCTTTGTGCTTGAACTGCCACCCAAGTCAGTATATGGCTTGTTGATTGTCACGTTCTTGATTGTTCCGGATAAATTCTTGCGCAAGAAGAGAGCAACAGCATACTGGCTCCCGCTTTTCGGGGTCATTTTGATGAGGATGCGTGATGCTTTGGAGAAAGAGATTGTATCCTGAGTCTTTTTAGCGCCATCGAGGTATATTTCAAAAGTATCGCCATCTACGTAAGGTACTACAGCCACGTTTGCCGTAAGATCACCGAGTCTTGCGCCACCAGTGGTCATCTGCGCCACATGAACCCCTTGTGAGATAGATTCGATGAGGTAAAGAGCACGATAACGAACATCGTTCTCTGGCGCATTGTAGTAGTCCATGGATGCACTGCCATGCTCCCCGTCTGTAATACTGGAGACGAACTTTCCATCTGAGAGAGAGCCAAAAAGGTGGGTCTGAGACGAGCATTTAGAGGAAAACTTTGGGTAAGCAGTGGTCCCCATGTACCCCTTCTCCGACGCAAACAGGACATGATGATTGTACTGATCCTTATGGTAGCGCACGCTGGGCATGATAGCCCCGGCTGCTTGATAAAATCCCAGCTTGTTGAGATTTCGGATACATTGGAAATTACGGGTTTTGTACGAGTTCATGGCTATGTTGACCGAAAAGTCATGTGCATTGTAGACATACCTATCGCCATATGAAAGAAAGTAATGACCATACATGATCTCTCCAGGATAGGTGGGCACACTGAGAAAGAGACCCGTTGAGCGATTCCACTCGCCTATGATGGGAAAATTGTAGTGCCCTGTCATCTCATCGATGATTTGTGGACAGTCTGTAAGGTGATAGTTAAGGTATTTGAACACGTGTCCCAGTAGCTCATTGAGGTTAGAGGGTAGACTATTTTGCAGGGAAGCTGCATATGCAAACTGCATGATGCCCATAGAAATGTCCTTGAGCCTGGACAGCGGAGGCTTGGAGTCGTTTGCTGCATCAGCTCCTGCCATCATGTCAGGGACTCCACAATTGACAACGAACGGTAGAATAGAGTCTAGGATATAAGTTGCAGCCTTACCTGCTATACTATGCACGGCAGTCTGTATCGATTGGGCGGCATCAGTGTTGCCAGAAGCTGTCAGCTGCTCAATGATCTTTTGAGACGGAGCAAGGATGGAGGCGATCAGCGAAAGCATGGAGTACCCTGTGGAGCCAGGTATGATAGACGAGAAGTACTCGACAAACGTCCCATCTGAGCGAAAGCCGTCATGGAGGTCATCGGTGGGGGCAAGCTCATAGTTCCAGTGTCTAACTTGGAATAGATCAATGATCCTGTTGTAATACACGTTCATTCGAGAAAGATCGCCAATGAGTATAGATCCAAAAATGGTTAGCTTTGCCATCTGTAGTTCCATAACAATGGAACTTAGTGTGCATTCTGTATCTCTATACCATGTGGATGGAAGATTTGTGCATTGGTTAATAAAGGGGGACCTCTTTGGAAGTGTTAGGAGAGCCTCAGTAACTCGCGTCAATGCATTTTGATAGCCAACAGAGAGGGAGGGGTCGTTAGAGTAGATCTCATCTAGCAGCGGTAGTAGATTGACAAGAGTGTTTGGAATGATTATATCCCATGTGTGATGATCATTAGAATAATATAGAGCTGGATTGTACTTACCAGAAAATATTGTAAATGCCTGTAAAATCTTAATTTTGCAATCTTCATTGTGATAGAGTTCCATACCGTCTGTCAAATAGGCCGTTGCCATAACTATAAGTCTGTACAAAATATTTTGCAAAGTTGATGCCTTCGTTGGATCATTTAGATCATCCCAGCCGTACCTGCCACCATCAAAGGTGTCATAGTATTGCTTTGCTTCTGAAGAAAAGGCAGTCTTGTACTTATTGAGCGACTCCGACTTGTACATGGTCTGGTCCCTAACGATTTGAAAAGGGCCGATAGTCTGCAGCATTTGACTGTATCGATTTGCAACGCTTATCGGAGGACTAATAGTAGGGAATGGAAAGAGTGTGTAGCATAGTGTCAAGAGCAACAGGATGAGCATAGAGTTTTTAAGATATTTAAGGTATTTGACTATTTATTCGGTAAAGAGTATTGTTCCTTAAAGACCGGTCTGTTGTCTCTTTCCGACGCGTCAAACTTCGTCTTGAGGCGTGGATTGCACTTGCTCTTCATCTTAACTCCATGCACCTTTGCAAGCCTCTCCATCCGCGCCTCCTTGATCTGCTTCTTGGATGGCCGAAACTCCCCCAAGACCTTAGATGGAGGCTCGGATAGTCCAAATCCTTTCGCTATATGTCCCAGGTGCAAGCTCTTCAGATTGAAAATGTGGCGTACATCTGAGGACTTCATGGAGTACCCCCGGATATACATTGAGAATGCTTGCACGGCCATGTGGCGAAGCTCCTTGTCGCCCGCAATCAGCTCCTCAACTTTAGCCTGTACCCTTTCCATCAATCGAATTGGCTTTCTGTACTCAAGGACCCGCTCCGCAAGGGCGTCAACGGGAGTAGCTGCAAGAGCAATACCATAACTGCCCAGCAATGGCACGAGGCCAGCTTCATTTTCAAGGAGAAAAAGAATGGACCTTCCACGTTGTCCCATACGACCTGCACGGCCAACTCTGTGCACGTACTGCTCACACGATGAAGGTGCTTCAAATTGAATAACAAGGTCGACTCCGTGCAGCCCCGATGACAGTGCTCCTGATCCTAGATTTAGGCCACGCGCCGCCACATCAGTGGCCACCAGAATCCCACCAGACTCCAAGAACTTGTGCCAGACAATCTGGCGATCTTCAACCCCCAGAGACCCGTGAAGATGAAAGATCTTAGCTAGTATGAAGTGATCTTCAGATGTCTCTGCCTCGGAAAGCCGCATCAAGATCTCGTTCAACAAAGAGCACACGTCCTTGGTCTCTGCAAACACAAGGATCCGTACAGCAGTTTTGGACTCGCTAGCCTTCACCGTCTCGAAAGCAAGGGTAGAGATTAGGAGGGCAAGCCGCATCTTACTCGGCACTATGCAAAACCTTTGTTCAAGAGACGCAGGTGTAACCGCCTTGGCAAGCCCAGCTTCTGGTTGAGGGTTTACCGGTTCAGCTGAAAATAAATCTCCTATTGGGATTGCTTCGCGAACACTGCTTCGAACAAAGTCTAGGACGCGACGATCCGCCGTCGCAGAGGCCAAGATCACTTGCAATTTTGGGTTAGCTTTACGTGCATGGGACAAAATGGCCTGCAAAGCAGAGGAGAACCCGTGAGAAATCAGCTGGTCACATTCGTCCAGAACAACGACCTGTATATTCGTCAGCTTGAAGCAGGCAGTCTGATTGAGGTGATCCTGGATCCTCCCCGGTGTTCCAGATATCACGGTAATTCCTTTACGGAGACTAGCCTTCTCTTTGTCTCTAGGCACGGCACCAATCAAGGACCCCGAAACCATCACAGTCCGTGAGAGGAGGCTTGCAACCACCAGCTCCGATTGCATGGCAAGCTCCTTTGTGGGGCTAACAATCAAGACCTTCGAAGCCCACTCCTCCCGCTTGAACGAGGACGGACCCCGTTGCTGATAGTCGGTAAATAGCTTGGTCAAAACAGGGAGAAGGAATGCAAGGGTCTTTCCTGACCCGGTCTGTGCCTTGATTATAACGTCCTCTCCACTCATTATTCGCGGAATTGCTTGCTGCTGAATAAACGTCGGATTATGAACCTGGAGCTTACTTTTCAATATCTCACAGATCTGCTCGTGAATACCTAGCTCAGAAAACGACTTGCCGTTCTCAAAAAGAGCCCCATCCTGTTTGCGGATTGGCGCAACCGAACGCTCCGTCTTCAAAGCAACGCTATCTGCAGATTCGAGGAGCTCTCTGCGAAAGACAAGCTTAGAGTTGTCCGAGGTGTTGAGCCACTGTCTTCGTCGTCTGGCATCCTGCTGTTGGACTGGCACCTTCATGGTATAATTTACATCCATGCAGCACAGCTTAAAGCAGCTAAATGGAATTATTTAAAGTCTGATAGCAGACAAAGAGATGTCATCGCTTAGGCTTCTAATTGTTACAGCTGCCCCTGCTATGCCTGGTATTTTTATTACCTCCGTGAACAAAATTGTGACCACACAAAACGAGTGATCAACTTTGTAGCAGACTAGCAAAAACAAATGCTTCCTGTACTTCTTGGGCTCCTAGCGGGGTTCCTCTCCGCGTGCCCCGAGGGCGAAATCGAGGTCGACGGGGAGTGCTACCCGGAGGCGTGCGTCTTCGACGGAACAGTCTGCGCGGGCCACGGGGTCTGCATGGTGAACTATTGCTATTGTGACGACGGCTACAGACTGTCGAACGCCGGGTGCACGCCTGCGGAGTGTACGGATAGCATGGGGCTTGTCTGCGGCGATCACGGTGTCTGCAAGAGGGGCCCGGATGGCTTTTCCTGCGCTTGCGACGAGGGCTACACAAGCGTCTCCCCGACGTGTGCTCCCGACGAGTGCGTGCACGACGGAAAGATATGCGGTGGAGCTGGAGCGTGTGTTGCTGAGGATGGCACGCCCGCTTGCGTCTGTGATCCCTTCTACGCTGGGACCTTCTGCGAGGAGTGCGCACCCGATGCGGTCCTTTTCGAAGACCACTGCGTCGACCAGCGTTGCCTCAGCGAGAACCACGAGGGCGACACCGTCGAGTGCGGGGGCTTCGGGGTCTGCTTCTTCTACCCCATCGGGATCATTTCCTGCATCTGCTACCCGAGTACTGTCCTCGACAACTACAAGTGTGTTCCATTCACGTGTGCGTCCCAGCCGGAGGACAGGATCGTGGCCTGCAGCGATCGCGGGATCTGCGAGCCAGACAGAACATGCCGTTGTGACGAGGGCTTTGAGGGCGACGTCTGCCAGTACAAGATTATCGACTGCCCTGCAGGTACGCGCTACTTTGAGGGTCAGTGTGTGACCGATGGGTGCATCTCCCCCGACGGACACGTCTGCGGTGACCACGGGGTTTGCGCAAACAACGCATGCACCTGCAACGAGGGGTACGAGCTCATCGATAAGAACGTCTGCATGCCATCCAACTGCATCGTCGACGGAGAGGTGTGCCCGTACGGGACATGTGAGCGTGAAGGTATGTCCTGGACGTGTGTGTGCCGCGCAGAGTATGTGCCCTACAATGGCAAGTGCTACCCCAATTCCTGTGTCACTGACATCCTTCCAAATGGAGATCCCAAGCTCTGCTCTGGACTGGGCCAATGCGACATGGAGGCTCGCCGCTGCATCTGCCTCTCGATAACTACGGGAACATATTGCCAGAAGTGCAGCGATGAGGCACTCCAGATCGGTGAAAGGTGCGTCTCGTTATCCTGCATAAGTTATGATGCCAATGGAAACCCTGTTGAGTGCAGCGGGCATGGAGGCTGCGTTGTTTCCTTTTCAGCAGAACACCCTGAAGATTATAACTTTCTTTGCGACTGCGAAGATGGGTACCTTGCGTTAGAAACAAGTACATGTACCCACTTCAAGTGCCTAAATCGCGATCTTTCCTTCAAACCCATCTGTAGTGGCGTTGGCTTCTGTCTCGGACCCGAGGGTTGTGCATGTCCCGAGGGCTACAGTGGTACGCGCTGTGAAAACCGGGAATGCCCTGAAGGCGAGACGGCAGTTCTGGCCTGGGGCTGCGTCCCGGATGCGTGCGTTACTGAATATGCAGACGGTGTCCGGCGCGTTTGTGCCGGGTTCGGACACTGCATAACAGAGGACGGAGTTGCTCGGTGCCGCTGCAACGGAGAGGCAGAACTCATTGACGGTGTTTGCACAACCCCGGCGTGCATTGGGGCCGATGGAACTGTATGCAAGGGAAGAGGGATCTGCCGTGACGGAGCTTGTTTCTATGGCAATTGACGCTTCTTGGAATCATTGTGAATTCTTTCTATTATGCAATTAATTGATGTCGCTCCTCGTCACAACAACTGTCAATAACGTGAAAGTCTTCAACGTGACGCCCGGAAAGGGCATCCCAGCCTTCCTCTCAAAGCAGGAACGAAAGAACATGCAAGAAGCACCTACGAACAAGCAGCGGATTGATGTTTTGCAAGACCTCACGTTCCCCACTCTAACAACCAAGGCTCGGTTTTCCAATGATTGTCAGTATTTCGCTGCATGCGGATGCTATCCTCCTATGCTGCGGCTTTACGATTTGGGAAACACGGGCCTCAAGGTTCAGCGGAACACAGACTCGGAGATTGTCGATTTCCACTTTCTTTCCGATGATTATCAGCTCATGGCCCTTGTCGAAATAGATCGAAACTTAGAATTTCACAACAAGGGTGGGAAACTGTACAAGATGCGTATTCCTAGGCCCCCTAGGTGTTCTGCATTTGACTGCCACACGCCCCAATTGATTGTTGGTGGAGTTGGGGGACAAATCTACAGAGTGGACCTGCAAGAAGGCCGCTTTCGCACATCCTGGGACACACCATCTTTTTCGCGGAAGCTCATCTCTTCTGATGCATTTGGAGTCAATGCACTTGTCTACTCTCCCGAGACTTGCCTTACCTTTGCAGCTGATGGCCACTCACTGAGCACCTATGACGCCAGGACAAAGGGAGGCATTGTTTCTAGCATAGCGCTGGAAAACGAAGGTACCGCGGTTGCTGTTGACAAAACCGGTCTGCAGATTGCTGCCGGTACCAGTGAGTCTGATGTTATTCTCTATGACATACGCTCATCCCATCCTCTTCATCAATTTACACATCACTCCGACCTTCCAATTAGAGAGATATGCTTCCACACAAGTTACTCCACGCATACACTTATCTCTGCCGATAGTCGCTCCATACGCATGTTCAGGCCAGACGAGAGCACAGCTTCAACTACTAGCAAAAGCAAGCTGTTCTGCGTTATTGAACCAGATGTGACCATTAACTCCTTTACCGTCTTTCCTGAGTCTGGCCTGCTGATGGTTCCGTGTGAGGACATGGTCGTTAATACCTTCTATGTCCCTGAGCTCGGACCATCTCCTGTCTTTGCTGCATTCTTGGACGACCTTGCTGCAGACATGTCCACAAACGCGCTTACAAGCTCATACGAAGGGCTCTACTTTGTGACCAAGGAGGATCTGGAGAGGGTTGGGTTGGACTTAGTGGCAGACTCCTCTCTCTGTATACCTTACATGCATGGGTTTTACATAGATAAGGCTCTTTACGACAAGGCAAAGTTCGCCAACACATCTCTCAATACCCCAGCTCCCCAGTCTGCTCCAGAAGTAGCTTTAGAAAAGACCCCAATAGGTACCAGAAAACGGGTTATTCAAGGGAAGGATAACGGAAGAACTGCACAGAGTTCCGTCCATGAAAGAAGAAGACCTGAGGACCACGTGCGCGATCTATTCGGGGCAGACTAGAGCGTGATCACTCGTGGCACACAACCTTGCTAACGCCCGCCGGCGGAACGTACTTCTTATATCCACTAATAACATCCCATATGAAAAGGACATCTTTAGTCTCTACAAAGAGCTGTCCTCTAGCTTGGCTACTTCCTGGGCTACAAGAAATCCGGATGTGAGTCATTTTCTGATTGCTTAAGTTTGCTGGCTGTGCTGGCTCGAGTATCCCCGACGACGGAGAAACAGAAAAACGCTCGGAAGACGTGGGGCTGAATGATGCCTTGTACTCTGTGTACACGTTGTAAATATTGCATATCTTGAGAATATATTCGCCCTCAGTGTTGCTGTTGGCCAGCTCGACTGTTATTGTCCCTTCTGGCTTTGGAGTATTTGCTACCAGCTGGAGAGGAAGCTTATACCGTCCACTATTGCGGATGGAAATTATCATGTTAACGTCGCATGCAAAAGGTTTCATGGGGGTAAAGGAAAGAGAAATCTGCGGCGCACTACCTATCCCTCCCAGAACCTGGGGCAGCCTAGTAGACCCAGAGGGAGACATAGAGCCGCTGGGCCGATAAAAGAACTGTATCGACTTCTGCGCAATGTAGAAAGCCGAGTCTGGCTTAAGGGTCCGGGTATCAATAGGTTCAATGTAGAATGACATATCCCCTGCAGAATAGCGCGCAAGAGAATCGAATGGTACTGGCTTACTGACAGAAACACTGTTCCTGGCGGAGCACGCCATAAAGGCAAAGGTCTCGTTTAGAACTATCTCTGCAGTTGCCTCAATCGGATATGTAAAAGTATAGACTTCAGACTTGTTCAGCAGCGTTGTGAAGGTTTCCTCACCCATCTTAAGAATCTCGGCGGTGTCTATTCCTGCCTCAGTGTCGGCAAGTTGCTGCACATGTACTAGAAACTTCGCCTTCACTAGCTTCAGGGACTTGGGCGTAAAAGTAAACGGAAGCTGCACATCGCAAAATGGCTGAATAATCATTTCAGGCCGAATATTAAATTGGAGATCGGGTGAGTTCTCGTACTCGAAGCGAAGAAGTGAACTTGTAAGGAAGGGATTCTTGAACGTCACCACACCGGCATTGGACGACCCCACATTTGCATAGATCTTAGTGATTGTTTGCTCCTTCGGCATCTGCCCGATTCCGCGAAAGACGTACTTGTACTCGCTCTGGATAACACCCTTTGAATCCACCCCAGAGACATAGAACTCTCCTATCTCGGGGAGATTGACTTTTGTTGGACGGTAGTTAATCTTCACTATTTCTTGACTGCTGTGTTGGACGATAAAGGATGACTTGGGATGGGAGGTGAACGCATTATGGTTGGAGTTTTCAATTGTATAAGTTAGTGCAGTGGTGGGATTTGGATTTTCAATCATGATCTTACTACTCACTTGGGCAGAAAGTAAAGAGTATATTGTCTCTTCCTTCACAGTTAGTTCGTTACAAGTCACGACAAGCTCATACCAAAACTCCCCCAGCTCCATAGAATTAAAGATAACCACGCCTTTGAGCACCCCTCGACAGGTAGGCCTAACATTCAGGATAAGAGACTGGGTATCTCCCGGCTCAATTTGCATAGACGGGCTGAAAGACAGCAAATAGTACGGAATGTTCATAACCTCAACATTCACGTTTGCATAAACGTCTGAACGTGTGTTAGTGATAGAGAACTCGTGACGGGCGTTGAGATTTGTCGACGTTTGCAACTCTACGACACCACTGCATTCGCGTGGCTTCACATGGAGAACAACCTCATACCACTCATAGGTATTGGTCCCATTGTTCTGGATGAAAAGGATGTTTTTCGACTGTCCAGAGCATGGAGAAAAGCCACGAAGTTCAACAACCTGCGAAGTTCCTGGAGCCAGGTCGAAAGATGAGTGAGAAAGCTCAAAAACAGCCTTCTTGTCCTGTAAGTATACTGTATACCTAGTGAGTTGCTGGGCTTGCTGCTGCTGCAAATTAGAAGCCTGACCAGTCTCAAGGAGTGGAGGACTGCTGATAGTAAACTTATAGACAACAGGCTCCATGGCGACAGTTTCTAGATTGATGATTCCGGACGTCAGCGGCTCTGTTGCCTGGCACTTCAAGAGGTATTCGTCTACGAGCAGATCCTTAGTGCTATTTTCAATCACTAATTTAGCATTGAACAGAGCAATCCACTTAGGCTTGAATTCTAGTAAGATGAATGGAGAGTCATGAGGCCGTACCAACATCGTAAATGGCACCCCATCAGTCATTGCCTGGCCGTTAACCCAGAAGTAACTGATAAGGCTAGATAGCTGTTGCTTCTGGGCTCCTCCGCGGCCTGCCCTTTGCAACGCATTTTGGCCTTGACTTGTAATTGTCACACTCATAAGGCAGTCATTGTCCATCGTATTCCTAACGGGCAACTTCTGAGAAACCGTCTCCCTCGCCGGTACAATCATCTCCATCTGGATCTCTTCTTGACGCTTGAGCAAGTTAAGATAAATTAGGCCTTGCTTGGTGAACGTGTCTGTAGCGATCAAAAAGCGGAAGGCGTGCACATCCGGTTCAACGTTGGGTCTACTAACATATTTAAGGGTGAAAACCTTGTTAAGAGGGTCTATAGATGACGTCAGCTGGATCATTTGTGCCTGTTTACCATCATCTGTTTGCTTGGTGTCCACAACTTGTTTTAGCTCATGGTTAACATACTTGTGTACAAGGTCGTGGCCAAGTAGGTCGTTTATATCTATATTGAAAGTCCTAGATTCCGTGGCCAAAGAGCTGATGTTGTACGTGTGAGAAATATCTGGGAGGATACTATACCCGCGCAACTCGTACATAAACGAGCCCAAATTAGCATCTTCAAATATAACCGAAGCGATATACGCTCCTGGATGCGTCGGCATATAGTACAGGTTCATGGCCTGACGCCCTCTGGGCTTTATGTTAAGAGACCGTTCGTTGGTCTTGAAAGCAATGGGAGAGACTGTCACACCACAGAGCGGTTGCACAACGGTATCGGGGACCTTCTTATCAGCTGGGTTGACTGTTTTTGCTGCTTGGGTGGTCAGGGGCTCCATGTATCCAAACACCTTCTTGGGCTTGACGCTTGCCGATAAAGACGCAGAATCAAGCGCAACGAACTTCTCGGTAATGCGGATCTTGTAGTTTGCTTCAAGCCCATTTTTATTGTCTACATCTATAGAAATCTTCGCTTGCTGCTGACACTTAGACTCTACCTCGTAAACCTTCACAGGGACGGTGTCATTTGTCTCGATGACCACTGCAACAAAGGACGGTGCCAAGAAGGAGCCTGAAGAGGTCTGGGAAGAAACCTCATATGAAGGTCTCAGGCCGATCAGCGCCACACAGGGCTTTGCGAAGCGGGGCGTCATTTTGATGAAGAGAGTCGACGACATACGTGGCTCGATCGTCAACATGCTTGTGTTCAGCTTTATTTCGCAGCTAGGCCCACCTGCAGAAACGTCGTCACTCCGTGGGTAAAGAATGCTGGTTTTATACTTTATTGAAGACGACTTCATAACATTAGAGACCTCTAGAGGCTGTGTGACTGTGTCTCCTAAGTTGGATAAGACGCGAAGAGCCTTATATGGAAGATATGACGGCAGAACCTGGTAGAGCAGAGTCGCAAGAATCTGATGATTTGTCGCTAGTGCGTTTGTGTATGCAACGTTGTGAGAGTAGTCAAATGTCGAGGAGGGGCTTGTCATGTACAAGCTTGAGGGTAAAAGGCTGATATTAAACTCAAGGCGAAGGAATTGCTCAATCTCCAACCATAGTGCAGATCTTGCAGATTCTAGCGCAGAAAACATCCTGTCTGTGAGTTCTGGGATCTTGATCTTTAGATTCAAAATGTAGTCCGGTGTGAAGTTGGAGATGCCTAGCTCCAAGAAAGATTTTGCAATAGCAACAGAGGCGTTCATGAGCTCCTCTGCACGCCTTCGGATTCCATCACAGTAAGGGTAGTGGCTAAGAATTGTAAGTCCCACTTCAAGCCCTGAGAACAGAGCCCGTGAAGACTTAAGCACGTAGAAGTTCGGCGTCCCCCTGGCAGACCTACGAGGAGATAATGACCCCTGGGGTTCTTCCTTGCAGGTCCCAGCAAGCGTATCAATAGCAGAATCTTGGACGATTCTTTTTGTGCTCTTCTGCAAGGCTAGCTGCGACCGAGTAACAATGTTCTTCTTGTCCTTTATATCAGCCTTGGCTGGTGCTGTGTACTTTTGATTAACTACAATCTCCTGAAATTCGGTTCCGTGTATCATGTAGGACGCGTGGTACGTGAAGAGATAAAGCAAGCATCCGTTCTCGTTCAGCTTAGTGGCTTTGGAAAATGCATCAAATTTGGCGAAGAAATCTGCTATAGACTCCTTCTGGCACTTTATGTCAAATATGCCCTTGCTTAGTTCAAACTCAATTGCCTCGTTGCTCACCCAGACCCTGTGCTTTTGGATATTTGCCTCGAGAACCTTTGCATTTGAGGTTGTGTTCAAAATGAAAAGCCTGACAAGCTCGCTTAGCACAAAGTACCAGGCAGAGCGGTGTGAAAACTCGTGCACAGCCCGGAGGATATCGAGAATAACGAGAGAGCTTGTTTGGGTAATCATGGGCGATACCAGTTGAGGCTCAAATTCATCTGTAGGCAGGACGGAAGCAGCAGGGGCTATTGAGTGCTTCATCTTATTGTGCACGCTAGATTGAAGCTTTGCACTTTTTTCGTGCGGTCTTCCAACATCCTTGTCTCCTGGTGGTTGTTGGTCTAAATTAACTACATCAGCAAGCGCACTCGTGTAACTGTTTCTCGACACCTTTGCAATTGACCACTTGCACCAGTTGAGAAAGTCTTCCCGTGCCATGAGCAGCTCGCATGGTATGTTGTTGAGCATGGCGCCATTGATTTTCAAGGCAGTCAGCATGTCGTCATAACACGAATGAAGAAACTCCACTCGAAGCTTGTTAATAGATGGTAGGTTCTGAAGTGTTTTCGGATTGATACTAATATCCTTCTTCAGGATTCCACACGCCCATAACAGAAACGGCGACGTCTTTGAAGTAGACTGTGTGAATTGCGCAGGGAAGGGGAGGTTAGTATTGAGTCGAAGATTGAGCAGCAAATAGAGGGTTTGGATCATGAAGCTGATAGTAATGTTATTCTCTGTAGAAAGACCCACAACATCTGGGATGAAGGGAATGTAGGGTGTTAGGCAAGATTCGGAGTTCAGCCCTACAGTACGAAAGATAAAATGCCAGTAAAATGCGAGACGGTTGTTAGCGTTGGAATAGCGTGGGTACTCCGTGGTCGCATATGGCCCGAAGACCATCCGCCTGATGTGCTGGAAGAGAGACTTTTGCTTGTCCTTGGTAGAGCCCAACGCTCTGGTGCTGCTTTGCTTGTCACTGCGGTCTGTTCCTAGGGGCTGTGCATCAGGCTTCTTTGAGGTGTAGTTGATCAGAGTAAAGGATTTTACCCTTGCAATGGATTCATCGTCCCACGGAGACACGCCAACAGCTAGAAAAGCGTCTTTCTTATTCTGTATGTTATGGAAGACCTCTTCGAGACCAAGGGCCTTGCTATATTCGCTAAACTCAACAAGAGTGTTACAGTTGATACTCTCCAAAGCCAGCAAGACATTTTTGTTTAGCCCATACTTACGCAAGATTGGGTCTGTCTCATCTGCTTTGCAGATTTCCGTCAACTGACTATAACTGTGATAGATGCCAAATTCCGGAGTTGTCAATGAGTACGGGTCTACGCTGCGAGGCACCAAGTCATAGAACTCTTTCTGAAATCCGTCAGCTGATGCATCAACGCTTGGTTCCATTAGAGCAGCAGATTGAGCAAGTGCTTGCAAAGGTGTAGATTGCTGTAAGCGCTTGGAGTTGACCCGGAGATATTCCCGTAATAGATACGGATCATTTGCACAGTTGCCTCCAATTGTCAAGTTATACGGGGTGCCAGTATCATCTGAAATCACACACCGACTTGAGAAGCTCATCACAGTGTTGCTTATGAATGTTATCAGGACAGGGAGGGTCTTTATCATATGATTGATGATGTTTCCAAGGGGCCAAATGACACAGAACGCTATCTTTGACAGCTCCGGTGGGAACGTAATGGTTAGCTTCACGTTATGCTTATACCCTAGATTGCGGATATAGAATAGGCAACGAGATGGGACACCAACAGCAGTGTTAGGGAAGATAACAGGATTGGCCGAGAATGCTATTGTGCGGAAAACCGCGACGCTCTGTAAGTGAATTGTCAGATAGTTGCTGAGCACAAATCCTTTATTGCAGAAGAAACTTATCTCTGGGCTCATATTTCTAGGTGTATTACTAATATCATTAGAGAATGCCAATGTTTTTTGCTCACTGGAAGCCGGTGCAGCTTCTGAGTGAGTTGATGCTTCACCGTCACCGGTGACCACTTCCATGTAGTAAACCTTTAACTTGGCATTGTGTACACCGACCTTGGTAGGAGAAAAGAAGACACGAACGCTGACATTGTCATAAGGTTGTATCTTCCCAAACGGCTGATTGAGGGCATACAGCTTTGTTGATAGCAGCTGATCATTATAGTCTGTGACCAGCGCTACAAAAAGAATCACCTTATTAGTCTGATTGATAAGATTAACGTCTTGATAGTAAAGGCCCGAAAGAGCCATCTGTGAAATAAAGGGTAGCTCCCGCGCTATAGCATGGAACCGGTCCCCAGAAAGCTCGGTAGTGCCCGCCAGGGATGTTGCTGCACTTTCGTCGCCCGAACCAGTCGTTGGGCCACCAAAACCGGTATGTGCCAGAAGCTTCTGGAAGATGTCCCTAAACATGGGGGGATAAACTGCGACGCTCTGCTTGTACGACGAATCGGAGACTTTAATGCCAAAGTTCACCAGGGAGGTGCTTGTGAATATAGCTGCCGGCGTAATACTGTATGACAAGATAAGTACGTTTGAAAGCTCTTTACCGCCCGCAACAGCCTTCAGTGTGTTCAGTGTAGACTCTGATTTGCCGGTAGACTCCCTAACAGACTTGCGGGAGGCAGGAAGGAAGGAGGAGTCAAGCTCTTTCAATACATCCGCGTTGATTTCTGAGGATTTGCGGGACGCGCGCCTTACCCCCACATCGGATCCAATCGAAGGAGCCGACTTCTGCACAGAAATGGATGAAGGATCAGATAGTATTTCACTACATGTAGTCTGTCCTAGCAAGTAAAAGAACACGCAGTCATTGACAGCTGCCTTCTGGTCCAAAGCAAGGATGGACATGATCAGCGTGGTGGAGGAGCCTGGAGGTATATAGATGTGCATAACGCGGTTGTAATCTGCATTTGACGATGATACACCCATGAGTTCTGATGGCTGCTTTAGCTTTCCGCTGCCATCAATGTCTGGAATCTCATTTAGGTTGAGTAGAGATGCAGTGTATGACTGATAGTCGATATCATTAGTGCCAGGAAAGACGGGAAGATTGTGCTTTTGTGCAAGTCTATCAACAAGTTTGCTCTGAGCACGCAACAGAGACTCTGTGACTCCAAGACCAGAGTTTTCATTGATGTAGGTTGATAGACTGTACTCCACGTCTTGGGATGCTTTCAGCGGTTGAAAAGATTGAAGAATGTGTGTGTCACTTAATAAACGAAACCGTTCCAATAGGTCATTCTTAGTAATCAATGTACTAATAACCCCTGCATCACCACCTGAGTCGCTTACTCCAATTTCAGAGACGAGGGTTATGTACTGAGAAAGAGTGCAATCAACAAATAGGTCTGCCGGAACTCGGCTTACATTGGTTACCTTGAACTTCTTGAGAGTCGGTATGCTCTGCGTCACGCCCTCATTGAATGAAATGTGTGACGGAGATATAAGAAGAGGCTGCGTAAATGTTAGGTCCTCAGACTCAGAATCAGATTCGGGCAAAATGTTTTGACACTTGACTTTCACCCTGTTTGTTCCACCAAGGGAGCCTGCAGGAGACCCATGGGGATTTTGCTTGGATTGCCGAGAGGTTGTCCTGCTCTTTGTCACGCTTTTCCCAGGAGAAGAGCAGACGGTTCCTGTCATGGATATCATGCTTGGAGAAGGCATGACTGTGAGGGAGGACCGGCCCTCAATGGCTTCACTAACAATAATTTGCGGTGATTCCACCAGTGCTCTGACAGGCAGCTCTATCTGCTCACCCCCAATAATTCTGAAGCAAAGCTTGGTCGATACAGGCCCCAACACCCTGGTAGTAAGGCTGACCTGGAGCTGTAACCGCTCACCAGGACCCAAGCGGCCCCGCGTGACGTCAACCGTCAGATGATTCCTTCCCGGCTCTGTAATTGACGCACTGACTATGTCATCTTCTACAAGCTCAAAGTAGCACTCTATCTCTGTGCTTTTGTTTGCAATAGTGCAAGAGACACGTGAGACCTTTCCGATATTAATAAGACCATAGTCAATGAACTTCTCGAGAAAGGAGGCCTTGCCAGGCAGAAGATGTGCAATTACTGGCACATATAGCATATCGGCCTTAGTCGCCTGAATGGTTAAGATTCCTGCGGTAATCTCTGCATTAGAAGGACACCACGTGAGGAGCACCGACTTGTTACTTTCGCTCTGGAAGTTTTTGACTTCAGTCTCGCTCAGTGCGAATACGTCAACTGCTGAATGAACGACGGTGCTAGCCTTAGTTATGGATGCAGAGCTGGAGCTCTTCTTGAGGCCTTCGGTGACAGTGCTATTGCTATACGATCCAGAAATGGAAAGTGGCTGCGCCTGGAAGTCTCCTCCGGCGACGCAGTTTCGTGAAAAGACACAGTCTGCACCGACAGCCAAGGCCAATGCTGTTGGGGCTGTGCCCGTATTAATAATGGAAATGTTTCTCTGAATAACCTTGTCGTATATGTTTGCAGGTGTCAGCTCAAAGTAAATAATATCGGACATCATCTGAGATTTGAATTGAGTTGTGCTTGCGCTAATCGGAGTTGAAGCATCCCTCTCGCGTTCGTCGCGTCCTCTGTCGCTCGTACTCCGCATTAACAAATTGGCATACTTTTCTATGAGGTCCCTGGCCTCCTTGAGTTGAGTGTATGCTTTTATGTTGAGCCGAAGCGTCGGCTTCTTTATGGAGGCCGTCAGATTAATGACGCCATACTCCTTGTCGTTAATGTATATTTTAATGATATCTGCATAATTCGGCGTAATATTAACAAATTTGATACTAATCGGGAAGCCAGCCATTGATCCCGGGGGAAGGTATTGAATGTACGGCTGCACCTCAACCTTTGCAGCCTTGAGCGGACTTATTTGGTGTACAAATGTGCTTCTAGCATCTGTTCCTCCATCAGACGGTCGGTCCATCAGGTTCGGTACAGATTGTGCCCTAGCGCTCGACAACGGAACGGTTGCAGGAGGCTGCTTAAGCTTTTTCATATCTGGCACACCTAGCTGGAACCCGAGGTCAGAAGGAAGAGTTTCTCCAGGCATGAAATCTTCAGAGGAGCTATCCTCGACAAGCTCTACCTCCCTCTTCCGTTGCTTCTCATCATTGACGCTTCTCTGCGTTGTCTTGAGCTCAATCTTGATAAAGCTCTTCAAGTCGTTTGCAATTTTGAAGTACCTGACGACTTTAGTTCCAACGGTGACTGTTCCCAAGTCAAAGGCCATTGGTCCAGTTGAAATAAGCGCCAGCTCACGAGTGGATAACTCCTTGATGTCTTGAGATATTCTTAGGAGCTCTAAATTATCATAGTTGGAAGGCCCAAAGAGCTTTACTGGTGCTGTTGTGTCATTTGCCAACGTCGCTCTTTTCTTTGGTTGGAGCACAACTGTAGTTCCATGGTCTCTATCTAGCTGATCTAGCTCCTCAGCTACCCTAGACTTCTTGCGCTTGTTGCAATAGTTGCTGTCATAGTCATTATCTCCGTATTCCGGCTCCATCCCTAAATCCAGTGCATCGTTGTACGAAGATAGCTTAGCTGACGGTTTGGCTGCCGAGCTGGATACCTCCATAGCCCTCTCCATCCCAGGTTGCTTGGTTGTAGCACCAGCTAGTCCTGAGGTACTCAGCTCTCCAGTCTGACTGATAGTCTTATATTTTGCGTCATCTTCTTCGCTAGAATCGCTATCCTTGTCCAGATACATCCTGTTATAATTGTACAACTTGCTGGACTCGGCAGCCATCCCCCCTTGGGCAAGAGTCCTCCGACCTTCTTGTTTGGCCTTTCCTGCAATTTTCAACTTGTTGGCATTATAGGTTTTGTCACAGGCAAGCCGCTGCTCTTCCTTGTATTTCTTAAGCTCTGTTGCGTTGAGGAGCTTCCGGTCTCCCAACGCCATGCCTTCTACTGTTCTTTTGTTTCCGGTGTCCAGTACAGCCTTTACATTCTTCAACCTTGTTGTCATTTCCTTGTCCTTATTTGTTACTAGCGAAACTGTAACCTGATAGTAGTCTGTTTCACCCAAGTAAAGATACATATAATCATTAAACGCGGTCATGGACTTTGGATTGTAGAACAAGTAGAAGATCCGTTGCTCCTTAGGGAGTAAGAACGTCGTTAGCTCGTTGTGATTCAGGGGATCATCTATGTGATATGGTGATGGTGCAACAATACGAAGCTTCACGCGTTCAACAGAAACATTCTTGACCGAAAAGTTCTTCTGGGCCTGCGCGGCCGAAAAGTGCATAACCGTATCAGAGATAGAGACCAGAGGACGGGTAGCCATGGCGCTAACGCTGAAGAACGTTGCATCTGTGAAGGTCTTATGAAGAGAGGACGCCGAACACTTTGTCCTGACCTCGTATACGTATGCTATGTTATCTAAATTGGTCTTGAAGAAGCGGAACTCGGTACCGAATTGCTTCAGCTCGTCATCGCTCATCTTCTCAATTAGAGTCGTGTCAAATGAGTCCAGGTCTGAATCATCATCTGTATTGGTGGTTCCCTTATTTTTTCCCTGCTTTGCGACAAAGCTGAAGATGCGTCGCCATTCCCTAAGCGTTGTATTGCTCATGAACCTGCAAACACGCTCGATGCGATTTAGGTCTAGTCGAGGAGCAAACGTGAGTTGAATCTCTACCTTTTCACCGGGCTGCAGAACACCTGCAGAGGGCTCAATGCGTATAAAGCTTATGTCCTCCAACATTTGCGCTGCAGCGACAGTTTCTTCTGTTTCACCTGCCTTAAGCTTTTTCTTCCCGATGTCACAAAGTGGCTTTTTGTCCCGAACTTCCACTTGAAACTCATAATTCATGACATATGGTGAGACATTTTGTGCAACTATCTTTTTGGTAGTCTCCTCCTGAAAGATTGCCTGGCATTTCCAAATGTCTAGAGGGACAAGAGTTCGGGGCTTAGAACGAGGATCGTCGGGGTCAAACGTCTTGGTCTCAAAAGTAGATAGCCGTGTAGTGGAAAATTTGCTTGTAATTGCCTCAGATTTGGAGAGATCGTCTAAGTAATGATAGTATACCAGTCCTGGCTCTATGATGCTACACGAAACATCTATGAGTTCTTCGCTCTTGTACTGATCAATAAGCCGAACAATTCCGCGGTATGCGCCAGTTTTGTTACAAACTATTGTCGCACGCACAGTGACGGCTTTCCCACACGGCACTCTCCCGGTCATAGTGCTGAAGGACAAGATTTTAGACAGCGGGGGAATATCGCTCTGAGACCCTCGGGCAAACTCCTCTTCACTCGCATCAATCTTAATAGTAAACTGTCCGTCTTCTGTTCCCTTATTCGTGATCACCAAGTCCTTGGTAATGGGGTATCCAGGAATTAGATTGCCAAAAGAGAGGTGAGAAGTGTCCGGGAACAAGTGAGGCCTGCACTTTTCTGCAAACAGAGGAAGTTCAAGCTGTTCGTGCATTGAGTATATTACTACAGAGTCGTGGTACTCAGACCCTACAGTGTCCTCTGTATAAAAGGAGATGTGGATTGTTTGAGAGAGCCCGGGAGGTAGATTAGCCTCCACGTCTGCTTGAAGGCGAAAGCTCTCTGTGGTGGGGGCATTCATGCGAACCTTAATCGATGATTTTGATACATTAATAATCTTCACTGCTTTGGTATAAACACGGCCGGTGGTTACACCCAAAAACTCAACCTTTGATGGCGAAAGCGAAAGCGCCTTCATGGATTCAATTTTTACATTTTAGCATCCAAGCAGCAGCTTTTATTTTAGACGCAACTGGGTCGTCGGCTCTACAGTGTGTTCCTGTAGGATGCTGTAGTTTTAATCTGAGAAGCTGGGCCGAAAAAAACCATGCACAGACCAAGCAAGGACCTAGGAGTTGCCATAGGGTTTACGGTTGGGGCAATTGTTTTAAGTGCACTAGCAGCAGGGATCATCTTTACTTCGTCGACAACTTTCTCCACGCTGTCTACGGGAGACGGAAAGCCTCCAGTAGTGCCGTCTTTTGGTACATACGTCTCCAGTTCCAAAGGTCTCTACGTCTGGTCCCACACGACAGACAGTAAAGTTGGGAGTACACCTGCGTGGCAAGTTCTACTAGAGGACCAACATGATGAGATTACGTATCTCTGCGCGTTCTGCAAGCAGCACGGGATCTCAGAGGTCTACCTCTTTATAGGCTCTGCAGAATGGGAATGGGATGCGTACTTTTCCAATCTGCAAATTCCACATTCACAGGCCGTCCGCTCTGCGATTGCAAAGCTAACGGCTAAAAAGATCACGACCCACCCAATGGTATATCTTAATGATGAGCCCGATAACCTGGAAAACTATGAGCGCATGGAACAGATTGCTGAGGCAGTCAGATTGTTTAAGAACGCCAATTCAGATCTGCTGATTGGGACACTCCATATTGACCAGGAACCGGCCAATCCAACCGCGTATACAGATTACATCCGCATGCTTTACCTGGCTGGTCAAAAGCTCCCCATTTCCGTGGCAATCAAGCCCCTCTGGGTTCGTACAGAGTTGGCGACAATTGAAGAGTCGTTCAGTCTATTTGACTTGGCACTCGAGATAGACATGCTTCTCGACATACAGAGCGTGGCAGAGAGATTCAGTGACGTGGTCTACTATATGACATCGCATGCAACAATGATGGCATACAGCAACACAAAGGCACAGGTTGAAAGCTTAGCAACAAGTGCTATGGACAGTGCTGTACGGGTGGGTAAGCAGTATGCTGAAAGCGCCATAGAAGTAGGGTACACGAACAATCTTCCGGCCGAGGAAACGTTACACTATGTTCTCACAGAGGATAAACAAGGATGGTTCGATAGCTTCTTGGACTTGAGCACGTCATTCACCAAAACTGCCAAGGAGCGTAGCCTCTCCCACCGCACAGTCGTCCATGACTATTCACAGTACTTCTACTCTCTATACTGTGAGCTTCCCATCGCCAAGCCAAACATAGTGGATTATCCCTACAAGAACTGCCCTACTAGTAAAAATCTGTAATGGCTTTACCTTTCGGTCTTGTCTTTTGCTTTTGTCTCGACTGGGTCACGTCTTTTCAGAAGTATAATTAAAAACTTCCATGACTTTTTCGAGGATGGAGAAGCTTTCGCGGTGTGCATGTGCATCCCTGGTGGCCGGGGCGTTGCTGCTGGGCCTGGGTGCAATTGCAGGCACGATAGCCATCTCCTTTTATCATGGATTCTTCTACTCGGTATCCCCAGATCTATGTCCCCGTAATGTTGTTCCGTTCAACGAGTATCTCTGTGCTGGCGAAGATTTCAGAAGCAATCCAACCCCGGCAAAACCCTTTTCGATGATCTTCGGCCCCTTTTCTCCGTTCAGTAGAGAAATTGATTTTCGAATGAAGCTAAACTTAACAGAACAAATAAGCCTCAACATGACCTACTTTATCTACAAGACGAAAACCCTTGGGGCGGTCAGTAGAGGCACCTCTAATGATGACACCGACCCGTCATCTCCTCCGTCTCACCGGGATCTGCACGAACACGAATGGATGGGTTGGTCATACGCTCAAGACTCTCCTGATTCATGGGAACTTCTAGAAAAGAGAACATTCTTTGTTAAAAAATTGAATAACCGTGGCCCGAAGTCCAAGCCATCAAATGTTTTCTTTTATAAAAAAGATGGGATTGACGAGAACTATTACAAGCTTGAGGTTTCGACGTTATTGTTCTCTAACCCCAGTGCTGTAAGTTCTATCTTTTTTGAAGTTGTTCCCGGACCCAAAGAAAGCGGCATTCTTTCAGTGGTTCTCATCTGCGTGGGCATGGCTATCGGGGCCGCGGTATTCATTCATATCTCCTGGGTGCTTCGCCTATCGTGGCCTGGGAGATTCTCAGAGTTTCCATTCTTCTCCAAGCTTTCCATCTGGATGTCACTCTGTGCTCTCTTCTCCTTTACGCCGCTTTCCCTACTGCAGTACTTTGATGACACATTCGAATACATCATCGCAAACTCCGCCCTGGAGCAACTCTCGATCGTGGGATCTCTTACTCTATTACTAATGGCGTGCAGACATCTTCTTGTTTCTATCCCTAACGAGTTTGTGCAGCTAGTGAGGCTCCTTTCATTCTTTAGAGGCAAAATACCAGTTATTGTGACTCCCATCTTTGCAGCAATCGGGTCTGCGTCTATCACGCTTTGCCACATTGATCCCGCTCTGGGCAAATCCTACACAGCGTCCTCTTACGTCTTTGCTGCCATTGCTACGGTAACGTATGTTGTTTCATTAATTATGATGTTTCTTATGATGGATTGTATGCGCAGGACTAAGGTGTATATAGATGCCAAGAGAGTCTACTATCTTACTTTCTTCTGCATCATATGGGAGAGCTTAATTTTGTTAACCAGCATAGTCTATGTGATTTGGCATCCAGGGAGGCTTAGAGCATACGACATGTTGCACTTTAATCACCTTTTGGTGTGTGCTCTTTTTGCTGAGTTTATGTGCCCAATTTCAGGGAGCAAGAAAGCTAAGAAAAAGGATGACGCACTCAACAGCTTTAATGGAGAGCACTCCTTTTATGATAATGCAGTGACAAACTCTAGGGATTACAGCATGACTAACACTGACAATTTCAGTACGTAGAGTAGCCCGATGTGAATAAATATATTTAAGCATTGAAGGTGAAGAAACGCGTGCTCTTTGCAGTTTGTGGAAACGCTGAAGATACAGAATTGATGGGTGCACAGTTGTTGTAGCTTTGCGTAGGCTCCAGGCCCATCGATTGCATTGCTAAGTCTTTTAGATGGAGTGTCCTCTCAAGGCTATTGTGCTCCCCCGCTCTTTTCCTTGGAGAATGCGGAGAGTGTGGTGAGGGTACTCTCGTTGTGTTTTCTTTGTAACTAGGGAGGATCTCGGTGACACTGTTTTGCTGGGCCTTAGCAAAGGATCTACTAGACTTTCGTGTCTGTTGCATGGCTTCTAAACTCTTTAAGCTATTGGCTATGCTGCGCAGTGTATCGTTTTTCAAGACATCCTCGCGTCTTTTCAAAATTAATATATTACTCGTCGTTCTTTGCTTAGTTACCGAATTGTCCAATAAATCACTCAGCGAATTGCACGTATGTGTGCAGTCTTCGTCACTATCGACATTTGAGAAGTTAAGGGGTGAACAGAAAGGATTCTTCGTTGGTGATGCCCTCAATGGCACTGAGCAAACGTTGTTAATCAATATGCTACGCTTCTGTGCTCGTGTATCTTTGCTATCAAGTTGGTGCTTGGGTGGTGATTGCTTTAGCTGCTCTAATTGCTCTAGCTTTTCTGATTGCTGGGCTATGTCTATCTCCGTGGCTCTCTTTTGCAGGTATTGGTGTGTACTGGTATCCACCTTTGTCTCTGTCCTCAGTCTAGTATTCAAATTTGTATGTGCACCAAGTGTAAATTCTAAATCCGTGTAAGAGAAGTTGTTTCTCAACTTGGACACAACTGGGGAGTCATCGGTTGAATATGTTATTGGGACTTGTTCTCCATTGATCAGTACATGCATGGGTGGGTCAGTGGAGCCGAGTTGTTGTGTGGTTGCGGAAATGGGTTTCAAAGGAATAGAACTAGCTTTGACAGTGGCAGGAAGAGATTTTATAAGTGCACGTATAGCACGCTTCCTAGGTTCTTGCAAGAATTTCATATGATCACTAAGAACATGCGGGATTCTATTGAGAGCTGTATATGGTCGCTGCGGAACAAGATGAGACAGAGGTGCCTCGATCAGAGACTGGTGATGCTGCTCGTTATGCTCGCGTGCAGATGAATAGATACTGTTACAAAGTTTGTGGTGGCCGCAATAATCCCCTGGGGCAGATAGGGAAAGGGTACCTCCCAAGGCTCTATCAACTGCTGTCGCTCTCGGGTGTGCACAGGACCCTGCACCTGTTGGAGATTTAATAGTGTCACCATGCACTCTACACCTTCCGTTAATCCCCTTTCCTTCTCGAGTAAAGAATTGTTCGACTGACAATACATACCTATCACGCCTACCAATAGAGGCGTTAGGATTGGATGAAGAAAGTAAGGCGTCCTTCGCATCTGTGTCAATTTGTGAATACTTCTGCTCAAGGGATGCCTGCCAGGCTGTCTGCATGTGGTTCACCATTGTATTTGAGGCTTTATCAATAAGTACCGGATAGAAGGAACTATTATTTTTTTCTAATGACCTGCACAATTGCGATGCTTCGGATTGAGGAAGCAGTTGATTGATTCTATTGAGGGACGCTGTCCCCTGATTTAGCCGATCGTTGTCAAGTGGGCTGTCAACCGAAGAGTCGTCCTGAGACTTAGTGAGACCTTCGATTGGAGTGTTCAAGAGATTTTCCGGTGGCTGAGCTTTACTTAAGCTTGAGCAGATTCTAGTAGCCGAGGATACAATGGGCAGCGCAACAGACACCTTACTTCTCTTTCGCGGGTGACCAGCCTCTAGAGAGATTTTGTCAACTTCCAAATCTGGACAGATGTGTCCATTGATGTCTAGTTCCCTTGAGCTTTTGGCCTTCAGAAAGGACGTCATTGAAGACGATTCCATGGATGCAGAAGGCTTAGTGGACCTGTTCGTCCCTTGTTCGTGGCTTTGTGTTTTACTCGCATACTTAGTTGTCCTCGCATGCTGACTTATTGGGTAGGTAGATCGGTCGTCTAAACAAAGGGTCGGAGGAGCTGGATTGTTCGTTTCTATAACATACCTGTTTGCGGAGTGCTGAAGTGAAATTGGAGGCCTGTAAGTGGATTTAATAGACATGGAGATTTTCTCAAATTTTGATGAGAGTTTTCGAGCCCCTTTGAGAAAATAGATTTATAGACTCTATGGGCACCTGTACAGCGTTTTATCTAGAAAAAGATACTCAATCCCGATCTTCGCAGCCCATCAGGTTTTTTATAGAGCTTATAGGCAATATTTTCTGATTGAGCCAAGATAACAGGGTCCTAAAATATCATCTGTGGAAGCAGATTACAGAAGAAGGTTTTGAAATATATCGACTTTTTACGCTGCTTTTGCTTATCATTAGAAAAACTTAGCGAACAACAGCATCGTTTGGTAAGTAGATGGATTGCATTATGCTGAGTCCCCACAAAAAGCTTGAACTGCCGGAATAGGGGAAGCGCTGGCCCATCGATTCGAGACACAGACCCCAAAAATTTACTTCCTTACCAGTTTCTGTGGATCGTTGACGGAGCAGCCCGACAAACTCATGGACGACGATATGACATTAGGCGCATACATAGATGGAATACCATTACCAGACAAGGTGTCGCATTCTGGGTTCTGTGAGAGTGCCGCTGCAGTGTATCCCTGCACACAGCAGCTGATAGCACGGTTGGGTGCACTCCTTGGACCCGGTAAGGCCGGAATGTTGAAGCTGAGCTTGAAAATGGACGGAGATGACGTAGTATCCACCGTCAACTGTGTCTACGAAGTCCTTAAGCAGCTCCAAAGGGTACAGGAGGATAACTCTGTCCTGGCCGATGAAATATCTAGGCTCCAGAGTAACAATAGAGCGAAGGACACGCGGCTAGAGCGTACCAACGACGCCCACGATAAGCAACTCCGTGAGTTAACCTTTTCTCTTCAAGGCGCGAAGGCCTTAGAAAACGAGCTTCGAGGGACCATTACAAATCTCAAGCAGGAGCTCCGCTCTCTTACAGCCTCATACGACGACCTCACCAGGCGTTACAAGCAGCTCGAGCATGCCAAGCGAAAGGTAATTTACGAAAACAAGGCGCTGACTGACAGACTTAGATCTTACCTCGGTATGGGCGGAGGAGTTGGGGGACTGAGACTTGATAATCCTGATAATTCCGACCTATTCAATTTACTGTGTCCAGATAACCCCAAACAATCCCAACAACAAGCACAGGGCAAGCAATCTGTAGACGAGCAATCAACCATCACAATCCAGAATTATAGGAATGCAATTCGCCAGCTGGATTCGGAACTCAGAAGCTTGCACTTTGAGGTGCTGGAAGATCGAGGTATCTATGACAAAGCGCCCCTTCAGTTTGACAAGCCGGAGCTCTGTGCTAAGACTGCGAAGAGCTTGGCTAGTGACATACGGAAGGCTTTACGGGATAGCAGCAAGACCCAAAGGACCAACGCCTACGAGCAGGACTCCTCCGATCAGCTTGTTACTTCTCTCAGGGCAGTGATCCAGGAGCAAAAGACAGTGATAGAGCAACTTACCAAGGCTGCTCAGCGAGCTTTGACAGACGTTTCGTCTCATGCTCAGCTGCAGGAGGAGTTGGCTGCCGAAAAATTAGTGCTTGAGGTGCAGAAAAGGAACTTAAAGACTCAAGAGCAAGACGCAGAGCGCCTGAAGGCCATGATGCAGAACATCGTATTCGATTTAACCGAATAAAATCCAAAAATTCAAACTCAGTAAACATTTTCCCCTACCTCTTAAACTTTCTCATGCTCCGCGACGGTACGGCCATGACTTCGCGCATAGCACCGGTCGTCCCACGTGCCCCAAGCATCGGGGCCAACTCAGTCCGACCAGTAACCCCGAGACACTTTGGATTGAGAGGAGCGAGCCCCGGGGCTGCCTTGATCCGGAGCACCAGTCCAATGTCATTGAGCATTCGGCCGCCAAGCCCGCGGTCGATGATAGCACGGAGCATAAGCCCCGGGAGCACGCTACTCGACGCAGCAAAGCATCAGGATGCAAAGACTGTTAAACTGCATGTCTCAATGACAAATTCATCTGCAGCACACCAGCAGCAGGGACAGACCACCGCGCTCATGCATGCGGCCGAACAGGGCTACTATGATATTGCAAAGCTGCTTGTGGATAAGGAGGCGGGTTGCGTTGATTCATATGGATGGACTGCTACAATGCATGCCGCAAGGAATGGCCATGCAGAGATTGTCAAGATTTTATATAAAAAGGAAGCATGCCACATATCAAAGAGTCACATGACTGCGATGCTCTATGCAGCCGTCAACGGACACGGCGATATAGTTCAGATTTTGTATGACTCGGAGAACGAGATATCAACAACGTTTGGCTGGACAGATCTTATGTATGCCGCCGCTACCAATGACGTAGACCTTGCGAGGGCACTTGCACCGAGACTAGCAGGAAAAAAACTGAAGTTCGGATCGACTGCACTCATGATAGCAGCCACGTCGGGTCACATAGACATTGTGAAGTTGGTGTACGAGAAGGAGTCAGGTCTGGCAGACTCATTTGGGTGGACTGCCTTGATGTTTGCAGCACGGGCCGGCCACTACGACATATGCGAATTGCTGATTGACAAAGAGTCTTGCATGAGGTTAGAGTCTGGACGCACGGCTCTCATGTGCGCCGCACAGAATGGCCACTGTAATATCGTACGCCTGCTTGCTCAGCGGGAAGGAAGCATACGTGACAGAACAGACAAGACAGCTCTCATGTTGGCGATGGAGGCGGGTCATCCAGACGCCGCAAAGTGTCTGCTCAGTTGCGAAGCGGACATCAGCCACGCTGCAGGCTGGACTCCCTTGATGTACGCAACTATTGCTGGCGATCGAGAGATAGTTGAAATGCTGATGGAGAAAGAGGCCGGACGAAAGAATGCATGCGGGCACACAGCGCTGATGTACGCTGCACTTTGCAATCACTCAATTATTGTGTCGCTTCTTGTTAACAGAGAAGGCCACATGACAGACGGGCAAGGCCGGACCGCCCTGATGTTTGCTGCACAAGTGGGCGCTGAAGAGGCCTTGTCCATGCTTGATGTCGAGGCAGGAATACGAGATAAGACAGGGCAGAGTGCGCTGATGCGCGCAGCATCAAGAGGATACCTCAATATTTGCAGGACTCTTATGGATGAAGAAGCGTGTCTAACCGATGCACACGGAAAGACGGCGCTCATGCATGCCGCAGACGCTAATCAATCAGACATAGTATCGTTACTTTTGATGTATGAGTGCTGCCGGAAGGACAAGACAGGAACTTCAGCTCTCATGTATGCAGCAAAGGCTGGATGCGCTATCGCAACAAAGCTTCTTCTTGACAAGGAAAAAGGAACCACGGACAAATATGGAAGGACTGCTCTTATGTTGGCCGCCGCTGCAGGAAGACTGGACTGCGTAGACCTACTTATTCACCATGAATCTCAGCTCAGGGATTCATCAGGATACACTGCCCTCATGCATGCAGCGATGCACGGGCATCTCTCTTGTGTGATGGCTTTGGTCCCTTATGAAGGCCACATAAGAAACAAGTGTGGGAAGACCTATCTAACTGTGGCTTTAGAAGAAGGCCAGGTTGAAGTGCTAACTGTTCCCATCCTCCTACGACTGGACAATGTAGACGTCATGAATAGAGATGAGCATATGACAAATAGTGGGCCGAGCGTCGAGCTGCGGAGCCCAAGCTATGCACTGGGAGGAAGTCTTTCTGGTGCGTCTCGGGGCTTGCCTGGCGCCGTGGAGACTCATGGGGGACACACTAGGCCAATGAGTAACATAGACTCCAAGCTCTTAGCCTCCATAACAAGCGAAATGGCTGAGCTGAAGGAGCGCGATGAGCGGCGTGACACAGACATACAGATACTGAAAAACATACTCTCAGCGAAGGATAGCGAGATAGGAGTCATGAGAGAGCGTTTACAACAAAAGGATAAGGAGCTCCGGGAGATCACGGTCAATATGGAGCAGATGAAAGAAGCAATTGTACTCTTACAAGAACAAATCGCAACATTAGCTGTTTCTAATGCTTCAGCAAATAATTCGGTAGTTAATATGATGACTGAAAGCGTATTTCTCAATGAGCAGGAGTCTAAGTGAATATACACACATTTCTCAGCTCCTCCTTGACAGTCAAGAGATAATGGCAGCCTCCAGTTCATGCAGATAATTAGCACAATCCTCGTGACCGTGTTCCTTAGCAAGTTCTTTTGCTGTTTGGTCATTTATATCTTTATCAAGCACCCCGTCAGGTGGCAGCGCTTGAAGAAACTTGAGCTGTCCAAAGCTAGCCGCATGCATCATAACAGTTCTATTCTTATTATCCTTAATTGTCAGTTCGTTAGAAAGAAGAGGAATGCAGTCAACGCATCCCTTTTTGGCCGCCTTCATTAGTGCAGTCTGGCCCTTACTTGACCGCTGCGAAACTAACGTTAAAAGAAGCATCACACATCCTACGTTTCCATTCTCTGCGGCTTTCATGAGCGCAGTCTCGTCATCAGTATCTGTGAGCGTGACTTCTTCTAAAAGAGCACTAACGCAATCTGCGTGACCAGCCGCTGCTGCATACATTAGAGCAGTCCATCCTAGCACGTTGCGTTTTTTCAAATACCGTAAATTAGCTTCGACACCGTCTAGATTGCCAATAGCTGCGTAAGCCATAAGCTTCGTCATGTTTTCCTCATCGGATTCATCAATTAGGTGCGGTATTGCACCGTAACAGCGGTTGTGGGCTGCTAGCAGAAGGGCTGTATATTTGGTCGTTGTTGAAATCCCTGCTTCTCTCATCAAGAGCTGTGCACATTCTAAATTGTTATACAGGACTGCAAACATAAGGGCGGTCCAATCACCGATAGTTTTCTTGCAAAGCAGGTGACCATGATCGGTCTCAGTCTCCAAGCAAGCCTTGATTGCTTCGACATCTCCTAGGGCTGCATAAACCATAAGCTGAGTTACTCCAGCATACCCTATCTGATCCTGCAAAAGAGCAACACAGTCTGCGTTTTTGCAAACCAAGGCAATAAGCAGTGCGGTTTCTCCTGAGTTGTCAGTCATTCTTGTATCGGGACAGAGCAGCTCGACGGCTTCTGGGAAACCCACCTCTGCAGCCGTCATCAAAGGAGTGCGGCCATAGGTATTATGTATGTTACGCTCAGGAAGAAGATATCGCACGCAATCCAGCCTTTTGGAACGAATGGCAAACATCAATGCAGTATTCCCCAGAGAGGTCCTAATTCCTAGCTCGCACAGCAAACACTTGACGCATTCGAGATGCCCTTTTTTGGCTGCCATCATAAGAGCAGTAATCTGCTGGCTAGGGTCAAGCGGAGAAATAGTGAAGTGAAAGTTGAAATAGAAGAAGTAAACCCTCGAAATGATCATCCTCCCGTACTGTTTCCGGTGCTGGAGTACCCCAGTGACGTCATTATTGAGAGCCGCTTTCATTAGGGGCGTGTGTTGAGTAACTTTGATACCCGTTGAACCGGACACCTTCATAGAGATCCCCTGAGCCACAAGAAACTCAGAGATCAAGTCTGTTGCAGGAAGATCCCTGTACTTAAGTGACAGCTCAAGCAGGTTTAGCGTCTGATGGGTAGAATGGTGGTATATCGGAAGAAGGGCCTGCAGAGCATCAAAGTCCCTTAATTGTAGGGCGTGGACAATGGCAGAGACCTGCATACCATCTACCGGTACTTCTATCGGGGAAGTGGCCGCAGCCAATCCATGATAAGTACTTACAAATGAGTGTGAGTTTTCAGGATCAATCAAGCGCGCTGCAATAACTCGAGATATTAACGGATCCACAGACGTCGAATAGATCCATTCCCGTGCAAGGTATGCCAAAGCAGCTTTGACGTTTGCCGATGGATTTTCGATGGAGGCACCATAAGACAGTACAGTTCTTCCTTGGGCGTCAGTCATGTAGAGCTCGCAGAGCAAGAGCTCACAACACTTGACGTGTCCAAAAAGAAGTGCCAACATGAGCGCTGTCGTGCCCTCGCAATACTTACCTGCATCACTCCGATATAAACAGACAGCGTGATAGTCATTGGCAACTGCTGCAGCCATCAAGCTTGTGAAGCCCCCAAAGCCCACCTCCAGAGGCGCAAGAAGTTTTATCGCAGCAGTATTTCTGGCTTTTATGGCCAACGTAAGCGCAGTAAAGCCGCAAACGACCGACTCTGGGATAGCCATATCATACAGTGAAGCCTGAAGGTCAAATCGTCTTAGTCCACGGTCTTTTGCGGCCAGAGATGCCCCTCTTACTAGCTCAACGCCAGCCTCTTGGAGTAGATACTGAATGGCATCAATATTGTCCTTCTCTACGGCCACCATCAGTGCAGTCCTTCCTGTGGTGACATCAACCACAAGAAGGTCGTCCAAGTAGTGCGGTATTAAATCATTTTCAAAGGAGCGGACTGCTTTCATCAGCTCTGTAGCCTTTTTGGCAAATCTAACACCAGTTGCATTAAGTTCGTACTTAACTGTATTAGACATATTATAGGATCTACTCCGGAACAATGAGTACAGACACCACGAGTTCTTCAGTACAGGCTGGGAGAGGCTGTCGTACAGGGTTCTTAATTCGTGCATAGAAGGACGCAGTTGCGGGTTGGGGATAAGGCACGTTGCTATGAACGTGGCAAGTTGGCTAGAATAGCCTGCAGTGACTATGCTCTGCACAACTGGCTGAAAAAGATCCAGTATCTTCTCCTTTGTTATGCCATTTGTTATCAGTGTTCTCCAAGAGTCTAGAGCCTTTACGGTGTTGATAATCTGAGATACGATAGAGTGTCGGCACTGGTTTCTTATAGTTAGTGTAATGAGCGTAACTCCTAGAAGAAACACGTCAAGCTTCGTTGTGAAGTCTTCTGTCAGTAAAGTCAGAGCAGCAGGATCATGGTAATCGCATGCCTCCAAGAAAAAATCATCACTGGCATCTTCTAGATCCAGAGGGATTTGCGGAAAACCCGCGCTAGTGTAGAGCCTAGTATCAGGGTCGTCATCAATGTACGCTGAGTAGAATACTAGTGAGTCTGTGGCGGCATCGTTATCTCCTGAATTTAAGCTACGTGATACTAGCTCAAAAGTGAGTATCTGGGTCAATCTGAAAAGGTTATCAAGTCTATTCTCTCTGGTTGAACGGTCTAATCCAAATACGCCCTCTATTGCAATGATGTTGGAGGCGTCCCGGCTCTCTCCTATAAACCGTGAAAAGAAGTTCTCCACATACTCTGCTGCTATGATGGAAAAGTTGTCGCTTGCATTTTGTGCATCGTTGACGTGGGAAGAGAGGTTAGTGTTTTCCATTGCACAATACCAACTACGTCGGTGCCGGTTGGGAGTGGATAGAAGATGAGAAACTCCGGCTGCTTCTAAGAGGAAACTATCGTCAGGGCCTACGATGATGTTGGAAGGTGAAAGAAGTAGGTGAGGCCGAGGCCGGAAGTCAGGCCAAGCATAAGGATCATGCAGCCTCACAAATGTATCTAGTAGGTACTTCACGATTTTCCAAAGGTATATCTCGGAAAGGCCATCAGAACAGTTGAAAGCATAACGATACCGTTGCACGTCTTCATTAGCATGTGGAGGTATCAGAAATTGAGTGGAAAGGGCCCCGTACTCATAGAGCGAAATGCAATGTCGTGTAGGTCTCTCCAACAGGAGTTTGTTCTCTTCTTTGTTATAGTGCATGTCGCTGTACGTCATGCATGCAGAGACTGACTGAACTAATTCCATAGATTTTCTTAAGGAGCTGGGCTCAACGGTTGCCCCTTTTGGCAGATTAACTGAATAAACAAACACGCGTTCCCGGTCGCACACTCTGACAGCTAAGGCAGCCTGGGTCAAGTCTGACACACGGAGCTCTTGCCAATTGCTGTATCTTTTCGATCGTGACATCCCTTTGACTTAAACCAAAAGTTTATTTCTTTCTACTGGTCCTTTCTTTGGTCCATCACAACAAACCAATGAGTACAGCACTAAAAAAGCATGAGCTTAACCCTTTTGGACACATTGACAAGAAAGAGATGCGAGAAAACTGTATTCGTTACATGTACACCATCTCCCCCAATGTTCCCAACGTATACAACGGGGTATATAGCGCACGGAAAGCTCAAAAGCACATTACTATCAGGCACAGGAGCGTACTCGACCGACACACAGACGATCTGTTTCCCCACAGATCAGATTTAGAGAGATCCCCCGTGCACCGATCAGCAACGTCCCCCGTACATAGCAAATCTCTTCTATCGCGCTCCTCTGCTATAGACCCCTCTAGCCTCCTTCTCAAGCGAAAAGAAAAGGCCGTTATTCCTGATCACCTGGAGCTGTTCTCTCAATTGAACTATGATTTTGCATATGAGGTTCACGGTTCACCGCAAAGGGGGACCCATAGACTCGCAACCTCGCCGACTTTAGACTCGATGGACTCACTTGTGTCTCCTATGGCTCCACGGTCAAAGACAGCCACAGAGCTCGTCAAAGGCTATATCTCTGTCTGTGAGCGCGTCAGGAAAAGAGAAAGTGATGAGAAGTTATTCAAACGCGCCATGGGGCGATCTGGACTCGAAGAGGTGATGGAGAAGGCCGAACAGCGTGCTAAGGAGCGATCACACAAGATCAATCTGGTAGAGGTGTCAACAATCATTGATATGAGCAAGTGCGTACTTTCTTCCACTACCAGTTCACATGCCGAAGGTAAAGGAAGTAGGCACAAGCGCACACCCACATCTTAGTAATCAGAGAGGAAGTATGCCACGTCTCGTCTGGCGTGCCCTAGTCATCTTTGCGGAACAGATGCTTTTGTACTTCTTCTAGTATGTCTGCGGTCTGCGCATCTATGTTCTCTTCCAAGAGCACGTTGATAGTCTCCATGAGGTCGTGCCTATGGAGCTCTAACTCCGTATCTGGAACATAGTCAATCATTGTTCTTAGTAATTCTGACACATTTAGTAGAATTGAGCTGTTTTTCCACATCATTTTCCTCATTTGCACACACGGTTTATATGATTTGAGAAGCTTGATCAATTGGGAAAAGATTCGAGCGTTGCTACTGCATAACACGTTCATCGTTTCATTGGAGCAAATGGAAACGGTGGATCCTAGTGCTTCTGTTAAGAGTTCAAGCACTTCAGTTGTGTCCGCGGATGGGACCCTGTGCGCGCGCAACAACCTTGCATATAGATTAGCGACTGTTTGCACCCAGAAGCCAGGTATTTCAATATCACTGTTTTCGTTGTTTAAAAAGACTAGAGCCTCTTTGAGAATAGAAACATAGCAGGGTTCTACCTTTCCATATAAATTAGCATCAATGTAAGTAGTGGCAATTGAGGTGAAGCCATGACGGAGCAATGCAACTGCCTGGCTTGTAAACATAGTTTTATTCTTGATGTCCCTTGGTACATTCATGGAATACTGATTCAGAGCTACCATAGCAATGCTAGAGATATCGGGTGTCGGGACGGAGATGCTTCTTATTACTAGCTCTAAAACGGAGGCGTTAGAAATGCAATCTCGGCTCACGAGACAGGGACACATAAAGGAGTACATAAGCCAGCGAATTGAGAGGTACCATCTGTCATAACGCTTACTGTCATTGTACGTGTTTATTGACTGGAAAGAACTAGCAATGTAGTCTATGGCTGAGCGCAGAGCCACTCCTAAGTAAGTCTCGGATGGTAGCGCCGGTGAGACGCAATGATCTAGTTGGATAACAAGCTTGTCGCCTCCTTGGTCACCGGGGAAGTGGGAGGCCATTGCTGTAAAGACCCATTGGACCTCTGCCCGAATCGATGTGAAGCAGGTGTAGAGCTCCGTGCTCAGCAGCGCGCAGATGGAGCTAAGCATGCCACTATCGAGCAAGTGACGTGCGACGCATAGGCCATGGGTTGTCAAGTTACCTATCAGACGGAGGGCCATCGTGACCGCCTCGTAGTGTCTGAGAGTGGAGTGCTCAACGAAAGACTGTGCAGCATGGAGAAGCCTTCTCACAGTAGAGTTACTATCACCAAGCCGTCGTTCTAGTGAACTCTCAACTGTATCGTCAGCAGAGACAATCCCAGCAAGAACCAGAGTATGTGGCTTAGCGCAGATAGCAGTGAAAATGGACAAAAGGGCACTAAGTATTTGGTGCGAGGGTGCAGTGGACCTCACACCCTCAGGACGCTCTAATTCAGAATGGGCCTGATGAGGGACGCACTGCTCTAATCGCTCAAGGGCAAGGGTGAGGAGCTCAGGCTCCATTCCAATGATACCCAGGGATGACTCGTCTTGTGCTTCTGTCAAATAGTTCGCCAGACGGCGTGCCGCAAGAAGTGCTGCCTCATCTTCTTCAGTATCTAAAAGCGGTGAAAAGTCCTCCAGCCGAAGATTTACTCCGGTGACAACGGGCTGCCGACGTGCAGGCGAAACATTGCTCGGCTGGAGAAGGACCAGATGTGCCCTATCGTCCAGAAGACAACGCCTCATGCCAATTTAATCTCTATAGAGATTAATTATAAGTCATGTTCCATGGTGTACCTTTAGGTCTTATCGCGCGTTAGATGAAGCGAGAGAGAGATGGCGTCAGTAGCCAGCCGCACCAGCCGCATCTTTTCTTGCAGTGGTAAATCCAGCGCCAAAGCAGCTTTGAGGGCCTTCTCTATTACTTTGTATAAACTTAGTACTGTTTCTGCGACCTCGGCACTTAGGCACTTTGTTAGATCTCGCCACTCATCCTTATTTAGCACAAGACGGGAGCGGAACGATTTGAAGCCGCCTTGCTTCAGGGCCATGTCACGCAAAAAGCCTGCCAGAAAGCCTTCATTCCCGGTTCCACTCTGCATCAGAGGATGCTCAAAGGCCTGTAGTGACGCTATGCTGGCTCCCAATGACGCCAGCTCACTGTCTGATACCTGAAGCCAGGCAGGCTCACTACTACCGGAGTCTATGATGGGGCCCAGGGTTGCCTCCATTATCTGGGCCAACGCGCTGTCTCTCCAATCAAAGGTATGGACCGGCTTCTGGTCCAAGTACTGGCTACATGTTTGCAGAATAAGGTCGACGAGTGAAGGAAGCTTAGGGTCTACGGGGATAAGCGATTGGCTCTCAACAGTCGCATCCTTCTGTTCTGCACTCCTGTGATCTAAGTATGCAATGACTGTGTCTTCGGCAGCCTTGAGCTGGTCTCCGTGGGGTGGTGGAAGAAACTTTAGCGAGCCGTTAGAAAGCGTTATGCAGGGATTTGTGAGCCGCTCAACTGCTGTAAACTGTCTGGAGAGGACCGTACACTGGTGCTCTAACTTCTCTCGCAAGGCATGCAAGTCCTCGTGAAGTCCCAGTAACAGACTTTTCATTTCTGCAGAATTACCAGAGTCGCCAAAGGACAGCGATTCGCCAAATCACACTAGCGGATCTATTCCTTTGCTCATTGACTCAAGCGTTTAAACGTTAAAAAACCAATCTTTCCCAATCTCTCTCAACTGTAGTATGCAACTCGTCCAATCTGCACGATTGTCCTTGTGCATCCTTACATGTCCTATATGCTCCTAGTCATATGCTTCTAGTCAATAGAACTTAGCATGAAATCATTACTACTTCAAAACCAAAAAACTAAAGGCTTTCAAGTGGTAGTCAAGGCTTAGAGATAAATTAATTGAGATAACTTAATTTTTAACAAGCCCAGTATAAGTCTTCGCTACAATAACATAGTTTTCAATCGCTGAGGCATTACTGGGGCTGCATGCTTTTTCCGCGAGTTAAGCTTGTAGAGAGTCTCAACCCAAATGCTCCCTTCGACAGTTTCCCTCTGTCAGAGGTTGATGCACTACACGACACCAACGACACTGGGCAGAAAGAAGTGACTTCATTAGTTTATAACCCCAATACTGGCCGTACGCCGGCTCAAATAGCCTATGATCTCAGCCTCCTAGTAGACATGCACCACCAATATATTGAGAGCCCGTCCAGATGTATTATCTCCACTGCCAGCAATTCTATTTATGTGGAGCACGGCCCTTTACGCACGCAGCTATCCACACTCGTTCAGGCGCATGCAGCTGAGGGTAAGCCCTTTTCTCCCAGGAACGTCTTGACCTGTGGGGCACAGATCCTTTCGGCATTAATGTATGTATACCACCCACGCAAGAAGCAGCGTGGCACAGGGCCGGACGTGCCAATCTGCAATATCACCGACATATCACTTGACACCATAACCTGCGACAGCGCGCTGACATCGTTTTCGCTTGCGGGTTTGTGGATGCTGATTCCCGAAATAGCAAACAGCACGCCACGGGAGTACAACAACCAGGATATCGATGCACATATTGTTAATCAGGTATGTTGTATTCTCTACCAAATGGCTACGTTTAGGGATCTAACTCATGGAGTCGACAGGGCCAGCCTCCAAGGTATTCAGTCAGATGACCTCAGGCAGATCTTTGAAAGGTCTCTATTTGCAGATGATAAAGAAAGATGGAGAGCTGGTCAAATGCTTGACTTTATGGTGAGAGCAAGCGGAGCTAGAGAGATTGACAACCTGGAGTACGGCTCTCTAGCTGCCCTCAGTAACTCGGTAGATCAGATGGCCATGGGCAAAGTACACAAGCTGCAAGAAGAAAATGTCCACCTGCAGAATTTACTAATAGCAAGGGCCAACAAACTGGCATCGGTGAAGCTGCAGAATGCAAGATTGATTGACAAAAGAGATCAACTGTCACAGAAGAACAGTGAGATAGCTAAGGAAATAAGGGCACTGAAGGACGAGGCTAATGAAGGGTATGAGCAGATTAGCGCAAAACTTGCGATCTTTGATGACGCACTGGCCGAGGGTAAAAAGCTGCTGGAGTTATTGCAAAATAATGGTCTCCTTGAGAATGCAGAATGTAACAATATTCATGAATGCTTTGCAAAGCTTAATGGGGTTATGAGGGGTGTGATGGAGACGTATACTAGACTGAAAGCCATTGAAAAGACACAAGATGTTCGTGCTGCAGGTGGTCTTGAGCAGCGTATTCAACAGCTTAAAGCACACACGGGGTCCCACGGAGCAGTACTTCAGAAATATGAGACTCTTAGTACCATGTTAAAGTCTAGCAAACGCACTAACGATAACTTGCGCAACATGCTGCTCGCTGATGCTGGGAACTTTGATCTCAAAAAAAAGTTCAATTGTCTGCATTGTCAGAGCAAAAAAAAGACTATTTTGTGCACGAAATGTAACAGCCTTGTCTTTTGCAATGAGTGCTGGAAGGACTTAAAGGCTATAGACATATGTTGTCCTAAATGCAGCGAGGCAGCTGCATCATCTTTCAAGACCGTGTTTCCCCAATGATTTTTTTGAAATTGGGTTGTAAATTCAAAAAAATGGAGAGAAGATTGATCGATGAGTCTGACGCAACCATTGATGACCAAAGCACGGGGTTAATGGAGCACACCACACCCATGCCAACTAGTCTTTATTCTGAGGAGCTGAGAAAGCTGCTGCCGAAAGACTGCTTTTTCATTTCACGGAGTGTATTCCAGAAGAACTTCCTCTCAGTCTGCAAGTCGCTCAAGCGCTCTTCACAACCAGCTAGTAAAGGGATAAATCCTTCTGTCTCCTTTAGATATTTGGAGTTGATGCCGTTTAGAGCTGAGTTGAGAGCCTCGGAGGAAGACCATCAATCTGCTCATGCGGAGGGAGCAGTTGAGGAGAATACTAGACATCCTCAGTATTATGGCAAGGGAGGTGTTATGACGTCATCTTCTCCGACCTATACTTACGCCTCCGACCTAGAGCCCAACACCACGATTGCATCTGCATCTATACTCTCGCCCGTACCTATCAGCAAAAGCAAGGCCATCAACGGCGTCTCTGAAAAGAGTCATTCCAAGCTAAACAACGTACCTCTTAGAGGCCTTGAGGTTTCCTCTAAGCGCAACGAAAGGACATGCAAGGCATCCAGCCGCATTGTTTGGACTCCAGAAATGAATGACCTCTTTGTGCGAGCATACAACAGCATCATCGGGGAGGTCCCTACACCCGTTAGGATCCTCCGCTTTATGAGCCCTTTTTACCCTGATCTCACGCAGAAACACGTTCAATCTAAATTACAAAAATATCGCCTTCAGAACAAATTAAAGGCCTCCCTCAGTTGTCAATCTGCTAGTCACTCTCGTCTGCAAGCACAACGGCCACGTACCAGTGGCGTTGACGGTGAGATCCATGCTATCACCCCACCTCCCACATATCTATCAGGGACCACAAGACTGTTTTCTGGACTAGACTCTATGGCACCACAACCTTTAAACTCGTCTACTGTGGGCCTCATCTGTGCAGCTGACACGACAGAGGTTCCACAAACAGGGTCTTGGTATTCTTAGGCCTCTAGCAGGACATGCAGGGTAGAACAGGACAGGGTGGTTCCTATGCCAACGTTGTGGATTCATAAGATTTGAATTCGACCTTCTCCTGTGACCAATCATTTCTGGTTTTTTCTTAAAAATGCTGCCTGATATCAATGCGTTGACCTACGTAAATAAGGTCCAGGAGTACAGGCCCGGAATGTCTTACATGGTCGAGGCCTTTGCAACCTGGTGCCCGCCTTGCCGAGGCATGATCCCGCACCTTGCAAAGATCCCGACCAAGTACCCCAACGTATACCTTGTGAGCGTCTCCGAGGAGGATGTTGCGACCGTCGAGGGGTTTGCTTCTCGCATCTCCCACATGAAGGAGTACAACGTGGCCTGTGACACGAACAAGGAGGTCCGCAGCCTTATGGAGAAGAACAATTGCAAGGGCATCCCTGCTGCCTTCCTCTTCAACAAGGATGGGGAGCTGGTCTGGTCTGGACACCCTGCATCCAACGAATGCGAAGAGCACCTTTCGAAGCTCAACAGTCTCTGATTAAGTATGAGTGTAAATGTGATAAATGAATCTGTGCATCGTCGGGTGCGGCGGGATTGGGTGCGAGGTTGCGAAGCTGGTTGTCCAGGCCCCCGCTCGCTATGCCTCTGTAGCAGTCATAGACATGGACAGCATTGAGCTTTCGAATATCAATCGTCAGTTTCTCTACAGTAGGGACGACGTGGGTCGCGAGAAGGCACATGTCACTGCGGACTATCTCAGGGCAAAGGCGCCATCACTAAGGGTTAACTCTTATAGTGAGACGGTTATCAACCCAAAGCGCTTTGGTCCGTCCTTTTTCTCTCAATATGATGTCACCGTAACGTGTCTTGACGCCTTCGCTCCCAGGCAATATGTGGGTGAGATGTGCTGGTTCGCCAATAAACTTTTGGTAGATGCTGGGACATCTGGCCTGTCTGGTTCCGTGACTGGCTACCCTCCTGCTTTGTACTGGCTGTCCGAGGACCCGACAGTAGAGTGCTATAACTGTTATAATAGGGACACACGTATAGACATTCCTATATGTACCATGAAGAATAAGCCGACGCGGCCCGAGCACTGTGTCAGTTATTCCATTCTTCTTGTGCAGCGTATGTACGACGTTGACCCGTTTTCCGAACTCACTGAGTACACACCTATTGACTGTAGTGGCTCGATTGACAAGCTCTTATCTGAGTTAGCTCGCTTCCTCTACTATAGCTTCAAAACTCACCTTTTAGACAATCCATCCGCCTCTGCAGTGCTGGACATGGAGGACATAAATAAGGCAAGGCAAGCTGTTACTCATTTGTTGGCTGCATCAGAGCACGAAGACGGAGCGATTCAGCCCTGCATAAAGCAGACATCTCTCTCGGTTAGCTATACTTTACATGAGCATATGTCCGTTGAGCAGGCTTTAAAGGAAGTGTTCATCAGCGCTACAGCGCTTGCAAGATCCATTGCATGTAAGGCGTATACCCTTACCACGTATGACAGAGACAATCCTCACCTGGTCGCTCTCGTTGCAGGCCTTTCAGTGTTGCGGATGCACTCGTTCGGAATCACTACGACGCTTACTCCGTTTGAGCTCAGTACTCTGGCAGGATCAATCGTCCCCGCTGTAACATTCACCAATGCTGCAGTAGCTGCTCTAGCAATGAAGCTCGCCCACATGATCTTCTCTTCCCTCATAACCAAGCAGCACCGCACAGCTATTTCTCTTCAGCACTTCATTAAGAACTCTAGAAGGACATTGCTGATAAACGATGATCTGCGACCCTCAAATCCAGCCTGTGTCGTATGCAGTGTCCCTTACTACATTCTGAAAGTGAAGGATGTACCTCCCCTTTCCGTTGATGCTGTTATCGAGTATCTTACTAAAGAATTTTCCTCTACCATCTCTGCGATTTACGGGGACGGTGTGCTACTTTATGAAGATGATACGCCTTCAGGGTGGACGGATGATAGTTCCACGCCAGGAACGAATGATGAAACAGAACACGTCCAAAATACTTTACAATCTGCCTCTCAGATTTACGATGGTGAGATTTTAAAAATAAAATATTCATCTCACACCCAGAAGCAGCTCTCTATGAATGTTATGGTGCGGACGGACAACACGCTAGAAGTAGCATATCTGTTTACTGCGGGCCGCGCCTAATGGAGTTCACCTTGTTCGAGACCACGGTACGTAAATTAGCAGCAGTTCGAGGATTGCCAGGGCATCCCTCTCCGTCGCTATAATGGGTGAGCGCAGCTTCGCTATTGGGAAGGAGCTCTCCGCAAAGTGGACATATCGTTTCCTCCTCTCCCAGTATAGTTTTGCATGTCACCATGTGACTTGCCATGTACTTCGATTCTATGATACATCTGCAATTCTTACATAAGTCTAACGAGTACTGCAGCTTGCCCTTGTGCGTGCACTCGTAAATCATGTGCTCAGGCAGACATGGTATCTCTATTATGGCTTCACACGCTGGACAAGCACAACAGCACGGGCACTTGATGAGCAGGTGCCGGTACATATTGAGGGCCATGTCCTCCTGTTGTCCGCATTCCTCTAAACAAAACTGACACACCCCAGGGGGAAAATCTCCGTACTGGGGGTCATCGTCGTCAGCAACAGTTTCTGCGACTGCAGTAAGCTCTTGCTGATTGCCTCCGCTTTGGTGCTGATATTGTTGAGCACGGGCGTTATCTATACCATCCATACTATGTGCACTGTATCCCTCGTGACCAGCTGCAGTGTCTCGCTTATAATCGGGAGATGATGGACGACTTGATAGCGACGGCTTCATGTTTATTACCAGCTTGCCTGCAGGTGCGTCAGCTGAGGGAGGGAGAAGCTTTACCCGTGGCGGCTTGATGCTTAGCTTTTTATCACACTCTACCATTGCCTTGTAGATGGTTTTGAGAATGGCTTCTGTCGTGCATGCCTTGTTCGCACATTCGACGGCGTTTGTGATTCCAATCATGTCAGACAATAAGCTACCATACATGGCGATAAGGATGTCTGTCGCAGGCTTTTTCTGTTCTTGCTTAGTAGCGTGAGGAATAATCCACTCTATATATGCTCGCAGTACAGGAATGGTATCTTTTGTCATAAGCCTCTGATTTCCTGTTATTAATATTGCAGTCGCCCAGCTGCGGGTCTCTACTAGATATATGAGCTTTTGGTTTTGAAAGGACAGCTCATTCTGAGCCAGTCCAGAGGCCTTTTCTATGGATCGCCTGGAGATAATGGCGTTCACAAAGTTGAATGTGGGAAAGAAGGGGAACGTTGAGGCAGTGGCCAACATGTTAATGGAATTGATTTTTGTCCTCCGCTGACTGTCTGAGAGCTTGTGGATGATAGGTGCCAGCAGTAGAAGCACATCATTGTGTAAGTTGGACATGTTTTGGCCGATAGCTTTTTCCACAGTCCGTTCAGATGTGCACTTCAACTCAGCATATGTCACAGCATTCTCCTTCTGCAGAGTGAGCTGTGCCGTGACATCTAGAAATGTCAAGGTCATATCCCCAGCGTCTACCACAGTGTTCTTCGTCTGTGTAACGGTACCCACAAGCTCTCCACCATTGGGTGCTCCTCTGTATTTTCTCATTATGGCCAGATAGACATGGCAGAAGAGGTTGCCTATCAAGCCTATCAGTGCTGTATTGGTAGACTCGGAAATGATTGTTATTAGAGAAATGCCTGCAGGATAGAATGCGACAGGATCGTGAACGAGAGCGCGTATCATTAAATTTATGGCATCTATGACGTTTCCCTTATTTGAAGAGTAAGCAAGTCTAATGTACATCTCATTGAACCCAGCATCCTTCAGCTTAGTTGCGTTGTTCCCCCTCATGACACTCCCTGGTAATTCAGGTGGTGCAGTCTCTTTGTCTCTGTTACTGGTTATATTATTAAGTTCATCATCGAAAGAAAACTGTTGCATTGTTCCAGTTTTGGCCAACTGCGACTTGGTAACTTGGGACTTGGTAACCCCTTGACGCATACGAGTGGATGCACCGAGCTCCTCGCTCCCTCCAGCCCCAGTAGAGTTGCCTGTCAACGTCCGCGTCTTTGTCATCATGCTCGCAGCAAGGTTCGTTCCTCGTCGGCGCATGTAGTTCTCCTTCCTCTCCTGTTCAAGCTCTCGCTTCTCTTCCTCGGTAAGGAAGAATTGCTGATAACCATTATTGTTATTATGGAGCATTCGCTCGCCATTTTCGTTAATAATATCCTTATTTGATATGGTAGGCACTGCTCTAGAGAGATCCTCAGTGTCGCTCACTCCAGACGCCTTCATCCTTGAGCGTGGCCTGCTGTTAGCGCGAGCCTGCTTGGAAGCTGCATCTGGGGGAGCTCCTCCGATATCATTGGTCGTGAGATCGTCTTCGTTTTCGTCGGCGTTCTCTCCCATTGGCTCTAGAGTTTGATAACTTACTTGATGCTTAGGTTTCGATCCTTTATTTAGAGAGGTTGGTGGTGCTACCTTGGGGGACGGCGGCTCTGGCTCTCCGTTGAGCATCCTCACAAGCTTTTCTAACGGTAGCTGAAGGATGTTTTCCACTTCTTTCATCGTTGTCTTGATCTCGTGTGCACCTTTGTAATTTTCAGCAGCAATAGCAGCAGCCTTCCGCTCATCCAGAGATGCGTAGTCCACAAGTAGGGAGCCTAGCGCGTCATAGGCTATCTTATATCTGTCTGCCAGTAGAAAGTCTTCTGCAGCTGCAGCCTTAGTTTTGTTAATCATTATCTCCGTCCGGAGCTCTTCTCCCTTCTCTAAATATGAATGCCCTCTGCTGGCCTGAGAGTCGCCACTATCCGGTGGATTGAGTATTTGCGGCAAGACGCCCGGAGTGGGAGCCATCTGGGCCTGTGCCTTGGCTGCACCAGCGTAAGAAGATCCATTACTCGATTGTCTTGAATTGTCCTGTGAAGGTCCTGACAAGGGCTTAGTCGTTCCTCGCTTGCTACGAGAGACAATGGGATGACCGATTTGCGGTGTTGTGGGACGGATATCTGTGGGAGCTGGGTTTCCAAGCACGGTAATGGCAGCGATGCTCACTTGATTGTAATTATTATTCTGATGAGGTAAGGGTTGATGGAGAATGAATCGTAGAGCATTTGTTTTTATGTCTATCTTGACTGTCTTTCGTTCACGCCCGGCTGTCGGCCGCCCATCCTTCCCCATCTGCACCTTGCCAATGGTCTCCCACGCCTGCTGTTGAGGGTTATATAGGAGAAGCTCCACAAACGAAGGAACCAAGAACTCGTGCGTTGTAAATTGAACAGCCTGAATCTTATAAACCTGACCGAGTGAGATTGCAATGCTCTGAGGATAGGAGCACCTCCGCAGAGAGCGCCAACCTGACCCTAGTACATTGTGCTCTAGAAGCCGTTCTGCCTTATAACCTGGCTCTTCAGAAGTCGCAAAAAGCACTTTAAAGTCCAGCTCGCTGCCAGCAGCGCCTTGGTTGTGTGTCATCTGCTCTTATGAAATTCGCTTTTTTGTAAAATTTACATAAATCAAGGCACAATATCATCTTGATACAATGCCCCCGCTGACTCTGTGCAAGGACCCCTTGAGCAGAAGAGCCTACCTTGTCAGGAACGCGTGTCAGGGGTGCGGCTATACGACTGCAGGTCTGGGTGGGTATACGGTTTAGTATAAAGGCTTTTCCCTTGAGATGCGACGGGAGAAAGGCTCTTGCGACTGTAATCAATAGCGGTCAAGATGGCAGAATTCGCTGATAGAACAATGCTAGGCTCAGAAGTGCCTCCGTGATGCCGAAAAGGGCGGTCGGATGACCCTAGGAACGCAGTCCGAGAGATATCTGTGCCCCAATATGGAGGAACAGCAGCCTCCACAACAGCCTTTCTTACAGGCTTGGCTTCACCATCGAAGAGGGGTGGGACAACCCAGACTTGGGAAGAGGAAGTGGCCGTCGTGGGGGGCTCGTAAATGAACCATGGCTTGCCCCGCGATGTTTGCACAGAATTTGAGGCGTTGCATTTCTCTTTCATCACGATTTAAGATTTATGTCCATTGAATTAAAGGTGTGACATGGGATTTTAATGTCCGGCCAAACGATCCAGTTCGGGGTTCCTTGTGAGTTCCGCTATCACAGGTCCGTTGTCGAGTCCCGCTATAGAGAAGTCATAGACATCCTTGCGTCTGCTGCGGAGAGCTTCCTTCCCAGCGTCGTTATCCCGGCCGACCTCAAGATTTACGACCGGGATATGAAGGTTATTAACAAGGCCTTTGAGCTCGACTATCCAGAGATCTGGTGGACTCGCCCGACTAACTACTCCCTGACCAATGGAATCGTGACGCGTGTCTCTTTCCAGGAATTCGATCAAGCAGAGGTGAGGCTCAAGCATGCAACCATTGATCAGGCACTCGCCAAGTTCAAAGCAGAGCTAAGGCCGTCCATGAGCCAGTATGAGGTCGAGCGCTGCATTCATGATTTCATCGTCGCCTATTGTGAGTACTCGGCTAACTCGAGCGGCCGCAGCAACCTGCACCGTGACCACACCATCTACGGATTCTTCAGCCGCCAGCTGGGCGTCTGTGAGTGCTATACCGAGGTCTTCCTCTACCTGTGCATCAACTGCGGAATCAGAGCCCTCAAGATCACCGGTCTTGGCCACAATGGTCCTCATGCCTGGAATATGGTGCGCTTGGAAGATGACTGGTACCACGTAGATGTTACCTGGGACGACCCGCTGACGCCGGAGCGCGGAGAGAAGAATCACTTCATCTCCCATCTATACATGAACCTCTCTGACGAGTACATCAGTATCAACCATCAGCCGAGCAGCGAATTTGGATACCCCAAGGCGAACTCCATGAAGTACAACTACAACGTGATGTCTGGCTCCTTCATCAGCGCAGGTCTATCGGACCACGCGCTCATCGAATCCGTGGCTCTTGCATGCATCACTTACCTTGACGCTGGATATAGCCAGTGTGAGTTTCTGTTTGACAAGAGAATCAGGTGCGAGGCAACGATTAGTATGATCAAGGAGAACTGCTACAACATCCTCTACTACATCAGGCAGAACACAGACCACAAGATTGCTATTAACAGCATCAGCTTCACCGACGGGCGTGACGCCTTTCCTGCCCTTGGGTTCAAGTTTAAATATGACGACTCTATCTTTGTTTGCAGGTCTATCAAGTTGTCCTCCTTCAATGATAGGGAGCAGGAGGCGATGATCGCTGCCGTGGTTGCTGCCGTGGACTCCGGCAAAACGAGCGTCCTGTTTACTTTTGACGACAAGTTCTCGTTTAATGCAACCATGGAAAAGTTCAACGGAGTTGTCTTTCACGTGTTGGCTGAGGCCAAAAAGCGCTGTGCCAACGGCCGATTCCAGGAAGGCACATTCAACTACACCACGAATTCGGACAGGCATGCATATTGCCTGGTGCTCTCCACCTACTCTTAGGTACCTAGTTGTCTGCCCGATACGACTGTCAATTGGCTTGTTAGTGAATTTCAATAGGCCATTTCTCAACTCAACCTAAACCACTGCAGTTCGTCTTAAAATCGAAGGTTTTAAATCCTTTACAGTTCAGTCCACCGTTCAGACATGCAGACTAAAGGCACGCCCCTAGGAATCTTCTTCTTGGCCCTGTTCGCCCTCTGTCTTGCAGACTCGGTACTTACACCGCACGTCTCCTATTCTGTGTTTAACCAGACAGCCAAGGCTGCCTCCAAGTACGTCAATGATGCGATCAACAAGGCTGACATACCTCTCCCCACAACTACCCCGTCGGTGTTGGTAATCCCTGGCTTCAAGGGCGACATGGCAACCGACAGAGGGATTGCAGCTTCTCTGAAGACGGTCAGAGACAGCATAGAGAGCTATGACACAATAGTTATCGTTAGTGGGTACTACCCAGAGATGTGTGGAGAGGTGACGCCCTTGTACCCCTTAGTGGCATACACCGGAGAGACCGTTCACACCCATCTGGGCAACTTTACCGTGGATGCAGACCTTCGTAACGACTTCTGGGACAGAACAGGGGGGAGACCAGGAATGGATTACAACTATCTTGTAGAGCAATCCGATTACTTCGACCACCCCTTCTTCTGGCTTCGAGCCCTCTTCCCCGCAGGAAAGAACCCACGGACCAAGGTGCTCCCAATAATCCTGTATGCAACGCTGCGCAACCAGGTCCAGCTAGCCGCCCAAACCCTCAATGATCTTCTCTTCCACAACGAGAACACAACTGCAGGTGACAACTTGGACGCGTACGGACGCCGCACAGATGGAAAGCGTTACCTTCTCATCATCCCCATCTCCGTATCCTCGGGTGTCGACCTGTTCAAGAACGTCTACATCGAAAACATCCTGTCCGACATTACCATGCGGAGCTCAGTGACTGAGTTCGAGCAGTGGCTTTACTACTTGTCTGGGACTACCGGAGCTACCTTCTCGAAAACAATAGCCTCCCAGATCCTTGTGGTTCGGCTTGCAGCTCTTGCCGCCGGTCTCTCCGATGATGCGAGCTACAGCGAGCGCTCCAGTACCGTCGCGGACTCCCCTCACTGGAAGTGGCGCATGCTCGACTATTACACGTCCTTTGATCCCATAATGAACAGATCCAAAATGCTTCTGAAGCCCTACTATCACACATACTATGCGAATGTAGACATATCGGGCTTTACAGACGACGACAATCCCACGGGACATCAAATCTACTACAGCATGGCCCTTTCTAAGGAGCCTCCTCTCCACAAGATTGTCAAGCAGGATGCTAAGAAGAAAAAGAGGCGCGTGGCAAAGCTCCCAACGCCTGTCACCTTTACCGAGGGCTTCTCTGATGCAGCTATTCGCTATCTGATGGAGCATGTTCGGTCTGCCCTGAGAGGTGAGAAGGTCAACCCGATGTTATCCTCCGGTACCAAATCGAACGTTCCACCAGAGCTGTTTCAGCTAGCTCCATATTCGCTAAGGGTGTACATACTGGCGGAGCACTCTGCAGAGTATGAGGAGCTCAGACGCTTTGAAAGCAAGAAGAATGGCGGCGCGCGTGCAAAAGGAGGATCAGCGCCCGCAAAAACCCTATCAAACGAACATGATATCATCGAAACATCTCTCAGGGACATCTATAATCATGGAGAGCTTGGGGACATGTGCATGGAGACAGTCCTTTTCGAGCTGATCAACTCAGACTTCTTTCCCACAGAAAGTATTTACACAAGCTTGATCAAACAGGCCACTAATGTGTACAATGAACGGCTTTCTACGTCACACATCAATTCCTTGCTAAAGAATTTACGTGAGAAGTACAAGACCCTGATTGCCGAGGGTGCCCTTCCTAAAACAGCCACCAAGGACATCAATATCGATATAAAGCGCTCCCTTGTTGTCGAGATCAGCATTTATCATTCGTGGGAGTACACCAATGTCTTTCAGCTGACAGATGCCAAGGGGCACTTTATAGTCCTCTGGGACGGTCGCCACGCGGTGTGCGATGTCCCGGAGAACAGACCCGACGGCCCACCCACGATTTTCTTCCGTCTTACACAATGCGCGCTTCGCAACGGCCTTGATCCGTGGGACTGGCAGCGTGGCGTTCTGCACACCTACGACAGAACACGGTACACCGCAAACGTCTACCACCGGGCAACCAAGGACGAGCTGTGATGAGACAATAAATCAGACAGGCACAATGAGCACTAATTCACACAATCTAACCGATGTCTAAACATAATTATTTGGCGACGCCCAGACCGACTAAGAGAACAAGGATGGCCAGACTCGCGGCAATACAGCAGAGGAGGGATGCAAGAGTATGAAATACAGCACTAGAGCTACTGTCCTTACGTTCAAACCACCCCCACCTATTAGCATAGACACGGCAGCAAAACAGAATGAGAAGCACACCTTTGCCGAGCATGCTTATCGTAAGTTGTAAATACTCCTCTAAAAATCCATCTAGATTGCCAATCCCAAACCCGCCGAGGATGACCATGAGGGCGAGGAAAAGAAATAGCAAGAACTCAAACCAAGCAGGGGCGCTTTCGTATTTTTTATCCGCGACCATAAAGCGGAAGATCCAGGCGACGATAATGATGATGGCAGATGCCAGGGCGAGCCAGTGCGCAGCTGCAGCAAGGCCACCACCACCGGCGCCGCCACAGTTGCAGCCACTGCCTCCGCTGCTTCTCGTGCGTCCACCGCCAGAACGGCCAGCAGGATGACTGCCGCCGGCAGGTCGTCCAGCAGTACTGCCACCACTGCGGGCAGATCCGTTTTGTGGATAGTGCCCAGGAGTACTAGAGCCGGGGCTCGTTACGACCGTCGTGCGCGTGGTCGTCGTCGTCGTCCTAACAGTAGACATTTTTAAATATATTTTTAAATGTAACTGTTGCCAATGCGCAAAATACTGCTTAGATAGAAAAAATTGGAATTTCACAAAGTTTGTGTAACTAGGAGTCCTAGGTCGCTTATGTGCTACTGCGCCCCGCTGCCCGATGGCACCCCGGCCAACCCCTTTGCTGCGGCAGTGTTCGATGACTGCGTGTATAGCGTTCATGAACTCGTTTCGGTCATTTTTGGCTGGATATCCATCGCGTGCTGGTTCACGGCATCGTATCCGCAGATACGGCTCTCTTTGCTGTTAAAGCGGGCCGAATGCATCTCAAGCGTCCTTCTCTTCCTCTGGGTGTCTGGAGACATCAGCAACTTCAGCTCTCTCATCATCTTGCGGCAGCCGTTAACACAGATCATAATGGGCGGTCTCTGGCTGTTTCTCGATAGCACCATGACCGCTGTCACCTTGTACTACAAGCGGAAACACAAGGGCAAGCAGCTCCCAGAGATAGACGTGAAGTCTATGGGGAGGATGCGCAGGTCGGAGGCAGTGATCTACACCGTGTTCTTCGCTGGTTGCCTATCGAGTTTTCTGTGTTACTCGATTCCAGTAACGACATACATTCAGCGGGTCCCGCAGATGTTCAGCGAGTGTGTTGTTTCCCCAGAGCTCTCGCACACTTCTGCGCGGTATATAGTCGGGTCTGTCCTGGCGTACATCACCCTTCCTCTTTACTGCTTTAGCGGGCTTCTGCAGGTAATAAAGAACTGCAGGACCAAGGCCACTGACGATCTCAGCCCAAGCTTCTTTGCAATAATATTCACCGCCAACGCTGCGCAGACGACATCCCTATTCACGTTCAGTCAGGAGCGAGAGTATCTGCTGCGAACTACGCCGTACATAATCGCTGCAATCTTCCCCATGATGATGGACTTTACCATCTTGGTCCAAATAAGGTACTACAACAGCAGATACCGGAAGCTGCACAGCGAGATAGAGGGAAAACCCGATTTTCAAGAGCTCGAAGACATGGATTCGAGCCCCACTGGAAGCGATGTTAAGGCAGACGGGCCTGCTGACCCTCTGATGCCCTAGAAGCGCCACATAGAATACACATAGCATAGTCGTTTAGGTTCTCCTACGATCATATCTTCCCTAGGGGAAAGCGTCTTGGCGTCAGCTATCGCTGCTGTCCTCAGAGTGAACGGATATGGCGTTCAGCGTTTCTGTCAACTTGTCCTTGAAGAGCGAGTTTATCTCGGGGAAGCTGGTCTCGTCGAAGGGACGGTAGTACTTCAATATTTCAACAGACTCTAGCCCCAAGTCGTTGTATGTGGCCGTGAACGCTTTGAACAGCTCGTCTCCAAATGCCTGAACAATCACTAGGGGTGCTAGTCCATCGAATGCTTTGAGCTGCTGCTGATCGATGAGCCCCATCTGCACGGCTGCGCGCTGCATGGTGTCCAGGAGCTTCTCCGATGACTCCCGAGTAATGAGCTCCACTTTCAGCACAGTGTGCATCACCCGGACCACAGAGGCCGATACACACCTGACACTCTCGACCGTGACGGTTGGCTCTATGACTTCCAAGAGCTTGACAAACCACTTGATGAAGGAGGGCGCATCCCCGTAGAGAGCTAGCATCCCCGTGGAGTATGCCTGGATGATGCTAGCACACTCGTGAGCCTTATAATTGGTCATGTGGTTGATGCTGCCGTAATAATAGCCCAGATTGAGCAAGTCATGGATTGAGAACAACCCGTCCTTGTCGCCATCAAGGAGATAGAGTAGCGGCAAATGAGATAAGTCAAAGCGCACGACGTCCAATTGAGAAAACGAAAGGAGCTCCCGAAGGCTAAGGGTCTGTCTGGTTTGGGCTTTTCCGGCTCGATAGACCAGACACTTGACAAATTCGTTGATGATCTTGTGAAGCATTTCGCAGTCTGGACGCGTAAGAGTGTGCCCCATGGACCGCTACAAGTAGCTGCTTATCGTGGTAATTTTAAAACAGTCCACGAGGACAAAGCCTATGATCAGTATTATCACCGAAGACCACACACTACTGTATTCCTCTCTCACGATGTCCCTAGACTACAGCATGTATCTGCAACCACTCATTGCGTTTTCTCTTACGACCCTCAAGGAGCAAAATCTTGGAGAGTTGTCGTGGGAAAGCGAAGGGTATCGCTGTTGCCTTCAGCAAGTGGAAGTTGGAAGGCTAGAATCGTATAAGCTGTATGTCCTTTTTGTTGCCCCCAGAGCGTGCCCGGCCGTCGAAGCCTCCTTTAGGTGCAGAATACTTTTTGGCGTCATCCGCACTGTCCTGGGCCCGTATGACTTTATCTACGAAGGATTACATAGTCCTATGCAGCGGCTAAGCCAATCCATACCAGTTTTAAACGCTGTTATGCAGAGGGCCAGCCGTTTGCTCAAGTGGGAGCCCGGCCTGTACTGGCCCTTACCTCTGGCCCTTCCCACCATTCGCTGCACACTGATGCAGACCGGCGTTCTATTTAATTCTCTCAGTACAGTTCTCACCGAGGCACATAGGGATATCATGGATCAAGCGTACACCTCAGGCGCGAAAGCAGATTGTTTGGACCTCAGAGCAAACATCATCCTGTCTACGCGGTTGGTAGCGTTTTTAGATGCGCATTTACTTGATATTACTTCCTGCGAACCACCCCCCAAAGGCCTTCTTCCCCGCGACTATTTGTCTCACTCCAACTATATATCCATGCTTGCTCATAGTACGTTCTATTCTAAGCTACACAGCATACTGACTGACAAGTGGGGAGATGATCCCGAATTCCCAAGGACCACTACTTCACAGAAGGACGCAGGCTGTATTCTCGATAAGTTTATGGGATCACTGGAAGAGCAAGACCTGAATACTGTGGAGGTATCTGAGTACTTCAGCAAAAGCTATCATATTATGAACCTAACTTGTCAAGGAAGTGAAGTAACAGGCATAGTTGTCCAGCAAGCGCTAGACTCCTATTCCTACAGTGATCATACGGCAGAGAACCTCCGGATTCCTGTTTTTACACTTTTCTACTGCGTGCTAATGACGAGCAATTTGGTTCAGCAGCTGGAGCAAAGGTACCAGAACAACTTGGAAGCATTTGCAACAGTGGTTCACGAAACGCTACACTCAACTTGCTTCCAACGGGCACGCAAGCTCTTTCCAGCCATGTTTCCTCCGTTATACATCCAGGCATGCCATCCGTTGAAGGCAATGACATCTCACTATCTACATGCAGTGTCGCGTAATAAATGCTTAGCATTCATTGCATCCAACCACACATTCAAAGAAACTCTCACACACAGCGTCCATGGTTTGCTGGAGGAGGCCTCCTGTTTCTTACCATCTTCTGAATCCCAACGAAGCCACAATTCCATGAGTAGCGAAAATGAGTGCTCTTTAGTAGATACGCAAATATGTCAGCTAAGGACGGGCGTGGAAGCCATTAGGGCTGCTTTCACAAGTATGTTCTTCTTTAGACACAATTGTATGGGAGCCGGACTCCGGTTCTCAGTACAGAAGAGGGAGGATAAAATGATGGTGTTTTGGATGACACACATACACATTTATGATCAGATGCCCGGGGTTACAGGCACCGGTAAGACAAAGACAAAAGCTCCGAGGGCAGACAGTGTTCCGTGGGAAATTATCGACCACACAATTCCAGGTGCCCAGATGGCCTCGTGCTTCAGCGTACTAAAGATCCCTCTTCACAGAACGCTCATACAGAGCATGTGCGCCAGCGGTACATATCCTGTTACTAATGGATACTCCGGCGACTCTACACAGTCACTGGACAGGTCAGAGCTACTGGCGACAGGAGCATCAGGAAGGGCGTCGTTTGAATCAACTCCAAAGAGATCGACGTCGGCTTCCAGAAACTCTGTCAAAGCATCGCAGCATAGCGGTGGCGCAGGGCAATCCAGGGCAGGCTCAAACAGGCGATCGCTTCTTGGATCAGCGTTTCGTAGAACGCCCTCCCTGGCCAATAGCGTCGTACTAGATGTACCAAGTCCTAGCCAAGCGCCTGAGGTAGCAAAGTGGTGCGAGGCACACTACAAGTCTGCCCACCTTATCGACATGGTGGCCGTTTTCACAAGTGACACCAGCCTGAATGAAGCAACATCCTATATAGTCCAAGTATTGGATAAGATTGTCCAGAACAGGTATGCTAAAGGCATGTTCCTCTAGGGGTACACTTTACGGGGAGATTCGCTTATCTTTGGTGCGCATGCACATCTTTACCAGCTGAGGATAGAACTGCTCTATCGCATTTGACAGGTCAGTGAAATCGATCGTTGTCTCTGCGGTGAACGGTCCGTCCCGATAGTCCAGTCGGGCCTTCGCTAAGCACCGAAGGTACTTCTCCAGCATCGGTATAAGCTGGTGATTCATGGGATGAATGAACTCGCCCTTACACCCCTCCTTTCTCAGCTGAAATATTATCTTGTCTGTTTGTGCCTTGTAGTGCTCTAGGATCAGCTTCATTTCATGTACAGTTATGGCCCTGTGCATCTTTGCCCCGCCCCAGATTTGTCCATCCCGTAAAGGGCCGTATTCGGCCAGCAACTTTAGACAAAAAAGTGACGGGCTATGGAACCTGTCTGGCGGATTAACAAATCGGAGAATATCCTTCACCTTCAGCTCTCTATCTGGCTTCACCTCTGGAACAAACTCGATATTGGTCACCATCACTACCTACAGACTCCACCAGTATCTCTCTAACCCGAAGCTGAGAAGGTTGTAGGTGGGTAAGCGAGATTTTTTCCAGGAAGTTTCAAAAATGACCACCCTTTTTCAGCGGCGAGAGCTTCAGAGATCCAAACAGATCAAGGAAGCCAGGACATACAAGCAGCGAGCTGATACCTACGAGGAACTGAATGCCTTTGAGTTCACTAACGGCGGAGTTATCTACAATCAGGCGGAATTGCCCGAAGAAGATCCGTCGGACGAGCTATTTACAGCCACCTATGTCAGGGACGAGAAGAAGTCAGAGTGGGCGGCTAAAGTTCTTAAGGAGGCTAAGGAGAGAGCGGAGTTTGCAGATGTCGCAACCCCCACCTACACGGACATTCCGGCGCTACCCCACAAAACTGAGCTTGAGCAGATACTCGACGACGTCAAGTATCAATCCAGAATGGATGGCTTACTAGGAGATAGTAATCTTCGGGGATTTAAGAAGCCCTCGCAGAAGGATGTAATGGGTATGAACGAGCAAGAGGAGAGGGAGTTCAAGGCACGGTTGGTTGAAGCAGCACGCAAGACCATTACACTACCCATAGAAACCCTCCCACGGCTCCCACAAACGAAACGGACACAGCCCCCACGTGTTGACCAAAGACACAGAAAGCCACCTCCTCCCTCGGGCTTTTCAACAATCGACCCCTTCTTCATTATCCCCCACGAGTTGGAAGAAGAGCACAGAACAGGCTGCATCCAGACCAAGCCTTTTCGGCTGGGCACAGACTTCAAGCCAGAACCAGGAGTCATAAATCATCGGATTGGGGTCGGAAGCGCCGTCCTACAGAAATTCGCAAGACACGAACGAGACTACAACGCTAAGGTGCAGCACGACGCAACCGAAGAGCTCAACGCGATGCGACAGCGAACCAGAGAAGCTTACGAAAGAGATAGACACCAGATCATGACCCAGCGCATGAACGCTCCCAAGGTGTCCCAGATTACAGCTGGATGCATCGAGCCCAGAGACATTCTACGGTTAGACATAAGTGTGGATAAGTTAAACAAGCAGGGGAGCCTCATCAAGGGATACGACACACTGTTTCGCAAGGCAGGTGGGGCTTAAGCAGGACCTCACACCTGCATCCGGTTTCTAACTAGATGGACTAAATAAACAGAGCCATTTACTACTTTTTTCCATTTTGATCTGTAGAGCCGAGGCTTTCCTTCACTTCCTGGAGGTCTGTTTCGATCGCTTCTCCAAGTCTCACCATCAGAGAGCGCAGCTGACTATCCTCTGGGAGAATGCTTGCAAATGTCTGAACACTTGCGAGCTCTGCCGTTAGGTCGTTCAGAAAGGCCAGCAAGCGGCCGTGCTTCACATTATAGGATGCTGAAAGCATCTTGAGCTCTTCCGCCTTGCTTGTTAGGTAGTTTACCACCCCGACAATGACATCGCACTTGCCAGAGATGTGGATTGGTGATGCGACCATCTCAGTTACCCCTGGTGTCATTGTCTTAGTCTTAATGATGTTTCCTTCTGCGTCCTCGCCTCCCTCCACCGTCGCTTCCGCACAACGCCTTATAAAGGATATAGAGTCCTTAATCGATGCCAGCAACCGAGCATGCTCGTCCTTTGAGATGCTGCCCTGCTCCTTAATCTTGAATAGCTCTATAGACGCCGCAGCGGACTCCTTCAGCAGCTTTTCGAGATCATTGTTTTTCTCGTTCATCTTCTGGACCAAAGCGGTATTCTCTGCGGCTATCTGATTTATGAGGTCCTGGGACTCGGTCAGCCCGTCAGAAAGATCCTTGATGAGAGCGTCGCGAGACCTCACAGTGTTTGTAAGCTCCAAGACCTCTGAAAACGCATTTTTGACCTCCTTCACTAATGCATCCAGCTCCTTCTCCTTTCTATGGAGGTCCTCAGTTAACTGGATGAGATTTCTGTCCTTCTCCTCCATGAGAAGCTTTATGTCGGTTAGTTCTGCCTCTGAAATGCTTACGATCTCTAGCATATCCGCAATCTGATCGTCTTTCTCAATAATGCTGTTAATGATGCGTGCATTTGCTTCTCTAAGCTCTGCAATGGCTTGCAGGTGGATGCTCGTTGACATCATCTGGTCATCAGAGCTCGTTTTGCCGGAGGCGGACACTGTCGACATGGCAGTCCCAGTGGTCCGTCTGCCACTCCCACTTAAAACGTCAGAGGCTTCATCTATGAGCAGTCTTGTACGCTTCATTAGCTTAAGATAGTTGGTACCACCTACCTCAGAAAAGCACCCCCTAGCATGTCCACTTGACTGTAAACCAGGCCACTGACTGGAGACACCGGGACTGGGTCCGCGGCTCCCACTAGGGCTCGCTCTTTGTGAGGCAGTCTGCTTGTTATCGGCAGAAAGAAGAGACCGCTCAAGAGACAGCACCTGCTTCTTGAGAAGGCTGATTTCTTCGTCCTTTGACGTCAAGAGGGTAGAGACATCCGGGGATGCCAGGGACTTGGCGAGAGACGAGGTGTTCAGGGACGATGCCAACTCTGTTTCAAGCTCAGCAACACGCGCCTGGAGCTGCACGATCGTCGCATCCACCATGTCATCCTTGCTATTCCGTGATGCGTTAAGATATATGGGGTATGGCACCATGGTGTTGTCTATTGCAATCTCCTGCACGTTATCTCCAAACGTCTCGCCTTGATACGCTTGTACCGATGCTAATTTGGCCTCTTCTGACATGATCTCTATTTTATCCTTTAGCATCTGGTTTGTTTGTATGGATTGATCTAGTAAGGACTGTATCTCGTTCCTCATCTGGACCGCCTCATCGCACGTCGTAATAAGCCGTGCTATCTCTGTCTCTTTCTCCGCCAAAACCTCCCTTAGATGGACAATCTCTGCTTCCTGATCCCTGATCGTTTTGTGCATGGCTAGAGTCTCCTTTTTCGATGCGGAGAGGTTGGATGTATCCCTGGCAGACCTAGGTCTCTGGGTTACAGAGCTCAGAAGCTCCGTGACCTTGTCTCGGGACTCCATACTGGCCATCAAAGAATTGTAGGCACGCTCTTTCTCTCCAAGCTCTTGCTGGGCCTGTGCAAGTTGTACTCTCAAGTCTGAGTTGCATACAGACATGTCTAGAATGGTTTTTCTGAAGGTATTGTATTCCAAATTAACAGTTTTGATGTGATTCTTTAACTCTTCAGCCTCAGCCAACAGCTCCTCTATCTGCTTGTCTTTTGCTGCTAGCTGGTTCTGCATGACTTGGAGATCGTTTCTGAATTCTGTAATGTCATACATATCATGGTTTATGTTGGAGTTAGATAGATACTGTTGGGAGTCTAGAAACGTCGCGCTAAGCTCTAAGGGCGGCTGTATCCCTGACTGCGTCAGCATAGAGAGGTCCTTGTGGGAAAAGGTCGAGTCTACGTGTCTGGGCGGCGAGCCCAGGATGGAGCTTCCTAGGCGTGAGCTGGAGATCGCGTCTGGAACGAAGGTCTCACGCCATATTTGAGGGTTCGGTGTACCTATCGCTGCTCCTGCGGTTTTGAGGGCGCTTTCCAGGTCGTTCACCGTTATGTGTGCATCCTCTAACGCCGACGACAGGGCCTGAATTCGTTCATCACGTTCCTTAAGTTGCTTGCGGAGGTCTTTGATGAGCTGCTCATCTTGTGAGGCTACCTTTCGGTTGAACATAGGACGGTCCCTTTGATGAGCTTGAGGATAAAAATTAGCAAAAAGTAAGTTTCATTTTTTAATCTTTTAGGCATGATCCAGAAAAGAAAGTGCGCGATATCTGGTATCAAGGTTGGTCGGCTCTTCCGGAGCTTCTTGACTAGCTGCCCTCTGGAGTACCTTGAACTGACGAACATATTCACGCATGACATACTCTTCACTCAACCTGGGATTTTTTGTTATAGCAGTAGAGAGCAGCAGTTCATCACTGAGACGCTTTGGTGGCGGTTGCTCGGAGGCCTGCTCTCGTGCAGCTGTCCCAACCTGCACCGTGTGCTCTCCAGGAAGGTAGCAGCCGTCAGCGATTGATGCAATGAATGAGAGAGTTGTGGTGCAGTACGGACATTTGAACATAAATATCAATCCCTGCTTACTTCCCTTCTTTTGCATATACAGCTTCTTCCCGCGCGCAACGGTCTGTCCACACGCGTTACATCTAAGTGCAAGTGGCAGGGCTGCTCTGACCATCGAACTGTGATAAATATTATATTTTAAGACCTCTATGTCCCGCGAGTACCAGCGGCGTTCCAAGTCCGCTACCGCCTTTCTCTACACAGGCCTGCACCCAGAAAGCGGTCCTCCGCAACTCATCGATACTCTCTCACCCTCGAGTCCAACGTTCAAGGTTGACCGCATTGTAGACAAAAAAGGAGTCTCCAAGCCCTCCCTTGTGGTGGACGTAACAAAACTGGTGACAAAAGAACGATTTACAGAGGCCATACGCGAGCTCTCAAACATGTTCCTTGACGCACTGTCCAAGCATAAAGATCGCTGCGATGAGAGCAACCGGCGGATGAAGCGGATAGAATCACAGGTAAAAAAGCTAAGTGACAGCATGACATCTCTTCAGAAGACGGTGGATGAGCTCAAGCTTTCGCTAAAGGAGATCCAGTCGGAACGCGCCGGAATACCCAACAAAGCAATAAATCAGTTAATTACCCACCCAGACCTCCATGACCTGAAGGAGGGGCTGCTCCACTTACAAGACACCCTTTCGCGGACAATAGAGGCAAACGAGACTCGGTTCAAAGACCTACAGACGGCCTGCGCAGACAACACAAAAGCCACCAAGAAGCTGTACCTGGATATGCTATCTAGTGCTGGCACAGGACCAAATGAAGCTATTGCATCCACGTTGGAGCAAGCAAAGAGGGCAACACAGGACAAAATAGAGGTAGCAACACGGGAGCTGGAGGCACTTAGAGGTGAGATTGCAGGCATCAAGCGGAAGCAGATCAAGATGACCAACTCCATAGATGACCTCACGACAAACACTGAGCACGACGTGCTCAAGTTGCTCAATGATCAAGAGATTTTACGCACTGAGGTTAAGCTGTTGGCTAAGGCGGTAGTGAAGCTGCAGACAGGAGATATTGCTGCCCAGGAAGGATTGGCGAAAGACTTTGAGAACGTCCGCAGCGATGTGTATAGACGGGTGGACGACCTAGCTATCATTGTCCAGGAAGCACTATCGAAGCTATGTAGATGATCGACTCCTATGAAACTTGTTGTGCAACGGTTTAGAACTAATAACAAAGCTGCGCTTTTCTTTTATGGTTGTGGCGATCTTTGGCTTCTGTGCACACTCTATTCTTGTTGCTTTATGCCTGGCCACAGTCTTATTAAAGTTGCTCAGCTTGTTTGTTGCTCTATTCCCTTGTTTAGTGGGCCTGACCGTAAAGTCACTCTTCAACGTTTTGAACGCCCCTGAAGGGTAATAGTCATTCTCACCGAGAGAAGATGGAGGTGGAGATGAAGAGCTAACTATAATGACCTCTGTGTCAGATACACCTTCTGAATGCGCATGGTCTATATGCACAACAGAATGTGCCTTTGCACAATTCTTGGTACAGTTTCTGTGTGCTGCCCCTGCCTTGCTAAGCTGGTACAACACAGACCCGCTATTACTGTCTTGACATTCACGAAATGTGTGTGCAGCAACTCCTAGGAGGCGTATATCTACGCACCGAGCAAGACGCCTGTATATGCCGAAGCCTACCGTCAAGTAGGGGGCGCTTCGCCCATGCCCTACACCCTCGTTACTGTTGCCTGTAGACATGGGGTAACCAACTTCGTCTGTCTTGCACTTTTGTATGTAGCGCAGAGCCTCGAGTGCGGCCAGGTAGAGGACATCCAGATCCCAGGAGTGCCGGCTCAAATCAACAACGTGCGTCTTCTCAATCCAATCTGCGAACCTAACTTTCACATTGAGGCGTGTAGGCACCAGGTTCTGTTCTTGTAGCTTCTGCGCAATCAACTTGCAAAGGTTGCGGAGAATGTTTTTAAGTACGTCTTCATCGGAAGTCTCTGGAAAGGTGCACTCCTGGCCCACAGACTTGGGGTTGGGGTTATTTGGGTCCATCAATTGCTGTACGCTAGATAGACCAACCGAAGCGAAAATATAAAACTTGGCCTGTGCTGGGGTCAAAAGCAGAGACAGAAGGCCGCGCTTTAAGAAAATGTCTCCTATGGATGTAATCATAAAGGGCTCTCTTGATAGCAGTTGTGCAGACGCGTCCCCCACCCCCCAAATTTTCCTTATGTGGAGGTCTTTCAGGTGAGAGTGGAGAATAGTTGAGTAGTTATCTTGCGTGACAGTGTGCAGCGGCCCTATAGTTTGGCCGTCAGGCTTATTTAACTCAGTAAGTATCTTAGCCACTTGTTGGTTTATGGCGACGCCCACAGAACACGTGATTCCGAGTCGGGAGGCAATATCCTTTCGAATAGCACTTACAACTTCAGCCGCAAGTAGCTCTATGAACCCGGGCTTCTCCTTGAACAGAGTGTTGGTATGTTGGACAGCTGGAAGGGGTATGGAGTCTGCATCTGTAGATAGTGCGCCATCGGCACACTGCTTATCCAGATGTGCATATGCGCTCCACATATCTACCACACCATACCTTTCATGGGCATACTGCTTCATATATGCAGTCAGGTTGAAGACACACTCGTCCAGCCCGTGCATGGAATAGTGTGTATCGTAGCCTGCAAAGACCTCGGCTGCTGCATGCGATACAGACATGTACTTTTCCATGGACGCAGGGATGGCAATGACATCTTTGCAGAGGGCCTTGGCGACGTGGGTGGGCATGGCTGACCGGACGCCGTACTTCCGAGCTGCGTAGTTGCTGGTGCAGACAATGGACCCGCCTGTGATTATAACTGGCTTGCCACGCAGAGATGGATTATCGCGCTCCTCAATGGAGGCGTAGAAGCAATCGAAATCTAAAACTGCTATGACGTTTTGCCAGCCTCGAAGATTCTGGGTAGCTTCTGCGATCATTCGATCAACCCGGAGTGTTTCCTCTCTAATGGCTTGGGGGGTCAGGGCACTGGCTCGTTGAGCGAGGAGAGCTGAGCGTACACAGGAGGCCTGCTCCTTTTCACGCATGCGAAGGAATTTAGCTGTCCCCTGAGTCTCCCGTGCTATTATCTTGTTGATGGTGTCTCTATCAATTGAGGCTAGGCCCGCCTTTGTGCCGTCCAGGAGGCCATTTCTATTCATTTTTTGGCCATACAGTATATTTACTGTTTACTCTGTTAGAGCCTACTGTTAGAAGTATAGCACCAGATGTAGGATGCAGTGCTTCTTCGGAACTACTGGAGCGTCCTCTAGAATTATTCGGGAACTAGCATTTTGAAATCAACCAGCTCTTATGTTTCGCCGCAGTATCCGGTAACCTCGTGCTGTGCAATGTGAATCTGGAAGTCTGTCTATTGCAATATACACGGATTAATTGGACTTTCCAAATTCTTCTGACGGCGTGTGTATAGCTGGCATACAGCTCAGATTAAAAAACACAACCGAACTACATTGCTAGCATGTCTAACACCAGGCTGGACGGGGCGGTCTCTACCGCTGGATGCAGTACTAGGGCCACAAACAACAATACGCAAAATTTAGGCGGTACAGCAGAGCTCCCGTGTCCAATGGATAGATTTCTGCAGACACCCTTTTTGATAGACGCAGAGACAGACAAATGGCGAGTCAAGGGCCTCAAAGCCCTTTATCTTCTCGTTCAGGAGCTCCTCTACGCAATCACCAACTCGTTTCACGCGCAGTTATCAGCGATGTCAGCGCCATCTGCTGGCAGTAGCAGCAATGCTGGTGAGGCGGGTAGTGAGCCTTCTAAGCAATTTACCTGTCCCTCTGCAGCTTCATCACTAGACATACGACTTTTAGAGATATATAGATCCCTCTTTACCACGTGCTACACATCCAAGAGAATGGTGGAGGCAATTGCCGTCTCCAGCCAGACTCAGACGTCTACTCCCAACGGGACCGACTATGCTTCTTCAGAGTACGAGGTGGGCGCATCTAGTTCGACGATCCAGCTCAGCGATCACAGCCTCGATAGCACGGCGTTCGTTGTCTCCACACACCCCGGGCTGGGGTCGTGTGCCTCTTCTGATTCTACTGCCTTCCCCTCGCAGATCTCCTTTGATTCTTCTCCCATTGCTTCGGAGTTGGAGAATATCAAGGTTCCGTGTGATTCTGCACAGCTACTTTCTAAGGCTGATGTGGCTGCCATCAACTCTGCAATCCTGGTTCCTCCGGTGCCCCCCATTCCCATCTTCGCCTTGGCCCATGCAGGCCTGCCTTACCCTGCCCAGATAACCACATCCCAGGCACCGCTAGATCGCGTTCCCATATCCCTCCTTCCCGTTACAGTCGATCGACCAACCCACAAGCTATCGGGCATCTCTGGGATCCCCCCGGGGTCGGCTATACAAAAGAGTCTACACACACCTAGTACAATTCCCATGAAGCAAGAGCCCTGCATTCCTGCCACGCGAGCCTCTGCACCGTCCCTGTCGGCAGTGGCGCGCCAGCCCTGCTCTCGCAGCCATAAGGAAACAGCTACTTGGTCTAAAGAAGAAGACCAACTGCTCGAGATCGCCGTGGGTATGTTTAAGGCGAAGAACTGGCGAAAAATCGCAGACTTCATATACATAAACGGACATAACCTTCCGCGACGCACTGCCGACCAATGCAATCAGCGATGGCTGAGAACGATCGACCCTAAGATCACAAAGGGAAACTGGCCGGCTGAGGAGGACATGCAGCTCATCGCTGCCGTCAAGGTCTGCCCCTCGCGGAACTGGAAGGCCATAAGTGCCCTCATGCCGAACCGGACAGATGTGCAGATTCGGGGAAGACTGCAGAGGCTCGCGCCGATGCTTCTAGAAAGAGGTATTCTGACGGCAGACCAGCTGCCCCCCGTTTCTTCCAACCGGGGCCTTTCTGCTGTTCGGAGCCTGTAAATTAATATTAGCCTCAATCAGTACAAATATAAAAAACTCTTTTATGACAGAGGAGCCGGTGTTTATTCAAAAGGGGTCAGTCACCGACAAATACACCATAGATCGCGTTGTTGGGACAGGCAGCTATGGAAAGGTGTATGCCGTGACATCTGCGCAAAAGGATAAGCTTCTCTGCTGTAAGAAGATCATGTACTCCTGTCTCAGCTCGAAAGCAAAGGAGCTAGTCACCAACGAAATCGATATTACGATGAAGCTCGACCACCCGAATATTGTGAAGTACTATGAAGTGTTCGATGATGTGGATGAAAACAGCTACTCAATCATCATGGACTATTACAAGAACGGCGACATGCTCAAATTTCTGACAGATCATAAGAAGCATGGAAAGAAAATCGACGAGGATCTTCTTTGGGCAATCATGATCCAAGTGCTCTTGGCGCTGAGTTACTGTCACTCTCCATTTAATGCGACGGGGAAGGCCGTCATTCACCGCGATATCAAGCCTGCAAATCTGCTCATCGGGGATGACATGCAGGTGAAGCTTGCAGACTTTGGCGTCTGCCGCCTTTATGAGAATGCTCAGGAGCATATGGCAATGACGATTGTCGGGACGCCCATATACATGCCCCCAGAATCTTTTGAGTCTAGAACATACACCACATCCTTCGACATTTGGTCCCTTGGGTGCACCATGTACGAATTGGCTGCGCAAAAGTATCTCATCACAGGCCCCACAGACAGAGATCGTCTCGAGAGGGCGAGGAAAGTGTCGTCGTCGCAGCTGTCAATACCTGGATACAGCACTGAGTTTGTCAGGATCATTTCAGCCATGATAAAGTACCACCCTGACGATCGACCCTCTGCATCCGACATCATCAAGTCCCCGGAGGTTCAGAGCATAACAAAGAAGTGGGCCGAAGAGGGGAGATATGGTCACATCAGGATTGTGGACAGCCCATCCATTGCTGCCAACGCGATCACCATCAACCTTTTTGGCTTGCACGACTTTTCAAAATTAGGCGATGCTGCTGAGGGCCGCGTAGGAGACAGTCAAGATAATTGTGCAAAAGCAGTACCTGTTCCTCTGGATATTCAGGACGTCAAGATTGATCCTGTAAGCCTAGACGTGTCCAATGCTGCGTTAAAGCCCCTTTCGGCCGGCGATCTCAACGATATAATCCTCAAAAGTACCACGCCTCTCATAGACGCAGTAAAAGACAACGACATAGACGGCGTGAAGCGCCACATTGATAGCCATAAGCGAAAGCAACGCTTGGACGGCATGACAGCCCTGATGATTGCAGCCGTTACTAACAACGTGGAAGCAGGAAGGATCCTCCTCGATGACGAGAAGAGAATGAGGTCACTCTCTGGATTCACTGCTTTGCTCTATGCGATAGAAAACAGAAATTTGGAGTTTGCCAGGCTCATGGCTTCGCATGAAAAGGACATAAAGGTCGATAGAATATCTCCACGCGCTGCAGCTGAGAAAATGGGCATGAATGAGCTTCTTCCTCTATTGTAAACTGTTGGTAATGCCTCCTCTCAAGTGAAAATGGAGGAACCTGGTGCACGGCGTAGCGCAGATGTATCAGTCGTTCAGAGCGTCCAGATTTGCTATTTGTGCCTCTAATGCCTCATTCTCCTTTCGTGATTGCTCAATAAGGCTTAGGTGCTTATACTTTTGCAAGTAGTAGAACAAAAATGTAAGGCAGCACATGCCAGCAATCCCGTCACCGATTGGAAGAGCCGTTAATAGCTTCGCGTTGTCCTGGATCAAGAGGCCTGCCGATATAGCAAAGATAATCGGTACAACAATGCGCGATGTCTGCAAAAGCACAAACACAAGAAACTTGTCTTCAAGCTGTGCAATAGAGCTCACAGTCATGAAGAGGCCCATCCATATAGGCCCTAGGGAGGCAAGGGCCACTGCCTCGTAGGTCTCCTCATACTGTCTTTGTGTATCCTTCCACTCCAGCTCTGCCTGGTGATACGCAAGAATAGGATAGAAGAGCTGGGCAACGCTCTTGTAAAAGATAAACATCAGTATGCCTAGGATTGCAGAAAGCACAAGGGTCCAAAGCGCAGAGGCAACTATCAGCTGGCGTACACGGCCATAGTTCCTGAGGCCCAAGTTGAAGCCGCAAGTGGTGATAAATGCTTGGTTAAATCCGTTGTTGATAAACATAAATAGATTATTATACCGGAGGTAGGTAATGAATTTCAGCCTAGATGCGTTAATCGTCTCTAAGGAAGTATAATATCGACTAACGAGGATATTGCACACTAGAATAGTCGCTGGAATTGTAGAGTTGAACAAGATTGGGGGAAGGCTCCCGACTATAATGGTCTTGATGATCTTTGGCTTCAGTGGCCAGAATCGCTTGAGCTTTAGATCAAGAGAGGTTTTTATTGGAATATCGAACGCGGTTCTCTTAAAAAGAACGCAGAGGATCCACACGCTTATGACGGTATGAGCCAAGGTATATGCAATGGCAGACGATTGGCAAAGCTCGGGAATCTTGGAGGAATAGAAGCTTGATATAAAGTATATTATATAATCGAAGAGGATGAATAGAAAGGAAGAGCCGAGATGGCGGAAGAAGTTGAGCGCTACTCGGTTTTCAACAGCAAGGACTTGACTAATGGAGTTACTAAATATGTTGGCAAAGTTCTGTGTCGAAAAGACGATACGAGAGTACGCCATGCCGCGTTCATTTCCTTGGTGATTATCCATGAATTTCAGCAATGGGACCGCCGACGGTGTTAAGCAAATTGTGCACAGAATAGACCAGAGGAGGCTGAGCATTATGTAGTGGGCAAGGTAGGAGCTGGCTAGCGACGCCTTATTCTTTGCTAGAGCCTTCTGGATGGCGCTTGCTGTTGCTAAGCCATACCCCAGTGTAATGTTCTTGCACATTAATATCTCCACAGGATATGCAAGGGCCATTCCAAAGAGGCCCACAAAGCCGGGGTAGTAGATGACTAAATTGTAGTCACCGATGAAGGCAAGCCCTTCTAGAAGAAAACCGCATATGTAGGGGAGCGCTGTGGACCACAAGAGGACGTTCACATTTGCTGTCGTAAGCTTCATGATGGTTGAGTTAAGAGTCTTATCGGTCCCCGAGCCTATCGAAGACTCTGCAGCGGGCTTGTCCTCGTCCAAATAGTCATGGAAGTCTCGACCCATTTTAGAATATTTATGCCAACAGATTTACTAGGGCGCATCACGCCAGCTCCTCACTGTGAAAACTAGACGTCTTATACGGATTAGATCCACTAGGAGCCCCATAAGGATTTGGTGCCGTTGCGGCGCCATAAGGATTCGAGGCGGGTGCAGGGGCACCATAGGGGTTGGAAGTCTGTGGTGCTCCATAGGGCCCAGAAGCCCCAGGCCCGGCGGGCGCTGGAGTGGATCCATATGTCGAGACAGGAACTCCAGCCCCATAAGAGCCTGACATAGGCGCTGGTGCCGAAACGGCTCCAGAGTAGCCCTGTTGGGGCGCACCATACGGTCCCATGTTAGAGCCCGCAGAAGGGTTACCCGCAGCATACGGATTAGACGAGGAAACAGCTCCGTACAGATTGGAGGCAACGGAAGAGCCGTACGGCCCAGGTGCCCCCGAAGCCGGCTGCGGAACTCCCTGGCCATACATCCCGCCAGACTGCCCAAAACCTTGGCCCCCAACAGCAGAGACAGGAGGCTGGCCTGCAGAATAGAGGCTTGCTGACGGTTGTCCCTGGTACCCTTGTTGCGGGATCACAGGGCACTGTTGCTGGGGCATTGAATATGGGTTGGGGATTCCAGAAATGTTCATACCACTGGGGACTCCATAGGGGCCTGTAGCCTGCCTCTTGAGATCTGTCTCGTTCATCTCTGCGCCGGCATAGTTCGAAGACAAGGCCTCCGCAATGTTAACTCCACCCTGGCCCTGCGAACCGGCGCCTCCCTTGAGCCGAGTATTTATTTCGGTAGCTAAAGAGCTATTGTCGCTGTTCTGCAGCGCAGACAGCATGGACTGGCAATTGGTGGTGACTGTTTCCATAATGAAGGGGCGGTCGAGGACAATGACAACGTTGCGTATGAAATCACTCTTGTACTGTTCGTCTCCGATGATTCGGTCAGACACCTCCTTAGTGCTACCTGCAAGAAGAACACGAAGGAAGTAGGAACTCTCAACACAGGTGTACGCCGTCTCTCGGGAGATGGACTTCATGAGGTAAAGAGTCAGCTCGCGAGAACCAAAGATTCCGTCAATGATCGCCTTTGTCACAGCCTCCTCGTCAAGCTCCACAAAGCACCCTAAGGCGAAGAATCCGCCAGACATGACGTAGGCCTCGTTAACGTCCTTCATGGGGTTTGCCATCGTCTCTGATCTGACGTAGCGAAGAGCCGAGTCGAGGGCCATGGCCGCGGAATTGCCCGCAGTCGTAAAGAACTCAACAGCACGCTTAGCTAAAGCAGCCACAATGGACTCGTGAACCTTGTAGTTGATGAGGATATCCTTAGAGTGCGCGTTCTTGGCAAAGAGACCCATCAGGCGCATGGCCATGCACTGTGTGACATGCGCCGTGATGTCTATATTATGCATGATAAACTTGAGGATCTCATGAGTATCGACCATATTCGGTATAGGGTTGGACGGCAGGAGACGCGGAACATAGTCAGGAGCAGCAAGGGCAATGTTTCCAATCAGGCTTGTAATGAACTCTCCCGTTGCACGGACAGCGGTGCCGAGGAGGCGCGCCACTCCAGGAACAAAGTTGCGATGCTCCATGATGCGAGGAATGCACCCTGGATCTGCGGTAATGTTGCGGAGAGCCCAAATCGCCAACTCCTGCTTGACCAGGTCCACCTCTGGAGTAAGGACCGAGACTATTATGCCAATTGTGTCTACCTCGCGGATGTAGGCCAAGGCGCTAGCAAATTGCTTGTTCGATGTGCTCGTCAGGTTGATCAAGAGGCCGAGTGAGTGTGAAATGATGGTTGATGCATCTCGGAGATTCATCATTTGGGGACCGTTCGGGATGGCATATCCGCCCTGGGACTGCGGGAGCGTGATGTAGTGAACCCGAGAGGCATGATCAACGATTGAACGAACAGCCTGGTCCAAAAGCTCGACTGCTCTATAGATGAGCTGCGGCCTGTATTGCATCAGAAATGTGCGAGAGTCGTTGTTCCTGAGGTTGTTCTGGATAAGGCGGATGTATTCGGCGGCCATTAAGTGGTCTTGCGACGTGAGATACACAGATAAGCTCTGGTCCTCGAGAAACTGCTTTACGTCGTAAGCAAGGGGATTGGGAGGCCCGTCCACCACAAGCATGACAGCCTTGCAGAGTTTGCAAAGCCTGTCTGTTCCAGTATCGCTCAGGATATCAATTGGCTTGATGCAACAAGCATTGCAAAATATGCGTCCGCACCTACGGCAGTGGTGGCGGCGGTTAAGAAGTGTGAATGCCGTGTCGCAGCCCTGGCAGTTGTTCACGTCCTTGTCCTGAATCCACTCTGTGCGAGGGACAAGGGTCTTGTGAGGAATTGCGATGGAGAGAGAAAACTCGTAGCCGTTCGTCATGTGGAAGCGCACTCTCTTGACCTCTTCGATCGGTTCTATGGTCTGCGGGCCCCCAACAGGACCCTGGCTATACCCGCCTACGTCCATTCCCGGGATCCGAGTCTGCTCGTACCCTGGAGCGGGACCACCCATGCCCATCTGCCCTTGTGCGCCGTAAGGACCTCCCATCATACCTGGCTGGGCGCCAGAGCCGTACAGCCCTGCAGGTGGCTGGCCCGATGAGCCGTAAGGGCCACCAGGGTTTGCGTACGGCCCAGGACCACCGACCCCGCTACCACCCATCGATGGAGCGCCTGCGCCGTAGGGGCCGACGCCTGCGGTGGAAGCAGCGGCTCCATAAGGCTGGGCTGACGCACCGTATCCAGGGGCAGTTGACCCATAAGGGCCCGATGCTGGCTGTGGAGCAGCCTGCGACGCGCCATAGGGGCCAGAAGCTCCCTGGGCTTGGGCTCCATAGGGCCCCGCGGGGGCACCGTAAGGGCCTGCGTTGGCCGAAGGCATGGACGAACCATAGGGGCCGGGGCCCGCCTGTGGGGCGCCTGCGCCGTAGGGACCACCAGAGGACATCTGCGGAGGGCCACCGTAGGGATTACCCGCAGGTGCACTATTGTAAGGACCCGAATACATTTGTTTTGCGGAAAACAGGAAAACGTTTCAAAATTATTATCAGCGCAGCTCTCGCACAGACGGGCGGCGCACGCACGGCAACTCCGATTTACTTATAGTCGTCGCCGTACTCCCAGAACCCATCGCCAATTATGTTGAGAGTCTCCACGGCCTGCTCGTGGCGACCCTCGGCCATTATCTCCTTACCGGCCTGAGTGAGACGGCCGATGTAGAACGGCGGGGCACCCTGGATGCTCACAGAGACAATCGCACCCCGAGGGAGATCCTGGTCCATCTGGTGGATGCCAGGGGCCATCATCTGAGCGCCCTGGAGTATGAACTTGGGGCACGACGCGTCGGTTAGTAGCACGGGGAGCAGGGTCGGGTATCGTTGCAGGAGACGCAGGGTCGGGATCCACGGGCCGTCGCGGATGTTCCAGAATACGATCCGCTTCACGGGCTTGGTCCCTGTGTTGTGGGCGCTGCCAGCGGGGAGCGTGCTGACTAGGAGCTGTATGTAGTTCTTGCACTTGACCAGGGAGACCTCTCCCTTGGGCGGAAAGAGCTCGTCGATGAGGGCTTCTGCGCCGGGGAATTGCTCCTTGAGGCCGGCCACGCACTTCTTCGCCTGGGACGCCTTGAGGAGGGAGAGGTTCGTGCACCACTCGCGCGCAAATCGCTCCATAGGGCCGCGGGCTGCCTGCCTGTAAAAAAACTCCGCGACTTTAAATTCACTTTGCATAGCAATTTTAGCGGGCACGTGACAAAGCCATGGGCCGCATGCACTCGAAGGGTAAGGGTATATCCCGCTCTGCCATACCATACACTCGCGCTCCTGCGCCCTGGAACAAGTACACGCCGGAGGACGTCTGCGAGCAGATCTGCAAGCTCGCCAAGAAGGGCACGCCCCCCTCGAGGATCGGGCTTATCCTCCGCGACCAGTTTGCGATCGGCCAGGTCAAGAACGTCACGGGGTCGAAGATCGTCCGCATCCTGAAAGCGAAGGGCCTTGCGCCCGAAATCCCCGAGGACCTCTACTGCATGATCAAGAAGGCGGTCGCCATCCGCAAGCACCTCGAGCGCAGCCGCCGCGACAAGGACTCGAAGTTCCGCCTGATCCTGGTCGAGTCGAGGATCCACCGCCTCGCGCGCTACTACCGCCAGGCGAGGCGCCTCCCCCCGACGTTCCGCTACAAGTCCGACCAGGCCGCCGCGCTCCTTGCGACGTACGCGTGAGTAAACACCGCCTACGGGGCTCGAACCCGCGACCGTTGGATTAAAAGTCCAACGCTCTACCAACTGAGCTAAAGCGGCGACAACGGCCGTCAGACCCACAGACACGCAGGGGAGGGGTGTCTTCCTCTTTGGCCCTGCAAAATGGCCCTGCTCGCTGCAGCCCGCGCGGCGCTCACCGGCCTCCAGCAGACCCGGGACCCGGCCTGCGCCTGGTGCCTTGTCGACGACGAGGCCTCCCAGCAGCGCTACGTCTACGCCGGTGGCTCCCTCCTCCCCGCCCACGACGAGATCACGCTCCAGGGCGTTCCCATGACGGTCGCAGACCTCTGCGTCATGGTCGCAACCCAGCAGCAGCTCATCCTTGCCAACGGAGAGCCGGTTGTCGCCGAGAACCTCTTCGTTCGACGCATCCGGCCGAAGTACGCGGCGCTCGCCAGCGAAGCCCACACAACTGTGTTTGACCGGAAGAGCATACTGGGGCTCTATGCCGCCATCTATTCTGATGCAGACTCTTCAGACATTATCCACCCCTCCAGCGTGCGTCTCATCACTGACGTCAACATCAGCGCAGTCCCCGATCTACTCAAAAGCGGAGGCATTCCTCTCATAATAAAACTGACTCAGGACTCTAACAAAGGTGCGTTTTTCGATGTCCACGAATACGACAGGCGGCGCGACGTCAGCTCCTACTACAGCGCACTGCACGAATTCCTTGCATCGCGGGAGGCGGACGATAAGAAAGACAACCAAGAATATCTTTCGTACTACTCACACGGAGCCAGCTTTCTCACTGAGGTGGACTCGGCGATCGAGCATGCTTCCAAACACTTGGACTTTCTGACTCCCTTTTTAGCAGACAGGTCAGCTGCTCCCACAGCTATGTCTCCAAAGACCTCCGAAGAGCATGCCAGTGGCCCCTCTGGCTTCTCTCTTGACCAAGCAATCTCTTCAATCAAAAAGTACAGCGAGCTCGACCAGCGAGTTGCCAGTAACCCACAACTAACCACAGAAACAGACGGCCCAGACCAGAAATTGATTTACTCTGGGCGTCTTTCTGTGCTTTCGTCCAGAGTCACATCCAATGTGAAGGTTCTTCCTAAGACTTTAGAGGTTGAAAAGGCTCAGATAACCAGCTTTATACATCGCTCAACATTTGTTGTCAGTAAAGACTTTTTTTCGGCGCGCGGGTCACGGATCCTGAACACTATTCACGACATCGCACGAAGTATGAACACATACAAGCCATCGCTGTTCTGTAGCACCGTGTATCTCTCCTCTCTCTACGCGTCTCTTGTTCCGACAGCGTACTTGTCCAAAGTCCTACGTACATTTAGTAAGTACTGCACTATCACCGCGCGTAAGGATCCCGCCGACACCATCAGGGTTGTTGCAGCGAAAATACAACGGCCAGTGACCTTTATTTCTGCCAACTCGCTTCACTATGCAAAGTTTGTCGCTCCATTCATCCGAAATAACATTCCGATTGTCGCGGATAGTACGCTCAGGCAAGTGCTATCAGGTCTTTATCACAGATCTCCCGACTCTCAAGTGGAACCTTCCGAGCGAAGGGCAGAGGTAAACCAAAGCCTCCAACAGCGAATATCAAAGAGCAGCCCACGATACATCTTAATACCGTCTGCCTACAGCAGCTGCGTCGTCAATGAACGGAACATACTTTATCTATTCGTAGGAGGAGAGTTTAAACCGTTGAACCGTCTTGAGAAAGTTAAGGACTACCGCCGTCCCCAATACAGCTACGTTCATCAGAAGGCCAAGGACAAGGAAGCGGGGGCAACGAATTTCAGCATCAGCAAGGACAAGTTGTCCTTCGCTGCGGACGATATCGTTTTGTCGTACAAAGCCCGAACTTTGGTCTTTACATCCGACGTGGGAAAAGTTACTGAGCAGGAGTGGGAGAGCGGTGCCGTTCTTTGCGTGGTTTTGGAAAAGCAATCTTCTCAATTTAATCGTGTTCGCATCAACAAGCCCAACGAAGATAAGTTGGCGTATGTCCTGTCTAAATCTCTGGGGGTGTACTTTCATATGAAAGGAGAAGAAGCAGCTCCGCCCTACTACAAAGGCGATAATATTTTCTCTATTCAGCTATCCAGTATAGATTCTGCGGCTGTGCATGTACAGATGAAGACGCTCTGGGCGCTAATTGAAAATAGATTGGGTTAACACTATGAGTATAATAAGTTTAGACCATATAGAATTTGCATCCCAGATAGCACTACAGTCCCGACCGCTGTGTCGACTATAGGGATTCCGCCTCAGAGATAAGCATGTTCCTATTCTACGGGGTGTGTGAACGCGTCCTCACACTCATCAGTTCATGCACTAGCAAGATGATCACTGCAATTTGGAAGCTTCCTTAAACTCTAGCTGGCGCTTATGTTGCTTGTAAACGCACAAACAAACTGTCGTTCGGGGAAGGCCTCAGCAGAAACAACTAGCCTTTAGTGGTCTTTAGTGGTGAGAAAGCTGAAGTAGTTCAAGATTGATTACATTGGACAAAACTGCATGATTGAAATAAACTTATTGTTGCACTATTTTCGTTCTTACTTATTACTCAGAGTGTTAGTGCAGAGCCCAGCTGTATGTGGAGTGTCAATAAGTAAGTAGAACATTACCATACAAACGTGTGAAAGGTAAGATCCTACGAGCCAAGCCCCTTGCTTCCAATTTTCAGTTCATATTTGCATTTAAAATCATGCATGGCGCCAAATCCCATAATTAAGTGGAAGATGGCCATTCCCATCATTGTCGCACAAGTAAAGGAGGTCCTCTCGGGGACGTACAGCTCGACGGCGTTCATCGATACCTCAAGCAGTATCTGTCAGTCTCTTTTGCAAGACGCTGTCGCTGCCTCAAACGCAATCCCATTAAGTGATAGGCTTGATGTACTAATCTCGTCTGGGCTGGTCGCCCTCTTGTTGGATCTTTTCAGAATAGATTTAAAGCCCATTAACGAGACGACGGTTCGGTTCAAATGTCTCGCTCTAGGAACCATGACACAGCTCCTTAAGGGTATTTCCAGTGGGGAAAGCACCTCCTATGTTAGGGTCCAGACATGTCTTTTGAAGAGCTTTGTGGCTCTCGGTGGCATGGAGGAGCTTGCAAAGGCCATGTCTGAGCCGCGGGCAGGCAGTACCCAGCTGACAAACTACGCAGTTCAGTTCCTACGGCACTTTGTTCAGGTCCGCTTTGGGATTGTTTGCCTATTCAGAGAGACGTATGAATCGGCTTCTCTCCTCACGACGTATTTGCATACATGCACCGGTAACCCTGACGCACTGAACGAGATGTTAGAGATTTTGGCTCTCTATACAACGACTAGCTTTTCAACAGACGAGTTCTTGCTCTTTCTTTCGACGCAGGTGCCTGACTTTTTGTTTGAAAGAGTCTTGTCTCCTCCTGCACAGTGTCCTGTTTCCAGCTCTGCTAGCACACGTTTAGCAACCTTGGGATTGCTCAGTGATTTATTGGAGCGGCTCCATACCTTCAAGCAATCCATTGCAAAGGCGATTCTCGATAGCGGCGAACAAGTAGATAAGGCGCTGGCCCAATACAACGCTCTTCTTCGACACCAGGACAAGATATTTACCCGACTAGTTATGGACGACTACCTTGTGACGAACCTGTTGGGTGGCAGAGACACCAAAGCGTTTTTGTCTGCTGCATCCACACGGTCTCCATTCAGTCTACACCTATCTGCGGACACTTCGCGTACAATGGCTGGCGACAGCTCCATCATCTACCAACCAGATGTTATAACGGTCAGGCTGCTTAGCATATTCTTCCTGCACTGCGGAGAGAGGCGGATAGAAGCATATACGCGGGTGCCATTCTCCATTTTGGAGAGCCATGGCCCTCTCGAAAACCGTCTACCACTTTTCTCGGTTCAGGAAGAGCAGGCGATCGTAGATTACCTCTCCGTTATTTACAGTGTTCGAATGTTTCGGTCTTTAGCCTCGTTCTTCTATTCCTATCTGGACACGAAGACTGCAGGCTTGGAATCTTGCAGCAGTATGCCCATGAATGATTATAATGAAATAGTAGGCGCATACTTGCGCATTATACTCTTGTTTTTAGTGTATTCCCCCTCGTTCTTTAGGCAGACACTGATCGATGCAGCGCTTCTGGAGTACAATGCTCTGCAGTTTGAGGCATCTAACACACAGACCATGAAGCTGTCCTCCAGCTCCGGGCTGCCAGGAAGACGCAAGACGCTTATGGCCACATTCTTTATTCCCCTGGTGCAGAACATAATAACACCAGTTACATATTTCCCGACCATTCCCGTCTACGCGGCAGCAACGTTTGGCATATTCTGCATTGCCGTTGGAAACACTCTAGACTATTCCAACTTTCAATCACTACTTCAGATTGTTGCAGAGTACGTTTCTTCTGATGCTGCTCCATTGGAAGAGGTTATCTTAACAAAGCTGACCAATTGTTTCATGTCCAATTCACTAGATTTTCTCCGGGACGTGTATATTTTCATCGACATCAAGCCCAGCTTTTCAGGGACCCTGTCGGAGGGCACTTCTACGGTTCCGCGACCAATTTCCAGCGACATCATCTTGCTTAGTTCTGGCTATAATGCTATGTCCACTGCTCTCTATGCAGCACAGTGTGCACACGAAGATCCGGTGACGAGTCTCGGGCATTCCGCATCATTCAAGACGAAAGCTGCCGCCTCAAGTTCCTTGGCCCAAAGCCAGCGCACTTCACGCATGAACGCCAACCTTCTGGCCCTGTACTCAAGCAGTGCATCGCTAAAGCTGTTCTCTACTGACAAGGAGCTAAGCTTAGTAAGCGCATGCACGTACCTCACGTTTCTCGATTGCCTAGTCAGCCTTTTTGAAGTTACTGACCAGTATTCGGAAGATAGTCATTACAAACTAATGCAAGAGTATGAGACATACGTCGCGCCCAACACAATCTATTCTCTGTATCGTCGTCAAGACGTCCTGCTTCTTTTGCAGTCTATCAATTCGCCAAACGTGACTCTTCTCTGCCGCAATACACGGGAGTTTCTGATTACCCATGTCGTGTTATTGCTTCACGATATACGGTCTAATGAGCCTCTTAACGCGAGTACTGTTACAGACGCAATTTCTCGTTACATAATCGATTTGTCCGAAGCCCTTGACTTAGAGCTGATGGCGTCGGCGAGTAGGGGGCAGACGGACTTTACGTCTCTCTGTGCCATGGACAAGCTGACTTTTTGTCGCGCTCTTCTTATTATCCTTTGTAATCCCTATATCCTCTTGGCTACCGGGGACAATAATACTCTATCTAAGGTATTCCATAAGATTGACCAGTGCGACAGCACATTAAGGATCACCATTGACGACACCATCCAACAACTAAACTCGCTTCTAGCCCACGAGATTCTCGTCAAGTCCGTTCATTCCTTCTGCGACTTCTATGTGACTAATCAAACAACTAAGCTGGTGGACCTTCCCCACAATCTGCTCGTAAATGTTGCCAACGATGTCAGACGATTGCGTGAAATAGACAACTTAAAGAGAGTGCACGGCACACAGGCCACAGACACAGGCCTTCTGAAAACAACAGGCTCCTTTGCACAGCATTTTGACCCGATGATTGGAACCGGTTTGGTGCCACTAGAAATAAACTTTGCATCTCTCATGATGCAACTGTGTGATTGTTATGGGAGTAGCCTGGTCACGATTGCATCTCAGAACGCTTCTCTCGCCGGAACACAGAAGCGAGGAACAGACTTATTGAGGTACGCCTTGATTATCGCCAGATCTCTGGACTCTGACCTCACGTATGCAAACTCCAAAAGTGAGACGTGCACCTCACAATCTTATAGTATCCTGTCGACCTCTACCTCTCTGGCACAGGTATCTAGATTGCATTCGAATAAGATCAAATGCAAGCTTATTTCTCATATGCTGCAGGCTGACAAGCTTTCTGACGGAGTTGGCATGGTATTTATGGGGAAAAGAGATACCCTTTCTTACAAGGGATTTGGCATCAATGCTGCTTACTGCTTACGTTACGCACACAACACTTGCGAAAAAACCGCTATGCAACAAGTGCAGATGGCGCATACCAAAAACCCAACTGTTTTCATGGTCTCCTCCAAGTTTTCACAAATACAGACCCTCAAGGCCGACTTTGGCATCTCCCTTCCTAACTTCAGGCTTCAGCTCGCCGACCTACTAGACATAACGGCTTGGATCCTGGAGGTGATTAGGTGCGATTACAACGTCCGTGTGCCGGAGATTCTTTACTCCCCTGACCTTACGGAAACAGGAGCAATTCCGTTTTCTTCTGCATTTGTTGCCGAGCTGTTTCCGTCATACATGAACAACACCTTAGAATTAGCTATTCAAGCCACCCTAAAAGCGCGGGAAGACAACGACAGAACGCTTCGTTTTATCGACAATACAAAGGATGACAGTGACAGCATCCTCCACATCATTCACCGCAAAGTGGCAATAAAGATCTGTGAGTCAGTACTTGAGAGTCTTTACGAGCTACGCCTCATGTTCTTCGGCCTCCTTGGCTCCAAAATACTATTCAATCCAGAGACATCGACATTTGATACAGACTACGAGCGGTTTCCGGAGCAAAACGGATACATTGGGGTGTACACCAAAGACACCGAAGGGGAGCAGGCCGTTTCTGCGATTCCGTACAAAGGGAAGCTTACTGCATACTACTTCTCAGAAACAAATGCAGAAGTCTCCCGTATGTCCTCTGTTGCCCTTGTGGCACTGATGCTTACACTTATGCAGCCGCGACGAGGTACCGGTGTGCTTGCAGAGACGTCACTAACCAGTTTCAATTCTTGTTCCTCGCCAGTACAGCATCCATCGCCAGGCTCGGTAACAGAGCAAGATCACGAAATTAACATGGAGGCAATCAACCTGTCTCCGTTGCAAACAGTTGCATTCACTGAGATGCTGCAGGAATCACTTAGGTATGGATTCGTCATGGACAATAATCTTAGATATCTACAAGTTAACGTCAAATTCGAAAACATTATCCTCGGAAATGCAGAAAGCAACCTGTCAATCAACGCATATATTCCGAGAGTTAGGGCTTTTCTTAGGAAGTACGGCAATTACAGCTTCGCAGTACCCACTGTAACAGGCACTGAGCAGGGAGTTACTGTTCGATCCTCACTTGTGGATGATGTTTTCACTGCAGGGAAGTTCTCTGACACATATGTGTCCACTAAAGTTAAAGGCAACATTGGCGTTGATAATCCCGATCATTATAGACACTCAAGCAAGATACTAAAAGCATTGCATGAAGAGAACGAGAATCAAAGTCGGTTTTCTGAGACTAGTGGTGAGACAAGCAGCCAGTTCGGGAGGATTACAGAAAAACACAGCCCCTCTCTTATTACATCGCACCAGCAGGTTCCTAGTCGGCTGATCTCTACGCTATTGAATGTCCCAAAATCAGAATCCAACGCATCTACCTACGAAACAGCAGAGGATGAATTTTTCACCAGACAACCGCACGCTTTAAGTGTGCATGACGTCAAGGCTGGAATCCAAGACCAGCACGAGGACGATGCCTTTAAGCTGGATGATATTATTAATACCAATGTCATTTCTAACCGTGGACCACACCCAGAAATCTCTGCAGAACCGCATGATTCTTCGTCCTGTACCTCTGAGGTTGGCTCAACTCCAGTTCCGTGTGCAACGCCAAATGCCGTAGTTGAAGAAGCAACCGTTGAGGACGCGAAAGCACACTTATCAGATAGAAGATCTCACCGAGCCTCATCGATTTCAGGCCCGGGAGGCATTCCCAAATCTATCGCAACAATCAAGAAACATGCCCTTCCTCCACCCCCACCAGCTGCAAAGAGTCCGTCGTCAAAGCGATCAACGTTTATTGAGTGCATTTCGGCCAGCCTGGCAGAAAGGCAGGCTCCGAATACTAGCGTTACACCAGAACTGTCGTCATATAAAGATAATTTGTCCGCTTCTTCCGCATCTGAAGGGTCTGAGACCCCGGTGATTATTCAGATATCCAAGAGCAGCCATGAGCTCGGTAAGCTTGATACACTGAATAAGGATGTGAGCCACATTGAAGGCTCTTCCGACGTCAGGGTCTCAGAGAACATCACGCGTCCCATAGAGTTCGGTTCTGCAATGTCTGGCGTTGACACTAACACGTTAGTAGCCCTCATGGACAGCCTGAGCTTAGATGTCAAGCAGGTGATCGAAAAGCACCATGCCAGCAAAGAATCGTCCCCCGTTATGAGAGGAGAGCATGAAGAGCGTCTCGAAAAAGAAATCACCCCGGTGCCGTGTGCACTCTCCAATGAGACGCTAGACAGCATCATAACGTCCCTGAAGGACATTCCTAAGTTGGGGCCTCCGCCTTTGTTTACCTAACACTTGTCGGAAGCGCCGTCACCCATGATTATATACTCATCGATATCTGCAAGGAGTTCCATCTCGCTACTGGTCAGCTGGTTGCTATCCCTTTCAGTTGTTGTCTGATGATCTGAAAGGCTGACTGGATGGTTGTTGATGTAGTCCTCCAACAGGCCAATTATGCCTGTATTATTCAGTTCACGGGCGATGTCTATTGCCGTTCGCCCATCCTTTCTTCGAAAGTGAATTTCCGATGGAATGAGCATTGAAATACACGAATAGTGTCCCTGCTCTACGGCTTTCATAAGGGCGGTTACTCCGCCCAAAGTAGCCCTACCGCTCTCGACTGGAAGAAGGCAGCGGACAATGTCGGGAAGTCCTGCTCGAGCAGCACTCATGAGAGCAGACCACCCATCCTTACGATAGATGCCTCCCTCAATGAGCAATAGAGTTGCAAGCTCCTTGCTTCCGCTTGCACATGCCTCCATCAATGCCGTTGATCCTGTTTTCGTCTGCATCCCTGCTTCGTAGGGCAGAAGCATTTTAGCTGCTGCCAAGTTTCCTATTCTGCATGCAAACATTAGCGCCGTGTAGCCTGACTCCGTCTGGTGTCGCGACTGGGTAGCGATAAGCTTTCCCACAAGTCCTACGTTCCCGCTGCATGCTGCTCGCATAAGGTCGGTCATATTGGTATGCATGTCAGGGGCCTCATACAGGGATCCCATGTCCTCTAAATGCGGAGAGCTGTTCTTGAGAGATCCCACCTTCGACAGAGCAAGTTCGGTGATCCCGCGAAAGCCCGAAAATCTGAGGACTGTTGGGTTGGACCCTTGGCTTGAACATAGAGAGGAAGAAGGCAAGGGACTACTTGGGACGCTGGGATGCGGGTCATCTGTGATTCTGTTCACTGTTGGCGTAACCACAGAAATTAGCTCTCTTGTTTGTGCCTTCGAGGCTTCTTGTAGGGGCGAGAAGGATAGAGCAGCCGCTTCCACTATGTCTCTCTGTTTTTGTCTCCTTTCACTAAAACCAGAATTTGACTCTGTGCAATGAGGTAGGGTCGTGCTTACCTGTGGCGATCTTTGAGAAAATGTGTTTAGTTGTGCAGTCAGGGCTGACAATCTGTCGTTTAGCTCAGCAATCTGCTGCTCATATATCTGTGCACTTTCAGTACAGTTTTGACAAGCGGTAGAAACCTGTATGCCGATGGATGTCGTCTCCACTGAATTAGATAGCCGCGGGGAAAGACAGGGACTGCGCAAGCTTGGCCTCCTTTCTGCAGAAAGAGACCCCAGGCTTCGAATGGACTTGAACGACAAAGGCGTGCGACATATGGAGCTGTATCTCGATACTATTGGTGTCCCTAGCCTGCTGGAACTATTAGAAGGAAAGTCCAGAACGTTGCTACAACGATAGCAGAGGCATTCAACAGGCTCCACGAAAATGTATTCACGAAGACAATCCATGGCCTCTTGTCTACCTGCATGTCGTGCCGCACAGAACGTGCGCAAAACATCGTCCGCCGTCAAGCCCAGCTTATTCTCTATCGAGGCCTTGAGAAATGCAACACTGTTATGCTCTGCTGCAACGTCGATAGGAATACGTCCAGTAGCATCCCTTGCTCGCTCCAAGTACTGTGCACACTGAGGAATGATGTCGACAATCCCTTTTCGAGCAAGTATGTGAAGGGCCGAATCTCCGTCTCGGTTGCGATAGTGATGCTCGTACGGGAGTACAGCGAGAACTCCAGGAAGAAACTCCAGTTCAGCAGCCAGTGTGATGGCGTATTCCCCATTCTCGGTTGCCATGCCCGATGACGACGGAATCAGCACAGGAAGAAGGTCCTCCTGCTTTGAAGCCATAGCACACATCAAGGGAGTGTGTCCGTTAGCATCGGTGCAAGCTCCATACTGTAGTACAAGCCTGGAGACTGTTTCATAGTCTCCGGCACGAATAGCGCGAAAAAAGTCGTCCACTTGCCTACACTTTTTAATGATAGAGCCTAGCGCCTCATCGTCCGCGTCGTCACTGCTAGTGACGAAATCAGTGACGCCTTTACATCCGGAGATGGCAGAGATGCATGTTTCCCAGGTTATTCCATTGGTCTCGTGCACTGTTTGTGGAGTATCCTTTGGATCCAAGAAGGCGCAACAGGGTCACTACAAAAGCGACGAGCACGTGCAGAAGTTGCGGGAAAAATACGGGCATCTGTGGGCCAATCCATGGCCTATAAGGGCAGGGAAATCGGGTAAGGAACTCCTAACACCCGTGCCCTTTGTTGGCCAACGTGCAGAAGACTACGGAATCTACTACGGCAACGGGGTTTATGAAACTGCTGGAACAGAAATCTGTGTTCACTTGGAGCCCCCTTGACCATCTTTACCTGCGAACCGGGATATCAGCTTCATCCAGCAACGCCTGAATTGCCACAGGCGTGTGGCTCTTGTCGATGTAAACACGGCCTAGTTCCTGTTCATTGACGTCTAAGAATAGCAGCACAGGCGTGGTATAGCCGTACTCGATAGTAAGATCGTACAGGTCGCGCTCGGGAGACTTCATGAAGGTTAGAAGCCCCTCGTAGTCTTTCAAGCCGCATGGCTTGGGGCTGCGTAGAACAGCTGAATACGTGTCCCTTTTCCTATCTGACGGTCTGTATGCAAGCACGGCCACTGCAAAAATAAGCAGCCAGAACATTTTCTGAATGTAGACGTCTATTACGTGGTCGAGTAAAGCGTCTTAAACAAAAGATCGTGACATTTACTAACTTACTGTTCAGTGTTGTGTCTCAGCTAGAGCAGTACTCCGGAACTCGGGTGATTGTCCTGACAGCGCACCCCGATGATGAGCTGCTCTTCTTCGGGCCTCTACTGCAGCACATGGAGGAGCATGAGGTTCCCACGCTCATTCTCTGCTTGACATCTGGCGGCTGGAGAGAATCTGCAGAGCTCCAAGGAGGAAGCAGACAAGACCCAAGGCAGGGGGCTCTCCGTACCTCCGAGCTCGCATCCTTATCAAGAAGGTTCTCAGCCATCAGGACTCACTATCTTCGGACGCCTCTTCTCGATGATCCCTATACACCGTGGAGCGAACGACTTCTACAAATAATCTTGTACGGAATGGACATGGCAATGGGTGATGCCATTACCGTTTACACCTTTGACAGCGAAGGTGTCACAGGCCACATAAACCATTGCCAGATAGGGAAGGCGGTGCTGGCAGGCCGGATTCGTGCAAAGTGCTACTTCCTGCAAACACCTCCTCGGCTTGCGTGGCTTATGCCGTGGCTCTACAAGGTTAGGATGGATCAGGTGAGAATAACCTCAAGAGCCCCCTGCCAGCTGAGATCCCTGTTTCTAATGACGTACGCGTCGCAAGACGTGTGGTTCCGGCGCCTGTTCTTGATATTTGCTCCATCTATGCACTCCAACATATTCTCTACGGCTTAGCCGCAAGTATGTATGCACTGTAGTACATCGCTTGCTAGTTACAGTCGATGCCATCTCGTGTATATGGAGTGTGCATTTCTTGTTCACACCCGAAGTCTATATAAAAGCGTTTGGCTGTACCTGTGCCTGTGCGTGTTCAGGGATAGTGAGGCACCACAAGCTTGCATAGTCAGTTCCTGTCGCAAGAACTCAGTAAATAGGGGGTTATCGCCAGTTCCCACCAGTTGATCCAAGACCTTGCAAAACAACCACTGTGCCTAGTGCAGCTGCAAACGTTACTGGTATATTATTTGCGTGCGAGACTTCTTGGAGGGCTTCATTTTCGGCATGCTATATCCAAAGAGCATCTTGCTCAGAGAGGCCCTCTGCTGGGCTTCAATGCTATCAAGTTTCCTGTTGATCTTCTTACGTTCTGACTCGGTTATGTGGGGGTCCCGAAGGCGCTCGTTGTACTCCTTGAGAAGCTTCTTTGTGTTTTCTGCTGCCTCTTCTGAACGCTTCTGGGCATTTATGTTGGCCATCTCACGCTCTGCAGCAAGCATTTTCTTAGCAATTTGTTTTCTCTGTATGTCCGTTGGGCTGAACGACGTTGCATAATGAAGCACAGACCTTAAGGCCCTCAAAATGCCCTCCAGAGTGTCTATACATCCGGAATTGTGAGTATGGAAGATTACTTTGTCCTCCATCAGAGCACATGTGATAACCGACTTGGCAATGTCGATAGGGTCAGAACTTGCGGAGACAAGGGCGTCATAGAGGCCTCTAGCAAGGCCAGAGCACGACTCGTATGCTTGGTGATACATGCTAGGACTCTTTGCGTCAGATACACGAGTTCCAGCGTACGGATATGCGTTGTTAAACGTCTTGCCTTCGTGATGGCCGACCAGAATGGCGTAGAGTCCCTTTGCTTGAGGCAGTATTGCCACCTCAAAGAGTAGAAATGGCCCTGAAACGTGGAGATAACGGAGAATATACCAGGATGGGTTCATTGCACTGCTTGTGACAATGAGCAGAGACAGAGATTGTACAGGGGCGTCATCGGCCGATGAAACCGCAGCCCAGCGATAAGTCCGCATATTAAACCCTTTAACAGACGGATACTGAACGTCCAGGGGCAGGATGGTGCGGACGGCGCGAACAGTTTCTATGGCTTGTCTAAGGTTCCTTTTGGAAGAATATCTGCTTAGAACGAGCAGGGTAAAGGTACAAGACAGCAGAAAGATTGTTGTCTGCTTAGTGGTGACGAGATCTATCAACGAGAAAAGAGCTCCATCCAGAACGCCCATTTTTCTTTTTCCTCGGGAAGATTGTGGGTTGCGACACCCAAGTGCATCGACTATCCAAGGAGCTGTGGTCACAATTGATACCAGAGCAACGATTCCACCGGGAACTATGGATTGAAGTCACACAGTGTGATAACAAACATGGCAAGGGTTCTTTACTAACATGTGCGGCGAGTACCTAATGTGCTAGAGCACTCAGCATACTGCGAACTAACTCACTCAGCAAGCTGGGTCCGTGCAGCTCGAGGCACCTCTGCCGAAGAAGTAGGAATCGCTTTATCCACGTTACGTTGTGTGCAGCTACTAGAAGTAATCCTGTCAGCTCGTGTGTGGTATAAAGGTGGCGTAAGTACGCCTTCGGTCGCTTACATCCCAGACACGGGCACGTCTTGTCTAGAGGCTCCTGGTCTGTTGCGTACATGGAGGAGTCTAGATAGGTGAGCATTCGATGCTCTTTAGTCTCTGAGGGATACACACCCGTGCCAATGGTATGCTTACGCAGGGGCTCCCGGTCCTCTTGTACCTCCACTTGTTTAGTAAAGAGATCCAAGGGGACAGTGATGGCTATTCCTTGTTCAGAGTACAGTGACACTATATCAGTTATGACACTGACAGATTCATACTGCAAGGCCGTCAGCAGAGAGACGAGAGTGCTTCCAGAAGCTACAACGATGCGAGTAGGGTATCCACGGGCTTTACAGACGTCACGAATGACAGGAAGCTGGGATAGATACGGTAGGAAGAAGGGACCCTTAGATTTGCTGATAACATCTAGGTAGCTCGCGTACAGCTCTGGCTTTGGCAGCGGGTCATTGTAGCGGAGAGTCTCCTCGGTGACTGCTATCAGAGCATTCCTTGCAGTGTCTGCTATAGCAAGCCAGTCAGTCGATGCATTGCAATGTAAAATAATATCGGATGGCTTTGGCGAGGCTCCTGTTAGACTTTTAGGAAGAGGCAGGGGATTAGGAAGAACAAAAAATGTCGGCTTCAAATCATTGATGAGACCCACAAACTCTTTTGCATTAAAGTACTCATACACGGTGCTGCTTGAATACTGTACCTGAGTGAAATGCTTCTTAGATTTGATTTGGACCGGATGAGAGCAGTTGTCCGGACCTAGGAGAATCGGCCGTTTGTGCTGTCCCGTGAATTTGTTGAGCGATCCGGCCTGGGCTACGAGCTTTCTGCTTGCAAAGCAGGCCGTATCGATATACAGCCCCATAGCCATGTCTGGGTCTATGTCGTTTAATATATCAAACGTTAGTGCACTGACGGCGCCGAATCTGGACTGCAGAAAGACAGAGGGGACGTCATCCATTTTTCTAAAAAAGAAGAAATCCAGAGGTCAACAACCCTGCGTCTGCGCCAGCAGCAGTGCTAGGGATATATGAGTAAAACCGAGCTGATGGTCGCTGCCTTTGAGGGTAGGGAGGCCGATGTGCGTGCGCTTTTGCACCTTTATGTGGGGCTAGCCGACGCAAACGGCCAGACTGCCCTGATGTTCGCCGCCAGCGCTGGGCATCTTGAGTGTGTAAGGCTGCTGGTAGAAAAGGAGCAGCGAATGCAGGTGAACACAGGAGAGACAGCCCTTATGTTTGCTGCCTACAACAACCAAGAGGCCATCGTATCCTTTCTCCTTCCGTACGAAAGGTGCATGCAGGACGCTGGTGGACAGACAGCTCTGATGAGCTCGGTATATAGGCGGAGTATCGGCTGCTTTCGGCTCCTTTTGGAGGCGGAGGCGGGAATGCAAGGAAAGGACGGTGCAACCGCTCTGATGATAGCGAGCCGCCTAGGGTGGACTGAGCTTGTCGATATGGCGCGACACAAGGAGGCATCCTTGACGGATAACAGTGGGATGACAGCCCTCATGTTTGCTGCACAGACCGGCAAGTGGCAATGCGGGAAAATGCTCGTCTCACAAGAGGCAGGCATGAGGAGCGTCACAGGGCGATCAGCGTTGATGATTGCGGCCGCGGCCGGGCATGTCGAGATGGTGAAACTCCTCATTTCTGTAGAGGCAGGTTTGCAGGATGCCCAAGGTCACACAGCACTAATGTATGCTGCCTACTCTGGTCGTACACAGACAACTGAAGCACTACTAGCCTATGAGTCGGGACATCGGGACAATAACCACAACACAGCACTCCTACTAGCAATCCAGAATTATCATGCAGAATCTGCTATCATTCTGATAGAAGCAGAGGAGGCCCTGCAGAACAAACAGGGTCAGACACCCCTCGAGCTTGCCAGGGCACTAGGGCTTACAAAGGTGGTTGACGAGATTACACGATTCCACCAACAGCGCTTTAGGCTGTCAGGGAGCGCATCCATGATAGCTGCTACTAGGAAGATACCTTCCGATTGTACTATCAACAACTCCTTGAAAACTCCTGCAATGACACCTGCGCCGGTCGCCAACGAACTGCGGGATAGTCATATGGTCATTGAAGAGCTCGAACACACAAAGGTGGCGGGCAACACATTCGATAGCGAGCTAAAAGAGCTGATGGAGTTCTATAACAATTCTTTAGAAACTAGCCTCACTTCTCAGTTGAAAAAGCCACCACTCAACAGTGAGTCGCGCGTACACTCAACGGCCATGTCAGTGACCAATCTCCAAACTGCCCCAAAGCCGGTCACTGATGCACCTGGTAGATCAACTGGTCCAGGGTATGCAATTAGAACAAAGAATAAAAACAGTATTTATCAGCATGACACAACTAGTCAGTACGAGATTCAAGAAACGATCCTGCGACTTTCACAGCGCATAGACACTATCTCTGATTTTTTATCCAATCAGGAGCACCGAATTGAGGAGCTCGTTGGTATGTTGGGTGAGGTGCTCAATCTGCCTCGTGGAGAAGCAGAAGGGAAGCCCAGTAAAGATGAGTTGTGGGAGGCCACTAGACAATTACTCGAGCAAAACGAGTCTCAGGTGACTGCTCTGGGGTACAACCTTCGCTCTGTTCAAAAGAACATCAGAGGAATATCGGGAGACTTTGAAAAGTTTAAGGAGAACAGTAGAACATGCCTGAAGGCCCTCGAGCAGAGATGTAACCAGATCAGCTCTAAGATCGATGAGGAAAGAAGTAGCAACAAGAGAAGCATCTCGGCCCTGCAGGTTGAGGTAGCTGAGCTAAAGGCCAGAACATCGGGTCGTTCTAGTAAAAACTTCAGTATCATGGGCCTCGACAACTCAGAGGATGAAACTGAGGCTATTTCTCCCCGCACACCAAACTGTCCAGAGACTCCCGGGAGCAGAAGAATTACCCCGCGTTCTCAGAGTACAGTGTGCCGAAGCCTGAATGCATATAGCAGGCTTCAGTATGAGAATGAGCATTTCCATTCCTCCCGAGACTCACCTGGCCCCCCACAAGGGTTCCTCAAGCGCCTGAAGAGGGCTGTTAAATATTTATTCTCGGGGACGTATGAGGGCGATTCACAACCCTAGCTTTTCTGACGTGCTCCAAGCATCGGCAGCCCTTGCAGCTGTAACCCCTTCAGCTCATCAGGATTTCTTTCTCTCTGGTTAGCTGCCTGGGGAGTACCACTTGCACCTGAGGATTGTCGAGGACGGGGCTGCTGCTGGAGTTGTCTCCGGAGTTGTGGCACTCCCTCCACAGATGCTCTAACTGGAGAAACCACACGCATCTTTATGTCCTGCTCAAGTTGTGACAATCTCTTTTGGAGAGAAAGCTTCTCGCTCGCCAGGCTATCTCTCTCCGCTTCTAGCTCCTCTACCCTGTTCCTTAGTACTTCCTCATTTTTAGCATTATAAGCATAGAGAGATTGCAGATCTTCTAGCTTTCTATCTAGTTCAGCCAGCTTAGTGTCCCTGTTGCCTAGTTTCTGGTGACTCTGACCGATATCTTTTTTGCTTTTTGGCCTACAATCCGTCATATTAACTGAGGACAGATGGTGTGCGTGCTTGGCATGAACTGCTGGTGCATAGCCGGAGTCTATCATTGCAAATGCGTGTTCGGTGTTCGACTGCACACGTCTGTGTGCATGCATCTGACCCATACTGAGACGATTGCTTCCTGGCCTCTTTGGCTTGATTGGGGTTTCGTTGAACGATTGGTTCATCCTTTGTGACTTAAGGAGCCTGTTGGCCTCCTCACATGCTCGTGTCTTTTCGATAATCTCCTTCTTATACCGTTCTATCATTGACTGGAATCGCGCTTGTACCTGATTCATCGCCAGCTGAACTTGTTCCTTTGTGCGCAGTTCCTCGAGAGCAACTCTATGCTCTTCCTCTAAGGTTTTTATGCGGGTTCTCAACTCGATTACATTCTCGTCACAAGTTTTCCCCTGCACTTTCTGCTGTATGTATGTCATTTGACCCTCTAGCTCAAGAATATGCTCTTGCTGCTTCTGGAGTGCCATCATAGCGGTGACAGTTGAGTGGTATATCTCTTCTGGGCACGCTTCTTTAGATATGAGGCGTTTTATCAGATCCTTAATCGCTGTCAGCGCTGCAGATCCCTCCGGGACATTCCTTGTATTATCAACTATATCCCTGTAGGCTAAGTCATATACATCTTGCTGTTCTTCATCTCCTTCGCCCTTGTTGTTATGTTCATATAGCGATCGATCCAAGAACTCACTCACATTGACTGGAGACACGTCGCTGCTTGTACTCTTGTCCAGCATGCTGACTTTCAGCAAGGAAGTAGAGGAAGACGTGTTGGTAAAGATTACACTCTCTTTCGAGAGTTGTTCTGACAGCACGCCGTTGGTTGACGGTGCCTCGGTATTGCCCTGCTGATTATCTAGTTTAGAGTGTTCTCTAAGCGCAGCCCTTGAGCTTTTACGAGGCTGCTTCTTGCGCTTATTAAGCGGTGCCGACCCAGCCTTTCTAAGTAGCAGTAACGCATCAATAAGTGTGGCAACCACGGTATCGGAAAACATTGCGCTGTTATGCTCATTGGTTAGCAGCTGCTTTGAGCTAGATGCCTTCTTTTTTGTAAAAGACGGCCCAGCAGCTTTGCCTCCCGTGCCAGTTGAGCTACGCGCATTGGCACTTTTCAGTGAACTTATAACATTTTGATTAACAAGTGCCTTGAATACATCATTGTAATTACTGTTATCGACAGGGTACGTCTTACAAATGTAATCTGTTAATAAATCTAACAGCAATCTAATGGTCTGAATCTTTTTGGGCGCATAAAACGTGCCAAACTCTTGTTCAATGGCAATACAGTTACTACGCACGAGCTCTCGCACAACTTCAGGTATCTCTTTGACTCCAGCATTCACACTCAGATTTCCTAGATTGTCCAGCTGATTGCTACCCAAAGCCTGCTGGGTTGAAGGCTCGAGAGCGGCACCCTTGGCCATTGTAATTAGTCTTGCATTGCGTTCTAAAAGCTGTGCCTCAAGGATCTCTATCTCACCTCGCAGGTCATCTCGCTGCTTTCTGACTCGGTCAAGATCTGCCTTCATCGTTAGATTCTCTTTCTCAAGCTCCTTGATAAGCTGGCGCACTTGATCCTGTGCTTGGCCAAGGTTGAGCTCCTCGTGGCAAGCCACCGGGACGTTAATTATGTTCCGTGCACGTGCAGCGTAAAGAATAGTACTATTGGTCTCATCAAAATTGCCGATGAACGGGCTTATGTTTGCTATCATTATGGTTGTGCTGCTGCCGCCGAGGGAGTCCTGCAAAAGTCTAGTAAGCTTAGAGTCTCTGTACGGTACATGCCGCTTCTCCCTTGAGTCTTGATTGGCTGCCAAAGCGCTGATCACGTTTCCTAGAGCCAACAGCCCGGAGTTAATGCCGACCATCTCCTTGAATTGGAGGCCTGTGGCCCCAGACTTCTTTGCTCGTTCAGAGCCCGCAAGGTCAACAAAGGAAAACTTGGAGAGAAACTTCTTATTATCCTGAACGCGCTCAAGGGTGACCGTGAAGATGCTGTGGGATCGAGAAGACCGCTCATTCATAGCGGTGACGGCTGTAACACGCAAGATACCGCCGTTAACAAAGCACCTAGCGGCATCCTTTGCGCTGGAGACTTCTCGCTCAGTTAAGTTCTGGACGACGACCTTTCCTTTGTAGTCGCGTATGCACAAAGAAGACGAATCTGTCTCCGGGGAAAGAAGGTCTCTAAGCGTCTCGTTATAAACCTCCAGGAAGGACACTCTTACTTTCCACACAGACTGAATGCTGGCCAAGGCATCAAAGAGTTGAACGATGAAGCGAGGGATAAGGCCGACAGACGCAAATTTAGTTTGAGGGTCCACGTCGACGTCGCTTACATCTGCGCCAGCATGACTTTCTTTATTGGCTTCTCCAAGACACGCCTCCACATAGCTCAGGGATGTCTGGTTCGGCACCCCAATGGTGTAGGATTTTCCCGCGCCAGTTTGACCATATGCAAAGGCGGTGCAGTTGTACCCCTGAATGAATGGTGCAAGCAACCCGTTCAGCACCTCTGCAGATACATCCTCCTGAGAGGACTCAGGGCCTAGTACAGAATCGAACATATATGATGTGTCATTTTGAAGAAATATAGAGGATCCTCGTGCCTGAACACTGACACCCCCGCCGTCCATGAGCTCCGCCCTAACGAGGGGTCTGATTCGAAGGATGACGCGTACCCTTCCAATACTGGAATCCATCAGCAATTTACCTGTTTTTCTTTCTGTGCAATACTTATACAAAACAGAGTAAGACGGGACAAACACTTTGAAGGCCAAAAAGCGGTCATTCTGGAACCATAGTCGCTAGAAAGAGGACAGTCGCATATATTTGAAGGATGCTAAAGATAAACCCTTAAACCGTCAGCATCCCTTGCTCTTCTCCAGCTCCTCAAGCTCCCGCAAGATAGATGAGTGGCACATGCCACATTCTGAGCATGTAAACTTCATATTCGCCTCTTTGTATCTATCGATTGTGGGCCTATCCATAGTAGTGATCATTCCTATGGCACTCTCACTATACTCGTTGAAGAGACTGAGGAATCCGATGATGATATGCTTGAAGTTCAGCGCCGGAGACCACGTTTCGGGATGGTACGATGTATATGAGAAGCAGATTTTCTTGTTAATCTCGAAGCGCCCACTTGGGGTGATCATCATCAGGTCTGGTGGCTTAAACGGAAAGGAAGGTGGCAGGACAAGCACACCGTGATAGATACCGCCCTCAAACACGGTGCCCTTCGGGCCTCTGCAAGAGAAGTGGATTCTGTAGAGGTCGCCACTATTTGTAAGACGGAGCTTATAATAAGGGTCAGGATTCTTCTGCTCCCATAGAAGCTTTCGATTGATAATTATTTGCGATTCTGTAGGTGAGGATTTCTGAGTCTTGGAGCTCATTTGCCACTTTTCCGAAATGCTATAATTTTAAAGCCCGCTTCACTGATGGCAGATGGGTACACAGAGCAAACATACACACAGAAACTGGCTGCAGATATTATCAAGGCTAGAAAAACTGACTCCAAGATTACACAGCCGAGCATTTTAAAGCAGGATCTCGTTGACCTGTCTGTGGTCGAAGAGCCCCATTTGGGATCCAATGTGCTTCCCTTGTCTGAGGAGGATAATGCTCAGGTAGCACGGTTATCTCTTCCAGATCCAGTGAAGCTCAACGCCCAGCGAGAACAGGATATGCAGAAGTTGGCACATGAAGAGTTGAGGAAAAGGGTAACTGCTGGCATAATTTCCACTAGAACTGGCGGAGACATTGACGACATAAGTCGCCTTCTCTTCGACGTGGACAATAAAGCAGACTATCGGGACGCCGGTCTGAGCATGGCCCTCGGCATGGTTCCCGTTAACAAGCTATACGAGATGAAGGAGAAGGTAGCCTCTGGACGGACAGCTGGCGCATACCTCGATCAGCGGGTGGACATTGATAGAAGCAAGAGCATAATCACAGGAGAGGCGCGTGTGATCAAGGCCCCAAATGAGGATAAGAAGGAGTCCAAGAATAGCCATGAGACGGAACCCGATGATGCCCTTAACTACATGCCCTTTCTTCCTATTCGACCGTACAGTCCGACTCACTTTGAACAGGTCAGAACAGACGAGAATGCCACAACAAAGCAGCTCATTCATAGCATTATTAACGGAATACCAGCAGAGTTGGCTACGTCGTTTGGTAAGGACTTCATTGCCAGCTTACGCTCTTCTTCTTTCTTGCAGCTGAGGCCAACAACGGAGATAGCACGGCTGATTTTGGCGTCAAGCGAGCCACAGGATGATGGCGTCGATGATAGTAATAATTCTGGTTTCACATCGGACAACTGCATTTATGGTAATTGCCTGTGCAAGTTCCTAGAAAAGCATGGGAAAGACAACATGCTCTCCTCTGCTAACTTCAAGATATCGGACCTGTCACGGCCACAGATTGAGGAGGAGGTCGATAACCTGCTCTTGAGTGGGAAGCTGAAGGCACTACAGTCGATTTCTCTGGGAGAAGCTATCGATTTACTAAAGGCAGAAATACATGCTCCATATAAGCATAAGAATACAGACGTGGAAATAGCCTATATGTCTTCTGAATTTGGCACAGCCGTTAGCAAGTACATTGAGGATTGTGAGAGGGCAATTGTTAACAGGCGTACTGAATTACATGCAGTATTTGAGGAGCACAAAGCAAACGAGGAGGAGCTCAAAAGGGTCTCTAAGGGCCACGCGTCTGACGCATACGTGAATCTCAATAAAAAAGGATATCAGCCATCAAATGATCTTACGGCACAACAGATGCAACGCATGATGAATCAGTATGACGCCGAGATAAGTAAGCAGATAGCAGAGGGCGCGGAGATCCCAGCGCGGGCCAGAAAGCCCACAACATTCCTCGACAAGGAGGAGTATGACCAGATAGCAGCCGTACAAAGGCTAGATAATTATGTTGCCGCTAAGGAGTGTGTATTAGATAATGAACACTTGCTATCGTTCTTCTCCAAGTACCACGAAGCAAATGTTGACAAGGACCTCGATCCAAGGATAGCGACCATGGCACTATATGAGATGGCCTCAACCCGCCTCTTCTTACACCCCCTGGCTCACAGAGAGCTGCAGGTAGCGCCTCTTATCGATGAGGTATTATCAGAACTGGATCTCGCCGTTACAGGAGACAACCCATTCAAGGTCTCAGAGCTGGAGTCCTACACTAATTTTCTTTCAGAAGGCGTCGCCCTTCCACTGGGAGACAACGGCACAACAGCACAGCTGGTGGAGGTCTGGGAGCAGCTGAAGATGCCCATCATGGAGCGGCTGGACCTTTTTGCAGTTTTATCCAGCAAAGACACTGATCTGGGCAAAATAGACAAAATGATTGATTTCTGGCGGAAGGAGAGTCTGCTGTGTAATGAGATAGAAGACAAAGTGCAGTTCATAAGTGATTTTTGCGAGCTTCTTGAGAAGTACAACAACAACACTGCAAGCATCCAGCAGTTGGAGGCCAGAAAGACACGGCTATGGAGCTGCTTCAGGGAGCTCCAAAGAGCCAGCACAGGACTGAGGAATCTGGCCGCAGACGCGAAGCACGAGGCAGGGATCCACATGACGTACTCTGGCCTCTCTATCGATAACTACATCAAACAAATAGACAAGATGATTGCAGATTGCAAAGCAAGCATGCCGTCTGCCCTATTTATTAACATATAGCAGAGCATGAGCGTGCCTAGGTGTAAAGACGCAGAGAAAGGCTGTCATGATATGCGCACTGGACAACCATCACGATCTTTTTCTAGCATGACACACCTTTCGCAATAGTACGCGAGATTAGTTCCGGGAAGTCCACACAGAACGCATGCTCTTCGGGGGCGTTGGGAGCACACTCGACAAATCTGAGCCACCCGACAGGAAGCAGCACCACGTTCGGAGGTTTCACAGGAGACACATTTTCCTTCACACGAAGAGCAGACGTGCCCCACGAAGCTTCCCGTGTATCCCCTGCAAACTTGTGGGTTGCTCATTTGTGTTGCTTGAGAACTGTTTGAGGCCACTAGATTGATCCCTACTATTTATGCACACTCGTACCTTGCGCAAGAAGTGGGTGGTGGAAGTCTCAAACGGAGCGAGGTGGATTTATAAAAATCTTTCAATATTAATTTAGAATCTGAGTCATTAAGAATGGGGTTCGCGATGCAGCGAATTAACCCCGAAGCCCTCAACAAGCACATCGCGGAGATCATCGAGCGCGCCACCAACGAGAAGCCTCGCAAGTTTCTGGAAACGGTGGAGCTGCAGGTCGGACTCAAGGGCTACGACCCGAAGAAGGATCCACGCTTCAACCTTCCCCTCGTCCTTCCCCACATAGCCAAGCAGAACCTGAAGCTCTGCGTCATTGCCGATGCTCGCGATGCCGATCGTGCCAAGAAGCTTGGCCTGAACTACGTAGAGATAGAGCATCTCCAGCAGTTCAACAAGGACGCCAAGCAGATCAAGAAGTTCGCTAAGTCCTACGACGTCTTCCTTGCGTCGAAGTCTCTTATCCGTCAGATCACGGTTTACGCCGGCCCAGGGTTCACGAAGGCAGGCCGCACCCCTCTGCCCCTTGCTCCCGATGAGGACCTGGAGCTGAAGGTTCTTGAGTGCAAGTCCACCATCAAGGTCCAGTTCAAGAAAGCTGTCGGACTAAACTGGCCCATCGGCAACGTCAAAATGCCGGCGTCCGAGATAGCTCAGAATATCATGACGACCCTCAACTTCCTCGCCACGCAACTCAAGAAGGGGTGGCAGAACATCAAGACCGTGTACATCAAGTCCACGATGGGCCCGTCTCACCGCATCTTCTAAGATCTTCTGAGAAGGTTCCCGGGGTTTTGCATCGATTTCGACCAAACTCTGTTTGGGAGGCTCTGCCGAGTAAATCACCCCGTCACCATGCGCAACTCCCGCTCTTGGTGGCCGCCAGACCCACTTCCGCGTGCCGCGTTCTCACCCGGTTCTTTCAAAATTAATAACAGGATTCCGCGGCATTGAGAATTCCGAAAGTAAAAAATGACGACTGTTACGGAGTATGGTAATAGCGACATGGTTGCGCTGGTTTTGCAGAAACCTTTCATTACCGCAACAGCTGACGAAATCACCAAGGTCTGGCGCGACCTGTGTGCGCAAGTTGTTTACAATTATAACGATAACTGCTCAACAGACATTCCGCCGTTTGCCGTCTTTTCATTCAATGCGAAAGGTAAACCAACGGCACGGTTCACTAAGACCTTTGTGCGAAATAACAACATTCGCTGTGAGACAGACGAGCATATGGTTCCTTCGGCAATAAGGCAAGTGTGCTACACGGACTTCTCCACAGCGTCCCGCCATGATGCGAAGACCCTTCTGCAGTTTGTTTTCCAGGAGCTAGGCGACGCTATACGCGTGAGGGCACAGCGGGTGAACCTGCAGCTCCCAGGCCTTGGGAATTTGGTCTTTGACCGCCGAACCAGGTGTTACAAGTTCAACATGCATCCATCCCTACCTCACAGAGAGCCGACTTATCGCCATCCGTGGCCGGAACCGAAAGATTCCAGCGAGACGATGGACGTGACAATGGCAACAACACGACCATACGACGCAACCGCAAAGGCCGCGGCACAGGGACCGTTTTCCCGTACAATGACTCCGCGGGCAAACAACGTTCTGACCAACGGGCGCCCGGGGTCCATGGGTTCTCTTGGCAACGTTCTTAATCACGAAAGCACAGTCAGACCAGTTAACAAGCAGCAGAAACCGTTCAGTCTTAACACACCATTCCGGGTTGATTCTTTGCCCCCATCCCAAAGACAGTCACGACAAGGCTCAAGACCGGGGACTCCTCGCGTTGATGAGAACACCCTCCTCATGCTGATGTCCAATAGAAACGACATGGGTATGTCTGTGCGAAGTTTTGGAGCCACCGATAGACCGGCCAGCACCGTCTCTAAAGGCGTCCACGAAGAAACGATGATGCAGGAACCCGCTCTGGGGGTCACGCTTGACAACACTGGCATGCTTCCACCAGCAATGTCTGACTCTGTGCCTGAGGTTTCACAGAAGCCCCTCTCGCGATCTGCAACCCAGCTCGTTGCCTCAGAGGTGAAGACTCCTCTCTCCGTCTCAGGGACCCGTCCACTAGGTGTAACTGCCGAGGAACTTTTCCGCACAAGGGCAGAAGAGTTCACGCGTGACTTTTGTAAGACATTCAAGCCACCTGTTCGGTCACACTTAGAGTATGGCCCGGTATATGAGCGGATTCTCCACGATGAGCTGGACAAGGCGCGGGATGCATATATTAATTCTCGCGTCCACGGCACCCCATCGACCGCTTCTGTTACAAGGCCGTTCCGTGGACTGATTTGCTTTAGTTGTGCCGCCAAGAAGGAGATGGAGGCAAAGCGTAAGGCTAACGCAGAGCGTATTGCCCGTGAAAAGAAGGAGTTCACAGAGCAGGCTTTGCGCCAAGCAGAAGAGGCGCGCCGCGAGGAGGAGGCAAGGAAGCGGGCTGCTTACGAACGCGACAGATCGCACTACGAATACAATAAAGATCAAGCAGACAGGCTTTACGATGCATACAAGCGGTGGCGCCGTGCTGGCCACAACCTCTCTGAAGGAAGCATTCAGCCGATGCCTGTTTTGTTCGATAACGATCCGGAGCTTGAGAGGAAGAGACGCGAGGCTGCCGAGCAGAGCATGCAAGACTTTATCAGAGACTTCACGGCTAAGCAGCAGGCAAAGGAAAGCGAGAAGAAGCGCAGCCGCCTTGAGGACATCGAGTATGCCAAGGCTCTTCAGGAAGAGGAGGCTCTGCGGCGAGAGTTTGATAAGGCCTCTGAGGAGGCTAAGAAGAGACTGCAGAAGGAGCTTCTGGACCGTCAGCTGGCTGAGTACAACCTTCCCGAATTTGCTAATGCTCGCATACCGGACTACTATGACATGGGCTCGGCCCTTCCACCGGAGGACATCGAGGCTATCCTTGCCCGTAAGCGCAGGGAAGCAGAGGACGTTAGAGACACAGCTCTGCGTGATGCTACGGCAAAGCGGATGCGTGATAAGCTTCAGCGCGCCAAAGAGGAGGCTGACGACATGGCTGCATACCTCAAAGACTTAGAGGACGCAGCAAACGAGAGACGATGTCGTGCAGAGCACGAGCGTGCTGTGAGAGAGCAGATGCTCAAGGACATGGAGGCGCAGATTGCAGAGAAGAACAGGCGAAAGCTCCAGGAGAAACTCGATGCGATGCGCCCACCAAGCCGCGAGTGCTTCCGCTCTGAGGAGGACGAGCCGACATGCCCGTGCGACTGCTGCGGAAAGCGGGTGAAGGTCTCGCAGCTGTTAGCCCTCTAATTTGTGCAAGTGAACCATTTACAGCTAATAGAGGGACGTGCGGCGCATTATCCTGAGGAACTCCTCCTCGTTGATCTCGCCGTCGCCGTCGCGATCTGCCTCGTCGATCATTTCCTGGATCTCCTCGTCAGTAAGGTTCTCTCCCAGCTCCTTGGCGACCTTTTTCAGGTTTTTGAACGAGATCTTTCCGGTGTCGTCCTCATCAAAAAGCCTGAAAGCCTTGAGGATCTCCTCTCGCGAGTCGCGCTCCGCCATCTTGGCAGTCATTATCCTGAAGAAATCGTTAAGGTCAATCATCCCAGAGCCAGACGTATCCACCTCTGCGATCATTCTCTTCAACTCCTCCCGCTTGGGTTCAAATCCAAGGGCTCTCATCGCCACTTTGAGCTCCTTGACGTCTATTCGGCCGGAGCCATCGGAGTCGAAGAGGTCGAAGGCCTCCCGAATCTCGTGCTTCTGCTCTTCTGTCAAGTCAGGCTCTGTAGATCGAGCGTTTGGTTTGCGTGCCATAGGAGATTTTGGACTGCCAAAATTTGTGGGATAACATACTAAATGTCTAATATTTTAATAAAAATGGCCAAAAGTTTAGTAGGGCATAGCAAACACTTCCGACCTCATGTCAAGCAGCGGACGGTGGGCCTTGAGTCCATACGACAGGAGGCACACGGCAAGTGACTTCTATAGTGAGCACCCTGGAAGATCGCAGACAGCCGGGCGACAGAGGCACGCAAGTGGGATCACCCGTTACCCAGCCGATCGCTCCTTTGAGCCCAGCCCAGGCCACAGAGGTACACACCATAGCCATGGGCAGTATAGCATGCCCGATGGTTATGGCTCCAACCGTCACAGGGACTACCACGCAGATTCTGTCTCACTCAGCAGATCTAGGTCAAGATCAAAATCTAGGGACAGAGATTACGACGATTACGGGCGAAGCATTTACTCGAGCCATCACAGCTCTCGTCATAGCAGTCATTCGGGAAGCTTAGCGAACAGCCAAGCATACAGCCACAATGAGGATAGACGCAGAGATAGATCTAAAAGTGGGGGCAGGGACCGTGAACGAAGCTATCATCGTGACCACGGCCACGATTATGATTATGAACGCAGTCGCAGTCGTGACAGAAATCATACTCGATCTCACGAGCGCGAGGCCGACCACAGAAGGCGGCGCGTCGATGAGAGTGAGCACAGCAACACTAGCTCCAGGTCACGGTCAGATAGCGGTGCTGAACATAGCTACAGCAGCCATACTGGTTCGGAGATCTATGATAGCCGAGCCAGACGTAGGAGACGTGACTCTCTGCAGAACGAGAGGGGCAGGGGTGACCGCGCGGAGCGTAGCAGAACCGGGGGGAAAAGCATCAAGGCCTACCACATTGATTCTAAATACGGTCCACTGACAGACCCAGAGGATATCTCCAAGATGGTGGCATTTTTGCTGATTTTAGGCGCTACATTCACACTGGTTGCCTACATTTTGATAATATTGGTTGGCCGAGGCGGGTGGCGTTCACCAAACTTTTGGTTTGAGCTGCTATTCTATCTCTTTATCCTTATTTCTGTCCTCCTCTACGCTTTTAACATCCAGCGAGTCGTGGACTTTTTGTCTAATAATTTCCCATTTGTGACGTCTCGTAAAGGGTATGCATCGCTTCTGATGTTTTTGGCTCTCCGTAGCTGGCCCAGGACATGGCCTGTAGACGTCACGGACCAAATTGTGGTGCACATCGTAGGGAACGCGTTTTCTCTCGCGGGTCTGGTTGTTGCCTTTTCTCTCTACTTTGTCAAATAAGTCTATGTGCATCTGGAGTACCGATGTGAATTTATTTGTTGGGTATTCTGTTCAAAACATCAACAGGTCAGTATGTAACAGTGCAAACGATTTTGAAAGATCCTTGATTTTTAGCTTTAAAAATGCCCATAACTATTTCCACTGTGCTGCGCAACAAGGACTGCAATAAGGATACTGCCTTCACTGCTGCAGAGCGAGAGGCTCACCACATTGTTGCGCGCCTTCCAGCAAGAGTGGAGACGATTGAGCAGCAAATCAGCAGATGCCGCGCACAATTTGATGTTCTCACCACGCCCACCGAAAAGTGGCTCTACTTGACCCGTCTTCAGGAGGTTAATGAAACCCTTTTCTCTGGATTTTGTTTGAAGTATCTGAAGGAGGTTCTCCCCATCGTCTACACCCCTACAGTGGGCACTGCCTGCTCCAACTACTCACTTCTCTGGCAGGGCTATCCTCGCGGCTTCTATCTGAACCGCACCCATCTCGGCAAAGTCAAGCAGATCTTTGACCAATGGCCCTATAGCCCACGCATCATCGTTGCGACCGATGGAACACGCATTCTTGGGTTAGGAGATTTGGGAACGGGTGGCCACCAGATTTGTGTCGGGAAGCTTACCCTCTATTCATTGGGCGGGGGATTTGCACCGGAGCATACACTGCCGATTTCCTTTGACTTTGGGTGTAACACGGACAAGATCAGAGAAGATCCTCATTATCTCGGCATCCCAGAGAAGCGGAACAAGGACGACACGTACTACGGGATAATCAAGGAGACGATTGAGGCCGTGCACTCCAAGTGGCCAGACTGCATCTTCCAATTCGAAGATTTCTCTAATGACACTGCCTTTACACTGCTAAAGAAGCACCGCGATGCTGGCCCTGTGTTCAACGACGATATTCAGGGCACAGGCTGTATTGCTGCAGCCACCATTGCTGCAGGACTCCGTGCTATTTCTCTGAAGATGAATAGGACAGCCAAAGCGTCAGAACAGGTGTATGTTATGTTCGGTGCTGGAGCCGGCGGAATTGGTGTCGCAGATAACATAGCGTCTCTCTCGGTAAGTGAGGGATACACGCTTGAACAGGCCCGCAAGCAGTTCTACGTGATAGATTCCCAGGGGTTGCTGACAGCAGATAGAGATGACTTTGTGAATGGGACTATGCCCGGACATAAGCTTCCGTATGTGCGTCACGACCTTTCTATCAAGGGCCACACAACTTTGCTGAGTGTCATCAAGGCAGTCAAGCCCACGTGCCTTCTAGGGCTCTCGACAGTGGGGAAATCCTTCACACGTGAGATTCTTGAGACAATGTGTGAGGGCCTCCCAACTGGCCAGCCGCCAATCGTTCTTGCGCTTTCTAACCCTACTGAGAAGTGTGAGTGCACTTTTGCAGAGTGCATGGAGTACACCAACAACACTGCATACTATGCATCTGGCAGCCCTATGCCGAGCCTCACACTTCCGAACGGTACCACAATCCAGCCTGCGCAGTGCAACAACTTCTATGTCTTCCCAGGGATCGGCTTGGGGGCATATGTCTGTAGGGCAAAGAAGATCACTGACGAGATGATTACCGGGGTTTCTGGGGCTCTAGCGCAAATGGTCCCAGAAGAAAAGCTCCGCAGAGGCGAGCTTCTTCCAGATTTGGATGAAATCCGCGAGATTTCGTGCCAGTGCGCCCTTGGACTTATCCGTATCGCCGAAAAGCAGGGACAGTCCCGTCGCATACTTCCGTCCTCTGACACTGAGCTGCTAGCCCAGCTGAGGGATACCCAGTGGTCTCCTAAGTATTGAATGTGCACTGGGCGCCGTTTAAGTGAATTCATTGTCACAGGCAGGGATTAACGGGTCAACATCTTGTTGACCTCTCGCTCATTCAGGGTTTACTAGAAGAAGAGGGACATCGTGAGGTGGCAGTAATACCAACACGGACCCCCTTGCTTAGGCCGCTGAGAAGCCATCTAATAGTTTGTACAATAAAACATTTGATTGGACAATTGTTCTATTTACAAATACTTTCCTAGCAGAACTTTAAAATTTGGGCAAGGTCTTGCTACTTACTTGTCACTGCCTTCGTTTGCTGCATAGACAACCTCCCGCGGTATTTTGAGCGTTGCAATGAATACTCTTTTGTCGTACGTTGTCGCGGTTGCAGATGAATACTATTTATTCGAGGTTAACTCTAAGGCCTCCAATGTCCAAAAAGACACAGAGAGGCAGTACAAACGCCCGGCACTCTTTAACACGATTTCTCATGGCTCTCACGTAAGTAATAAGTGTTATGAGGGCCTGTATATCTTGTTAAACTATCTTCACCACATTGTCAACTTCTTAATATTCTTAATACTTGTACAATATTTGGGGATACAAATGGTCAATATTTTTGGCATCCTGTACTGTTTTCAAGAGATTGTCATATTGGCGCCCGTTTATGCGATGTCACGCGTTGCACACGTTTCCCTAACACAGCTGGTTCAGCAGGATAAAGCACTGAGTTTTGTTGCTTACGCATGGGCATACATATTGCTTAGTCTTTTCATGACCCTTTCAGTAGCATTCTTGTGCACCTTACTTCAAAACACCCTCATCACTCGCTTGCTTGGGGACTTGGCGCCCTGGTGCATGCGTGCCTACACGGTCTCCACCTGGATCAATGCAACCATCGTTACCATATCGACCTGCATGCAACACATTCTCATGGCCGAGGAGAGATCAGTCATCTTGCTAGGGGCACTTGCTGCCAGAGAGTTCACTAAGTTGCTTGTGTTCATGGTGTCTATCTTCTACCTGAGCATGCCGATGGTCCGCAAGGCCAGCTACTGGACAGGAGAGTTCAATGAATCTGTCAAGCTCCCAACCAGTGAGTTCTACCACGAGGGAATGTTGTATTCAACTAAACCACACAGTGTGTCAACTGCAACGACCATCCAGGAGCTTATTTCGCTACTTAGCCCGCACAACATTCCACAGGTGAGTAAGGAGTCATCCAAATCACTGGTTATGAGGGTGCATTTGTACAGCTACCACCTTAGCATTCTATTATCGAGCTGCATGTTCATAGTCATCGCCGCCTGCTTGGTCGCCTGCAGAACACGAGAGATGGGATGGGCAAACCACAAGAGGGATCCTATTGCCGTCTCGTGCATTCCATTTGCCTACGGCCTCCTAGTTCTTCTGACTGACAAGAGAGGCCTTGCAGAGATCGTGAAGCACTTTCTGGTTTCGTGGATACCTGTCTACCTGGACCGAATCAGCATCTTAGTGCCCCTGCTCACCATGTGCGTATTTTCTAGACTACAGATAATGGCCACCGAACGCTCTACACTTAAAATAATGCAATTAACGCTTTTCCGCTTTTTGTATGACACATTCAACTCGCTAAGCATCTCCATTGTGGATTTGTTTACGGCTGCAATAGTAAGAGCACACGCTGAACGCGCTTACAAAAAGGAGGTGCTCATCAAGCGGCACGTCGTGTTCCTGTGCATTGCATGTTCTGCAGTGTCCTATCCAGTAATGGCTAAATTGAACGGACTTGTACCTATTTTCAAGCAATTTAACTATAAGTGGCTCACTCAGATAGAAAAGTTGTGGATAGATAGCATTTATAATGACTCTGGCACCTCAATAGTGCGCTATGTTAGTAATCTCTTCATAGGTGCACATATTCTATTGGTAACACACCTATTGATGGACCAAAAGACTATAAGCATATACCTTCTGTCACTCGGTCGCTTTTTCTTCTGCTCTATGCTCACCTTTTCCGCAAGTAGGAGCCCGAGGTTTAAGTTTTCTCTTATCCAGGAATTGGGGGTATATAACGTCATCACGTCACTAATTAGCGTATTGGGCTTGGTTTTAAGCTCGTCCAAGTACAACATTTCATGACTCCGGGCTCACGGTGTCCAAGTGCCTTTGTGATTTTAAAACTATGAAGGCCGAGAGCCTGCCGATCCGCCTGGCTGCGGAAAAGAAGCTTGTTGTGGCGCTCGGGAACACCATGAAGTGTCTCCAGGACACTTCAAGGAGTTTTGGTGCGCTTGCAAGGGCACTCCACTGCATGGCTTCCACAGAACCGTTGGACTACAGATCTTTAGCACTGAATGGCGCAGCTAATGCCCGTCACTTTGAGGATCTCTTTAGTGAGGTAGCAATTAGTTTGAATGCCGGGAGACTTGCATTCTTACAAATCTCAAAGTCAGTGATTAAGCGCGCCATGGCTGGATTTAAGACTGCCACAAAATTACACGGCACAGCGTCAGCAGAGCAAGCCAGCGAGATCATATCGACATGCACAGACTTCGAGGAGGAGCACATCCGGGCTCTTCGATCATGCTTTGAAGGCCTGGCACGCCTGGCTAAAGCCACTGGGCAATCTGCTCTATCGGCAGAATATCTGACAATTGCATCTGGTTTCCGGCCCGAGTCGGCCAAAGCGATTACGCTAAATCGGTATAGAGGCCTCGTCGGGGAGGCCAACACAGTTAACAGAGCAAACACTCTCATTCTCGATCGGCCTTCTGAAAAGCATGACGAGAGCATCATGAGCACGGGGGAGTACATATTCAACTCGCAGGATCGGGGCAAGAAATACCAAGCGAGCAGCGCCACTGGAGTCAACACCGATCTACGCCAGAATCAGCATCTATCAGCAGGACACCGAGCTCGCGTGTTTCAGGTACCGACTTAGTAATATTGGTAACGGTAAGGTATGGTCACTATTGCTTTAGCCAACGGGTGTCCTGTCTTCCATAGCTTGCTATCAGTATCCCGATTTGCCCCCGAATGACGTAAGAGTTTCTTCACAAAGGTGGGGCTCCCTACAATCGTGATAGTGGCACATGATGCATGTCTTCTCTATTTTTGTTCGTGAGCAGGACAACGCCCAGAAATCCAGGTCTACTACATGCTATCTTGTAAGATAGAGTGAATATTTCTCTCTTGCCGCTGAATTCCCCCTAATACATGGACTAGATGGCCCTCTAATGTAGCTGCATATCATTACTCTTCACTTCGATTGCATACTTGCATCGATCAAAATTCTTTCCGGAGCTAGTGTGGGAATCTGAGGCAAAGCCAAAATACTAGCCAAAGATAGGGATGATCGTGTATCTCTGGCTGGCTAGTTTTGTTGCCATAACAGCCCAAATAGGCAACATTGATAACCAATTTTACGTTACCTTCCAAGAGGCCATGAACATGTCTCAGGTGCAGCCCAGCAAGATAGCAGAAATAACTCTGGATGGAGTACGGCTTGCCAGTGGCGTGACAGTGGTATTGGCCCAGTCACTGAGCTTCACGGGTGATATCCCAGCTGGAAAGGTCACAGCCCCAATGCTCTTACAGACCATAGTAGGCAACAAGGTTCCCACAGACCAATTTACACTCACCTATCTGAGGGGAAATGCTCTCAAATCCCTTCTAGAGGCGTATATGGCTAGCTCTGTGTGCTCATCTTTGCCTGACAACGGGGTGTTCCCCCAGATAGCCGGCGCCATATTCACTCACAACGTCTCGAGATGTGAAGTGACGGAGATCAGAATTTGCAGGCGCTGGGTTCTCTCGGATCCATCGTGCCAGGAGTGGACCGTCCTGGACCCACAGGAGCAGATATTCCTGGCGGTAGAGGTGTCCATGTATGCCAACCCTGTCATCGCGGGGATCTTTCAGGTCAATAGTGCGCAAAATGTAAGCATCAATTTGATTTCTGGAGCGCTTCGCTACTTCAGACAGTATAATGGAACAGTGGTGAAGCAAGAGTCGTTCCAGGACATTATCTCGGGGGTGCACCAATCAGGGCAGACCAATTCACAAATGTTCGCTCTACCAATCTTTATTCTCATCCTCGTCTTTATCAATGTTATTATCTGCTGCATCAAACCGAAGGCCGTTGGGAAGAAAGAAACAAGCCCTCGAAAGTACGATTCCGGCTTCAAGAAAGATAAAGGTGCCGGGCAGCCGCAAGTTCTGAACCAGGAAATGAGCCGCAGAGACATGCTTGACTACATGCGCTTCAAGAACTCTGAGGTGGAGCAACTTATGCAACTTTAGACTAACACGTCCAGCAGATCCCAAAGACAGGAAAATACAGCTATAGCTCTCTTGCAGTATCCTACAGCATCGCTTACTCTTCATCTTTCAGAGTGCATCGGACAGACGAGTACGTGAGTGCAGTAAATCTTGCTCTAAAATTTTATTAACTGGGCTAATGCCACTAGATCCACAGGTAGCAGAATCCCTTTCAGTGGGCCCAACGGCCGAAAGATTCAAGGCACTAGAGAAATTTATTGGGATGCTTAAGTCGGGCGAAACAGTGGCCCCAGATAATGTTTCTGTGTTTGTCGACGCCTTAACGGGAAACTTCGATGATACAAATTTCAAAGTTGTTACATACTCATTGGAGGCTGTACAGATAATCTTATCGCGTAACACAGCCTTCTTGACCAAGACTTACGGCCAGAGACTCCTATCCTCTACCCTAGACAAATTTGGCCATGTGCGGCCAAGCGTCAAAGAGTGTGCATACAGTCTTGCATATTTTCTGATGAAGAGCACGGTTGTGTCCGATTTCGATATCAACCTTGGGGTTTGCATGACTGCACTGGCACACAAGAACGCGGGCGTTCGAGAGACGACCATTCAGCTGCTGTCTACTATTCTCCTGGAGCTTGGAAAGCCTGACGTAAAGGCACTGGCAAAGGTCGTTCCTCGATTTACAGAGTTGACGAAGGATAGTTCCCCTGTTGTTCGGTCACAGGCGACGGTAGCACTTGCAAATTTGACAGAAGAGTATCCAGACAGCCTAGCACGACTGGCAGGTCAGTCGGGGGGAGATAAAGACAAGGAGTCGCGAGACCACGGCATACAGAAGCCAACCAGCAGTGGCGTAAACAGAAGCGGAGTGAGGCGCGAGACCAGTGCTTCCAACATCCCTGGGAGATCTGGTATTGGAGGCACAGGAGGGTCAATACCATCGGCCACAGACACAGCCATCAGCTTATTTCCGCCCCCGTCAACCCAAGATCCAGACGGACAATCAAACCCTCTTTCTATTGTTCCACCGACACAGCAAGCTTCGTACTATCCCTATCGGCCACTCTATTCTTATGATCTCCTTTTTTCGCCCAATTCACTTGTGTCTGCTGGCACAGATCTTACTCAGAAGAAGTTTCACAGCATCCTACGGCTCGAGGAGCAAAAAATGGTAGATGAGCTGAACGCCATCTTCTCTGTATTCTCTGCAAACCTTAAGAATGAAGCAAATTGGACCATACAACTGGACACGGTGAAAGCCCTAATATCTTTGATAATTATTGACTCAGAAGCAGGTGTAACGCTCAGCACGCAGATATTTGCACAGACATTCACTGATTTTCTTTCACAAAACCTCGCACAGATAGTCGCGTGTGTCATGTCTCGACGAAGCATACTATCTCGAGAGATGTGCATCTTCCTTGAGTTATATGCCCAGAGGTACGGCACGTATGGCACCCGTTTTGTAGTAGATCTGATAGACCCACTTATTAGACTCTTGAACCAAAAGGGTGCCTGTTATGAGACATCCGCTGACGCTACCATGCGGGCAATCATTGTATACTGCAATCCAAAAATGGCACTTGCTAGACTTGTGAAGCACGGGCAGGCAGATAAGTCATCGCACGTACGGGCACACGTAATAGAGTATATCTTGCTACTATTTATTTCAGCGTGCCTGCATTCAGAAGGGTATCTAGCCGGAAGAGGGTTCTGTTCTGAGATAGACTTCTGGTTGCGACACGAGGCAGATATAATTCAACTTTTTTGCAAGTTGGCAGACGACGCGCTACAGCGCACACGGATCACAGCTAAGTGTGCCTTGCTGGTGATGCGGATCTTACGGCTGAGCTTTTGGTCGAAATCGTCTCAGCTTCTAGGCTCCAAGGCACCGAAAATAGAGGCATCTGTACGAGAAACCTGTCTTAGCTATTACTATATCTCTGGGAAAACCCACAAAACTAAACGTGTACCGCTAGCATCAGATGACTTTTTAATGGAGTGGCTCCGGTCAGCTAGTCGTTTCGCTTATGTCAAATGTATGGATATAGATTTCAATTGGAAGGTCTTATTGATTGAGACTATCGACAAGTTCATAGGCTGGAGCTCTGTGGGAGGACTTCCAAGTGGCTTCACCGACGCCTTGGGTTGCCAAGATGTAGCAGTAGAGCAGGTGTCCAGCACATCCACTGGAGCGCTACCACACGCGTCAAGCTCGCAGCAAAGCTCGAGGATATCGCGCAAAACGCCAATCAGTGCTACTGCATCTTCAGAGCGGGGAAAGACAGTGTCTGCTACGGCACGGCCAGAGCACAACGGTCCTGTGCACACTGCAGCAAAACAAGCTAGTACCATAGCATACGATGACCTAGACGACGTAGATGAGCTGGTAACGAACACTCAGACAGCAACGCGTCTTAATGGGATCTTGAGCAATTTAGCGTTAAGCACTCAACCAGACAATGTGCTTCTGAGCCTTATGAAGCAGTGGACTAACAGTTTTCCAGAGCTACAATCTGAGCTAAGAAGGTCTTATGCACAGGCTATATTGGTGCTGCTGGACCTAACCAAGCATTCGTCTCTTGCCGTAAGGCTAGAGGCACTTGGCATAATCAGACTGATCGTTGTTTCTGACGGGGCGCTACTCGAAGACATCCTAGACGTGTTTCTTCTACCCATATTAGAGATCTACAAGGATCCTGAATTGATCGTAAGACGTGCTGCCGACGCGGTCCTTCTCCTCCTACCAACCGTCCTTCCAGTGCGAAATGTATTCAAGGGATACTCCTCTATTGTCAATACTGCAGCCGACGTGGTCCTGCACGGAAGTTTGCGGCTCCTTGCCAAGACTAGCCACTTTTACAAAGATAACGCACTTCTGCTTGAAGATATCGATAGCGTGTTTCCTGGTCTGATGCGAGCCTTTTCAAATGAAAACCCAGACATCAGAAAGGCAGTTGTTTATTGCTTGGTGGACCTGTATTACCTGGTTGGGGAAGACTTCACTCCATACCTCAACAGGCTCAGCGCCAGCCAACTGAAGCTCGTGACGATTTATGTGGTAAAGATGTCAGAAAAACGTGCAAAGCAGGGATGTTGAGGGCCGTGCCAGGGGCTTAAAGAAAAATTTTTATGTGTCGCGAGCCTCGTTTGTGCTGTTCCGGCACCATGATGGTTGGCACGAACTTCGCATGCTACTTTGTCACATGTATTGTCTATGTATTTTATGCAATTCTTTCCACTGCTTATGTCGCTCCCTTTGTGTCTTCAACATTTACCCCCTACATTGCCTACTCTCTTGGGCCCATACTCTCCATTTTCTGTGTGATGGTCTTCAGTCTTCCTGCTTGGGTAGATCCAGGCTACCTCCCCCGAAGCCCCGTACCACGCTTCCCCCCGGACCCCTCAGACACAGTCCCGGTGCCGGAAGCAGATGCCCCATCCACTGCTAAGCCTGGAGAGGCACAGCAAAATGTTATTTATTCTATTGCAGGAGCTAACATCCCGGCCGTTCTCTGCAAGACATGCAATATTGTCCGTCCACCCGGAGCCTCTCACTGCAACACATGTGGCCACTGTGTCATGTACCTTGATCATCATTGTCCATGGGTTGGAACAGACGTGGGGTTTAGGAACCACTTCTATTTTATACTCGGGACAGCGGGCATTGGCCTATACTGTACTTGGGTCTTCGTGATGTCTATCACCGCAATTATAGTATGCATACAAAAGAGCGACACAGATTTCTTCACCGTAATCATTCCTGTTGTGCTCTGCATCATGGGGAGCATGTTCGGGATGTTCTTCGGGTCAATGATGAGTGCATCTCACTGCGGTATGATTGCAATGGATACCACAACGCGTGCAAAACTCAAGAAAACGCAAACCCCAGCGGACATAGTGATCCAGGCATTCAAGCAACGCGAAGACCCCGTAGATCAAAACTTGCGCGTTGTGCAGGACATTGAGGACACAGAATATAACTCTGTTGTAGCAGAAATAAAAAGGAACAAGTCATTCAGGTGTAAGCACAGCGGGTGGCGCAGAATCATGACAGCTAGGTTTATGCCTTCACTGTACCGTCACGACCCGTTGGAGGCAGAAAAGCTAGCGTGGATATGGACTGTTGCGCTAACACGCGAAGATATCTAATTAGAATACGTAAAGGTGTAGTGGCACAGACGTAGAGTAAACAAAAGCGTTTCTGCTGGCCGGAAGGCAGCGTACAAGTTGAAGAAATGCGGGGGAGGGAGTGCGGTACAACCAGACACTCATGCTGTAGAATTGTGCATAGAGTCCATGCAAGTGAGGTGGCTTAAGATAGCACTAAGGTAGCGGAGATTGTCTGTTAGGCTTCCGTACTTTTTATACTGGAGAGAAGCAGTAGCCGTAACGTTTTGAGCAAGAGTGCTCCAAAACATAGGGTCACCTGAGGTAGACGGGGCACAGAGCGGAAGCAGCCTTGAGATGACGTCCATATTTCCTACAAACGAAGCCGCCTCCAATATGGTTCTGTGACCTTTTACTGCGGCTCTAACTGAGATAGTGGCTTCCTTTTCAAAGAGTAGGTCGATGATATCAACGTGATCAGCAGCAACAGCAAAGAAGAGCGCAGTTTCACCGCGACGATTGGCAACGCCAGATTCTGCTTCTAGAAGCATTTTGCAGCAGTCAGTGTTTCCATTTTGCGCGGCATGCATAAGGGCAGTCATACCATCGTGATCTTGAAGTCCGACGTATAGCCCCTTGGCTAAACATACACTGACAGATCCCACATCGTTTGTAATGGCTGCCCACATCAAGGGAGTCATTCCAAATTCATCGGTGTCGTTGGGGCCTGCACCTTTCGAAATGCAGGCGAAAGCCTCAAAGGGCGCCAACATCTCGGCGATGTCTGTGTGCCCCATCTTCACCGCAATTGAAAAAGCTGTGCTTCCAGCATTATCTATTAATCCTGCTTCATGCGGAATCAATGTCTTGGCCACAAACTTCTTATTGGCTTTAGCTGCAAGGTGCAGAGCAGTCTTGCCTTCATTATTTACGCAGCACACTGCGGTTATAAGCGTGTCCTTCAGAGTCGTTGTCTGCCCGCCTATTGCAAAGAGCTGCAGTTCTGTCTTGTCCTGGCGATTGAGACGGGCGTCTAGGCGTTGACGAGGATCATAAAAAAGTGGCGACACACTGAGGGATAATGCAAATTTGCTAGATGAAAGAGCTTGCTTCTCCAGACGCAAATTCTGGAGATGTTTCAACAACTGTTTGGCCGAGTGGCGCGCCTCGGGGTTAATAACCACCATGGATGAGATAAATTCGGCAAGCAGTGGGCTAAATCCTGGAAGGCTTATCGGCGGTACTTCTTTTATGGCAACTGTAGGAGCCTTGTCAGCCGGGAAAAGAGACTTGCTAGAGGCGAGCTCATACGCAACACAGCCCAGAGCCCAAATATCTATCCGTTCATCATAGGACGGTTTCTTAACAAATACCTCGGGTGCAGCATACTGAGATGTTCCACAACGCGTGTGGGTGACTGAGCAATCAACAAGCTCCTTACAGATACCAAAGTCAATTAGCTTAACGCGGCCATCTTGCGTGATAACAATATTCTCTGGCTTTATATCCCTATGTATGATCTTTTTTGGACGCTGAGGGTCCGTCTGATTATCATGCATGTAACAGAGTGCTGCAAGGATCTGCTCAAGAAAGAACCACACCTGCGCCTCAGACACACAAAGAAGTTGGATCCTTAAATTCTTAATGAAGTTCTTTAGATCTCCCCTCTCGAAAAGCTCCATGATGATATAGAGGACGTCTCGTTCTGTGTCGTCATATAGCTCCACAAGCCCAGCAATGGCTGGGTGGTGTAGAGTACTTAACAACTCTGTCTCAAAAGTTACTAATTTGTGTTTGGCCTCGGAGAAGTTTGCATAATCTATTTCCTTAGAAGCAAAAATAGCCCCATCTGAGCGCCGCCGTACCTTATAGACGGACCCAAATCCGCCCTGCCCAATCTTGTCTATCAATTCATAGGCAGTTTGAAAAGTTGTAGCCATGGGAGGGTATGCAGTAATTTTGATTTTTATTTGCCTCACTGCCGGCTTATGCACGGTGAACCGACGAAGCTTGCTCTTGCAATCATCATCATTCGATCGCGGAGGCCATGGGAAACGACCATCATAACGCTGCATCGCCTGATAGCATTGATAGAGGAGGCCGAAGTAGCCACCAGGGTATTAGAGAACGCTATAAGCTTGAGCTCACGGTTGCTACTAGATGCCACGTCTCCCAGGCATACTGAACTCTCTACAGACTTGTCAATGGAAGTTCTCAGGCGGCTTGCCCACGACGTAAGTACAAAGGAGATCACAATGACATTGCCTATGATATCAGGACTGGATGATGGCCAAGTATGTCAACTGTTGGCCTATTCTAACTCAACTTACACTGGGGAATCTCTAGACAATATTATCATACATGCACTCAATGGCGAGGGACGTGACATAGCAGTGAGAGTCGCAGCACTGTTGGGCGCCGTGCAGAACCACGTGCCGAGCCCAGAGCTGATAGCTAAACTGACGGAGACGATAAACAGCAACGATCTTCCTCGCGCACTTGCTGGGGTCTCGTTGGCAAAAAGGCTCTTGTTCTCGGTAGATGAATTTTCGCTTTTCTTGAAAACGCTTTGGCCCCAGCGGGTCGTGTGGTTTTAGGCATTGACAGTCATATTTTGCACACCGAAAAAGAAAATTTGCTCATGAGCACTGGCCCCTTTATAGCCCCAACACGAGTTGGGAACTCCATAATCTGCTCCCAAAACATCCCTGCAGACTCATATACAGAGATATATTCTTTTGGAAGCGACTCAAACCACTTTTCTAATCTTGCATATCTAAGCACCAAGCACCTGTGCTTTGCGAGTGCTAGTGCTCTACATATTATCGACTCGGCGACAGGTACAAAGACCACTATCCCTTCATTCACAATGGGTGGCGTTACGTGTGTAGCAACAACTGGGGACGGCAGCCACCTTGCAGTTGGCCTGGCTAGCGAGGGCATAGGCGCTAGAGTGCTTATCTTCAGCATCGCTATCGACCGGCCCGAAGGCCCTGCCCGTCCTATTGAAGACCCTCAGCTTTTGGAGCATGTTGAAACGACAGTAAAGGGTACGAGTGTGGACCAGAGCCAGACTGATGCAGCAGATGAAGAACCACTTCTACCGCCCATCGAGGTGAATAACAAGCTCTTCCTGGTCCACAAAGTCACTCTTTCCAATATAGGAAGGCTAGGAATAGAGTCCCTGGCCTTCAATCATGATTCGACTCTCTTGGCTGCGGTGTCCTGTGGGCCAGACTATCTGCTGTCGGTTCTCAACTGGGCTCAGCGGCGTCTCCTCCTCAAGGCCCCGGCGTTTACCAGCCCTGTTTACAGAGTGAGCTTCTGCAAGTATACAACTGATAGATTGATAACGGGTGGGCGCACACATTTGAAGTTTTGGAAGATGGCTCAGACGTTTACAGGAGTTAAGTTGCAAGGCGAGTTGGCCAAGTTTGGTATACTGGACTCTTCTGACTGCACGGCGTTTATAGAGCTTCCTTCAGGGAATATCCTTTCTGGGTGTGGCACAGGCGAAATTGTTCTTTGGGATTCTAGCACGGTTCGGTTAGTCTTTCAACGGCCTGGGGGGAAGAAGTGCCACGAGGGAAGAATAGAGTATATGAGCTGCGATCTGGACGGATTGTTTACGCGTGGGGCCGTTTCTGCCAAGCGAGATGATGACACTGTCCTTGGTCAACCACTGACAACCCACCCTCCGACTCTGCTTTACCACACACTCCTGCAGCGAGGGGTACCACCGTTAAGCGACAATTGGTCTCCTCGAGTATCAGAAGCAAATAACTCATTGGTGCAAGGCCCATTCACAACTGCGGGCGAGCAACAAGAGGCAAATTTGAATGCAGGGGCGTCTGCAACCCCCCGAAAGCCTGACTCGGATGAAGATAGTCCACTAACACTTCTTCCTGTGGTTGTCACGGCTGGATCTGACGGATACATAAGACTCTGGTCAGGTCATCAGCTTCTCCAAGCACAATTTGTGGACAACAACGATTCGGTATTCTTCGAAATCACTCCGGTAGAGGAGATTTACATAGGCCATGGGGCTTGTATAAGGAATATGGTCCTTTCTTCTGATTCTACCTCGATGGCTATGCAGGACGCGGGAATCGGAGGGATAACTCTTATGGATATAGCATCTCGGAGCATCAGACGTATTTGCTATAGTCATGGAGGGCCTGTTCGGAGCATTGCCTGTGTTAATAGCAGCTCCTCGCTCCTTTTATCTGGCATAAACAACGACATCAATAATCTGAACATCCGCTCTCCGCTTGTGGCTACTGTCGGGGACTCTGGCGTTATATTTATGCACGACTTGGCTTCGCGGAGAATTGTTTCGGCAAAAAGATCAGCTTCGGGAAAGGGTACTAAAGTATTGTTCATTCATAACGGAGTGTGTTTGGTTGCTGGATACTCCGATGGTTCTGTTAGGTTCTTCTCTGTTTACTATGATGCCCAGGATTATTCCGGAAAGGACTCTGTCTCTGAGGAGGTTCCGGCAGGTATACTTGATGCTAATGACTGTCTCTTTCTAATTGCAGCGTACAAGTGCTTTTCGGATGCCGTTGTGGATATAACTTGCTCTCAAGAAGGTGTGGTCGCTGTGCTAAGCGCTTCCGGCCATCTGTTTTTGATCCAGACAACCCTCTCATTGATCAGACGTGGCTTAAGAAACGACGTCGCCCTTGCACAAACTGGTCAGGAACACATGTCATCCCTCGCAAAGGGCCTTCTTAACGTGCGTGATGCTGCGGAGGATGAGTCGCAAAAGAAGGCATTTGAATTGGCAGTAATGGCTTCTAATGGTATCTTTGGAATGACTGGGAAGGACATTCTACCACTTGGAGAGTTTGATGTATACTACGCTATCTTTAAAGAGTCGCCCGATAAACTCTCACAGCGGCTAGGCCATCTCTTCTACCTAGAACCCAATGTATTGGCCATGGCCGTACTGAACTGCACCTCTCCAGAAGACAGGCTTGTGGCGATCACCCTTCCGCCAGCAAATGATCTAATACAGTACAGGCTCAAATCAGGATCTAGTATGACAGACAGCCTATCTTCCACCACCATGAATTTATCAGCTCCGAGCACAGAACCTAACTTACCAGGAGAACCATCTTCAGTGTCATATAATTTAATGCATATGTTTAATTCTGTTCCGTACTTCTTGTCAATAGCAATCCCCGTAACCCCCCTACCGGGGACCTGTGAAGGGACGATCGCCAAAGTAGAGCAGGCAGTCGTGCAGCGGAAAATCAGCGCGATGCTCCCTAGTCGTGGGGCCATGGAGTCGGCAATGGACGCCCTACTGGCCATGGAAATAACGGAAGAAAAACAAGAGGAGGAGTCGACAGAGTCTGAAGAAGAATACGATGAGGATGGGAACAAGATAGAGGGAAAAAAGAAGAAGAAGCTCAACCCCAATGACCCTCTTTATGAAGACATGAATCAGCCCCAGAAATTTGACTTTGTTCAGTTCAGCCTTGTTAACGGGACAGGGCTTGTTAGATCCAAAGACCTTGCTGGACAGACTCATATCAGTGATGTGTCAGATATAGCTACGCCTGGAAAGCTAGCCATCCTTGTCAAGATTTTTATTGATGAGGAAATCCGGAATAGGGCTGACTCGGCGATGGCGAGCGTTCGAGCCCGTGCTGAGGCAAGTGGCGCCACTGCATCCAACATCGCTGCAGGAGACCCCGCTCTCTTCTGTGCTGCCTTAGCCGTTGCCGAAGCTCGTGCAGCATATAGGAGCAGCTTAATATACCTATTTGATTATGCAGTCATCAAGAAATCCTTTTTCTCGCTTATTAATGCCAATTCCATCGGGTCACGGAGCCTCCTCATGAATTCGGGGCTTACGCCGGCAGCAGATGACAACAGAGAAGAGTCAAGCAAAGAGTCATCAAAGAAGATCTTTATACGGCCAGAAGTAATCTCCCCGGCGGCTCATCGGGGACCCCTCATGGATGCGCCTGCTCTCAAGGAGGCAGAGCTGGATGATGTGGAGTTTGAACCTCAGAATAATAAGTCTATTAGCCTGTTGATGCGAACCCCTATCATGTCATTTCCTGCTATGCTTCAGCCCCTCAGGGACTGTGTCATGGAGGACGCACTGAATAAGGAGCTGCTGTCTGCCGAACGCTCTGGTCCGGCCGGAAAGGTTTTTGGTACTCTCTTTACTATCCAGGCTGGTGGCTCTGTGACCATCGAACCATACAGAACTGAAGACGAATTTGCATCGCTCACTCAGAATGTTTTAAAAGGAGAAGCGTCAAACCTAAATCCCCTCGTTGCCATGCAGCTTTTAGAGCAGAAGTCTGAGTGGTGGACTGCGTACTGTGCTCAGGCAGTTCCAGCTAACGGCCTATGCTACATGAACGTGGGATTTGGCGGGCATGTCTGCGTCATCGGAGACAGATCTGGAAACATACTCGTGTATGGAACTCATGAAGTGAAGGTTCTCTTAGCTAGACTCCAAGCAGCATACTTATCAGCAAATAACATACAGACCTTTGATAACGGCCTTTGTACGCGCTATGTGCGAGATAATATTTACTCCACTGGGATTAAAGGGTTCAAGCCGTCTGTCTCTCTTGTTTTCCATGAAAAGGTCTTCTCCCTAATTTCAAAGGCTGTTTTCAAAGAAAAGGGGGCAGACATCTTAAAACAGCAGCCAGACACTATCCCCCTTGAGGGCGATGATTTAGATCAGCAGGCCGTTGTCCATGACTATACCACTGCAGAAGAGCAGACCGAGGTAGAAGGAGCGAGCAAATTTTTGACCCTAGAGCAGGCCAGGCTGTCAGAACTGGATTCAGCGGCAAATAAGCTTGGGCAGGATGGAAAGCATGCTGTTCTATTAAAAATACAAGGTCTCAGAGCCCTCTATGACACCTTGGTCAAGGAGAATGCGTCACTACCTTTAGAGAAACGTCTCTATCCACATGAGATCTCACCAGATCTACTATTAGCTCATGATTGGGTTGGCAGAGAAGAGCGCAGGGCCCATACAATTATATATGACGAACTAGGAGATATTCTTCGGGGTGTTACTGCGAAGATTCAGAGCGTCCTCGCCAATTTTCCTGTGACGGAGTTTACCTACACCGTACGTGCCTTTGCAAATCCTGCCTTTCAAGTTACCACATTCAAGTTGTATCCGTTTAGTGAGAAGTTCGAAAGCGCACTTTGTGAGGCTCTGGGCATAGAATCTCTTGATGAGCTAGACCAGATTGCTTATGACCATCGTAGTGATTCAGAGGTTGCAAACAACTTAACTACAACATCTACTATGAGGGCTGACGCTAACATAATGAATCCTAATGATACTATGGAAACTAGTGATGTCAGTGACCACTCCATCATAGATAATGATCAGCGCGGGTCTCTCAACCAAACGTCAGTTAGTAGGCTGGGTGCAGTGACCCTCACTTCCTTGAGCACCACCAAAAAGTCTTTAGCAGAGTCTAACACTAGTGCGACTAAGAGCGCTCTTGCTCCCTTAAGATCGTCGAGGACCACGGGTGGTAGTAGGCTTGGTTCAGTGGCGGGCACCCGGACCATTAAAGCTATTGACAAGATCATTGCACAGACCCTTTCAAATAAGTTGGGTGAGGCAACAATCAAGCAAGATGAGCTTGAGGACACCATTTCTGACGCCCAAATAAAGCAGCAACGAGTTTTGCAGCGGGTAGAAGCACGGCAGAAGCGAAAAGAGGAGCTCCGCGCCCTTTTAGCCGAGAAGCCCGATCCCAGTAAGATTTCCCCAGAGGACGAAAAAGCATATGATTTCAGCCTCGAAACATTCGGGCAATTCCCACTTAAAACTACGGAGGACTATGTCTTCAAGGTTGGACAATTAGCGCAGCAACACGAAGACGCGACCGGAGCAGGTAAGAATGTGCCTCCCGTGAACGTCTATGAAAATAAAGAGGGTCGCTGGCTACAGTTCCTGCTAGCTATAAAGGGTCTTCATGACGCGCAAAAAGATTTTAACGAACGTGTGGCCGTTCTGTTTGCCTGCAAGCAGGCTGTGGTCGAATGCGTCAACACGCTTAAGAAAGAGGCTCTTCGAATCACTGCTTCAATAAAGCACATGGCCGGCCACCTAATAGCGGCAGACATAGACGCAAGACTGGCCAAGTACGAGTTTAGCGCCGACCCTGACAAGCTTTTGAGCATGATATCCATTCATCCTGATGAAATAGCACACATTCGACGCATGGAGGTGCACGATAGATATATTCGTAACTGGGCTTCCAGCAAGCTGGCAGACACACCACTAGACCAGATTGACAATACGACTCTCTGTCTTCAGCTACAGTCGTGTTATTCTCACGCCCCAGGGGAGTTCTTCAACGAAAGTGATCCTGCTGGTAGTGATCCGCTAGCGCTACAATATCTGGAGTTTTGTGTCTCTAATAAGATTATTTCTAGCGACGAAGCTGATCGACTACAGAAGCTTCTGGATGTTCCGCCAACTGGTATCCAAAGTGCCGTGCAGGAAATTGTTTTATCATCCAGCGAGGCCTTGGGTGGGCTTAGATATGGTACGCTTCCGAAACTGAACTACCCCTTAAGTAATGACGCTAACGACTCAAATGACGAGTCAAGCAGTGAGTCTGACAAGGTTAACGAGGATGAAGAGAATGAGGATGAGGACGAGCTGGTTAATATGTGTCGACCCTATATTAACACAGCCATATTCATGGGCGTTCAGGGGCTCGACTCTTCTGTCAACAAGTCTTCCTCTATCCTCGCAATCAATGACTTAAAAGACCCTGATACTAACGCTAACGCACAGCACTTCCCGGTTGGGAGTGTACCACATGGTGCAAGAGCTAAAAAGCATCCTCTAGCCAAAGACGTACTCCTTTATTCTGGATATCAAATTCAAGAAGCTACTTGTGTTCGCCCCACTGCAGCGTTAGCGGCACAAAACGCTCAGCATGCGCCATCTCTATATAACAGACACGATACATACGATATCACCTCGACTCTGGCTCAGCATAACAACCTGCAAATGAATGTCTTCCAGGGGACGCAAAGTTATGACTCCACCAAGGCCATCTCTGTGTTCAGCAAGATGCAGGTTAGTCAGGACTACGCTCAGAAAGCTCACTACTGGATTTCGCTTGCTCTGTATTGTAGAAGCCAAATCCTGAATAAGATGCTATCCTTGGCAACTGCGTTTGATAATGCTGTTCGAGAGCTTCAGTACTCAAGCGTTCAACTAAAAATGGACTTTGCTCGTATGCGCATTCGCATCATAAGCCTGTTCCAGCAAACAGAAATCCATCATCTCTATATTACTAGGGATGCTAAATCCATGGAACACCTCGAGAACTGCAAAAATGAGCACCGACAAATAACCATACAATTGGAGCATCTCCGGAAGCAGATCTCCCAAAAGACTGAGGAGGCGATGGCCGTCGGGACTAACCTCCAAAAGCTTCTTCGTGAATTCAACAATTCTATTAGCACTGATGCTCCATTCAGAACGAAGTTGATCAAAATCTATAACAAAAAGTACAGGGCCCCCAAGCCTATCAAGCCGCAGGCAGACGCCGAGCCAGCTGGCCTCGAGGCAACGCTAGTCGGAGGCGGAGCGACCAAGAAGGCTCTCGGGTCAACAAACCCAGACGATTATATGGACGAATCGGATGAGTCGTCGGAGCTTTCTAATCTTTCTGAGGGAGGGGTCGAGGATGATGATGAGCCTGTAGATGAAACAGTTGCCCCGGAGGGCGTTAGCAACGAGCTCTTTAATTTCGTTCTCAATTTGCGATCAAAGAAGCGAGACTATGACGCACAGTTGGCAGCTATCCACCAAGAGGCAGATCAACTGAAGCAGCAGTATTTAGTCCTTCAGAAAAGGGAAAAGGCAGCAGTCTCTGCCACGGATGCAGCAAACAGAGAGCTAACACAGTTCCGCGCTGGCAAACAGAAGGAGCTGAACAGCGTGCAGACGGCGGCACTCGTTACTATGGGCCAGTATGCATACATGAGCGAGGATGATACTATTATTGAAGATCTTAGTAACGCTCTTCTCTTTGACGCAAAGGAAATACAGAACCTCAAAGCTAGAATAGATCTCAGGAAGAAGCAGCTGCGACACTTTGCACAGATTGGAGAGTCTCTCAAAGACACGCACTACGAGCTGCTGCAGAAGGAAAAGCAAGCACAAAAAGACTACAAAATCTATAGTGAAAAGCTTGAAGCGGTCCAGATGCTCAAATTCGGCCAGCTGATTGACATAGCCAAGTTAGACAGCGCGTGCATAAACGAACAAGCAGAAGAGCTTACCAGAATTCTGAATCAGGAAGAATTAGAGTTCAAGCAAGATCAGCTCTACAAAGAGACGATTCTGGAGCGTGGCCGCGATCAGCTGAAATATGCTCTTGACAAGAACACAGAGCTGGTGCTTGAGCTAGCAAGATTAGAAAGAGAAAGTTTAGAACTTGACAGGGCGATTCTTGATAGGCAACGAAAGGCTCCCAAGGCATGGTGCAGCGATAACAAACAGGAGCTTGTACGGCAGGAGTACAACAGTCTGAAGCAGGAGATCATAAATCGTGAGAGGGAGCTGCGCACTCTCGTGGATGAGATTGCAATTCTCAAAAACCACGGCTCTTAATATGTGAGCTTGTTCCTGCTTCAAAAGCTCTTATTCAGATGATGCTAACAAACTATCTTATAACGTGAAGATACACGCATTATCTGTGCACGTTCTAGTCATCATCACTCACCAGGAATATAGACGCGCCCCTCGGCCTCATCACCTAAGGTTCCTTTGGTCCTGATAGCTCCCATAAATGGCATCCTTTAGAGCAATATCATCTGCAGTTGTTCTGGTACCTGAGAAGCCGACAGAGTAGGCATAGAAACTTTGGAAGACTATGAATTAGTCAGTCAGCTCTTGGTAGGTCGAGCATGACGCAACTGGAGAGTTAATATGTACCACTTCTCCAGCCCCTTGATAAGCGTAGGAGTCACTCCGCCTATTGTCTGAAAAGCTTATTGTTACATTATGCTACGATTAATGGATTGATTGTATATCTAGATTTACCTTTGTGATCTATTTTTCCTACTATCTGCTATCCTTCAAACCGTGTGTTTACTTGAAGAAAGTAAATCCTGTGTCAATACCTAGCAGCACTTCAAAAAGAGCAGTCACTTATGCTTTACTAAATATGATTCTGTGACGTGGATATTGCACTTTGGACACTTAGAGTTAGTGAGCGTTGAAATCTTTTTATCAACCATTACATAATGACGGCATGGCAAGACAACAAAGCACGAGCTGTCCAACGCACGCACCATGCTCTCATTTGATCTGACCATGACCTCTCTAATCTGTTGCATCTGCTGCGTGAGGTCCTCAAGCTCTTTGTCGCAATCTGCATGCGCTTTCTTAAGATCTCGAACTTCGGTTTGAAGCCTTTGTACCAAGTCCTGTAGCTCCTCGTCTGTCCGTGACCGCTCTGCAGCCGTGTCAAAGCGAATTGACGTCACACCGGTAGATGAAAAAATGGAGCCCTTTGACGCGACTGTTGGGCCCGCGGAGACGCTAAGAGGCTCAGGTATATAGGATAGATCAGCCAGGATGCTATTTTCTGCGGGGTCATCAGGATGTGTTCGCCGTATGTACGACTTGGAATTGTATAGGGGCACATTTGTGCTCTTTCGTGGATTCTGTCGAGACCTTGAGCCTGAAGTTCCTACATCATTGTCCCTTCTCTTAGTGATAATGGACGTTCTGGCTGCTACTGAGGAGGAGTTCAGATCGCTTATAGTCAGGTTTTGCATTAGAACTTTGCATGGTTACTCAGTGAACATTTAGTACAAACTTATACATTCACATATTCATGAGCCCTATACCCACAAAAATCAGACGCACAGGGGCTAGAGAGTAGAGTGCAACCATCCACCTACTTGTGCTTCTTTGAAGTTACTGTCATGACTATTGCCCCAGCAATTATCCCGACTGCTAAAATGACACCGGCACTTATGCCCACAATATTACTTGCAGTCAGGGTTTGCTTCACACAGGTATTGTGCGTTAGGGTATACCCGTCTTCACACTTTGAGCAGACAAACAGCTTGGCACTAGATAGGCTGGCCTCCGTTACTCCTTGTTTGCCGCTGGTATATACCTTAGATATTTCTTTCAAAATAAGGTCGGAGTCGTTGAATAAATGCATAGAAATGGATCCATTTGTAAAGTAATCATAGAGAACAACCCGCAGGTTATTCAATTGGATATCAGTGAGTCTATAATACTGTGCTATTGCTTTCAACTTATGTTCCCAATCCTCTATCCGGTTAGATGGAGCGGTTGCAGCTCTCTTGGATTGGAACTGCTGTAACCACCTAGAGAAGCTCCTATAGGCATGGCTAGTTGACGCCTTCTTTGCTTCTGTTGATACAGAACACGAAACGCACTTTTCAACGCCGCATGAGGTGCACACGCTACTGTCTGTATCAAGGATGTATCCAGGCATGCACTGTTTGCAGACCTCCTGTCCGTCTGCCCCAGGGCTACAGGTATGACAGTTTCTATCTGTACACTTCGATATACACTGGTTATTCTCTAGTCTGTATCCACGAACGCAGAAGTCACAGGTGTATTGATCGCTCCTGCAGATCCCGCAGTTGGCAACGGCGCAGCCAGTGTAAAGCTCACAAACACCATTTGTTGGTGAGTACCCAGGCGCACAGCTAATGCATCGAGAATCAGACGTGCAAGCCAGGCAGTTGCTGAGATTTGAGCAATCTGTTGTTGTTTTCTCTTTGCAGTAGCGCGGGTAGTTCATCAACTGGTACCCTGGCTCACAGGACGTACAAATTCCACTAGGGCAGCTCTGGCAGTGATTAGTTATATCTGAGCAGGACTCACAGGCATTATCCCTCAAGTGATAACCCTGTTGGCACCGAGTGCATGACAGAGTAGCACGGGAAGAGGCTCCTGCAGATGGAGAATCGCAGAGGATACAGTTGGAGATGTCGACGCTGCATAGAGTGCAGGTCTGACCTGTAAGGTAATATCCTTTGTAGCACTTCGTACACGGAGCATGTCCACCGTTGCATTCCTTACATCCAACATCATCACAGTTAGTATTCTGCACACAAGTTCCAGCATCGTTGTGGTGGAATCCACTAGAGCAAGTGTCACAAATAGAACCATCATAGCACAGGTCACAGTTCTGAAGAGTGCATGCAGTGCAGGTAGAAGGCAGCGGTGATGAAAGTGTATAGTTATCCTTACAAGATGTGCAGGTGGACTCTGCTGAACAATAGACGCAATTCTCAGCGCATTTCACACAAGCATTTGAAGAGCTTTGCAGGAAGTATCCTGGCAGACATGCATCACAAGTAGTAGTGCTATCAGTGACGGTGCAAAGACCACAGTTGGACACTGCACTACAGAGCTGTTCCTGACTAAGGAAACATTCCTGTGTGGTCGACTGCCCTGTAGAAACTGTTTTCAGTACACGACCATCAGCACATGAATAGCAGCTTTTGCCGTCAGCGCTACACCTGCTACAGTGTGTTACGGTCGTGGAGCAAGGCAAGCAAACGTTATCTGTGGAATCGAGATAATATCCAAGCTTACAAACTTCGCAAAGCTTATCAGCATCAGTGACTGGACACTTTATGCAATTGCGCAGGGGACAAAAAGAATAACTGAGACTTATGAGCTGTCCGAGCCAGACTAGCCACATAATTTTAAAACTAGCCCTTCCGGATACGGCGCGGGGTCGTCCAGCTGCACACGATGCTGTTGAAACGCAGCACATTGAAAAGATTTGTTCACAATGAAGCCATAAAGCATATAGAGACCGGTGGCGCCAATTGGTGTTTGCCGTCTCCAACTCGTTCCAAGTCGGCCTCTTCCTGCCGCCTTGTCGGACAGGCACCAGATGGAAGGATGCTGGTTGTTCTGGAGACACTCAGTGGGCCTTCGTCTGTTCTTTCAGAGATCTACCTGCAATCCATTTCAGATTCCACAAACGATGCAATTCAAAGCTCTATTCCCATCTTTAAAATATCGGCGGCTGCCATCGTCTATCACTGTGCTCTTTCGCCTGGTTCCGGGGCCTTCTTATTGATGACGTTTGTGTCTATTGTCTCTCCCTTTACCAATCAACCAATCAAGCGCTCCCGTCGCTTGCATGACACTATACTAGTCTCTCTTGCGTCACAAAGCTATCAAGATGGTGGCTCGTGGCCGTCTTTTGTGGCAGGTTGTGATGTTGAGCCAATCATGGGCATGTATGGGATGCACCGTTTGGTGTCCAATGCCCCAGACCCCGTGATAGGGTACTTTTTGTCTGGTGAACAGAAGCACAGTCCAGATCTTGTCTCTGATGTCCCAACTCCGTACCACTCTTCTGTCCTTCAAATTGATAACATCAGCATTACCATGGAGAAGAGTTCACTTTCATACTTTTTGATATCTTATGTATCAGGAGCCATTTTAGATGAATATACTCTGCCCTTCACTAACTGTATTTATCACAGGCCAACAGACACGACAGTATCTCGGACGACAATCGAGCAAATAAATATTCGCTTCAATAAATCCTTTACTGATCAGGTGAAGTCATTCATTATCTGGCACGAGGCCAAGCACCTAGGCACGCTGGCTTCACACATGCGAGAGCCTGTGGCCTTTAGGCAGTTTCTTCCCACAACCGGGGACTTGGTTGTTATAACGAGGCAACGGATTGCCTCTCAAATGGCCAGCATTGGAACAGCAAACCTGACGGTGTCCATTTATAAAGACTTTCGCAAGGCAGTTAGTCGGCATTCTGGTCTAAGCACTTCCCAGCCAAGTAATCTTTCTGTCCCACAAGTTCCTGGCCCATCTACACACAGTTTAAGACATATCACATCCCTTTGCGTGGGACCATTCCCAGACTATCCCCTCATTGTGGCAGAAGCATTTAGTGCATTGATTCCATGCACAATAGCTGTCTCGTTCGGTAGCATTTCATCAGCACTTCCAATTATTGCATTTGAGTACTTTCTTTCTTCAACTGTGCCCACAGACATTGCAGCAGATAGCGGGGCATCAATGACAGCTATGCTTACTCTTGTTTCACCATTTACGGAAGCAATATATCACACAAGTGCACGGATAGACACGAATATGGAAGGACTCAAGATGACAGGGCGCGACGAGGACAAGCTAGAAGCTGGTGTCACGAAGCGTGTCGACACCACTAACTTCCGCCTGTTTGCAGCTGCTATTTCTAGTCACATCTTGCATGGTCTTTCACCTAGCGAGCTAAACTCCTCTGTTCTCCTCGACTCTCTCACGTTTAAAGTTGCGGTTCGAAACACTTACCGTCATTCTTTCTTTTCGGTGTGCTCTACTCAGTTATTTTTCACGTCTAACCTAGTCATTTGGGTAGTCCCTGACCCTGTAGCAGGTGTGGCCAAGACAACGCTAGTTTCATGTACTCAAGTGGGAGGCTTCACCACGGTATTCATGGGCACAGACACGCTTCTGAGTATTGACATGGCGACATTGTTCCGCTCTGGAGCCGTGCATCGAATTCCTACACCTACCTGCACGGGTACCGATGAAGTAGATAGCAACACCGGCTCTGACCGCGCATATCCGGTCCAGTCGTCTTTGTTTGACATTATCTGTGCTAACTCCAACTCAAACGATGATCCCCCAGTGATCTCATGCTCCTCATCTGATGCCCTTATCTATCAGTCCAGACAATTACTCCGTCATACCACAGAGCGCTTTATTCCCAAGTCTATCTTTAAAGCAAAGTCACGGGTCTTGTCCTATGACGCTGGCACTGTATCGATAGAACATAGTACTCATTCTTGTGAGAACACACATTCAACCAATAATCCTGATTTGTCCTCATGTCTAACTTTATCTCAACTCACAAGTTGGGACACTGAAGCTTCAGATGGTTGTACCATTACAGGACTTTTTTCCGAATTAACTCACTTGATTCCAGTAACGACGGAGAAAGTGGCATATATTACTATTCTCAAGGAATTGAACCTACACAGATCTGGGACACTGCTTGATTGCTCGTCGAAGCGATTTGTACAGCTCCCTACAGCAGATCAGGGCATATACATTTGCGACTGTGCGTTCCTTGCCATTAATCTTTGTGACCAAGAAGTTCAGTTGGAGAAGCTGTGGGCAAACGGGTGTGCAGAGGTTCGGAAACGATTTCAAACAATATACCTCTATGACACCTATCTTTGCCAGCTTCTTGCAGTAGAGGTTGATTATTCAGCAATTCTATCTTATCTCGTATCAGAAGAACAAGCAAAGTATCTTCACAACGAGCTTCAGAAGATGAAACTTCTGATACCAGGTGACCCTGCCTACGAAGTGGAGCATCCCTCAGAGAGCAACTTTACTAGCTCCTTAGGTTTGCGAACGAACCAGCTTCTCTTGCATGCACTGCTATCCGTACAGATATATTCGTTCTTCTATTTCCTTTCTACTTTGGTCTTTACTTGTGGTACATGTTTCATGCAAGGCTATCTCCTGTCCAACGTAATGTCTGACATTTTGGGGCCAACCTTCTCTGTTCCTGCCAACTTCCGTGGAAAGGAAACCACTTGTAACTCTACACAGTCGCAGCTTATTGAGAAGTGTCTGGGTATCCTTAGCTCATCTAAATTGTTACTTGTTTGTAACGAGGCGAACACTAAACTAGAGTCTGAAAGTCCTCTTGCACTCTTTTCGGTCTTATACCTGTGTGCCGTGCACATGTTTGCTTCAAGCGATTACGACTGGCTATCTAAGGAGCTAACTTGCTCTGCATTTGCTGCTTGCTACTACCGCAAGTTGATGCGAAAGAACCTTCTGAGCTTACGATCAATTCGGCAATTTTATAGGTGCATACAGCCTGTATGTAACCTACTTGATATCCAATTTTCCTATCTTCAATCGTTTGCTCAGATGGACGAGACAGGCATGCAGATATCTGATGTACTATTAAAGAATAATCTTCATGCCTTCAACCCCTGCATACTTTCTGCCGGCAGACTGGACAATTCTGCTTGTCTCCATCCACTGAGCAACCACGTTACATACATGAGCAGTGCCTACCCTTGTCTACGTGATTATTACATATATCACAGGTCCTCTGTAAGAGATTGGCCCCGCCAGATAAAGCTCCTAACACGTCCTTCCTTTCAGCAATTCACTGGATCAATGGATGCGTATATTGCCGAAGTAGACGCAGGAGCATTCACCCACAAGATCGGGAACTATCTCGCCAGGGTTCAGGCCTGCATGTACAAAGTTATTTCTCAAGCATTCTCTGCTGCTCCTACGCTTTGGATTCCTTTGCTAGAAATCTATGAAGAGTTTATGGGCAACTCTTATAGTTCTTCAAAGGTACGATACCCAGGTATACCTGAGAATCTTTGGAAGCACGCCAGCAGCTACTTAGAAGACTTGGGTAGCTTTCCTTATCAGCCGGCATGGGTAAAGGAGCCTGATACAATACCACAATACCTCTATCCTTGCTATAGATACACTAGCAACTATCTAGAACCAGTTTCGAGACAAGTCCTTGGCTCGAATTCTGGTCACTCGTTTAAAAAGCCCCTGTCGAGTGTTCTAGGTCTTGTGCTGGAGCACTCGGTTCTTCGGCTGGCTATCTTACAAGAAGAGCGGTCTTCTTATCCTACCTTCTTACGTCTGCTCAATGTCGGTAATGTTCACTCTTCGGAATCTCACTCTGAGCCCCGAAGCAGAAGCCGCTCAAGGTTAAACAAGCAACAGGCCCAACACCCAGAAGATCTTGCAAGCGCAGCCCTCAACGCATGCCCAGCGAAGTTCATCGAAGCGTCTCAAAAGCGTCTTTCTTATATCGAGGATCAATTTGACTTACCGCTGACTGAGATTCTTGCTCAAGCGTCCATGGAGCTTCTAGAATTCGAGATCACCTATGGCCCTGTGGTTCCAGAAGCTTCCAGACCTAGTATTGTGGCATCTCCAGCCTTCCAAAAGGCAGATTCTTTCGTCTCTACTAGTAACACATCATCCAGGCCTAGCTCCCGTGCTGCCTCTAGAACCTTTCGTCGCGACACCCAGGTAAGGTCATCAGATCAACCCAAACCGATAGATGATGCACGAAACATGGACCAATTCAGGCAGTTAACTCCGAGTAACCATAGCAATTTACACACATCCATAGGGTCCCCCCTCCCCACTAGTACTGGAACATCATTTACAATTAAACAGGTTCATGAGTGCGAGGGATTGGACCGTAGTGACTTAGTTAACTTCTTGAAGTACTTGTAACCTGCTTAATTCAGTCAGTCGTGTGGTCCTACATTCACCTATAGCGCATCGGCCGAACAACAAATTCTCTATCAGGGTCGGATCCCTCGCGCTGCTGGGTTGGCTCTCCATCTCCACCAGCTAGAATATCGAGTAATGCTTTGTATGCATCGGCAATGACCATAAACTTGGCTTCACAATCCACACAATTGGGATTCCTATCTGGATGCCACTTAACGGCAAGCTTCTTGTACTGTTTCTTAATCTCCTCTACAGAGGAATCAGGGGCTAGGTCCAGAGCTTTGTAGCTCTCGCGCATCTTTTCCTCTGGGGAGAGCGATTCGGAGCTAGATGACCCGAATTTAAAGAGCGACGGAAACAGGAAGTTCATGATGAAGGCAAGGCCGCCTATGACAATCGCTGACAATAGGAGTAGAGCAAAAAAGTAGAAGCAGAGCTTTCTCAGCTGTATATGCTCTGTAGAAATTTTACCCGCCATATCTCTCCGCTTAGAAATCATCTCCTCTATCTCACGGGTGTACATCACAAACCTGCCATCGGGCATCAACCTGCAATCGCCGCCTCTTTCTACGACAAATTCAATCTCCTTTAGCAGAAGATTGAGATTGTCTTCGGGGATGTGGAAGCGATTAAATCGATGTAGAAAGTCCAGTAAATCGTTTGGAGAGTCAAATATAATTATAGGGTGCCTTCTCGGGGTCTGTAGGTCCCCTAGAGTTACATCCTTCTGCTTCAGCTTCCGATAATTTGGGTCATTGGGACCAGTACAGGGCTCAGATCCTGGCGCAAAGGGAATCTGCACGAGGTATCCCTCTGTGGACATTTCTAAATCGGATGAGTCCTCGGGCTCAACAACTTGTTCCCCAGATGGGTTGCGCACATAAGAGTCATAGAGAGGGTCCAGGCCGCGAAACTGTTGGACAGGTATCTCCTGCATCCTCTTTGGTTTATTGTGTGGCTCTTGCTTGGAGGTTGACGGGCCACCAATAAGGTTAGCCTCCGTCTTTTTCTGCTGTGTACTACCACGCTGCTCTACGACTGTCTCTGTGTTCTGTATCTTTTTGGATTTGGTTCCCATTCGTGATCACAGGGTGGCCAAATTTTATTAAATGAACAGACTTGCTACTGGGACAGCAATGCACCCGGCTATGACCGCCCGTACTGTTACGCGGGGTTCGGTTCAACAAGCAGTTGGAGGTACGGCTGCTATGACGCAAGTAGCTCTCACCGCCAGACCTATAACAAACATGGGCATGCCAGGAACCCGGGCCGTTGGCGGCCAGCGGCAAGTCCTGGACTTGGGATATTATACCAGTGAGCTCCGCAATTTGATCACAGCCACAAACAAGGAGGCAGAAGCGCTTTCAAAGCAGACCATAGAGTTACAGAAGCGTGAAGGCCAGCTCCAACGCCAGCAGGAATCTCTTCATGCTATCCAACGTGAGGTTGACGAGCTTCAGGGAGAGCTTCAAGACATTCTTTACTCCCAGAGCAGACTCAGTGAGAATGCAACGCTCGAGGATCTTCGTGCAGAGGCAACAGAAGCAGAGTCGGCCGCGTCGAAAACTAGAAACGAGGCGAACATAGCCTACAAGGCCAGGGTCGATGCCGAGGAGCGTCTTCGCAAGAACGAGGCGTCTGCGGTGCATCTGCGCACGGAAATGGAGGCTCAAATAGAATCAACGCTCGGTTTACAAGCTGCAGAACGATATAGGTCTCTAAATGACGAGAATATAACACTGAAGCAAAAGGAAAGCGAACTACGCAAGGAGCTTCAGGAGGCAGCAGCAGTGGCGGCGAATGCATACAGTTTCTGCACTATCCTTTCCAACTACACCTCGGGTGGTTCTATTTCTGGACAACCGGGTCACATAGCAATGGACGAACGCATAAGCGGAGTGGATACAAACATCCAAAAGGCTATTACGCTCCATAGACAGATCAGAGCGGCAAAACGAGAGCTTGATGCATACAAGGCAAAAATTAAGGCTGCGGAAAGTCATGATCCGGAGCAATCACTTAAGCAGCAGCTTAGGAATCGCTTTCGTGTAGAGCAAATGGAGACGCAGAGCTTAGTAGAAGAGATCAAGATAACAGAAAGCGGCGTTCAACAACGCAAGAAGCTTTTGGAAGAGATCACCCCTGACGCAACTGTGACCATCACCAAGGAGCAGAAGGATCTGTTGAAGTCCGTCATCAAAGCAGAAGCGTTTCTCGTTGAATTTCCCAACAAAAAGCTGGCCCTTCAAACGAGTATTAAGCAAGCTCAGGCAGAAGTTGTCAATCTTATTTCCCGCTTGCCCATTCCTCAGGGTACCGTCTCAGTGCCTGGAGAGGAGAACCCTGGTGCAATTGAGGCACAACTACAGCAAAAGTCGCGCGAGCTTGACCGTACAACTGATACGGAGATGCGGGTCAACGCTGAATTGCGGACCTATGGTGACAAGGTTTCAGCTTTAACTGACTCCCTTGAACGCCTTAGAGCAGACCTACGCGATGCAGAGTCAATTGAAAATGTCGAGGCAGAGGAAAGCACCCTTAAGACGAAGCTTACTAGTTTAAAAGCCATGCATGAGGAAGAAACGAAAACCCTCGAAAAGAGCAAGGGTGCGCTGCGGCTCATAGAAGATCAAATTGCAGCAAACGAGAATGCGCAGTTGCTAAGAAATCTATTGGACCAGCTCTCAGCGAACCTACAGAAGAAGTATGCGGTAGAGCTCTTCATTGTGCAAAAAACCATTGAGAGCTGCTACGACGAGCCAAAGAAGAAGTGTCTGCAGTTGGTTTCAGAGATAAACAATATTCTAATGGGCGGGTGATCTGCGTTCTTGTGAGGATTGAGAAGCAGATTGTTTATCTCTTTTATTTTTATCGTGCTACAAAACATTTTCTACACTATCTTGTGGATTGAACTAGTAAATACTCTTTCTACAGAAATGAGACATTGCAGGCTGGACTTTCCCCACAGAAACCAGTTCTAAGAAGACCAGACAGTTGGTGGATGAAGAATGCCCTTATACACAAAGTCAATCCTCTTCTGCTGCTAAGCTCAAATCCTAGCTGCATGCCTTGCCGTCCCGGTAGCCCCACACTGCAGCAATAGACCTCCGTGTGTGATAGCAACATACCTATAAAACCTTTAAACGCCTGTAAAGCCGAACCTTTCATTTATCAAATATTCATCTATCTAAATCGTGATTGGTATGTTTACAATTGGGCATGTGTATCGATTGGATGAGCTCAGGTCGGCCTTTACAGATCACGGCCGTGGGTATGGCGGTCGTACGCCCTTAATGCACGCAGCTATTAAAGGAGATGTGAGAGAGGCCCGTAATAGACGAGGGTATGTTCAGCAGTTCGACATGATGGGCTGCACTGCGCTGATGTATGCCGCTGCGGGCAACTGGCCGGATGTGATAAAGGTGCTGATCATCGACGAAAGGCAGATGAAGATGAGATGCCCCGTTATTATCTCTGGCTACGTCTTAGCTAATGTAACAGCTTTAATGATAGCTGCGGCAAACAACGCGACAGCTGCTGTAGAGCTTCTAGCAGAGTATGAAAGTAGATTGAGGGAGACACGGTGCTTTCTTACTGCCCTAATGATAGCTGCAATCGTGGGGGCTGTGAACTGTGTCACACTATTAGTTGACAAAGAGGGTGGACTGCAAGATAGAAATGGGAAGACCGCCTTAATGTACGCAGTGGAGCACTCGAACTACTCGTGTATCGATTGCCTTTGGGATAAGGAGAGAGGAATGGTAGATGCAGATGGTCAATCGGCTCTTCATATAGCAGCGAGAGTCGGACATGTTCCGTCTTTCCATGCGGTAGCACAATACGAAGCATCAATCCACGGAGAAGATGTGAGAGCAATGCTGCTCAACAATAAATTGGGCATAGATGATGACAAGAAGACGGAGCTCTTGGTGCACCTTGCCACCTTTTGCTGATGGGGTTGCGAGCCATGGAAATCAGAAGAGAAACAACAACGAGTCATTGAGTTGCGTGCTCAGTGGTCAAATCTGTTGGGCGCACACACACTTTAGCTGAGGATAACTCTAGTTCTAGGGAAAGGGCTGGGTTCCGAAGAATACTCTTCTGTAAGTAGGATGACTCTAGTAGCGTCCTGTCAATTACAAACCAAGGATCCAATGCGGGATGAGACAGAGTAAGCTCCCTTGATACGGTATTATAGGATGCCACAGTTATAGTAGAGGATAGGTCGTATGTTGGCATAACGACCGTGACAGTATCTTCCGAGTCGCCTGCAAAGGCCTTCATAAAGCTCCTTTTCTTCATAAGGATCTCCACAGAGAAGGTGTTTATATCTATTCGACATAGAGCATAGATTGTCTCGAATGGCTCAACAGATGATCGGTAATATGGCTCCAATCTTTTATATTCCTCGTCTTCCGGATCCATCTTGGAAAGCCGCCTCATCAATTTTGCAAGCTCTTCATCCCGCCGCTTTTCTTCTTCCAAATCTTCCTCTGTCTTGGGTAGGGCAACACTCTGCTCTACTATCGTAAATAGGCTACCGTTATAGTAAATCAAGCTATGCACACGCTCAAATTGCGATTGAAGCTTCAGCCTTTCAGAGTCGTTGCCAGAAAGGCTCACTTTGAGGAGATGGTTAGTGTAGATGGGCGTGCTGTTACCACAAGCAAATCCTCGTTGAACGCAAAAGATCATAAGGGTGTCTTGGCTGATAGCGCAGATGGCCGCTGAAACAACCGGTGTGGCTGTGAGACTGCGTGGTTGTAGCCTGGATGCGAGATGATCGTAAGGCTGAAGTGTGTCTATGTTGCGCATAAGCTTAAGAAGAGGAGTTTGTGGCTTCCGCATAGCACCAGGTGAACAGGGAGGTGTAGACAATGTGTGTCTGTCGCTAAATACCTTGAGGCGTAGCTGTCGTAATAGGAGGACCTTAGTCAAGCGAACAGCATGCAGCTGAGAAGAAAGACTTTCGTCAGATGTGAGAGGGTCATAAACACTACACTCGTAAAGTGTATCCGTGCCATAGTCATACATATAGGAGCTGTTTTGAAGCGAACAAATCGCCAGAAATGTCGATGTGTTAATTACAGTGTCCAGGCCGTAAAGTGTGAGTCTTTTTTCCCGGCCATTAGTATATATATGCACGTGAACCCACCTCTCACCATTCCAATGGGATTGACGATAGAGGGTCTGGCTCATTGCAAAATCTGGCAGGTTTTAATTTAAAAATCGAGCCACAGAAAAAGAAGGTCAGAGGTTCAAGCACGCACAATGGATCGCATTTCTGAGTTCGTTGACTACCTGCAGGTGTGCAATGAGTTCGGACAGACCATATATGGCCACCTTGCCCAGATCATTGCAAAACTACTGGATGACCATCCTGAAGACGCCGCAGCAGCCATTGCCTCTATTTCCAGGGAAATCAAGGCGTCTGTTGGTTGCTATGATAACGAGACGGCTGGAAAAACCTATGAACCAGTCCTTTCTGATGATGATTTTGCACGATTGGAGGAGGTTCTCAAGTCAGCTCTGTCGACAGATCATGCTGTCTCTGTCCTTAAGCCGTGCAAAACAATCGTTCCCAATATCCTTCGCCTCAATGAGCAGCTTAAGTTAGTTGGGCAGGGATTTGACGACGTTACCGCATCTATCTTACAAAAGAGGATTTCTCAATTTGAGGTAGAGCGGCGGGGCTACTTTTCTGTTATCTCCTTCTTCGGCCGGTTTACCACAACATCTGGACACTACTATGTCCTGGAGTGCCTCCCTTTCAAGCCGCGCAAGAAGATGTTCCGCTTTCAGGGGCCGGGACCTGCCTCAGTCAATTCGGATATTTTAGATCTAAACAAAGATCTAGATACAGCACCTACAGCAGAAACGATAGCTCCTCCACCATCTGCACTTGCCAAAGATGGAAAGCCTGCTAATTACACCTACCTCACAGATAGAAAGATTAAGAAGCTTACTGACGAGGAAAAGCTCTATCTGGACCCAGATGACCTAGAATTTGATCTGAGAACGATAGCTCCTAAGCCTCGGCGCCTCTATCCACACGTTGAGCCTGCTGGCGATGGGGTGCACCCAGAGGGGGCCAACCGCTTCGTGTATTTTGTCACGGCAGACTTGCTCGTTGCCGATGTGAACCAGGTTGTCAAGTGGGTCCGTTTGCCGGACTTGGAGGCCCGTCAACTAAAGCTGTCGCGGTTCATTAATGTTCGCCTCTCAGGGAATTTATCCAGGCGTATCTATGACAGAATTCCTCCCTTTCCAGGATGTGAGGCTCACTATCTGCGGTGCATTATCACGCGCATCAAGCATGGTGCAGAGCTAGCTCCTGCTGCATGCTTAGTGCCAGGCCCTGAGCCTGAAGAGACAGAGGAAGATATAACGGAAGAGGAACAAGCGAGGCAGAAGGCCCTATTATTTGCAGATCCTACTGTAGTTGCAGACTTTTCCAAGGATTCATGTGAGCCAGACGAGCCAGTAGACTCTAAGATGGCTGGGAAAAGCATTCTTCCATGGCCCGAGCGCAATAGAGAGATAGCTAACGTTGAATTTGTTGAGCTATTAGAGCTGGCAAACTGGGTGCATGCATGTCCGATCCTGTCGCACAGAGGAAAGGTTCTTCCGTGGACTTATCCAGAGGACGAAGAGGAACCTGAAGAAGAGGCGGAGGAAGAAGAGCCCGAAGAGGAAGAAAAGGAAGAACCTGAGGATGAACCTCCAGTTGAGGAGAAGGTTGAAGAGGAGGAGGATGCCAATGGCGAAGAAAAGGGTGAAGATGGCGAAGATAAAGACGAAGGAGAAGAAGAGCCAGAAGAAGAGGAACCAGAGGAGCCCCTTCCTCCTCCTAAAAAGCCTGTACAGGAGCGGCTTGATGCTGCATACGCCGAGTCTGATCAGCTCCGCATATTAACTGAGGCTATCGATACTTATAAGCAGATTGCCCGGCAAAAGTGCCGCTTTACGGTCCCCCGAGCGTTCTGGGAGGCGGTTCGAGATCCATGGGACCCTGTGTTCAAGGAGAACCGCTCTGTTTACCAGACCAGCAGGTACTTTGGACTTGAGATTGCCCCCGTTGACATTAACTGTAAAGAGCAGGAGCTTGATGACAAGGAGCGCGAATATTGGGATAAGGAACAGGAGATAGAGGACACTCTGAAGGAGCAGGATGAGCAGCTTTTGGAGGGCGATTACTATGATGAAGAAAAGGAAGTCCTCCAAAAGGACAGACCAGAGATGCTCTCTCCTGCAGATACAGATGCTCCACTTGTCCTTCATGCAGGGCCAATGGGCTCTGTCGATGTCAACGCAGAGGAGGTCGATGGGCAGAAGGTCGTCCCTGCGTATACCGTCATCTTCAACAAGACCCTGAACCGCCACTCTCCCGTCGTCGTCCGCAGCAACCGTTGGCCAGGAATGCTCAATGTCTGCTTCAACCACAGCAACGGCGACCCCCTGGTCTATACCTCTATTTACATAGGCGATGGTCGACAGACAGAGAGTATCAATGCCCTTGACAAGTATCGCGCGGTGGTGCCTGCCCCAATGCAACTCCCTCCTGCAGACATATTAGAGGAAGACGACCCCGTCTTGGAGATAGAAACTGAGTGTCGTGAGCGGGTGGAGGACATTGAGCGTCGTGATAAGGACGAGCTTGACAGGCTTATTAGAGAACGTCTAGAAAGGAAGGAGGCCCGCTTGGCCGAAAAACGCGCAAGGGAAGAGGAACGTGCCCGAGAGCTTGCTGCACAGGAGGAGCAAGAGGAAGCCGAAGAAGAGGAGGAGCCCTAGTAAATGTATGGATACATAGTCATCATTTCTTCCTGCTGGGGATAACAGGGAACATTCGGTTCATGACTTTGGCTTGTTCGCGCTTTGCAATCGCTCGCTTCACAAGGATGTATGTCAGAAACCCGACCACAAACAGGACCAGAATCGGAACCGTTATTGCCGCGGCGAGTGCGACTGTTGTGATGGAACAGGTGGGGCCTGCGTAGCCTGACGAGCACTTGCATCTGACATTATCCTGGCAGACACCGTGGCCATTGCAAGGGATTCCAGCGCTTGTGGCCTTGCAGCGGTGATTAAGGCAGCCAGCGTCTGTCACGCGATAGCCGTCGAGGCATTCGCAGGTCCAAATGCCGCCGTTGCTCTTGCATATCCCCTTGGATAGGCAGACACTACCGTCCTGTTTTGGACCACACTTCTCCGGAAGGCAGCCCTTGTCTGTCAGCTTAAAGCCTGAGTGACAGGTGCATGCGTGACTTCTAGCTGCAGTGGTCCCACATGTTCCTCCATCGAATGGACCACAAATACTCCCGTTAAGCATCGGGTAACATGACCACGGTACGCACCCGTCCAAGCCAGCGGCGGCTCTTGTGTTCCCGTGGGTCTCCACGCCTCTATAGCCGGCAGGGCACGCGCAGAGATAACTGTTATCTAACTGCTGCAAGCAGGTTCCCAGTCCATTGTTGCAGTAGGTACCGGAGTCAGACGGGGTTCCGCCACAAGTGGAAGGATAGCAGCGATGCTTGGCAGTGACAGTGACAGGCGCAAATCCTTCGTCGCAGTCGCATCCTGATCCATCTTCCTTACAGGAACCGTGGCCACTACAGACAATCTTGTTTTCGACGCAATTTGTATTGGCACAGGTTATCCCAACAGGGTCTCCAGTTGTACATTTAGTACACTTTTCACTCGGTTTCCGTCTAGGGTCAAAGCATACACAGGTTGCAGTCCACTTATTTGAGCTAAAATCAAAGCTTGCCTCTCCGCAACTTCCAGCCTTACCGCATACAAGTTTATTGAGAATATTACCAGAAATACAGTCGTCTGGGACACACTGATAGTTCATGTAACATGAAAGACCGGGCTGGCAGGTAAGTGACGAAGAGCAGCTTTCGTACGGGCCCTGCTTTGCCACACAAGTCCCAACTGCGATATAGCTCGGTGTAAGAGTGGAATTGATACAGACTCCGCAGTTATCGCCAGAAGACAAGTCTGCTGATAGGCAAGCACACGTGCCTGCAGAGGACTGGCTTTCCAGATTGAAACTTGTGTCCCTGCACGTCCCTTGACCGTGACAGACAGAGTGCACTCCAGGATCAGATGACGCGGGAGCACAGGAGGCTGGAAAGCACTTTTTTGTCCCATTCTCTAGCCCCAGCCCCGAAAAGAGACACCTTAGGGAAACGTGACAGGGGTCGTCGGCAGAGCAGGGTTCTTCCAAACCTCTTCGCAAGACGCAGTGGTTATTCTTAAGATATGTGAGACTATTGCACGCTGTACACACCTGCTCTCTGCACCCTGTGCAATACTGAATGGGTCCACTTGTGCCACAGGTCCGATAACAGAACTTTCTATCGGCAGAGAGGGCATAGCCGGGCTGGCATGTCTTGCATGTGGTAGCACCGCTGTCACACTCCTGACAATTGTCTACCGTGACACCACTACAAAGGAGCACGCAGGACTTCTTGTCTGACGACGGAGTATAAGGACTGTTACACGTGGTGCACTGAAGTTGCTGAAGAATCCCGGTACAAGTCTGACAGTGTTCTATCCCAGTTGAACGGCTAGTATTGCACTTGGAAACGCACTTCAGCCCATCGGATGTAGGCACTAGAGTAGAACTACCCGAGGTAGCGCACTTCGAGCACTTACCCGTTCCGCAGGCTACGCAGTCCTTAATACCCTCATTGGTTCCGCAGCTAAGAGCACAGGCAGTTCCGTCGGGAGTGGGGAGCATGTTAGAGTCGCTACAATGTATGCAGTACTCTGCTCCCATGCTAGTCACCGACACGTCGCATCCGTCAATCGCGACAGATACCGCCAAAGCCCCGCCCGCTAGTGAACAGACGAGGAAAATGAACATTTTTCAGACTGTAAAGATTAAGAATACACTGGCATTAATTTACTGGTCTTTATTTTCTACTACCGCGGAGGTGCTCCTTGTACTCAAGGAAGCCGCCATCGAACTTAGACAGTGTCCCGTCTTTCACAACATAGAGTTCGTCTGTGACGCTCTGGATCATCTGTGCGTCGTGAGACACTATCAGTACCGCTCCAGTATACTGGTTTAGACCTTCTGCTAGTGCAAGACGTGTTTCTATATCCAGGTGATTGGTTGGTTCATCCAGGATCAGGAGGGATGGCAGGGTTTGGAACGTGAGCAGAGCGAAGTTCAGTCGAGACCGCTGCCCGCCAGAAAGCGTGCGATTGGTTTGGAACACCAGGTCGTCAGTTATTCCAAATGCTCCCAGGTGGGACAGGTACTTGTTGTTGGTCTCTCCAGGGGCAAATTCATTGATTGTTTGGAGTGGTGTCTTATCCAAATCCAGGAGATCCGTGTGGTGCTGCCAAAATATTGCGGGTGTACATTTGCTATTACGAATGAAGACGCCAGAGTCAGGCTTTTCCATTCCACTCAGTAGCTTGAGAATGGTTGACTTTCCGCTACCATTTGCGCCACAGATTGCTATTCTACTATCATTGTAAATAGTCAGATTGATGTCCTTGAGACAGAATCCTCCTAACTTCTGCTGCACATAGCTAAACTCCACGTCCTTGAGTGATAGCAATTCAAACTGGGCGCCAGACACCTCGGGCCCAGGAAAAATAAATGGTGGGACCGCGTAGTCTTCTGAAACGAACAGCCGCTCCATTTTATTCAGCATCTTAATGCGACTCTGCACCAGGCTTGCCCGCGCAGCGTTATATCGGAACCTATCAATGAAAGTCTGCACACGCGCCTGTAGAGCCTCCTGCTTCTCTACTTGCCGTTGCTGATTTTTGAGCTCACTCTCCCGAAGCTCGATGAATGCACTGTAATTTCCAGAGTATTTCGTGAGCCTTCGGTTATTTAAAAAGACGATGTCTGTAGTGAACTGATTAAGAAAGTCTGTATCGTGCGAGACGACTATAACAAGCTTATCCTGGGGGAAGTTGACTAACCAGTTCTCCAACCACATTATGGCATCTGTGTCCAGGTGGTTGTCTGGTTCATCAAGGAAGAGTATGTCTGGAGCTACAAAAAGTGCTTTAGCAAGGCTTACACGCATGAGCCAACCACCTGAAAACTCCTTGGTGCGTCTGAGTTGCATTGCTGGTGTAAATTGCAACCCCGCCAATATCTGCGATGCACGTGCCTGTGCACTGAACAGATCAGCTGCCTCCATCTCGTCGTATCGCTGCTGGAGAGCTACCCCGAGATTGTCCAAAAGCGCCTCTGTCGCAGAAGCATTAAGTGCGGCGGAAGTATCCACACTTATGCTTGGAAAAATGCTAGCATTAAGCTCAGTCAAGACATGCTCTGGAAGCAAGCCTTTCAACGTGCGAGAAGCGGAATGTTCGGACTTAAGAGAAGAGCTCCCATGAGAGGCACTACGAAGACGCATTAGATGTTCTTCAAGGAGATCTATGGCAGCCTTGATGGCGTGCTCTGCAGTGGTGAGCCTGACATAGTCCTCATTGGCCGACAACACGACATCGATGACCCTGTCGGTCGATGGCGCTACCTCCTGTGACACGTAGAGTATCTTGTACTGGTCTCTATTGGTGATGCATGCAATCTCTCCGTGCGCAATAGCTCGCAAGAGACTCGACTTTCCCGTGCCATTCCGACCAATAAGCGAGTATCGTCGCCCAAAATGGAAAGTAAAGTCACAATCCTCTAAAAGGATATTCTTTCCATATGCCAGAGTAACCCTATCGAGCTTGATGGCCTGCCCCGTGCGAGGAACAAACTTTGTCTGAGAGATACTGACAGCATTGTCTGCTGCAGGGATTTCATCCTTGCTAACGTGTTTTTCCTTTAGACGACGCTTCTCTGCTAGTGCACGTGCTTTTTCTGACGACTTTATCATCTGGAATTGGAGCTTCTGCATTCCTAAGTCCCTTGCTGTTTGTATCCCCTTCCAATACTCATTATTGGCCGCGGCTCGTTGTACTTGTTGTGAAACGGACACAGCATCATCTAGTCGCAAGCTCACTGCGGAGTCTCGGCCATGAGTCGCTATCAGGGAGCAGACCTCGCAAACGAGGTTTGTCACTATCTCCTCGGCCTCATCAAGCGAAGCTGTTACTCTGCAATTGTGAATTACAGGAGCAATGGTCTGTGTTGCCCTGCTGATACTGTCTGCGTCTGTATCTAAGGTATTCTCTAGAACACATTGGACATAGTTCATTATCAACGTGTCGATGAGCAACTTCCCCGAGGAGTTTGTAAACGCATTTGCGATCACATCTCTAAGGGAAAGAGCGTCGTTCATAGCCTCTGGTACTTTTAAAATTTATCGCTAGCCCCAGGTCATGCCTGAGTCTGCACCCCTTCGGATCACTAGGGATGTGTGCTTAATTCTGTCAATGGTCTGTGGTGCCGATGTGCAGCACACGCTCAAGCTAGATCTGCACGAGGTTCTATCGAATTTCTACCTAATCAGTAAGTGCTCTGATGAGGACTTGAAAACCATCGCAGTTTATGCATGTACTTTGTTACTACGGCTTCAGAAGATCTCTAGGCATGTTACAGTGCGCAATGTAAAGAAGCTTTTCATCGTCAGCCTCATGTTTGCGTGCAATATGCTCTCGGATCTAGAGCTACCTTTCTCTGTGTGGCCAGCGTTCTCCCGCTGTCTTGATGAGTCTAGTACCGTAAGAGAAATGTGTGTTTGGTATCTGAAAAGCATCCATTGGAATTTGCACGTCAGGAGCGATCTATACAACTCCATGCTGGGCTTGGTATCACTACAGCCCGAGGCAGAGCCTCTCACAACCCCTCGGATAATAGACTCTACTAATAATTGACCGACTTATCTATCCATATTTGGTCAGCGTATCAGACTAATCCCTTTCTTCATTCCTTTTCAAATCCACGGCTGTGATATTTCCCATTTACTTAATTACGCTCCATATAATTTCCGACAATCTCTTCTCTTACATCTGCTGCCGGCTCTCCACTCTCGTGACCCACAAGAGAGCCTTGTAGGCTTTGAATCTCCTTAGACGCTGAGTTCCCATGCAACGGTATTTCTGGGCTACACCTCAGTGATCGGGAATTTACGTAACCAAAGCCCCCGTACACTGGTGGGTCATTGCCTCCTGCTACTACTGCACAGTACTTACACATATTCTCTGTGACTGTCGCTGTTAATATAAGCGACACCATCGGCAATATCTGCCTCAGGGTGTCATGGGGAGCAAACCATAGCTTTCGTGTTAGTGAATCATAGCCGTCAATAAGTACTACGGGATGGCGCCGCGTGGCCCTAAAGATAAACCTGCACAACTCTGCAAACGACCCGAATAAACCTGTTTTGAAGTTTTGACAGCCCTCTGCATCCGTGTTCCTCATGATATTAACGAATATCCTTTGGCTCCGTTCATCAGTCAGCGCCGGAGCACACCGCTCGTACCATGATTCGTAAACGCTTCTAACGTATGCAGCGATAGATTCGAAAAATGCACTGGTACTCGACACCTTGAATACTGAAAAGTCAAGGCTCAGGACAGAATGGGCTCCAAGATGCTGGTCATATTGAGACCAGCCCCTGATCGCTAACTTAGCAAATGACTGCAAAGTTTTAGCGGGTGCAGTGGTGCTGATAAAAGACTCCAACATTGAAAGGCCGAAGGTCTTTCCCGAGCCACTCTTGGTGCCTAGCGAGACCACGCGTTGAGGCTGGAGCATGTCTACCATGTAAGCAGAACAGTCGCGGAAGCAAATGTCTGGGTCCAGAACAACACTCTTGTAGTCGCTGGTTAGCAATGGGCGGCCACCTGGGTTTATGATAGTAGACACTCTTCCAAATCCTGGATGTGGCGCAATGGCAGTGAGGTTCCTTCCGCTACAAACAAATGTTATATAGACTGGTTCGATAAGAAGGCCAGGAATATCCAGCTCAAGGTCAAAGTGATCTGTGGAGCTACCTAGTGTGCTGGAGTACATGCTCTGTGTTACAGCAGATGATCCAGAGATCTCGATGGGATTTAGCGGAGTGGTGTCAGTAGTAGTAGAACGACCAACAGACACTGTAGGCTTCTGGAAATATAAAGTCAGATGATGTTTCCCTAACACTCCATCAACAACTGTCTCATGGTTGAATCCTTCACACCTCCAGATAATCGTGTTGAAGAATGGATAGGTAATAATAAATTCCACTTGAGCGGTAACTATGCCCTGCTGGAGAGTAGCTGTGGCCCACTGAATATCAAAGAGCTGAACTACCTCGCACAGTTCGGAGCTGTTGAGAGCGTTTCCACCTTCCATATATGCATGTGAGTCGAACATTTTGCTGTTCTAAAAGTAAGATGTGCCTACAGTTAGCATCTACAGTGGCATCGGAAGATCAAATCTTTAGTGAACAAAGGTTATTCCGACACTGTTGAAGGTTTTCGATGAGCTCCAGTTCCTTCTCTATGGTCATCAGAAATTCGTGTACAGTAAGCAGAAGCTTAGAGCTTGAAGATAGCGTTATTGTGGGGATTATAACGTCGCATGCACGTAAGAACGGACCACAGAGCATGTTATTTCCAAGGGAGCTCATTGTATACTCAAGTATCTTTGCCTTATCCCCATCTCGAAGTTGCCTAAGTACATCGTGATAGTTTTTAATTCCGCGGCATTCTAGTTCCAAAAGAACGCTTCCTGTGAGCTCCCTGCTGGTCAAGAGACTCAGCTGCAGTGCATCCAGATGTTTGTAGATTGCCAAGTAGACATCCAGTTGGGACAAAGATGGTCTAACGTTCAACCCATGGACCATGTAATCTAGATTTGCTCGTGGACGGATCATGAAGTCTCTCTTTGATAGGCGCTGCTTTGGCTTGTCCTTCTCATTTGCAAGGGCAATGGCATCCTCCAGAGGACAGGACGTCAGCACCACCATGGTCTTGGTTTGCAGTCCCACATATATTCCCAGCTCCTCCTTCTTGGAAAATATTGGAGTCTGTGAAAAAGACTGAACAGCTATAGAGAGGACCGCTACATCAAAGTGTATCAGGGTTGCTACCTGCAGTAGAGTCGTGGAGTCATAAACCCTGACACCCCCATCAAAGCAGCCAGCCAAAATGAATGTCCCCATGCTAGTGGAGCATGCACATAGGGACGATATTCCCTTAGGAACATAGTCTGATTGAGCGTGGGCTTTTAGCTTGACTGAACCTCTGTTATCCTTGTTATCCTCTGATAGCGACAAGTCGGTATAAACGTAAAGCAAAGAGTAGATGTATCCACCACATGCTATATAGACATATCCATCGCACCAGATTGCGGCATCAATTGGTTCTGAAAGAGAGTACTCAAAGAGCATGGAGGGGCCTGTGCCCGATCGACCAACAGCATTACGACGCTTGGGATCCTCAGACACACCGAGAGCTATCTCGCCGGACAGCATATTCCATATCCGAATGTATCTGTCATAGGAAGCTGTGAGAACTGGGGCAAAATGATCAGCTGCATGTGGGGAGGGAAGAGGGAACGCTGCACGGATAGAATCGGCATGGGCCTGGACTCCAAAGCAGAGAGTTTCGGTCGTCACAGTCCACGCGAAAAGCTTTCCGGAGCGAGTTCCGGCCAAGACTTCCTGGTCGGTGGCGCTGAACGAAACTGCATGGACTGCAGTGGATGAATCGTAAAAGCGTCGCTGCCAAGAGTGGGACCCCGGTATGAAAACTTCAACTGCTCCGCTATCATCTGCCGCAACATAAAAGGCCCCGTCGTGGCGATAGGCTACGGCTGTGGTGGTCATTTCAAAGCGGCCAGTACCCTTTGCAAGCGCTGCCTCTGAAACCTTATAAAGCATAACCTGTGTGGAGCTAGCTACGGCGAGCTCGGCCGCCTGGGGATGTCTAGCAATGGAGACTGCAGGCCCGTTCAACTCATACCTCGTCTGCGTAGTGAACTGATTAAAAAACGCTTCTGTTGGTGTTACCGCAGACTGGGCCACGGGAAGGGCCGAAATCGGAATGTACCCCACATTAGACATTTCAATTATTAGAAGTTGGGAAGAAGCAGCGCATTTACTCCCGACAGACTCACTGGAGCGCCTTCGCTTTCTCAACGTCCAGAGGCTTCGGCCCGACAATAAGCTCGACATGGCAGGGCTGAGACTCATACTTGCTGATGCGCCCATGTGCCCTGAAGGTCCTGCGACGACGGCCGCGTGCGCGATTTACGCAGTACGAGATGACGTACAGCTCGTCCTCCTCCTTCTTGTGGGCGTGCTTTGCGTTGCTAACGGCTTGCTTGAGGATGTCCTTGACGACGACAACAGACTTCTCGGGCCAGCGACCCTTGTCCGTGCCGCTCCCCCTGGCTTGCGAGTGGCGCCCGACACCCTTGTAGAACTTGAAGAAGGGGACGATCTCCTTGTGGTTCAGGACGTTGTCGAGGTAGGCAAAGGCTCTCTTGACCCCCATTCCCTTGATAGCTCTGCAGGTGGAGTATGTGTTCTTGAAGGAGGCCTTGACGCCGTCCCTGCGGGACTTTCCTACGAGGAGATTGTCCGATTTAAAGGCGTACTTGACCATTCCCCGGTGCGTTCACGGGGCTTCAAAAACAGACATCAAAAACGAAATCAAAATAAATAGTTTTTTTTCATTTATACACATCACAGCGTCACGACTCGGATTAGGAAAAGCGGCTTGCAGCCATCTTCAGCTTCTGATAGACCTTGTTTGGAGAAAGCCCCAAAATGAGGTCGCATATAGCATCGCGGGCGACACGGGTACCTGCCACGGTGCCCAGGATGTGCACCGTCTTATCTGCTAGCACAATCCGTGTCTTCGACGCGTTCTCAATGGTGAACTTGACCTTGCCGCCGGAGCCCGCTATCCTTCCTATCGCTCGGGACATGTTATCGCCCTTAAGGACAAGCTTTACGTTAGTGATGTCGAAGGTGTCTATGTAGAGATTGTCCATTTTCAGAAACGCAAGAGCGTCCTGGACCTCAAAGCCGAGGGTTATGGCGCGGAGGAAGTCCTGTCCACGATCGAGGGCGTTGGGGGCAACCGTCTTCGCATTGCGCCGTATCTCAATGCAGCGGCCGGATATATTGTAGCGAATGTCAAGCAAAAGCTCTGTAACGATTGGCGTGCATATGTTATTCCACTCCCGTTTTATGGGCGAAATGCGGTTGTAGGGCACCATCACCTTCCTGAGCTCGAAGGACTTCTGGCCATCCTCTGCTGCTAGCGGTGCGAACTGCGGAGGCTGCGGTATAGACTGTTCAAGCATTCGGCAGATATTCGGCAAGGACCTTATAAGTGCAATTTCGTTAGTAAATTCTCTCTCCGTGCGATTTCATTTACATTTTGCTTAGCCAGCCCAACATGAATATTCTGCAGGATGCCCATCACAGAGGCCGTTATCCCCCTGGAGGTGTGGGCCAAGATCCGCGCCCTGAGCTCAGCAAGCCTCGACAAAGCCATGGGGCTCATTGAGGGGGCGTCGTGGAAGGACCCCAAGGTGGATGAGGGGATGTCGATCACCACCGCCGTGGTCGAGGGCAGCAAGAACCACGCGCTCAAGGCGACGATGGAGATACCATACCCCGTCCACTGCTGTTTCGGGGCCCTTGTGGCGATGAACATCAACGTTGACGAGACCAACAGCCAGGCCCTCCGCAAGTCGACGCTTTTCCGCCGCGAGACGCTGGAGTCTCCAGCCGACGCCGAGACGAAGAGAGCCTATGCAGGCTATGCCCAGCAGAAGACGGCCCAGGACTTCCCCGAGGTCAGGGAGATCTCTAGCGTCTCCCAGTTTGTCACCACGTCTCCCTCTGCGATTGTCGCCCACCGCGAGTTTCTCACCGTCCTCAACTTCAGGGAGCTCCCGAAGGCGGAGGGGAGGCGCCGAATCCTCTACTCGTTCATGAGCCCAGAGCTCCCGGAGCTTCTCGCCCTTTACCCAGAGGCGACCAAGCAGGAGGGCTGGGTCCGCGGAGTCGTCCACATCAGCGCCTTCCTTTTTGAGGAGACGGCCCCGGGCAGCGGAAAGACAGCCGCCACGTTTGTCTGCCATAGCGATCCTATGGGAAAGGTCCCGGCGCTGCTTGCCAACTCGGTGATTGTCAACCAGGCGAAGTCCCTGCTCAGCATTGTTAAGGTCATCGAGACCGGGCAGGTCCAGAAGTGAATGCATGATGGTGCGTCTCACTAACGCTGGCCCGTTCTTTGGGTGTGCTGCAAGTCTGTCCTTCTTTTCCGGACGTGCATGCACTCCCACGAGGAACCTACAATTCTGGATGCAGTGAAGGGGCCGATTACACGTCAGCCCTAGCAGCCCATGAGAGCCGCCTCCTGCAGACCTCTGGCCCAGGTTATACTGAGGACGTTATTGTAGACACAGATCTTCAGCAATCCTCATCCAAGTTGAGTGCCTGAAGGAGTCTTAGTCTCGAGCATTATGCAATCCAATCACCATCGTTCTCGGCTCCAGCTGATCTTTCCCAATACAAGAGACATCGGGGACCCGTCGCCCAATTCGCACTCACAGTCGCTGTCTCCTGCCAATGGGCGCACCTACTCGAGCTTTCTCCACAATCGCCACCGCAGTAGATACATTTACATCAAAGAGCAGAGTCGGCGGACCCCTCGGGCAGCAGACTGTCTGCACTCCCGCGATCGTACTTCATTGCCCGGGTCCTTCTACGCACCCCCTTGCGGACCAGGACCTTCACGATGAACGGTATTGCTGCGCAGACGCCTATGAGGAGCAGGACCAGAATCACGATCGCTGCTGTTACTCCGGGCTTGAGGCCAGACTTGTTCAAAAGGCCACTGCAGTGCAGGCCATAGGCTGTGCTTAGACTGACAGTTTCTCCCGAGGCACATCGCGTGCATCCAACTCGGCCATTATTTGAGAACTGTTTGCACATAGAGCATCCAGAGGGGCACTCAAGACACTTACTGTTGTCATAACTGAAGTAGAAACCGTCAGCACAAACTCCGAGCATACAAACATCTGCAAAGTAACAGCCTTCAATGCACTCCTTTTGGCACGGAATACAGGCAGGATCAGCGCCCTCTGAAAATCCATACCCATGGACGCATGTGCTACACTTGTTTTGCCCTCTAACGTATTTCATGCAGTTCGGGACAGTGCCTTGAATACAAGCTCTGTTATCCTCTGACAGATAGTATCCATCTTTACATGTAGAGCACTCGCTGACATTAAAAGTGCATCTACTACAGTTTTCAACCTGGCACTGTTCAATAGCATTAGTTGATCTGTTGTATCGATATCCCTCAATGGCACTCATACAGTTAGATATATCAGAGCTAATACAAGTTGCACACTTATCAGCACATGGAGAACAGGTGCCGTCAGATACATAGTATCCGATAGCACATTGGATGCAGATGGCTTCCGATGAATTTTCGCTAGCTGCCTCACAGTATGGAATAACCTCATTAGCAGGAACACAAGTACTTCCCTTTAGAACTCTCCCGTTCCAACACGTCTTGCAATTGTTACCTGGGCCATCGCATGTATCACAAATGGAGTCACAGGCCACGCAGATATTGCCAGACAAGTAGAAGCCATCCTGACACTTTGTGCAGTTGTATCGTTCGCTGCACGCATCGCATCCCAGTATACTCAGTTCGCAGCGTATGCAGGCCCCATTCTCTTGAAATTCATCTTCAGAGCATGATACTTCTGTGCTTGAAGAGCATAGTACACCATATATCTTTGGGCCAGTAATGGCATCCGTTGTCGTATTGCATCTATCACACACTGTCTCTTCCCGATCACTATCATAGTGACACAACATGCAACCCTCAGGGCACTTCATGCAAGAAGAAGTCCTGGGATCAAATCTGTAGCCAAGATTACATGCGCCATTGATACAACGATATGGTGCAGGATACGCACCATCCATGCAGAACTCACAGTTCGAAGCACAAGGAGAACATCTGCTTCCAATGAGGACATAGCCCTTCTTACAGCCTATACACGTATCTGTGGTTTCACACTCACTACAATTCCTGTCAGCGCACTGAGTACAGCTACCGCCATTACTTCCGTTCAGAGTATACCCGTCAATGCACTCATCACATGTGTCCCTAGATGTGCTACAAATTTCGCAATTATGATCTGTGCATGGGGTAATATCCCCGGTACTCTTATCTAGATAATATCCAGAAGAGGGTTCCTCACACTCAGTTTCATTCTTGCAGCTGTAACAATTGGCCTTGCATGCAGTGCACGTAAAGGTCTTTGCGTTAAAGAAGTATCCAGCATGGCATTGTATGCACTTATTGGTGTCATGTGCGCACCTGATGCACCCGTCATAGACCTCACCGGGCTCATCGCAGACCCCACTTGCGTTTCTGCAGTGATTCGCGCTGCACTCCAAGCAGCTGTTCGGATTATTGCACGTCTTGCATGTGTGGTCGCACGGCTTGCAATAGCCATGGTCGAGGTAGTACCCCACTTTGCACTCAGTGCAGGCTCCCGGCCCCCGACACGAGAGACACCAGAGCATGCTGTCATCGCACTTAACACACATGTTGCCAAGAGCATAGTGGTCTCGGGGGCAGTTGATAGCTAATGTTCCAATAAGAAGAGCGATTAGAGTAAGAAGTTGCATTTTAGATTCTTACACGCTATTTTACACGCTTGCATGATAGATACTATTTCTCTCAGCGATTGCCTATCAACTTTTAATGCCGAAGTGTAAGGTATACCTCGACACACTCCATTCATAGACCATTTGCCTTACAACTGCGCATTTAAGTGGCCACAAAGTGTCCGCACATTATATGGGATTTCGGATATTATGCTTGTCTGTATTTACTTAATGTACCCCTGCAATATGGAAATTACCTCATGCTTCGTCGCATCCGGTACTGTGTGCTTTGGCCTCTCAGCAAACGTCAAGACACTGTTCCCACTGGGTGTCACGAGGCTATACTCCAACTGAGCTAGTATGCGTACACATGCAACATGGCCATTATATGCGGCAATCATCAGTGCACTGTGCTCCTCGGGTATCTCTGGTTCGTAGAAACCCATACATTTGGCCTCCTTTGAGACTAATAGACGTGCTATTGATCCGCTACCTGCATAAGCAGCGGCCATAAGGGCAGTTTCTCCTCTATTTCCTCGCATGCCGAACTCCAACTTGTATAAAAGCCTGGCTGCCTCAAACCGTGACGCAGCTGCAGCGTACATTAGTGCAGTCCTCCCATTCATGTCTTGCAGCCTAGCCTGAACAGGGGAGAAGCAGTACACGTTGACCAAGTTATTGTCTTCTGCGGCGTACATCAGGTCGGTTTGCCTTCCAGGTGCCATGATCAAGTTATCTGAGGAAACGCCCTCCTTCTCTCTTAAAAGATCTGCTATTTTCAAGTTATTTGTCTGGAGTGCCAGCTGGAGAGCCGTTAGACCTGCTCCGGAAACAATTCCAGCCTCCTTGTCCACTAACACTCTGACGGCATCCATGAAAGAAAGGTCGACTGCTATCATAAGGGCGGTCTCTCCGAAATCGTTAACTATTCCTGCGTACTGCATATTAGCTAGAACGCAATCCAGGTCCTTTTCACTAACCGCAACCATCAGGGGAGTTGTGTAGCGACTTGCCACGTGATCTTGCCGCACTTCCTTAAGATGGTTGATCTGTCCTGTGGACAACGGTGTTGTGATATCTTTGGGGCCACTTGGGAGGGGTGACGCAGGTAATTCCGCTGTTAGTAGAGGTGGATAGGGCAGAGACCCGTAGGATGGCTTGGTGGCTCCTTCTGCAGCGTACTGTGAAGGGGATTTATATACACTAAATCGCTTTGCTGGACTTTCTGCCTTTGCATATTTAAGCTTGGTAAGCTCTCGGAGAGCAGTAGCCAGATTAAACTGGCCGTTTTCTATGAAGTCATTAGAAAGGTCTGTCAGGTATGCTCGCAGGCCATTTGCTATGAGATAATCGTTCAGGTCCTGTGCTGAAATGTTGGTTGTCAAAGATTTGCCTTCGTCAGCACTTTGGGTCAACTTCCTGTCTTGACAATCTGAAAAAGGCCTCGTATAGGGACTAAAACCGCTCTTTATGGAGACAGAATAATCGCCAATAATGAATCCATCTGCTTCTGACTCGCGTGGAGCAGCAGGCTTGAGGTGCTGAACAGATGCCGTAGGCTGAGACGTCTGTGATATCCGTAGAAAGCTATACACGTTTCCATGCTGGGAGTTGTTAGCAGTGTTGTGAATAAATGACGTTGTTGCTTCCTGACTAAGTCTGAGTAGGTGGTATGCAGAAGACAGATTGGTTGCAAGCTCTTCAGCCATAGCCCGAAGACGCTCAATCTCCTCGCTCTTTTCACGAAGCAATCTGTCATATGACGGCAGGATATACTCAACAAAACTATCATCGAGGTCTTCGTAGACACAAATCTCTGACGCCTCTGTCTTGGGTCGTAGGCACATTGTATTTCGAGGAGTTCGTGAACGGGCTTTGAACTTGGGGTTAGCGCTAAATATTCTCGGCCTTTCCGCAAGTGCATCGTTCCTTACTTCATAGGAGTCGCGTGACTCAACTCTAAAGCTTTCGGAGCGCCGAATATTCCTGCGCAGTGCACCTTTGCGAGTCCCTAATGTGCTTGATGCAGCTTCTATGGGGAAATCAGGCATATCTATGTCTGGTGCATCCATGGCTTCTGAGGTACGGTTAGAATCGAAGTTGACAGAGCGAGTTTCTTTGTAATTGGTTTCGCTAGATTTTCTGGGAGTTCGTTGGGGAAGGGCTTTCTTTCTACGAAGAAAGCTGTGATTGATTTGATTGGGTGTGCTGATAAATGAAGAATTATTTGACGGGCATAGTTCGGTACTTGTTGAAAGAGGGTCATTGCGTTGTTCACCAAATGTATTACTCAAGAGAGGAGGCACCTGTGTCAGCTTCAGAGAGAGCTCTGTATTGAAGACTGTGTTGCTAGAGTGTCCGCTATATGGCCGAGGCTTGCTCTTGCGTTGTTGATGCAAAAATGTCCCAGTGCCATCTAGACCGATAGTTCCACTATTACTTTGGTTAGAATTAAGATGGTAAGACCTATCGTCGCGCTTAGAAGTTATAATAGAAGGAGATATGGTAAAGCTCGTTGAGGAATTAGCTTGTGCTCCATAGATTGGCTGGAACGCAGAAAAAGAAATCTTCCTTACAAGCTCTTTGGACAATTCTGCAGGCTGGTGGAGATTGACAGGAGAGTCTATGTTGTCTCTAGCCAAGGGCTGGGGGTGATGATCCTGCAACACTGGGGAGTCGATTGGGCGCCCAGATAAATCAAGCCCAGTATTATCTGTGGGACTAATAGAATGATGGTTATTCTGATAATTTGTAAAGTTGGCATTCTGGATAGTTAGACGAAGATCGTCATTAATGGCCCGCAGCCTACGGATTTCTTCATCTTTCTCAGCTAGTATATCTTCTACTGGGGCCTGGGAAACAACCCTGCTAATCATAAACGGGTTTTCACCGACGTGGTAGGAGAGATCTATAGAAGGTGACGTCAGATCCTCGTCTGCGGCAACGTTGAACTTTACTTCATCTAGAACACGGTGTGGATAGCAAATGCTACTGTTTCTGGTACTTGTTTCCCGCGCAAGAGGTGTGGTGGGGATCTTCTCGATGTATCTCATCAACTGGTCCCGCTGGTCTGTATTTTGCTGCCGGAGATCTGCTATTTCACACTGTAAAGATTCTATTAGTTTCATTAGACGGGCCTTGCTTACTCCATTGATCCCTCCAGTTAAATTGGATGCATTCATTGTGTTGCTGTAATAGCTGCCAGCGTGATCTCCCGGGCTGGGCTCCTCCATGGTTGTATCACCTGTGATGGTCTCATGTGTGAAGGTGGCGTCAAAGAATGAAGGATCGTCGGACATGTCACCGTCCCGAACCTTCTGAAGATAGTTATAAATGGCTGTATAATGCCGCTCCTCTGCTATAACAATGCAGTAGTTGATCTCCTCCAAAGTTATCTCATAAGATCTGATCAAGACACGGACACAATCCAAGTGTCCTTCGTTTGTACTATGATCTAGGGCAGTTAGTTGGTTGCAGTCTTGTATAAGGTTGCAAACCTTTACCAATTCATGCATAGCTTCTAAATTTCCAATCTGTGCAGCCAGAATCAATGCGTCTCTCCCGTCCGGCAATACAGCATCTGCTTCATACTCTGCCAAAATTCTGCAGAGCTTCCCGTTATCTGACATAGCTGCAAGCATCAAAGCTGTACAGCCATCGTTGTTAATCAAACACGCCTCATATTCGGCTAAGATCCTGATGACGGGGAGCGCAGACGCGCGAGTCGCAACCATCAGCCCAGTCTCGTTGTTTGCATCTCGCGTATGGGCATATTTTGAAACGTATGCGCCCACAAGGTGCACGTTGCCAGAGGCAACTGCGTGGAACCACTCTGTGTCGCTGGTAATGGACATAGCTATTTCGGTATTACTTTTAAGTTGCCGAATCGTATAGATCAAAAGGAGAGCTGCAACTATGCCAGCAGGCTAGGTAAACAAGAGGGATCACTGTTGAGGCAGTACTAAATGACTTGACTCATTTAAAGACATAAGGGCAGAATGCTGCTATTCACTTTGCAAAAGATCAATACCCTAGGTGCATTGTTTACGTTGACCTACAAATAAGGAGCCAGAGTACACATGCTACTTAAGAGACACAGGTGTGACCATAAGAAGGTTCAGAGGATTCTGTTCGGGGCATTCCACTAAGACTTACAGGTAAGTAGTTTCCACTGCCCCGAACCATGAGTGGCTTAAGCCCAACGCAGCATTAGTGCTATATAAAGGTGCTTATAAAAATTGAAATGAAGCCGGTCGTGACACTCAATCAATTTTTAGATGGCCGGATTAAGGCCCAGCGGCCGCCGATAAGATATGATAAGCTAGTGCTAGAAGCGGAGGCTCTTGTGCTGCAGAATGGCTGTACCTTTGGATCTGGTGAGGGAGACTGTCTGATCAATCTTTTTGTTTCCCAAATTCTGCCTCAGCAAACCATTCGTGGAGATACCATAACATCATTCTTTAATTATATTGCACGAAGCTATAAGACCCCTAATTTTGTCAGTGTCCAGAGTTATAGAATGCTGTTCAAGGAGTGCTCTAATTCTCTTACTCGTCACTTTAAGATCGCCGCTCGTCTTGTATATTTATTGACTAACATCTTGCACCATCGGTCTGCTGCTATCCTCAGCTTTCCCAACCCATTAGATGAGATCGCTTGTCTTTTCAAGACTCTCGCCACTATCTGTTTCATGGAGAATGGCAGCGTTACAAGTAATCACTCTCTGATTAAAACTGTGTTCTCATTTTATATGACTCTGCCGACGCGCCTGCAAAGCATTTGCCCCCTTCTTTGGACTAGCTATATCTCTCTGGACAGTCTTCCTTGTCGTGTGCTTACTATTACATTGCTCTCATCTGCATATGATGAACACCGAAGCAGACCACATCAACGGCAGACTCTGCAAGCGGATCAGCATGTCATAGCTAGTACACCATATTCTGACCATCCAGGGGATACAGCTGCGATACTGGCACTTAAGGCTCTGAGCTCGTATTTTCGTGGTGCAGAGCAGTGCATGGCGGCGGCAGAGTGTTCTAGAGCTGATCGTTTAAATTACACCCCATACTCCCAATTACTAGGGTCGTCATTGGTTAACTTCTATGGACTCCTGGAGTCATGCTTCCACGAGATCATGAAGTCGTCTAATCAATCATCTGAGTTTGTCGCTGCGTACTTGTCCATGTTTCGCCTGTTTTGGACCACTGTGTCTCCATCTAAGCTTAATTTAGATATTAGCTTTATCTTAGCACACACTGAAAACCCTCCTGCAGGATTCAGATGGACATCTATTCTCTCGATGGCTGGATCTGTACTTAGTGGTATGAAGAGGGAGATTCTACGTCGAAACTATGTCCCCTCAAAGGATAGCGATGTGCTGATTCCACTGGTGCAATCGCAGATACCCTTGTTTATTACTGTGTCTAGGAGGGTTCTTACCTTGCTCGAAGGTATCGGAAGTGATACAACTGTTGAGCACGAGAAAGAGCTGTTTACGTCTGTCGAATATCTAGCCACTTTCTTTGGCATATTCCCTGTTATCGGTCATTTTGCCGAGCTCTTTCCGTTCATTCCTTCGCTGAAGATATGTTTTACTGAAGATGGAACCAATATCCCTCTCTCTGTTCTCCAGCGTCTAACCCTTCATGATCCACATGAGCATGGTACGAGGCTCAGCACGACTTCATGGTTAGACTGTCAATTGTGCTCCTACTTCAGCTCTGCAGTAACGGTTGATCTTCTCCACATTTTAAACATCACCAGCTTCACAGCGAGCGGAGAGCCTGTCTCCCAGCAAGAGTACACCGCCGAGAGAGATATTACGGATACTTTTATGGGTTGCCGCGGACACAGAAAAAAGCAGCACCAGGCAGTTGCAATAGTGCCAACAGCACCGTCCCAAGACAACATCTTTAGCGCCTCTCAACCATACCTCTTTGTGCATGCCCTTATACGTAATGAGCTGGCAGCAGCAACGCAGGCAGGGGCTGTGAGTATTACAAAGGAGATGCCATTCTCATTCCTCAACTCGGCCCTCGATGAGGTTCTGGGGACCCTCATAATGGACCAGCTTCTCACGTGCAGCATATTTCTCCTCAATAATGCAGCTGATATAGATACACTCCTTAGAGGAATGGAACTACTCTGTCTTCTTTCTAAGTTTCCCCTTTATTACTTAGAAGAGCTTCCTGTGGCTGATATGCTTAACATTTTTCAGTTGTCACTCCGGGCTGTCAATATCTGCATCAAGGCGTGGCCATCTTTTCAGTCAACCATAGCTACCTTAGCCCAAGGAGACGAAAAAGCATTTTCCATGAAGCTTATTGATCTCTTTGCTCATGCCGTCAGTAGCTATTGTCATCTGCTAGAGTCAGATGTTATTAGCAAGGAGCTGTCTCGCGACGAGGAAGAGCTTGCAATAGATAGAGAAGCTACTATGTTGATTTCCACCCTTTTATCCCACAGCAACTATCCGACAAAGGTGCACTGCAAGGTGGTTATCGGAATCATGGCTCTTCTACGGCGTCACGAGACGCCAACTGATGCACAGAGAGTTTTGCAGGGGGGTGACCTGCTTCTTTTATCCCTCAAGTTCTGCCAAAACCAAAACAGGCTCCAGGGATACATGATACGTGTTATCCGATTCCTCTTCATGCGTATAAATCTTGAGGCCATTCAAACAAATTCTATATTGGGTTTGCCGCTAAATACAACACTGTATTGCATTTTAGACGGTTTAACAGGACGAGATCGCATTTGCTTCAATAGCATCTCAAGCCTCAATGCCTTATTTACCCGCCTCGGAGAGCTTGACTTCAGCGACGCCTCTTCTGAGACGATATCTCAAAGAGACGATATGGTGTCCCGCACCATCACCCAGTTAGCATCCCAGAGTTTCTCCAAGCGGATAACCCCGGCCAACGGGGGGATTGTGATCCAGCTGATTACACTCTTGGAGTCTATTTTTAGTGGAGAGTATTTAAAAAATTTCAATCCGAATGTACTAGAGTTGATATTCAATCTTGCTGTCTATCTGTCCAATATAATTCCTCAGTTGCAGCAGTATCAGAAAGAAGCCAAAAGGCATCTGCGCAAGCTTGTCATTTCTCTTGCTGTTGGCCTCTTTGGTAAAAACGCACCCGATCCCCCGAAGTCCACCATTACTATTCTTAGCAATTATCGCCCTATTTTGCTAGAGCACCTGGCTGCAGACCAGACCACCTTATCCTTCCACCTTCATGATGCACAGAAGAGAGTGGACCGCTTGCAGACCCCATCGTGTCTAGAGCACTCTCAGTTAAGAACCACCGAGGGAATTCAGCTGTCACCTATTTCAGAGGAAAAGCTAGCACAGCTAGATTCATGTTCTATACGTGCAACGGCCACAGACACAGATCGGGCCACGGCAACGAAGAGCTTGGCCAGAATCAAAGCACGATACGACACTTGTAGTGCCATGATAGCCAGACTTTACGAAATCCTCGGAATCGCAGAAGGAACCGTCCTGGAGTTGTGAAACCTCTCTGGTGAAACGAGGGATGCATACCGAGCAAAGCGTTTACACTTTCAGCTTAACAAGAGCCGCCTTAGTACTCGTCGAAGAGGTTGCCATTGCCGGCGGAAAATTCCTCATCCTCCTCCTCATCGTCATCATAGAAGTCCTCACTCTCCTCCTCGTCTGGGATTTCCTCGGGAAGAGCAACAAACAGATCGGGCTTCACATCCCACTCCTCAGTCCTTGAGATGCTCCCCTTGAGCCTGAGAACTTCACGAGCAAGGAGCCAGTAAATAAGCCCGATGCTCATGGGAGTCTTGTTGTTGCAGGGGATTGCCACGTCAATGAACTTCAGGTTAGCGTCCGAGTTGCAAAGCGATATAGTCGGAATATTCACGTAGGACGCCTCGAGAATAGCCTGACGGTCGACAACCGGGTCGTTGACGAGGAGGAGGCGAGGCTCACAATAGTTCGGGTTCATACGATTGGTGAAGTTGCCAGGGATAAAGCGGCCGGGGAAGGCAGTCGCGTGCGTGTACTTGCAGAACTTGAGGATAGCACGCTGAGCATCGGGTCTGTTAGCGACCACGGCGATCTCGGCGGGGTCATCGATGGTGACGAGGATGCGTGCTGCGAAGACGATCTTGGCCCAGACTTTCTGCAGGTTGAAGACAAAGGTCCCATCCTTCTGCCTGTCGAAGATGTAGAACTGCATCCTCCTATCGATGTTGCGGACGCCAAGGTGAGTCGTTGCAACGAGCATCTTCTTCACATCAGCCTCCTTGAGCTGGTACTCCTTGGACGCCTGGGACGTTTTCTCTGTCGACATAGGGCTCGAGGGCCACTTCTTTAATGCCTGTGGATTTGAATTTAAATTACTTCCTAATAGATTAAGGAGTTAGGCGTCAGTATCTAAGGCGTGGAAAAAGGTGCTGAAAAGAGGTGCCGTGAACATATGGTAAGACAAGAAAGGTCGTGCCAATAGGGACGACAAATCCTGAAAGGAAAAGTTCTGAAGTAGCTGACAACGTAAGCAACTCATCTCGAGGAGCTGCCTAGGAGTAACTCCATTGGTAGTGCTTTAGAACACACCGCTTACTGGCTGTCAATATAGTCATGCTTGGTCTACACTACCTTTCGCACCGGTAATAATTATAATGCTGGGGACCAAGCTCTACTACCTAGACTGCAACATCAGGGTGTGCAACCCCCGGCAACGGCGCGAGGCGCCCGTATTCAGTGGGCGCATATGGTTCAACAGCCTTATGCAGTTTATTGAGGCTGTCGAGCAGAAACTACAGTCTTTTGTGTCAACTGTGGACCAGATGAAGATTTGGTATCGCAAGCAAGGAGGAAAATATCGCTCCATACATGTCCCTGAACAGGAATTCCTAGATACTTGCAGCAACTCTAATGTAATTGTCTCCTATTTTCTCCACGGCCCGTCCTCGTCTCCCATGAAAAGAAGTCCTCCTTTGCTTGCACAGAAAGCAGATGGCTCTTCTGAGAATATCGTCTCTATTGTCCTCAATCTAAAAGATACGTTTTCCACTTGGTCGGGTCCCAACCAGAGCTGGATAGAGTTAGCACGGTACTATAAGGCCTCGCATTTAACGGGCAAAGAGCTAATAGACATTCCACAGGACTGCCGCTCTCTATTTACAGTTGAGCAAGACAAGGCCGTGAGCTCCGTTGGGGTGAACACGTCGTCCGTTGACAGCGTTTCGGTAAGCACGTCAATGCCCCCAGCACCAGCAGAAGCAGCATCCCGGCCTTCTACTAACGAGCGCACATCATCTAAAGGAAAAGCAAAGTCTGTAAGCGTGTCGACCACTACACTGCCTGTATCTGTGACAGAGACAGGAACAGAAATGGACATGGGTCTCCTACCGCAACCAAAAAATCAACTTCCTTACAGCTTTTATGTCGACAATAGCCAGTATGGCAGCATCTATCAGCAGCACTTTGTCTCACAGCCCGTCGGTCCAGCGGTACCAGTGGAAAAGAACCATAGCTTCAACAATGCCGCTGACTTTGGCGATCTACGAACACACAAACCCATCACTCAGTCTGACTCTTTGGTGCATCTTACAATACCAAAGGTGTCGGCCAAGGCAGCATATATAATTACCGGGGTTGTGTACGCTGATATACAGGCTCGTGAAGAAGTTTAAAAGTAGAGCTATAACTGTTACTTCTGTGACAGAGGTATCTCTAAATTTAAAATGGTCTTACATCTTGCGGAGCCCTTGTCTCTTGAAGTTATAGGATCATCGAGATGCCGACACCGCATTCTTTTCTTTGGCACTGTCTGGGAGGTAACTCTATTCTTAGGATTATTGTTATGGTCATCAATCTTGCCTTCATTAGCTATGGCTGTTGTAGGCCTCCAGCCCATCTCAGCTCTAGATGACGAAGGCGCGAGTAAAGTGCTACTACCGTAAGATGCACGTTTCTTATTTGCAGATCTCCGTGATTGCTGAAGAAGCAGCATGCTCATTAGATATGTGTGCCCACTGCCCCCTAGTGACACACATGTTAGACTCTCAGAATTTACGTAGGAGGAGCTGAAGGATGTGGGACCAGGCGAGACGAGGTTCTTAGTTATCCCGGTGCGCCTGGCGTTTAGTTTCAATCTTATTCTATCAAAGATACCGGCGCTGGCTTTGTCGCTGGAAGAGCTATTTGTTAGTGCATATAAAGAAGCAAGACTATCACGTGACATAGCGGGGATTGCTCCTTGATTAAGGGAATGTGCGATTCTGTCTCCTACAATTGCATATGCTTTTTTCCTTATCATTGAGGTACCGCTGAGAGGAGCCTCTATGTGTACTGGTGATGTAGTTACCTTTGGACAGTGGTCAACGTTAGACTGATCAACAACTTGCGACGTTCTCATGCTGAATTTAATCGCAGGCTGTTTTTGTTGTACCTTCATTGGATCTGCTTCTAATTGAACCTGAAAAGTACGTAAGCATTGAGTGGCCGGCCTAGTCTCTGTGCTCTCGTTGTTAGCTCCTTTCAATGGAGTAGCAAATGCTACCGGTGCCATCTCTGTTGAGCACGAAACTACATCTAGGTCGTAAATGTCCATGTCGTTTGGGAACTGATGTTGTTCATAGGGAGTCACCAATGGTGCAGTATAGGATTCTTGATGGGCAGATGATAAGCTATGATCCAGTTGACATGAGTGGTCCGAGGTCATGGTAGTAGTAGAACCTTGTAGCACGAGCTGTTCCTCTAAGCATGCATCACTAGAAACTGTCGGGCTCAGAATCAATCCACTATTTCCATTTGAAAGGTTGCTCATGTCATTGCTTCGATGAGCTGACAATTGGAATTCGTTGATATCTTGTTGCCCAATAGCTTGAGAAGGTGGAAGGCTTTCATAGTTTTGGCAGACAAGTTTAGAGAATAGCTCATTCTGTCCACACTCGCAACCACCACTAACCAGGGACTGATCATCGAAAAGGCTGGTGCTACTTAGTGTTGACACAAACTTCTCTGTGGTCTGCATAAGCACTGGAGAGCTGTTGGTGAGTGGCGGGTCTAGCTCTTTGAGCAGCGCCAGTTCTGAATGGAGAGGCTCATTCTTTGAATGTTTGTTTAAAACGGGGTCATCCATTCTGGAGGTAGCTCTTGATGTCTTGGGAGGAGATGTCTTTAGTATAGACTCACTTCTCTGAATCACATCTCTTGAACACTTAGTGAGCAAATATGGCGAATTGAGGGTAGCTCCTAGCCTTGAGAATGGGTTGTGCCCTTTCACACTAGGAGTTTTTTGTCTAAGCAGATTGCGAGTCCTCCACTTTATGGCAGATGCAATAGCCGGAACCCGTTCGGTTCCATCAGTTGTGGGAGGAACATTGACAATCTGGTCCCAAGATTGAGTGCGCCTGGGAAGAACCTTTGAGCCATACTGTATGAATGATTGTAAATCTGTAATAGCGTATCGTGGCTGAAGAGTTAGACACATGTGTATGCACGAATCATCAAAGGATCTAAAAAGGGCATAGCTGCTAGGTCTTCGAAGCATGGGGGTGAGAGGCCAGGGCTCTGTGTGTAGAAGACGGTTATCCCCGGTTCTCTTCTTCAAAGGTAACGAATCACCCCGCGATGACGAAGGTGCAGTGAAATTGATAGATTTTGGATGTGATTTATGATAGAAAACATACGTATCGTCTCTAAATGCTAGTGCAGAAAGAACATTAGAATACATACGTCTTAGAAGACTAGTCATGATATATGTAAACATACACTGTAGGTGTGCTGCTGAGAGCGCAGTAGACAGCTGGCTCACAAAGGTGCAAAGCGCGACGCTAGAGTTATCGTCATGTATGATGCGCTGAAGGCTAAGATGGCTTCTACGAATGAGCTCGTGGTATCTAGGAGCGAAAAATATTACGGCATGGGAGGGGGCAGAGCGATAAAAAAGTAAAAGATCATCTGTGTTTTGGACGGGGTCTAGCAACAAATTCGCAGTACACTTTGTATATGAATGTGATGGTCCGCGAGTAAGTCGCAGCTGCATGTGCTAAAGGACCTATGAATGATTTTGATCGCAAAGGCACACTAATGATGAGAGAGCTGAAAGTTAATTTATTAGTATTTAGTGTTTTCAAAGGACAATCATGGAATGCGCCGCGGGTATGGGATAAAAAGATTTTTGCCTAACAGTGAATAGAAGTATCTATCTTTCGAGATGGATGATGTCTAAGCTTTTGCAACGCCGATATTGCCCTCGCTCGAGGAGTCATCGTTCGGCCATTGTGAAGTCCAAGGGAGCATAGCTCTATAGGAGAAAGGCTGAGGTCGTGCATGATCTCCCGGTCACGAGTTTGTAAGGGAGATTCTGTGAAGGCGTCATAGCTTACAGGCACATCTCTAGCATTGTTAATGATTCCAGTGTGAATAGAAAGCCGAGCATTGTCCAAGTGGGATCCAGTTTCTGACTTAGCGATCTCCTTCAATGAATTGATTGGGCTAGGTTTAATCATGGATTGCTTTAATAGAATGGATGAGGAAGAAGACCCTTTGTTCTCTACTAATAAGACTCCTTCAGAAGCAGTAAAGTGTTTGCTTTTCTGTGAAGCTGAAGGTGGAGAAAACAACCCAGTCAGGTGCAAGTTTGGTGGGCTCTTAGTAGGTACAGGATTAACTGTCCGATATGCCGATCGTACTCTTGCATGTGGAAGAGAGTTACCGTGCATTTGAGCTGTGTGTACTACTGCATGAGGTGGAGAGTCTGGTGTTTCATTTGAGATAGTAGCTTCACTGCTATCACAAAAGGTATAGCGTTGCTGGTCCGAAGCTATATCCTTAATGCGGGTGTGCAGCGTTGCCCGCTTGTTGAATGAAAGAGCTGTTTTCGGGAAATGCCGATGCGGTGAACAATCAACTGTGTGACAGAGCCCCTGAGCAGTTCGCGACGGAGATGACGGTGTCAGTGGAGTGAATGTGATAACAGCTCCTCCAAGTCCATCCAACTTAACCTCTACAGATTGTGCCTCTTCATTAGTCCGAGGTCCAGAAGAAAAACTGGACGGGGACCCATCAAAGTTATGTGGCCTAGCTTGCCTAATAACCAGGGGATTAAGTGAATATGGTGCTGAGGGCTTATGAGTGGCCTTGACGGCAGTGTTTGTGAGAAGAGAGCGCGGTGATGCTTGTGACGATGGAGAAGAGGGTTGGATAAAAGGGCTGTATGCAATAGGATCAGAATCACGTATCTCAGCAATAGGGTAGAGCCCTTCTCGGTCACCCAGGGGTTTGACTATATGTGCTTGGCAGGTAGTGGAAAGGCTATCGTGTTGGTTGACAGATTCAAAGAAGGATTGCGAGAAAGGCTTTATATCAAAGCATTCATTAAGGTTTCGCTTTACGTGCTGAGTAACAGGCGTATTCATGCATCTTATTGCACCTGTGAATGTGCTCCAGCCCCCACTCTTATTGTCATTAGAGATATTGCCTGGCCATTCTTCTAACTCTATCTGCCGCCACTCTAGGATATCACCATGACAGATGGCCTTTGGGGCTTGCTCTATACTATCACAAGGGTCTTTCCCTTTAGGTGTCTGTGCCGCCAAGAAGCTCTCGGTTGCTAGCTGACAGGGCTCATTCCCAGCTATTGTAGAGGCGTCCAAGGCCTTACATATCGATAGGGTTCCAGTGGGAGTGTCTTCGTTGATAGCTATATCATCAGTGCCAGGGACGAGCGCAGGATCCCCTTTAGAACAAGAATCGAGGTAATCGTTGAGATTCTGAGGCCCAGAGTGACCTTTGCACGGGTGAAGGTTGCACAAAGACTGTGGTGGACTGGGCATTCTACAGGGTTCAGCTAATGAATGGTATGAATTCAAAGAAGTGTTGTAAAATGAGGGCTTCGGGTCATCTTCTTACGCTTCGCGACCTAAGTGAAGTAGAACTAGAGGATATTGTCTTTGAAAAGGCAGGGCAGTCCCTGTGGCGAGCTCGGACCGGTCTAGAGACGGCCTCTCGAGTTCCTGGTAATGTAACTGTATCAGGTCGGATTGGTTCTCCCCGTGTCATTTCGTTAAAGGATGCTCTACAACTAGAGAATCATGCCTTGGCTACTGAGTATTTACTTCATAGAGATCCGAAGCCTGTACGACCAGCAAGTGCACGTCTTGCTAAGCTTTTTCAACTACCGGCAAATGCGATTACCCAACGAATGATTGACGAAAGAAAAGATGAAGCAAACAAACTCGAGCAAGACGTAGAACTATTGAAAAGGAGAATAAACCGATTGAAACTCAAGCAGGAGCTAGAGGAGCGATCTGCTAAGAATATGGTAACTAGATTGGAAGAAGCCCAAAGAACTCACAACTTGCGAGTCAGGAGCCAAGAAAACCAAAGATTGCAACGAGAGCAGCGTGAGAAGAGTGTTGTCAAGCAACACAAGCAAAACATGGAAATGGCCCTAAGCATCAAAGAAAACATAAGAACACGTAAGACTGAACTTGAACAGTCCAAACGAGCATCGGTGGCCGTACTACGTCAGGAGCTGGCAGCAGCATACGCTACTCTTTCAGAAGAGTACGATAAAGAATTAGAGGAGAAGCACCAAAGGATAGTCCAAGCGCGAATACAGATGCTGGACTCCGAAGCTAGGTTCAAGGCCCGCGTTGTGGCCCAGACAGTCAGCAAGCAAGAAGCAAGAAAAGCCCTTCTCGATGCAGAACAGAAGAGAATTAGGGTCTCACTCAAAGAGCTGGTGGCTTTGCAGGACAGAGAGAAAGCCATTTCAGACCTAATAGCAATCCAGCGAGCCAACAAGACTGATGCTAAGCAAAGATTTACACAGCGATTGCAGAGCGAATCACCTCTACATCCTCGTTCGAAATCTGCTCCACATTCGACCTCAGCGGTGGAAGCACCAAGACCAAAAAATTGAAAATGCACCCAACAAGGCTTTTAGACATCAAATTGCGGCTTTTGCAACATATAATAGGAAGCCCAATGTCCCAGTGCATGGCAGATCTTGTTGATCTCTTTAAAGCGCTCAGCATGGAGCTATCTCTTGAGAAATTTGAGGATTGTGCTGGTGTGGGCGACGAGGCTGTATTGCAGGATTTACTGCCGGAATGTGTATGCAGTACGCAGCTCTTTAAACAGCTCTTAATCGATCTGGGCTCATTGGGGTCTACTCAGGGGTTTATCCTTTCGGTTTTTCCAGATTGTACTGAGATGCACTTGCCGACCACTGTTGTCGACCTCGGCCCTGGTTCGGCAAATCTATATAACCATCTATTGAGGACCTGTTGTAGGACCTGTTTGAATCGGTGTTTAGCCACAGGGATAGAAGGATCTGATCTCCTTAAGTTTCTGTTCGCAGACACTGGAAAGATATCGCTTCTCTCTACTGATGATCGCAAATATCTTATTCTGCTTATTTCCGGCTCTATATTCTCGTCAGCAGAAACAGCATGCCCATTCTGCACGCCGATGAGCGCAAACGCCTCAAGTCTTTCACAATTTGATCAGTTGTTACCGCAGCGCCAAGATTTCATAGACGACATAAGAAAGTTTTCAACCGATTTCGAAAACAAGCACGCGTCCCAGTTCTTAGGCTATACTATAAGCCCCACTGGAATTAACTTTCCTGCGTCAGCTATGCATCACTTATATCAGTCAAATGGTGCGGAGCTCTCTCAGTGCTCTGTACAGACATCTAGGGTCCTGGATATATATCTGCAAGATAGCATTGTCATTGACGAGAGAGCGTCACTTACAGCGGTTAGCGAGCCTGTCACTGTCATAGACTCTCGCCCAATAGTGGAACTGAGCAGAATGACTGCTACTAGTGGGGTGGGCGATGAGCTTGTTAATTGTAGCGGCGGTAATGCAGCGAGCTTACTGGACACCTTCCCTACAACTATCCCAATATCTGCAAAGCAGCGGACCGATCTGTCATATCTTTCTGAATTACCCATTGCGTGCGGGATAACCCCAACTGTGACGCCAGGAATAGGAAGGCATGTAGATCAAAACACACTGAAGCTTGATCATATGGCAATATCTAATAGATCACCATCGCCAATACATTGCTTTCACCAGGCCGTTGAGCCTGTTCCAATATCTGCTGTAACAGACTTTTATGAGGTAGACGTAGATAATGAAAATACAGAGGAATTACCCTTCTCAGTGGGTACAGCTCGTGCAACAAAGGAGCTATCGCTTGCTCAAAAAAATACACATATTAATACTGTAGTTATGAAAGAACGGCAAGATAAAACATGTCCTATTGAGTCAGAGCCTCATAGTCACACTACCATGGAAGAGGAGGTAATGGTGTCTTCTCTGTCTTGCATTCTGGAACGAGTGCCCAAAACCAAATCTATTTCTAATATATCTGCAAATAATATACAGAATCAGGACAAACAGGATAGAACATATCTAGAAGAAAGAGCAGGTTTGCCTCTATCTTCGCCTTCACCTTCGGATGCCCCCATTACAAGTCCGCAGCCTGTAACGGCAATCAAAGTCAGAGATAGCACATCAGGCATAGACGCAAGCACTGATTGTTGCAATATTTCCATTGCAAGCGCGCAACCAGACCTACAGGATTCCATGCTTAAAAAGGCGAGTTCACAGCAGCAACTATTCTCACCAAGAGCAATTGCCGTGCGAATTACTAAAAGAAAAAGCCCGTCTTTGTCCAAAAAACAAATACACAGTTCAAATTCTCCACAAGTCCCCCCGCCAGAGCAGACGTATACTGTTACTAGGATCCACCGGGTTCAACCCGTCAAGAACAGTGGACTTACTTCGGAGTCCGACCCTGCTTCTGGCTTTCCTGTCGAGGTAGAAGCTTCCGTGACCGGTGCGAATTTAGAGCACGTACATGAGTTGGAGCGGGGTTCAATCGCTTATACTGTATCGTCAGCCATTCACGATGCTATAAAGCTCAACCCCATGACAGCTGTTCTAAAAGTGGATTCAATAAAGATCGACTGTTCGGTCAAGGAGAATAAGATCGAGTCTGTTGTTACTGGCACTGTAGAAGAGAGCGTGCTGAACAACACCTCTCTAAGCGAGTCTGCCAATGCCCAATGCACCGCAACTTCGGTGCGGGACAGTCTATCATCGTCACTGCCTATTGTTCCCCGACCTCCAGTAGCTGCTGCCGTTGCTGCGATCTCTGTTCGGGCAGTGCTTCAAGGCGAGCAGCTGGATGGATCAGACACCTTCCAGGAACTTACTGGAAGTGTTAGGCGGCAACCAGAGGACAGGTCAGAGTCTCCCCTGGTTACGATTAGCGCTCATCCTTCCAATTATGCGTCCCCAACATTACCTATATCTCCCCTTCCATCTGCGCCTCAAGTAATCCTGGAGACAGCAACCAAAGAAGTCCCAATTGATCAAGAGAACCCCGCAGCAACAAGTTCTATTTCAGAGAGCCCACTACCAAGAAACAGCCAGATCTACATACCCCCACGACCTGATGACCCAAATGACTCTTGCCCCCCTATTTCTCATGCTCAAGAGCCTAAACCCGAGGACTCTACCGGTTTTGCAAAAGAGGAAGAAAGCCTTACAAGAGAGCCAACACCTGATTCCTCTGAGATAGCCACAGCCTCTCTCCACCAGCAGCAACCAGCTGTGGGATGTACCAATGTAAGCATACCAGAAGAGATTCATAAGGTGACAACCGATGAAGATGCTATGGATGCTGGTCCATCGGCACACAGTATAAAGAACATTAATAGCCCAGAAATACAGGACCTACAAGATGTTTTGCGAGAGATTGGCAATTCAATAAACAGTAGAGGCGCATCTCGGGCCACATCGCCGAACCACGGTGCACGATCATCAGGAATGCAACTTGTCCAGGCGATCCCCATCCTTGTTGACATGCTCGACGCAACTGAAGCGTTGATTCCAAGAGCTACTGCCCAGGCCAGTATAATGAATATTGAAGTTTCCATAGATGAAGTCAATGGAATGAGCAGTATTTACGATCAAGTCATCGAGGCCGAACCAGAGCCTGAATCTAAGGAGCAGCCGTCTCCCCAGCTCCATGACACTGTCATGTCTCCATCACAGTTGGAGGCTGACCGGATGCAACCGCTTAATGAGGTTCATGAAGCCATGCAGGATACCACGCTTCCCTCCCAAGGTGTTAATCCAGAGGAAGTTGGTGCTATCCTTGCCCTAGAGCTACAGAAGGAAGAGGGCGAGGTGAATACTCATCAGTCTCATGAGGATTCGGCTGAAGAGATACTCCTTAATGGGACTCCGATTACCAAGTCGCAGACAAGGCAGGAAAAAGTCAAACGCGGCATGTGTGGGAGCCGATCAGTTAGCAAAAGCGGAAGCCGACTGACTAGCAGGACAGGAAGCCGAGCAATCAGCCGCACAACAAGCGAGATCCACAGTGAAGTACCATCAGGAGCTACGTCAACGCGTGCTAGTCGGCGACTGGGCAAGATAAAGCTATCGTCAGCAGCAAATGTTAGAGACAGCTGTTCAGATGCCAAGGAACCGGCTACTCCAGAACCCAAAGACCCCGTAGACTTACCTGCAACGTCTCTTCCTGAAAGCATTGCCCCATCTGTCGACCTAGCCACTCACTGAGACGGTATATTATTTTTCCTCTACAATTAGGTTAATAGGTTTACAGACCTAGTGGCCGCCAATCTGATTTCGCATCACTTCAATGATGTCATTTTCAGCCATATCAAGGCTCTTGGGGGTTGCCGTATCAGATACCCTAGCACCGTTGAAGTAAAATCGGACGTCCCCTCGCTGAAGTGAATTTTTTGAGCAGTAAGCGTCGAACACTTTGGAGAGGGCGGTTGTCATCTTAACCTTGAAGCAAATGGCGTTTTCGTGCTCATCTGAGACCTTTATCATTATCTTCTGCGCCTGCTCGGGCTTGACTTCTGCTTCTGGCTTCCTTTCAATTGGGGGGACGTCTCCTTCGTCATCCATTTTATTTACAAATTCCTACAACGAATGTTTGTAAAAATGACGAGAACCGTCTGATCTTGTTTCTGTGGAGATGAAGTGAGTGGTATGGGCCTACCAGCTACAATTGCTTTCTCGGCGAAGGTAGGTTGCCCCGTTTTATCTGCTATCCTTAGCTGAGCGGTAAGGACTGGAGGCGCTATTTACAGGCGTAGAGGGTTAGTTGTATACGAAGGATGTATTCTTAATGAACGTGATGGCTGTCAGAACGAAACAGTTAGGTTACCATGACGTAGGACACGAGACGTGAAATACAATGGTAACTCTCTACCCCTTGCCTTTTAACCATTATAACGTGTGATATGTCGTACTATCTAAGAGCAACCTCTCTCAGCTTAGGAAAGTGTCGATATTCCGTGAGATTGCCTCTCTTCTGGCACCTTCTACCCTTTAACCACACAAGAATGCACTTTTCAATGATAGCTAAAGAGGGGACTCCATCTTTTGCAACCTAAACATCCCTAGGGGCACATTCGTTTTATGTTTGAACAAGCAATCAATTACTTAGACTAAAGACCAAAAGTACCTTATTGCGTTAATACTACAACCAGATGGCTTAGGGCTTATTATTATGCTTATTGCTAATCGCTTGTGGTTGCAGACCAGGGAGGTAGAGTGTAGACGTGCGTTTACCAGATCATAGAGCTGTACGTTACACCCAACAATTAGTATTGAATACTCTTACTGCTTGATCCTAACATCCTCTTTATCTTCTCTTACCGAGGTGCTGTTACCCTACGGCTTTAAAGCACCCCTTCACAAGCAACTCAACTGTTCTACAGTAACTCTATATTCAGCATTTTAGAACCACAATTGGCACATGGCATAGGCAATCCTCTGCCCACTAAGTTTGTTAGCACATCTATCTCTTCTTATTCTATAGTTCTCAGGAGCACTGGAGTTCGATGATCCTGGATGTTACGATTACCATCAGTAGAACTCAATTGGTTCTTGGCTGTTCAGCAGCAATTCGAACGAATAGAAGGGCTTCCGAGCATACTGGAACCTTGCACCACTGTCCTGTCATGCTTTCGGTCACTATACGATATACCTCAATCGATTGACTTCGATGGAAAAGCCAATCACTTGGACAATATGGATTGACTGTAGTATTGAAGAATAAAAGGTTCATGCGATCATATAAGTTACTACAAGTTTATCAATCAACCCAAAACTTCAGTCTCAACTCTCTTCAGAGCAGCTTTTATTACTCTACTTTTTTAATAGAAAAACGGCAAAGAACATTTATCCTAGTTAGCTCTTTGTATGCTCTACTTCCGAATTTACTTGTCTAGATCGTGTAGCGTCGTTTAAGCTCCTAAATAATTGCAAATTTGAAGAATAAAAATCCTATGACTGAAGACATCAAGGGCGTCGGGGAAGCACACCTTTTGGATACGCTTGTAGATGATATGGACATCCTTCTTGGGAAAGGTTCTTGTGGAGCTGTTTATTCCCTCAAGAGTTCGCCAACTGACGTGGTTAAAGAAATTCAACTGGACGGAGTTCCTCCCACTAGGCTGGAGTCCTTGAGAGAAGACGTTAACCACTTCTTACACTTGGATCATCCTAGAGTTATTAAATATCAGCGAGTAGTATGGCGTGAAGGTCTTTTGTACATATTTATGAAACGATACAGCCAGTCCTTGGATTCAGTCATTAAAATATATAAGAGAAAAAATCTTAACATATCTCTTGAAAAGTCACTCGATATCACCTGTCAACTTGCTTCTGCCCTGGCATATCTTCACAGCCCAGACAAGACAAGTCCGAAAGATGGCTCCTTACCCCTTATGCTCTACAAGAATCTAAGGCCAACTAATATCTTGACTGACGAAGATATCACAGCTGTTGTCATTACAGATTTTGGTCTTTGTAAGGATGAGACAGCGTTTAACAGCACTCCTGTTGATGCCTTACTCTACGCTGCACCAGAGACTGTTTTAGAAAGAAAGTATAGCCCCTCTTCTGACATTTGGAGTCTCGGCGTCATTTTATATGAGCTTGTAACTGGAACTAGGCCTGCATTTTCGCGTAGCGATCCCAGCGGAGCTATGTTTACTGACAACTGGGCACCTGACCTTAGCTCTGTGTCAAGCATATTTGTAAGAGAGCTCCTAAAAAGGATTTTTGTTCTGACGCCAGAAGACCGTATTACAGCAGACGAGCTTGTACATATGCTAGAGCTACGGAACAATGCCGATGCCACAATACTGATATACCAGCGCACGGAACAACTACATTCTCAAATTAACATGGTGATTAAACAATGTGACATGCTGGCTGATAAATGTAAGTGCTTAGAAGCAGCCCTGAACGAGTCTGCACAGACAAATACAAATCAACGTATTCAAATAGCATCTCTCCAAAAAGATCTCGACGTAAAAGTAGCTGGAATAGCCAAGTTTAAAAAACATTGCAATCAGCAATATTCTAAGATAGGTATGCTCGAGAAGAAAATCGTAGGCCTGGAAAAAGTGATATCTGCCTTGAAAGCGTCTAATGAGCTTATTATCCTCACCAGGCTGATGCGTGCCGCACACACGAATAGCACGGAGACTGTTCGAATGCTGGTCAATGAGAGGATTGGCATCAGCAGACGTGACGAGCAGGGAATGACGGCCCTCATGCACGCAGCCCAGCAGGGGCACGTGGGCCCCGTTGAGCTGCTTGCCGAGAAGGAGAAGGGCCTCCAGGACAATAATGGCTGGACCGCGCTCATGCATGCTATGCATAATAACCATCCTGAAGTGGTCAAAGTTCTTGTCCGTTATGAATGTGGACAAAGAGCTAACAACCGTACCGCCTTGATGATTGCTGCAGAGAAAGGATGCACGGAGATGGCTTCTATTCTAGTTCCATATGAAAAGGGTCTGACTGATAGCAAAGGCAACACGGCCTTGATGATTGCTACAATTAATTCGCATATAGAAACTATCAAAGTAATTGCCCAATATGAGTATGGCTTTAAAGATTTGCATGGTTGCACCGCTCTTATGATGGCAGTGAAAGATAAACGGTTCAAGATAGTCAATATCCTTGCTGAGCATGAGAAGGGAATAAGAGATGAAAACAAATGTATAGCTCTTATCTATGCTGCCCAGACTGGTCACAGGAAAATAACGAAATTCCTCATGGACTATGAGAAGGACGTTGTAGGGTGGACAATGCTCATGTGCGCCGCAGCTCTTGGAGATATAGACATGGCGTCCCAGCACCTCGACGAGAAGGGCCATAAGGACAAACAGGGCCAGACAGCCCTCATCATTGCTGCTCAGAACGGAAGGGACGAGGTCGTGAAGCTTCTGATGAAACATGAGGGTGGCGCCTCAGGATGGACAAATCTCATCTATTTTGCATATCTCGGCGATGTTTGTGCAGTCAAAGAAAACCTTCACGAAAAGGGACGACAAGACGATGCTGGAATATCTGCTCTCATGTGGGCCATGCAGAAAGGTCACAATGAAATCATGGAAATCCTCCTCAGCCATGAGCGGGGACTCAAAGATAAGCAGAATCGTAATGTTCTATACTACGCTTTCAAGAGTGAGCATACAAAAGATATCGAGGCCTTTATAAAGAGTGAAGATCCGACAGACGGGAATGGTGTCACCGCACTCATGCGAGCTGCTGCCAGAGGAGATGCAGAGATGGTGAAGCTACTTATACCAATCCAAAAAGGTCTAAAAGATAACAGTGGACAGACCGCTCTTATGCACGCTTTTAATAATAAGCATAAGGATATTATCACTATGTTATTGAAATACGAAAAAGATTCTTCGTGGACGTCACTTATGTGTGCAGTTATTGAAGGAGATCTGCTAACAGTTAAGAAGTATCTTCATGAAAAAGATGCGGTAGATAAAGAAGGAAATACTGCCCTTATTTTCGCTGCTAAGGCAGGTCATAGGGATATGGTGGAACTTATAAATCCAACAGATGAAGATGGTGTCACCGCACTCATGCGAGCTGCTGCCGGAGGGGATGTTTCTACAGTATTAGCTCTTATTCCTCTTCAGCAAAGAATGCAAACTACGTCTAATGGATGTTACAAAAGTGGAAAAAACGACTATCCTTTTCCCAAAGGTTTTACAGCACTTATGTTTGCTACTCTATTTAAACAACAAAGTGTTGTACAAGAGCTTGTAAAGTACGAAAAGGGAATGAAGGCTCCACATCAATACCACCACTATTCATCATATCGATACCACCATTCTGTATGTAATGACAGGACTGCCCTTTCAATAGCTAAGTATTATCAATATACGCGTATTACGACTATACTCTCTGAATATTCTGAAGAACATTGCGAATAATTTCAGAACAATCTCTTTTGTGTAAATTGTCTAAAGACGAACTTATCATTTGAACTAGGGAGTTTCTCAGCGTTGATTAGTCGCTGGTTGTATCCTTCCTTTATTCGTAGCGTGTGCCGCACATTACTCTATATTGTCTAGGGCGTTAGTCTTGCGCTTTTGAAGATCTATCTAGTACATGATACTGAGCTCATAAAGCCTATAGGTCACCAGTGAGTGACTTGTTTACCCGTATATTGCACTGTGTCGCCTGGGTAGACTGGGACACAGCTATCTGTCACGATGGCATTCACAGCCTAAGGGTAGCTTATCTGGAGCATAGTGTGTCTAAGAGCATCCACACTGCTCCTATCCAAGCCTTCAAGCAAGATCTCCTTCACGGCGAGACTCGGATAACCTTCGAGGGAGTAGACTACACCTGTGGCATCTCTTCCTAGCACGCCATTCAGCCGCTCGTGGAGCTCCTTAAAGGTGAACGGTGGGATGGTGGGAGTCACTGCAGAAAGACTGAATGCGTTATTGCCATTGTCGGCCATGACAGTTTATTTTCAAAAATAAGACCAAGCGATTGGATTGAACGAGTGATTGGGCCGCACCCTCAGAGGCTACAAGAGAGCACAGGCTCTGCCAGCCTCACTTCTCGAATCTGTGTTCACGACAGCAGACACGTCGTCCCATACACTGTGGAGCGCCCTTGCATGCGCTGGCATGGCGTCCCTGTCTGTCCTGGCCCGTTCGCGACTATCACGCATTACTAGTACTCTGCACCAGCTCCCCCAACTGTGCAGTCATGGCCATTCCACGTGTGCACAGGCCATCTAGCAGCACTCGCCCGCGTCCTCTGCTCCTCCTCCGCCACTCATCCGCGTGGGCTATGCAGGGTCTAGTGGCCTTCCAGCGCTGACCCGTCGGTGCTCTCTTCTGAAGCTGCATGCCCTACAGGATCACCCGTGCTCACTGCATTTTTAGAACCCATCACGCACCAGGGGGCTCCCTCGCAACCAGTGCCCAGAAGGTCACGAGCAGGATTCATCGGCGCGTTTACTACCTAAGTCATGCCTTCCCTCTGCATATGAACCACCAGCAGAGGAAGCCCACAAGGCCAGCCACGACAACCACCACAGCGACGGAGATACCTGCTATGGCGCCTGTGCTGAGGCCGCTCCTGTTGCCCCCGCTGGGCTTAGTGGACACGCACGCCTCACCCTCCAGCCTGTAGTCGTCCCCGCACCGGCCGCACTTGTTCTCCTCGCTGCACCTGACGCACCCGTCGATACTGCAGGCGATGCACTGGGAGCCGTCTGTGTTCGGCCTCTGGTCTTTACTGGTACAGGCCTCGCACTTGCCGCCTGCTCCACAGTGCGAGCATCCGTCAACGGTACAGGTGAAGCACCCGCTCCCAGCCAGGTTGGGCTTGTTGTTGCCGCTACACGCTGTGCATGTGGCAGGGGTCATGCCAGGAGCCTCTAGCGCTGCTGGGGCCGTGCATGCTGTGCAGCCATATACTCCCACATATGCCTTAGCGGTGCTGCCAGCCCCTATCACTGTGCCAAGGGGGTTCTCGCAGGCCAGGACAGACTGATCAGTATTGGATGCCCCCGGGACCAGGAAGTACCGGCCGTTCTCGCTGGGGGCGGTGCACCTCCCTCCCTCGGCGGTCTTGCACATGTGGCTGCCAGGAGCCTTCGACACATCATAGCAGCCGCCCATGTACAGGAAGAACCCGGCAGCACACCGGGTGCAGACGCCGTTCTCGCAGGTGTTGTCACCCTTAGTTCCTGTGCAGACCCCATCGATGGGGAACGTGGCGGGGTCTCCGCACAGCGAGCAGTACTGGGAGAACGCCCCGGCGCTGTCAACGACGACCGCCCCGCAGGCCCCAGACGTCCCCCCGCAGGCCGTGGGGTCCTCGCAGACCTTTGTGCACTTCACCGGATTGGTTCCCTCCTTGCGATAGTTGGACTTGCAATCGGTGCATGTAGGGGTTAGGCCGCTGTTACATTGGGAGCACCCCTCTATGCCATTGTCGGCTTTACTGTCGCAGGCGAAGCACTTACCAGCAGAGCCGGGTTGTTTCAGGAAGTACCCTGGCTTGCATGTATCACACTTATCATTTCCAGCTTGAGTGCAGGTGGCGCAATTCTCGCCACAAGGGTCGCAGGTAACTGAGTTCCCGCTTCCCTTTTTTATATACCCAGCTAAACAGGCAGAGCATTGATCCTTGCCTGGACAGCTGCTACACCCGGCAACGCCGCCTCGCGCATCATCGCCACATAGGACACAAGCCTTTGGAGGTGTTTGATCAATAAAATGAGTGCTAGTGCACTCTCCCTCCGCAACGCATGTCGTCGTCCCGTCTGCCGCTGTCTTCACTATCTTGCTACTGCTGCAGGTCTTACATTGTGGTTGACTAATAGTTGCATTGTACTCACAGGTGGCACAGTCAGCTATGTCAGTAGCGCAGGCCTTGCACTTGTCTACTTTTGGATCTGCATAGCTATCACTACCACATCCACTAGCCTCTACACACTCAGTCCCCTTCAGGAACTTCCCCTTGGGGCAGGCGGTGCACTGAGTCGGAGTAGCAGACTCACACGTCAAACAGCCGGGTCCGCATTGCACACATGCATCGCCCTTCTTGGCGTACCCTCCTTGGCATGCAGTGCACGTGGCAGCCCCTGTACCGCCACCTGGCGCCGTGCATGTGTAGCAGCCCGCCACCCCCGTGACTCCGTCTCGCGGAGCGACGTCCGAGCAAAGCACGCACTCGTTGCCAGGGGCTACTGGGCTGGCCGGGTTCTGGAATAGATACGCGGCGCCTGCCTTGCAGGTGGTGCACACCCCCTTGTCGGCCGCCGTGCAGATCTCAGACCACTGGCTCGTCTTGTAGCACCCGCCCATGAAGAGGAAGTACCCGTCCCCGCACTTCCCGCAGATAGTATCCGACCCCGCCAACGCGGTCCCGTCTGCCCTGGTGCACCCGGCCGCCGCGGCCTGGGGGGTGCCGGGGGGCCAGCAGAAGCCGCCGACCGGGACGCCCCCGGCCCTGCACTCGGTGCAGATCTCGGAGTACCCGACCGTCTCGCACTTGTCGGTCTGGCAGCTCGCGGCGTGGTCTCCGTCTGGCTGGCAAGGCGCTACGAGTGTGACTGCAAGCGTGGTTCCTACACACAGCAGTGGGTGCCGCCTCAGAGGGTCCGCCTCCGCCACCCGCTGTGTACCGAATGTTGTGCTTGCAATGGGGAGTGCATGTTGAGATATGGTCGATAGGCGCCCTGTCGACCCTGTGGGAGGGCGGCACTCGGCCTTCTTAGAAGCTATGCTCCCAGTAGATGGCTACAGTGAGCAAGCCCTGACTCGTCTGGCTTCAGTTCCGTACGTAGTTTATTGCTCAGTCGATTGTGAACAGCCCTTGAGGCCCGGTGCCCTAATCCGGTATTGGGGATCTGACTATGTAACACGCCACTGAAGTAGAGTGGGTGTTTCCAAAAGCGCGTGACTTGATGCAACTCTCCAATGCATCGGTTCGCCCTACCACGGGGGATGGCCGGGGCTGGCCTGGACATGGCTTTTCTCTAGTACTGATCAGTTCACAGGTTTCCTTCTTATGTTTACAACATACTAATAAATAAGCCAAGCCAGTCCTAGGCACACCGCATGCTGATTCTCCTGTGTGCTGCTGCATGTCTCGCCGAGGCGTGCGGGACAGGACCTGCATGTGTTAACGGAGACTGCGCCTACGGGGACGGAGCATACTTCTGCCAGTGCAGGCGGGGCTGGGCGGGGGCTGCGTGCGACGCTCCCCGCGCGGGGTTCCGCAGAGTAACTACTAATACTGGCAAGGCGTCTACAGACAGGGCCGTCAACTACGCCTGCCTCGTGAACGGGACAGAATGCACAGGGTCGAGCAAGTGCACCTACTACGCGGGGGCGTACTCGTGTGATCCCTGTCCCGATGGCTTCGTGTCCTACGAGGGCGAGTGCTTACCAAAAAAGTGCTTTAATAATGATGGTGACTATTCAGGACAGGAGGCAACGAAGGCCCCCTGCAACGGCCGCGGCCGCTGCCTCCTGAAGGACCCCGGGCTGGCCGGACTGAGTGCTGACGACTACGCGTGCGACTGCTACCCGATCTACCGTGGGGGCCTCTGCCAGTCGTGCGATGACGCCAACGCGATCGCTGCGGGAAGCTCTTCGTCTGATGCCCTCCCTACGTGCAATGCGCGGGCCTGCCAGGACTCGGATGGGGTCGTGTGCTCAGGCCAGGGAACGTGCATCCTCGACGTGGGCCTCAATCGCGAATCATATCACTACCGTTGTGTCTGTGAGACGGGATATACACGCGTTGGGCACAAGTGCGTCAGGACGGAGTGCGTGGCCACGATCGACGGGTCTCCGGTCGTCTGCGGGGGCTTTGGGAAGTGCACGGATAAAGATAGCCCCGGTACCTTCAAGTGCGTTTGCGATTCGGATGCAGTCCAGGTCGGTCAGTTTTGTACATACTCCGCGTGCACAGACGAGTCCCGCTCAAAGATCTGTGGTGGAGTGGGCGCCTGTGTGCGCAACGGCGCTGGCTATAGTTGCGACTGCCGAGGGCTTGCCACGGGCGACCTCTGCGATACTTGCACTGACAAGTCTGCTAAGATAAATGGCAAGTGCGTTCCAGTGGGGTGCCTCACCTCGGACAACCAAGAATCATGCAAGAACGGAGGAACATGCGTCAAATCCGACGGCGAGTACCACTGCCGCTGCCCGGACATGCTCATTGCCATAAACGGAGAGTGCACGTCCCCCGCGTGCATGGACGAGGAACTTGGGAAGGTCTGCTCGGGACACGGTACGTGCAAGACGGACGATCTACGAAATATACAATGCACTTGTAATCAGGACTATACCTACTTCGCCCCGGGGCGCTGCATCTTGAGCAGTCTGGTGGATAGCCCTGCCACGGTTTGCAGTGATCATGGACGCATTGTCGTTAGTGCTGAGGCTCCTTATACGATGACGTGCCAGTGTTCGCCTATCTACACAGGAGCTAAGTGCGCAGAATGTGATCAACAAAATGCGCAAATGATTGGCGAGAAATGCATTGCAAAGAAGTGCATTGTGCAGCAACAGCCACCGGATCCACAGCCCAGTCTGCGCATGGCTACTGCTCAGGATATCTGCGGGAACACAGGCACGTACACCACTTATGGAGATCCGAGCAATCCGTTCATCACATGCGTTCCTAAAGATGCCAGTAGCGGGAATGTCTCCGCCTACAACGGCACCTTCTCTGCTCCACGTGGATGTGTATTTATCAGTAAGATAGACAAGACAAGAAGGTTCTATTGTGGATTCCTTGAGAATGTAACAGAAAACCTGCCAACCAATAACTTGCCTACGTGCGCCAAACCTTCCGGAAAACCCGATCTGCCTGAAACATGTACTCACTGTCCAACTGACTTTCACCTTGTACACTTTGGGGAAAACAATAGCACATGTATGCACAAGAGTTGTCACGATGGCCAATCCAGTAGTCAGATGTGGTACAATTACTGCGGCGGTGTGGGAGACTGCATTCAGAAAAAGGATAAAAGCGGATACGAGTGTGATTGTGGGACTGCTGCCAAATGGGATCCAAATTTGAAGGCGTGTGTCACTGATGCATGCAAGCTTGACAAGAGTCTTGCTGGTCCATGGGCGCCCGAGTATTGCGCTGGGCCGTCTACCTTTACGCTCGAATGCACTGTCGGACGGGACACAACGTGGCAGTGTAATTGCACTGGGGACTATGTTACGTACAACAAGACGTGCATTTCAAAGAGTAAGAACGCTGATCCAAAGACTCAGCGAGCAAGGGGGCTCTGCGGTGGTCCTGGTGCGGGATATATAGACAGTACTGGAACCTGCGTCTGCAGCAATGGCTTCCTCAAGATCGGTGACATGTGCTACAGCTACGACTGCCTGCCAGTTGGCATATCAGATAACATAAGGAATCCGAATATCAACGTGCTTGTCTGCTCCGGAAAGGGGGTCTGCGCATACAACCAGCTGACCGGCCGGTACGGCTGCGAGTGCGAAAGTGGCCTGGAGGCCTTTGGGGGCTACTGCACTCATCCAGGATGCGCCGGAAAGGTAATGCATAACGGAGAAATTAAGTATGTTGAGTGCAAAATCTACGATGGGACAACTGGAGATTGTACAAACGATAAGGGCACATATTCCTGCAAGTGTACTACTCCGTATAGATCTGTCAATGGGATCTGTGTTCATCAGCGTTGCGTATCGTATGATAACGTCTATTGCGGAGGAGATGTCCTGGCTGCATGCGTGCAGGGGAGTAATTACTATTACGGGTGTGTCTGCTCCGAAGGCTATGAGAGGGGCCAGCTCAATTCGGAATGCATTCCAAGTAAGTGTGTTTACAGAAGGCTGCTGAGTGATCCCACTATTGCATGCAATGGGTTAGGAACATGTGGCGGAGAAGGATCTTTGTTGAAGAATAGGCGGTGTGAGTGCAAGTCTGGTGCTAAGCTAGTCACACTTAGAGATGTGAATGGGGAGTTGAGAGAAACATGTATATTAAGTGAGTGCATTTCTAGTGAGGACGGAGTGGAACCGCCGATTATCTGTGGAGGACTAGGCAGTTGTGGGCCCACAGGATGCGTATGCGATCTGGGGACAAAGTTATTTAAAAGGGCTTGCTTTGGTATCAACTGCTTTATTAACACCGTAGATGATAGCGGACGACTTGTTGAGTCTGTGTGCGGTGGCGAGACCGTTGGGGTGTGCACAAAGATAGCATCACACGGCGATCGTCGAGACTACGCTTGTAAGTGCAAGGACCCGAGGCCTGACGGGTATGAAGAACTTGATGGGTTCTGTCTGCCAAAAGCTTGCATGTTTGAAATCACAACCTTGACTAATCAGCAGGTGAGGACGATGTGCGGTGGAAAGCAGTTTGGAACATGCGTTCTTAATGCTACTCAATCATCCAAGTCATACTGTAAGTGCATAAATCGATATGACATTATTCAAATAACAAATGGAAAGTGTATGAAGAAAACCTGTCTTAGCGACTCTCTTTCTGGAGGTCCGGAGGGATACGTTGAATGTTCTGGACATGGGAAGTGTATAGGGGATCATATTGTGGGGTACTCGTGCAATTGTGACGAAAATTATCAAACGGTTGCAGACGATCGCCGTTATTTGTGCGTACCAGCTGTCTGTGTTGTATCAGAGACAAATTCCAGTACTATATGCAACGGAAGAGGGACCTGTCAGTTCAAGACAGACCCAGGAAAGTGCGAGTGTAGGCCTGGGTATGATGGTACCAAATGTGAGACGTGTGCAAATGGCTACAAGGAACACACAGATGCACAGTGCTACCTCAATGGCTGTCCGGCAGACAATTGTGGCACGGAGGAAAATACTAGCGTAGGAGCTTGCCAATTTAGCGGAAACAGTTTTGCTTGCGTCTGCGTCAACTCGAGCTTCGTCGTTGACAGTGCTAGCAAGAAGTGCCGAAAATCCAGATGCGTTTGGACGGATCCATACGATCAGACAGAAAAAACGTGCTACGGCATGGGTACGTGCAATGATAACGGCGAGGACACTGGGGCGTGTGTTTGCAACCCCGGGACAACCCTAGTCGGGACAAACATCTGTGTTTATAGCCAGTGCATCTCGGATGGAAGCGACTCCAAAGCAATATGCAAGGGGCGCGGGACATGCGTAGAGGGCCCTGTCGCCGGGACAGGACTGTGCAGGTGCGACAGCAGCAGATACCGCACAGACAAGAAGACCGGCCAGTGCTTTGTCAAGGAGTGCTTCGGGGCGCACGAGAGCATTCTTTCGGAGGTCTGCGATGGTGGTGGAACATGCAGTGAAGACACTAAAAAGTGCAACTGTAGCGTAGACGGCTTCCAGAATCTCGACGGCCAGAACGGCTGCGTGCACAGCAGCTGCGTCTCGTCGGACAACAAGCTCTGCAGCGGCTTCGGCGCCTGCGAGAAGACCGGCGACACCTACGGCTGCCTGTGCGCAAGTTACTATATTCTGGTCGACAAAGACTGCATCCCCACAAGATGTCTCAAGGACGGGAAGGTCTGCAACGGCGGTGGCACGTGCTCCGGCGAGGGATCCTCTGCGACCTGTAGCTGCAACCAGGGCTGGACCCTCCACGGGACTCTCTGCTACCCATCGGCCTGCGTTTCCAGTGGGACGCTCTGTGGGGGGAACGGCGACTGCCAGCTCTCCGACGGAGGCTCGTGCAGCTGCAGAAGCGGCTACGAGACCGTCTCCGGGGGGCTCTGCATCAGCAGCCAGTGCGTCCAGCGCGGCACCGACGGCACCGTGACGATCTGCGGGGGCAACGGCAGGTGCGTGTCCGAGAACGGCGTGACTCCCAGCTGCGTGTGCAACGAGGGCTTCTCTCTCACAAGCGACTTCGTCTGCGGAGTCCCTGCTCCATCCAACAAGTCATCAAGTACCATAACGATTGCAGTCGTGGTCGTCGTCCTCCTCGTCCTCGTTGCGGTGGCCGGCTTCCTCGTCTGGTGGTTCGTGATACGGCCCAGGAAGAGCGGTGAGCTGAGGGAGCGCGCCCCGCGGAAAGGCCCTAGCTTTAGTGGCTCGCAAAAGCTCAAGAAGCAAGCAAGCTCCAAGGCGTCGCTCCACGCCACTGCGCCCCTACTGAGCCGGTCATCTCATGCCGGTTCTAGTGTCCAGCTCTAGTTCGCCGCCATCCATGCAAGATATTGCAGCATGCACGAGTCGGTCCTCCAAAACTGTAAATCTGGGTATAAGACTCATTCGACTCGAGTAGAGGAATCATCTACTGAGAGTAATTGTCCCTCGCCTGAGGCGCATCCAGAGTCCGCACGGCAGCCCGTCCAGGCCTGATCTGTCCGAGGATGGGATGATCGTAGGCAGCAAGCAGGTGTTCCCCTCCACTAGTGCGAGGGACGACCATGGGCCCAGTGCGGTCGTCGGTGCCTGGGCTTGTGTCTCGTGCAACGCGGGCTGGAGATCAGACCAGCCCGGCGATCGGAGCAGAGCAGAGTCCGACAAGTGCAAGGCGGTGGGCGTGGGTGTCATCCAGTAACCAGATGGATACCACAGCGAGAGGACAGAGGCACATACGGACACCACCCACCCGGTCCCCATCAGGAGCCCCCTATCAGTCCTCTTCTACCCACTAGCTGGACCGGGACACAGCCAGTGGAGAGAGCCCCGATGTCAGCCCTCGACAGGCGGGAACATCTAAAAAAGACAGCGGCCAGAGCCTCACCCACCGTGAAGCGAGGGACCTCTAGCAAACCACATGAGCCTGTGAGAAGACCAGGGCTTTAGATGCACACTCTCAGATAGCGCACGTTCCCGCAAAGTAACCGAGGAAGGCAAAAGACTCTGGATACAATACTAGAGAGAAGCCTCTGTTTGCTGTCTACAACCAACCCTCGCCCTCAGACTGGCCAGGAATTGAACGAGAAGTTATTCGTGAGACTCCTAGACCACGCTCAGGTGGGGGCTCAGCAGCATAGTACAAACGGATATCAGTGTCTAGGGGAGCAGCCTGTTTGGCGTTGGCCGACTTAGTCTTGAGCAGAGTCACCCTCTCTGAGACGCCCTGTATAAAGAGCGAGAGCAATAGCAAAGCATCAGGATAGTGATCGCCAGTTGGGTGCGGTAGAACACGTGATAGTCACGGGCGTCACATACAAGAAGGCTGTGGGCACTATGGTAGAGGACAACACTCAATACTCCAGAGTTGGATGCCACAGCGCCCTAAGTACTGGTAGAGATGCGATCTGACAGTCAGCACTCTCCACTGAGCACGTATTGGACAACCTTCTGAGATGGAAGTTGATGATAATCGAGATTGACTGGTGACTCCAAAAACAGAGCTTGTTCATCAGAAGAGTGCGCTGCCACCAGCAGAGCTTTATCACTATCTGTGTCGCACTATAATGTTGCTGATTGCATTGCACCTTGTGACAAGCATACTCGCGGCGCCTTGCCAGCCAGACGGAGACCACGCCGCGAGCTGCCAGACCGACAAGTGCGAGACGGTCGGGTACTCCGAGATCTGCACCGAGTGCAGGGCCGGGGGCGTCCCGGTCGGCGGCTTCTGCTGGCCCCCCGGCACCCCCCAGGCCGCGGCGGCCGGGTGCACCAGGGCAGACGGGACCGCGTTGGCGGGGTCGGATACTATCTGCGGGAAGTGCGGGGACGGGTACTTCCTCTTCATGGGCGGGTGCTACAAGACGAGCCAGTGGTCTGAGATCTGCACGGCGGCCGACAAGGGGGTGTGCACCACCTGCAAGGCAGGCGCCGCGTATCTATTCCAGAACCCGGCCAGCCCAGTAGCCCCTGGCAACGAGTGCGTGCTTTGCTCGGACGTCGCTCCGCGAGACGGAGTCACGGGGGTGGCGGGCTGCTACACATGCACGGCGCCAGGTGGCGGTACAGGGGCTGCCACGTGCACTGCATGCCAAGGAGGGTACGCCAAGAAGGGCGATGCATGTGTGCAATGCGGACCCGGCTGTTTGACGTGTGAGTCTGCTACTCCGACTCAGTGCACCGCCTGCCCCAAGGGGAAGTTCCTGAAGGGGACTGAGTGTGTAGAGGCTAGTGGATGTGGTAGTGATAGCTATGCAGATCCAAAAGTAGACAAGTGCAAGGCCTGCGCTACTGACATAGCTGACTGTGCCACCTGTGAGTACAATGCAACTATTAGTCAACCACAATGTAAGACCTGCAGCAGTAGCAAGATAGTGAAGACAGCGGCAGACGGGACGACGACATGCGTTGCGGAGGGAGAGTGCACTAGCACTCATTTTATTGATCAAACACCTCCAAAGGCTTGTGTCCTATGTGGCGATGATGCGCGAGGCGGCGTTGCCGGGTGTAGCAGCTGTCCAGGCAAGGATCAATGCTCTGCCTGTTTAGCTGGGTATATAAAAAAGGGAAGCGGGAACTCAGTTACCTGCGACCCTTGTGGCGAGAATTGCGCCACCTGCACTCAAGCTGGAAATGATAAGTGTGATACATGCAAGCCAGGGTACTTCCTGAAACAACCCGGCTCTGCTGGTAAGTGCTTCGCCTGCGACAGTAAAGCCGACAATGGCATAGAGGGGTGCTCCCAATGTAACAGCGGCCTAACCCCTACATGCACCGATTGCAAGTCCAACTATCGCAAGGAGGGAACCAATCCGGTGAAGTGCACAAAGGTCTGCGAGGACCCCACGGCCTGCGGGGGGACGTCTGGGGCCTGCGGGGCGGTCGTCGTTGACAGCGCCGGGGCGTTCTCCCAGTACTGCTCGCTGTGCGGAGACCCCGCCACGTTCCCCATCGATGGGGTCTGCACAGGAACTAAGGGTGACAACACCTGCGAGAACGGCGTCTGCACCCGGTGTGCTGCCGGGTTCTTCCTGTACATGGGCGGCTGCTATGATGTGTCGAAGGCTCCTGGCAGCCACATGTGCAAGACCGCCGAGGGAGGGAGGTGCACCGCCCCCAGCGAGAACGGCCGGTACTTCCTGGTCCCGGGGGCATCCAATACTGATCAGTCTGTCCTGGCCTGCGAGAACCCCCTTGGCACAGTGATAGGGGCTGGCAGCACCGCTAAGGCATATGTGGGAGTATATGGCTGCACAGCATGCACGGCCCCAGCAGCGCTAGAGGCTCCTGGCATGACCCCTGCCACATGCACAGCGTGTAGCGGCAACAACAAGCCCAACCTGGCTGGGAGCGGGTGCTTCACCTGTACCGTTGACGGATGCTCGCACTGTGGAGCAGGCGGCAAGTGCGAGGCCTGTACCAGTAAAGACCAGAGGCCGAACACAGACGGCTCCCAGTGCATCGCCTGCAGTATCGACGGGTGCGTCAGGTGCAGCGAGGAGAACAAGTGCGGCCGGTGCGGGGACGACTACAGGCTGGAGGGTGAGGCGTGCGTGTCCACCAAGCCCAGCGGGGGCAACAGAAGCGGCCTCAGCACAGGCGCCATAGCAGGTATCTCCGTCGCTGTGGTGGTTGTCGTGGCTGGCCTTGTGGGCTTCCTCTGCTGGTGGTTCATATGCAGAGGGAAGGCATGACTTAGGTAGTAAACGCACTGGTTTATATGTGCTTTACGTACCGCTGGACTGTCCGGGCGACTCTGGGGTCATCAACAGCAGTTGTGGCGCAGAGAGCTAGTCCTGCCCACATGTGGATATATTCCTACCGAGCGGTTACGTGTCACCAATGGACCGCGATTTCCTGTGTGGCTTGTGGTGCCATGCGTAGGACTGTCCCATCTTGAAGGAGTCCTCCGTTTCCAGTAACGAACCCGAGTTGTCGTCATCGGATGCACAGAGGGTAGCGTGCTGGCACGTGTCCATCAGTAGAGAGAGTCACCAGCACAAGGTAGTCGAGATGTCCTGATTCAGTGCAACTGCTTTCAGGGCACAAAATGAAACTATAATCCTGAGTTGACTAGCTCTAAGTTTAGCTAGACGCTTACTAGACACATCTGTCCAGTTTTGACCTACTAAGCGCTGTCGTGGATTTACCTATCTACAGATACCTCCACTAACATGTAAGTGGAGTCATAAGTGATTAGACAACCTTATGCAATCTGGGTTATCGGCCACAATAGAATTGTTGCATTATTTTTAATTATATTTCCACGGATTAACAATCCATTGACTAAAAAGCAAAGCACAGAGACCCAGGATCACAAAGTAGCAAAACATCCTTTCAAATTTCGACAGCGAAGTAGAAACCTTCTGGGCGACTGCGAGAAGTCGATCATCAGTCCTCTGCTTTACAGTACCTAGCAGCTTCACAGAAAACCGTAGCTCTTGCAGCTCTATCAGCTTGGTCTTGACATTTCTGTGTAAATCTAAATCGTCGCGAACTAATAGGATACCTGACTCCTTAAGTGTATCAATGGCCGCGGCGATACAAGGAATCCCATTGACATCTTCTGGAAGATACTCTTCATCCATCAACAATACTTTGAGTAGCTCAGCCTCTTCGTTAGCAATGCTTACAAGCGCGTTGATGAGATGGTCTTGGTTAGAGAGCAGAGCCTTGAGCTCTGTGATTTCTACCGCGTAGTCATTTGTCGGTTGCACGTTATCATCTATTGATGTCTTCAGCTCGGATCTGCGGTAGTTAACAGGCGATTCCGGCTCATAGGCATCGTCAGGGGGATTGCTTAATGAAAGCTGCATTGTAAGAGGCGGCGTCGAATCTAGGGCAGGTTCATTGGTTAGAAGTGTGGATACTGGAGGAGTACCGTCAGATTGATTAGACTGAAAAGATAGAGTGGCAAACTCCACATTAATCGGCAAATTGCTTCCAGTTATCAATGGAGGATGACTACCTTCAGCTAACGTAGGCTCTGGTGGCCTTTGGATAGTGCTGAGCCTAACCAGCTCTCGTTCAGACCTTTGTAACTGTTTGGTCAAATCAGCAATTAAGGCAGACTTTTTGAAGAGGTCATCGCTCATCACACAAATGGCCGAGCTAAGCTCGTGAATCTGAGTGGCCATGGAGTCAAGCTTATCAATAACCTCCTTGTCTTCTAGGAGGGTAAAAGTAGCACCGTTGGTAGCAGACTGGGGCTGCAATTTGAGGATGTGGAACGCCTGTGTAGATGACATTTCTTGCATCACTGAAGTATTTGCAGAAAGGAAAAGCCCAGCATTGCCAATTTGAGACGCGGTAATAGCGCTCTGTTTCTCCTGGTTTACGTGAAGCATGGATGCATCTGGGGTCTGAGTCACCGCCGCAGAAGATATTAGAGCACTATCTTGCGGTTTGCTCATAGCTAGCAAAGCCGAATTCACTTTTTTCTACTCAAACGCAGCCAGAAGTTAAGCTTAGAGCAGATAGGAGTTTGTCATAGTGTTCCTTGATACCTTGGTCGTCTAGTGCAAGGGCCATGTTATCAATGCTAGAAAGTAAGCATGTCATGTCAGTAGTTCCTTTAACTTTGTCCAGGACATCCTGTTTGTCTAGCAAAAGCGACAGGCTTCGTAGAAGAGTCCGGCTAAGGGCTGTGACGTGCTTGCTATCAAGGAAGCTATACACCAACGTATTGGACGCGAGCACCCGCACGGTTTCGATGAGGCTTTCCGCAAAGAGACACTGAAAAGCAAGGGCCATGGAAAGCGCCAGCTGTGCTGCATGATTAAATAACGAGATGATCGTGTCCACTGTCCAGGCGTCAATGTTCAACGTCATATCCGTGAGGAGGTAGACCAGAGCTGCTAACGCTGTATCGGAAGAGGCTGGGACAATGACCTGTGAGATATGCTGTATGATTCGCTGCAAAGCGAGGATGCGGAAGTTAGGAGTTGTGAGTGAGTCAAACAGGACATCTAAGAGTCTGCTATACCGTCTGATATACAATTCAGAAGCAGATTTAGAAGTACAACCAAGAATGTCACTTGCCTTGTCATTGACCCTCTCCGCCACAAAAACCAATTGATAGTGCGCCGGGCCGCGATTTTTCATCTGATAGGTTAAAAAATGCTCGGTAAAGGTAAATAGTTCAATCAATTGAGTCTCATGTTTGAGATTTGTCAATGGAAGCACTGCAATGAAGAACTCATAAGCTCTCTCAAAGAAGAACACCGATAACGGCTTCTTACACTCCTCAGACCAGTCGAATTCCCGCTTCATTGCGTCAGTAAGTTTAGAACAAAGAGACGCAAGAGTGGTTTCATTTTGGAGCAAAGGTTGTGCTAGCTCAAACAGCCGAACTGATGACATTCCTCCCGACTTGAGAAGCGCCACCAGAGCCGTGCAGTCTAGCTGCATCAATCGGGGAGCCGAAGAAAATTTAAAATGGATGGTGTGGGGCGTCAAGAGGAGGCAGTTGAGGTTAGGCATATCGTCCTCGCGGGTGGTTGCTTCTGGGGCCTCCAGGCGCTTATGGATAGCTTCAAGGGTATCTGTACCACTGTCGTTGGTTATGCAAACGCAAGCACAGATGCACGTGGAGTGATGCCATCTGGTAGCGTAGAAGCCCAGACTGTTCCATTTCTCAAGCATGCAAACGTCCCTGCTTGCGGGCTTTCATATCAGTCCGTCTGTTCTGGCGCAACAGACGCTGCGGAGGCTGTGGCCATTGAGTATGATAGACGGGTGATCACACTAGAAAACATACTCGACATATTCTTCGCTGTGATCGATCCGACGAGCAAAAATTCTCAAGGAAATGACGTCGGGACACAGTACAGGTCCGGGATTTACTACCTTCCATGTGAAAAGGATGACGTTCAGATAATAGAAAAGAAAGTGCAGGAGCTTCGGCCATCCTATGAGAAACCGATTGTGACAGAGGTAGCTGAGCTGAAAAACTATAGCGTGGCCGAAGAGATGCATCAAAAGTACCTGGCAAGTAGGCCAAATGGGTACTGCCACATAAATGTCTCTGCTGCCAGAGAGAGGTTTGCACACCTTCTATGACTTCATCTATGATTTCAGCGGGCCAGTATCTATGAATTCGCCAGTAATGTGCTTCTTACGTGCTTGCTTAGCTGATACAACGTTTGGCATGCGTTAGTGAACGGCTTGTCTTCACTTATGGCACTTTCAATTGCATCGATGACAGACAGTGCAGATGGGCTCATTAGCTGAATGCTTTGTCCCAATAGACGCAATACTAACTCTTTTTCGCACCCAGGAAGATTTCTCATGAGCACATCTTTTGCTTCTTGGCTCAAGCAATTGTAGAAGGGCTGCAACCCCAGAATACTCTCCTCTTCGGTGTCCACGGGACGATGGAACAAACGTTGAAGGAAACACAGAAAATTGTACGTAAAATAACTTCTGGTAGAGGCCATAGAATACGCTACGCAAGCGAACTCGTGAGTCCTTGGAATGCCTGCTCGATTGAAAATAGACTCTGTACTATGAACACTACTATTATGAGCCTGGTGCTCTGATCCTTTGGGGACGGGGGCCTTTTCCTGATGACTCAATGGTGGAAACTGTGGATTCCTGTGTGCGGTCGCATGGGTTTGTAGTTGGGGAGACTGCCTAACAGTTGGTACGGGAGGCGGTAGTGAAATTGGGGCCAAAGAGGAAAGCTGATTTGGTTGATTTGAAGCAGGGGGCTGAACTATTGTATTAGGAATTGATAGAGGGGCAGAGGGGGCTGGAGAAACAGTGGTGTGTATAGTTGGCTTGCGTTCAGATGAAATAGATAGAGTAGAGCCTTGTTGCACGCCAGGCGTGGTTGTCTCTGTGCTGTCACGAGTGGCAAGCATGGTATTCGGGTGTGTCATCGACAAAGATGAACCCAAGGGGGCCTGAATAGTTCTATCCTGATCTACAGTTTTCTTACATATTGCTGACCTATTATCAACTTTCCCGTTCTTTTTGATTAGCAACTGCTTATCTTTGACTGCTGGTGACTCAGAGGATATCCTTCCATCACTTGTTAATATCACATGACCCATCTTGCACGCGTAGCAGTTAGGGTCTACCGATCCATCATCAAGGGTCTTCAGGAGCTGAACCTTTACTTTTGTAGTGTTCTGCATGCAGCACACCTTCTTTCAATAATATATGGCAAGATAGTAAATTGCAATTTACCATAAATAGCAAAATGATAATAACAACAATAATAACGAGCCGATGACATCGGTGGACATGTTGAAAGACGACTTTCTCTGCCAGGAGCAGTACATTGTTGAGCTTCCTGATGCCCTTGCCGAGGCTGCTCGTCGCAATCCAGACTTTGCATTTGAATTCGTCTTTGATATTACTGGTCAGTCGGGAGAGATGCACCTGTTGCGCCAGTACGACAATCTTCTCCGTGTGTACCCCTTCAGAGTCTTTAAAACGCCCTTGGCGACAGAGTCATATGTGTCTGCTGATGGAGACTACTACTATAAATCTGCAGACATATCAGACATGATCATTGTCTACGAACCAGACAAAATCCCTAAGCTGTTTGTTGACTATGAAATATCACAGAAGGTCAAGCTAATCTGCTCTGCCGCCGGAAACCCTGTCTTTGATCCCAGTGTTAATATGAGCCCTCACGGCCTCACTCCTCCTACAGCGTGGGCTCCTTTCCATCTGTGGCCAAACATTCCAACAAGGCCGAGCTATTTCCCTCCGGCTACTGATGAGGTTGTGGTGACGTTTGATGAGATACACACAGACAAGAAGAATCAAGCGGGCGCCAAAATCGACTAGACGTACTGACCCTCTGGTGATACGTTTCTGTCCACTTGTCCAGTACACCGCTTGGAATGTACTGATCTCCGTTATAGTCTATTCCTTCATAAGAAACAAGATACTTCACTAGATCGTTGGCTAAAGCCTCGCCAATCTGATCAAGCAGCTGGTGCCCCCGATCCTTGATATCATACTTGCTTCTGGCGTCTTCTAGTGCCCTCATGCAATCCTCAGTGGTCGCTATGGTAATGTGAATATACCCGGTGTAGTTTATCTGTTTGTCGACCATGTACTTGCCGATAGCCACGGAGATGGAGTGACAGCCTGCATGGATTAACCCGATGCATACCCAAAGATTGTGCCCCTGCTGCAGATAGATGCCATAAGTGTATCCATCGGGAAGGGGAGGGGGCTGGATTGCAAAGACGGTCACGTGCGTCACACTCGTGACTTCTGGTATGCAGAGCGTCAACTGGGAGTCTCCGCGAACTTCAAATTCTGTGATCGGTGGTTTCCCAGGCAACAGCACACCAAAACTCATTTATTTTAAATTGAACTAGAAACTAATTAAACCTTGTTTGTGTACTCAAGATCCAATCGAATGCTATATGGCGCTATTGCGCTTCATGAAGATGTCAGATACTGCTTCGGTGAATTTCGACCTTTTGTGCGAATCTATGTCGATAGCATCTGCCAATTGTTGAAGCTGCGCCACAATCTGCACGATTACAGAGCTGTTGATGCGTGAGATAGCGGCTATCACCGCAGTTTTTTGGTTAATCTGTGCGCAAGCGAAGATGAATGATGATGTTTGAATTATCATATTTATCTTCTTATCCACAACCCCTTGGATTACGTAGACCATAGCGTTTATGGGGACAGCCGTCGATAGGCCATCTGTAAATGAGTAGCAGAGTGGGCTAGCATGTGTGTTGCTCCCGGGGGCAGTAGAAGACGTTATCGAATTTGTTATGGAGCCTAATAAAGATGGAGAAGACCCGATTCCAAGATTCTGAGGAATATTTGAGAGATTCGTGTATAGCTTAAGAGAATCATATGTCTGCTCTGAGTCCATGATATAAGAGTGTATGTTAATTGCTGCTGCTGTGATCTCTTCATCGAAGATGGTTGAGGCACTGAAGAGCGTTAGGCACCCGAGGATGTTGTTAGTGTACTCTAAATTAATGGTGTTTGAGCCGCTATTACTTATTTGGCTAAATGAGTTTGTGATGGTATTGCTCATCAAGGCCTTTGCGAGGAAAATGTAAACAGATTGCAGTGAGACCAGTATTCTATTTTGCTTTGTGTCAGTGACTATGTCTGAGGTAGAAGCCTCGCAGAGCAGTGCCATGATGGTTCGAACCGCATACTTCGGAAGAGCGCCCATAATCTCAGGGTTCTTAACCAAAACCACGTGGAGGAAGTCTATTGTGTTAAGAAGAAGATTACAATTGTGATGGAGTCTGTAATCAAGCATCCAGTCTTTGTTCATGAGCGCAATAAGTGATAATATATTCTGACAGGCAGGAGTGTTAGCAGCAGTGGTAGCTTCTGTATAGAGATATGTCCCCAGCTCGACAATGGCAGAGAGTAGGCGGAAAAGATGGTGCCTGGACACGTGTTCCAGAAGCTGATTTTCGCACTTAGCAAGAAACGACAGCTTCTGCTCGCTCGAGATATCTGGCATGTTAAGAGCCAGGAGTGCCTTATACACTAGCTGAATATAGGGAAGATCAAAGTCAATCTCCGCCTTACTCAATCCACTCGAGAGTTGGCGAACAATGTCGGGAAAATCCTTGTCAGAAGCCTGCGTAAGAAGCAGCTCCAGGGAAAGCATATCTGCAGAGCGTTCGCCTTGTGTTCCCAACGTTTGCGCAGACTTGCTTGAGCTGCTGGTAAGCATCCTTTGTAGATTTGCAACGACATTGACGCACTTCAGCAAGATGTGATACTGCTTATATACGTTTGTAGTTAGCGTCTCTAGAAATGCGTTGGTCATCAAGCGAAGGTTCGATGCGGAGATGCGGAGCTCCCCAACAAGCTTTTTGTTGTCGATAGCTGCGTTCGTCTCTATCAGTAGCTCAATCAACATGTCCGTGAACGAGTCGATAGCAATGCTACACGTGATTATGTGGCCAAGACGGGAACTGAGGATATTAACGAAGCTTATAAGACTGGGATTGTCTCCCTTGACACTTTGCAGGACCCCTAGAAGCCCCGAAAGAACGTACCCAAAGATGAACTCACGCTCTGCCATGGGAATCTGAAGATTATTGTGACTTAGCGTGTTAAGCTTTGAAACAAGAAATGTGAGGTGTGCTGCATTGATCCCTATACTTTCGCTCTGTGTCAGTTGCGTGGTGATAGGCATGGTTGGCATAGACCCGGCGGGTCCTGTTTCATTAGAAGGGCCAACTATTTTTATTATGGGGGAACTGGCCAGGGACCCTGTGAGATTTTGCTGTAAAACATTGATGTGAAAGTTGATCAGCTCACACGGACTGGAGGGTGCACCCATCAGGTTGACTAGGTTACAGAGGGTGACAATGAGGAGAGCTGTCTGTCCTGTTTTGTTAATAGGATCGCGCAAGATCATTGACATAAGCGCATTGTAGTACATGCGGATTGTAGTGTAATTGCGGGCTATGTTATGTATGCCGATAAAGAGGCTGTAAATGAGAGGGGCTAAATTAAAAGACGATTGCGCTAGGTTACCTTTGACAAGCTGCTGAAATAGCTGAGAAGTGCAATAATGCTCACTTATTCTGGAAAACTTTGTTCTAATTAAGGTTGACGCTATAATGTAATACGGCTGATCTTGGTCCAGATAAAACACGATGCCCAATATCTCGGTAAGCTTATTGGGTGATTGTCCCGGTCTAGCTTGTTCCCTGGCCTGCTCCAGCTGGACATGCATTTGGCTAGAAACTATTATGGAGCTGTACAAAAGATTGAGTTGGAATTGTAGATCAAACAGAAAGGGCGCAATAAAGTCGCTTGGAGAAAGACTCAGAGGATCTTCGGTGACCGATGCTTCAGTCAAACTTGTCGCTAGGGCATATGATGAGGACATGCGCAGAGTGCCCTGATTCATAAGAGCAGCGGCTACATCTCTAAACACAACTCTGTTGGTGGAGCGAGATGTGATGTCCACCATGGAGTCAATGAACTCCACTGCCATGACAGAAAAAAGGTGATATGATGGCCTATTAATTAGGTATGGTGTAACAGGGCTGTCTTGCCCATAAAGGGAAAAGTTGAACTGAAGCCAAGAGCCTATAAACTGAAAGAGTGCGACAGATGTCTGAGCAAGTGTCACAACAAAATCCTTATCATCTAAAGAAGACGCCCTAAGAACCTTAAAGAAAAATAGGAAGTAGGAAGCAGATACAGAAAAGCAGGATTCGGACGCTTGTAGAGTAGTAATATCGGCTGGTGTGAAACATCCCTGATTTATGTTTTCCTGGATTTTAGTAAGTGCTTGAGAAAACGCATAGATAAGCCCCCGAATCCTCAGCAGCAAAAGTGGATGCGACGTATTAAGAAACGTGTCACACATATCTGAATCAATAGCTGCTACCGATATCTCATACGTTGACGTCATGTTCTTAGTGTGAACACTAAAGTCGAGCAAATCGAACGATGCGTTCCCAGCAATTGCCGAAATGAAGGATCTAAATCTGCCCAAGTACGAATCTGCTAGCGTGCTGGATGGCTGACCTGCTTCGCAATACTCACTATCAGCATTCTTTGGGGTTTCCACCCTGTCTAGATCCTTATCTGCACCTGGCTGATATACTGCTTTTGCCCTTGTTTCTGTATCGACCTTAGAGTATGCTTCGTTCAGGTTTCGAACAAGCTGTTCCATGTGGGATGACTCTTCGTTGTAAAAGTTACTGCACTGATAGAGAAAAGCAAGCAAGTATGCATAAAACATCTCTGTGCATAGTTCTTGTGTATATTTAACAATGTCTCTGACCTTGTCCGAGGCTGGACTAAGATACGAAAGATTAAGCCCAAACTTATGCCACAACTTCATCATAATGCCTCCTGCCTCCACATAGTCAGCGGAGAGAGATAGCTGCAACTGTCCTGTGTCTAACAGCATACCTTGAAGGGCATCCCACTTTAACATAGAAGACGCTTCTGGGTAAGATATTATATCTTCGTATCCATGAAGAAAGAGAGTCAATCTGCGAGCTGCTTCAATATACCTATAAAATATAGGTTCCATGGAGAAGAAGGCGATTGGACGAGAGGACCTCCGTAGTGCGAAGAGGACCTTTGCAAAGAAGGATGCTGTGTTGGAGAAGGTAGAAATAAAGGGATAAAAGAATTGGGAGGTAAGGATATCTGTGATCCGTCCCATATGAATCTCCATAAGCCCTCTTTCATTGCTTTCTTGGATATCATAGATCTCTTCCATAGAGATTACGACATAAAGAAGATTCAGAGTGGATAGTATTCCTTCAACAAGCTTGTCCAGCATGGGTCCAGAGTAGCCTGTTGCAGTAGTGTCAGTAAGAGAAAGCATATAAGCAAGCGCCTCATACAAGCGTTCTACAAACGAGAAGTCATACGGTGCTTTTGTCATGCTGGGGCCTTGCGTTGTAGGAGCACAGTAAGCATAAAAGAGTTTCCGATAGGGATTATAAGACGTAACATTTATCACGCTAGTTGTTTTTGAAAAGTCAACGCCAGAATACCGTGTGACGGCATTGAATAGTGCAGTACTGCAGTCTGTTCTCGTTTGAACCCAGCTCATGAAGTCACTTTGAGCAGATGTAGCAGATCCAAAGGAAGAGGAGATGGCTTGATTTCGCAAAAAGAGAACGCATTGCTCCGCACACAAATATACGTCATCACGGGTTGATATGCGGAAAATGTTCTGGTGATTGAACAAAATAGATAACCCGGAAAAGCTGGTCTGGGAAATAGAGCTCTGATAATACTTCTGAAGAACAAGTGCATAAGAAATGAAGTCCCTAGTTGCATCCATTATGAGGAGGGCAGTGTCTATGGACAGATTCATCCGAATATGGTCGCACTGGTAGACTGCGTTTTGGTAAATGCTAAGCAAGACTTGGACCATAGAAACAATATCTTCACAAGACAAGGAACCGAACCTTGGCTGATTGGAGTACATGCCATATGACTCTAAAGATAGGGGTGTGTGACCAGCAAGAATGCTAGCCTTAGCGAGATCAAAGTATTTGGACGAAAGGTACCGCTTAATCAGGAGGGCTGCTAATATTATTGCCTGGGACTGCTGGGAATCGGTAAAGGTAACCTGGGCCAAGTTAAAGATGGATTGAGGATCCTCTTCTAAAAACTGATCGAACTTGAGACTAGCAGCCATCCTATCAGCGCTGCTGGTCGCAAAATACCCTGCTGCTAACGCCTCCAATTCAGACATGTAGTTGGTTCACTCGACTGAGGGCGGAATATTTTTTTCTGCAGTCCGAATATCCTGCGTTGGTCCCGGCGCAGGGAAGAGAGTAATCCATAGGTACTCAGAAAAAATGTATCTTCTAGATCAGGTTAATCTGCTCGTCGTCGTCAGATAAATTATCGATCCTGCCTTCGTGGCTACACTTATTAGTGTCAGTATTGCCATTTCCTTCCTCCGCGCTATAGGTACTAACGTCATCGTCTGTGCCATCTTCTGCGGAGGCAATGGCGTGCTCTAATGTCTTGTCAGCGAGATACTTGGCATAAAGCATAGAAATGGGCTGAAGCTCTATGGGGACTGCCACGCTACGCCAGCAATGCCTGAGGTACATATCAGGGATAGGAAAGAACGAGGGGGGAATGGAAAAGGAGTTGTGCCTTTCTAGAATGATTTCTAATGCCCAGATCTTCAGGGCGCGGTTGCTAAAGAGCCGCCCAAGTGGAGTTTCATCACAGATCCTAGTGACTGCCTCGTTTATGGTAAGTGGGCCAGTGGACGGACTCTTGGTGCTCCAGGTCATGATATCACGGTCTTGTTCATGAATCATTGAGTCGGTAGCTAAAAGACAACCATCCTCCGAGGATCGATGAGTGAAAGTGGGATCTTGGGAAGAAGTCAGACCAGAGGACCTTGGAAGATTGCTAAACCCAGCCCCGTATTCAAGCATATGAGCATTTGAATGCATAAAGGAGGGTTGGTGTCCACGCATGTCTGCACTGCAATCTAAGCTCTGTGACAGTAGTAGCTCGGAAGTAACGGAAGCGCCCACGGCATCCGTTACGTAGTCAGTGTGCCCATATATGTCGCCTGTAGCGACAGATGCCGTGGAAACATTCATGTCTTGCCCGGCATCCCTTGGAGCCAAGGACCGGGTGTAGCGACGCTTTTGTCTTGTAAGGAGATCTAGCTCGGTCTGCTCGCCACACTTGAGCTTATCACGGAGTCTGCTGGCTTGCACTTTTGTATATCGAACTATGATCAACTGCCACGGAAGCTCACGATTGGAATCAAAGGCCTGCAGGATGTCGTCATCGTCACTAATGAAGGTATGGGTGTCATCTGTAATGTTCCTGTCAAATGTCACACGAAAAAACTGCGACTTGAGGAAGCCAGCGCGTGTGCGTTCTTTAATTGCATTCTTAAATCCCTGAAGGGTTACAAAGTCCTCTTCGAAAAGGCGGATGTCATACGATGTAGATTCCTTGTATCGAAATGGCCGCGTATCGGTTAGCGGGCAATAGATTGTAATGTGAGTTAGAAAATCATTGGTGAGGCCGCCATTGAACATCTTTTTTGGATGTGACCTGCCTGTGATGCATGGGCTGAAATTGCATTGCACAGAGCACCTATAAGCAAGTGTACCGGCATTTCTACACACTATTCGTCCTTGGAGAGGTTGTATAAACCAGGTGCACGCTGGTGCACCGTATAAACATGTCCTTTAACGACGACAAAGCGCACTTGCCCTCTCTGGACTTCTCTATGCAGTTTTTGAGCCTCAAATTGTAATAGCTGTCATACGATATGAGCGTCCCGGTATATTCCCGGCCGTCTTTAAGCCTGACGACGACTTCTTTTCCAATGTTTTCCGCTAAGAATCTCCCAGGCGTTATGACATTTTCCAGAGCGGATAGTTTACTATCAACACTGGGGAATGCCAGAGTTGGCTGGGAGTTACTCACGTTTGTCGCCATCTGACGGTTTTCTTATTTTATCGAGGACGTACATGAGGGGGCTTTTTCCTCCATATCTAGCTTTGTATACCAGCCTTGCAATAATAATGAGTAGGAGAACTACCTCCAGCACTAGATTCCAGAATCCCTCCTCGAAATAACGGTGTATAATGGTTGGTAAAGCGATGCGCCTACTTTTTAGCTTTGGCATGACGCTGGTAACAAAGTAACCAGCATGCTCTTCTAGTTCTTCTATTGGTCCGTCATTTTCAACAACATACGATGCCCTGCTAGCCTTTTCTTCCATGGACATTTGGTGAGAAATGCGAGCAAGAGCCTCCTGCTCGTCTAGAGAAAGGCAGCTCCGACTCTTGAGGCGAGCGATCTGCACATCCACACTTTTCAATACACAGGCAACCACGGGGGCTGCTGATAGAAGACCACGCTTATCTAGACCTACCTCAAAGTAGAGTGGAATGACTACACAGACAGCCTTTGGTGAGGCATGCACCACGCAATCAGTAGGGACTCCTTTTGTTTGCTTCTGTCTCAAAAATATACGCCTGAGCTGCTGACTGACCATGGAGTTGATGTAGGGATGCGTGCATTGCTCCAGCTTACGTCTCAGGTCACCAGTAGCATCAGAAAATACGTGATCTGCAAGCTTTTTCCTGTCCAGGACATTCTCAGAAAAGAAGGATGGGCCAAACTGAGCCAGAATAGCTGCATGCCCCGGCATCCCCGGCTCGACAACTTGATGAGATAGCACATCTGTATCGATAATTGCAACCCCGTTCTTATTAAGGAATGATGCAAAGGTGCTCTTCCCACAGCCGATGGCACCTGTAAGGACAAAGAGCCGCATAAGGAAGGTTCACTTTTTAGGTAAAGTCTTTATGGGACATAAAAGAACATACTGCACATGACATAAAGGATGTCCATTAAAAGCTTGCTGAATTAGTCAGTTTATCGCAGTGAGGTCTTACTTAAGTTCCAAAAGATAGGAAAGATCGATCAAAAAACATTTTAATTGATGTCCGCCGCGCCGATCAAGATGGAAGTGGTGGCCACGACGGACATCCCTGCAGATCACCCGGTTAAGCTGCGCATGTGGCTACGCCTCCAAACCATCTCCTTCATCTATAGGACCCTCCATATAGTTATTTCCTATGACGCTGCCTGCTTTTTTGTGTCATTGCTCATGCGCAAGACCGTGCCTAATGACGTAATTTTTTACAAGAACTTCGTCACACAGTACCTTAATACTAATTCTGCGAAATCCGAGAGCTTTGCTAAAGAAATCTTCTATCTGCGGAACATCTATGACAAGCACAAGCAGAGCGGAACTTTCCCAGATAATTTCGCAGAGATTATCGAAATGGAGAATGAGATATCTACAAAGTATGAGCGGCCCCGCCGAGTTTGTCGTTTCCCCGACCCAAAGGATAGGCTGCCCTTCGAAATCCCGCTGGGGCCTGTTCACTTCTTTCAGAAGGGGCTGCTCCCAATCCTCAAACTTGCTAATATCCCTCGGACGCTAAATAATGTCTACGAAATAAGCCAAGAATTCAATCGATTCGGAGACCTGGTCCGCATTTCCACAGACCAAGACTTCAACAAGGCCGAGATTTACTTTTCGCAGGCTCTGGCAGTCATTATGTGCATTAGATACTACAAAGACAGTGCATCAGATAATAGTAAGTTTAAGGGCATCGAGATGGTCACTTTTGTAAACCGCTTGCAAATGGACCAGCAAGCCAAGAGTGACCCGCCTCCTGACGCTGATGCCGCTCTGACCTCTATGCTTGTGCAGGACGGCACTTTACGAGACTCTGCATCTCTCCGTGAGTATGTTCAAGCTGCAAAGCTAGGCTTGGAGTCCTCTCCTAAACCAAAAATTATGGCAAACGATCCTTCATCTACTCAATTTCAACCATCGCAGGAGAGGACACAGGAGAAGAGAGACACGAAGTGTGTTCTTGTTAGCAACATTCCCGACCAGTATCACGGAATTAATTTCTTTGGAACAGGTCTCATCACGAAGAAGGAGGCAGTCAAATCAGTTCGGGAGGGTCTGGGGGAGATAGGAGAATACTACCTGCAAATAGACATGCATACCACTCCGGCGGCTATAGGGCTGTTAAAGACCATTTCATCAAAGAAAAATAATTTTGATGGTATCACTGCATCGTTCCGTCCTGTAGACTTTGAGTTACTTAGCTCTACAGTTGTCTTTCCCAAAAAATAAGTTACTACTGATATGTTTTCTCTGCTTCTTCTCCTTGAGGTTGGATATGGTTTAGTAGACATGCAATATGATGCACTCGTTCAGTTTTATGACAGCACAGACGGGGCAAATTGGATGCCAAACAATTGGCTACAGTCGGATGTTTACTGCGACTGGATCGGAGTCAGCTGTGACGACAATGATAATGTGGTGTCACTAAATGTGCAGCACATGGGGCTCAATGGTCAACTTTCTGACCTAACAAACCTCACATACCTATCCAGCTTATATCTATCTGGCAATAATCTCAAAGACTCCGACCTTTGTCTGCTCGGGGGTCTTTCTTACCTGCGAGTTCTGGACATGACAGATACTAGTCTTGATGGAAACATCCCAGAATGCATATGTGCACTGTCTAAACTCCATAGCCTACACTTGGACAATAATTCGCTCATAGGGGATGTTCCCCCGTGTTTGGGAGACTCCCAGCAACTTGGCCTTAAGCTTTTTACAGCACGATGCAACAGACTGCAATACAGCTTTAGCCACTTGGATCTCGCGGTGGTAGATTATGTTGATTTGCAGTGTAATCCTACTATCAATTGTGGAGGAGAAGACTATGTTGTTAACCATACAGGGTACTATGCGTGCGGACTAAATCACTGCAGCACCTGCGTCAAAAAGACCACATGCGCTGCATTTCTAGATGTAGGTGGATGTCGCTACTATCTACGCAACTCTACTGCCTCCAAGATACAGCCGCCCTACTACAGATAATAATTACTATACTAAGCACCTTCTGCACGCAGTGTGATTGTATAAAGAGCCTGTTCTGTTGCGACCAGTAAACTGGTTGGTGTAGACCACGCTATGCCTATGGCTTTTCCCCGTGTCACATAGTGTTTCAGAAAGATCTCCGAAGCGCCTAGCTGATAAATTGAGATTGTGTGGTCTCCGGAAAGTGCAAGTAAGCCACTGTCTCCGCCTGGTGCCGCATGGTTTATTCTGTCTCCTCCTGGAAGGACAATGGAATACTTTAGCTCCTTTAGATTAATTAGCGAGTATACCAATGCTTGGTTTTCTCCGTGCTCGAATAATACTATATGCTCTCCATCATGAGCATACAAGAGGGTGGTTATTGACCGACATGCAGTGTAGATAGGTGTGGCTGAGATGCAGCATGAGGTATCGTTGGAGTCTCGGCTTTTGTGGCCTTGTAAAAACTCGCAGTCTATCATATAAAAGTATGATAAGCTCTCAAAGTGGATGGCCAAGCGCATTGAGTTCAAGAGCACAATGCCCTTAGCGGGGTATCCAGCATCCATAAGGAAAAGCGTGTGAACAGGTCTAAAAAGTACAGTAAATCTGATTTCTCTGAGCGTGCCGTCTCGTGTGGAGAAATCTATCTGATCTGTCTCTTTGTAGTTATAGACCATGGTGAAAATATGCAGATGTGTGCTCGATTTAGTTTTGCTGTGGGGATCAGATGCAAATGTCCGCGTTGATACGAAGATCAATCCGTGAGTTTGAAGCAAATCAATATTAACAACATCAATAACGCTCTTTTGCGCAACAATACATATATCTGCAGAAGAGGGCACTTCGTCCTTCCTAAATGAACAAAAGAAGAAGGAGCCAGACATGTATGGTATCATAATTAGAAGAACGTGGTTATAGGCCAAACCCAGAGCGTAAATACTTTGCACAGCAGGCATGCAACTGATCCCATTCAAATGCTCTTCAACTTTTCCGTTATTTTTCTTGAGATAGTGAGAAAGGAGCTTGCGCAAATTAAGGACAAGAAGTGGTCGCTTGAGAGTTATGGTAGTAGTGGTAGATCGATCATATAGGTAAAGCAATTCGGTTGAGGACTCGCTTACAACGTCTACCCAAGCAAAGTACTCTCTAGAAATAGCCATAGGGACTTCATACATCAGCGAGACGCCATAGCTAATCGATTGGATGGCAGCGTGAAAGTTTGAAAGGAACGTTTGTTGCGAGGTAGCAGGACTGAGTGAATCGGTGGGGTCCTGGCTCGACTTCAGAACCTCAAGTAATTCAAGGGAATTGAGGGAGCAGGTGGGGGGAAATAATCCAGGGTCTTTCAGAAATCCATAATCATCGATGTCGTACTTAGAGAAGAACTCATCGGCTTCGCGCCCACAACACCCCAAATCTGCCTCTAGTACGTAATCTGACGTTATCGAGGAAGGAGTAGATACCTCTATGCCACTAGAAGCTGAGCCGTCGACACCTGCAGTATCGATATCACTCCTGCTATCTGTGAGCTCCCTGATAACCTCACTTTGTTTCTCTAAAGTCACGCTTTTGACTCCTATCCCAGATGGCGCTCCGCACGAGTTGTCAAGAATAAAGAAGCGAAGAACAGCATCCTTGGGATCATAGAAGGCCAAGTACTTAACTATCTGCAAAGCAGTCAGAGGAAAGTGCCCCAATTCGTATGGGTGTCCTTTGAAGAAGGCCGCAATAACACAGAAGTCCTGTTTGAGGCTTACGGCAGACCACATAGATATGCATTGTGTGAAACAACAGAATGTGGGGCAAGTATCTAACTCTTTAAACAGGGGCTCATTTCTCCACCGGGACCCCCGCATCTGTCTTTCGAGTTTCATCGATGCACCTGCGTACACACTATTGAAATTAGCAATCAGACAGGGCGTAACCGTAAATACTTGTTCCGTAACATGCTCAAACAGCCCGTGAGCGCGGGGAGAAAGTGATAGCACATAATACTGTCCCTGTATGCTGACGATGTCGCCAGGTATCAGGAGGCTGTTAAGGGCAGCAGCATCACGGACAGTGAGCTTATAGATGTCCTGGGACTTGTCGTATACCAACTGGTCATCTGAAATACAAAGCACACAGCAAGGATCCTCTGAAGAACCCGCCTGAAACCAGGGCAGACTGTCGATAGTCTGGAGCGCCAAGCGTAAGAAAGTGCTTAAGAAGTCTGCCCCCGAATTAGTGGCGAATCTTTTGTATTCTGCTTCCTTCTCTACCCCATGGTCAATAGGTGTAGTTTGCTGTAAGTTGAGCTGTGTTCGACTTATGGTATTGGTTACTGCATCTACCTGACGAAAGAATGTGGCTACACCGGTGCTAAGCTCTTTGTTCGTTATCCTCGATGCTGGCACCAGTATCGGCAGCGTTTTATTGGGCACTTGAGTGTTAGCGCTAAGTTTTCCTTGTTCATCTTCATAGATAAGTTGCCACTTGTCTCTTCCTACAAGGGATTCAGCCAAATCATCAACGATAGACAAAAGAGAGTAAATGGCCTCCACACCCTGGCTCTGGATGGTCGAACCAGGCTGTGGCTTGACTGAGGAGATGGGAGTATAAACAACGGGAAATATCAGGCTATCGATAGAGGTTTTAAGGGGGTCTTCTCCAGTTGGAAGCAGTTGCTTTGGAGGACAGCCAACTTCCTCACCCAGTTGCTTGGCATCGTACGGAGACCATACCTTACTCAAGTTCATGATCTCAACGACCAAATGCTCAATCTATAGAAGTGTAGATGAACTACTTTTAACTAATTTTAATAGCTGATCTAACTGCAAGTTGGCAAGGATTTACCCGATATACTTCTAAAAAGGAATAAAGTTGCCGTGAACACTACTCGCTAAGAATAACCAATTGTCCACGAGCTAAAAACTCGGCGGCATCGGAGCGAAGAAGATGATGGAACGACCCATAGTTCAAGAAAACAGTTTCGCCGCTCTGAAGCAGAACCTCACCAACAGAGTTGTCCACAACCATGACGTCTATGTACGCAGAGGTCGGAGGCGCCACTTTTGGGGTTGGTAAGACGCCTTCTCGCAAGTAAAAGTTGATCCTGATATCCTGCACCTGCTTGAGCAGCTCCTGCTCGTAGGGGGAGAGAGCAGCCGCACAGTCTGAGGGTAGATCTACTGAGTTATTGATTGTGGAGAGTAGACGCCGAAATCGCGTCATATGATAGACGACCAAAAGATGAATAAACTCATTGTAGATCATATAAAAGGGGTAAAAGTGGCGAAGTACAGCAGTAGTATCGATCTTCGATAAGTCCTGCGAGAGAAGATCCAGATAGTAGGACAAATGCGGGTAGATATCCGTCAAGGATTTAATGGCGGCTGCCACCTTAGCAGAATCATAAGGTGGTAAGCCTTCCTGGCTCCGCAGGTCTATTAGCAATTCAAGTGCTGACTGGCAATTCACTGTGCGCACAGGAACAGCAGCCCCGCCGGGCAGTGGAGCAACGTCACTTCGGTCATTCCGGTCACCCATTCATTTAAATTTGTTAAACAAAATTTAGAGGGGTTGTCTTTTCCGAATGGATCTTCAGCGACTGACCAATGAGCTAAAAGACAGCAGGAAGCGCGTTGCGATCCTCGAGGAGAGTCTCCGGGCGGCTAAGTTCGAGATAGTTCGTCTCGAAGACGCAAATTCACGTCTGCTCTCGGCCCAGACGGCCAGTAAACTCGACGCACCTCGCGTGGGGACCCTCGAGGCTGAGAACGCTCAGCTTCGCCAATCGTGCGATGAACTCCGGGAGAAACTTGACAAAGCTGAGGAGGAGCATCTAGCCTTTAGAGAGCAAATTGCGTTACTTCAGACAGATAACGGCATACTTTCTAAAGATGTAATGGAGCTCACAGATACGATCAATGAGCTTACAGGGTTCTCTGCAGCAGATGCTCCCGTATCTGTCCTTAACACTAATGCCCTTCAGGCGACAGTCTCTGCTGCATTGGCACCCTCTGCGCTGGCACAGTCACAGGGACCCGTGCCCATCCAGCTTTCGCAGTCTGGCCCTGCCATATCAGGACTAGGAACAGTGGTGCCGGCAGCCCAGGGGGTGCAACCCGTGCTTGCTCCTAATCCTCAGATACAAGCTGGCGCAAAACCGAGGTTTGTTCCATATGAGCAGTACGAGGATGTTGCTGCACAGCTTGCTATCTATCAAGATGACGAGGCCAATGCGGAGACAAAGACAGCACAGATCATCGCCCTTACCGAAAAGATCTCTCGTCTTGAAAGTACCATCGAGTCCCTTCGGTCTGTGCAGGAGAAGTCTAACACATGGGAGGAGAACCTGTGCAAAGCAGAGTCTCGTATCACGGAGTTAGAGGTTCTTCTTTCCGAAGCAGAAAGCTTTAAGAGGAAGTACGACGAGCTAACTCAACGCTACAGCTCAATGGAGAAGGAGAACTTGAAGTATCAAGCGATAAGTGAGCTGGCCGGAGATAAAGCCCGCGAGGCAGAAGAAGCCAGAGTGTCCCTGGCACAGGTCACCGCAGACCTAGATGGCACCTCCTTGCGTCTTGCTGGAGCTGAGGAGCAGATAAGAACCTTGCAGGAAGAGCTCTCTCGTCTCAGGAATACAGAGCTAGCGGCTGAGGACGCTGTTCTGCGTATACGAGAGCTGGAGGAACAGCAGAGCAAGCTTGTTGACGAGTACACCAAGTCGATGACAACGGTGTCGAGTTTGAAGGAAGTCGAGGACGAGGCTCGCGCTCTGCGCCTGGAGGTAGAGTCTCAGAAGGCAAAGCTGCTCATTGCAGATGATCAGATGAGCAAGATAGTGGAGGAGAACGAAAGGCTGCAGCGCCTTAAAGACGATCAAGCAGCCGAGGTGAGCAAGCTCTACGAGGCTAAGCGCCTTTATGAGTATATGAAGGAGCGCTTTGAGCCCATCAAGATAGAAATAGAGAGGCTTCGCGCCAAAGAACGGAACTATGCACATATATTTGCGACTGTCGATGCTACGAACATGCGAAACGATCAGAGATACCAAGAACTTGAGCAGAGCAGACGTGAAGAAATCAAACGTAGGGATGAGACAATCACGAATCTCAAAGATGAAAAGCTGAGGCTCAACGAAGAGATAATCAATCTAAAAGCAAACCTGCACCTCCGCGAAGAAGAATTTAGGCGCGCAAGTGCGAGAGTGAGTGCACTTGAGGCATCTCTTGCATCTGTTAGCGGTTCTGCCATAAATGCAGGCTTTGAGGAGGAGCTCAGGGCATCTCAGCCGGCATCTATTCGGCTGTCTGGGATGCGTGGGCAGCCGCAGATGCACAGCCGTAGTGCAGTCTAGTCTTCCCTTCTACCCTAGGTGATATAGTGAAGTGTTTTGCTTGCCGGCTATATCAAACAGTTAACTAAACTAAGCTAATAGAGGTAAATACGGTAGATGCCCGAGAGGTCCTTCATCCTTTTGAGTGAGATTTAATTTATTCCTCCCCTGCTCCCCGCCCCATGCTTGTGTCCACAACCATCGCTAAATCGTACATCTGTGAAGAGGTACTTGGCGTGGGAGCCTTTGGGAAAGTATACAAGGTCTCGAAAACCGATTCTGGTGAGATCTTTGCTTTGAAGGAAATTGATGAAAGCCTTTGCCTCGCTAGTAGCATGTCCCTCACGGGAGAGTTAGATATCTATCCACAGCTTCAGTCACGATATATTGTTAATTGTACGCGTGTGCTGCGCGATCCAGAGATTGAACATGTGTATCTCGAGATGGAGTACTGCAATGGGGGAACGCTCGAGGAATTCATCATGCAGCATCGCCGCCGACAAGAGCCTATACCTGAGCTGCAGATATGGGAGATACTGGCTCAAATTGCCGCTGGTCTTGCCTATCTTCACTCCCAGATCAAGACAGGCTCTTTATCGGTTGTTGTGCACAGAGACATAAAGCCGGCAAACATTTTATTCCTGGATGACGACGTTAAGATTGCTGATTTTGGTTTTTGTCGCCCCCTGGAGCTTGTTTCTATTACCGGATCTGCGAGTGTGCAGAAGGTGCTCGGGACCCCTGCTTATCTGGCACCAGAGATACTCAATGGACAATCCTGCACGCAGAAGGTCGATATTTGGTCTTTGGGCTGCATTATACTAGAATTATGCACTCTTGAAATTCCCACCTCTATAGCCGACACTCCTATTGAGCCTTACTTGCAGCAGCTTTCAGGCTACAGTAATACTATAAAACTCGTCATCAGGCGGTGTCTAGAACGAATACCGTATGCACGAATAAGCAGCGCAGATCTCCTCCTTGTTCCTGACATTCAAGAAGTCCTTCGAAGAATGGAGTTTCAAAGGTATCAAACCATGCATAATGCACTTGTGTGGTCTCCTAGCCCTATTCGGGCCTCCTCGCCGTCTGGGCTAAGGCTCGGAGCACAGTCACCAGTATCCCCTAGACCCAGTGGCTTCGGACTCCAGACGGCTCTTATGGACGCTGCGTTGTCTGGGGATGTAGATAGCGTAAGAAATAATTTGCACGAAGTCCGGATGCGTTCCCATAACGGACGTACTGCTCTTATGCTAGCAGCTATGGCTGGACACTCTGATTGCATAGATATTCTTCTTGAGCATGAGGGACAGATGTATGACAATAACAAGATGACAGCTTTGATGCACGCGGCCAGAAAGAATACGATTGCTGAGGCGTCGTCTCTCATACTGAAGGAAAGTAAGTTGCAAGACAACAAGGGCATGACCGCACTTATGCATGCTGCTTCCGCCGGCAGCAGAGAATCTGTGGAGCGCCTTCTTGCCGTAGAAGAAGGAATTAGGGACAAAGATGGAATGACGGCTTTGATGCACGCAGCAAGAAATAACCATCACATATGTGCAAAGCTTCTCGCTCCTTATGAAGAACGGTGTCACGATCTCACGAGCAAGACAGCGCTTATGTATGCGGCCATAAATGGCAGCAAAGAATGCGTATCGTTTTTACTTGAGAGGGAATCTGGACTAATAGACAAATATGGCGAGACAGCCCTTATGTGGGCCGTGCGCCTTAATCAGGTTGAAATGATTCACTTACTCATTGGGAAGGAAGCGCGACTGTCTAACGTTGAGGGCATCACAGCCCTTGTACTAGCTGTGAAACTTAACCATGTGGAATGCTTGGATGTTCTGAAAGTAGAAGCCGGCATCCAAACGCATAGTGGCGAAACTGCATTACTAATTGCTATAGTTTCAGATAACATCTCATGCATTCAAAGACTAGCACTTATGCCCCAGGAAATCAGCGCTCGAATTGGGCCAGGCCTCACAACTTTGATGTGGTGCATTCTTAATGGAAAGAGTAACTACATTAAATGGCTACTCCCAGAGTCTTTAAGGAGCGTTGATTCTCAAGGGCGAACTGCTCTGATGCATGCCTCTAGGATTGGGGATGTAAGTGCAGCCACGGTTCTCGCAGAACATGAACATGGCATGCAGGACGGAGAAGGAAATACAGCACTTATGTATGCGGCAGAGCATGGCCACGATGCAATAGTGTCTCTTCTGGTCAATAAGGAGTCTCGTATACTCAACAGCCAGCACAGAACAGCTCTAATGCTCGCCACAGACCGCGAGCAACGGAAGTGTTGTGAGCTCCTGGCAAAGTATGAACAGGGCCATGTCGATAGTGACGGTAGAACAGCTCTCATTCGCGCCGTATTCACAGGGGATGTTGAACTGGTACAGCTCTGTGTCGGAGAGGCTACATATATACAGGCCAACGGGAAGACGGCACTGATCATCGCAATGGAGCGCGGACTTAGTAAAATTGTCGAACTCTTGGGTCCGTATGAAGCTTCCTGTAGGGACAATGAGGGCGACACCGCGCTCATCTGGGCAGTGAAGAACGGGAAAATTAAATATCAGCCATATCTGGCGTCAGCAGAGGGTCTTCTAAATAGATACGGTAAAACGGCACTGAAGATAGCACTAGACTTGAACAAAAAGGATATGTTTAAGGCCTTATTAAAAGGGGAGGCATCTATAAAGATGCCTGACGGTTACACCATTTTAGACTATGCTGTAATAGAAAACAAGGTAAAGTATATACAATGCATAACTAATCATATTCTTATGGAACGTACTTCGGTTCCTTTAAAGCCCCGCGTTGCAGCAACTGTATCTACAAAGAAGAGTCCCTTATATTTGGCAGCGGAGAGTAATAACTTGGACGACATAAAGGCTAACTTAAATCTCATTGGCACGGTATACAACGGGTTGTCATCTCTCAAGATAGCCGCCTATTATGGTCATGAGGAGGCAGTCAAACTGCTTCTCGGTGAACTTGGTCTGCAAGTGGGCGAGGGTTTCACCGCCCTTATGATGGCTGCACAACAGGGACACTTGGGATGTGTTGAGCTGCTTCTGGGAGAGGTTGGTCTGAAAACAAAGGGTGGGTGTACTGCACTAATGACTGCGGCCCACGAGGGACACTTAGGCGTAGTGTCACTGCTACGTGACTTCGAATGTGGCGCCACGGACAATAACGGAAACACAGCCTTGCATTATGCGGCAAGGTGTGGGCACACCGAGGTGCTCAAGCAGCTGCGACAGGAGATGTGCATAGCCAACAACTTAGGAGAGACAGCTCTGATGTATGCTGCCGAAGAAGGGCACATTAAGTGTGTGCAGTATCTTCGCACAGAGGCTGGCATGTCAGATGTTGACAAAAGTACCGCTCTATTACGGACTCTGCTTAACGGCTACATGGGCTGCGCAACGATTCTTTTAGCCTCAGAGCAGAAGATCAGTAATGTTACATCTTTAATGATCGCAGCGGCCTCAGGTGATGTAGAGACCGCAGAGCTCTATATTGGAGAGGCATCTAAGCGGGACGCTCTGGGCCGAACTGCGCTGATGTATGCTGCGCGGCAAGGACATGCCAGCTGTGTCAGCTTACTCATGCGGTATGAGCAAGGCATCGTAGACTTTAGTGGGTACACTGCACTCGCCCACTCTGTTCAAGCAGAACAACTCAACTGTGTCAAGCTCCTCGTCAACGAAGCACACATACCTACAGGGTTCGGGGAGACCGTCGAAGCCATGGCCCGCTCACAGGGACACATGCGGATTGCACGCTTCCTTAGAAAGAAACCGCGGTAGCCGGGGATTTACTTATCCATTGCTCTCAAGCGACTAAAGGAAGTAATCCGGAACGCGCCTAGATATATGTGGCTGGCCTCTGCGAGGAGCAAAGTTGAATTGTATGAAGGTGTATTGGATATTCTCGTCCAGTTCCATGATTGCCCCGCGGTTTCCACTGCGGAAGCAGTAGTTTGGCGCAGAGAAGATGGTCACGCACTGCTTGTCATGGTGCCACTGGTAGCCCTCCATGGTAAGCTGGTGGGCACGCGCAATCATGAGAAGCCCGTTGTTCTTTATGAAGGTCTCCGTCACATCCTGACCAAAGGTATACCCTGCTCCTCGGGGTGACCTTCCCCAACCTGATTTTATGTCTGGATCTGACCAAAGACAGTCTGCTATGGCACCATCATGAGGTATCTCCGTTACCCTTTCGAGCTGTCTGATCTGATCGAGGGTATCAATCGAGGGCGACAAACCACCATGAATGCAAAATATGGATTTGTCTATCAAACAGCCAATGGGGAGATAATCAAACACCTCAGTGAAGATCTTCCAAACAGCAGACGTCCCATACTTTCTTACAACCTCTTCGTGGAAGCCGTACACCTGCGTGACCTGCCTAGACTCGTGATTTCCGCGAAGCATAGTAACCCTATTACGGTACTTAATCTTTAGCAAGACCAAGAGAGTTATACACTCAACTGAGTAGTATCCGCGATCGACATAATCGCCCATGAAGAGGTAATTTGTGTATGGTGAACGTCCACAAATACGGAACATTTCAATGAGATCGTGGTACTGCCCATGGATGTCACCGACAACCGTAACAGGGGCCAGAATTGGTTGAATGTTGGGTTCCTCGATGAATATATGCTTCACCCTTTCGCATATTTCTCGAATCTCCTCCTCGACAAGCAATTCTCCGCGGTATAGACGCTCAATAAACTCATCGATGTCGACTTTGGCCATTGTTGCTTTTAAAAACATGAAAATCAAAAATGCTAAAAGTACCAAATTTTGTGCTATTTTTCCAGATTCGAGTGAGCGCAGTACGAAAAAAGCAAGAAGGCAAGACTTGATGCCCATTGCAGGAAAGCAATCTGGAAAGGCTCAGCACAAAAAGCAGGGTAAGAAGGAAGAGTATGAGGACGAGGACGACCGAGAGTTCAAGCGAAAGCAACGAGAGGCAGCGGAGAAGACAAGGGCGGCCGCTGCACAGCTCCAGGCGTCGAAGAAGTGAACACGCCCGGTGGTTAATAGGTAGATGAACGCAGCATGCTAGGGTCATTTACACGCGCTGGAATGGTACCTGTCTATCAGAACAAAGGGGTGGTTCACTGCTGGATGCGATAGCCACAGCTGGTCACGCGGTAACAATGATCCCTCTGGCAGTTTGCTCTACTTCTGCGATCGTTTGTATCAGAAGAACAATGTTTCGCTGGGCAATTCCATATTCCATAAGGAGATTTGCTGCCTCTTCTGCATTATTTCCTTCCAGCCCTGTCACGATAACGATGGACTCATCGAACTTAACGAAGTAGTGCAGATCTGGGGGCATCTTGTTTGTCGCCCTGTGGAGTCGCGCCGTGGGCAGCCAAACGGCTCCCCAGATATGCGATCTGTTGTACTCAGATTCGTCTGGACGCATATCCAGAACGCAAAATTGCTTGGTAACGGTCGGTATAGGCAAGTAAATCTGGCGCTTGGGTTCCGTATCCGACCGCAGCATCTCAAGCTTGAGCCCTGGAATAAGGTGTATTCTTTCCAGAATCTTGTTATGGCGCTTTCTGGTGGTGAGTTCCTGGACCTCATTTAGAGACGTGGGTGCACTGGAGGGATCTCCCAGCCCCTCTAGATGCGAGCGAGTGTTCTTTTCGCGAACGGCGTTACGCAGTGTATCTTGGTCTTCGGTATTGCTGGCCAATTGATATCTGTCTGCAACGGCTTGATTCATCTTGGAATTCCTGACGTAGTCTGTGACGACTGGCATGGCCGTTGTGTCGCGAATGTATGCTCCATTTGCTTCAGATGTTGTGGGCCTGCAAATGCTGAGGCGATTTAGGAGTTCCTTAATATCTGGACCCCCCATGAACATTGGCGGCACACCCGGCTCGTCTCCGCAGACACTGGCCTCAGTATCTGCCATAGATACTGAGGTAATTGCAGAGCAAACACTTCCGGGCCTTTGAATGGGTCCATTTCCATCGTCTAGGGAATAAATTGATTCTCCAGAATCTAGGAAATCCGGCTGTGCAAGAACGGTCATGGCCGTCTCTATCCATTTCTGAAGGGTTGCCAAGCGAATTCTCTTGTACTTTTGGCTTGTATTACGTTTGAAGCGTGCATTTGTAGCCTCCTGCCCGTGCTTAGCATAAAACTTATCTATTGTTGGACCAGAGTTAATTGTCGAGGTGACGTTTGCATACTTAGGGTTTGCTGGCAGCTTTTTGTCCAATGGGTCGACCTTGGACTTAGTGGATGCTCCTGCTCTGAGAGACATCTTATAATTTTATGGATTAGAAGGTGTAGGCTGTGTTGAGTGAACTCCATTTTATGCTTACCTTTGTTGCAGCGAGGTATTGAGTAGCGTAGCTTCCAAGTACTGCCTCTGAACACTAGCAAGCAATCAATAAAGGCTATCCTGCACTCCTGCACGTTGCTGGTGATCTCCGCATCATTCCTAAAATTTAACAAAGCAAGTCCATGTTCTATGAGCTGAAGTACTGGGACGATTGGTATGAAAGCCACACCGAACTCTTCGATTGGTATGTGCAACTTCCTATCTTCTTTCCACACATCCAGAAGTACTTCCACCCAGACAAGCATATCCTCGTCCTTGGAGCAGGAGTCTCCAGACTTCCCTATCAGCTATATGATCTTGGATATAAAAACATCACATGCATTGACTTCTCAGCTGGAGCCAAAAGGAATATGGAAGGAGAGCTTCGAAGAAGGCCGGAGATAGAATATCTCGTAAAGGATGTGGCAGAACTTAATAAGTCTCTGTTCAACAAGCTATTTGACATAGTGATAGATAAGGGTCTTCTGGACTGCCTGCTTACTAATTCCTTTGAACCCCTGACTGCAATGAAACAAGCTATCGAGACAGTGTACCGGCTCATGAATCCGAATTCAGTGTGGTTCACTCTTTCCTTTGACGGTCTTGATCGCCAAGAAATGCTAGAGTATTGCACATCCAAAACGTTTGTCGTCAGCAAACCATACAAGGTTATCCCCCCTGCACTAGAGATATCTCTTCAAACAATGCCCACGTTTTACCTCTATAAGTTAGAATACATGCCAGCAGTGTCAGGTACCAATGAGGCCTAAGTGTCCACTAGATTTTCACTGTACTTCGAGTAGCTTATTGAATTGAGCCTCTGTCAGCCCCAAATGCAAGGCACCCTGTAAGTGGAGTTTTTGGCGCTGGAGTACATCGATCAGTTGTTGTTGCTTCCTGACTATTAATAGGAGCTCCTCCTTCTCCCTGGCGGCCTTTTTGCTCTCAGAGCCTTGTGCATTCTTCAGGCTCTCCAGCTCTTCACGCAGCGATGTCTCCCTATCTAGACTCTCCTTTATTTGCTGCTTGTACTTGTCTATAGTTTCTAGCGCCCTAACTAAGTCCTTGTCTTTGCTTCCTGCTGCCGTGCGACCTGCCCTTACTGCCCGTTCTGCCTTATCCACTTCGTCCTGAAGAGCAGCCTTCGCAGCCTGCTCATCTTGTAGCCTACTCTTTGCACTATCCAATTGGGACTTGAGCTTATCGGATGCCGTATTCATTTCCTTGACCGTCTTGTGCAACCTATCTCGCTCTGCCCTCAGGATGGCGAGTTCTTCCCTAGCCTCTTTCTCTCGCTTTACGGCATTAGATGCGTCTGCACTGACTTCGTTAACCATCCTTGTCAGCGTGTCAACTCGCGCTCGTAAATAGGCCAGTTCTGCCTCTTCGCCAAGCTTTGTCACGATATCTTTAGCCCCAACATCTTCTCCAGACCCTCCATGCTCTCCCGCTGCAAGTTGCTCAGCTAATGACTGAATTCGCCTTTGGTACTTTGACTCCTCGACTGTGAGTCGCTTTTGCTTTGGCTTTTGAATCTTAGTCTTCTCAACTCTGTCTGTATGATCTATTTTGTCTATTTCTGAGGAAAGCATATTTCTCTGCGGTCCGGCGGGATGTGCATCTGTTTCCTCGTTGATAGATGGTGGGGCCGGTTTTAGCTCCTTCGTTGTCGACACCAACTGCATGGCTCTAGCCGTCTTTTCGGCAATTTCATCGTTATTACGATTGATCATGGCCATCATCTCATCCAGGAGGTCTGCTGCTGCAGGGATGTCAACATCACCCATGCCTCGACTGCTTTTATTAAATTTGAGTTGTGAACGGAACAATGACGGCTCCTCCGATGTTTGAGTGGCCTGGATTGGTTCCACATGCAGATATATGGATGGCTCTCCAACGAGCAATGGACAGTGAGCTAGTTTCAGACTACTTCACTAGGTTGTCTGCGGCTCGAGAGAGTATCGAGGGGCTTTTGAAGGCCTCGCTTCTTAAAGCCATAAAGCAATCCGAAAGCAAGGTACAATTGGAGCTGACATATAGTGGCATCTCTAACTCGCCAGAAGAAGGCTATACCCAGCTTATTGGTCCAAATCTCAGACTGGGTGGCACAAATGCTTTGGTGGACAATACAGAGTACGAAGACGTCACTGTGTGCGGTTACGGAGGGATCTGGCAAGGAGTGCAGAGAGTTGACAGACCTTACGAGTGATCTGTTCATTTACTTATGCCGCCGTCCACACAACGGGGAGACACACCGTCTTCCAGCTCGGCTCCTTGATAGTATGTGATGACCCACACGATGATGTACATAAGAATTATGCAAACTGTTACGGCTGTAAATAGATTCAGTATCCCCGAGTATGTCTGCTCGTTCATTTTTTGTAACACACAGATGAGTGAGTAGGGCCTAACGTCGGGTTGTGTGTTAAATATGCACTTTTGCCATATCAATCGCGGGCTTTCCCAGCTTAAGAGAGAACTCGCGATGCCAGTGATCTTCGCGTTCTTTTTCTGCTGCCTGTCTATCTCTTTCGCCTTGAATGACTAGGTCCACTAAAGGAGAATCAGGTACTGAAGGATCTCCTTCGACACCACAATTAATAATATAAATGACGCCCTTAGTTCGAAGCATTTGCACGTTTGCATAGGATGCAATTCTGGCCAATGCAGACGTGTCTCCGTCCAACTCGCCCACGCAGACTAGGTCCTTTTCGTAGTTGGCACAATCCTTAAGGGTGACCAGCAGCTCTTGAGAGGATGAAGTGGCGCTTGCGGAGATTAGGCAGAGATGGCCCTCCTGTGCAATACGTCTTCCTGCGCCAAGTTTAGGGGTTCTAAAAGAGTAAAAAGGATCTGACGAGTGGCTCTTTGTCACTATTCCTCGCCGGGCCAAGTTACCGAATGCAAAGAATGTGCTTGTAAAAGCATAGACCGCCGAGCCCCGGTAACTGAAGGCGTTCGGTCCCGCTTCGCGAATGAATTTGAAAAGAAAGTCACGTGTCTGGGCGCTAACATTCCTGTAGATAGAAAACGTAAGCCGCTCCCTCAACTCTCCATCTTCAGAGCCAATATCGAAGAAAATTCGAGCCATTTTTGAATTAAAGCCTTTACTTAGCTGATCTAATAAGTTCTACACAAGCGGGTCACTGGAGCATAGCACAACTGTCCATACCCATGCAATTTCCTCAGCTTCCTGGGCCGACAGGTCTATAAGTTGAGGCATATATCTACCTAAAAAGACACGCCGCCACCCTAAATGACGGATGTGCTTGTACGTCCATGTGTTCTGTATAGTTGTGAGGATCTCCACGACCCTATTTTGGGAAACTCCATAGGAGCTAGGAAGATTCTCCGATTCCATCTTTGACTTTGCTTCCGATGAAGAAAGCACAAGAGTGTCCTTATTACCTTGCGCTGACATCGAGTCATATAGATTAGCTGGCTCTGTGCCATCTTGTGAATCATTGTCTGGAGCATCCACTGTATGCATCTGTTTTACTTGCTCAGTTGCACTAGACCGTCCTCGCTTGTATGCTCGAGTAGAGGTATCTTTTAGTATCAAGCGAAGGTTTGCGCAGCCCATTCCTACGCTGAAACATATCCCAAAGAGACTTCCTATAGCACAGAGGAGACACACCACTATAGTGGGGACTGTTGGTTCAATAGCAACGAAACAAACAACTGCATGTGTAAGAACCCAACCGCAATAGATCAGGATTCCGAGCATGGAGCAAACAAAGTACCCATAATTACGAAGTCCTACGTCTGTTCCAACCCACGGACAATGGTGGTCAAAATACACTATGCAGTGGCCACAATCATCACAATGGGAGGTGCCTGGAGGCCTGAATATGTTACAAGTAGTACAATAAACAGCGGTTCCTGCCAAATTTCCCACTGTATAGGGGCTTATGATCCCCACTTCAGACCTCGCGTTGAACCTATCATTTGAACAGACAGGCATATATCCTGGATCTGTGATTCCAGCAAGTAAATAAAGTGTTACACAAAGAATACATGTAGCTATTGTAACTCCATACGAAACGTAGGGGGTAAGAACACGTTGACTCTCTCTAGCGAGGACAACGCAAGTTAGAATACAATAAAGGATATACACCACCACTGTTCCAAGAAAACAGCCGAAGTCTTGCCCTCGAATGCCCCTTTTGCCACAGCACCGACCAATACCGTGGAATTTACACATTAAGATTTAAACCTTTGTTGACTCTCCTATCCTTTTGTCAAGCATAGATAAAAGTATAGAGTAGTCGCTTTTCTTACATAATAGGTTTGATTATTTATCCATTCTCGTTTCTGTGGATGTTTGGTTATGTGATTTTCTATTAAAAATATAAAAGAAAATACTTACTCATCGGCCCCCGGGCGGCGCTCGGCCCGCATGCCGCTGTGACTCGGGACCGGGCAGCGACCAGGGAAAGCCTGGGGCCGACCGGGCGCCCCGAAGGCTCTGCTCTCCTGGCTTCCCCTTACCTGGAAGACAAGGAGTTAGTTTAGCACCTTTTCTGCTGCTAAGCTGCTCTGCCTCCTGCTAGAAGGAAGCGAGTGAGCCCTTGGGTATCCGGTAAGACTTCTGAGTAAACGAGGTAATGCTTCGGTGAGTGTACGTTAGTCGCATCGGCACAGAGCGCGTACTAATCAGACGAAGTCACATGTCTGCTAACTTCTATATAATATTCTAAAGCTATCCGGTCTCTGGGTGGCACCGCCAGGTATGTAGCGGGGCCCGTGGCCATTAAGACCCAGAAGGGCCTCCTCTCCTACTTGGCTCCGGAGTCAGTCCCAGTAGAGCATTGTTATGAGGCTGTTGTGCAGAGAGACACCGAATAGTTTGTACCGGTACACACCCCTTGTCCCCAGACGGCACTCACCAGGGGTAGGCATTCGTAGAACCGCAGCATCGTGGGCTTGTGCACCGCTCACTGCCCACACACGTGTAGCTGCAGGCACACAAGCCAGTCGAGAGGCGCTCGCTTGCCAGAGATCCCTCACCACTGTTCAGAACACCGAACCGACGCTCCTGCCAGCGCGCCGCTCTTTGTAAGATACTCCAGAGAAGCTCAGGCCGTCGCTCAACAGCGTGCATGCCCGAGGCCTCTGTTTAGAGAACACTGCGCTAGCCTCTGCATGCCTTGAAGGCGCAGAAAAGAGGGTCTACCGATAGAGCCCTACACCATGTCCAGACATCCATGTTTTCAGAATCTTCGCGCAAGGATAAGAGGTAGAATGGGCAGAGCTCCACTGGCCTCGCGTCATGCAGATAGCGATGCTATGCGTACCACATGATTGCATGCCACCGCACGAAGACAAGAGCCTGTATCAGCAGCCGACGGCATTTTACCAGTAGACCGAGGGACATTCCCACACTGTACTCAGTCTCTCGCGTAACTTTCAAGCATGTTCGGTCGTGCTGGACGCTGCCTTTAGTTATATCTTGCTGAATAGCCAACGCAGTTGGCAGTGACCCCAAATATAGTGCGCCTTGCCTAATTCAGACTTCGGGATAGGCGTGTGGAAGACAAGCAGACGCATAGTATGGAGTACAGAGAGCCGTAGAGGCAGTTCTAAGTGCAGCATAGAGAAGCAGAGTGGGCTGTGGCCTCATGTGGTTAGAGGTATATGAGCGTATAGTCTTCTGTTCAGGACACATATCTTGGGAACCACTGCGTTGAGTCCTCTAGACCATCACTTGGAGGACGAACCGTCATGCAATGCAGGGCTGCATGCCAAAAGACACATGTCTGTCAGGAGAAGGTCGAAGGACAGATCCACAGGCATTGCATGACTTGCTGGCATTCTTCTGTACAGAGCGTAATGCCTCGTGACAGGGAAGTCGTAGTTTTGTCACCAACCCTAATAGGGCTAAGGCATGGTCAGCGCGGAACTATGCATTCCTGCTGTGGTGCCCACAGAAGTGCTTGTCGAAGAAGATGCTTGCGCTCTCTGAGGGCACACACGAGGAGGAGCTGTGTAATGCGAAGAGCCTGGCACAGACCTTAAAGGGCTCAGGCTCGTGGTCATAAAAAGTCGCTCCTGCCCGTCTCCGCGGGTACTGCAGTTCTCGATGGCGGATCATCGCGTCTTCTCCTTAACCGGCACGTTGGCAACCTGGTCTCTGGCGTAGGCACGCAGAGCATCGGGCCAGAAGCGCCGACTCGTTACCTCCTTTGCTCGGCCAAGTCCCGTGTTGGCCACAGAACACGCGTGTCTGCCCCCAGTGCGTAGCCGCTGAATCCTCAACAGAGGGACGTGTTCAGAAGTCTACGCTAACGCAGCCCACTGCAAGCAAAGTTCATCTGTCTCTCAGAGAAGAGGCGGCTGGGCCGTGTGTTGCGCATCAGGAGGCCTTTATGAAGGGCGCCCGCACGTCTCGTCACACATGTGCGTCCGAGTGACAAGTAGCAGCCGGCGATACGGCCGCCCTCGGCTTCGCAGACACAGCGGGTGTGCTTACTGGTGTTCAAAGCAGTATGCCGTTGATCGTGGCATGCCTTTTCTCCAGGAGGGCTGGACGCCACTCGAATTGTGACTGTGTCCCATAGACGGGTGCTCTCCTTGTTACTCTGTAACACTCGTGCGCATCGGGACCGGCGATTCGCATCTGTGATCCAGACAGGAGCAGCGTCTTGTACTTCCGAGTAAGATGCAGCCGGCCCGCGAGCCTACGTGCCGATCTATAGTCTATAACAAGCAAGCGGCAACCACTTGGCGTGCTACTCACGTGGACATTGCAGACTCTGCATCTGAATCGAGAGGCTTGACAGCGTACCGATTCCACGCTTGGCCGTCATAGGAGCCGGTTCCTTCTGCTTAGTAGCAAGCAGTCAGGCTTTACCGGTAGGAATGATTCGGTATAGTTGAGCGGCCCGAATAGACCCTAGCGACACCACGGCTTTCTGTTTATATTAAACGCCTTCGCTGTACTGGGGTCTCAGTGAGAAGACAAGCACAGATCCAGGCATGCAAGCCTTTAGAGATGCGTACTGCACGCAATTCCGGTGTGCTCGCCTGACGAGTCCTACTGCTCTAGCCGGCATACCGTTAGATCCTTCTGTACAGATTGAGCGAGCAGATATTAGCATACGGGTCACGTTAAGTATCTATGTTCAAGGCAGCTGCTGCTGAACGGGCACACCCAGAGCCACTGTCGCGTAAGATGCCAGCAAGATTCGCGGCCGCAGAGCACACTGTAATCTGGCGACTGATTTGGTCATGCCGCTCCTTTGTCCGCTGGAAACTCGGCTGGGCGCGGTAGAGAGCGCGTCGGGAGAACTCGATGGGAGAGGACTGGCAGGGCTTCCTGCGCCACGAGGGGAGCCACCGCAGGAGGACGCGCAGACACGCACGCCAGGCCACAGTAGACACGCGGACGCCCCTGTAGACTGGGCTGGCAGCAGGCGTCCGCAGAATCCGCGCCAGAGCCAGCTGCTCAAAAAACTGGGCAGCCTCTGGTCGTGTGCAGGCCTTGCAGAGCGCTGCGGCTCCCGACACTCGGCGACCCCTCTCAGAGCGGAAGACCCCGCGGGCCGCAGGCAGCAGCTCGTCGTCGGCGATGTCCCGAACGAAGGGGACGGCCCCAGCCTGCCCGCCTCCGTAGAGCTCTGGGCATCTGCAGACAAACCGGGGCTGCGCAGAGTGCGGCTCTCCCTGGCGGCCGAGGGCGGGGGTCCTCAGCAATACCAAAAAACTCCGATCAATACATCAGCCCCAGCGCCGCCGTGTGCAAAGCGGTCTGTTCTGTGTGGCGGCCTAAGCCAGCTCGTACTGCGGCGATGGCCCGGGTGAGGGCGCCCTGCTCGCCCGACGGACCGGGGCAGGCAGGCAACAAACACCCGCTAAAGCTTTTGTGCAAGGCCTGTACATATTTAATTTCACATTATTCGTTGGTCTGTTTTTAGTTTTATCGCCGCTTCTATCGGATGGGCTCTGGGGCAATGACGGCGGAGACGCGCGCCTCCGTTCTGCTCGAGCTCGCGAAGCAGGTCGTCGCTGCCCGGCGGCTGGGGGAGACGGCCGAGAGCCTCGCGCGGCGGCCGCTGCTCCTCCACCGGCACGTGCTCCGGACGGCCATCGACTGGAAGAAGATCGCCCGCGCCCTGTCCGAGGACCGGAGCAGGATCTATCACTGGTACCGCGAGACGCACTCGCGGAGCATCCTCAACGTGAAGATGACCGGCGAGGACCGCAGGGCCATCAAGGCGATGATCATCGCCGGGGTCAGGGACCGGAGCATCCTGGGCCCGGACTTCTACCGCAGGGTCCACGAGCGCTTCGGGGCGAAGTATCCGCGCCAGGAGCTGCGGATGACGTACAACAACGCGCTCCGCACCCAGGACGTCCGCGCCGCCCTGGAGGAGCACGGGGTGGTGCTGCCGCGCCGCACATACGGCCCGAGGGCGGCCAAGCAGGAGGAGGAGGTATCTCCTGTGACGGCCTCTCCCCCGCCCCCCTGCGTTCTTGGTTGCGCCGCGCCTCCGCTGGTGCCGCCCGTCGGGGGGCCGGTCTTTGTGGCCCCGGGCGCGGTCTCTGCGCTTCTGCCCCCGCACGCGCCGGGGTGCCTCGTCCTCGCCCTCCCGCCCGGGGTCGTTCCTGGGCCTGGCGTCCTCCCGCTCCAGACGGGCCAGGGTCTCCTCGGGTCGCCCGTTGCATTCGCATGCGTGCCATGCTTCCCCCCTGCGAGCTACGGAGGCGTGCCTGGGTGCGCTGATGCGAGCCCCAGTAAGGGTTGAGGACTGGAGACCCCGGCTTGCTTGGTGGTTGGCGAAGAGTGGTCGGTAGGAGCAGCTAATGGCCGGAGCCTGGTCAGTGACGAGACCGTCATGTCTAGAGCGTGCAGCATGCTCAACCACGGCACAGCGCAGGGCCCACCAGACGCAGGCTACGACGGTCTGGATGTCGCGCAACCCGCATTCTGCGCATTGCTGAAGAGACCACATACAGCAGACGAAGGCAGGGCTCTCCCATGTGCCCAGACGACTCGAACACCGCGGTCTGGGCCAACGATCTACCAGACAGGCCCGTCCGGTAACAGGCGACTGAATGCTCTCTGGGCCGTGAGCTAGGACTGATGTGCAGCTGGCCGGCCACGACATTCACCCTGGCTGGCCCTCTGTCTTCACGCGCCGACACGCCAAGGAGCTGCAGGCCGGCTCTCGACACAGACTGATGCTTGTCTCCTTGTTGGCAGGTCGTGAGTGGAAGAGTGGACGCGCTCTGTAAACGGCATACTCGATCCGCTCGTTCGGTGAAGCTTTTATCAAGAAGAGATGCGATGATTGTCTCACCAGGCATACTATTGTCTGCGCACCTGTGCCTCAGATGCGGCCACCACGGCGCAGCTGCATCTCCGATCATCCTGGGCACACCTCCTGGCACGAGCAGGTGCGCCGGAAGGGATGCACTGCCCACCGCCGAGAAATGGATGAACTTCCTTACCCAGGAGCCGGCTGACCACTAGCCGTGCCCAGCAAACCCCAATAAGCAGGCCTGCTGAGCCAACCCATCCAAGAAGCTGTGTATCCGGAAGAGCTTCGCGTCGAATGGCTCCTTGATTAAAGAAGCTGGCATCCAGCGCGGCATGACGACTATCCGCCTGGTGCTGATCTGTCTGCTGGGGAACACGCAGACGCCCTAAGCTCCGTGTGAGCCTATGTTCAAAGCGTCCTTCACTGGCAGGAGATTCAAGGAACTAGGCGTAGATAGGAAGAGCATTCCCCACTGGTGCCACGAAGTACCGGTATGCTACCTGGCTACACTAATGGCAGCGAAGAGCACGAGAAGGTCCCAGGGCCTCATCGAGCGGGTCTGCCCCTAGCAGGCCCAAGTAGACGCTCTCTCCAGCAGTGTACAAGAAGCCCGGGAGGGAACGCTCGGGTCGGAGCTGGGGTGTTGCTGGTACAGGCTGTCCTTACTGAGTGCATCCCTCAGCGTCCAATAAGTGGAAAAGTGACCGGAGCTAGGTGTGCCTGCTTCTTCTCTGCCGCCTGCATGTTGTTGCATCTCTAGCTCTTCCTCATTTGTCGAGCGACTGCTCCTTCTGGCTTCTTGCTGGTCCTCGTTCGTCGTGTAGTCTCTTTTGGAGCTGCTCCCTGGAGGCCGAGCTGACCAGCAACATAGAGGAGCCTCATTCTTAGCTTCACACTCCACAACTGGCCCAGCGACATGTTGACCATTTTACAAGCAGTTCTGGGTCGCCCAGTCTGGGGCCGGCTGCTGTGCATTCTCTGCTTGACTGCCAGGGTCAGCGTCTGGCCCAGACACTAGATGGACAGGAGGCACGGACAAACGCCATTTGCTTGTTGCTTTCATGATCCACGAAGCTGCTGTCTTTATGTGAATCTCGACCCAGGTCGGTCTCCGTTGTAAGTGCAACGGTCTTGCGCATGCAATCTGGAGGATCTACGTTAGAGAATCGAGCCGAGCAATCCTTGTTAGCGCCTGCCATCCGACGTCTCTGTTGTTGAACTGGCCTGTAGAAGTCCGCTATAGGCCCTCAGACTCTTTGTCTGTGAGGTCCTTCATACTGGCCGGCCTGTCCTCGCAGAGCGCACTAAGTGCCCACCTATAACGCATGTCGGCGGCAGACTCCTCGGGAGCAATTTGCGGGGGTCTCGATGGGGTGGCCGACGCCCAGTGAACGACTCCAAGCCACCCTTTAGTGTCTGCGCTGTCGCTCCACGAGAGTGCGTAGTGGGATGCAGCCGGAATCCCCGTGTGCGGGGGCCGACAGTCAACGGCAGAAAGTTCGGCACCCCGTGTTCCCACGACGTCTCCGATCGCAGTACTGGCGGGGCCTGACGGCGCTTCTCTTCTTAATTCGGAACGAGTTAAGGAGTTTCCGCCGTAGGATGGCCGAACTGGCGGCTGAGGGAGCTGTGCGATGCGTCAGAGACTGTTAGAGATTCATATTGTGTATTGTGCAATGACCGATATGCATGGGTGTCCCACCGAAGACCCGGTGAAGGATGGCACCGGAGATGAGACAGGATGACCCCTGGTGGAGGAGACCACGGTGCGGGCTTGCCTGCAGATGCCGTGACTAAAATCTCAGCCCGTCCAGGAGTTTAACGGAGGTCATGCGACCGAATACCGAGGCCTACCGGAGAGCCGCATCGCCCCTGCACGAGCCAGCAAGCACTGCCTTCGACCCGACCACAGTTGAGAGCGCCCATGTCCGTGGATGCCGTCGGTCAGGTCCCTGAAGACCACCCTGCTCACAGCCCCAGGGATCCTCTGCAGACTCTGATTTCTATATCCCTGGGGTAGATGTTTGCAGATAGCGGCACAGGGCTCAGCAAAACCGCCAGAAGATCCGCAGCACACTGTCATTAACCATGACGTCCTGTGGTATTCATTCCATGGCTAAGCCACCAATAATGGCACTGGAACTGGAGTAAGACACTTCTAGGGTGCGACTACAGGACCGTGGAGGAGCTTCCTTCCCACGAAGGAGACCCTGCAGCTAGGGCGTGGTCCATCAACTCTTAGCACTGCACACCTTGGTAGAAGCAGAGCCAAGCCCACACTTAGAAATCGATGGCTGCTCTGTTGGACCCCGCACACGATGCTAGCTATAGAAAAGAGCCCGGGCAAGGAGATCACGCGGACCAGGTGTACCCGGACTGAGAAGCGTCTACTTTATCAAGTAACGGTAACCGGTCTATGCACACAGATCATGTTTGGCGACAAGCTCCCCTGTAGCTCATGTATACACTGCGAACCGCTGCTTAGAAGCCTGCGTTGGAGATGCTGCAAGACACCAATGGCTGAAAGGTGTGACTAGCCGTTCTTCCAGCTATCATCTCTCTGGATGCGCCGGGTACTTAAGGTGATAGTCCAGCATTGCACGCCTTGACTGCCACGGGCCTTGTGCATAGCCGACCAGGTGCCCGACACACGCCGCTTAGGAGTGCCCAGACCCCACGGTGCTGTAGTTGGGCTGCTAGGATGCGAGAGGTGGTGCACAGAGGCGCCTATCAGAGCCAAGGGTCTGTGTGTCGCCTGCCTCTGGGTGGAATAGTTGTACAATAGTAGGGGGTGCTCATTGCCATACAGAAGCGGGCACGGCAAAACATGGAGGCGCGGTCCTGCCACAGAATCCAGTGGATGCTCGGAGACAGGTAACTCAGCGACCTCGTAGAATAGCGGCGTCGAAACTATGGAGTAAGTGGGTGTAATAGGAGACACGTTTACTACCTAAATTTATGCCTTCCCCCTGCAGATAAACCACCAGCAGAGGAAACCGACGAGACCCCCGACGACAATAATAGCGGCCACGGCGATGCCCGCTATGGCGCCAGTGGAGAGCCCGCTCTTGTTGACGCTAGAAGGCACGCAATTTTTATCATCACCTAGAACAAATCCGTCGTTACACTCTGTGCACGTGCCGCCAGGACATGACTTGCAGTTAGGAAGATTGCAATCAGGGGCGGGGACTCCATCGCATGTGTTAGTCTCAGAGTTTGGTGTTCCCTGAGGGCACGAGACATAACAGCCGCCTCTGTATAGATAGTTCTCTCCCTTGCACGACTGGCACGTGCCGTCGGGGGTGCTCTTGGCCGTGCACTTGGCCCCTGCGGCGGCTATGGTCTCGCAGGCCCCGTCGATCGGGACGTGGGTGACAGCGCACTTCGTACAGCGTGAGCTCGTGGGAGTCTTGGCCTCGCACTTGTCACAGGAGCTATCACAGCTGGCACATGTGTTGTCGCCCTTTCCGTAGAATCCGTCGGGGCACGCGGCGTAGCATCCTCCGCTGTAGAGGTAGGTGCTCCCCTGGCACGCCTTGCAGGTCCCGTCGGGGGCGTCCTGCGGCGTGCACTTGTCCTGCCCGTCCTTCGCCTGGCACGCCCCCTCGACCGGGACGTGGGTGGCCTCGCATTTTGTGCAAATCTCTTTTTGCTGGCCATTTATATTGACATCTAGACAGTTAGTTCCAGATGCACAATTTTGAGAGTTGGTGCACGATTTTGGATCGGCAAGCGCCAAGTAAGCGAATGCTAAACCTGCCAAGTACAACATTGCCCGCCGAATCACGCTCACACTAAGGGGCGATCAGATAGCAGTGGAAGCCGCCTCCACCGGGTCGCATGCATCCTTCAGCGTGTCGCTGTGAGCACGCTGCAGTGCAGAACAAGAAGGCACTGGTGCTTTTCTGCGGTACCCAAGGACTGACAGCTGACTGGTGCCCTACTCAAGAGCATCCTATCGAGGCTATCTATTGCAGGTGGGCATGGCTTGTGTATCGTTAAAGCCACCATAACACCGTACCCTACAAGCTTCGGAAAAGTGTATAGCCCGCATGTGCATCATCCGTCAATTTGCTCTGCTAGGAGGTGGACAGCACTCATAAAGCTGGCTCCACTACCAAGGACCCTCTTCGAGAAAGGTATAGACGAACTTGAGGAAGCCTTCCAAGATAGCCAGGTTCTGCACTAATAGGCAGCGATGACGTTGGCGCAGGAGATGCAGAATGTGACATGGCCTCACGACATGGCACATGAACATTTTAACACTGCCCACAAGGAAAGTCCATTGCGATAGTATGCATTGCTGTGTAAATGTTGTTGCTAGGCTCCTTGGTCATAAGAAGACATGAGCCTCCTCTCTCAGTGACGCGACTGTTCGATGCAGATCCTACACGAACAGCTTCTTCACTTTCGGGCGATACGCACTAAGTCCGTCTAGACGCTCTAACATTTCTGCCCACCTGGGCAGGCGAAATACATGGATCTTGACTCTAATATGCGCCTCTGTGCACCACCTCTCGCATCCTAGCAGCCCAACTACAGCACCGTGGGGTCTGGGCACTCCTAAGCGGCGTGTGTCGGGCACCTGGTCGGCTATGCACAAGGCCCGTGGCAGTCAAGGCGTGCAATGCTGGACTATCACCTTAAGTACCCGGCGCATCCAGAGAGATGATAGCTGGAAGAACGGCTAGTCACACCTTTCAGCCATTGGTGTCTTGCAGCATCTCCAACGCAGGCTTCTAAGCAGCGGTTCGCAGTGTATACATGAGCTACAGGGGAGCTTGTCGCCAAACATGATCTGTGTGCATAGACCGGTTACCGTTACTTGATAAAGTAGACGCTTCTCAGTCCGGGTACACCTGGTCCGCGTGATCTCCTTGCCCGGGCTCTTTTCTATAGCTAGCATCGTGTGCGGGGTCCAACAGAGCAGCCATCGATTTCTAAGTGTGGGCTTGGCTCTGCTTCTACCAAGGTGTGCAGTGCTAAGAGTTGATGGACCACGCCCTAGCTGCAGGGTCTCCTTCGTGGGAAGGAAGCTCCTCCACGGTCCTGTAGTCGCACCCTAGAAGTGTCTTACTCCAGTTCCAGTGCCATTATTGGTGGCTTAGCCATGGAATGAATACCACAGGACGTCATGGTTAATGACAGTGTGCTGCGGATCTTCTGGCGGTTTTGCTGAGCCCTGTGCCGCTATCTGCAAACATCTACCCCAGGGATATAGAAATCAGAGTCTGCAGAGGATCCCTGGGGCTGTGAGCAGGGTGGTCTTCAGGGACCTGACCGACGGCATCCACGGACATGGGCGCTCTCAACTGTGGTCGGGTCGAAGGCAGTGCTTGCTGGCTCGTGCAGGGGCGATGCGGCTCTCCGGTAGGCCTCGGTATTCGGTCGCATGACCTCCGTTAAACTCCTGGACGGGCTGAGATTTTAGTCACGGCATCTGCAGGCAAGCCCGCACCGTGGTCTCCTCCACCAGGGGTCATCCTGTCTCATCTCCGGTGCCATCCTTCACCGGGTCTTCGGTGGGACACCCATGCATATCGGTCATTGCACAATACACAATATGAATCTCTAACAGTCTCTGACGCATCGCACAGCTCCCTCAGCCGCCAGTTCGGCCATCCTACGGCGGAAACTCCTTAACTCGTTCCGAATTAAGAAGAGAAGCGCCGTCAGGCCCCGCCAGTACTGCGATCGGAGACGTCGTGGGAACACGGGGTGCCGAACTTTCTGCCGTTGACTGTCGGCCCCCGCACACGGGGATTCCGGCTGCATCCCACTACGCACTCTCGTGGAGCGACAGCGCAGACACTAAAGGGTGGCTTGGAGTCGTTCACTGGGCGTCGGCCACCCCATCGAGACCCCCGCAAATTGCTCCCGAGGAGTCTGCCGCCGACATGCGTTATAGGTGGGCACTTAGTGCGCTCTGCGAGGACAGGCCGGCCAGTATGAAGGACCTCACAGACAAAGAGTCTGAGGGCCTATAGCGGACTTCTACAGGCCAGTTCAACAACAGAGACGTCGGATGGCAGGCGCTAACAAGGATTGCTCGGCTCGATTCTCTAACGTAGATCCTCCAGATTGCATGCGCAAGACCGTTGCACTTACAACGGAGACCGACCTGGGTCGAGATTCACATAAAGACAGCAGCTTCGTGGATCATGAAAGCAACAAGCAAATGGCGTTTGTCCGTGCCTCCTGTCCATCTAGTGTCTGGGCCAGACGCTGACCCTGGCAGTCAAGCAGAGAATGCACAGCAGCCGGCCCCAGACTGGGCGACCCAGAACTGCTTGTAAAATGGTCAACATGTCGCTGGGCCAGTTGTGGAGTGTGAAGCTAAGAATGAGGCTCCTCTATGTTGCTGGTCAGCTCGGCCTCCAGGGAGCAGCTCCAAAAGAGACTACACGACGAACGAGGACCAGCAAGAAGCCAGAAGGAGCAGTCGCTCGACAAATGAGGAAGAGCTAGAGATGCAACAACATGCAGGCGGCAGAGAAGAAGCAGGCACACCTAGCTCCGGTCACTTTTCCACTTATTGGACGCTGAGGGATGCACTCAGTAAGGACAGCCTGTACCAGCAACACCCCAGCTCCGACCCGAGCGTTCCCTCCCGGGCTTCTTGTACACTGCTGGAGAGAGCGTCTACTTGGGCCTGCTAGGGGCAGACCCGCTCGATGAGGCCCTGGGACCTTCTCGTGCTCTTCGCTGCCATTAGTGTAGCCAGGTAGCATACCGGTACTTCGTGGCACCAGTGGGGAATGCTCTTCCTATCTACGCCTAGTTCCTTGAATCTCCTGCCAGTGAAGGACGCTTTGAACATAGGCTCACACGGAGCTTAGGGCGTCTGCGTGTTCCCCAGCAGACAGATCAGCACCAGGCGGATAGTCGTCATGCCGCGCTGGATGCCAGCTTCTTTAATCAAGGAGCCATTCGACGCGAAGCTCTTCCGGATACACAGCTTCTTGGATGGGTTGGCTCAGCAGGCCTGCTTATTGGGGTTTGCTGGGCACGGCTAGTGGTCAGCCGGCTCCTGGGTAAGGAAGTTCATCCATTTCTCGGCGGTGGGCAGTGCATCCCTTCCGGCGCACCTGCTCGTGCCAGGAGGTGTGCCCAGGATGATCGGAGATGCAGCTGCGCCGTGGTGGCCGCATCTGAGGCACAGGTGCGCAGACAATAGTATGCCTGGTGAGACAATCATCGCATCTCTTCTTGATAAAAGCTTCACCGAACGAGCGGATCGAGTATGCCGTTTACAGAGCGCGTCCACTCTTCCACTCACGACCTGCCAACAAGGAGACAAGCATCAGTCTGTGTCGAGAGCCGGCCTGCAGCTCCTTGGCGTGTCGGCGCGTGAAGACAGAGGGCCAGCCAGGGTGAATGTCGTGGCCGGCCAGCTGCACATCAGTCCTAGCTCACGGCCCAGAGAGCATTCAGTCGCCTGTTACCGGACGGGCCTGTCTGGTAGATCGTTGGCCCAGACCGCGGTGTTCGAGTCGTCTGGGCACATGGAAGAGCCCTGCCTTCGTCTGCTGTATGTGGTCTCTTCAGCAATGCGCAGAATGCGGGTTGCGCGACATCCAGACCGTCGTAGCCTGCGTCTGGTGGGCCCTGCGCTGTGCCGTGGTTGAGCATGCTGCACGCTCTAGACATGACGGTCTCGTCACTGACCAGGCTCCGGCCATTAGCTGCTCCTACCGACCACTCTTCGCCAACCACCAAGCAAGCCGGGGTCTCCAGTCCTCAACCCTTACTGGGGCTCGCATCAGCGCACCCAGGCACGCCTCCGTAGCTCGCAGGGGGGAAGCATGGCACGCATGCGAATGCAACGGGCGACCCGAGGAGACCCTGGCCCGTCTGGAGCGGGAGGACGCCAGGCCCAGGAACGACCCCGGGCGGGAGGGCGAGGACGAGGCACCCCGGCGCGTGCGGGGGCAGAAGCGCAGAGACCGCGCCCGGGGCCACAAAGACCGGCCCCCCGACGGGCGGCACCAGCGGAGGCGCGGCGCAACCAAGAACGCAGGGGGGCGGGGGAGAGGCCGTCACAGGAGATACCTCCTCCTCCTGCTTGGCCGCCCTCGGGCCGTATGTGCGGCGCGGCAGCACCACCCCGTGCTCCTCCAGGGCGGCGCGGACGTCCTGGGTGCGGAGCGCGTTGTTGTACGTCATCCGCAGCTCCTGGCGCGGATACTTCGCCCCGAAGCGCTCGTGGACCCTGCGGTAGAAGTCCGGGCCCAGGATGCTCCGGTCCCTGACCCCGGCGATGATCATCGCCTTGATGGCCCTGCGGTCCTCGCCGGTCATCTTCACGTTGAGGATGCTCCGCGAGTGCGTCTCGCGGTACCAGTGATAGATCCTGCTCCGGTCCTCGGACAGGGCGCGGGCGATCTTCTTCCAGTCGATGGCCGTCCGGAGCACGTGCCGGTGGAGGAGCAGCGGCCGCCGCGCGAGGCTCTCGGCCGTCTCCCCCAGCCGCCGGGCAGCGACGACCTGCTTCGCGAGCTCGAGCAGAACGGAGGCGCGCGTCTCCGCCGTCATTGCCCCAGAGCCCATCCGATAGAAGCGGCGATAAAACTAAAAACAGACCAACGAATAATGTGAAATTAAATATGTACAGGCCTTGCACAAAAGCTTTAGCGGGTGTTTGTTGCCTGCCTGCCCCGGTCCGTCGGGCGAGCAGGGCGCCCTCACCCGGGCCATCGCCGCAGTACGAGCTGGCTTAGGCCGCCACACAGAACAGACCGCTTTGCACACGGCGGCGCTGGGGCTGATGTATTGATCGGAGTTTTTTGGTATTGCTGAGGACCCCCGCCCTCGGCCGCCAGGGAGAGCCGCACTCTGCGCAGCCCCGGTTTGTCTGCAGATGCCCAGAGCTCTACGGAGGCGGGCAGGCTGGGGCCGTCCCCTTCGTTCGGGACATCGCCGACGACGAGCTGCTGCCTGCGGCCCGCGGGGTCTTCCGCTCTGAGAGGGGTCGCCGAGTGTCGGGAGCCGCAGCGCTCTGCAAGGCCTGCACACGACCAGAGGCTGCCCAGTTTTTTGAGCAGCTGGCTCTGGCGCGGATTCTGCGGACGCCTGCTGCCAGCCCAGTCTACAGGGGCGTCCGCGTGTCTACTGTGGCCTGGCGTGCGTGTCTGCGCGTCCTCCTGCGGTGGCTCCCCTCGTGGCGCAGGAAGCCCTGCCAGTCCTCTCCCATCGAGTTCTCCCGACGCGCTCTCTACCGCGCCCAGCCGAGTTTCCAGCGGACAAAGGAGCGGCATGACCAAATCAGTCGCCAGATTACAGTGTGCTCTGCGGCCGCGAATCTTGCTGGCATCTTACGCGACAGTGGCTCTGGGTGTGCCCGTTCAGCAGCAGCTGCCTTGAACATAGATACTTAACGTGACCCGTATGCTAATATCTGCTCGCTCAATCTGTACAGAAGGATCTAACGGTATGCCGGCTAGAGCAGTAGGACTCGTCAGGCGAGCACACCGGAATTGCGTGCAGTACGCATCTCTAAAGGCTTGCATGCCTGGATCTGTGCTTGTCTTCTCACTGAGACCCCAGTACAGCGAAGGCGTTTAATATAAACAGAAAGCCGTGGTGTCGCTAGGGTCTATTCGGGCCGCTCAACTATACCGAATCATTCCTACCGGTAAAGCCTGACTGCTTGCTACTAAGCAGAAGGAACCGGCTCCTATGACGGCCAAGCGTGGAATCGGTACGCTGTCAAGCCTCTCGATTCAGATGCAGAGTCTGCAATGTCCACGTGAGTAGCACGCCAAGTGGTTGCCGCTTGCTTGTTATAGACTATAGATCGGCACGTAGGCTCGCGGGCCGGCTGCATCTTACTCGGAAGTACAAGACGCTGCTCCTGTCTGGATCACAGATGCGAATCGCCGGTCCCGATGCGCACGAGTGTTACAGAGTAACAAGGAGAGCACCCGTCTATGGGACACAGTCACAATTCGAGTGGCGTCCAGCCCTCCTGGAGAAAAGGCATGCCACGATCAACGGCATACTGCTTTGAACACCAGTAAGCACACCCGCTGTGTCTGCGAAGCTGAGGGCGGCCGTATCGCCGGCTGCTACTTGTCACTCGGACGCACATGTGTGACGAGACGTGCGGGCGCCCTTCATAAAGGCCTCCTGATGCGCAACACACGGCCCAGCCGCCTCTTCTCTGAGAGACAGATGAACTTTGCTTGCAGTGGGCTGCGTTAGCGTAGACTTCTGAACACGTCCCTCTGTTGAGGATTCAGCGGCTACGCACTGGGGGCAGACACGCGTGTTCTGTGGCCAACACGGGACTTGGCCGAGCAAAGGAGGTAACGAGTCGGCGCTTCTGGCCCGATGCTCTGCGTGCCTACGCCAGAGACCAGGTTGCCAACGTGCCGGTTAAGGAGAAGACGCGATGATCCGCCATCGAGAACTGCAGTACCCGCGGAGACGGGCAGGAGCGACTTTTTATGACCACGAGCCTGAGCCCTTTAAGGTCTGTGCCAGGCTCTTCGCATTACACAGCTCCTCCTCGTGTGTGCCCTCAGAGAGCGCAAGCATCTTCTTCGACAAGCACTTCTGTGGGCACCACAGCAGGAATGCATAGTTCCGCGCTGACCATGCCTTAGCCCTATTAGGGTTGGTGACAAAACTACGACTTCCCTGTCACGAGGCATTACGCTCTGTACAGAAGAATGCCAGCAAGTCATGCAATGCCTGTGGATCTGTCCTTCGACCTTCTCCTGACAGACATGTGTCTTTTGGCATGCAGCCCTGCATTGCATGACGGTTCGTCCTCCAAGTGATGGTCTAGAGGACTCAACGCAGTGGTTCCCAAGATATGTGTCCTGAACAGAAGACTATACGCTCATATACCTCTAACCACATGAGGCCACAGCCCACTCTGCTTCTCTATGCTGCACTTAGAACTGCCTCTACGGCTCTCTGTACTCCATACTATGCGTCTGCTTGTCTTCCACACGCCTATCCCGAAGTCTGAATTAGGCAAGGCGCACTATATTTGGGGTCACTGCCAACTGCGTTGGCTATTCAGCAAGATATAACTAAAGGCAGCGTCCAGCACGACCGAACATGCTTGAAAGTTACGCGAGAGACTGAGTACAGTGTGGGAATGTCCCTCGGTCTACTGGTAAAATGCCGTCGGCTGCTGATACAGGCTCTTGTCTTCGTGCGGTGGCATGCAATCATGTGGTACGCATAGCATCGCTATCTGCATGACGCGAGGCCAGTGGAGCTCTGCCCATTCTACCTCTTATCCTTGCGCGAAGATTCTGAAAACATGGATGTCTGGACATGGTGTAGGGCTCTATCGGTAGACCCTCTTTTCTGCGCCTTCAAGGCATGCAGAGGCTAGCGCAGTGTTCTCTAAACAGAGGCCTCGGGCATGCACGCTGTTGAGCGACGGCCTGAGCTTCTCTGGAGTATCTTACAAAGAGCGGCGCGCTGGCAGGAGCGTCGGTTCGGTGTTCTGAACAGTGGTGAGGGATCTCTGGCAAGCGAGCGCCTCTCGACTGGCTTGTGTGCCTGCAGCTACACGTGTGTGGGCAGTGAGCGGTGCACAAGCCCACGATGCTGCGGTTCTACGAATGCCTACCCCTGGTGAGTGCCGTCTGGGGACAAGGGGTGTGTACCGGTACAAACTATTCGGTGTCTCTCTGCACAACAGCCTCATAACAATGCTCTACTGGGACTGACTCCGGAGCCAAGTAGGAGAGGAGGCCCTTCTGGGTCTTAATGGCCACGGGCCCCGCTACATACCTGGCGGTGCCACCCAGAGACCGGATAGCTTTAGAATATTATATAGAAGTTAGCAGACATGTGACTTCGTCTGATTAGTACGCGCTCTGTGCCGATGCGACTAACGTACACTCACCGAAGCATTACCTCGTTTACTCAGAAGTCTTACCGGATACCCAAGGGCTCACTCGCTTCCTTCTAGCAGGAGGCAGAGCAGCTTAGCAGCAGAAAAGGTGCTAAACTAACTCCTTGTCTTCCAGGTAAGGGGAAGCCAGGAGAGCAGAGCCTTCGGGGCGCCCGGTCGGCCCCAGGCTTTCCCTGGTCGCTGCCCGGTCCCGAGTCACAGCGGCATGCGGGCCGAGCGCCGCCCGGGGGCCGATGAGTAAAAGCTGAACTGACCTAAGAGCAAAGTAAATGCAAAATCAAAAAACGGAGAACTCACTAGAATCATGGCCAAATGTGGCCTCAAGCAAATTTGTGGGTTCTGTTAAGCATATATGCGGTTTTCAACCCTTTGACATTTTGTCTGTCAAGAAGAACAATCATAGAGAGGCCCATCTAGAGCCATTTCTTACTAACTACGGTCTTACTTTTGTCGATACTCAGCTACTACTTACAGAAGATGGACTTATTCAGAGCACTGGATTAATTCCTTGTAATAATACTCGCTGGCACTCAACCTCTACAGAGACTACTTGCAAATATCTTAAGGCTGTATCTAGGTCGCCATCTCAAGCAACTCTATCGCACTATTCAGATCTTTTTTTACCCAACCAATTTATGCCTTTTCTCAGAGCTCTACTATATGCAGTGTTGAACTCCTATGGCAATTCATCTATTTTACAAGCAGAAAAAATGCTGCTTCAACTTGTTCAAGGCGCAGTATCTTCTAGGAAAATATCCCTAGCTACTATACTAGCAGTAATTCGTTTTTACCCGACTAATCATGATGGTTTTCCTTCTTCACAACGATTTCTACTCATAGCTTTTTTACAACAGCTTCTCAATACTGACCTTTCAGCTATTCAATTATCTATCAAGCTTGCGTACGCTTCATTTCTTTCGGAGCAATCATCACTTTCCATGTGGCAACAACAGTTCGGACTTAAATCCCCAGGCCACTATAATGAGCATGGCCTTTCAATAGATATGACGCTCTTGTCTCGCAATTTGATTATGGAATATTCTTCAACCTACACAGACACCAATCTCTTCTATTCCCAAAAACTCTTAGATTACATTTGGTGCACTAGCAAAAGCCCTTCTCTGGGAGCTTTTACCCTGTCCACAATAGGCCCCTCACTCTATACATATCACAAGCCTATGTTTAACAACTCTCTTGCTGTCTTTAGTGTAACATTGGGAGGTCCTAACACAGTTCTTTGCGATCCTCTCCAATTTTCAGTGTATCAGCAATTTTACTTAAGTAGCCCATTGTCAAAAGTGGATAATAGCGTAGAAGACCCTATTTTTTCTCAATTGGCCATTCTAAAAGAGGAAGAGATGAATACCACCGTATACTCATATCGTGATATTCTCTCTAGTCTTCAGATCATACCTTCTGAGTATCTTAGTCCACTTATTGCTACGGGAAATATGACCTCTAAGACTCTTCAAGTACTCGCACATAACGGCTTCTATGCCACAACAGATAATCCTCTTTATACTCTTGATGTCCCTGGCCTAAGGCTTCATTGTGGAAAGTCTGGCACTACATCTGTTTCTTCTGTTCTTGTTGGGTTGGGTATCATTAAGGGTGTATCCATGATCTCCAGTAGTAACTTGTATGCATACTCTGGACGGATGTTCGTGGCAGAGCACATGGATTCATTCTCTCTTGCGTGCTGTCTTCCAGGAATGGCCTATCGACTTGCTATTTTTCACGGCTTCCCTGAATATCAGAAGAAGGCAATAGAGAAGTATGCTCTCCACAGATTTTATTCCGAAAAACCTGAGCTGTTCCTCTTCCCCACTGCATGGATAGATGACTATATAGAGCCCTCCACTACTGCTTATAGTCTCCCTCAGCGAGCAAGTCCCACCCATTCAAGTACTAAAAAAACAACTCACACTAGTGCTCAGGTGGCACTAGAAGATGTGCTATTAGAAGCGGCATATGATGTAGAAGAACACATGGATAATGCTTTGGAAGCTTGTAGCTTTAGTCTAAGCAACACGTCCAACGATTCCTTCAATTTTGATAATCCAGAGCTATGTGAAGATTCTAATTGTATACTAGGAAACATGGATTGTCTTGGGGACCTTTGTGATAATTATGACATTCACCCTACCTTGTGTAATGACAACAAGCAACATCAGGAAACATCCTTTTTAGGAGATACAAACTACTTCTGCAATGCTTCAGAGTGTCAGCAATCTGTTCTATCGGAGTCTTATGACTCGGACCGCTATTCTTGTAGCTTGTCTAGCATCAGTGTTCCCTTATCTAGAGATTTAAACCTCCATAATCTGCAATTCTTATCTGCCTACAGAGACTCCATTGATGACTTAACTAAGAACCCTGGCTTTACAGAATTCTATACTAAGAACATGCAAAGAGTTGCTGAAGCACAGAAGGAGCTGTATGATGATATGCTCGCTAATGAATTGGAGGAAAAAAGCATGTACCTAACCCCACCAATTCTGAAAACACAAATATATAAGACAGATACTATTCCTAATGTGCATTTGTTAACTCAATGTTTAACGGGCAGATACAGTCCCGCCAAGCGAGCAGCAATTTTCTTAGTTGGACCCCACGGACATACTCCGTGCTGCTTTTACGGTCAGCGCAACAGATTTCTTCTAGTTAAGAACCGAGAGAAGATCTACACACGTGAGCAAAGCGACTCTGATAATGAAAACTTCAAGCAATTCATTAAGCAGCAACAAAGACAACGTGCCATTTCGCATCCGTTACTTTCAACCCCGTATGCTGCCGATCCCACCATCACCCCTACTCCGATCAATCCTTTGAAGAACAACGATCCGAAGTCTTCTGCTATTAAAAAAGATACTGCCCAAAAAGTGAGTAATAGCTCTGCACCACTAGATATTCAAGACACACAGCAGGCGCCTCTTTTTAAAACATACTGGGTGCTTAGAGAACTCCCAACCGTTGCACTCCTCGGTCAAATGCATCCTCTCCCATCCTTTTCGATGCAGCTTCCGACGAAAAAACATATAAGACGCGTTCAGGCCGTCAAGTTCGCCGATTATCGAAGCAAAATAGCTGCCATACGAGGCGACTTTGATGACTCAGAGGCGGTTAGGCATGTAGATAAAAACCTTCTAAAACGCGTTCTAGATGTTAGTGAAAGTGATGAGAGAAGCACGTCATCAGCATCTCGGAATTCTGTCTCAGAAAAAGGTGAAGAGATCAGCCAGTTGGATGCAGAAGATCAATTCGAGTTACAAGATATAGATAACAGTGACAGTAGTATGAACACAGAACGTGTGACAGCATCATCGCGGCTTCAAAAGAAGCAAACTGGAAAGGAGTCAGCCACTGAGACAAGCCTATCTGTTGGTGTATACAAAAAAGGAGCACAGTACCAATGCGATACCATTCCTCATGTCCTATCTGTGTGGAACATAGAGAACTTTATTAGGAGGCGGCTTCTTTATATGTTGGACAGACTTATTGATGAGACACCAACGGACACATGCAATAGAATCACGTTTAGCGAACTAACCTCAGAGCTCAGTAAGAAGCTCTTTAAGGTGAATTTTATGAAGGATGTTTATAAGAATATCGTCTTCAACTCGCGATATTATGCCGTTAACGCAAAGGAGGCGAATATTAAAAAGCTACCCCTCAAATCCTATAGTGACCCTATCGAGATACTCATGTTTGAAAATGTTCTTTCAACTGGAGGATTTGTAGACAATTTTCTGCGCAAAACAAGCTCAGAAACTTATCTATTACAGGCTGTTATTAACGACGAACGACCAGGTTCATTTCTGCTCGACCGCTTCATTGGCTGGTCTCGGCTAGTAATTTCTTTCTACACTGATTATAGAGCTTCATACCTGCAGGCTTTGCGTGATATGCGGTTCTTGCTTACATACAGTCATGCTGATGTGGCGGGAATCCGGAGCTTTGGTTCGCGCCAGCTTAAGTATGGGGCAGATACTGCAGGAGTTGAAGATCTATTTAGAGAGCCTTGCGGTAGTCGTGATTTGCTCTTCAAAAATCGCATGCACGTCTTCCCATATGCTACAAACCAAAAGGCAGGGATCGCCAGTATGCTTAATAACATATACAGCGTAATAGCTTCGTCGTTAGAAGGATCGACGTTTTATCCTATGGAAAAGGTGTACATTTCCCCATACTCAACCATTGGTTTGTATGCGCGCTTTATCAAGTTAGGGGAGAGCTCTTTCTCAGAAGAAACAGCAAAACTCCGAGTCTCAGATGAAAAGCTAAAGGAGTATATTGATGAGCTAAGCACTCTTGAGCCACCAATGAGGCTTCCTAACGTGGTTTGCCACGCAAAGATGGCCATGCTAGATAAGGACCAAGCTCCCAAAAAGGACACTACTATTTTTCAAACGCTTCGAGTGTTTGGGATTGCAATCCACGAATTACTAGGATTTATTGATATCATTTCTAAAACAAAAAACTTGCTCACACTCGATAGGTACATGTTTTCTGTCCTAGAGACAGGTTACCCCAGTGAGTTTCTTTTTCGTTATAGGCTTTTTGTGATTGCAAAAGACCATATGAAGCAAAATAAAAAGCTTTCTGGAAAGACTAAGGAACGGCTTGATAATAAACAAGGCTTACAAGATGTACAAAGATCAGATCAGAAAGACTTAAAGCGCACCAAAGGGATTAAGCGTAAGAATGTAGATGGCGCAGAACCTGAACTGAAGAAGGTATCAAAGACCAAGAGCAAGAAAGCAAACTTGTCAGGAACTGAAGAACACAATGCTGAAAGTCCACAACCAAAAGTTAAAAGGGAAAGAAGCAGATCCACCATGCAACTACAATCTGAGAAAGAAAAGAAAGAGATGCCTTCTATAGGGGAAGTATCCATCAGAAAGCATAGGAAAGTAAGAAGAAAGAAAAGTCATGAATTGCATGCCGAAACACAGGATACCTTCGCTTCTGCAGACTTAGAAAAGTCAGACACTGAGAAGAAGCAAGAAATAAAGACTAGACGGCGAAGAAGAAGACGGAGGCACTCTCACAATAATAAGAATGCTGATTTGGATGTATCCACGGTTAACGTTGCACAGGATATAGCAGATGGTGCGGATGATGAGACAAAAGAGCTAAGTGTTTATCCAACAGCTTCATATATTCCCGTTACTGCGCATTTTCCAGCTTCCTTGACAGACTCTACCCAACTGTACGGATATCTAACCACAGAAAATGACTTTGAAGAGATCACCGAACAGTCGAGAGTGAAGAGGCCAGCAAGCGCGTCCTTGACACCAGCAAAGCGTGACCTTGCAATGGATCTGCTTCTTTATAAGGAATTCTTCGAAACAGCAATCGATACACTGGTGCAAAAATATAACTATTATCTTAGAACAGAAGAAGGGTCTCGCGTGTACGCCAAAATAGATCCTTCTGAGGGCCAGGATGACGTAACCATTCTAGATCCAGTGCTACGGAAAAAGCTAGCGATACATATACATCCATTTGATGTGTATACTTTTTGTATAGAATTCCAGAAAAGTTGTGCTCAAAACATCAACCCGTCTAAAGCAGATCCTGCGAATAGTAGGCTTACCCTAATAAAGTATGTATTTCACATGATAGAGCTACTCAGTCGTAGCTGCATCACCCAGTTTCTCACAGTGGAACAGATGTATGCAATGAATGCCTATCAACTCAACCACATAGATAGACAATATCGCGAAAGAGATTTGTTTCTAGAAGTCAAAATGCACAAACATATCGATTTCTTGGAGGGACGCCACAATGGAATAATAGATGACGACATTCTGAAGGTCCTAAAGGAGCCCTCTGGACGTGTTTTGGTAGCGTCTGTCTTTGGAGATGGGCAAATGCGGACCATAGAAAGGCATAGGATTGCTTTAGGTGAAATACCTTGTTACTTGTATACCGATTCTCCATTCATGTCCATCCAGGCTCTGGGACACAGTGTAATAGGTGGAGAGATACGGGGGAACTACCTCAATGGTTTAGTTAGGAATAAAGCCAATGGGTGTAAGTGTATTCCAGATTTGAATATTTGCCGCTACTCGGGATCGTTTAATGCCCTGACTTACGAGATAGACTATTTGCAGAAGTATTTGGCAGACCCAAGCGGCGAGAAGATAGGTGTCACAAATAATGAAGATGTGTTTAATGCTCCTCAAGCTGACCTACCACTGAATGATAAGTACAAGGAGTTAGGTGGGGACTTCCAACGTAGCCTTGTTATGCACACATCAGCAAGTCAAGATACACCTCTTCTAAATAGCCATGTCTCCACTCCTTCAACTTCCTTGCCTGCATACCCGTACCATGTCCTCTACTCTATCACCCAGGAGAAAAAGTACTACACAAATGTAGAGCTTATTAGTCGCATAGAGCGCTATAAAAACATCTGGACACCAGCGCAGAATAGAGCCTTTCTTCAGCTTTCTCTTCCCATGGTCCAACTAACCTCTACAAATAGGACAGGAAGCATTTTAGTCTTTCCGCATACAAGCTCTAAAAGAATACGTTCACTAGCTTTTCTGCTGAGCCCTGCAACCTTTTTAAATGGTATGGGTCGCTCAAGAGATGTGCTATCAAAACAAAGAGCAACTAAATCTAATCCTGGTACCGACCAAGATTCTACTGCAACAAAATTTCAATATATAATGAGCTACCCTGTTGAGAACAGAACACAAGTAGAGCTGATATTTGACTTCTGGATTAGAAGGAGGCAGATTTTAGCGTATGGAAACCTGGTAGATGGGTTCTTCAACCGACAGCATACACAACTTACTCGTGAATCCAAGACCTATCCACCTACGCAACTTCCTGAGCTTTCACCCAATCACTACAGCACATCTAAAGACGGCATTGTTGTTGTACACAATATCAGCATGACTGCAGCACACTATGCCGACTACACACGTGGTAACATGAATCTTGCTTTGGCTGATGCACTCAGGGAGTCAATCCAATCTCATACTCATCTCTTCCCACTGACGTCATTCTTCGATAAATCCTCTGACAAAAAGGCTTCTGTAAGAGGTAGGTGGATTGATATATTAGCTGCGCCCAGTGACTCTATACAAGCACTTCAACTGAAACCTCTACAATCCTATTTCCAAATTACCGTAAGCAAAGACCTTAAATACAAAAGGCAGCTATGCGTTATAGAATTAGTGACCAAGATGAGCCAGTCAATCAATCTGCAACTTGATGCCAACAGAGGACCTATCGGCTCCATCCAGCGCAAGTTTTACGATTTAGATGACCAACCAATCTTCCACCTTTTAGAGTGCTCTGTCACTGACATTTATAAGGACTTCTTAGAACTTGCTAATGCGTTCTATTGTGAGTCCATAGAGGTCACCCTCACCACGACAAAATTTAACACATATATCTTCAAGGATCCGCTTTTATTGGAGGCAGTCTCATCCAGCACTGCGCAAGATCCGTATAGGAGATACACTGCAGCAAACCCTATCTATTACACTACTGAACTTTTCAAGGACGCAACCGACGCTGCCTTAACTCGCGACGATATCCACCACGCCACTTCAGAAATACAGCGGGAACTTCTGTATGTACTGCAATATACATCGTCAATAGAGGCATGCGCTTATGATTGTCTGCTTAACTTCCTTCATAATTTGTTGGACGAGGAGTCCCGTAACCCGAAGAATCAGAGAATTGCTCAGGCGTTTAGCTGCGCACAGTCTCTTGATAGAGGCTCCAGACGAGGAGACCTTGCTAGGTTCATGAGGGATATAAACAACCCCCTCTTTGTTTGTGACATATACTCAACAGTAAGTCAAATGGAGTTACGTGGAGACCTCCCCACGGAGGCATTCTTTTACATGATAAGGTCACTATACAAGTTGGTGGTCGACTGCTTGCAATTCTATATTCCAGAGAACAGTATGGTGTACGGCCAAGTGGTCGCTACCGAGAATGCGCTACTCAATGCGTGCACAAGTGCGCGTGAAGCAACTTATGGCGTGTTTCTTCCCCTTATGGACCTTATCGCCAGCACGCGCGAATTCTTTAATCGCTTCTGGCGCCGATTTTCCATCATGACAGCCGGGTACCTGTATACAAAAGTATCGACATTGCATGTATATGGAAATACCCTACACAAACACCAGATATACTCTATTGTCTTTCTTACAATGTGGCAGCTAGAGCACCTCTATTGCCCACTGTACCGCACTCTTCTTACTGATGACGTGGTCGTAGCGAGTTATCATCAGCGACACGCCAAGTCATCAAAAGGGTAGCCGTGCTCTATAAAAGGACAGAGACCCAGTACAAGTTATCAGGATAATTTATCAAAATAATAGCTGTACCCCTCTGAGAGACCTTTTAGAAAGGTTTGTGTGGTCTTCATGTAATATGTAAATACTACTCTAGTGCATATTGTGTTTTTGAGCTTCACGCAGTTAATTTGAAAGAACTTGATATTGCTCGCTATGCAATTGCAGGCTATCAATATGAATTGATGATGATACGTTATATAAATCATGTAGTGATTACAATGAATACGGTGCTCACTGCATTTTTCTGATTTATGCTATTATCTCTCCCAAGGCAATGTACTTTTGTGAAGATAAATAGTAAACATAACCTTTATATCAACGGTCTAGAATTGCTATCAATCCAGTGGCCTATCACATAAGCGTGTATTCTAGCAATATTTCTGTAAGTATTCTGGAGGGCAGGCGCTCCTTAGATCGAAAGCTTATACAGTTACACTCTTGTTGTAGTGCTCTTTTCCCAAAGCGGAGGCTAATAAAGGTACACATGTGTGTATGTAATCATGCCTCAATTCATGGCCAACCCTCAATTTCTCATTACAGGGTCAGACTGACATTCTGTGAAAAACATCAGAGCTTTGATACTGCTTCTGCAAAGTCTGGAAGATGTACACGTAAAGTGTGCGACGTTTCTCCATTACCAGCTGAGCCATCAAGTACTCTTGAAAACTACCACCAATTCAAAAGAATCCGAGCCATGTCTGCAGACACGTTTTCTCTCTGGAGAATGGTTAATGGAGAAGATTACCCTAGTTTTGTACCTGAAAAGCTCAATATGAGTCTTTTACACAGCTCGTTTATAGCGTTAAAACAGGCAATTTCAGCCCCCGAAACCCTCAAAGTAGTCAGAGAGACACATGCATATTTGAAGATATCTTTCAGCTCTTATAGGCGCCTGCCAGTCCACCATTTTCTGCAACGTGCCACTTCGTTGACGAATCAGGTCTTGCGCAAGGACTGGTCTCTCGAAAGGTGTGTTCCAAGGGGCAGAATGACACCGAAAGCGTACTACGAGCTTCTTTCTGCAGTGGCAGCAGCTATTGAAAAGCTAGAGCGTGCTTCCGTCATGGCAGTTCAGACCGTTCGGCGGGCAGCGCATGTTCTCCGTCACTGCACAGACGTCAGGCTGATGATCGTCTTTTTACCACTGGGTGCACGCCTTCACACATTGATACAGGGTATTCTCAAGCACATGGACGCATATAGTGCAGCCTTGTTAGGAATACGGCGCAAAAAGCCTCTTGAGTACCTTTCTTTAAGACGCCTCCGCGACGAGCCCCTATTTCTAGAGTCACAGGGAATGGGTTCGCTATTTGCAATGGCTTGTAGATTCCGTCAAGCGCTCCACAGACAAGAGCCTGAATCAAATAAATATACCGCAGACTAATGCGATGTCCTCGCTGTCATCTGGACACATTAGAATTGCAGGGCGACGGGACCATATACTTGTGCAGGCGCTGCAAATATATCCAAGACAACGAGAGCGCACAGTTCGTGACTCCTGAGCAATTTACAGAGACACTGAAGAACAAGTGGATAACCACGCAAACAGTGAAACCACGTCGTTCTATAAAGAAGCACACGCGCAGAAAAGTGCAGCTTGATGATGAAGGGCTCAAAGAACTGAGATTGTCATATAATAAGTACTCTCGAAGACTCCGACAATTTTCTCTGCCTAGCAAGACTCTATCAGCTATTTGGAAGCGTGCTTGCTCGTCAGTCCTAGGGATATATCAACATTTCCGGACCGTCATTGCTGAAGACCCTGGCACCTTCTCTAGTATTCATGCCAACTTTGTAGCAAATGCGATTTTAGAGTGTCAAGCCAATGGTCTAGAGCCAAACATCTCATCATCCAGCATCTTAACTTTGTTATCTCGTCCTAAGGCAATGGCTATTGCAACCTATGTCCTTGCAGCTGAGCTAGCGGGAGAACTTGTGATGCCTTCATGTATCACTTTGTACCTGGAAAGTAGGGACACGGCCCAAAAGCCTCCGTCTCTCCTACTTGTTTCCAGGTGCTACCGAATTCTCCCCATTCTCATCCTTTCTCCAATGACACGGGCACGATTGCTCTTTGATGTTAGGACAGCATTTACCCAGATTGCATCACTATGTTTGGTTTTCCAAGGCTACAAGTTGGACCATCCTTTAATTACTCCATGGATTGAGTTATCTACACGCCTATCCACCCTTTATCCAATACCTCTCTGCGGCTTCCATGCCTTTATGCCTATACCAGCAGCGTCTTCTAACAGCAGCATATCAAGGAATCTTCTGTCTCCCTGTCGATATGTCTGCATTCTTTTGCTACTAGCATACCTTTCTCTCATGCTAGCTCGTTCTCAGGATGATTTCTGGAAATATTCAAGTCCAAGCTTGCTCCCGTCGAACTTGACTGTTCGTTATCATAACTCTTTCATGTGGTCAACTGAAACAACTAAGTTCTTCAAAGCCATAGGCCTCAATTTCTTAGTATATAAACCCTTCAACTCGTTTTCACTGGAAGAGTTTATTGGATCGAGTGGTACTCAGTCAAGGGCTATAGATGAGAACTCAGCTGAACTACCTTTGGTAGATGACGTCGCCTGCATGCTTGCTACGATTTGTGAGCTTAGCGTTGAAAGGTTTGTAAAGAGTTCACTCGACGTGGCTTGTGCCCTACCATCGCGTACAAATCCCAAAATGGATCAATCAAAGCTAGGATAGGTTCTGCGACGCAGCTTCTCAAGCTCGCGCATAAGGAATTGTAGCTCCTCCTCTTGGGCCTTGCTAAGTTCCTTCATCTTACGCAGCGCTGCAATTCTGCGGAACTTTTTATCGGCTTCTGCTTTAGAATCTATTTCTGCTTCATTTAGCTCAGCTTCTGGTATCGCCTGTCGACGCTGAATGTTCTTTGCACGTAGTTCATTTATGCGCGCCTCTATCGCGATATTTTGCTGTTCAATGGCCTGTATCTCTAAAGGCACCGCATTGATCTTGTTCTCCAGTTGGTTATTGGCAAGAATGTTTGCTTTTCGAGTGTGTTCTAGCTTTCGTTGGACTGTGCTGACTTCTCTACTGCGTTTTTCTGTTGTAGATGAACTTTCGCGCAAGACATCATGCATTTCCTTACTAACGCGGATGAGCTGATAGTCTTTTGTTTGTGCGATTGCATCCTTACGCTGCCACTCTATGAGGTTGATTCTATACTGTACAATTTTCGTTTGCTGTCTGAAGCGAGCCAGGTTCATCAGCACCGTGCTGCGGCGCTCGCCCAAGATCCGTATACGATCATTCAACTCATCTATGTAGCTGCTTCCGAGGATAACAAAGGAGGAGTTATCCTGGAGCAAAACGCCTTCGTCCTCGTTGTCCATTTCAACAGTATTTGTCTTTTCAGGATCCCAATCTGCATCCAGTTCGATGTTGGTATAATCCTCGTCGAACTTGTTTATTGTCCTGTTGAGGAATCTAGTCTGCGTCTTCTCAATGTCTATTCCCACTCTAATTCCACCAAAGACAAGGGGCTTTTTGTCAACTGCAAAGTCCCAGGCACGAGATGACTCCACTTGGCCTTCAGATACAAGAACAAGGAGCGGCAGGTTGATGAATTCTGCATTAAGCTGTCGAGATAGTGCCAAAGTGTCGCTGTGATGGCGTTCTAGTTTCCCAGCAAAGAATGATCCCTCCGTCTTTAGTTTTCCGACGTGAGTTTGGACATCTTGAAGGAGTTTTGTTGTTTCATAGATCTGAAGCTCTAGAGCAAGTTTTGTGCATCGTATTACATCAAAAATCTTCAGCTCTTGATTGTTTGAAGGTACCTGGGAAAGTAGTTGGGTTATATTTGGAAGGCCATGAAGAGGAACGATCTTATGTATGAGAGACACTATGACGGGGTTTTCTGGCGCCGGAAGCGACATTAAGTTGGCTATCTCAGCAGGGGTGTCATTGGAATCAAAGTATAAAGCCTCTGCCAGAGCCACTTCGAAAGTTAGGTCTCGAAAATCGCCCTCCTCGTAGTGAGCAACAATACTGTGTGTCTGCGCCAGCCATTTTATGGCCTCTTCTTCTGACTCTATTAGCAATGCCTGTTTTTGCTGAGAGGCAGCAACCGCTTGTGGATCTGCAATGTTCATAACGCTAGTGTTGATGTTCTGTATCATGTCAAATGAAATATTGCCGCTCTGGGACGACGTGGATCCAGGGGCCACTCCGCTTATGGCGGCACTCACACCGCTAGTGCTGAACGTACTGCTTGCTAGAGTTCCAGTCAGACTGTGTTGCTTTGCCGGGGTGGTGTTAAGCAAGTCCCGAACAGCCGAATCTAAATCAGGTTTTGTGGTGAAATACTGCCGAAGAGCATTCCTAGTGATCTTTGGATTACTTTTCTGCTTAAGGTATTTAAGGAAGTGAGGATCCTGTAATTCGCGTTTAATTCCCAGGTTATAGAATTTTTCAGCAGATCTAAGAATTACTAATCGCTGCTGGAGCCTATTAAGGATTGATGAAGCCACCAACTCTGCGTTATTTAGCGCGACTGTCTCGGAAGATAGATATCGTTCATAGCGGGTAAGATCACTGGTGGTTCCAAGGGTCTTAGCCCTATCTAAAAGCCGCAAGTTCAAAGATCCTATGGCAAGCTGGATAGCTTGTAGCTTTAGTTCTGCATTGAAGCGTATTGCACGTAATATATGTAGCCTATCATTGTCAAATTGCATGCTCAATTTCTCCGCTTGCTCACGGAGACTACCACATGATGCTTCGAGCTGCCGCTTCTCCTTCAGACGTTTATCTACAAGCTCCTTGATCTTGTTATTATAAATGTCAAGCTCTTGCTCCTGCTCTTTTGTTAGTTTCATCCCAGGGATTTTGTCCAAACCGAAGACAGTTGGAATGGGAATGTCTCGCACAGTAACGCGATTTGCTGCATCAATAGCTCCGCGCATCATATCGTAGAGGGCTCGCTTATATGAATACCAAAGTCTCAGGACCTCCTTGTTAGTTACATTATTCTTTGTCTTCTCTTGCTCTTTAATCCTACGGATCAGCGTCTTCAAATGGTCAATTTTGAAAAGACCTTCATCTGTTAACGTGAGGATTGCCGCATTGACCGCAGAGTTGTTTGTCAAATTTGCAAACTTAAGACTGAACCCTAACAAGTTTGCTGACACTAGCTGTGCCTGCTGAATGTCAGCCGCACTTACTCCAGTCTTGCTTATTTCAGAAAGGCCGGTGCCGTTGATATATGCCAGAAAATCTACTATGGTTTGGAGTGTCTTTTCCATTGTGCACTGGTTAGCTAAGGTCCGCAAGCTATCCGTCAAAGTGTCAATGTAACTCTTCCTGTCTCCACTCTGGTTGTGCTGTAAATACGGATTATATCCAAGCATGATGGCTAAGCTTTCGCAGGCTTCTATGCCAGCATCTCCGCCTCCTGGACTGTAGCCCGTTATGGTGTTGATGTCTAAAAGCTTTATATCAACGTTTTCAATTGCCAATTGCGCAATCACGTCTTCATTGGGTAAGCCGAGGATGGCTTGCTTTGCTGCCTTGCTTGCTGCGTCCTCGACACCTATTCCTTGACTCTGAAGATCTGCAAAAACTCTTTTGCGCTCTTGCTCAATAAGTCCCATCAGCACCGACTCCTTTGCTAGGTACACCAGTTCTTTGCTATTATCTTTGATCTGAGCTGCTATATCATGAATTCGCGACTGTAGTTTATACTTCTTATCGCGCTCTTCTGCAAGCTTTATGTTAAAGTCTTTCATCAAAAGCAGACCAATGGCCTGTAAGAGAAGAATCTGCTGCTTTGCACGAATTGAAAAAGCACACTCTGCTTCAGTAAAGAGGGCCCGTCGGAGCGATAAAGACTCATGACTTCCAATGACATCTGCTGTAGGAAGCTTTGGATAAACGAACCCCAAGGAGTCACCAGCGGCAACCTGAGCGAAAGGTATCTGCGGGGCTCTGTCAAATATAAGGGTAGAGAGCTGCAACATTGAATAAAGAGTTTGGGATCCAGGCAAATCCAGATGTGTCTGTGCGGCGTCTTGAGAATCCTTTGTCTGATCTTGGTCATCAGTATTGGAAAGGTGAACCTTATTGTCCTCTAGGAAAAAGGGGTCTTTTGGTTTATAGTGGTACACTCTGGGCGAATATTGAAGGGCAGCAGAAAAGTCTAGAAGTGTACCTGTTTCGTCATATGGCAGCTCCTTATTTGTCATGATACGTGTGAAAATAGATTTGTGTGGCTGAGGTAATGTTGATGACCCAAAGACAATTTGGTTAGGATTGTCCTTAAAACGGTGAGAATGATCATCGTTGTCTTTGCCTTGGGGTGCGCGCTGCAAAGTGACTTGCGGTGCATAAATACTGTACCGCTCAGAGACTATCTGCGCAGAGCGCAGTAAGCACACCTTCCTGGCCTTAGTCATAATGTTCCCTGAGATTTTTGGTATGGGGAAGGAGACCACGTGAATGCAAGGGTCTGCTAGGCCACATACGGCATAGCCTATCTCATCTGAAGATGCTTTGTGGATAAGCTGGTCTTCTAAAACGTGTAAATAGGACAGAGAGCGGAGAAGAGTGGCCTTCATGTACTGTTCTACTTTGACCATGTGCTTGAGGAGATAGCTCCTAACCAGTAGCGTAACTTCGTCTGATATCCTAAATGCATTCTCAGAAACTCGTGCGGTCGCACGTAACAGCTTGTTGACATCAACAATCGAAGACTCTGGATGATCTTGCTCGACTTCCAGAGAGTCCGCAGCAGTCTCTAACTCTTTCATAGATGCCTTAAAGCTCTTAATTGAATCGATTCTTGATAGAATGGAGCCAGCGATATCCCTACTCATAACCCGACTTTGAATGGCCGTAAGTGCAGGGATTTCGCTAGGAACAAGGTTTAGATCCTGCTTTACATGCAGAAGGCCCTCTAAGGAGCGAATATCTGAGCCATTATAAATGGCATCTAGATCGTGATCGGCTAATATCCGAGCATTGTCTGCTTCTAGCTCTCTACATGATTCCCTAAGTTTCTGTGTTTCCCCAATGAGACGGGCCAGCTTTTTCTGCTTTGATCTACTATTGAATCGAAGTGCACACACTTGGGCTGCAAACCGAAGTGAGACATCCTGGTAGGATGGTGCTACAACAAGCTCCATGCGGCTTTGCATTTGCTTGATTGCCACTTGAACAGTTTCAAGAGCTGAGTCAAGACGAAGCTCTCCCTGTTGCTCAAGAAGGTCTTTTGTAGAGCAGTTAAGCGTATCATAGTCTCGTACCCCAGACAAAATCTCATCGCATTCTAGGGTGATGACCATAGGATGGTGCGTATACAGTGGGGGTGCTAGGGAGGTCTGGTGCTTCCAAAGGCATCCATCTACGATACGCTCAGAGTCTGATACGGATACTAGCAGGTTTTCATAAAGCTTAGTTAGCGCTTGGTAGTCATTGGTTGTAAGAACAGCAGACCTAGCACGCTGCCTTTGCTCTATAGCAAGCTTCCAGCCAATATAGGCTTTAGATCCTGTACCGGAGATTGTCATGCTCTCCTGAGTGGTTTGCACCTGAAGGAACTGAGTAACCATCGAATCAAGAGCTGCAACATATTGCTTTGCAGATGTAACCAGGGCCTTGTCAACAGAGTGAAGAGTAACGCTGCCCACTGAAGTCCCAATAAGGAGTATACAGTAATGGTCAGATTGCTCAGAAAAGTAAGAGATTGTTGATCCATGCATATCAACGACGGATGTGTTGGTGCCTCGAAGAAGCGAATTACTGTGCAAGCTAGAAAATGTGGTCAGGGATGTACCAGACTCATTATCAATATAGTAATATGTTGTAGGAGTCATGCTGATGGGCATACCGTAGATGTGTGGGGTTGGTATGTACATATCGCTTTGTGTTGGAAGAATGACAGTAGATGATTGAGCTGTATTCGGTCCAGACATGTCGTTCAAGTCACGTGCCTGATTGATCACTCGCTTCAAAAACGCAGTGGTGACTTGGCAAAGCTGCATAACCAGAGTGAGGCCCGTCATATCTGTGACGGCAAGAAGACCACCATCGTGCAGTACAGATAGAGTCGTTATCGGACCGCGCATTTGGCATATCCCACTAAACCCTGAAGACCCTGGAAGCCCGACCAAGGGCGTGTCTTGGACATATTGAGATATGCGTGACATCATGGTTTGATCGATCTCATGCTTGCTGATATAGCAGAACACCCGCCCATCTTCTAGACCTACATAAACAAGGTCACTGAGCGAACATGGTGGCGGAATACACATGGGGTCTACTGCAATACACTTCACAGCATATCCTGTGCGAATAATGTACGGCTTCATGGCAGAATAGGGAAGAATCAAATTATCTGTGACAACTTTCGTGTACCTTGCATATGCATTCTCCAGGTCGCGTTCAGAATTAGAATTCAGAGCATCGTCGTAATCATTTTGTAAAACGATAGCATTCAGCTCCGAACGCAGTGAAGAAATATTTAGTTGAGGATAATTAAGTCGCAAAATATCGCCGGTCGAGAAAGAAATGTAGATGCAATCATTAGTTAAAACAAGGTCTGTTGTGTTGTTGAACAATAAAGGAATGAAGTCATCGATGAATGGATTGTAGGTTGGCCTCAGGTTGTTACAAAATGTATGCAGAACCTGGCGTAGCGCAGCGTTGTCCTCGTCGTCGGCATCACCAGCATGGGAGTTTTGGCTCAGAACATCTGAGCTCATGCTATGCTTACGTACGGGAACAGTGTACATCTGTGACGTCTCGTAAAGAGTCATAAAATACTGTGACACCTTATGCGTGTCTTTTGTTATATCTTGGCTTTCAATAGAAGGTGTCATAGCAGGCGACGGTAAGATAGGGTTCAGCACATCGACCTCCTTCATGACACTCGTTTCAGTAAATAGTAGATCTGCTCCATAGTCGCTTTGTTCTGGAAGGCACTTCTGAGTTGTCACGTCGTGAAGTTCGGTTATGCGGCGTAACAGAGAAGAAATCGATGGTCCGTCTATGATGAAATTAGTGAACCTTTCTACTATGTATGATTGAAAGTTTAACGATGCGTGGGAATATCCAAAAGTGACACTCTCTTGTAACGGTTTGTCTCCACTAAAGGCTTGTTCTGGCTGGGAGACAAATTGCGGGGTCAGGTGTGGTTGAGTCTTAAGCTGCATAAAGCCGTAAAGAGCAAATTCGTACTGTGGGCCACCAAGAAGATATAGATTATCAGCGCTGTCTAGTGCAGTAATGTATGATGAAGACGGAGAGGCTGCCAAGTGCACAATCGGCAAATCTGACGCCTTGACACGGAATATCAGATTAATAATCATCCTGTGGCTCAAAGGGAGAGAATCAAGATTCGAAAAGCCGGATGAGAAGACGCGAATATAGCCACTTACATGGCCAGTAATCACAAACTTTGACTCTTGGAGAGATATCATGGAACATATAGGGTCCGGAACTGTCCAGGTGTTGTCCATGATGCTCATGGGGATTCTGCAACTGAAGTAGTGAGTATACACACGGTGCTGCTCATCGGCAAATAACATGTACAGGCGCCCGCAGTCCAGCGTCCCAATGTATGCACAGTGTATTGATCTGCCTGTCTTAGGCGAACTGCTCTGCAAAGTATTTTGGCTCTTTTGAAGTACTTCAGCTTTTTGAGGAGTCAGAGCCGACATGGGAAAACTTAGAAAGGCAACGGAATTTCTTACGGTGTTGCATGCAAATGGAGACGGAGATATCGGCTTACAAACGGTAACAAGTGGAACATAGTCAGAAACACTGATAAAAGGATTCGACGAACAACTGGGTTCCTTCAAGTCTGCTTTTAATGCCGTTGGTTTAATAGATCTGTGCGATCCATTATCGGTCTTTGCACAACGCTTATTTCTATGATCAATAAGTACGCCACTATTGTATTTGGACAAGGCATAAATAATCAACCGATATGCATTGTGGGAAAGAATGCCTCGATTGACCTCCAAGTTAGCCATTATTTTTATATTAATTAGCGACCTGAAGTGGGTAGCCCTCAAGTTCTCACCCCTATATGCTAATGATGAAATAATGGTGCACAAGAGTGCCGGCTTACTGGGAAGCATTATACTGTGATAATGCGCGTCAAGCTGCTGAGCGGTATCACCATCATCCTTAGGGTCTTGATCAATAGCGGGTTGCTGGTTCACAAGAGGCTTATTAGATGCGGGGCTGGAATTGTCTAAAAGAGCGTGTGCAGGCAGGTATGCAAACACTTCAGAAAAGAGACAGAGACACACGATGTTATGGAAAGAGTTTCCCTTCTGATAGTAGGTTGATCTATCAGTTAATTGTACCATTGTCATGTACCTAACAGGCCCGAGGGAGGCATAGGTATAGGTGCAAATTGGTGCCACAGGGTCACTAATGTTCAACGGAGTCGTCTCAGCGGACAAGGGTAGGCTGAACCACTTGACTGTAGAATCCCCAAACCCGCAGAGAATGAGTACGTAAGATTTATAGTTCTGCGTTTCTTCATTCAGTAGCTCTCCATCTGGATGCACAGTGATATTAGAACCAGATTCTGGAGGAGGTGCAAAATCGTAATTGGGAGGGTATGAGCCCATGGCTTGAGTATCCGCCTTCAAATATACAGATGACGAAATAGACATGAGACGTCTATCTCCAAGATACCAGGTATTGAGGGGAAGATTTGGAATCGTCTTATACTTGGAAAGATAGCGGTTACTAATGCCATCGCCAAGACCCAACAGACTATCCGGGGCTGATACCCAAGTCTTCATGTCAAAGGCCGGGTCGTTTGTTCCGTAGTCGGTGATCAGAAACGCAGTCTTCGGTGGGGGAGGAAAGATAAATGAGCCTGCTGCTACGGCTTTCCTATTCTCAGATGAGTAAATATACTTAAAATCAGGGACCGCCACAGCCAGTATTCCCATGTTTCTGCAAACAATTAAGCAAACTGATTGCTTAGGGATCCAAACGTGAGATCCAGTGAAGTGGAAGACCTTCCTGATATCTATCAAGTTAAAGTTATGAACTTTTATAAGATTTGTGAGAGTTGCTAAGGGATCAGTGGTTCTAAGGCCGTTAGGAAAAAGAAAGTAGTCTTCAAGTTCATCTGCCTCGTCATCTAACACCTTGTCTATAGAATAAAAATGTGAGGAGAGTGTAGTACTGATAGAAATGGCACCAAAGTCCGTTGGATTGGTTGACGCGTTATTGTCAAGACTACAGTAAGTAGAGACGAGAGGAAGTAGCTCAAGGGGATCGTGGTGCAGCCGGTCGCTGGTATCTACTGATTGAGAATAAACGTTCTGCAAGAGTGTGCTTACCTCGTCTTCAGAGTGAACTGACCAATCTCCGTCAGGTGAAGAAAGCTTCTGGGAGGTTTTCTTTCCCATAGGAAGACCTGAACCCCCGTATTGTTGCGAAACAATATACTGTCCTGCTGACAATGACTCCGCTTGCTGATCAGATAGTGAAAAATCTGCGAAGTCATCGGTGCCTCTGATAGTCTGCGGATCAATAGAATGTATGTAGTTGTTAGAAATGAACTCTGTGGCAGTTAAGGCTCTCTTGGAGGAACGGAGGTTTAGCCCTACTTGACGCGCAACGAGGTAACAGAACTGTGCAGTGAAATGAAACGTGACAAGTAGAGAGATCCTATGCGATATGCACATTAGAGCATGGCCCTCTGGACAAAAGGACAAACCAATCCAAGAAGATGGTCGAGGGGAGCTTAGCGACCCAGGCCGCGCCACCTCATCTGTAGAAAATGATAGCAAGGCCCGGTTTCCAGAGAGATCGAGCTGCGCAGAGATTAATGCCGTGTTCATGTGGTTTAATCGCATCACGTAAAGAACCTCTCTCGGAAGTGCTGTGATGAATGCAAGAACCTGGCTATCAGGACTAATAGCCATGCGAGAGATGTAGGTGACGTCAGAAGGTAGCTGATAGGTATGGATCAAGGTTTTCGTCTCCAGAGCTATCACGTCAATGCTTGACGTGGCTAATTTTGTGTACGCCAGAAAGAGATACTGTGCGCCTTCTGTGACGGCTAGGGCGTCAATCTTTCCAGCGCCATTGGTATAAAACGGAATAGTTGATCCGTCCTCATTTAAAACATAGACCGTTGCTCCCTTTGCGTAAAACGTTCGATCATAGCAATGAAAGAGCTCCTCGCCAGTATACATCTGGCTTAAAAGACTCTCGGAGGTCATCCTTGATTCTGCTTTTTGTTTCTCTTTATCAAAATTTGGCAGATTTCACATCAAATGTCTGCTGGCTTTATCTAATGTATAGACACTTCTTTGGTATCTATTTTCAGACGGCTATATCTTGTCGATGGTAATAGACATATGAAAGTTTTAACAGAGTTGATTAGCAGATCTTCAGTGCTACATAGCACACGAAGGCTATGTTCTTTTTCGCCTTCTGCCTCCTGTATGACTTTACTCTGATTCTTTACCATACGGCGCAAGCAGACCACTGGACAGGGTGTCACACCGCCACGTAGACTCAATACAATGAATCTAGCGTTTGATGGGGCACTGATGCGCCTTTCCTCTACAAAGGAGCCACCAGCGGCGGAAGCCGGCCAAAGCAGCAACAACGAGAAAGCCGGCCGCTGCCCCCTGCGATCGCTGCCCTCTTCCTGACCAGCTCCTTGGCTGGAACGCAGACGCCCTTCTGAGGACTGCGTCGATCTCACACATGCACACCCCCTGGTTCGATGAGGCCCTGGCGCCGCACCCTTCTGCACACGTCCGCTGGTCTACTTGGACGTTGTGGCCCGAAGTGACACACGAGAGGCACCTACCCGACTCATCGCAGGCAGCACACAACGGCATGCCAGAGGAACACTCGACTGCGGACACACACCCGGATCTATCCAGCGCCGGCAGGAAGCCCCGCTCGCACCAGCACCTCCGCACGCCGCCGGACACCTCTCCCACCACCTTGTCCCCGGTGCACTCCTCCAGGCACGACTGCCCGTCCAGGCTCACGAAAAGCTCCTCCGCGCACTCTGTGCAGAAGGATGTATGCCCGCAGGTCTTGCACCCCGGAGTGGCGCAGGGCAGGCACGCGTCTCCGTATGCGTAGTACCCGTCCACACAGGCGCCGGGGTCGACGCAGCTCCCGGTGGCGGCACCCGAGGCCTTCTTCAGGAGCTTGTCAGAGGGGCACCTGGTGCAGCGGCCGGGGCCAGGGGCAGTGCACCCCAGACATGTCGGGTCGCACTCCAGCAGCTTTCCATCGGGCGATATCCCGTACCCCTCCTTGGTCTTCTCACACTTTCCGTTTGACTGCTTACCACAGATAGTGCTTCCCGGATAGTGCTCCGTTGTGTAGCAGCCCGTTCATCAGGAAGGCCGCTTCAGAGCAGGCAGGGCAACCTAGGAGTGCACACCCGGCCCGGCGCTTGTCACAAACGACCACTCACAGCGGCAAACGGAGGTGCAGGCCTGCTTAGAATGCGCGGAGAGTTTACTCACTCAGGCGTACTCGTCGCCGAAGTCCTCCTCCTCCTCGAACTCCTCGCCCTCGTCGACGCCGGCCTCCTGGTACTGCTGGTACTCGGAGACGAGGTCGTTCATGTTCGACTCGGCCTCTGTGAACTCCATCTCGTCCATCCCCTCGCCCGTGTACCAGTGGAGGAAGGCCTTGCGGCGGAACATCGCCGTGAACTGCTCGCCGACGCGCTTGAAGAGCTCCTGGATGCACGTGGAGTTTCCGATGAAGGTCGCGGCCATCTTGAGCCCGCGCGGCGGGATGTCGCAGACGCTGACCTTCATGTTGTTCGGGATCCACTCGACGAAGTACGAGGAGTTCTTGTTCTGGATGTTGAGCATCTGCTCGTCGACCTCCTTCGTGGACATGCGCCCGCGGAACATGGCGGCGGCGGTCAGGTAGCGGCCGTGGCGCGGGTCGGACGCGGCCATCATGTTCTTGTTGTCGAACATCTGGGAGACGAGCTCGGGGACCGTGAGGGCGCGGTAGATCTGGGAGCCGCGGCTCGTCAGGGGCGCGAAGCCGACGAGGAAGAAGTGGAGGCGCGGGAACGGGATCAGGTTGACCGCGAGCTTGCGGAGGTCGGCGTTGAGCTGGCCGGGGAAGCGGAGGCAGCTCGTGCAGCCGGACATGACGAGCGAGACGAGGTGGTTGAGGTCTCCGTAGGTGGGGCACGTGAGCTTGAGCGTGCGGAAGCAGATGTCGTAGAGGGCCTCGTTGTCGATGCAGAAGACCTCGTCGGCGTGCTCGACGAGCTGGTGGACCGAGAGGGTCGCGTTGTACGGCTCAACGACCGTGTCCGAGACCTTCGGGGACGGGACGACGGAGAACGTGCACATCATGCGGTCGGGGTACTCCTCGCGGATCTTCGCGATGAGGAGCGTGCCCATCCCGGCGCCCGTGCCGCCCCCCAGGGAGTGGCAGATCTGGAAGCCCTGGAGGCAGTCGCACGCCTCGGACTCCTTGCGGACGACGTCGAGGACGGCGTCGACGAGCTCGGCGCCCTCCGTGTAGTGGCCCTTCGCCCAGTTGTTCCCGGCGCCGGACTGGCCGAAGACGAAGTTGTCGGGGCGGAAGATCTGCCCGAAGGGGCCTGCGCGGACAGAGTCCATCGTGCCCGGCTCGAGGTCCACGAGGATGGCGCGGGGGACGTACCTGCCGCCCGCCGCCTCGTTGAAGTAGACGTTGATCCTCTCGATCTGGAGCTCCGAGTCCCCGCGGTACTCGCCGCTCGGGTCGACGCCGTGCTCGTCGGAGATGACCTCCCAGAACTTCGCGCCGATCTGGTTGCCGCACTGGCCTGCCTGGATGTGGACAATCTCACGCATTTTTAAATCGGCGCCGGCGGAATCTGGATTTGGCGGCGGCCAAGTTCAGATTGCAATTTAAATGGCAATCATATAATCATTTCAACCATCAGTCTGGCGCTCTGAGCGGTGATTGTCACTATCTGTGCCTGCTGCAGTGCCATTAGGAAGGTGATGAAGTCACTGATCAGCGTTGTATGATCATCTGACCGTATCCAATGGGTTTTGAAGTAGTTTTCTGCTGCTTGTTGGAAGAGGGTGTTGACAGCAATAGACCCTGCCCTCACTGTCTTGAGAATGCTCCAGGTTGCTTCACAGATGGTGTCATTGTATGAGCCAATCAAGCCGTCAAGTTGGATATTTGGGTTGTTATGCTGTCCTACGAGGAACAAGGAACTGTTCTCCGTTGTATAGACAGCATCCCAAAGAGACAGGGGGAACAGGTGTCCGATTATCCCTCCGTATACTGTGTTAAAAATCGTGTGCGCGTGCTGCGTGCGGCGTTTTGCAGGCCAACTTTCTATAGTTAGGAGGTCGTCGCTTAGCAACGCTACCTCTTTTTTGAGCATACTGTTGTACTCTGAGACCCAGCGGGGCGTGTCCCTAGGGTCTGATTGCACCGACCCTTTCTCTAAAATGTCACATATACACTTTGATAGAATAGCCATTTGGGCTGTATCCATTTCCCGCTCTGTTGCCAAGGTTATTGCCCGAGAGTGGGGCCACTGGTCAAGGCGGCCCTTCAACATGTTAATTAGAAACAAGCAAAATGTACTCAGCTCTCCTTGGAAGGGGATGTGCTGTATCATGACTTGGTATATTAGAAGACACGTGTTTAGAATCTTGCACAGATGATTAGCTACCTTAGTCTGCACTGCTCCAGTCTGTGTAAGGGCTCGGTAGATCATCTCAGGCAGCATTATAAGTTCTGACCCGTCGAGACTATTCATATAGTTGACACTGTCTTTACTTGGGAGAACTCCTTCTACGAGCAGCTCTCCAAGGATACTATCGCAGAGGTCCATGCCAATATGTAGTGGACAGCATTGTATGCTCTGGGGCACTAAAAGCGTTATCTGGCCGACGGCCCGGGCCATAGTTTTCTTGAACATGTAAATGAAGACAGTGGGAAGTGCGGTTGTTAATATGATAAGAAGGATGCGCGAAGCCTCGTTGGCCCTTATATGGGATAGGAAACACCGCATGACTCGAAGCGCACCATCGTCATTTCCCCGTAGCGGAAAGAGGTCGTTTCCATCGACGATCAAAGCAATGTCCGTCCTATCCCAAGGAACGTTTTGTATTATGTCAGACCCTAGAGAGCTCACTATGTGCGTGTCTGGAGAAGAAACCTGAATAAGATCCATAATCTCGTCTAGCAGAAGATGTGATGACGCCACAGCTTCCCCGGATGGAATAACAATAAACTGGAGTCTAGTTCCTCCTTCTCTTCCGCGAATTATATAATCGCCCACTGCCTCAAGGGACCTGCGAATCTGCTCTCTGAGCAAGCCTGAGAGTCTGCGACACAGCACCCACGGAATAAACGGCATTCAAAATTTACTGGAGGGTGGCAATCTCCGAGACAATGCCCTTGACGACATTGTAGAACGGCAGAACAGTCTCCACTTCACAGAGTTCGCTGTCACTATGAGGATTCCTAATAGTCGGCCCGATGGAAATAGCCTCCATGCTGGGATATCTAGAGATAATCTCGCCACACTCAAGGCCGGCGTGGATGGCCTCCACGATCGGCTCTTTCCCGCCGAGGGCGTCTGCGTAGTGCCTCTTGCAGATCTCTAGCAGCTTGGAGTGAGGATTCGGGGTCCAGCCGCCGTACGGATCCAGCTTGCCGCTATACTTGAAGATCCTGGCCATGCGGGCGAGCCCAGCCAACATCTTGTCGTTGGCATCAAGGTAGGAGTTGACCGACGAACGAGACAGAGTGACAATGTAACTCCCAGGGAGGTTCTCTGCGCTGAACCTCACTTTGCCCAGATTCATCGAGCTCTCCGTAAGGCCTTCAACGTCCTGAGACACGCGAATAACCTGAGAGGGGCAAGTAAGCAGAAAGTCAACAAGGCTGCGCGACGAAACATAGAGAGCATGAGTGCACTTGCCATGGCAGGTCTGGCTCTGCTCATGAATCACTATCGTGGCGTCACTGTCGGTTGTCTTGTACTCAGTCTTAAGATCCTCCGCAAGCTTTTTGGCTTCAGAAATGAAGCTGGCGATCTTGGCCTGACTGACACCGCAGAAGCACAGACAGGCAGAACAGTCCATAGGAATTGCATTGTGGGCTGTTCCGCCCTTGATGGAGCAAATCTTTCCTTGATACTCAAGGCTACAGGCAATGTCCAGGATACGCGCCATAATCTTTATAGCATTGCCTCTGTAATGGTGGATGTCGACGCCAGAGTGTCCACCCGAGAATCCCTTGACTTCAATACTCAGGCAATTGCAAGAGTCACAATCTATGGTCTTGAAGGTTGCGGGATTGAAGTAAAAGTTGCCATTGAACCCTCCTGCAGACCCAATAGTTACGACCCCGAGGTCCTCAGAGTCCAGATTCAGCAAGTACTTGGCTTCGAGAAGGTCCGTCCCCATGTGCTTCACGCCGTGCATTGTAGTCTCCTCGTCGATAGTGACGAGGACCTCGATACGGCCCGTCTTCAGAGTCTTGTCACAAGCAATCGCGAGGGCAGCAGAGACGCCGATCCCGTTATCTGCCCCGAGAGTCGTCCCGTTTGCATACATACAGAGCTTGCCGTCCGTCATCTCAAGACGTGGGCGAATCGGATCTTTGAGGAAGTCGTGCTCTGTCGTGGCACGCTTGCTGCAAACCATGTCACAATGACCTTGTAGGCAGACTGTTGGGGCATTCTCGCATCCTGGGTCTGCCTCCTTCACAATGAGAAGATTCCCGGAGGAGGCTTCAATGGTCGCCTTGAGACCGGCTGCTTCGGCACGCTCCTTGAGGGCCTGGACGATAGCCGTGACATTTCCCGACCCATGTGGTATCCCGCACATAAAGAAGAAGTTTTGCCAGAGATCCTTGGGCTCGAGCTCGTTCAACTCAGGCAGGGACATTTTTAAGACGGCATTTGTAGTGTAAATATTGTATTTATTGGACATTTCCGTAGGTGCTCCAACACTTTGTTGACTTATCGCCTTGTACCATTAAGTAAGGATTCCCACAGGACCACCTATGGTATATAACAGTGGTTGCATTCATGTCATTATTGCATATTTATTGTTACGCAATCTGAACTTGGCCGCCGCCAAATCCAGATTCCGCCGGCGCCGATTTAAAAATGCGTGAGATTGTCCACATCCAGGCAGGCCAGTGCGGCAACCAGATCGGCGCGAAGTTCTGGGAGGTCATCTCCGACGAGCACGGCGTCGACCCGAGCGGCGAGTACCGCGGGGACTCGGAGCTCCAGATCGAGAGGATCAACGTCTACTTCAACGAGGCGGCGGGCGGCAGGTACGTCCCCCGCGCCATCCTCGTGGACCTCGAGCCGGGCACGATGGACTCTGTCCGCGCAGGCCCCTTCGGGCAGATCTTCCGCCCCGACAACTTCGTCTTCGGCCAGTCCGGCGCCGGGAACAACTGGGCGAAGGGCCACTACACGGAGGGCGCCGAGCTCGTCGACGCCGTCCTCGACGTCGTCCGCAAGGAGTCCGAGGCGTGCGACTGCCTCCAGGGCTTCCAGATCTGCCACTCCCTGGGGGGCGGCACGGGCGCCGGGATGGGCACGCTCCTCATCGCGAAGATCCGCGAGGAGTACCCCGACCGCATGATGTGCACGTTCTCCGTCGTCCCGTCCCCGAAGGTCTCGGACACGGTCGTTGAGCCGTACAACGCGACCCTCTCGGTCCACCAGCTCGTCGAGCACGCCGACGAGGTCTTCTGCATCGACAACGAGGCCCTCTACGACATCTGCTTCCGCACGCTCAAGCTCACGTGCCCCACCTACGGAGACCTCAACCACCTCGTCTCGCTCGTCATGTCCGGCTGCACGAGCTGCCTCCGCTTCCCCGGCCAGCTCAACGCCGACCTCCGCAAGCTCGCGGTCAACCTGATCCCGTTCCCGCGCCTCCACTTCTTCCTCGTCGGCTTCGCGCCCCTGACGAGCCGCGGCTCCCAGATCTACCGCGCCCTCACGGTCCCCGAGCTCGTCTCCCAGATGTTCGACAACAAGAACATGATGGCCGCGTCCGACCCGCGCCACGGCCGCTACCTGACCGCCGCCGCCATGTTCCGCGGGCGCATGTCCACGAAGGAGGTCGACGAGCAGATGCTCAACATCCAGAACAAGAACTCCTCGTACTTCGTCGAGTGGATCCCGAACAACATGAAGGTCAGCGTCTGCGACATCCCGCCGCGCGGGCTCAAGATGGCCGCGACCTTCATCGGAAACTCCACGTGCATCCAGGAGCTCTTCAAGCGCGTCGGCGAGCAGTTCACGGCGATGTTCCGCCGCAAGGCCTTCCTCCACTGGTACACGGGCGAGGGGATGGACGAGATGGAGTTCACAGAGGCCGAGTCGAACATGAACGACCTCGTCTCCGAGTACCAGCAGTACCAGGAGGCCGGCGTCGACGAGGGCGAGGAGTTCGAGGAGGAGGAGGACTTCGGCGACGAGTACGCCTGAGTGAGTAAACTCTCCGCGCATTCTAAGCAGGCCTGCACCTCCGTTTGCCGCTGTGAGTGGTCGTTTGTGACAAGCGCCGGGCCGGGTGTGCACTCCTAGGTTGCCCTGCCTGCTCTGAAGCGGCCTTCCTGATGAACGGGCTGCTACACAACGAAGTACTATCCGGGAAGTACTATCTGTGATAAGCAGTCAGGCGGGAAGTGCACAACGACCAAGAAGGGGTACTGGATATCGGCCGATGGGAGCCTGCAGCCCTGTGCCCCTGGGTGCCTGGAGTGCACTGCCCCTGGCCCCGGCCGCTGCACCAGGTGCCCCTCTGACAAGCTCCTGAAGAAGGCCTCGGGTGCCGCCACCGGGAGCTGCGTCGACCCCGGCGCCTGTGTGGACGGGTACTACGCATACGGAGACGCGTGCCTGCCCTGCGCCACTCCGGGGTGCAAGACCTGCGGGCATACATCCTTCTGCACAGAGTGCGCGGAGGAGCTTTTCGTGAGCCTGGACGGGCAGTCGTGCCTGGAGGAGTGCACCGGGGACAAGGTGGTGGGAGAGGTGTCCGGCGGCGTGCGGAGGTGCTGGTGCGAGCGGGGCTTCCTGCCGGCGCTGGATAGATCCGGGTGTGTGTCCGCAGTCGAGTGTTCCTCTGGCATGCCGTTGTGTGCTGCCTGCGATGAGTCGGGTAGGTGCCTCTCGTGTGTCACTTCGGGCCACAACGTCCAAGTAGACCAGCGGACGTGTGCAGAAGGGTGCGGCGCCAGGGCCTCATCGAACCAGGGGGTGTGCATGTGTGAGATCGACGCAGTCCTCAGAAGGGCGTCTGCGTTCCAGCCAAGGAGCTGGTCAGGAAGAGGGCAGCGATCGCAGGGGGCAGCGGCCGGCTTTCTCGTTGTTGCTGCTTTGGCCGGCTTCCGCCGCTGGTGGCTCCTTTGTAGAGGAAAGCTATAGACTTAAATAATAAGCGCATCATCGACGGATCCCATGCGATGACCACACTGGCTATGAGCGGATCTCTATATGTGATGGATCTACAAATGTTGTGAGGTCAAGTATCTTTTCCAGATGGTCTAGCCTTTCAGGGTGTTCTCCACAGGAAGCTCGATTACTCCATGTGACTGGGCCGTAATACCCTGTGTCGTCTGTATCTCAACTCAATGTGATTATGCAGTCAAATCCACTCATGTATGCGCATAAGCTTCGTCCCATATGGGGCTAGGCTGTACAAACTTGACATTAAGTTCAGAGGCAGTGGTCCATAATTTTCCCTTTGATGCGCTAATGCAAGCACCACCTGCCTAATCATTGACTGCTACCTCAAGATACAGTGTGGGTCCGTTTTCCCATCGTGTTGCACGTCAGTAAGTGCCTTCGTTTTGGTTATGAGAGGTAGGCTCGGCCAGAGGTAGTATTTTTTGATAAACAAAAGGCTTGTGTGTACTCGATTGAGCCTTATCCAATAGGCACATAGAGAGAGTGGATAAGGCCGCATGCTTTGTCGAAACGAGTTCTACGTTGCCACACATTAAAGCACCCTTGCTTAGCGTTAGAGCAAAGGTCATACACGCGGGTCCTTCCGGTAGCGGCTGCAGGGCGGCTGTTGATAATAAGGAAGGGAATGTTTCAATGTCCAAATAGCGATTTACTTGATTAAATCTCCGTGCACCGGGGGCGGGGGCAGCAAAGAGCACTCCGCAGTGAATTGGGTTGCTAGGGCAGGCCAGGCCTTCAGAGGTGTCTAACTGCATACGTTCTTCTTCGGTAAGCAGGCTGTCCGTTTGGGCCCGGTACCAGCAGAAGACAAACATGGCCGCATCGTGCCTCAGGAGGACTAGATGTTCTTCTGGGGCTGGATGCTGTGTTTGTCGGCAAGGTACTTGGCTGTACTCCTGGCGTCTCTGAACAAACCACGTCGAAGTATTCTCCGACTGCCAGTACTAAAGTAAAGTGGCCTGTACGTCAGCACCTGTAGAGCAGATGCTTGCCGCAGTACGACCTCAGGGCTCTAGGGCTTCGGGTAATAAGGGCCCTCGTGGAGGACAAACACCGACGAAAGCAGCAGGCTACGATTGCATACAGAGAAGGACTCGGATGGCCTGCATCCTTCAGTGCACAGGTCAGCGAGATCTTAGTGCCTATGCGATGGCACACCGTGTCTCGTCGTTGTTCTGCTGCACCTCCGAACGCTCGTTAGGCCCTGCAGGGTTCCCTCCACAGTGCCCTTGCTCAACGAAGATATGACTGATGCTGGCTCCTGGAACATCGGGGTAAGGGGATGGACAGGCGCCTGAAAACAGCCATTCTTCAAGGAGCTTGCTTACAGTTACCCCACTCATAGACCTCGAGAGGATCTTCTTGATAGCAGAGAGTCCTTTGTGAGGTGGTTGTGTATCGAACGTGTTTGCTCGGAACATGTTCCCAATGAGTTTTCTGTACTGTAAGTCCTGCGAAACTTTGAAGCGTATGTTAGTAATTTTGAATTAGGCAAGTCTGCTTGAGAATGGAGACAAACAGATCGCCTAACTGTTTCATTGCAGAGCCAGATTACAGGCTGCTCAGGTCGCCGTGTGAGTCGATGACTAGTGTAAGTAGAGTGAGCCCTTCCATGGGTCTGCCGGCTGTAGTCTGTCTGTAAGAAGTACAAGGGGTATTATTCTGACAGTTGTAATTCTAAGCCAAGGCTTTCAGTGGCTGACTCGGATTAGTGTGTAACTTTCATAGGTATCCAATAAAGAATAATAGCCCCATGATTTTGGCTTCGCTGATCGTGATTCTGACTTGTTTTCTGGCAGGGTCTTTCTCTGAGGAAACGTTTGTATACTACAATGGCTTTGGGTATTCTTGTGAAGGCAGGATCCCACAGTGTCTTCAGGATAGATGCCTAGTGGACTTAACTACTTTTTTTTGCACAGAGTGTAGCCAGGATTATGTTCCCATCAATGGCACATGTGTTGCTACTACAGACGAAAAAGTTAATAAAGCCGGTTGTGTTAAATCGCCGAAAGGTGGATGGTGCACAGGATGTAACAATGGTTACTTCTTATTTTACGGTGGCTGCTATGAATTGTCTGGCAGATGGAAAGCAAGTATCTGCGATCGTGCAGAAAATGGGATTTGTCAAGAGTGCGGAAAGGGCGGTGGGTATTATACCCCAATAACTTTTACCAACCCTAATGCGACCTCTCCTGAACGCTGTATCTACTGCGGAGATATAGTAGGCTTTGGCGGGAGTAGTGGTGTATATAGGTGTCAGTACTGTAACCAACATAGGTTGCCAGGGAACACTATACCCAGCTGTAGCGAATGCTCAGAACGAGTTATGTGCCCTTTTGATTTTCGATGCAAGCCTGCTTCTAGCACAGCTGTTTTTGGCTATTGTTATGTTTGCCCTAGGGGTTACGTCTGGAGTCAGTTTGGGTGTTATACCGCAGATAGTATAATTGGTAACAGTATCTGTTTACCAAGAAATACTATAGATATACAGGGACGATCGTTGTGCACACAATGCGCCAATTCATCAGAAGCGCCTCAGAATGGCCTCTGTAAGTCAATCAGCGAATTTGGTAATGTTTGTACGAAAGATCCTAGAACAGGAAAATGCACATCTTGTAAGAATGATAGCAGCGGGCAATACTTCTTGTTTTATGGTGGATGCTACTTATTTAATAATGCTCCGAATCAAATAGAATCTTATATTTGTCAAGCAATGCAGGGCAACGTTTGCACCACATGTAACAGTTCAACCAAAGAGGTGTTCACCAAGAATAGCAGATGCTGGCGCTGCGGGGACTCAGCCAACGGGGGAATAGAGGGATGCCAAAGGTGTGAGATGAAGGACAGTGGTCTTCAGTGTCTGGAGTGCCGCGACCTCTACCTGAGCCTGGATAAGAGGAGCTGCCTGGCCAGCTGTCCCAAGGGGCAGAAGGGCGTGCAGGAGTCCTCATCCTCGGTCCACAGCTGCGCGTGCGATGACGGGTCCTATCTGAAGGACGGGAAGTGTGTCGGGTGCGCGGTGGAGAACTGCGCTGAGTGTGACGAGTCGAGCTGTAAGAAGTGCAAGTATGGCTACACACTCTCCAGCAGTCAGTGCGTGGCGACCAAGTGCAAGGACCCCAACTGCGACACGTGCGAGGACAGAGACGTGTGCACAAAGTGTACCGATGGCAACAGCCTCGATCCCCACGGTCTGTGCGTGAAGGACTGCCTGGGCTCCGCCGGGTACTACAAGGCCACCGTGGGCGGCGTCTCGAGGTGCGTGGCGTGCACGCTCGGCAACTGCGTAGTCTGCGAGTCGGAATCCAAGTGCAAGACGTGCAGGGACGGGTTCTACGTCGAGGGCTCGGGAGGATGCAAGCCGTGCAGCTCTGAGTGCGCCACGTGCAGCGGACCGGCATCCGGCGACTGCACCTCCTGCCCTGCCAGGAAGCGGCTGCAGTACAGCGACGGTGCCAAGGGATCGTGCGTCCCGCAGTGCGTGAAGGACAGCAGCTGTGCAGAGTGCGGGCTCACGGTGAGCGGGACCAGCTACTGCTCGCGCTGTGCCAAGAGCACGGAGTACCCCAACAACGGGGTGTGCACCTCCTCCAGCTCGCGGGCGGCTGGTACCGCGTGCGTGAATGTCGCCGACGGTAGATGTGCTCTCTGCAGCTCAAACTCCTTCAGCCTCAACGGGGGGTGCTACACCTCCACACTCCTCCCCGGGAAGACTGTCTGTACGAAGGAGAATAACGGCTGGTGTGATAGCATCGTGGCTGGGTATGGGATAACGTACAACGGAACGCTCCTTACATGCCCGACGAACTGTGCAATGTGTAGTAGTGGGGTCTGCAACGCCTGTAACAGCGGGTTCTACCTGGAGAAGGGGGCATGCAAGGCGTGCTCCAAGGGCTGCGCCACCTGCCCCCATGGGAAGGCATGCTTCGACTGCCTGACCGGGTACTACTTCTCCGAAAACACGTGCAAGGCGTGTCACAAGGCGATCTCCAAGTGCAGCCTCTGCGTGGTTCCAGAGGGCGCAGCCACACCCATATGTCTGGAGTACGACAACACCTCCAAAAAGTCCGCCCTCTCGTCTAGTGCCATCTCTGGCATCGCCATCGGCGTGGTCCTTGTCGTCGGCGGTGTGGCGGCTGTGCTGGTTTGGTTTTTCGTCTTCCGAAAGAAGAATTGAGTGGCCTCACTTTATGGTCCATCCATTCTTGCACGCACATAGTAGAGTATGCCAAGGAGAGCGGCTCTCCCTTATTCCGGCCAATCGCTGCCTGGTGGTCTGGTCAGTATCCTGGGCAGTGGGTGTCTCAGTTAGTTACCCTAACACCGGTTATTGTGTCCGTTGCCAGTGCATTGTCTCAGTAAGACTTTCGCTGGTACGGACCGGGGACAGAGCACGTGATTAGAGAGGGAACGACCCCTTCAAGACAATCCGGTGCATGGGTGTACAGCCCAATAGACGCCTCTCTGGCTGTTGGGCCAGCCTCTAGTTGTGAATTCCTTGTTAGATGCCTCTGCCAAATCTAGAGACGCCAGAATATAATAATGGCACACAGAACAGTGGTGGAAGACACAGGTGCATCTACCGACACATGGCGGTTTTAGGCCAAAGGCGATCCTGTCTGCTGCGGTCGAGTAAATTACCTGCCGCGAGCCACCTCTCAAGTCATACCCACCATTTGACGGCCAATGGTCCAATGCCCGTCGGCGCCTCCCATATGTGTGTCTCGACCCTGCTGCTCCACAGGCCCCGGCTGCGTCATCGGTGGGCAGGCGCAGAGGACTGCACACTCGTGGCTGCTGTGCATCGCCTGGCACCACACAGGAACCGTGTCATAGTCCGCAGCGAAGTACTGCTGGGGCTTCTTACTCGTGCCCAGGGCAGGGGCCCAGGCGCTTTACCACCGAGATCTGTGGTATCTGCAAGCCTCTCTGTTGAATGCCAGCATGCCCCCTGGGGGCAGACAGCGCTCGGATACCGGCAAAGGAGCGGGTCTTTCAGGGCTGGGCACAATAGATGGAATGCTTGTTTGGAACAAGGAGCACCGACCTGTGCTCCTACTAGGGCTGGAGGCCATTCAAGGCACCTGGCCCAGACCACGGGGATCGCAGATCTGAGCAATAGCTCGAGCAAGTAGTATATTAGCGCACCGTGTCGGGAATCCCCAAGTGCCACCGGGAGGTTTATCTGCATTAATATGGAATATTATGACGACAGCACACGATTCAGCCCTTCCGTGGGTGGATGCGGAGTACCGTCTGCTGACACCTCCAGCGAAGATGGCAGGCTTAGTGCTCTCGATGCCAATGATGGATCCACAAGAGGAAGCAGATCTTCCGCATGCCCCTGTCAGGAAGTGGCGCTGACGTGCTGTCCCTGAGATGTCCTTGAGAGCCGAGACCTCCGCTGACAATGGGTAGGACTTGCGTCACTGGGCGACTTTATAAGGATACTCCAGGAGTCCCCAGGTGCAGCAGCTCGTGTAGTGAGGCTTCGGGAGTCTTCCGAGTGGCGCTATCCAAGGACCACTTCCCCGAGAGAACAGGAGGTTAGGGGACCGACTTCCGAAGGGCGCTCTTGCAGTCTACTGGACAGCAGAGAGGGCCAGAAAGCAACAACCACCTCCGGATCCACAGCTCTCCTATCATAGAGACACTGGGATGGTCAGAGCACGCCCCTCAGGACAGGAAGTAACATAGTGGCACAGTACTGATGCTCATGGAATATGGTCGACGAACACCTGGCCTCTGATAGATACGAGGTGTGTGCTGAGAGCAAGGTGTCTGGATTGGGACGGTTGTGCCTCTTCAGAGAAGAGACAGGAAGCGCCGTCATAGATGGGCATGTGTCTGAAGGAGACACACAGGGCGGTGGCTGCTCTGCTGGCAACAGAGGACAATCTGAAGCATGCAAGGCGTTTATCTGGATCAGCGGGAATGAGCAGTGGAAGTACCTTATGCGAGTTAGCATTGTCTTCTCAGGATAGGCGTCGCAATGTCAGGAGTTCTCCAAGCAAGCCTCTTCATAAGGCTCGTCCCTATCGGAGGCCACAGAGTGGCAACTAAGGGCCAGCTCAACGCACCGGAGAGCCGCTGACCGAACATCCCGTCCACAGCGGTGTGTGCAGCCCTTGCACCTCTTGAGCGGCCACTATGTGGTATGAGCGTTCCAGCGATTGACGACTTTCCAGTTGGCTGTTGCTCATCAGAGAGGCCACTGAGGCAGAAGGGTCAGAGAACTACTGCAGGCCAAGCTGACATCTTTTTCTGCATCGCTTAGCGAGTTAAAGGTAATATGCAGTGAGTCTTAAAAATTTGTATTCTTCAGATTGCTATAATCATAATCCAACCTCTTTAAAAATGCATGGGGAAAGCCCTGCAAAACTGCTCAGATTATTGAAGAATACTGGAGCAATAGTCGTTGCCTTCCTCGTTAATAGAGGCAAAATATGCATTTACAATTAACCGAATCTTAATCGGTTACCTAGTTAACAGCTATGCTATTATATATTTCGGTGTCTTAGAGGCAATAAGCCTAGCTAGGAGCCCGCTGTCAATTCGCTATTAATTGTAAATATTCTGACTATATGAGTGACTACAAATCTCTTATTTCTCTTCTTCAGGGGAGTAAGAGGGCTGAAAGCAACGAGTTTACTGAGCCTACTGATGAATCTGAAAGTTCGTGTGGCGTAGGAGCTATCCTGCGACGCACGTCAGATTTTGCTCCTAATCTTTATGAAGAGGACGAGAAGAGCGAGGAGGAGTATCGTTCTACTCAGATAAAACAAAGCAGTATCTTGTCTTCATTCTGGGATCACTTACATTCTTCTCCTATACCAGCCGACAGAACACACTTTAAGGCGGCGAAGGAGATTACTGGCCTGTTCACATATAGCTCTGACATTGTTACAGGACTTACGTGTTCGTGCAACCTTAATGACTCGGAAGTCCAATCTTTGTTGGCCTTTCAACAACGATTTCAAGACTATTATTCTGAAAAGCTCGATCCAGAGGAATGGTCTCTTCTAGCAAAGCTTCGTACCCATTTCGATCCAGATCAGCGTTTTGCCAACCAAGCTTTGTACAAGCGTTTTTTGGGCTTATTTTCATCTCGCGTGTCTGTTGTCTGCACATCTCCTTCTTATGATGTTAGAGCAATATATCAGGAAGCTGCTGTAGTGCATCTCTTGAACCAAGCAGTTCAGCATGCTGCAAAGCGGTACGACGTTGTTCAGAATCTGCGTGCTGGGCGAGATACATCCGAGAGTGCTGCCTACGATCTTACATGTAATGGATACACACGCACTCACACGCTAGTTCTACTCCCAACAAGGCATGCATCGTGGAGGTTTGTAATGACCCTATTAGCTGTTGGGATGAAAATCTTTGAATTAACTCCGCATCGATTGGAGGAATGGGAAGAAAAGTTTGGGTGCGATGAAGATGAACCAAGAATCGCATGTTCTGTTTTAGAGGATGGAAATACACACACACTTTCCCTATTGGCCGACGAAGCCCCGGACGCCCTCAGTGACGCACTTGTTGAACAGCGGCGACGAAATACTGCACAATGGTATCGGTCATTTTGCGGCGATACAGACGATAATTTTAATTTTGGAATACAAATACATGGAAACAAAATCATTCTTCTCACGCCGCTGCGTGTCGCAGATATAATAGTGGCGTCTCCGCTTGGCCTGAGACAACAATGCAATATTGATCCAACAACTGATAATACATTCAAGGCTCGGGCTGGCGATGGCTTTAAGATTGTCAATTTTATCGGGATGCTTTCATCGTTGCACACTTTACTTATAGGAGACATCAACGCCTTAGAGATGCAGAACTGGGAGCACTTTTTGAGCTGCATATGGGGGATTCATAAGCCTCCACGCGAAGGAAGTCTCGTGCAGACGCATAATTACGCCTGTGACATCCGAACATACCTACCTGCATATCTCAACGGACAACAAAGATTCTTACTCCAAGTACTAGCTGTGGGAGAATGTTTTGGAGAAGACTTCAATAAGCTACTGCATCAACAGAATGTGGAGAAGGCAGAAAAGGATGAGATTATTAATGAGCCCTCCATCAAACGTAGCGGGCCTGTTCAGTCAATACCAATGAATGAGGCTTTTTCTACATGCTCATTAGTCCACAACTCTAAGGGCCTTATTAGGATTACTTCTATTCCAACGATATATCCGCATGTGAAGTTACGAGAAGACTTCCCGTTTCTCCGCATTATTCTATACAGATTAGAAAAGGGAGCTGTCCAGGCTCGTCAGACAGATAGCATAGATGAGCGGAGATTGAGCTTTTTAGTAAAAGATTATCCCAAGATCGACTACTTAATTAACGTTCTCATTCCTCGGTTAATAAGAGCGCCAGAAATAGATAAGCACATGCTAGTTGTTGTGCCCAGCTATTATATGATGGTGTGCATTGTTAGAGTCCTGAAGCTTCTTGCATATTCTAACATAGTGTGGGGGTTTATAGAGGAGAGTGCTACCCTGAAGGAAATTACGCAGCTAAGACGCAAGCTCGAAAATGGTGTACTTAACTTCTTAATTGTCACGGAAAGAATTCTGTATTATCGTCAACCGCCCTTTTCAAAACTTCAAAACGTTATCTTCTTATCTCCGCCACGGTCGCCTGAGCTTCTGAGCAATGCAGGAAGATACTTTAGTGTCAACCAAGATATACCAAGATCTCTCATAATAGTGTATACAAAGGCTACAGATGCTACGCGTTTGGGAAATTGCTTCCCACCAGACGTGTGTGTGGAGAGTATAGCATGCAAGGCAACAATATTTCTTAATGAGTAAAGGCCTGTATCCCTTCATGAATCGGTAGTCGCGGTAAGTTCGCTAGTAATATCTAGCTCGAGCTCCCGTGCATCAAGCTCAATACCATTAGTGCAGTTAATTTCAGGCCTAAGCGTGTTATCGGTGACTTGAGTCACGTCGCCATCTAAGCAAGCTGGGTACTCGCTGAGTGATGGATTGGCCACACTACTGTGCACTCGATGGCTTGCGACTACTCTATGAAGGATGGCATTCTGATGAAGAAATGAAAGGAGTCGATCATCTGCACCGGCCTGACGAATAAGTGTGTCATACTTCTTAAAGAATTCTTCTGGTAGGTGGTGATTGTGTATAGCTGTATAAAGCAGGTCAAGCTTACTGATCTGAGGATCGAGATGCGCGGATTCTGCGTGGGACACTTTTGGCTCTTTTTTTCTAGATAATATCAATCTATTATTTGCTTCAACAACTGCACGTATGACATCAGTAGTACTATCATCACTGTTGTTGCTCAATGACATAACAAGAGGCTGCGGAGCCGCGGGGTCTGCATATGACACGGCCCCAAAGCTTACGCTGTTCTTTAGCGGTTTATCGGTAGCTACAGAATCCGGCTGCTGCTGAAGCTCGTTTCGGCACGATTGGCTTTTTATCAATGACCCTTGTTGGGTCTTAGTAAGGCGTTTAGCCTCTATGTACTGAAGCGTGAACTCCTTGATCTTAGTAAGGCCTTGCTTTTTAGCCGCAATAGCAGCAACGCTAGCCTCAAAAATGACAGCACCAAAACCAGTGGTTGTGCGTGTTCCACGGACAAACCTACAGCTAAGAATTCCACCGAACGACGACATGGCACTGAAAAAGACATCCTGCTGAACTATGCGAGGTATGTGCCGTACCAACACCCCTGTGGCATGCACTTTTTGTTCGGAGAGTTTATCTACCAGCTTTGCAAAGAGTTTTACACCAGAATCTTGATCAATAACATATTGATTAAGGAAATCCTTACAGAGCATCGCTGTGGCAAGATCTGAGAAGGAGACAGTCATGGATCTTTGAACCATGTATACCTGATTGCTGTTTGTTTCCAAATTGGCCTCAAATATAACAGGTGCCTCCTCAAGGGGGAAGAACCCCTGACTCCGACAAATCTTCACAATATCTGGTGATAATGTGTCCGTTGGGATGTTAGATATCACAATATGATACTTAGTATCTGTGTCTGGAGCACAGTACGACTCTGCAATGCTAACTGAATTATTAACATGTAGGTGTGTAAGGTCTGGTGATTTGGTTGAAAGGGGAGCGAAGAGGTTTAAGCTAGAGAGTCGATTTGTGAGCATAGCGTTAGTCTCTGATACCTTAGATGTCGCGTCATTTAATTCTGCAGTTTCCCTGGTAACGTGATTCGCAGAGAGCGTCACAGTTGGTTGTACACCTTGAGAAGGGATCAGGTATTCTGATTGATATTCAGACCTTAGTGTTGAGGCAAGCTGTGTAGAGGGACTTCTGCTCCGAATATTTGCTCTGCTAACGTGCTTCTGCTCAACACATGAACAACTAGCACACACGTTACGCTCTTCTGTCAGTAAAATTGAATACTTAAGGCTGTTTGCACTATTCTCTCCTGAGTGATTGACACAAGCCAAATGTGAAGCAGAAAATGTTATCTTTTGTCCCCGGAGAATGACCGTGAAGCCGTTAAAAAACTCTAGTGCGTCCTTTGCTAGCTCCCGAGTCGGGTAGCTGAATAAGATCTTTAGAGGCCTAGATGTTACTTTTGGAGACCTGCACAACGCGTTTCCAGCTGACAGTCCCAATGCATTTAATGAATCGGCGCTCATGGCCTGCTTTTGCAGCTCTAGCTCAACACTATGGCCTTGCATAGAAATTAATTTCATATAACTGAAGAAGCACGCATAACGCTAATACTGCAAATTCACTCCTTTGGCCCTGCAATATTCTTCGATAAGTATAAGGCATTCCTTCTTTTTCTTGTCTTTTGCCCATTGATAGGCTGTTTTACCGTTTTTGTCTGCCATGTGTAGCTCATAAGGAAGGAGAAAAGAAACGCATGGTGGATTATTGCAGACGATGGCCCAAAGTAGCGCAAAGAAGCCAGATTCGTCTACCTTTCCGGCTCCTGCGTCAATGAGCATCTGAAGACATGCGACGTTCCCCACCTTGGCCGCAACCATAAGTGGGGTTGTGCCGTCCATCATGGAAATATCTTCTTCCTTTGGTTTAAGCAGTGAAACAATCTCCAAATTCCCTGTTTCTATAGCGGTCATTAATGCTGTCCACCCGTTTCGCTTTCTGCATCTTCCCTCTGCTTGGAGGAGCAAACTGATGCAATGCACTTTGCCAAATTTTGCCGAGTACATTAGTGCTGTATGAGCATCGACATCAGTCTGCCTACTTTCCAATGGAGAGAGAATTACAATGGCATCTATATGACCGTATTCTGCAGCTCGCATTAAGGCTGTTCTTCCTCGCTTGTCCTGCATTCTTGCTTGGATGGGTAAGAGGTCATGAAAAGCATCAATATCGTTAGCCATAGCTGCCAACATAAGACCTGTCGTCCCGTCCTTCAAAGTGGCAGCAAAGCTGTTGTACTCTGCGCTTGTAGCGAGCTTTATAGGTGTGTAATGAGTGCTTTGGTAAGGGGCCCTAGAGACGGAGGAGCGGCTAAGCTCAGAATCCTCCAAGTATCTACGTATACGAGGAGGTGCTGTGGATGTGTTGCTGCGTGGAGGAGCAGTACTTTCACTGGGTAGAGCGGATGTATTAACTAAGAATCCAGACACGCTAAGTGGCCGCACATCAGCCTCAAAGGAACAGACAGAAATTGTACCCAAAGTACTCTTTACAGAAGACCCGTTGCATACCTGAGAATATCGTTGACTTCTGATACCGGAGGTCGATCGTGTGGTGTCTGGGAGTGATGGATGTGCCTTAATTGTATCACCTTTGTCGTTATGGGGTACGAGAGAGGCAATGAGGCTATCCTTGTGTAAATGAGTTATGATACGGGGATGCCTCAAAGCCTGTGGCACGGTTATCCGATGGGACGGATCTATCTTGAGACAAGAGGCAATAAAATCAGCAAGGTCCCGTGAGTATATCTCTGGAATATTAGGGCGTACGTCAAGGAGCTGATCATAGGATTTATTCCTAATTACTTGGGGCGCCATCCGCGTGCACATATTAACTATGACGCAGCCAAGAGACCAGATGTCAACTGGTTCGCGATAACCCTTATGATATGCAACCTCTGGGGCCATAAATAATGGAGAGCCCACGACAGAGTCTGCCATCGCGGAGGGTTTCAGAAGACGAGAGGCTCCAAAATCACATAGCTTTACGTGGTTATCTTGTGTAAGAAGTATGTTTTCTGGCTTGATATCCCTATGAATGATAACACCTTTAGTCTTATTTTGATGATCATCGGTGTGGAGATAATCCAGAGCCAAAAGGATCTCGGATGAAAACCTCCAGATTTCCTCCTCGGGGATATCTATCTTGTTACGCCTGTACTCCTGAATGTATGCCTTTAAATTGCCTCTATCATAGCACTCCATTTCTATTAGATAGCAGTTCGTTGTTGCATCATACGTTTGCAAATAGTACGTAGCAATATGAGGGTGGGTGAGGTGCGGGAAAATGGAGAACTCACCTTCCACACTAGGCTTATTACTGGCGAAGGATTCTAAACGAACCTCTTTGACCGCTACAATTCTCTCATCAGAAAGCCTTTTTACTTTATACACTACACCGAAGGATCCGACGCCCAGCCTGGAAATGATCTCATAGCGATCGCCGAGCATAGACCCCGACATAATAGGCATAGGAGTGTCCGCGTCCAAAAAACAAAATAGATTATTCCCGATTCCTGGAATGGAGCCCGAGATTACTAGGAGCCAATGGTTTCAGGCTGCCAATGAAGACGACTGCGTTGTCTTACAGATGAACCTAAACGACTTTCAGCGTGCTCTGGACAGCAAGGGCGAGACAGCACTGATGGTTGCTGTTAGGGCTGGAAACCTGGCTGCCGCCCATATTCTTGCAGAGGTAGAGTCCAAGATGACGACGCCAACTGGACACACCGCGCTGATGTTAGCCGCGGGCTCAAATAATACGGATTTGTGTCGTTTGCTTGCACCTTTGGAGAGCGGAATCACGACTGACACGGGCGTTAATGCTCTTATGGTTGCAGCAGATACTGGAAGCAATGACGCGCTGCGTGTTTTGGTTGATCATATTGGTGACGACACTGATTCTGAAGGACATACCGCTCTCTTTTACGCCGCCCTAAGCGGGCATATACAGTGTGCAACCATACTTGTACGAGCTTTCCCCCCAACCAAAAAAGAACTAGTAAGTTGTATCGATATGGCGACTACCCAGGGGGATGTGCAGATGCTAGACTTCTTGAACGGTCTACTTCAAGAAATCGTCGGGTCTGATTCTATCAACGATGTCATAAGAGAGTGTCGTAGCGCAGCTGCACTAGAACGAAGCATATCTAAAGGAGGGGAGCCTACTTCCATTGACCACGTTTCGTATGATGACACTAGGGTCAACGAAGCTTGTTGTAGCGCTAACGTCAGCTCAGACGACCACCAGCATGCAACAGTGGACAGTATGTATCCTTACAGCGTATATGCCAGTCCTCCAGGAACTGACACTCCGTGGGACTTAGATTCGAAAAATGATCTTGTTGTATCGGACACATCTATTGATGTACGTTCTATACAAACTGGAGAACTGCATGCAAATCTTCAGCAGGGTGGCGCCTCTATCTTCAATTCGAGCTCACCGACAAGGCGGGATATCGGTCGGAAGGGGGAGGAGATAGCGAACTTGCGGTCTCAGCTCTACACTGCAACGTATGAAATACAGCGGCTTCAGAATCTACTGAAAGAACAGAGTTGTCGCTCATGGGAGAATAAGTTTTCCAATCTTGACAACTCGTTTACTACTCCAACTACACCAGATGCAGACATACGACGGTTGCAAGACAAGTGTTCAAGCCTTGAGTTGCAGGTGTCCAGCCTTGAGCTAAGGAACAAGCAACTGCGTATGTCCTTGGATGACATAGAGCAGGGTCAATCCAGCAAAGTGCTGCCTGATGCAGCAAAGAACGAGGGCGTCACAGAAGAGCTCACTGTGGAGCAAATCTTGGAGTTTTTACGCAACAATAAGGATAGCGCAGAGCAGGTATACAACGACTTGAAGCGAAGCATGAGTGTCCCTGAGCAATCATCCACTGGGAGACCCCAAAGTATTGTGCCTATTGATGCTGACACTGATGGGCCATGTAATAATGTGGACGACGTGGGGAGCAATTGCCCGGACACATCGCACAGTAGCTCGATTGAAATGGTTGAAATGAGAAGCCCTACCCCTGGTTGCACTGTTGTTCCAGGCTTAGAGGAGCGCCTTGAAACAGAAAACTTGTCCTTGCAGGCTGAAGTTGAAGCACTAACGAGGCAGCTGGCAACAAGAGACGAGCAAATTAAAACCCTGCGGCAAGAGCTATATGACCTGCGTCAGTCTCAGCTTAAAATGAGCATGACTATGGGACCCAGCATGGAAAGCGTAAGGCCACAAATCGCTTCAAACAAATACGATTTGAGTGAGACAAACCATGAAATTGAAGTTGATATGACTATCTCTAACACGTCTTTCTCGTTTCCAGAGTCGCATTATGGCACTAAGGGAGAATCTGCAGGGTCTAATCAAATGGCCAGCGAGGGTCGCGAGTACGTCATGTCATTTGACATAGGGACTGATCAAGATATCAGATATAGGGAACCGCCCACTGCAAAGCTTCCTCCACTCCCGGGCACTAAATCTAATGAATTTACGGAAATAAATGCATCTGTTGTCCAGATAAAGCTTAATAAGGTGCAGCTGGAGCTTCAGGAGGCCCTCGACGACAAGCAGGTCATCCTCGAGCAGCTTAGAGAAGAACGTGATGAAAAATCCCAGCTGGTCTCAGAGCTTACTGTTTGCCGCGACACAATAGATCACATGACCTCAGAGATAGAGGAGCTCAAAGATAGGCTGGATGAATCTCTTGCAAAAGAAAGTACGCTTTCCAATGATATCTTGGAGCTTCGAGGCCGCATGACCTCTTCACCAAGACCTGGCGAGTGTGGCTCTCCAGTAAGCGTTTTAGGATTCAATGATAACAACCAGCAGCCATCTCCGAAGATGGACGATATATACGACATTATAAGAAACTCTAATTCATACCATGAGCTTTTGATTAAGCTGAATTTTAGCCCCGATGAAATAGACGATATTCTATCTCATCAAAAGGCATACGATAGAGATGATCCCGCAGACGATGACCCTAATAAGAATCTAGTGCATGAAATTAGCACTATTAATCTTAGAACAGGCGCCGTGAGTCATCTTCCGGCAGATGACGAGCTTGAAAAAGAACTCACACGCTTGCAAAATAGCAATGATGACCTCGAGAAGAAGTGCATGGATCTTCAGTCCAGCAATGTGGTTTTGAGCGCCGAGGCAGGCAAGTTGGCATCCGAGATCATTGACTTAAGGGAGCTGCTAAAAGAGCAGGAAAAGAAATATGCAGATATCTTGGCCGAAAAGGCCATGTTGGAGGCTCGGCCAGCTTATGCACATAGAGCAAATCACGATTCTTTGTACGAAATTCAACCAGAACAAAAGGAGATTGAAGCGTGCACAAATGTGCAGACTAAAGGTCCCCAAGCTCCTTTGTCAACACAGTCAACGCGGCCAGCAAGCCTCCGAGGAGAGGGCGACAGCCACGTGTATGCATCTGGAGGTAATCTCGACGATAGGGCAACTTCATATTCTGGCTCTATAACTGATGAACTATGCAAGAAGATCTCGAGCAGACGGGGAAGCAGCGTAAGGCAGGAGAAAAGCGACCAATCCGGACGTCGGAATCCGTTTGACATGCGCGACTATGTGCCGGGAGACGAAGAGGACAGCTACTTGGCTGCTCTCCAAGACGAGAGAGACAGAAGAATGACAACGCAAGATCTAGAGCCAGGCTCTAGCATGACGTCGACGACGACGAGCACCGCTTCATTTTGTCTCAATCTTATTGATGGCATATATACTAACGTAACTCCTTTGATGCGAGCTGTTTTGAACGATAAAATCAGCGAAGTAGATAAGAACCTGATGTATGTGCGTAAAACAAGATCTGACGGTGCCACAGCCCTCATGCTTGCAGCGTATCTTGATAGGGCACAGATTGCTGAAAAACTGGGCCCTCTTGAAGCAAATATTCGCGGTCCAGAGAACCTCACCGCATTGGAGATTGCCCTTTACAAGGGGAATTACGCTACGGCAGCTATACTTAGGTCTCTTGAGGGAATCGATATAGGCAACGGCATCAAAGTCACAACGAGACGCCACACTGACCTTATGACTGCGGTGACCGAGAACAATCCGCTTACCGTGTGGTGCTTGATTCCCCTCCAGGGTCGCGTTCAGGATTGGTCCGGGAAGACTGCACTGATGCATGCAGTTGAGCAGAAGAGGACATTCTGTGCACGAATTCTCGCGACAGCAGAGACAAGGATTCAAGACAGGAATGGGTTCACGGCTCTGATGTATGCAGTTGTAATGGGCAATAACAATCTAGTCAACTTGTTAGTAGAAGACGAGGCAGGATTTGTCGGTCGCTGGCACGAGCGTTTGCCATCGAAGTTCACGGCTCTAATTCTCGCCTGTTACCATGGCCGGCTCAAAGCGGCAACCATCCTTCTCCCTTTTGAAGGTGGTATGAAGGATAGCATTGGTAGAGGCCCCAAGTACTACGCCCAGAATTGCAGCCCACGTGTTCCTCCCCAGGTAAGGGCGTCGCTGATAGATCTTTTCAGCGATTACAAATACAAGTAAGACGATAATGTGCTCCAGTCTAATTCTAGCTCCGGTACGCTAGTATGGAGCCAATGACGGTTGTGTCACTCCACTTGTGGGATTGCTCTTTACAAGTTGTAAACAAAGATTCCAGGAGATCATTGCAAGGTTGCAAAGGTCCAAAATAATTAAAATAGAACTGAAATAATAAAAGACCCGAAAGGCCATGGATTCGCAGAAACGCCACCTTGATGAAGTGACAGGAGAGTATGTCTCGAAGAACGAGCTGAAGCGACGACAGAAGCTTCGCGAAAAAGAGACCAAGGGCCCTGCGCCTCCCGCTAAGGCCGCGGGATCGGGATCAGAGCCAGTGGAAGGTGCACCTGAGGAGATAGATCCCACAAAGTATTTTGAGAACAGAAAGAATGAGCTTCTTGCACTTCAAAAGTCCGGGAGATTGAATCCGTGGCCTCACAAGTTCGTCGTCGAGATGACCCTTGCTGAGTTCCGCAGGCGTTATGAGGGGAAGTGCAGTTTAGGAGAAATGGCTGAGGAGCAGGTCTCTGTTGCCGGAAGGATCCATAGCATCCGGACATCTGGCGCAAAACTCGTATTCTACACTATCCACGGAGATAATGACAGGCTCCAGATCTTTGCTCATGTCCCGAAAGAGGACTCTCGTGTCAAGTTGGAATTCGACTGGGACACTATTGTCTCTACTCTCCATAGAGGCGACATCGTGGGCGTGAAGGGGTATCCCACGACTACCAAGAGTGGGGAGCTGTCTATAATCCCCGTGCAACTGGTTCTTCTCAGTCCGTGCTTACATATGATACCGAACAGCCCGTCGGCTCTTACAGACATCAATGCTCGCTTCAGACAGAGGTACCTGGACTTCATAATCAATAATACTGGGCAGAAGATAGTACAAAGGTCGGGCATAATTAACTTTATCAGGCGTTTTATGATTGATCAGAGGAATTACCTTGAAGTGGAGACTCCGATGCTGCAGACGGTCCACGGCGGAGCAGCAGCCCAGCCCTTCGTGTGCAAGTCCAACGACCTTGGCCATGATGTCTACTTGCGCATTGCTCCCGAGCTGTTCCTCAAGCGCTTAGTCGTTGGAGGGCTTAATAGGGTTTTTGAGATAAACAAGAACTTCCGCAACGAGAGTTCTGATCAGACGCACTCCCCAGAGTTTACCATGATGGAAGCATATTCCGCGTATGATGATCTGGAAGATATGTGTGACCTCATTGAGGGCCTTGTTTCGAGATTGGTCAGGTGGTACAATATCACCTACAACCATGTGCGCTTGCCAGACGAGAAGAAGCACTACAAGCTCACATTTGTTTCGCACAAGGGAGAGACTTACGACATAGATTTCAGTAGACCCTGGAGGCGTGTTCCTATCATTGAGACTCTTGAGCAGCTGCTGAGCATTAAGTTTCCACGGCCTTTGGATGGTGAAGAATGCAATGGGTTCCTTGTTTCCTTACTGGAGCGTCTGGATTTGGAATGCAAGCCTCCTCTGACAACTGCCCGGATGCTTGACAAGTTGGTGGAGCGCTACCTTGAAACGCTCACGCCGAACCCAATATTCTTAATGTACCATCCTGTCCTCATGTCGCCCTTGGCCAAGCCACATCGTTCTATCCCAGAACTTGCTGAACGCTTCGAGGTCTTCATCAGCTGCTTTGAGGTCTCTAATGCCTATACAGAGCTGAATAATCCCATTATTCAGAGGGAGAATTTCCAGGCTCAAATACGAGACAAGGCTGCCGGGGATATGGACGCAATGGAGTATGACGAGGACTTCTGTAAGTGTCTCGATTACGGTCTTCCTCCCACAGGTGGGATAGGGATAGGCATAGATCGCCTGGTTATGCTGCTGACTAACAGTAGCACCATCCGAGAAGTGATTGCTTTTCCGCTCATGGGGAGACTTGTCGAGTAAACTGTGACTGAGTATGCTTCTCTGGACTTGTGATTAGGGCTAGGTAGACAAAGCAGGGATCCTGAAGTGGGCCGCCCTTATGAGTAGTTCTAGACTTAAGCTAAGACCTATCTCAATCTATTGGACGGGTGGCAGAATACAAGTTGAAGACCATTAAGTAGTGCGATGACCCAGGCATGCAAGTACGATGGTCAAATAATGGTCGCTGAAATTTGGCATGCAGTGTGTTGCGGGCCTTTAGTTTGTTGTCGAATACACTACACTGAAGATTGAAAATTACGAAGCATATTAGAATTCAATTTAATATTCCTTGGGAATTTTTTGGACTGCCAAAATTTAAAAATGCGTGAGATCGTCCACATCCAGGCAGGCCAGTGCGGCAACCAGATCGGCGCGAAGTTCTGGGAGGTCATCTCCGACGAGCACGGCGTCGACCCGAGCGGCGAGTACCGCGGGGACTCGGAGCTCCAGATCGAGAGGATCAACGTCTACTTCAACGAGGCGGCGGGCGGCAGGTACGTCCCCCGCGCCATCCTCGTGGACCTCGAGCCGGGCACGATGGACTCTGTCCGCGCAGGCCCCTTCGGGCAGATCTTCCGCCCCGACAACTTCGTCTTCGGCCAGTCCGGCGCCGGGAACAACTGGGCGAAGGGCCACTACACGGAGGGCGCCGAGCTCGTCGACGCCGTCCTCGACGTCGTCCGCAAGGAGTCCGAGGCGTGCGACTGCCTCCAGGGCTTCCAGATCTGCCACTCCCTGGGGGGCGGCACGGGCGCCGGGATGGGCACGCTCCTCATCGCGAAGATCCGCGAGGAGTACCCCGACCGCATGATGTGCACGTTCTCCGTCGTCCCGTCCCCGAAGGTCTCGGACACGGTCGTTGAGCCGTACAACGCGACCCTCTCGGTCCACCAGCTCGTCGAGCACGCCGACGAGGTCTTCTGCATCGACAACGAGGCCCTCTACGACATCTGCTTCCGCACGCTCAAGCTCACGTGCCCCACCTACGGAGACCTCAACCACCTCGTCTCGCTCGTCATGTCCGGCTGCACGAGCTGCCTCCGCTTCCCCGGCCAGCTCAACGCCGACCTCCGCAAGCTCGCGGTCAACCTGATCCCGTTCCCGCGCCTCCACTTCTTCCTCGTCGGCTTCGCGCCCCTGACGAGCCGCGGCTCCCAGATCTACCGCGCCCTCACGGTCCCCGAGCTCGTCTCCCAGATGTTCGACAACAAGAACATGATGGCCGCGTCCGACCCGCGCCACGGCCGCTACCTGACCGCCGCCGCCATGTTCCGCGGGCGCATGTCCACGAAGGAGGTCGACGAGCAGATGCTCAACATCCAGAACAAGAACTCCTCGTACTTCGTCGAGTGGATCCCGAACAACATGAAGGTCAGCGTCTGCGACATCCCGCCGCGCGGGCTCAAGATGGCCGCGACCTTCATCGGAAACTCCACGTGCATCCAGGAGCTCTTCAAGCGCGTCGGCGAGCAGTTCACGGCGATGTTCCGCCGCAAGGCCTTCCTCCACTGGTACACGGGCGAGGGGATGGACGAGATGGAGTTCACAGAGGCCGAGTCGAACATGAACGACCTCGTCTCCGAGTACCAGCAGTACCAGGAGGCCGGCGTCGACGAGGGCGAGGAGTTCGAGGAGGAGGAGGACTTCGGCGACGAGTACGCTTGAGCGAGTAAATTCCCGAAATCAAAAAGTCTGCAAGTTAATTTTTGGCCATGAGTGCTTCTGGGCCCGATCCTTCGATGGATCCACAGAGGTACGCAGAAGCTCAGGGACCCAACCGCTTGGGAGAGTCTGCTATACCAGATAGAGCCATTCGTGCAAAGTCACCGATCCAAGCAAACAGCATTGGGGTGTTCTCTCGTCCTTCAGCAGGCAGTGCCGTTAGTATAGCCACGGGAGCTCCGATGGAACAGAGATCCCCGTTTCGAGATATTCGGGCCAGCTCCCGTGGCTCAACTCTTGCACATGATCAGCAGATCACAGACGTCGCTGACACTGCATCTAAGCCCTTCACCACGCGCAAGCTCCGGACTGTTGCTCCATCAATCAATTCCGCTGCGCCAACCACAGTTATCAACCATCAGACTACTGCAGGGGTAATTTCTGGTGGCACTGCGAAGAGTATTACAATGACGCAAACCGTTCAAAATGTCGAAGCGACATCCGACATGACGTCTGAAATACTACATTTCATGGCAGATCCTGTTATTCGCGTTCCTTTCAAAACCGTTCCTGGTTCTCTTCCCAGATCCATAGCCCTCGAACGTAAGCGGAGAGAGCTAGCGTCGGTAAACACGCTTGAACTATTCCAGAGTGTTACTGAGTTGTATGAGGAGGCGGCCCGTGTGTCAGGCAGCCCTGCCGTGGATCCAAGCGCCGCAGACAATGAAATGCACATCCCACTGGAGCTGTTCGACGACACTGAATTCGACGTCCGTACTATGGCTGCGTGGTGGACTGTTTCTAAAGCTTATTCCTTGGTTGATATGGCCTCTGGCCGGTCTCGTACGGTCAAAGGGCTTTATGGACAAGCGTTCATCAATGGCCAGTGGGAGCGAGTAGTTGTCATCGGACAAAAGAAGCCTGCCGACAATGAACCCTTCGACGACAGACTTCTTTGCGTCCTCAGAAGTAATGTGGCAAAGCGCATTTGGGTTCCTCGACTCTACGTTCACTTCTGGGGGGAAGATCCCAGGATCTATGTTGAGCGGCTCCGTCAAGCCATCTTCCTCCGGGACCAGACAGAGTCACTGTTGAAGTACGATCTCTTCATCAATTCTATGCCCGTGAGCGGGCTGTTTGAATTCTCTGATGCCCTCAAGTTCAGCATCCAGCGCCGGTCTATTCCCTTCTTTACCAAGCGAACAGTCCTCACGCTCGAGTCATCTATAGTGGAAAAGCTGAAAGACAGAACAGTCGAAGCCGTCTTTGAGTCGTTAACCAGTGATGTCGTGCGGAGCTTCTATACCAGCCAGAACAGAGTGCTGTTTGACCTAAGCTTACAGCGGCAGCCAAGTCTCATGAGTGAGCTCAACCTAGAACACGCTGTCGACTATATTCAGTACGAAAAAATATATAAGTATAACAATATAGAGAAGGCAATGGGGATATACCGCCAGCTAGTTTCTCCGTGCAACCAAGAAGCCTTCACGGCTAATTTAACTGACGACACTATAACCGACACTGCGGTCTGCTATAATATTGGAAAATACCTTAAAAAGCGTTTTACGCAAGCTCGTGACGTCATCTCTTTTAACTCTTTTTTGACCAGCCCAGAGGCTATCAAGGCCCTTCAGTGTCTCAACTACGAGGTAGATAAGATTCTTTCGTATTCCATTACAGACTTTACCGTCCAAGCCAACTCACTGTTTGGCAACTATGAAGACTTTCCGAGTCTTCGCTACGATGATGTAAAGTACAACCAGAATCTCTACGCAATCATATCGGAGACTGGTTCTGCAACCCTCCCCCTTGCGGTTAAAACGTATACCCTTGATGATTTCCGTGTGACCCAGAATACACACGCAAGGCACCTCAAGCAGTACCTGGAAGAGACATGGACTGGAAACCTCAAGCATGGGATCATTGACGCATTACAGAAGTGTGGCAAAGGGTGGTACGACATCTCTGTTAAGTCTAAAGATGTTTATGAGAGCTCTAAACTGAAGCGTATTTTCCGCAGGATAACAATAACAATGGCAGACACGATCCGGTATCTCTGCGAATTCTCCTGCAAGCAGTACGTCGCGATGTTCCGTGCCGGCGCCATGTGGAAGGTCAAATCCTTCTCAACAAGCGACGTCCGCTCTTACCATAGAGATAACGCCCTTTTGGGGAGGAGTCACATAAGCCATCGGGGTGCAGATGCGGCTCTCTTGGATGAGCAGGAGAAAGATCATGAAGTAGACTCTTTGAGCCCTCTTGCCCTTCCGTTGAGTGCAGCGGGATCATCTGCAAAGGCCTTAGAAACGCAGAAAAGTATATACCTCACGTGTTATCGCCAACCTCTATTCTCTATAGCAGTTAGTGTCCTGGACGGGATAACTTCCAACGAAGATAAGGTTATTCTGACTAAGCTTAACAGCGAGTACATATACGGCGTTACGGCTCTTGCCGATGAGGAGGTAGTTGACTTCGACGATGATGGCAAGGACGACGGTAACGCAGACGTTATACCCGATGATGACGGTGATGACAATGAAAAGGATGACACAGCGCAGAAGACAGGGGATGCCTCCAAGCAATCTGCTGAGAAGGCTTCCGATAGACCCACAACTGAGAAGGGCTCTCGCAAGTCTCGTCGAGCAACGACAAGGCCAGGCTCATCAGTAAAGGCAGGTGTCCAGGATGTCGCCCCAGAGGTCCCGCTCCCAGACACTGTCAAGACTATCGCATACATGACCAAACCGGAAGACTTTATCTCGGTTGTCCTTCAAGTCTTTGAGACGGGGCTCACCACCGTTTCTGGCGTTGGGGAGATCGAGCCCCTTGTTATCCAGAACATTATATGGGCTGACAGGACTCACATAGCCAGCCCTTCTGTCCAGGAAGAGCTCTATGTCAATTACCGGACAGAGTTAGTTGAGTATATGGAGACGGCAATTCAGCCGCTCACTGAATATCTGCGTTGCTTCAGCAGGTATACAGAGCTTATTCTACTAGATGAAGAGAAATGGGCTAGTACTGTAAAGTTTCGTGCAGAGCTCTACCTGAAGATGGGGGCAGATGCTAAGAAGGACGAAGGTACCACCAGCGATACCTCGGAAATTGAAGGGTTTAGTAGTCTTCCCATGACAATGCAGACTGCCATTCAGAACGCTACGCCGCTCTCTCCTGCAGATCTGCGGTCTCTTGTTAACGACCAGCTAGCACGACAAAAAGATATTCTCTTGAGCATCCCAGAATCGGTACATGTCGGCCTGTTTGTCGTGCGAAACGGTAATGTCCGTAACTTCCTTTCGAACAAGTGTCTCAGACTGGCCGAGCTGACCCAGGAGATCATCTCTGAGATAGCTGGTAAGAAGTCGAACATGATCTCTCAGACCTACTTTGCAATTAATAAAAAGATTAACCGTAAGAACAAAAACATCGAAGAGGTCTCTGTCACGGAGGAGTTTATCAAAGGGAAGATAGATGGCATTATTAGTTCCATGAAAGCCAACATCGGTATTATGCTTGACTACTACTCTATCCTCGATGATCTCTTTGTCGGACAGACAAACCAGGTCGTCCAACAACGATACAAGACCATGTCATATCCGTTGGAAATTCGCAACTTGGTCACAAAGACTATGGAGGTGCTATCTCTGGATCGCGAGAAGTTCAAGGATGAGCAGAACCAGCAACAGCAGAGCCTGGAAAAGTCGCTAGAAAACTGCACTCGGCAGGTGACTTCGTTTCCACTCAAGTACACAAGCGTCACCGATTATGTGGCTGCTGCAGAGGACGCTGAGCAGATCTTCAGGCAGCTTAACCGTCTTCAAGAAAAGGCGAAGCTCTTTAACAAACGTGAAATCATTATGGACCTGCCGATGACAGACTACACACGACTTGAGCAGGTCATTAGGGATTTCGAGCCTCTAAACATCCTTTGGAAGACTATCTTAGATTATAACACCACGTACACAGAGGTCATGGAGAACGACTTCAAAGTCATTGACGCGAGTGTCACAGAGCGCAACGTAGACCAGGCATACAGGAATATTGCAAAGTGTATTCGCTCCTTGAAAGATAATGCGGGGAATACCAAGGAGATCGCAGAGACGGTGAAGACACAGATAGCGGACTTCAAGCTCTACATGCCACTGCTCGTTGCACTGCGGAACCCTGGAATGCGCAAAAGGCACTGGTACCGCATTTCTCGAGAAATAAACATCGACCTATCATGTCTGCGTTACATTAATGGCATCGAGGTCAAAGATGCGACGCTCCAGCGTGGGTCCAGTAACGAAGCTGCAGAGGCGAATGGGGAAGCCGTGAATGACGACGTAGACTCTGAAACAGACTATGCAGAGTACACTGCAGAACAGCTTGCTGAGCTAAACTCGCGACCTGTCGAGTATACGTTCAGACAGGCCATCGAGGTGCACGGGTTGAACGAACCATCAAAGCTGCACATCATCCAAAAAGTCTCTGAAGTCGCCTCAAAGGAGTTTGCGATTGAACAGGTTCTTAAAAACATCCAGGCGGAATGGGCCGATGTAGAGTTTGACCTACTGGAGTACGCTAATACCAATACATATGTTCTACGCTCTCTTGATGATATCATTCAGAAATTGGACGATAACATCACACTTGTTCAGACTATGGGCTTCTCTCCTTTCAAGAAATACTTCGAGGAGCAGATCGCGTCCTGGGAACGCAAGCTTTCTTTGGTTTCTGAAATTATAGAGGTATGGCTCCAGGTCCAGCAACAGTGGCTCTATCTTGAGCCTGTCTTCTCCTCACCAGATATCTCACGTCAGCTCCCCGCAGAAAGCAAGAACTTTCGGTCGGTGGATGCTGTGTGGCGAAAGCTTATGGGGAATACGTACAAGACACCCAATGTGCTGGAGATATGCCTCAATACAGATAAGCTCCTCCCCAAGCTTCGAGAGTCCAATAAGATCCTTGATACGGTTCAGAAGGGTCTTTCAGACTATCTTGAGGCGAAAAGGCAAGCATTTCCCCGATTCTACTTTCTGTCCGATGCAGAGCTCCTATCCATCTTATCTCAGACAAGAGATCCGAACTGCGTACAACCTTACTTCAGGTCTTGCTTCGAAAATATCAACCGGGTCAAGTTTGCCCCAGAGGAGCAGGATTACCAGATGAGCGGGATGTTCTCTCACGAAGGTGAGTGGGTTGAGTTTTCCGAGCCTCTTTATCCGAAGGGGTCTGTTGAGGTTTGGATGGGCAATCTCGAGAAGATGATGATTCGGACCGTTCGCCAGCGCATTTTTGAGTCTATCTTGGCGTATCAAGTCGCGTGGGTCAGTGACGGAATCAAGGGCCGCTCTCAGTGGGTGCGCCGTTTCTTTGCCCAGGGCGTACTGGCTGCAAGCCAGCTCTTCTTCTGCTCAGACACAGAAACAGCTATTGTAGAAGGGAGAATAGAAGAATTCTATGCTCGGCAAGAGGAGCAACTTTCGTCTCTGACAGACCTTGTGAGGCAGGGACTCACGAAGCTTGAGGCAAAGACTTTAGCAGCTCTTCTAACCCTCGACGTTCACAACAGAGACACAGTCGCTAACCTCGTTAAGGCGAAGATCACGCGCACGTCGGACTTCGAGTGGATGTCGCAGCTTCGATACTATGTCTGCAACGTTCCTGATCAGAGCAAGCCAGAAGATCTTTTGGACATAGCCATTCAGAATATTGATCCTGGTTCCTTGGAGACTAATGAAGACACCGGTGTTATTCAGGTCCAGTCTGCGGCCAGAACTTATTTCACCAAGACCAATAATCAAATCGACATGCATATCCGACAGGTTCAGACCACTTATCCCTATGGTTTTGAATATTTAGGCAATACATCCCGACTTGTCATTACTCCTCTTACTGATAGAATCTATATTACCTTGACCTCTGCCCTTTCAAACTATCTTGGAGGCGCTCCCGCAGGACCTGCGGGAACAGGAAAAACAGAGTCTACAAAGGATCTTGCAAAAGCCCTCGCACAGCCAGTTATTGTCTTCAACTGCTCTGAGGGTCTAGACTACAAGGCCATGGGGAAGTTCTTCACCGGACTGGCGATGTCTGGAGCTTGGAGCTGCTTCGATGAATTCAACCGCATTGACATAGAGGTTCTTTCTGTTATCGCTCAGCAGATTTTGACGATTCAACGTGCCATCATTAACAGGCAGGAGCGCTTCCTCTTTGAAGGCCGCGAGATCAGCCTCAAGCCAACCTGCGCTGTGTTCATCACAATGAACCCAGGATACGCTGGTCGCGTTGAGCTGCCTGACAATCTTAAGGCTTTGTTTAGGTCGGTTTCGTGTATGGTTCCAGACTATTCTCTTATTGCAGAAATACGGCTCTATAGCTTTGGATACAAGAATGCGAAGATCCTTGCCCGTAAGACGACTGCGTCGTTTAAGCTTAGTTCAGAACAACTATCGTCACAGGACCACTACGACTTTGGCATGCGTGCGCTCAACACCACTCTTCAGGCTGCCGGCAACATGATTCGGGAGTACACGTCCAACGGAAAGCTAACTGTTACAGAGGAGCAAATTCTTTTGCGCGCTATTAAAGAGGTCAACGTACCTAAGTTCCTCAGCAATGACGTTATTCTTTTTGGCAACATCGTCAAGGATATGTTCCCAGGGACAGAATCACCGCATGTCGACTTCACCAAACTTATTGAAAGCATTACATACGTGCTGCGGTCCAATCAGATGGGCTATATGCAGATAGAGGAATCGTTCATCAATAAGGTCATCGAGGTGTACCAGACTGTTCTGCTTCGTCACGGTCTCATGACCGTTGGCCAGACGTCTTCTGGAAAGACCGTGGCTCTTGAGGCGCTGGCCTTGGCACTCAACAAGCTTAATCAGGAAGAATATGACGCTAGACTTGCACACTTTAATAAGCTTCTCCGAAGCAACCCCGGCATGACCCTGGCTGAGGCGGACAAGGAGATCCCCGAGGACTACACATTCATGAAGGCAGTGATCCACCGCATTAATCCAAAGTCTATCACGATGGGCCAGCTTTATGGTGAATTTGACCTGGTATCCCACGAATGGTCTGATGGTATTCTGGCCGACCTGATCAGAAAGTCGGTGGCTGCGTACAATGCGCATACGACTTATATTGAGCAGTCTATGTATTTGCAAAACGATGGTGTCACCGACAAGAATATCTTAACGATATCTCAGGTGAACGGACCGGCATTCGTCCGGAAGTTCGACCATGTGCGGCAGTGGCTCCATATCTGTGGACCCATCGATGCCTTGTGGATAGAGTCTATGAACACTGTTCTCGATGACAACAAGAAACTCTGTTTGACATCTGGCGAAATCATTGCCTTAACGAATGTGATTAGTCTTGTTTTTGAAGTCGAGGATCTCGCCGAAGCCTCCCCAGCCACCGTCAGTCGTGCAGGCATGATCTTCTTCAATGGGTTGGACACAGTCAGCTCATCAGCCTATGTCGACACATGGATTGACCGTCTTCCTGATGATTTGCGCGTTGTCGGGACTAATGCTGCTCGTGGAAAGAGTGCAAACGCTGATTCTTCTCGCGGAACCTCGATGAAGTCGCGCCTCGGTGTCACGGAGAGGTACTCCGATGTGGCAAAGCGCTTTAAGGAGTTGTTCGTTTCACACCTCAACGACTCACTTGATTTTGTAGCCAAAAACACGCAGAGCATGATAAAATCGTGCCCTCAAAATCTTATACATGCAACGACTAAAATCCTTGATTGCTTCATCCGAGAGTTCAAGCCAAATGAGTTTAATGTCATTGAGGAACAGAAGATCGACACACTGAACACTTATCTCGAGGTCTTCTTCTTCTTCGCTCTGGCTTGGGGTGTTGGCAGCAATATCGCGACAGAAGACGACAGAAAGCGCTTTGACAACTGGCTAAGAGCAAGGATCAACGAGGGCGGCTACTTGGCAGATTTTCCGCTTCCTGAAAAAGACCCCCAGACCGGTCATCCAACGACTATTTACGATTACTGTTTTGTCTATCCGCCGATAGATGCCAAAGTAACTATGGATGATAACGAAGAAGGTGAGAACCAACCGCGCTGGGTGCCATGGATGCAGACAATCCCAGAATTTTCCATTGACAGCCTGGGGACAGGTCCCAACAAGACCGTTGAATTCCAAGACATCTTCATTCCCACAGCCGACACCGTTCGCTCGAGCTATCTTGTCCGTAAGCTTCTTCTAAATGGATTCCCAGTGCTTGCTGTGGGTCAAACTGGAACCGGTAAGACTAGTGTTATAAAGAATTACCTTCTCCGAGGCCCCGCGAGTGACATGACTACAAACATCCCTATCTTTTTGAACTTTTCCGCTAGGACGGGGGCGAATCAGACCCAAGATTTTATAGATGGAAAGATGGAGAAGCGGAGGAAGGGCGTTTATGGGCCTGTAGCAGGGAAGAAGTTTGTGCTTTTCATAGATGACCTTAATCTTCCTAACAAGGAGAAGTACGGAGCTATTCCTGTCATTGAACTTATTCGGCAAATGGTGGATCACGGCGGCTGGTACGACCGAGACGAGCTTTTCTTTAAGCAGATCATTGACACGTATCTCATCACGGCTATGGGGCCGCCTGGAGGTGGACGACAGACAATAACAAATCGTATGCAAAGGCATCTGAACTTTCTGGTCTTTCCAGAGATGAACGATAACGGCCTTAAGGGCATTTTTTCGACTATTGTTAAGTGGTGGTCCGGCAGATCCTTCACAACGGCGTCGGCAGCAGACCTGGCTGACGAGGTGAAGAAGCGGTGCCAGATTCTTGTTGACGCTTCTCTCAGTGTGTACAACAGTGCAAGGGCGGAACTTCTGCCAACTCCAGAGAAGTCCCACTATGTTTTCAATCTGCGCGATCTCTCTAAAGTGTTCCAGGGCATCCTCATGATAGACCCTCTCAGCGTTGTCGCTAAGCTCAGCAATGATGGATCCACCGTCCCCTATTCTATCGCTGATGTTGAGAAGAACTTAATCAGACTCTGGATCCACGAGAACATGCGAGTGTATTACGATCGTTTGGTCGATGACCACGATAGGCATTGGTTTGAGAAGCTTTTGACAAAGCAGACAAGCAACTTCTTTAACCGTGATCTGGATAAGGACGTCTTAGAGGGCAAGCACCCAGACACTCTTCTTTTTGGTAACTTTGCTAATCCACAGCAGGCAATTCGGCCTTACAAAGAAATTACTGATATACCTGCTCTTTCTCATGTTCTTTCAGACACTCTCAACGATTATAACGATCAGAACAGCAAGCAGATGAACCTCGTTATGTTCAGGGATGCCATCTCGCACCTAAGCAGGATCTCACGCATTTTGCGCCAACCCGGTGGAAACTGCTTGCTGATAGGCCTTGGGGGCTCTGGTCGTAGTAGCCTGGCGCGTCTTAGCGCCTTTCTTGCCGAGTATGATCTACACACAATTGAACTACGAAAGAACTACGGGATACCAGAATGGCGCGATGACTTGAAGAAGATTCTGATGACTGCTGGTGTAGACAATAAGCAGATTGTCTTCCTCTTTACAGACTCCATGATTGTCAACGAGGCGATGGTGGAAGATATCAACGCAATCCTGAACACTGCTGACATCCAGAACCTCTATGACCTAAACGATATGGAGACAATCTTCGCAGCCGTACGACCACTGTGTATGGAGAAGGGCCTCCAGCCTACAAAGATAGCCCTCTTTGATGCGTATCTTACCCGGGTCAAGGCCAATATCCACTTGGTTCTGACCTTCAGTCCGTCTGCAGCACTCAGAACACGCCTTCGGAACTTCCCATCTCTGGTCAATTGCTGCACGCTGGACTGGTTCACAGGATGGCCAGATGAGGCGCTGATCGACGTTGGTCGCAGTGTCTATAATTATGCTTTAATAGAACAGGGTGTGACATGCTTCCCAGACTCTCCGCAATCCGAGTTTCTCAATGCTTATCTGGACGAGCAGTCTGGGATGGAGCTAGATGAGACTAAGAGGAAGGAGAAAAAGACCCTCTTACAGAACTCAATTATCAAGCTATGCATGCGATTCCATATCTCTATCGAAACCTGGTCCAAGAGGTACAAGGAAGAGTCAGGACGTCTAAATCATATCACCCCAACTCTTTATCTTACGCTCTTATCCACCTTTGCACGCGTTCTCCAGGCCCAGTACAACAAGGTTAATGAGTACAAGATGCAACTTAAATCTGGGCTGCACAAGCTTCTGGACACACAAACTATGGTTGCAAAGATGCAGGAAGATCTCATTGCGCTCCAACCCGTCCTTGAGCGGACGCAGACAGAGGTGGAGGCCATGATGGTTGATCTTGATAAGGACAAAACAGAAGCCGATAAGACCAGGCAAGTTGTCGCGAAGGAGAAACAAATTGCTGCAGCGAAGCGCGACGAGTGTGAAGCTATCAAGAATGATGCTGAGCGCGATTTGGCAGAGGCAATTCCCGCCCTCGAAGCTGCTCTCGAAGCGCTTAAGTCCCTGAAGGTTTCAGATCTCTCTGAAATTGGACACTACACTAGCCCACCCTACGGTGTCAAGTTGGTCCTTGAAGCGGTCTGTCAATTCTTCGGCGTCAAGGGCAATCGCGTTCAAGACAAGGATAAGCCAGGCCAGTTTATCGAGGATTATTGGGACCCTAGCAAAAAGCTACTTTCGGATCCTCGTGGTCTTCTAGACAAGCTTATGAACTACGATCGAGATAACATCAAACCAGACATCATAAAGAAGATTCAAAAGTATATTGTTGACCCAGAATTTGTTCCGAAGGAGATTGAGAAGAAGTCCAAGGCCGCCATGGCGATGTGTTCCTGGGTGCACGCTATGAACAAGTACTATCACGTGGCGAAACAGGTCGAGCCTAAACGTCAAAAGCTTGCCGAAGCAGAGGGAGAGCTAACAATTGTCCAGCAGAACCTGGATAAGCTGGTGGATGAGCTAAATACCGTTGAAAATAAGATTGCCCAACTGGAAGCGCAATTCTCGGCAGCTGTTGAAAAGAAGGAGGACCTTACTCGCCAGGTTGAGGAGACAGGGCTGAAACTCGAGAGGGCTGAAAAGCTGATAAGTGGGCTTGGCGGAGAAAAGGATCGTTGGACGCAGGCTATGGCCGACATGGACAAGAAGCTGAGCTCCATCCTCGGAGACTGTCTGTTCTCTGCTGGATGCATCGTCTACCTCGGCGCATTTACATCGCAGTTCAGAACAAAGATTGCCCAGAGCTGGATTAAGTTCATTGATGAGCTGAACATACCGCGCTCTACAGGAGAACACTTAAACCTGAAGGAGATACTTTCTGACGAGGTTGAAATTCAGCATTTCCATGTCAACGGATTGCCCTCGGATAATCACTCGATAGAGAACGCTCTTTTTATGTACAATAGTGACAAGTATCCACTACTCATTGACCCACAGGGCCAGGGCATGAAGTTCGTCCGTAACATGGAGAAGGACAATTCGCTCACAGTTTGCAAAGCAAGCGACAAAGATCTCCTCAGAACCATGGAGAATGCATTGCGCTTTGGCAAGCCGGTTATGATCGTCAATCTCTTGGAGGAGATCGACCCTGCACTTGACGGAATTCTGCAGAAGCAAGTTTACAAGGATGGGAACACTGTGGTGATAAAACTAGGAGACCAGATTATTCCATATAATCCGAACTTCAGGGTTTACCTTGTCACAAGCTTGCCAAACCCAAAATACTCTCCAGAAAACGCAGTCAAGGTCCTAACCCTCAACTTTGCCATCAACGAGTCCGGGCTTGAGGAGCAGCTGTTGGCCACCGTCGTGAACAGAGAACGCCAGGACCTCGAAAGCATGAAGAGCCAGCTTGTCATAAGCAACAGTCGAATGCGTCAGGAGCTCAAGTCCCTTGAGGCAACGATCCTCAGGCTTCTCTCGGAGTCTACGGGCGATATCCTGTCGGACGAAACACTGATAGAGACGCTATCGCAGTCTCAGAAGACTAGCCAGGAAATCGCGACGAAGGTTGCCGAGTCTGAAAAGACCGAAAAAGAGATTGATGTCACGCGCGAGCTGTACCGCCCTGTTGCCACGCGTGCTAGCATCCTGTACTTCTGCTGCTGTGATATGGCGAACATCGACAGCATGTACCAATACTCCTTGCAGTGGTACGTTAGTCTTTTTGTCCAAGCAATAGCTGACGCTGAGCAGGCCGACGAGCTGAGTGTACGCTTAGAGAACTTGATTGATCACTTTACCTATTACCTTTACACCACTATTTGCAGGTCTCTCTTCGAAGTCCATAAGCTTCTTTTCGCCGTGCTAGTAGCGATACGCATAAAGCACCATGCCGGAGACCTCAACACCAACGAGCTTCGATATCTGCTTATTGGGTCTGCGTCTGCAACGGCCCCAAAGCCTAACCCGTGCCCCGAATGGCTCAGTGAGAGGTCTTGGATCAACATATGTGATCTGGACAACGTTTCAGGTACTTTCAAAGGCTTTTCTAATACGTTTGCCAACAAAGAAAACCAGGCTATCTGGAGGCGAATGTTTGAGAGTTCACAACCCGAGACGCTTCCAATCCCACAGCCATACCAAGACGCACTCACTCCCTTCCAGCGGTTTCTACCACTCATGTGCATTCGTCCAGACAAGATTATCGCGTACTCTCGTATATACATAGAGCAGGAGCTTGGACCACGCTTTAACGAACCGCAACTCTTCAATCTAGAGCTCTCCTTTAAGGACTCCAACAATGTTACGCCCCTGCTCTTCATTTTGAGTAGCGGATCAGATCCCATGGCCGACCTTTTCCGCTTCGCAGACGAAATGAGGATGAGCCGAAAGATGCAGTCCATCTCTCTGGGCCAAGGACAGGGAGCGATAGCAAGCCAGTTGATTACTCAAGGTATCGAGCGGGGCTCGTGGATCATTCTCATGAACTGCCACCTGGCGGTCTCGTGGATGCCAGAGCTAGACAAGATTATTGAACAACTAAGCTCCGATCCCTCAAATATTCATCGCGACTTCAGGCTGTGGCTCACCTCTATGCCCAGCGAACAATTCCCTGTCTCTATTCTGCAGAACTCCGTTAAAATGACAAACGAAGCCGCCCTCGGGATGCGTAACAATGTGCTTAGAACGTACAGCAACCTGAACGATAAAATTCTTAACGAGACGATACAGTCTGGCGATCCGACAAAGATTCAGATCTTCAAGAAGCTTACCTTCTCCATGTCGGTCTTTCATGCTGTCACTCAGGAGAGGCGCAAATTTGGCCCGCTCGGATATAACATCTCCTACGACTTCACGTCTGGCGATCTTGACATGTGCTTTAAACAGCTAGGTCTCTTCATTGATTCGTACACTTCGGTGCCGTACAACGTCCTCCAGTTTCTTTTCGGAAAGATAAACTACTGCGGGCGTGTAACAGACTATAACGACGAGAGGTGTCTGACTACCATCCTTAACGACTACCTTTCAGACGAAGCCCTTGTGGAGGGCTATGACTTTAGTCGGATGAACGACACAGAGATTGTTTCGATCAAACAGCTTCCAGACAATCTAAACTATAAGGACTATCTGGAGTGTATCCGAGAGCAGATTCCCAACGACCCCAGACCAGAAATCTTTGGCCTCCACATGAATGCAGCCATAACCTGCGATAATCAAGCTGTGCAGGCCATGCTGAATGACCTGATTAAGCTGCAACCAAAAGACAATAAAGACACCAAAGACGGAGACGCCGAAGACAGTTCCCAGAATTCCACCGGAAATGACAAAAACGTTCTTCTCCTCGATCAAGCCCAGGGGCTCCTAGACCGCTGCCCCGACCTTTTCGACGTTGAGGCGGTCAGCCTGAAGTATCCCACGCGTTATGAAGAGTCGTTCAACACTGTTCTTGTTCAAGAATGTATGAGGTATAACAAGCTGCTTATAAATATCAAGAAGTCTCTCCAAGACCTACAAAAGGCAATTCGGGGCTTCTCCGTCATGAACGCCGAGCTTGAAGAGCTGGCGGATAACCTGTCGAACAACAAAACCCCAGCACTGTGGCTTAAATATAGCTATCCATGCCTCAAGCCTCTTGCTTCGTACTATATTGACCTCTTGGACCGGATATCCTTCATCAATGTCTGGATTGAGAAGGGGATTCCAATCTGCTTCTGGATCTCGGGCTTCTTCTTCACGCAGGGCTTCTTGACCGGCTGTTTGCAGAACTTTGCTAGAAAGTATGTCATTGCAATCGATAAGCTCATCTTTAGATTTACTATTAGCAATGTAATGGTAAACACAACCAACTTCCTCAACGAAGGCCCAGAGCTCAACACTCGTGTAGAAGCTTTGCACCGCTCAAACACAGATGGGTGTTACGTTTACGGACTCTATATGGAGGGGGCCAGGTGGTGCATGGAAACCAGCACTATCCAGGAATCATACTCTCGCGAGCTGTATTCACGGATGCCGGTCATCCACTTCCTTCCAGATGAGCAAGGGAAGGATGTCGACCCCGAGGTTGCTCGTAGAATATATCGGTGCCCTGCATACCGAACTCTTGCGCGCGCTGGTGTCCTGAGTACGACAGGACACAGCACCAATTTCATCATGCCCGTGGATTTACCGATTCAAGCCGACGAAAGTGCCAAGTGGACCAAGCGCGGCGTAGCCTTGTTTGCAGCGCTGAACCAGTGATTTCATTATCAGTGAACTTTTGTATGCAGCACCAGTTGGGGTCTTTCCAGAAAATAATTCAAGTTATGCCCACTCACAAGCGGCGCGCATATCGCAGGGGGCCGTCGCTCTTGGCTCCTGCTGAGGATACTAAACAGGAGAATGTTCAAGAACATTCGTTTCAAACACTAGACATAGACGAAACCCTCAAGCACAACCTCGCCCAGAGCGGTTTTAAGACGATGACCCCAATTCAAAGGTACACTATTCCTCTGTTTACAGGAGAGTCTGTGGCCGTTTTCGGGCTCAGCAGGACGGGTAGTGGCAAGACTCTAGCGTTCCTGATACCCTTACTTCAGCGGCTTATATCCCTTCAATGGCAGCGTCTAGACGGCCTGGGCGCGCTCATTCTTCTTCCTACAGCCGAGCTTTGTGTCCAGACCTTCACTGTCCTCAACGTTCTCGGGCGAAAATACAAAATGTCTGTCGGCCTCATCACTGGCGGCCACGACGTCAAGGAAGAGCAACGTGTGCTCATGTCTATGAATGTCATAATAGCTACTCCAGGCAGGCTTCTCCACCAGCTTTCCTCTTGCATCCAGTTTTCAGCTGACAATCTTCGCGTTCTGATCTTTGACGAGGTTGATAACCTACTTGAAAAGGGATTCTATGCTGATATTTTTTCTATCATAAAGTACATACCACAGCAGAGCGAGCAGCTCTGGCTAGGCTTCTTTACGGCAATAGAAACGCCTCTTGTGCGCAAGGCCATCATCAAATTAATAAAGTACTTTGGAATAGCAGAGCACATGTTGAAGATTGCTGATATGAATACAGGAGTAGTGACAGTGGCAAATCTTGATCAGCTTGTCCAGCAGGAGACAGACGATTTGAAAGAAAAGCCGAAAGGAAAAGATCTCTACAAAGCTGATGGGATATCACTGGCACAGTTAGCGGGTATCTCACAGAAAGACATTACATCAGATACATACGGAGAGAACATACAGTTTGTTACCTCTTCTTGCCCAGACACGGGAGGTATAAAGCTCCCTCCAAATTTGACAAACATCATCATGACAGTACATCCGGCAGACAAGATAGACATTCTGTTTAGCTTTCTAAAGAGCAAGAGCAACAGCAAGATCGTGATTTTCGTTGCTACAGCCCGCCAGGCAGCTTTTCTCTGTGAAAGCTTTAAGCTCTGTGAGCCAGGAATACCTATCATGTGCCTCAGTGGAAGGATGAAGGCTGGGAAGCGCCACGATACCTTTATCGAATTCTCTGGGATGCGCACAGCTGCCCTTATAACCACAGACATGTGTGCCCGTGGTGTAGACCTTCCTATTGTTCACTGGGTGGTGCACTTCGACTGTCCAGATGGTGTGATCACCTACGCACACAGAGCAGGTCGTGCAGCAAGAATGAACCTCCCTGGCTTCTCACTTCTATTCCTAACAGATCAGGAGCAGGGGTTCACGAAGAGGCTGGACGAGGCAAAGATTGACTATCAGAAGAAGACGGTGAAGCTAAGGACCGTCGTGTCCATACGCCAGAAGCTTACAGAGCTTTGCATCACAGATACATACATAAAGCACCTAGCACAAAAAGCGATAGTTTCATATGCTAAATCCATCCATGTCCAAGGTGATCGGGAGGTGTTTCCCCCGGCATCTGAACTCAACCTAACAGATATAGCATTGAGCTACGGATTGGCCAGCAATATTAATTTATCAGTTGGAAAGCAGCCTGGTATATCTACGCAACACCCTGCATCAGAACAGCAGATGGCATCAGCTACAGGGATCCGCCAACCAGAAGGCGAGCATACTGATGCAGACGATGAAGAGGAGAGAGACGATCTCTTAAAGGTCACCAAGATTGTCACATCTGTACTCAGCTCCAAGGAAAAAGAGGAGCTTCAACAAGAACGGGAAAAGCAAATAGAGAGAAAGTTATTAAAGGGGTCCATTGAGGAGGCTGCTCGAATTGCCCGAGAAGCTGGGCGCCACAAGATTCTTAATACAAGTAGCGACGAGGAGAGCCAATCTACGTCTGGCGCTTTCAGTGCGAAACACACCAACAATTCAGCTCAAGACGAAAGCGATGAGAGCGAGCTGTCGTCATATACTTCGGCTAGTGAAGAACACTCCGGTACAACGTTTCCAAATGAAGCCTCTCACGTCTCTAGGCTCCAACAACGCATAGCACATAACGATTCCTTCGATCGGGAAGCACATAAACGAAAGAACAGGAGGAAGAGCAAGCGAAGAGCAGCCTCTGAACAAGAGTCAAGCTATGATGACTCCTCTTTTGATGAGTCAGAGGAGGAAATGCAGAGCAAGCGCAAGCAGAAGCCGTAGATAGGCTGATTGACACCCTGTTGGTTAGCTGCCTTTTCGCCCTCACAGCCTCACTCCTGATCTGTAGACTACAGCTTTAGGATGACCGGCCCCACACCATTTCTTGTAGTCACTGAGTAAACTGGCGGTCAAAACGAGCGTAGTCTCTGTGTACACTTTGACAAGCTGCCTCCTAGTGGTTGGCTGCTCTGTACAGAAGGTCTTAGGTGAAACACATGAAAGTAATTTCAATCTTGATCACCTTTAAAACGCATCCGTGTTAGATTCTATTTCAAAAAATTCAAAAAAAAGTGCTCTTTGATTAGCCTGTGAGGAACGACTTACCACTTGCTATCTGTTCTGCTGCTCTGTAGTCAAGATGGCAAGGGCAGAGAGATAGCTTTTGCTTTGGGATGAAATGGATGCATGTAATGTTTTGACTTTTTTAGACTCTGGTTTAGACTATGACTAGGGTTATGATAATCATGTAAATAGTCTAAAGATAGGCCATCATAAGTGTCAACCCACTAGATAGCTTGATACATCGATAGCAGCAGTAGCTCGCCAATCTACTTGAGGTAGATCACTGAAACTATCAGGAGAAGATGACCAAGATGGGCAAGATGTGCGGTGCACTCCTGTCTTCCTGGTTGCAGGGAGCGACCCAGCATACAAACATTTTCAAGCCGACAAACTTAGTACAACACCTACCGAAATTCTCCTGTGTAAAAAATTTAAAGTATGGAGCAAAGGTTTCCGGAAACGGGCAATGAGATGGGGATTGAGTGCGCACACCCTGCAGTGCCGCCGGGAGAAGCGTTTGCTTCGATTTCCACACCCTATCGGGGCTCGTCTCCCAGCACAGCACAGCACACCCCGCTGTCTGTTGTCAACGTTGCAGATGAGGAGGCTGGAGCACAACAGTGGGACATTCAACCGAAGGCTGCCAAAAGAAGTAAGCTCAGCGGCGATGCAGCAGGACTCAAGGCCCCGGCCGGGGATCTCTCCAGCGGGAAGATGTGTGCAATGGGGCTCAACACTGCTATGACCATAGTGAACGGCGTCATCGGCGCCGGCATGCTAGCGCTGGGAGACACATTTTACAGTATGGGCCTGATCGGCGCGACAATCATTCTCATAGGATCTGCTGTTATAATTTACTTTAGCTTTATAGCCATCAACGAGGCTGTATACTACACAAAAAGTAGAACATTTAGGGAACTATTTATTTTTATTTTCGGGCCAGTCTTTGCGACCATCATCGACGTCGCTAACACCCTTATTCTATCGTCTTATCTGATTGGATACATCGTCATCGCCTCTCAGTACTCACTCGGGTTCATAACGTCGTTTGGAGGCCAAATAGGGTACGACTACGACACGTGTTATGCAAGGAAGTATGCTCCGCAATGTCACCAACACTACATAGCGGTTGTAATTGTTACCATTATAATAGTGCCGTTAATATGCTTCCGTGGCCTGAACTTTCTGAACTATGTTAGCATTGTCGCCACCATCATGGTCCTCTTCACCACGGTGACCCTAGTTGTGCTACTTTGTAGTCATGTGAAGAGTAGGACCCCTGTTATAGGAACTGAAAAGTGTTTGATACACGTAAAACCCTACCCGCCGAGTTCTCTACACTTTATGATATATGCTGCGTTCCCTATTACACTGTATTTGGTCCACTCCTCTATCCCTCCAATGTTTGCAGAGATGCGCGGCCAATCGATGACAGCGCGCAAAAGGATTATGGAGCTTGCAATCATGATATCCGTACCTATAACCACAATCATAAACCTGGTTATGGGAATTGTTGGCAGCACTATGTTTACCAGGCCAAAGGACAACATTCTAAACACATTTAAGCCTGGGAACGAAGAAAAAATCATTTCTGCCATCCGAGTGGCGATGTCATGCGTTGTCATCGTCTCGTATCCCATCATCCTTCTCCCTGTCCGGGCCTCCATAATGCGGTGGATTCCATACAACAAGATGAACGGGAGAACAGACACAATTGTATTTTACTCCGTTGGCTTTGGTGTAACATTGCTGTGCATGGGCGTAGCCATGTTATACCCCAACATCGGAGAGATATTTAACTATGCAGCATCGATCTTCGGCATTTTCGTGACGTGGATCGCACCCCTCATGGTCATCATGTACATGCCGCGGATTCGCGCCATGGGAAAGCCTACAGAAGACTTCGACGACAGGGACGTCAAGAACCTTAATGCTACAGGGACAGAGCTCACCGAGATGACCGTGACCTGCAATGAGTCATCGTACATGGCGAATAGTTCTACAGTCGACGCCGCGCCTGAGAAGTCGTCTTCTAAGGGCAAACAGACCAGTCTCAGGAAACGTATTCGCAAGGGCCCTGGAAGGAGACGGCTTCCAGACATTGCGCTGCCCAAGTGGCGATATGCCGTGTTCGGTACCTGCATGGCCCTCGCCACAATCTATAACCTATCGTCTTTCATTATAAACATACTGAACTTGGCACCAGAAGTAGAAGAAAAATGTCCAAATGGCAGTGAGTATCATCCTAATCAATCTAACTGAAATCTAACCCAAACAACAAAGAGCTACTTAGTGTGGTGTGCCTTCCTGCGTTTATTTCCTGCGTTACGATGATAGGCTGATCCTTTATAGTGTGCTTGCCCCGTCCCTGTATTCTTTCTGTCACCGTCTTCTGGGATGCTGTGCTGCTCGGCCAAAAAAGCCGTCGAGTAAGATTGGTCACACGCGCTCTGCTCCCCAAATAGCCTTCGAGAAAGTAGATACGGATTGGTTTTCAGCGTGAAATTTCGTGCGGCTTGGATCATGGAAGGGGTGACCGTCTCAGTGACGTCGAATGGTAGAACCTCATCGAGAAGATCCACAGGGGGCTGTAAACTGGTGTTGGGAAAATCAGTGCTGAGAAGTGTCGTGCCGTTGCCGTGCGGTTGTAGGCAAGGGTCCTCTACACCAAGGTTGTAGCCATCTATCTGGTCCTCCTGCTGAGTCCGCACGTCGGCCAACTCAGCGCGCAGTACTTTGTTGTTAGCTTCTAAGTTCTTCAACATAGCCCGCAGCTCCTTGTTCTCTGCGAGCAGATGAGCTATCCGCTCATTGAGATCATGCTTTACCTCGGAGATATCGACAAAATGGCTCTCCACTAGTGCTCTGGTAGACGTATCGATAGTATTGTGAAATTTCTCCTTCGAAATCTGAGGGGCTTTGTTTGCGATCGCTATTATGTCTGTGATTTCGTGCTTCCAACTCACCAGCTCGGTACAAAGCTCCGCAAGACCCAGCTCCTCTGCTCGAGCGAGTGCCTCGTCAAACTCGCTCATCTCGAAACACTGGCCATACTCTAGCAAGATCCTGAGGCAGCGAAGACACCCCACGGACGTCGCAGTCAGCAAGGGGTTATCCACTACCTTAACGGGTCCAACAGCCTGCAGCATGGCTTCAAGGCAATCGTGAGCATCGTTCTGAATTGCCACCGAAAATGGAGACTGGCTCTTTAAGTTGCTCGTATCCAGTTCACGGGTGGCTAGGAGTCGGCAGAGCTGCGACTGACCACTTTGGATGGCATATATCAATGCCGTGCGACCTTGACTGTCCTTTATCTGTTGCTCGTCCTTAAGAAGAATGGCTGCAAGCTCTGTGTTTCCTGTCTGTGCTGCAACCATAAGGGCCGTCATACCGTTCTCATTAACTGACTTTTTAAATCGTGGACTATAGCCCGCCACAAGAGGCTGATCTCCCGAGGCCACAGCGGCGAACCAGTCCTCCACAGTCCGAACATTCATGCCGCAGTTTTTTAATTCAGAGGCGTCCTTATTTTTTGGCAAGGGTGTCGTCTATGGTCGCAACGTTGCTGCGCTCCCCAATCAAGCGAACAGTAGTATATTCTAAAAGTGTTAGAGCCGAGTGGAATTGCTCATACAAATTCGCTTTCTGGGGGCTCAGCTCCAGCCCAAAGTCCTTGGTAAAGAGAGTGCGCACAGGCTCTATCATTGCTCTAACATCAGCAGAGAGGCGCACCACCTGCTCTTCAAGCTCCTGGACTGCAGGGAGCGACTGCTGTCTTTTGATCAGTGAAAAGTCTACATCTAATGTCTCCGGTTCTGCTGTATCCCGCAGGTGTCGACAGCTGTTCAAGACAACCGTTAGGTCATTGGTTAGTGACCCATTGGTGCCTGCTTCTCGAAGGGCTTTACGACACGCCGCTTCCAGATTATCCGTTGCGGACAGTACATTATCCATTCGCTCTCTGTGCTCGGTAAGGCCCTTCTTGTAGCTTTGAAGAGACACCTCCAGACATGCTATCTGAGCCTTCAGCATGCAGAGGCGCCGCGCACTCACGTACATGAGACGCCTACCTTCTATCTCTTCTTGACTGAGGTCATACGGTAGCGGCAAATGTTGGAGGCAATTCTTGAACTCCGTGGGAAGATCTAGCATAATCGCCCGAGTTACGGCCTCAAATTGTTGGGTTAATGCCGTGAGCTTTTTCCCACCAGAAGCTGAGGAAACAGGGCGGCCAAAAGACGAAGCCGTGCCTTGTCGTGATTGTGTAGATTTCTGTCTTCCTAGCCTACGCTCTGAAGGCCTTTGTTTCGGCTCCTGAAGCTCTTCCTCCACAGCATCAGGAGCATCCAGCCCTGGGTTGTTGCACGATTCTGCTTCTCCATTAGCCTCGTATGCTGCCCCGGAGAAAATATGGTCATGAGGGTGTACAGTCTCAGCCTGGGGCCGTTTTGGTCGTTTAGAAGTCGCCTCCGGGGGAGGTTCCATATTTGGGTTATAGTGCCGAAGAAGTATCTGCACGATCTCGTTGAATGCTTCTGTAGAGCCGCTGCGCACCATTTCCGGCGAGATGTGCTCTAAGCTGTAGTTCAATTTACGTAGCTCGACCAGAATGCCCCTGCTCATCGTCTCCATATAGTCCTCATAGGTGAATACCCCCCGTTCTGCTTGGTGTCTGCGTGGCAATATAGTCTGTGAGCAAGAGTAGTACAACCTGCAAAGCTTGCAGCTGGGGGCGATGCCGTCCATCAGCGTTGCTAGCAACTGGCTGCGCGTGTCCCAGTTCAATATTTGCAGGTCTCTGTCTGTCAAGTCAGCGAACTTCCTGTACTGTCGAAGGGCCTGAATGTTCTCTCTGTCCATGAATCAATTTTTGAAACTAAAAGCAAGTTGCTATCAGCAAATCATCCACTTAGACGAGAAGAAAAAGACACCGTTGTTTGTCTAAAGGCTTTCCATGAGAGGAACATATTACATGATCCATTGGGCTCTTTCCCGTGTTATCCTTGATCTCTCCTTCATAAGGGAGAAGGAGCTTCATACACCAATATGCACATCGCTGGGCAGCCCATATCATTGCTGTCCAGCCAGACTTGTCACGATGCCCTATTTCTTTTGGGTATAAGAGCCCGACAATTTGGAGACAGCCATTAGCAGATGCTATCATCAGAGCAGTCATGCCGTCGTTATCACACATCCCTGCCTCATATTCTGCAAGAATCCGTGCTGCGTCGATATTGTTCCTGGATGTTGCTAGCATTAGGGCGGTCGACCCATCCTTGTTTTGCATGCGAGACTCCCTGCTTGCCAGCATAGCTACAATCTCTGTGTGCCCGTTGGAGGCAGCAGCCATCAGTGCCGTAAACCCAGACTCATCAGAAAACCCTGCCTCTGCCAGAAGGAGTAGGGCTGCGTCTACGCTTCCATTCTGTGCAGCCATCATTAGCGCGGTATACCCCAGCTTGTCCTGCAGGCCCATTTCCGCCAAGAGAAGCTTTACACACTCGATGTGACCATACCACGCAGCGGCCATCAAGGCAGTTAAATTGAAAGACGACAGCTTGACATGATCTTTGTGTGACCCCCCATTGGCAGCCAGATCTATCCACTCTTGGCTCTGTTGAAATAGCTTGTCGTGGTGCGCGTATACCTGTTCGGGGTCATTATTGATTGCTGCATCAATCAGGGCGGTCTTCCACTGCACCAAAGTCCCGGTTCGTTGATTGATTTTGACAGTCAATCCCGCCGTGCTTATGTACGTGCATAAAAGTATATAAAACCGGAAATTAGAGTGGTTGCGTTCTCCATTAAGAAAGTCCTCAACCTCAGTAGAGGTGGCCTTGCCGGCGCGCATCAGTGTATAGAGGTCTGCCATTTGTTGATCGAAATTCTGTTCAATTTGAAAAGCCATTTGATTGATATCTTTAGTAGCCAATAATGCAATGCATATCGCCTCTGTAGGAGGCGCACATGGCTGTTGAGGTAAGGATAATATACGCTGCAGATTGTCTCTAATTTCTGATGCTGATCTGTTTTCCCTGTTATCTAATATACCCTTCAATTGCATTCTTGCATGTTCACTATCGCTCACCTGAGATGCAATCTCTAACAACTTGAATAGAAAATCATATAAAGGCCTGGCAACTGCATATGAATCTTGGACACCGCAGGCATCGTCCACCGTGTGGGCCTCACAAAAAGAAGCCGGTGTATGTCCGGAATGTGATAATTTGAGAGTTTCGAGTATTTTAGCACATTTCAGGCACATAGAAACTATCGTAGCAGATGGAAACATACTTCCTATTTTGGCACACCTTTCAAGGCTACGGGTATATAGTTTTACTAGACGCACATATGAAGCAGTTGAGGCCCTGCTAGGCTCAACATTCATTAAAGGAATACTTTTTAATTCCACACCAAATGTGTGCCACACCGGCATCCATCAAGTTTCATACTTGGCTGACGAAGGATCTCGGCTATGCTCCGCATGACGAAAGGCTACGGCCGCATCCCAAGAACTTTGATTGCCTTTCAGCATCAAATGAGAGCTTTCAGGAAGAGCTGATGCGTCACACTGTTAGCCCGGGCGAGTATACACGCATTCGAAAGATTTTCCGCATCATGGAGCTCCAAAAGCAAAAGATTGCTGCCACGAACGCGTCTACTCAAATGTCAGTCGGAGAGCAGCCATCCAAACTCCTTGAGCTAGTGCAGTCTGTACTTGTGGACACAGATACATATGCAAAGAGCGAAGAAAGCACACGAAACCAACTAACTAAAATTGTCCATCTAACAAGGGTCAATGAGGCTTTAGATGGAATTGTGCAATCCTTGAACGCTTTTCGAGGCGCATGTGGGTCGGCTCTGGTTGATTCTACCAATTTATCTGAGACAGCAACTTCTGAGCGTGACCTTTTGTCTGCACAGGAGCAGGCTACACGACAGTTCACCATGAGCACCAAGCATCGGCTTGCCACCCTCCTCCGTCAACTCAAGAGTGAGATAGAGTCAGCGATTCACCAACTTAAGGTATTTCTTCGAGACGATGAAGAGGTCTTTGAAGAGTCTAATGAGACCTACCCAGATACTCATCCGCGCTTAGGATTCGTGTACAAGGCAACGCTCCGTAACATTAAGGAGGGAGAAGCAATACTAGCTGAGCTAGATCTGCTGCGCATGCGTGAAAACGACCTTTTGCTAACCTATTGTAATGAGTCTTTTGAACTGGCCCCAGAAAACATCACATCTCAGGTTATTAAGCATTTGATGACAAAGACACCACAGCTAGGCGCAGTTCTCCTGAAGGCAGAGGTTTTCGGGTTACAACGGTGCAGTTCGTTTTTGCAGGACCACAGCAGAGAGCTTGAGAATTGCGGTCGTCGAACAAAGCGCCTTGTTGACGAGCTAGTATCAGCTATGAACAAAACAAACACACTTAGACAGAAAACAGAAAACCAATTGCAACAGATAGAATACCTTACTGATACTATTCAGCGAACCAACAAGAAAATAGAGGCTACTGTAACGAGTTCTGGTAGAGAAGAGCACAGGCAATTACTCACTGAAAAGCTGGATGGGATATGGAAAGTTTTCAGTGATATTCATGCTTCCCTAGACACCTATTCATCCTTGTCTGCGATTACATCTTTCAGAGACATGTATGCGCACTCTTTGGCAATCAGAGAGCTTGAGCAGGGGTCTTCTAGTAGTGCAGTGCTGATGCGCCTTAAGGAAATAATAAGAACAGGTGCAACAATCCCCTTGAGTCAGGACTCTGTCTCAGAGAGAATGGTGACAGAGGAGCACCGACACCGAAAAGTGATTTCTCATGTGGCCCACAGTGATGATATCTTACCAGGACTGTACTCACATCAATTGAGGGATTCTGTTGACTGCATCCAATCCGTGTATGAATTATTTAAGCTTCTAAATCACTCCAAAAGACACTTTTTCACATCCATGTTCACTAAAACCTGTCTCTCAAGGAATTGGGAGGTCCAGAATCAAGTTTTTGATGCTTTGGACTCGTTTTTGGCACGTATTGACGGCTATCAAGAGAGCCTCAAATCGATATTCTCAAAAAGGATCATCAATGACCACATGACAGACGCATACCTGACACCTTCTGGAGTCACAAAGCTCGGCGGTACCGCTAACCCACATCTCAAGCTCGATAGAGGTACAGGGATTGTGCAGGGCATCAAGGTGGCCCAGCTGGATGGGTGGGTTGTAGATACGCATACTCTGCTGAAGCAACGGGAAGTGATGGCACCCAATGTATTTTCCTCGTTGATATCTAATAAGCTTTCCGCGCTTTACAAAAGCATGGCCCCTTATCTCTTGCAAGGCGAGTCGTTTAACTCGGCCATAGACGTATCTGTTGACACTCTAATCGAAACTAATGACTCTCAGCTCACGGTGTTGCAAACTGATCTTGCTCTCTATGATAGCACGCTAAGAGAGCTTGAGCATGTTATCTCAGTTATAAGGAACTTCTACTCCACCCCTATCTAGTTTTAGTAGTTGTGATAGCCTAGTAGCACGTGCATTGCTACGCTATAGGTTACTATCACCCTTGGCATATCTCTGTAGATAAATCCCCACTTCATTACTACACGCATAGTCCACGGCTGTATTGTGGTTTTTGTCTAGTAGGCCGTATTCTGCTGGAGCTAAAAGATCGAGTATTTCCGACTTGCCTATCTCCGCGGCGATCATCAATGCGGTCACCCCGTCGTTTGTTGCCCTCTGTGCCTCGAATGCCAGTAGGCGCTCCACCGCCTTAGTGTTCTGGGCCAACACAGCGAGCATGAGGGCGGTGAACCCTGGAGGATCAGTTACTGTGTGTGAGTGCTCCCGCTCAACCAAAAGATTGACGATGCTGTTATGCCCTTTTCTGATTGCAATCATTAGCGCCGTGACTCCATTGGGCTTCTGCATGCCGAGCTCTGCGTTCATACGGACAAACTCTTCAACGGCCTCGAGACATCCCAGCTCCGCGGCTAACATGAGAGCCGTGCCTCCAGTCGATCGAACCACCCCTTGCTCCATTTGGATAAGCCGCGGAATAAACTTCAGAAGCACCTCGCAGGTAGTTGATTCTGGTGTGCCGGATTCTTTAATCTGCGTATATAGACGGATAGTCCACATGAGGGCTGTATACCCCGTTGCATCTTGAAGTCGAGCAAATGAGGGTACTAAAAGTTCAAAGCACTCCTCAATCTTTTCGAGATTGCTCACCACATCTTTCTCACGAGATAGTTGTAATGATAAGAGAAATACCATTAGGGGTGTGAATTGCTTGTGAAGTGTCACCATCTTCTTCTGGATATCCAATAGGATGCGAATGGCGGCTGAGTCCCAGTACTTTGCAGCATGCGCTAAGGCAAACATCCCTGAGGAATCCACTGTGTCTGGATAGCGTGTCGCTAAGGAGTGTGTTATTTCCTTACGAGCTTCGATGGCACGAATCACTGGACACTTCCCGTGTCTGTCCACTGAAGAGTTTGGTCTGTTAGCGGCAATCAGAGGGTGCTTCAACAGAGCCTGCGCCGAGGGTCGTTCCTGCACATCACATTGGAGCATCATCATGATCAAGGAGTTAAGCCCATCACTATATCTACTTGGTATCCTATAGTCACTACGAAATATACTCTCTATGCTACTTAGTATTGCGCCGGCCGTAGATCCAACAACTAGATAGTGGCTTTCGCAAAGGAACAAGGCAGTCATTCCGAGAGACCAGATATCAACCTTTTCGTTATATCTTTCTCCTCGCAACAACTCTGGTGCCATGTACATCAATGAGCCTGTAATGAAGTCGTCTCTCTCATGAAAGTCGCCTTCCAATTCGGTGGCGGATCCAAAGTCAATGAGTACCACGCTACCAAATGAGGTCAAGAGGATGTTACCTGGCTTAACGTCTTTATGAATAATAGCAGGCTTATTAAGTGCAGCGTTCGGTGTATGAAGAAATGCCAAGGCTTCCAGAATGGAAGCCATAATCACTAAAATATAATCTTCTGCCAGTTGCTCGTTTGTTATATTTGCTACTCTGCAGTATTCGTTCAAGTCTCCCCGCTCATAGTATTCCATAACTATGTATGCCTCTTGGCACCCAGGATGCACTTCTATCGGATCTATTACATCCAATATGGTACCAAGAAGATTGTTCCACGTCCCTTTGGCGATCTCTCTACTAATTTGCAGTTCAACATCTTGCAAATAGCGAGCATGCCCAGAGTCTTCTAATTGAATCCGCTTTACCACCACAGGCTGCCTTGTGTGACTAGATACTGCTTTATAGATATTGCTGTTATGTGTACATTCAATTAAATGAAAGTCGTGATAACCGGCGATTGCTGGGATGTCATTGTGGATGTTATAGTCCAGATAGCGTTCTCTGTACACCCACCTGTTAATAAGAGGATGACAAAGAATCTCATAGGCACTGGGACGCTGGCTGGGATCTATGGCAAACATGCTCTTCACTAAATTGCATAGCTCTTGAGAAAAACCGCGAAACTCAAAGGCTATTCTTCCGTCGGCCAGGGCAGAATGTTGCTGAAGCATGCTTTCCCGCACCCTTGACAGCGTAGTGGCCTTTTGGGGCTGACTAAAGATATCAGTCCCATGACAAAACCGATAAATGGCGCATCCCAGAGCCCATATATCTATCTTCTCTGTGTACTTGAGAAGCTTGAAGATCTCTGGCGCACAGTTCCGGATTGTGCCGACTCCTGTGGAGAGCATCTCCTCTACATTCAACTGCCCAATGATTCCAAAATCGGCTATCTTCACTGTGCCGTCGGCCATCTGAAGGAGGTTCTCGGGCTTGATGTCGCGGTGAACTATCTTTGTTGGTGTGGGCCCAGCGATTGGTTGTCCACAGACAGCTTCCATGGTATGATAGGTGTGGAGGTAGTGCAGCCCAGAAGCTACGTCAGCAATGATTCTGCAGATATGCTGTTCATAATCAGGTGCATAGGCCGCTGCACACGTCCTAGAGAGGCTACTCAAATCGCTAATTGCAAGCTCCATGAACAAATACGCGGTCATATTGTTGTCTAAGTGTGCCTCACAGCAGTTTATGACGTTGCGATGCTTAAGATACGGCAGTAACTGTAGTTCGCGCATGTGCAGCCTTCTGGCTTTCTCTGTGCTCATTTTGAGGTCTATGTATTTCAGTGCAAAAAGCTTGTTTGTACCCACTCTCTGGACGCGATAGACAGTCCCAAACCTCCCCGTACCAATCTTTTCTAAGACTCGGTAGTTGTAAATAACTTGCCCTATATACAAGCCAGGTCTGCTCATTACCCCTAAGAGCCTAGATAAATAAGCCTAGATAAAGTACGGAACAACCAGTATACTCTCGCCAAGCCTCTAAGTTTCCTCGGCCTTGTGATTTTGAAGATTAATTAAGTTTCAGTGTTAATTAGCTTCAATATCCCAGACGTTCGTTTGAGCATTCTCACTGCTTGTGGATAAAGGTGTTCATACCAACCTATGGGCACAGAAAAGTTAAAAGTAGAAGTGGAAAGCCCATCGTTAAAGAGCGCCGTTTACAGAGGTCCGGGTCACATCGGCAAAACAAGCTCCGCCACATCTCGTAATACTTCTGTTTGAGTACAGCCCGACTCTATTCGCAGTTTCCGAACCCCCTTATCGTAGAAAAGGAAGATTGATGCCTTTCTTCTCGGAGTAACCAAACACCCATAGAGTGGACTACATACGTACACAGTACCCTTCGATAGGTCGATCACTCGAAGGTCGGATGAGAGGCGTCGCCGCCGCCCCCCAAATGCTATTATCTTTTCCCGCTCCAAGAAGGAAATGTCCCAGTCCTGCCATATGGCTTTCGATTCCCCCAGCGTCTGATAAACCCAGTTATTCATGTTGCTTATCGGTATGTATAGTATGCGCTTGTTGTTGTACTTTCTTCCGTTAGCGCGCACAACCCCACCAATCAATACCACACACGCCGTGGAGGCACTCACCATGCTTTGTAGCTGATTACGCATGTATGCGTTAGCCTCATCACTATAAGAAGAGCAGGCGACTGCGCGTGTAGGATGATCGGTACTATTGGGATATATGTTAGTACCGTGCTCTGTGTCCTGCACATTAAATGGGGTGACCACAGTGTCTGCCTTGGATGGAAATCGGTGCAGCCCTCCCTCACTGCCCCTCTGCAACGCAGCTCTAACCTCCTCCACTCCCAGAGTGTCTGGGACAGCACCGAAGTCAGCAAGATCCATGGTTGCGGCGTTGTTCGTGCTAATCAGAGTTACTGGATTGTAATTGTCCTGGTGCTGATCAGCGGCGAGCATAGCACTCTCGGAAGGCGTGGGTAATCGCTCCACGTCGCAATTGAGAAGCTCTCCATCTACAGCACTGCGTTGGCTCTTCTGCGTGGACTCCCTGGGAAGATCAGGCCCACAATTCTCTTTGCTAGGCTGTCCAACCACTGCATTTGTGGGGATAAAGTTTATACTAAGTTTGTAGCCAGAGATAAGCCTGCCAAATAGAACCAGATTTATTTCTGGAGGCTCAATAAACATGTGAAGCTCGCGACCCTTTAGTCTAGGGAATGTGAGACTGTATAGCCGGTCGTACGCCCCTATGAAAATCTGGTTATCCACCTTCATTGTTTCGACAACAGCAGAGACTGACACTGCATTGGGTAGAATCCGCGTATATTCCTTGATAATCAGTTTCTTCTTCAAAATAATGTGATAGAACTGCACATCAAGGGAGAGGCGGGAGTAAAGAATCAATATAAGATTGGTGGGATTGATGCTGTAGACGGCGTGGTATGTGATACTCTTAGCAAAGTTCTTTTGCAGAGAGCTATTTGGTTCCTCAGTGGGGCTAGCGATAAAGGAGCTGTATGCAGGGTCATCAACTACAATTGCTCGAATGGAATTAGCAGACTTCAGCGTTGATGAGGTCAGGTTGCATGCGATTTCATCCGCGTATTCTACCTCATCTTCAACTAGAATGTATTGAGACGTGGAGACCAGGATGGGAAGATATTGGTAAACACCTTTTTCTCTTAAACTAAGGAGCAAACAGTGGCTCTTCTCGTCTCTGAGTGTTACGTATGTGCGGTCTTCCTCAACAAACAATCTCTGTCGGTCTGATCTGTAAGTGTGAGGAAGATTCGGGAGGCCCAGCGAATACATTTTTTTGGAAGTTATTCAAGATTGGGGGTTTTCGCGGTTGCAACAACAGCAACAAGGTGCGTCCCCATAGCCTCTGTTTGCTCCTCCTTTGGATATTTATTGAAGAAAGGAAGAACTGCCGTTGCCTCAGAGGCTTCATAGCCACAAGATGTCAATTGTCTCTTAAGCTTGTCCTTGAACAGAGGAACCTCTGCTCGCTGCAGTCTCAGTACGTACTGTCCTAACTCAGTGATAAGTACGTGACCAGCACCCTTACGCAAGCACGGCTCCAGCTGGGCATGATATACATCCGGAGACTGGAGAAGACGACACCCCTCTATGCTCAGGAAGACAGCAGTGAAGAGATTGGCAGTCTTGTGGATGGTCCCAACCCTGGACCCGAAGTCACCGGTGAGCAAGACAATGGGGCCAGTGGGCTGTGACCTGTCCAAGGTACTGTATGCATCTACTAGCTCCCAGAGCAGAGAAGAGCAGACACATAGATTAAAGACAGATATCTCTACGCTGGAGAAGATCCCTTCAAAGGATGACGGGCCCGTGGGGGAGTACACACGATAGAGCTCAAAGTCTTCCAGAGTCGTCAACTCGTGCAGGTCGGAAACTAGTGGTACGGTAGCATTAGGTTCTCGATGCATTGTGGGCTTCAGGACCTGCTCAAAATAGTCTGGAAAGCAGTAGTGCACATTGTAACCGACCTCGAACCAGGGACCTAGAAGAATGTCTCCTCTATATCCAGTAGTTGAAACCTTTGACCCTTCGACGGTTCTCGAAAGAAGAAGCGGATTGTCCTCGCCACAGTACATTTTGGATTCCTGGGTAGTTGCTGCACGCCGCGCCACTGGAAGGGCCTCCTCGGTGTTGCCCAGGACTGCAGCTCCACGGTAGTAGGCTCTTAGGTATGAAATCCCCGAGGTACGAAACGACTGAAAGAAAGGGTCGTGTATAACGGCCAGGCGACTAGCTAAGTGCATGTGCTTGTCCCACATGCAGACATTTGCACGCACATCATATCTCTCCAGATAGAAGTCTCTCAAACGCTTGTCAAACGCATCACCTGGGCCCATCACCGCCTCTATCTTCTCGACCCCAGGGGTCAGGGTGTGACTATTCTTGCGATAGACTGCTTTCCCATCGTCTGGTGCTGCCTGCTTCACCGTGCATTCTTCTAGCATAGAATGAAGAATACTATAGAAATCGTCTTGATCGCCGCGCTTTAAATAGCTTCGAAAATCAAGAACATTAGCTGCTGCCAGATAAGTCTTTCTGTGTGCATCAGAGAGCTTGGATCGATATCCAGGAGAAAATAGTGCTAATGCTATCTTCAATGCGGACTTTAAAAGCTCTTTGGCATCTGCTGAGATAAATGTGTTCCCGTGGATCTCCGAATAGCAGTGGGCTAGCTCGATCTTGGAGTTGACGTCTGTCTCCTGACCAATAAGAAGTAAGAGGATGAGCTTGACAATCAACTTACATAGTAGATGTGCATGCCTCTCATAAAGAAACACACGACACTGCTTGCCCCCTTTGACGGCCCGGACAATATCACATATATTAGCAAATAAATAACGTAGATCGCCCATGTCAACAAAGAGGGTACACTCTAATAAATCTGGAGAAATACCTTGACACGATGATGCGCGAAGCCCTGGGCATAATCCCCAGTGTTGCTCTGAGCCCACTCCGGTCTCCATGGAAATTTGCGGAAGAAAAGAAATTTTATTCTGGAAATCCAATGTCCAGCGTGGACTCTTACAAGGCCCAGGCCCTGTCCTGCATTAATATATTGCTCCGCAAGCTTGGAATCAAGAACATACTCTCGGACACAAGCCAGATTACGTTTGAGGTCGTGAACCAGCTAGCACTTGTCTACTTCAAGCTGGACCGCTTTCCCACTCCGCAATCTCTGACGTCATCCATGCGTGCGTATGCCAAAGAAGTTAGCCTGCTTTCATACATTGAAAGCAAACTGGGTATCACCACGAATCACATATCTCCAAAGGGACTCAAAGAGCACCAGCTTTTCGACTGTGTCCTGCTTCTAGAGATAGTATACACGCTTATTAAGAGCGAGGACATGCCCAGTTACCCGATGATGTCGGAAGCGGTCGCCACGAAGTTGCTTAAGATGCAGATGGAACTAGAGTCACGGGATTTGATGGAGCGACAAGCTGAGTATATGGAGCAGCAGAAGAAGTACGAGGATCCAAAGGGTATTCTATCTGCAAAGCAGATCCTAGATAGGTATGCCGAGGCAGATAGCCATCAAGCATCCATTGGACCTATTGGTGTTGGGGCGTCGGGAAATCTCAACGGGTCCCTACTAATAACTGATTCTGTCAATCCGCCACAGCGTTCTTCTCAGAATCAGTCCGTTAGTTCTTCTTATTTAGGGGACTCTAGCTCTCCCATTAGAGGGAACAAAGGAGTCAATCAATCAACCCCCAGTATTGAGCATAGATCTCCGCCATACAGAACTATGGCGCTGTCTCGACCCAGCACCAGTTCGAACACTCCGTCTCGGGCAACTATCAGTGCTCACCAAAAGGGGAGTAGAAAGTCTGTTGTTGACCAAGAGGCACTCAATCAGGAAGTGCGTGAAATGGTAGATCTCTACTACGATAAGTACCTCCGCAATTTTGTGGTGGCCCTTGCAGACAGATCCGTAAGTGCTAACACTCGGGCAGCAGCCTACAGTGGCGCGTCTCCTTCCAAGTCCATGTCCCCCTATCGCTCAACAACCTCTCGGTCACGACAGCTGCGCACACCTGTCACACCCGGTACTGGCTCTGGACGAGGAGCATCCAGAACACCGAGGACGCCAACCGAGCCTCGATCTCTAACACAACAGAAAACAATCCAATTCGAAGAGGAGAGGATGAAGATAAAACTGCACAAGATGATCTACAAGGTAATGCAGGAGATACATCAGCAAGAAGTCTCATACTACTACAAGCTCGAGGGCCGCATAGCTCAAACCCTAAAGAGAGCGCTTGCTGTCGAGCGGGAAAACCTCCGGCTCGAGGCAAAGTGGAAGAGGGACGAGCTAAATGAGCAGCTACGCCAGGAGCGAATACTAAAGGAGGCTCTTGCAACCAAGAAAGCAAACGACCTCGCCCTCATGAAGGAAGCAGAAGAAGCCAAGCAGTTCCGACTGAAGATTAATAAGATGGTCACTAACTCTGAGGCTCGCAACTGGAAACGCAGCAGAGAAGACGAGATCTTTAAATCCATAGAGAGTGCGCTGCGCAGAGAAGCAGGTGCCCGCATCAAGACCGCCGTGGACAACTTTGAGCTTTGCGACGAGGACATAGACAGGATTGTTGTTGAGCGTCTTCGACAGTATGCAGGAGCAGAGCGCGACGTCACCAATCAGCCCGGATCCGAGGTCATGCGCCTCCATAACCCAGAGCAAATGAAAAGAAATAACGCCAACGTCTCTCAGAATAACATCATCGAAGGGCAGTACTAGTTCGTCAAAGGGAAGTATCAGCCTGGGCGACAAGTCTTTTGGGCGCTTACAACGAAAGTCAGTAAATCAAAGGGTAAAAAAGTTGCAACAGAAGCCAATGCAGAGCAAAATCGCCTTAAAGTATGACGTAGCGGCAATGATTGGCATGGGAACACAGGCAAAGATACACCATTGCATGGATAGGGCGACTGGAGAGGAGTTGGTGGTCAAAATTATCTATTATGGCGATATTGACCGAGACAGCAAGGAGTACTATGGGATGTCTAGGGAGGGCTACCTAATGCAGGGATTCCATCACCCATACATCCTCCCCGTACGGGAAGTCGTCATTGACAGCAGGCTGCAAACAATCAATATTATTATGCCTCTCATGAAATACTCTCTCAAGAAGCTTATTCAGAGCCACCGCAGACGCAGGGAACCCATTCCTGAGGCAGACATATGGAAGTACACGTACCAACTTCTCAGTGCTCTGCATTATCTGCACGATCCATCGACAGAAGCATGGTACAAAATCCCTGAATTACTTTCCAGATCGACCAGTAGACGGCCAAGCTGCATAGACGACAAATCTGGCAACACAGAAGATGATCAGGGTACCGTGGACAGTGCACGTATTCACTTCCCCATACCCCACCGTGACATCAAGCCAGATAACATCTTGTTGGACTACGATAATAACATCAAGCTAGCAGACTTTACTATGGCGGCACAGTTTGATGAAGAGGAGCTGAGGCAGTTGAAGAACATTACCCTTGACTACGTTACTAACACAGAGGAGTCGGGCTTTGCTGGAGCGCCAGGATACAGGGCTCCTGAAGCGTACTATTCTGTAGCTGGGGTGGAGAATGATATCTGGGCTCTTGGATGCGTTGTTTATGAGATGGCCACTACGGAGCGCCTTTTCCCCAATACCGATGTCCAAAAGGCATACTTTTCGGGAGAAAATCGTTTCGGCATATGCTTGCCGGGGAGATCCTCTGAGTTAGTTAAGCTGGTGGAGGCCATGCTGACCATAAACCCAGCCGCTCGACCTAGAGCATCTCAACTCCTCCGTAATCCCTGTTTCAAAGATATTTTGTCGGATGATTTGAAAAGGGAACTGTACGTGCCCAGCGATATAGCTAGAAAGCTTCTTTTTAGGGTTGAAACTTGTGACGAGTTGAAGCAGCTTCTTTGCAAGCTATCATGGTCTGGGAGTATTGATGAATGTTCGCTGGAGTACCTCTTTAACATCTTGCGGAGCCTTCCTCTTACTGAAAGTGTTGTTAGAACAGTTGGGGATGATAGCAATGACGCTAAGCCACGGATTAACTCTTCTTCCCATTCTTCTGCCCGAAACAGTATCAGGATCATGGAGCCAGAAGCCTCAAACGATAGGTCAATGGATAGGCACGCCAATAAAGTGCAATCTAGCAGATTGGTTGATGAGCCTATTTCTCCGTCGCGGGGCTACATTCTTTACAGTAACATCTCTCCAGAGCGCTATAATAGAAGATGTGCACTTCCTACCGATTCAGCTGTTGACAAGAGACGTGCTTTCTCAGCGACTCCAAGCTCTCCCCGCAGTGAGGAGCCTGCTAGAGCACAGCGTCTGGCCACTACTGATGTTGCCAGAATCAGCACTCCTATAGATGGAGATGAGGATGTTCTGGCCGCACAGATGGAAGCATCCTTGTCGAAGTTTGACGAATTTTGCACCATTAAAGAGCTCCGAGAAATGCAGAACTTAACAGACTTGCGTAATATGCCGGATGAGCGTGCTGCACAACGATCGCATTCTGCCTTTTCTATAATCAAGGAAAACGTACGGCACTTTTCGTATCCTTCCCCGGCAAGACTCCAGGAAGATTATAATGAGAAATATGAATCTGCTAAGTGGAACCCCAAGGGGTTTGCATCCTTAAAGTATGCAGACTCTGTTACTCGCTGCATTGAAAAGCTTCGTCAAATAAACCGTACATGTCAGCACGTGCGAAGCAATAGTCCCGTCAATAGCCATGGCAGGACCTCATCTGCACAGTCAGTTCATCATTCAATCTCAATCCCTCGCGGCGTTTTGACGCAGAGACGCCTTTCTTGAGTCAGAACGCACCGTCGTGCTCCGCAGTAAATCCCTGCAACCAAGCTCCACATAAAGATGCAGCACACGCAAATTCACTCACTGCCCTATCGGACTCAGCCTGCTCAATCTTCGTCACCCCACACTTGCACACCAATTGTGCCGACCAGATCGTTGAGATACTTGTTGCTGCCAATATAGCTCTTCAGTGCAAGGGATTCTGCAAGAACCCTATCCACACACAGGCCGCGACGGTTTGCTTCCTCTGCAATGGCTTCGTTCTTGGAGAAGTTAAAGACGTATTTGATATTCTTCTCTAAAAGCTTCAGGTCTAAGCTCTGTTTAACCACAAGGCGTCGCTGATACCAGTCGCTATCTAACACGTAGTCGCGAGTAAACATCTTTCTGAACTCGGGGGAGTGGAGCTTCAGGCCCTTATACTCGCCGTATTTGCAGATGTGAAGGAGGTACTTAAGAGGTGGGATTGCCTCGTTAACTGAGCCGTCTGCAAAATAGTTGTCGATTATTCGCAGCTGCGATTCGTGGATGTTCAGGACACCATCTGCAAACGCATCCATGTCCTGGAGTTCAGGCTTGAGATGCTCCTCTGTGAAGAGGGAATGAACGGAATCAAAGACTCTCGCAAAGAACGTCTTGACAAAACTCCAAGTGATACGGTAACCGAGGATTGATGCAGGGATATGCTTTCCATTGTGTTCGAAATCCTCAATCTTCTCCATAAACTTGTGAGAGATGAGATACTTCGGGGTCCTCTCTTCAACGCTCATCCTGCTCAGGACCTCTGGGATGATGAGAGAAATGTCGTGATCTACCTTAAACTTGTGGCCGATGTAGCCTGCAGCTGTTGAAAAGCATGGCGTTCCAGTGAGTACAAGAGAAAGGAAGCAGTTGTTGAGGTCCACTATCGGAAGAATACTGTTGAACGGGCCCTTTGTGAGCGCCCCCTCAACGCCAGCTCCAGTCGTGGATGGAGACTTCCCGGTGATACACGGGATCAGATCCATGAAAAGCTCTGGGAGCTCTTGATAGTGCATCGGATTGAAGACCGCGAGAGGCCTGATATCTCCGTCCTTAGGATTCAGTCTACGCCCCGGAACGACCAGCGAAACAGGCAGGAGCACAGGCTTCTCTAGACTTATCCCTCGCGCCAGTCGCAGGGAAATCTCGCTAGAGTACTTTTCGCGCTTGCACGGCTCGTACCACTCAGGCCTGTCTTGGAGGTAGCGGACATTAGCACTGCGAATGGGAGTGCCGTCCGGTTTTGTCCCTGTAATGCGTGGAAGAGACGAGACGACACAGTACTCCTCATGTGGATAAGCGCCTGCTGCGAAGTCGCGGATCAGCTGCTGAACAGGCTGTGTGTACTTTTCGAGGCTCATTACATCGGCTGCCATTGCCTTGCACTCGCTTCTAGTGATCTTTTGGAAGTTTGTGATGAAGGTCCTCCCCTTGCAACGAGAGAGGTCCATCTCGCACTGCTTATCTGCTCCTGGGTGTACGCAGTCATCCGGGCGCTGGAAAAAGCGGTACTCACAATTGCTGACGAATTTGTAGGACTTTTCGGAGGCATCGCCCTCTGTATTGGGCGTAGGCAATCCACAGTGCGACCCCATCAACGCTGAGCTTGCGTCCATCTCCATGTCGTAAAGGTCCTTGCTGCGCACAACTGTGGACGCCGTAATGTCATCCTCTGTTTGAATCTTCTGGCTGGGGTAGTAATCTGCGCGTAGGCGATAATTTCGCCACCTCCACATTCCCTTCTCGTCCCTCTCAGACCCCACTCTCAAATAGTTAACGGCCAGGGGTGCATCCTGGTAAATGATAGTGTGACTTGTTGACCCGTTCATCTTATCAACCCTGAATCTGGTTTTCCAGCTGTCGTAGTCACCCCAGGACGGGCGATAGAGAGCCTTTAGAATAAAGATAAAGCCAATGACATCCGGCATCTCCTTATGAAGCTTTTCGAGCCATTCGTTATACTCATCGGTGTAGATATCATAGTCAACCGTTAGAAGTTTGATCACAGACCCCAGCGTACGATCTTCGGACAGGATGTGGCGTGATGTTGCCTTGATATTTCCGTCGCGGAACCTCTTAGGAAAGTCGTAGTTGAACACGGTATCAACCTGTGTCTTTAGATCGTCGAAGTTTTTTACATAGAAGGTCCCCGAAGTTATTGCGTCCAGGACCGATTTGCTGATCTCTGACTTTCCACCCCCGGAGACAGTGAATGGCTTATGGAAATTGCAAATCGCTTCGGCGCTTGTTCCCTTAATCATCCAGGTATGGGAAATAGGGTGACGAATTAAGCGAACACGGTATCCATTAGGGAGGATGTAGTCGACATTGGCCAGGATGGTTTCTGTGATCTGCTCCCCCGACTCAGGGTGAGTCCAGCTGATGTGCCGTGTGGCCAAATCGATAGACATAGTCTCAGGCACATAAACGATGTCATCTGGGTAGCGAGTGTCAATCAGAACACCCCTTGCCTTGTTATAAGTGGCAACAGGCTTCACGTGCGCAGAAATACTCTTCTTGGAAGAACCATCGTGTCCCGATGAATTTTGAGAGGTAAGTGTCAGGAATAGGGACGCTGGAGATGGAGCCAAAAGCTTCCTCATTTCGTTGAACGTATGACAGGTTGTCGGGAGGCCAGTTGAAAGACACGAGTTTTCACGAACAAGTCTGCGTGGATTCGAATGCTCGTCCACGGTAGAAACAAGCCCGATGCGCTTATCATCCGCACGGAAGTTGCGACCCCACGACATAACAGGGAAAGCGAGACAGCCCCCGCTGTGTTCCTCCTCTGCATTTCCACGGACATTGGCAGCATATGAAATCTGCGTCTTTATCTCTTTCTTAGAGTAGCCGTAGTAGGTGTCTGCAACAAGCGTGATCGACACACCCTCCTTGGAGCGGTAACAGATCTTAAACGCCTTTCCACCATTGTACAGTTCATCCTCAGATGCCCAGCACATTCCATCCCTCTTCTGGCGATCTGTTGCATCCGCAACGTTAGGCAGGCCAAGGTCCTTCTTTCGGAGCTTGCGCAGGTGAGGCGCTATGATGATGCAGCTGGTGACCCCAATGTTCCGGTCAGGCTTGAGCCAGAGATCGTTTTCGGGAAGGCTGGGATCCCCAGCGTTCCCAAAAATATACTCAACGAATGCTAAATTGCTGACGTAGGCTCCTGGAACAAAGAAGCGCACTTCCATGTGCTTCTGAGGAAAGTTTGCACTGACGCCTGGCTGCACCACAGGGGTCAGGTAGGCAGAGCACCAGCAGCGGCAGCGTTTCTCAGCAGGGAGGGTACCCGTGAATGGAAGCTCCATCGTTTCCTTCGGTGGATGTAGGGCGTGTGAAAGCAAGTGGATGAAGGTTCGCGTGGGGACCGCCAGTTTATCTTGTGGAATCGGCAGATGACCTTCTGCAACATGAAATGTTCCCACTGTGGTGCGTTTGTCAGACTCTGGGTTGGCAAGGAGACCCTGCGGGAGGTGAACTGCTTCTGTGCCACTTGCCTTGTAGTAGTTCGAGTCAAAAGGCGTAGATAGCTCGAATGAGATTCCACAGCGATCCATAGAGAAGCAGTTCGCCTTCGGAGGAAGATTCAGTGCAGCTACCTCGTCCGCAGAGAGGCCTGGGAAGGGTTTCAGGTCCTGGTTAATGAAGTCCTGGATACGCATGTCAACAGGAGATGGGTGATCCGCTAGTGCAATGTCTGCAATACGGAGAGACCTCAGCAGATCTCGCGCAATAGACGACACCGTCACAACTTCATGTTGAGCGGACGTCACACCTGACTCTGCGCAAGGCTTGCTGTAGGGTTGGATGCAGTGGGCAGGGCCAGGCGTATTTGCCTGTGAAGCACTCTGTGAGTTTGTGGAACCAGGTGTTGTTAGTACAAGCGACTCTAACGACGGAATTGGCTCGTATCCAAGGGTCTGGAGCTTCATATTTATGTACTCCCTGAGGACAAGCTTGTTGGTGATCTCGTCATTGCGGTCGCTCATGTCCACATTGAGAGAGCGGAACATCTCCTGCTCCGGGTTGCTGCATTGCAGGATCGTCTCTGCGAGAGGAGGCGGGTTTGTCATTAAAATTTAAAACAAAGTTAAAACACAAACTTTTTTGCAAATTGGAGTGTAAAAACTTTTAAGCAAATATGTTCGACAACTCTACTACTATGAGAACACCATAAGGACTTTGTATTTGTTCCGTGGAGGCTCACTGTATTGTCCAGGACACTAAGGGCGAACACCCGTGGATCAAGACATGATGCCGACATTATCTTACAGTAATTTACACAGTGCTTGTGGACATGTACTGGCTGGTATTGATGCTGACGTCCATGTCAACCATTTTGATGCGTTTGGATGATTTCTTTTTGCAAACATATTTCCAAACTAGGACCCCCACGATCGCTGCAACCACAACTACTATTGTAATAGAGATTCCTGCTACGACCCCAGAACTGAGCGAGCGGGTTACTACATCTTCTATCACTTCTTTGGACAAACATAGCACCTCTCCAGCAAAAACTGGTGGTGTACACAGTGTGCATCCTTGGATCCCTTTCCAACCGTCTACTTCCTGTGTATCATCACACCTACGGCATATCCCCTCCTTTCCAGATGACGTAGTGGCTCCAGCTACGTAGTACCCAGTGATGCAACTTGTGCACTTGTCTGAAGAACTGCCGCATTCAAGGCAGCCTTTTTTGCACGGCACGCACTCACTTTCGATAAGCAGCCAGCCAGAATCACACCTTAGGCAGCCAGATGAGTTACATTTCATACAGTTCATGGGACACGGTACACACTCATTACGACTGGTGTCGAGCATAAACCCGCCCCGTGGGCACCTGGCGCACAATCCGTTGTCGCCAACGCTTGCACAGAGAGACTTACCCACGTTAGTATTGCTATCGTAGCAACCCCCTGAATAAAGGAAGGTACTATTTGAGCTGCCACTACTTATGCAGCGGGTGCACTTTCCAGCATTCTCCCCGGTCCCAGGCGTGCAACTCGGAGCTTTTGCAGATACTGAAACGCACTTACCGTTTATGGGCACCTTACCAGCATTACATTCTGAACACATGGAGGCCGTTAATCTCTGGCGCACAGATCCCTTTATATGACGTGCGAACTCGTACTTGATGTATTTAGCGTCAGCATGTTTGCAATCCACCTTATACTCATCCTCCGACTCACATACTTCGGAGTCACTCAAGATGTATCCAGACTTGCATGTCGTGCACTTATTGTGATGTGCGCATGCAAAGCAGTTCTTGGGGCACCGTACACATTGCTGGTTGTCCGTGAGCCCGTATCCGGTAGAGCATTCTGAGCAGCGAGCGCTATCGTAGCACTTGTAACAGTTTCTAATTCTGCATCTAACGCATTTGCCCAGATCAGCGTTGTTGTGGTATCCCATGAGGTCTTCACAGTCCTTTGTGCATCCGTGCAGGGGTGTGATATAGTAGCTGGCCTCACAACGCGTGCACACTTCCAGCTTCTTTTCGCACAGCGCACAGTAGGGCACCTTGCACCCGGAACTGGGAAACGAAACGCACTCCCCCTGAATTAGGAGAACGTTGTCCTCGCATAGCGTGCATACACAAGTGTTTGGGATGTATTCAAGGCAGTGCTGTTTATTGCATGATATACACCGCCCATGCTTAGCACGGTACCCTGACCCGCAGACGCTGCACAACCCTGCGCCAGCGTTTCTAAGAGATCGACTACCAGTTCCAACACTGCTACACACAAGATTTCCTGGAGCCTGATCAGCTTTATAGCAACCATTCATGTGCAGGAAATACCCCTCACCGCATTGAGGACAGACCCCAGCGATAGTTTCTTCTCTTCTGCAACCAGACTTATCATTCATGGAAACATATTCACATACTCCGTTTATGGGCGCATAGTTATTTGTACTTTTGCACTTTGAACAGTATGACATAGAGCCTATGACAACAGTACAAGCATCTAAACCGCACCCTAATACGTCAGCGCAAACCTGTTTGCATCCAGTGGGCGTGAGCTGATACCCTTGTAGGCATGCGCTGCATGTCAGGAGGTTGCCACTACCAACTGCGCATGTTTCACAGCCTGGTATGCGCTCTACAGCTATAGAATCACTTCCATCAGAACTTGAGCACGAGAAACACTTATTATATCCAGTGGAGTTGACAAACGGGAACGTTCCTGATGGACACGTCGTAACACAGATTTTGCTGTACGATTGATCAGCCATAAAGAAGCCGGTGTCACAGTGTTCACAGCTGTCGTAGCCATCACAGTTTAAGCACCCCTGCAATGCACAGTTAAAGCACCGAGTGTGTGCAATGTTAAATTTATAGCCATCTGGGCATGCAGAGCACGTAGCTATTTTGCTATTTCCACTTGGCGCTACACATGTTTTACAACTTTCAACGCCACTGTACCCATCGGCTCCATATCCATCGCCGCATGATATGCACTGGTCTGTCTTCGTACCTGTACTAGGGTTCTCGAACACGTAGCCGCTATCGGTATTGCAAGCAGTACAGACTCCATCCAAAGCTGCCTTGCAAATCAGGCTGCCAGGCTCTGTCTTGGTGTTATAGCATCCTCCCTTGAAATAGAACACATTAGTCCCTGTGCACCGCAAACAGGACGTTCCATAGCTAAAGTCAGTCTCTCCAGATTGAGCACACCAATTGTCAGTGTCCTCGGCGCAGACACCATTGATGGGCAGTTCATTGTTTGCAAAGCACCCCGTGAAGAGAATTTGGCCATTAAGAAGGACGTGAGTGGAAATGTAAAAGGCTGAGGCAGCAGATACATTACCGTCAAGCACTCCAAACAGTGGCACAGGATAGCAACCATTTAGGAGGCCTCTATATCCATAGGCACACTGAGAACATGTACCTCCCCCTTCTGATTCGACAAGACAGAAAGACACATCCGTGGCGGTGCACCGGCCCTCCAAGGGGACATATCCAGTCTCGCAATGAGTGCATACACTGCCGTGCCTCGTCTGCAAGCACTTATCATGAAGGCAGCGTGCGCAGACTTCATCATGAGCATGCATAGCAATAATTAAAAGCGCGAACAGTGATGACCAGGACATGGTGCCTCCGAGTACTGCCAATAATTAATTTTTAACGCAGAGATGGGTTTAATGTAATGCTTTACAATATCTTTTTACCTATAGTGAGAGAAAATTATAGCTGTGGCGTGCCAGTGAATCGTCGCATCTTTAGCGGCCTTCTAGTTATTCACCAACGTTTAACAGTTGTTCATGTCAGTAAAAACGATTGGCCCAAAAGAGGCCCGAAAGATTCTGTTTTTTTGGCCTTTTTGAGCGCACGTGCACCTCTGATGCGGTTTTCTGTGGGAGCAATCGTTGTTGCTAACTTCCTAATGTTTTCTTTCTCAAAAGGGAATTAAGGTATACAGCTGTAATTTTGTCAGGCGGTTGATCTGGTGACACTGGGAAGCGTTGACCAATAGTGTACGTGGTTGGATCAACACAGTCATCGCCCCTCCTCTCACATCCTGTTATGAGGATTGCAAAAAATGATGGAACCAATTATCACCCGAATAGCTGACTTGGTCGACTTTGGTCAGCACACAGTTCAAGGAAGAGTCGTTAGTAGGAAGCCGCTTGCTACTACGCGCACAGGAAAGCCGTGGTTCTCTTTTCTGCTCGACGACGATTCTTCAGACGTCAAGGTTGACTGCTTCACCGACGCTGATAAGTTTTCCCCTCAGATCTCGGTGGGGGATATCATACAGTTGAAGAATATTGGGATTTCCTCAAAGACTCCAGCAGACAGAAAGTTCGACATGTCGCGGTCAGATTATAAGATCTCAATAAAGAGCGGGACAATCATTACTCTACTCTCAGCAGCTAGCACTGCCCCGCCACCAAATAAGGAGAAACAACTTGAATCTGCGCTCTCTACTGTTTCGGCCATATCTGAGGCTAAGGAGGTTGTAAAAGGCCTTTTGAATCAAACACACAACTCAGTAGGCTTTAGGTCCGAGCTGCAAGGTGATTCTGAGCAACCCCACACTCATGTGTGTACCATTCTTGCCGGCATCTCGGATGCAACTATGGTTTACTCATCGCCAGAATCGGCTCGCCAGTGGTCCCGGTTAGACCTTTTGGTTGTTGATAAGACAGGGAACATTAAAGTCTCTATTTGGTCGGAGCAACTAGAGCCGTTCCTTAGTGCGTACAACTTCACGAAAGACAACGTCGATACACACCTCACAGGAAAGATTGTTGTTTTCTCGAGAGTTCAGTTCAGAAGCAGCGAGAGGTATGGTATCCAATGTTCTTGCACAAGTCACACTAAGATTTTTCTGGTTACTGACGCTCCATCCAAGCCGGATGAGCTTGGCAATCTAAAGGACTTTCGCTTCTGGTGGGCGTCTCAGGAGGCCAAAGAGGCGTGTGCTAATCTATCGGGAGCAAACATGGAGCCCAATTCTCCTAGGCGCGACGACAGGGGAGCAGGTGGCTGGAAGACGATGCCCTACAGCACTCTTGGAGAACTCGCAAGTAGCGAGCCCTTGCGTGCCTTGGTGTCTCTCGTACTGGACCGTAATCTGGAGTTAGCCACCTATCGGGGGTGTGCATCCTGCAAGTGTGCTCTGCGAGACAGTCCCATCTGCCCGAAGTGCCAAGAGACCAGTGCAGGCGAAAAGTATTACTGGCGCATAGGGGGGAACATATCTGATGTGCTGGCACACACGCGCATAACGATTTTTGACCCCTATGCATCCACCCTCATGGGCATGTCTGCAGATGAGTTTATGGAGAGGGGAGACGACGAAAAACTACACCTTCTTTCCAAGGTTCTGGAGGTTGACGTAGCGGTCAAGATGACCCAAGGGAAGTATGATGGAAGAGACAGAACGAACCTGATGGGAATAGAACTGGCTCCGTCCTACGTTACCATTTTCGACAACCTGGTGGGTCAGCTCCAAGCCTATAGGCGGAACATGGAGGCATTCAAGTGAACCTTGACATGTACAGAAAAATTTACGCACTAGATTGTAACACCGCTAAGTAAGGCCTTTGGCCCGCAACTTCTGGTTGAAGCGTGACATCAAAAGGGCAGAAAACTTCCCTTCGGCGATGCACCGCGTGTCACATTTGTAGTGATAATTTTCGGGAACAAACAGAAGGTTGCTTTCTCCATTGCTAGAGCCTTCATAAAAGGTAAAAATGATTGCCTCTGGGATGGGCTCCTTGGGGTCCATGAGGAAAAATGCAACTTTGTAAAAGAGCATATCACCGTCTACACCTTTGTCAACGATGTTGTATTGAAAATTACCAGAGTTGACCATCAGGAACTGCTCTAAAAGAGGAGAGGCCACGGCCATTGTTTTTTCTTGATCTAAAGAAGAGTAGCACTATACTCTTTACGCCGCTTACAAAGCCTCAGTTGCAGCACATACCGTCGAAAGAGGAAAAGGAACCGTTTGGTACGTGATATTTGCTTGGTAGCTAAGATTTGCTTGCACAGAAAGATCTCCTCTTCAGACGTGAGGACAACTCGAGGCAAGTACTCTCGGCCACGTTGCAGCGCATGTTCCAAAGAGCACCCCCAGTGATACATTAGTAGAGAGAAGAGAATGATCGTCTTGACACCGGCTGTATCGTCCAATATGCAAATCAGCTCACGTCTGGGAGAGGAGTGTGCATCCAGAATTTTCCTCTGCATAAAGCTTTGCCACTCAGCCAGGGCGTTGTGTGTGAGCGCTGTTGAAGATGAATAGTCAAACATCGTGACGCTCAAGCCACGATTCCTGATAGGTGCCATGCTGTAGCTAGCTGGGCCAAATGTGACTAAGGCTGTGACGTTGAGAAAATCATAAACTTGCAAATGGAGCGGAAGCGAAGACACGGTGGGCAGCTCGGTGACAATGATGGAGACCCCCATACAGTCAATCTCGGCAAAGATAAAATCGGACGAGCCTATTTGGTTGTGCTTCCATGAGGCCATAGGCAGCGTAGGCAGCAGCTCGGGCCTTCACTTGCGTTGTATTATTTTTCTGTCTATACACTGCCATAAACCTTAGTAAAGGCTTGACAAGAAGACCATTAGATTTTCTGTGTGATTATTGTAAATCTAGAGCGCCCACGTGTGACGAGCACTTGTTAAAATAATGGGCTATCCCGCGTCCCCTGTCGTGGAGTGGCCGATGCCCCTTGCCATTACTGAGTTTTCGTTTTCGGAAGACAAGCTCCTCCTCTCGGCGTACTGGGCCAATAACTATGAAAGTACGACAGAGGATGGGATCAATGATGCACTCTGTTATCTTTATGCAAAAGCGAGAGAAAAGGCGCCCGGCAAATTTCCCAAACCAGAGAGGTACAACTTGTACAGTAAAGCGCTTCTTCTGCGCCTAGATACACTCATTAATTCTCCTTTATATGCACCCTTAGTTTCCCTTATCTCCAGAGAGCTTACACTACAAGAGGAGAGAGATGCCATACTTAAGGATCCGGAGAGCATACTTCTCAAGGATCGGTCCTTGCTGGCCTTTCCTCCCCAGACAGACACTCAGGAGAAACTGATCTTCCAACGAGAAACCTCAAACTACGGAAAAGAGAAGCTAATTGTTCAGTTTCCTCTGCATGTGCCACCAGAGGAACTAAAGGCAAGCTCCCCTGTTCTATCTCATATCTCAGACTCCCTACTCTACACAAACTTGAAAGGCCAGAAGTTTATTTCCTTTGTTACTCGAAGATGCGCTCTTACCAGGCAGTCCAATCTCATGTCACGGCTTTACGCACAAAAGACACGTGACCTTCCCCCCGCCATCTATGGAGAGTCTCAGGGCTGCTTTGCGACTATTGAAGAGGATGCTGCCATAGAGCTAGTGGACAGAAGCTTCCCCCATATGGCCTCCTGCGAAACACACAGATCTCATCCTCACTTATATCCCGATGGCTTTGCACGCTTTCTTCTCTTTTGCCGCCACCCCACTGTTATAAGTGAGCAGCGACTGATATCATCTGCCATTTCTCTGGCTGAAACATATGCAACTGAAATAACCAACGAATTCAATATGCTGATCGACATACGTAGGGAGGAAAGGCTTAACTGTCTCAAAAGCTGGAAGGCATACGCAGAGAAGCGACTCTGTGATGAGGTGACCGCGAGCTTCATAGAAGCAGTGAAGGAGGTGCAGTTGAAATATGAGGGGCTGCTGAAAAATGGAGCCAAGCAGATTGATAGTGTGTATGTGGATCACCAAGTGGATGCTTTGCAGTACTATGATGCGCTCGAAACAGAGTACAGGGACCACCTTCAGGCGTTCTTTGCGCTAACTCAGGAGACAGCGGGAACGAGTCGCAGACTGGCAGATCTAAAGATGCTAGAGGAAATGATCTTTAAGCCTATAGCTCAGCTACCGCAACTGCTCATAATGGCCATTTCTCTGGAGTCGGACACATTCATAGATGCTGTCACGGTCCTAATTGCACGCCATATTGTCTCACCAGAGATATATACATCACCAGCACTGACCAGTTGCAAGCTTGTATCAGAAGATATCTATCGAGAGATTCTTCGACGCGTCTCTACAAAGGACTTGGGTCTTCTTTTCATGCATATCAGGGCGTACGGGTGCATTCTTATGAAGGACTGTGCAAATAAAGAGCTTATTAACCTAGGCTTTTCTGCGGCCATAAGACAATCCCGTGCGCCCTTCACAGGAGATGAGGAGAGCACAGGACAGTCAGGATTAGATGGAGATAAGTACAATCTCGTGTTGCAAGACAAGCAAGGAGTCACGTTACAGATCAATCTATTAACAGGGGAAAATCAGGAGTTAAAGGAGCAACTATTTCCATTAATTGATAGTAGTTCTGTTCACATTGATGACGAAACCCTAAAGGACCTGGAGCATGTCGTCATTCCATCTGTCCAGGAGTTCTCCTCGTTCCATCAGCTTAATACTACCAACAATCCCAATAATGAGCTATCAGAGACAAGCGCTACAATATATAGTGCCCCCAATCCTTTCTCCCACCCATCAGAGGAGGCCCAGGAGCATCCCTGTGATCATCCTCGAGACCCCTGTGGGACCAAGCAATGCCCTAAACGTACACGAGTAGAGATAGTGCCGTTTGAATACCTTATAGAGGAGATGCGTAGTAGAAGAGCTGCCATGCGTGAAATGTACAAACAGTGGAGTGAGGATGCAATCAAAATGGCTCTTACCTCAGGGACGGAACCGTTCCAAGATCTTCTCACAGAGGTGCTTGAGAGCCGGAAGCTAGTGAAACAATATCAGATCCTGGATGGAACCGTCTGCATGCTTAAGCATATGGACCTCTATGATCTTGATGTGAGCGGGCTCCATATTGAACTAAAGACTCCTAGGCACTATGTCACGATCAAATGTAATAAGTACATCTTATCATCTTCCAAATTCGCTAAGGTGTACTTCGAGTTTATCCTCAAGAACCTCCCCAGTGCTACAAATCTAGCATTGGGGGTAATGTATGAAGAGCAGCTATTCCACGGATGCGACTCTCCGGCTATCAATGGAGCTTTTATAACTACAGATGGATTTATCTTTGAGCGTGGTCAAAGGAGATTCAGTGGACTATTCTTGGGATCCAACGATGTGGTAGGCGCCATAGTGGATATGGCAACCGAGACAATACGCTTTTACAAGAATGGACAGTCCGTCTTAGAGCCATTGTCCCTTAATCCCCGTTCCAGCAAATACCTATCTTATGAGAGCAACAGCACGCAAGGAAAGCAACCCTCGACTGCAACAAGTGGCGTAGAGATTGATTCATTTCATCTACTAGGTTCCAGAGCGAAAGAACCATTAGACATTATCACAGAAACCACTACAGCTATTCTAGACCTCTCACTGGCCTTCAACGCAGGCGATATCTTACGCAAGCAGCAACTCCAGCAATCTATCGACGAAAAGCTAATGAAAAGATTGGATTCCATAGCACGATCTAAGCATGTTTACAGGATACGTCCGGCCATCGTCTCCTACTGCGATCTCATATCACAGAAGTCACGACCACATATAAAGATGAACTTTTGCAAACCATACATGTACGACAAAATTGCTAACTTTTCTAACACAGGCTACTTATGACCAGGTGTAAATTCACAGAGGCTCAGAACTTACCACTTCGGCCCATGGTTGTAGTCCCCGCAGGGCGCTCAATAAGCTTGTCGATCAACTTGGGAATGTCGCGCGTTAGGAGGTTGTCTGTTGTGTTTTTCATCTGGTTGTTTTGTTGTGTAAGGCGCATACTCTTCGTCTTGTAAAATGCCGGAGAGGCAGCCGACACACCCATGCCTGTAGAGGTCATCGCCTTCGTTGCCTTCAGCTGGTCTTCGAGCTTCTTGTACTCCTCATAAAGCTTCTCCATGTTTGCAGTCTTAAGGTCGAGCTCCTTAACCTGAAGCTTAAGCCTTCGGTTGTCATCCATGATCATCTCGAACTCTATCAGCTTGTCTGACATTTCTTTCAGTTGCTCCTGCAGACGAGCCTTGTCGTCTGCCAGCTGATCATAATTATTGACCTTGATCTTGAGCTCTGCAAGACGCATTTCAAGGCGTTGCTTCTCCTCAACAAGAGTGTCAACGTCCATGGCTTTGTGGCGCAACTCGAGCATCTCTACGTCTCGTGCTCTCTTCTCGTATTGGAGTTTCTCGAGAAGTTGCACCTTCTCGCGAAGCTCTGTCAATTCCATCGCCATCACCCTGTTATCCTGGCGAAGCTTGTCGGACTCCAAGGCCTTGTCACGCAACATGTTGATCTCATGCTCTCTTGCCTGGCGCTCACGGTTGTAGCCATCTAACTCGTTAGCCTTCTCACGGAGGGCACTCATCTCGGTCTCGCGGACTGTCGCGGTGCGCTGCTGCTGCTCCAATTCCGTGATACGCTGCTTAAGAAGGTTATTTTCTTTCTCCTTTTGGATCCTCTCTTCTACCACACGCTCATACTCGCTCATGCGGTCACGAAGGTGGGCAAGCTCTCGGTCACGCAGCCTCTTCTCTTGTATCAAACTGTCAACATCGGTCGCAGACTCCTTAGAGTGGAGGAGCTCGGTACGCATGACGCGGCGGTCCTCAAGAAGCCTCTCGATCTCAGCATTCTTCTCCTCGAGCTCCTTGTCCTTGAGGCGAAGCTCGCGATCGACGCGCTCGTAGTCGGCTGCCTTTTCGCGAAGGGCATTGAGATCGCTACGCATCTGTTGCTTTTGTTCAAGCAACTGGTCAAAGTTGTACGAGTTTTCCTTGAGTTCAGTCTCGAGCGCCGCCTTCTCACGAGCCAATTGGTCGTATTTGATAGTCTTCTCACGCAGGTCGTTTAGCTCCTCAACAAGCTGGCGTTTCTCAAAGGTAAGCTTGTCTATATCCTCGTTTGTTCCGCGATAGGAGTTCAGCTCTGTCTTGAGAAGTTGCTTTTCATAAAGAAGCTGATCCACTTCTGCCTCTTTATTGAGGAGCTTGGTCTCCAGAGCGCGACGGTCACTGATAAGTGTGTCTATCTCGGTAGTCTTAGCCTGGATCTCGTTCCGGAGGATAGAGCGCTCCTTCGTAAAGTCGTTTTCGGTAAGACGCAACTGAAGGCCCTTTATCTCATCTTCAAGTCGCCTCTTGTCACGAAGAGCAGCCTCACCTGCATCTGCTCGCTCTAGAGCCTCATGAAGCTGGCGCCTAAGCTCAATCTTCTGCTGCAGAAGCTCCTCTGCCTGCATCGCCTTCTCCTGCAGCTCCTGCGCCTGATTGGCGCTGTAGCGCTGGCTAGCGCTCATTTCCTGAGCACGGCCACGAATGTCCTGTAGCTCTCGGCGCAGATCCGCATTCTCCGCCTCAAGACGGGTGACGATGGACTTCTGGGCACGGAGAGTCTCAACTTCGGCACGGAGCATTCGAAGCTCATGCTCGCTCGACGCAGAGGAGTTGGCATCGTCTATCTGCCTCTGTATGTTCTCAATCTCGGCCATGACACCCGACGTGTTGCCCCGGCGCCTGATTGTGTCTAGCTGCCTCTGGAGCTCGTCGCGCTGCCTTTGCAGATCGTCCATATGCGGCAGATTGCGCTTCTCGTCCTCGATCTCAGCGCGAAGTCTGTCGATCTCCTGGGGGAGGCGTGAGTTAGTGTCTTGTCTACTGAGGCGCAGGTCTGCAAGATGGCGCTCAAGATCCCTCTTCTCCTGGACAAGGGCGTTGTGGTTCGAGGCCCCGTACTTGAGCTCATCTATCTGGGCCTTCAGCTGCATAATTTCCTCGACTGCTGCCGCGGGGTTCTCCGAAAATTCCTGAAGTTCGCGCAACTCCGCCTGAAGTTGGCACCTCTGCTCATAGAGCTCAGCATTTTGGCCAAGGCTATTCTTGAGAGCAACAAGCTGCCTGTGGAGCCCGTCGATATCCGTCGCTGGCGGGGCCGCCGTTGTCTGACCAGACTGAGAGGCCCAGATCTCGCTGATATACCTACTCACCGCAGAGTATATATTAAATCCAAGCTTATCCGCCTCCTCCTTGCCACTGTCGACAAGAATCTGAACCGCCTCGTCGAGGGTGTTGGTGAGAGCAAGCCTATCCTCGACAAGCGTATCTTTATACTGATAAATTAGGGCCATGACCTGCTCAGCAAATGTTTTGAGCGATTTCTGGAGAGACCGGCTCATAAAGAGCGTGTACTCGTCGATCTTGCTGAAAACCATAGCCTCGGACATTTTTAATTTAGAGGTGTCTCAAAATTCGGAATTTAGCATTTGCCATAATTTTTGCAACTACTTGTAATAATTTTTGACTAATACTATACAGGCAATGTCCTTGAATCCCGTGCCACTGGAGCAGCTGAGTGCCCTGGTCGAGGAAGTGAACGGTGCTGTGAGCGGCACAATGGATATCTTTAGCACATATGTCTTGGCGCTTTTGGGCGGTGCAGGGCTTTTTCCGGAGGAAGTCGTGAAGAATCTTGGTGCTGAGCTTCAGCTCCAGGTACAGAGGCTCTCGGAGACGTATCGTCAGCAACTCGATGGCCGGGTGGAGTCTCTTTATGGTGCAATTCTTGCGTCCTGCCAAGATCTCTCTGGGCGTGCCACGTTATCTGTCACACGACAGGACCTTCTTGCCAGTATTGAAGCCATTGAACAACAATCAGGAAGTAGGGAAGCTCTCAAAGAAGAATGCACTAAATTGCAGGATCAGCTTGCCGAGTTGAGCTCTCTTTCCCGCACAGTCGAAGAGCTACGGACACGGGTGGCAGATTTGGGCACAAACCCGACCATTCAAAAATGTACATCTGAAAAATTAGAGCTTGAAAAGGAGCTTGAAGTACTTACACGAGCTATCCAGGCAGCTTCAAGTGGAAGCCATGTCATGCTCCCAGAGGCAGAGCTGCTGAGGAAGCAGATTGAGGAGACTCGAAAAGCGATGAGTGCGGATTCACTGGCCTTGGTACAGGATTATTTAGACGCAGAACACGAGCTTAATCTATATTCCTTAATTGAGCATCCTGTTCGTAATGGTCCAGCGCCATCCGAGGATACAGGGGAAGACCTGAGCCAACTATCGCACCAGATCTCTGCACTTCAAGCGACCATTGAGCTTAAGCGCGCGAAACATCAAACTGCATCGGTGTATATTGACAAAATCATGGAACTCAAAGCAGAGAAAAGCCTGTTGGACAATTATATTATTAATCCTGTTAGTTTAACTGATAATATAAGCATGCTCCAGCAGAGCATAGACTCCATACTCGAAAGCAACCCGGCAGTCATGCAAGGGTATACAGAGAGAAAGCAGCTACTATCGAACATCGAAGAGTTGCGGCAGATGGTGCAGTTTCCCACAAATGGGTTAAATGAGAATGCGTTGCTTCGCAAGCAATACCAGGAAATGGCGGCCAACCACCCGGATGTCGCAGAGACCCTTAAGAAGGCAGAAGACCTGCGCTCCATGATACAACGCATCTCTACCAGCACTCTAGAAAGTGCTCTTTTTGAATGTACAAGCCTGAAGCAGAAGCTTACAGAACTTGAAAAGAACAACCCAGAGATTTCCCTCCTGGTTAGAGAGCATGTGGAGTGCAGATCTATTGTGGACCTCTATCAGCAGGCACTCGACAACAATGCTGGATTTGCTGACAAGCTTAATCAGGAAAAGGAGACGCTAGGAATGCTGAAGACATCCTCTCCGGATGTGAAACTTCTCGTTGACATCTATAAGCGAACACATGACGAGATCTTAGAGTTTAAGGAGTACATAAATAACAAGCAAAGCTTGGAGCAAGAACTAGAGGTATTGAGAGGAGAGCTAACAATGCTAGTAGAAGGGAACCCAGATATCGTTGGGCTTTTGGCAGATAAGAACAAGCTGGCTCAGGATATCAAGAACTTCGGAGATTCATTGGCCAATATAAAGACAATTTACAACGAAGTGGAGGCTATGCGCGGGCTGAAAGAAGAGCTTAAACGCAATAACCCAGAGGTGGAGAAACTTACTAAGCAGAGAGCAGCTCTGCAAGACGAGATCATGGAGCTCAATGGACTTGCAACCAGCAGCACCGCTCTTGCCACAGAGATTTGTAATCTAGAACAGGAGCTAAACGATCTCCGCACAAACTCACCGGGAGTAGTGGAGCTTCTAGAAAAGCGTGGCATCATTCAGAACGAGATCAAGTCGCTTAAGCTATACGCTGAGTCTCCTTCTACACTTCTAGGGGAGCTAGTTAAGTCTCAAGAAGAGCTGGCTTCAATAAAGGAGAGTAGTGCGGAGATTCTATCTATGATAACCGGTTTGGAGAAGATCCGTGAAGAGCAAGCAGCAGTAGAGACAGCAGTGCGCAATAAGCTCACAATTGAGGCGGACTATATCCAGCTGCAGGAAAATCTAGCAGCGTTGAAAGAAGCCCACGGAAATACTCTGAGGCTCCTGGACGAAAACAACGCACTCCGCACCCAAATAATGGATATTAAAGAAGGAAATATAGATCCTGAAGCTTTGCAAGAAGATAATTACAAGCTACAAGAGAATCTGGCGGCATTGCAGCTCGACTTTCCAGATATCGAATCCATCATACAAGATAAGCTGTGCTTGCTGCAGCAAATCAATGAGTTCCACGCGAGCATTGATGATAGAGGACGTTTGGAGGAAAGCAAGCAGGTATTGCTAGATAAGATTGCAGAACTGAAGACACTTAACCCAGACATAGATTCCCTTTTGGCTGAAAATGAACGCCTGAAGGAGAAGATGCAAACACTAGAGATAGCTATTCAATCTAGGCCACGGCTAGAGCAGCAAAATCGTGAGCTAATCAATGCCTTGGAGGATTTGAAGCGTGGCTCCCCGGATGTTCTTCAGCTGCTGCAGTCTGTTGAGGGCATGCAGCAGGAAGTGAGCCAATACAAAAACTATATTAATAGTCCTGACCAGCTTGCTCAGAAAAAAGTAGAGATTGAGCACGAGATTGCTGAATTGCACAGTGCGCACAGCCATGTGTTTGAGCGTCTTGCAGAGATTGACTCTCTTCAGCAGAAGCTGGAAGCCAGCACGCAATTAGCTAAAGATAACTCTGTCAAGTCAGAATGCCTCGTGGAACAAATTGCCCAACTGAAGGCTCAACTGAAAGCGCTAGATGATACTGCAAAGAAGTCACCCGTTGGTGCACTTTTAGCTGAGAAAGCCCAACTAGAGCGTGAGATTGTTGAACTTCAGCGCTACTCTCTGGATACAACAGAGTTACGCAATGTCATTACATCGTTAAGCAATGAGGCACGCGTTCTAAGAAATACTAATTCTGCTGTTTCGCTACTACTTGACGAACAAGACCGGCTCAGAGGTCTCATTAATGCCTTTAAATCCGGAGAGATCAATGAAAAGACGTTGTCTGATGATATCTCGCAACTCCAGACCGAGCTTTTCACTATAAAGAGCGAAAAAGGCATCACTCACCTTGTCAACGAGGTAGAGCACCTCAAACTGATATTAGAAGAGATGAAGACATACAAAGATAACCCGAGCCGTCTCGAGGCCCGTCAGAGGAGTCTGGAAACAGAAGTGGAGACGCTCCGGAAGTCTAATCCCCAGCTAGCCGAGCTTATTAACCGCATAGAAGTAACCACGGTAGAGCTTAATAGCTTAACAAATGCCATTAAACAGCCTTCTGCCATAGTGCGTGAAAATGCCAACTTGGTAGATCAACTGTCTGCTCTCAAACAGAAGCATCCTTCCATTTTCAGCATCATAGAGGAAAATAAGTACCTAGAGACGTTGGTTGGTGACATCCATGAAGGGAGGCTCAATACTGAGCTGCTCGAGACAAAGAAGAGTGATCTGCAGCTTCGTTTCGATGCGCTAATGAAGGCCAATCCACAGCTACACCAGTTAATAAAGGACTGCGACGAGCTGGGAATGTCACTAAAGCAATATGAGCGCATCGAGGATCCAAAAGTCGTCCTTGACCAATTAGAGGCCAAGAAGGCACATCTTCAACTGCAGCTTCAACAACTGCAGCAGGATGATCACGCGATAACTGCATTGAACCAGGACATAAAGGACTTGCACGCCGAGATAGACAATTATCTCAGGCCAGGAGCCCTAGATGAGCTAGAAACTCGCCGCGAAGTCATACAAAACAACCTTCTTGAATTACGAGAGTCTTATCCAGAAATACATAACTGCCTTCTTGACATAGAAGACCTCACCATCCTCTGTGAGGACTGCCAGATGGCAGCAGAGAGCGCAGAAGGAACTGAGAGAAACACAAAGGCGCTACAAACCAGGATTGATAATTTGCACAACATATTGGAGGCGTTTAAGTCCAGTAACTATAACCTTAGCACCATGATCGATAAGGCTTTATCGTTGAGAAAGGAATTAAAGGAATTCAAGAGCCAAATAGGCCAAGAGAGTCGCCTCCAAAATGAAATAGAGACACTGGAAGTACAGCTAGCAACTGCTCGTGACAGCAACACGTCCCTGAGCGCCAGAATTAAGCACAGAGCCGAACTGTCTCAGGACTTACAAGAGTTTCGGGATTTTTCCACCAATCCGACACTTCTGGACCGGCAGATAGCCTCACTCTCCAGCTCACTTGAGGAGGCAAGACAAGCTAACCCGGAAGTAGCCGCTGCTGTTCTCGAACGACAGTATCTTGAAGACCAATTGGCACAGTTTCTGGGTCATAAGGACGATCCTTGCCTGATCGAGGAGGTAACAATACTGAAACGGAAACTGGCATCTCTTAAGAAGACCTATGTAGACATAACCTCTCTCATTGAGGAGCGTGATGCACTGAGAGCACTAATACAGGAGATAGAAGTGACGGCAGATAATCCAGAGGGTATAGAGAGGGAGCACTCTATGCTCTATTCAAAATTCAGTAGCCTAATCACATCAACCAAAGAATTTCTTTTACTTAAGGCAGAAAACGATGCTCTCAAGAAAGATATATTGGCTCTGAACAAGCAGATGTCTGCCATGGATGATATAATAGCCGAGAATGTTAGATATGAGCAAGAAATTAACGATCTACGCAATCAGGCAGAGAACATGACGACAAGGCTCAGCAAATCCATGCTGGATGCATCTCAAACAATGAGCACCCTCTCGCAACAGAAAACCATAGTTATGACCGAGTTGGAAAGGCAGAAGGAGTTGATGGACAAGCTCATGCTAGTTGACTTACCGAAGGCTGCAGAAGCACTGAACTACAGGGCTCCCAGCTCCGGGGCTGGGACCGCTCTTACACCGAGCAGAAGGTCCACTTACGGTAAGATCTGAGTGGGGTCTTATGACCGGATCCCGTTCTGTTGCGGCTCTAGTTCTGTAAGTACTGACTAAGGCTTTTCATCCAATAAGACCTTTGTTATGCCTTCCTCTTTCCTTGCTCATAACTTAAAAAATTATAAAATATTATGGGTGCAGCCAGCTCCAGACCCGCTCGCCATAAAACAGCCAAGTTATTGATTCTGGGCCGGCAGTTCTCTGGGAAATCCACCCTGATCAATTACCTAAAAACCAACTCGTTTACTGTTGTCAATCCCACAATCAACTTCACTGCAGAGAAATACAATAGATATGAAGTTATAGACGTGGGTGGCTCGGCTGAGATGATGCAGCTGTGGAGTGAGCACTACTCAGGCACGCAAACGTGCCTCTTTGTGGTCGACGGGACAAGCCCGCTCGATCAAGCGCGGGATCTGATAAAGGACATATTGGGGCACACGGACATGCGTGCTTCCCGTTTTGCAGTGGTAGTAACGAAAATAGACCAGCCTGGGGTGTCGCAAAAGGCCGATTATTACAGGACCACTTTACAACTGGACAAAGACCGCGTCCAAGAGGTTTTTATGTTTTGTGGGCTGGACGGCCAAGGCTGTGACAAAATTGCGCAGTGGCTCGATGTGCCAAAGCAGCCTTGAATCCGTGTTGCCTTTTTGTTTTAAAACGAGTGGGTCAAAAAATGGGGGCAACGGGAGAGCTACTCTCCTCGTGGAGCGTTGCCTTTTGGGTGCCCTTGCGTTTCTACTCCAAGCACAGCCTGCCGATACCGTTCAGCCAGCAGAATAGCAGGATTTGCGTGGATTCAACTGATCTAGATGAAATTATATCTTCCTTGCACAGCATTCCGTCCATTTCAAAGTTGAGGCAGGGTCATATTTCACTGTTCAGAGACCAAATAGAGTGCCTGTGGGAAGATCCCATGAATGCCGGCGGATCGATCGTCAGGTTTCGCTGTTGCCTATCGGTGCAAGCAGTCCAGGCGGTCTATCAAGCGTCTAACAAGTTACATCCAATTGTCGATCCCACGGATCTAGATTCTCTCTGGAATTTTATCTGCACACTGCTTTTGACTGGAGCTTTGGAGCACTCCTCGGCCTCCACAGACAAGACCAAGCTTGGAATCAACGGCTGCTGCTTGAAGCTAGAGAAGGAGTTCTGCACGATAGAGGTGTGGTTTGGAAGCAAGAGGGCATGCACTCAGGTCCTTCCTCTGCTCACTGACGTCCTCAAAGAACTTCACATAAGCACACAGTACACCAAAACCCAATACCCACACCTTGTGTCGAGTCTCTCGCGCATCTCCTTTCCACAGACAGTCGCCCTGCACGAAACTCTCACCGTTATCGATGTGCCAACAGTCCAGACCTCGATCAAGGTGGTCCTCGCTTAACGTAAATTAGAGTGTGTAAATTAGATGGCCTTCCTGTCGGCGTCCAAGGACACCAAGTCTGAGGAACCGCGGTTTGCGGAAGCCACTCATGTGTTCTGCACGCACTTCGATCCGCTTCATGGCAGTACTTTAGACTTATTGATGAGTTCGGAGGGGCTTGTATATAACTTCAGCACCGCCCTGAAGAGCTCTGATCCGGCTATGCTACTAATGCACAAGCTTAGTAATAATCTAGAACATACATCCATCATCTCTGGAGCACATACGCAGACGCATGACTTGTGTTACTCCTATCATCAAGGTTGCTTTGCACTGTTCTGCTATAGAGGAGAAACAGGAAAGCAGGCGAATAGAAACGCGGTAATGTTCTCTGTTGGTCTTCTTTTTGGGCATGGAGACATGCTCTTGTTCCTGGAACGGGGGCTTGTAGACTCTGATTGCGCCATTCAGATTAAAAAGGTATGTGACACGATATATTCCGAGCTTGTACGTCTTCGCGACGAAAGCGAGGCTATTGTGAGCCCATTGGATCTTGGGTCTGAGCTCAAGGAACATCTGCGTCCACTTCTGGGTGCTAGACTACTGATGAGGCCACAGCTCTTTCGACCTCATCAGGATCAGCGTCTTGTTGAGGAATTTGATGAATCGACTTTAGCAATTGTCAGAGCAGGTCTTCTCCTAGGTCTTCGAGTCGGTATTGCAGCACACCCACCTGTTAAGCATATAGTAGATATCATCGGAACCCTCGCCATGCTCAGCATAACGACAACGTTTAATGATCACATACTGCTCTCACCCCAGACAGTCACAAAGGCTGCCTCCCATGATGGTCACAAGAATAAGAAGAATGCCCGGCGGGTAGAAAGACAGGGTAAAGTCGTTGTCTCCCCAAAGAGAAAGTCCTTTCAAACTACGCAATTGAAAAACAATGCATCGGGTTTCTTTGATGACGATTGTGAGTCACGAACTGCCCCCGGCGACTTGCTCTCGGATACGTCGGACAACGTTCCCGAGGCCCTAAGATATACGTTACTTCCTCGTTTGTTGGGTCACATTGAACTGCATTCATTGGCTGTGGCGCAGCAGACCAAAATCAATCGCCCATTTCTGTTTCTAGACCCTACCGAGAGCGGGCCCGAGAATGTCGTTCACAAATTACACGGCGGGCCAGTTGAATCAAGGCTCACGCATATTTCTCAAGTATCCATGTTTAATTACCTCTGGTCAGATGCAGACGATAAGGCCTCAACCTCCTTGACTCTCGGCGAAGCACAAACATTTAACATCGCATTCAATGGCGTAATAGGCATATCAACAGAAATATCACAGCTCCATGAGATGTTTGACATTGTTATCCTTATGCCCTCTGTTCAAACCAGGCAGTTACAGTTGACGCCCAGTCTCATTCATCCCTATCTCGTCAAAACACGTCTGAGTAATGTGTACGTTAACTCAAAGCTTCTAAAGAAGTATAAGTTTCTTACTAAGGCCAGCGTGCAGGGCACACTAGGCGAATCTATGACACGTCTTTGTGATGCTCAGAAGGACGCCGAAAACGTTCCTTTCCTCATCTGCACTCTAAATGCCCGGCTCTTCGCTAACATCAGGACTCGGCTCGAGCAGGGGCGTCGGCTAACGAAAGAGTGCTTCAAAGGAACCGGTCTGTCTGGAAGTAGCAACTTCTTGCATAGCCTGGCCAAGTACTGGTTTACTGATCGCTTTGAGCAGATAGAGGTGCATACGGGCTGTCCGTGCATACAATGATGGATGGCTGAAGGCCTGCCCCGACCTCATGGGTACTTCCCCAGCCACGAGTTCAACCTCTTGTTGAATCCGTTGACGGCATACTGACTGAACTCCTCTCGAGAGAGATTGGCGTCGTCGTCAATGAATAAATCATCTACTATTCGCGGCTTAAGGCCCATTGTCTTCAGTGCCTGCTTTGCCTGGGCGCCTGTGATGTAACCCCTGTTTAAGACCTCATAATTGCTGAATACAATATTGATCTCGTCCCGCGTGAAGAAGGGAATGTTGTCTTGGAAAGAGCGGCTGTCAAGCTTTTCGCATATCTCGGACAGATGGGTCCATGGATCCTCCGGCAGGTTGATGACTATCTGGGAAAGGAGATAGTCAAAAAGGTCTGGGATGTTGTACTTCTTGAGATACTGCTCTGCTGCGATGCGTGGATTTCCCATCTGCTTCCTTCTTTCCGAGCTTTATTTTTTAAATTTTTCAGATTTTTTTCTCAGATTTGATTGAAAGATACCAGTGTTGATCCGTAATCCTCAGTTCGCTTTGATCTCCTGAGCGTCAGGCCACTGAGTGTGGTAGCACTCCTCCTCAAAGTCTATACTGTAGAACTCGGAAACGCCTGCAACATAATCGTCGAACAGACATAAGCTGTCGATATCGCCTATTGTAATCGAGGCACAGAAGGGCGGGACAAATGGTTTGCTATTATAGAGGAGACGTACGTATCGGTCATTTTCATGCTGATAAAGCTCAAAAGTCACTGATGATGCATAATCTGGCTGGGCACAATCGTACTTGCTTGGGTCGGTAAGGGCACCCATCAACGGAGCCAGGGTGGTATCGTGTGCCGAGTACAGCAGGAGTTTCTCCACCCTCTGCTCGTCGCTCATTTCAGTGGTCAAGAGCTTCAAGAGCCTCCCGATGGCAGGACGGAGATACTTCTTCCTTTCCTCCAGATCAGAGCGGCAGTACACAAGCCTGTACTTAGCGTCGTGCAGTTCGCGAGACTCTTCGACGTCAACCTCTGTAAAGCCCTTCATCAGGGGAATGCCCATGGTTGTGCGAGCAATAAGATTGTCACGGAGAACGCCCCAGCCCACTGTTTCATTAAATCCAGCAAGCCTACTCAAGCGCTGTTGCGACTCTTGATGAAGCTCCAGCAACTGCACATAGTCCGGATCTCTGGAAAAATACTTCTTGGCCTTATCCATTGACGGACAGTCCATAAGTTCCAACCAGTCATCTGTCTCCGCTATGTGAATAGCCGGCATAGTTATCTGGTGACCATCGTGATAAGACCCTTGGCCCAGCTCTGGATACATGCCTATTAAGAAGCTCATAGCGGATTGCTTTGTTCTTTCATAGTTGGTAGATCGAATATAAAATGCCTCCTGCACAAACCTGCGGGGAAAGAAGTCGCCGTACTTTTGTCGAAAAGCCTTGCCCAATTGCTCATGCTGAAGTCGACCCTCCCTCGTGAGTATGCCCTGAATGCACGAACCACCCTTAAGAGTGGGATGCGGTGTGTTATATACAGCCAAGAAATGCTTTGTATGTGCTGTGGACCCTGCCTGCAGAGTGGAAAAGGCAATGGTTCCGATTCCATCGCAGATCCAGTCCTCTGTCTCAGCCGGAAATGGGTTTAAAGTTGTCCTGGCCCCGTGACGCGTTACAACTTGGACACGCTTGAGTTCAAGGCTGAGTCCCGTGCAGATCAAAGCAACAAATAAGACCATTTTTTTAAGACATTCAAACCTTGAAGTACGCTGCTTGGTGCCCCGTAGTCGACCATCGGGAGCGCCATGTGTACCATGTCTACCATTCTTCTGGTCATGATCTCGCCACTAGCCAACAGAATATCACCCCATATGCCTTTCTGGTCCATGTTGAGTGATATATTGTATTGTATGGTATCTTGATGATCTGCACGTTCCAGATACGATATGTACTTCTCTGTTACGGGAAGTGCTGGACACGTCTCCGGTACAAAGTCTACTCTGTATCGCTTTCGAGACCCTTTCTGCGACAACAGAACATAGCGAACGGCTGACTGAATCCTTTCACTATTCACGATATGACTTATTTCAATCGTGCAACTAGCCTGCCCAGTAGATGCTTGATGCAGTGACAAGTGAGATGACCCCGACAGAATGAGGAACCCGCCACAAAGAGACGAACATATTTCTATAACGTCTGCATACGTGTGATCTGGCCAGGCAGCACCCTGTTTTCGCTTAGCCACCAGGGGCATACTCGCTGCATCTCCCCAAAAGTGTATAAGGTTGGAAAGCTGGCGTATGTCTGGACGCAGAGATAGCGTATGCTTAGACGCCTGCCAGCTGGCGGTGTCATAGCATGCTAAGACAAGTGCCTCACAAGCAAGCGCTTTATACTTGGCTATGTCTGAAGCCACATCTTTGAGCATAAATAAGTGGCTACAATTAAATGGAGCAATCTCACACAACGGCACACTAATAAAAGAGATGTCCTCCCGATCATCTGCTGAGTACTCATTAATGAGCGAGTATTCATGTTGCGCCCGGCCTCGACCGTTAATGAAGGTCGGCACAGGTGCGTCCCTTCCGAGGTGCTGCATTGAGCTTATGTTACTGTCTGATGTTTTGTTAAATAGCTTAATAAAAGAGTCTGCGTCTAGGACGGTGGATGAAGGTAGCTGCTTTCTTAGTGGTTCGCCGACCTCACAGTCTATTGCCTCTGATGGCTTCTGAGATACCTTTACCATTTGATCTAAGATAGAATGCTTGCTACTAGATTTTGCATTTTTCTTCTGGGTTCTTTTCGTCTCTGGTACTTTTTTGGGAGGGATGATATCAGCAGGCTCGCTGATCTTTTGCACCACTTCATCCAGGGATCTACTCTCTCCAGTTATCCCGCAGAGCACTTCCTGAACCGATAATGGACGAAACTGGCCTTTTCTCTTCTCAACTACTGCCTGTTCTACGTGTAGGTCCATGCAATCATTTAGACTATTATAGTAATACTTGTCACTTTCCAATTTGTAGCTTGAGGAATTAGATAGCATATGATAAAAAAGTTGCGCACGAAAAAGTTGTCGTCTGTAGCTAAAGCGGTGTCTGCTATAGCCCACGAGAATTGGCCGCTTAGCCGCCTTTGTCCCTGCTTCCTTATGGACCGTACCTAGGCTGAAGCTTATCTCGCTGCACATATCAAACGTAGAGATGTTGTATTGAATGGGACTAAAGTCAATGACTGTTACGGGGGGCCATGCAAGGGTGGGGTAGCCTGACAAATAGCTAAAATAGGATGTAATTTTATGTTTGTGTTGCGCAGTAAGGGAGGACTCAGAAGAAGAGGGGGAGAGAGAAGAGGAGAATTGGTATGTCTCTTTATCTTCATCTTTGCTATTTGTTTGAGCAGCAGCCTTGGCACGCAAAAGAGCCTGTGTTATAGACTCTGATGGAGATACTAAGGGTTTGCGGGGTCTCTTTGTCCAGGTCCCGTCTTTCTGGCGCTCTTTGCGATTGAATAAGCGCATGATTCTCTTTGATTCTTGGACTGTGAAGAGCACACGTTCAGTAGCAAGGTCACTAGTAGCACCGTCGTTACAACATTGCATCTGCAAGCCTCTATGCGCCATTGTTAAGCACTGCTTTTCTCCAATACTTGTCGAATAAACGGTTGAAAAGATACTGTGGACAGGCAGATTGCTATAAACGTCACTTACCCGATGACATATCGATCGAAAAAGTGCAGCAAGTCCAGCACCCCCACTGTCTTCGACGAGAATGATATTCGGACAGACAGTAGGCCTAGATGATGCCCGAAGTAAGTAAAGATTTGCATGCTTAGTTGATTTTGGACGCGGAATTGACCTCCGGAGGTGTTGCAAATGGAGCTCGACGTGAGTTCTGGGGCGAGACCTGTTGGGCGATTGTTGATCATCAGACAGCTCTTCACTGTCGCTCGTGGTATCGCTCTCAAGATCAGGTGGATGGGTGTGTTGGGTGCCGAGGAGTGATAGAGCGCACGCCAGCTCGTCAGGTGAAGCTATATATGTGCAGACATCATGATTTTGCAGAGGCTTTTCGAGTTCCACGGATGCATTACAGTCCTCTGGCCTGTAGCCTAGAAATTGGACCAGTGAGGCAAGACACGGATATGCATAGTGTTCATGGGGAGCTGCAGGAGCTAGTGCGGCTGAAAATGAGATGGACCCTGCGCTTCTAAATAAGTTAAAGCGGGATAAGCTATAGCTCAGCGGACGTAAAAGGAATGAGGGAAGATCGCTAGAGTCTTTTAAGTGCTGCAGCTCCGAATATATGCTAAAAGGACAATGCAGCACAGGCGCATGACGAGCAGAACGCAAATATGAATCAAGATTGCTATTAGACATCTTTTTGGGCTAACCGACTCTAATGTAAATGACCTCAGTATAGAGAATTGCATGAACATCTGTTAGTCCGTGCGCATCTTCGCAGTTTAAATTTCCCACGTGGTCATCTGTCGCCAAAATTCCCAAATGAAAGAGTACGCATCTGACCGGATTAGCTGCATCTATGCAACATCTAGTGCAGCAACACAGAGTCGGCAGATTTTTAGACGCGTTATTTTGCGAGACTTGCCCCCGCAGATGGTGTCCCTGTTCATCCAGCAGGTGCGAAGTATTGCTCCCATAAGAGTGCCCCAAGTTATCTCATACGATGTTATACATCTAGATAATGCTGAGTCACCGCAGAGATCCATTAAGCTGGGGTATAAGTACGACAATTCCCGCTCTTTGGCAGATATTCTGCGAGTGGCCGCGACACATCAGAAGGCGCCACCAGACCTCTTTCTGCGAAGGATCTGCAAAGGAATCATAGAAGGCCTTGTTGTTCTGGAGGCTATTAATGGGGGACACTACATACATGGTCACCTCTCTCTCGAAAATGTTGTGGCGTCAGTGACTGGGGACACCATCTTGATCGCGGATTACGCATTCGGTGACATCCACTCCATGGCTCGACAACTTAGATTTCGGAAGGAACACACTACAGGATACGATATGTACCCAGAAGCACCGGTCTCCGCCTGCCACGACGCGAACCAGCTGGGAAGTATCCTGGCATATGCAATGGCATATGTACCTAATGGAACGTATAGCACAGAGCTCGAGCAGACAGTTCTCTACTTGCGGCGGATTACATCTTTGCGGTCATTTAGGGACTTGCAGAGATCTGTTCAACGAATATTTGAGTATGAGTATTTTCAAGCTAACAAGCTAATCCCGACGGCCGTCACTCCAGAAAGGACCAGAAGACCTTTGTCAGGAACTTCTATGATGAGAAAGGCTCCATGTAGTGTTGATAGAACTCAGACTTTACGTACCGCGGCAGCCCAGCATATGCAGGCAAAGACTGCTTCTGCCAGCCTATCTTCTATAGCGTCTCGTCCCAGGCCTCAGTCTCACATAATTCTCTCTCGGAGCGAAAAGATTGAGCCGGTCTATCGTCAGGCAGAGAATCTTCGAGAGGATAGTAGCTTAAGCGGAACGTTAGATGTCTCTAATATTTCTCTTAATGACAGTCTCCCTGCATGCAACTCTGCGGAGGGAATTAAGCAGGTAACAAATAAAAACGACCAAGTGCAGGCTTTCCTATCTGATGAGGCTGTTGTTTTAGTGAAGGAGTTGGAAGAGACCATGTCTTCTCTACAAGCTTTTCATCAGAAATTGACCTCAAATATATTGCTTTCAACTCAAGCCTTTGAGTTCGCCCTCATCCAGAATATGACAGAGCTAGTAGAAGCCGTAGTAACATCTGGGGTGCTATTAGTGGGCGCTGATAAGAAGACAGGTTTGATTCTATCCGTGATTTATAATCTGCCAAGTGGTGTTGAAAAGTACACTCCGTCTCAATGTGGCTGCATCGATTCCTCTTCCAATACCGCTCTAACTCATGCTATAAGGTTAAATCGTCGATCCTTTGTGCGCATTCTAGCTCGGTTTGAATCCCGCATCCACGGTCCACAAAATCTACTTCCCATAGATTTAGCCCGAAGTTTAAATAACAGAGATATCGTCAATATTCTTATTCTAGCGGAAGACTTTCAACGCAATCAGAGCATCCTTCTAAATTCGCAGGCGTCTGCTGTTGATACATTTAATCAATACGCTGTTCCCAGTGTAGCAAGCACTCTGTTACTGTCGACGACTCAGCCTGATACAAAGGAGACAAACGAATGCACACCAATCAAGCAGCGGAAAAGACCAACGTCTTGCCATCCAGAGCTTTTGTATCGAAACACAGGTTCTCCTCTAATTGCCGCAGTCAAGAATAATGACCCTACCAGAGAAATTCTTCAGCTTATACCTGAGCATGCTGGTAAGCGTGAGAAGAACGGGGCCACTGCACTCTCCGTGGCTCTGGAAATGGGGATGCTTAAGATAGCGATGCTTCTGGCTCCGTATGAACTTATGATTAGAGGCAGAGACGGCATGTTTCCGCTAGAATATGTTATGCGCAAGGGAATGAAACAGCTGGCTCTTGATCTGATCGACTCGGCTAGGGATGCACTCGGAGAGCTCCACTGGGCTAAGCTTAAAGACTGCGTTTCTAAGGAAGATCTGGTTCGCATTGAGCGCGTATGCGCAATGCCACTAAGCGCTCGGTCAACACATGACAAAGGACTCGCTCAGATCTTGCGAAATTCTCGGCAAGTATCTCCATCTTTGGCGTCTCAACAAGTTCTTCGGCAATCAGCCCACTCGTCTGGCCTTTTTGGTTATCAAAGCAGTTTAGGAGCCTCTTCAAATCTTATTGTTTCCGGTCCATTTGCAGCAAACGATCCCGATGCAGTCAGGCAGCTTTCACAACTTAATATGTCCCATAGCACGATGCTCCGTGATAGCGAGCTAGGTCTAATCAACTCTATCAAAAAGAAAAGCATAGTCGAGGTAAAAAAGCATTTACACCAAGTGCGTCATAAGGACTCTAGAGGGTGGACTGCCTTGATGTATGCCGCATTCCTCTCGTTTAACTCCTCCATCCCACTTCTCTCTGAAGAATATGGAATGACGGTCACAGAAACAGGCATCACAGCCCTTATGATTGCTGCGGAGGTGGGGAACGTGGGTGGTGTAAGGCACCTATCTACACACGAGGGCAAAATACTCTCCAAGGAAGGAAAAACCGGGCTCATCGTCGCCATAGAATCAGGACACTACAAGTGCGCTGAGATTCTAGCGTTTGAGGCAAACGTCTGGTGTCCTGGTTGCGACTCGTCTCTCATATATGCCATCAAGGCCAACAAACTCCCATTTGCACAATTATGTATTCCTCTAGGCTGTGGGGCCCGCGATGCCGTGGGGGCAACGGCCCTTATGCACGCCATAGCCTTGGGAGATACAGCACTATCCAGAGCTCTTGTCCCCCATGAGAGTGGAATGAAAGATGACCGAGGAATGACCGCTCTCATGTACTGTGTGCAATATAATGCATATGAAACTGCGCTGCTGTTAGTAGATAAGGAGCTGGGAATGCGGAACTGTAGCGGACAAACAGCTCTATCCATGGCTTCTGAAATTGGTAACTCTCGCTTTATTTCAATGCTTAAAAAGTGGCACATACGCCCAGGACACACAGTAGGAGAGTAGTGACTCAGTTACTGCGCTTCCGCCTCGAGCATAGCTATAAGAGAAATCTGCCTCTGGAGACCTTGATACACTTCTAGTACTTCTCTATCGATAACGCTTGATGACAAGATTTTCTGTTCCAGGGTCAGAAGATTACTCTCCACGGTATTGATGGCGTGGGTTAAGGGGTGCGCAGTGTACTGCGAATAATCTTCCATTTTCTTTACAATATCAAGGACATCACATTGCAGCTCATATAGCTTTCGCAGTGATTCTTCTGTAGCAGACTGTTTTTGCTGAATATATGTGAGCTTCGAGGAAAACTGTTTCATGGTCTCCTCGAGAAGCTCAATGTCTTTCTCGCAAGCTATCAATGCGGCAGAATGCTTGTTAGCTGTACCTAAATCTTTTAAAAGAACACTATACAAGTTATCAAGAATACCTGAGACCTTTTTGCCCTCCAGTTCAACGAGCCGGGCATCCATGACTGGTTGTGTTCCACTAGCTATTGACGGCTGATCTTCCTTTGCCTTATTAACAGTGACAGGCTCGGACGGCTTGCCAAATGCAAAAGGTGCAGTGGTTGCTGGTGCTGTTGACGGCGGTGGTTGTTGTGTGGGCTGTGCAGGTTGTGAAGACTGAGCAGCAGGTGCCCCAAATGAAAAGGGAGCAGGAGCAGATGCTGTAGTTGGCGCCGTTGTTGTGGGAGCTACGGAAGAAGTTGTCTGGCCGATGCCTCCAGCCCCTGAGACCTGCGGCTTAGCCGCGAAGCTGAATCCAAAGCCAGTAGTTCCAGTGTTGGCTGAGGTTGGTGCACTTGTGGATGATGCACCGAACGTGAATGATGGGGCAGGCTGTGACTGCTGTGGCTGTTGGGTTAACTGCGTTGACTGCGCGGGGCCAAAGCCAGATCCAAAGGAGAATCCAGGTGCTTTACCTTGTGGCTGGGAAGATGCTTGAGCGGGAGCTCCGAAACTGAACCCACCAGACATCCAAAGTTTGATAGTCTTTATTAAAGGCTTTGCCACTGGCATTTAAAAGTGAAACACTTTAAATGCTTCTCATCCTGACATCCTTCGTTACCATTGCACACGCATCCAGACGACTGGCCATTGTGCGCGATGACCAGGGAGGTGTTAGCTTGCTCCACAATTTTGCGTCCAATGCTATAGTTAACTCCGAGCTAACGGACGTCAATTCAGTTGGAGGATACTATCAACTTCGTTCTGCAGCAAGCACGGCGGAACATGATACCGATGAGGAGCGTGCCTACTATATGGGGTATGCAGAGGGCTATCTTCTTGCCCCTCAAATTCAAGATCATATGAGGAATGTGATGGACGACACCTTTTCTGAGCTCTATGACGGCAATTGGCCGAGTAAGTTCCGAGAGTATGCATCCGAAAGCAGAGCCCGCATTGTGCACAACTATCACACCCACGGACTCGAGCCCTTCTGGGTGGCAACGTATCTGATGAGTGACAGGTACATAAGTGGTCTTCACGCAGGATACATGCGCTATAGTATTGATAATCCGTCTCTGAAGCTGATTGACATATCGGAAGACGAGTTTTACATGCTCTCGTCAATAGGTGACTGGGAAATAGGTCTAGAGCTCCTTCTTTATGGTGACAATGAAACAGTCATCCAATCCATTGAGCACAGAGCTGCAGAACAGCTCTATTCACATTGCAGCGGGTGTGTGAGAATAGCAGACGATTTAGATGAAATCTTCACAGGGCATGCCACGTGGACATCCTGGGGATTTGGTTTCTTGCGTGTGATGAAGATTTATGATTTCAATTTCCAGACCCTCAACACAACTGCACAGCAAATTAGCTTCAGCTCGTATCCTGGCTTTGTTTCCTCTGTTGACGATTTCTATATCGTTAAGGGGACAGAAAAAACAACCGGGCACCCTATCAAGTTTTCAGTCATAGAAACATCCTACAACATCATGAATACTACAGCAGCACTTTCCGCTATATCACGAGCCAGTAACACCTCTGTTCTGACATGGTCTAGAGCTATGGCAGCAAACCTAATAGCCTCATCGGCTGCCAATTGGCCAGAGGTTTTTACCAACAAAATCTCTTATACATATAATGACAATTGGCTCATCACCGATTATGCTATCCTGGATACAATCAACTCTATGTGCAAGACACGCGGAGAGCGTGATAGCTATATAAGGACTCATTCGCCTGTTATACTGACTTCCTTGGAGGTCGTTCCAGGATACTATAAGTCCTTTGATGCCACTTCCAAGCTCATCCACGATGGTCTGTATGTCAGTATTAACGTCCCTGCAGATCCTTATGTCAGGAAGTATGGGTACTTCCATGACGATGATCCGTACGAGGGAAGCCCCCGCTATTCTATTTTCATGAGAGAAGGGACCAGAGTTGGTAATTGTAAGTCTATGGTAACTCTTATGCGTCATAACAGTTATAAGACCGACAGTGCATCCAATAAGGATCCGGGTAGTGCTATTGCATCACGGTACGACCTGCGATCATATGAGGAGTGCGGGAAAAACCCTGCCCCCTTCGGTGCCACAGATGCCAAGGTTGTTGCCAACTATAACTTCAACGACATGAGCTTCTGGGCCATTTTTGGCCCCACCCTGGGGACTCACAATGACCTTCCTAAGTTTACTTTTTCTGACTGGCCGGGTCTTCCTCACAGGGGAGTCCCTCACAATTCGCTGCCTGTCACTACAGTTCCCTCTTTAATAATATTTAAAAACTCTACTCCTAAATCCCAATCTCCGATAGTGACATCAGTAATAATCATTTTGCTTCTAGCGATCATCTCCGCCGTTCTGGGACTTGTAATAAGAACGGTAATACATAGGAAACGCGTAAAACTTAGCAATCCTAAGTTAGTAGAAGGTACAGAAAACGACGAAAAGCGTGCATTGATTAATCCCGATGACCCAGCAACCGTGGCATGCACAACACAGCCGGTCCAAGGAGAAAAGCAATAGATTGTATTTACCTGAGCTTCAAAAGTTCAGCGAATCCTTTACCTTATATATTCTTACTATAAAATGCTGAGAAGAGAACACTTCCTCGAAGTGTTGCAACGTTGACGGTGTAAATTGTGCATTCCTGGCTCTATCGATTGGCATACCCAACTGGTGGGCGTTGTGATACGACAGCTTGAGCAACAGACTCTTTAGCATTGTGCTGGACGCGGCATGGTCTGTGCGGTATTCTCCATTTGCGTAGTAGTTGTGCTCGTGAATAGGTGCAATCCACGGATAGGTTTCTTCAAAATGGCGATTACCAGAAATTCGGATCGGCCATATGAATTTGTTGAGGTCGTCACCGGAATAGCCAGACATGCCACCATATAAAATTAGCATGTAATCGATATTCAACTCTCGACAAATGCGCCAAGCAGTTGCTTCGTCAGACGCCAGAGCTGCCCCTATCAGCCCTATCCAATAGGTGGAGCGCGTAAGGCCATCAGCCAGCGTGGTCTTGTTGCCAATTTGGTTTATCTGATAGCCGTAGTCCCACCACGATGCAACCTTTGCGGTTGGATGGGTGTTGTGCTCCAGCCATGCATATGCCTCGCGAAAGTCGTCTATATATGCAGCCTTACCGTTCTCTCGACGCTGAGAAGAGATGAGAACAATTGACGGGGATGAATAGACCTCTTTTGCGCAGAAGAGAGAGTGCTTGATGAATGCAACTATAAACACCAATGTCAATAATATTGCCACAGTCACAGAAACGAGTTTCTTCACAGCTCCTGAATGTGACCCCCACTTGCTTTCAACGTCTTTGTCTCTTGCCTTAGATCTATCTTGGGAACTAGAACGCCTCAATCTCTGTTTGCCAGGCATGTTGACAATAGTTTCAAAAGCCTTGCTTATCGTATACGCAGCGCACACAGAAACGGCAGGGGATGAAATAAGGATCATCCTGGCCATAACGGCTGAAAACCAAATGGTTGTGGCAATGTACGCTGCAAGGAACAAAGTAGGGACAGTTCGATTGACAAGAATGCAAAAATAGAGTGCCACAGGAACCGTAACAATCAGAAACCCTGTGTTAAAATAAAAAGATGACCAGACAGTTGGTTGGTGTTCTGCCACTGATGCAACTATGGGGTTGAATCTTTTCGCATAGGTAGGGTTGATGAAGGAAAGAAGGCGACCAGAAAGCTTTCCGATCAGACCCATTCTAATGAGGAGCGGGGTTATTAGGGCTCCCAAGATGCAGAGATAGACCGCTACCTGTTTCTTTAGAGCGCTGTATGTGTCTGCTGGCAGTTTTGACTTGAGAACCTGGCGGTACTCTGACAAGATAACAAGAAAGAACACGCCTATACCGGGTAGATACACTGGTGAAGAGAATGTGCCGGAGTACTCGCGCCAGATCAAACCAATAGAGAGCAGGCCGACTGTTTGCCAGACTTTGAATGCAAGAAGGGTTTGAGGTGTCGCTATTCCCGATAATACCCCCAGAAACACGTGAAGAGGTATAAGGACGGTCAAGAAGACATAGCCGCCCCAGGAGACAGCCATATAGAAATATGCAAGTGCAGCGAGGAACGGAAGCACAATGTTCCCTTGTTTTGCAGTGCAAGCCCGGAGCCATATGTCAAAGATGACCATCATGGCGGTTATGGAAGACGACTCGTTGTCATAGCTCCCTGCAACCGATCTTTGAATGAACCCGGGGATTATGCTAAAGAATAACGCTGTCAAGAGGCCGGTCATGACCTGGGTGCTGGGGGATTCATCAATAATATACCCAATATCGAAGCTAAAGATTGAGCCAACTACAGACATCACAGGGCCCATGAACACACTAGCTTGAAGAACAGAAATGGGGGTGTACACTATTGCCCTGCACAGGCGTAGAAAAGCTTCGGCAGTGTACATGAGTCCGGGGTAGAGTGAAATGGGCATTGAGCGAGACAGGGGATACCATGTATCAGTGTCCAGCCACCCCTGAAAGGCCGTGGTACCCTTCTCGTTAAGGTAGAGTGTGGATTTGTATTGGAAATATGGATCAAATTCATGAATTACAGTTTCATACCGGATGACAGACATGAGGCGGCAGAAGAAGGCTAGCGCACCAATAAAGATCATCCCGATGAGCGCCAGAGGCCGCAGGGCGTACTGCTCCAGGGAATGTCTAACAGTCATCCAAGGTTTTTTTGTCCTTTTTATTTGACCCTTTGTCTCACGTCTTTCCCCCTCATTAATATGCGAAGAAATCAAGAATAGTAACTGGGATGGGGGATGTTTGCATCACAGGGACCTCACCAGCATTCTGCTTGATGCCAGAACCCATTGAATAATTATCATTGAATTCATTGGCATTATACACAGCTCTCAATTGAGAAGCGTGTCTGGCGATGTGTCTGGAGGTGTGTTGAGCGGTGTGTGAGAGTGGAGGGATGTAAGTATTAAGCTGACTACGGGACAGTGGCCTCAAAGATGCGAATGAAAGATTGTACGAGCCTGCTCCCAAATTAATAGAACTGGTAATATGTAGAGTTGGGTCCTTGGTGGATATCTGAGTGTCACGATTTGGCGGATGGTACACCTGCTGGGTGTCTACATGTGTAGGACGTGTCAAGCTTGTTGCCTGTTGAGAGGCCCGGGTAGACTTAGACGTTGTTTCCGGCGGTACAGTAGACTTGCTGATTCCTGTCATAAAGGTGGCATGATGATTGTTCTCGGCTCCAGTATTGCCATCCTGGTTGTGAGTAGACTTGTAAGCAGGACTAGACGCATTGAGGAAGGTGCCTTCATTAGACTGGCTCTTGGTCAGCTCTTCAGTGTAGGGATATCTATTTTTGTTCTCCTCACCACCCTCCGGCGCTGCTTGTGTTGCTGATGCAGAGAGCAGTAATGAGTTTGCAGCAGTTTCACCAGACAATGAGGCTACTGGAATAGAGCATGTGATCATTTGTGCAGTCTTCCGAAGAGCTGCAAGTGCACCTTTCGAAGGACACTTACTATTGTTGTATGCTTCCTCCTGTGCAAGCAGTTCCTGCTCTATAAATTCAAAGTCTGCCTGTCTGCGCTTTCTGTTATAAAAGAAGGATCTGTTAGTGTCTTCAGGCTCCAGCACCTCATCAATCTGGTTTCTGTTATTAGATAGAGTAGCTTTGGAGTAAAATGTAGTTTCTTCCAAAGAGGGCAGTGCAGAAATATCAATAACCCGGGGAATTAAGATTTCGTCATGTGTCACGCGCCTATTAGAGAGCCATTCTGACGTGTGGAGCGACTGCAAGTAGTGGGGCGAGTATTCCTGAGCTGGCTGTTGATTGAATCGTTGAAAGTAACTTGTTCTAGGTCGCGACAAAGTGCTTACACGGCCTCGGCTATTGTCTATCTTTGATCTTAGACTACCGAGAGCAGATTGACAAGTCTGGAGTCTTGCAAGCGGCAGTAGACCACTTTCAGATTTAGGTGGAAGTGCACTGCCATGGCGAGTATTTTTCCTGAAAGCTGTACTGGCGGCAGTAGATGGACGTTGTGGACACTCTAGCATAACAAGCAATTCAAGAGAAGAATTAAATTCGCATAACAATTCACATGGCTTATTCCAACGGCTGTTGCCATGTACATATGGCCTATCCCTGCAGAATTTGTACTTTTGGCCTATTGGTGTAGATACTAGGCTAATGCCACCTTCTATGAGACATTCAACAGACGGATGCTCGTCATACAAGGGAAACTTGATGTCAGAAGGAGCAGGAGTTGGAGTTCACTGGATAGATACGCAACCATTTACCTCTCCTCTTCTGATAAATCTTGGATTTCACAAGTTAGAGTGGATGTTGTTACCTGCTCTGAATGGCAACTTAGCAGCTCGCTTCCCAGGTAACCATCCACGGGTGTATTCATAGAGATTCATGTTTACTCTCAAGTGAGCGTCTATTTTTTCTTGTGGCAAAAGAACCACCAGCAAAGAAAGCCAGCCACGCCACCGATAATAAGGATAACTGTAATAGAGATCCCTGTAATGGCCCCCGGGGAAAGTGCATTACTATTCATGGACCACCCAGTATTATCGTTATTTGGTTGCTGTGTTACATAGCATGTAACAGGACCAGACTTGCCGGGATTAGGGGGTTCACAGCTTACACAATTAGGGGCGCCAGTGATTTTCACACCGCTTTCATCACTATCATCTGTACACTTAAAACATTTAGTGCCAGAGTGATAGTATCCAGGAAAGCAAGCCTGGCATGCTGTCGTCCTTGAAGTACCGCATAGGTCACATCCAGTTTCACACAAGGGGCAAGAGCCCTGTTTATCTACAGCTTGCAAGTTAGCACACTTTGTGCACTTTCCATCTTGAGCTTGCTCACATAATCTCATACCAGGATACGCTGTTGACTGATAACAGCCACCAGATTGTAAGAAATATGTACCTGTACAGGCCGTACATGTCCCGTCGTTTCCTGGCGTGCATCCCATGACTTCTCTTGTTGCTGTCGATACGCAAATACCATCTACTGGGACGTATCCAGTCTTGCACTTGCTGCAGTACTTGGACGTTCCCACAACAGCCGTGCACTGGCCAGCCTCGCAGTTCTCCGCGTATCTTCCCGTGCACTCTGGGATGCATGTGCCAGCAGGCCCACCAGCGTGATCCAGTACAAACCCTGGATAACAAGAAGTGCAAGAAGTAGGTTCAGGACTGTTATTGCAACTAGCGCACGATTCATGACAGCGAGCACAGACGTTATCACCATTATCATATGTCCCAAAAGGACACTTTCTTAAGCATTTATCGCCCAAAGGGCTAAGATTATTAGCAGAGCATTTAGAGCACGTGATAAGGACAGTGACAGATCTACTCGTAGGAGCGAGCAAGGAGCATTCACTACAGTGTTGTATGCCTCCGTTAGCGCTATCGCTACAAGAAATGCACTTCCTATTACCAGCACTATCAGTCCCAGGGAATGATCCAGTTCCACAGTCTTCGCCTGCTACGCATGAAGTTGTCCCTGAATCCACTTTTAAGTATAGATTCTCGCCGCATTTGGTGGGCTCTTCTTCTGCCTCTTTGCTATTTATGGTGTTGTTTACCACATGCTCTCTGCTTATGGAGTCAGGATTGTCTTCACTATGGTTGCATTGGGGACAATACCTTTTGTCTTCGATGGTGAAACTATATATCCCGGACGTACTGACATTGTCACTGGCTGCCTCTTCACGTTCATCTTCTACTTGGACGGCCCATGCCAGTTGTAGAATAAATATTGCTAACAAAAATTTCCTGGACATCTGCATTTAGCTATCGAATAGTTGAACAGTCTTGGTAACTCTTTAAATATCAACAAACTTACTATATAATATACAGGAGCAAACTACAATACAGGTGCCTATTGCAAAGGGCTGCGTTACCTGACTTCCGTTGCTTGAGCAATATCCCATCGCTCGTGGTGTCTAATGCATATTGTGTAAATCAGGTCTGATGAAAGTACATGGCAGTTGTTTATGTTGATTATTGTAGAAAAGCTTTCAGATAAGTAGTGAGGTGTTGACTATTCTGGCAAGCTGTCTCTGGTGCTTTGTTGTTCACAAGTGTTGCCGTAATATTGAACCCTTTGTGGACGTGGTCCAAAACTCGCGTGGGAAACCTGCTTATTTTTGATCGTGTTCAAGATATGCATCAAGGACCACAGAGCGGATGGCCTCTTCCGTTCCGAGTTGGAGAAACGGCTCGAAGACTCCATTAGGTGATGGAAAGTTTTCAATTTATACCCTGTCTACGCAACATCAGGAGACAGACACTATATTTAGCTAATTAGACGGGTCCTAAAGCTAGACTGAGTGCCTCTATGGGTCTCGTCCAGCCGACACTCTTGATTCTTGTCGAATAGCTCAGACAGACTGGGGAGAGGAAGGACTACCAGTCACCAGAGCTTGCTGCAGTGGGAGAGCCGGGCTTGGCTCGTCCCCGTCTTCACACAAGAGCGGGGAGGTGGGTTTACTTGCGCAACCCTTGGGCCGCGGCTGCAGGGGGCTCAGTACTAGAGCGCTAGAAATAGCTGGCTGTCGAAGTAAATCGTCGCTTTCCGGGGATGACATCTTCCTCGACCAGGGCAGCAGAAGAGACCCTCAATGCATCTGCCGGTGTTGGGGTGCATCCTACCCGTCAGCGGCGCTTCATGGCTCCACCGGAAAGCCCGATCGTCCGCTTCTTGCTGTGCTCAGAGGACAGAGAACTAGGCAGGCGTAATCCCATCCGCCCACCGGAGGGCTATGAGCGCCCCCGTCGTCCCATCGAGCAGCACCAGGCGCAGAAGAGGTCTGCCGGAAATGCGCCAGATGCAGTCAACGCTTTTCTGGGTGTAGTGTTAACAGAATCACACGCTACGACGCGTCCCAGACAGGCTCCACCTGGCAGCGGCGCCCCAGAGGCGGGCCCCGAGGGACAAAACATTTCTGGCCCTGCCCCTGCTCCAATGCGAGCGGCCCGCGGACAGAGCCGAGGACGGGGGCCAGTGCTCGGCCTCCTGCTGGTGCGGTGGCGCCGGGAGACCACCGGACCATCGACTCGGCAGCGGCAACCGGTGGAACGCCCTGGGCTGCTGCTGTGCCCATGCGCCTGGAGCGCGCCGCAGCAGCCCGGGATGGGTCCGCAGACAGGCGTGCCGCCCCAGCCGTCCCGGGGGCCGGCTCCTCGTGGCGGGCGCTCCTGCTCCCTTTGACTTTTCAAATGGAGAACGCAGTTATGGATCCTAGTTCTGCTGCAGAAGGTGCCTTATGAGACGCAGCACAGCCACACCAAGCGGTATCGGGGCTGAACACTCCTTGGGACGGGCTCCTGGCGCATCTGAGAGACGCTCGTTGCTGTGCACTGCCTCTCGGGCCTTGGATGCACGTTATGCAGAGCTGCGGGGGTCGCCCTTGCAGTTGTCAGTGGGCCGTTGATGGAGCCATTGAAAGCTCTGGACCGCTACTGGGCAGTACTGTCCCAGTGCACGTGTGGCAGCTTTGGCTCGCACTGGATGGTCCGTACAGATTGCAACGGAGCCACGAGGTGCATTAGTATGACATACACATTGAGACAGCCGCAGTTCTGTTCGGCTCAATCCACCTCCTTCTGGCCCTGTGCCGAGATTGCAGATTGCAAGTAGTGTTCGCGATAGACCCGGTGAGTGTTGATTCCATCAGCGCCTGTGGTCAACGTGTGCCAGAAGGATCAATCAACTGCATCAATCGACGCGGATTGACTGATGTACCGCGAGTATGTTCCTACCAATCTATCAATCGGGCAATGTTTGGCAGTTTTGTTCTCGCGGGGGTACTCGTCCAGATTGCGTTGGCAGAAAAAGTAACAGAGCGCGCGCGACAGGCTGAATGCGCAGATAAAACAAATGACTGTGAAATCTGCGACGTTCTAATTGATGGTAAATTGTATTGCTCTCGATGTAACACAGGATTTGTTCCTATCAATGGAAAATGTGCAGACAAAGAAGGTGCAAAAGCCAACTGTAAAGGTGCCGATGGAGGCGATACAGCTGATCGGACCTGTGCACAGTGCGCCGAGCAGACTTTCATGTACAAGGGCAGCTGCTACCAAACGAGTCAAGCACCTGGCAGTAGCATGTGCAAAACAGCGGCAGACGGAAAGTGTACAGAAGCTCTCGAATCGAAGGCTTACTTTGTTCCGCCGGGGGCAGATAAGACCCACGACTCGGTTGTTTCGTGCGGAGACGCGACGGGCGTAACGCTTGCTGATAAGACGTACAAAGGCGTGGATGGGTGCACAGCGTGCGATGCACCTGCGCCAGCCGATGCCAGCGGGGCTAAGGTGGCGACGTGTACTGCGTGCCAGGCGGATAAGTATCTGAAGACGGCCACAGACCCAGCCACCTCCTGCGTGACAGAAAAAGAGTGCACGGATGCCCCAGGCTTTTTCGTCGATACAACTGACGGTAAAAAATGCAGCAAGTGCGCTGAGACATGCAAGACCTGTAAAACCGAGGCTGCGAAGTGCACCTCCTGCAACGGAGACAAGCCGTACCTGAAGAAGGATGGCGAGTCCACAACTGGCACATGCGTTGACGCAAAAGGCTGCCCGGAAACTCATTACGTTGATGAAGGAGCAAAGGAGTGCAATACATGTGTGTCGGCTGGAACAACTGACTGCACCACTTGTGAGAAAGGCCCCACCGGAGTGGTTTGCAAGACATGTACGAGTGGTACGAAGACCAAGTTTGGCCTTGGAAAGAAGTCGTGCGTTGAGAACTGCCCCTCGAACTCCAACGATGAAAAGACCGCTGGCACCTGTGAGTGCGTTGATGGCTACGTTCTCAACGGCGCGGGCACCGGGTGCACGAAGAAGCCCGACCCCCAGTGCAACACCCCCGGCTGCAAGACGTGCAGCGAGCCGAAGACAAGCAAGGAGGTGTGCACAGAGTGCGAAGGCCCCAAGGCCCTCACGCCCACGGGCCAGTGCATCGATAACTGCGGAGATCTGGGAGGCTACTACGCGGGCACCAACGAGGGGGGCAAGAAGGCCTGCAAGAAGTGCGAGGTTGAGAACTGCCTCCTGTGCAATCTTCAGGGACAGTGTGATACCTGCAAGGACGGGTACTACAAGAGCGGAGCCGCCTGTGCCAAGTGCGATACCTCGTGTAAGACATGCGCGAACGGGAACTCCAACGGGTGCACGAGCTGCGAGCCTAAGAAGGCCCTCAGCTACGAAGGAGAGGGCAACACGGGGACGTGCAAATCAGAATGCAAACCGGGTACTAACAACTGCGAGAAGTGCGAGCTGACAGTCGATGGCACGGCCTACTGCTCCAAGTGCAAGGACGCCAACCAGTTTCCACAGAACGGAGTCTGCTCGGCGGCGGCCGGAAAGGCTATTACGTGCACTACTCAAGGAGGTGGTGTTTGCAACAAATGCGCCAACGGGCTTCTTCGTATGAACGGGGGCTGCTATGAGACGACCAAACTTCCTGGAAAGAACGTCTGTGAGGAGGTAACGCAGGATGGGGATACCTGCAAAACAGAGGCTCCAGGCTATCATCTTAATAACAATGACCTTGTGACTTGCTCGCCTGGATGTAAGACCTGCACTAGTAACACCGTGTGTACTACATGCATGTATGGGTATGTAAAGACTGATAATAAGTGCACAAAGTGTGCCACTGGCTGTGCTACGTGTGCAGGATCCGCCTCAAATTGCGACATTTGCAGCACTGGGTACTACAAATCTGGGACTACCTGTGTGTCTTGCACGGCAAATACCGCTGATAGCACCATCACCGGCGTCGCCAACTGCGCTAGCTGCGCTCCTCCACTTAACGATAAAGGGTCTGTCCTCTGTTACCTCGTGCAGAGTGGCGAGAACACTAACAAGGGCGGGCTCTCCACTGGCGCCATCGCTGGTATTGCCGTGGCTGTCATCATTGTCGTCGGCGGCCTCGTCGGTTTCCTCTGCTGGTGGTTTATGTGCAGAGGCAAGGCGTAGACTTAGATAGTAAATGCGTCGACGAATTCTGTTTGTGGGTCTGACCTAGAGCCACACAGGCAAACTGTCCCAGTATGGTCTCTCTGACCGCAAGGTGAGTCGGTGCACGGGACCACCGTCCCTAAGAGAAGCAGGCCCTCTAAAGATGCCTTCCACCTGTTCCAGCTCTCAAGGAGATAGTGGCCATCCTTACAAAGTAGCCCTATAGTAAATGGCTAGCCTCTAGTAGTGCGCTTCCAACCACGTGGCAGTTACACTAGCAGGAGTCTATAGAGGGCTTGTTCTGGATGTTACTAGCTTGATGAGTGTGTGATTATTGAGTTGGACGCCAGTGGGCTACTAGTACAACTATAATAGAGACCCAGAGGGGGAGGACGACAGCCATTCCAGAGCGGGAGATTTCGAGCATCCTCCGATGTCCTATGTATCTGTGCTTCCTGGCCGGTATCGGATGGCCGGCTTACTGGGACGTTGGAGGAATCGGTGATCCTGACAGTATCAGCAGAACAGGCGAGCTGGCGGGGATGTTCTGTTCAGTATGTGTAGCTACGAGTGCTAATCCAGGGGTGCACAGCGGGATGTGCGGCCGTTCAGACGGAGTCGTAGCTCTGCTCCATTGGCGTAGCCTACAATGTGTACTAGCGTAGGTATATCCCGCCAGTGAGCTTGGAAGCCGCCCCTTCATTGGATAAGCCTATTGCACATGCATCAGAAGAACGTTATATCAACTAGAGGGTGGATTCAGATCGGTTAGCAGAAAAAACCACAGCTTGATGCCTTCACCACACAATTCACTATATAGGGCGATTGGAGGTTTTGAAGACAAAGTCCTAAATGCAATACTCACGAAGAATCAAGAAGGTTGTAAGCATAGAAGGTATTTTACATGATAAATACACTCTGTTATAAGCACAAGCAAACCATAAATCTATTCTATGATATATACAATCCAAAACTTCCATAGATCTTTTTCATGTAAATATCATTAACGAAGTAAGATAAAGTGAGCAGTAAAAACTCTATTTGTTCTATTCGCACTGACTTACAATTGCCAGTCTAGAGAGGTTATTACGGTGTCGGACAAGTGTTTGCAAACCAACCTTAAAAACCACTGCTCCTCTCTCTTCAGTGAAAAGTAGCATTAAATCTCCCTTATTGCTGGTTGATAAAACAAGAGGAAGAGAACGAGTTGCTTTATCTATAGGATGCATTTTGAGAGGATTTTCTGTCACAGCCACGAGGGATCGCGATGAGATTGAACAGATGGTTTTTTCACAGTGCGTTATGACGATAGCTTGTAGGTTGGCGGAAAGATAAACCGCGCAATCACAGAGATGCAACGCCTTTGCCGTCCAGTAAAGAACATGGTGGGGACGCTTCATGTACCCAAACAGGTATTCCAACATCCGCACCTCCGGTCTCCGCAAACTTCCCAGAGCTTTAACCACATAGAGCTTGTCATAATTTTCATCAAAGTAGTGTATGGTTCCATGCTCCATGGGGGTGTCCACATCTTCTGAATATCCGTTGAATAAAGTGTCATGTTGCCTTGCCTTGACGCCAGTTCCTAACTTGTAAACAGCTTGACTGGCCATCAATGATCCAGTGCTCTGTTTTGTTCTGGTTACCGAATCAGTAGCAAAAGTAGAATGAGCCGCAGAATAAGCATAGTTAGAAACCTTGGCATATTGCGACATTTGAAGGGCACTAATATACCCCTTTTCAGATGCATCTGGCGCGAGCACGTCGGCCGCTACTTTGCATGCTAACGAAGATGCAGCGGAAATAGTTGACGAGACGCTGCAAACGCTAGATGCAGTCTTCTTACTATCCTTGATACTGGCGGTAAGATGAGGTGTTGGGCGACTGATCACCAAGCCTGAAACATGCAAATCGTCTTCAGCTAAAGACGTGTCTGTATTTGGTTGCAAAGCTAGTGCATCCAACGTATCCAATAGTGCCTGGCGAACGGCTATAGGTGTAACGAAGTGTTCTATGGCCGAGTGTATAGATGAGCAATGAGCCTTGTGTCCCATTAATAAGGGTTCGGCCATGGGCCTAGGATACCAACACTCTTTAAGACAAATCAGCTTTGTCCAGGTGACGGTCAAATATGCTCTTGATATCACCATGTCATATTGGAGTTGAGCTTTTTCAATGAATTCATCCAGAACCGACTCTATTGACAGGGTCTCCCCTAAGAGATCGAATCGGAGCTCGCATGAACTGTGCATGCACTTGACCTCAAATTCTTCTAATTGATGCTTTAGTTTGTTCAATATGATTTTCAGCAGATCCATATTTGCTGAAGGTGATGCGGAAAGAAGTTTCAAAGCGTGCAAAAGCGCATCCTTGACAATCAGCGACAGCTTTTGAGAAGAATCTGCTACTGTACTAGACACTTCGTCGATGCAGCCAGATAAGAAACCTTTGATATTCTTCATTATCTCTTTTCGCTTTCCAGCAATCTCTAAAAGATCTTCCCAGATAGTCTTGAACAGCTGGAGCCTACTTTGGATGAGCTCACTAAGCTCTTTCATTGTTGTCCTGGCAGTGTACTGTGTTGCAGATAAGAAAGAAACCTCTTGATCAGATGTATGATCCAAAATCATGGCTTGAAGATCCTCTGTCAGAGTAGTAATCTGGTTGCTAGAGTCCTTATGACTTCCAGATCTACATTTAAGTCCAGCTATCTGTGGAATAGATTCTTCGTAGGATAGAATCATAAGAGGTTTCCTAATTACGTCTAAACTGGAAAAGCAATCTAAGTCTGACAATGAATATAAAGGATCGGTAGACTGCTCAGTATTATCTAAAATTATCTCAGGAATGCACATATTAAGTGAAAGCCCATCTAGCAGCTGCTTGGCTGCATCCAGATCTTCAGTGAGTTCCGCTATCAATTTCATCAAGAGCGCTTTGTTCTCGTAGTCGCTATGATTACTATGTAAGTTTGCAAGAGCTGAATATTCCTGTGCAGAGAGATACTCTTGCTCCACCAACAGACTGTCGTGGGGTCCTAATGGAACAGACCATACATCCAGGGATGATGAATAGCCATAGTGGCGCATTACATGTAAGATTATAAGCTTTTTCAGCAATACTGAGGACGTAGAACAGGCCAGCAGCTGTTTCTCCAACTCAACCCGTTGCAGAGCTAGCTTGGATGAAACTAAATCTGAAAGAAGAGACCCGTTGAAAGAAGGACAAGGAAGGCTGCTGTTCTTATGTAAAATACTCAGCAGAATCGTCAATAGCTTATTGATCTCTTGAACATATCGGTCCTTCTCAATGAGTAGCACCGACGCCTCTTTACATGACTCCACCAGTAGCTCAGCTTTGCGGCATTCCAGGTTATCTTCTACTTCCCAAAGGGCAGACTCAGATAGCAGAGTGCTAGTGTTGTCTGCTCGAATGACTTGCAACTGCATCATCAAGTCTTTAAGTGTCGCGTCATCAGACATTCTATCTGCACAAAATATGGCTTCAATTTGAGAATCTTTTTCTTTAGCCTTAAGTATCAATTCGGTTAGCCAATATAATAATGCTAGACAAAGAGGTTCAATGATACTTGCACCTTTTCCTCTTGGTGGATTAGTATGGCTAATATCTACTAGTCTGAAGGCGTCTCTAGTTAGATGGGAGGTTAATAGCTCAAAGGAAAGCTTTAAATCATTTATGCTAGTAATTGTAGAATTAAGTATTTGCGTTATTTCAGAAAGTGTAAGCTCTGTGGTAGTATACTGCAAAATAAGCCGGTTAACGATGCCAATTAATACAGGAAGACTAGCTCTTTTACCCCATAACTGAATCTCCGTCAAATCAAGGCACAAGTTGGGAGCATGCTGCAAAATTAGATCTTCTATAATGGCATCGGCTGCAGTGGCTATGACGTTATCTTCAGGCCGATGGATATTAGGAAATGAAGATGGAAGATCACTGCTTGGTTGATTTGAAGGTGCACCGGATACCTGTTTGGCCTCTATAGAGCACAGGCTCTCTAATCTTCTAGATAACGACTCTATTAAATCTTTATGCCGTAGGTATTCACCAACTAGTGTCGACAACAGTTTCTTAAGCTCAGCGTGTAGCTCCTCTCTAAGTTGAAGAAGTTCTTGCTCGTAGTCCATATTTAGAGAATAATTGTCAGTATTCATGGCAGCCTGGACCGTATTATGATGAACGACTGTAACATCATCGTTCAGTTCTCGATGCACGCTTTCGGAGGCAGTTATGGCCCTCTTTAGAATGAGAGATATAGCTGTTATTGCAGTGCTACACTGCTGCATAGATTCGGTAGATGTGTCCTTCATAGCGCTGTGAGAACAGGGGACAGCCCTTGCGTAGAGCTGTGACGTCAAGAATGGAGCCGGTATGTAATTGAATTAGAAATATCAGAAGCAAATGTTACTCTTTAGCCAGTGGTTCAGCAGTGTTCGGTATGGGGCCCTATAATTCGCCCTACAGTTTGTCTACCCCAGTCATACCTAAGAAAATTGTTACTGATCAACATCGACGAAATCCCCCTATCCTGTGTAATGGCTAAGTAAACGCATGTACTTAGTTTTCTCTGAGATTTAGGTGTGTAATTGCCTAATAATACTCAGCAATTATCACCAAGGTCATAGATAAAGAGCTGTGAAGCCATTTCGGTAGACACAAGCTAGTGCAAAAGACCAATCTCATGTTGCACAAGGCTCATTGTAACAGAGCTCCCAAAGGGTGACGATCTAGTGTGTTTCCAAAGAGTGCGTCGTTTCCGATCGACTAATTGGAAACGTACTTGGTTACAAAAGCTATGCTCCTCCTATTTCTCACTGTATGGGCCATCTGCTTAGAAGTTGTTCACGAGTCCATAGACTGCATGCCAAGAATAGTACTTTTGCCGATGCGCGAGAAGGGTACGGAAGCCAGTATTTCTGGATCGTTTCTTTCGTTTTCCTACTCGAGACCATGTTATGCCACAGACAGTCCTGTCTTACAAGTCTCCGGCTGCAGTACAACAATCTATGTCAGCACAGCAGATCCTGCTGATGAGGGTGCCTTTGGGCTGGAGTCATTTGAAGTGACCCCCGATGTTCCCACTATCCTTCGTGTCTCTGACAATCTGCTTAGGGATGGCCCCCTCTACATTTGGGCAGATGCTGATGGACGTGTCTCCATTCCTCAACGAATAAACGTGTGCAGACGTGCCGTGCTTGCTATTCCTACGATCTCACTTTGGACAGAGAAAGACTGGATAAGGGGCACCCTCGATAGTATAGTCAATGTTGATCTCCTGGAAGATAGAAGCCGTCTCCTCGCGGCTGGGATTGTCTCTCCTACACAGGCTCGCCTCCTATACCGCCCCGTGCCCCTTTTAGCATCCCTTTCTGCAAACACACAGCTCAGTGATTCTGTTACTGTCCGAGTACTATATGCTATCGTAGAGGGTGCAGCACCAAACATATTTGATGTATGCGAGTTACCCGGTACTGTGGAAACTGTACCCAGCACAATCGAGCAATCTATGGAGGTCTCACAGTTTCTTTGTGCACGCTTTAGAAGCGGTGTATGGCGTGTATACAATGCCAGTAGCGTGCCCTCTGTTCTACCTCCTTCAACCCTCTATATGGCAGCAACTGAACAAGACAAGCTGCTGCCCTCTTTAGTAAGCTACACAATCTATTCTTTGAACAAGTCACTTGAAGACTGTGTAGAGCAGACGCTGCAAAACGCAGCCGCTGTGCCAGACATGCCCAATGCGGTTATCCTCATCCTGGAGCTTATTGGCCTGTGTTTACTCGGCATCACAGTAATCTGGATACTAGAGCGTGCATGTTCCACCCATGGAGCACTTCGTCCCAAAAAGGTATATCTCTCAAGGTGTTGGGATAGCTTTCCACTTCTAGATATAAGCAAACCTCTAAATCTCTGGCTCCTGCGGTACAACCCCCAGCTCGACCTGTCCCCACTTACCCAATCTGCAACCTGGCGACCATATGTGCGCATCACCCCTAAATTCTGGTCCTGCTCGGAAAAGACAATGATAGAGCTAGTCCAAACAATTCTCTTGCCTCGCAACAATGAGGCCCGTCAGAGAATCCTCCTCCTCGAGTACCTCTCTCGTGGAGGAAATCAGCCTCGGATGAAATCTATTTATCACAATCCAAGGTTACTTTCTGGATTGACACCAAATGATATATTAAAGGGACCAGTTATAATTCATGCTGCTCCATCCAAATGTAACGAGGAGGATGAGGAGTGTAATAATCCTATCCGATGGATGCTGCTTACCGCAACAAAAGTAACTTGTTTTTGCGATAAACATGCTCCGACGGCTCCTCAAAAGATTGCTATACCAAAAAAAGTCAGAAAGAGATGCATGTTTTGCTTGCTGGCCTATGGTAATAGGATTTGCTTAACTTGCGCAGGAGGCTCACTACTTTGCCACCTGTGCGAAGAGCTTATTCACAATAATTGCAGCCCTGAGCATAGGGTAATTAAGGTGTCAAAGGAAAGGACAAAAGAGGCACCCAGCTTGCTATCTGAATGCTTGGGGTCTCCCTCACTAACTTAGGACAAGCCTTCAATCCGCTTCACCCGATGCTGTGTATTCGTAGTTTGCCACACTTTAGCATAATATCAACAGACGTTGCTAACAGTTAACGGCGCAGTATGCTTTACCAACAATCCAGAATAGACCAAGAGGTTGAAGTAGAGACGTGCCCTAAGCATTTGAAGCGCTCCTCCTACCCTTTGCGAATAACTCTTCTTCCTCTATGAAAGAAGATCTATGAGTGGAACCGGCAGGAATAGACGGCAATGGTTTGTTGAGTAAGATTCCAAGACGCTTTGTGTTAGTATGCACCAGTACACTGGATGTACGATACCTAGGTACACGGATATCAGTAAATGCCCTACGCAATTCATATGTAGAGTCAACGCTAGCTCTATTTGAATTTTGCGTCGTAGCGTCTGGAGGGTTTGCTATGCAGGATTGCTCCAGGTTTGATTCCTCATCTTTTGCAATCTCAGTCCAGTTCGATATGTTATGCGCCAGCTTCTGTGTTTTGAGGAGTTGCACAGTAGTATTCGCAAGTATCCGCTCACCAGCCTGAACAGAATCCCCGAGGGATTCACTAATGCATAGCTCCTCCGCCGATGACCTTTCAATCATACTCTTATCCCCGAAGTTCTTCTGCGCCGGATCTACAATGCTGCTTTTCAACGTGTCTAATATCCGATTGCGAAAGATGCTCCTCCCAAGGGCGGGAAGGTCCTCTCTTGATTGGTCAATGCTCCGGCCTGTCGGCTCTTCACTAAGGCGTCCTCTGTCTAAGCTAAGTCTCCGTTCCTCAATGTTTCGACGCAGCTCGTCAAATTTGTTTGTAGCGACTAATGCTAGAAATTGCGAGTTTCCTTTGTAGGAGGATTGGTTGACTTGCTCTAACAGAGAAACGTTGTCTTCATAGAGGTCATACGAGTATCTATTCTTGTATGCTTTTTGTATTCCTTCTGCCAATGGATTCTTAATCACGGCGTTGCAGAGTGACGTATACCACGAAAGATTGAGAGAAGACTCAGACTGGTTATCACGTAGCTCAGAGTAGGCCTTGCCGGGGATAGAGATAGTTGAAGCATCTAACTGAGATGACTCATCCTTGGCGCCAATATCTGCCTCGGAATAAATCCCCTCACCTATTATTACCTTGTGGCAAACGGTATACTTCACATAGCCAGCCACATATGCAGGATGAAAGTGAGTAGAGAAGAAGTGAGAGAGCGCATTTGCTTTAGCTATTCCAATGACACCTGTTATATCAGGATGCTGTATTACATAGTTGTTGTGCATGCGCAGCCGCAATTCGTGCATAGAAGCGTTATAAAGAATCTTATAAATAGCATGCTGCCTCTGACGGAGCATTGATGCATAGCTCTGGTAGCTTGATGACCTTGGAATTCTAAAGGTATGGACATACATGGGAACCAACGGAGAAAATATGGCCAGCGATAGTTTCTTGTGTGTAATGAACGCCCTAATGTATGCCTCAAGCAATACTATGTGTAACTTGCGACAAATAACGGCCTTTTGGGTATGCGATATGTCTAGCGATTCAATCTCTTCCAATCTACTGAGTAGAATTAGTATAGATAGAGGTATCGCAACTAAGTTGGTTATAAACCCAGAGAAGTACTGAGTACTTTCGCTCGCAAGAGTCCTCTTGGTAAGTTGGAAACGATTCAGAATCGCAGCGTAGACTCCATGGATATGCATTTTTGTATCATCAAGCATGCAGCCGATGGCATACTTACTTAGAATGGCCTCAAGTGCTTCCGCCTTTAAGTCACTGTCATTGTAAATCACGGCTAAGGTGGTACTTTGCATTGGTAGCAAATCTGCAGATATTCCTAGAGTTTTCCCTAGTATACGGGACAAGGCTGCAAGATCTGATCGAGGCCCAAAGTATGTTAGAAAGGGAAACGGTCGAGTTACTGAAACTTCACCCGAAGCGGCTTTAAATATAGATTGCCGAAGGCAATCTTCGTAGACACAGCTGAATTCCTTGACCTTTTGCAAGCTACGGACAGCGCAAATGTGAGTTTCCATTTGCTCATAGATTCTCACCACACCTTTGTATGGGTCTGAAAGCTCTTGTATATACGCATCCTGTTTGAGCACTCGCCTAAGTTGATAATCCACAAATCTCGAAATGCAGGTCTCCAGATTGCACAATCGCACATAGTATATTATTATTAATAAATATCGAACAAAGGTTTCGCAGCTGTATGTCAGTACAGCCTGGACACTATAGAAATTAAAGTATGGCTCTGTATATACGTCTGATGAGGCACGTCCATAGCTATCTTTTTTATTTTTCATTTTGGACGGCAGGATTGGCTCTACAGGGAATTGCGTATCAAGAATATAACGCAACCGGCGAGAACCTGGTAACGGCACTGATTGTTCTGGATGCTTGGATGCATATCTTTGGCCCTTCAGGAGCTCAAGGATTGCTAGTGCAGTGGAGTAGAGCAACAGTAGCTGCAAAAATGAATATGGAACATAATTAAGCCGGTTGTAATCAATGGTAATGCCTCGTGACGCAGTCTGGGCCATTATCTTCCTCTGCACTGGCGTGAATGATTGAAAATATCGTATGAATACTGTCTTTGCTGCCTGCCCAACTGTGAGCATGGAAAGCCGAACCCTGGGAAGGAAACCTTCTGTATGCGACGGCAATGAATGAACTGAGTGAGCATAGATACCCTTGTGGTATTTTGGAAGGTCCTCTGATCTAGCCTCGGAAAGACTAAAGAAAGATGTAATAAACTCATTGACTCTGACATCAAAGGATGCTAGACAGCCTTGTCGCGAGTCTAGTTGCTCCAAGTCTAATGGTTCATTGTCAGTACCATCAGCCAGGGGGTATCCCGCCTCCTTTAAATGCTTTGCTAGGAAACTATGCGGTTTCTCACAGTGAGAAGAACTCAGTATAACGTCATTGCAGCTCATGTATGCAACTGGATTTAAAACCGTTGTTAGCTTTTCGTTATCAACAAACTCGGGATTCTTTAGACAAAACGCATATGGTGTAAACACGCCAATTTGCAGCTGGATTCCGTCCTCTCCTTCTGGAAGGAGTGGCTCCAGTGGAACAATAGAAGCAGGATCATAGAATCCATCGAAGGAGTCAACAACAGGAATTCGCGGGTTGTAATAAGGTGGTTTAGGAGGAAGAGCATAATGATGTGGTATCATGCTTTCTTCAGACTGCTGCTCGGGCCATGAGCCTAGTGCTAACTGCATGTCGTCAAAGAGAGAATCGATAGACTGATTTTGAGGACCAGAAAAGGGAAACTGCGCTTTTGTAACCACTAAATTTGCATGCACAACCGACTCTAAGCCGTCGGCTTCGTCGTTGATTATGTTATTGATCATTCCGTCCATTTCAGTTTTGTTTGTCATTACATGATAATATAGTGGAAACGTTGGCTTCATGACGGTAACCTCAAACTGATCATCGTAGAGGGTATCCCTTCTGATCACATTGTGACGATACAATCTGGCCCAATCCTCGTATAGTTCTCTGGTGAAAAGCTTCTTAAAGGCCCTCATTTTTGTAATAAGTGGCAGAGTGCTTGCTTGTCTTCGCTTTATCCGGTTTAGGGCCAGGGTCTCTGCGTGGGTAGTAAACGCTTTGAGTCTAACAGCAGCTCTATGGTCTTCGTCTCCAACAAAAGTATATGGGGCAACGGTTGTAGATTGCTGTACTATTGGCGGGGTTCGTTGTTGGTTTGTAATAAGCGATGCACCGGTATGGTCAGCATATCCTCTTCTTTCCCATCTTCTGCTCTTTATAGGCTTAAAACTTAGATAGTCATAATCGTCTCTAAGCGACCAATCTGGACAGTTAGACAGGCACGTGTTGTCGTTAAGGTCAGCATTCAGAAGATGGTTATGCGCACGCTGGGACTGTATGGGCTTTTGTCCATACTTTTCTTTAGCGAGAATTAAAGGCTCCAGCTTATCAAATGAATATGCTCTCCGCTTTACATCAAGAGCTACATCTCTCGTGGCTAGAGTGCGGAGCTCGAAGTGCTCTCGCGGACAAAACATATGGTTTTGCATGCAGTACCGGGACAACGGGTTGTATCCGTATTGACTTTGCTTTTTCTGAACCTTGATGTTGGATATAATAGATGGTTTGCGCAATGCTTTAAATATTTGTGAACAATCGTCTCGAAGCAGGGGTAAAGGCCTTTTTGTATTGCTCGTAGTCGCCATTTGCTTTTTTAAATCTTGAAGCGCTGCACGAAGCAAAAGGTCAGGGAGATACGACGAAGAGACGACGTATTGATTAGGATCAAACTCTCCTCTAATGCCGAAGATAGATGGTGCGTATTCAGTGGGTTCATTGGATATGGTATCAGACAACGATGTAGTAGGGCTCGGAGATCTTGTCCCGGAGTTCAAGCGGGGCACATCGCTATCTGAAGGACCCTCTGAGCCTGAACTGTCAACATTATCAGGGTGCACACGTCCTGTCGGAGTAACTGCCCTGTCATTATCCAGATCTATTCCTAAATCTATGGTTCCACAGGTAGCTATGCGAGTAGCATACAGGTCTGTGTCTAAAGGTTGCAGATTTATGAGTGTCGCCTCAGCGGCTCGCCTAGCAGAATACGATCTTCTAGGAAGAGGGTCTTTGTCTAACGACAACTTCACTCGTCTAGGCGCATCTGCTGAAAAGCAGTTCCGTGCAGCGAATGGTACCAAACTTGTAGCAGGCATAGGAATACATACCCCGCTATCCTCTAAATCGCTCGGCACAGAGCTGTAGGAAGAGCTGAACGTTTCCTCAGTATCCCAAATGCTGCTCTCAGGATCAGAAAGACGATCTATTGAAAGGATGCGTGCACGATAGCTACGATTTGCGTCCTCATCCCATCTACTTATCCCCATCTCATGGCCCAAAATGGAATCTAGTTTTGTGGCCAAATCAATCCTGTTTCTATTAAGGGTCTCAATTGTTGGCAACGAGGCTGATCTTCGGAGCAAAACTGTTTTGGTATACTCATCAGAAACAGTGATGATGCCATTTATGCCGCTCCGCACACGCCTCCGATTTAGTCTATAGTCGAAATTACGAAGCAGTTGGTTCATTAGATCAAACCCAAAGAGATCCTTTTGCTCTGCAGTAGGTGGCCTACTGTGCTGCAGAGTCCTCAACGAAGTATCCTTTGGTGTAATAAGACGAGCGATCTCGACGGCATCCATTTGAGTGGAGCTCTCATGATCAGTGAGATTACCAGGTCTCAGGCCTTTGCGACTGCTTGCCATTCTAGACGCTGGGATGCTTTCAAGAATGCAGTCGTTTTCAGGATCGAGTATGCTAATGATATTCTTACCCATAGAAAGAATGTCGTCCAGGAACATGCTATCGTGGTTGGTAAGATCGATAAGGCCTTTCAGGTTCTCAGAGGCATTTTTACCCGTCAGGAGAGCACTAAGAACTGCCTTGTCTCGAAGAATTCTACCTCCTAAGTCACGGCCAAGCCTGAGCGCCTTGAAGCGGCGAAGGTCCTTCAATAACTCTTTGTCTATCACTTTGATATGCTCATATCTGTTAACTACTATTTTGGGGCGGGCCCTTTCCTTCTCCTTGTGTTTGACTCTATTGAGAGTTCCTTCTACCGGTTTCTCAAGCACTTTGCTGCGGAGTACACCAATGAAGTTATCCGTATGTCTGTGAGTGATTAGCTCTGTTTGCCTGCTTCTTGATCTCATTATAATACTAGTTAGGTGATGTGGTCCTTCACGGGGTTTAAGCGAGGGAGACCATGCACTTCGTGAAATGTATTCTGGCTCCATAAGAACAGGATAGACATTATCGAGCATAAGATCCCGGGCTAGGATAGGGAGATACCGAAACGCATGACTCCCCTTGTGCTTCAGGACACGTTCAGCACTAAGGTGACCGTGCACACCACGATGACTTCCATATGGTTTTAAACTCAAGGATCTTCGTGGACCAGAGAATATGGTGGAGGTCAGGGAGCCAGTTTTAGTTAGTGGGGCAAATTGATTGGCCAAGGGTCTTGCCAAGCGGAAAGGGCTACTTGGCCTCTTTTTCGCCTTTCCAGTTACTCTATCAGCATACTTGAGGTGGAGATATGCATTTCGAACGTGAGGCAGAATTCTGTTTCTGGATGAACGAAAAATCTGGTCGTTTCTAGCGAGTAGCTCTGTTGCGCGCGTGAGATTTTCTGGTGACATCAACAGCTTATGAATGTTTATAGAGGGGGAGATAGACTTCTGGTATTCTGAGATTGTAACTCGTTGTGTCATAAGTGCTGTCCTTTTGATCAGATCGTGGGTGTTGCGGATAATGCTAAGTCTGGTCAAAGAACTATCATCATAGGACACCCGTTCTCCCGTCTCTAACTTCCTTCGGTGTATTGTCCCTAGAAGCGAATATAGTCCCTGGAGCTCCACCAGAAGCGGCTCAGTACCGAGCTGAACACTGACTTGTTCAAAGGGTCTACATGCAAGCTGAAATGTTGGCGCTACATGGGGAGATGTAGACTTATTATCGAATGGTGAAATACTAAGCGATTCTATCGATTGCAGCAGTTCAGGTTCGGCTGGCTCACCCAGAGCTAACACTTTATTGTGAACTGACGGAGTCCAAAGACTGGAGCGTGCACCAATGCTGGTTAACTTTCGGGGCCGTTTTCTACGGTGGGAAGAGCCAGTGGGCTCAGTCTTTATATTACCTATGTCCAAAATGGATCGTTTTGGCCTATTGTGTTCTTCTGTCGAGTGCGAAGAAGCTTCGTGTTCACTAGAACTAAGTAGAAACGCAGGAATGGCGGCCTTAGATCTATCATTAAGTACATTAAGTTCAGATGCAGACTCATCGCTCTCATATTGACAGGTGACATTTTTAAGGAGTGAAGTAATCTTTTGAACTGTCTTGTCTGGCCGCTCGTGATGCTGAGCAGTTTCACCGGATTCATAAAGACCGGATCGGAATAGATACCCGTTCGGGAAGTGGGTATATCGTAGCGACCCATCAATTGCAGTGTAAATAAGTATAGGGGAAAACTGCTGATTAGTAGGCGAACAGATTTTTCCAGAGTCGATAAATCTTTCTGGAGCAGAAATGGTGGTAATAAGCGCCATTTTGGGAAAGCATTGGACAACAAAGAAAAGCGACGAGCCAATGGTCGCTACAATAAGCACCTTAACGGGAACCATGTTAGATGGTTGTGTTGGGTGTGTAAGCCCAGAGGTGCTCGAACTGGACGCCGAGTCCCTGGAGTCTGATAAAAGCATCAAGCCAGCGTGAATATGGGTTATCCTTCCCGCAGAAAGATCCACACCATCTAATGGATGTGCCATTCCATCAACATCCCAGCAGTAATATTGAATCACAGAATTATCATAGCCAACGATCAGTATGGTATCACTGACCGGCAGGAAGAAAGAAACTCGGCTTGCCGCATAGTGCGTTATCTTGAAGCTCTTGTTAGGGAGGTCATGGCGCACAAATGGAAGAGTCACTGTGGCGTGAGAAAGAACTAGGCGACTAGAGCCACCGTCATGTAGTCTATGCCTTGTAAATATGAAAATACATCCTAGTGGCATGGCAAGGATAAAGTCACAACCACGAAATGCAATGAATGGAACGTGTTTGGAGGGGGAGATAGATAGAAGGCGGATCGCTTCACGGAAAGAGAAATTGCCTGAAAAGGCTGACTGGAAGTCACTCATTAATTGCGAAGCAAGAGAAGCATAGGAAATTAAACCGTAATAGCTATAGTTGCTGGAGTCAATTACATTGTGCTTTTGGAGTTGCTGTGTACGATCTATAAATAGAATATGACCGGAAAGAAGAGATACTATAACTGTGCTTTCATCAAATGCACAGTTAGTAATTAGAAAGTTACCGTCGAGAAGCAATCTGTTCATTGGTAGAAATTGTGGATTGCTGAAAATAAGCGCTACATACGAAAAAAGGTGCTTTTGCGAACCCTCGCCAGCAGCATTATCTGGCTGTTCTGCCAAAACATTGGTAGATACATTTGAGGGCCTGAATAGAAAGTTGTATACGACTACGACTCGCGTCTGGCATGCAAGATACTCTGGCCCCGGAAAGGACAGGGCTGGCCAGGCTACAAAGTCTTCGACAGGAGCGGAGGTAAAAAGGGAAGTGGCGGCTTGGTCCTCAGGAGGAGTAACGGCTAGCTTCAGGCGCTGTCCGGTGGAGAGTAGAACATATGCCGCGTCATCACAAAGAGATATGTCTATGACTTTATGAGAACTGAGAGTTCCTACTTTTGCAATCTGTTTCGATAAGGCTGAAGCCGTGCAGGCATTCAAATTGTCGGAGAGTACTGGACTCTTCTGCGCTGCCACAGAGGTGGACCCAGAGTACTTGACAACTATCCCCTGGTGCAGCAACTGCTGGGAAGGCCCAGGGGAGACGTGGAGCTGAAAGCTCATAAGAAGTTCAACTGGCCCGAGCGATTGAAAAAAAAGTTGCCAGAAGGTGCTCTAGGTGTAGAGAGATATGTCCGACGAGTCTCACGAGTCCGAAGACTATAGCTTTGTTAACACTGAAGACGACGTGGATGAATCGTCCGAGACTGACGATGATCCAATGGAGGATCTTTTTGGAGACAACGCCCTAGAAAACTATTTTGCTTCTAAGAACTTTAAGGAAAGTGTCGTCAAGCGCCATAAGGTAAGGAGCAAGGCAGGAGGCGAGACCTCACGGAAGAAAGGCAAGATTTTACAGAAGCTAAGCGCCCTAGATGAGTTCCAGGTTAGTAACATCGGCCGAAGGTTTTCCTCGATGTTCATCAATGAGACACAGCTTGTACAGCATCTCTTTCTGGAAATATGCCGCCATCTTCCAAACCATGTGGACCAGGACAGTCTGCTTCACGAGATCACCGTGGCCGTTCTCTATGATATCTTTGTGCCCTCTGCTTTTGAGGCGTCTTTTCTAGACCGCTCTGTCCTAGGTGAGACGCAACCGTATGTCCTAGCGATTAAGCCTTTTGCCCAGTTTGTGGCGAAGTTCGTGGACAGCTGTACTGATTTTCGCGCTATACCAACCATCTCCTTAACCAGAGTCGTGCCTCGTGACATTGCAGCTGTAGCAGAGCAGATGAACCATGTCTTTCACATTTCCTCTGCTTCTTTCATTCGAATTTTGACTACTCTGAAAGGCACAACGCGACACCTAGAGGAGCTCTTGCATATAATAATTGAAATTGAAAATACTAGGACTCTGAATGCAGATCTGCAGAACATGGACTTGTTTGCTAAGCTTAAGTTAGATATCCAGGATGTTATAGAAGATATCGGGACTCTTGCCGTGAATTCTGAGCAGATCATACTCAGTGCATCTTCGGAGTATCCCTCAGATAGTCATCTTTCCTCAGGCACGTGTGCTGATGTTGCCATCATGCTTGCCAAGAGCCTTCAGGTAGAACAGAAGATGGAGACAATCACATCTAAATACGAGGTATTTTTGGCTGCTGACATGATCTATCTCGGCACAGATAGTGGGAATCACCTACTGGACCGCTCCTATGGAGAACGTCAAGACATCGCTATTAACGACACACTGAAGCGCGCACAGAAGGACATATGTGCTGAGGTAGAAGAGATCCTTAATTACAACGTTCGCCTCCTCCATTCGATCAAATTTGTCTTCTTTGCTATCGAGAAGTTTACCAAGGGGGTAAGCGCAGCCGTTGTTGCTACTGAAGCGAACATGTATAGTTCAGCAATGACGGACCTTGTAGGGTCGGTTGTGCTTGCTACCGACACCCCTACGATGTTCAGTGACATGTATAGGCCATCCTCAAACGGAGGGATTAATAAGCACGCGCTAATCCCCAAGGACTACGAAGTAACACATAAGCGTGAGCTGGTGGGCTTTGCATTTGATCTGACTGTCTATCGAATTCAACAGGCTGCCGCGTCTTTCTTGGTGACGAAGTTGCACAATGTATGTGTTATACATGAACGACTGTGTAGAAGTACCTCTTCTGATGTCTCCATTCGCGAGCATATTGGGCCCATGCTATTAGATAATACTTCTTTCAAAGACGCTACAATCAGGGACCTACTATCTGCTACGCTCAACACGCTTGATGAACTGGACGTCCACGGCCTTAAGACCGCGTCACTCTACAAGAAGGCTGCTGACTACATGGGTCACCTCTTCATTCCAGAAACACTGGAGGAGTGGGTAAAGAACAGCACAGACATTCTGGCTGCAGATCACATCGGAAGATGCATTAGGAAACTAGCTGGTATATGTGCCAGCTTCAAACTTCAAATACAGCAGGATGCGCCCATTGATTTTGCATCCATGGATACCCTACTTGCTGATAGTCATGACATGATTGAATACATAGGATTGCTCACCTATCGTTCGATCTCTGAACGTATCCGTGTTCTCAACTATGTCGTTTCAACCTTCTTGGCACCGTTTTCTTTTAATAAATGCTCTCTGCCAATATCAGAGACAGCATCCGCTCTTTTTCACGAGTTTCTAGGAAAGACTCTCCCTAATACTTCTACTTCTACCGTTGCCGCGTCTTCGTCTGTCAATGACCTAGTATATAATATCGTGCTTGCTTCAGCAGCCACAGAGCACAACACCTATCCAGTACCGTTTTTCATCTACTACTTTGGCTCCATCTCAGTGGATACTTTGCTGGCCAAGTATATTGACACCATGACTGACGAGCTATTTGCTCGTACTCTCATGGAGTTCTACCAAATTAAGGATAGAGAAGTCACCTTCTATACGGATCTCTCTCCAGACGAGCAAGCAAGTATGATAGATGATGAAAACTACGTCCCGCCAGGACTGGAGAGCTGTTTAGGTTATACAGAAAGCCCAGAACTGTTTAGAAAGCGGCTTCTGGATAAAATCCAAATTATCTATGCGCAGAAGGCGGCCGAGATGCCCATCTCCAAGATCTATACTATCTATAAAAGAGCAATAGAAGGGGAGCAGCCCGAAGAATTTCCGCACTTATATAAACTGGTCACTCACAGATCCAGATACTATTCGCAAGACGATGAATACCTTGGTGTTACCCCAGAAGAGATGAAGTTTAAATTCTTCGAAAACGTTAAGGTGTATTTGCAAAGTTATCTGGAGTCAAATCCGATCGTAGAATACATGACAATGATGTTCTTGCTCAAGTTCGGGGCTATCTCAGTCGAGTTGCCGGCAGATGTCTCTCAGCGCAGAAATGTCCCAAGTCAAGGGCTTGTGTCAGAATTTACGGAGGATCCAGTTGCATACAAGTCTCTATTTAGCGAAGCATCCTATGTAGTTAATGTAGATGATATATTCTCCAGTGTGTGCTACATCCATGAAGCACCTCTGTATTTATTCAGCAAGTACTACGCACAGGGATTCAATCGCGTTGCATTTATATATATTAACGAGATCTATGAGTGCTCCAAGCGTGCTTCGTCTCACGAGGGTATTCCTGCCTCAAACAAAGTGACTCCGAGGATAGAGTTTTCAATAGCTAAGACGAAGCATCCTCTAGTTGTGTGCCCTAAGGTTCTCGACGTGTGCAAGTTTGGGGAGCTAAAAGAGGCCGTTTCAGCCTTTATTTTTCCATATGGGTGCTTCTTTGACCATCTAGACCGGTTGCATGACTTCTCATCATTTGATAGCCTTCTGGAATTGACACAACGTAGACTGGAAGAACGGAGTGGTCATCAGATCAGTGATCTGCACGAGATTGTCGCCGACAATTTCCAATGCTGGTACGATAACTGTAATACATTTTTAGACGATATTGTGTCAAAGATTCTTTTCCGAGCCCAGGAGAATCTCATAAAGGTCCTACATAGTCATGCAATAGAGGCTCTAGAAACGCAGGCGCTTCACTCGTTGAGCATCCGCTTTTCCACCCCAGAATATAATCCTCTCCGCTTGCAAAAGCCAACCATGAGCCAAACAGATAAGGAGCGACGTGAAAAGCCAAACCTGGTTCCGCTTTATAATGAAAATAAAACTCCGTTTGACATCGACTCTACACGCAACAAATCTCCGAGTTTTGTAGGAGCGTGCAAACACTTCCGAATTATGATATGCATACCCCATAGGATTGTTTCTGTGAACAAGTCAAAGATATCTAGAGACGACAAGCACCTGGGTTTATCCGTAGCAGGAGTTGGACACGACTGCACCACCTTTGTCGTGTTAGACCGCTACGGCCGGTACGTATCCCACTTGATTCTTTCACAGTATCATGAGCAGCTCCCCAACCCTCTGCGCACTGAAAAAGCGTGCGAGCAGGTCCGGAACGAGTACAGAGCGCTTGTCAGATCCTTGGATCCCATCTTCGCCTCCCTTGTCAGCTGTCCCCGTGAAAAGCTCTTCAAGGTTCTGGAGCCTGCATTGCAGGTCTACTCTTCTCGCCAATCAGAGTTTCAACGCATCCTGGACGAAGCTAGGCTTCACGACTACATTATTTCTTCCGGCGTTTGTGCGGTTGGGGTCTTATCCCGCGGGTTTACTAGTGACTCAACGTATCGAAACTTGGAGGCCACACTTCAGTATCTCAACCTTCCACTACCAAAATACATTGAGGCAAGTCTTTTAAGAAAAGAGGCGAACGATGCCTCCGGATCCAATTTTCAAGTAGATCAGTGGAGAAACGTGGAGTTCCCATGTTTAGAGAAGGCTTTGATCAGTGGAAATCCGCTCTTCATAGATGATCTCTTCTTTAAGAGACAGCCATTAGCTTACAACATAACAAGAATCAATCTCCTACGCATCCCTGCTGATGTCCCAATGTCGTTATATAGTAAGAAGTTCCGTATGATGCATGATCCCAGTTTCATACTTAGAGGTACGCACAGAGAAGAAGGGGCTCGACTTAGCTTTCAAAGGCAAAGAGACATAATGCTGAATGTTATTAGCAGCATGCTTAAGACGTCTACAAATCTCATCATAAGTAGCAGCCCCTTCCATTGGAATCTCTATCCCGTCTCGCAGGCACATGATCGGATTCGCCTCTGTAGACAGAAGCTTTCTCTCACCACTGGTAACGTTAAAATGTATAGTGTTGCCACTAGACTTGCGCTTGATGGTTTGCAGTTGGATGAGACCGGGGCACGTTTGCAAAAAGATGCGCTTCCACCAGAGCTTTTTAGGGGTCAGTATCTCCCTGGATTGTATGTGCACCCCAAGGTAGACTACCGGGCAATAGAGGATCATTACCACGGCGAGAGCGTTGTCCTTGGCATCTGGGCAGGACGCTATTTGTTGGACCCGCTCGCTGCTTATGCATGCCTTGCAAATGGGGGTGGGTCGATAGAAGACTTGGTAGCAGCCCCCCTGATTAATTTTATGACCGACTTTGCTCCCTTAACCAATCTTGAGAGCAGTGATAAGGTCCGCACGATCAACGTCTCATCTGATTTCCATGCGAGGTTTAAGCTCTGCTTTTCATTCATAGCCCACTATGCACTCTCACTAGCCATCTACAGACGCCGTCCAGACATCAACTTGCCGTTTATATCTCCTCACTATACCCATCTGATAGCCTTTCTCCCGTGGCTTTCTGCACGGAAGCTTCTCAGAGTGTACAAGAGAGTTTTCATATCTCGTCGCCACGATAATTTTCTAGCTTTAAGCAGTGATATCGAGAAGTATGCCAGCGGGCTTGAAAAAGCGCAAGAGTTGCAGGCTTATATTGACAAATTAACAGACCTACATAAAGCCGATCTTCCTAGCGACGACTCCACCAAAGACTCCCTCATGAAGACCATACAATCATTGGAGGATTACTTTAATGGGGATCTCCTCAAGATGATTCGCCAGTCATATCTGGCTATTCTGGCAGCTACGTCGTGTAATATTCACGGAGAGCGGATAACCGTCGAATCTTCTAGCAAGCGGAGAGGTGTACGTGAAATGGACACAGAACTCTCTGCAGGGAAGAAAGCTAACGATGAGCATAGACTAGGGATGGTTTTCAAAAATAAGGCGTTTCTAGCTAACATAATTGCAGAGCTAATTCTAGAGGATTTTGTCATTACATATTGCGTTTCCACTAAGGAGTTTCAAGATGACGCGTTTAATCGTTTCAAAAGCATAGAGGACGATACCCCGTTTACATATCAGGAGGCCGTTCAAAATATCGAGCACGTTGCCAAAGGCTTAGTCGGGCTGGCAAGGTCGAGTTGCACGGTCGCGGATATCTGCAATATACAGCTCATAAATCCAGAACTCGCTCTTTACAAGAAGTATGTGGATAAACATGAGAGTAGCCTGCCTTCAGGGTTGACCAGTTCTGTACACCTTGAGGATATAGGATTGGTTAAGGATCCATTTGAAAGGCCGCCTTCTGCAGACGCTACTCGGTATCTTATAGCAAATGTCTACTTCACTAAGCTGACACGGATTTACATGAAGAAGAGCTTAATAGATTTCTTTACCAATCCAAAGTACACCCCCACGAATGTCATGAAAAGAGTCTGCAAATACATCGAGTTGGTTAACGTCGCGTTGGCCCACGGGTGTTCGATCACACATGACGTGATATTGAGCTACCCGGGTGGAGCATACTCTGCTGCCTACACTGCTGAGAATCCTAATATTGTAACTACACTGCTTCTACGTTGGATTGGGCCACGAATTAAAGATTTTTCATTTAACAGGTACCGACACGCTATCGATCGTACTATGCTGATACAAAATTCGTTGGAGTTGTACTACACCCAGCTTTATCATAGTGTCTCCATCAATGCATTTTCTAATAGTGTGCAGGATGAGGAGGATGGCTACACAAATGAAAGCTTGACGGAAAGGACCCAGCCGCAGACTCTGTACTCAGATGCCATCTTCTGGCCTGAAAACCTTACTAACTACCTGAGCAGTTTGGAGCTGAAGGAATTTATGGGGCTCACCTATCATGACATGGTGTCTCTATCTGGTAAAGAGACCCAACTAGTTGCTAGTCTTTTCCTCAAGTTTTGCTTGTTTAAAGGTTCCAAAAAGCTTGATGATTTTCTACACAACTTGACCCTCAAGATGGGTTTGTATCAGACAGACTATTGTGCCGCTAGGAACCTTGCACTAATATTAACAAGCCTGCTGTTTAAGGCATCATGTAGTAGTTTGATTGCTGACCCTTTATTTAACAGAGGCACTGATTTAAGATCTGCGCTGGACGGTCTTCGTAACGAGTTGCATAATAAGGCTGAAGAAAATCATCGCCAATTTTTCAGCTCGATCAATCAGCTTGCCTTGGAAGAGGCTCCAAACTGGCTAGGAAGAATACAGCCAAGCATAGCAGAGGGCGTGCCACTAAAGGATCTAAATCCTCAACCGTCTAGGCTTCTATTTGCCAAAGAGCTTTACAGGTATTTATCTATAAAGCAGAGTGGGGACAACAAAGCGCTGCAACTGTATCTTGAGGAGCTCGATGACTATAAAAAGATCTGTACTCTCTACAAAGGAATGGACCGAGAACTAGACAAACTTGGTGACGAAGAGCCTGTTGAAAACCTATTGCTGGCTTTTTACAAGGGATTTAAAGAGACGTATGTGTCTAGCATTGGCGACGACTACGTGGAGCACTCCTCTGTCGCAGGAGGGTCGGCATCCGTTCTTCAGCAGGAGCTGGTAAAGTACTTGGTTGGGCGGCTCAATCGAACTGCAAGAAGCAGTTCCGGTGATGAGCTTGGTAGCGGGAAGAAGGACTTCACAGAGGGGTTCATTTTCCTATGCTCCCAACTTATGACAATAGATCCTCTTTTGCGGGATCTTCTGTGCTCTGCCGAGAATATTCGGCCCGTTCTCTCCCAAGTACTGGATGTCATTACCCAAGCAACGCGCTATCACCAGCTCCGTTATCCCACAATGGAGCTTATCGATGCGGGACGGCCGTTCATTGAGTACAGCAAGGAGATAATCTTCATATCTTTATCTGGGGAATCCAACCCTGCAGTTTTTTCGCGGTATAGGGCATTCAAGGTGTTCTGTCCTGCAGCTCAGTGGATTACCAACTCTGTGATGAAGCGGGTGCGCGTGAGCCGTTACGAAGGTCTTACAGGCCAGGTTTCCTTGCTGTCTGATCTTTCCACACTGGAAACTGAGGGTGCCATCGAAACAGAGTTTGATGCTTACCTTTTTGGCATAGATCTTCATCAAAATGTCCTTTCCCTTGTGGTCACGCTCTCCCGTGACGAAGACGCAGCGTTTGACAGGCAGGTCAAGGTAGTGGACTGTCTTCCTCAGCTTCACATGAATAAGCTACAGCTTCGTCTTCTGGATGCAATTTTGAGTACAGAACAATGCTATAGGTACAGCAAGCTAAGCACCTCTATAACCAATACGTACTTTAATAGAATCGACAAGATGCCAAAGAAATTCGCCTCATTTTTGGAGAAACCCGTCTCCATCAGCGAGGCACTAATGCATCTCCTCAGAGCACTGTCAGACGTAGGCATATCTGATCCTGGCGAAACGAGGCAAACCCAGTGTAGAACGTTCACTAGGCTTGCTCTGTACACTCTTCTATCCGGGTCGTCCGGGACCATTATTGGGAGCTTGTATCGGGACCTTTTGAACAAGGCCCTGCAGACGCAGCTGAATGAGCTATTTGGCGACAGAGGCTTTTTCAGTAACGCGTTTAGGATTGATGAGCTATTCGCTAACTATCTGAGTTACTTCTTGAACAATATCGGCACTATCGAGGACCGACATCCGCAGCTCCGGACTGAGCTGGCATCTATTTTGGCAGAGTACAGTGACATTTCTGACCCACTAGAAAGGGCTGACCAAGTGTTCTTAGACAGGCTAACGGTGGAGACACACATGCCTCTTGTCTTTCTCTGCAGGGAGGCCCACTGGAACTACTTCACTTACATTCCTGTCCTTCTTTTTATTGGCTCCCAGCGATACGCAGACCATCTTCACCGACAGCAGCAGGACCTCCGCCCAAGCATCGTTCGCAGAGAGATCAGCGACCCTTATTTCAGGAATATCTTTGGGAGCAAGATATATGAGTATCTGAACGCTCAACGAGAGGTGGACGAGCGACCATTCATTTTTGTACCGCACAGAAACGGGCCCAACAAGCTGCGCTTAGTGATGTGTGTCCCCGAGGCTCAGCAGACCACAAGGTCGCTAATGTACTTCACTATTCAGGAGGATGAGCGCTACAAACCTCTCCTTCCAAACGGGCAACGCAACTCTCTGGCAGTGAGCAAGAAACTGGTGATCAGGCAGCTGGTCTTACCCGACGAGGCCCTTTCCTTTCCCAACGAGCGTGTTTTTGACTCTTTGGAGAGCATCATACGAGACTTTGTCCGACCGATTAATAACTTTCTGCGCTCCATCGCGCGAAGCAGCTACTTTGTGAGCGGAAAAGACGAGGAGGGCGAGCCTGCAAAGGAGCAAGCCAAACAGACGCTTCTTCAATCATCAAAACCTGGCTACCGCGTCTTTATTGAGAAACTGAGCAACCATTCCTATACCGTCCTCTTCAAGCTCCTCCCAACTGGCCCTGTCCGAGAGCTCCGCCTTTATATTGTTGTCGATGGAGTCGTCATTCGCTACCGTAGAAGTTACTACTACACTGAGTGTCATGAATGGGCAGATTTCATTGAATGGTTCAACAAAAATGCCGCTTTACTCAGATGAGACCGTCTGGTTGTAGAGAATGAAACTTGTCACTAGGGCTGCCAGTGCAAGCATGCTTGTGAATGCCAGGGAAGCCACTGTCGCGTAGAAGAACCTGGTGCGCACATCCGGGTGCACAGTAGGGCTAGCACTTAATATAGGGCCGACTAGCCAGAGCACTGGAGGGAGTAGACAGCCCATGACAAACAGTATCGTGCAGAGCGGCATGCCAGGCTGAAGGGCATACTCATTCTTCTTCACAGGCTCAACACTTGGGCTCAGGTGGATAAGAGAACCGGTGTTTGGCCATGGAGACGCCTGCTCCTGGAACGGTATCTCGCCTGGAGACGCGTACGGCTCCATACTATAGATTTGCGTTCTTCTCGTCGACTCGGATGCCTCTTTAGCATAGAGGAGAGCCGTCCCCTCGTCGTTGACCATTTTTGTTCGGATAGTAAACAGCGGTAGATAGGAATTCACTCTAAAGAAGCGAGTTAGTCATGTCTGTGGATAGCAACGACGTGCTGTCAGGATCGGAAACAGTCCGCACATACTTTCGGCCAGAATAGGACTTTCCACGTCGTCCTTTCTGAGCTGCCTGACCCTTCTTGCCGCGGACCAGGAACCACCAGACACAGAACCCGATGACTCCGCCTAGCACAAGAAGCACTGCTATGACAGAGCCCGCTATGACGCCGGCCGACGACTTGACGGAGGAGAATTCGCTACAGTGGACCATCTCCGGTTGCGAAAGGGATCCGACTGCAAAAACGACGCACTCCTTGCAATTCCTCACACCAACCAGCCCGTTGTCTGCGGTGGTGTTGCTACAATTCCGGCACTCACCGTAGTTGTTCAGATCATCGGCCATGAACTGAGCGAAATATCCTTTCGCGCAGGATGTGCACCGACCGCCAGCGCCGTTACACGTCTTGCATGGGCTGGCGCACTCCATGCACCGTCCATTGGAAGTGTCTGGATAGTACCCAGCCTTGCACTCTGTGCAACCGCTTGCCATGCACTTAGTGCATCCTTCCATCAGACCATCGCATGACACGCATGCGTGCTCGACGTCGCTCCCGGCCTTATAGTACCCGTCGGCACACTTCAGGCAGTTGCCCCCGAGAACCACGGAACACACTTGGCTCCCAGGAAGACGACTGCTACTATAACATCCGCCTTCGTAAAGGAAGTAGTTTCCCAAGCACCTGGTGCACCTGCCTGCCACGACGCTCTCGCAGGCGTCGCCGGCCCGGGAGGTCTTCGCATGGCAGGTACCCTCGAGAGGGAAGCTGGTCTGTCCACGACAGACGGAGCAATACCTGCTTCCCGCAATCACCGAGCCACACGTCGCGCATCCGTCCTCATTCTCCTTGCACTCGTCAATGCAATTTGCGGGACCGACCCCTGTGCTATGGACCTTCCCCGGCATGCAACTCAAGCAATGGCTCTCCTCTGGTCCTGAGCAGGTCCGACAATCATCGTCGCACTCCCTGCAGCGCCCTCCGTTGGAATAATAGCCATCCTCGCAAACGGCGCATGAAGACTCCCCGTTGCAGGTAACGCAGTTATCCATGAGGCATCGGCGGCACTCCTGCTCGGATGTGCTGTAGTAGAACCCGTCATTGCATAGGCAGCGATATTCGATGATGTCGGAGTCGAAGATGCATTTTCCTGGGGTCCCACAATTCTTGCTTCCGCAGGAGTCCTTGACGCACCTGCCGTTGTACTCGTCGTTACTAGTGTACTTCTTATATCCGGAGGCACACGACTCACAGTACTTCCCAGAGCTTCCCTCGACACACAAACAAACGTTGCTGACAGAATTGCACACTCCGTTATTCGTGCACACTGTTGCCGAGTACTGAGGATTAACGCAGTCGGTTGGCTGGCAGAGAAGTTCGTCCGTAAGCGACGCGTCGCTATTGCATTGGCACATCCCAGATGACATATCACATAGACCATTTCCTCCGCAAAGAGATGCTCGAGGATTGTATTGCGGGAAACAGGCGCGTGGAACGCAGCCATTCATGTAGAGTATAGTTGTACCATTGCACTTACAGCTATATGTCGAGCCACTTGCATCCGCCTCGCAGGTGCCGTTGTTGTCGCAGACGGTCACCCCGTCTCGGGAGCAGGACCTAGGCTGGCATGTTCCGTCTGACGCTAGGATGTACTCATCATTGCAGAAACACGAGTACTGCGTGTAAAGAAGGTTTGCACGGCACACGCCGCGACCTCCACAAACGACCCCGTTCTGGATACAATTGCTATGCACGCACCCGTTCTGGCCAGCGAATTTAACGAACGGCGGTGTGCAAGAGCATTCACCTCCTGTATTGCAGCTGTTGTCAGCACCGTCACAAACCACTGGCTGAGAATGCTCGGGATCGTTGAAGCAAGTGCTGAGGTAGCACAGACCGTCCCTGGCTGTAACGTAGTCGTCAGTACACCTACAGGCGGCTATCTGCGTGCGAGGATTTATTGCGCAGGTTCCGTGCCCATTGCAGACCTCGTTCGTTGCACTGTTGGAGATGCAGCGCGGGGAGACACAAAGGTACGGCTTGACCAAAACCATCCCAGAGACGCACGTGCATATATTGTTTGTGTTATCACACGTGCCAAATTGAGAGCCACCGCACTCTACAGTGGAGTCGCCGTCCGTACAGCTGGAGACCTTACAAATTCCATTGTTAGAGTAGTGGCCTGTCTTGCAAGAGCACTCATAGGTCGAAGTCTTAGACGAGTACACACAGGAGGGATTATTGGCAACAGTGGACCCGCCGCAGTCATCGTCTTGAGTCGACCGGCCGCAGTTATTTTTGACGCAGTTTGCGTTGGCTGCGATGGCGGTGAGAGTGTTAGGAGCAGGATACTCTTTATAACCAGTAGCACAAACCGTACAGTTTCCTGTTGGATCATTAGTTGATGCAGATGGATCGTCTGCATATCCTTCATAACAGGAACACCTATCTTTCCTGCACAAGCCATGACCATTACATATGGATGTAACAACTCCGTTATCCTTCACCATGCAAGCTTGGGCGACACAATAGTGAAGTCCAAGCTCATCGGTGTCGACAGTTTCATAGTTGGCATTACAAACGCAGGTGAACTCGGCCAGGCTCTTAAGCTTGCATTCGCCATGGCCCCCACACTCTGCCGGGTGTCTGCGGTTATCTGTGCACTGATTAGGGACGCAGTATTTCTCGGCTAGGAAAAAGCCGTAGGAGCAAGAGCAGGTGAATCCCGAACCCGTCCCCACGCACTCGCCGAAGTTGCCCAGCTTTCCACAAACGTAGTACTTGCTCAGGGAATCGATTTGGAAGTAGCAGCTCTCGCTGACGCATTTTCCATCTATAGCTTTGAAACCAGTAGTACAGCCAGTACAGTAGTACTCAGTGAACATGCCCATTGTACTCTCAGAACACGTTCCTACCCCGCTGCAAACGGAAATCTGACCATTCATATTCTGCGAGAGGCAATTGTTGCTGACGCACTGGGTGGGGGTGATAAGGAAGAATCCGTCACTACATGAACAGCGATACTGCCCGCCGGAGCCTACGCAAGACCCCCCAGTAGTTCCTCCACACACTGTGGCGCTACTGTCTGTGCCATTGACGCAGCTCTGCGGGGCGCAAGTCCAGACTGTGTTACCGTTATATTTCATCTGAGCAGCTGTGTAGCCGCTCGTGGGGCACTTGCAAGAGTACACATTAGAGCCTGATTCCTTTTCGCACGTTCCCACGCCGCCACAGACGGCCATCATCCCGTCTGGATTCGGCGCATAGCACATCTTCGGCACACATGTGTTGTTCACGGCCTCGAATGCCTGGCTGCATAGGCACGTAGCCACGGCTCTGGATATACCACAAACTGCGGCCAGGTCTCCGCCACAGTATACTCCATTGTCGATGCACCCTGTATTGACGCAAATTTTGGCCAGTTCTGGATGCTCAGAAGTTGGTGGCAAAAGCTCATAATCGGGATTGCATGAGCATTCGCCGGTGGACTCCCCAGTGATGTTACAAACGCCGGCCCCAGGCCTTCCGCAATTCAGAGTTATCTCACCCCAAGTATCTCCAAACTCATACTCAATATTCGTAATGCATGGTTCGACGGAGCAAAATGGACCGTAGGCAGTCCCCTTCGTGCAGAAGCAGGTGGACATATTGGTACGGGAGTTGAACAGACAGTAGCCGTTTCCAGAACAGATGGAGTCGGGGGTTACCTGAAAGTCGTTGTGATAATCCACAGATGTGCACTTCTTATGCACACACGTCTGCCCATATCTCACGAAGTCGGCATTGCACTCACAATAGGACTTCGAAGGATCAGCCTCGTCAACGATGCACGTGCCCCCTGCAACCACGCTATCACCACCGCAGAGTTGGATGTATGAGGCGCCATCGGTAGGATTTTGCCAGAGATAGACACAAGAATTCGGATAGCAGCCCCCGCTCACGTAAGTATAGTGATCGACATCCATGCACTTGCAGCCCCAGTCGCCGTCTCCCCAGTGTGTGCAGGTTCCACGGCCGCCGCATATGATTGGCGTCTGCTCATCTTTCCACCCAGAAACACACGCTCTTGGAATGCACTTATTCTTGTAGAACACGGCGTTGGCGCTGCAGGCGCAAGTGTGAGTTGTTCCAGTAAGATCCAGTATGCAATCGCCCAGCCCGGAGCAATAGTCGTTAATGTCTGAAGACCCGGAAGTAGCCCCATCGTTAAGACACTCGTCGTGCATACAGCTGTAGTGTATCACGCCATTGATCGTCCTGCTAACCCAGTTGTACTCTCCATTGCACGTACAGTTGTAACCGTTGGTTTCGGTAGTGCTACAGCTAACCATCCTGATCTCAAGAGGAGCTGTTTTGCCCTGTAGAAGCCCGCACATGAAATTTTGGCGAACGTAATGCTGTCCCGGTGTCGTACAGGCGACGGGATAGATGGAGGAAGAATTATAGGCCTGCTGGTACTGATTCGGATCGTTCGAGGTGCATATGAACATGTCTTCGTCCTCTATCTTGTAGCTCTCACACGTACCCAAGGGACTGTTATTCTCCTGTAAAGGATTCGTGCATAGCTTAGTAGGCTGATCGATATAAGTAGGATCAGACGGCTGATTAGGATCGACAGGAGGATCAGGATCCTTCAACTCATACCCATCATTATAACAATCACGAGGCGTGCAAGTTGGTAGTTGAGGAGGAGCACCCGTAGGTTGTGATTCTGGTGGGGAAGCTGTTGGCGTGAAGGATGTTGATGGGTTGCATTGGTCACAAGTTTCGCCAGTGTATAGAGTACCACACACGCAGATCCAATGCTCGGGGTTTGTGGCATTAAGCTTTTCGTTGGCAGGAAGGTCCCACGGGTCCTTCAGGGAGGCCGTTCCGCGCCCATTGCAAACACCATTCTCGTTAATTAGTTTATCAGGAACACAGCCGCCATATGATTGATACTGAAAACCGTTGATGCACACGCAGACCCGCGTTTGCTCGTTACACGCACCAGCCCCGGAGCAAAGCATCTTTGTGTTGGGGTCATGGCACTCCGGTATCCCGCAGTAGTGCTTCATCTCATCAACAGTGTCAAATTCCGACTCACATTCGCAGAAGCTATGAACTAAAAGACTATGACACACCCCGTGGTCATTACACGATGTGTTGCCATAAATACAATCATTAGGAACGCAAACACCGTCTATGTTCGTTGCCTCGTTAGGAGAACAAGTCTTGCAAAAGTTTCCAACAGTGTAATGCGGGCATTGACACTTGTACGTCTTCGTCTCACCGCTAATCTGGAATACATAACATCCACCAACGCCACCGCATGGAGGCTCGCCACTATTCTCGATGCACTGGCTAGAAACACAGCCATAGCCGTCCATGAATGTAGTGTCGGACGGGCATCTACAGGACCACTCACCTTGGGCACTTTCTACGCACGCCGTCTTGAAGGAGTCGTCGTAGCCGCAGACATGATGTCCGTTACTGTATTCAAAAATACACGATGATGCTACACATGTCTTGTTCACGAGAGAGTATCCAAACCCGCACATGCAAGTATAGGAGAGTTTCCCATCGACAGGGTAGCTGCCACAGTGTCCGTGACCGCCGCAGGGTAGCTCCTCATCTTCAGTAAAGCATTCCAGGGAAACACACTCTGTCACCCCGTTTGTAGTCACGGGCTTAGACGTTCTGCGATTACATGCCTCACAATGGTCGCCCAAGTGGAGATCGTTACAGTCGCAGAGATAGTCATCGCCTGTTTCCCCACCTGGAAGAGACCTACAGCTGCCGTTGCCGCTGCAAATGAGATCCGGACTCTCTGGATTAATGCATGAGGAGGAGACGCACGTCCCTGCGATGTTAACGAATCCATCTCTGCACGAACACGACCATGAGTCTGTGTCCTCGGTGTAGAGGCACTCGCCGCTGCCCCCGCAAACGCTCACACCATCAAGGACGCAAGCGGGGCTGACACACCGATCATTGATGAGCATGAATGACCGGTCGCAGAAGTTACATGCGCGGCCGAAGGACCCGCGAGGACAGTCGCAGATAAAGCCGGAGCTGAGAAGCGTCTCGAACCTCGTGCAGACGCCTCCGTGCTGGCACTCGTACTCGCCGTCTGGGTTCTGTGTAGGATCTATGCATCCCGGAGAGGACGCAGAGCTAAACAGGACCGCCAACGCCGCAAAAAGCATGGCCAGTTTAATTATTTGGAATGGGAATTTCAGTTAAAAGGTTTTGGGTCAATTATGATTATCTCAGCCATCTAATTAATAACTGCATGGGACTACAGCCACAACAGCGTACCAACTTAAACTGAATATGTATCAACATCTTTTCCTTATAAATTTTGCAACACAGTTAGACGCGGTCAACTGTTGCCACCAGGCGTCGTGCGCCGGGTATAGGAACACGCGTCATTAGATCTACAGTAGTGCTCCATTCCGACAGCTTTCTTGGAGGCTCAACACTCTGCCTACCTTGATTATATTCTTATACGGATTAGTTATTGACCAACGTAGACCATCTTTTGTCCCAGTTCTTAGCTCCTGTCAAGTCACTCTTTACCTCAAAAGCTGGTTGGCACGGAGAGCTAGAGTTTTGGCAGCTGTGGCGGGACACGTCCCCACATAGAGCGATGACAGCCAGTGAAGCCGTTGTGCCTCGATGACCTCATTGGGGTGCCATTTTAAAAATTTCGATGGACGCCTACAACCTTGGGCTGGATCCCAAGGACAACATCATTGCAAAGCACATAGATTTTCACCCGCAGCTCTGCGTCCTAGCTGCCGGTGGAATATACAAGGAGTCTGGAGCGGTCAAGTTTGTGTGCAGACGCTCTCAGTGCGGCCCAGACGAGAACATGTTTGAGGTCTCCCTCGAAGAGGTACTCCCTCTGAACTCTGTCGAGGCCTTGCGCTTCTCTCCCAGCGGCAGATTTTTGGCTGTGGCGGGCTGTGACTCTGAATCATACAAGCTCTTGGTCTACCACTTCCGGCCGAGCACGGCCGAGATCCAGGGCCTTGAAACTCTTCCTAACCTAGTGCCTACTTCTGCTGCCATCCTCCCCAGTGATTTTTCTGTGCTGTCTGACTCCGAGGGCAATATGCTGACGCACTTCCGACGCTTCTTGATAGATACTTGGCCCACGAGCATCGTGTGGTCTCCGGATGGAACGTCGATTGCACTCGCTGGAGGAAACGGAACGATCACTATTATCCCAGTTTGTACAGACAACCTCTTTTACAACTCAGTCAGCGACGAGCGTCCGCGGGACTCAAATCCACAAACAGTCAAAGTTAGCTCGTCACAACTCCTGAGCATATCGTGGTCCCCTTGTGGATCCATCCTAGCTGCTCAATCTCTGTCGTCCCTATTTCTCATTCTTCGAACACGCACTAAGAACGGACACGCGTCCTACTCTCTCAGATCCAAAGTGTCTTCAGTGGATATAAAGCTTCTGGGAGAGTTCCTAGCCTTCGGGCGCATGACTACTCCCGGTGAATATGAAAGATATCTCAGAGATTGCTTCTTGCGAGATGATAGTGGGGGAATAATAAATCCACCTCAACAGCCTGAAGAACTTGCCAGGGCTCAGATGGCTTTGCTTACCCAAGGATCCAAGAGTCTTTCTGAACACGCCACCTCTCCCTCCACTGTCAGTCTTTTTCTGGAACGTGGACCTGAAAAGGCCATGAATCAGGAACGGCGCTCTTTGCGGACCATGTACGCCATATCTCTCTACCGACGCGGCTGTGCATACTCTCCAGACGGGTCGTTCCTTGTTGCTACCTGCGGATTCCTCCCAGTTGTACCAGACAACCGGGAAGACGATATACTGGGGTACACCTTCTGCTCGTATGTCCTGTCTCGTCAGTCTCTTCTCCTGGACAGAGACAAGTCCATGGCTCCTGACATTGTCTTGCCCGGACACCGCTTTCCGTCTGTAGACGTTGCCTTCTCACCACATCTTTATGAGCTGTGTCCGGGAATTCCAAACTACTCTGGGCTTCCTTACAGCATGATCTTTGCCATCGTCGCAGGCTGTGACGTTCACTTTTATACTACCCAGGACTTTTCTTGCATAGCCGTGTTCAAGGGAGAGAGCTACCAAACAGCTTTTCTAACTTGTGTGTCGTGGTCTCCCCATGGGGACATGCTTTGTGCATTCGGAGCGTTCTATCAGTATCTCTTTTTGACCCTGCCGCCAACATGCTGCAAGACATACATAGGCGAGTCCGAGCGTAAGTACATACAGGATATTGTAAAGCTGTCCCTGGCCTCTCTCCAAAGGGAGCAGCAGCTAGCAAAGGAGCAGTACAAGCGCCTTTACTATGTTTACAAGACGCGGCTTAATAGCTCCACGGCAGAGTCGGGCGTTAATCATCGCTACTTTGCTGCCCCGAAGAAGCCTGTTGTCAAGCACTCCAGCTATAAAGATGTCATGCAGCTCTTCTTGGGTGCCTCTGCAGCCAGCGAAGAAGTGAATGGCAGCGGTAGAAAGCTTGCTATGGTGCCGTGCTTCGTGCTTAGTAGGCGGCTCTACGACTATCACTTTGTACCGCCCTCTCCTCTCTTTTTTACAGAAGCAGACTTAGACCTGGAGTTGCTGAAGGCAGAGCTGGGTGCAGACACAGAGATTCAGCAGCAATTGAACACTCCTGAGGCGCCGCGGCATACCAGATCGCGGAAAAGGCTCAGAGACACCTCGCCACCTCCACTACTGTCGCCTGCTGCTGTTTCAGCTCCAGGAGGAGAACAGCCACACGGCCACGTGGATAGAGGAGCGCTACTAGATCAGATGGCGCACAGCAAACCGGCCACAGACGAACAAGGGCACAGGCTGCCTATCTACGACAAAGATTATGCACAGCTCGCCATCCAGCTGGTCGACATAGCCAAAACATCCAAGGCAGCACGACGCAAGACAGGCGGCAGAAGGAAGAAGAACCCAGCTGTGTGGCGCTACAGGGGCTGGGTCTCGAGCTCCGAGGAAGAAAGCTCGGACTACTACTCCAGCGACGAACCATAGGATTCACTACAAACAGTAACAGAGGTATGCAAACAGCTTGCTCCTCTCCTCAAGAGTCATTTGAGCTAAGATGTCACTCATAGCGTCATGCAGGTTGAAGGTTTTGGCAAAGATCCCGCGAGTGAATAGAGGTGCATCGGAATAGACGACAGGCGTGTAGACACTCACGTACGACCTATCCACACGAATGTTTACGCCCATGGCGATGGCCGCGGTCGCGAACTTGGCCAATTCAGCGCTTACGGCATTAAGGCAGGAAGACTCACCCGGGGCCTCGTGGTTCTTGACGATCGCGAGGGCGAACGAGCCCATCGCGTCAATCTCGTCTATGGGAAGACTCTTGTAGAGAGTCCGGAACTTAACAAAGTCCGGCAACGAGGTCCTGTATTCAGCAGCCCACTCAATCAGTCGGACCATAAAGCACATGTCCTTGTAGAGCGTGCACTCTGTATGCGGCACGCGATCGCCGCCGCACGCGTCGCAGCAATACCCGTGGGCATCCTGCTGGCGCTGAACCAGTTCCCGAGCAAGATCGAAGTAGGTGAAGATGCACGAGTCTACGCGGTAATCCGGTTCTGAGGTGGCCGTGCTGACGATGAACTTCATGTTGTTGATGAACCTGTCGGCGGCGAAGTCCTCCTTTTCTTTCTCGCCAGCCCTAACAAGGCTTGCGACGCAGAGGACACTCGCTTCAGAGATCGCCGATATGTTCTCATGGAGGTAGCGGAGCTCCGCCTCGGATGCTCCTGGTATCAGGTACTTCAGGCTCTTACCGTTGCAATTGTCCAGAAACGTGAACGCCGTGTCCATGACAGACTTCTTAAAGTAGCCGTGTGTAACAGCGTTGACGAACCACGCCATCTTGATTTCGGCGACTTGGCCCGTCTTAAATGGATTGGGCAGATCTATCAAGAACTCAGTGAGCTGAACGAGGCGGAGGATCCGCTCGGGCTCAATGAAGGCGTCACGCTTCGACTCCTTGGTGACGATGAGGGGATACTTCTCCTGGTCGCTCTTGGGAAGGATGTCCCCGCTGAAGCCACGGGGACGGATCTCCGGGTTCAGCATGGTAGGAATAATGGCCATATAGCGCAGGGCGGTCTCGACGTTCTTCGGCAACGCAACGAGGTCATCATCCTGCGGGATCTCTGTGATATTGTCCGTTGCTCCAATCTTGAGCGACTCCACAATTCCATCATCTTTGCCAGGATTTGCACACGCATTATGGTAGCCCTTGGAGATCCTATCTATGTAGTGCTCGATGACCTCCATGGCGCGGTCGGTATTAAACTGCATGATGCAGCACCGGATAAGCAGAAGGTCGACGTCGAAGTGGGAGAAGACGACCTTCTTGAACAAGAACTCCGGAGCCCGCGGGTGCTGCAGGAGAACGGGGAGCGTGATGATCTTGACGATCATAGACATAGATGCCACGGAGAAGGACTTGGCCGTGATGGCCTCCAACGACTCGATCACGGAGGTGACATCCGACTCATTCAAAACGGATGCCTGTAAAATCGAGATCAGCGGGGAGACAAAGGCATTTGTGTTGCTGGAAATGAGCAGAACACCCGCAGTGATCGCTAGCTTCATGCTGGCGGCACGATAAAAGCGAGCCATGATCGAAACCAGATAGTCCACATGCTTAAAGACACGCTGATTTCCTCGTCCGCCACGAACGAGCTTCTTGCGCTTCGTCTCTCGTTCTGGGACAACACGATTCGATGCAGCGCAGAGCATCATAGGCTGGGCTGAATCTACTGCACAGGCTCTGGCCGCCATGCCCGTCCGCGCCATCTTCATTGGAACCGGGGCAGGGCAAGCGTGTCTCATGTACACCCTGATGTGCTCCTTCACATATTTGACGAAGCTGGGCTGCAGAGGCTTAAGATCGACGTTGGACCTTTCGGCTGGGACAGGCGCCAGGTGGGCAGTCACCACAACCGAGGTAGACAGCATGATCAGGAGGGACCGGTGCGCAACCGCGAGGCCACTGCCTGTAGAGATGCTCCTGAGAGAAGTCATGAACGCCCCGATGTTCAAAGTGCAAGCCTTTTCCTTGCAAAGCAGCCCGGCTGCACCCAAGATCTTCTCTATGTCGTCCAGCTTTGTACAAAGGAAGCCAAGGTCAGGGGAGTCCAGGACGTCCTCCTCGAGAACGCTATAGCTGATGATGCACTCACACAGGAGGATCATCCACCCAAATAGCCTATTGAATCCTTCTGTGTCGAAGGCGCGCTGTGCCTGGGGCTGGTCGGGGTCGAACGGATGCAAGTATTTCCTAGCCTCGTCGGACAGCTGGTCAACCACTTTCAGATTTCTGTCGTCGATCATCAAGCAGAGCGCTTTGTAGAAGATATGCTCACAATCGCCCATGAAAGTCTTGGATGTACGCACTTTGCAGATGTTCTCTACGTAGTCCCTGTGGTTGTGGCTAATCATAGCTTCGCGGACCTTCACAAAGTCGTCAAGCTTTATACTCACGTTCTTGACGAGGGAGCTCCAGGCCTTCTCATACTGCTTGTGTGCATGGACGTTGCTGAAGAACGTGCCGTACCCGCGAGATATGACGTCAGCAAGCCTCTTCTGGGTTGTGTAGAGGGTTGTGTAGTTCAGGTACAAAAGCAAATTCTCTCTGAAGGAATTAGCGAAGACTCCCTTGGTGACCGGGAGGAGGTCGTCCGTAAGAAGCTGAACCAAGGAAAACTGGATGACGGCAGTGACCGTGTCTGTGCTCATCTGAGACCTCAAGTTCTTAGAAATGATGGGGAGGCTCATCAGAGTTTTGTAGTACTCCTCTGTGCCCTTGAAGTCGAACCTGATCTGGACATTTGTCGGAGGAGAGGCGAAGTACGGGTCCTGCGCCCTAAGAAGTTGATTGTGCTTACGCTGCAGCGATACCTTCATGTCATTCGACGGAATCAAAAGTGAAATTGGCTTCACGATGTGCTCGCTGACGCTCTTAATGGAGAGGGTAGTCTCAAAGAAGACTGAGATGTACTTTTCAAGAACACTCTGCAGGTCCTTGAGGTTTCTGTTGGAATAATTCAGGACAATCGCGGAGGCTCTTGTAGCGAGGGAAAGCGCCTGTTCCTCTGTCAAATCCTTGTTGTGACAAATAAGCATGCTCTTGTCGTAGATTGGAACTCTAGCCAGAGTTCCCAGAAGGCGCGTGACATAACTGTGAAGAGACTGCACATACTGGAAGAGTCTCTCGGCAACTGGCGCCCCTCCGTTCACGGCAGGAGCCAAGACGTCTTTGTGGAGAACGAGATGTTGCAGGCTCTTCTTCAGGCCGGCAAACCTGTCCCGGAATAGCAAATAGGACAAGCCCTGGAGAATCTTTTCTGTCTTCTCGCTGAGGGATGGCGTAGCGGCCTTCTTTGTCGGGTCACGAGGCGCCACGCGAAGAGGAACCGAAAGCAGGACTGAGTCTGCCGAAGAGGCTGACAGGAGTGGGACTGCAACGACAGGATGGTGCCGTCTGTACATGTACCCAGGACCGACGTAGAAGGCGGACGGCTCAATCCGTGGGGCAATGTAGCGAGACATGTCCACAGGGGAGAGCAAGGAAAGATCTTCACACGACAAGGCACTCCGTATCTCACTGGACAAGGTGTCGTAGGTCAGCTGGTCAACGTGGTGCGGATACTCTACTGACACAAGACAGCCGCTCGGGTAGTGCGTCGGAGTATACTTGTAGCTGGGATCCATTGTTCCCTGAAGCTTTTCCTGCCATCTGGTAGAGATTTTACAGAGGACAGAGTAACTATCAGAGATGCTGATCGAACCATCCCCTGAGAACCGCAAGTAGACCCTCAAGGCTCTCGTGAAAAACTCAGTCGACGCCTTCTCAGGGCAGAGTCGGAACAGCACGTCGTGGAGCCGCGCAACATAGAAAAGGTTATAAACGGCCTCATCAGAATCAAATCTCGAGTTAAGATAGTTGGAAGCGTTGCTCAAGGCTTCCTTGTCCTTTAGGAACTTGTCGACAATGGACCTGATGTATGTGGCTGTCTCGTGAGCCTCGTCCAGGAAGACCTTGTGTAGCTGCTTGCACGAAGCCGTGATGCGGGCCATGGACGCAAAGGCTTCACAGTGTCTGCAGAGAGAGACAAGAACAGAAGAGCGGATATGCGCATCCTTGTTTGTCAGGAGGTGCGACTTCTCTATGTACTGCTGGAGAGACAGATTAGAAATGATCTTCGGGCAGTCCATTCCCTGGGCCTTGTGAAGCACCGCTACTTGGTGGGCAAGGATGTAGAGTGTGAACGCAGACTGCGCGCTTGCTAAGCTCTTTGTCTTCGCCATGAAGGCCGACAGAATGGTACTGGTCGAGACACACGTGTAAACCTCCTCCGGCTTCAGAGCTGCAAGGTCTTGCTCCGAAAGAAGCTGTTTCCGGCCGATCCCGAGCGTCCAGCAGACCATATACTCCAGGAAAATGAGAAGCAGCTTCGCGGTTGAGGAGACCATCTTATCGAGCACGTGATGGGGGTCCGCCTTTTCCCCTCCCCGGAGAGTCCGATCCACCTCGATCATGTCACCAGAAAAGAATGGAATGAGCCCCTGTGATACTTTCGCAAAGTACGAGGTAAGGAGGTCGAGAGATGGCCCTATTTCAGTGGGGTCCCGATGCTTCATAAAGGTAAGCACAAAGACAGTTTCGAGGTCGAAGTAGCCCGAGTTGACGAGATTCTTCATCAACCCCGTGTCCAGAAGCTCAATCAGATAAGTGTTTATCCACCAGTGTGTCAGGTTGTGATACGAATAGGCCAGCTTGAAGCCTCTATCGTTGGCCGCATAGACAACAAGGTCATCGCGGAGGCGCATGTCGAAGATGGAGAAGTTGACCCGTGGGGCCTCGGTGCCGTTGGGCTCGCTCAAGACGCCGAGCAGCAGAAGAGTCTTCACGGGGTTCATCGAGGCTGCCTGCTTAACGAAGGGAATCGACGGATAAGAGGATCCCGAAAGAATCGTCAGAAATGCCTTGGTGGGAAGCTTCTCCAGGATAAGCTCGTGGGGATACTTGCATTGTCTGACCGCCAGGGGGTCTTTGAAGTTGGCGAATTCCTGTCTAGAACAAGCCTTCCTCTGCTCCCTTGACAGGGGAACGCCTTGAGATGGGGCTGAGCAGTAGATGCGAATACCTTCCAGAGAGTACAGCTTCTCGTAGTAGGCACAGATGTTTCTGAGCCTCACCAACGCATCTGACGACTCGGCTGTCTGGGTCTCGTCAAGGGTGAACTTCGCCCTGTAGTCATCTAAAGCAAGGCTCAGCTTATTGAGCATAAAGGCCTGGAAGCCCGCCTCAAAGCAACGGGGGAAAACGGCAAAGCTGCCCTGGATGAAGTACACGCTGTAAAGCGCCTCACACGGAAGCTGGCGGGTCTGCCTGTAAAACGACTTGACGGCTCTCTTGAAGATAGAAGGATTAAAGTTACCGGTGAAGGAATCGAACGATGGCAGAGAGGGAGGAGGAGCCGCGCCCGAGTTCCTGATCAGCTTGGCAATGGCCGGAACCTTCAGACGGCGCTCTGCGCAGCGCTGGATGCTGAATGGGCCCTCAGCGCGGAGCCTCTCGAGGACATCTAGCTCTCGCTTGGCAACGGCCGTGTTCAGGACCGCCTTGATCACAGCGTCACTGGCGGTCCCGGCAATCACGCTCGCCAAATCTTCAGGGGTGTACGACGGTGCGGTCCGAAGACGAGTGCCCGACATTTATGATTGTCAAACAAAAGAATATGTTTTAAACCCTATCAAAGGTGTAGGTCAAATGTGATGATTAGTAGTAAAGCCTAAACACGAGGAAAATAATTTACCGAGAGGGCTGCTGACTCCATGGGCCGGCAATTGCGCTAACTTACGCTGTTGATCCCCGTGGACCCCCTTCTTGATCGCACGTAGTAGCTGGCAAAGGAGGGGGGCTCGGCCTCTGCTAGCACATCGGGCTGCGTATCTACTAGGTGTTGTATTCGCTGCTCTTGAGCCTTGATTAGGGCCCGTTGGTGAGGAGTGTGATTGGATGATTCAGCAAATGGAACAACATCGTCTGCAAATTCCAGCAAAATTGAGTCGTACGGGCTGTTGGTCGTACTCTTGGTCTGTTCTGCGTCTGCTAGACCGGTAGACAGGCTTCGGTGGGTGACTGTACTGGAGGATCGCTTGGAAAATGACCGCGCAAGCATTTTCTTGCATGCACTAATGGTGTTATAGCCACAGAGAAGAGACTCATCAGCCTTAGAAAGGATAGTTGAGGAGTTTAAGGGAGTCGTCTGCAGGACCGGAGCGCTGACTGTCATGGATTTGCTCCCGCTCTGAGTGAACATCTTATATCGATGTGAGTCTGCCAGGCTAGGGGCGCCGTCATAATCCAATAAATCACTGTTAGTGACGAGAACAGGGGAGAAGACTACCGGATCCGATCGTTTCAGGTTGTAGCGGAATCCAATCCATGGCTTTGCGGCGGGGAGTCTTTGCTTGTCGTTGGAGAGAAGGCTGGTTTCGAGTGGAGACAAGAGCAGGCTGGGCTCTGGAACACTGTTCGTCTTCTTGCGGAACGATAGTTGGTCAAGGAAAAGTCGATACCGAATGGGGTTTAGGTTCTGGTAAGGCGCACGCTTACCGCTGCGAGGCTCTGCTGAGGAGTAGTCGGCAGTTCCGGCTGTAGCCCGTACTGTAGCCAAGCTGGAAGATCGCTTCTTAGACCGCCCAGCCACACCTTCCTTGACGGAAGGCGGTTGACGGAGAACCGGAAGCGCGACCCCGTCTGCATCATCGATTTTCTGCGGGCTTGTCACTAGCCGATCATGTTTAGACAGGGGTATTCTGTCTCCGGGATCCTCGGAGGCTAGATTGTAAGGCCCTCGCTGACACGGGCTGGTCTCTTGTAGGTTCGGCTGGAGGGCCTGTGCGCGTTTCAAGTACTCCCACGGCTTATAGAGCTGCGCAGAGGCTTCTGCACTCGCCCTTGGGGAAGCCTGCCGTGATGGCAAAATATCCGTTTCGCCCATTTATTTTATGAGGACTAAAAGACCCTTGCTATCCCCTCTCGTAGGCATTCCACAAGCACAGGAGCCACGCCTAGTTACTATTGAGGAAGAAAGCTGCATCCAGCTCACTCCCCTCGACACAGCATTATGGGAACCAGTACCTGCTATGACTTCCAAAGCGATTGAAGACAAGAGGCACACATCGCGTTCTGCCACAGCTCCTACTATTGAAATTGCTGCCAAAGCCGCTGAGAATATACACTTGAGAGGTAGTTCCGCCGGTGAGACTATCGACATAGGATGTACTCCCGTAGAGAGGGGGTCTGCTGACTCCAATGAGTCTGCTGTCATACGCATACTTGATCACGATATGCAACCCAGTGAGCAGGCTGTCAGTATCGGGCTGGCCGTCTCACCCATGCCACTCAATGGCAGCCTGTGCCCAGCAGAGGTGCCCAGCATAAGCCAAGTAGAAGAGTCCCCGTTGGCCCGCGCTGCTGCTGTCCAGGGGATCAACAGGGCCATCATTCTAGGACCGCTGCTTCACGGACGGCCCGTTAGATCGGCAGAGCTTTCACATCAGTGCTTGAGGGGAAGGACGGTCAGCAAATTGTATAGTCTTCGTAAACTTTCTACCGTTCTCAGTGCCACCCTCGCTACATACACAGATACATCAGATGATTTGCCACAAATATAAAAGCAGTGGGCCCGTTGAATAGCAAACCAGATACGAAGGTATCCTTCTCTACAGACTTGATCTCCGATATCTCTAAGAGCCATGACGACGCGAGACTTGTATTCCGCCATGTCGATCCCAAAATCGCATCCAAGCAGAGAAAAAAGCTCATGCTCACGGAAGCGGCATCCGAGCTTCTTGCCCGGCCAGACCTTTCTGAACGGATCCTTTCTCTTGAGGATCCTGCCTCTGAGGAGCTCTTTGGAAAGTCCATCGCCTGCATAGAAGAAGTCTTAGGCTATTCTAGAGTTGATCCCAGCAATTTCAAAACATTTGGCCGGAGCACATCCTCGAAGTTAGTTACCATGAATGCAGGACCACAAGCACCACATGAGGATACCTCTGGGCAGTGTTTACAAAGAGACTTTATCCATCATGAGCGCACCGGCTCGATGGAGGCAGAGCTGATTACAACGTACCCTACCCTACTCTGTCGTTCTTCTCAGCCTTGCACGATGACGAACAGGAGTACACAGCAAAGTTTCAATGCCTCCCGTAGGCCATCCATTACTCCTGCAGCACCCGTTTTATTTCCGAATCTAACAGCTGAGTTTCACGCTTTATCCTCTCACAGGTGGCAAGCACTTCCACCTCTGGAAAAAGAAAGGCGCACGGTGAGCAGGATACCGACAATTACCTCCACAACTATACAAAAGACTCTGCGATCCCTGAGTCCGCTTGGTCCTGTGAACCAACCTCCATCTAGAATCCCCTCTTCTCTTGGACCAGCCGATCTTCCAATCTGCGTTCTCTGCGCTTTGGATCGGGGGTATTGGCCTGAGTTTGCTCAGATCCCAGGGGCTTCATTGAAAGGGAGCAGTATTCAATGAGTGATCCGGCAGAGAGACAGAGGTTTCTGTGTAAGACACGAGGAACGCGTCAGCTGCTTTATAAGCCTGTCAGCACGAAGCAACGCGTCTCTTCCTATTGAGCAAAGAAAATTCCTTTGTGCATATCCTTTTCTGTGCGCCTGGCAATGCTTCTGGATAGCCCGGTGTCCCCCTTCTTGGTTGGTGCGGGGCTTGGTTTATCAGTTTTGATTTCAGTCAGTAAATTTTGCTGAGTCGGCGTCGTTGGGCCCCTAATGCTGCCATCGTTTATATGTAGCACCAACGACAGCATTCGCTCGTTCATGCGGACGTGGACATTCCGATGCGCGTTTGTGACGATCCTCTGTAATACGTTTCTCTCGATGGTCTTTTACGCCTGCATGCCCCAGGTCTACGACCGGACGCCTGTTACCACCTTGTTCCTCTTCCTGTCACCCTTCCTCACATCATGCCTTTACTACTCTCGGAACAATTCCCTGGGCACCCCACTCGTTCTGGTTTTCGGGTTTCTATTCACACTCGAGCTTTTGCATCTGGAGCCGAGAGTTGCCTACACAAGCCCCAATAGTGATGTCTTTACGCTGGCCTCGCGCTTCTCACCTGTGGACTTGACTTGGCTCGAAAGCACAGACGCTCTTGTATATGCACTTGTCACGGTTCTCTTCACTCTCTTTCTTCGCTCTATAGTACACGCAAAGGGTACCCTGCGACTCACGTCTCCATATTACATCGGCATCTATGCGGGTCTGCGCCACTCGATCAAGGTCACCCTGATCTTTATTCTCAGTGCTGCCATACGCTGGACAATCCTCTTCTCGTGCGTCGCATGGCTACTCAACCTTCTCGTACGGAATGCGCCGTCCACCATCGCCGTGAACTATCATATGATTTACTACCTGGTCCTTCCGTCCATCGCAATGATAAGATTTGTGGCAGTCTTTCACGGCGCACTTGTCTCACGACCAATAGACATCTTGGAGCGACCAGACATGCTTCTGCCCGTGTCTGCATCGCTCTCCATTGGCTTTGGGGCGCAAACCTATGACTTATTAGCAAGACGCGTAGCTGAGATTTTAGCTGCAGAGAGCGATGTTATGGATGCAACCAATATCAATGCAATTGCAGTTCAGTTTGGAGAAAGCGGAGCCGAAGCCAGGAGACGTACAGAGCTCTTCAGTCGATTAGGAGAAGCCAAGCCAGGCCAGAGTTCCGCAGAAATGGCCAGGAAAAGGTTCTTCCACAAGCGCTCCTACGTACCAGACCGTTACAGAGATCAAATTCCTTGCTTTTACGTTGAGGATGTGAGACTTATGCACACCATCCTTTCGTCCATCTCACGGTCCCTTTACATAGTGGATTGGAACGGTTTCAGTGCAACATTCAATCGTGCCAACAGCCTTGCGCAGGAGGCACAGGTGCTATCCTTGGAGGTGACCCAGGGATGTTGCCACTACGGTGTTCCTCCAGCGTATCTGAAAGACCTGCTGCCTCTGCACATCTACTCTTACAACAACTCTTGTCCAGGATGCCTGCTCTATCTATTTGACTTCCTGATCCACTCCCTCTTGGCCACCGCTGCCCGCATGGGCGTAGGGGACATACGGTTCTACGGGGGGTGGTATGGATACGTCCTCGGGGACAAGGAGGCTAGGGATGTGAAGCGTCTCAGTACTGCAATCATTAACGTTCAACGTAAGCTCTATAACATCACGGCCTCCGAGCCGATAACGGACATGCACAAGTTTTTCGTCGATCTAGGAACTACATATGCTAATGCTGCCGGTCCGGGAGACCGCTTTAGAGAAGACATGGCCAATAATGACGAGTTGATCGACGACATGATTGGGCTTGACTTCTTGATAGGTCGCGACAACACCACGGGGTTGATCCTGGACGACGCCGGGATAGATTTCATGATGCTCAATGATGGGGCTCTAGGAGACATCCAACACTCAACACACCCTGCCCTCAATGTGGGTCAGCGACAGACGGCTCAGTTCGAACACTACAGTGCCGCAGAACCGAAAGCATCTGGCATTCGACACCACAAATTTGCGGTCCTAATGGCCATTCTGATTGGAAAGCTTTCCATAGAGGAGATTATCAAGCATCCTGAAGTGATTGATAGCTACACACTGGGCGCTCTTCTTCGTAGATTGTGGTCTTTATTTTTCGACTCTCTCGGTTCGCTAACTAATGAGAGAAACAAGGGAGGCGGCAAGGGCTTTTCTCTTCTGCGGCTAAAGTACGTATTTCGTACAATACGTGCTGTGCAAAGGCAACAAGCGTCCTTTGATGCAGACGCGGAGATCGCTAGCATTGCATGTGATACATTGCAAGACTATTTATCTCTAATCGAAAATACCTCCTTGTTCTTTGTAGCCAACGAGATTGTTGCGGAGTCGTTGAAGGTGCTCTACTCTTCTCTTGTGATGTACAGAAAGAAGGCACGGGTCTCTCGGGAAAACCTTGGTCACAGCAGACGGCTAATGGCGAGTCTTCGGCTATTGGCTGACCGCATCGTTGTAACCCCAACGGTGGTAAATTAAAGAGGGTATGCGTATTATCTTTCGGCACAAAAACAAGAAGTGGGAGACCGGCAGCTTGAAGACCGGGTTTCTGCATGACATAGCTCCTCGCTGGTTTCCTCCAAATGCTCTTCTACAGGTGACGTTTCGCATGAACGATGGGAAGGTCTACCTCGAAAGCTATCCAAAGTCCATGTATTTTAAGCCCGTCAATGGCACGTGGAGCCGTATATCCACGGACAGCTTTGCATTTAAACCTCCATTTAGCATCTCGGCAAGCCAGCGTGGCACATACACTGTAGCGTTTTATTTAGATAAGCACGAGCGAGACGTATCGCAGCACACTCACCTGTCAGTATCTGGTAATAATTGGCAGCCCTCTGCACGTTTTTCTACAGCGGACGCGGATCCTGTTGGCGTCCGGCACGAAGAGTTTGCTACCGTATCTTCCGCAATCATTAGCATCAAGGACGCCAATCAGGCAAGCATGTGTCTCTCCGATTTATCCAAGACAGTCCTGGAGCAGCCCTCCGTTAGCAAAGTCCTGGCCTCTGCTCGGTTTCGGATGCACCCTAGCTTCATTCTAAGACAGAACCCCTTCACACCAACAGCACAGGAGAACTCCTTTTCATCTGTTCTCGATGAGTCTAGCTTGTCACTGACTGTTTTGCAGCCCAAGTGCGACACCCTCTACATTCTTACCACGTGCCAGGACACCTCAGAATTGGATGAGATACTTCCGCGACTGCTTGGAGGCACAAATGCATCAACTGCGGGGTCGACTGGCTGGTATGGAGACTCCCTAAAGGGTAAGTACGTTCTGATCCGGCGGCTCTTCGATTTGTTTGCACAGCTTGCATATAACTGGAGTCTAGTGATGGCCAACAGAGACGCGATGTTGTGTTTGGTGGATGCCGTGGAGCTCTGGATAAGCCCTATTGTGATCTTTGCTCTTCTCACAAATATACCTATATACACGCTGAAGGAATATGCGGGCCTTCTCTCTCGTTGCCAAGATGTGGGGAAAGCATTGAACCAGGCATGCGATGAGGTGACGTCCTCGATTACCCTACCTTACGTTGGCGACCTTCAAGCCATCACTCTAAATAGCTCTCTTAGCCAAACTCTTTTGCCTTCCCGCGAATCGTTGCTTAAGGCATCGGCTAATACATTTTACTCCACTACCCACTCTGGAGATAGGCCATCTCTTCCCCAAACGTTCTTCCTGCCAGAGATAGAAACCACATTGTTTGCCAACGCAAACGAGCTCTTAACTCTGCCGCCTCAGACGTGTCTGACAGACATCCAAGAGGCAATCCTTAAGTATCTGGACTGGTCACTAGCTTTGACGGCCAACCGATACACTGTATGGGTGCGACTAACTCTAAATAGTAGTGTCTACAATCGACTCAGTCACGAAATTGACCAGATCTTCTGCGTGTCTCATTGTCTGACCTCTACGGATATGATTAGCGACTGTAGCATTATCCTCAATTTGGACAGTGATGATACTAGAGGAGCAGAGTTCACTATTCAGAACCTCTGTGAACTATTCCTTCGCGGACCACATGCGGCAAAGTACGAGGAATCCGCTACAAAGACCTAGTTGGTAAGGCTTCCAATTTAAAAACTATGCTCTCCAAGACCCTCCAGCGCGTGCGCTCGCTCTCTGTTTTCGACGTTCTTTACTACATACTGAAGTTCGTCCTTTCCATATGCACAGCTTACATGCACTGGAACCTCCTCAAGCTTTTTCTAAACAACGATATGCCGGGCATAGTAGTTCTGACGGGGTCCATGGTGCCCGGGTTCATGCGAGGAGACATCTCAGCAATTAAGAGCACCAACCACAATCTGGGAATAGAAGTCGGAGACATCGTGGGGTATTCGCTGATGCATAGGGCTATCCCGATATCCCACAGAGTTACCGAGAGACGTGTCATTATCGACAACGACTTTCCTTGTGACGTGAATAGCACTGTAGTAGACGCTACTGGAGTCGTGTTGCATCACGGTCCTTCCAGTATTGCAAAAGCTGCAAACCCTCCAGCACTGCCCAGTCCCTGTCGCAGACTGGCATTCATCACAAAGGGAGACGCAAACAAAGTCAAGGACACGTTCCTTTATACTACGGGGAGAGTGTACCTTGAGCCGTATGAGTTGGTCGGGAAAATGCTAATCAATCTTCCGGGCCTGGGATACATGACGATTCTTTTACAAGAGCACAAATGGGCGAAGGTTCTGCTTTTCGGAATGATTATCCTCATGGCCATTTCTGGACGGGAGGAGTAAGTCAGAGGCGTAGAGCAGAGTGATGGACAAAAGTAAAAAATGAGTGGGGGCTTTGAGACTGTCCGCGTTGACATGCCGCAGAACCCCTTCTTCACCCACGTTTTGGAATGCAGGGGTCACGACGAGGGTCATGGGGCCCTCTTCGACTTTCACTGGGAGCAGCACAACTATGGTACCGATCCATGGCTTGTTGCCAGCGCTTCTGGAGATCACAGTATCCGTGTATTTACCCTGCCCAACGGGAAGCACGTCAGGACACTGTTTAAGCAGGGCGGTCACGTGGAGTGGGTCACCTTTGTTGCGATTCTCCGGTCGGGCGACATTCTCAGCGCAGGCCTGGACGGGCGTGTCATCTCGTGGGCGAAGGGTGGCGCAAAGGGGACGGAACAGGTTCAGATGGGATCGATCGCCAACGGGTTCTTCGACAGGGAAACCCAAGAGAGTGTCTTCGGAGGGTCCCATGCAACGGTCTGCCTCATGCACCAAACAAGGCTCGTTTGGCAAACGTCTGTCCTGCCAAAGATGAAGGCGGCGCCCAATCTAATGACCTGCTGCATTTTTGGGGGAAAGTATGTGGGCATAGGCGCCCGAGACGGAGGTATCTTCGTCCTCGACAAGAGCAACGGAGACATCCTCTGGAAGAAGAAGGCCTTTACACAATCTGTCATTGCGTGCTATCCATTCGGTAGCATGTGTGTTTTCGGTGGCGCCGATGGTCAGACTATCTTTGTCAATCCAGGGGGGTCGACTGATGCAGCAGCGGTTGCCTCTTCTTGCTCCGACTACTTAGCATTTCCAAGTAACAATTGCGGGCGAGTCACTGCATTCACTGCCGACGATGATCTTCTCTTCGTAGGCCACTCAGATGGAACTCTCGCTATTTATGAAAACTATGAAGGAGATATCTCTAAACTCAACCATGTAACCATTACTGATAAGGTTCCAATCATGTCTATTGCGCATCGATTCGTGGAGAAAACCTTCTTGATATATTGCGGGCACTCTGACGGAACACTCACGATCTGGAACAATGAACTAGAAGAGGTAGTCCTTAGGGTTCCTGTGTGCAGAGGTGGGATTAATAAGATAGGAATCAATGAGGAGGCCAAGGTCACGGTTGTGGGGGGAGATGACGCGATACTCCGAGTTCTTGGCATGAAGAAGTAGTAGTAGACACGCGCTAGCCTCTAGTGATCTTGTATTTGCGGAATTCTGCTATGAACTTTTGAAGACGACGCCTTTGTGCCCGACTTTGCCAGGACAGGCTTGGCAGAGCTTCTTCCAGATGAGGCTCCAAGCACAGTTGACGATGCAGACGTGTTCTGGGTCGTCATCGACTGACCTGAACACTCCGTGCCGACCGGCTCTAGATCCAGTAAAGCTATCCCTTGCCTTTTGAGTGTCTGGATATGCTGATTGGCCTGTGGACCCGAAAGGATCTTGTCTACGTCATCTGGCTGGAGATCCTCGTAGACGCGGTTAAGCTCTGCAGTCATCTCTGATGGCTTAGAACGGTTTATTATCTCTTGGAACTTGTTGCTAAGATTTTTGCTCTTTTTGGCCAACAGTTCAGTGTTCGTGAGCTGCTTTTTGGTTTTGATCTTGGTCTTGTTGGCAGTCCTATCAGTTGCCTCAGATGTTGCCGTTGTGCCTCCCAGCCCTGCAGTGCTGACGTCAGTGCCCTGGTGCAGAGAGAAGTGGGCTATGGTAGGGCCTGCAGCCCCTGACATTACTTCGGTGTTTAGGCCTGTTCCGTCTTGCAATATCGTATACAACTTCCCTCCCTCCTGATCTTTTCCATCTAATAACTTCTTGGTCTCGCGCTTAATTTCTTGGTCTGTTAGAAGTTGGTTAGATTTATAATCTTCGAAATCATAATCATCACTGATGCTGCTGTAGTCGCAGCTGCTGTTCTCGATATTATCGGCGTTTTGAGCAGCGGCCTGCCTCTCACGGTAGATCTTAAGAAGAAGTGGATCCTGTATCCCTGGATTATCATCAACATCTAGTGCACGTGAATATGCTGTGTAGCTTTTAGGAGAGGATTCAGGATCGGCATTCAAGTCCTGCAAAGCCGTGGCCGTCTTAATATACTCCGTCAGATCCAGATCTTTGTAATACTCATCTGTTTCAATAACTTCCAACGCATCGCTACGCACCCTTGAGAGAATGTCGTCTAGCTTTTCACGATCTTCTGGAGGAAGGATGTTCCGTACAAGGTCTTCAGGTTTCTGGATGAGTTGAGGTGTTAGGGGGGTCTCATCGTCTCCTATACTGCGCAAGGGAAGAGAGCTCGACGCAACACTATCCATGGCTTTGTGGAGGTCTCCTACTAGTTCAAAGTTTGTTGGGGTCATATAGAAGTCCGTGAGGAGTTCTTTCACTCTCTCTCCTGTCATGTGGATGAGGCTTCTGTCTTTTTTAAGCTCGTTCAAGCACTGTGAAATCGCAGAGTAATATTGGACCAAGATGTTGTCTCGCCGCTGCTCCTTCAAATAGTCAGGGACTCCAGACTTGAGGCGAGGAACAAAGATGTCCAGTGGCTCGCCCAGTGACAGGCCTCTGGTATGCTTGGCCCAAAGTTCCCGCCCTCGCTCCGTCATATGGGAAGGCTCTGACAAAGTCACGAGCGTTGAGGACGAGTTGTGCGTGTAAGGACGTGATGGCCGCTTAGAGGCCGTCTCTACGGTTTCGTCGGCAGAGGCTTCTGTTGTGAAGGTTGGGGCATAGATCATGTCGCTACGGTCCAGCGGAACAAGCATGGACAGCTGTGCGCATATCTCGGCATCGCGGCGGATGTCTTCGTTTGAAAGCCGAAACGCATTTTCAGTGGGGAGATCCTCTGCCAAAAGTTTCTCAACTTTGTCGTTTTCTTTTTCAGTTAATAGTACTGTAAAGTTCGGATTGTAGATGTTATTGGGGTTGTATGTTGGATCTGGAAGAAGGGATGCCTCAGATGCAGTGTACTGGGAAGCGCCTGGGGACGATGTCTGAGACTCCAGGATGGTTGGCAATTCTGTCTGGAAAACCCGACCCCGACACCCGTCCACACGGTCGTTTTCCAGTTTCTCGTGGTACTCCAGAAGGCCGTCAAGCATCTCATCAAGATCCTGCGTCTCTGAGAGCACTCCGCTGTTTGCATCACAGCGGTCCCCGTCAGGGTTCTCTGGTGCATAAGAGGTGCCTTCTTGCAGAATGACAGAGAGAAGAACTGCTGAGTCTCCACAGTTGTGCGACGAATCGCTTTGCTCTGCTGACATGGAGCTATCAGCGCTTAGTACACGGGACGGTCCCTGAGGCTGGCTAGTCCCTTTCTGGAGGCGATCACTACCCCGGGACTTACCCTGGAGATGTGGCTTACCCGAAGACCCCTTCACATTTCGTTGGCCACGCCGAGAGCCGGGTTTAGGCGGTCCACCGGTAGGATTGCTCTTCGGAACTTTATCGATGCCCTCTGCTGCTCTCTCCTGAAGCTCAAGCTCAAATTGGTGCACCTCCTCATCTGTGAGCCTAAGATCATCAAAGGCGTCACTGGAGACCTCCGCTTGCTCCTTCAAGAGCCTAGCATTTTCCTCCAGTTGCTGCGTGGTTATGGTATCTGAGGGAATGAACTGGGCGGCTGCCGCCTCATAGCGAACGCGGCGTAGAAGCTCTGCTGCAGACGCGTCTTTGGACTGCTGAATAATGGTTCTGATCCGCAGGACCTCATCCAGCATGGCATCGCTTTCCTTAAGAAGATCGCTTACGGCCGTTAGAGACATAAGGGGTTCTGAATTTTCAACGCAGATGGAATTTATTTTTCGGGTCCTAACACACTGGCACGCTTTGTGCATGGTGCAAAAGTTCCATGTCAAGAACTGTAGATCCCGATGGAACCAACAATAAAAAAATATCATGCCCCCACAGGCCCAGAAGAGGCGATACAGAGACGACACAGAATCGGATATGGATGAGTTTGTAGCCAATATGCCAACTCTCGATCAGAGCGAGTTGGACCTTCTCAAACAGATCGGGAAGGGGCCCTATTCATCTGAGCTGGAAAAGCTAGAGACGTCCATAACGCGCCTAGCCAACACCATTAAGACAAACTCCGGCCTCGAGGATCTTGACTGTGGCCTAGCGCCTCCAAGCCAATGGGACATTGAGGGAGATGCAGCGATTGTACGCAACTTCATGGCATTGCAAATAGCAACAATTACCAACATACTGGGCTATGACAACACAGTTATAACACCTACCGGAGTCGCTCCACAGCAAGGCGGACCTGCCTCTTCGCATGACCCAGGGGCTGCACTTCAGGAAGCGGCGAGCAAGATCCCCAGACCCCCTGACTCTGACACATCCGCCTCCGCTGATCTGCACACGCTTGACGGAGGCGACCTGGGGGTTCCTCAGCTCTTTTCCGACCAGTCAAGGCGGTTTGGGGGCACACAGCCTGTGTGGCGTGCATGCATCGATCTTTTTGGGCACCTCAACTACGTTGTCAGCAAAGATGAAAACATAGCGCCAGCAGACCTTGAGGAGGGCATGCGCGTGGCCTGCGACCGCTCCAAGTATGCCATCCGTTTTCCTCTGCCGCCTTTGATTGACCCTCTTGTTTCCCTTATGCAGGTTGATGATAGACCTAACCTAACGTACAGAGACATTGGCGGTTGCGCTAAGCAGCTGAAGCTGATACGCGAGTCTCTAGAGCTTCCGCTGCTCCATCCTCAGAGATTCACAAACCTGGGCATAGAGCCTTGCAAGGGCCTCTTGTTCTACGGCTCTCCGGGCAGCGGCAAGACCCTCACAGCCCGTGCAGTGGCCAACCGTACAGAGTCCACTTTCATTCGTATTCTGGGCTCGGAGCTCATCTCGAAATACTCCAGCGAGGGAGCACGACTAGTTCGTGAGATCTTCAGCTTGGCGAGGACAAAGAAGTCAGCGATCCTCTTCTTTGACGAAGTAGATTCGTGGGGGCTGAAGAGATCAGTTAATGCAAGTGAGACAGGAGACACTGGGGTACAGAGGACGATGCTTGAGCTAATCACGCAGCTGGACGGGTTCAAGCAGAGGGGAAATGTGAAGGTGATCATGGCGAGCAACAGGCCAGACATCCTGGATGCTGCACTGACGCGTCCAGGGAGAATTGATAAGAAGATAGAGTTTGGCTTGCCGGACCAGAAGGGCCGTGAAGAAATATACGAGATCTACCTCCGGAAGATGAGCGTAGAAAAGAACATCCGCGTCAAGCTTCTTGCGCGCCTCAGCCCCAACGCCAGCGGAGCCGAGATACGCTCAATATGTACAGAGGCAGGCATGTACTGTTTGCGTGATAAAAGACGTCTGATCTCCGAGGCCGACTTCCTGAAGGCCATCAACAAGGTGGTCAAAGACTATCGACGGCTCGTCTCCACAGCCAAGTACCTTGTAGCAAACAAGCTCTGATGCACCCGCACTGCTGTTCCCTAGTAAATAAAAATGTGCGCGAAGAAGGACAAGACACCAGCCGCAACCATCACGTTTCGCGCCGATCGGGCCCCCGTGTCACTAGCTCTCCTGGCCTACGTGGGGGGCGTCCACGCAAACTACGTTGCTGAGGCCGATTTGACCGAACCAACGTACAAGGCGCCCGACGGCGTCCTCACGACGGGCTATCTGGAGCTTTTTAGGATCCTTTGGCCGTCTATGCCTGTTGAGGTCGAGATGCTTATTTCTACCGCCGTTCTTCCTCTTCTCTATTTAATCGACCAGCCAGCGCAGCCCGATATGCTAGAGACGATAGTCTCTGCAATAGCGCAGGATACGCCTGTCTCAACAGGACACAAGGAGCTTGACTATATCATCGTCGGCGCTCCTCACGCTGATGTCCTCGCCGGACACCCTAGGACAGCTTCTCTGCTTGAGGCATACGCTTCAGATGTTGCCCTTAAGGTTGCCCGCGGGCAGACAAGCATGGCTGTGAAGAACTACACCCGGTCTCTTCTGCCGAAAGACGGGCCTGTGCTTAACAACGCGGAGCTCGGAAAGGTCTGCACTCGCTTCCCGCCCGAGCCGTCCGGGTACCTGCACATTGGTCACGCAAAGGCGGCCATGCTCAATCATTACTTTGCTCGCGCATATAAGGGTCGCCTGCACTTTCGCATGGACGACACTAATCCCGGGCGCGAAAACCCGGAGTTTGTCGAAAATTTGAAGCGTGATATGAAGTCTCTGCAGCTCGACTTCGATTCCTTTTCCTATACTTCTGACCACTTTGACTTGATGCTCCAGTTGGCGGAGAAGCTCATTCTCGACGGGCTGGCGTACTGCGACAAAACCCCGTCAGAAGAGATGCAGAAGAGGCGATTTGATGGAGTTGCATCCGACTTTCGTGATACAGCTGTTGGAGAGTCTCTCCGTCTGTGGGAGGAGATGAAAAAGGGCAGCGAGGAAGGCCAGTTGACGTGCTTGCGGGCAAAGATATCCATCGACGATCCTAACAAGTGCATGCGCGACCCAGTGATCTACAGGGTGAACGTCAAGGACGAGCACCACAGGACCGGGACAAAATACAAGGTCTATCCAACCTATGACTTTGCGTGTCCGATTGTCGACTCTGTGGAAGGAATCACGCACGCCCTTCGCACCACGGAGTTTCTAGATAGAAACAACCAGTACTGGTGGTTCTGCGATAAGCTAGGCCTACGCAAGCCTGAGCTATACGATTTCTCGCGTCTTCGTATGCAATACAGTATCATGAGCAAGCGTCATCTGCAGTGGTTTGTGGAGGAAGGACTCGTGGAAGGCTGGTTCGATCCGCGTTTTCCCACCGTCCAGGGTCTCATGCGCAGAGGACTGCGCCCCGATGCCTTGCGGAAGTTCATATTGGATCAGGGCCCGTCGCGCCGCAACAACTATCAGGAGTGGTCGAAGATCTGGGCCGTGAATAAGCAATTCATAGAGCCCATTGCTAAGAGGTTCCACGCCGTCCACTCAGATGACGCTGTCACTGCCCGAATCGTGAACTTCACGCCGAAGCATGCGTTCTACGCGCTGCGGGATGTCCCACTGCATGCAAAGAATGCAGACTTGGGCACAAAGCAGGTCCTCTATCGTCCCGAGGTTCTCATCGACTCTTCGGACTTTAAGCAGATGGAGGACCAGGGCTTGAAGGTCGGCGATAAACTCACTCTTATGACGTGGGGTAACATGCAGATCGAGGCCGTTGACTACGGCGCCCAGACACTGGCCCTAAGGCATGTTCCTGAGGATACAGACTACTCAGGCACCTTGAAGATCACGTGGGTCGGGAAGTCAAGGACAGTGAAGCGTGTGCGGACGTGCTACTTCGGTCACCTAATAACCAAGGACATTCTTGGGCCTGATGACGACTTCAGAGACTTCGTTAACAAGAGTTCCTTCAAGACGTTCGATGCATACGTCCAGGGGAATATACTACAATACGTCAAGCCGAAGGAGACTCTGCAGCTGGAAAGGTGGGGCTTCTACTACTTTGACAGGCTTGAGAATGGGATTCCCATTCTCCATTACGTTCCCGAAGGTCGAGGCCATGTGCAAGTGGGGGCCTTCACCTTTTCTGGCGAGTAGGGAGCCAGCTTTTAGTGTGAACGGGGCGATTTACAATCACGATTATAGTGTGCATACTATTGCTATTACAAAGGTAATTAGCAGGGCAATGAGAATTGCTCGCTCGGCACGCGATTGTAGAAGACGAAGTCTTGTGCGTATGCGTGCTTTGTCAATGTAACTGTGACCAAGAGAGACGGATTGATTCATCCCCAGGCTTGTCTGAGAATCAGACAGAAACTTCTTAATAGAATCAGCAGACGTGGAGAAACTGGCACCAGAACCAATGGAAAGAACTATATTGTTAACGTTGCTCGAAGTGACAGAGTGGTGAAGGGAAACCTCTTCGCAGTACGACAGCGCGTTCTCTATCAAGGTTGACGTGGGCCCTAATGAAGTGGAGCGCATGTTTGCCATAAACACCGGCGCGGCTACATTCATGGCCTCCTCTGGGTTTATCTTTTCTGCTAACACTGCATTGACATCGACTGCAACTGTTGATGAATTAACGTTAGGCGGCGCAGATAATGTAACCGCTGAGCCAGGCTTAACCAAGCTGGGAGACACCCGTGAAATTGCAGGCTCATTCCCACTACTATGAATGCTGGTATGTGAGCTTATCTTCAGAGAGTCGTCACTCTGCGCGATATTCATTTCATTGACGATCATGTCTAGTTCTAGCTCTGTCTCTCGCACCGGTTCAGTTATCCTGGAGGAGTTATCCATGAAACATCCGCTCTGCGTCGATTGTTGCATGCCAATTGCAATCTCATCGAGTAAAGCTGTCGGTCTGTTGCCATCATCTTCTGGCTCCTTTTCTTCCATAGAATCGTGCTCAAACGAATCATGTACACCGTTACTGCATATCAAGTCTTTAGTGGTCATACTGTCAAGGTCATCGTCTCCAGAGAGCTTGTCTGTCGATGGCGGACAATTCTCAACAGAAGGAGAGTCGTTTGGAAAGACCGCATCCCGATCAATGGCCACGACATCTGAAGGCGCTCCAAGATAGAGCTCGTGAGAGGCCTCCTCTGGGTCGCCCGAAGGCTTGTGTGTATCCTGCAAATCGTGTGACTGTAGCGCTTCAGCAGGATGCTGCGAGCTCTCTTTCGCGCTCACCTTCTCCTGGTCTTCTGGAGTATGGAGATCTCCATGATCAAATGTCGACATTACTGAAGGCTGAGCTGGTGCAGGAGGTACATCTAGGACATCACTCTCCGTTGGCTTGGATTCGTAATTAAATGGTAAGGAACTGGAGCTATCTGACAAGAGATCAAGGGGTAGCGAGGGATCGAGGTTATCTCGCTTATCGCAGCACTCTGGCTTGATAACAGCAGGCATAGACCTGGGGAGCGGCATGCCTTCCAGTGCAGGTAGCTTTGTTTTGTATGTAGGATCCGAAGGAATATCCTCTGTGGCCATGCGGTCAACATAACTGCTCGTAAAGGTGGGAGTTGGTATTTTGCTTGGCTTTTCAATAGCAAGGGTGGGTAGCTCTATTGACGGGGTCTCCATCACATCCAGAGAGTGCTCTCCTTTCACTGAGAGCCCATTCATGGTCGGCGTATGTTCGATGTACACCATAGATGGTTGAGAGCTTTTGGACGAAGCCCGGTCCGAATGATGAGCATCCGAAGATGGGTCCTCCACAGCTTTCTCTTCTGCATCCAAACCAGCAGACTCCTGCTTATCAGTGGGCTCGGAGGGGTTTGATTTAAAGTCTGGAAGGTCCTCGTTATCTAAGTCAAGCCCCTTTTGGATAGACCGAGAGCCTCCTTGCATGCTCTCAAAATCAATGTCATCACCTTCCATGTCGAACGATCCAGTGGAGTCCTTCATAGGCGGTGTGAATACAAGTCGTTTCTTCTCGTGATCCCAGCTTAGAAGAAGTCGATAGTGCTCGAGTACTTCATAGTCTGCATCGTCTGCCAGCAGCATCTCACGAACACGCTCTATAGACAGAGGCGGGGGAGATGGCACGTCCGCTAATTCTGTTGTGCCACACCTTTCTACGATTTCGTTAATCTCACTCCGCAAGCGCTGGACAAACAATCTGATATCTTCTGGCGGCGATACCAGATTTGGATCTATCGTAGCGGTGGGTGCACTGTTCTTGGAGGGGAACCGCTCCAGGAAGCTGTACGCTTTTTGTGCATATGTACCTGCCAACGGCAGACTGTCTGATGTCATCATTGCTTTCGCAAAGGAACAGTAGGTATATGCAAGAAAAAGTGGTGTTCGAACAGCAAGATCCTGCTGAATAGCAAGGAAGATAGGATCTTTGTCGTGGATGCTCAAGAGCTGCTGTTGCAAAGAGGTAGATATATCTGTGTAGAGAAAAGTAACGGACAAAAAGCTTTGCATATCTGAAGGACCGCCTTGTTCAATCCTATCAATGTCAATTGCAAGTAGTAGCTCTATCATCGAAAGGTCAACAAGAGAAAACAGAGCATCAAATGCGTCGCTGTGGAGGCAGCGGGCGAGTTCGGTGCTCAAAAGCTCATCGGGGAGGTAGCATGCAAAGGAGTCACGGATAATGCTAGAAAGCTCAAGAATAGTTTTGAACAGGAATCTCTTGTGAGGAAGAACGGCGTTTAAGGGACCAGTGCCAGCAGAGGCCTGTGCACAGCAAGCATTGAATAAAATGGCGAAAGAACTGTAAAAGGAGCTGAATATATCATTGTAGAGACATGTGCTTTGATAGGAAGCGCTATCTGTAGCACAAAACTGCCACACATTTGGGTGATTCTTGGTTGTAAGCTGCAAGAGGGTATTGTTGTTCCAGGTCGTTAAAGAGTGGACAGAGCTTGTCATGGCGCAATACCGCTGATACTCTCGGAGTGCAGTATCTGACTCAAGATGCTCCTGTTCTAAAATTTCAGCGGAGTCTCGCGCTGCATCGCAGAACCGGCACTCTTCATCTGCACGCGACTTTTTCTTTGCCTCCCAGTACTTCTGGACCTGCACGAGCAACTGGTGACTCTTGAGGTGCCGTAGTCTGAGAGGTTGGACAGGAAGAGAGAGGAGCATTTTTTAGATGGAGCCCAGAAGCTGCTGCCTGTCCAGACACGTGAAATCGGAAATTTACCACAACATCCTGCACCGTAGTGCTAGTGGCTATGCACCCTTGATCTTTCCTTGTTCGATGGACGGATTTCCGCTGACGATTGTTCCTTAAACTAATTTTGGTGCTCTGAAAGGCTGGCCGCGGGCAGAGTGCCGATGCGGATTCCTAAGCCAGACCCTTCGACGGCAAGGAGACGCCTAGCACTACCGGCCACGCTGCAGGTGCATGGTCAGGGCCAAATGCGCGCCTTCTGCCCTCTGTTTCATAATTATTAATAGTCCGCTTTTGCGCCAGAAAAAAATGACCACCGTCTCCACGTCGTTTTCTCTCAAGGACCGCCTCGCAAAGATCAACAGCCGTGTGACCGACTTTCACGAGGACTTCAAGAGGCAGGTTGACGAGACCAAGCAGGTTGACCTCGAGAGGTTCGAGCTCATCCAGAACGGGATTGAGCACCTTGACAAGATCCTCCAGTTGGAGACCGAGCGAGCGACCAAGCGCCTCGATGACATCCGCAAGAAGTTCACCACCCGCATAATGGACACAAGAGATGCGCTCGGGGCCTCTGTGAGCCTCCACACGAAGGAGAACAATGACAACTTCTCCGACCTCGCCCACAAGTGCAGACACGCCATGGCGAAGATCGCCCAGGAGCACGACGATCTGCTGGAGTCTATCCGCTACTTCAAGACCAGTGCCGAGGAGTCCTTTGGCGCCTTTATTGGCAATCTCACCAACGAGCGCAATACCAGGATGGCGCTGGCGACAGAGATCTACAGCAAGGTGGACCGCGACCTCAAGCATGCCACCGACATGAATGACCGTGCGCGTGCAGACCGTGAGCAGAGCATCGACGAGTACCTCCGCGACTCCGAGATCCTGAGCAGGCACTATGAGTCCATCGCACGCGACGGTGTCGTCTCGCTGTCTGCAGAGTGCAAGGTTCTCGCCGGCGTCGTTGCTGAGCTGATTGCGACCCGCAAGACCAGCTACGACGAGATTGTGAGGACCATGGGCTCTGTCCTCGACGGTCTCCAGAACAACATGAAGAAGATCTCGACCTTCATTCGTCCAGAGGACGACCAGGAGGAGAAGTTTGTCTTCTAAGACAGGCTTTTGTCAGGCTCAGTGAATTGTGCCTTTACCCGTTTTATTTTCCTTGCGCTCGTCGACCCCGATGACCCTAGCGAACGCAGAGGTGGACGCGTTTAACGCTGCCTTGGGAGAGCTTAGAGCCATCACAGACAGGGACGAGGCAGAGGCGGTGCTCCGGGGTCTGGCAGCCCAGCTACGCGCATATGAGCGCCGGGCACAAATAACGTCTTCTCTGAGCGCTTATGACAGGCGCGTCACAAATATCCAGCTGACTAAGCTGGCTTACAATTTGGCTGCAGCGAGGCAGCTCAAGGTCCCCCGCAAGGCTTTCGCCTTTTCTAGCAGGAAATATATCAAGAAGGACAGCGCGGTAGAAACCCCGAGCGCTCCCGTGATTCAGTACATCGATGAAAACGTTACCTGCGACATTGTTGACGCTAGCTTTCGACTCGAGCCGGACAAAGAAGGCACGGACTATACTCTGCGCAAGTGCGTCAACGCGCGAATAGTCCTCCCAACCCAATTATCTACATTGTACGTCGATGATTGTGATGGCTGCATGATCTTTTGCAGCAGCGTGTCTGGAGCATTACACATGGAGCGCTGTCGCGGGCTGGTGGTCATCGCTTCCTGCCATCAGCTGCGGATCCACCACACAGCGTCCTCGACGTTTGTCGTGGCTGTCGGAAGTTCCCCTATCATTGAGCACAGCCTTGATCTGCAGTTTGCGCCGCTCACACGTGCCACCATTGAGGCACACACGGCCCTCCTCGGCAAGTTAGATCCTGAGTTCAACAAGCGTTTACTGCAGTCGGGTTTGGACCCAGTGCTAGACGAGACCCAGTGCTTCACCGTTCGCGACTTTTCATGGCTAAAGGCGGGGGACAACCCGCACTATAAAGTGCGCCGGGACGTAGCCTCCCTAGAACCAGAAAACTTGTTTGGAAACACGGTCACCGCCCTGGTTGAACAGTAAAGAGAGTCCTTGCACGATCGCGTACAGGGTCACTTCATTCTTAGGCCCGGGTAGGCCTGCATGGGGTCGGCTGAAACAGAGCTGCGGGGGGCGAGATTGGCGTTCCTCAGGCTTCGCAGGAAGAGTGGTTCCTCTGAGCTTTTGTCTTCGTGCTTATCACCCTCCATTATGGGGGCGGGTTGGAACAGTTGCACAAACTGTTGCTGGCCATCCTTGGTTACCAGGCGCTCCATAACCTTCTTGGCATCGTTCTCCGTAAAGGGGCCTTGTGGCGCCTTAACAACCCTTGCGGCATCGTTAACCAGCCACATGTCTACAGTCAGTAGCCGCGTGTCGTACACCCCCAGCAGATTGAGGTCGGTGAACTTCTCGCGCTCGGAGAAGTACCACTTCTTGAATGCCGGCATTTGCAGCCTAGCCGCCTCTATGTTGCCGAGATACATAAGCTTCTCCAGTGACGCTAGCCCTGCCTCTATGTGTTGTGTAGACGGCTCTGCACTGCTCCCAGCTTGCTTGCTAGCATTGTTTGCCGCTGGAGAGGGAGCAGCGTTATTTGGCGGGGTGTACTGGTTAATGTGGATGTGAACCTCCTTGTCTTTACTCTGCTGCGGGGGCGAGATCTGCTGCTGCTGGACTATAACTTCTTTCTCTTTTCTCTCTTTTTTGCGACCCAGATTAGCCCCGATGGCGCCCCCTATGAGTCCTCCGATGAGCCCGCCAAAACCCCCAAGCACCCCATACTCAGGGACACTATGGTGGTGACAGTAGTGATGATGGTGGTGAAAGTGCGATCTCTCCCAGCTCCACATTAATTTTTACTTTGAACGCAGAAAACTGAGGTTAAATGGATCGCGCTCACTATTTCATCCGGCACAGGCATTAGGTGCGCTAGTAGGGTGGGTGTGAGTATTCTGGATGTGCCTAAAACAGTCCAATTTCAGAACACCATGACCAACAGCGGGACCCCTTGTGGAAGAAGGGGAAGACGGGTGCTCCGAAAGCCTGCTACGTGGCGCAACCAGCGCTGTACAGACTACTGGGGCTAAGGCCATTTTGCTTATCAACTGCGCGTTTAGTGCCGCCTGCGGGCTTTTGTCAAGGGTTTAAAGCGCTTCCTACTCAAGTCTATTGCGGGACACTCGCAGCGATGTGGATGGTAGCAGGGCTAATTATGAAAGAAACTGAGCCTTATGGTCGCAACGATACGCCTGACACGCCGATAGATTGGCTTGGTTTGCGGCAATAAGTATTCGAGGGCCCAAAGTACTGGCATGAGACAGGCGTGAAAAGGCGTCTCCCTCACAGTCCAGGGTTTGTTGGCTTCATTCACTGATGGCCCACTTTTTGTAAATAGCAACTGCGGCGGTTGTGATGTTGCGAACATATGGGCCATACTGAGACGCACCCATATAAGATTGATCGGAAAGTGGTTGACGACTCGCACAGCGCATCGGTGTGTCTCCTTAGGGATACCGTCTACCTTATCGAGCACTGTTTATGATAATAGAAAATGCAAGGAGCGCATCAGAGCTTGTTCCTTCAGTCTGGCACGGAAGGATGTCAAGGATCGTGCTCCTTCTACTACACAATTGGTGACCTGTTCTAAGCAGGGGCCTCTCCGGGCCGGGAATGCCCTCATCTCAGACAGCTGCCTGACAAGCGGGTGCGCCTCGTATACTTCGCCAGCCAGCCAGCAACCGGGAAAAGGGGTGGCCACTCCCCTGCCCCCGAGCGTGCTCTGCACAGCGCCGTTGACACCGTCATGGCTGGGGACGGCGCACCCGATATTCCGTGTTCGCTCTTGACGAGCTGCATCGATGCGAGGAGGGGTGCTTGATGTGGGCAGCTTTGGTACTGTCCATGTGATAGGTAGCTACCCAAGGCTCAGAGTGGGAAGCTCACGGAGGCCACTGGGTCGCGCTGGCCACCATTTCCAGACGCTGACACCTAGATGCCATTAGGCACTACCGGGTGCTCAGAGACGCCCACTCCATGTCATCGTTATGGACCGCTGGGATCGGTGCCTCAAGATGTGGTTGCCGATTGTGCAAGAACCGGTAACCCTACCGATACAGTGCTCTCCATCATGGAGCAGATCGTCATCATCCTTACCTACCTCCACGACCCCGACAAGATCGATGCCAGCGAGGATCCCTTCCCTGTGTCGTCCACAAGGATTTCGAGTCTGCCGGTGGCCTTTTTGTTGTCCAAGAAGAGTTGGCCGGGTCATTGATCTCTGAGCGTGGCTGGGTAGGTGGTCGACACACAAACGTTGCAGCGAGCTACAGTCGACCATCAGTTTCCGCTCATCCGACTTCAAGAGTGCATTCTGTGGCAAGGACAAGCCAAGGGCCACACGAGTTAAGTCACAAAGCACGATGAGACAGTGACGAGCGTCGTTGGGGCCTGAAGACGCTACATCACCTGACAGCGAGGCTCATGGGCGGCGCCCGGTTGGCCCAAGGCTAAGGGATGCCCCGCCGGTCGTGATAAGGGCCGGGGCCGTTGCGCCGCCCATGTCCTTCGAGGAGAACATAGCCCTGCTGCAGAGCGCCAAGCAGGACGGCTGCATCTCCTATTCGCGGAGCCGCGCCGGGTCCAGGGCTCTCTCTCTGAGCCGGCGGAGCGTGTCGGCAGGCCGGCGCTCCGAGGCCCCGCCTCTGCAGCCGCAGCGTCACTGTAAATAGTTGTCTGTCGCCGGCCGTGGCACCGGGGCGGTCTTCTGCTGTGCGGCCGCCCTTGGACATTGATCCGGGGGCTGGGAGCCTGGCGGGCCGCCACCCCTGGGCCAGCGGGTGTCCGGGCGAACCTCCCCACAGTCTGGAGCTGACGCCTGGGGAGCGGTAGCCGCTTGCACGGTGCCTGGCTCCTGGACGTGTTCCAGCTCATGGGCAAGCCTGAGATTCGTTGTTCTTGGTTCGACCGAGCCCCTGGGGGCACACAGACTCGAGGAGCCAGCAGTTTGAGCGACACAATGCGAGGGACCAGAGCGTCTCGGATCCATAGAGGGCGCCGCAGGTGGGCGCACAAGACCGACGTTGGTGCACTAGGTGTTATCATGGCGGGCTTCATGAATAGATGGGAAGCCACATGGAGCACCACAAGGTGAGAGGGTAAGCACTGTGTCCGTGTGTGAGGATGGCCTATGTCTATCTCACGTAGCCGGGCTTCCTCCCGCAAAAACGGGTCATCAGGACGACGTCGACCTCTATGAGCCCGTCTGGATGACGCTGTGCCGTCCTGCGCTCAAGGTCCAGTTGCACGGAGCCATCCTCCTTAGTGCCTGCGTGGTGCTTGGTATCCACTCTTGTGAATGCGGAGCTCAACGGCTGCGCCGACACAGACTGAGCGTCTGTGGCGAGCCGAGCGGATTGATAGGCGGCTGGTCTGGGGAGGGTGTACAGGAGTGAAGCTAGTTGTTTCCTTGCACCTCAAAGCTAGCCAGGGCGCCGTCAGGTATGGCCCGGTGGGGGAGCCAGCGGCTAAGGCGTGCGTTGTGTTTGGTTCTGTGTGCTGTAGCTGAGGCCGCTGCCTGCGGGCAACATAGTGCCTATCTTAGCGGCGGCCTCTTCCACTTTTGGGTGGTCGGGTGCTTTCCAAGGAGGTGGAGTCGAGCGTTCCGTTGGGTTCGGCGTATAGCTATTCTAGCAGGATTAGTGCCTCACCTCCTGGTCTTGGCCCAGGCGCCGCGCGTCGGTGCGCCCACCTGCCCATCTGCTTGCCTCGGGCGCGGTGGAGCCACAGTGCAGAGCGTTAGGGGGAGGCGGCCACCCACATCTGCGCCTGGGCCCTCCTACCCCACGCCAGCCGTCTGCCCCGCCTGGTTCTCGCCGCTCGGGTCGACTGGTGCATCCACTCGCGCGGCGCCGCGGCGAAGCACACCGGCGGCGGGTCGCGTCTTTTCGGGCCTGTCTGACTTCTCGTCTAAACTATTTGGCGGACAGATTCCGAATTGATTTTGATTCGGCCTCGGGTTGACCTGGTGTCCGGAAATAAAAAGCAGCGACCATGTCTGATGCCACCATTCCGACGCCGCCTCTGGAGCACCCCCCGAGGCCGCCCGGGATCTTCTCGAGGCTCCTCTGCATCGCTCGAGCCGTTCGAGCCCTCCCCCGCACCGTTCGAGCCGCGTTCCGCGCTGTGATGCGCCTGGACCAGCTCACTGTCAGGTTCACGCTCGGCCAGGGGAGGGCTTGCCGCAAGGTCTCGGTTGTGCTCTCCCACGGGAGCCAGCCGAAGTAAACAGCGCCCAGGGCAGGCCGCGCAGGCTCTTGCCCTGCCCTCCGCAGAGGGGCTTGAGGAAAGGCCTTCCAGGCGCCCGCACGACACCTCGGTGCGACATACCGGCAGCGCCGGCGTCATTTTATTTTCCGGGAGAGATTCCGATTTGCAATGGTTTGGGTTTTTTGGAAGACGGCGCCGGGTCCCGGGGCGGCCCAGCGCGTGGCGCCGCGGCATCTCCGGCGGCCGAGAGGCTTGCGGGGGCGCGGGCCGCCGCTCCGACCCAGGGCGCAGGGCCAGCGGCGGCGGGGCAGAGTAGGGCCCGCGGGGCGGGAGTCCGGCCCAGAGTGTGGGATGGTTGTGGGTCTGCTTCGCCATCGTTGGTGCTGTCGTGGATTGGCCGATGCTCGGGCCCTCCCGGACCTGCGGGGTGCCTCGTGCGGTGACGATGGAGTCCTCCTTGATGTCGAAGGATGAAAGCCCCGTCGTAGTTGAGGCTGTGGAAGTGGACGAGCTGGGGCCTGTTAGAACCGACGGGGAGCTCTTTGAACGAGCTAGAACCCAAATAAGGCGCCGCAACCTCAAAGTGAAGAAGTTGTACAATATCGTGCTCGATCAACGTAGAGAGCGCGATCACCTCTACAGGGAGCACGCCAGTAGTATATATCCTCGAGGCGCCCGCTTTCGTTTTTTTGGGCCGGCCGGGGGCCTTACCCAAAAAAACGAAAACGACCGCCGCGATTTTGTTCTCCCTGCTGCAATCTCCCGTCCAAACATTATGATTTTTGATAGAATAAAAAACCTGTAATTTTTCTAAAAAAAACGCGCCTCCCCCCGGAACCGCCCAGCGTGAACTGTGCACGCCGGGAGGAGACGCGTTGTGGGTGTGGTACGTTCGAGGCTCAGTTCAGCTGCCGGCCAGCCAGCCAGCCTGTCGGGCCCGCACGACACCGAGGTGCGACATACAGACAGCCCGGCAGGTCAGCGTAATTTTTTTTTTCTGAGCCCTGTGAGACCCCTCGTGCAATTAATTGTGACGAATTGATTTTGATTTGATTCTGATTCGGGAATTGATTCGCATGACCGAGGAGCGCAGGTTTACTTGGGTCGGATGTGGAATTCTATCTGTCCGCCAAGTATCTGTTTGAACGCTGCCACGATCTCCTCTTCGGTCTGGGGGAAGAGTTCCAAGTCTTCTGTCGCTTCAACGTGTATGGCATAGTGTATCTCTCTGAGAACGTCTTCGTCTGCCGGCTCGATGGGAAACTTGTATATTTTGCCATATTGCACGCAAAGACAGTCGTCCTCAGTAAACATTGTAAGGCCATAGGAGGTCAGTGTCATAACTATCAGCGACCAGAGAACGGCCGGGGTGAGGTTATACTCTCCGTGCGTGACGGGGTCGATCTGGAGATAGCTTCTGTTATAAATCGGCTCGTCTTTGTTCAGATCTTCCGGCCGTTCGAGGTCAAGAGCACGCTCGATGAAGGTGGCTATGGCCTGCTCGAAGTCCTCCTTGTTAAGCTTGCGGAGGTCCAGCATTTTTTTTTTTTCTGCAGACGCCGGAAGGAAGTGAATTTAATATTGTTTGGTAGAAGTGGATTTGAAATGGTTTGCGTCTTTATGATAGGAGCGTCAAGAAAATAAAAGGACGCATGGCAGATGGCATCATTCCTGAGCATTACACCGAGGACCTCTTCACGCAAGACATCGCCCTCCCTCCTCGAGGATCCTCTCGCAAGCGAAGCCCCCTCAAGGCTCGAGCGCACGCCGACCCCGACCCCGTTCAGCAGACTTCGCACCCCGAGCCCGCACAGCAGACATCCGCCCGCGCCGGCCCGCCCTTCAAGAGCTTCTGTGGCCAGGTGGGAAGACTACTGGGCCGCATTACTGCCGACTGCGCCGAGGGCACGGAGGACTACGAGCGAGTCACGGCCTGGTTCTGCCAGTGGCTCAACCAGCTCGGGGTCATCTTCCGCTTCGTCAAGAGGCCCGAGGACGAGTTCGTGCGCGCGCCCCACTACACCGCCTTCTGCAGGCGAGCATCAGATGGAGTGCGCTCTGCCTTCTACCTCTTAGAGGAGACCGGGGAGGAGTTAGTGAGGCTGTCGCGGCTCCCGAAGTTCAAGCGCTCGTACACGGCGACAAGTCCGTGCCTCACCGACGAGCAGGCGCTGCAGTGGGCAGAGGGCATCCAGTGCTTCCTCAACGCCTCGACCGAGCCGGGCACGTTCGCTCGCTTCCTCGAGGAGATCTCGAAGTAAACATTTACTGGTACGTGTTCTTCTTCCAGCGGTTCCTCGGGATCAGCCTCTTGCGGGTGCGGACGAGGCCTGCGCGAGGGCGGGGCTTGGGCGGCTCGTCGATCTGGACGCGAATCGGCTCGTTGCGGTTCTCGAAGGGCACGGACGCGAGGCGGACCGGGACGGTGCCTGCGTCGTAGAAGGGCGTCGGCTTCTGGGTGAAGAGCTTGTTCTCGTTTTTCGTGGTCCCCTTGCTGCTGAGGAGGTGGCCTGCCATACTTTTATTTTTGGCGGGAGAATTCACTTTCAAATGCTTTGGCATTTATTGGGGAGGCCGCCAGGAAATAAAATGAGCCTGTACTACGAGCCCCAGAACCAGCCCGGGACCGAGCTTGTCCGCCACTCGAGCCTCTACTACGACGTGTCCGAGGAGCTGCTCGAGGTGAACTCGAAGCTGTCCACTCTTCGCGGGTTGAGCCTGGCGCGGCACGCATCCGTCATCCCGCCGGCGTGCGTCGATCCGCGCATGATTGTCGTCGACGGACCCATCGGGGCCGGCAAGTCCCTCTTCTGCCGCCGCCTTGTCGAGCACGCCCAGGACAGCGGGCTGAAGGCAGTGGTCATCGAGGAGGTTGTGGGGCTCGAGTGCTTCAGCGCGTACGGGATCACGCTCGACGAGTATTACAGGGACCCGCACGCCAACGCGTACCGCTTCCAGCTCGCCGTCACACATGCTCTCGCAGACCAGCTCCTCGAGTACCGCTTCACGGACAAGTACAAGGACTACGACCTCGTCATCTTCGACCGCTGGCTGCCCTCGACGAGTGCGTTCGTCCTTTTCCAGGTGCAGGAGGGCCATATTACGGGCCGCCAGGCGATGTACCTCCACTACCTGATCGACGTCTACATGTCGTACGCGGGGATCCTTCCGGCGACACACGTCCGCTTTGCGACGGACCCGCTGATCTGTGCGCAGCGTATCGTCCAGCGCGCTGCTGAGGAGGAACACCGCCAGTGCGAGGAGGACGCGCTCGGGGTCGTGAGTAAGACGAACGAGTTCCTCCTCAAGCACAAGGGCGTCTACACGCCGGTCTTCAACCTGAACCATCCAGCGGACACCGAGTGGAGCAAGGCCTTCTCGGCGGGGAACCAGTTCTCGCTCGTCGCGGCCGCGAGGGTGACGCGCCAGTACGTTGTCGAGAATACTCTCTTCCTCGGCGAGGACCGCCGCTACTTCGTCCAGATCGGGATGCGCAGGATCAACGCGTTTGTCTTCTTCAACGAGCTCTGCGATTGGACCGCATATGGGAGGTTCGTCAATCCGTTCAAGCGCCGCATGCAGATGATGGCCTTGTCGTTTGATGAGTTCCAGGAGGTCCTTGCGCGCGACGAGGAGAGCAGCATGGAGTAAATTCACTGCATGAGCTTGACGACGTTCAGGGGCGCGTCGGGCTCCTTCTCGAAGATGACGCGGCGCTTGAAGTCGTCGCGGCAGCGGTAGGCGAGGTGCGCGTCGCGGACGAAGCGGACGGCGCCGTCGTAGATGAGGTTGAAGGTCTGGGGGACGCCGTTGTAGAGGTCGGCGTAGAGGTTGTAGAGCCCGCCGAGGAAGTTCTGGGCGCAGCGCTGGCGGGCCTCGTTGAGGATCGCCTGCTCGGGGATGCCCTTGAGGCGCGCGTGGTAGCTCATGTGGCCCTGGCTGTCCTGGAGGATGTCGAGGTACGCCTTCTTGCCGACGCCGACGAAGAAGCGGCTGACGAACATCTCGCCGGAGGGGCTGTCGGGGAAGTCCGAGTGGAACTGGCCGAGGTTCTTGCCGATGAGCTCGCGGTGGAAGCGCGCGTGGAAGTAGTTCCGGAGCGGCTCTATTGACCGCTTGTCGATGTGGATGCTGTCGGTGTCCGTGTAGTAGATCGGGAGCGCGTGGTCCTGGGCCGTTGCCATCACCTCCGTCATGATGCGCTTGCTCATCGAGAGGACCTGGACGCCGAACGTCGGGAAGCTGTTCGCCATGAGGAGCGGGCGGCTCTGCTTGAGGAGGAAGCGGCCGCCGTCGTAGAGCGGCTCCCAGCAGAGGATGTCGGCGGAGTTGTCGAGGAGCTCCCGCTCGAGCCCGGCCCGGTCGACGGTGTTCATCCGCTTGAAGACGGGCTTGAGGATGCTTTTCCCGTAGCAGCTGTTCATGATGAGCTTGTAGATGCTCTCAAGGGGGTTGCCCTCCGCCTTGAACTTGAGGCGCGTATCGAAGAGCTTCCGGATAACGGTCTGGATGGCGAAGTTCTTCCCCTCGTCGTAGTAGTAGCCCCGGAGGACGCGGATTCGGTTCATCGGGACCTTGTGGTACTCGATGATGTCCTCGATCGTGATGTTGTCCGCGAACATCGGGCCTGGCTCGTTTGAGAAGTGGCGGCCCTTCTCCGTCTGGCGGTTGATGAGGGGGAAGTCGAGGGTCTTCGGGACGATCTGAATGTCTATCTCGAGGAAGCAGCCGTCCTGGCGGAGGAGCCAGCCGAGGTCGTGCTTCTCGGGGTCGACGACCTTCGGGTGGCCCTTGAGGGTGTAGATGCGCGCCATTGCGGACGGGTACAGGGAGACCGCGTCGAAGTCCATGATCTCGCCCTCGACGTACTGCTTCTCGTTGTTCCGGAGCATGCAGCGCCCGCCCGTCACGCACTGGCGCACGAAGAGAAGCGGAGCCGTGTTGAGGTTGAAGCAGCCCTCGAAGCACTTCTCGTTGATGAGGTAGTTGTACGCGACGCTCGGGAGAGTCATGGACGTGAACGCGTCGATCCCGGTGACCTCGAGGAGCTGCTGCCGGAAGCGGAGGACGCCCTCCTTGAGCACGTGACAGTCCCGCGCGCAGTAGTAGTGGGCGTAGCGGAGCGCATCGACGCGGTCCTCGACGAGCATCCCCGGCAGCATGCGGACCAGCTGCTCGAGCTCGGTCCGTCTGCTCTCCATCTCGTACGAGAGGTACTCCTCGAGGGTCGGCCGGTAGCCCTCTGCGAGCTTGCGGACGTTCTCCTGCGTGTAGAACGAGTACGGGAGGACCTCCTTGTGGACGTCGAGGTTGAACATCTTCCCGAACTTGCTGAGGGGCGCCGTGATCAGGGCGTAGGAGTCCCGGAAGTGGATCGGGATCGGCTTGTTCTTCCGGTCGTCGCTCAGTCGGATGTGGATGTGAACGCGATGATCTTGCTCGCCCCGAGGGTGACGATGCTGTCCTTTTGACGTCGAAGTACGGGAGGACGAAGGCCCCGTCGTAGTTGAGGTTGTGAAGTAACCAGCTGGGGCCGGTTGAGGTCGCGAGGCGGGAAGGCCGCTGGACCATGTCCCCGATGCTGTGTAGTCCTTCGCCCAGTAGTCCCCGTCACATTGTTCGCCCCGTGGAAGCAGAGGAGGAACGGGTGGTGCTGGTCCCCGTCGGTCGTCGTCTCGAAGTCCGCGAACCAGACGTCCTTCGGCGGGGCCTGCTTCTTCTTGGGCTCGATCTTCTTGAGTTGGTTCTCGCAGAACTCGAGGTTGTCCTCCGCGTAGTGTTCCTCGCGGATGAAGGACTCCTTGACGGCGAGGAGGTCGTCTGAGCGGATCGGGCGGAGGAGGCCCTGCTTGTGGAGCGAGAGGAGGAGGTCGCGGCTCGTGCACGTGTGGGGGTCGTCGTCGCGGTGGTAGCCGAAGACGACCTTCTGCATCGGCTCCCGGGTCTCCGGGTGGAAGGTGTTCCGGACGCTGACCTCGCGGACGTTCGCGTTCTCCGGGTACGCGTTGTGCTCCATCATCACGGACGCGTGGTTCACGTACGCCTTGCTGTAGGGGAGCTTCTCGTCGAAGATGTAGTAGTGGTTGAAGTCGAAGCCTATCTGGATGTTCCGGAGTGCGACGCCGGGCGGGAGCTTGCGGCCCTTCTGTGCGCCCCGGAGGACGACCCTGTCCGGCATGTGCATGTGGAAGCAGATGAAGAGCTGCTTGCCGATCGCGTCGACCATCGCGAACGTGACCGCCGCCTGGTTGATGTGGAGCGCCGCGGCCTTGATCTCCTCGTCGTTCAGCTGCCCGCTCTGCTTGAGAGCGTAGAGGAAGCACGTGTCCTTGCTGTTCCGAAAGCCTTCGCCTGTCCGCTCGATCTGGTAGCGGTTGAGGTCGAAGAACGAGTCGTTCGTGAAGGGGGCCAGGCCGCCGCGCCGGTGGATGAACTTCCGCTGGCCATCCTTCATGCGCACGATCTGGATCTGGAAGAAGAAGACGGGTTCGTACATCGTCCCGAACGAGAAGAGCGCGTTGTGGGGGTTCTCGGGGTCGCTCTCAGTGCCCCCGAAGACCGGGTCCCAGTTGAAGCAGTAGAGCATCTCGCCGGGCTCTGCAGACTGGACGCCGTGGATCTGCGCCGCGTCCTTCGTAACCGCGTTGAGGTAGTGCCGGTGCGCGTCGTCGCCGTCTGCGAAGACCTTCCAGCCGCGGAGGAACGTGATGACGGCGGGCGTCAGTAGTATATATCCTTGTGGTGCCCACTTTCGTTTTTTTGGGCCTGCACGGGGCTGGGCCCAAAAAAACGAAAGCGTCCCCCACAAGTGCGTCTGCGTGTGCCGGTCCGCCCACTAGGCTCCCACACGCTGGCGCTCGTTTACCTACTTTTCAACAGAATAAAAAACCTGTAAATTTTCAAAAAAAATCGCGGCCTCCCCCCGGAACCGCCCAGCGTGGTGCCGTGCACGCCGGGAGGAGACCGCGTTGTCCTTGGATGTGTGTGATGCGTTCGCGCCCGGTTCAGCTGCCGGCCAGCCTGGTCTGCTCCCTGCCCCCGGGCCCGCACGACACCGAAGTGCGACATACAGACAGCCCGAAAGCAGAAAGCAGGCCAGCGTTATTTTTTTTTTCTGGGAGGCGGCAGTCAGGAAGTGCAAACCATTCTGACGAATTGATTCTGATCTGATTAATTGATTCAGGGCGGGGAGGAAAATAAAATATGAAGGCTTATCGAGAATACAAGTCGCCAGGATATGGTTTTAGGGATCTCATAGAAGCAGCAGCGCAAGGTAACATCGATGTCGTCAGGGAACTAGTAGACAAGGAGGCTGGCCTGAGGGATTTCAACAGCTGGACTGCCCTCATGTGGGCTGCGAGGGAGGGTCATACTAACTGCGCTAACCTGCTAGTGGAGAAGGAGGCTGGTATGAGTGATGGACACGGCTTGACGGCTCTCATGATAGCAGCATCCGAAGGCTATACAGACTGCGTTAAGCTGCTGTTAGAGAAGGAGGCTGGTATGAAGGATGTCATCGGTAGGACCGCCCTCATGTGGGCTGTGAGTAAGTTTAATTTTAAGTGCGTTGACCTGCTAGTGAAGAAGGAGGCCGGTATATGTGCGAGATGCTGCGGGTCGGCTCTCATAATAGCAGCATCCAAGGATTCCGCATACAGCGTTAAGCTGTTGTTAGAGAAGGAGGCCGGCATGAAGAATAAAGATGGTAGGACTGCTCTCATGTGGGCTGCGTGTAAGGGTCACACTAAGTGCGCTAACCTATTAGCGGAGAAGGAGGCAGGCATGAAGGATAACGACGGCTGGACCGCTCTCATGCTAGCAGCATCCTGTGGTTACGCAGACATCGTCAAGCTGTTGTTAGATAAGGAGGCCAGGTTATGCAATAACGCCCGTGGTACTGCTTTCGAGTGGGCTGTGAGAAATGGCCATGCTGCTTGTGCTGCTTTGTTGGCAGATAAGGAGAAGGACATCAATAATGGTAGGGTTTTTGCGTTGGCCATTGCCGGAGACAAGGAAGACATCGTAAAGCTGTTTGCAAAGTAAACATCGAATTCACGTCAGCGTTATTTTTTTTTCTGGAGTCGTCGCTTCGTCCGAATTGATCAGGAATCAATTCTGATCTGATCTGGTTACAGGGCTCCCAGGAAAATAAAATAAGCATGGCAGATGGATTCATACCAGAGCACTTCGCCGAGGACCCCTTCCTTCAAGATGTCATTCCTTCCTCCAGAGAGCCCACTCATAGGAAGTCTGCCTCTAGAACCCGACAGCGACAGACCGCCGACGCCGAGCCCGTTCTGCCAGTGGCAAATCCTCCCGCCCCGTCCAGTCCCGCGTTTAAGTCCTTTTGCGGCCAGGTCGGAAGACTGCTCGGTCGAGTCACCGCAGAGTGCGCTGAGGGTACTGAGGACTATCAGCGAGTCACCTCCTGGTTCTGCAAGTGGCTCAACCAGCAGGGCGTCGTCTTCCGCTTCGTCAAGCGACCCGAGGACGAGTTCGTGCAAGCCCCTCACTACACCGCTTTCTGCAGACGCGCTTCTGATGGAGCACGCTCTGCCTTCTATCTCTACGAGGAGACCGGAGACGAGTTCGTGAGGCTCTCGAGGCTTCCCAAGAACAAGCGCACGTACACAGCCACCTGTCTCAGCATCAGCGACGAGAGCGCCCAGGCGTGGGCTGACGGCATCCAGCGCTTCCTCAACGCCTCCACCGAGACGAACACCTTCAACCGCTTCCTCGAGGAGATCTCGAAGTAAACGTTTACTGCTTGTTCCCGTTCCTCTTCCAGCGGTTCCTCGGGATCATCCTCTTGCGGGTGCGCACTAGACCAGCTCGCGGGCGCTGCTTGGGCGGCTCGTCGATCTGGACGCGGATCGGCTCGTTGCGGCTCTCGAAGGGTACCGAGGACAGACGGACCGGCACCGTGCCCGCGTCGTAGAAGGGCGTCGGCTTCTGGGTGTAGAGCTTGTTCTCGTTCTTCGCGGTCCCGTTGCTGTTGAGAAGGTGGCCAGCCATACTTTTATTTCCGTGGGGAGAATTCACTTTAAAATGGTTTGGCTCTTGAGACGTGCACTACTGGGAAAATAAAATGAGCCAGTACTACGAGCCCCAGAACCAGCCAGCTGAGCCAGGCCTCATCGATAGTAAATCATCACACTGGCCAGTCGAAGACTTTCTGGAGTCAGTTGACATCGGGATCAACATGGACGATAACCTCGTATGGAAGCTCAGCGATTTCAGTTCGAGAGTTGTGCCGCCTGTTGTCATTGATCCTCGCATCATCGTTGTTGACGGTCCCATCGGCGCAGGCAAGTCCACCTTCTGCAAGCATCTCAAGAAGTACCTGATCGACCAAGGCTTCGAAGCTACCATCATCGAGGAGGCCGTGGCAGACAACCACTTTGGACAGAACGGAGGCATCACCCTCGAGGAGTACTACAAGAACCCCAGGGAGCTTGCTTTCCAGTTCCAGGAGCAGGTGGTCCATGCACTGGGGAAGCAGCTTCTTCATTGCCGTTTTGCCGAAGAGTATCAGCAGTACGACTTCATCATCTTCGACCGCTGGCTGCCGTCTACTAGCGCGTTCATCCTCTTCAAGATGAGTGACGGCTACATCACGAAGGAGCAAGGCCAGTACCTCCACTACCTGATCGACCACTACATGCTCCGCGCAGGCATCCTTCCGGCCTTCCATGTGCGCTTCGCTATCGACCCGGCTGTCTGTGAGGACCACATCAAGGACAGGGCCTCGGATGATCCTCATCGTCTGTGCGAGGTCGATGCGCTTGACACGATCAGGCAGACGAACGAGTTCCTCCTCGAGCATAAGGGCATTTACAACCCAGTTGTCGCGATAGAGCCGGGTCATGTGGGAACCATATGGAGCGGTGGCCAGTACTGTTTGATAAAGGCAGCTGCTGTTACGCGTCAGTTTGCGATCACAGACGCCTGGTTCGATATTGATGAGTATCATGATCGTCGTTACAGCTTTACCATTGGGGACAAGCAGATATCGTCTGAGGCTTTCTTCGATCGTCTCTCTGCGTGGGCAAGGAAGAAGAAGTTCTTCAATGCTGAGCCTCTAACCTTTGGGAGGTTCAAGGAGATTATGGAGCGCTAAGTAAATTTACTGCATCAGCTTTGATATGTTCAGGGGCTCATCGGGCTCCCTCTCGAAGATGACTCTCCGCTTGAAGTCGTCCCTGCAGCGGTAGGCGAGGCTGGCGTCTCGCACGAAGCGCACCGCGCCGTCGTAGATGAGGTTGAAGGTCTGGGGCACGCCGTTGTAGAGGTCCGCGTAGAGGTTGTAGAGCCCGCCGAGGAAGTTGTGGGAGCAGCGCTGCCGGGCCTCGTTGAGGATCGCCTGCTCGGGGATGCCCTTGAGGCGCGCGTGGTAGCTCATGTTGTTCTGGCTGTCCTGGAGGATGTCGAGGTATGCCTTCTTGCCGACGCCGATGAAGTAGCGGCTGACGAACATCTCCCCGGAGGGGCTGTCGGGGAAGTCTGAGTGGAACTGGCCGAGGTTCTTCCCGATGAGCTCCCGCTGGAAGCGCGCGTGGAAGTAGTTCCGGAGGGGCTCGATGGACGCCTTGTCGATGTGGATGCTGTCCGTGTCTGTGTAGTAGATCGGGAGCCCGTGGTCCTGGGCCGTCGCCATCACCTCCGTCATGATGCGCTTGCTCATCGAGAGCACCTGGACCCCGAACGTCGGGAAGCTGTTCGCCTCCAGAAGGGGCTTGCTCTGCTTGAGGAGGAAGCGGCCGCCGTCGTAGAGCGGCTCCCAGCAGAGGACATCGGCCGAGTTGTCGAGGAGCTCTCTCTCAAGGCCCGCGTGGTCGACCGTGTTCATCCGCTTGTAGACGGGCTTGAGGATGCTCTTCCCGTAGCAGCTGTTCATGATGAGCTTGTAGATGCTCTCGAGCGGGTTGCCCTCCGCCTTGAACTTGAGCCGCGCTTCGAAGATCTTCCGGATGACGGCCTGGATGTTCGTGTTCTTGCCCTCGTCGTAGTAGTAGCCCCGGAGGACCCTGATCCGGTTCATCGGGACCTTGTGGTACTCGATGATGTCCTCGATCGTGATGTTGTCGGCGAACATCGGGCCCGGCTCGTTCGAGAAGTGCCTCCCCTTCTCCGTCTGCCTGTTGATGAGGGGGAAGTCGAGCTGCTTCGGGACGACCTCGATGTCGATCTCGAGGAAGCAGCCGTCCTGCCGGAGGAGCCAGCCGAGGTCGTGCTTCTCGGGGTCGACGATCTTCGGGTGGCCCATGAGGGTGTGGAGGCGCGCCATGGCAGACGGATACAGCGAGACGGCGTCGAAGTCCATGACCTCGCCCTCGACGTACTGCTTCTCGTTGCACCGGAGCATGCAGCGCCCGCCCGTCACGCACTGGCGTACGAAGAGGAGCGGCGCCGTGTTGAGGTTGAAGCAGCCCTCGAAGCACTTCTCGTTGATGAGGAAGTTGTAGGCAATGCTCGGGAGCGTCATGGATGTGAAGGCGTCGATGCCCGTGACCTCGAGGAGCTGGCGTCTGAAGCCCATCACCCCGTCCTTGAGCACGTGGCAGTCTCTTGCGCAGTAGTAGTGGGCGTACTTGAAGGCGTCGACCCTGTCTATTACCAGCATCTCCGGCAGCGTACGGAGCAGCTGCTCGAGCTCCTCCCTCCTGCTCTCGATCTCGTACGAGAGGTACTCCTCGAGCGTCGGCTTGAAGCCCTGGCACAGCTTCTTGACGTTGTCCTGGGTGTAGAACGAGTACGGGAGGACCTCCTTGTGCACGTTGAGGTTGAACATCTTGCCGAACTTGCTGAGGGGAGCCGTGATCAGGGCGTAGGAGTCCCGGAAGTGGATCGGGATCGGCTTGTTCTTCCGGTCGTCGCTCAGCCGGACATGGATCGTGAACGCGATGATCTTGCTCGCCCCGAGGGTGACGATGCTGTCCTTCTTGACGTCGAAGTACGGGAGGACGAAGGCCCCGTCGTAGTTGAGGTTGTGGAAGTACACCAGCTGGGGCCGGTTGAGCATCGCGAGGCGGTTGAAGGCCGCTCGGACCATGTCCCCGATGCTGTTGTAGTCCTTCGCCCAGTACGTCCCCGTGACGTTGTTGATCCCGTGGAAGCAGAGGAGGAACGGGTGGTGCTGGTCCCCGTCGGTCGTCGTCTCGAAGTCTGCGAACCAGACGTCCTTGGGCGACTGGGTCTTCTTCTTCGGCGTGATCTCCTTCAGCTGGTCCTCGCAGTAGTTGAGCGCGTCCTCCTCGTAGTGCTCTTCGCGGATGAAGGACTCCTTGATGGCCAGCAGGCTGTCGGAGCGGATGGGCTTGAGGAGGCCCTGCTTGTGGAGCGAGAGGATGAGGTCCCGACTCGAGCATGTATGGGGGTCGTCGTCGCGGTGGTAGCCGAAGACGACCTTCTTCGTCGGCTCCCTGGTCTGCGGGTGGAAGGTGTCTCTGACGTTGACCTCGCGCAGGTTCGTGTTCGCGGGGTATGTGTGGTGCTCCATCATGACGGCTGCGTTGTTCACGTACGTCTTGCTGTAGGGGAGCTTCTCGTCGAAGATGTAGTAGTGGTTGAAGTCGAAGCCCAGGTGGATGTTCCGGATCGCGACGCCCGGCGGAACCTTGCGGTTCTTCTGCGCGCCCTTGAGGACGACCCTGTCTGCCATGTGCATGTGGAAGCAGACGAAGAGCTGCTTGCCGATGGCGTCGATCATCGCGAAGGTGACAGAGGCCTGGTTGATGTGGAAGGCGGCGGCCCGTATCTCGTCGTCGCTCAGCACGCCGCTCTGCTTGAGGGCGTAGAGGAAACACGTGTCCTTGCTGTTCTTGAAGCCCTCGCCTGTCTTCTCGATCTGGTAGCGCGTGAGGTCGAAGAACGAGTCGTTCGTGAAGGGCGCCATACCTCCCCTGCGGTGGATGAGCTTCCGCTGGCCCTCTCTGGTGCGGATGATCTGGATCTGGAAGATGAAGACGGGCTCGTACATCGTCCCGAAGGAGAACATGGCGTTGCGGGGGTTCTCGGGGTCGCTCTCTGTGCCGGCGAAAATGGGGTCCCAGTTGAAGCAGTAGAGCATCTCGCCAGGCTCTGCGGACTGGACGCCGTGGATCTGCGCCGCGTCCCTCGTGACCGCGTTGAGGTAGTGCTGGTGGGCGTCGTCTCCGTCGGCGAAGACCTTCCATCCGCGGAGGAACGTGATGACGGCAGGCGTCACGAGGAAGGCGACGCGGGGCGGATAGCCGAACGTGTTCTGCTGGTTGAACATGACAAGAAGCGGGACATAGCGCACCGAAGCGTCGGTGTTGCGGCGGTTAGCTTCCTCTGCGCGGAGATAAAGAGCCTTGGCGAGGTCTGCGACGATCGGGTAGACGATGCGCCGGAAGGAGTAGTCGGTCATGTAGTTCAGCTCCAGCGCCTCCTTCGCTCTGCTGGTCGGCACTCTGCGGGGGTTCTTCTCGTTTACCCTGAACTGGGCGAGGTTCCAGCGGACGCGCTGGATCAGGTCCTTGGACCAGAAGCCGTCCTGGAAGTCGAGGACTTGATCTACCGAGCCGACGGGGTCCTCCTGGATGTGCTTGCGGACGTTCTCGATGAGGGGCTTGACGCGGCCGAGCACGTATTGTCGGAGCTGGGTGTAGTTGAGCGTCTCGAGCGACGTCTTGAGCTGGGCGAGCTGGTCCTCGGACATCTGCTGGGGATGCATGGTCAGGAGTTCCCTAGTGGTTGCCATTTACGTCATTTTATTTTCTCAGAACAGATTCCACTTTCAAATGGTTGGTGTGAGTGGGGAAAATAAATAATGAACAACCTCATCATCCGCAGGGAGCAGCTCGACGGCGTCTTCATGACGACAGAGTCGATGCAGTCGTTCGCAGATAAGGTCAGCGCACTCTCATCGTATCATTATAACCTCATCAAAGACTACGTGATGCAGTGTGCCTTAGTGCCTGACGAACGCAAAGCTCTGTTTGGGTCTAACCTGAATCTCAGCAAGACTCACTGCATATCGGGGTACTTTGGCGGGAAGACAATACACTGCGCCGTGCAGCTTCTTGACCCCGCTCAGCGAAAGAAGTGCATCAAGTACTATTGTAATCATGAGAACTATGAAATCAAGAACTGGAACGGCAATGCCTTCGACGGAGAGTCTCCGGTGAAGGGTCCGTGTCTAGCGTTTCTAGTGAAGTTCATGGAGGAGATACTGGGCTTCAAGACTGTGCCTGCGGATCTCTATACGATGTCTCTAACCGGGCAGACTCTCTCGAAGCCGAAGGTCAAGTCGGTCCCAATGGTCGGCTTCAACAACAACTTCCAGCCGGAGGACTATATGAATGCGCCGAACAAGCTCGACTATTTGCGCGACCTGACGATTGTTCAGAAGATCCTTGCTGTCACGTGGATGGTAAGGGGCAACTATGCTTTTCGGGAGGACCTTCTGCCGCTTACAGATAAGAAGAAGAAGCTCAAGAAGGAGAGGAAGCCAAAGGAGCCGAAGAAGCCACGTAAGATAAAGAAGCCTGAGACGTTTGGGCTGCGAGCTGCAAGAGATGCTGATATCTCCATCAAGGGCGTGACGGGCGCTATTAGCGAAGACGATTTGAAGAGCCAACCGGTCATCGAGCAGATCCAGTATATCTATCAGATGGTCGGCGGGTCGCTTGCTGGTCGCAGCAATCAGAAGCTCTCTCCCGATGGTCGCGTGTCTCGTGCAGACTTCATGGCCGCCTCGCTCAACCAGCAGACAATGTGGCTCTATCGACAGCTTCAGGGCTTCGATGAGGACGGCGACGAGGACAATGGTCTTCGCAAGCACCTCGGAAAGTACTACAAGATCGGCGGTAACGTTACAGCCATTAAGAGTCTCAAGAAGCTTAGCAAGGGACGCATCTCACATCAAACGCGTTATCTTGCTAAGCACGCAATGAAAGCCGATTCAAAGATCAACCGTCTCGAGAAGCAGCGGAAGACTCTAGAGGCTCGCATCAAGCGCGCCGAGGGCCAGATCGATCTCATCAAGAAGAAGACGTTCACGAAGGAAGATCTGATGAAGGATAAGCTCGGCGAGTTTGATACTATTATCGCCGCAGGGGGCGGTCTTTTCCGGAAGCTGAATCTGATTAACTTGATTACCGGATATGTGATAGACGCGTGTCTTGGCGTCGTCGCTGCGGTAGCCCTTACATATGCAGTGGAAGCGAAGTACCGCCTCGACCAGCATGACTATAAGTTCGGCAAGATATACAAGTTTCTGACTGATGATCTTTATAAACGCTTCCAGTTCATTTGGGATGAGTTCTCACACATAAACGATGATATGACCTTGACCCATTTGGAAGTAAAGCGAGCTGAAGAGCGTATTCGGGACTTGACGAGTCACACTGACGATGACCGCGTTCAGTTAGATGAAACGAAGGACCGCGTGAGCGTGCTCGAGGGTAACCAGGACAGTCTCATGGAGTTCCGGAACCGCATGGAGATTCTGATGACCATTGTCGCACAGTTCTTTGAGCGGAACGACATCTCAGTTCCCGACTTCGAGGGAGGTCTGATCGATGCTATGACGATCAAGAGAGACCTCGAGGGCGCGTACAACTATCTCAGAGAGCTCATCGACCAGCAGAAGGTCGAGGCAAAGGTGGGCGCTCAATTAACGGCAGCGCGTATCGACTCTCTTGAGAGACAGTTAGAAGAGGAGCGCGCAAAGGCAAGCGCTTTTGAAGAACGCCTTGCTGCACAGGACGAGATCATCCGAAGGCTCGCTGAAAAGGTAGGCGTCTTTGAGACAGACAATGCAGCCTTCTCTTCATCGCTGTCTCGGATGAGCAGGACAGTGGAAGCATCTGAGGTGAAGATAGGTTCGTTAGAGAGGACAACGACAGAGTTCGCGACTACTATCGATGCAGTTAACAATTCAGCGAGAGAGATAAACGGTCGACTAGAGAGCTTGAGAGACTCTACGCAGGACGCCTTAGATGCACATGACCGCCACATGACAGCAGTCGACCAGAGCATCAGCGAGATTCGAGAGAGCCTTACTCGTCTTGATGGCAATGTTGGAAATGTGCCTGCTCTGGAGACTCGCATCAATGCGCTTGAGTCGAATGAGCGCGGCATTTGGGACTCTGTCTTAGGGAACACGAATCGCATTAGCGGTGTCCAATCGTCTCTGAACTCGCACATTAGTTGTTATAACCAGCTCTACAACCAGGTGCAGGTCATCTCGAACAACGTCAGTCAGCAAGCTGGTAAGATCACGGGTGCTCTGGCTTCTATCGCTCAGAACACCTCTCAGCTCTCTAATCAGCTGAGCCGGATTACTGACTGTGAGACGCTGTGCAGCTACTCAGAGCGGATATGCAACGCCCTCAAGACGCCGTGTCTGCTGAAGAGCTTTGTGCCGAGTCAGACGACCGACGGCAACGGGTTCATGCGACTGAATCTCGCGGACTTTCCGAGCGACATGCAGAGCAGATCCAATGACGACATTGTCTCGATCCAGGCGTATGATTGTCGCGTTAGTACATATGACACAATCATAGTCTCGTGGTCGGACTATACTAGCGATTCGTACATTAACCTACGATTAACATGGTCGAATTCGAGATCCCTTGGCTCAGGTAACCGGGTGAAGATCTGGTACTGGGCAAAGAACCCGGCTATAAACATCAGTTATTAGTAAATTCACTAATATCGACTTGCCACTTCAACTGTTTCCTCGTATGTGCGCGGCCTCTCCGGGTCGGGCGCCTTGTCTCGTATCGTCGGCCCCCAGAAACTGCGCCACCAAGGAGGTTCGCCGTATATCTCATAGTGGGTCTCGTCAATGGTGAGGTCCTCGTAGTAGAAGATGGAGGTCCGCTCAAGGTCCCTGAGGTCGGGTATCTGGGTCCAGAAATTGTCCCACCAGCCGAGCTCCTGCGTCTCCCGGAACTCCCACCAGCCCGGGTAGTACTTGTTGAGGAGGTCGAGGTAGCGCTTGAAGGACGCGAGCTCTGGCTCTACTTCGCCGGTCCAACTCGCGCCGCGCTGCTTCAGCTGGTTCCAGTTGGCCGGCTTGCTAGTGAAGAGCCGCGTCTCAGGATAAACCTGTTCGGGATATATCTGTTTAACCGGAACGACGTCGCTGAGCATCTTATCAATGCCTTTCCATGCGTTGAAGTCCTTCCACTTCTGCGCAGCAGCCCCAATGCCCGCAGGCATGTCTGGGTAATCCAAGAGTATCGCATCGCAGATCTGCTTGTAGAGGTTCCCGAACCACTTCTTGTCTGTGAGTCTGCGGTAAGAGTAGAAGCGGATGACGTGCTCGGGGATGTTGCGCTCGAGGAAGCCCTCGAATGCGCAGACCTTCGAGATCGATTGGTAGTCGTGCGGGTCGTCATACCACCAAGGCAAGCCGAGATTTGAATCGTAGTCGGGGAGGTATATCCATTTGACCTTCTGGGCATGGCCTTTTAGGAAACCAACGGTATCAGCATGGACCTCTCCCAGGCCTCGGAAGACGTCCGTGCAGCGCGGCCGCTTCACATCGCACTTACAGTCGATGCTGAGTCGATTCATGATCTTATTGTTGCCAGCGTCCCAGTCTGAAAGAAGGTCGTGGATCTTCTGGGACACATAGCCATTGAAGAGGTCGTTGCATTTCTCGAAGATTGTCGAGTTCTCGCCGCGGGAGAAGAAGATGTAGACCTCTGTGTTGGTGCGGTGCAGCTTGTAGCCCTCGGTTTCGTAAAAGTAATTCTTCATCACCTTGCAGAAGTCACAGCACTCGCGCGAGTTATATGGGTAGTTCTTGTTTTCGCTCTCATAACGTATGATTTTTTTACCTGCGGGTATTATATATGCAGAACTAAAACCGTTACTATCGGCGACACTTTCTGATCTAAAGCCCCGATCCGTGGAAAAATTGTAATGAGTCCAACAGTCAGATTCGTACTGGGTATAGATACATCTTGTGGCACAGGGAACACACCAAAAAACGCAATTGTATGTTACGGTGAAGACGCTCTCTGGAGTCTTGGTATGGCAACGACAACTGCAATTAGCGCCGCACGTGCAGTCGTTGTTATACCATATAGGCTGATCGTCCGGTATTACGCGTATCCTCCAATGAACTGAATCATTCATATGACACTTACAACAGATTTCAGTGCCCATGGGACCAGATACTTGATGTGAGCAGTTTGGAAAGCGCAGTTTGAATGTATGGCCGTATCTGTCCCATAAGGCAGGTCCGATGATGCTTTCGATCATCTTGCAGGGATAGGCCGCATAGTCGCCGCCCAACTTGCATGTACGCTTCATATATACGTGGGGGATGTGAATGATGTAAACGCCGCTGTCGTAGAGGAACTCGAAGTTCTCTTCGTTGAGGATGGGCTGCTTGTCGAACTCCCAGAAGATATCGCTGATCAGCTCATCAGTTATCTTGATGGGCGGCTCCTCTTCCACTTCGTCCTCTTCTATCTCCTCTTCCTCTTCTGAGATGTCATCGGGTTCGGGAATTGGGTCGTACTGGTCGGAGATGTCCCGATCGAGGGGGATAACGACTGTCTTTGTCAACGGCGAGCCGTCAGGATTCAACATGGCGTTGCCGTTCTCGTCATACACCTGCTCCTCGTACTCCCCGAGACTCGGCGGTTCCACATCTTCGCCGCTAATCTCGCTGATCTCGTCCTTCTTCTCCATGTTCTCCTTGGAGATCATCTTCGGCTGGGCTTCTGGCTGCTGACTGTCCTGATACTCTCTCGTTCGCTGCCAGCGCTTGATGGCCATGGTGATCTCTCTCACCATGACGACCATGAGGCCCGAGACAGTCGTCACGCCGACTAACGCTAACCCCCAATTGATCGCGTTCTTCGTCTTCTGCTTGAGCATCGCAATGAACGCGTCGACATCTTTCTTGAAAAGATCTAGCTTATCAAGGACGTCGCCGAAGATAGCCTCGACAATCGGGCTGTTAAGTATCTCCAGCGATCCTCCGACGTCGATCTTCGGGACGGGCATCGGGTCCTGCTCGGGCGGCTCTGCCGTGTTCAGGAAGTCCTCGAAGGAGAGCTCGCCGGTCAGCGGGTCGATCTCGAGGCTGGAGCCTCCGCACTGGATGCGCCGCGTCATTATTTATTCGCGGCAGCATATGTGTTGCAGAACGGCCAAGCAACATATGTGTTGCAAACCACTTCAAATCGGCTTCTGCGGACGGGAAAGAAAAAGGGCGATGCCCTACCTCCCTCCCTTCGGCTTCGTGCCCGAGATCCTGGCCCAGCCGGCCTCCGTCTCCCAGGGGAAGCTCTGGGAGCTGATCACGTTCTACTCGGACCACCTGTTCTGGCTGCGCTGCGATAAGTGCCCGCGCGGGAGGCTCCCCCTCCGCGCGTTCAGAAGGCGGAGCGCGCGCCGCGCGGGCCAGATCCGCTGCCTCACCCGCTGGCGGGCGGAGATGATCGAGCTGTACATGGCGCGGAAGGGGCTCCTCGGCCAGAAGCTGCTCCCCGCCGTCCTCTCGCCCCGGGACGGTCGCCTCCAGATCCGGGCGCTCCGGGCCTTCCAGAAGATCAGCTCGATGGCCTTCTGGCGCGAGCCCGACCCGGAGAAGCGGCGGGCGCTCAAGCTCGAGCACGTCGACAAGTGCGCGGCCCTGGAGAGCTTCTACCATGCCTGGGACCTCTTCGAGGAGGGCTACGACGAGTAAACGGTGCAATTTACTTCTCGGCCGCCTCAAGCCTCGCCACGAGGTCCTTGAGGGGCTCCAGCAGCCACTGGCGCACCAGAGGGAGGAGGCGGACGGCGGTCTTGCGGCGGACGGCCCTCGGCCCGCAGACGGCGCGGGAGTCCACGATCTGGGCGTTCTCGTGCGCCGCCGCCTCGCCCAGCCACTTGCGGAGGATCCTCAGTATGTACTCCTTGTCCTCCGGGAAGCGCTTGCGGGCGAGCTCCTCCTCCCTGGCCGCCCTCAGGGCCTCTAGGGCGGCTATCCTGGCCCGTTTGCGCGCCGGGGAGGGCTTATTGTGTCTTATAATGCGCCCCTTCTCGGCGAACTCGGGCGGGGGGCGGGTCATCCCGAGGCTGCGTCTGAGGCGCCTGTACTCGCGCGGAGGCAGCGTAATTACCACCTCCGTCGAGCGGGCGCTGCGCGGGGCGCCTACATAGCCCTTCTTTGTCCTGTTTACTGCTCTTATGACCTTGCCCATTTTCTTATTTACACTATATTGACGAGTATAGGGATAATAAACGTCGGAGAAGCATTTTAAATTGAAATTGCAAATAGAGAAAAAGTCCCGTTCAGATGACTACTCCGCCTTTTGACTGCATGATCGGCTTCCCCGGCTTTGTGGGCTTCCCACAAACGCCGGACGAGGATTTCCAGCTCGATTCCACTACGGTGGACGAGCTGGACCTCCTCCGATCGGCCGAAGAGCTGCTCGCAATGGCGAGCAGCCAGGCGAAGCGTCGGGGCCTCAAAGTGAAGAGGCTCCGCGAAAAGCTTTGGGCAGAGCGCGCGCAGGCCAGGAAAGAGAAGTGCTCTTTAGAGCAGCGCCTGGCCAAATACACAACGGCGGGGACCGCCCTATCTGAGCTCTACGAGCAGCTTGATAGGGCGGAAGGGGCAGCGAGAAGCCTTGGTTTCGATTTAGCCAAGGCTCAAACGATAATCAGGAGACAGCAAGCCGCCCTACGCCGCCGCCGCCCCAAAGCCGTCAAGAGGGTGCAGCTGCCCGACGGGGAGTGCTGCGTCTGCTTAGATAAGCAGAGCACGCACGCCTTCGTCCCCTGCGGGCATCTGTGCGTCTGCAGCTCCTGCGCGGAGCTGCTAATGCGTGTAGACGCCAAATGCCCCTACTGCAGGGCCAGGGCGATGGAAACCTGCCAGATACGCTTTACCTGAGTGAATTGCCTAATACTTCCTTTACTCAAGCCGTATGGCACCCAGAGGACCCGAAGGGCTCTCCCCAGCCGGCCGACACGTAATATATCCCGTTTCTCGTGCCCCGGCCCTCGGGGACAGTTGGCTCAGTTGGATAGCCGGGCTATCAACAGTACCAACATACCGTGTCGAGTCCCGCTGCCCCCGCCATTTTCGGCCCGGGCCGGTTCTTTTTGCCGCCCGCCTGGCTTTCTCTCTGCCCGCCCGCTCCGCTGTCTGTCCGCCCGCCTGCCTGCCTGCCCTGCCGCCCAGCCCACAACGCCCCTAGGCCGGACCTGCCCCGCCCGCCATACGCCCTGGCCCGCCTAGCCCCGCCCTCCGGCCGCCAGCCGCCCGCCTTCCCGGGGTCTGCCCCGCCGCCCGATGCGCCCCGCGCCCGCGGACTCCGCCCCAGACCGGCCCACCTGCCTGCCCCGCCCCGCCGGCCGGGCCCGGCCCATCCCGCCGCCTGGTTTTTTGGACATCCCTACACTACCATACATTATATACCCCTATATCCCCCTATATACGTGCGTACAGGACCGTATATGACCGTTCCCGCCCATGCGCCCATATGTGCGCCCCAGCAACACATTGGTTGCATTCTCGACCCGCCGGCTCATTTTGCTGCCGCCCAACGCTCTGCCATATCCGCAACACATCCGTTGCAAACGGCCGCAAAGCGCCGCAAACAGCACGTTTATACATAGCAGAAAACGGCCAGTTTGCACTGAAAAATAAAAAAATCATGGCGTTTTCGGCTAAATCTGCGGACATGCTTATCCTTTCCGACGTCATGACGCCCGGCATCCACGAGGAGCAGGCGCCGCCGCGCCCGAAGAGCGTAATCCCGCAGGAATCGCCCATGCTCGGGGCGGAAACGCTCGTAAACGTGCCCTCGATCCCCCAGATGCTCGAGAATATCAACACGAACGTGGCGAAGATTCCCGAAAACGTCCGCCAGGTCCTCGAGGACGACAAGAGCTTCAAGGAGCTCACCCTCACGGGCGCCGAGTTTCTGAAGGGCCTCGACACGAATCCGAAGAAGCGCATCCAGCAGGAGGAGCGCATGATCGAGTTCCGTCAGGTCGTCTCGGGCATCTTCAAGACGTACGACCTGTTCTCCAACGACGTCATCCACGCGAAGATCCGCTCGATGGCCGACCTGCTCTGCTACCACGCGAAGAGGATCTACAAGGAGAGCTGCAAGAACCGCGAGGAGGTCGCGAAGGTCCGCCACAAGGTCGTCTTCACGTGCCTGAGCTACTACCTGCTGAAGCGCCACGTCATCGAGGACAGCACCCAGCAGTACCACATCCTCAACACGATCATCGAGTCGAGCCTGATGCACACGCCCCGCCGCATCAAGTCGCCCGCCAGAAAAAAGTATTCCTTCTACTACTAGAGCTGACGATCTTCGTGCTGAGCCTGTTTACTAGGGTGCCCGCGGTCCGCGGAATCGTCTCGCTCCTGAAGCTCAACAAGGCGTGCGCCGAGGCAGAGGCGTCGCTACTCAGCAAGTAAACGACGCTAGGCCGCCCGCAGGGGCGTGAACGTCCACTCGACGATGTACGGCGTTTCAAGCTCGTACAGCTCGTCATTCTCGTCCCTGATCTCGATCTTCATCGGGTTGAAGAAGGAGTTCCCGGGGATCGTGATCGGGACGTGGGAGGCGATCGTTATCTCTTCCGCGCGTCCTACGAATGCATGGCGGCCGATGAGGATGCGGAACGTGTTGTCCTTGAGCTCCGTGCAGTTTGCGGTCCCGCAGATGAGGTACCAGTAGAGGTGGCGGCTATAGTGGTCTCGGAAGTAATGCGGCGGTTGGAAAAGACGGCGCAGGCGGGGCGAGCAATGGTCCCAGTAGCAATAGACGTAGCCCGGATTCGAGCGAAAGTAGAGCCGCTTCTGAGCCAGCATAGCAAGGCCATCGATTATCTCCTTCGGATCGACGACCATGCGACCCTGACTGGCCATGTAGGCTTCCTCTTGGACGCGCTTGCAGATCGCATCGGTAAAGACACGCACATAGTCCTCGAACGAGTCGAACGCCCCATCGAAGCCAAGGCGGACCTTCCAGACGAAGTCGCCGGTTGCTGTGTCATAGCCCGGCTCGAAGTGGCTCTTGAACGGTCGCAGGTGGGCACGCATGGGTATGACTGGTTCAGGGTCGAGAACGGGATCTTGGTTATTAGGCGGCACTAAATCGTTAGGAGTATCTGGATCCTCTTGAGCAGGCGGTTCAGTAATTCCGCCTATATCATCGAAATTGTTGTCGTCATCTCCATTCTCTTCTACTCCTTCACCCTCTCCATCTTCCTCCTCAATTATATCTTCGATTACCGTCTCATCATCATCCAGATCCTCGTCCATCCCGCCTTCATCGTCGACCGTTATCTCTTCCACGTCGCTTGCCGTGTGAACGACACGTAACTGTGAAGTCAGACCGCGCGGCTCGGATATGTTACTATCGCCGTTGACATTGACGCTGCTATCGCTGTCGATATTTTCGCTACTGTCTTGCGTCGTCGAATCCGGCGTATCGGGCTCATCTGCCAGATGTATCACGCTTCCGTCAATGAGGATGTCCCGCTCGATCGACGACTCCTCTAACATCTCCCTGATATGCTCCCTGTTGTCATAGTCAGCCTGGACAAGAGATCCATATGTTTTCTTACTCAAACCACGTTGTATCTTAGCATAGGCGCCTGGTGTCTTTCTTAGATCTTTGATAAACTTGTTTCTTTGCTCATCGTTTTCGAAATACGGAATCGCTCCCCCAGTAGGATCGGCCACTAGTATTATTTCACTAGAAAGGTCATCTGTTGTCGACGACGACGGATCCTGCGATGATTGAGACGGAGGGAAGGAAGTGTCGCTGCCCATGGCATTGTCTTCATTATACTTCCTTAAGTAGAACTTCATAGACGGGTTCCAGTAAGTGAACCTCTGTCCATCAACCACCCTTGTGGGCGTAAGAAAGAGATTATCGGCCGTGTCATCTCCCTCATATGTGAGTGGCAACGTTCTGATCCCGTCTGGCACCCACAGCGGAGCCGGCTCGTTGAGACGATCGCTTCGCACAGCAACCACCCTGCCCCGGGGCGTTAGCTTATACCTCTTCTCCTTTGGTTTCTGCTTCTCGGGCGGCGTATCAACATTGGGTGTCAGCTGCGCATTGCATGATACAATGGTGCCAAGAGGAGTGTCGGGCACGTCGGCCATTCTGGAAGCGTAAGTCTGCACCGATTCTTCATAGTGAACCTTGCGGACTTGGGCATAAGACTCGGGTGCAGGGATGGCCACGTTCATGACGACGACCTCAGCCTCGCGCTGATCGTCTGTCTTGGAAGACTCGTCTGTGATGGGCGTTTTGCTGCGCGAGTCGAGCGTGGCTGAGGAGAGCGCCTTTTCAGTGGGAGTGATGGACTTTAGGATGCGGCTCTGCTTGGCCTTCTTCACCCTAATCTCGACGGGCTCAGGTATCAGCATGTCAGACGGCTGCGGATCGTCTGAAACCGTGCTTTGCGTCCAGTCGATGTCATATGAGTCGTTGGCGGGGTTATACCGGAGCGTGCCGAACACCAGTCCGTTGGCAGGAATCTTCGGATCCGTATCCGGTTTAAAGTACTTCACATAGCCGTTCGCATCGGTCAACGGAAGACCGTCCTGGTCCGGCTGGGCATACTTGACAACTAGGTAGTCCCGGGCCTTGAACGCGTTGTAGTTCGCCGTGAAGAAGATCCGGAAGGAGACCTGCTGGTCGTTGCGCATGATCTGCGAGACCGTGAACCGCGGGAGGAGGATCTGCGCGGGGTTCGAGCGGATCAGGGTCTCGTGCGTCAGTTTCATTTTTTATTTACTGGGAACTTCCTCCTGCTCGCAGCGAGCTCCTCCTTCGTCGCGCGCATGACGGTGAGCTTGTCGGCCGCCTTCTCCCCGAAGAAGCGCCGCTCCGCCGCCGTCGGCTCGTTCGACTGGAAGCGGACCTGGTTCGCGGTCACCCAGACCTGGCTGTCGTCGAGCATCCGCACGCGGTACCAGCAGTCCATCTTGTTCGCCTCCGCGAGCGTCCTGACCGGGTTGCTCTTCCGGTCCGTGCACTCCTCGATCCGCTTGACGACGTAGAGGTTGCTCTCCTCGACGTGGTCGTCCGCGTACGTGTGCGTCTTGCTCCCCGGGGCGACCTCGTTGAAGCGCCGGAGGATGACGTTGCCGCTCTTGTCGCCCTCCCGGCACAGTGCGTAGCGGCCCTGGAAGACCCCGAGCACCCGGAACCGCGCCCGGGACCACTTCGGCCGCTCCTTGTCGAACTTCCCGTCCTTGAGGAGCCGCACGTGGACCGTCTGGCCCGCGTCTGCCCTGGGCCCGCCCCGGAGCGGCAGGATCCCCTTCCGGTGCTTCGCGTTCATCACCGCGACGTTCTCCTCGTACGTGACGTCCGCCGTGCACTTGTGCGGGTAGTAGTGGTCCGGCTTCTCCCGGTTGTGGTGCTTCTCGATGTCCCCCGGCTTGACGCCGCTCATCCGGTAGTGGCGCAGGGACCGGCAGAAGCGGTTGATCGTGGCGAGGCGCGAGTAGTCCCTGACCTCGAAGGGCACGAGGTCGACCTTGACCCTCCGCCGCTCGAAGAGGTTGAGGATCTCGAACGCCGAGAACTCCATGTCCGCCCGGACGCTCTTCGCCTTGAAGTGCGTGAGCATCTCGTCGACGACCGGGACGAGGTTCGCCGCCTTCCGGTCCGGGAGCTGCCGCACGAAGCAGAGCCGCGAGAACGCCTCGACCGCCGCGAAGTACTTCTCCTCCCTGCCCCCGTCCTTGACGTAGACGAGGTCCATCTCGACGTAGCCCGGGCCCTTCGCAGAGAGCAGCGCCATTTTTATTCCATTCACTCAGTCAGACCCAGGAATGCGGCCCTCCTGGAGGGGCAGGAGCGTGTCGGACACGTTCAGGTTGTTGTCGCGGTCGATGAAGTAGATGTTGTCGTAGATCGTGAAGACCTTGCAGTCTAGGCCGATACAATTATCCTGGTAACCGATATCATCAAACCAAGGTTGAATCTTAGACAGATCCGGAATGACAAACTCCTCATTATTGAACTCCACATAGAGACGATCAGCAACGCGGTTCGTGCTGAACCCGTCCCAGAACTCGTGGTGAGCGTCGCGCATGAAAGTGTTGAGACTAATTACAATTACTGCCATGTCCTTGTTGAAATTCTCAAGACTGAAAAATGGATGGTTCTCAGCAGAATCGCCCATTGCCTCCCTACTTATGTGGTAGAACATGTCTCCGTTAATTGGTTCTGAAAAGACCGTCTCACCGTTACCGGTCCCGCGGTACACCTGAAGGTTCTCGATAACGTGCATGCCGAGATCAAAGAGTTGCTTTGGCTCGGCGGGGAACATTTGCGTAAAGAACTTGTGATGATCCAAGTGGTTCTGGTCAGTCAGCTCTGCGAGAATTTTTGCCAAGTACGTCTTCTGACTCTCAGTAAAGGCAGTCTTTAACGTATCATCGCTTCCGAATATTCGATCCATGGTCTCGGCAACGACTTTCTGGGTATTGGTATCTATTTCCAAACCGTTTAAAGCAAGTCTTCCCTGGGAGACAGATACCCCTGCCGTTTCTAAATTATGACGTGCTATAATATCGGTCACCTCATCTATGTCAGCTTCATCTATGTTGTGTTTCAAAAGATAATTCTTCACTTGGTCATTGGTGATGGCTGACGGACCACTCTCATCATCTGTTGCATAATAAGCTATCAAGTTAATTGAGACAGGATCAAGTTTCTTCATATTCATAAGATCTGTAAAAACATCCTTTTGTTTTTGTGTTAAATTACTTTTGGCATTATTCATAGTTAGGAACTGATGTGCTATAGCATTAAATTCGGTTATTCCAAGAGTACCGCCTGTCGATTTGTTAAATTCGTCAATAAACGTCCCTATAACATCACGATTCTTTGGATCCATAAAACCTCTAGCTAGGCTTTGGGCATTATTTCTTTGAAGCTTTAACAAATCATTCTCTTGGGACGTTCTCGGCGCAGGTCTTTTAACACTTCCAGCTCTAGTGGCGCTTTGCAAGGAACTCTGAACTAACATATTGGCTGTTGCTGTTACGAGAGGTTGTACTGACTTAGGAAGGCCACTGGCCGCAAGGGCAAGAGTCGGTTGTGCTAAAAATGACCAGTTCAGATTTTTAGCACTATCCCATATCTTGCACATTATACTAGTACCAAGATCAAACGCCTTTCTACCAAATGCGCGAGTACCAGAAGGAGGGTTTGGACTTGATGCTGAAATGTACGGGTTGTCTGGCGCTGGCTGATAATTATTACCGGCGTGACCTGTCATAGAAGGTCTTGCTCGTGTCGGAACAAATGCGCCCTGGTTCTTGGCATTAATCGTTTGGCTTGTTGTGCCCGCTGTTGTTTTCTGAATACCAAATGACTGATTATCCATCATCGAAATAGCTCGACCATCGACGCGTACAGAATACGGCACCTGGAACGCAAGAACAATGTGCGATATCGACTGATGGGTGTTCGCTATCTCAATTCGATTATAACCCTGCTTGACCTGGTAGAACTGGTAGTTATAGGCTTTGAAAGAGCGAATAAATTTGCGGCCGCTGGCAATGAAGGCGTTGTACTCTTTGGTAAGAAAAGCGTTATCGAGACAGAGCGTAACTAACTTCATATTATACATACAAACATCCCAGTTAATCTTTTTGTCAGAAGCGGCAGTTGACCAAAGGTAATCATTTAAATTAGGATTCATATAAATGGCCATAGAACTGCGAGAACCACCAAACACCTCTGAAAGAGACGCAGCAACAGAGCGAATAGATAGAGTCATCTCACCATTACCGCGAAGCAGGCTTGGGAAGAAGTATCTGCCTGAATTGAAGATGGTTGATAAATAACGAAGCGGGATGAAGAAAGAAAAGGTTTGTTGGGATATGCGAGAAGTAGTCAACGAGCCTACAGGCATAAGCTTGCCATATATATCATCGGCTACGGCATCATTGAACATATTATTGTCTGCAAACTGCTGATTTGCCGTAGTGAAAAAGGTCTGCCTCATACTGAGGATGTCTTTCGCGGGAATAAAGATGGTGCTGACAGCGTTGTAATCGCAGAGGCGTTCATCTATGTGGGCTGCCACCTTCGAATGCTGGAACGTCACCGACTCGATCCAAGCTGAAGAAGTGCGAGGAAGAGAAGCCTGTATAGGCCACAACACCACATCACTATTATTCTGGAAGTAAAGTTCAAACCAGAGCCCAGAATACATTGTGTCGAGGATGTGACCCGTGCCCATGTTGATAATGAACTGTCTCGTCCCCCCGAAGAAGGGCTCGCTCTCGCTGGGCGCGTTCACTGGCCTGTAGGTGATCCACTTCTTCGCCCTGAAGTCCGAGAAGTCCTGCATGAACTTCGAGACCTTGACGTTGTCGCTGAAGTCCAGCTCGCGGACATCGGGGTTAATGGCGATCGCCATGATTTTTTTTTTTCATTCACTTATGCGTGACCGAGACGCCGAACACGCTTGACACGTTTGCTGCATGGCTCTCCTTGCGCTGCTTCTCGGCGAGGTGGTCGGCGATGATCTTCGAGAGCTCCGGGTCTCCCTCGTCGCCCGACTCGTGCTCCTCCTCGCTCTTGGGGGGCGCCACGGTCTCGACCATGCTCTCCTCCATCTTCTCGGCCCTTATCTGGGCGAGCTTCTCCTCGAGCCTCTTGGTGGCCTCGGCGCGCTTCCTGAGGCGCGACTCGAGCATCTTCTCCGTGCGCTCCTTGATCTGCTCGGGGGTCTGCTTGGGGACGGCCCTCCACCTCCCATTCTTGCAATAGATGTACTCGTGGGTCTCGCGGTTGATCTCGGGGAGCTCCTTGTAGGGGTCGATGTCAGGGTCCTCTCGGGCGGTGATCGGGACCTCCTTCATGCGCGTCTTCGCCTGCTTGGCCTGCGGGGGCACATAGACGCTCTTCGGAGCTGCAGGCTCCTTGAGCTTCTCGAGGACCGCCGCGACGATCGCCTGAACGTCAACGTTGGCTGTCATTATTTTTTTTTCCTAGGAGTTCACTTCTTCGTGCGCATGCGCATCTTGGCCTCTTCCATCTTTGCGGTGCGCCTCTTTGTGTCTGCGAGTGACGGGTCGATGCGCTTCGCCATCGCATGGGTCAGGGTCTTGGAGGGCATGGGGACCTGGATGTGCCTTGCGTTGCTATTGCAGTCGAGGGGGATGAGGTTCGACTGGGAGGCGAAGCGGCGGGCCTTCACGATGCGGTGCACGGACGGGTCGTTCTTCGAGTTGAAGGGAACCTGCGTGCCGGCAAGGGGATCCTTGAAGGCCTGCACGACGCGGGGAGGCGCATACGGAGGAGACCCCGTCGGCAGGACAGCGCAGGAGGGGAGGTGTGAGACAGTGTAGACGCGACCGTAGTCGTCCGCCTGGGTGTGAGCACGCATTTTTATTTACTTGAGGACAGTGTCGAAGTTCTCCCTGAGCTCCCTTGCGTTACGGAAGACGGTGAGGAAGTAGTAGCGGCGGCTCTCGTCGTTCGGGTAGACGCCCGTCACCTTGTCGTAGAGCCCGCAGAAGAGGTCGCACGCCTTCGTGCCGTCCTGGGCCTTCTCGTTGATGATCGGGAAGATGTTCCCCAGGTCCTCGTAAACATCCTTGAGCGCCTGGCTGTTGAGACCTGCCGTGAAGATGAACTCCGTCGCATGCATGCGGAAGGGCGCGTGGAAGGCCTTGAGGTTGTGGATGCAGGCGAGGACAGAGGTGTTGTGGTGTCTCCTGTCCCTGATGAGGCGGTACACAAGGTTGTTCTCAGAGTTGACCTTGAAGGCCTTGGCACCCGAGTTATCGTCGATGGCGAGGAGGACCTTCGGACGCGTGCCGTCGCTGGTCGGCGCTATGGAGTCGATCTCCTCGGTGATTGTGATGTAGCGGGCAACAAGGTCCTCGAGGAGCTCTGGCTGCTGGTCCTTCGCGATCTTGATCGCCCTCGCTATCTGCCTCCTCTGCTCCCGGAGCTCCTCGGCCTTCGCGTGGAGGTCCTGGAGCTCGTAGATCTTCATGATGGCCACGTCCAGCAGATCGGTGCTCGCCGTGTAGACGTGCTTCGTATGCTCGCGCTCCTGCTCGAACTCCACGTAGTCCTCGAGAACTACCTGGGTGAGGTTCGCTGCCCTGAGCGTCGCGTCCTGGCGGTAGTTCGCGGCGACATAGATGATGTGGCTGTAGCGGTAGATCTCATTGAGAAGACGGAAGAGGTTGATGATGATCGTCGTCTTCCCAGAGCCCGTCACACCCACGATCGGGATGAAGCAGTTGTTCGAGACCGGGAAGCGCTTCTCCCGGAACTCGAGCGCGTCCTTGGTAGACGCAGTCTTGAGCGAGAGATCGAGCGGCATAATTAAAAAATAATGCTGAGACTCGAGACAAAGCAGACAGGTGTTATAACAATTAAAAATATAGGAAAGGGTCTCGTAAACCATGCGATATACAGCAACAAGATCCGCGAAATCCTCTCTCACTATCCGACAGGCCACTATATGAGTCTCGTTAGCGCATACTCCCCGCTTTCTATATTCGACAGCATCGGCGCCTTCAACATTACCGACGTAACCGCCAACCAGACGTTATTCGAATTCGACGGAGTCGCTAAGAACCTTGCTGACCTGATCTCACACAGCATATCTGCTAACGTCGAAATAAACATTACCGAGGATGGCTTTGTTCGTTTCATACTAACACAAGCAATCACAGCAGAGAACCACTTCATAAATCTCAACCTCTCTCCGTCGGCTGCCTGGGCACTTGGCTTCGGAACCACCAAGCAACTATTCTCCCGAAACCTTCCGCAAGGCGAACGGAGCATCCTCCTCTCAGACATCCCCTATCCTCCCGTCACCCTCAAGTATCTCCAGATCATCTGCAAGAACGTCTGCGGCACGTCTGACTCCAACATGACAATGCCGGCCTGCATTGGCGTTATGCACATCACAAACAACTTCTCCCTCATCAACCCCCACATCGCCGTTAACCACCGCATCAATGAGGGCCGAATCATCGACATAGAGATCCTTGACCAAAACAACCGCCCATTCACCCTCGCTCCCGTCTATCTCGAACTCTTCATCACGGAGTCTGCAGAACACGAAAAGAAGCAGGGGTTTTTTCGTTTCGAAAAGCCTCATGCCATCCTCCTGCACTCGCCCGTCGCCAAGCTGAGCGTCCCTGACTTTTTCTTCCTTGAGCCGACCTTCACCTTCGAATATGGCAAAGACGCATATATCGAGGTAACAAGCAAGAAGGTCAGACGCTTCTACCCCCACAAGGACCCGTACTTCCTGTCGCTCCGCGGAACAGTCATCACTAAGACCGCCATGGTCAACATCTTCAAATACATCAACAACTACTTCTTGAAAGAAATAGGGCCTAACCCAAGCGGTCCCTATATCGCGGCCTGGTTAGATGGAGACGATCTCGTTCTGATGACCACGGTAACCATGCTAATGATAACGCCAGACTTTATCACTGCCTGGCACATCAGGAAGACGGATCTTATCAAGCTCTATGAGGCGATCTCTCCTACAACGCGCATAAAGATTCCGCCGTATGTCTGGTATAACAAGGACAGCCGCATCAACCTCTACTGCAAAGAGTACCACGAGAGATATCCCATCGTCTCTGCCCGCCGCATCCACGACCGCTACCAAGTCATCAACCCGCTGTTCTGGGCGTGGCACGAGCTGGAAAAGCCGACCAACAAGTTACACTTCCGCGCAGACCACATAGTCACCTACCCCGACGGCTCTGTCGACGCAAGGCCCTTCTCTGCCAAGATAGAGGGCGACTGGGCCCCCATCTTCCAGCTCTTCTACAAGTGAATTCACTCTGCCGGCACGTCCTTGCGCTTGAACACCAACCCCATTAACTTTATTCCATCCTCCCCCTCCTGAACAGTATCTCCAATCAAGACATAGCATCCTTCCATCGTCTCGTCGTTTACCTTCATCGTGACAGTGAGCTCAGCGTCCTTGCAGTCGAAGAACCTTCCTCCCATAGTGATAACCATCATCGGCATGGTAATCTTATCAGACGCGAGCTCTGCTAGTAGCTCTGACTCATCCATTGGCTCGTCTGGTACAGCGGGGGAGTCGGCGCCTGCTGGTACTGTGGCTGGCTCTGCTGTTGGCGGGCCTTCTGTCTGTCCAGGATCTCCTGCATGATCGACGCTGTCTTCTTGCACGACGACGCCGTTATCCCCAGACACACCAGCGTCGCCATCGTCCCTATCAGGTTGAACGTCGCCGCCACCCAAATGCTCATCCGTCATATTTTATTTTCCTCCCCGCCCTGAATCAATTAATCAGATCAGAATCAATTCGTCAGAATGGTTTGCACTTCCTGACTGCCGCCTCCCAGAAAAAAAAAATAACGCTGGCCTGCTTTCTGCTTTCGGGCTGTCTGTATGTCGCACTTCGGTGTCGTGCGGGCCCGGGGGCAGGGAGCAGACCAGGCTGGCCGGCAGCTGAACCGGGCGCGAACGCATCACACACATCCAAGGACAACGCGGTCTCCTCCCGGCGTGCACGGCACCACGCTGGGCGGTTCCGGGGGGAGGCCGCGATTTTTTTTGAAAATTTACAGGTTTTTTATTCTGTTGAAAAGTAGGTAAACGAGCGCCAGCGTGTGGGAGCCTAGTGGGCGGACCGGCACACGCAGACGCACTTGTGGGGGACGCTTTCGTTTTTTTGGGCCCAGCCCCGTGCAGGCCCAAAAAAACGAAAGTGGGCACCACAAGGATATATACTACTGGCGTCACGAGGAAGGCGACGCGGGGCGGGTAGCCGATTGCGTTCTGCTGGTTGAACATGATAAGGAGCGGGATGTAGCGCACGAGGCTGTTCGGGTTCCGGACGTTCGCCTCCTCGGCGCGGAGGTAGAGGATCTTCGCGAGGTCTGCGACGATCGGGTAGACGATGCGCCGGAAGCTGTAGTCCGTCGCGTACGAGAGCTCCGTCGCCTCCTTGCTGCGCACGGCCGGCGCCTTGCGGGGGTTCTTCGCGTTCACCTGGAACTGCGCGAGGTTCCAGCGGACGGTCTGGATCAGCTCCTTGGTGCAGAAGGCGTCCTGGAAGTCGAGGACCTGGTCGATCGAGCCGACAGGGTCCTCCTGGAGATGCTTGCGGACGTTGTCGACGAGGGGCTTGAGGCGGGCCAGCACGTACTGGCGCAGCTGGCCGTAGTTGAGGGTCTCGAGGGAGCGCAGCAGCTGCGCGTAGTTCTCCTCGCTCATGCCGATTGGATTGGTGTTCAGAAGGTCTTTGAGAGTAGCCATTTACACCATTTTATTTTCCGAAACGAGATTCTGATTCTAAATGGTTGCGAAATTAAAATAGATGAACAACCTCATCATCCGCACGGAGCAGTTGGATGGGAAGTTCGTGACGAAGGAGAGCCTTCAGAAGGTCGTCGATCAGCTTAGCTTTGCGTCAGAGTATTACTTCAATGTGCTCAAGGAGTTCTGCGAGCGTAATGCTTTGAGAGACGATCAACGGAGGGCTCTCTTGGGAAGCAATCTGAACATAAATCTGACTCATCGTCTTCAGGGATATTTTGGTCCGAAGACCGTCCATTGCGCGACGCAGCTCATGACCGAAAAAGACAAGGCCAGTGCTCTCCGGTACTACTGCAATGCCCACAACTACGAGATCAAAGACTACAACGGAAACATGTTAGATGGGATGTCTCCGTTGAAGGGCCCGTGTCTGGTATTTCTTGTCAAGTTCATGGAGGAGATCATCGGCTTCAAGAATACGCCGAAGGGCATCTTCAACATCGCCCTCAACGGCGGGAAGCTCACGAAGGCGATGAAGAAGGCGGCCCCGATCGTCGGCTTTAACAACAACTTCCAGCCCGAGGAGTACATGCGCGACACGACGAACAAGTCCGAGTACATGCGGGGGCTCACGATCGTGCAGAAGATCGTCGCCCTCCAGTGGATGATGATGGGGAACTACGCCTTCCGAGAGGAGCTCTTACCGATGGCGGACCAGAAGGCGCTGCTCAAGAAGAAGAAGAAGGAGCAGAAGCCCAAGAAGCCTCGGAAGCTCAAGAAGAAGAAAACCAGGGATAACGATCTCATCCCTGACGCATTGGAGGGCAAGATCGGCATAGGGAACGCCATCTCCCAGGATGACTTCCGCAAGCAGCCCCTCTTCCAGCAGATCCAGTACCTCTATGAGATGGTCGGGGGCTCTCTGGCTGGCAGGAACAACCAGAAGCTTTCTCCCTACGGCCGCGTGTCCCGGGCAGATTTCATGGCGGCCACGGTCAACCAGCAGACGATGTGGCTCTACCGCCAGCTGCAGGGCCAGGACGAAGACGGAGACGAGGACAACGGACTTCGCAAGCACATCGGCGGCAATTACAAGATCGGGGGCAGCTATCTGAAGATCAAGAACCTCAAGAAGCTCTCGCAGGGCCGTGTCACGCACCAGACGCGTTATCTGGGCAAGCGGGCCCTGAAGCACGAGACCAAGATCCAGAATTTGGAGCGGAACAACAAGAAGCTCGACCTCGAGATAACGAAACTCCAGGCGGCCGTCAAGTACCTCAAGGCGAAGCTTTTGGCCGATGACAACGACTACAAGAAACTCCAGGACAAAATCAACAAGGGCGGAAACACAGGCGGCATCGGATCGAAGCTCAACGTGATCAACATGGCCGTAGGCTATGCCTTGGACGCGGCTATCCTGACCGTCGCCTCCACAGGCCTTGCCTATGCGATCCAGGCGAAGAACCGGCTCGACGAGCACGATTACAAGTTTAAGAGGATCTACAAGTTCCTGACCGACGACCTCTTCTACCGCTTCGAGTTTATCTGGAACGAGTTCTCGCACATCAACCGGGACGTGTCCCTCGTGCATCTGGAGGCTGCCCGGGCGAAGAATCACATCAAGGTGCTTCAGAGCATCGCCGGAGAGGACCAAGTAGCCATCGAAGCGCTGCAGGAGGAGGCGAAGGTCCACGCCAAGCGGATCGAGAGACTCACCGAGAACCAGAATGACATCATGGACTTCCGGAACCGCATCGAGATCCTGATGACAGTCGTTGTCCAATTCTTCGAGCGGAACGGGATCTCGTTCACAGACCCGGTCGGCGGCATCATAGACATGAGCGGGATCCGGACCGAGCTCGAGGGCGCCTACAACTACCTGCGGGAGCTCGTCGCGGAGCTGCAGTACCAGGTTAAGGCCATCAGCAGTTTGACCTCTGCCCGCAACGATGCTTTGGAAGCCCAGATCGAAGAGGAGCAGGAGCGGTCGGCCGAGCAGAGGAGGCTCCTCACCGAGCGCATTGTGGCGCAAGACGAGCTGATCAGAAGGCTTACCGAGCGCCTCGATGCGTTAGAGTCCAAGGAGGGTTCAAAGGACGATTCTGCGGTTATTCAGGACGTGTCAGGTCTGTCGGCCCGGGTCGCAGCGCTCGAGAGGGAGAGGGAGGAGGACCGGGCGACCATCGAGAGACTCAATGTGACTATTACAGAGATATCGGACCGTTACAACACTCTGTCTGGCCGACTCGCTGGTTATGAAGAGCGCATAGCGACTAACGAGAGCGACATTTCTGAGATGAAGACTAGCATAAACGACCTCAAGAGCAATACAACCGACTATGCGGCCCTCGAGACGCGGGTCAACGCCGCCGAGAGCAACATACGGGGGCTCTGGGACACGACTAGGACGCAAGAAACCGCTCTATCAGCTCTTACAACAAGGGTGGCCAATTGCGAAGGCAAAATTAGGGCTAACGAGACCAGGATCAAGAACAACGCAGATACCATCGCCATATGGACAGACGAAGTAACGACTCTCAAGAGGTCCGTTGGGCAGAACCGGGACCAGATCGCCTCCCTCAAAGTCACGGTGAGCAACCTCCAGGGCTCGCTGAGCTCCGCATCGAGCAGGCTCAGTAGGCTCGAGTCGACCGTCTCCGGCTTTGAGAGTTCGATCCGGCTGAACCGGGACAGCATCGCGACGCTCAACGCCCAGTCAAACAAGCTGACCTATGTCTGCCGAGAGCTGAAGTACCAGTACCTCGTCCGGAAGTGGATCCCCGGCCAGACGACGGACGGCAACGGCTTCATGCGGATCTCCATGTCCAGCCTCCCCAGCGACGCCATCAGCAAGAGCAACGACTGCATCGTCTCGATTGTGCCCTACGACGTCTGGGTGACGTCCTACGACCGCGTCTTCGTGGCCTGGAACGACTATCGCGAAGGCAACTCCAATGACAGCTACATCAACGTCACGCTACGCTTTGCATATGATAAAAGCATCGGCAAGATTGGCGGCGGCCAGCGGGTGGCGATCTGGTACTGGGCCAGGAGCTCGGTCGAGAACTACAGCTTGTGAATTAGTAATCCTTTACGACCTCGAGGACCTCCTGGTACGAGCGGGGTCTCTCGGGGTCGGGGAGGTTGTCCTTGATCGTGGGGCCCCAGAAGTCGCGCCACCACTCGGGCTCCCCGGTGATCTCGAATTTATACCTGTCGATCCGGAGGTCGCTGTAGAGGAAGATGGTCGTCCGCGCGTCCTTGTCGATGACGGGGATCTGCCGCCAGAAGTCGCTCCACCAGCCCGGATCGTGCTCATCGCGAAACGCTCTCCAGCCCGGGTAGTATTTGTCCAGCAGTATGAGGTAGTCCTTAATGCGCTGGAGTTCCTCGGGAAGGCGAAGCGAGTACGGCACGGCCTCTGTCCCCCACTCACTGGCCTGCTCCCAGCCCACCGGCTTTCGCGCGAAGAGGGGATTCGGGTTGTCCGCGAGCTCCGGGTAGATCTCCGGGATGGGGATGAGGTCGTTCAATAACTTGTCGATCGCCATCCAGGCCTTCCAGTTCTTCCACTTCTTGGCCGTGGGATGGTCCATGCCTGAGGGAATGTCGGGATAGTCCTTGGTGAGCTGGTTGTAGATGTCCTGGTAGAGCCGCGGGAACCACGTCTTGTCGAGGAGCCGGCGGTACTCGTAGAAGCGGTAGACGTGCTCGGGGACCTTGTGCTCGAGGATGCCGTCGAAGATGCAGAGGTCCTTGATCGACTGGTAGTCGTGCTGGTCGTTGTACCACCAGGGATCGCCGCCCGTCACCTCGAAGTCCGGCATGTAGATGTACTTGATCTTCTGCGCGTGGCCCTTTATATATGTGACGAGGTTGGTGTGTGCTTCGTTGGCATTACCCTTAAAGGCGGCCGTGCATATGGGGCGACCAATGGAGCACTTGCATTGGATAGGCCCCTGGTACTCGAATAACGGTTTACGGCCCCAGATGGCGTCGTCGAAGGCGCTATCGTTTTTATTGATATAGTCGAAGGTCTTGTTGGTCGCCGGGCCGGTTACCAAATACTTCGCCGGCTCGCCGAGGAGCAGCGTCGAGTTGGCGCCCTTCGTGAAGAAGATGTAGACCTCTGTGTTGGAGCGGTGGAGCTTGTAGCCTTTTCCGACGATATTGATGTAGGCATACATTATCTGGCAGAACGGGCAGATCTGAATTACATTAAACCGACTTTCTGGCTTGTCTGTTATCCGTTCGGACGTTTCATTTTCATAGCAGATATAAGGGTAGAATCGACAGTTATAATCGTCTTTTTCATATGTTTTATGACTGTCTCCCATACAATCAGAACCAACCCACCAGCCAGTCAACGGAGCCTCTTGAGCAAACGATCTGCAGGTCTTCTTCAGATACCTTATGTGTCTCGTCGAGCGTTCGTGGCACGGACACTCGCAGGGCGGCATGCAGGTGCAGACATTGGCGGCCCATAAGGGATCTCCCTTCTTAAGAACACGCTTCTTTTCAAAGCACATGCAGCAGTGGACGTTCATGAGGTTGCCGCCCGGGGATTGCTCCTTGTCTGCATGCGTTTTGGATTCCTCGTAGGGACAGACGTGAACTCTCCGCCTGTACGTGCGCGAATAGCGTTCCGCCACGGCAGGCATGACGACGCCGTTAATCATGCCGCAGGCGCCATTTATGATTCCGGCTCTTATTCCGCCTGGGAGGCATTCCCTTTTGAGGAACAGATGGGGGATATGCAGGATGTAGACCCCTCTATCGATGAGCCACTCGTTGTTCTGCTCGTGGGTGACCCCCTGCGGGTCGAACTCCATCATAAGCTTATTGATTACGTCTAGGGTGATGTCGCCCTCGTTCTCCTCTATCTCTTCGGCCAGCTCGGGCGTAAGAGGCTCCTCGGAGAGATCGACCGGCTCGGGGATCGGGTCGTACTGGTCCGAGATGTCCCGCGGCAGTTCTACGATGCGGGTTGTCATCATTGTTGTGCCGTCGGGGTTTAACATCTCGTTCCCTTCTTCATCGAGCACGGGCTCCTCGATCTCTCCTAGACTTGGCGGTTCGATGTCCTCCCCGCTCATTTCGCTGATCTCCTCCTTGGCCTCTATGTCTGCCTGGGGGATCATCTCTGCCTTAGCGTCCGGGTCGTTGAGGTCCTCCCACTCTTGCTTTCGCTTTATGTTGAAGATGGCGTTGGTGATTTCCCTGGTGATCACGCCGATGAGCGCCGAGATCGTTGTGACGCCGGCAAGCGCCACAGTCCAGTTGATCGTCAGCTTGATCTTCCGTTTGAGGTAGTCGATGAACTTGTCGATGTCCTGTTTGAAGAGGTCGATGTTCTCGAGGACGTCTGAGAACATCTGATCGACAAGGGGAATGCCGAATATGGAATACGGGCTCCCCAGGTCGATCTTGGGTGGTTGGATAGGCTCCAGCTCGGCCTTCTCAATGGCGTTGAGGAAGTCCTCGTACGTGAGTTCGCCGGTCAGCGGGTCGATTTCGAGGCTTGCGCCGCCGCTCTGGATGTAGCTCGTCGTCATTTATTTTTTGTGCGGCGTATATGTTGCAAACACTTTAAATTCGATTCTCAAATCGAAAGAAAAAGCCTTCAAATGTTCCTACCAGCTTTCGGCCACATTCCCGCCATCCTGGTGTGCGACGCGGCAGAGTCCCAGGGGCGCCTCTGGGAGCTGATCAGCGCGTACACGAAGCAGCTCCACCGCCTCCGGACCGAACGGGTGCCGCGGAAGGGTTTACGCCAAAGCTCGTTCCGCCGCCGCAACGGGCTCCGGGCGGCCCAGATCGCCCGCATCAACAAGAACCGCCTGATGCTCATCGATCTATACGTAGAACGGTGCAGCAACTTCTTTTCTAGGCTCCTTCCTGACGTTCTCAGCGCGGCGGACGGGCTCCTCCAGCTGAAGGCGATCCAGATCTTCAAGCGGCGCGACATGCTTGGCAATTGGATCGTCTACAGCTCGGAGCAACGCCACGACCTCGCCCGCGACCACCTGGAGGCCTGCCTCGCCCTGGAAGACTTCTATTACAAGCACGGCTTCATACCGAAGGACTTCCAGGAGGAAAGCGATGAGTAAATGAGCTGATTTACACTTCTTTAACCTCCAGGCGCTATGAGGTCCTTGGCGCCATTTTTCTTATTTACACTACTTTGCTATGTTACACTATAATATACGCCGGCAAAGCATTTTAAAGTGAAATTGTATATTGAGAAAAAGACCCGTCTAGATGATTACGCCTGTCTTTGACGTTATAGGGAGTTTTCCTGGCATTGCAGGCCTTCCTGCGCGACCCTCATGCCCCGCTCCATCGGAAGAGGTCTCCAGCTCGTCTACCACGGTAAGCGAGCTGGACCTTGATATGACCGATAAGCAGCTTTTGCGCCACGCCATCGCCCAGTCCTCGCACCGCGGCCTCAAGCTGAAGAGGCTGCGAGAGACACTAAAAGCGTCAAAATTCGACCAGGAGATCCTCCATAAGAACTACGAGGCTCGCCTTAAGACATACTACGCACAGTGCGAAAAGCTAAACAGGGAGCTGGAGGAGGCCATCCTCGACTACAGAGCGGCCGCAGACGTCGCCGACGCAGCCGAGGAACGCATCGACGAGCTCACAGGCGAGATAAGCGCGTTGATGAAGGAAAATAGCCGCGTCCGCAAGGCCTGTGCGCGCTATAAGCGCCGAGCAGCCGGAATACGCCCTATGCTTCGCCGCAGTCTGCCCGATAAGGTAACCATGCCTGCGTGCGTGATCTGCCTAGACAGGGAGCGCACGCACGTTCTAATGCCCTGTGGACATGCCGCCTACTGCGAACAATGCGCTAATGTCCTCGATGAGCAAGCAAGGATCCGCGGAAGGCCGATAGAGTGCCCCCTTTGCCGCAAGGTGGCAATAAAAGCCCAAAAGCTCTATTTTTAAGTAAACGGCCCTGATTTCCTTTATTCAAGCTATATAGGCCTATTTAGGATCATTTACTCATTATCTTATTGAGAACCGCCTCTAGGTCGCGTGTATAAAGCGCCTGGCTCTCGCGCATGTCGTTAAGGCGCGCATTTTGCTGTTTAGCGGCCTCCAGTTCCTTTAGGAGCTCCGTTTCCCTCTCCTGAGCTCTCGTGAGCGCTTGCGAGAGATAGTCGTTGTTGCGCCTCGTTTCCGCAAGGAGAGACTCCAGCTTCTCGCTCTGGCGAAGCTTTTCCTTGAGCTCGGCGATCTCTTGCTTGTCGCGGTCGGCCCTTACGGAGAGCTTGAACATTTGGTCCTGGAGCTCCTTTTTGGAGTCCCAGGCCTTGTTTAGCGCCTCCTGGAGGAGCTCACGGCCTTTGTGGCGCCTGCGGGGGGAGAGTTTCGCCGCCGAGACATAGTGCTCGAGCGGCTTGGGAAGAGTTAGTTTACCATTTGAATCCATAACAGGGCAAGGGGGGATCTCTGAGAAGCCCACGACGTCTGCCAGCATTTTATTTGAGGCGCTGTGACCAGTGCACATTTATTTTGTGCTAAGTTCACATTTCGTTTGTGACCATTGCACAAAACACTTGTGTTCATTTCACATTTATTAGTATATTGCGCCATATTGACATAAACTATTATAGTCCTGTCCCTATACCTATACTATATACCCCTATATCCCTAGATATACGCGCGCGGGGAGGGTTCCGGCCCTTCCTCCCGGAGAGGCCCCTGCAACACCCTGTGGGCGCCTTGGGCAGACCCTTCCCCATGTACTCACCGCTTTGCGCGCATGCTTCTTCGCTTGGAGGACGTCAGAGATAAGGCGATGTTAGACGGCCTACTTCCCACCGGGGTCCGGCCTGTTGTAGTGGCCACGTATGGTTCGCAGCCGGAGCCATTCGAACCATATCCTGAGTATAAGCTTCTTTATGTCCCCCCTCGTTAGTACGGACAGAGTAAAAACTCTGAGAGAGGCCGGTGAAGCTTATGCGCACGGACCCTTGACAGACACCTTGGCTGCTTCTGGGCAATCTCGTGGCGGACCTCTGTGGCCACAGGTCAGTGCCTCCATTAAGTGGTGAGTAAACCGTCCAGTGCAAGGGAGCACCCCGTGGTCCGGGCTGCCTTCGTCAAGCTCGCAATAGCTAACAGGCCCCAGCTCGTCCACTTCCACAGCCTCAACTACGACGGGGCTTTCATCCTTCGACATCAAGGAGGACTCCATCGTCACCGCACGAGGCACCCCGCAGGTCCGGGAGGGCCCGAGCATCGGCCAATCCACGACAGCACCAACGATGGCGAAGCAGACCCACAACCATCCCACACTCTGGGCCGGACTCCCGCCCCGCGGGCCCTACTCTGCCCCGCCGCCGCTGGCCCTGCGCCCTGGGTCGGAGCGGCGGCCCGCGCCCCCGCAAGCCTCTCGGCCGCCGGAGATGCCGCGGCGCCACGCGCTGGGCCGCCCCGGGACCCGGCGCCGTCTTCCAAAAAACCCAAACCATTGCAAATCGGAATCTCTCCCGGAAAATAAAATGACGCCGGCGCTGCCGGTATGTCGCACCGAGGTGTCGTGCGGGCGCCTGGAAGGCCTTTCCTCAAGCCCCTCTGCGGAGGGCAGGGCAAGAGCCTGCGCGGCCTGCCCTGGGCGCTGTTTACTTCGGCTGGCTCCCGTGGGAGAGCACAACCGAGACCTTGCGGCAAGCCCTCCCCTGGCCGAGCGTGAACCTGACAGTGAGCTGGTCCAGGCGCATCACAGCGCGGAACGCGGCTCGAACGGTGCGGGGGAGGGCTCGAACGGCTCGAGCGATGCAGAGGAGCCTCGAGAAGATCCCGGGCGGCCTCGGGGGGTGCTCCAGAGGCGGCGTCGGAATGGTGGCATCAGACATGGTCGCTGCTTTTTATTTCCGGACACCAGGTCAACCCGAGGCCGAATCAAAATCAATTCGGAATCTGTCCGCCAAATAGTTTAGACGAGAAGTCAGACAGGCCCGAAAAGACGCGACCCGCCGCCGGTGTGCTTCGCCGCGGCGCCGCGCGAGTGGATGCACCAGTCGACCCGAGCGGCGAGAACCAGGCGGGGCAGACGGCTGGCGTGGGGTAGGAGGGCCCAGGCGCAGATGTGGGTGGCCGCCTCCCCCTAACGCTCTGCACTGTGGCTCCACCGCGCCCGAGGCAAGCAGATGGGCAGGTGGGCGCACCGACGCGCGGCGCCTGGGCCAAGACCAGGAGGTGAGGCACTAATCCTGCTAGAATAGCTATACGCCGAACCCAACGGAACGCTCGACTCCACCTCCTTGGAAAGCACCCGACCACCCAAAAGTGGAAGAGGCCGCCGCTAAGATAGGCACTATGTTGCCCGCAGGCAGCGGCCTCAGCTACAGCACACAGAACCAAACACAACGCACGCCTTAGCCGCTGGCTCCCCCACCGGGCCATACCTGACGGCGCCCTGGCTAGCTTTGAGGTGCAAGGAAACAACTAGCTTCACTCCTGTACACCCTCCCCAGACCAGCCGCCTATCAATCCGCTCGGCTCGCCACAGACGCTCAGTCTGTGTCGGCGCAGCCGTTGAGCTCCGCATTCACAAGAGTGGATACCAAGCACCACGCAGGCACTAAGGAGGATGGCTCCGTGCAACTGGACCTTGAGCGCAGGACGGCACAGCGTCATCCAGACGGGCTCATAGAGGTCGACGTCGTCCTGATGACCCGTTTTTGCGGGAGGAAGCCCGGCTACGTGAGATAGACATAGGCCATCCTCACACACGGACACAGTGCTTACCCTCTCACCTTGTGGTGCTCCATGTGGCTTCCCATCTATTCATGAAGCCCGCCATGATAACACCTAGTGCACCAACGTCGGTCTTGTGCGCCCACCTGCGGCGCCCTCTATGGATCCGAGACGCTCTGGTCCCTCGCATTGTGTCGCTCAAACTGCTGGCTCCTCGAGTCTGTGTGCCCCCAGGGGCTCGGTCGAACCAAGAACAACGAATCTCAGGCTTGCCCATGAGCTGGAACACGTCCAGGAGCCAGGCACCGTGCAAGCGGCTACCGCTCCCCAGGCGTCAGCTCCAGACTGTGGGGAGGTTCGCCCGGACACCCGCTGGCCCAGGGGTGGCGGCCCGCCAGGCTCCCAGCCCCCGGATCAATGTCCAAGGGCGGCCGCACAGCAGAAGACCGCCCCGGTGCCACGGCCGGCGACAGACAACTATTTACAGTGACGCTGCGGCTGCAGAGGCGGGGCCTCGGAGCGCCGGCCTGCCGACACGCTCCGCCGGCTCAGAGAGAGAGCCCTGGACCCGGCGCGGCTCCGCGAATAGGAGATGCAGCCGTCCTGCTTGGCGCTCTGCAGCAGGGCTATGTTCTCCTCGAAGGACATGGGCGGCGCAACGGCCCCGGCCCTTATCACGACCGGCGGGGCATCTCCCGCGTCGCAAACAACCATGGGAGGCTCTGGTTCATCAAAGTCAGAGCTAGGACTGCGCTCCTCGAAGGTCCGCTGCCCGAAATGCTGGTACGTGCTCATTATCGCCGTCACGGCGGCCTCGTCGTCATCTGGGGGGCTGGAGTTGATTAGGCGGCGGCCAGCAGCCTCACATGTAACCGTGTCTGGGGACAGGACGTCCTGACCTCGCTTGTCTGTGACAACAAAGTAAAGTGACTGATCAACGTTGTCCTCCGCGTCTGCCAAGTCGGGCGCAACGAAACTAGAACCTGCCCCTTCCTTCTTGGTCAGTAGCGTCTCCACCAGGTCCGGGTCTTGCTTGGGCATCGGGGGCTGCGTGATAAGGTCTGGGTTTGGACCTTTAGACTCAAGAATTGACTGAGAGATTGAAGAGGCCAGCGACTCCATGCGGCTGAACAGGAGGTCTGAATATAGACTCTGTCCTGCCATCCGCCGGGGCGATGACTTGGCAACGACGCAACTTGCTTGTCCGCTTGGCTGGGCTACTACTGCATCTGGGGTCAAAGACGCGCTGGTATCTAATTTCCGCACAGGCTCATGCGAATCAGTGGGTAAGAGTCGCACCCGCGGCTTTTTGTGCCTGGAATCGGCACTACCTGTGGGGGACCTAGCAGGGGAAATGTCACCCTTATCTAGAGCCATGACGGACTTGTAGCTCCCACTTCTTGGAGAGCTCGTGGGAATGACATGAGGAACAAAGTCTGCCTTCACAGGCTTTATCAAGTGGTCGTCCTGATGTGTTCCTTCTAAGTAAAGTGTCTGTGCATCCACTTCAGGAAGTTCAGTGATGGCGGTCAGGACCTCGTTCTCAGTCTCCTGAACAGCAGTAGTGTCTGCTATTGCTAACGGCGCACAAAGAACAGTAGGAGCGGGCTCGTTTTCCGTTCCATTGTTATCCTGCTGAGCTGAGGGAGGCGCAACTGAAAATGACTCCGGTCCTCTCAGTGGTATAGTCCCAACTACCTGGACAGAAGCTAGCTCTGGAACAGAGGAAGACGTGCGCGGCTTGATAATAAGCGTTCTTACCCCAGAATCCGCATCTGCAACAGCTTCTGTTGACAGAGACACGTCTGTCGAAGTCATAAGCGCATCTGATACAATGGTCGGGCCCAGCCCGTCTTTAGTGTAGCTGTGCACAACAGAGCTTGGTTCGCTCGTTGCATAGTCCTTTTGCGTTCTATAGGTAACGGATTCGGTAGTGCCATCAGGGCGAGAGTCTGTGGGAAGCGGCTCTGCATGGACCTCAGAGGTTACATAGCTGACAGCGCTACGACGGGGCGATAAAACAGGACGAGCCTCGGACGGCTCTATCAGTGCTTGCGAGGCGTGCAGCACATTCATTGTGGTAACGTGGCAGTCTGGCCCATCGTCCGTTAAAGTAGTGGCAGGATGGCCGCCCAGGTCTCGCTGAGAGGCAGTCACGATAGGAGGATCAGCAAGGGCCTCGGAGCCCCGTGCCGACCGTGTGCTCGCGGCCGTTCCACTCCTTGATGTGTGCGCAGAAATAGGCGCCTCTATTGTTGCAGCGACGACATAGCGCTGTTCAGTCGCAAGAGCAGGAGCGGCGCCGTTGTCCATACGTGAAGCTGACAGGATTCTGCGGCTCCGAATGCTTTCCACAGACAGGCTCTGCTCAGTAGCTCTCGGCAGTCCAGAGCAGCTCCTGCTAGGACTACCGAACTGGTGGACCACGGAGCTGTTATCTATCACAGAAGCGACTAGCTTGTGAACGCTTGCAACCATACTAGGCACTGCCTCGGGCACGGCACGTAGCTCTGCAATCGAGATATTATATCCATTTGCTTCGTCTGCATCGCTGTTGGTCGCTCCCCTCTGTAAGGAGTGAGGTTGCATCTGATTGTGTCCCTGCAGGTGTGTTGGGATTTCGTGCTGCAGCAATGTATTCATCCTATTGGACAACGCGTCAGTTAGTGGCGGCCGCGTAAGTTGTAAGTACTGAATGTCAGGGAAAGAATCGCGCATCAAGCTGGCATCCGGGGTATCGTATCTTGCACGCTTGGCTGCCTTAATAGTGTCAAAGGTTGGAGTGTCTCTCTGTGCAGCCATCGTAATAGCGTGCGCTGGCTCGTCGGCAAAAGACTGCGATGTAAACGACGCCCCCTTAAAAGAAGACAGTGGGAACTCCGCCTGCTGCTGTCCTTTTGGCAGTTCATGTTTATAGTCTGTGTGGACGCCTGAGTTCGAAAGGTTTCCCCCCAAGGCGCTGCTAACGTATGCATACCCGTCTGGATTGGCGTTATCTTCGCCAAAGCTGACGTGCCGGTGATCTCCAAACTGGTGTGGAAGAGAAGAGACGTGTTGTCCTATTCCCATGTGAGAAAATCGTGGAGATTGTGGCCCCTGCCGCTCGTGGACCAGAGGCTGTGGGGAGCGACCCCGGCTGAGGCCTGCGCGGGTCTTCTGCAATCGCTCCAACCAGTAGCTAGGAATGGACTCCAGATTACCCTCCAGCGGTAGTCGCGTGAATGGCTCCTCCAGATGCCCTAGGAGCTGGATCTGAAGCGAAAGAAGCTCGAGATAACGATTCCGGATAGTCCGTTCGTGTTTTGTTCTGCAGATGTATTGTAACCGCGAGATCCACTTACAAAAGTGTATCTTGTCCTTCTTGCTAAGGGTTCCCTTCAACGACTGGACAACATCCAACTCATGCTCGAACACCTTATCAAGTTGGGATGTCATAATTTGATTTTTAGATTTTTCTGAGCAGGCGCCCAGATGCTTGCTTTCTTCCCCTTCTCTCCTTACGCCGTGCAGCAGGAGGGCGTATCCTTCTTAAAGCGCTGCATTGCTAACAAAGTTCCTGCCTTTTTGGACGCCCCCACAGGGACCGGGAAGACGGCGATGCTGTTTCACACGGCGTGGGATTGGATCAATAGCCTGGAAAACTTGGTAGGCACCCATTCTAAAGTGGAATCTGTGCAATCTGGTGCAAGTACTAAGCTGGGTAGTGTCAACAAGCTCCCTGACTGGGCTGTAGATGCCAGCGAACAGGCGGCCGCTGAGTTGGTTTCTGCTTCGAGGCACATAAACAGGGCCTTTGTTGGGCAACTCCTCCATATAGCAGAGTCTTACGCAAATCCAGATGCTTTGAAGACTCTTTTGGAGTACGCCTCCAAGAAGCACACGGACCCTAGTCTTACAGCTGAGCCACTACGTAAGCAGGCAGCTGCAAACTCGTATTCGTTCCTCTTTGCATTTCTGGGTCTGGACAAGATCTTGTCTCTAGACACTTATCTGTCCCTCACGCAGCCACACAGTGCTATAGATGGCCGGGGCCATCCAGAGAATGGTGCTACGGGCTACCTGGGGAAAGGATGCGTCCTGCTTTCGACGCGAACACATGCGCAGATAGCACAGCTTGTAGAAGCATTTCGCCGATTCAGAGGGATCATTGAGAAGCAAGGACCCCAGAAATTTGACTTCTCCACTGCCCCCGTTGTATCGCTGGCTGGGCGAGACACATACTGTCTCCAGTCGTCTTCAGGTGCAGACCTAGAGGATCTTGGCGAACTCTGCGAAGACTTGCGCAAGAACTCCAGGTGTAACTATTACAGCCCCGCCAAGGTGCTTGTGGGCACTGCATTGTGTCTGTCTGGGATACGCTCTCCTTCAGCGTTCCGTGAACGTTGCAGCGCTCTCGGTGTATGCCCATATTATAGCGCTAGGCATGCCGCAATGCATGCTTCTGTCGTGCTTCTCTCTCACGCGATGCTCGTGGAGGAACTGCATGGTGCTGCAGGATCGTTAGGGCTGTTAGAGTCGGCCCCGCTTCTCCTTTTAGTGGACGAGGCACACGCCATGCCCGGGGCCTTAGACGCTCGGAACTCGTGTACTGTTTCCGAAGATGATCTGGACTGCTTTATCAAAGCGCTCAATAAGTATCTTCTCCAGACGCGCTTAGGCCTTCCCAATCCAACAGCACGCCTTTTGGACAGACTGGCGACAGTCCTCGGCATAATTAGGAAATATCTAAGCAAAACGGCCACGTGCGATGTTCTTACCCCAATCACCGAACTATTAACCTCACTCAGACTGAGGGGATTTGACTTCTGTGAAGCTCTCAATCTTCTTCTATTGAATAGAATTCCACAAAAACTGTGTGGATTGTGCAAGGAGTCAGACATGACCGATAAGCCGCGCCAGAGAATCTACTCAGTTGTATCCATGATCCGCATTCTTGCAGAGATTGACACGCGCGAGCTGTACAAAACTTACGTGACCGGAGACCGACCCAGGACACTACATCTATATAAATTCAGCTCCCCTGTGGACAGCAAGACTAGGTCTCCTTTCAGAAGATTGTTTAATACATCCAGGGACGGCCGCAGAGACTACGAAGCGCAGATATGTTTTGTCTCTGGAACACTAGGTCCCTTCTCTTACTACAGTAGGGAGCTTCTTGGTCAGCCAGCAGATCCGAACAGCTGCTGCTCCATAGATCATGTGGCAGCCCCCAGCAGAACCCTCATTCAACAGGTCTCGCTGACTACAAAGGCCACTGGGCAGCAAAAAGCCCTCTTTGTTGCGTCAAGTTGGACGCCTGAGCAAGTAGATGTTGTCTTCCAGAATATTATGGAGATTGCCAAGAGTGGCAGAGATTGTACTGGTACACTGGTCTTCTTTCCATCGTACCGCATCGTGGAGAAGATCAGAGACCGCTTTCTTATCTTCTCAGCATCCTTGACCAACAAATCCGTCCCCGCTGTTTTCTTTGAGCGAGCAGGAGAGTCTGTTGACAAACTAATGGAGACCTATGCACTAGCACTTGGTAGCTCCAGGTGCATTTTGTGCGCCAGTGCAGGAGCCAGGGTGAGTGAAGGCTTGGACTTCAAGGACAACCTATGCCGCCGCCTCGTTGTTGTAGGTATTCCGTTTCCCAATTTGGGTGACCCAATTGTGCGGGAAAAACACAGACAACGCGGCGAGCAATTTCTTATGGACCATGCGTTCACGCTTGTCAACCAGTGCATGGGACGAGGAATTCGCCACAAGGATGATTGGTGCAGCTTCATCCTCTTTGATAGCCGGTTCGCTGAGCACACCGAGAGACTGAGCTCTTGGATTCGCAACCGAGTGCAGCCGGTCGACAGTATTGAAGGCGCCATAGAGAGAATCAGAGAATTTGAGGCAACGTTTGCTTAAGCTAAGCTATTTACTATCTTCAGGACGTAATAAGATGGACGCGCTATTGATGCAGAAGCGAAGACCTGTTGGAGCAGGCCCGTCGTTGAACACGTGCCCCTGGTGAGCCCCACAATTCGCGCAATGCACCTCTGTGCGCTCCATATTATGAGAGGTATCATGCGTATATGCTACTACGCGATAATCAAGTGGAGACACAAAGGATGGCCAGCCGGTCCCAGAGTCAAACTTGTCCCCGGAGCTGAAGAGTGCAAGGTGGCAAGCGCGACAAATGTATGTTCCCGAGCTTTTGCATGCATAGTACTCGTTGTTAAAGGCTTGTTCTGTGCCATGGTTGAAGAGCACGTTGCGCTGCGCAGGCGTCAACTCCCTTGCTCCATGTGCATCCTTGGGCGAACGGGCATTTGTTTTCAACGCTGCATATTGCTCGTCAGGCACAGCCCGCCACTTCGGTAGATCTGCAATGAGGCTGCTTGTCGTCATATAGGGGAAACTTAAAACAAAATGCGTGTTTTCACATCAGTCGGGACCACGAGATTTGACGAGTTGGTCTGCATTTTCGGCGACGAGGAAGTTCTTCAGGCGCTGGCCCGAGTCGGTGTTACCCACTTGACTGTTCAGCATGGCAGCTCGCCATTCAAGGTGCCGCCCTCTGCAGTTAACATTGGGCTCAAAGTGTCCTCCTTTGATTACGCTCCATCGCTCGCTTCGTACCTTGAAGACGCGGATGTAATCTTTAGCCACGCAGCGACTGGGATTTACTTGGAGGCCATGCAGCTCCGGTTGCCCCACTTTCTCATTGTCAACACAAATCTCCACGAAAACCATCAGGCCGAGCTAGCCGGTCTTCTTGCTGACTCAACTCGTTGCCGCGCATTTGCGGATGCTAATGCTTTCAGGGCATACCTACTCTCTGGGATGCTTGCAAGCGACCTCTTGCCTATGAAAAACGCCACGGCCTCTGATCAGCCTCGGGTCCCTCCTTTCCTACTAGAGGTCCTCTCGCGCACTCCACGACGCCGAGGCCTTCTGGGACTCGCTTTGGCAGGCGCCTTCCTTCTAATACTAGCACGCGGGCTATAATTTACTTCTTCGTGGACTCCTTCGAGGACGTGAACTTCGAGAGGGCCTTGTCGGCCTCGTCGCGGATCAGGCGGCCGATCTCGCCCGGGATGACGAGCTTCGCGGCGGACTCGATGTCCTTCTTCCCGATCGTGTTCCGCTTGCTGATCTTCGCGAGGTTCGACGCCTCGGACGCGATGCGCTCGAAGAGGTCGTTCACGAGCGAGTTCATCACCTCCATGCCCTTGTTCGAGATCCCGAGGTCCGTGTCTGCCTCGGAGCGGATGTTCTCCGAGCGGAGGACCTTGTAGATGTACGTCGCGTACGTCTCGTGGCGCTTGTGCTTGCGCTTCGCGTCGCCCTTGTCCCCGGCCTCCGTCTTCTTCATCAGGCGCTTCGTCTCCACCTTCGACATTTCTTTCCCGCCCGCTTTTTCCCCCCTTCCGCAGCCGAAATCTGCGCCCCTGTGCAGTTATTCAAATCGCAAATAAAATAGGACCGCATAGGGCGCCTGTGTGTCCTCCGCGCTATAGACCAATACCCGCGCGGTGGTTTCGTACGGGCGGCACCATATCCACCTTCCGCACCTGAACTTTACAATCCCTGACCCCGGCTCAGACTCCGACCCTGGCGTCACGCTAAGAAGCTTAGTAATGGACGGCCTCTCCATTTGCACATTCGGGCCCCTGGATGCCTGGTTACTGTATTGAAAGCGTTTGTTCTCGACCCCCTTAACTGTGACCTTATACCTATGTGCGATCTCTGGGATCTCCTTCACTTTTATTAGACACACTATGCCTTTGTGCGCCGACGGATTTGCAGTTGTTACGCCAACTGCGGGGAAGAGAGACAGCACGTACACCCCCGGCCCGGGGATCGAGAAGGAGCCGTTGTAGACGTTTGGTATCGTATTGATAAGAGATGCTTCAGTGGAGATGAGCTGGGTGGGCGCCTGGATGGATACTCCGGCACTCATCTCACTGTATGTGTGTCTGTACATCGACCACGTGATGCCAAACCTGAGAACTATAGATTGCCCCTTCCAAAGCTCAACGACATGGTAATTGTTACCCTCGCTGAAGTAAATGGGCAACAGCTCCCTGTTCAGGCTGCACACCAAATATACAACGCCGACTCTTCCCAGGCCGGCCTTGATGATATGAGGCAGCGAGCAGAAGGTCCTGTTCGCACCGGGGAGGATGGCCAATCGCGGCTTCGGTGTTCGCACCGACGGTCCGGCAAGGTCCCCCTGAATTCCATGAATCTGGTCATCAAGCGCATCTAGCCGCACAACCCGACACTCCAGAGTCTGGCTGTCGCTAGAAAAGTGGCTGTTTTCCAGAAGGACGTCGTCGTCATAGATTGCAGATTCGCCTACTCTATGTTTGGCCGCCCCACTGGTGGCGCTAAGTACCTGCAAATATTCTACCTCCTGCTGAGAAATATAGCACCCGTTGCAATCTGGGCTCACAAGAAAGACCTCGCGCGTAAGCGTATTGACCCCAAAAACCACATTAAAGACTGTGCTCTGCAACTCCTTTGGTACTGCGTGGGGCAAACACACACGCAAGTTGGTTATCAGCGGCATATACGGATGGCAGTTGACATTTACCACGCTAGTCAGCGGCGTTCCTGTCCTCTTTATGCCCTTCTTGATGTACTCTAGAAGAAAGACTAGCTGAATCTGAGTGGACCTGATAAAGACCTCTGGACTGGACGAGGAGACGACAATATAGGGAGAAAGTATTTGGTCGATGTGGTGAGGATTGGCCAGCTGAAGGTGTATCTCATGCTCACTAATCCGCATCCAGTGGGGCCTGTTCCTAATATTTATCTGTCCGCCTGGCTCACCAGTTTGCAGGAAGTACAAATCATTAGCTTTATAGTCCAGCTGCAACCCCAGCCGCGCCAATTGAGAGGGCATCGGGGAGATCAGCGACACAACGAGGCGGTCATTGGCGTGGTAACGGCGCTCGTAGCTTTCTAAGCCAGGAAAAAGGCACACAGAGCCTGTGTAATGCGGATATATGGACACATATTGCTGTAAGATCTGCGAGGCGCGCATTGACATCTGCGTTAGCCTCTCCGCAGTATAAAAGGCGCTGTTCTCCTTTTCTACGTAAGCCAGATAGTTGTCCAGGATGGAAACAAGTTCAGACCTTGTTACGTGCCTCTTATCCGGAAGAGCTTTTCTTACCAATGTCATGTCCCGCTGAGTGCCGAGCAGGTCTAGAGTGTGGCCGTCCACAGAAATGGGTTTGCTTTCCGGTCGCTTGGGGTCTAGTGTGACCGTGGTCGTGTCTTCAAGAACCTTATATTCTTCCCAGCGTAAGTTTGGAATGTCGTTCACCACCGGGGAGTGCGCTTCCTCCATAGTTTTCAGTTTCACGTTGATCTCGAGGGTGAACTCCGGCTCTCGCGCCAAATCAAAGAAGCTATCGGCATGGACGGACCGCAGATCTACCTGGAAGGAGAGATTTTCCTTGTACTGAAGTATGTGATCACTAAAGTCCTGCTCATTAATAAGTGTGTAGCCATAGAGATCATAGTACGCCCTCTTTGCGCTTTTAGATCCTCCTCGAGTCTTTTGGAATGAAACGTAACACGATGCAACGGCGTAGGCTCGGGCCTTGAGCTGGTCAAGATCCAGTGTGCTATCATAAGTCAAGACACAGAGGGAAATGGTACAGCCAATCAACTGAGAGGACAATGGAGCCGGGGTTGACAAGTAATATGGAGAGACATTTTTTGGACCAGAGAGATCAGAAAGGTTAATGGTTTCCCCATAGACCTCTTGCATATCGCCTCCGGAACCGTGATACAATGCGTGTATGAAGCCTATCCCGTTGAGACGTGTCTGGAGAGGAGAAATAGCGAGGACTCGTGTTTCAGAATAGTTTTTATACTTCCTATAGGTCTGGGGGTCGTATGCTCGGATCTGCGTCAACGTCTGCTCTAAGTTTGCAGTCATCTGTAACGCGGTATCCCTGCTCGCTTGACTAGCGCCTCCTTCGTCTGTACACTTGCTCTTCTTCTGGGTGTGTGGTCCTGACCCTCGACTTTGAGCCTCGAAGCCAATGGGCGGGAGGTGCTGGGGCACAGTGGAGTCCCTGCTACAAGGGGTCGATGAGCGGTGCGAGTGCTCAGAGCGACGGTCTCGCTCAATGCGCTCAGGGCTGCTGGATGCTTCTAACACATAGCTATTCTTATCTATCGGTCTGCCATCTGTTTGGTCAGAGATGTCTTCAGGCACCTCACCGAGGGACCCGTCCAAGGGATCGCTTGTATTTGGCGCTGACGAAAGCTTAATTAGTGATTCAACCGAATCGTTTCCTTGGACCTTCCTCTGCTTTACTGTGGGAGTCTGGGTTATATAGTCTGAGTCACTGTCTGAGTCAAGCCTGGATGTCTGTTGCGGAGAATTTAGGACAACGCTGGGCCCGAGAGAATCCTCGACTTTTTTCGTCGATTCTGCAATTGCCTGCACCCTCGGAGAGCTGCGATTTGTCGCCGATGCAGTCTCCTCTTCCTTTGTGAGATGGAATGAAAGCGAGACAACCGGACATATGTATTCATAGAAGCAATCCATCATGCTGGTAGATCCACTCATCGTATGGCTGTATCCACCATCAGATTCGGAATCACTAGTAGATGACACTTCAGTGTAGGACTCTGAGGCCGACCTTGTGTCTGAGTACCTGCTTGCAGACCTCTGAGCAGACCGCGCCTTTGCATCTACTCTATTTTGCGAGGAACTTCGCACTCTGGACCAGCTTCGTTCGCGTCCATGAGCATCATTGGAAGTAGATCGCGAATGCGCTCTGTGCTTTGCGTGCTTGGATCGCTCAATTATGTCATCATCCTTGGCCCAAATGTCAATCCGTGTGACCTTGTTACAATTAAGAATCGGCAGGTTAATTCCCGGAACACCCACAGTGAACTCGTCTTCTGTTTTAAGCTGAATCGTGCATGGGACGCTTTTTGTTTGGGAGCTGAATAAAGCAGGAAGCACGTCGATAGCTCCCCAGCCTAAACAGAACTCACAGCGTGGCAAGAAGATGTCCTTGTGACCCGTGGTATTTAGGCCAATTGATATTGTGACGCAGATGGCGACAACAAGCCCCGCATGCATCTGCACAGCTATAGGCCGATGGCCAACCTTCTTGTGTGATTGCTTCTTCTTGGATCTGGAGTCTGCATGCAGAATGCTACTCATATCATATTTGAGGTCTGTCCGAGCCATTGCTTCGGAGGAAACTTGTCGCGATGAAATGTCGTAAAGAGCGCCCTTTTGGGATTCCATTAATGTCCTGCTGGCGTCAGACGGCGCGCTCATTTTCTTACGATGCCTTCTGGATGCAGATCTGCGCCCTCCCTCTGCTATCCAGCCCAGGGGAATCTCGTAGGGAGCGTCTGCCATGGGCTGAAATCCGTCGTGGGGGAGGATCTTAATAGTGTACCCCAAAATGTGAATACGAATGCTTCTCTCATCCACGTCATGGCCTGCTCTATCCGCCAACTTTGGAGCCAGAAGCTGTGCAATACACTCTTTTATGTGCTGTTCAAATGCGTACGTCTCAACCATCCGAAGGGCTCCCACGCATGCTCCGGATCTAGACGCATGCGGGCTCTGAGGCCCTTCGCAGCTGTTGAAGTCATAGAAGCGTGCAACCGACGCTGCTGCTGCGTCAACTGATAAGCGGATCATCTCTGTGCGATCTGGAGAGTCCAGGAGAGTCCCTGGGACTTCTATGCAGTCTAGCCGACTCTGAAGCCTGACCTTTCCTCGAGGGGCAAAGATAGGAGGACAATGAACTGCGTCAATGAGTGAGAAGAAGGGGATGACATAACGCGGAGTATCGGGAATGGCTAGGTCCCGCTGTTTATACTTAAATAGGATGTAGCGGAGAAAGGGCGCCTTCCTGCTCCCCTTACTCTTTCTGGATAGGATAGAAAGGACGTCATGGCTATCGTTAAACAAGTCTGCAGGATTTCCACGAATTAATTGCTGCTCAAAAACAGCGGTGTCACCTGTCTCTGCTAGGAGTGACTCTATTCTGCGTATCCCCTTGTCCTCATAGCGAAATAGAGTCCACCCCAAGACTATTTCATCCTGAACTACCACGTTATTGGCTAGTTCAGGTACGAAGCAGGAGGGGTGGGACTCTATAACGCGGGTCTCACCGGTGTATATGATAGCGCAGAGCTGGATGAGAAGCCCATGCTCTGGCGGGACGTGAGTGACAAACACGTAAGGCATAGGCGACGAAAGCTCCCGGTACGCTCCGTCATCGGTCAAGGATGGACTACGGGCAATTTTGGAGACAAGCTCATTCCCTACAATGAGTCTGTTGGTCATGTCAAAAATGGAAACCCGGAACCAGATTCCGAGCTGCCCCCCCTGCCGCTTACTTGCAAAGGACGCCGAAAACGAGATGTCGTTGATCCCCCAGATCATAGCGCCAAAGGCACGGCCGTCTTTGGTCGTTGCTAATACGTCAGGATAGGGTATTTGCGCAAGGTGTGCCCTATAGATTGTATTCCAGGACATGGCCTTCCTGTTGATTAGGGGCAAGCAATTCTAGCAGCAAACAATTGTGAATTTGTAAGCTAAAGCTGAAATTGCAGAATAAAATCGTTCAATGGACACTTTTTGGTGATAAATGTACACTTTCTGAGACATGATACACACTTTGGATGGATCACAACGCCAGGAGTCTCTGCAGCTACGCTCTTCAACACTCGGTGAGTCGGTGGAATTGCGCTCAAGTTGGATGGTAGAGCATGTCCTTAGCTTCTAATGTTGGGGAGTTCGCACTAGCAGGCGCTCCTTCTGATGGTGCCGAAAGACAAGTCGTAGCGTTTGGGCAGGAGTGTGCTGGAGGATTGAGTAGAACGGACAGGGCTTTCCTGCTTTCTTCATATCTATCTTCCGAATCTACGAAGAATAAGACCTTCACACTGGGGCGACGTGTCCAGAACCACAGCGCGGCCGTAGACGGATTTGTTGTGTCCATCAAAGCATAGCCCTCTTCTGCTTATCCAAAGACAGATTAGATTTTCTTCTCCTGCCCAGAATGCCGTATGACCTCCGACGAACTTGCTTCTTTTACCTTTTCCGAGAATGGTGTAGCGTCACCTATTACTCTGAAGGTCAGCGGCTCAGATATTACCTTACAAACCATTCAAACGGTACGGCCTCGCAATACGAGACTCTCGCCCCCAGCAGCGATGCTCCGCCCCACACCGCTGGTAGCTGAGACGCACACTCTGCAAAACGGCACGCGGGCTATAATTTACTTCTTCGTGGACTCCTTCGAGGACGTGAACTTCGAGAGGGCCTTGTCGGCCTCGTCGCGGATCAGGCGGCCGATCTCGCCCGGGATGACGAGCTTCGCGGCGGACTCGATGTCCTTCTTCCCGATCGTGTTCCGCTTGCTGATCTTCGCGAGGTTCGACGCCTCGGACGCGATGCGCTCGAAGAGGTCGTTCACGAGCGAGTTCATCACCTCCATGCCCTTGTTCGAGATCCCGAGGTCCGTGTCTGCCTCGGAGCGGATGTTCTCCGAGCGGAGGACCTTGTAGATGTACGTCGCGTACGTCTCGTGGCGCTTGTGCTTGCGCTTCGCGTCGCCCTTGTCCCCGGCCTCCGTCTTCTTCATCAGGCGCTTCGTCTCCACCTTCGACATTTCTTTCCCGCCCGCTTTTTCCCCCCTTCCGCAGCCGAAATCTGCGCCCCTGTGCACTTCTATAAAATCAAGACCAAGAGGATATAAGAGCTGGGATCACCAAAAACTAGACGGATAGACCAGGCAATTCCACTATAATGAATAGCTTTACTCTATTACTGGATGGTTCTCCAAATTTTTGAGGACTTGCACTAGGTCAGTTTCTCCTCTGATCTCACATCCTTCTATAGTCAGAGTATATTCCCGCGGACACTCCTTGAAAGCAAGCTGGATCAGCTCATTGATATCCTCCATGTTGGAGTCGTCGACGGGAAGCATCAAGATACGCTGTAGGGCTGTTCTGCTTTCTACATCCACTATGCCAAGCTCGCCCTTTGCACCTCCCTTTTGAATGAGAATAGAAGCGCACTGATAGAACTCGGTGTATACACTGGTATAATCCTCGTGGAATCCGCTGGACATGAACTTGTGCATGGCCGAGAGACACTTCATTAACGCTGTTTGCTCAAAGATCTGGTCCTTGATACCGGCCTCGTAGTCGACCAGAACCTTCACACACATTGGATGATGCTCCTTAGCCGCTAGCATCAAAGCTGTGTACGAAGCAGCATTCTCGACTACTTTGCCATCTTCTGCCAAACTCTCTGCAGCAATGCTCATTGACTTTCGAATTCCAGCGCTGTCAATACTGGCTCTTGTGGAGCGTGGCGCTGATCCATCAGCAATGGCCGATAGCATCATACTTCTGCGAGTCCCTACTGAAAAGCCAGGAGAGTGCGTGGGGTGCATGGGTGGCAGGCCACTTGGCCCACCAATGTGGTCAAGCAAATTACAAGCAATCTCGTCCATGACTGCCATGCGTTGGGCCGTTATGCTTCTCCTGGTCTCTTCCCTTTGCTCTCTGGTGTCATTGAAATGGTTGCGTGTATACATTCCTTTTTCGAGTGGTGCAAGAAGTTTGACCGTCTGCAGGTTTCCTTTGCTGGCTGCATACATAAGTGCCGTCATCCCCGATTTATCAACCACCGTTTTCTCTGCGTCCATGAGAAGGGCAACTAACTCTATATTGTCATCTATGGCGGCATAGATTAAAGCCGTTCTTCCGTGGCTGTCGCGTATGCCTGCTTCATACTTGGCCAAGATGGCCGCTGCTTCTGTGTGGCGGTGCTTTGTGGCGATAATGAGGGCTGTGGCGCATGTCTCGGTATCTCTAGCCTTCAAATATGGGTTGGGCTGCTGTACGCCCTTTTTCGCAGGAGGAGTGTACTCGGCATACTCCCTTACCAAATCTGTCAAACCTTCCCCAGCTACAAGCATAAGCGCCGTCTTTCCCGTGGTATTTGTCTGCCCCGGCTTTGGGAGGCGGCTGCGGAACTTTGCGATGTCCTTTGGAGTAGGATTGTTGGGAAGAATCATTTAGTTAAGGATTAGTAAAAAGCCTTTGTGCCCTCTAATTTCCGGCTGTCTGTGCATGCATGTTGGCCTCTCAACAAGCAGAGAACTGTCTAGGCATTAGATTGGTGTGGGACATCATCCAGGAAAAGACAACCCCCGCCGATCGGGACTTCGCCCTTCACGCGGTAGGAAAAGATCTGGTGGAGCGTAATGCAGATGTCTACCATGAAGCGCTGACCAATGCTGAAATACTATGTGACATGTTTGCCAACGTGGTCACTGCCTCCGATTCTGCTAGTACCTTGATCCAGACAATGGGTCTCTATCCCCACTTCGGCGAGCATGAGGCATTGCTTAAAGAGGTCGTTGACTTGCTGAAACAGTCTGGGCCAGAGAAAAGGGCTCTAGTGTCGAGGTCAAAGAGTCAAGCACGACGTCTTAACGAGGTAGCAGAAGCATATCACAAGCAAGAGAAGTTTAAAGCATCCAAGGTTGTCCAACGCATCCTCTCCTCGAAAACCGTTAAAACACTGGCCGGCCAGGCGGATGCTAAACATATCAGCTATGTCAGCGACTCTCTCTTTGCTACCTCGGCACCTAGTACGGTTGGAGATACACCTTCCACATTACATGCATACACGTCGCATTTACCGTCTCTCGAGGAAGCAGCTCCAGCCCTCAATCCAATCCCTTCTTCTCCAGTACAAGTAGTGCCACAGGTGCATACTCTTATGAAGGATAGTGGTAATGATAACAGTGATGGTAGTGATGAAGATGAAGGTGACGTAGACTTTTACGCTATTGATAGCCCGCCGACTAGAGATCAATCCGGGACAGGTCCAGAAAAACAGCCAGAGCCTGAAGAGCAGGTGGTAGATCCACCCATCTATGATGCCAGTACATTGCGTGAGCTGAAATTAACGGCGTCAGACTATACTGGCGAATTCATCATCAGAGTCAGAAGTATGCTAGAGATTGAGTACAACTATTTACTCAAGAAAGTGGAAAAGATACAGAACACCATAACCAATACAGCCAAGGTTAGCGAGGTTGCACTTGCCATTTCGCAAGAGCTCGTGGAGTCAGCTAAGAGCCTAACAGAAGCAGATCTTATTAGACTCCGGGGCATTGTAGCACACCAAGCCTATGATCAGGACACAGGTGGGAAAAGCGCTAAGCCGCCATTGCTGCAAGAAAATAGGTCTAAACAACTGCTTGCCTCTCCTACTCATAGCATGACAACGCCCTTAGCTGGGTCCATGTCTACGCTCAAGTGTCTCCCTAAGATAGGCAAGTGAAGAAGAGATCATTACGACCACCTTGCCGTGTTCTGTTCTGTCCGTCTCAGCCAGCCCTCAACACTTCATTGGGGTCTATCTGTACACCGTCCATGATGTAGTTCTTTAAGGATGTGTATAACGCTTTTCGTTGCGCGATGCTCATCTTTTCTGTATTAACTCGGAGGGCGTTAGCTTGTTTAAGGCGTCTATACTGATCCTCGGTTAACGAAAACTTGAGCACATCGTCGCTGCTCTTCCACTTGCAGTTTTTTGCCGTCCCTATGCTCATGTTGAAACGAAGTTGGCACAGCTTGATGTAGCTGTAGTATTCGAACTTAGTGTTTATCAGCTTGGTGAGGATCATCTCATAGATTCGTTTGACAAGCATTTGCTCATGTGTTCCAACCACCCTGTCCACATATGTCTCTCCTGAAGCAGCTGCCTTCTTGCTGTAGTAGCTGTTTATTCTACCCAAAAGGAGCAGCCCCCTGGCCATGGTCTTCCACACCTTCGCTAAGAATATAACCTCTGTTGTGTACATGGATGTGGTGAGATCATCTAGATATTTTGATATCTTTTGGGAGTTGAGCTGCACCACCTGGCTCAACTTGGGGTTGCTCGGAGGCTTGTTAAAGTACGCCAGGATATTGGTATTCTCTGCAGTGACATTGAAATCAAGTAGGTTCTTAGGTATGCTTGATATGTGCATACTCTTTCTCAGCTTATGTTCATTCCCGCGTGCATCAGATGTGCTCTTGGACGCCCCGTCAACGTTGTCGAATATCGATCTTTGCCTTATCATTTTGGCATGCATATCTCTATATCTATCAGACAGTGACCTATGCTTGCTATCCTGCTCTGGAATCCGTGGATGATCTGCAGAAATGTCTGTGGGCACATGGCTCGTTTGTCTATCAGTCTGTGTGGACGAACTGGTCAGAGAGCTTAGTCCAAACTCTGTGGTCTGAGAAGATGCGTCTGTATCTGTCTGTGCTTCCACCTTTGCAGGGATACGGCCAGCAGCCGGGTCAGCTTCGTATTGATTAATCGCCGTTGTGACTGATGTAGTCGAGTTTCTGATGCAGCTATTTGCCATGTCTGTGCCTTCCTCGGTAGCCTTATTAAATGTGTTGATCGGGGGTTTGGGTGGAATAATGTGAATCGCCGATACATTCTCTGCACGATCTGTCTCGCTTGATTTTTCTTTATTAGTAAGCATGCTGTCACTAAGTGATCTGAAATGGGCGACATGTAGGTTAGACGACTCGCGAATGCGAAGCTCCTGATCATGAGCTGGATTCTGCTGCTTCTGCAGGGTATTTACGGTGCTTTCTTGCATGTCTGCACCAAAAGTGGGGCTCTGCATTGTAGTGGACTCTCGGTTCTGCTCCTCGTTGAACTCCAGGAGCACTTGGTCGCTAGTTGAGGATCTAGTCAGAAGCGGACTGCTGTCAGATTTGCAGGTATCCACCTGGGGCTTGGATATAATGGAGCGGGCTATGGTTGCTAGACGCAAAGGGTCAGATTCTGAAGCGATTATGTCATCGGCTCCAGGAAGGATGTTCACGGATCTCGTTAAGGGGCGCGTAAGGTTTAAAGGCACGTCATCGGGGGTAGATTTGGAGAGCGATCTGTCCAATGGCGGTGCTTGAGAAAGGTGCAACGCATTTTCAAGGTGTGGAATCTCTGGGCTACCGTCGCATTGAGAAAATGGCGCCATAGGAGGGTGCTGCTCAAGTATGCTTCGCTTCGTAAGAGGTGCAGGTTCTGCTGATATGCTTTCGCTAAGATTTTCAACCTGATGTGGCGGCAGTGATGGAAGTTGGGGTGACGTTGGAGCAGACATGATATCATTAATGCTAACAACCACGTCGGAGAAGGAAAGAAGATTGTCCAATCCGCCCTTCGAGTGTGTGCCCTCCTGTCTTTGGAGATGATCGGACTCCTCGGTTCCTCCGTGCTCTACATCTACCGTCGATAGTGCCAATACGTTTTGCGCCTCGTTAAGATACTTAGGTAATATGTTGGTGGAGATGCATGATGTACGATTTGTAAGTGTGCCATCGTCTGATTGGGAATATAGACGCGGCAAGGTATCTGGGTCTTGAGACCGAGTTAATGTAGAGGCCTTTCCTTCTGCAATGGAGGCCTGAGCATGAGCAGCCGGCCTTGTTGCTGAGGTTACATTACCCAGTAACCTGCTGCTATTGGAGAAAGCGGATAGGTTGTGCTCCTTCAATAGTGAATCAGTCACGCCATTATGTGCAGCCGTGCTGGCTCCCATCACACTTCCACGGGTTTTGACAATGCTTGGCTGCTTGGTATTCGAGTCGCCAGCGGACGCCGCGGTTGAACCAGTGTCTTCGGCAGGGGATGGACCTGACGAAGGAAAAATACCAACCTTGAGCTTATCCAAACGGGCCTGAAGCTCTAGTGTGGCCTGCTTGACTTCAGCTATATTTTCCTGGCACTCTCTGATCTGGTCTGTGAGGTTTGCTGACTCCTGTTGGAGCTGCTTCTTTCGCGCCTCATGAAGATTTATACCCTTGATAAAGTCGTAGTATCTGTTGAGCGCATCAATCAAGTGATTCGACATCCGTATCTCGTTCCAAAAGTACACCACCTTCCGGATGTCATTTAGAGCGGCTTGACACTGCTCAGGAAGCTTGATCTTGTCGGTCATACTGAGGGTGTTTCTGCAAGCTTGGTACACGCTCTGGATAGAGGCCAGGTCTGTAGCTTCGCTGGAGGCTGTAAGCATGATCTTCTTCAGGTCTGTCAGCGTCTGATGAAGAAAGCTGTAGTTGAAGTCGAACTCAGCAGACATCTTCCGAATCTCTTTGAGGACACTCGTGAGCTTATCCTTCTCCTGCTGGACCTTTGTCATACCGCCGCTGAAGAGAAAGGCGATTTTGAGTATGAAGGCGTAGGTGAACGGATCCTTAACACGCAAGTCTGCAATGGTGAAGCTAGACTCTGCTAGGTCCTTGAGAAACACCTGGTCCTTCTTTGTGTACAGCTTCCTAGTAAGACCCAAGATATTGCACACCGGCTGGAGCTTGTTCAAGATATACTGATCACTCTCTGTGAGGACGAGCTCTGCGTTGCTTTCCGGCAAATCCGTGATTTCCTCACTCACTCCACGCCGCCGAATAAGCTCCTCCTTCTGTGCATCTAGCGCAAGCGCTTCTGCGTGATGTGCCTCAAGCATATTGGCTCGCTCTATCACCATGTTCTTCCTATCACGATAAGTATCTATATACGTGTCCTTGCAGCGAGACATCATTCTTAGCTTGCTCAAAAGCCTACAAGGATGCGTATTTTGTTCTAGCGAGCAAAATCCAGAGCAGAACTCGACGGCCTGACACGTCGGGCACCGTATCTTCAGAAAAAGGTTCTCGTGATGCGGCACCAGAGAGAGGCAAACAATGCAGTAGTCAGTCAGCTGTGCTGCAAGGTAGAGCCTGTCCCCCAGAGTGGCCTGCATGTCCTTCGGATACTCACCGTGGCAGAGTTTTAGGTCCTTCAGATCCAGGGTCACCTTAGAGATGGCATGGAAGGCATCTGTATTGACAGAGTGCTTGAGTAGCGTCTCGTAGAATGCAACTAAGGTGTCAATATCTTTGAGAGAAACAGTAGAAAAGGCATCCTCGTCGGTGTCGTCGTCCTCGCTTTCGTTTGGTTCGTTGCCAAGACTATGGTCGGTATCCGGGGATGAACTGACCGGGTCATCGAAGATGTGCTCGGGTGCCATCTCCAATATAGGGTTTGGCGTGGGGTGTAGCTGACAAGCCACTGGGTCACCTCCAGCGACGAGATCAGAGAACTCTGCGCTTGGCGAGGGACATGCCATCTAGTAATTTAAATTGAAATTCATGAGCTGAAAAAAGGTCCCCCCGAGATGTCCCAGGAGAGTGAGAACCCCATGAGGCGTATCCGCATTGAGAAGCTCGTCCTCAACATCTGCATCGGAGGAGAGGGCGACGCGCTGACAAAGGCTGCTAAGGTCCTCCAGCAGCTCACCGACCAGGAGCCGACGTTCTCCAAGTCTCGCCTCACCATCCGCGGCTTCGGGATCCGCCGCGGTCAGAAGATCTCCACACACGTCACCGTTCGCGGCGAAAAGGCCCGCGAGATCATCGAGCGCGGCCTCCGCGTCAAGAACTTTGAACTGCCCTACTCTTGCTTCTCCACCACTGGAAACTTCGGGTTCGGCATCACGGAACACATTGATCTCGGGATCAAGTACGACCCGTCCATGGGTATCTATGGTATGGACTTCTACGTGGTCCTTTCTCGCCCCGGGTTCCGCGTCAATAAGCGCCGGGCACAGCAGCAGCACGTTGGTGCGTCGCATAAGATAACCCCTGATGAGGCCCGTGCCTGGGTTGAGCGTGAGTTCGAGGTTGTGTACACCAAGTAATGTAAATGGCCTCAGCCGAGATAGCCGTCTCGCACTCCATAAAACGGGGAAGCCCGGGGAGGGTGCCGCACGCAGCTGAGCAGGCGGCCATGCCATTAGCCTTCGGGCCCGCACGGTTTCGCTCCTTCTTTGCTTTTGTTTACTCCATCTCCAGGCGCAGCCCCCGCTGCAGGAGCTCGTCGGCCTTCAGGCCGGTCTCATTCCTGAAGTATGCGTATATGCCTGGCAGCGGCGGACATCGCACGCGCACAAATTGTAGGGGATTGGGCTGCGTATCTGGGCCCTGCCTCCCTGGGTGGGCTGGGTCTGTATGCTGCTGTGTCTCCTCCTTCGGTTCGTAGCAGAGGGGGACTGCGTAGACATCGATTCTAGACGGAGTCCTGTGTGCGGGAGTTATAAAGTCCACTAGAGATCCCGTCTGTGCGTCGTAAAGCATTCCATACAGCTTCATCCCGACTAGCTTGGTGCAGAATGGTATGTAGTTGTATTCTGGGTTCCCGTCTTCTCGCTTCTCCACGATCATGCTTTCGCCTACGATGGCGTGGTTATATCCTGTACAATCTGGGAACTTGGCGAATAATGCGGTGCGTACGTTTTCTGGGGGAATAGAGTATGCGCTGGCAAAGCTAAGTTTGTGGTACGCCATGACTTCAAATAGCGCTGATCCATAGACACAGGGGTGTGCTGTCATGAGCCCGCCGGAGCGTCCGAGACTCCGCAACATGAGGCTGGCGTCCTCCACTAAGTGCTGTGCATAAGGGAGCGCTGCTGGGCGAGCATAATCGCTGAGTGTTGAGTACTGTACAAGAAGTTGTGAGATTCCTCTGGAGTCGTCTCCATACTCCATCGTCTTATCGTAAAAAAGAGTCTGGGGAGCGCCACACACAGTCGTAATCACGCGGACTGCTAAGCTAAGCATCGCTTCACTATACTCTTGAGCAGAAGAGTTGTCAGTAAGGCACGTAGGCTGACTTAGGAGGAACTTTTGTTCTGGCGTCCCATGGATTCTTGCTACAGATGCAAGCGTCTCGAAGGCGCGACCTACGCTCTCAAGGGATTGCATGAGTGGTGTACTACTGGTAACTAGCGCAGATACTTCGGCTATGTCCATGCTACATGTACCGATTTCCCGTGCATATGATACTGTGTAGTCTTCTATCTCGCACGCATATGTATGCTGCGGATCCTGGCTTGTACTGTCTATTGAATCAGTGTCTGTCTGCCCTGCATTGCCACCATGATCTAAATAACACAATATGTTGTTCGAGGAGCTTCCTCTGTCTGCAGAGCACGTGTCCTGTTCGCTGACATTATAAATACTGGCCCCGTAAGCGCACTCACCCGAGGCGTGTTTATCTGGCGCTGACGCGGTTGCGCTCAGGTCAGTAGCACACACTGGGTCAATAGGAGGCTCTTCTCCATCTATTGTTTCATCTTGTCTATAGAAATTAGCCTTAATGCACACACGTGGATACACCAGGGGGTACTTTCCGAGGACAGCGCCCTTCTCAAAGGCTTTGATCAGTTGGTGGCTGAAAATGTTTTCGAGGAGATAATTAGCGCGAAGAGGCGAGCAAGCCGTCTGCTTTTTCGACTGGGAGAAGTCCCGTGCTACGCGACATGGAAGAGACAGGTTCAAGAGATTGATTGCTGATTTGTCTGCCGCGGCTAAGGCGCTCGTGCGGCCCTCTCGCTCCTTAGTCGCCTCTGCTGCAAGTGTGCCCATTATTTTTGCAGCTGTTGTTATCAGCGATTCAAGTGAGTAACGATGCGTCTGCTCGTACTCTGCGTTGTCCTCTGCCGTGTTCTCCATAAATGCTTGTTCCTCTGGCGCTATGTACGTCTGGAGGAATGCCCGTATTTCTGTAAGAGTGGCCCATCCGCGCTGCATCGTGGAAAATGCTTCTATTAACCATGTGAAGTATATATGCTCAGAGTGAACGATGCACGGACCAAAGACAGGAGATCCGTGGCTGTCACATGAGCGCAGTTGTTTTGCCACGAAGGAGATCCTACTGGTTTTGTGATTCATTGCACTGAAGAATAAAAGAAGCGACACTATCAACTGGGACTCATCTGCGGACAGTGCGCACAGTTGCTTGGCGATGTCTGTATTTCTTGCCGCTAGTGCCAAAACTAAGGTGAAGTACTCCTTGTACCGTCTAAAGACGCATTCAGGCATTATCAGGCTCTCTGTACGGGTGCAGAAGATATTTGTTAACGCTATGACTTGGGACACAGTAACCGACGGCCTAGAGCTAGATGGTATGCATATGATGATAGATGCGGCGGTCGTATCGCACAGCCCCTCTCTAATAGCAAGGAGGTGTGAAATTTGTAGGTTAGGATCTACGCATATTACAGCGATGACAGACTCCGGTGTCATGAGCATTTCCTTGGTAGGATATCTACTGAATGACAAAGACGAGTAGGAGGAAAGACTCTTCCAAACACACGTATAGGAGTAGCTGATTAGGCGCTCGATATCAACAGACTCGTCGTACCACAAAAGTAGATTTCTCCGTGCAGCAGATACTTGAGGATCCATTTCTTGTAGAACCGCACCTAATGGTTGGCTTTCTTCCTCACATGAATGTGGTAACAGGTGGCTTCTGACTATAAGGGTTAAGTTGGGAGAAAGCGTGCCACCTGACACGCCTAGAAACTCGGCGAGTGCGGTGCTGTCAGCGGATAGCTCTTTGTAATATTCCTTCACTGTGTCTGTGACGTTACAAAGTGGACAGATTCGGAGAAGAAGGCTACATGCATCAGAACGCGCTTCTCTGTCACATGCCAGGCTCAATAGAAGTGCTTTCCATATGGTTCTGATGGAATACGACGTCATGTCAGCTGGCAGCGCTAATGGCTCAGTGCATTTCTCTAGCTCCAAATCCAGCCCTTTAGCGGTTGATTGCAGCAGAAGAGTATCCGAGTCGGCTTCATGTTGCTGTGCCGTTGATGAGGCAGTGGTAAGAAGCTGTCTCCTTTGCGGACAGAAAGAGCCATTCATGGATGTGTAGCTCAGTAGAAATAGCTCCTTAATCTGTAAATTGCTTCTATCTACTTCCCTGTGCACAGTCGCATCGGTTCTATTGTCCCCAGAGAGGTCTTTTTCTGGTTGTGCTACTGCTTGTACATTGTCCGCCAGCTTAGGAAGGGGTTGGTTGATAATCATTGGCTTTATGGTGGCTTTCTTTGTGTATGCGCCCTCCGTCTGCTTCTTGGACGGCGCGGTCTTTGCGCGCTTTCTTTGGTAGTAGGGGATCCGTTGGTCTCTTATCAAGTGGTCAATAGCTGTGACCGAATCCCGATTGACCCCGGCGACTCTGCTTTGAAAAAGTTCTTCTGTCCCGATGAATTTGCATGCAGGCTCGCTTTCCAAACCGAGATACTGATTAAGTAATGAACGGAAGGTATTACCAGAGGCTAACTTCACGAACGAGCGCCTTTCCTTCCTGAAATGGGCTACCCACGGGCCAACAAGCTTGGGTAGAAATGCGTATAGAACGGACAATCTGATCCATGCATTGGAAGCCTTCTGGGACGGGAACCCGCAGCAATTGGCAATGAGTGCTGCTGCAGCGCAGTCCTCTTCGGCTAGTGACAGCATCTTGATGAATGGGCGTTGAGTTGCATCATACTCAGCTGCCTCCTTCTTGCCTCCACGCAAGATAATCCTTTCTAGCGTGTGCAGCTGATTATCTTCTATAGCAATCAGCAGCTTTATCACACTAAGCTCCTTGGTGCTCATGTGCTCCAGCGCCGTGCAGTAGATGGCCGTACATGTGAATAGCACAGGCTCTATCTTTGTTAACGGGAGCAAACGAGAAACATATTGTAATGGATACCTTACAGTATGATGGGCCAGCCAACCAACCAGCTGTGTGATAGTGGGATCGCCCATACTGCATCTGCTGTGGTGTATCAGCTCGATCATATTGTCAAGCCAGCCAGCAAAGAATCTTGGAGTAAGGAGGGATAATACCTGCTGATAGTCCGCGCTTAAAGAATAAAAGTAGCCAAACAGTGCGGCATACGCCTGTGCAATTTTCTGCATAAGTTGAGGTGTATCTTCGAGTTGCTGACCATTTAGGCAGCCTCTCTTCAGGAGCATGACTTTTGGTAGGAGTGCAGTTGCATCTTTGTAAATGCTGCCCATAATCTGCCGCTTAGCTGAGCTTATGGCGCCGCGCTCTGCCATCGTGATACTGTGGATGGTCGCGCTAGTTTTCAGGACTTCCCTGATGACGTCCCTCTTTGCTTCGAGGAGAAGAAGATTGCGGAACAAAGGGTGTGTGTCGTACATTGTGCAGTAGTGCAACATGTAGTAAAAAAGATCTATGAACAACTCCTTCAGACCGTCGGTGGGATCCTGGACGGTCTCCCCAGACTTCAATGCCTCAATCCGGTGAATAAGGGCTTGCTGCAAGTATTGTGGCGTATAGATGGGGTAAACGCTCTCTTGCAACTTAGATAGAGAGGAGTAGTCAACGTTTCTAGCTGAAGTAAAGTAGAATCGAGTCCTAGCTAGGTCGTATTTCAACCTTATCCTTGTGGCTCCATCGAAGACGAGTGTATCGCCATGCAACAGCGTTGCACTCGATAGGAGGCTAATAAACGTTACTAAGTACTCTGTCGCTTGGCCTTTGCATGAGAAGCAATTATATAATACGACTGCCCCGTCTTGGTTACCGTCATCTTGGAGAATGCTATCTAAGCTCTTTGCAAACTCCTGCTTGGAGACTGCGCAGTTAACGTAGCTAATACGGAATTCTGCATCAACGTCAATGTCTGCGTCCTTGCGACGAAGTACCAGGTCTTTGAACAAAGCTGGCCTCTGACACGCTTCTAGTACTAGGACCACAATGAATGAATAATTGAAAGGAAGAAGCGGCACCAGTCGTGGGATTTGCGCAGATATGAGATATATTGCAAATATAGATAGCATCCTCCTGTCAACGAGCAAGCTCTTGGCATAAGACCGCATCTCACCGGAACGAAATTCTTCCGGCAAGCACCTTGCCTTGGAGTCAAGCAAGATCTCAGCGATTGCTAAAGCTTCCCCAAGGTTGATGTGGAGGATGTTGAAAAACGCTGTCAAAAGAGCAGGAGTAGGATAGCTCTCTGGGATAGTAAAGTAGCTGAACTCTTCGAGGAGAAAGTCGGTAGTGCAGGCACAGGTAGGTGGTAAGTGCGGATCTGATTCGCTATCACAAGAATGGCGGTGTTGCTTAAATACGTCATGTGCCATAGAAGCAGACACAGACCTCTTTCCTTGTGATAAGGACATCGATGAAGCAGCATCCCTGCCAGCATCAGAGGAGCTAAAGCAGTCTTCACTGAGACAAAGAAACCTCACAGCCATATCAATACACGCTTCAAGTTGGCAAGGTAGCAGACCTTCTAACTCAGATTTCATCTCCTGAATGATAGTCAGATAGCGCTGTGTCACCTCATCTCTGTCCACCTCATGAGCCGGCTCTGGATCGAGGGCCTCGGCTTTAAAGCCCTTCGGCTCACTGAGTAATGAGTTGATGCCAAAGGCAGACTCATGAATTGTCTGACTCGTGGTCTGCTGGTCTCTGGTTCTTGACTTAAGAGCGCGCTTTCTCGTCCTTGATCTAGACTGCGTATTAGGCACAGAAAACGATACAGCTGAAAAGGACCGCACAGAGGTATTGACACTACTTGTGTGCATATGGCTAAGCGGCGTTTGTGGCCCATTGTCTGCCACTAGCTCGTCGGCATTGAGTCTATTAGCCCCCCACAAAATCGTATTGCATGCCTGTAGTATATTGCTAAGTGTCTCAACACGATACTCATAGAGTTTCCATGCTATCTCCGCAATCAGAAGGACGCCTGGCAAAGGGCCATTTTTCAGCATCTTTGCTGCATTATATTTCTCGTTAAGGATCTTGAGAAACTGGTACGGAATCGAGTTCTCCAGAGAACCAATAGTAGAATCTCCCTTAGGTGACCCTATATTGCGCTCCAACAGCAATCCCTTCGTGGCGAGGCTGCTCAATGCTTGCTTCATGGCAGAAGACACATGCAGAGAAATAGGCTGCTGGTTCGCGTCATTGTATGTGGTAGTTAATCGGGGGTGTAGCCTGCTGAGTCGCTCTTCCAATAAAGCCGTGTGTATGCGGGGTGAAAATGCCGTATAGCGCACAGAGTCGATTGTATTGCACACCTCGCCGCCCTCGAGAATAACAATGGCTAGGTTGCGACTACAAAGCCACAACAGCTCTGTTTCTGAAAGTAGGTGCTGCAGTCCATACACAAAGGAGACAAGGTAGCCTAGGAACTTGAGCTCTGTGGGGCTGAAGTAAGGACAGCTTTCTGGGAGAAAACTGATCTTCTTGCGATCAAGGTACTCGAAAGGGACCGTCAGAAGTATGTCGCAGGGCTCGGTGAGAACAAGCTCGGCAAGATCGCTAGCCTCCAAATCTGTCTGCATTTTCTCCATGTCAACGTAGGGCCATAGCTCACATGTGTAGCATGTCCGATAGTTGTAGACATCACGCTTGAAATATGACAGATCAACAAAACCGAGGAGAGGGCTGAAACCCAGGGCCATGAGAAGCATTGATCGGATGATGTAGTGTACTAGCTGCCGAGGATCGTGAGAATCAAGAAACACAGAAACAAGCTTATTGAAATAGCGATGCCGGTGGTGTCTGTAGTCATACGTCGGAACGAAGCCGCCGCCAGTCCTGTCCTCCTGTTCCTTGAATATCCAGAAGAAAGGATCTGTCTTGGACAGCTTCCCACTATACGTCTTCACCACTTCGTTATTCCTCTTGAACTCAGTTCCATCCGGTGAGATGACTGGCTTGAGTGGCATTTTTCGCAGAACTCGTGGATCGACACGAGAGACGAATTGGTCCTCGTCTGACAGCTCTTCTTCATCTTCTAAGGGATCCTTATTGCTGTGGTAAACCTCGTGCGTAGTGCTGGCGGGTTTGATGCATCTTGCTGCTGCCTGGACGTATTGCAGGACCTGATTGATGTCAATGATAAATCGGTGAGTTCGTGCTAAATGGACCGCGTAATTAGCAAAAGCGACGCGTCCTTGAAAGACGTTCCGGAGGGTTACTTCCTTTTTGGCCTTTGGGGCAGCATCAGGCTCGATCTTCTGAACCGAACTTCCTAAAACTTCTTCCAAAACAGCGCTCTCATAGATTCTGAACGTCTCAGCCTTTTTTTCGATAGATATTTTCAGAATTCCATTGTTCGGACTGTATGTATTTCTACAAACAAACTCGAAGAACTCCACTGTGTCGAACATGACGTACTTCCCTATACTTCTTAGGACCTGGAGATATTGGGAATAAGAGTCAAAATGTGTCGACCCAGATGGAACGAGCATGTTGATAATGGGCATTCTTGGCGGGTTTGCCAAGGGATTGAATTGCACAAACTGTGGGCAAGCGCGGTTTGATCCCCTTCGCATGTAAAGGAGGTACTCTGCCATCTTCAAGACATTGGACTGAAACGCTCTAGTAATCGCCAGATAAATGTGTATAATCGCAGCTATTGCATAGGTGTCAACGTGTGCTACCGTGCGGCACCGTGACAATAAGCACGCAACAACGTTGTGTTTCTGCTCTTCCAGAGAGGCTTGCTGCTCAAGCACAAAGCTTTTCTGCATCTTATCGTCTTCTTCTGACGAGTCGCTATCTATGTCTACGCGCGATCGGCAAAGGTTGGCCGAGGAAAGCACTTTGGAGCTGACAGCCCTTGCAGGGCAATCTGCTTGATCCTGCGGATAGACCAGCTCGCCAGATGGAAAGGTTTGGACTCCGTCTATATTCATCATCGAGGCACGCAGGCTCCGCCCCATCAAGATGCTTCCCTTGTCCAGAAGATGCTGCGGAAGCTTTGCCTTGAGTCTTTCAGAGTCAAGAGTGCTCTGCGGACGGAGCTTGCTCATCAGACCAAGGCCGGAGGTAAGGCTTCCAATCAAGTGGGGGTCAGAGAAAAAGCCGCTGGAGGCAGCTAGAGCGCGACGATCTGGAGAGCTATGGCCACCTAAGTCTGTTTTGAAGTACAGCATGTGACCAGCTTTGCTAAAGTAGGGAAGCAGAACCCTTGTGTGGGATGGGCTGCGCCCGCTCAACTGGTCCTCCTGCGAATAGAGTATCCTCTTGTGCTTCATATAATAGGAGTCGCCAGCTAAATCCATAACAAAGTCCTCAATGGATTGATCATGGTGCTTTAGAAGCAAGCTAAGGCCCTGGATCCACCCTTCATGGAGTAGATACAGATTACCAGGATCTGCCCTTCGTAGCGGAAGGCTACTGGAAGGCAGTTCCTCTTTCCCTTTGAGAACTTCGTCGAGGGTATTGGTATTAATCAGCTGACTAATAGATTGAAAAACCACATCAACTGGAAGCTCTGTGTGACGGACGATAGTAGATAGCAGTAGGTTAATGCACGGAAACTGGAAGCATGCATTTTCTCGTGAGATAGGAACAGGAGGAACATTAACTGACGTGACCAGAAAGCCGTCGTCACTGGCAGAGTTTTGAAGCATCGACCAAACAAGGCGTAGAGATGAAATGGGGGTGGTGCTCTCCAGTTGCTTGAGAAAATGAACGAACGTCTTAAGAGTGTTGGGAAGCTCAGCGCTTGGCACTGGAAGCTTACAAAGTGTTTCTTCGTGGAGCTGCGGCGTCTTGTTTCGATACGAAACCCTAGTATAGGAGTTCTGAACATCTTTGGACGGTCCTGCACAGATTGCCTCATGCAATTTGGTAAGCAATGCGTTCGAAAAATAATCTTCCAGAGCATGCCCTCCGTTGAGTGGAGCGGACGAGTCACTTAGAGGCACATAGTCCGAAAGATGAAAGCGACGCCGAATCAAGCCCCAGTAGAGAAAGTTATGCAGGAAGGATGGCGTGGAGGTGCTGGAGTGCTGTATAAAGTAAAGGTCATTCTGGTTGCTTGACAGATCGGAGTAATCGGCGGAGGCCTCATACGCAAAGACCACTCCAGGAAGAAACAGCACTCCCACGTTGTCTGATCCCAGCTCGAGGCTCTGCGAGACATTGTGGCTAAGGCTCAGCAAGCCACTTTGCAGATTGAGATTCATTAGTTTCTCCCAGGCTCCTTGATCGATCCTCTCTATATGAGCGACGAGGAGTTTTCGTTCAGGCAACGCGACACTATAGCGCTCACCGGGACTGGTTGTGTCTGGCTTAAAGACTAGGTTTCTTTGAAGGATCCTTTGCATGAATTCCTGCGGGTCCAAATCCTCTCCACACGGAACCCTAAAGGATGTTAGAGACACAATATTCTGAGGAAGAAGAGCATATGCCAATTTCAGAAGAGTTGTCTTCCCCGAGAACCGCTTGCCAGTCAGAGCAAAGCACTCACCTGCTAAAATGAGCCCGGCTAAAAAGACAGCAACTGCAGAGAGCTCAGTAGTTATGATCAGTGGTGGCTCTACGTCGTTATCGCTATACAATTGCATATAGTGAGATAGTGCAGGATTAGAAAACAAGCCATCTCCTATGTGGTATGGGACAGGGAGGAATTGATATGTTTGCCGCACAAACGCCAAATAGTCAGTTGCATGCGCAGAATCAAGCTGTGCTTCAGAAGTGGTGTCTGGATTATGGTAAGATGCAGGCCCCTCTAGCTCTTGTTTCTCTTCAGTAGTCCTGGAGGTGTTACAGTGAGGAGCAGAACCTGTCAGGGATATGTCTGTGACAGGCTTTAGATGACTATCGTGCCCGCTAAGCTGTAGATCGCTGGGAAGCTCTTGTTTGAGATCTTCAGCAATTTGCAGGTGCATGCATTCTTCAGCTCTACTACGGCCAAGGTCATGGTAAGAATCGAATAATTCGTGTACATAGGCCTTTTCTGCGAATCTTTTCAACAAAACGTTATCTATTTGGGGAGTCCGGTGAAGCACTGAATCGCCATCAGTAGATGCGCGGCAACTCTGCTCAGAAGCAGGAGTATCTGCAATAGCTGTGGTAGATGATGTTTCTGCTGTGTGAAATGAATCTTTGTCTAGTTGGCTGAGCGAAAGCTTGTCATATCTGGCTGAGGGCAGCTGCTGTTCCCCGGGGATCCAGAGATCCTCCTGTGCCTCTCTATCCAGCTGCCCACACTTTAAGTTGAATAGCTGGACATGCTCTACCACGTCACTACGGAGTTGGTTCTTGACACCCAGAAAGTTAGCTGCTCGAAGAAGTGTGACATCGGACATGCTCTGTGTATGGGTCAGGCATGTGTACCTGCAGTATTTCTCCGCTCCTATAAAGCCGTGCATAGATAACTGTACTGCATAAAGGTCTTGCAGGCTAGCCTTGAGAGACGCATAGAAGCTGACGAACCATTGCTGCATTGATGGGTTAGAATGGAAGAGATACGCAGGGCAAAAGAACTTGTGCACAAGGTGAAGAAAGGAGGGAAGAAGCTCCAAATATCTCCGATAGTAGGAGCGATAGCTTGCGCTGTCCTGCTCTGCGCTATGAAGCTCATAAGGGGCTGCAATAAGAAGGGTAAAGGCGTTAAAGATGGCGGCAAAGATTGATGAGTGGATCCTCCTGATAACTTCTGCAGTGCTAGTGTTGACAAAGATAAGCTTAGTAAAGGAGTAACTAAACTCGCAAATGATCTGCGTTTTACGGCTGAAGTTGCTCGCCCATGGCAGATAGATAGGGCTTCCGGTAATATAGCGCAGGTCGGACAGACCAACTGCCGAAAAGTCAATGTCTTTGCGGCACTCCTTGATGTATTCTGCCTCATTTTTCTCTGATCTGCGCTCCTCCTGATCGTAATATGAAAAGTAAGCAAGCTCTGCATACGGATTCAGATCAGAGACACGGCGTGGGGGAAGGACGGCTTCTATAGTTCTTGCTATCTGCTGAGACATGGTGCTTTGTTCTGGGGCCCTTATGTCTGCAGAGCCTGGCTTTGCTTGCTGCTTAGTGGAGGATCCGATGAATAACCGATAATCCTCGCCGTCCATGACGTCCATGTAGTGCTTGATGTTCAGGACATTATCGTACACAAGAAAGAGCGTGATCAATGCCTTTAGTACGCGCCAATCCCTGATTGTAAACGCATACATGTTAAATACTCTTCGCGACGCCAAGATTGTTAGATTGTAATAAAAGAAATTGAGGTAATTGAGATAGACGTCCTGCTTGATGCGGGTTTCTTCTGCGTGCGTATAGAGGTGATAGTCAACGTCATACTTCATTGCTATGTGCTCGACGACATCCTTGTATGTTGACAGGTGGCTTGTTTCGATGTTTCTGATGTCATTGAAGTACTTCATATTTAGGAAGGCTACTGAAGAGAAGCTGACTTGGAGGAGACCGAGAGGAGAGAGGTGCACGTTTCGATTAAAGTGGATACTTGGACAGGATATTTTCCTCAAAGATAGGCACTTTGAGTGCGCCACAACGACTACTTTACAATGGCGAGGGAACACATACCTGATTTTATTTGGAAGGCATATTTCTTGCCTGCACGAGCACATGGCAAAAATGGATCCGATCCAGTGAGAGTCCGCTGGGTCGGCACACACTAGCATGAGGCCGGTGTCATCTGCGCTCCTCTCTATGGACTCCGTCATCTCAAATAGATCATAGATACTATAGACTATTAGGACATGAAGACGTGACACATGCTCAACGCCAGCTTGAATGCGGGTGAGCGTTCCGGGGTCCATGGTGTCCAGAAATAGGAGGCACGGCCTGCCAGTTGCCAAAATGCGGCCCAGTGTGAAAAGCGAGTGAGAGCCAAACAAAGAGAGGAGGCCAGAGCTTTGTGCCAAGAGGCCCAACTGTGAGATATACGTGTCTGAAGCGTAAGTCTGAATGATCTGCTCGAACTTGCTGAGAGGAGACTCTACCAGAGATTTAAACCTTGAGCGCTCGTGTGCATCGAGGTGAAACAATGTTGCCAAGTACTCCATCAAATACATCTGTTTCGCAGAAAACTGGTTTGTCGCAGTCTCCTCTGTCCACATTAGGACGGTCAAATAAAAGAGCAGGGCAAGAGACATGTTTAGCGCTGTAATGGGCGACTGCAATGTCTGTATAATGGTACGGATATCCCCCAGGACCAGCTTTGGAAAAGCGGTAGTTTGACGCAATAGGAACTCTGCAAATATTGCCAGCTGGCTAGAAAACTGTGGGATGATGCAAAAGAGAGCCTCGAGTGTGCAAGATGAGGATAGATCCGAAACAATGTGGAGATCGTTGAATAGGCGCGGAAGGTGGCTGCTGCCCGCGTATGTAGCTGCTTTTATGGTTTCCCTCGACGAAATGACAGAACTTGCGAGAGAAGCGGACGCCTTTACGGATAGGTTCTCTGATAGTGTGGCCTTCTTGTTGACCAGATCAAATATGCTGGCGCTGAACTGATTCTTAATGAAGGATATGCGCTGGATGTAGGTAGGCATATCCATAGTGTATTCCATTGCAAGCACATGACAGTCGTTAGTGAGGTATGAGGTGGGAAAGTAGAGTTGGGTCTTTTGCCTAAAGAGGCGAAGAAATTTGAGGGCCCAATCAGAAACAATGTAGTTTTGGTCCTCGCTGTTGTTCAGACATACTGCGTCTGCAATCCAGAAGATGATTCCTCCGAGTCTGGATGTGTGCCATGAGTTGCGATATGCCTTTGAGTCCATGGGAGTTGCGCTTATGCGATCATAGATGGGTGGGAAATCTGCTCCAGGTGAGAGCGTAAACAACGCAGATATCAATGCCCACTCTGCATGTCCATCCGTGGCGGAGAGCTCCAGTCCCGTTAAGACTGTCGTCACTCCGGATAGCATATTTGCATAGATCGCCATGCGATAGCTTTCCAGCTTCCCTGGAGCGACGTTGAGGAAGCAATAGCGTAGTCCAGATAATCTCGTAGCGTGCTCCAGAATGTATGGGACCTCCATGCTTCGATAGCCCATGTGCCGGTCGGTGAATATCACTACTGGAATGTTGTCAATCAATGAGCTGATGAGAAGTGCACACTTGCGTTTGTGTGTGTAGTCAATAAAAACCGTATCATACTGAGTACAGCAAGACACATGGGCAAGATTGAAGTCTTTCAGTCCCCACGGCCCTAGCAGAATAGATGTCAAAGACGCAGGAGTTTCTAGCGGTATGTCTATATCCCCATGTTCGTCTGCATCTATGTAGACAATGTCGTTCGGCACTAGCCGAGGAAGAGGATCAATAAAGAGTGTCTCTCCCTCTCCTCTAGACAATCCATGTGAAACAGCAGCACCGCTAGCCACTGGCGGAGCGGAAGCTACACCAGGGGACAGGCAGGCGATCTCTGCACTCGAAAACGTCGCTAGCGCTTTGCTTGGTGTGCCTGCTTGTGCGTCGCTGAAGTCCTCATCGTTAGTGGACTCCACAGAACTCACTGTCCGGATGTCCGGAACTGCGACTATATCTGAAAGTCCATGAGACGCGCTTTGCATCTCAAGCACCGAACGTAATGGGACTGCTCGCCGCAGGGCCACTACAGCCCTTCTGTATGCTTCTGTAATAAGGGCCTTCTCATCCATTCTTGCGGCGTCATAGCTACAGTGGGTCTTCTGGAACAGCTTCAGACTCGGAAGTGATAAGAAAAGACATGATGTGAACTTGTTATGCATAAAAGACAGTGAGATTCCTTGCTTCTTACTACGCTCGTTGAGCATGGCACTCCTAGAAAACTTTGTTAGAAGCTTACTGTAGTTCTGCAGAGAAAAGGGAGGCTCAAGTTTGTGAAACCGAGACAAATAGAGCGGGTTTAGTGAGAATATATATGAAACGACGCTAAGGGCGATAATGTCTAACAAGTTCATGAACTCTATGACTCTAGCATAGATTGCCTTTAAAGTGAAAAGCTTTGTTACCGCTGTGTCAGTGTCAGTTGGGCTGTTAAAGATGGAAGCGCTTGCATTGCCCATGTGGGCAAGGAGGTCCGGATAAGAGCACTCGATAATTCGCTTCAGTCCACCAAGAACGTGGTAGTAGCAGTACTCAAATGACTCATATCTTCCATCCAGGTAGACGAGCACGCATGCAGAGAGCGCATAGATAACTGCCTGGTAGGTGCAGTAGCACAGGCATTGAGAATATTGCTCGTTGAGGAGAAGGATGATTGCTTTACGGAACTCTGCCTGGATGGCCGAGGTAAGAATCTTGGGATGAAGGAGTACAGACGCCATGTGCAAGCGGCATCGTAAGTTAATTACCTTATCATAAAGAATGGCTTCGTGGCCACTCTGGATTCCAAAGAAGCTTATCTGTGTGCCACCTTTAGAGTACAGGAGCTTGTTTGCAATGATGTGACCCGATGTATATGCATATTTAAGCTTGCTAAAGGTGTCTGCTGAGAGGCGAGTAGTGGGCAGAGCAGATCTGGCACTAACGTAGGACCCACCTCGATGCCTTGTGGTCTGTAGGCGTGTGTCTCGCTGCGATGGGAGTTGGAGGACACCAGAAAGGGTGGTGTGTACGTGGTCAGGGAGAGGAGGCTTCATTTCAGATCCTGTGTGCGCCACGTCGAAGAATTGATTGGAAAGCTGTGCATTAGTGAATGATCCGTTGAATTTGCTAAAAACAATATAGAACGACTCTGGGAGGTTTTCAAGCCCCAGCTCAAGACGGCCTGAAATAACATGTCCAATTCTCTTCTTCCAAAATAGCTCTCTAGCGTCTTGTAAAAGGCCATCACATTGGTTGGCTGCCGCAATGAAGTTCTCAACCAGCGAGTACTGTTGCTGTTCAAAGAGAAAAGCAAGGGGCATACAGGTGCTATCCCCGTCAAGGTAGCTCGCCAATCTAGTGTGCTTTGTTTGCGCACTATATTCGGAAGTGTCATCAGTGAGATCAGAGAGGAAGGAGATGAATTCGAATCTTGGGATGTCCAGTCTCTTATTCTTTACCAGTGAAACAGCCTTTAAATGCTCGAAGGAAGGACTGGAAAACCTGGCCAAGTCAACCTTCTTATCTGACTCATGCATTGCAACGCAGATCTCGGAGAATAAGTGAAGGACCTGAAGCAGGGTTGCTACTACGCCTTTATAGCGCTCTAGATCAATGGACAGAAAGCTCGTTTCTGGAACCTCGTCAAATATCACATTCAGAAGTGCAAGCACCTCCGGAAGGTGCATGCGTACTCTTTCAACGGTAGCTGCGAAGATCCTTGCGGCCGAGAGGAAAATGTGCAGCCTTCGCGCCATTGTCTTGACAGACTCTACTATCTGGTCATCTCCGAGTACAGTGGAGACCATGAACAACGCTTCCCGTATAGCCTTCAGCAGGTAGGGCTGGAGAGAAGGATACGGTAGCTCAATAGTTTCTTGCATGTCATAGCTCTGAGCAGGACGCCTCCTGGCGCTAGCAGTACGCTTCCGGGATCCGGAGGCATTGTGCGAGGTCGATTGTGTTACATTGATAGACGTTTCATTGAAGGTTGAGTCGTCAGAAATTATTGATACGCTGCTCAGTGACGTATCCCCGGGTCCAACATCTGCGCAGGAAACACGAGCCTTCTGATAAACAGCGTCGTATTCCATGGTTTGATCCTTGAACAGATCTATTAATGGCTCCAGCCTGTCAAATAGGAGAACCCTAGTTGGCCTGTGGTGATTGATATATTTCTTCCGGAACCGCGTACTGTAGTCAAGAGTTATTGGGCAGTAAAGGGAGCAGTCCACGTCTGCAATAGTCACGGGCCGCCGTGCCTGGTCTATCCGTGTAATGAGTTGATATGAGCTCGGGGATGTGTCTGCCATTGCGCTACGAGCAGGGCGATGAAGCGCTTTGCTTACACGTGACGAGTAGGATCTTTTTGTGTGTGACTGAGTCTTTGAGCGGCCTAACTTGGCCGACACATAGGTCTTGAAGGCAGTATGAAGGGGAATATCGAGGCTGTACTTAATAACCCAGACTTTAAGGGAAAGAATCCACTTATAGATTTCGTGAAGCTTCTTCTCTGCCGCTAGATTGTGCTCATACTGTCTGGTCATATTTGTTATCAACGCAAAGTTCTGCGCATTAAGCAGTCTCGTCATATCATCGACTGTGGTTGCCTTAAGCAGGGCTTTGGCGTTCGTCACACTTATGTCCCCGCACGATTTGTCAAGCATTGTGAAGAGGCGCTCTACAAAGCATCTGCTGGTAAAAAGGCGTCGTATCTCTGAAAGGAAGATGATACGCTGCGTGATAGCCAACAAGTGCACTTGAACCACCCTGTCGGCAGTGTCGATCCAGCTGGAGTACTGTACGGTGAAGGGCGGCTGCTCATTCTTCCTACAATAGTCCGTTATAATCTGCTGAATTCGGTAAGAAAGAAGGTCTGGATCAACAGAGTCGACGCTCTCCATGCAGGGCTCCTGCTTCTCCTCATCGGCTTCTGTCTTAATGGATAGCTTTGGGCGTCGCCTGAGCAGCGTGTTCTTGGTATCCGTTGCAGATGACGATGGCTCCATATGAAAACTGGTATCTGTAAGGTGTGTATCTGGACCTGCTATGTCTGATGAAGAGAGTGGTTGACGATCAGCGCATATGTCAGTTATGATCCTTGTTGCAGCGGCTGGCCTGACAGTGCCGGTTTGCAATTTAATGCGTTCGGCTACTGCTGTGTTTAGGCGCATCTGTGCAGTCGAGTATGACGTTGCAAAGCCAGTTGGCTCTTGTCGTCGCATACGCAATAAACCAATGTCTAGCTTTTCGTCGGGGTCTTTTCCGTCGCTATATTCAGAATCTGTCTCGCTAACTCTAGATGTCTTGCCTTGCAGATCACCACCATCATCGTCACTGTGGCTAGGTGTAGTCTTACAATCTTCGGGATCGAGCGTGTTAGCAAGCTGAGTCATCAAGAGCTTTGAGGATGCGCCTTTATCATTCCGAAGTTGATCAGCTGTCACAACGGTGATAATCTCTGACTCAGAGTCATCCTTTGAGTCCGGATGTCTGGCAACTGTGCTGGAGACCGATAACGAGTTGCTACTCTCACTGCGCGGATCGGGTAATTCATAATAGTGCTCTCTGAGCTTGCTCGCCATCAGATTGGTAGATCCTGGGTCTTGAGAGTGCACAGACCTAGGTGGTAGCTCTTGCATGCTATCTATCAACGTAAGAAGGGTATCAGAAGCATTATTCTCGAGTTTGCTGGACATTGGCAACGATGTGGCAGCTGACCCATCTAGCACAATGGTTGAATCCATGTATCTGCTGATACTGGCCACAGAGGCGGTGTGCGCGACTTGCCCTTTCAACGTGCTTTCTGCCGGAGAGCGCCGATGGACAGCGCCAGATTGACGGATTCTATGGGGATTTGATGACGAGCTCTGGTCCAGTGCTTCAATGAAGAAGGACGACGACTTCACATTTCGGCTCTTGGACTTCTCCTGTGCACACTTGAACCTCTGCTTATCGGCAAGATGCATTTCTCTGGCTGCCAAATAAAGCTCCTCGCTGTGTTTTTCAAAGAACTTGTAGTTGAAGAAGTTTATAGAAGCCTTCAGGCTTTGCGCGTACGTTGCATAAATGTTAATTAGAGAGAGGAAAAAGCTGATGGGATGCTTTAGCGAGGTGGTAACCTCAAGGAAGGTTGGCTTAGAAATAGAAAGCTTTATTCCAACAAGCATGGCCCATTTTTCTAGAGAGTTGTAGATCTTTTGTGATTCTGATGCGATATGGCCTATGTCAGAAAAAATATGGTATATGTCATAATAGGTATCTGTCTCGCCAGCACTTTTTGTCGATGTGTTGTAGCCCCGTCGCGAGTCCTGTGCGCTTACACGCTGGATCAGAAAGGCCAGGAAGTCATCGAGCGTAACCACCGAGTCCACCCCAACAAGATTGGAATCGCTCGGTCTTGTATAAAGAGCCGAAAGAGACAGAGCACGTTCGTTTGCATAGCGAGTGATGGCCAGAGAGGTGGACCGCTGTAAGAAGTTGAGATATGCATATGAGACCTCTATGTCCTCTGACGCAAAGTAGGGGTCTATCTGATTGAGAACTAGATTGCTTGTCATGTAAGGGTACTTGATTCGAAACTGGCTGGGATTTCGCACCGAGAGGATGAGATCGGCGGCTGTCATGTAGCATATCTCGACAGCATAATTGGTGCAGACTGTGCGCAGATACATGAGGTACTCTACAGATAAGTAAATATACTTAGAGAATGGACATATTTTGGCCTGGATGTTCCTGTCGGCACGCCTCATTAGCGCCTTAATAGATGCCAGGAGTTGAATGAAATCGAGGATGTTGAACTTGTAATCGCAGAGATCGAGCATGAGCAGCTCCTGTCGGTAGCTGACAAGAGCAGATTGCTTGCGCAAGATAGGCTGCAGCTTAATACTGGAAGCTTTAGCCTCTGACGAAAGATACTTACGAGTGAGAGGTATCTTCTTGACAGAAAGCAGGCCCTTCTCCGAAACAAACTCGTTGTGAAGGTTCTGAAGACAGGCCGGGTCTTCATCTGCCAATTCGCTGCTGCCTCTGGCTAACTTCTTGATCATATCCCGCCTTTCCACTTCCTGCTGACGGATCAGCTCTTGTTGCTTCTCTATTTGTTTCTGCACCTCTTTCTGCCTCACGCCTTCATACACTTCTACGTCTCTCCGACACCGCATCCAGAACTGCGCGTCGAATAGATGGTCCATTTTTTGGTCGAAGGATACGTCTGACTCTAGCAGTGTGTAAATATCTGGGGGCTGAGTTGTTGATCGTTGTTGCTCTTGAGCGGTAGAGCCTGGACGAAGCTCTATCTCCGGATCACTATTAATACACTGAATACTACTTACGTGTCTGTAAGATTCAAGATATGACATCTTGGGCAAGGCCAGAAGGCAGACAAAGACAGCCGGCATCCAGATGGTGAGGAACCGTTGGGCTGCATTCTTGGACTGCAATACCAACTCCAGGTTATCCGGCGTGTCCACATCCACCACCAGAGACCCCTTAAAAGCCTGAATTCTTTGAGACGCCTCCCTTATAACTGCATAAATGGTCTCCTGAACGTGCTGTCGAATCTTCCGTACCAGCGACAAGAGCTTGTTAATCGCCTGATTTTTGAGGATCTTAATCGTGTATGTAGCAAACCTGGTGTAGAGGACATCTGGGAGAGGAAGGAGGTTATTTTCTATATACGTTATAATGTCCTTGGTAACGACAATTGCGTTTTCGATAAGCTCCAGCATCTTGGAATGATCGAGAAGGGAGCTTGCGCCAACGGCACTAGCTCCGTTACAGGGTTCATTGTACCTGGGGATGGTTGCGCCGATGGGCAAGGACATACCGTCGATAGCCCGTCCGCGCCCACTTCCTTTTGTTGAAGCAGACTGCTCAAGTGGAGTGTCTAACCCAAGAAGTGACTCAAAGCTAAAGACTATGAGCTGACTGCCTTCACAATTCAATAGGAACTTTGGAGGATAAACGACACTGACTGCTTTCTTACCATGCCTATCCTCTGACACGGTTTCCAGTTTTTTCACATCTTGAAGGGGATCAAAGCACAAACTAAACACAAGGTTTTTGGCTGAAATGTGTAAATTGTTCGTGCCGAACTCCTGCTCAATGAATGCTAAGCAAAGCTGAGACACAGAGCCGATTGAAGAGAGAAGCTTTTCAAATGCCACAAAGACATCCCTTTCCAGATGCAGGATGGACCGGTCAAAGGCTCTCCGATCATGGAGGTTCTCGTTAAGCCTCTTCAATGAAAGCCCGTACACTTCCTTGACTCGAGTAAGCTCTTGCATGTTGGCCATCAACAATCTGCTGTACTGTATGCGCATCTCCTTGCGCATGTTGTAGTAGCTTGTGATGAAGTCTGGGATACGGGACGATGAGATCTCGGTGAGGTACTCTGCACGCTTAATATCATCTCGAAAGGTCTGTGGATTTAGAATGTTGTCTGTGAGGCTCTCCTGAATCAGCTCCATCTCTTTCTGAACGTGCTGTATTACATAGTCCTGCAGAGATAGCAGGGAATCAAAGCCTGGGACGACACTGCGAGAGAGAAAGAGGAGATCGAATTCTAGGTGCTGCTCTATGTTGCACTTGAGCTCTGTAACAGAGGTGAAGATGGCGGCTATCAGTGTACGGAACTGCGATAGTTCAAAGTCTAGGGAATTTGCGTAGATAATCTTTAGATTAGAAAGACCCTCTGTATCGCCTCCTGTCACGTAGCGCCTATTATCCTTTGAAATCTGCTGGCAATTAAACTCAAAGTGCAGAAAGTCCATCTCCTGTCTATCAGAGGTGGTAAAAAAGCCCTGGCTCAGGAATCGCCTCGTTATTATACTGTCTGCCACAGCTGCTGCCGCAGTGATGGTTTGATTTCCGTCGGTAGACACTGGCTCCAGATCCAAAACCAGAGTAGGTACTGTGGTCTCTGGCTGAATCACGGAAGAAGGCTGCGACGATTCCTGCAGGGATGAGGGAACTGGGACATGGGACTGCGGACAGATGTATTCGGCCCATTCATTTAAATCGTGAAGGTATGCCTCTTGAAATTTAGATATTACTACCCGGCAAAAGAGTTTGTAGCACAGAAGCGGGCTCTGTCGAAGCAGCTCGTTCTCCAGATGTATGTTGCTTAGTATGCAATCTCTGGCGAATAAGCTGCATATAACCGGAGTCAGCTCACGAGCAAATAGACCGAAGAGACGGATGTAGAGCATGGCAAAGTGGAGCATGGGGCTGGCCTCGTCAACCTCTATCCGCTCTAGAGTGGGAACCTTGCCGGAACAAACATATGCTGGCTGCGCTTCTTCACTTGCCTCCTCGTCCTCCTCTGTCGGCTTCAGTTGGCCATCCTCACCGAGAAGGTCACTGGGGTCGCCCAGGTAGCAATTAACAAGGTTTTTCTTCCCAGGTCCCGTGAACTTCCTCATAAATAACGTGCCGTTTTCCTCTGCATCATCGTCGTCTGAAATCTTGTCAAGCCTATAATATTTGTTCTGATCTTCGAGATATATTTCTTTCTTGAGATATAGATGCATGTATGCATAGATATTTGGTAAGGAGTCTTTCTGGAGCATCCGTTTCGTTGAGGGATTCATGAGGAAGTCGAGGACCGATGAGGATAGCCCTTTTTCTATATGATAGTGATGAGTGTAGTAATCTACTAGGCTAACCGTTTCAGTTGAAAACGACTTAAGGAGAAAGAATATACGCTTTTTGATTGTAATGAAGCTGTATCCCACATCATAGTAGCGTGCGTGCAGTGCGCTAAAAAGAGAATTAAATGCTTGAAGGATCACGCCGACAGACTCCTTGCCTGTTTTGACCGCAGAAATCGATAGAGGGACGGCGTCGATAAACTTACATATAAGATTTAGAAATGTAACCTGAAGGGATACATAGGAAGCGCAGAAACGTGGTGAACTAAGTAGTGTTGGGGAGTCAAATGCACACGATGGCCTATTGGAAGCAGCGGATAATGCGCCGGGGAACGTGGCACAATCTTCTAGAGGGTGAGCAAGAACACCTGCCTCCATGTTCTGAAGACTCTGGTCGTTATCGTTTAACAACTCTAATGTCACGTTGTGGATGGGAAGCGATGGTAGGTCTCTGCGCGAGGATGGTCGATTCGTTCCAAACAAGCCAAATTCTGAAAAGCTTCCTGTGCAGTTGGGGATTAGTTTAGCAAGTGCAGGATTAGAACGCTTGACTGCCTGGGCTGTATGGCCCCTACGTGCCAGTATGCCACCGGGTGTTCGTTGCGCTGGCAAATTAGTAGTGTTGATATCGTCGTTGTGGGACTGCGTACAAAACGCAAAATGCTTGTATGGGAAGAGCTGCATGCAAACACTGGTGAGCGTCATGATTGGAAAGCCTAAACGCTTTAGTTGCTCGTCGTACCACTGCTTGTCCGCGGAAAGGGTCTGTCTCGGGCCATACCGCTCTGTATATGTCACGATACCATGGATCTCTGCCTTCGTTCCGCGAAAAAAGCGGAAAAAAGAGGGCCCCTTAGCGGCACTGCGCACAAAGAACTGAAACATTGGTCCGTCATAGTGTGAGCACAGAGTAATGGGGGAAGTGACACGGCGCTTCAGAATAACATGCTCCGACTCCTCCTCCTTGTATGCAAAGCTCACAGTGCCTAAACTAGTCTTGGTAATGGTGCATTGCCTATGCAGAAGGGTCAGGAGTATGTGCTTGTACTCCCACTGATGTTCGGTTAAAAGGTTCTGCAGTGCAGCAGGGAGTGCTGTTGTTCGTTTCACGGGGTAAATAGCATCATAGTGCATGGGGAGTGAGAGTGGAAGAATGGTATCTTGTGCCAGCTCCTCTACATGGATAGAGGCAAAGCTGTTACACGTTTCAAGGGCGTGCTGATCTATTAGGTTGCTCTCAACTATATATGTGTCTCGAGGCGCTTTTACAAGCCGTGTATCCAAGGGGGACAGTGCTGTTATCGACTCTTTGTCATACTTGTAGTTGGCAAAGAACTGATCTGTCAGCGCATGCATTTTCCTCAAGTAATAGATGTTGAAGTTAATTAGGTCCAAGAGGACCGTGTAGGCAGAATTCGCAAGGTAGCTGTTCTCTACGTAGATCTCTCCGACGAACTCTTTGTCTTTGATTTTCCGAATCTCCGCGACGTACGGGTTCTGCGACAAGTCTACACACTCTGGAAGCATCTGAGCCATTACGGCGGGTGGCTGGGCGACTGGGGCATTGTGCTGGTTGAGGATCAGGAGAGAGATCGGGACAGTAACCACAGCAGCTCTGTGCAAAGTTATTTCTGGCGTACATATCTTCTCAAACATCGTGCAATGGGCTAGATTGGTCAAAATGTTCAGCGTCCTAACAAACACAGGAAGGAGGTAGAAAGTAGAGTAGCTGATGAATGCTGGATGGAGCTTCTCCTGCTGGGAGCCCCGAAAGGCGGTGGCTGGATCTTGCTGAACCCAGATATAATTCCTTAGGCCGTCTGGGCGACCGGCGGTGTTCCGAATTCTTTCTGTCAGATTGCGACACATTGCCTTGCTAGCTGCGCGGCTTAGTGCGCGACTGGTCTGGCGTGATACGTGTGGGCTTTGAAGAAGCCGTGGAGAAAGAATCCACGAGAAGTTGATCCAACGCTCCTCTTCTGTGACGCACTCCTGGTTAAACACAAGGAGAGAGCGAGGAATCCTAAGCTGTAGCGCAACAGGTCGAATGGTCATGGTGTGTGATCTTGTACTCCGCAATCGATTTATTAGAGCAGAAGTATTCTGTTAACGCAGATGGCCAGCTAATCTTTACATGTGCACTATACCATTTTATGCACGTATCCTCAAAGCGAACTTAGAAATTTGGGACCTAGCAATTTACGCTGTTCTGGGAGAGTCAATGGTCTGATTAAACGGCATGTTCTCTGTTCATAGACTGGGAAAAATGATCCATTATTGCGCACCTTCCGCTCTGGTTGGTTCGAAGTTTCCAAAGGCGGCAAGGCTGCTCTGGGTAGCAATCTCAGCGAGGTGTCTAAAGTGAGGCTTGCAGACAACACTATAGGGCATTGCGCAGTCACAAAACTTAGTGGACTAAGTACTTGGCGGCCGTTATGTGTCGCAAGCGACAGGCAGTACATCTCATGCATTTTCACTCTCTCTAGTCCAGGAGCTGTTGATGCCGATGAGTGATCAACGTGTAGAACAGGATATATTTGCGAGATAAATGAGATCCGAATACCGAACTGATTGCAAGTCGCTCTCTGGCTGCTTCGTGAGAGTGACACGTCGACCCATCAAGAGCAGCTCCTTTCGTATCGCTTTTGCAACGAAAAGCACGTGACTTTCAACTATCTTATCTAGAACAAACATTTGCAAATGGTTATACTCCGACGCCTGTCCATTTATAGACAGGCCAATTCAATAGTCAATCTCCTTTGATATGTGTTTCTCCACAGCGATAAAGAACACACACGAAAGAGACTGTAACTCTGCAAGGCTACGCGTTTCCCCATCAACGCTCCACAGTTGAGTATCCACCCTATTTGCTACCAGAAGCTCTCCAGAGCCATCCCGTAAGACTGCCAAGACAACTGTGTGCTGCAACGAATCAAAAGCAACAGTATCCTGCAATAGGATATGTGAGGCTGAGTTCAAAATCAGTGTAGGTAAGATCTTCCCTTGATTGATCAGCGTTTTCTGCACCATTATCGACCCCGTTGCCTTGCAGTTCGGGCACACAAAAGACGGTTCTAGTTTTTCTTTCAGGAAATTCTCTATGCAATCTTTCAGTGTGTACTGCATGACCGGGAAGACTCTTGGGCTAGATCGAAACACACTACAAAGATCGTGACTCCGCGCAGTAGGACTTACAGAAGCATCAAAGGAGACAACGCACTTAAGGGAGCACTCCGTAGTTGGAGTCAAAGATAAGAGCGTGCTTTGGGACAGAATGCTGTTGCGTGCAGCCCCATCCGGATAGAAGAGGGCCAGCCGCTGGCGCACGATCCTGGCAATGTTGTCTAGGCTCTCTGGGCACACAATGAGCGGAATTGAAACACTCTCTGGTGAGCCCTGAATAAAGATGTCAACGATCACGTCTTTCCTATCATCCGTAGGAAGCTCTTCTGGTAAAACAGGGGCAACGATAAGGCAATGGTTGGCACCGAAGTTCAGCCGGCAATAGCGCTCTAGGCTTGCGCTGCGGTCCTGATCACCGGTGTCATCTTCCTCGGCAAAGATGTCTGCAAGCCCGATTATTTCCTTATCTATACTAAGGGCTGCAAGCGGAGTGTCTGGTGGGAGTTCAAGAGTGCTCGTGATTAATTCTTGCAAGTAAGCGGCGCTCAATTTGGTAGAGAGAAGGCGGAAGTTGAAGATCGGAGAACCATTTGGAGGAAGTACCAGGACTCTAGTATAATAGGCCGTCTCTGAGAGCGCCGCAGCATAGCCTTCGCGGGAAGCCGTTAAAGGATCAGCATCCAACGCAGGGGTCTCTATTTCCAAGAGAGAGTACTGCACGATTTGAGGATCGGCCGAGTAGCCACATTCCTGGCAGGTGGTCTGTGAAGACAGTGATCCCGAAACGGGTGAAACCTGAGCCGACACTGAGTGAAGCGCCTCGACCATGCTTCCATGGTTCTGTCTGCACGCTCGGAGCGCAGTTGCTGCGATTTCAGACGCATCCAGGGGGAGGTATCTTTCCATGCGCTTTTATTGCACCATAGAATTTACATGAAAGACTTGCAGCGCGTACTAAAAGCTACATACTCACTTTGACGGCTGAGAGCGCCAGGACCAGGCTCTCCCCCATTCTCTTTATTTCGTCAGCACTCAGCAGATGCTTTACGGGGGAGAGCACGAGCTCACTGAGGGAGATGATGTCGTAATCCCGGGTGCGAGGAGAGCACGATATCTCATTACCCAACGCGCTGAATATAAGGCCGGCCAACACAAAGGGATCAGTGATTTCTTCATGCCGAACGGAGCGCGCTGCAGAGTATGCTGCTTCGCGCTGTGTGGCATCCCGATACAGGGGATGGGAATGTGATTGTGTGCCGTCAGGGAATAAAACGCACCTGTTGCTATACCAAACGCAGGAGCTAACCCTACGCGTCTTAGGGTGTACAGCCAAGACAGCGTCTCCCGGCAAAAGGACTCCTCCCAAGCGCAAGGGGAGGACATTTGGGGCTGGGAGCGGACGGAAGAGCTGAGAGATTTCCCCAGACAACGGGGTAGGTGCATCAGAATCGGACACGACAGAGGCGGAGCGAAAGAGATTTGGTTCTAGACTCCGACCCGAGCATACGCTTCTGGTTGAGCCCTGGTGATCAACAGACTCCTCGTTTAAACAAAGAGAGGGTGCCATTGGAAATTGCTTGGGTGGCTGGGGTAACGGTGTGGAGAGAATTGTTGCGATAGGGGATTTACCAAGATACGATTCAGCACCAGGCGTTGTGGGCTCCAAGTTCTCTGTGTTTATACTGGCAAATGACGAAGATGAGAGTTCGTTTGAGATGCACACGTTGAAGTGGAGGAGGCGAGCGCAGGCAGGCTGTGCAAGCATCAGGGACAGCATCCGCTGAGGATAAGGCGCACTGACCATGTCTGCGGCGTCAGTACCGTCGGTGCCGTCTGACAGTGGAGCAGAAAAGCCATCTCGATCGGAATCCATACCATCAAGCAGCCCTCTGCCCAGAACAGCACTAGTCGTGACGATGTCGGGAACAGAAAAGGGCAGCGCAATCTGGCTGAGAAGCTTGTTTTTCCTTCGGCGAAAGGGGGGCGGGTAAAAGGCTGGATGCGCCTGATTGGCAAGGTATATCTGATGCACTGCCTTGGCGCCGGGAAAGCATGGCGGATCAAAGGCGGTAGTGGCCGGCCGTGCTACAGACCGGTATTGCTTCCTCGGTGGATCGCGTATCTCGAGCTTTTGGAGAGTAGCTCCCCGCAAAAAATGTCCGCGATGGTCTGTCCGGGGTATCCGGGGGACGTAGCATGCGGCTGATATGGGTGGCGTTTTTGAAACCACCCGGGACGAGCCAGGTGCCCCCAGCGTCGGGGCTATGGCTGTGGGCTCCATATCATCGTCCGTGCCCGAGACTGATTTATCCCTTACATCTAGACTATTCTGCACACTCCTTACTAGAGGCGTCAGCTGTGTGCGTGGAGAGTGATAGTATCTGTCCTCTAGCATCATGAGATCCGCACCAGAATTTGCATATTAAATTTTGCATTAAACTTTTAAAAACGACCGACTCAAACGCTTACAGATACTGTTACTACCGTCCATCTAGATGCTGTACATTCTTGTTAAACGTGGTAAGGACGCATACTATATCCTCGTAGATCCTTCTGGGAAGGTGGGGGACATTTGCAGAATACTAGGACGTCTAATTGGAAACGACCCCCAAGATATCCAACTATTCCTGAACAATCAGCCATTAGACGCAGATTACGGAATATTTGACCTTGCCATGGACGAGCGTTCGTCCGTCACATATAAACTGAGAACCGTTGTCGGCCACGATGCAGAAATGCAGCCCGTGTATGAATATGTTTAGAAGCCCTCCCGAAGCCAAGTCGCTGGGATTGCTGGGGGAAGCGAGCCCTAGAACTCATTTAGCCGCATCCGCTTTAGAGCTTTAACTATATTTGGGGCTCTCGACAGCTCCTGAAGGATCGGGATGAGGGACCTGAGAGCTCGGTCCTTGCTGGAGCTCTCCCACGTGCTTATTGGAATAGCGTTCTCAGGGTGCTTCTTATAGCATGTCGGGGTATTGTCCACTATTACTGTACGGTTTACGTCCCTGCCGAGGATGCTGAGGTCCTTGTATATGATTCCGTCGGACTTATCACATGAGCAAGAGTCCCTGTAGAGAGAGTAAGACACGATCTTGTTGCGATCGAACTCTGCAATGATCGGCTTTGCATAATCTTCAATCCCTGCGGTCATTATTATTACCTCCCAGTCCTTGGCTACGGATGCCAAGAAGTCTTCCAGATAGGGCCGCTTTCTAACCCATGCTATAGTGTATAATTCTGTCATTCCCGTCCCCGTTTCGGTCAGATGGCAAAGCCTCAGTGGAACTATGTAATCGGAGCCAGGCAAATAGAGATCAAACTTCACTGCAATCAGGGTCTCGTCCATATCCAATACCAGGGTGGGCTTGTTGTCATTGCCGGCCCGCGGAGGAAGAATTGGTGCGTCCTGTGCCGTTTTGTATTTGACCGTGACCGCCTCTAGTAAATCCACGACAGACTTCTGTTTCCTGGGCTTTTTGTCCTCGGGAGGCCTCCAGCCCCCTCCCTGGGAGGTGTTGTAGGTCTTTGCCAAAGAAATTTCTGCGTCGTCTCCTTGAGCGTCCCCGCTACTACCGCAGCAGCCTCCGAAGGCACCACCTCTAGTTAATGGCCTGTCTAAGGGTGTCGCCATTTTATAATATTTACCTTGAAGCACCCCTCTGTCATCGCCCTGCTCAGTGGCACTTATAAAACAGTGCAGTCACTTAGTAATCCGAACCACTGATCCGCTGAAATGGCTAAGGCAGGCTTCTCTGGTTAGGTCTGGCCAAACTTTAATCTGAAATCTTTAAAAGCTTGCACAGACTTTGAGACAGTAACGATGCAGTTTATCGGCAGGCTACGGGAGCAGGATAGTGACGCCTCTTCTAGTACGTATCAGTTAAAGGGGCTCTCAGATAGACGATCCAGCTCCACCGCCACCTACTCCCCATCTCATATGGTCAACCTGCGAGAGGAGCTGGATGGGGCGATAACCCTTTCCAGCGTGGGAGATATCATTGAGTACAGCAAGCATCCATATGTGATACCTAAGTTAACCAACGCGAGGTACAAGTTGCCCCCCATCCTTGACAGTGGACTTCCGAAGGCCCGCGTCAGTGAAGATGCGCAGGCCGAGGCAAATGCTTTCACCCCTCTCATCCCTGGCGATCTTATACCGAACAGCGCTTTCGCACATGAGGCTATCAACCCAATTGATAAAGATATGTCCCGCTCAACCACACTGGCACGCGAAAAGACCTTCACAGAGCGTGCAAGCATGGGAAATTGGCAAATAGCAACCGTAAAGGACGATGTAGATCGAATACGCATGCACATCGTTGGAAGTGACGGGGACAAGGTGGGCACAATCAAGGTGGCCAAGACACCCGCCTCGAGGCTAATGAATCTTAAGCTGAGTATTGAGCGGCTTATTTCGCTGGACGGGTTTGACCCGCTTTTCTCGAACGACCCCGGAGCGCCGGACGAAGAGGCAGGCGTACCCATCCAGACGTTCGACTGCTTGGAGCAGGAGGCGTGCAGCCATACCAAACTGGACTGTTTTCCCGCAGATGTCCTAACGGACAGCGAACAAGATGAAGACAAGGGCGTTTTCACATCAAAGGGATCTGGTGACTTGTCGCCTGCTGAGCATAAGTTCAAGCAGCTAAACCCTATTTTACAGCGTGAGAAAAAGGGCATCTCTGACGTCGGGCAGGCACCAGTCAAGATTTCAAACCATGTTCTTCACTACCGTACAGACATGAAGATTGTTGAGCAATTGGATAAAATAAGAAACATGCGAGAAAAGTCGGCCATCATAGTTAGGGACCACGAGACACAAAGAACGTCTGTGATTCGCTCCAATAAAGCGGTCCCCGGCAGAGTTGTCAGTCCGGAGGAGTACACCACAGTTGCCGAGCTCATCGCTGATATAAATGCTGATGAACAGGACCCACTCGGCTTAATAAGCAATGAACCGTCTCTCAAGAGCGGTCAAGCAATCAGCGAATTGGAGGCATTTGTCATGGCATTTGACTCTGCGCTGGAGCTGTTGCAGCAGAAGTATGACGAGTACGACGGCCTCCAGGGTGACCAGCGCTTGGAAAGCATCTCGAGCCTTTATAAGCAACTTCCCAGCCTGCTTAATACTCTTGAGAGGTCCAAGGATTACCTCGTTGCACGCTCTGTGCGTCGCACGGGTAAAGTTGACCTCCTGAAGACTCAAGCGCGAGATATGGAAAAGCGCCTTAAGATCACGTTGGAAGAAAACAAGAACTTGTATAAAGAGCTTGGTGACTTGCGGGCTTCATATGATAAGGTCAAAGAGAGCCTCGCCAATACCATCGGCTCACTGGACTCACTGCAGTATGCTAAGGCTAAAGTGGAACGGGAACTGAACTCTCTCCAGGATAACTATGAAGCCATGAAGAAAACCAGAATCGCCATGGAGGTGGAAATGGGAGAGCTGGCCCTCGAAAAGGACGAGGCCTTTGCTCGATCTAAACGACTTACAGTTGCAGCAGGTCGGCTTCGCACAATAGCGGACAGCGCAGTCACGCGGGCGCAGAATGCAGAGAAGCGGGTCATTCTAGAGATCAAGGCCAAGCAGGAACTGGAAAAGGCCTACAAAAAGGCTTCTGAAGAGACTAGCTTTCTGATGCAGAAGTTGAAACGGCAAGATATCCAGTACAAAGGAGAACTACAGGAGTTGGAGCACGAGATCACTAAGCTAAGGGCTGTAATCGAGGATTTGAATGCTGCGGAGGATTTTCAGGCAATTGACACCCGTACGGTCATACGCTCCATCATGGAATCTGGCAATGCCTCTAAGATAATGCAGATGGCAGCAGAGACTGTGGAAACGCTCAGCCTGCCAGAAACGGTGATACATATATGCTCCTCTTGTCCAGAGATAGACCAGCTGGGACTGGCGTGTCTTGTCCACCTTCTCAGAACTCTCCGCGATCCGCCAACTATCCACCACTTTTTCACCATCATCAATAAGGAACCGCTGATAACAGTTGTTAGAAAAGCTGTGGGTGTGCAGACCGTGGCTCAATCTAAAGCAAGCTATGAAGGCTATCCTGCTGCTTTTGCACCGAAGAACGTGTCCTTGAAGAATCTATACTCCAAGCAGCTGGGCCAGGCAATTCCGGCGTACGCTTTAGACTACAATCGCCCAGATAGTATTGTTGAAAAGGATGGAAAGACCAAGCAAGATCTGGTCAAGGAAGAGCGTACAGCTATTAAAAACGTTTTGAAGACCGCAGCGGGAGATGCAGGGATAGACGTACTGGGTGATGAGCACGTCATAGATGCAGGACTTGTCCTGGGTAGTCACGGAGCAGAAACCCCTCTGAACATAGCTGACTTGGTTAGTCAAACAGTTTCCGCCCACAATAGCGCGTTTAGAGCCAACAAGTCAGGCAAGCAGCTTGCGTCGACCGCATCCAACACCATGCCGAGTGGCGAGAAAGAGAGAACGCGAACGCTTGGTACCAACAAAGATCTGACCGAAGAGGATAACAAACCAAAGAAGATTTCAAAGAAGCGTAGCTCCAAGCCTTCAATTGATAAAGCCAGATCTTCTGGCACACAGAAGGGCAAAGATACCGTAAAGAATACTATCATAGCGCAGGCACAGCAACGTACCCAAGATCTTGCTGATTCCAGGGACTCGTGTGTGGAAAGCAATACTGCATCTGACCTAGCATACTCTGCTTCCGATGAGTTGGGCCTTGTTATAGACGTCCCTGACGCAGATACCAAGCAACATCTCGCTACCTCCTATGTGCGAGAGACCAGCTTAGAGCTGGAAACACTCTCTGCCGAAGACTTCGAAAGAATGATGGCTATCTTGACCGATAATATGGAGAGCGCACGGATAGCGGCCCAAATCAAGATGGTCCTTAGCTACATGCTCTTTAAGAGTGCCTTTTGTGACGAATTCAAGTATCTGTTCCTAGATTTCTACAATTCTTATGGCAGTGATTTCGCCAAACCTAGCATGACCGACGAGGAGAAGCAAGACATAGTGTTTTCATTCGTTGATGACTTTAAGTTGCGTATGCGCATTCTTGATGACGAACGAACAGAGATCTCACACTTATCCAGCATCCCGTACAATTTACTTGACAGCGATCATGCGCAGGGGGACAACCACCTGAACGATCCACCGTCCACTATAGAAGAGAAGGATAACAGCGAAGCTGTCACTCTAGATCATACAGTCCGCGCACAAGAGCGTCTGCAGGGTGTCCCTCAAGTGAACACTGTCGGCGTCGAAGCCAAGGTCACTACATCCAAGCCACGGCGGAAGCTCACCTTTGTCGTGCCCATGGTGAGCCGTGCCACAGAACACATGTACGCAGATATTTTGATGGCGGATGATTTGGATTGCGAGCCAGAACTACAACTGGACAATTGCTATGCAGACGAATGCGTGGCAGCAGAGGAGATAACAAGTGACAAGCAGAGCTTTATTGCGGACCAAAGCTGTTCGCAGCCACCTGTGACTGAGGTGAGCGACCAAGCAGTGCAACAGACCGTTGCCACCCAGCAGCACATTACCAAGTATGCATACATAGATGCAGCTGGAAAGACGCGCCTCAACGATACCACAAATGCAAAGGCCATTAGACTAAGGAACATCAAGAAGGGCTTTGCTGAGACAGTTCGTCGAAGAGCTGGGGCTCTTAAGGATAGAAAAGCTTCAGCAGAGAATGTCGATAGCCCTGGCCCCTCTGTGCCGATACCCGAGCAAGTGAAATCGATCATGAATAGAGTAGGCCCGGTCCTCAGGAAGGAAGACAAAAAGCTCCTTTACAAAGGCTTTAAGAAGCGCAGCTCGGAGGCGCTTGTGCAAAAGGAGAAAGATGCTACAGGAGCAGCTCGAGAGCCTCCACCTGTGTCTGCACAACAACAACGTTTCTGCTCTTCACCAGACCGTTCAGATCGACCGACTCTCAGACACCTTGGTCTCGAAACGGTTCCGCCAACGACTGTTGACGAAGGCTTGTCTGCAATTGTCTTCTCTGATGAGCATCCTCGTTATGTATCTCGTGCGACAAGCGCCATCATCACCGTTCACTCGGATGCTGCACAGTCGTCTGCATACTTTTCGCAGGAAGCGATGGACAGCTTTGACAACGCTATGAAGCATGCAGAGCTCAAAGACTTTCCAAGCGGATTCACTCTGGCCTTCCACAGCACTAAGGATGCTTTAGAGAGAAACCCTGAGAATGCCCTTGCCTCTAGCCATAACTTGCTAGACGTGGAGAAAAGCGTATCTAAGCATGTGTCCGACTCCGTTGTAGATCTTTTCAGCGCTACCCAGGGGCTGCAACAATCTCTCAAGCCGAGCTCTACTACTGACTTTCTTGTGTGTACTCGCAATTCATCAGCACATGAAGCAAAGCCTTCTCAGATTTCTTGCTCCAAACCTCCTGGTCATGATACTAATCTCACGCCTAAAGACCTCGACAACCCGATAGAAAAGGATCCAGTCCATCGTGGAGCTTCGAGCGCTGTCCCTGTCAATGTTAGAGAGTCTTCCTCTTTGAAGCAGCTTTCTGAGCAATCTATTTCTCGTCTTGGAACTGGGCGTCAGTCAATAGATGAGCAACTTTCTGTCCCCAGTTCTACAAGCAAACACTTCCTGGCTTACCTACAAGATGCCAAAGGAGCCCCTGTTCCTATCTTAGTCCAAGGTACCAAATTCTATGGAGACCTACAAAATTCCGATGTAGAAGTAATCTTTTCCGATCTCAATGGTACTGCTACAAAACCTTGCACCAAATTTAAACCCAAAGCTACGCATCTGTTATCTGCTAATCGGGAGATCCTATCCACCGGAAAAGTACCTGGGCAAATGGCTTCTGCAACATCAGATCTTATCTTCTCTGCGTATACCTCCACTAACGGCAAGCCAAAGACAGAGGAGCCCGCTCAACAGCCGTCAGAATCCTCTTCGTGGAAAGAGCAACTTAATGAACTGACTAATCTAGATGAAGAGTTAAACACTCTCACCGTTGAACTTCAGGAGCTTATAGACCGCAAGTCAACTGGCTCCACATCTCCTAATAGCCGCTCTGTCAAGCTGCGCTCCCAATCGAAGCTTCGTGCACTGAGTCTAGAAGAATGTGCAGTGCAGACAAATGTCACGTGTGTTTGTAGAGAATTGTTGTACGAGGACGTGACTATCGATAAGTCCGAGTCGCTACTAACTATTAAACCAGAGACAATGGTCGACCTGCACATTGTCGTAAGTAGTCAGTCTGATCAGCATGAGAAGGTCCCAGACACAATACCAGACAAACCACTCTTGCAATGGAACGATGTTCTGGAGCGCAATCCCGTGCTCTACCACTCGTCCTTCATAAGCGGCTATGCATTTGGACACTATCCCCGTGACGACCCTGCTATGCGTTATAATTTTGCAAAGCAGGAAGAGATCCAGCTGTTCATCCAGTCGTTTTCTCAGTTAATCCAGACCGATGTTATTTCTATCTGCTCTTCCGACAAAGATGTCTCTATTTACAAGCCTCTGTTTACGCCCCTGAAAGCCCCCAAGATAGTATCTGTTCAAACAGATGTCTACTCTTACCACATTGACAAGCTTGTGTCTGCCGTCCGTCTAGCGCGTGAGGTAACAAACCCGCGAGAGTACCTCCGCTATGACAACCCGAGGCACTTACGGGGCGTGGATGTCTCATGTATTAATATGAACACAAAGAGCAACCTTCCTACCATGGACACGTCACATTATGCCACAGCCCAACCAGAAGGGCCTCAGAATAGGCACCAGCCATCGGCCCCGCACACAGAAGCAACACAGATTACTGGAAATAATATCTTGCCAGGAATAATTGGACCGAAAAACCTGCCCCTGCTGCCTAGTGCAAGGTTGCTACAAGAGGCACAAGGAAAGAAAACAAGAAGATCCGTTTTAGCGGACTTTGCTGACAACCCTCTTCTAGCCACACAGCAGAGCACCCTGCCCGACTCTGAAGAGAGCCAACCACATCCAGGCACATCCGGTCTTTTGGCTGCTGGTGGACTCAATCCGTCGAAGTATCCTAGGACAAGTGTTGTGGAAGATTTTCTGTACATGAACAACCAGCTTACATCTGCTAATAAGGTGGACAATGCCGTTGACGGAGCGTCCGGTGGAAAGCGAAATCTTCTCCAGGTGACCCCTCTTTTCCCTTTTCAATCAGCCATAAATCTTGTGGAGCACCCTGATAAATACCTTAATTCGAGTCTAAATACTAGCCTCGATGATCAGGACGATGAACTAGATCCCACACTAGATGGCCAAGGACAGGAGCTCAACACACTGCTCCGTCAAACATCAAGCAATAAGTTTGCCAGAATCGTAAACAAACTACGGAGAGGCTCGTCGGGCGAGTTCCTACTCCATACCGACTTGCCGGCCGTGCCAGAGGCTGAAGCTGAAGGAGATAACAAGAAGTACATTCAGATAGCCCAGCCAGGCATGCTGCCTAGTAATTCCGAACACGCAAAGCTACTGTCAGCAGCGTACCTAAATGTGCTTGCACAGCCGGAGAGTAGATTTATCAGTAACTTTGGGGTATCGCCTATCCGACCTTTTATTATCAAAAACAAGGCAAGTACTAGAAAATTCTTTGGCTCAGATCCTTACATGGCTAACCACACTGCCATATCTATGGGAATTTCGCCTAGTGAAATCAAACACATCATCCAAAACAGTAATGTACTTTTCGCCAAGCAACGAAGGCCCGTAAGTAGGGCAATCAACTCAGTCATCGGTGTGGCGGACAACACAGATCCCTCTTCACACTACAAGGCATTATCCACTGGAACGAAGGCACTCACCAACGTCTTTGTTACCGCCCCAGAGTCTCCAGCACCCTCTCCAACAGCTAAGCTGATGCATCAGGATAGAAAGCAACCCGCAACAAATGATCTTCTTATTGTCACTTCACTCAACAACGTATCTCCTACTGATTCGAAGCTTGTGCAGTTCACCGGTCCAATTCCGGTGGGATCGGTACCTCATCCCAGATATGGCTCCTTGACATATATGCAAGCTAATCCACTCAACATTACTCCGTATTGTTACTTCCTAATGCAGACAACTCTAGACAAGATCTTTGCCAAGTACACCCTGTCTACGAGCTCAAATCAAACATCTCTTCTTCAAATGCAGGAATCGTCTGACGACAAAGTGCTGAAGCCGGCAAATACTGCTACAAGACAGATCATGTGCTCTCCGTGCCTCTTGAGCAGTAGAGTTAAGTTCCATAAGGATTTGGCTGCAACATCAGCATTGCAGAAGGCTACGATTAATCAGATAGATACCGAACTCAAAAGGACCCAAGACGCCAGCATGGGGTCCCCGATAGTGAAGCCACTGGCCAAGCAGCCGGCCACCCTATTGCCGACTGTTGGTGATCAGGTCTCGTTCGTTCGGCTATCTTCTGCAAGCCTGCACTATGCATCAGATCGCGGAATGCTTGATGTGGACAAGGGGGCAGGGAGCTCGCACGACCTCATGGCGCCGATAGATTCGTTACCTATCATCTTCAAGCTACTGGAGCAAGTTACTCTCACCCCGACCCAAATCGTAACATCACTGGTCAGCAAGCAGGCATACATCAGGATCCCAATCACTGCATGCTATCTAAAATCACTTATATGGACACTCAAGATTATTCGAATGGTACTCTATAAGCGCCAAATAGCCACAGAGACTATCATTATCGCCCGACACGATGAACACAAGGCTGAGCATTTAGTGGAGAAAAATCTACTCACTACCAGTGTTGGGGCAGCACCGATGGCTGACGAACACATCACAACAGCATATGAGTTCATGCTTGTTCCTGGGGAGCTTTGTAGAGAAGACGCAGAATCTCTTCCTCACTTTTTGGTGTATTGGTGCAAGAGCAGATATGGATTGCGCTCCCTTGTTTCGAGCTTGTTATACTGCATCATCGCAAATGTTATTTTCTATCAGTACGAGAACGATGAAGTATACCTGTTTGCCCGCATGCTCTTCAGTGACTTAGATAACGACTACTTCTTAGCATACTTGGATCTTCGTAGGTCGCTTCAGCTCAACACATATATTGCTGACAGTGCTAAGGAATTACGTGATGCGACCATTAACATCCTTGAGCCAATCCCTATCACCTCTATTGAGCCCCTGCTCAGCATCATGTTCACTAACTGGGAGCGAGCTCGAAGAGAAGATTTGGCTGCGTCTATCATAGGAAGCGTTTATGATAGGCGTACTCGATCAGCAGAGCAATACAGAGAGCTCACTATACCATTCTCCAGGGTTGTAGCAATAATCTTCTATGCTTACTCCTCTTTCAGGAAGACATTATATCAGGCGCTGCAGACAATCCTTTTGCACTTCGGCCGAGAGCACGGATGCGTCAACAGAATCAACGAGGCTGCTTTCAGAGAGCTTTGCAGTCACACCATTAAACAGTGGAATTCAGAAGTGATAGCCGAGCAATTCTACAGCTTTAGCCAGATAGAGGAGATCCCTCCGTCGGCTGCCCTCATACGGCCAGCGCCCAGTGCGAGCTCTGTCACTCAGCTGGCGGATAAGCCCACCGCGCTCATTCCTCAAGACAACGATGCAGAGCTAGTACGCAAGCAAACAGCTCAGCGATTAATGGACACAGACAACTTCATCGACATGTTTGTTAGCAACCAGCTGGGTCGGTTTTTGACTCTCTCGACAGACATCCTAGAGACAAGCGTGGACTCCGAGGTAAAGCGCAGCATCTACATCACCATGCGGCTTTTCGATCGCCTAAAGTCTCTATCTGAGGAGGCGTCCAAGCAGCTCATGTGTGAGGACATACTTAACGGGACCGCAAGGCGAGTAGGTGTGATCAGGAAGATGAAGGACAACCTTGCTGTTGTGGCGAGTGACATCACGTGCTACGATCACCACCACGCACTGCTAAGCATCAAGCACGCCATAGATACTATCCTTGTCGGGCTCCTAGAAGTAGATGCGGACAGTGTATCTGCGGCATTGGGGGGAGCGATTACGTCCTTGGAGGAGTATTTTGCTAACCAAATAGTCGACGACATTATTTAGCTATGTAAATTACTGGTGCTAGGGCAACCAGTCTTTGGCTCATAAGGAAGGAGATGGACGGGCAAAAATAGGATTTACTGGGCTAATGACAACAAACCTGGTCACTTCGATGACCGATCTTCTAGATAGAACTCAGCGGAGGCAAATACACGACGCTATTAGTGCCTTGGCAGCCGTCTTAGCACCAGACAAAGACCCCGTGGAGGGCATTACTAGAGGGCATGACGAAGCCTCCGCAGTAGGCGAAATCGCTAGCATGCTTCTCGGACTCGCTTGCTTTTCGATCTGGATTCCTTCACAGCTTGTCCGCTTCTTGCATTCCGCTGCAACGAAGAAGAATCTTTTCTTCCGTTGTAAGCATAATCAGGGGCGCTGGAGCTTCTCATTTCTCGTTAAGGGGCCTGAGCAGACCAAGGTTACACTGGACAGATCCCCCTGTAACGTTGATCTGCAGCGTAGGACGCACTATGTGCAGACCCAGTTTGTTGAGGTTTTCAAAACAGACACACGGATCTCCACTGGTCTACTAGCCGTGCTCTGGCCTGGACTTGCAGCAGAGTATAGGCCGATATACATTGAGCGAGAGATTCCGGCTCCAGTGCAGAAGGCCACATACGCACTAATCCCTTCTCAGGACGGTATTTCTGCGTCATCATGCATATTTGGAAACGCATGGGCCAGTAGCACAAGCAGAAACAAGCTTGCCATAACAGAGTCATACATCTACTCAACAAAGCATCAGTCAGTACGGAAGCAGGTCCTTGCTGCTGCTCTTGACATCTATGACAGCGCCAATAATGCATACATAAATGAAGTAACTGGAAAGGAACTTGTAGAGCTCTATCGAAAACGTAAGCTTCAGCTGGAATCCTATCAGCTGTCAAAGCAAGGGGAGGTTGGAAAAGAACACGCGCTTTCTGAGCTATACAGCAGTAGCCTGGCTCTTCGCAATCCATACTATCACTTCTCCTTTAACGTAGTCCCTTCTGCCTATGACTTTCCCGCTATCTGCGACCGCATCAATTCGCTGAGCCTCAAGCCTGTGACGATACATCACACGTCTGGGCAGATCAAGCGTTTTGATACCTTCGACAATGTGCGAATTTACATGTACTCTTTACGAGATACAATGGAGAGGGCTTCAGAAAATGTCACGCCCCAACCCCGGGAATCGTTGGCCAGCACGCGGAACAATTCTGGAACAGAAACTGCATACGAGTACAGCCGATACCCACAGAGGCATCCTGCCCATGAACCTATCGTTCCTCAAGTAGCCCTAGAGACGATTGTCCCCGACGGCAACGCAATGGAAGCGGCAGTATTCCGCATGACTAATAACCGCCCCAAGAGACCAGAGTCTGCAGGAGAATATAATAAGCGGACGTCTGGAGACGGGGCAAATAGAAGTAGAGATAGGGACTTGCACACCTCAGAACTAATAGGGGTCAATCTCCCCCGAAAGCGACCAAAATCGACAGAAACAAAACGCAATTCCCGTACCACTAGTAAAAAGATGCAGCAAGTCGAAGAAGCCCGGCCTAACAGGACAGGGCCCCCAGACACAGCGCACGATAATAACTTTAAATTGTCTAGGCCAGATACACTTGTTCAAACACCAGGAACAGGGGCCCATCCTAATCAGCATAGCAAAAGCTCCATAAACAAACACCACTGCGGGTATACACAGTCGATTCAGCATGTGGACCGGTTTTTGTCATTCATGTCTGCGACTGCTCAGTGTGTTGTAACTGTGGAGAATGAACAGAAAAGAAACGTCCTCATGCGGGCCATCTCTAAAAGTGTCCAAGGCCTACTAGCAGAAAACGATGTTGACACCTTTGAGCTGTTTGGGTTTGACTCTACGCATGCAAACATAAACACCATTCAAGACCTATGAGGGCCAACATGTATGAGAATACTTTAGATAGTACTGATGAACAAGTCCCTTGCTTCTCCTTGCGCCATATCCAACAGGGATGCTCCGCTGCGATGAGTAATAGCTTCTTCCCGTGGACGAAGTAAACTGCAGACATCTGCGTGACCTGCTTGTGCAGCCAGCATCAGCGCTGTGTATCCATCTGCATTGGTCAGGCCAGCCTCGTCGTCCATTAGGATCTTTACAATGTCCGAGTATCCTCTGCTTGCCGCAATCATCAGGGCCGACAGTCCATTGTTAGCTTGGAGTCTTATCTGACGCTCTGCCAAGAGCTTGACAATCTCCAGATGGTTCCGACCGGCTGCAAGCATCAGCGACGTAAAGCCATCGTTGCGCTTAATGGCAAGGCAGTGAGGTATCAGAGCCTTCACGCAGTCCAGTTGCCCAAACTCAGCGGCAATATGGATAGCTGTTGATCCCGGTGCCGAAGATCTGGAGGATAGCTGAAGGCGGCTCTCCACCTTGGCCAGAATATTCACGGCCTCCACATGACCATTCGCGGCAGCAAACATGAGTGCTGAGCGCCCTTCGCTGGTCTGCTTACCGCCCTCATAGGGCAGTAGTAGTTGCACCACCTCGTGTCGCCCGTACTCGGCAGCTATCATCATCGCAGTTTTGCAAGTGGTCGTCTCACCAGACAATAGAAGCATACCTGCCTCTTCTGTAAAAAGCACACGGGCAGCATCGATAGAGTTTGCCTGAGCAGCAATCATTAGCGCCGTCCAGTCTGCTTTATTCCTCATCCCACGTTCTCTGCTCAGCAGGCACTCGCAGACAGACACCTTGTTATATTTAGCTGCTAACATCAGAGCTGTGTATCCATTGCGCCAGTCCATTGTTATCATCTTTGTCTTGGCCTCGTCCAAGAGGAGCTTCACGGCATCCAGGTGTCCCCGCTCTGCAGCGAACATCAGCGCAGTTTTATTATCAGCGTTTCGTGACCCGAGGTATCTAATATTGGCTTTGATGTCCAAAATCCGGTTCTCAACAGCGGCCAACATGAGTGGAGTGTTGTTTTGCACATTGAGGTCTGTGTCTTCATAGTCTGACAAAATCTTTGCTATTCCATGGTTACCTGCCAGCATTGCGAGTGTGTACGCCCGCTGATGGTCATTGCGCCGCATCCCAGCCTCATGGGCCACCAAAAGACGCGTCGCATATAGATTGCCGGTAGTAGCAGCAATCATTAGGGCAGTGGTGCCGTCCGTATTGTGGAGCCCAGCTTGGAAGCGCAAGCACCATGTCCGGAGTATGTCACCCTCTGCCACTGCCTTCATCAGCTCTGTCTCACGGTTATCAAGGCGTGAGTACTTGGAGATATCTATGCTCTCACTGGGCGCAAGCAGCTCTGCAACTTCTATGTTGTTATTCAAGAGAGCATATGTCAGGGCCTTGAGACCATTCGCCTCGATATTCGCCTCATATGGAATAAGTGCTTTCACGATGGTCTGGTTGTTGCTTTCTGCGGCATACATCAATGCAGTTTTGTTGTAGATGTCTATGCACCCAGCTTGGCTAGCAAAACAGATGACTGACATGGCGTCGCCTCTTTCTGCTGCTCTGATTAGGTCAGTGCGACGTTCCTGATCGATTTCGTTTGTGGCTCGTGGGCCCTCAATCGGAGCCAACAGCATGGCCATCTGGTAGTTTTCTCTATTAAACGCTAATTCAAAGGCCGTTTCTCCATACTCGGGGCCATGTGGATCTAGGAGTATTGGTATTCGGGCCTCTCTGGGCAGAAGCAGAGCTGCACACTCTGAATAGTTGTATAACACGGCCATGTGTAGTGCCGTATAGCCTTGGGTATTCCGGAGGCCCCACTCCACTTTGGAGGACTTAACCATATATTCCACTATGTGCTTATGGTTACGCTCCACGGCCATCATCAGCGCGGTCTTGTGCTGCTTGTCCTGGAAGTTCGCCTCCTCGTCTAAAAGAAGCATCGTTGCCTCAAGATGGCCTTGCCTTACAGCATACATAAGTGCTGTTCGGTTTTCGTGATCCCAGACCCGCTTATTGTAAGGAAGCAGGCGCTTAATGGCCTTTGCATGACCGGAGTGCGCTGCGATCATCAATGGGGTCAGTCCAGAGAGGGTGAGCTTCTTGATCTCTTTGTCCAGCAGATAGTTCATGCACAGGACGGAGTTCTGAGCAGCTGCATAGTGTAGAGCTGTCCACCCCTTTATGTCCTGCATTCCGGCCTCGTAGGCACTCAGAACATTTACTGCAAAAGGGTTTCCTTCGCAGCATGCCAGCATTGTCGGCGTTACATTATCCGAATTGCAGATGGAGTGCTCATAGGGAGCAAGTACTTGAACAGCATGAGCATTCTTCTTGAGTATGGCGAACATAAGCGCGGTGCGTTGATCATTAGACTGCATCTTTGCTTCATACTTCACCAAAAGCTCTATGCATGCATTGGCACCGGCTTCAGTTGCGTAGATAAGCGCCGTCTTGCCTTTCTTGCAGACCATTCTAGCCTCCATATCCAAAAGGATGCGACACACTCCATCCTTACCGGCTTGTGCAGCGTACATCAGCGCAGTCTTCCCAACCAAATCTTGCATGCCTACATCTTTCTTAAGGCGCCGCTTAACTTGCTTTATATCACCTTCCTCCGCGGCAAGCATTAGTGGCGTCCGCTGATAGTCAATTATCTCTGGCGGGGCCAGGCCCCGTTGTGTCCTTTCTCGCTCCCGTTCGCGCACGTACCGTCGCTCGTAAAGCTTGTGGACTTCCAAATTGTATTCCCGAATGGTCTTGTTGGCTTTGAGGCCGACCACTGAATTACGTCGCTTCTTGTTCGCAACCAGCATAGATCCCAGCACGCTGCGCAAGTCGTCGCTGTAGATAGCAGGCAGCTTACTAATATCGTCCGTGTGGTCCATCTGCTGAAGCATAAGCATTGATGAAACGTCTGTCGCCACGAACGGGGCCTGAAACGTACAGAGCTCGTAGATGATGCACCCTAGGGACCAGATGTCGCCTGTTTCATTTTCAGGTTCATTGGCTAGGGTCTCCGGGGACCTGTATGACTGCCGCTTCATATAGTTTTCATCAGCGATATACGAAGAGTCACTTTCGTCGCGAATGACCTTAAAATCCGATATGCGAACTTCGTTGTCTTCAGAAATAAGCACATTAGAGGGGGACAGATGCCTGTGAACGATCGCACCAATCCCTTGAGCGTTTCTTTTGTGGGGGTTATGAAGGTATGCAAGCCCCTCTATGAGTTGAGTCATGATGAGCCAGACCAGTTGTTCAGGGACATGGTCCTGCTCCTGCGCCCGCTTCCGTATGTATGCACCTAAATCTCCATGAGGATAATATTCCATTATGTAATGAACGGTCTTCGCGGCCTCGTCATCTATCACCTCGATGATCTGGGCCACAGAAGCATGCTCCACCTTCTTGAGGAGAGGCCATTCCTTTCGGGCCTGTTTGATAAGCTTACTTGAGATGTTTTCATAGCTAACGCTTCGACAGGCGTAAAGAGTGTCGTCGGTCTTATCAAAAACTTTGTGAACCTTTCCGTTGAAACCATTACTGATGCATTCACCGAATCTGTACTTCTCCAAAACCAAGGATGTAGCCATAATCTCGGAAATTTGTTTTTTGAATATTTTTCGATAGTCAATGTACAAAATTGCAGTGTTAAACGGGCGCTTGGCCTCCTCCGAGCTTTCAATTATGTATAGTCAGCTTGGCGGCTGTGCGTGTTTCCCTCTACAGTTCAATCCCCCCGATCTTCTCTGTCAGTATTGCCGCAAGCCCCTTGTCCTGCTTCTACAGCATATCTCTCCAGGCTCCACGGTAACCATACACAGGGTGACCTATACATTCATATGCAATAGCGTCCATTGTGTTGACACCGGTCTCGCCTTGACGGTGAACATTCCATACTGTTGGAAAGAAAAAGTCAACAGCCAAACCCAAACCCAAACCCACATAGCTCCGCAGCAATCTCTTCTGGAAGATGTAGGTAATGCATCTGCAGACCTGCTTGGTGCATTGAAAGGAGCATCGCTATCAGTCTCTGCTGCTCCCGAATCTAGTTCCGCGACTACTTCTTCAGCAACGGAACAAGACGGCATACCATATCTGAAGATCTGTAGTTCACTCCCAGCCTTCGACCTGCGCTCGTATCCAGTTGAACAAGAACAGGTGCAGCTTGCTTCAGGAGAACTTGAACGGGCAAAGATCAACAATGACCACGAAGATGAGACGGACGATGAACAGATTGATGGCACACCGATGGAAATATTGCAGCAGCTCCATCCGAAGGCCATGGTATTATATGGATACGACATGCCCCCACTGCTTCCTTCTAAAGACAGGCAAGCAGTGGTGGACCAAATAGACCCCACAAAGTATGTCCACGAGTGTGACATCTTTCCAACAGTTATAAGTGCCTTACAATTATATAAGCATGGGCCATCAGCAGACGATAGCGCCGAATTTCGCATGATCAGCGTCTGGGGTGCCAGATCAATGGAGCCAGGTGTTCACTTTGGGCGCGTACATGTTGTTCCAGAGGAAGAGATAAGGAACTACCTTGATTCAAATTGATTATGCCAGCGAACCTGACACTGCAGGAGTGTCCATATCTTGCTTGTCTTCTGAGTGTACCGCCGTGGAATCGGTAGGCGGTGCACACACCATTGAGCTCGCCATGCTTCCTGCGCTTATGCTGCTATATATGGTATCTCTCGTGACGCTGCTGTGCTCTCGGTCACTGAGGGGAGACCCTGTTGCAAGACTTGTTGTAGCGCCAGCAATAGCGAGTGCGACTCCAGTACATTGATTCTGTTTAGACGCAAGCTTTTTGGCCGCGTCGCCCCGTGGTAGCAAGAGCGGAGACATAGCTTTTGAGGGCAGTGGAGATACACACGCCACCGACGTATCTGTCTCAGCTCCAATTCTCTGCAGTTCTACCTGCTTCTTCAGCTCTCCCGGACTCTCCGGCACCGGGGTTCTGTGAGGAGACCAACGCAAATCCACTGCATACAAGCGCAGGCAAGCACAAAAGGACGTTATGCATAGAAGCATCATGATTACACACATGCATATAGTAAAGCACCCTGCTGTGACTAGGAGGAAGAAGGTCAGCGGGGATGGCCTGCTCTTGTTTGAAAAATATATCGCCCCGTCTCCCTCTTCCGTAATGGCAACAGTGGGCTGGTCTATCATCCAGTATCCGCAAACATTGAGCATGTCACCAGTTTCTAAAGTAAATAGTTTCGTCCAATCGCCCTCCCCCTCGGCGGTGGATAGATAAATTGGCTGTTCGGCGATAGCGTTTAGGACATCGTTCTTAGAAAGCTTTGACTGGACCGGACAGAGGTTATATCCGGACGAGTAGGATGTGCAGTGTTGGCCGAGAATGTCTAAGTAATCCAAACACGATGGGCCGCGGCTAGATCCTCTACCGGGCTGGGAGAAGTAGTTGAAGAGGACGACAACGCCTGGCTTCCGTCGCAAGTACACGTTCATTCCAGTACCTAGGGTCCCAGTACTCTCGTAGCGTACGTCGTCTCGGGTTAGAGGAGCCAGATGAGGCGGCCGGTAGGGTTGGGATTCCATGCTAACAACGATGTCCCCGTCTTCGTCCGCAACAACCAGAACCAGGCGAAAGCCGCCATCCTCGTCCTCCCGCTTTCGGAGGGTCGCTGTGTAGGTTGATGAGAAAAGCTTGCTGACGACATCAAAGTCATCTATGTCTCCCAGGGCTCTTGCCCAGTAGCCAGTAGTGGCAGGTCCTGGCTGAAGAAACCGAATAAGCGCTAGGTTAAGCCGTCCAAACTGTGAAGACAGGGCATGAGAAAGCAGCGTAGATAGCACGTTGTGCTCGGGGAAAATTCCATCGAAAAAACCGAGACAGTGCCCCGACCCTCTTGTGGAACGAACTGGTAAATCTGTACGGAGAACCCTCTTAATTTCTAGGTCATAGAGCACGTACAGTATCGCGATCGCTTCCGTAGACAGCACTGAAGTTTGCTCCGCCGGAGGCACGCAGAACAAAGTTTGCTCTGCACTTGCTGGACAGCTATCATCGGCAAGGGAAAAAGTGTAAGAACTGTACGAGTACACGGGGAAAATAGCTGGAGTGAGCTCATTATGAAGGACCTGCTCAGTAGTGTCCGCGGAGCTGGGAGAATCCAAAGACCGTATTGTGACACGCACATCACCGCCCATAAAAGCCTCCTTTGGAAGGTAAATCTTACAGAATCCGTCTGCGTATGTACTAGTGAACTCCGTGACATCTAGTCCAGGGCAATTCTGTGGAGATACATATGAATAAATGTGGTCTTTCTCACGTCCCATTGAAATTTCCAGAAACGCTAAGAGCTGCAGAGTGAGCATTGTATTTTCATGTTCATGTGTTTCCGTACTGTTTCCACTTGTTTAAATAATTATGCACGACACATGAATCCAAGACAGGGGTACAAAAAAGTCGTTACAAACGTAATTATGGAGGACCAGGAAGTGATGGACGGCTGGTTCGATGCTGCCACAGCTGGTAATACCGAATATCTGGAGGAGAATCTTGATCTATTGGGTGGCTCGACAACCGAGACCGGCTGCAGTGGCTTGATTCGCGCAATCTATGCACATAAGCTGGCGTCTGTGGAGATACTTGCTGCGCGTGAGTACAAGATACCCGACGTTTCGAACAAGTACCCAGTAGAGATCGCGCTAAAGCTGTACTACTACGATGCCTGCTTCATCCTTCTAATGCTTCACCCAGACAAATCGTTTGAGAACAGGGTGAAGAGGCTCAAGGAGCAGCACGACTCAGACGCCATTACTAAGAAAGAGCTGAATGAGAGGCTCGGTGAACTGACCGAGGAATTTGTTATTGGGATACGAGATTGTACGCTGTCGCCAGGGTACGTCTCTCGCGTGCCATCTGTTGCCTCTGAAGATGTGTGTCTCGTTTTCGAGGAGCAGCCTGTGCAACGCCCCCTTCTAGATACGAGCAACGACTGTGTGAAGAAGGAGACTGAAAAACAGAAAGCTCTCAAAGACGTTGAGGATGCCAATGGACGAGACACCGGCAATCAGGACGTCGCTAATAAAGGAAACCCTGATGAAGAGGAGAGTACCCCCAGTAGCGAGGAAAAAGAAGAGAAAAAGTTGGTAGACAGTGAGCATAGTACAGAAGACTCGGACGAAGAGGCGTCCAAGAAGGGCAAAACCCCAAGTCCAAAGAAGGGATGCTGTCGATGCCTGTAAGGTCACCTTGCTCTTAATTTCCGAAGGCTGTTTTTCGCAGGACTGTTCTGCTTCCCGGTAAATATGTCACAGACCGTGTTGATGCAATGTCATATACATCCTGGCGCACAATCCGCGTTGCATTGAGTGCTATAGCCACGGCGTCCGCCGTATCCACCGAGGAAACCCCGTTATAGGCTGTTAATGAATCCAGCACTTGTGTATGGAGGTCGCTGCACGCATGAAGGTATGACCTGGGGCCTATGTGTGATGGAATGACGGCAGAGTAGATAGCAGAGACCTGGGAGGCAAAGTCTCCGGCCAGAGCCTTGTCTATATAATCACGCCTATTTATGTCAGCCTGTAACATTTGCATACTGTAACAATCTCTCGCTATGCCTGATCCTGTATCAAAGCTGTTGGAAAATATCAAGTCATCTCGATAGGAGCACTCTTCACTGTACGCTTCGTTGAATCCTCCAAATGAGACTGACTGAAGATTGCTGAGCTGCAAGGGCTCACTGTCGTCTGGCTCAAGATATCTATCTACTTCCGTGAGGAGACTTTGATAAATATCAATGGGATAATCTTGCAGGTCAGTAGATAGAGCTGACGTATCTCCATTGAGATCTTCGGTAAATCTGTCGAAGCTTAAGTCCTGCTGTAATTCATCTCCTCCTACGGATATACTTCTCCGCATATTAGGCAGTGTTATCTCCGGAGGATCAAATGGTGTACTTGTAGCACTGGAACCATCCTTGGTGGAATCTTCTGCTTGTGACACCGCTGTATCTTGCCTAGTAACCAGCTCTGTGGTAAAGAGAGGATCGGCTTCCAGGGCCAAACGTGTGAATCTGGCTATCCGGGACATAACGCCACCAGGTGCGTAATTCCCCACTTCATAGTCCTTGAGTTCCGAGACCAAAGCTGTTATATCGCTCTGGGATAAGTATAGTCTATCTTGGCCTTTTGAGACGATTGTACTGAGACCAGAACTGCTTTGGCTTGAGCTTACTTCACAAAGATGCGGAGCGAAGATAGAAACAAAGTTACAGAACCCCATACGCTGCGAGGGATGTGCTGAGCTGTATGCACTGCGCACGTCATCTCCAGAGATGAAAATCTCTATTACGTGGCGCCTGTTGGGTCTGTTTTCGTTCGCCAATATGTTAGGAAAGTCTGCATTCAGAAGGGAAAGAGGCTCGCAGCCCACTTGCTCGAACATTGCGGCTAGTGCATAAAGGATCTGTGCTTCTATGGCGCACCTCTCCTCAGACTCTGCATTGCTGTTTCTGGCATCGACCTCATTGAACTCATCTGCTCGAGCGCGCCGCACATCTGCCAACCATGCTCGAACAGATCTGTTTTCCTTCAGAGTCGGGCTTGAGGCACGCACGGGTTTGTCGCCGGCATCGAGCATGAGTGGAAGTCCCATCGAATAACAGGAGCGTGTTACTGCAGCACATGCAAGGGTGTAATCTACGTTCTCACGTGTTGCAATGCAGTTAGCGAGATAGGACAGTTGGGCAAGCGCTGTATTCTTCAGCTCCATGTGTTTGCTGACATGCTTAATGTACTCTAAACAAGTGGGAGATCTGTGAGCCAGGAAATGTCCATTTGAGTCGTCCAGCTTGATCAGCCCCTTTTCTGCTTCCGTCTCCAAGAGTGTCGGCCTGAATAGTTTGTTGAGCTCTTTGCGGTAGTTTTTCAAATGCTGTGTAGAGGCCACGTGCTCAGCATAACTGTCAAAGTCGATGTTCCCGCAAACTGTGCATCGCCCGGAGGAGTCACCTACGCTTCTCTGCTCAAATTTTTCCTTAACAGATTCGAACTTTTGCTTAGCCCTGTGCGTGAAATCGTCCTGGAAGCCAGAATCCCTCAACATTAAGGACTCAGCGAACGCCATAAGCAACTCGTATGTTGTGCACCACCTTCCTGTAGGCTTAATAAGGAGTGGATTGGAGAGTGACTCACCACCATGATCTCCAATGGGTCGTACAATAATATATTCTGCGTGCGGAAGGGTTGCAAGACAGTCAATGGAAAACCCGTTTGATTGCCTGTAGAAGACCCCAGTAGAATTTTCGCATATGTGCGGGATCTCCATGGGAGGGTCAAACATATCGTTGTACACCGCACTAAGGAGGCCACATGCTGTGGAGAAGTCTATGGCTTTATAATCATTAAGAAGGTAGCTGTCAAAAATCCCGCCTCCCACCGTGAACTCGTTATATTCGTCCCAGTCGAGTAGGTACAGAGGATCCTTGATGCCCTGAGCAATTGACAAATCAGCGTATGGCTTAAGACCGACGAACCTAGTTTGCAACTGCTTTGTTAGCTCGTGACATTGAGAAGAAAAACAGTCCGATTCTGACGCTGGAAAACCAAAGTCGGTTGGAGCCGCAAGGTGGATCTTGGATGCGCGAATCTCAGCTGTCGTTGCATGGATTGTGTCCCGGACAGCGCGGGCCTGGGAAATCGCGCTCATGTAAAGCTTGGCAAGAAGTGCAGTGGCAATTCCATAAACATCCTCCTTGTCCATGTAGAACTCGGCAAGATCTCTGGCAGAATTGCGGACGTGGTGCTTGTTGGGGGTTAGGCTGTTGAGGGGATAGTATGGAGTTCCTCTGATAATGAGCTGAGGAACAACAGAGTAGTACGGTTGGCTCGGATATTGCGGCCTGCAGTCGTTGATGTAAAACCATGGGGAGGTGGGATCGTCGCAAGGAGGAGGAAGGTTCTGTATTGGCATGTAAATATTCCCACTCAGAAGCTCGTGAACGTGGATCTGACTTGTGGGGATGGGCGTGTCCAGTGTGTGGACTTTGGTAAATTTCGGCGCATATCTGTGCGCCATGTCCTGAATGGCGAACTGGATTGTCGATACATATGGTCCATCAACTTCGTCTGTGGAGCAATCTGTAGAGCTATCCTGGGACGACATCTATCTGCAATGCTAGTTCAAGAAGATTCGTTGCCATTTCAATTACAATGGCAATACTAACAGAAGAGATGCGTCGAGTACCCATTGCTCTAAAACGGGTATGACTACACAGAGGAGATTGCGCGCTCTGAGTTGGCTCCACCCTGTCAACGAACACATTGACAACTCTACAGATTTAATAGCTGTTACCGTCCTTTCTCTCGCTTGTAAATCTGTAGACTCAAGCAGCGCGATAGTTAGTCCTTAAGGCAGACTTATAATAACATACGATGAACGTAACTGAACATTACAAAATAATTATCTTAGTTTTAAAATAACAGGAATGGCCCCTTCTTTGGCCTGGATAGTTACCCAGTTACTGTCAGGAGCCTGTGGGTACGGGCTTGCCGAAAATTGACCAGGAACTGCTTAAAATTAATAATCTTTCCACAATGATATTGGCACTACTGCACACGCTGTTATTACTCATCAGATCAGCGTATCTTAGTACAGAGTCAAAAATTGTCCTCGACGTTATCTCTGTGTCAGACACTCACGGCTGGATTTACGGCCACAGACATCTACCAGAATATGGAGATTATGGCACGCTTCTTTCTTACATAGAGCGCACAAGACAAAAAGCTTTGGAGTCCGAAGGTCGATCTGTGTTAGCAGTAGATGCGGGGGATCTGGTAGAGGGAACAGGGCTTAGTGATCTCACAAAAGTTAAGGGAGAAAAGATACTGGAGGCGGCATCCTATATTGGCTTCGACCTACAGACGATAGGGAACCACGAATCATACTATAAGGAGACAACAGATTACATACACAGCAAGGTTGAAGCCCTCTTCGGTGACAGATATATAACCACCAATGTTTTTATGCGCGATACGAACGTGCCAGTCGGAAGCGGAAGATATAAGTATCTCGTTCTTCCTACTGGACTCCGGGTTCTCATGCTTGGCTTTCTATTCCACACCAGCCCATATGACGGGGTCTACACTATCCCTGCGAGGGAGGCCATTGCATCCCAGGAGATCACCGGTGTCCTTGAGAAGTATAAGTACCAAACGGATCTGCTAGTCCTCGCATGTCATATACCGACATATGACCTGGAGATATCCGAAATAGTTACAGAACTGCGTGCGTTTTATAACCAAATCAATTATACCATTCCGATAATAATTATTGCCGGTCACTACCACCAAATTAAGAACACGTATTGCATGGACGGTCAGGACAAGCAGTGCTACATTGTCGAGGGTGGGTGTTATCTGCGCTTTATGCAGCACGTTACCTATGAGTTCAAGCCCATGACTTATAGCCATGAAGGGAATACGTATACAGGATACCAGTTTTCCTCCGTAGACTACTCTTTACCCTACAACTTTACGTCCGAGAGTTTGGCAAAGAGATTCAACCTTACTACGGAAACGTTCATGACTGAGAACGGGGCCATCCTCTCGAATAAGATTGCCGGGTGGGTGGCAGATCTAAACCTGACAGCCTTTATTGGCTATAACAAGCACTACTACAGCATGTTCAAGAACGCTACAGATCAAGATTCTATCTTTAACCTGTGGCTCAATGGAGCAATTCCTGCGGTGTTCTATCCTACAAGGTCTACTCCGTGCCTCCCTTTTCCAACGATTTCTTCTGGGACGGCCAGGTATGATTTTTTTCCTGGGAACGTCACTAGAGATGATTGCATTGCAATCCAGCCCTCTTGGCAAACCATGTCGACGATTCGTGGGCTAACAGCCAACCTGATTGCGTGTCTCTTTTCAGTGAAGAATGGGCTTGCAGAAACCATGTATCCCCTTCCAGAAGGTCTATTTGATTGGGAGGACCCCCACCTTATCAATTACCAGACAACTTTGGACCCTTTTACCTTAAACCCAAATAAGTGCTACGACTTGCTAACGACCATAAAAAGCGCAGAGAGCTTTCTTGCTCTGTTACAGGAAGGAGGAGCTTGCTATGAAGAGGGATCCGGTCCATACTCTGTTTCTCCCTACTATGATCAGAATGGACAAGAGGTTAATGCAATCGACGTTCTTCTCAAGTACGTCGAGATGTACATGCCGAATTTGGATGTCGTCTCTCCTTATATTCTGACCCACGATCTCCATCAAGCAGACAAAGACTTTATGATGATGATGGGGACAATATCCTTCGCAATATATATTACGCTAATTATGGTTGCATTAATAAGCTTCTGCATTAAGCCACCAGTCAAGACTGTCTCTGCACACAGACGCTCCGTGGACAGAACTCAGAGTAGCAGCGAATCCAATCCTTCCATCTCATTCTTTGATACACAGGATAGTTTAAGTAATTCTGATATTATCACTTAGTGCACTATCGTTTTATGTAAACGTATTAGCTGTAGTGGGCTTCATACAGATGGTGCTTCTTTATGTAGGCCATGATACTGAAAGGCACGTATCGTGCGAGCTTCTTCATGGCAACGTCTGTTTCGTCAGGCAATCCAAAGCCGCTGAATGTCGATGAGCTGTCAGCACAATATGCTCTTACATCGGAGCTGCTGCAATCCAGAGAAACGTCTGGTAGGAAGAATAGCTGCCCATTCTCCTTTGCATGGTGTAACAAAGGGTGCTCGAGGATCTTTCTGAAAAGCTCACAGGTCTCTATTGACCCTGTTCCGAGGTTCCGCGGCGCTACAAGAAGCTTGCAGATGTGAAAGATCTTCTCTATGCTGGACGCCGGCCATACCGCTGTATTGGTCATAGACTCCACTAAGTCAGCTCCACACAGAAAGTACATGTTCTTGTCCGGATATCCCTCCTTCAGATGGCACAAGACATCATATGTGGGCGTAAAGCTCTGCTGGATTAAAGCCTCGTAGGTATTGATCTCGATGAGGTCTTGATACCTGCTATCTTCAATGGCAAGCTCCAACATCCGGATGCGGTTCTTGGCGGGAGCAAGCTTCTTCCAAGGGTAGCTGTCGTGAACCGGTGAAATCAGGACCCGGTAGGTCCCTGCTTCTAGCAAAGTTCCATCGTCGCAGGTGAGATTGTTGATAAAATCTATTGCTTTGTCTATAATAGATATATGGGCTTTTGTTACTGGATTGAAGGACCCACAGAAGATTATGAGGGCTGTCATTTTATTTTCTTTGGGGCGTTCCCTGCTCAGGGTACATGCAGGGAAACTCCTGGCTAGTAAATAATTTCGTAAGGACTTTGCACTGCTGTCCGTAGATAGCTATTAAAGACGAAAGAGTTTACGGCTTACTTGAGCACTAAATAAATGTGCCCTGCTTGGGTGTTCTTCGGAATTCTTTCTGTGGCCGTAGGAAGCAGGCATTCATTCCATGAAATTACAATTGGGGACAATCTTCCCAGATGCAGCAACATTGATCTCGTGTACACATGGGTAAATGGATCTGCAGGCCATCACGCACCGATCCAAAAACTGGACACCCTGAATGCGGAGGGCATTCACCGTTTCAGGAATATGGATGAACTCTACTATTCCCTGCGGGGTGTAGAACGGTACATGCCTTACATAAGACGAGTCTTCATTGTCACTAACGGCGAGAGAATTTCCTGGTTGAAGTCCTCAGAGTGGAAGGTGCCCATCGAATATGTTTATCACAAAACCATCATTCCCCCCTCAGACCACATTTCGAGAAATTCGCTCGCCATCGAAAGCTTCCTGCACCGTATACCTGGGTTGTCAGAATTTTATGTTTATCTAAACGACGATTGTCTCATAACCAACTACATAGACCCCAAGTTGTTGTTTGACGGACCGGTGGTGCCTAACAGGAACGGCTGTTACGTGCTGGATCCTCACGGGTCCTACAGGAGCATTTTTCCTGTAGAGCGCCGTAACGCCCCTGGAATCCAGCAGTACGGGCAGTATAAAAGAAAGTGCGGGCACTACTTTGCCATCCAAAACTCCAACCTTTTAGTTAATGTGATGCTGGGGTCCGACGTAACACGTCAGTACCCCAAACACTCCTTTGTCACCTTCAGGAGGTCTGTAATGGAGAGCCTGGAGATAGTCTTGAAAAGGAATGCGAAGGACCCTGTCCGGACAAAACGTTCAATAAGCGTGATTAACACAGAGGGCTACCTGGCGGCTAACAACTACTTTCCAGGGTGGTATAAGCAACTAGACTTCGACAGTGGAGGCCTGTTTGCATATGTTCCTCTTAAGAACAACCAGTCACTGTCCGTGCTGTGCAACGAGCTGGACAGAAGGCCATTGACTCTATGCATTAACGACATTCTCGATAGGGCGTTCGAGGACAATACGGTCTTGGTGCCATTCATCAGCACATTGCACAAAATTTTAAACGATTTCTTTCAGACCGACTCTCCCCATGTCAGATAAACCAATGGACCCGGGGCTTTTCAGCCTCAACACATTATGCCGGAAGATTGCTAAAGTTGTTCCTCCAGAGAATGTCATTCCGCGGAATATCGAGGACCCTACATCGACAATACTCCTCCGAAGCCGACTAAAGTCAATTAGAGAGGGGAAGGAGGATGTGATTTCTCGGGCAAGATACTTCCGCCGAGGAGTCTCTTGTGGATATGACCCTAGGAATTCTGCTCCAAGTTCTTGTTTAAATCGTGGAGCACCACAATCTCACCTACATACTGAGCCTTTGATAGGCACCTGTCCACAGAATCAGCGGTCTCACAGCGAGGATAGCACTCTTTACTCATCCTCTCATTTCACTGAAGACCCAGTAGAATTCTCTGAAGAAACAAGCAAATTTGCCCAGGCCCTGATGTACCCTGGTGCCTTTGCCAATGAAGAGGAGGAGTTAGCTCTTCTGACTGCAGCCGTAAGCCGTCACAGGGTGGCTCGCGAAGGGGTTAGTCAAAAGGGGATAAAATCGCTTCCCCCACTGAGCACAGACAGAAAGCTAATCCTAACCATGGATAACATTGAGCGTGGCCGGACAGCTTCTGAAGCTCAGAGAACCCTCTCGAACTGTCTTTTCCGCTTTCCAAAATAATCTGTAGCCAAAGGGCCGATGGTCGATCCCAACACGGGGCTACAGAGCTCCCAGGTCCTAAGCAAGCTATGGGATAGAGAGCAATCAAACGAGCAGCTCAAGAGTGTTTTGAGGCTTATTTCTGTAACCGATTGTCCATTGGGAAAATTGACCGAAAACCCCCGCACAACCCCCTCGACAGCAAAGCAGAAGCTTAGACAACGCCATATCAAAGCTGTCCTTGGGGAGTTCATTCTCCACAACGAAGTCTTTCACATTGTACTGGGACTCTTTTTAAGTATGTTAGGTTTGATATTCGAGTTATCCTCTAGTGGCTCGAGTATGAACATGTTCAATTTCATCGCGTTGACAATATATCTTCCAATTTTCCTGGGCTCTAATGTCATGAGTACCAGGGTAGCTTCCTCGGCACCAACCTCTAAACAAAACAGCGGCGGTAGATTTTTTCGCGTTTGCCCGCTAAAAGATCTCATGCTACAGTCCAAAGACCAGGCCGTCCCAATGACAGGCTCCAAGGAGGCCTTCTTGCCTGCGACTGCCGTGGATCGGACAGCCGGTCCACTTATTTCAGAAGATACTCTGCCAGTACCAGATGCATCACGATCCCAGCACAAGTCGTCACGGACTGCCGAAGACAGCACTTCTTTAACCCTAGAGGCTGCTCCTATCTACACTCAAGTCCTGGACTTTCAAGCGTGGAAGCCCATGCGGCTCCAGAAGCACATCGCTAGCTTGGTTGATATGGAGGCAGACTTGCGCAGGTTTGTCTTAAAGTCCTTTAGTTCATTCTTGGCCAAAATTAGAAATATCGCCTTTCCTAATTATCTAGTCATCAGAGATGGGGAGTTCATGGTTATCGAGGCATGTAACTTAGTGGTTGGAGACGTGCTTGTCCTCGCAGAGGGTCAGATTGTGCCGTGTGATTGTACCATATTGCCTACATATTTTACGCAAGCACATTCGCTTTCTATGCATTTGCCAGAGTATCAGATGTGCTATCCTGCATTTCCCGTTGATGTGTCTAACAAGCTACGACCATTCTGCCCAGAGGCTGTTTCGTATGGGTTAGCCAGGAAGCAACCCCTCGTTTACTGTACATTTCCTACCAGCACGGCTGCAAACATTATCGCTCACTATAAGATCTACTCACTTTATTCCACTCTATGCAAGTCTAGAGCAAAGAGTGTCCGACATGTTCAGAAGGCAAAAAGAATTTACTCTGCAGGCATCGGTTCCACTCTTCACACCGCATCTTTACCTCATCAAGACACTAGTGAAGAGCTGACATCCTCGCGCCTCTATAGGTCTCGGCGAGAACGTGCAGATTCCAGCAATCCTTTGTTAGAGTCTAATTTTAGTGGGAGAGGCCAGTCTATGCATGCAAATTCCATCGTGGATGACGCTTTGTCTTTCTATGTTAATAAGCTAGGGTTGCAGGATTCAGTCCAGAGCTCGTTGCTGCTCTGTGGACAGAAGATACTGCAAATAAAGAACCCGTTGCCAATTACTCTTGAAAACGTATCCATATCTACGATTGTCTCGGCATTCTTTGCACGTGTTCATGCAAACTGTCAGACCGAGACCACGGAGTTTTCTGCAGAAAAGTTTGCCAGACTGTCCTCCCTTTGTATGAAGGTTCTTATTGACGAACTAGGCGCACGGAAGACGTCTTCTTCATCTGTGAGCATTGCTGTGACTAGGGGCATTCGAGTATGTGTGACTGCTCTTGGGAAAGATACTTCAGTTTTTCAGCGATCTGAGCGCCTCCTTTCTGATCTGCAGCAGTCTCTTGACTTTCCAGCACGCCCTAATCATAGTTTACGTAGGAGTCTCAGGCGTTCAAAGCTGCCCAAGCCTAATGTGTCTAGTCCTGCTACCCTCATTGAAGGAAAGGAAGCATTGACCGAGACTATTTCCATGCCGGCATCATTTCTATCGTCAACTCTTTCTATGCAAAATTTTTTCCGCGTTATATCGATAATTTCTCTCTGGGTATCTGTTTTTCTTATCATCATTCCTGTTTTGCCTCGTCTCGCTCTATCCTCAGAATTGCGACGTCAGTATGTCAGCTACTGGGATCCGGCACAATCTGATCAGTTAGCTCTGTTCGCTATTGGGTTCATCCCTTCGGTTTGTGCGGCTCTGACATTTGGCCTTGTCTCTGGTCTGTTTCTTCATCGCAATACGGTCGCTCTACGCCCGATCATTTCTGTCTCTTCGAAGCATCTCTCGAGCCTTGTCCAACGTAATGTGCACATCCACACCCTTGGGGCGCTTGAGGCGATTGGCTTCACTAACGCTCTTGTGATCGACGAGTCTCTCTTGGTCAATATCTCGGGCTCCCAGGTCCATGAAGATGCTCCAGGCTTTTGGGGCCCGGTTGCGATGAACCTCTCCTTCATTTATGTGGCTGGTGAAAATACAACTCATAGGCTATATCTAGACGAGGAGATCCGCCTTCAAGGGTCTATCCTTGCTCAGGATATTGTCACCCCGCTTTGGCCTTCCATCTTCAGATACCTTGTGCAGGTGAATGCCGTCACAGGGCAGTATGTCATTATCGGCGCGCGCAGAAGGTTCCATGGAAGTTACGCCCTTCAGCACTCCGCAGGCGTCGTAGAATCGACTGAGCAGATTGACCACTCTCATCAGTTTAGCTTTTATGAGGGGCAACATGCTGACATTACTTTTGCTCAAACCCCCAAGGTACCCAAGCAATCTAGGCGGTTGTACGACACGCTCTTGTGCCTGATGCGCTTTTTGGCCTGCGTAACAATGGGCCCAGCTGACGTCGCTCATGCTCTCAAGAACTCTACCACAGAGCAGACAATTTTCACCCCAGACTATGCCTTTGAGATCGTTGCCTTTGACTCCGAATCTACATCGTCCCGCTCCCCTTCTCGTGAATGCTCCTTTCACGAACAAAAGGATCCCCTGTACGCTACCACCAACCGTCGTACCCGCACAAGCACTTCTTCAGAAGCAAGCCTTGCAAAGCCGTCTCCCACGTTTGTAGAGCTTTCTTTATCTCGGCCAATCAGGCCGGACGTTATCACTAGTAGCTATTTCTCAGGGTTTGAGGAATACCTGTGCAAATACCTGACCATGAATCAAGCGCGGACCTTGAGGAGCATACGAACCTCACGATACTCAGCTACTGTACGGAAGTATGGGCGCCTCATTACTCCAGGGTGTCTCCAGGACTCTCATCTTAGTGTTGCACAAATACATCCGCTTGTAACTTATCCTCTGTGCGTCTATCTTGTGTATATAGAGAGACAGGCTCCAGTTATTGTGGTGAAGTCATCCAGTCCGGAGGACCTTATTTCAGTGTGCAAATACACAATAGCAGATGACCTGGGCTCAACGATTGCAGGCGACCATCACTTTTTTACACTAGCAGCGGACAGTGACCACATTCTCTTCTACTACAGAAGAATGGATGACGCTAGGCGTCAACTAGCCACTCAGCAAATCAATAAATTAGGAGCAACGTGTCACGAGCTTGTGCTATATGCTATGTCAGCCTTGCATGTCGCGAATATGGATTTATCCGATCTTTCGAGAGAGACAATCCCTGCTCTGGATCTCATCTATATTGGCGCAATGGGTTTTCACGCTACCCAGAAACATGCTCCTACTGCATTCATTTCCCGTTTCACAGACCTGTCCAATGGGGCAAACTTGATAATAACGACACGGCGGTCTTCAAATGCTGGTCAGCAGCATGCAGCTTTTGGGCTTTGCAGGCCTAAGGAGATGTGTGCAAATCCTCTGACTGACGTACAGACACTTCTTAGTGCACTGAATCTAACCGTACAGACGAATGCCAGCCATGGCAGAAATAATCTTGGAGAAGTAAGAGACTCTGATTGGAACACGTCGAATGCTGAGGCAGACAAACCCTGTCATGATATTAGTTTGCCCACTGTAGAGCTTAGACCGAAGAAGCCTAAAGGTTCTAACCAAAAGCAGCCAATTGTCGTTCCCCCCTTGACCGCTCAAACAAGGCGTTGCTTTGTTACAACTGATCTGAAGGCAGTTAGCTTGTATACCCTCAGCAGAATCCACGACAACAACGGAAAACTACTATTGTCATCGAGGCCCAACAGAAGACACAATAAGTCATATGTTCACCTACAGCGGAAGCGAGCCGATATGTTGGATGATTGGAGGGCTGTAACAGCAGATGAGCATTTTGACTGTGTGTCTCGCTATCCACTTGTTCTATCAGATGCAGAAGAGGAGCAGAATTCTACCCAACAAGATACAAGGGTATTTCATGCACGTCGCACCCAGCATGCTAAGTACCATCACAGATCTGCTCAGCTGGCGCAGAACAGACAAATATATGCACAGCTTAAGGCTACGTCTAGTGAGCTGAATATTTCTGATGAATCTTTTGTTTCAGATGAGACTCAAGTGCATAGTCTAAGACCCCGTAGGCAAGATGCTACAATCTCCAGCATAGATTGTACGCTTGGATACCCTATTATTGCACCGCAACAGACTTGGAAGGCCGTTGAGCACTTTATGGCAACAGCTCAACGATTTTACAATCCTCCTAAAAGAACCCATTACAGGGCTCCCATTCGAGAGGGAGAGCTACTCGGTGAGCATCTGCCGAATGTATTTGTAATACCCGAGAGTAACTCTGTAGATGTTGCGTCTGCACTCAGTAATGCAGGAGCGTTCGTGACCCTGGTCCTCCCATCTAGGCCCTCCTCGTATGCTTATACCATCGAAGAAGAAGATGTCTTCAAGGACAACACGACTGCAGCTACCCTGCTACAAACGGCAGGAGATTCTAAGACGGTTCCAAGCTACCTTTCCGTCTGTCGCAGTAACATCTCGTTTTCTCGGAAACCAGACTTTCTTATAATTGGCTATAGCCCAGGCTATGAGCCGAATCGTGGGAAGCAGCAGCTAGGTATTCCCAAGGAAAGTTATGTTCAACTCCGCCGCTTGCTAAGAGAGCGTATTTCTGTGGCATATACGTTTGGCCACCACGGTCTCCAGCACTTACGTGATGTGGCGTTAGAGGCCCCATATTTCTTCCTGTCAATGTTTCCTGCATTCATTGGTACTGTCCGCTCAAGCCTGCTGCAAGGAATCTTTCCCTTGACGCTGGCCCTGACTATTACCACCAATATCACGCTGGAGTGTATACTTTATAGGTATGAGATGATAAACATGGGACTGCGCCCTTGGTACTACCCGCCGACCACTGTAGGAATCATTCTGCTCACAAATGCCCTTGTCAACGATTTCATGATTCCTAAGGTACTTCAGTTCTCGCTCAGGTTCCACAGGAGACCTACACAGATAGAGGGCAAACTGCGGTCTAGATCCCTTTCACAGCATGATCCCTTAGTCAAGCAGATGATTAATCATATCCACAGAGCAGTCATACGAATGAAGGGCCGACACAATGCCCACAGCCTTCCGTCTGTGACTGCCTATACAAAGCAACCCCCCAGTAGGTACCACCTTAAAGCTTTGATGAATGTGGCGGAAAAGCTGTCCAAGAACCTTCGGACGTCGTCGCTTACTAGCTTCAGCCTCATCTTTATCGTTATCAGTGCCATAGCGCTCCTCCCGTCTATCAACTATCGGTATTACGGCACTACTGAGTTCTTTAAGCCTATGTATCTTGACAGGAACAACCTTTTTGTGTCCTCGCTCTCGCGTAAGTTTGTAATATTCGCAACTCTGCTTATGGTTCTCCTCTTTATGAGCTTTTCAATTGCAGCCTTTTTCATTGCTATACGGCTTCCGATCGTGAGAGGCATGGAAGGTTCCATGCATCGGTGCTTCAGGGTTCTTCACGTAGGGGTCTTCTTCGCCATTCAGTTCTTAGTCATCTACGCTGTTCTTCTTCTCCCTATCCGATTTCCAATCCTTAGCCTCTTAATCTCAGGGTTTACGATTTCAGAGGAGACCTCTGAGTTCTGGAATAGTGTCTTTTTGTCTGCCGGTATATCATGCCTAGTCCTCGTAGGCGTTATTTTGGAACAATCCGTCCCCATTCTGAACTAGCTGCAGATATGCCAAAAAATGATATGCAGTTACTGTTGCCAGTCTCCGGCTGACTACGTAACCTGTACAGCATGTGGCTCCACTGTTTGTAGTCTCTGTGCGCGCACAACTTCTCTTGAATACATTTGTCCTCGGTGCTTGTTTGGCACAAATCAGGGAGCTGGATTGGCCGTTTTTAATCTAGGAGAAAGACGGCTTCCCATGGCAAAAAAGGAGACCTTATGCCACTTGTGTGGTGCAACTATAGAAGAAAGGGCTCGCTGTGCAGTTTTGGAGCACTGTAAGAAGCACAAGCTTTGTCACGTATGCTGCAGCAATTCACAAGTAGTTCCGCTGACAGACATACCGTGTCCCGGTGCTATTCTTGCTGCAGCGGAGCCTGTTACGAGTATGGAACGGGCCATTGGACGGAAGATTACCCCTGAGCTTGTTACTCTTCTGCTTGACGATCCAGCGACTCCTGAGACCCGTGGACTGCACTCTTTAGATGAGCAAGCAGTTGCTTGTAAGATGTTTTTACCGTATGATCAATTGAAAGAACTGACAGCTGTGTGTAACGAGCTGGACCAAGCAAAAGCAAGGGGGTCTTCAGCTGAGGCCAAAGGCATCAGTATCCAGGACCCCAGGTCTTGGTCTGATACCTTAGTACTTGCTAGCACCCCGCAGAACGCTGATCTAGCGTGGCGTATATCTGCACTGCAAACCCAATGCGAGAAGATATACTATCATCCGCGAATGGCAAGCCTTACAACGCCAGAGGACGCGTGCATTCTTCCTTCAAATTTTGATAACGATGAACACCGGCAATCCATGAAGTCTGTGAAGATGGGTGCCTATGTGAAGTGCATCAAATTGGGTGCACCACCAAATACTTTGAGCGCTCTGTTACAACCAGGCGGCCAAACTCCAGAGGAGCTAGCAGACTTGGCGGGGATTCCGCTGCCCAATAGCGTACGGCTGTCTCCGACCCCCTGTCTCGTTGCACTCCGACAAAAATAGATGGCTCTGTACATAAGCAATCTTGAAGAGGATATAACAGGCGCCGTTTTGCTTACGTTTCTGAAAGATGCTGGCATTCCTGTAAACGATGTGTCTATTGCGAAGAACCAGAACGCCGAGCATCAATTTGTTCTCTCCTGTTCTCAAGACACAGCAGAGTTAATTATGAGGCTTAATCGGTGCTGCATCTATTACAGGGAGATGCAAATAATATCCACTGATGGTACACAAAAGGCCTCGAGAGCCTTTTTCAAGTCACTTGTTAACGGTACCGACGGGCCAAAGCCTGCGTCCATCGACTCTCTGCTGTCCCTGCTGAGGGAAGGGGGCGCGGTAGTTCACAGTAGCACCCCTGGAAGTGCCATAGGACTCACTCCAGAGGCCGTCATGGCCATCTACCAAAACTTCGGACCAATTCTGGCCCTGGTCTACCCTGCAGCCCAGGCTAAGCGAGGCATGTGGTACCTTGTCTACGCCACAGAAGCTGCAACAGACACCTTGTTAGCATCTCCACCGCTTTCTCTGGGGGGAGTAGTCATTACCTGGAAAAAAAGAAATCTTGCACAGCTCATTGACGTGCTCAATGACTCAACTGGAAATAAATGACATGGTATCTGTGGCATGTGCAGAGATGACTCGTGAATCCCTGATTTTGCAGAAGACAGATTTGCCAACGGCGTTCGCTGAACTCATAGACATGTTTCTTCGAATACGGCGAAGGATCTCCAAGCATGATAGTACTCTAAAGACAACGATCAGTAACCATAATGTAATCGTCGCTCACCTCTCTGCTCCCACTGCTCCTGACGACACTTTATTGAAGAGCTTAGAGGACGAGCTCAAGAGCCTCCAGGCCTCTTTGGACGAGACGGCCGAAGGAATAAAAACCTTACAGAAGGAGCAAGAGGCTCTCGCAGATGCGCGTGCACGCCATCGCGCTGAACAAGCTAACAAGCAGCGGAGAGATCGACAGAAGCTGACTGAAATGCGGTCGCTTTTGGTCTTCTATCGGAGCATAAGTAACGTTTATTGGGACGCAGATCATAGATGCTTCCTCCTGTTGCCGCACAAGGCCAAGCTCATCAAGTTCTCTGCACCAGATAACAAGTTCAGGCTTTCACAGAAGAATGACAGCGGAGAAGACATGTGCATTTGGGATTTACTTGATGATTAGCGTATACATGCTGTCTTTTATTCTATCCCCTGCATTGTCTAGATGTTTCCAAATTCCTTGAACCACTTCTCATACTTTTTTATTGCTGATTGGTCTACGGACGGCCTAGTCTTTTTAATGGCGTCCTCGAAATCCGAAAGCAGTACCACAAGCTTTTCTTTAAACTTTGGGTCACTATTCATCTGCTTGATCTCCTCAATGCTTTTGCCAGATATTTCTCTGCGGAGGGGTGCCATAGACACTTCTCTGACAAGGATGGAGATGTCTGCGCCAGAAAAACCTTCTAGGCGATTGGCTAAGTCGTCAAAATCAAGTTCTACGGTTGTTATGTCCTTTAAGTTGAGCTTCAAGAGTTGCTTCCGTGATTCAAAGTCTGGTAACGGTATATAGATGCGCTTTTCGAGGCGTCGCTTCAGAGCCTCATCTAAATCCCAAGGCAGGTTTGTCGCCGCTAGAGTCATGACGGGCTTGGGCTCTTGTTCAGCGAAGTCCCCATTTGCTCCATTACCTACTCCATTTGCTGTGGTAACACCTTGCATTTGAGTGAGTATCTCTGCCTTAATACGCCTGCTACACTCGTTGTCCTCACCACTTCCCCGTGCACTCATAATGGCGTCTATCTCATCTATGAAGATGCAGCTTGGAGCCCGCGCTCTAGCGATAGTGAAAAGACCCCTGACCATTTTCTCTGCCTCCCCCCTGTACTTGGACTCTATCACACTTGCAGACGCAGAAAAGAATGTGAACCCTGCCTGCATGGCTATCGCCTTGGCCAGAAGTGTTTTACCAGTTCCTGGGGGTCCAAATAGCAACACGCCCCGCCAAGGTGAACGTACACCTGTGAAAAAGTCCGGAAGCAGCATCGGCAGGACAACAGCCTCTTCGAGGAGTCGCTTTGCTTCGCTGAGACCAGCTATCTGGTCGAATGTGACCCCAGTAGATTCGACGATGCAATCGTGAACTGCTGCGGCAACATCAGGTGATATCCCCTCATATTGACATGCGCTTGGGGTGATATCTCGTGGAACAGGGACATTGCTTGCGTTGTTTGGCGCCGATGACGTTGGCGCCAGGTTTTGGGCTTGGGAATAGGTTGGGGCCCCACGTGGTGCTGGTGTTCTGTTGACCTGTGCCTGAGATCCCGGCTGGTTGCGTCCCTTTCTAACCGCAGGGGTGTTCTGAACTCCCATGTTGGACTGCCTCCTGGGTAACTGAGAGCGCTGTTGAGCAGCTACTGATCCCCGCGGTTTAGCTGGGGGCCCAAATCTATCCTCTTGCTCGTCAAAACATGGGATGCTGTTTGCAGGGGGAGCTGCCTTTTTAACCGGTTTTCTCTGCAAATCACTCAGTGAATTGGCTAACGTCATTACGCTAGCAACCTCCTGTTTTATTTGCTGCTTAATTTCTTGCCACCGCTCCTTCTCGGCCGAGGGTCCCAGTGTGTTGAGGTATCGATTTAACGATGCAATAAAGCCATCGTAGCAAGTCTGTGCCGGTGTATAGTTTCCCGATTGGACATAGTTCCGCGCTGAAATAAGGTCCTCGATACAGTCACCCAATGTTCGCATTTTAAAATGGAGCTCTACTTGGAGCTTTTGGATAGTACCTCCAGGGAGGCTTTGAGCCAAGCCTGTGCTCAGGCAGAAACATCTGAAGCAATACAGCCCGATGACACCCCTTCTGTGACAGAAGCGGCCATTGACTTAAAAGATTTGGATACAAGTACCGTTCCCATTAACACTCACAAGCCTTCTAATATGGGTGTTTCTAACCTTGTATCATCGTATAGTATTGCAAAGAGCCCAGCAGCATCGGCTCCTCCTTCCCTTTCTAGTGTCTCTCATATCTCCTCGGAATCTACCGCATCCCATGTTTCGGCAACATCCAAAACAGTCATGGAAGCATGGCTTTTCAGTAACACAGCGATAGCGGCCAGCGAGGCGGATACTGCTGATGTAGATGATCTCCTACTCACGCACACGAGCCAAGGAGATGACAGCTTGACTAGGTTATTCCCCACGCCACCTGTGGGTGAGCGTCAGCAAACAGCATCTGTAAGCGACAGAAAGGTGTCTAGATGCTACTCGTTGATGCAGCAATGGGAAATCATAATCACCAACTGGAAGGCACACAATAAAACGCTCCAACCTAACGATTACAGGGCCATTAAGGAGCTCGGCAGAGAAGGCATACCCGACTGTTATCGGCAAGATGTCTGGCCTCGGCTTTTGAACGCACAAAATCTTTACCAACAAAACGAGAAATATACAGATCGCTCCACATTTGGTGCGTACCTACAGCGAGAGATATGTAGTGAGGTAGTCACGCAGATAGGCAAAGATATAGATAGAACACTCCCCAAACATGTATACTTCAGGTCTCTCGAGGGGCGGCAGGCCCTGTTTCTCGTCCTCAAAGCATTTGCCTCCCATGACGAGGACATAACGTACTGCCAAGGCATGAATTGCCCGGCAGCAATTCTACTAATTTACATAAGAGATATACCGCTCGCGTTTTGGTGCTTCTACCGATTCATCAAGAGGTTTGGGAACATGTACCTTCCAAGCTTGTACGGACTTAAGCTCCGAGCACTCACCCTCATGCACCTTCTTCGAGAAATAGAACCAAAGATAGCAAGCTACTTACAGGAGGTAGGTATAGATTTGCTCTGCATCACTCCTGGATGGTTTATGACAGTGTTTAGTAACTGTTTGAAGTTTTCAGTTTCTCTACGCATCTTTGATTCTTTGTTGTGTGAGGGTGAGAAAGCTATCTTTAGAGCAGCTGTGGCCATCTTCAAAACAGCCGCCTCTGGGAGGATGTTACCCCGTCCTCCGAACCATCTGCATAACGAATTTTTAGCAACGTATGGCATGAAATGGCCATATCCATTAGACAGCCAAGCATATGCGCGGTATTTCGATGGCTGGATAGCCAACATCAGCAAACCCGGAGAGGTCTCGCTTCTCTGCATGCCGCTGACATATGCCCAGCTGTATCTCAACAGACTGCCCAGATATATGCCCGATGGACAAAAGTTCATGGAGCAGTGCCTTGCGGTGAAGTTCAAGACAAGGCTTCTTAACGAGTGCAGAGCAAGAGCTGCTGCTGAATTAGCGACCTCCGAACAAATGTGAATTATTATCTGTGAGGGTAGAGAAAGCTATGTCATCCCGCTTGAGGGTAGCGTATAGGTTTTCTTTGAGGTATGCTCGAAAGCCCTTGAATGAGCGTGAGGCCTCTGACAATCTATCTGAAATGGAGGCTGTAGGATCTTTGGCCTTGCTAGTGATCGCCTGCTCGTACTCCAAGTATGTGGTTGATACCGCCCTTGAGAGTGCCTGTTGGGTCTTTGCCGGACCAAGCACCTTGAAGCGTCCAAACGCAGGGTTTTTGCTGCGCACACCGGCAGAAATAATCTGTCTTACTTCATCTGCAAGCAGATTGAGCTCTGTCTTGGCATTCCTTGGGAGTAGATAAAATGGGGGAGGACAATTATATACCAATTCAATCGCCTCATTTATCAGTGCCTCTAACCGCTTGCGCTGAGGGAAAGGAGCGTCGTGTCTTAAAAGATTGAGCAGAATGGCCCGTGCTAAATCCATAATGTTTACATCCGCGGGAAGCACCAAACCTCCTTCCTCAAGTGCACTGCTAAGCCGAGGGATATACCACGGAAGGAGGATCTGTAGCTCCATCTCTGGTGCCACGCGGCGATGGTTTACTTGGGCTGGTGCGCCTTCTCCCATCACTTTATAAAAAAGCCCTTTAGCACATAGTAATGCGGCTCCACGTCTATCTGGGGGACGGATTTAGTTTCTATGTTGAGGTGCAGCCCTTAGATAGCATAGAGCAGCTCTCACAGTGCATCGAGCAAGAGACAAACGCCCTCTTCGACGTTGTTGAATCGAGGGACGAATACATATCTATACTCGGCTTGAAAGACGGCTTTTTCAATGACCTACTTCCTAATAACACTGTGGCAGACATATTTACGGCGGATGACGTGGTCTTTCCGACGCTGGACCTTACTCGTTCCTCTGATGCGGAGATCTTGGAAAACAGGGCCACAAGTGACAAGAAGTATTCCCTGTCCATTCTCTCGCTGATGCCGAAGGAGTCATCTATCATGCACACTGCCATATCGAAGACAGTTTCTGAGAGAGAACGTCAGAGACTTCTTCAGGAGTCCCGGACCTGTCCCTCATCCTCCGAAACCAACCGCAGCATCGTGGTGACGAAGGAGGGGGGCACGCGGTCATCTGGTGTGAACAATATGGGGACTGCGGGGGACATCGGAGACTTGTTACACGTGTCTCATTTGTATCACAGCAAGGCCTCAGCAGAAGACACTACAGGGGTTGGTTCCTCTCAGAACGCAACGAGTTCACTCACGGGGGGATACTCTGGAAGTGCAGCAGGCAGAGAGTGCTCTTCACAGCACAAGTATGGCAATTTTGCCCACTCTTCGTCCGACTACTTAAGCTCCCGATCAATTGACAGGTGTCACCCCTACTGCACTCCGTTGTCAGAGTTCGGAGACAACAGGTCAATCTGCCCCATTTGCAATGAAATAAAAGCATATCGTGCTTCTGCAGGGCCCCACTGCACTCCCTTCTGCAAGAGTGGAGAAACACAGAAATCTAAGTCAAGTGGGCTAGAGTTCTGCTCTGTATGCATGTCACGTTACAGAGCGCAGAAGTATACAAAAGGTGCCCTCCATCAGTGTGCGCAATGTCATCGCCCGTGGTTACGTCTAAACATTAAAGGTATCTGTCGCACATGCCACTTGAGCGACGACGCGTCGTCCCACGTTCCTTTCCAGCCTTATGTTGTGCCTCTGGACAATTGGATAGACCGTGGCTAAGTAAGGACTTAACTCGCTCACGCATGAGCCCTAAGTCGTTGTGGGGTTGCATGACTGCTGCTCATAAGCAGCTTATCCAACTGCACTTGTGCGACGCGCGAACGGTGCTTAGCTCTCTCTAAGCGCTCTCTGGCCTCTATGATAAGATTCTTATCTTGCACGGCTCCATAGGTATGCAGTGACGCATGCTCCAGGCTGTGTATTTGTGCCTGGATACTGAGTATTTCCGTGTTCTTTGATATGATTTCCATCCTCAGTCTCTCTATTTCTGACTCTTTCGATCTCGCAGCGGTTGGCGCTGCTAAACGAATGGCGATGGATGTTGGGGTAGGAAGTCCCTTCTTAAGAGAGCTTGCTCGAAGCTGCGATGCGTGTGATGATTGCGTTGCATGAGAGGCCTGGGCACTAGTTGGCCGTCTCTGAACCAAGATATTGTGGGGCTGCGCGCTGATAGGCTTGTCCTTCAACCTCTCTCTCAATTTCTCCCTTAGCTCCCTTGAGTTTCTTTTTTCTTGTGTGTATGCCAGTTCAACCTCAGTCATTCTTCTCTGCATTCCTTCGAATGTGATCTGCAGATCCATTAGAACATTTTGCAATTGCTTGTAAGACTCTAGTGACACTAGCTCTGCTTCTCCGACATCCTTTGCCCCGGGTACCGGACTTGTCCCGGTTGTCTTAGTTTGAGGACTTGGCTGAGCAGCCGATCTAACCGGAGACAATAGTGCGCGAGAAGCTTGCAGCATGCTTGTTTCTGCATTGTTAACTTCGGCCAGGATCCGTTCCAACCGGTCAGCTTCCATGGTAGTGACCTTGAGCTCTTCTTGCAACTGTTGGCAAAGGCCTATTAAATGTTCCTTTGACATTTTTCTCAAGCTCTCCTCTGTTGGTAAATGGGGAGCGCTTGATCTTTCGGCGGTTTTGGTGACTGTGCGATTCGTGTCCGAATGCCCCATGTCTGTCTGCGATGTTGCAGCGACAGATTCCTCCGGTAGATTCTGCTGTAGCTGAGAAATACTCAGCGGGGCTGTGTTTCTCATTACCTCTTTTGTAGATGTCGTATGATTGACCTTGGCATTGGGTTCAGGTGGCACGCGGAGGGTTTTATTCTTAGCAGTGTGAGCATCTCCCCAGTGTGTGAGTAGGTAGTCAGATAGTATTGTATGCACACTGTCGTAAGAAGTCCCTTTATGTGCGGTTCTCAACGCTTGCAGAACTTGCTCCATTGTAAAGTCTCGAGTAAGAAGCAGCCTGAGTATGCCCAAATTATCACAGAGAACAGCCTCATCCAGCAACGAAAGCGTACCTTGCGTTTCTGTGTCCTCACAAAATTCTAACAACATTTCTACCAAAATCTCGTTCCCCACCCGGATGGCAAGCACAAGAGGACTCACGCCATCTTTAGTACATATAAGAGCCTCATAAGGGGCGAGTAGAAAGCAGCATTCCTCGTGATTAGCCAAGATGGCCACGTGGAGCGCAGAAAGGCCGTCTGGGCCCAGCTTTCCGACCTCGTTCGGTAGCGCATTCTTCAGTGCACCAATATCACCCAGACGAGCCGCTGCAATTAGGTTTGACGCTAGTGTGTGGGGCTTCATGCCCTAGAATTTTTTTGGCATACATCCCGTAGCAGAAGCGGCCCGCAACATATTGTCTGCCCCCTTCGCACCCCACACGTACTTCTGTGCTCTGTAGCATCTACTCAATAAATACTACGTTAATAGACGTGTTTAACGTAATTGCTTTTAACAGGTCATATCTTGATTGACTCTATGATCCATAGCTTTCACCACCTGGAGAGCTGACTGGCTTTATAAAAATGTTAAATGTTCTTCACAAAATGTGCTGAATGAATGCCTTTTAATTAAAAGTGTTTCTCGTCTTTTTTACATTGCTAAGGCTTCTCAGGCCCGCTCGTTCTGTGACACATATTGCATTGGCTAATGTGGCTCATTAACCGATTTTAAAATTACTGATGCCCTTCTTGAATTTAGTTGTTCTATATCTTTTAGTAGGACATGCAAGGGCATCTGCGGTTTCAGAGACTACAGAAAATAGATATAAGTGCCTTTTTGACGAGTACAACATGCATTTTGGACACAACTACGAGTGTGCCACTGGATATGCGAGAGCACTTCGGCACTTCGTTGAGAATTTGGAGCGTTTTAATGTCTCTCACGCCCGAAGCATCACCCACCTCATAGACATTCTTACGTGGACAGAGGAGAATGTAGTTTATACTCTTAACCCTGTTTTGCACAAAGACATTATTCCGAGTGTGTCACCACACCACAGATCTAAGTATATTATTAAATTTGATAGCAGATGGCGACGGATTGCACACATGATTAAGAAAATCGTGCACAGAGGACCGCTGGTAGCGAGTAGCTGTGGAAGTCACACACCAATAGTCTATGTACGTGCCAATCCGCTTCCAATCTTGTCAAAGCTTCCGCCTTCGGTTGACTTTCGCGAGCTGGGCCTGGTGGACAGAGCCAGGAACCAGGGTCTGTGTGGCTGTAGCTGGGCAATGGCGAGTGCGGGACTCTTTGAGGCGACGATACGGTCGACTCGTGAATACTTTAAGAACAACGGTGACGTCGACAGCGTTTTCAAGGACCCTCAGTTCAATGCTTCGGAGCAGTACTTTCTAAACAAATCTTCGTTTGGGATAAATAATTGCTGCGAGGGCGGGAACTACCTGTTCCTGTCCCTTGATCTTGCCAACAATCCGTACATGGACACTGTGGAGTCCCTTGAGAACTTTCCGTTTATGATGAAAGACACATACCACAATCCAGACTCCATTGTAGACGACTTCTCGTGCAAGGTATCAAACCCTTTCCTCCCAGGAAACTATGTCACAGTGTCAGCGTGCAAGACCTCACTTATCTACATCTACGACATACTATCTCCTGTGTGGGCGTTCGGGAAGGCGATTAAGATTATGAAATCACTGTTGGCCCAAGGAATACCTGTCGTTGCCACCCTGCACATATCCACGCTCGGGGATGAGTATCTGAGAAGGATTGCAATGTATAATAGGGGAATCTTAGACATACCATGTAAGCATGGTGACCGGGCTGCTATTCATCAAGTCCTCATCATTGGGTACGGCACCTATAGTGGCATCGACGTTTGGGTTGTTCGGAATTCGTGGGGAGATCTATGGGGGAGTCATGGCCACTTCTACGCGGCAATAGGCAAGAATTCTATGTGCATTGAGGAGACTCTATACACGGAGATACCAGCCTACTTCCCATTAGCAGGATACGAGATGTATAGGCCATATGTCCAGCGGAAGCCTGCTGACTCTTCTACTGTTTGGAGCGGGATCTTGGAACGAGGCGACGAGGACTCTCTTGATCCAGATCCGATCGAGGTCGATCTAAAGACAGAGCAAAAGGCATTCGTGATCATAATGGCAACGTGCACCATACTATCCCTTGCTGTAGTCCTTCTCATAGCCATCCTTGTTGTGACTATCAAAAGCAAGAGGTGGAGGGTTAGCAGGCCGGGATCTCAAGCTGAGTCTCAGCCGTCTGTGTCAATTGTTAACATTAGAGGAGAGCGGGGACTATTTAGGTGAACTATCCGTGCATGGGTTCCATTTAGTCTTCGCTAAAGTAGCCTTTCAGTCTATGGATTCATAGGATTGGGCTTTTTTGAAAAAGGAATTTTATTATCAGTGAATTGTGTAATTGTGTGATAGATTGCAATTGGCTAATCGCTATTGATGGAATTAGGTTTTAGTTCAGCTGTAGCTCCGGCTTTGCACCGTGGGTTGATCACGACTTCAGAACAGGTGACAATTAACACTCCCGCTACTGGCTCAGTCAATGAGTCAGGCAGGTGTTTACTCCCGAATATACAGCGGCCAAAGACAACCTCCAGGGCAGTAGCTCATGACTTTCTGCGGCAGCAGAAGAGAATAAGTCCAATTAGTGCAGCAACAACTGCAGCAAGTACTATGAAGCTGAGAGAGAAGAATACGATGCGCATGGTGCTCCTGGTTGTAGCAGCTTCTTGGCCTGATACCCCATCGACAGATTGGGATGTATAGCAGGGCATATATTTGGAAAAGAAGTCTGGAAGTAGCTCCTCTGTTGTAACATTTGGCCTCGGCTGAGTAGGGTAGTCCACCGCAAGATACGATTTAGATGGGTCAACCATACTATAGCAGCTCCCTCCCTTTCTAAAACGGCCTGCAAACTTGTCAGCATCGTACGAAGTGAGAATTAAGTCATAGCAACTGTCAGATGGGAGAGACGAGGGATCCATCGGGGTAACATAACGCGGGATGCTGGCGCGAGCAGCCTCGTAAGTGTAAATGTTCTGTAGCTGTTCCTCTTCGGTGTATGTCAGGATGGAACCGGAAAATGCACAGGCCACCTCTTCTGCGGTGAGATTTGCGATATACACAAATGAATTCTTAAAGGGCATCACGTTATAGGAGTCGTCGACGACGAACTCTCCTTTGTAGATGGAGTCTCTGACGGACGAGCTCCCTGTCACTGGAAACTGCGTGCACTTAGACAGGCGGTCATCATTATAAATCTCTGCTGGAACGACAGCATTGAGCCAAATATTGAACACAGACGTCGGGGACTCCATCCCAACAGACTTGGAGTATAAATAGTTGCTGCAGCCGAGCACACGGTTAAGGTCGAGGCTGTCAACCCAGCCATGTATCTTTTCCCGTAGGGCTATTGCCTTTGGTGTGTCAAATTGATCCACGGCTAAGCCAAATCTGTCTGCCATTGTTTTTGGTATGTTCTTTGAAGGAGTAAGGACAGTGGGTGGGACGGCCATCTGATAGCCTGTTCTTGTAGCCCTAGTTTTCGTATCCATGTATTGTATGGGGGTGAAGCTATACTTGATGTGCTGAATGCGCTTTAAGTAGCACTCGGCCTCCACAATAAAGCACTGGCCGGTCTGGTCAAATGCACAGGCGTCGTTATATAAGCGATGGCTGTGTGCAGCGATAAGAATTATTGGAATAGTATATCCCCTTCCGCCATAGTATGAGCGAAATGCATTCACGATGTTCTCCAGCTCACCATCTGAATAGCTCATGTGATTGGCCACCACGAGGACGTCTGTCTTGTCAAAGTACTTGTCCAGGATCGCCTGAATCTCAGCGGTCTTGATGATATCACTGGCTCGCTCAACGTACGATGATACGTAGCTACTGCGATACAGAAACCCGAACATAAGGACGTTGAGCCCATTCTTCAGTGTCATGTGCTTGTAGCGGTTCTTCACCAATGGAGAATTGTCTGCGTTCATGAAGGTATTAGTTGAGACATAGGCGTCCCCGAACATGTCATCAATCTTCTCATGGATGTATGCGGTACTGGATTCTGACCCCAGATCGTGATTGCCGACTGTTATGAGGTCGAAGCCTACCTCACTGGCGGCTTGGTATATGTACATGCCTTTAATGGGCGTTGCGTCGCTGAGGCCCGTACCTTCAATGAGGTCGCCGCCATCTATGGCCAGCACGGCACGCGCAGGATCCTTGGCTGCCTCGTCCCTGGTGCGTTCGATGTAAGACACAAGGGTTCCGTAGTCTCCTAGCTCCTTCTGGTGTCTGTGGCCATAAATCCACCCATGTGTATCGGAGACTGAGATAACGTCAAGGGCCAGATTCTGGGCCTCTGCGGTGCTTGCGAAAAGCAGGGCAAGAGCCAGAACGGCCAGCACCATTTATTTGCTAGCGCCTTTATTTGTCAATTTACTCTTGGATGTGATACAGCCCAGAGGTCAAGAGCTTACAACACGCTTAGCCACATGCCTATGTACGGGTCTTCGTAAGAATGTCGATCATCGTCATAAACTCCGGCTTGAGGGAAGCGCCACCGACAAGGAAGCCGTCAATATTCGGACACTGGCCAAGCTTCTCGCAGTTGCTTCCATTGGCCGATCCCCCGTAAATGATACGGATATGCTGTGCGCCCTCGGCACAAACCTTCTCCGCAAACCACTTTCGGAGCCCCACATGGACCTCCTCTGCCTGCTCGGGCGTGGCCACCACGCCCGTGCCAATGGACCACACGGGCTCGTAAGCAATGACAACCTCCTTCCAGAGCATCTTGGACTCTCCGAGCTCCTTGCCAAGCGCCTCAAGCTGGGCGATGTTCACCTCCATGGTGCGGTTGGCCTTGCGCTCGTCCAAGGTCTCTCCGACGCAGAAGATGACCGTCATCCCCTTTTCCAGGGCACGCTTAGCCTTCTTGGCGCTTTGCTCGTCGGTCTCCCCCATGATTCTGCGTCTTTCAGAGTGCCCTACTATCACATGCTTCAAACCCATGTCCTGAAGCATCTCAACACTTGTCTCGCCAGTCCACGCCCCGTTCCCCTCTAGGTACACATTCTGCGCTGCTATCCTCAACTGTTTTGACGTGTTTGCCGCAATGGCTGTTGACAGGTGTACGGCGGAAGGGGCAATGACGACGTCCACGGAATCAGGGATCTTATGGGCAGCAATTGCCGCCACGTGGCTCTTGATAAAGTCAAGAGAGCCGTTACACTTGAAGTTACCGCCGATGAAGGGGCGACGAGCAGGCATGATTTATTTTCTGGCTAGAATTTCTAATTTGAAGTCTTGATCCGAGGCAGCCAATGGTGTCCAGGGCATAACCCTTTAGCCAATGTGATATCCACAGATACAGTGATTGCGTTTTTCGCTTTCAGCATTGTAGCGAATGCAACTGCAGATGGAAAGAAGTACGTGCTGGAGTTGGTCATAGTCAGGTCGAAGAATATCAAATATAATAACATTACTGTATTGTGCCAGAAGCTTGTCGGGGTCCAAATCACGGTGCATGAAGCAGAATAGAAGAAACACCACAGAACTACATTCGCTGATACAAGTATGAAGATCTATGGAGTGTAGCACGTCATTAGATAGCACTAGCGCATATATTCTTTTAGATATAACAGTGTCATAGGATAACCGCCCAAAGGGACGCTCCGAAAGGCCCGAGACTCGCACTAATGTGTTATCATCTACTATGTGAGAATGAAGGACCTCGATAGCCTCCTCAAGAAATCGCTTAACCCCCGGGACAGGAACCTCCATCCATGGAATGCGCCATGAGGGTTTCTTCCGCTCATCTGGACCTGGTTCCATGTCACCAATCAGTTGGGAGGTCTTTTCAAAAATGGCTTGCAAAAGCATACGAGCACTTGTCTGTACTCCTAATTTGATGCATTCAAAGCGTAGTGAAACTGAATCGTCTATCATGACATATAGTATCTGGTCAATTTTACATTGCTTATCAATATACTTTAGACGGATTGTAGATTGCTTTAGCTTGGACGAGGTGCTGAGAGAGGTGTTAGAAGAGAGACGAACTGATGCCTGACTATCTCGAGGGCCAAGCAAAAGGTCTTGTCCCATCTTCTTCAGCTCTGCATTACTAATGACACTGCTAGAAGGAATACCTGTCTCTCCCTTATCTGCAATTGCCAGTCCATACGACGAGAAGTAGCACAGGAGAATATCATATGGAATTGTTAGTTCAAACGTTGGGCCTGTCTTCATGCCGCTAGCAACATCTTGATAGACCACATCATAGAGGGCGTGTCCCGCTTCCTTTGTGCACACACACAGGGACAGGTACCCTCTTGCGCCTGGCCTGTCCATTGTCACGATAACCTGCTTATCCATCCTTGTTCCTGCAAACTGCTGGTACTGAACTGCCAAGTTGGCAAGCTTGCTGTCCTCAATAAGGGAGGTAATTGAAACGGACTGTGATTGTCCCCGCGAGCCCAAGAGATCTGCAAGGCTAACCCTGTACCTACCTAACAGCACAGTGTCGTTGCTGTCAGCACGCGTGTCCAACCACGAATGTTTGTGTTCTGCGCACTCATTTGGCAGTACTCCTTGAACAAGTAAATCGACGAGCAGTATGGACGAAAGGTCATCGACCTCTGCAGCCGCTCTAGGGACCCTCAGCGTGTAGCTGTGATGATCCAGATGCTCACCCTTCTCTTTGGCAAGTAGCTTAGTGAAGAACCAACGCGTTTTCTGGGGCCCCTTCTGCACCTCTTTTGCTAAAAGAGGCCTCTGAGTTGGAGAGGGCAATGTCTCCAGATCCGCTTCCTGAACACCAGCCCGAATTACAAGCCACTTACCAGCAGGTAGGCGACTTGACGGCGACACATCAATGTCCAGAGAGACATGCATATCAATCCCCGCACAGAGCTTTACTAGAAATAATTTAAAAAGCTTTCTACTCTGCTCATGGAAGATATTCAAGTAGAAGCGTATCCAGAGCTATCTTACAAGGATCTCAGGCATATAAAGAATATTGGTTCGGGATCCTTCGGCAGGGTCACTCTTGCACAGCACATTGACACAGGAAAGTACTACGCCGTGAAGGCAATGTCCAAGCGGAAGATTATTGCCCTTCGGCAGGTTGCTCACATTAACAACGAGTGTAGTATCTTGCGTGTCGTGAGGTCTCCGTTTATCATTAGGCAGTATGGAACCTATCAGGACGACAAGAATGTATACATCATCCTGGACTTCATCCAGGGCGGCGAGCTTTTCTATCACCTACGCAGATATAACAAATTTCCACTCCAAGTTGTTAAGTTCTTTGCCGTCGAGATCCTCCTGGCATTGGGGTATTTACATAATCTGGGCATCGCCTATCGTGATCTGAAGCTAGAGAACGTCCTCGTTGACAACACAGGCCATATAAAGCTTGCTGATCTGGGGTTTGCTAAGCGCCTGGTCGAGAAGAATGCAGACGGGGATACGGTGTCCCAACTTACTTTCAGTATCGTGGGCACCCCAGAATACTTGGCCCCCGAAATTATCCGATCGACCGGGCACGATATGTCTGCAGATTGGTGGGCCTTCGGCGTCCTCATATATGAGATGCTAACAGGGTCTCCGCCCTTCTTCGATGACAATCCTGATATGACCTGTAAGAAGATCCTTGGGGGAAAGATAACTTTTGCAAGTGGGTTTGACAAGGCAGCGAAGGACCTGATTATCCGCTTACTCAACCCTGACAAAACAAGGAGATTGGGGGCATCTATAAACAACGGCACGGCAGACATTATGAAGCACGCATTCTTCTCAGGGGTCAATTGGTCTTGGTTTGAGAAAAAAGTCGTGAAGGCCCCCATTGTCCCTAAGCTCACAGACCCTGCCGACACCGCCAATTATGAAGACTATCTAGATGAGAATGGTAACTTTGAAGAGGACGAGATCGACTACGAGAATCTAGGGAGCGATGCGGCCGAGCTGGGCCTGGCAGAGATACCTGGGACTCAGGAAGAAATAGACGCCCTGTTTGTGGGATTTAAATAGGTGCGTGACCCTTGACATAAAACAAAACCCTACCTTACTTATTCCTCACTCCTTACTCCTTTTGCTCCCTACGTTCTTTTCTGGCCGCCTTTTGTCTAGTGGATCGAGAGGGTCCAGGCTTAATATTAACAGCACTTATCATCTCGTACAGAGCGGCACGCTGCCTTCTTTGAACATGTAAACCGAGACTATGGGCCCCAAGCCACCCCGAAAAAAGCATGCCCTCTAGCATCTGTATTGCACCACAGTCTGTCTCTGTGCAGTCGATGGAAAGTATGCATTGACCGAGCATTTTCAAATCAGTGACGCGCTGCACATACTCTGGGTTTATTTTGCTCAGCTCTGTGAACAGGACTGTTTGGTCGTTGGTTTCCCCGCTGTCCAGGCCGCTTGATAGGAGCGCCATAAAGATGTCGTGGGGAACGGGTGGAAGAGCTCGCTTGCAAGATTGTGCGTTACTCAGAAGAAATGGGGCACTTGACTGCGGAATTCGCCATATGTGGGTGCCATCTGTAGCACGGAACTTGTCATTCCCCGTCTGCTTCTGGAAGCATCCACACCCAGCTATAACAACCTTAAAGATTGTCTGGTAGTTGCTGGCATTGCCAGTAAGAAAGATGTTCGCAACCTTCTCGCTAATCATTATAATTCGTGACGCCCCTTCGGGTTGACGTTGTGCAAGAACGTATGACCCGATGAAGTCTTCGGGGAGGTCGTACTCTTTTTTAACTGACTCGACGATCTCTAGATCCTTTAATGGCTGCATGGGAAGATCCTGCCACATTGGCGGAGGAATGCCCCTTGGAGGACGTGGACACGCGTCAGCATTGAAAAGCTCCAGTTGACTCTTTTCAAAGGAGGCAGCAGAGCTGATCAATTCTGCTAAGATGGCGCTAGATTCTGATGACGGCAAAGGCTTTGCGAGCTTCAGCAAAGCTACATAAAAGCCTCCTGTGTCCTGGAGCCACGGATAAAACCTCATTGTTCTCGTGAGCTGGGCCTGAATGTCATGTGGTAGAGGTGACACTCTCTCAGCAGAGAACTGCTTGTCACAAGCCCTCAGATTCGCCAGTTGGAGACTTGCGTGCATTTCAAAGGCGTTCTCGCTAGGCCCAAAGAGAGCATAGGGGAACATGGTTTGGTATATGTTCCCCCGGGAAGTGGGGTGTGCGGCTGAAACAGAGTCTATAACGTCATCGGTGGCCGGATCCACAACAGGCCATGTTGTGAGCCCAGGAGATCGAATGAGAGATGGAGCAATGTGGGAAGCATCCAAAACCTCCAATGACCCCTGACAGATTTGAAGAGCAGACGCCACGACTGCCTCGTTCTCAATGGGGTTCAAGCTGCACGTGCTATACACAAGTGTCCCCCCTACCTTGAGGAGTTGTAGAGATCTGAGAAGGATGCGCAGCTGAAGAGGATGGAGACTGAGCCCGCCGTGCGGAGACCACCGAGGCCAAATATCGGGAGCCTTGCGGAGAGTCCCATCGCCGCTACACGGAACGTCAGCTAAGATTTTGTCGAAAAGCATTCCTCCTGGCAGCGAAGGATAGCGGCTTGCGTCACAGTTAGTGATAACAAGGGAGGGCATAGACACGGTGATGGTGTTATGAACAAGCACATAACATCGCTTAAGATCAGCATCATTGGCCATAAGGAGCCCTGTGGGTCCGACATCTTCCAACAGTTGGAGCGTCTTACTGCCCGGTGCGGCGCACACATCAAGGACAGCCTCCCCAGCATGTGCCTGCAGAAAGATGGGGGGTATCATTGACACGGCCTCCTGGCGCACAATGAACCCAGCTTCGTGCTGTAAGTTTATGAAACTATGCAGTCGCTTGTACTGCTCAGACAGGCGGATAACGCGCCTATCAGCCGTGAACATCCACCCTCCAGGAATCCAGGGGAGCTTCTGAATCATGAGCTCTTGCTGCTTGGAACCTAGTTCTGACGTGTCTTGTTCTTCCGTAGCAAAGCGATGAAAAAGGATACCAAACTGATCTGAATAGCGAGGCTGAAATGTCCGCGGCTTATGGGCTGCAGAAACTCTGAAGGTAGTTGGCAACGGCCTGACAAAGTATTCAAGGTACAGCTCCATGTCGGTGGCGGAAAGTATCCGTCTGTAATAATTAGCTATTCTACTTGCTTTGGGATTGATAGGCGTACTGTCCCTTCCACATCGTTTACTACCAGGCTCCTCGATAACAGCCTTCTCGTCTGGAAGAGCGGCAGAATCTGTGGGGGGAACAGGATTAGTAGAGGGTGGGTCCAGCGTCATTTTTATATTAAGTCCGGGTCGCTGACCGACCCATTATTATCAATTAGAAGCGCGTCTATTTTGTCGTTGTGAACCCCTCGGTGAGACTTGTTTTTAGCCCGCCTCTCCTTAATGATACTATAAAGTATTAGAGACATAACAAGCAGCAACAGGAGCGTCACACAGCACACGCTGACAGTTATTACAATTGACTTCTGCAGGACACACGTTGATCCGACTATTATCTTGTCTAGTGGGCACTGTGAAGCTGCGGCAAGTTTCTGGGTACAATTGGGGTATTCTCCATACTTTTCTTGATAAATAGAACAAGCCACGTCGACGAGGTTGGCCACGCGAGTCTCCAGATCGTAGGATGAGTCGTCATAGAGACACTTTACACCACCTAAGCAAAATAGCTCATTGTTAAGGAATAAAGTCGGCGAGAATCCCACTTTGTTTGCCAATACATGTGAGAAGCTTTCGTTAATTAGCGTATTTGCACGAGACTGCGAACAATCTGTCACACTCTTGATGTCAGTGTCGGTAAAATTGTATTGCTGCCGCAAGACCTTCGCGTTGCATCGTGTTATGTTGTAAGGAACCCCTGAGACAGAGGCTTTAGCACCATACATACAAAGATAATAGTCGCGCATGATGGTTGCATTGAGACCGGTATAGTTTTGTAAACAGAGAAAGTAATAGTCCCCAGTGACCTCTGCGGCCCCGTGAGATGAGTATCCTCCGCTCAAAGTATATATAGACGGCTTGGACAGTGGCACGTAGCGAATTTTTAATATCTTAGTGGCCATGGGATATGTGTCTATCAGGTATTGGATCTCGTTCACCATAATCTGTGAAAAGTAAGGGCAACGAGACATTCCATAAACGTCTAATGTCATTGTCGATGTGGTGTTGTCTTTCCCAGACACAGTGCTTACCTGATGAGTCTCGACAACAGGCTCATCCGGAGATTGCAACCTTATTTTGAGTGTCAGGTTCATGTTTGGCCAAACCAGCTTAAACTGTGGCGTCTCCCTTGTGTCGACGTCTTTTAAAGAGGTGGAGGTTACTGTGATAAGTAGGGTGTTATCCTGTGTCTTATCATAAGATGTGTCTAGTAATGTTAGAGATACTACTTCAGAAGCAGCTGAGTCCTCAGACGGTACAAGCAAAAGGCCCAGATTGGCGACAAATTCTGTTGCTAAATCCTTTGGGACTTCTCCCGGAAGTAGCATGTCAATCTGCACCTTAGTATCAAGTTTAAGTGGGCTGGTGCTGGTACCGTTCATCGCGGGGCATACAGGAGCCGTGTGTGCCGTGATGTTGGTTATTTGGAGATCTATACAATCAAATAGACTGGTACGCTCTTCTGAACACAGAAACGTATTGTTTTCCAGATTTAGAACGTAGAAGTCCTTGTGTTTGCGAAGAAGAAGTTGGAGCTCCTCGGAGGTAGGGGAGACCCCAATGATGCTGTTGTTCGATAGATCGATGCCATACAAGTCAGACCAGAAGGATTCTAGCAGAACGGACACCTCTGCAATACCGTTTAAGATTCCCTTGAAACTATTCGACCCTAGATTGATTGTGGACGTACGAAGGACAGAAGCCGGGATTGGTTTTGAAAAGGTTGAAAAGTCAATCCACCCTGTAAGATTGTTTCCCCCCAAGTAGAGGTCTTGGACCCTGGGGAATGCAAAGATGAGCTGGCTCAGATTAAAGCTCCCAGATACGCCTGTCCCAGAAAGGTCCAGCGTACTGAGGCCGCGTATCTCATCGGCAGGGATATTGAATATAAGTCTAGAGGCGTCAGTGCCTGGAATGTTGAGTCCTTTACGGCCAACTTCAATGTCCAAAGATGTGAGCTCCTCCGGAAGACGGACTCCAGAGTTCATAATGGATATAGATGGCACATTATATAGACATAAGGGCAGCACCACGTTGGTGAGCTCACAGTAGGACATGCTGAAAGTGGTCAGACTCGAGAGAGTGCATATGTCGGACGTTATATCTGTAAATGATGTCATGCTTAATGAAAGCTTCACAAGATTAGGTGGCAAGTTCTTCATGGATCCGCTCACATAGTTTGATTGGAGAGAAAGCTCTTTTAGAGTATGAAGAGTTGCAAAGCAGGCCGGAAGCTCCCCCACAAGATTGTTCATTGGCATAGATATGCTCACAAGTTCGTTGTCGATTTCGCACTCAACTCCGTAGGCAAGACAGTAATCTCCGCTCTCGTCTGCTAAGACGTTCCAGCCCTCAGACGAATACCAATTTGGACCGCTTGTAGAAAGATAGAACTCGTAAAGGCATGCACTTATTTCTTTGTCTGCAGCCAGAAGAGTTGTGCATAGAGCAGCTAAGAACACCAGCATGGATTTTTAAAAGAACAGATGGCATCCCCACCAAAAGCAAGTTATAGGCTTTCCAATTTGCATGTGAATCTTTTCAGGAACGTATATCTTATCTCCACCGATGGAAGCTTATTCTTCAAAGCGTCGTCTATGCAAGAACTTCGAATTTATCGCCAGCTCGCTATGGCTCACTCTCAGCTGCTTTCGTTTGTGCCTAGCCTGGTTGGAATATATAAGTGTAAGGAGGACGCCCTCGATCTTATTATGGACCTATCTGGGGACCTCTGCAGTGTCGATTTTGGAGTCCTCGAATCTCTGCTAGCGACGGCTACAAAGTGTCGCACCTTTAATTGTCATGAACCTATTTTCACTGCGTTAAAGAATTTACATAATAGTAATGATACCCAATCCAAGATTTATTTTATGGATCTAAAGTTGGGATTTATTACGTTTCCGCTAGGTGCACAGCAGAGCAAGATTCAATCGCAGGAAGCGAAGGCCAGAGATACCACAACGTCTACGCATGGCGTGCGCCTGATGGGTGCCGTTTTGCCGGTGAAAAGCAGGACTTCGACGACAGAGTCCGTGCTGCTCACCAAAACGGAGGGTAGAGCATGCTCCTATGACGATATCTTGGCGCATCTATGCACCCTCTTTCCAGACAGACGCAGTCTCGGCCAACTTGTTGCGCGTCTACAGGCTCTGTCTGCGTCTCTCTTGGGAGAGTGTCTCCACATGTGCGGTCCGAGTCTCTTGATTTCTAGCACCCACCAGGGTCAGATAGACAACCACGCTTCACACAACGCATTGCCTAGTGTCTTCTTGGTAGACTTTGCGCACACATACACCCGGGACCAGGCGGTCGCACTGTGCACCGACAGGCACATTCTGTCCACCACTGCAAGTACCACCATAGCCGCATGCATAGAAAACTTGTCCCATAATTTACAAGCGTATCATGCCTTCTAGTACTGCTCCTCCTCCTCTTCATAGTACTCATACTCATAGCTCTCAGACGTCTCGTTTTTCGCAAAGGCGGCTGGGTCATCTGCTTCAGAGTCTCGCTGTCCACTTCCAGGGAGCTCATCTTCATGCAGCTTCTCCAACTGGACAAATACGCAGTCGTGTAGAACGATATCTATCTCATCGTCAGAGGTACTGAGGATACCCTTGCACTTCATTAACGTTTGTATGCTGATGCCCCCGCTTTCGTGCAATACAGTGAAGAGCTCCACCAAGATAGTGGATATTTCCTCGTGAACTATAGTCTTGTTGAAAAACAGGACTATGAACTCGATGAGCTTCAAAACAAACTCTTCTTCCCCATCATCTTCGTCATAGTCAGACCAGAATATGGAGTTACTGAATCCCTCGCTAAAGAAAAACTTGCAAATGCACGAGAAGTTGGCGAGTGCAGTCCTGAGTGGTGGAATGGATAGGACATCATCACATCCTTGATCGGGATCCATATACAGTTTGGAAGAGCATGACTCGCTCTCCGGCAAGCTCACAATGTGCTTTTGCTCGATAATGTATTTAGAAGGAATGTGGTTGTCCTCGCGTGGGTCTAGCCTCTTGAACAGGTCTGGACCCAGGAACACGTAGAGATAGATGAAGTGCGCAAATATTGCAGCTGCTCCCTGGAGATTTGTGTTAAGCTTACAGTCTTCTGCTGCTTTGACGGCGGTCCGGAAATCGGTCACAAGCTTGTTGAGAATCGTGCCTGAAATGTCAGCATGCCCACACCCTCCATCTGCCCTGTTAAGGCCTCTCATCTGGATGCTGGACAATGTGGCACTAAGATTCATCCTCTCGTCATCTACCTCTATCAAGCTGTTGTCTTCTGAGGTACCTGTGAAACTCTTGGATTTGGAGTGACCGGGCTTGGATGTATTTAGTAGCGCTGCAAATGCATCCACTAGTAGGTCCCGCACTGTCTCTTTGAACTGCGCCAAGCTGCGCTGCTTCCGCGCCTCGTCTCCCACTATGTCAGTTAGTTGCTTCTCTTGCTTGCACGCGTCTAATATGTCCTTGTCAATATCGAATGCAGACAGCTTATGCGGAGGGATATCTTTGAGAGATGCTATATGACGAATGTATGGCAGCGGGCGGCACATGCTGGCCGGAAGAGAGTCCATTCCCATGAGAGTCATGTACGACATCTTACGACAATCGAAGAAGGCATAGAAAGATGACTTAAATACGAAGCCACTGAACATTAGATACTTCAAGGATGTAGTTAACAAGCCAGGGTACCCATCAGGAAGCTTTTCTAGCAGCACATCTCCAACAAAGCTTGCGCGCATTGACTGTCTCGGGTCACGGATCTTCTCGGTGTCGTTCAGTGATCGGATAATGTAGTAAGGCAGTGTATAGAGAGATAGCTTCGATGCAGTGGGAGCATGGGCGTGCCTTGATGACTCACTCTCAGACCCGTGTATGCTACACATGGAATAGTCTGCTCTGTGTTGCGAAGAATTGTAAGAGATAGTCTCAGAGTGTCTGGGAGCGGAATATATGTTTCTAGGCGATATTTTATTACTTTTTTGGCCACCTGGGATCTCGTGATGTGCATCAGCTGAGCTTCCAATATTGGTAAAGACTTCACTCTGCTCGCTTTCCTCACTAGTTTCCACATTATTGAAATCTGCGACGTCAATCTGGGCATCCAAGTCAGTCTGATTGAAAAGTAAGACAGATGAAGCATCATCTTCTGTTGGCCTTTGCAGCATCTCATTGCTTGCGCAGCTCACCAAGGATTGAAAGAACTCGTCATACTTACTCGTATTTGGAAGCGGGTTCAAGGTGGTCTGGGTCACACCAGGCCATGCTAACTCTGTTATGGGTACAGTCCCGCTGATCATGTCGGCGAGGAAAGTATTCTTTTCCTCCTCCTCTAGTGACATCTTAGTGGAGGCACGAGAGTAGACAGAGACGTGCTTTGGCGGCAGAAGATGTGAAGACTGATCTGCAGAGGCAGCAGCTAGAGTAGGCACGGACCCTTGTCGAGGAATGGACCTACAAATATTTATAGTTTTGAACTCCGGAGAAATGCCTTGAAGATTGCTTTCTGGCATATATTGCGATGTTGAGTTTGCCTGATACTCTCTTAAAACACTGAGTGACGGGCGGGTGGCCGTCAGAAAGATGGGCGGGATGAAGCGTACAATGATTGTGGAAGGAAGAGTTGAGATTTCGTTCTTAAAGAATCGACAGATTGTATCCTGGTGGCTTTGTAACAACTTGAGCTTTTCTATATGATCAGGCAAAAGGAGCTTTCCAACTGTTTCACAAGTAGCTTCGTCCATGTCAGACTCGGGTTGATCTGCTTCTGTAGCCTTGGTTGCATGAAAGCACGGAAGAGGAGAACCCAAGGTGAACCCGGCAGTTTCAAGGGCATTCTCTATCCGATCATCTAAGTAAAGGAAATACCGTATGATAAAGGAGAGATATGCCTGGAAATTGCAATGAAAGTATGCCTGGAACGTCATCTTGATGGCCTGATAGAGGATTTCTGAATTAAGTGTAACTCCGTTACCCACCATGGAGCCGCACGGAAGGGATATTCCATCTTCAATATGAACATTGGACCCCACATAACAACGGCGAAGCACGCAGTTCTTCCCAATTGTCGTCTGTGAGTTGATCAGAGTGTCAATGATTTTGCTTCCGGCCCCAATAAAGACGTTATCACACAACGTGGAATTGTCAATCGTTAAACCGTCCTCCAAAGTACAATTTCTGTGCACTAGCGAGTCCCCACCTATTATGGTGTTGGGGGGAATAGAGGTTGATTCGTCACAGTACAGTGTGCCACACGATTGCAGCTGCGTTGCGCCCGTGGAGACCCAGTCCAGGACACTTCTAAACTGCGTCTTAGTCCCTTTGTAGTAGATCCAATTTGTCTCAGGAGAGTAAGGTCTGAAGTACCCCTTAATATATGCCTTATTTAGCTCCTGGTAGAGCCTCGGGCTGTCTATGGTTATACCGGATTCACATTTTTCTAGGAGATACGTGCCCATCTTAATTGAGTAGTCGCTTTTGCTATCCAGTGCAGATGACAGGAAGGTATGCATTGATTCTGTGTCTTCAAATGTCTCATTAGTAACGAAGAACTTTATGAAGTTAAGATTGACAATATAAAATCCTGTGAGATAAAGATTTGAACTAATATTCATGTGGCACTTGTCTTCAAACGGGAGCTCCAGGTCAATCTGGGCAGAGCTATTAGCCACGTCTACAATAAGGCTCTTTAGCTCACATGTTTCCGGGTCTCTGATAATTATCGAGGGGGCAATGAGCGGCCTCAGAGAGGAGGTCTCTGTATGCATGGAGAGGATAGCTGTCAGGAGGTAATCTGTATTGTCACCTGAATGCAGATTTGTCAAGGCTACATGGTAGTCAAAGGCCTTGGCAAAGTTAAGATTAGTGAATGCCGGGCCATCTATGAGGAGGAATTGGGAGATGGTCCCCAGCTGGCCTTCATATGATTTCTTAATATCCGGCGAATCTCCGAAAACCTTCTTGAGACAGGCATAAATGCTTCTATCGCTGGACTGCAGCACTCTGATGGAAACTGTGTTAGGGACCAGGGGCTGGGCGGCATCAAACAGAGTGTCTTTCAAAATAGAGTGTGTAGCCACGTTTCTGAGTTTAGGGGACCAGTGACAGTCCTCGTCCACGTATCTCTGAATGGTTGAAGCATAGTTGTACGCAACGATAGTAATAGAGTCGATCCCGCTAGTGCAGAGACGATGAATTAAGATATCAAGCAGGTAGACCCCTCCTATCTTCAGTAGAAGGGCAGGGGTGTCACGGACGATCGGATCCAAGAACGACGAATAGGTATCAGCCAGAATTATCGCGTGGGTGACAGGAGGCATTTTAATGCAAAACCAAAGAGAAGGGCAGATTGACACAGGAAATTTACGCGCCAGCGAACTCGCGAGGCGTCACCAGTTGAAGAAGAGATGACCATCAATCGCCATCAATCATCAGAGGGCTAGGAATCAGTTGATATAATCTAGAAAGAGCAGGCAGAAAATTGCAAGGCACATGAGGACTATGGTTATTTTTGTGCTGCTTCGGAGCCGCTTAGCGGCCTTCTTAAGGTACTTGTTAGCGTTGTCCAGCGTTCCTGACGTTTCGAAAGTGACTGCATATATTCTATCGATTTGTTCAGATTGCTCGATGACCTTTTCAGCAAAAAGAGCGTTCAGAGACTGAATTTCATGGGCTGTTTGTTCTGTGCGCCGGACAATGTCTAGCTCTTCCATGAGAGACGGCAAGATCCGCCTAGTGGCCTGCACCTTAGTGGTGCCCATGTGGCTCTGACTTACCTGTGGAGCATGATCCTCGTCATTCATTGCATGGACTGTTGCCCATATGCCTGTCAATCCTTTAGCATGGTCCACGGGTGCCCCCTCACGCCCAGACCCCTCTTGTGTGGCATTAGATACAGCAGGCGTGCTCGTCGAAGGATCTCTCTGCATATTCAGCGCATAAACATGCCGTTGCGACCGCTCACGGAGATAGTCTGATGATACCACAGCACGGCGCTTGGCGCGGAGAGAACCATAGTCTTCAAATATCTGCGTAACCTGAGCAAGAAGGACGTTGCCGACGCCCTCAAAGTACTGGATCGCATTTTTGCTATTGTCTCGTCGGAGCTGGCGCTCTAGAACTTCCAGAGCATTCTCTTCTGCATCAAATTCATCGCCAGTGGAATCTTTGGCTGCATATGTCTTGAGTTCTTTGAGGATATTCCCCACAAGACTATTTATATGAGTGAAAATGGTCAGAATTCGTGCATCAAATAAAGCACACTCTTCATCAGTAAATGGCATGCCTTCCACGGAACGTGTGTTGGAAGAGAGAGTCGTGGCGGTATAGCTGCTCGAGTTTTGAACAATTATATCTCGCAAGGAAAGGACTTCTCTACGGGCAGTAGAGAAAGCATTATGCATGGGAGACGGAGATACCCTGACGTCTTCCGGCTTCTCGGTTCCAAGGAGCTGGTGGAAGATGCCGGTAAAATCTAGAGACATGCACTAGCTTTTCTGGTTTTTTAGCGGTCGAAATTCGTACGCACCTTGGATGAACACCAATCTGTGCGTGAGAACCTCTTGTGCAGTGAAGACCAATCGAATCCGTTCCACACCTCTTAGCCTAGGACCAAAGTCATCAGATCAAAGGTTTTTTGTAGGTTCGTGTGTAAAGAAATTTCCCAGATGCTCCCCTTTGAGTACCGGATAAGGTACCCAGTAGATGCCCCCAAGGGGTACAAGACACGGCCAGCCATTCTGGAGACGCGGCCAGACGGGGTACACATCTTTGACAATCAGGGGATTTCAATTTTGGAGCCATGGAGGGACTGGTCTCCAGACACACTCACCAGCCCGAAAAACCCCAATATCATTTTGCTCACAGACAAACTGCACGTCACCTGCATGCCCGCGGGCCATCTCAGCCTCCGCGCAGCAGTGACTGCAGACCTCCTCTTAGGGGCTAACAAAGGCTTGCCGGAGTCTAAAGCGACCTGGCTTCCGGCAAAGGACTTAGTAAGTGGCGAGGAGATAGAGCTCTGCTTTTTCAAGAAGACTCTTGCGCTTATTCGACTGAAGCAGGCCAGATCTTACGTGCTCGTTCTTCGTCCCGAGGCGATAACTTCTGTCGTTCTTGCCCTAGTAAGCGATGGCCCAGGATACGTGTCCACGTGCTTTTTTATGGACCAAGAAATGCCTTTCTACCCTACTAGACTTGAGTTCGCAACGCACGATGCCGCGAAAGCCTTTGCTAGTAACATTGTATCGGGGACGAATACTTTACGACGCGATAACTTTGTCAAACTGAAGGTCATTCCCTATGAAGAATTTGCACTATCTGGTCTTCGGGAAAAGCCGCCCTCAAGTGTCTTCCAGACCTCCAGGGTTTTGGCCACAGCTGAGATTCTGACAACTCATTATACTGAACAAGACACTTTTTCGCTCTTTTCTCTGCCTCTAGATGCACCGTCCTCTATGAGAGCTGCCCAGCCTGCTTCATCTCCACTTTTACCGCCACCACCGCCCCCAGCTCTAGAGTCAAAGAGAACGATTGAAGAGAAGGAGGCCACGGACCCAAAGGATAGTAATTTGCAGGCTACTCGTGAGGGGCCAGATGTTAGTAAGAAGGAAGATGGAGAGGAGAAGCAGAAACAGAAGCTTGCGCCAACTCATGCGCTCTCTTGGCATGAACTGCGGCAGGATCACCTCAAGAAGGGCCTGTTTGGTAATTACCTGACGGGGAAGATTAACCTCTGTCACTACAGGGATATATCTCTACTCCTACACCAGGGCTGGATCATTGAGAGAGTAGACTCTAATATTATCCGTGCAGTACCTATTGCCCAGATAGATACAATAGTACTAGACCCTAGCTCTATCCGGTACAAAGGCAATTTCAGACAGGCATTCAAGCGGCTTGTAGACGACCCCGTCGAGCAAGGGACGGAGATATTTCTTGGGCTCAAAAGCCCCGTTTTCCATGGAAGCAATCATGAGTCTGTACCTCCGAGTGGTAACGACCCAGGTAATCAGTCTAACCTGCAGGGATCTACCCTTGAGCTAAAACTATACATAGGGGAGTCACTCTTTTACACCTTCTCCTCAGATGACGCTAGGCTCTGCTTCCTCCTTCAGCTTTTGGATTTCGTGCAAAGCCTTTGCCTTCCAGTAAGAATGCGGTTCTATCGCTTACATCGAGCAATACCTCTTGGAATGCCTGCTGTTCCGGTAAGCATGGACTACTTTGCTGCACAACTACATAACGTGGTATCAAAGACTACCTCCAGTGAAGTCTTGCAGATTGACAACGTTGTTCTGGCTTCGCTACTAGAGGATCTGGCGTTTCTGACGGGAGCACATCCGCGCACGCTTCCTTATGACGGCAAGAATAAGGGGTACTTGACGTGTGCCGGGAAGATTTTAGCATTTATAAGCAAAGAGGCCAAGGCACAGCCGTCCGACCTTACAGTTGCGCTTTGCATCCTGCTAGATTTTCTCGTTCTTTTGCTACAAAGCAGAACACTTTGTCGTGCAGCTGTGCAAGATTGCCACAGCTTTCTTTTCTCAGACCTTCCTGAGATATTTAGCGGCAACAGGTTTACTCCTCTTGGCTTGTGCATGATTCTAACGGCTGTCCGAGCCACACTAACATACCAGTGGCGCGTCCTGTCTGAGCAGGGAACACATTCGTATTCAGGATTTTCTAGCGTCTATTCCATTAACAATGACCTCATGATTCCTGACCTCTCTTGCAAGAGCTCTAAGCCAATCCATCACGATCGCAGCGAAAAGACTTTGGGAAAAGCGTTCCAATCAACTTCTTTAGAAAACGTGGATGCGTCGGAAGGAGTGGCCCTAATGGCGTCGTCGTTTATCAATAGAGCAGAGATATCTCTTATCTCTGGCAAGAGCCTCGCGGATATAAAGCGTGCCTACGATACTAATAGCTTGCCAACTACGTACACACAGGGAATAACGTTCAGCAAGTCGCGGTTCGAAATGGAGAAGGAAAACAGGGCCGATCTCATGGCATCGGAAGGCCCAATCTTAAAGCTGGTCTGCCAGGTTGCGAGCAATCTTCATAAGCATTGCAAAAAGGAGCCTCTCATGCTGCTTCCTATTTGCGGTATCCTTGATGACATTATCCTATTCAGGAGTCACTTGGGCCAGCAATGGTTTGCTGACAGTGTGCGCAGGGCCGAGCGAGCAGGAAACCAGCTTCCCCATCCTCCTGGCCGAGCAGAGCTTTTCCTAGCACTCGGCGAAGGGTTTGTGGACTATGTTTCGCTTACCTTGCTTGATTGCCGCCGAATATCTCTTTTGGCCCGTCTCTTCATCAAGCAGATCCTCTTCGAGGACGTCCTGAATGAAAAGGTGAGGACAACTCTATCAGATTATTGCCTATCCTCTGGAGCGATGCTACGCTATATCGATGACGTCATATCTGATGCTGCCCCACTCAGCCTACGCGAGGGCTCTCTTCAGATCATCGCCACGGCGTATGGAGCCAACGCCACTGTTCGGTCTCTTGTTCACGCAGTCTTCCCCATGCCCTTTCTCAGCAGCATCTTGTCGTCTCAACTTTCCTCTATGTCTTTACAATCATATAAGGCAGGGAGCAAAAGCACATCTAACCTCCTCAGCGGCAAAGCCTGTTTTCACTTGGGAACTGCAACTCACCTCTCCTATGTTCGAGAGCATGGCCCAAGCTATGTACTGCTGCCGTTTCCGGGCCCCTTGGAGAAGTGGAAGGACCTCTTAAATCTCCTGCCCACTAAGAGCTACTCCTTCGACATCGTCTGGGACGAGTCTGTTCGAGCGAATCTTAGCATGCTGCTTATCCAGGAGCTCACATTACTATATGCAGAGGCTGAAAAGCACATCTCTTCAATGCCACACGACGCTTTGAGGAAGGTCCTTGTAACAAACAGGCCCGTCCTCGGCACTATGCTCAGCTGGAACGTGGACGCCTTCCACGTAGATCTCCGTGGGAAAAGCCTGTTTCCTCTAACATCCTTTGACGTCCAGTTCAACGGCTACTATCTGTCTTACGTTCTTTGGCACTATATATCTCTTAAAATGCATGAGGAATGCGTCAGCGGTAGGTACTTTCAGCAGGAGCTTTTATCTACCCTGACCCTAGACGTGAAGACGGGATCTCGAGAATCTGTTGGTACTGGTGAAGCCATCAAGGCAACAAATCTAGATACGCTTGTCTCTAGCTACTTCTCCCATTTTATTCTTTTACGAGACAACGATAGATCTATTCGCGCCGCCCTGATCTTCGCTATCACCCTCATCCTCATCAACTCCAGCTCTCGGTTCACTCAGTTGATGGAGCTTGCTACAGAGACAATCCGCCTCTTGACTGTGGCCGACTATGGACTTGCAGGTTTATGCTTGTCTCTGATTGAGGTTGCTGCTTCTCAGCTGGCAGCCAAATATGCTGACGCTGCAAGTACTGGGCTGCATTATTATCTTGCTTCGTACATCCTGCCCTTGATAAGCTGCAACAAGGAGAAGAATCTTTGTCTGTCTGTTGATCCAGAGACCATCCTTGCGGCTCACACGTATGGCTCGCTAATACATATTTCTCTAAGGGTCATCTTGGGGTGCCTTCAGTCCCAAGCTATGACAGATAAGGTGGGACGCATTCTTATTCCGGTGCCCCGATACAAGAAAACTCTTTCTAGCCGCGCTTTTCTGCCAATTTTTGCCAACCTTCTCCTCGAGACCCAAGCGCCTAGCACCTCATCAGCGTTCTTGGAGAAGGAGCGCTTTGACCTTGTCTGCTACAAGACAGGCTCTGATGTCGCCAGCGCTGTCCACTCTTCTCCAGCAGAAGTAGCAATTATTCAGAAAATCTTTACCCAGACGTGCGAGCTATTGAGGGAGCTCTGCAAGCGAGATTCGGAGATTGCGCAGTCGATGGTAGAGTGTGGGGTGATCCACTTCTTGTTATCGAATACACATGGACTAGAGCCCAACAGCTATGCTGTCCTTCTTTTGCAGGAGCTTTACCAATCGTGCTCACGAACTGTTGGAGGGGAGAGTCTGGCCTCGAATAGCGTTGCTTTATGTGTCAAGTCGCTGCTCCCCGAGCCTCTTGCCCTCCTATTGCTGAGTTCTAAAAGGGCCTCAGATGCGGCAGAGACCTTTACGTCCTATGAAACCTTCAAAATCAACGTTGTGTGGACCCATGAGATGCGTCACTATCTCTATTCAGCACTCTACTCCTGGCAGCAGCCGTTACGGGCAGCGCTCTTGAGCGTAGATGAACACCACAGGATAAGCTATCTACGATTCTTTGGCGAGTACACCCAGGGACCGTGGTGCTGTGTTCCGCATATTCATAACATAGAGTTTTCCAAGCAAACCGGAGAGCCCGTTGGGTGTTATCTGTACAACTCTTCGACACGAATGTCGAGCCAACTGGATCTTCCATCTATTTCTTCTTATCCTTGCATTCGCGAAATAGAGGCCAGCCTTGCAGGAGGCATATACACTTCCTTACTGCGCTCTATATCCAGGACTGCGACAAATGTGGCTCTGTCCATAACCGATCTGATCAGTTTCTTACAGACATTACTGTCTCTTAGCGTTGGAGAGCTTAACGCCCTATACAATCACATGTCCGAGGAGGTCACCAGAGATTGCCAACTTGACCGTGATGCAGAGGCTACTCCTGTAACGCACCATATCCACTCTTGCTCCACTCTTCCCCCACTGCTCCGTCTCGAAACAGAAGGGTTGCACGAGATGACATCCCTATGCTGTATTCGCGCAATCGACCTTTTAAAAGTGGGGCTAGATAGGACAGAAGAGATGCGGGCAACAGAGAGTAAGCTTAGGAAGGAATTGCAGAGCGCCAGTGCCAAGATCGATAGGGTAGGGATGACGTCGATAGACTCTGCTTTCCTTCAGCACCCTGATCTCATCAATCAGAACCGTATGTCTGAGACAGATCTTTTGAGGAGACTCTCTATCCTTTTGATACTACTGGTAAGGGCCCTTGGGGACGGATTACTCGCTTTTTCTACTTATGTCAAGAACGGAGCATTTCGCCCTTCATATCCTATCTTCCATCAGTACATGGCTGTCTGTCTCCAAGTGTCCCAGATGAAGTTAGGAGACATCATCATGGGAGGAAACTCTTTGCTCGATGACGGATGGGCGGGAGAGGCGTTTAGTTCCGTTTGTGTCAGGACGCTGTCTATGTCCCTGCGTTTCTTGAACACGCAGCTACGGATGTTTGTCGCCACTTGTGCAGACCTGGTATCCGCGCTCATCCCAACTGTCTTATTTTCTTCTCAATCATCCAATGGCGTGCAGGACGGGGTCACAGGCACACTCGTGTATCTGTACATGGCGATCACCGCACTAAAAACTATCGAGTGCAAGTGTAGATTTTTAAAGGGGCCAACACCCTCCTTAGATCAAGTGCTGGGGAGACTTGTCGGGTCCTTGTACACTCCATCTAACATCTCCTACGTGAATCCGCACGTTGATCTGGATTCTCTCATCACGAACGCCAGCAATCAGTCCTACCTGAGGACACTGATTGTGGTGTCTGTCATTCACTACTACTTAGAAGCTATCAGGACGCACGTTGATGTCGCACTGGCCCCGCAAATCATGATCTATATTTTCACCGGGACCATCCTTTCTGTCACTGAGTTTGCAGATGTCCTCTCGCAGCTTCTTGGACTCACCTGTGGAATCAGTAGTGTATTCTCTGACAATATTCGGCGTTTCATCCGCATATTCGGCACATCGTATGTCGACTCCGTAGCAACCGGGGGAATTGAAGCCCCGAGGCTCCTGACAATTATGAAAGGTAGCTACTACGGTCCCCGATTCGCCTTTGATGCCGACTATAGAGACCGAGTTATTCTGTATTTCGGTCACTTGCTGCGTGGCTATCAGTCCCAGCAAGATAAGACACACTGCGTTTGTACTTTGGAGGAGATGCTCGACATCGCAGAAAGAGAATTCACAGAGTTAGCGAAGTATCCCGCGCGTCTGTTGATCTCTGGATATCATATTAACAACATACTCGGAATGATGGTCGAGCTCAATCTATCAAAGGGTCAGGTTAACATAGGCACTCCTCTCCAGACCCTTAGCTTTTTGAGCAAAGGGTCTTCTGAAACACTTAGCGCGTCTCAATATGTCTGTGATATGCTGCACACCTTAGAAGCGATCTATGCTTGTGCTTCTAGTTCCAGAGACTTCAATCTAATTACAGCGTTTTACCAATATGTTGGAAGTCTCATCCCTCTCCATGCTATGTTATCTACGGTCTTCTATGTGGCTTACACAGACTCCCATTTGTATACGCAGATCCAAGAACCCACACGCACGTCTCTTCTGAAGATGCTTTGCTATATAGGATTCACGATTATTGAGAGCCAAGAGCAGCTTTTGCTTAGCGAGCTTGTCCTTGCCTTCCTTATCCACGTCCTCAGTATTGAGGACCCTACGATTTTTCTCCCTGTCATAGCGCCCTATCTTCCAGCTATACTCAAGGGAGCTCTTGATGAAAGCATTACTGATTCAGCTACCTTTGCATACATGCGCCATTATAGCGAGAGTGGTGGAGGGCTATCCATGCTTGACTCCTTCAGTATTCATGACCCCGCAACTCTAAACACCGTTAAGCAAAATCTTCTTCAAGTACCGTGGGCCAGCGAGCTTTATCCCAGACCGGTCCTGTGCGCACTGATCCTCAAGATGGTGCTTTTCATTAATCCCGATGCAGCGGCCTCGAGTGCAATTCATGTGCATTTACTAAGATTTTTGCTTCAGAATGCATCACGCATGACTGATCAAGATGCAAAGGGTGTCCCACCCGTGCTTCTTCTGACCATAGAGATATGTGGGTTTCTTCTACGTGCACAGAATCCGGTGTTGATGGGTCTTTTACCACCTCCCCTTGTCCTGTCTCTCGCTGAGCATGATCACGTATCATTCTCTAAGATTTTGTTGACGACCGAGATCTCGTCACCAGAATTTTATTGGTCAGCACACTGTACCAATGAGTTGATCAGTCTTTGCAGCTCCTTCCTGTCATCCTTCCAAGGTAGCGGCTCTGAACTGGTGAAGAGTCCTCCTGCAGTAAGTTACCTCTCTATCCCGACTCTTCAGCGTGCAATTAATAACAAGGCATATATCGGCGGGGTGTATCTGGATGCGTATCTTGCTGCGTGCGCGGGAGGTCCTGAAGATACAATTGCAGTGAGCAATCCCAGTATCGCTATTAAGGCATTTTGCGCTGAAGTGGCGTCCATTCTATCTGTGTCTCGGAATGCCCGGTCGCTGGACCACAACAGCTTAATTTTCATTTCAAAATGTCTGCAGGCCTTATCTCATCTTGCCAAGGCCCCCGCAGAAATCTTAGTACTTCTTCGCTCTGTTGATTTTTCCAAGCTGCTCAAGCTGTTACTCAGTAATGCGAATTTATCCTTTGGGATAGGGGTTGACACCCAGGCAGCCCTTGCAATGGAACAGTCGATAATACGCTTGTTGGAACGCGTCACCCCATATATAGATGAAGACATTTCTAGGGGCTATTCCCCCGATATAACTGTAAGTATTTTAGGTATGTTGATGGAATACTACAACTACGTGCTTGGTGACTCATCAGGACTCAGTGTGATACATGATCACGGAGAACAGTTGTTTGCGGTGTTATCTCATATTCACACGACCGACCTGGTAGACGCAGTGGGAACATATGTAACATTTTGTCTTACCCTCCTTTGGCATAGTCCCGCGAGTCGCCTTAGAATCTTTCGGACTCTATTTGCCACTTGTGCAGCGACGTCAGCGGACGTATATGGGGTCCGCTTGATTTACACGATTTCTCTGCATGGACGGAGCATAAACCTTTCCAAGGCTATGCGACGAGCGATGATTGCCGTCCTGGCAGGCTTCTTCGTCCAATCGGTAGACGTACTGGCGGAGTTTCGTGACAGCATGTGTCTAGAAGATCACGGGCACGCCTGGCTAACGCTGTGCGCCAATGATTTAGAGCTTCATATTGGCCATGGAGACTATGACCCTACCAAGATGATAGCGACGAATATGCAGGGGGCATTTCCTCTGCCGTCGGTAACAATAGGTGACGTGTGCAACGTAAAAGCAAGGCTTCCTGAATCATCATCTCAGCCACCTGACCCAGAAGAGCTCCATCGATGGATCAGGGGCGGATTCACTGAACCTATGAGAGGCCTCTTGGTATCCATTGATATGGAGCGTGTAGTGCGTCAGATAACGCCACTATCTATTTCGAGACCCGAGCTGAAGCATGACTATCATGCACGTCGTTATTGCATGGGATACCAGATGTCATATCTCAGGGTCGTTGAGCACACTGTATGGAAAGAGGTTAATGAGAAACTGGCAAGCTTTCTTGCATAGCGGCCGTCGACTCCACTACTTAGCTACTTTGTTGTCCTGTTGCCTTGCCTGTCGCAGTGCCCCGTTGACTTGATAATCCAGCTGGTCATATATAGCCCTATAAAGCATCACAAGATACTCTCCGCCGGCAGCTTGGCGGAGTTCTGCAAGCATCTTTTGTGCACTGTAACCGATGTGTATGTTGTGCTCTAATCGTCTGAGGTATGTGAGCGCTTTATCGGGAGTGAATTCGTAGTAGCTTTGAATTGCTTTGGCTAAATTTGCTCCCATAGAGAGAAAGTCCTGGACCGTGAACGGCTTCTTGGCATAATCGCGAGACTTTCGATAATAGTGGCTTTCAAAGCAATACACTGTGGGGAGCGTTGTCTCTGCATAAAGACCCACTCTCATGGTATACTCAAACGTTTCCCCTGCCCTGTCCACCTTGGTCATAGAGTCAGGCTTGAAGTCACACTTGCTGACATTGAATGTGGAGTCGAGGCCGGCGAGGTAACTTACAAACAGGATGTTCCTCAGTTGACCCAAAAAGAGCTTATCCTTGGGGACGCTTGGAAGCCCGTTTTCAAAGACAGAATTACCAAATAGAAAGCAATCTGGTATGCTAGCATGCGAGTGAATGTCCAGGCAGAATATTATTTGGGGTTTTCTGCTGTACTTAATGAGCTGAGACCCGGCCGTGGGCTGGTGTAGCGGATATGCGTGTTCTGCTTTGTCCTTGTTGGAGAACAATGTAGTTGGGGACGAAGAGCTATTTGTGAGGGGCACGAGAGAATGTGGTGATTGCTCAGCAGGAAATCTCCTGCTGTCACCACCTGCGCTTCGCGGCGGGAGCCTTCCGCTGAATTGAGGTTTAGATGCAGATGGAGCACTCACTTTCACCTTCGAAGGATAGTAAGAACTGTTCTTTTTGGCCGTACTGTGCCTGGAATCCTTATCGCTTTGATCAGATGAGGTGGATCTATGATCTGCTAGCTCCTTTGCCTTCTTAATCGGCTTGACTATTCTTCGGGTCTTCTGCTTTCCGTTGGAAAGAGAGATCTCAAATGCAGTGGCGTTTTCTAACGACGATGTTGACGTCGTGGCAGAGGGCCTACTCTCAACACTAATATCCACATCTGAGGTGTCCTCGGAATTACTTTCATCTGACTCTATCATCCTATCGCTACACTTTCTCCGTTTTTGGCCCTGTGAGTTCTGTGTGAAGGTTAATGTTCTGATACCGGTAGTATCTTGGCAGCGCTCGTCATCGACGTCACTACTCCCCGAAAATGTGCCCATTTGCTCAAAGTACTTTGTCTTGAGAATAGGGTCCATGAGGTCCTTAAGTGGGCCATAGACATCCGGCACATAGCCCGGGTTACACTCGGTCTGATTGACCATTCTGATAATGTCAGCTGTGATCAGGTCAGGATACTCCGACTTGCTATAGCATCTGTTTAAGTTGTTTCCTTTGGTATCAGCACGATAGTTTCCGACCCGAATCCCTTCTGCATTTATAGCGGGGACAATCCAACATTGAAACATGTCTAGAAGTACCTCCAACGAGCTCAGAAGCCCGTCAAGCACGTAGCTTCCAGGCGCCTCTCCAGGGTGACAGCGTGCGCTGATATAAATGATGGGTTTTTGCTTGGACGCCTCGTTCTTGCAGACCTTGTAGAGCCAAACGTTGCCCTTTAAAGGAACTCTTTCTGTCACCCACGGCTTAGTAATGCTGTCCAGCCGCGCATAAACCTCGTTGAGGGGATATGGATAGCTGTGACTGACCTGGACTGCATGTGTCCCCTTAGGGACACGGATCGAAAACAGCAAAGACTGGGAGTTCTTATCAGCATTGCCAGTACCTCCTCCCATGCAGCGAGTATCAAGTGGCCTATAGAGTACCTCTCTATGTGATGGCAAGAGGACTTCATAGTCGGTCCCTCCTGCATCCTGTGCCTCAAGCACTTTGACCAATAGGGGCTTGTGATGGGCGTCTAAGAAGCGAAACACAGGTCTGTACCCATGGATCAATAGCTTTTTAGTTGGAGGTGGATTGAGCCATTGAAAGCTGAGTAGTTGCTCTGATATTGGTTGGGACGAGGGTGAGAAGATGCAAAAATTAAACCAGGATTTGAAGCTGACTTGATGAGGCGTTCCTTCGTTGTCGTGTCTGCACCTAAAAGAAATCTCCCGCGCTAGAATCTGATGGTCGGGGTGAGTGAAGGGATCTGAGATATTAAAGTCGATGGCGTTCCCAGAGTCGTAGGCATGAACGAGGCGCAAAGCGGGGGCAGTCATATCCACGCTTTCTCCTCAACGCAAAATCTAAAAAGCTGATTTTTTCTTTTGGCACTCGTCCCAAAACACTCATGTACACTGCGTCTTTTACATTGACTAACATATCTACTGAGATAGGAAGAATTGAAGGGTCTCTTTCGGATCAGATTTTGTGCTTCAATAGACCGGTTCTTCCGCGTGGTTCTGGCTACTTCTATGACCTTCTTCGAGTCGATCCTAGCGATACAATTGGTACTCAAATACTGATAATAAACCCTATCAGCCAAACTTATGGAACTATGTACACTAAGCCGTTATCATTTCGTCTTCTCTTTGAAGCACGTTTATTGGGAACCGTGACGAATTCTTTCCTGCGCATATGGCTTCCTGTGCCGCCTTCCGGCTTCACAGCGCTCGGACTTTGCGTCTCAATTACCGAGCACCCCCCAGACAACTTTTACTGCATACGGTCTGAGTTTGCGGCTCAACCACAAGAAGATGACATCAACTCCTTCTCGTATCTTATACTTCGCTCTCCGATAACTCCAAATTTCAGCCTAATTCGCTCTCATTACTTCAGCTTCAGCGTGAACAACTATCTTCCAGTTCTTCATCCTATGTTCCTCCTTTCGCTCCAAAGACAGGCTGTTGTAAGAGACATCCCAGTGATTTCGCGACTATTTGACTACATTCCGAGACCAAAGAGCCGCCGGGTGGACCCTGCGGTAGATAGGCATGTCCTACTTAGGCTTACGTTGTACAAAGTCATAAGTGACACTGATTCCAAGTCCACTCGCTCTATCGCAACTCCTAAGATAGGTTCGTCCCGATCCATCCGCCTTTCCTCGGCTAGTATGGCCGGTGGTATGAATATGAGCCGCTTTTCCAAATCTGGCCTTACAAGCCGCTTCATTGATGACCTTCCAGAGATAGATGATGACCTAACAACAGTGTACTTGGTGAAGCCCGCACGAGGCCCACGCTTTGGCGATAGTGTAGGCACTAAAAACTCCGTGGTCCCACACGACTCTGTCTTGGCAATGCTCTCCCAAGAGAGTGATTCCAACCACGCTGATGCAAGCGCTTCTATCATCACTCCTGAGCTCGTTCACGAGATCTTTGTGCCTTGCATAGGATTTAACTTGGTAGCCGTTATGCCCAGTAGCTTTGCTCCTCCAGAGAAGAATAGCAGCAAAGGAGCTCTTAATGATCGTGAGTCATCCATCTCATATGCATCGGAAAGCACCACTCTGGATGATGCCAGGGCTGCGGCACACAGGGCAGCAAGGGAGCCTCAGCAAGTGACATACACATATCTGTATGCGCCAGTTGCACCGGCTGGGTACACTGCCGTGTCTGTTGTCCTTGGAGATGAGATGGGGGAGCCTCCAAATCCAGCCAGCGTATTGACGGTGAACAACAAGTACATAACATACACAGATGCTTGCTCTATCATCGGAGAGCTTTACGATAGAGACTCAGCTGAATATTGTTACCGTTTTCTTAAGACCCAGAGCAAAATGCTTGAAGAGCGCAGAAAAGCAGCAACCTTATGCTTTGCTGATAATAGGACTGATGTTACTACAGCGGATAGGTTCACACGACCGATACTAACAGATGTTCCGTTGCCTCCGCCCTCCTATTCTTCTCAGCTCGGTTTAAGAGTAGAGGCTACAGCGTTGCATAACGTACCCGAGTCTCCGCTACGCAGCAATACACAGATGGCGTTTGGCAACGAGCCATCTACGACAGCAACAACAACAACAACAACAACAACAACAAGAACTGGGACGGCTTGTACAGAACGTCAGGATGCCGTAAGAAGCTGTGTCACGGGTGATAGTAGATTGGAAAGTCGATCAGCAGCTCTTTCTGACTTGTCTGAAGTCGCGGATTTAGATCAGCTTGTGCGACCAACGGCACGAGCAGTTCAACTGGTGACTCCCCGAGGGTCGCCTTTCATATTTGTGAATGACCCTAAGGTCGACGAGCTAGAGCCCGATAAATCCGCTTCTCCGAAATATCCCATCATATCACCTGCTATCCTCAACTTTATTTTCTCTGCTACCTCGATATCCTCCAAAGATTTTATGTCAGGAGTTACAATTGAACAAGAGTATGTCAAAATAGCTACTCTAGATCTTCCAACACACAAGCTTCAATTTTTAGAACCCAGCCTCAAAAAGCCCTCTTACTCTTGCTTTGGATCCATAATCTATTGGGATAAGCAGGCAGTGACCACCGCCCAGCCATTGAAACCTCCTACGCCCCAACAGCCAACTACAAAGACAAGCAGCAATCCACGTGCTGGATCAGCGAAGAATGTGCAGCACGTGCAAGAACCCGAACCGCAAGCCATTACTTCACAGGCAAGCAAGGCGGAATCAATACCGCCAGTGCTCCCATTAGAGCTCGGACTGATTTCAAAGTCGTCCGGTTTCGATTCATACATCTTTTCTGAGCCGGATGCACTCGTTCCTGTTTGGTCTTCAGAAGATCTAGAGACGGACACTAAAATTGTTGTCTACGAAATGATTCCTCAGCTGGGCTACGCTGCCTTAGGCTATGTGGTATCTCTCAGTGGTGAGATCCCGTGCAAGTCTCGATACTGCTGTGTTTCGTTGGCGTTTGTCTCCCGAGCAACCGCGTTTCATGTTCATAGTGGGATACGGCTTCCTCAAGTTGCCAATTTTGACAAGCAATACTTGATTGCTCTGAGACGTCCACATCCATTTGCGCCACTATCTAACAAAGACCACTCTGGCATGGCATATTTCAATTTGACACGATTCAGTGACAATGATGCACAGAAAGCAATGAAGGTGTTAGACTTTCCACCCGTTTCATCGACAGTCTGGATTATAAAGGCTCAACTGTTAACAGCTGTGAGCAGTCAACGCCAGCCCAAGATAGGTGAGCAGAACGAGCAGAATAACGTGAGTACCTTAGTAGAAGCATTCAGAGCAATGCCTCTGTCCTTCGAGTTGACCCTTGAGCTCTTGCAAGACAGCACTGGCCAAATAATAGTTGATGAGAGGTTTGAGTGCGGCTCACCCGGGGTCAATCGACTTGCATCGCTTCTGCAAGAGATATCAGAGCTTAAGAAACCAGGGCTTCTATTAACCACAAAATCCATCATAACCACCACAGCGACTAGTGCTGACAACCAAGCCGTGGTAGAAAATTCAACTATGAAAGTGCCTAAGGAAAAGCAAGCTTTACATGGTGAAGTTGAAGGCGCGTCTAAGTTACCCAGGACTACCTCGGGAAAACGACCAGATGGGCTTCCTCCGTCTTCCGCTTCAGAACCTCCTCCCCCAAGAGAAGGGTCGTTGGAGAACGCTTCTATGAAGCAGTGCTTGGCAACTCTTGTTGACCCACGGTGGCTCACCTTTGGAACGAGACACGTTTCCACCTCATTAGATCTAATTCCAGTTGTAAGGAACACTTTACCGAATGCTGTGAGCACAACTAGCAACGGGTCGTTCGCCAGACCGGCAGAAGTTTGCTATCTGGCCACCGTGCAGATTGGTACCACCCAGTGTCTTGTCTTTCGACCTGTTCCTTTTCCCAATTACATTTCTCTCGGCGAAGTTGTTGTGCCTCTGCAATTTCTTTCGATGACCCACACACTGGGCGATGCCTTTCAAGTGGCACTTACCACCGGCTTCACGTCCAAGCTATCCCAAGAACAGAACGCGTCCATGAAGGAACGCCAAACATCCATTTCTTTTCTTGAGGCCGTCTTGCAGAGATGCTTATTATGCGTCCACCTATCTCTTTGTGAGTACGTCACGCTGAAAGCTGTTCGGCCTGCTGAGCTTGACTTGGCCGCCGCACTGTTTTCAGCCCCAATCGTCGATAATTCCAACATGCATACTACGCTTTCTGGCGTGTCGTGTGTAACAGATACGAGCAAGCAGCACAATGGGCAGACGGTTTCAAGCATAAAAACTAGTCTCTGCCCCTCTGATTCTGCCAAAACATCGACCCTTAACCTTACTACCCTCGGTGATGCTCCTGCTACAAAGCAAAGGGATCCTACTCAGCTGTCCCCACAGGGCGCTCCCTTTGTTGGCTTGTCTCAGGAAAATGTGGAAAATGTGCGCTTAAATAGCGGCCGCTTCACTCCTAGCCGAGCAAAGTCGCATGGCTCTACAAAGGTACACCAACGGCTTGATTTCCTTGAGCTTTACGACGACATTGACCTTCCAGAGACAGAGAATTTGGCTGTTGCACCGCCTCGTCCCAGCACGCGGGGCAATAATGCTCTTATTCTACAGCAGGCGCAAGACCTGCGTTCCTGCTTTGACATTGGACATGTTGAGCAGTATTCTTCGCAGCAGTCGGACATAAGGCTGGATCCGTCATCGGATCTGTATGCTGATTTCGCTGGGCATGAGAGTCTTCCAGGGCATCCTGTTTCCACAGGCGTCTTGACCTTATTAGCTGATGGCTATCGAGAAGACGAGGGAAACGGGTGTTGGCTATACAGTGATGGTGTGCATATCTTTGCTTCTTTGTCTCCGCAGAAAGAGCTGAGCATACCTCGTCTCAAGGCTTCGTACCTCAACCAGCTGACTCGCAAACTATTGATTTCTAAAGGAGAGGAGCTACACTTACTAAAAGCAAAAGAAAATGACCAAACAATGAAGGATCAGACAGAACGCGGTGAGCTGGCATCTCTTAAGAGCGGGTCAAAGACGTTCTCAACAACCAAGAAACAGGGGCCTGAGCAAACCCCTCTTTGTCAGCTGGATTGCCTTATTGACATCCCTTATGATGGTATCTATTACTGGATGGATCCTCTCCCAGCATACTCTCTCCTATGCGCATGCTTAGCTGCCGATGGGAAGCCATCCAAAGAGGTTGGTTTGGAATTGGAAATACGGGCCTTTGACGAAGGAGTCCAAAAGGACCTCGTATCTGCGTGCATGGTTTCTCTTTCTTCGCTTCACATGGTATCGTATGAACAACCCCTGAGCGCTGAGAAGCTCCTTAGTGCGTGTCCTCCGATCCAGCAACAGGATGGAACACGCAAGGGCAAACAGGGTGAGGCCAAGAAGTCCGCTCGGCCATTAGGCCCAGTTATCCACAAGAACATTATCATTAACACCCCTGCTTCGCGACTGGATGGCATGCCTGATCCTATGAAACCGTCTGTGGACGTGGAGGATCTTGCAGCTAAACATAGTGCCAATGCCAAGCTTTTACGGGCACTATTTGAGATCTGTGACGCCCTGCATGCTACAGAGCAATTCAAGCTAATGGGCAGAGAGACTATCTTGTCGTTTAGGTCACCCCAGGGGTACGTGCTCGTATCAGACAAGGTCCCTGTAATGAGAACCAATGAGGTCGCGAAACCAGCCTTTCTTGGAATTGGAGAAGATGTAACTCCGGGATGGTTTTTGATCTTTGAGAAGGTGCTGGCTCGATGCGCTGGCTCATACATCACTCTACACAATATGACCCCTGTGGAATTAGTTTTGCTCGTATTCCAGTTTATCGGATTTGTTCCTAGTAAGGCAGGGAGCAGCAGGCATGGTGTTAGAATCTACTACACCCCGACCGAGGCCTCTCTCGTCAACTTTTCTCCAGAGAGCGTCGAGCTTCTTCTGGAGCAGAAAACAATTTAGAATTCAAATCAGCAAATTCCAGAGTCTGGACGGGCGGAAATAAAAATGCGTGAGTGCATCTCGGTCCACATCGGCCAGGCCGGAGTCCAGATCGGCAACGCCTGCTGGGAACTCTACTGCCTCGAGCACGGGATCCAGCACGACGGCCAGATGCCGTCCGACAAGACGATCGGGGGCGGCGACGACGCGTTCAACACGTTCTTCTCGGAGACGGGCGCCGGCAAGCACGTCCCGCGCGCGGTCTTCGTTGACCTCGAGCCCACGGTCGTCGACGAGGTCCGCGCGGGCTCGTACCGCCAGCTCTACCACCCCGAGCAACTGATCTCCGGCAAGGAGGACGCCGCCAACAACTACGCCCGCGGGCACTACACGATCGGCAAGGAGATCGTCGACCTCGTCCTCGACCGCGTCCGCAAGCTCGCAGACAACTGCTCCGGGCTCCAGGGCTTCCTGATCTTCCACTCCTTCGGAGGAGGCACGGGCGCCGGCTTCGGGTCCCTCTTCCTCGAGCGCCTGAGCGTCGACTACGGCCGCAAGTCCAAGCTCGAGTTCGTCGTCTACCCCTCGCCCCAGATCGCGACGGCCGTCGTCGAGCCGTACAACACGATCCTCGCCGCGCACTCGATGCTTGAGCACTCCGACTGCGCCTTCATGGTCGACAACGAGGCCATGTACGACATCTGCCGCCGCAACCTCGACATCGAGCGCCCGACATACACGAACCTCAACCGCCTGATTGCCCAGTGCATCTCCTCGATCACAGCCTCGCTCCGCTTCGACGGCGCCCTCAACGTCGACCTGACGGAGTTCCAGACGAACCTCGTCCCGTACCCGCGCATCCACTTCCCGCTCTGCTCGTACGCGCCCATCATCTCGTCCGAGAAGGCGTACCACGAGAAGCTCTCCGTCGCCGAGCTCACCAACTCCGTCTTCGAGCCGGCGAACATGATGGTCAAGTGCGACCCCCGCCACGGCAAGTACATGGCGTGCTGCATGATGTACCGCGGCGACGTCGTCCCGAAGGACGTCAACGCGGCCATCGCGGTCATCAAGACGAAGCGCACGATCCAGTTCGTCGACTGGTGCCCGACAGGCTTCAAGGTCGGCATCAACTACCAGCCCCCGACCGTCATCCCCGGCGGCGACCTTGCGAAGGTCCAGCGCTCCTGCCTCATGATCTCCAACACGACGGCCATCGCCGAGGTTTGGTCCCGCATGGACCACAAGTTCGACCTGATGTACGCCAAGCGCGCCTTCGTGCACTGGTACGTCGGTGAGGGCATGGAGGAGGGCGAGTTCTCCGAGGCCCGCGAGGACCTCGCCGCCCTCGAGAAGGACTACGAGGAGATCGGCGCCGAGACCCTTGGCGACGGCGAGGGCGAGGACATGGAGGAGGACGACGCCTACTAAGCGAGTGAATTCTTTCCGTCGACCTTTGCATCATCGTTGCTCGGTCGTCTGCCTCGTTTACGACCTGCTTGTTCCTGGGCCTCAAATGGTTAGTGGTTTTCCTTCTTCCAACGGCGTTGGTCCATCCTGTAGATGTGCTGCCGTTAGCTAACAGTAGGCCAAAAGGTGTAGTCTTTGATGACCAGGTCCATGGAATTTAGACCACCAGCTCCTCAGCGCCCGGGGGCGCTCTTGAGCCAGAATAAGAGCCGGAATAGATATGGTTTTGTTCTCTTGCGGGTCTTGGATAGCAAGTAAAGTTCAGTTTACTGCCGAGTCCTTGTATGCAGCGGACGACCAGTCGAGGTCGAGGGTTTGAACAGGGCCAATGTGCGTTCCGTCGCTTGTAGCCTCACAGATTATGAACGAAGATCCTGCAGCAGCATCGTTGAAGGCTAGCGTTTTAAGACTTTCTAACAGAAGGGCCACCGCCTCGTCCTTAGAGATGCCTGGCTTCCACCCTTCGCGCAAAACAGGCAAAGCGTAGTGTCTCCCCATTCCAGTAGCAAAGAAGCTCGCTGTAAACTGAGTCCCACGCAGATCAACGACTCCGATGTAAGGGCTCTCCCCTGGCTCGCATCCTCCAATAATGTATCCATTGTAAATTGGGTCCATTTCCAAGCGAGAGCTGTAGTTACGTGTGGCAAGGAAGCCGTGGATCTCTCTCGTGCTAGGGGGAGGTGTCCCGTGGCACCGGGCCTCGCGGTGCATAGACTTCAAGGTATATAGACTGTCTTTAAAGTCGGCCTCATCCCCAGTAAACCCTATGAGTGTGTGTGTACCGACAGGAATGATACGCTCGTAATTGTCAGTCCTGCGCGTGCTGCCATAGTTCAGCACAGTATCAGCTGCCATCAGGACACCGTCTTTGTGTGCCACCGCGACAACTGTTCCACCAGTCAAGAAAGAAGCCATCAGAAACTTCGGTTTCCAATGGCAATTTACATTAAATCATTCTTATGAAAAATAAAAAGGCATGGAGTTCGAGCAAGTGCTGGCAACGGTAACCCAAGTTGTCGCATACAAGCTTCCACCGACGCTCAACTTAAGCTCGTTTAAGTGCGCTGATTGGCCTGGTGAGTGGGTGATTTTCCAGGGCAACCTCAGCATCATCTCCAAGGGGGAGGCCTGCTCCGTCTCCCTTGTGGCCCCAGACACAGGCGCAGAGGCAGCACGCTTTCCCATAGAGTACAAGGGGACAGTTCCGGTGGTTGAGAAGGCGTCGGACTCTTCGCGTTATTTTGTCATCGTGGTCAAAGACCCGACTGGAGCCAAGATGGCATTTATCGGAATAGGATTTCAGGAGCGTGATGGCGCATTTGCTTTCCAAGCAGCCCTGGCAGATCATGGAAAGCTATTGGATCGGAAGGCCCATCCCCCTGCGCAGATAGTCGTGAATCAAGACTTCTCTCTCAAGAGTGGTGAAAAGATTAAGATTGGTTTGGGGAAGAAGACCGGAGGCACCCCCTCCGTCCCGCCGGGAGGCTTCAATTTTGGGGCGCCTCCCAAGTAAATTTAGTCCGCTCTTTGAAAAGGTGTTCTGTGATTTATGTGGATTGCTATTGCTTTTCGTGTTCTAGAAGGTTAGTAAGGCCCTCAATGTAAGGGTGATAGACCTTGAGATCGAGAAGGACAAATTCGGGTGGAAGAGGCTCACTGGTGGTCAGCCTAACGGTCTCCTGGTCAACAGCCACAATGTCTGCAAGAAGGTTGACAAGCTCATACTGAATGGCTTGTTCGCCAGCTGCCTCCAAATAGCACGGAAGCTGAGGAGAGACACCGAGAGTAAAAGGGTCCTGATCTTCCGTGACAGCACTGCACCCTGCAGTCCTTGCGTTGTCTATGAGGTACTTTGATATATGTACAGAGTTGTTATACGGCTCTGTGTAGTTAAACACAACGTTTGACACAGTGATAGTCCCGACAGGACCGGAAACAATGTCTGAACTAGGAGCTAGTAAATCGGACGCAGGGAAATGGTTAGATGAGAATCTATGCTTAGCAAGACCAATGACCCAAGCCTTGTCCCAGGACTCCAAGTTGGCACATGAGCCTTTGAAGCTGTCGAGCAGTGTCACATTAATCAGAGACGGGTCTGCGTCATCCGTGACCACCGATCCGATAGGAGCCATAAAGAAGCGGTGGTCTCTTTCTGGGGCTAGGCTGTGAGATTGAAACCCCTCAGCAAGAGCGAATCGGCCCTGCCAATTCTGCAGGCATTGCTCTGCCTGATGATACTCCGTTCGAATGCGGATCAGTTCCTTGGTGTCTTCTGCCAGCTCGCTCTGAAGACGCCGCATCTCCGCCTCGATATCTTCGCTTGTGAGCACGTTCGTGAGTATGTCCTGCATTTTTAGGCTAACTTTTACTCTTCTCATTAGACCTGCGTGCAAGCAGACTGCTCCACTTCATCTCCTCTAGCTCTTCGCTGACAGAGACATCATATCCTTTCAGGGCTTTGATTCTCGAGACCAACTCAGGCACACAGGACGGTTTGAACGTGGCAATGGCATCCTCGAGCAGATATCTCTGAAGCCGTCGCTCTTTAAAGTAACAAAGTTCTGTGACACCATGTTTCTTCAGGCAGCAAAGGGCTTCCTTGAAGTTGCGACCCAATTCTGACGCCTGATGGCAGTCACTGGATAAGCAAAAAGGGATATTCATCTTGGCAGCATAAGCCACAAGGGACTCAGCTGGAAAAAAGTCGTCTCCATACTGAGATCCACTAGTGTTGAGCTCTAACACAACCGGATCGAGGCCTTTCTTCTCTCGCGCCAGATTGTACTTCGCCATCTCAGTGATGGCGCTTTCTGCATGCTTGTGGACCACCTCCCTGTTTCTGCGAACCCACTCCATGCCTACAACAACCTTAATAAAATCCATGTGCGCCATGACTTGAAACCATCCTGTTCTGAGCGCCTGTACCCAGGTTTCAAAGTACACTTTAATCTGTTTTTCCTTGTCTGAGCACGCGTTCTCAATTTCCTGGTAATAGTGCAGAGACCCCAGGACACAGTCGAAGTCTCCAAGGTGGCTCACAATAAAATCTTCAGTGAGATGTGGAGCATCGGGAAGGTAGTCAACTTCCATCGTAAGAAGAATGTCCAACTCTGGAAGGTGAATCCGAGCAAATGCACATTCTCGTCGATACATTGTCATGAACAACTCAAACTCTTCATAAGCCATTCTGTGCTGGGGAGTTACTAGGTCTCCAGGGAAAGGGTTGTGGCAGCAGTACGCTATCCCTTTATATCCCAACTCTGATGCCAGTTTAAAGTACACCCGTGGCATTACCTTTTCAGCACATTGGCATAGAAACGTGTGGGTGTGTACGTCATAAATGCAAGGAGGCATCAAGTTTTAAAACTTGCAGATCTCCACCAAATTGTGAAGCAAGTTGCAAAGACGACGCCTACAAATTGCCATTCAAGATTTACTACTCCTTACTACTTCACACAATTGGTAATGTGCTGGCACGATGTCATAGTTCAGCGTTAGATATGAATTGAACAGTAACATCGTGGCCGTGTGATCGACAACTGATGCGTAAGACAGCTTAATCAGAATACAACTCAACAGAAGGGCGGAGATGCCAGCTCAGAGAGGGGTACCATAGGACTACGTGCTGGAAGCTAGTATGCGTTGGTAGAATGCGTTGACAACATCCTCGTCGGCAGCAATCTCGGGCGATTTCTGCAGACACCCCACATTAGCAAACACATCCACTATACTAGTCAGCTTGGTAATGTCAAACATGGTGGGCGATCGCGAAGTGACCGCCTTGCTTATTGGCGCATGGGTCATAAGTTGGTTTCTGTTCTTTGTCCACATTGCCTCATCATACATCTCTAGCGATAGCTGCTCTAGCTTATATGTGTTTGCGGGTCTATCCATAGGAATAAGCATGGAGCCCGGGGCATCATCCCTCAATATCGCCTCTGCTTCCTCAGCAGAATTGTACCCCAGTTGGGCCAGCAAATCTTTGCATTCATTGGTAACGGCAGCCAACTCAATAACCTCTCGCAGACAGACAAATTCGGCCATTCGGTTGAAATAGTATAGAGGTACTTGAGCCCGTTTGATTCCTTTGCAGAACTGCTGCGCAAACCGCTTCTCTTGCTGAACTAGAAACATCTTCTGATTGGCTTGTGAAGACACCCAATCTCGATATGGGCGGTCACGCATGCAGGGCATAAGGGGTGTTCCTTTTCGTTTGTTAACAAAATAGGAAAAGATGCTAGCAAATAGACTGCGAGAAATGAATGGGACTTGGGAAGCAATCTTCTCTAGCTGCTCGTTGACGACGACCTTGCGCTTGGATGTCCCCTTAGTTCCCACATCTAGGTCCGAAGACTGGTCCATCTTATGCTGTTCTGCTGCAATCCTTTTGATGTAATCTGTGGGCATCCGAGGAATAAAGCAATCTGGAGGCCTTACAATAGTATTTTCCAATTCAAAAGAATCCAGGACGACTAATCTACACGCAATGTAAGCTTCATAAATATTTCTTTCGGTTATAAAAATCTGACGAATCTTCGCAGGGAAAAATATATCCAATACAGTCAGAATCCACTCCAAAACGTCCTCAGAGTATATGGAGTCAGTAGGCAAGGACACGTGGATGTCAGGAAATCTAGACCCTCTAACCTCTTGTTTTTCTGATAGTTCGAGCGCACACCTCTGTGTCCCCTTGTGCGATGGTTTACTGGCAGAAGCCTCTGCTTCGATGACACGAACTATCCCATCACTAAAGCATAGATCTGCATCATCCAAATCCCTTAGTATGTTCCTTGACGAATTGATTGCCGTAGCAACGCGGTAGCTTACCCCCGGCTTGAATCCGAAGCATGAATAGGCAGGAATACGGGTAACTTTGGGCGCAGGAATAGACAGCTTATGAGTAGACGGTCCGCGGTTAACTGCTCGAAGAAGGTGTGCTTCTTCCTCTTCTATCTTTACTTGTCCTTCTGTGAGTCCAAGATAGACCCTGTCTGGCTCCACAGTTTGGGACTTTCCAAAATCACTGGGAAAACCAGACTGGGGCCCAGTTACAATCAGAAGCCTCTCCTCATAGCGTGGTACCACTTCCTTCTGCGCTAGCGGAGGAGGTGAGAGAGCCATGCCTGGACTCAAATCCAAATTAAATTACTTTATTTGTGATAGATGCTTTCTGCTCCTTGTTGACCTTGTTGATGTTATTGATGCCCAGCGTTGAAGTAGCCAGGACAAGCCGCAAATTTACTTGTCAGTCTTGTCCGAGGTGACGATGGTTGCCTCTTTTTCTATGGAAAACCTTCCGCCAGCAGCAACAATGTTGGCTTCGATCACCTTGCACACGGAGCTAATTAATTCCTTTGCTTCCTTCTGGTATATGGTCTGCACAGAGATAGTGTAAATGGGCGCAACATGCATCTTGATGGTAAGCGGCTGCTCGTCGGCCGTCTGAGTGGCGTCTTCGCTGGTAGTGAGCGGATGCTCTGCAGCGTATTTAAGCCCCTCCCGTAAAGCATCTTTAATAGTCTCGATTCCCAAGATCCCGCGGCAGATGGTAACACTGATGTCACAGGAGAGTTTGACAGGTCGCTCACGGAGGCGCGTGTTCAGTTGGTCTTTTAACTGCTTCTCCAGAGCAGCACGAGGGACGGTATTCTTAATAGCATTCAGCTCTTCCATGGTAACCAAGCCGTGGGATAAGTCATAATCTCCCTCTTTTGCAATGTAGCCGTGCTCATAGTAATCGTCCAGAATTTGCTTGAAAACCCTATCGAACGAAGTCACTGCACATCTAAAAGCGTTATATACAGATTGCTCCTCGTCTAAAGCCGCAGTGGGCCAGCCCAAGACTTTATAAAGAATGATGAGCTTGGGTATTTTAAAGAGCAGCGCTAGGTGACGCATCAATGTGTGAATAGTATTGTTGCGATAAAACTCCATCTTGCAGTCTTCCTTGTCCTGAGGTGTTACTGATCTCTCGTCCAAATCTATGTACCCTCGGTCAACGTCGATGCGAGCAACCTCCAGAGTGATCTCCTGCCCAGGACGAAGGTAGCTATTGATATTTTTTATGCGACGCTGGGCAATAGAACTAGCAGGAAGCAAGGCCTCTGTATTGTTCCACTCCAATAAGTGAATGTAAAACCCGATGTCATGAGACCTGTCGACCCTGCACAGCACATACTGGTGCTGCGCAGGGACAGGCGACTCATGCATACGGCACAGCGTGATCTGAAAAGCTTCTGTCATTCACTATCTGCTCTCAGTTTTTTGATTGTTTTTGTCCGGACAGATCATTGAATTGAGACTAAAGACTCTTTTGGTTCTCCAAACGGCGATTTCCCTGCAAAGTACTGACTGAATGCGCTCCTGGGACATGGAGTATCTGGAGGTAATTCTGTAGGTTTGTGCTGAGGGGGTATTGCTAAGATAGGATCGAGACAGAAGCGCGCAGCACCCCGCCATGGATATTCCGTAAGGCACTGGCGACGAATAGTAATTTCGCGAACTTTGTTTCGTCCTATCGCAAAGTCTTTGACTGCACGGAGAGTAACAACAGCGACAGGGTAGCCAATGTTTAAGCCTGCCAACAGAGTTACTTCAAGCCTACACATAGGGTCTGAAGAATCACGAGCAAAATATAGAGGCGGAACCATCACGCTCCCCGCGAAAAACACATAAGGGCCGAAGTCAGCTAGAAAGCATGGCATCCCATTATCATCGTACTGTGTGGCCTCAACCAGGCGCTCAAGTCCGTATGGAATATTAAGTCTATCTAACGGCACGGCAAGCGCAAGAGCCTCTGAAACAATTGCGCCCGCTTTGGCAGCGTAAGGTCCGTGCATAGCTAGTCCGCGGCTGTTCCGCAGGCTCGTCGAATTCCTCGGCCTAGTAAATCCGGAAAGAATTCCGAACAACCCCTTAGTAAATACCAACACGGGATCATTCCACACAGAATAGGCGTGCATGTAGCAACGCATGCAAACCATCTTTGTACATAGGTATGGATCGACTTGTTGACAGGTAGCACAATAGGATGTCGAGCATGCTCTACACTTAATAGAAGGAGGCTTGGAGCAGAGGCGGCATGACCACCACTTCAGTTGCGAGCGCCAGGCTTTGTCAATGACTTTAAGCCCTTTTAGAGTCTGTAAAGTTTCCTCACAACCATAGTTAGGAAAAACATATGGTTTAGGTTTGAGCTCAATAGTATTAGAGTGTATCTCTGTGGAAGCATGGTCATTGGCAATCTCATAATCTCGCTTATAACTAAGCAATCTTCCAGGACAAATCCTGAAGTGGCTCGACAACCAATTGGATCTCATTAAAAATTTATTGCAGCCGATACACCATGTCGCATTAGATTTTAGTATATGATTATGAAATTGGTATAAAGATGCTCGTGTTGTTGTAAAATTACACAGCTTACAGTAATACCTATCATTAATTTTATGTTCAGTTGAGAAGTGTCGCGTGTTTGGACCGTAGATGTTATAGCACTGGCCACATAAAAGGTCACTAGCCCTAAGTATGGGTTTCCCATTAAAATAACGCAATAGATCCTCGAAAACCCGAATACCATGACAAAGAATCGCATGCTGGCACAGACTATGTAATTTCATGGAGTACGAAAATTTTTCATTGCATAGTGCGCAATATACATCAAAGCCCACCTTGCTCGCTAAAGCCCCTGTCGTTTCCAGAAGTGCCATTTTTGTTTTCCGCAGCTGATGACTGGTCCAGAGTAAACTGTAGATTATATCGTGTAGAGCTCTGACAGTACTAAAAGAAGCATTCCTCGCTGAGATTCAGGGATCTTTAGGTTTTGGGGATTTAAACCGAGTAAGAGATTTGCAAGATCCTCGCGAACGCACTGTTCACAAGCCCGATAGTGGTCCAGCTTCTTAAGAAGCTCCTTTGTAAACCAACTGTCACCCTCCTGAAGCAGAACAAGCTTTGTAGCTTGAACCACAGAGGAATGTGTCCCGTCAGTGAAAGCATCCGGCTGTTCTATCGCCAACTGATTAGTAGAAAAGGCCTCGTCTAATACAATATTATCTAGGCTCTGCCTCCAGTCATTGTAGCATGAAAATATGGTGTTGTATTGCGTGACGTCTTGTCCCCGGTCATGCGCCTCAGCCCGGTCCAGCAGATCATTGAATGCTAAGGCCTTTGTGTGGAGATAGTAAAGCGCTGCTGCTTCACCAGTTTTAGTTGCTGCATCTTTGAGAAGAGAAGTGTACTGCTGCTCTAATGTAGAGGCGACAGTTTTCATAGTAGTTGATAGGTTCTTGTTGGCTTCAGTGGCACGAAGGCTGCATATTAAAGGAGTTGCTGGTAGGTTGACAGTGGTGCCGTGTGCAACCAAAGCATGACTCCTGGCCATACGTTTGGAAGAGCTTTGAAGCCCAGGAATCGGAGCACACCTTGCCCCATGCGTGGCGTACATAGGGCGACTTTGAAACGCGGCAGAGCCAGAGTCTGACGTTGCAGAGTGTAAAGCCATGCGGTCGACTTCAACCATTGCTGAACGGCCCACAGGAACAGCGCTCAAGGCTAGAGGAGCACAGTTATTTTCTGAGGCAGCAAAACAAGTGGAATGGGTCTGTGATTTGCTCCCTGCAATCTTAAGCAAGAGGTAATGACTTTCCAACTCATTTGGAAGTGTGCCTTCGTTGACATCTAGGGCACTACACGCCAAGTCATCATCTTCATCCCACCGGGAGCGTCTAGATGACCGTGACTTGGCCAGCAGCGACTCCTTCAGCTGAGACGCTTCATGGGTCATATAAAATTTCAAATCCCGATTTAAAAAATTAAGGCTCTAGCTCTGTTGAGCTTCGTTGCGTGTTGATGCAAAATATATACCGGGCCCCTTCGCCAGCTACCCGCAAGCGAAAGGCGCAAGAGCTACTCGCTAAACATGCACTAGCCTGGGAGGCCAATATGGAGCGAGCGTCAATACTTAGAAAGGACACTCAATCTATCTTGAACATCTCTACCTTGCACCGAGAGAAGGTAAGATTGGATGCTATCAATGAGGCAAAGCGACGGCAGAGGGCAAATTTATCATGGGAGTCATCCCTTCGCACCCTTCAGACTACACAGGTTGTTCCTGTCGGCGGAAGATACTCAGGTTTGCAGTGTGTAGTTTCCAATGACCCCAATGCGATAAGCCTCCAAAATATTATCAACATGCCCAAGTATCGTGACTTTGCTCATCACCTTCCAGACGATCTACGCAAGGAGCTGGAAGATTATAGATCGCGGGTTGCTCAGCGGGCTATTTCTAGAGCCATGCAGCCGTCCTGTGACCTACCAGATGCGGAATTTTCACTCTTGGCCCAGAAGACCCAGAACAAGCATTCGCCAACAGGCCCAAATCACTTGCAAGACTCACCAAATAACGAACACTCAGTTACCATATCGTCAAGTAGGATCACCAAGCACGATGCCACCGCAGCCCCTGTATCCTTATCAGACTCAATCTCTCCAAACACTACCCCGACAGACTGTCAGGTCAATTCAGCCCGCACAAACACTACTGGTATTCTTAGCACTCTCAATGCGCGTGGGCAACGCTTGCCAGCCGGCACAGCTGCACAGAAGGCAGACAAGATCGCCCAGTACATTACAGAGAAAAACAGTCACATAGTCACTACCTATATGCCCGAATTAAACCTGAACACAGATAAAATAAACACGACCTGCATCATGGAGCCAATCGCGTTTGCACTACAAGAGCTTCACCCGCGAATAGAGATAACGAACCTCACCACCGTGATCTATAATTCCAGAGAAAAAGTAGGATATAATGTTGCCACGGTAACAGTGCGTAATATGGGAGATTCCGTTGTCTCATTGAAGCTAGTTCCGAAAGGCGCGATAGACCTGGCCACTGTGGACCCCATTCAGTTTAGTTCTAAAATGTCAATGTTTGAAGGCCGGGACGTCTTCACCGACAGGGCCCGCAGCCCAGAGTCAACTCGATCTCTCATGAGCGTTAACAGTAATGCACCCGTTCACAAACTCCGGCAGAATTTAGGCGCGGTTCCTAGTAGTTCCGTCAACAGGCTTCTGGATTTGGTGTCACAGGACCCCAAGCGTTACAAGAGCAACATCTCTACTACAAGCCACATGTCACTAGGAGCAACAGTCAATATTGTGGGCTCTTCAGAACCTTCGCGGAATCAATCCAAGAGGGGGTCTGTAGAGGATATAGAAACCAGGAAGCATGCACTGAGCGAGACTCTCACCGCAAATATAGCTCCATCACAAGCGGGAATAGATGCAAAGAGGCTCATTCAAAAGTCGACAACCCCTGTTGAACTACGTGTCTTGGCAACACAGTTTCTAAAAGAAAATAAGAGTACTGAAACTAACTTGATAGTTTCCGTTCCATCATCTACTTGGAACTTAAACCCAGGGTGCTCTACATCTATAGGCTTTATCCTACCACTTTCTGAGACAGGAGTTGCAGCTCCTGGCATAATACTTCGAGAATATTGGATAGTTACATCTCCTGCTGTTGAGGTATCCCTTCTTAGTTTAGAAGATACTCTGCATGCAAATAGACTGATAGAAACGGCAGCCGATGGTACTTCGACTCGGATAAATATCCGATGCTACGGCATATCTTCCGACTTCTTACAGATCAGCAACTCCATTAGGTCCCTCAGTAAGCGTGGAGTTAAAATGATGTCCGATTTATATTTACGGCAGATGTGCGCAGAGCTAGTTTCTGAACTGGTTTTCTTGGCCATGGAGGTGTCCCGTGTTACTGAATTAGATAATAGAGAACGAGTCAAAGAGCGGGGCATAGCAAAATATAATATCAATACTAAAGCTATGCACATTCACGAGACAGGCACTCTTAACGTGTCATGGGCGGGGGTTGCTAATGACATAAAGCAGCTTCTGAGCGACCTCGTTATTGAATGCGAGGGGCTTGATCTCAGTGTACAATCGCTACTTGCAGGGTACACTGATGATTATTTCCCCGATGAGTTAGAAGCTTATGGATCCATGCAGACGCCCATCAAACAGCGGCGTATATTCGGGCTTTATCACTTGGCGGCTGACCCTGAGGCGTCTCCCATCAACTCCTCTCTTCCCCATGCTCTTGTGTCCACGTTTGGGTATCTAAATGCGGCTCGGCTGGGATCTTCTGGTTGCACACAGCACACCGAGAATAGGGTCAACGCAACTCTCCGAGCGGCTGCACTGCCTCCAATGCAAATTCCTACAACCGCTAGATTTGCGCTTGTGAAGGTTGACTCCCGCTTTAAAGCTGCAAATGAAGGACTTGCATGCAATATTAAGAGATTTACCCACGAGATTCTTCCGGCAAAGCAGCTCCTATTCTACAAGAACTCCCCCCATTACTTAAAGCTTGCTGCTTATAACTCTGTCGCACTCAAAGCTTTTCTAATGCCCCATGTACCACCACGGCAAACAGATTCTTCTCCAACTCTCTCTCTGCATGGAAGCATGAGACCACCATTAGGCAATGAGCAGGTGCCTACTGACTCTCCAGCACCTTTTTCCAAGAATCCTGTGGGTCCCCCTTCTCAGGCAGGACAGCTGGATAAGTATCGTCAGTCCAGTCTTGCTCTCATTCAGGAGCATGTCGTAGTCGACGCTTTCTCCGACAAAGAGCCTGACTTAGTCGTGCTTTCCAGCTTGGAGTCTATAGAGTACGATGTCTTTTGCCGTGGCATTGCAAGGAGTAAGGAGCTTCTAGCTTTAACCGCCCCAGTGGTTCCCACGTCACTAGCCAGATTTCTTTATGAAAGAATTGGTTTTTATTGTCAGATGCTTCTAGAACAGCAGATTGTTAAAGTGATGAATAGGGGAAAGGGAGCAACGAAGCAACGCCTTTCGCTGATGTCCAACGGTTTAATAAGTGCGTCTGCACGCCCCTCTTGGGCAGAAAATCTGTCTACACTTATTTCTATGGCCTCTGCGACCTCATCAATCCGGCCCTTGAATACCGTTTTTGGTGGCCACTTGTCTTCCTTTGACACTGAGCAACGAGGTGCCTTGGTGTACCTGGTTAAGCTACGGCACTTGCTTGAGCTTAAAGCTGCTGAAGGAGTCGGGAGCTTTGTGCCCTGCTTCTGGGAAAGTGTCTGTAAGGAGTTTGCACACCGCAGACGTAGCCTACAGACATATAACCATAACAGCGAGGAGGATGCACCGTTCGCACCCAAGACAGACTCCTTTATGATCTCAGTCTTCTATTATCGCCTGAAGTTGACGTGTCAGACTGTTGCAGAGGAAGAACACGCACGCTTAGAGGCAGAAAAGGTTAAGAAACCTCCCGGAGCCCAAAAGCCAATTGTGGCAACAGACACAGCTAAAGATATCAGAGGCAACCAGGAGGGACTTCGTTCATTCAAGCATCTATTTCTTAAGCATGTGTACTACGCTGATCCAGGGACCAAAGAGCCATATGATGGGACGTCATTAGCCTGTGCCCTCTCAGCAGTGGAGCAGGCGGAGCAAGCAGCTGATGGATCATCGCCCAGTGCACCCATTTTGGTAGAGGAGCAAGGGATTCCACAAGATAAAATTGACACTGCCATAGAAACCATAGTCCATGATGTTGCAGAGTTAATGCTCCGAGAGATGTTATACCTGCTCACCATGTCTGGACGGATGTACATACCCTTCATTTATGCACTCCACGAAATTAACCTGATAGATCCGCATGCCGTCACACGTGGCGCATCATTTCCTCCGGAACAGATTGACTGGAGCTACTATCCTGAACATCAGTACACTCCGTTTTGCCCCGAGAATGTGTCCCAAAGCCACCGTAATATGCTATATGCACATTATGAGGTTGTTCTTTTCAGTGACCAAGCAACACCACCCCATCCATATGCCAATGCAACACTACACAAGAAGGGTCGTGTTTTCAGCAAAAAAAGAATGGGTGACCAATCTCCTGCATTGACTCCGCAACGAAGCGCCTCTAACGCTTCTTTAACTGATCAAGCACCACCTAACTTATACTTGATAAGTCAAGAGGAACCATACACAATTTCAGACTATCTTATTCTGGATAAAGTAACACCACTCCCTGTGCCTGACGCCCAGTCAGGTCTATTAAAGCGGCCACCGATTAGCTCGGAGAAGCCCAGGGCAGTGTCATCTATCGAGTCGCATCCAATTAGAATCAGATGCCTCACAGGAGTACCAACATTAGCGGTGGAATCCGACAGATTGGCCTGCTTAACGGGCCTTTCTTCTATTCTAAAGGCATCGTATGAGAGGCTGAAGACTCCTCCTGTCCAGGAGCCAGTGAAAAAGGGGACGAAAGGCAAAGAGGAGCCCCTGCTATCGATGACTGCCATTCCCCTGCCCAAGACATTTTTAGGCATCTTCTTTGCAGATGCAGACCCCAACACCCTTGCTTCACGCCTGTTTTCCCGATCGTTCTTTGAAGCTAATGCATGCTTTTTAACTGGTTTGACATCAGCTACTACACCAGCAACGCTTAGCGAGACACAGACAGCGGCACTCTCAGACGCTTTCGAGTGCCTTGCCATTACAACGTTTCAACCCTTCCGTCCTATGCAGCTTAATTATGCACTCCTTGATGCTGTCTTTGCGGCCATTCAGCTATCTTCTTTTCCAAAGACAGAGACCATCGACAATATGGTGCACTACATCAGTGTGGTTGGGTTTAGACATGCCAAGACAGTCTTCAACAAGCAGTGCGCGGTAGTCAATCGTGCGCGCGCGCAACTTTGCAAGTATGTTGTAGAGATATGTTCATGCTTATTTGCAAAGAGTATTGGGCTATCTCTTCCACTTCAGCAACCGCCTGCACTGGGAGGCACGGGCTCCTCTTCTTCCTCCAAGTCTAAGGGATCTGATGCAACCACGCTGAGCTTAATTCAGTTAGTAGACTCATTCAAAACCAGCATGTCTATTTATCTTGCTCAGAACTTCAATTCTGAGGTTGTATTCCTTGACCCAAATCTACTACTCCACTTAGGGCGGCTCATCATGGAAAGCTCATGTCCGGCATTACCAGATGTGCCTCATCTCACTAATATATTTTCCGAAATGACAAATTATATGAACCTGTCTCTGTATGCTTACGGGATTGAAGACTGCACTCCTTTTACTACTGAAAAGTTGATCAGAAATGTCGATAAAATCGATGAGGAGCTCGACGAAGACCTGGAAGGAAAACTCATGGCTACAAACAGCCCTGGTCACCATCTGAATCACTCTAACTTTTCCAGTACTATAGCAAAACCGGGAATTGCCAAGCGGTCGCGTAATCGGGGCAACCTCACACTCAGTGTCTCTATTATGGAGGATGGACCGAGACCGTATTTGGGACTAACAGAACAGACAGAAGACTTGTATCTAGAAAGCCTAACTTCACAGCAGATCAAGGAATATCAGCTTGCAAAGGCGTTCTATAAAGGGCTGGGCGAAGACGTCACCAGCGTTGATCGCTTCACTAAGAAAAGAGTAGACTATGATCCAGAGTTTAATGAACCACTTGACATAGGCTCACTCATTTATGAGCTAAAGCTGGCAAGCTTCCAGAGGGAGTTTGATACATTCATAGACGCACTATTCACTCATTATACAGATGATCTAATAGCAGAGCACTGTGATCGTCTACGCCTGTATGATGATGAGCTAGACGAATATGAGCTGACCTACCAGAAGCTGGTGGGCATTGCTAACGGTGAGCTGACTGCGGAAGAGGCCGGTATAGACCCTGATGCTGCAATTCATCCGTCTGAGCTCCCCGTACCTGCTAAGCCTGACGTCACACTCTATCCAACATTTCAAAAGCCTGAACTCAAAAACGATGCTGATTGCTTTACAATCCGCAAATACATTGGGTTTACGTACAGCTCGAGCTACCAGAAGACGTCTCTTGAGTACCTTGTAGAGGGCCTCATCCTTACTATGCTAGAGTTGGTTCAGATTGCTAAACGCGTGTATAGAAGCCAAGCACCCTTAGAGTACGACACTCAAGAATATGACAGAAAGTTTGATGATGCTGTTTGGGGCATTATAAGTGCATGCGGTTACACCGAATCTGATGTCAAGGCAATAGAAGCGAGATATGCGCTTCCAGACAGACTTGAAAGTCCATCTAGCAACCAGGACGTGCACAGAGTTACATCCTATACATACCTGAGCGATGAGGTGGAAGACGAGCTATCTGGGCCAATGTCCGCGTTTCCAAAAAGACCGCCCAGTGATTGTGTTGAGGTTCCCAATACTAATGATACACTAGCGCACCGTGAAGACACGCCTTTCGATAAGGAGATGGTTGCACCTGAAGTCGCTGCAGTGGGAAGCAAAGAGGGCATTGATAATGGTGACTCCGGCGAGGATGGTGAATGGCGTAATGATGCGCAGTTCTATCAGGAGCCTCCGCAATTGTCCAAATCTTTCCAGGTGCCAGTGGAAACGCTCGAAAAGCTCTGTGCTCTCTTTTGCATTAAGCCGAGCTCCTTGACAGATGCAGAATCCATGAAGGCGCAGGCCCTTGCTGCCATTCAAGCCAAGGACACCCCTGGCTGTTCGACCATAGACGTCTCACTCATATCTTTCATAGAGAACATAGGTGTTAGGACTCTGAGTTCCTTCGAGTCTCTATACTCCTACCTCTCTACACACATTGACACAGCAGGTGTGTCTAGTGGGGCCAGCAAGGCAATGCGTCTCCCCGTATATCTATCTCTATTGACTCCGAGTGGCCCTTTTGGAACTATCTTTGCAGATGCCATTGTTCAACCGTCAGCCACCAAGTGTGCGTACGTTGTTGATATCACAGAGGAAAATGCACTGCTCCTTGCAGGAAATCTGGGCATTTTGCCACCAAAACCGGAAAAGGATATGAAATCCAAGACGAGTCCAACAAAGTCTAATGCGCCTCAAAAAGATCAAAAGCTCCCTACAAAGTCAGAGCTGGTTCCGCAAGAGGGCAAGAACCTCCTTGATGCTGCCGTGGAGGGCTTGGCTGGCTCGTCCAAGTTCCAAGAAGGGGTCAAAGAAGGTGAGGAAGAGGCTACATCGGATGTAGACGATTCCATGGTCTCGCAAGTCGAAGAGGAGTACATAGCACCAATGAACAAGCCAGTAGAGATAGATACAGTGGCCAGAAGAGATGTTTGGGGAGTTCTCTTTGACAGATTTATTGATAGAGCCCTTACCTGGGTCGACGCATGCAACAAGGTCCCTGAGCTTGTTATCAAAGTTGTTAATTATTCCGTGCGAGACTTTGCCGACTTTGTAGATTATTGAGGCAAAAAACTCATGCAACACAGTTCACGATTTTCCTACTATGTTACAGCAACTGTAGCGGGGTCGTGCTGCAAGGGCGTTTCTGACGGTACTCTTTTGGCGGCATCGTTTAACGGGCCGTGTGCATTGGAGCAGCTCGCCAATGAAGTGGTCATGGTTTCAGACTCGCTGAACAACTGCCTACGTCTCGTGGATCTAGATTCCGGATCCGTCTCTACTCTTGATATATCTGGAGCCCCTGGATTTCAGCTAGCGATCATGGCTCCTCGAGGATTGTGCAGGATTGTAATTAACGGAGTCAACGGGGTTCTTTTAGCAGATGCAGGCCATAATCGCTTGGTGTTTATCAACGGTGAGACAGGCCACTGTGAACATTTTGCTGGAACGGGTGAGGCTGCACACCTGGATGGAGGATTTTCACAGGCAGCATTTAACTTCCCCCATTCAATAGTTAGTGATCCAGTGAACGGCATTATCTATCTTACTGACGCGAAGAACCACTGCATACGGACCCTCAGCCTTATGACTAGAAAGGTAAAGACTCTAGCCGGAACACCGGGTGTGTTTGGGTATAAGGATGGACTGAATCCCCTATTCAACGAGCCCCTGGGCCTTGTCTTAACAGAGGACGGCAACGTTATTGTGTGCGATTCTAAGAATGGGGCCCTGAGGTATGTTTCTAGAGAGAACGGAGAAACTATCACCCTAGTGGGCAGACCCAGCAGTGCTATTATCAGAACAATGTGTACTTATTCATACAGGAATTCAATAGCAAATCGGCAATATTTGTCCAGGCGCCGCACGGGCGTTGGTAACTATGCTTCCTTTAGATTTGAGCTTCCATATGGCCTCTTATTCGTGGACGATGTTCTGCTTGTTACTGATGCCGGCTCTGGTAGAATATATGCATTAGACTCTCATTTCGAGATGGTCCATTGTCTCAATGACTTGGCACCTGGTTTGGGGAACCTCGACGGTCCTCTACGGGCATCTACTTTTAGGGCGCCAGCGGGCCTTTCCGAATGTAGAGCAGGCGTCCTTGTTGCTGACATGGAGTCTAACTGTCTGCGGTTTATTGGCCCCACAACGCCGAAGACCCGTTGGGGTCTCACAACTAATGCACGAGCTATACGAGACAAAGCAAACGAAGAAGCAGCAACAGCAAGTGAGTCTCCACACACGACGCAAAGCTTTGCGAACGGTATGCACAGCAACCATAGCAATGCCGGGTTACATTCTAAAACCATGACCCCAGGACCTGCCAACAAACCAAGTAAGATAGCAGACGGATCCACCATTGATCCTTCGGATATGCTGATCACTTTAACAGAGCCCAGCACCCTGCAATACACAACAGACAAGTACAATCTTGGAGAGGATCCCTCTGCCAAGGACGGAGCACAGACTCCAAGCTATGTTAAAGACTTTTTAGATGACCCCTACCCAATAGCTGTCTTCAATCTGGAGCTCTATGACTTGCTGCTAGGATATTTCTTGACTGCAAGCACCCCATCTTTGACTGAGAAGCCGCCACACAAACCAGCTGACAAACCGACTCCAGCGAGAGCAGCGTCAAACCTTGCCAGTTCTACCCGCTCTGTACCCACCCTGCCCAATTCCAGCTCACGGCCAGCCCAGGAGTCGGCCATACGCGTCTCTTTGTACGGAGCTGAGTATAGTATAAAGGCTATAATTGAAGTGTGCACCGTTATAAGCTCACGCGTCTTCGATATGTCCGCTAAAACGTACTCTATTTATAGTGCAAGAGTTGCCAGGTATCTGATGACTTTCAATCCATTGATCTTTATTCCCAGGATCCCTAAGGACGGTACAGAACAATCCATCTTGGAGCACACTAAAAAGGGACTGCTAAGGGGCCTCTCTATGGCTACCAATGTCCCAGTGTTCTCCTGTAATTTGCTTTCAGAGGATAGCCTCAGGGCAGAATATCTTGTAGTCGCCGGGAGACGGGGTACCCGGGTCTTTGTCGTGGAGCCGAAAACAGAGTCGTTCGTTATAGAGCTGGATATAAGCTTTCTGGTCGATAGCTTGTTCCTGCGATGCTTTAACACTGCGCAGTTGCTTTTTCATTGCTACTCTTCGGAGCATTCTGGAGTTAATACAGAAGGGCTCGAGACCCACAAGAGTGCCGATTATCTTGATGATTGGCCCACAGAAAAGAAGGACAAAGGGATCACAGCACCTGCTAGTGTAGGATCAAAGGGTAGTAGACTAAAGACCGTGAAAAACAATCTTGCTGCTGAATCGTTGCTTAATGTTTCCGGGACCGTGGCCATATCCGATGGGGATGACTGTCCTGATGCGGTAGAATCGTTTGACTCTGACTCCACAATATTCACCGCATTTGATGCTATTCACAAGCCACAGGACAAGCTAACTGAAATGATGAGTCTTTGCATCGAGACAAAGACATTTTCGAGTGCCACTTGTGGTTTGTTTGATTACTCTCCACACCACAATGTTGGAGAGTGCTCGGTTCGGATACCAATTGGAACGGGGGCCTGTGGCGGAGAGAAATCGGTATTTGTAGTCCCTATTTCCCAGGCACTGTTTAGCAAGCGCTACGGGATAGCTCCTGGAGATAGTCTCTGTTATGAGATAATCATATATTTTAGTATTGTCGGTCACCAGATGACTGGACATCATACAATGAGAATCTCTGCTGACAAGATAAAGCTTTGCGACTACACGGAGTTTAGAATACCATATATGATGGCTCGCTCTCCAGCCGCATTTAGAAGCTTCACCAGCAAGGTTGCCGGAGCCCAGGAAGCATCTGAATTGCCACGGGATGTGAGGAGACTGGAGAAGAACATTATTCTGGGAGTAGGGTGCACAAGCGCAGGGTCAGCATGTACTGGGCAACCCCTGCGAGATAAGATACTGGAGCCACAAGACTGAGAGGACTAAAGGATCAGCTCGCTATCCAGAAAGTGCGCTGTCACCTGTTTGACGGACATGCCGGCCTTTCGCAAAGGTTTTAAACATATGCTATCGTCGGATTGAGTGGGAATTGGTGATAAGAAGTGGACTCGTTTTTGTCCATCGGTAACGCATTTAGCTTCATTGGCCGCAGTGACTAGGCGTTGAATTTCTAGCTCTTTTGCCGCCAGCTGGGTCTCCATGGTATCTTTGAGCTCCTGCAGCTGCTTCGATGCGCGCCTCTCTGACTCTATCAACATGTGTCGTGCCTCCTTCAGTTGTCGTTCCAATGTATTATTTTTTATTACTGCTGCTCCGTACGATTGATTTAATTTTATGATTGTAGCGCGATTCTCTTCCTGATTAACCTCTGCTTTAGTGTGTGACTGTTGTTGCTCTAGTCTTTTCAATAAGTCCTTGTGCTCAGCTTGAAGGTTATGATGCTGCATTTGCAATTCTTCAAACTGCATCTGCAGCTGTTGGCAGTGTTGCGCACTGCTCTCCTGTATCTCCGTAACCTCACTCATACTTGTGTTGACATCGCATGTGTTCACCGGTGCTTTCTCTTGACTCGCGCTATCAGTGGCATGGAGAAAGCTCCATATAAGCTCTTCGGCCCGAGAAAGCCTCTCCTGCGCCCTTGCAGCGCTCAATCTGCTAGCGTTAAGTTCCTCGGTGAGGAATGTAATCTGTTGCAATAACTTCTCCAGTTCAGAGAGTGAATATCCCTCTGGGCAATGCCCTATACTGTCGGCTTCAGACGAGAGAAGCCGCCTTGCAGTAGCACGAAGGTCGCTGTCACGTTTCACTATATGATAGTGCGGGGCGCGAGATGTCATTTTATATCCTTCGCTGACTACCACTCATGCGAATGATTATACCTGCCTTCGATAATTGCAAACAAATATGGTTGAAAAAAAATGCCTGCGAAGGAGAACATGCAGAACTTCTTTGGGAAGGTTGATCGGACCTTCAAGCGCCAGTCAGAGGAGGAGTACCGTGTAAATCAAATCACCAGCCCGAAGGTTTCATGGGGACCCAGCCCGGAAGATATGGACGACATCGTGAGGTATTGCGAGCACCATTCTGCGCGAACGAACGTGATGAAGACTATCTGGTCACTTCTTTCAAGCACCAACTCAAAGAGCTGGAAGCAGATCTACAAGACTCTTTTGCTCATTGAGCACCTGCTCATCAACGCCAGCCCTGACACCGTCCGCGACATTCAGTCACACTTGAATGTCATCCAGACGCTCGAGGACTTTCGGTACAAGGATGAGGAGGGCGTTGATCGTGGAATTAATGTGAGGAAGCGCGCGGAAACTGTGCGTGAGTTGGCCATGTCCGACGATATCGACGATAAGCGTCGTAATGCAGCAGATACACGTCAAAGGTATGCCGATGTTGTCCAGAACAATGCTTCCGGGATAGGTGCCAACTTTTCAGTCAAGCAGAAGGTTCCCATCTACACCTCGTCAGAGAGCGTTGCCATGCGTGGAAAGGGACAATCTGAAAGCTTCATGGCCAGACCAGCTGACGCCTCAATGTCCATGACATCGCAACCGGCGATGCATACTATGGGACTTCAGGACCCTAATGCCACCATCTCTGCATATACTAGTCAGCAGTCTATGTCTCAGGCGTCCATGACAGCAGGAATGGGTTCAGGCGCCAACATGGGCATGGGTATGGGCATGCAAAGGCCGATGGGCATGCCGAGGCCTGCGGGCGCGATTCCGATGCCCGCGAACCCTATGCAGCGTATGCAGCAGCCTCCTGCCACCCAGCAGATGGCTCCTGCTGCTCAGCCAGCAGCTCCAATCCAGCAGCTTCAGATGCTCACTCCACAGCAGATGATGGCCATGAGCCCGGAGCAGCTCCAGGCTTATCAACAGCAGATGATAGCTCAGCAGCAGCAGATGCTTGCCATGATGCAGCAACAACAACAACAACAACAGCAGCCACAAGCAGTGATGCCTATGCAGACACAGTCCTACCAGCCCCCGGGTTCTGCACCCTTCCCTTCAACGATGCCCGCTCAACCGGTTCATCAGCCCACTCAGCAAATCCAACCCCAAATGCAACCACAAGCTCCAGCCCAGACGAACAACATAGCCGACCTCATGTCCTTCTTTTAAGGTTTACTGGGATTCTCTGTTAGTTGTAGTGAATTGTCACGCCTGCTCAGAATTTTTCGTCGTAAGCGTCCAAGTATGAAACTAGAGCCATTCTTATCTCTAAATCGTTGTGAACTGCCAGCGTTATAAGCTTCTTGAAAGTAGCCTTGCAAATGGTCTTTATAGATGGGTCCGCGGTTAGCAGGGTGGTTAGTATTGAAAAGAGCTCGTTAGATATGCGGTGATATTCAGCGCAAATAGTTTCGTCCGTTGGAGAAAGCTTGCGGGAGAGAACGGTGAGCAATGATATGCATTGAACCAGTCCTTGTTCTGTAAATCGAAGAACTCTACCAATATCGTGATCCGATTGCTTCAATCTATTGAGGAAATGATCAGGTGCGGAACATTCGCTCTCTGTACCAGGTGCCAGTAAGCTTGCTAACGCAAATACTAAATCTGCCCCAGATGCAATTGCCTCACAATCTTCGGTTCGTAAATTATTATGAGAACTGTATGTTTCAGATATGTTCTTCAAGAGCTCTAAGACAGGTCCTTCTAGAACAGAACAGAAGAAAGCAAATGCATCATTGTTAAGCAGATCAAATTGAGCAGAAATCAAAGTATCAAGTGTGTACCTGAGAAGTGTGGCTGCACTTGTGATGCGTGGAGCCACTGACTGCTCTTTTGTGGAACTTAGAAATGTTGTGGTGTCAACCCTATCTACTAGTAAATCAAAAAGCGGATCATAAATATATTCCTTAGCGCTAAAGGAGCTCTTCACCTGGTACATGTTTGACACCAAGAGCATGGGCTCAATAACGCCTGAAAAAAGGAGCGCGATTGCCTCGGCCCCGGGTTGCCCTTGCAACATTAATTGCAGTACCAATGCAAAGAACGCTGAGACAATGGTATGCTGCTTGGATGACGATATGCTAGAACAATCTGTGGCTAGTGGAGAAAGGAAGGAAGTGCATGCCGACTGGAGGGTCTGATGCGTTAGTTCGACCTCTGTACTGCTATACTCATTTGATGGAGCGTTCAATGGAGCATTCGGTGAAAGCATCAAGTAAATTGTATGGGCCACAAAGAGCAAGATATCGTACTCGTTTCTAGTGTACTGGAACACAAGGATAGGGGAGACACAACGTTGCCACACTGAGCCCCACAGCTCCGAGTTGCAAGAGAGCTCGCTATTAATTAGGACTGTGGCGATAGAGTATACAAAGTTCCTCAGCGCTAGTGCTCTGCTCGTCTGGGTCGCAGCTTCCAAAGTTTTAAGGTAACATTCCAGCAGTACGAGTGTATGCTCCGTGTGAAGCGACAAAATAGTTGGCAGCGCTTCTTTGAGGATTCCTAGCGCAGTCCTAGAGATGGTAGTCTCTCCAAGACATGTAAAGTGAGCTATGGCAGTACAAAATCTGCTTGCATTTGTGTTATTCAATTCAGAGACCTTGGAGCCCAAGAAGTTTAGCAGCCCATCAAGTTGTTCATAGGTCGTTGACCAGCTATACTCATTGGAGTATGTGACAGAGGCACTAATGGAGCTGGTGATAGAGGCGTTAGGTGTAATGCATGAAAGAACAGATGAGCCCTGTAGTAAGCTCTTCTTTTTCTGCGCGATTGTAGGGTATACCACAGAAGCTCCATGTTCCAATATGGTGGAGCCCATGAGCGTGTTCTGTAAAGCAGTCATGTCAATAGGCGTGCTCTTTCGGTACAGTACCAGAAAATCAGTGCTAAATAAACAGGACCTTGAGCTATATGGAAAGTCTGGCTCACTGTTCTCATGGAAGCACTCTGTGCATGCAAGCTCTTCAAGACCATTCTCAATAGACGTATTGTGACTCTTGTTCGTTATTCTGTACAATGAGGAAAGAATAACAGAAAAGATAGCGTCATGGTCATCAGTATCAGGGAGCTCTGTGAGGAGCTCATTGACCATTGCAAAAAGCAGCGACAAGTCTGTTGGATACGGTATCAGCTTGCTCAGGTGTGCTAGCGGAAGGAAGAAAAGCCTGGATAGTCTGTTATCAGAGTATTCAAAGTTGTTCCTAAAAATAGGCAGCATGTACTTGACAAACCTACTCAAAGTCCGTATGAGAGTAGCGCACGTAGCAGCATTTTCTAGCGGGTCGTTCGAGTACACATATCCATAGAGAATACTGACTATGAGTGAACTGTATACGAGTGAGAACTCCTCCAAGATCATGTCAAGGGTGGTAGGCTTAGATGCAGTATCATTAACATCATTAGCATCACACCGCGACGCATCTAGACACGTTATTGGAGAGTATATGTCCACATCTACTGTATGCAGCCCCCGTCGAGGGGTCATGAGTGCCGGAACCTCTGTGCCTGCATCGGGCAACTGCTTGTCCGGTGTAGCATTATAAACTTTTCGCAGTCTGAGCTTAAAGATATTGATTGTAAATGTAAGGAAATCAACACTGATAGGTAGCCGAATCATGTTGTACGCATGTAGCTCCTTTCCGTGCTGCTCTAGTACAATGGCGCATACCTTATCTGAGCCCAAAAGAGACACTGTGAAAATATCTAGGAGGTGCCTATAGAAGTACAAAATATTGTCAGAAAAGGATAGTGCCAGGGTGCTAAAGATTTCAAGGCGTAGACCCAACTTCTGGAAAACTTTATTGGCAATGATAAGGATGTGAAGATATGGATTAATAAAGTGTTCAATAATGTGGAACGAGGTATACTCCTGGAGAGCAATCCCACGCGATAATTCTTGATTTGAAAGAACAAAGCTTTGACGCAGTGCCTTTGGGTTAGAGTCGCTCACGAGCTTGTACAGAATTCTAGAAAGATTGTATAGATGCCCAAAGGCTTCATATGCGCCCTCATTGACATGAGAGGATACAAGCACGAAGAGGACTATGGCTACAGCGCAGTGCTGCCCAGCTAACGTGGCTAAGAGAGTAAAGTCCTCCTTGCTGTTACCCAGCCTTAAGCTAGAAGCTAGCTGTGTCGATAGCTCGGAAGGCTCCAAGTGTGGAATAATAAGATTGGCATGCCAGACATGCCGCCTGAGATAGAATAAGCTCGAAATAACAAGGTTACGAAGCAGCTGAGATCGGTGCTGGAAGATGCGAAGTATTGTCTCTTCTCGGGAAATGATGTCGCTGATACGTTCCTCTGCAATATTCTGCTTCGTCTGACAGACAATCAAATAATCGCAAAGTCTATATAAGTGGAAAACAAGCTCTGGAACGGCGCCAGTGAACTCAGCTGGAACTTTGAACCATAAAGCCTTCATATAGACTGTGAGTGAGTCAACTGCGCGATTCATAAACATGTTCAGTGCTATATTAATTCGAAGAAACCGCTCATATTGCTTGAATGCCTGAATATCCGATATGGATATCGGTCCACTCGGCGGGCTAGCTTGCGGAGTTGGCTGTTCATTGTTATGTGACTTTTGTTCGGCTGTGGCAAGGGTCTCAGAGCCATGGCCAGATTCTTCTGGATCACGGGGAGTGGCAGTGGACTGTGGTGTGGTTTGCTGCAGATTATATGCAATCTTCTGCAATGGCATTGCCAGGCTTCCTGCCTCTATGTGCTCTTCAACTGCAGCTGCATCAGGCTCGGTTGTTCCACTGTTCTGGTCATCGCGACCCTTCGATGCTGTACTGGTAGAAGCGAGTGGAGTATGTGATGCGTCTGTACCCCTAATGCAAGACTCCGACGAGCAAGCTGTTAGCGAAGGCTTGGACACCAGATCTAAGTTGGTATCTTCTTCAAGAATGTCCATCAGAATGTCGTCGCATTCATCAAGCTTCACAGTAAGTGTGTTGTGACAATTGGCAGACTCTCGATAGACACAGTCAAGTTCCATAGATATATACTTTCCTAGCTTTTTGCATAACTGTGGGAAGCCGTGGGTACTGATAAACTGCCTGGTCCTGATCTCGTTAATACTAAAGGGCGAAGAGATGATGCCATCATATAGCTCTGCCAGGAATTGGACTTGGATGAGGTCCTGCTTGTCTGCACACTTCGTATTTTTGATGAACACTTCCTTGGTCATTTTCTCTTTGACAGATGAGTTGTGCAAGTCTGTATTTAGCATGAGCACTGCATACGATAGTATGTATGCTAACTCCTGAGTAAATGTCGTCCCATTCTTCATGTCATCTGGCAAGAGAGAAAAGAGATGCACAAAGTGCTGCGAGAAGACCTTCATGATTCGCTCAATCTGCTGGCTTTCCCCAGGAATGTGAAAGAACGATAAGTAGTATCTTATAGCTATCAAGAAGATGTTCTCTGATTTTTCCGGCATCTCCTTCTGCTCAGACCACCGACACATTACCGGGATAATTGGTGTATGATCGGACTGGCGACCTTCAGATGATGACTTTTGTTGCTGCTGCTGCTGTTGTTGCCGTTGCCGGGCTCGCAGAGTCTGCATCTCCTTCTGAGTTAATGTGAATAACGAGCCTAGGGACTCGGTATTAACCATGGCAGCCACTCTATCGTAGCACGACCTATCTTCAGAGTTGGGGACTGAAACCATCGATCCTGTTTTTCCTTGGCGCACTGAGTCGATGAAGAGCCTCAGATCACTGAAAACAATATCTGCAAAGGCTTCCAGAAGCTCTGATTCGTGTGGATCGCCAAGGAGTACTCCAAATCCTTTCTTATTGAAATTCTGAGAAACAATGTAGCGTATGATGGATCTGTGGTCGTTACGGATGTAGCCGCATTGAATCATTTTCTGAATAACCTTCTTCGGCCTAGAGGCAGTTGCAAACTCAGAGATCAATGTGTTCCGGCGATAGTCATTGAGCAGCGAAACTATGTGGTCCTCTAACGGCTTATTAGAAAGAATTATCATCTGCTGCGCTTCCGTTAACTTTCTATCCATCAAGAACCTCCTAAATCCCCGCATAATAGACACCAAAACATGGACCGCACAATCGGCTACAGTTGAAAAGAACACTGCAGTGTTGTTGGGGCCTTGCGGGCTCAAGGAGTATTGGGCCGTGAGCGTCGTAGCGTCTACGCGGTGCGATAGGTCTATATATTTATACAAAAGAGCTTCTAACGAAAGAGTCTTATGGGATATGCTTGTGAGTGACGCGTCTGTTAACGTCATATAAGTGTTGAGGTTGTTTGCCACAGCGTCAAGCAGGCTGAGAACAATAGGTTTCATTGGATATAGCCCTGGGAGAGCAGAACACACGATATCACTGCTGGCAATGTGACTATCGTACAAGAAGCTCAGGAGATTGATTTGTTTCTCTGTATAAGTAGCATCCTTTCCAGCATAGGTTGTTCCGAGCAATAGGTCTATGAAGAGCAATCCATGGCCGCGGATGTCTGCAGATTCGCTTTCGTTCAGAGGCATTATCAGAAAGTTTTGCAATATTGAGTTAATTACCTCGAATAGGCCAGGCATGGGTAGTGCGACTACAAGCAGTTTTCTAAGAAAGTACAAGGAGATGCGATAAAGTTCGCTAGAGTCTGCACTTAGACCTATGCTTATGGTGTCGATAAGGATGTGCAGCAGCTGGGAAACATGACGATATGTGAGCATGAAGATTTGGGATGGGGCCTGCATAGCCTTGATGACAGTGGTGAAAGCCAAGTACATTTCTAAGGAAAGAGAAACAAGAGCATCTGGCTGACGCGATAACACCCTTATGAATTCGCCGGTAATAGACAACATATAGGATTCTACTGTATCCATGTGCATGGAAGCATTAGTCCTATGGCTAGCTTCGCTATTACTGGGTGCTTGCAGATTTACCATTGCCTCTTTATCTTCTCCGATGCATGCTATTCGAGACTTGTCAAGGTCTGGGGGCACCCGAGGAATTAAAAAGCCACCTTTCAAGTGTAGAGAACGCAAGTGAAAGGCGTACGAAAATACTTGAGCAATGGAGGTTGTCACAGCATTGTAGAAGTACATGCGTGTAGTGGATGGCATAAGGCCAATGGGAAGCGAGGAGGAATGGGAAACATTCAGCACTTCATGAAGATGTAAAACGTCTAATCGTTGCACAGTATTCAAAAATTGCTCATACTTCCGTTGATTCATGCAAGAGAACTGCTCGGGCGTTATCTCAAGGGTTTCTATAGATGCCTGAACACGAAGAAACACTAGGCTGGCGTAGTCATAAATATTCGAATCAGTGGCTAGAGTCTTTGTGCTAACAGACGGCTTCAGCTTTGACACCGAGGGAAAGTTCTTGTCCAGTGCCAGTATAATTGTGAACAAACGACACAGCACATACTTGATCAGGAGAAGCGTGTGTTCGGTTATCCAGTTAGCAGACACAGCCGCTGAGGGCTCAGGGCTGTTGTCCACTAGTTGAGCTTGCTGCTCAATTAAATAAACGTTTCGCAGTGCAGCACAATTAATAAGGCAGAGCAGGAGAGTTCGAACAGCAACAATCTCTCGGTCAAAGTTGAAGCACGACTCCAGCATCAGAAAGTTGTGAAAAACACTCTTCCTGCTATCATATTTAACTAGTCGTCTGTACTCTACTGCAAGAAGACCCTGCAAGCAGAGTTGGGCAGACGACATATAAAGTACTCCACTTGCTAGAAGAACTGTGAGCAAGCAATAGCACAGCTCAATGAGCTTTGAGGGCACAGCATTGATATGAGAGTCTATCTGCAGGGAGAGAATCTTTAGTGCTATTCCTAGAAGTGGAAGAAGCATTTTGCTGTTGGAAAAGGTCTCGTAGTAAAGCTGTAAAACCATCTTATCCCGCGCTATGGCCTTGGCTTTCTTACTCTTCGTGCTTTTCGTGACGCCATCGGCAGCACACACAGCCTCGGAGGGGGCTGTGGCAGAAAGTTCCACTAGGTCCCCTAGATAAATCATTTGCTGCTGATGGGTGCATTCGTCTTGTGGATTTATCAGTTTCTGGTGTTGGGAGGAAAGTAGCTTGGCTATTGTTTTAAGAACTTCTGCCCCCTCGGCAAGATACGAGTCGTGGGGTATCGGCTTAACGGACGCCAAGAAGTCGTTAGCGCTGATTGAAATTTGATCTGTGTCCTCATTGATGACTGTCAAGAAAGAGATGAAAATACTCTCTAGGTTCTTCAGAGGAGGACGGAGAGCCCCTAACTTTCTGGGGAGAACCCTTATGATGCTAGAAAGAAGCTCTCCAATGTATTGGAAGTCTTCAGGGAGATGTGACATTTTATTTAAAAAAAGTCCTGATACTATCAGATTTAAAGTTTGTTAGCTCTGCAAGGGAAGAAAGTTCGTAAGTTGGAAACTGCAGATATCGTATTTAAATAATTAAGAAGCAATCCTACTTGTAGTCTGCAATGGCAGTCTTCAATAACAGTTTTTAAATCAGGTCTGTACTGGTGGACAGAAGCCGGCCGGCTGGCCGCCTACCGCAACGGTGGAATGATCGCTTCCCAAAACAGAAGAAAAGGAAGGTGGCAATCAAGTGCGTTGACACATTCTCAGCAAAAATGAAAAGACATGCTAGCATGACGCGTATTTATTTGTGACTACGCAACAGGCTGGCCAATTATGGTAGCCCTATAGCCCGTATGAGAAGCCGGCGCTTTAATCGATTCAACAACTTTTTAGCGACCGGACTAAAAATCCGCCTGTCATTTCTGGTCTCCATGTCCGCTTTGACAAGACGTTGCAGGATATCGATGGGCTTATTGACAAGGAACCTGACTAGGTTGCTTACGCCTTAAAGGGTAGCCTCACTAACGTGCTTCTGAAGGTCCAGTTGGAGAACTTACCCCCTAGTTCTCTCAGTGCCATTTGGGATGCTTGGTGCGCTCTCATATCCTGGGAGTATCTAGGTGCAGCGAATGCTTAGAAAGGGTTCTACTCTTTACCTTGCTACGCAAAGTGTTACTTCACCTCTGCATCTGCACTGGGGAGAGAGTCAAGGAGAGACTATGCCTGCTAATGACGTCTTTTGTACCACTAAGCAGATCACTTCTGCTCTTACCTATTTTTACGGTTCAGGAAACAGCAACATTGATGGCATCCTTCCTCCCTTTTATCCATGCAGAGGCCGTTAAGTCCATAACGCTCTGACTGATATTGACTCTGTTGTTCTGGTGACAGTGGCGCAGAGTAGAGGCCTAGAAGCAGTCAAACCCTTGCCTAGCACGAGAAGGGACTAGAGGTTGCGAGCCGGCCATCACAATGTTGCAAAGCTTCTCATGACACACAAGAAGGACGCCGCTGGCTGGACAATGCCTATGTACACCGCATCACTCGAAGACACGGACATGGTGTCTCAACACCTCGATGAAAAGGGTAAGAAGGACAGGCAGGGTCTGACCACCCTCATCATCACCGCCCAGAACGGAAGGGACGAGACGGTGAAGCTTCTGATGAAGCATGAGAATGGTGTCTCTAGCTGGACAGACCTTATCCATTCTGTGAGTGTGACGAAGTACTATAGATTCCGATGAATTATTTTGCTTCTCTGGAGAAGACTACTTAAGATTGCATTGCATATTTGTCTAGTCAGTGGGTTGTCATGTTATTACCTGCAGGCATAAATGTGTTCGTCGCGTGCCTGAGAGTTGTAAGAATACTGCTATCTTCAAGTGTCCACATTGTCACACTACATCCGCTGATACAATTGTTATGCTCTTCAATAATAGTGACCCTAGTGTCTTAGTGCCTCTAATCCTTATTTGTATTTATATATGTAAATAGTCGGGTCAAACTCCGTTGGCGGGACAAACTGGCTCATGAGAAACTGCTTCAGAGGCGGTCTTGCTTGCCCAGGCTAATGTTAGTGTATTTCTATTCACAATTTATTGCTTGTAAATTAAGCTGATTTAAGTATATTTAGGTAGGTCTAGATGGGCACAATAGTAGTATTCCGTGTTGTAAGTGCCGACAAACATAATAGAGAGAAAAGGCCTCCATCCGACAAAATGGGCAAAAGTGTATTGGCGTATAATGGCCTCCAATCTCTGCAGCATCAGATAGTACGCTTCATGTATGTGGTTACCGGGTGCGGTCGTTCAAGAGCAAGTGTCTCCACTAAGCAACAGAAAAGTCGCGCTGGTATAAATCCATTTGAAAATCTCGGTGTTTAATTATTCGTCAAGGAATGTGCCCAAACTTAAAAAAATAATTGACAAATGCCAAGTCTTACTGGAAAATCCCATCGTGGGCCAAATATCAGCCAGGTAACATCCGATAAAATCCTTATGCTCATGGCGCACCAGCTCGGGGTGCCCTCATCTGATCCTGTCGCTATCATTTCTGCAGCTCAGGCACACAAAGACCAAATAGACTGGGCTCGCATAGGAAATAGCTGCAACATTCAGAAACAACTAGCTCGCAAGCATTTCAACGAGGTTATCAAGCCGCGATATGAGAGCTCTGGCTCGATCATGGACATCACCGACAGATCAGAGTTCACCATGTTTATTGCGTCTCTCCTTTCTAGCCGATGCTATCCATCTGCAGAGGTTCTAGCCAAATTCGCTCCCACCAGCGGTCGTAAGTATAGCCGAGTTATACTTCGCAGGGCATTCCATAACATCAAGAAGTGTCGGATGCTGAAAGATTGTTATACTAATCTTGGGTATACCTTTAACGATCTTCTACTCCAGAGTTCACAGATCTGCGAGCAAGAGCAATTCAAAATTATAACTCCGTCGGACGACGTTCTCCAGCCAAGTCTCTTTGCTGGAACCAGCAATAAATACACAGGGGCTGACACAGACCAGCAAGACCAAACCTGTCTTCTGCAGCGGAGAGACCTCCCGCTACCTACAGGCCCCAGAGCTGCTAGCTCTTCCAGTTCTTCGAGCCTTCTGATGCCGAAGCTCTCCTTGAATTATCCCAAGTTTATGTCAAGTAGCTTACCAAGTCTATCAACAAAAGCTACGTACTCTGGCTCACTTTCTTCCAAAAATCCCTCACAAAGCTTTACAGTGTTAGCCAACCTTTCCGATTCTCCTCTTCCTCAGTATAGTATAGATTCGTCCTACAATGTTATGAGGTCTATCCCCATAGCTCCCCTGCCCCAGCCCCAGTCGCAGCATCCCCTGACAGCTGATGGGCAACAATACTGGGTGCCCAACCCTGCACAAGCGCATGGCAGTGTGTCTTCCAATCTGCTATCGCGTGGTGTCCCTGGTCTAGCCACAACTTCTAGTCTGGAGCTGGGCCTGGAGCAAGATCCCGATTATATCGTCACCAAAACGGATAGAACACCTGTATATGGTGAAGTCCATGGCAACACAATGCCTATCTTTGGTGACTCTGGAGGGTACTATAGCTCCACCTTTTCCTCTTGGGAGTCTAATGATCAACCAGCTGCCATATCGTCGGCTCCTTCTCCGTTCAGCTCTCACTCCGCGTTGCCCTGCATGCCAGCTCAGGCAGCCTGGACCAAGCCACCACCAATCCCGGTCACTCCCAACCAAGTTGTAGATCATTTTCGTGCCGCTAGCGTTTACTCGGCATCGGCATCAGCGTCCAGTTCTGCGTCAGTATGCAGTCTGGACTTTCCTGTTCATCCTGCCTCGTTATTGGCCTCGGGTACTAGAACCCCCACCCAGGAAGAGATGGCATGCGGCACACAATGGACTGCTTCATCTGGAGACAATGGGGAAGGTGGCGTTAAAAGCGAGCAGATGTTCTATTCGCAATTTACGCAGCAAAACTATACAGAGCTGTCCTCTGTCTCCTCGGATATCTTCTCGAACCTCCCCTTTGTCAAATTCGATACCTCTGAAGGTATTCCAGAAGACAAGGAAGCGTGTTCGAGTGCAGGCATAGTAGTTAATGATCCTTTTAGCTTAAACGAAGATCCCACTCCATCCTACTTGTCCGGTTCCCGCGCAAGGACCAAGCTCTAGCCGAGTCTTGGGTCGCCCGTGCTAAACCTGCCCCATAAAAGCTTTGAACTGTCATCTCAAGTGTGAGGAGTGCCTATGTACCGCAACTACGTCGGAACTTTGCATAAGCATCTAGTGGAATAGCGATCACCGAGAACGAACTAAGCCATCTTTCTCAATTCTTTCGCAGCATAGATGAATAATATTTGTGTAAGATTGCATGAAATCTTACAAAGCCGAGGTCGTGAAGAGCAGTTATGATATCGTTTCCATTGACTGTCTTTCTTCTATGGGACACAGCGTAAGTCTGTGCCTGCAGTGCGACGAAGCAGATGAGCTCTGTCACAGCTTCTTGAACAAGCTCTTTGGCGCCGCGAGTCAACTTCGTGTTGGCTGGAAGACACTCCTTCATTATGCTCCCAATGTTTGCTATGGGGAGAAAGGGATCCGTAGTCCTCTCATCGGTCATTTTAAAATTAAATAAAAGAACTTAAAAAGTATTTACTCCGAGTCAAACGGGGTGTGTGTATTTTGTGTTATGAAAGTATGATTCTTTGTTTATTGGTCTATTGTAAATTTTCTATAGCGATTCCGCAGCTTTTGTCTGTTGAGGTCCGGCTTCAGGCTCGATCTGAGATTATGCCACTCAGACACGCGTAGTGGGGTCAGCATCCTATCCATCAGCTACTGGCCCCACCGCCACCCTACTAGTGGTGGTGCCCAGGCTTACAGTGGCTGTCTAGCACCCTTACCTAGCACTGCACCTGTACCCAAAATAAAATTTAAATGGCGGCCGATTGTGATTATTCCACACTGGCTGCTGAAGAGCAGGGGTTTCTGAAACAGGTTTTGTCAGTCTTTCCAAATGACGGCGCATCTAGGACAATTATCCGAGGAATCTGTGCCGTTTTCATTAGCAAGCTCCAAGACTCCGAAAAGGCCTACGAGTTGCGCGCGTCCGATCTAAACAATCAGATAGAGTCCCTGAGGGCGCTCATAGGAACAGAAGCTGGGAGAAGCAGTACAGAGTTAAGCAGCTTGCTGATGCTACTTATCCAGTTACGTCGGCTCGCACGCGATCATCTCTTGCAGGTCAAGGCAGAGATATCCGAAGCACTTGAACAGGCAAGGGCTGATCTGAAAGGCTTAGAGAGCCAGCCGGTGGACAGCTCCTCTTTGGCAATGCTGGGAGACGGCATTCTTTGCAAAGCACCCATTGCAAATTGCATGGCTAGGTCTGCTGCCTTTGATGCTGTTACGGCAATCACTGCATATGTCAGTCACTGCGTTGTACTGGCATTTGCACTTCACAAATTTTCTGTCGCCACCAAGGAACGAAGCCTTAAACTCCTTGCGCAGGACGACCAGGACTCTGCAACGCTTGTACTCATAGAAAGACAAAACGTCCTCACCACCATCAAGACGCTCGTTGAACATTCTTCAGTACTGACCAAGGCAGCAGACTGGTTCGCGCGTGAAGCTGAGAAAGACTTGCTCCCTACTATTTGTGCGAACGACCTCCGGGCACCACACACAGAGCGCACGGCTGCCGACATTGAGGCTGATTGTAAGAAAAGCAGGCGGATTAAAGATTGCTGCGAGATCTTCGCCGCATGTCTTGATTCTGATAGTACTGTTCATGACACAGACAAAGATGCGGACTGGTCGTTTACAAAGCTGTCTGCTCTTGCAGTCACAGATAGCGGCTATGAGGCACTCATCAAGAAGGTCAGTGGACTGAGCGCCGAGCTTCGTGAGAAGAGGGCACTACTGAGCGAAAGCATGCTCTCTGCCAATGTTGAGGAGTCGACTACACTAACCTCTGAAATTGCACGTCAGGAGGAGAAGATCGCTAATCTAGTTTCTTTTGGGCACGACTTGCATGCAGAGCTCTACACGCTGCCCCACGGCCTGGAGAAGTTGGTAAATAGACTATCAGCCGGTTTACTAATACTGCGATCTGCGTTGCTCGGCTCACAAGACGAGGGCTTCCAGACAAATGTAATATCAGAAAAGATCGAAGAGTGTCCCGGCGCATTCTTAAAACTAGCCGAATGCTATGCAAAAACGGATAACGATAGATAGCCTGTAAGCATTTAGCTGACGGGCAGGGCAGCTAGCACTAGATGGTTAGCGTGCGTCGGCTTGGGTATTGAGGCGGAGCCTGTACTTCTGTAGCTTGGATTGTATTTGACGTAGAGTCAGCTGAAAGTTCGGATAGCGCTTCTTCATTTCCTTGAAAATGGCGCCCTGTGTGATCTTCTCCTTGGCATTCACTAAGCTCTCGTAAACAGTGACAAATGCTTCGTGTTTTTCTGGTGTCCAGAGCACCGTCGCGTTTGAGTATGTTCGCTCGGCTATGGTCTTGTGTCTTACTGAGCTATGCCTGTGTCTCTGAAATAGAGAGTCTGTGGATACCGGATAATCAAAGAGCCCGCTCCCACGCGTATTCATACTGCTGGGGAGTAAGCTGTCGAATGTTAGTGGCCCAGGGTCTCCACTACATGACGAGGGTAGTGTGATAGGGTCAATGTACGATTGCACACCGCGCATGATATCAGCGGTGTTCCGTCCGGAAAGAGCATAGGGTACTGACAAAGAGGGCGATTGTGTGGGGATCGTGAGAGGAGTTGCCGTGGGTAGACTCTGAGTAGGGATTATGGAAACGTGGCAAGTACTGAGTAGGGCTGCAATCTGCGCAACAGATTGCGTTAGAGCCGTGTTATTTAGCATATTTGTAGAATTTGTAACGGCAAGGGAGTCGGTCAGTACAACCTCAGGCCTGTCAGATGCGGGCATTAAGTGGGGTACACTGCTGCTTGAAGCAGTAGTAGCAGTGCCAAGCTGAAGATTAGGCTGTGTCGTTAGCCCCGCGGGCTGAGTTGATGATGGAGTTGTAATCAAGTAACACATCCCGTTAGCATCTATAACACCTATATTAACACCCGGTTGTTGGTGCACAATGGATACACGGTTCGCCACAGAAGCAGGTGGGACTTGAGAGGACGGTTGTGAAGATCCAAGGCTATACAGGGGAAGGCCTGGTTCTATGGTGTTACTAATGGGCAAGGAGACAACTGAATCGCATACTTTCATCTGTGTTAGTTGGGAGGCAGGATCAATCTCCTGAGGTTGATCGTTGATCGCAGTGTTGGAAGACCGGAGTTGAGTCATCATATCTTGCACAGGGTGAGGTTGCTGAGTGGGGTAAGAGATGATGGCGTAGGATTGGGAAGGCAAGGTAAACGATGGAAGGTTAACGGCTCGCATATATTTAAATCGATTTAAAATTGATGACTATCGAGTACAAGCTTCAACTACTCGTGTCCTTCCACGCATTAGTGTGTTCTCAGTAGCAGTAAACTGATGAGCATCGTTTTTGTTTACTCAAGTTTGGCTGATCTTAAGTTGATAAAAATGCAACTTATTGTTATTAGTCCATAGCCCTGTGAATTTTTTGATTTTTCAATAATTTTTTAGACGCTCTTGAACATTTTTGAAGGGATTAATCTCAACATATCCTAGCAAAAGCTGAACGGCAATTTTCCGCAGAGGTGAGAGCATCCAACCATCAATCACAGGGGCGATATAGCAGAGTGCCGATTTTGCTAGACTTCGTTTTCCATCCCATTGGTGCAGTTTGCAACCAAAGATCAATCTCTACACTTACACGAACTGTCGTGTATCGCTGCACAGCAGCACTAGGATACTGCTCTACTCAGGCGATTGTAACGTACTTCGGTTGAGCGCACGGGGCAATTTTTACCCCTTTAATTTAATCAAATAGTCTCCAAGCAGCACAACCACTCAATGGCCGAAATACCAGAAGCAGATGTGACAAATAGCACATCGAATGATTACCCACACACAGATCTAAAAGAGGAGTCCGATAAATGTAATACGCGCAGTGATGCTCCTCGAGCAGGCTCGTTCAATGCTTTGTTGTTTCTCCAAGTCCTTCTAGGTATTCTTTGTGCCTTCAAACCTGCTGAGCCGTTCGTAGTGCCATATTACATAGACAATGGGATCTCGATGGACCAGATAAATCAAACTGTTTTCCCCATGTCCGGGTACAGCAACTTTGGCTTTCTACTCGTGCTCAGCATGGCGTCGATAGGGATATCCCATCACGCACTGCTTTATTTTGGCTGGGTTGGTTATGTTGTGTGCTATACGCTGCTCATATTCGTCGACAAGCTAATTGTTGCTATTTTTGCCGAAGTCTTCTACGGCCTGGCAGTCGCCTCTGAAACGGTGTATTGCGCGACGTTTTACTTTCTGAAAAATAGGACTGTCTCTGTGATGACCAGTCACCTTCGTGCGTCCACAATTTCTAGAACCACTCTTCTAGTTACTCATGTCATTAGCGATCTCTTTGGACAGCTTATGGTCAGCTTTATCACGAACTTTTCTAAGCGTCTCCTCTTCATAATTACCGCCATTTCGGTGTCTTCTTCAGTTGTGCCCCTGACAATACTTACATGTATTCAGCGACACACCCCCACTAGCTATTTTAAAGTATCTAAGAATCAAGTGTCTGATGAGACATCGGAGAACGGAAAGAATAACGATCTATGCGCGTCATCTATCGGCACAGAGAAGATGTCACGCAAACTCTACCTGCGAGGACTGTCTTACGTTTGGGGCGGAGGGCTCGCGGGTGTCCTTCCATTGTACATTGGCATCTTCAGCCTGTCGGGGCATACACTTTATCAGAATTATATAACAAACATTCTTTACGATGTTCAGCAGGGCACCAAGGACGAGTTATACGGTCTGTTTGTTATGATTGGGCGACTTAGTGGAGTGCTTGGGAGTGTCCTTGCGCTAACGTGTAAAAAGGTTAAGCGAACGGGGATCCTACAGATCCTCCTTCTCTTCATCCTATCCTGTCTTCTGATTATCCCTGCCTTTGTGAAGCACTTGATCTGGCTTTTTGTAGCAAACGTTGTCGAATTCGCTGCTGCGGAGCTGACGATAACTGTAATGTGGGCGCAGCTTGCGGCCTCGTGCCAGCTCTCAGTCTACCCGGCCGTGTTTCTTTGCCAGGCGCTTATCGTGGCTGCCATTGTACTCATTGTTCAAGCGACTGTGTTCAATAGCGTGGCTAATGAATTCGAAGGATTTACTGCCAACCAGACTCACTACCTGTGGTGTGCAGTGCTGGGGTTAACGGGATTACTTATATCATTGCTTGTCGCTTTGGTATCTAGATTCAGAGGAAGCTGCAGAAGAGGCAGCAAAGATAATGCAACTAAAGAAGACTTCGACGCTAATCCTCTCCTCCCAGACCAATCTTGTGAAGTATAGTTCCAAACAACGATCTACTGGATGCACGTCCCATCCTACTCTTGTTCTTGCTTCTACTCCTGCTCTTGCTCCTGCTCTCCGGGAACTCCTCTTCATAGGAACGAGACTCATCTCGGATGGATCTCAAATAAGTCAGGCAGTCTATGACCAAGTCTGCGTGGCGCTTGAACAGCACCTTGACGGAGTCGGTATTAGCTTGCTTCTCCAGTCGTATAGCTCTTTCTCTGAGGTTGGCCGTATACACGCCCCCAGCACAGGATGGAGGAAGCAGATCCATAGAGTAACTACTGATGATCATGAGATCTTCTAGCATTTGGGACATATCGGCACGGAGCTCTGCAACCTTCCGTCGCAATACATTGGCTTCTAGCTTAGTTCTATCCGTAAGTTTGCTTGTAATCATGTCCATTATGCTGTCTTCCAGGCCAACCGTCATACTATCCATGAATGTATTGCTTGGCGACAGGACGCTTTCTGAGCGCGATATAACGGACGTGCACCTGGATTGCTCCCTTGAGCGCTTGTTGTCCTCTGTAAGCAGTTGATTGAGACGGCCCTTCATCGTATTCTCTCGCTCTAATGCATGAATCTTAGCTACGCAGTCCTCTAGCCTTTGCTTAAGAGCTCGATTCTCCTGTTCAAGCCTTCTGGACTTCATGATATACATTTGGAGCTTCCCGATCATATTACCCTCATCCAACTCTGGCTCTTCTGTACTATGTAAGGTAGAAGCATCCATTTCAGGGTGGCCGCTGGTATGGCCTGGCAAGGCCGATAGAGTGGGTGCTGACCTAGCGTCCTCCAACGACTTTCTGAGCGCTTCGTTATCTGCGTTCTGCTGCTCAATCTGGGCTTTTAATTTAATGATGTTCTGTTTTAACTCTCCTATTTCTGAATGCAAGGCTGAATTTTTTTCATACAAATATGTGTTATTTTCCTCCAGATCGTCATACTTCATCAGTAGACAGGCATATTCGATGCAGCATTTGTGATTATCTCTGCAACCATTGTTGTCATCAATCCCCTCCGCAAGAGGAAGCTTTCCTGGAAGTAGCCCGTAGTCCGCTTTGTAGGCGAGATCTGCGTCAAGCTGGTCAGCCATAGGCTTTAATAGGTCATTACTTAGAGTGTCTGTCCCCACCCCTGTGTCCATGTACGCATTGGAATCCTGTGGAAAATTGGGGGTAGTACTCAAGATCATATCTGCCACAGGATCTACCCTAGAGCATTGGGCCGTATACCGTTTGGTCGGGCCCCTTGATACATTGTGAACATCGTCTTGGTCACGCAGGGGAGCGATGTCTGTCATGGTGAGGGGTGAGGTAGTTTGGGGAGGTGGTGGCAGAGAGGCCACAGGTGCCTCTCGAGGAGACTGCAACTTACCTAGCATAGGATCAGGAGAAGAACTGCCTTGAGAGTTAGGGTCGACTGTCGCGGAGACGGATCGCTTTAATGAGCTCCCCACAAGTGGGACAGGTTCGGACTTCTTCTTGGTCCGTGGAGGTGTCGTAGCACTTCTACTCACGGATGTGAGCGACGGCTTGTATCGCCGAAGAATGCTAATGATCCTGGGGTTCACATCTAGCTTTTTTTCTACTATGCTTATCAACTTATTGATGTAAGAGTTGGGGATATTTGTAAATGCAGTCATAAGGTGCTCAAAGCAACACACAGAGTTGTTGTCGATGCAAATGTCTAATAAGTAAAGAGACTCGCCCGATGTGCTATCGCCCATATTCTGGATGATAAATTGCAGCGCATCCACGTTGTCTACCATGACAGCGAGGAATGCTGGCTCGACGTGGCTACGAACCTGGATATTGCCCTCTTTCTGGAACAATTCAAGGTTGATCGGGTGACCAGACGTGATCTGTAAAGCGAGCGCCGTTAAGCCACCGTCTGTTTGCTCCCCGCCCTCCTTGTTAACCAGAATAGAAATAATCTCCGGCACATCATACTTAGCAGCTATCATTAGTGCTGTATGCCCCTCGTGATTTCTTTTCAGTCCAAACTCCGATATGTGGCTCTTTATATAATCTTCTTCTCCTTGCCGAGCAGCCATAAACCAACGCTGTAGCTCATCTGACATCACTGGCTCTGGATTATGCGTGCCTAAAGAAGGCCCAGGTGTAGCAATAGTGGCTGAACTCATGATTACAAGCAGCTCCGAGCCGGAATCCAGGGGCAAAAATTAATTTTAACCATGTTTTTGTCCCCTTGAAGCAGAGCGATTTACTCCATCCCTATTCTAGTAGAAGTTACCACTGAGTCAAGCCCAGACGGAACAAAAAACAAGTAGACCGCGTACAAGAAGCGAACTACTAATTACTGAAGCATCTAGAGGTACCGACGGTGAACATAGACGCGCTAGAAATTCTTCTTGAATGTGATTCCTATTAGATCTTCATCGCTGGCCTCCTTCGGAGACTCGGCCCGCGAATTATTGAGCGAGCACTCAGTAGAGGTCATGAAGATGTCCTCCTCTGCTAATATATCTCTCTGGCGCTTTGGCTGGCGGCCCATTTTAAATACTGAGGACCTTGGAGATGAACTGCAAGAGTCGATTATCTGCTCTAGGCGCATCATCTCTAGAATAGGCTGAAGATTCTTGAGCTCTCCTGAAAGCTCCTGCTTACGATCATCGGGCGCATTCATGCTGGTCATTGGATCTTGTAGTGTTGTATTTTTAAAATCCCCTTCTCATCATTTTAATGCCACTTTCAATTTTAATTTCAACTTTAACCTAAAGATGCACCTACTATTGCCTGGCACCAGGCTTAGATTTTTGATTTTGGGCCTGGGTTGTGCGGGAGCCCGACGGGCGCAGTATCGCCGCATTTCGCGAAGCAGGAACGGTGTTTTTGGTATAGACTGCATTCTTTGTGCCTTGCCCCGATTCATCTCTTAGGGCTGTTGCAATGGACCCAATTGGGTTCCTTGAAGGTCTCGATGCCTCAGAACTGCCAACGTTGACAGGGTCCGGAATGGCTTTGTTTGCTACGAATGGCACATTCATGCCATCTGCATCGCTCTCTGGCTCTGAATCGTCTCTGATATTAAGCTTAAGTATGTCGTTTTCTATCTCTCGCGTCGTGGGGTTCTCTTCCTTGCTAGAACCCTTTGGGCGAAGCGTTTTAGCCTCCAATTCTTCAGCAAACCTTTTCATAAGCTCTGCTTTATCAGGTCTATCGCTAGAACGCTCTCCATCCATGGAGATGTACTTTATACCGTCGTAGTACCAGCCTGACGGTAGTTTCTCGTCGCTGTAGTATTCCTTAACGAGGCTCCACGAAATGTTCTCCTTACTGAGTGTGTTCAGATCCTCAACGACGGCGAGAGGGTCTGCAGTCTTCCCATACTCTTTAATCTCAAGATTGGTGGGTGCCAATTCCAAAAACAGCTCACGGAAGATCTCTTCCATAAAACTAGAGAATAGGCGGCTAAAAGTGGGCTGCTCAAAGATCGTGGCAGGCTCACTGCTCAAGACTGTCACCTTTCCTAGGAAGCTTGGGAAGAACCGCCGCGAAGAGTAGTCATCAATATTATATCTCCCCACGGATATCGTGTTCCTGTGGGTGCTAAGCTCCAAGAAGAGTGCATTACTGAGGTTTAATACTACCTGCACATTTCCCTGGGTTTCGTTACCATCGCACGCTCCTAAAAGCATGGTAAATATTTTTGGCAAGAGGCCTACCTTTATCGATTGCCTTGTCGTGATAATGCGGCGGAGTCCTCCCAGAGACCTGCGGAGCATCGTATCGGTGTAAGAGCTATCAATTTGCTGAATAATGTGATGTTTTGAGGAATGCAGCTGTCGCTTCGTTGCACCAGAATCTCTCTTTAGATAGCTTGGCCGGTCGGAAAAGAGCACGAACAAGTCTTTATCTGGAGTCGCAAAGTCCCACCTACAGGCATACACATCATCAGTGATGCCTCTGGCTACTTCGGAGCAAATGTCTGTGACTTGGTTACCAGGAAGAGTGAGACTATGAATCACCATTTGCTCTTTGCTAAACAAGCTTCCCTTGGATATTTCGTAAACAGTCTTATCAGTCAGGGGCTGTGGGTTAGCAGATAGGCTGTCCAACAAGAGTGCCTTCTTGGCTGCGCTCTGAGCTGCCTTGGATGATTCCGCAGAGGCTGAGATGGCGGAGAGTTCTGGGCCCGACAATGAATAGATGCCAAAGTGAGACATTGCATTCTTATCTGGAACCACTCCTGGCTCTGTAACAACAACCAGTTTCTTAGTCCACGTAGGAATAAAGGACATGTTAAATGGAAGTTGATATACATTTGGTTCTGTAGCTGCGCAATGCACGTTGAAAACAGCAGGCGTGGACACAGAGATATGTCGAACAGTAGTCACATAATTGCTCGCTACGAAGGTACCAACGGACTCTAAAAGGACTGACAGATTGCTTTCGGCAGTTATCTGCCCGATGATGACAGTGTTCGTTAGATTGGGGAGGACGGATAGCAGATCAGATAAGAATGCCCGTTCATTAAGGGAGCGCGTGATAATTTTGTTGATTGAGCTGGTTGAGCCGTTAAGCTCAGATTGGAGCGCAGCCGAAAATAGAGCCACGAGCGTATTCGACAGATCACCGAAACCACTGATAATAACCACATGATTATTGGAACTGAGCTTGAGATCCTTATCGAAGACACAGGAGCGAGTCGTGACCGGGCTTACAGGTGCATGTTCCTTTGTCAAACATAGCATATCTAGGCAGTCAAGTGGGCTCCCTGTATGGGCGATAATCTTGTCCGCTACATGTATTCCCATCGATGCCTGTAGCTTCAGAGTATCCTGTGTCTCCATGGCCTGAATACCTTGTCTAAAGATATTACTGAGACCTGCCCTGTACACACCAGTTGCTCCCATGGCAAAACTAGATGAGTAAAAGTGTACATTGTGGGCCTCTACGTTCTTAGAGGACTGCTCAAGGAGCGCTTTAGTAGTGCTATCAGGGGCGTCTACAGGTCCTGCAACCGTCTCAGAAGAGCCACATGAAAAGACATCGTCAAGTAGCCCATTGAGAATGCATGCATGCGTTAACTTCTTCATAGAATCAGCACTCATTGTGGTACGTTGCAGCTCTGCAGGAAGGTCGGCCTCCTTGCAAGCAAACTTGGCCATAGACCATATGAGCTGAAGAAGATCCTCTCCAGAGACGATGCCCTGTGGCAAGTCATCCTCGCTCAGCAGGAAGTCCCCGCCGCGCTCTTGCTTGAATACCTTGAAGCCGTAGGCTGCAGTGACATCGGTGGGCTTATAAATCTGAACAAGCCCCAAAGAAGCATAACAGTCGTTGTACAGGGCAGAGAGGTTGCGTAGTTTCCCAAGAGCATCGGTACTTGAGAGCATACTATCAACAAACAATAAGCGGATAGCTGTCGTAACAGTTATCTTGAGCTTCCTGGCAAGGAGATCTATGCTTGCTGCAAATCCGCCTGCTACACTATGTCCCACAACAGCAGACAAGTCCATCAGGCTGTTCTCCATATAAACAGATAAGTTTTCCTCCGAGGGCCCTGAAAGCTGTGAGCCACCGAGACCAGCGCCTTCCTCTTGAGCTGTGCTCACATCATGGCGCTCTTCAGAAGTTAGTATGCGTGTGAAAAGCATCAGCGACATATGCCCATCTACAGTTGTCAATAGAGGACGATATTTGAAAAGATCTTTCATGTTATCCGTGTACATAGATTTAGTGGACAAAAATGCCTGACTCTTTGGGTTGGGAGTCATGTTGAGTATACAGTCACCAAGATTCTGGAGGCACACACTAAGATGGAAACCGGGATCAAAGTGCAGAAGGCACGGAAACGACGTCTTGGTAAGAGGAGACAGCAGAAACTTCTTTCCATTAATGGCGACATAGTGTAGAAGCCTCATCTCGCAGGCGAGATTAGTCATATTATGCTGCTTCGCGGGGAGCATCGCCAGATCGCGGAAGACAAACTTGTCGCTGCAACGGAGCCGGGTAACCGTGTTCTTAGATGCCAGTAGCTGCGAACCCATGCAATAGTACCCCCCTGGATATGTAAGCAGTGTATCCCCATGCACAATCGTCAAGGCCAGGACGTGCGAAGATGTGTAGGGCAAGCGTACCTGAATAGCAAGGTTGATGTGGTACAGGACGCGGCCATATACTACCTTTGTCATCCCCAGATTGTAGTACTCACAGGAGATCTTTATAGCATTACTTGTAAGATTGATCGCCTGTTTCAGTGTTGCTGCGTTAACAGAGAAGTTCTCCGCTTGCATGGATGTAGTTAGGGTGCCCGATATCTTATTCTTTAATGGTCCTAACGATGACTCTACTGCCTTTGCAAGGTCATCACTCTTTGCATACAGCTTGCTTCCCAGGCCCAGCTCATCGGCGAGAAGTGTGACGAGCTCGGGCAGCTGAGAGGCAACGGCACCTGCAATGCTATAAAATGCATTGACAACAGATGATGGCACACAATCTATGTCTTTTGCATCCGATTGCGTGGACTTATATGGCTCTACAATAAGTGATCTCCGTACTTGCAAAGGATATAGCGGATGGACGACGTTTATATCAATAATTCCACCGCATGTGAGCGCGCGAGTGCCGTCACCAGCCGTCTTTGCAGCTAGAAGCATCAGTGGATAGTACTTAACAGTGGTTGTCCTGTTAAAGAAATCATCTGTAGCGTTTGCCGCTCGCATGGCAGCACAGATGTCAAGATAATGAGTCCTCTTGTTCGTGAACTCTGCTACCATCGGTTCAGAGATGGAGGCCAAGAGCATTTGTCCTATGTCTGCCGTGCCAGGAGGGATAGATGCCACGAGGTCTTTGGACTTATTGACGCACTCTAAGCATTGCAGCTCGAGCAAGTGCATCGAGCGGTAGAGCGTGCGCGCCGAACACATGTCTACATGATATAAACACTGATAAAGCACATCAATAGGCAAAGCTTTTAAAGCCATTGACGGAATAGACTCCAAAAACTCTCTGTAACGAGGGTCAGACCCCGGCTGGGCTGGGCCCTCAATTGCACTGTATACTGTGAAATGCGATGCACACTCCGATTGGTTGAGTGAGCAGCAACTCTTGTTGGTGCTGTCTTGTCGTATTTGTGTATTACCATGCGTGGCCTTCGGAGATGCTGTCTGGGTTGTATCGGCAGAAACGTCGACGGGGATGAGTGCGTCGCGCAAGAATGCAAGAAGGGGAACATCTAAAACACTGCTGCTGTCTTCATACTCAAGCACCTTGCTAGCGAAGCCTTTAGTGCATGCTGCCTCAGCTAAGGAGGCATAACGGCGGCATCCAACCACGCGGAGAGAAAGGTACGGAGTTTCGTGCGAGCTTGTGTTTTTGGTGCCTCCAGCGTCTTCCAGAGAGTTTGTCTTCGATACCAGAGGATCTGTAAAGCCAATATAGACATAGGAGCTCAACACCCCAGAGATAATATGTCTGTATTGATCCAATAGCTCCTGCGTAGGAAAATACCACAAGAACGTGCCCTGAACAACGTCAATACAGAGGGCGATGTCGTCAAAATCCTGCACACTAATGAACGATGAATACCCCGCGGTGCCTTCTAGCAAATAAGATAGGATCGCCTTTGACACAGGGTCAAAGCCAAAGTTCCTGCTGTAGACAACGAGGAGAAAGGAGGGATCTGAATTCGCTGAGAACACTCGGGCCGCCTGTAGTAAACGGTGCGCTCTGTATGCGTAGTCTCTGTGGGTGTAGGCGCGTGTCTCCATTTTAGAAATTCAAACTGGAAAATTGACCCTAAAAAGAGGGTCTTGGTGATAAATTTACATAGCGCTTTACACTTTGCTAATTAAATCAAATGAGAATAGTCGACCAAAATTGGCAAAAACCCCGGAAAGGTGCAGCGCCAGCTCTCAAAAAGTTTGCGTCAGAGGCTCAAGAGACTAAAACTGCCATCCGGTCAGACTCCCTCAACATCGTGACCCTTTACGGAGTATTTATACAGACAGGCACCGGCACACACATTAGGAGCAGCCTTGCAAGGCTGATTGCTATAGATTCTTCGAAGCGGATCATTTATAATTCTGTGTTCCTTCCCTACGCCCCCATAACGGACTATAGAACCCCGGAAACATCCTTAACAGCAGCAGACTTTGAAGGAGCTATATCCATTGCCGACGTGCGCAGCGAAGTACGGAAGTTCCTGGTCAACAAAGTCCTCGGATTCAACACGCAAAAAATTCTCAACCAACTTGGGGTGCACGTCCCTTCCCGACGAATACTAGATTTAAATCACAGCTACTACGGCTCTGTGTCTTACGTAAAGGGAATGACAGGACTTGATGCCATCTTACGCTCGTTTGGGGGTACAAAATACAGTGTTAATCCAATAGAAAAAGTAAGATTGATCTATGAATTGTATCTCAAAAGAAAAAACAGCTGGTATAGTGATTTGGCTACCTACTACAAAGTCGTGCAAGGTAAGGTAGATCCATCTAGCGTCTTGGACATGCCAAGTGCTCCCCTAACAACAGGCGAAAACGACCAGGAGAACGATCAAGATCGTGAGCTGTTAGCTGAAAGCGGTAATGCATCAGGCTATTCATACAGCAGCGACTACAGTTACAGTACAAGTAGTGATGCGTGATAAAGAGTAAATCGGGATTGCGTTACATACCGTCAATTTGCATAGTGAGAATGTGCTAGTCAGTACTCAGCATATGTTCCTCACCATTCTAAGCAGCCATGAGAGCGTTGATTCACGATCTATGTGAGAGGTCATTTATGGTGCTTCCAAATTCTTCATACGTGCTGAGAGAGGAATGATAGCCCGAAAGGCTAGAGTGCATAATATTGTTTGCAGCGACGGCGTTGTTAATGCTCCTATTCAGCACACTTATCCGACGAAGAATCTCCGGCTCGGTTAAGTCCAGATTGTACGGAAGAGCCTCGGGCTTCTGAAAAAGCTCCGGCCAAGTTTCCCTTACATGCTCTGTCAAGGCGTCATTTATATGTGCAATATTTTCTGCTGTAGACGTGTCTGGCTGAGGCTCTGGGTCTTCGGCGAACAGGGTGCTTTCTCTACTTACTTGGCTGATGGCTGCAGGAGCGTGCGCCTGGGACTCTTGATTCTGCTGCTCTACCTTCTGCTTATTGTGCAACGGGCTAAGAATGTTATCCGGAGGATGGACAAAGGTGGCACTTGGATTTAGCGTGACTACAGGTGCTGTGGCTTGGAGTATTGTAGGATTGATCGGCGCTACACTAGATGCCGGATTCGTCTGGTGTTGTGAGGGCACGCTCGCTTGTCCTGAAAATGGGTCTCTTTCATGTAAGGATTGTAGTGACTCTGAGCCCAATTGTGAGGAGACATAGTTTGGGACGAGTGCATAGGGCGGTGGCTTCACACTACTTGCCGCCTCGGAAGCTTGCTCTAGACGAGCAGTCCTAGTCATATCAGTGGCTGGCGCAGCAGTCTGTCGGAAGCCTATCGGAGATTTCAGCTCTGTCTTGCTAGTAGGGCATATTTCGTAGTCCTCTGGTTGATACAGCAGTGTCTGCTGTTCTCCAACCTGACTGCTCAAGTAGGGAGGCCCACACGAAGTCATGATAGGGGGAGGGAGAGGTGCGCCCCTTTGGCTATCGTCATCAGCAGCGCAGCCAGTGGGTTGGAAAGTGGCCTTATAAGTGCTCAAGCTACGTGCAATGGCCCGTTCGACCAGTGCCTCGAGTTCATCACTTTTGAGGTTATTGTGGGTAGACTCTGACGCAGCCACATGTCCTGGTGAGACGTTATGCGGAATTATGTACTGCAACTGGCCATGTTCTTTGGGTCCGGGGACCACGTGCACAGCAGTTGGCGCTGAGGAATGGTTGGATCTTGCAGTTATAACTTGAGACTGCGGAACATATGAAGAGTACGATCGTGGTGGCTCATAAGAGCTCTCTAGGATTTTTCCATGCGCAGAACTATACTCGCCGTTATTTGAGTAGGATCGCGGGACTGGTGATGTGACCACGCGTGTCTGTCGCTTTGATCTTTTAGAGGCTCTGTGAAAGGCTTCCGCCTTACCCGGGGGCTCAGGATCAGAGTCTTGACTCTCGTAACAGGCTTCATCGTCATTACCACTGTCGCTACGCTGGTAGCTCCTTGCGCTCTCAACCAATCTTGTCTTCGCTATTCGCCTAGGCTTCTGAGGAGCGACAAAATACCTCTCCTCATACTCTGGAGGAATCGGCCAATGGGGATGAGATACCTTCATATGATGAAGAAGAGTATCCTTACTGATAAATGTCTTGCCACAGCGGCACTTGGGAAGCAATTGCAGGAGAGGAACAACAGAGTTAAACTGATCCCTAAGGCACACAAACCTCTTCAGTAGGGACGCATTCATCTGAGTTATGTTGCGTATTACCTCCTTAAGGTGCTTGTTCTCCGCTTGGTACTCCTCTAGGCGTTTCTTTAGGGTTTCCGGGGCCGCTTCTGCTTTAAGATAAAAATTCTGGGCTTCTGTTAGCTTCTCTGCTTGTTCGTGATATATTCCAGCAAGGTACTGGCCATACATCTGCAGAGCCTGCAAGGCTGCATAGCAGTAAGTGTGGTACTGAGGGTCGCTGAGTGACCGAAAGTCCCCATACAAAAGCTGCGTGCTGATCTTTGTAAGCTCATCAGTCGCGTCCGATGCCAGGATGGAAGGAAAATCTAGTTCATACAGCTGAAGCCAGTTCACGGCAACGGTCCCTTGCCTCAAATATTGCTTCTTCATTTCTCTCTCTTTTTTTGATTCAGCACTAAACCCTGTTGGTTACTGCAAGCCCGACCTTTTCGAGCAGGAGGCCCACCAACTTCTTGCAATGCTCCTCGAAAACGGCTCCATCTGCATACAAGTGACTTACTATTTTACGCACGGTTTTATCCCCTTGGGTGTAAGCGGCCAGAAGATCGTCCAGATACAGTAATGTGCCACGGCGTACACGGCCCATACCATCTGTTTCTTTCTCTTCATACTTATTGTATATTAATAAGCCCTGGTCGACGTGGCCAATGAGGGGACCAAACGCCATCCGCGAATGATAGATGTCAGTCCCGGATGAGTTCTCAAGTCTATGCGTTTTTCCTGTTAGTAGGAAGCAAAAGAGAAAGTCGTAGAAAGTGCGAACGGCCAGAGGTAATGTACTTCTAGTAGACTTAGTCTGAATGCTGCTGCTGTCACATAGGACGTGCTTCTTTAGAATGCTATAAGATATTCCGTGGATCCCCGATTCAGTTGGGCATCCCAAAAGGTACCCTACGATGCGCGCCGTGTTGGTGATCTGCCTGCTGTTGTTTTGAAGACCGGCCACATAATCCCAGATGGCAAGTCCCAGCTGATAACGGAAATCATGTCTTCCTGGTGCAGCGATAATGCTTCGTAATAATAGTATCAAGGTATGGTCAGTATACGAACGATCTGCATTAACAGTTAATATAATAGAAAAAAGTGAGGGGACGGTGAGCTTTTGAAGCGGCTTATCCAGATAAGTTTTTATACTGTGTTCAATACCCTCTTGCGAAGAGAGATAAGAGAGTTGCTTAGAAACATAGTTAGTGAAGGCGTCCAACATAGTATTAGAAGGGCCCTCGGTTCTGTATGCATTCCTCCATGCAGCACTGAATCTCTCTGGGTCCACAAGTTTCTGCGCTATGTCATCAAATATGAAGCAGAAATATTTGCAAGCAATAAGTTCTCCCTCAGAATACCGAAGGCCATTTGAGTTCACAGGTCTATGTCGTAAGGGACCGCTGGTGAACTCCTCTGCTATCGCCTTAGTTAAAAGCATATCCCATAGAAGCGACATAATGGCGCCGACAGACCGTAGACTACTCTCTTGGCCCTTCTCTAACAGATTTGGCTCTATATGCTTGTCATGTGGGAATTTCTTTATCTGACTGACGATGGCAAAGCAGTCGTTGAGGCTTTGCTCTTGCAATGTAGCCTGCTTTCCACTCTTCATGCTATGCATGAATTCGTAGATACCACGTAGATTGGGAGCGACTGGCACATCTTTCTTTGTATGCAGCCCCAAAGATCTAGCTTCTTTGATCATTGCTTCATAGACCTGCAGTCTTGTGGCAAATCGCCGTTGTTCTAGCGAGGCGTGCGGGGAGAGAAGTATCTGTTTCATCACCCCAGAGTCATGTGTAATTTGTTTGCTTAAGGCTTTATACTGGAGAGGGCAGAGACTAAGCAGCAAAGATGCTGCTATTCGCAAAATCCTACTCAGCAGTTTGTATACCGCTGGGCTCAACACATGAAACTCCACGACGGTCGTGCTTTCCTCAGTCACCAGAGTGATGATTACTTGGCAGTGCAGCATGGTCTCTAAGAGGTTGCCCAGAGGGGTTACCGCAGCCCCACGGAACGCTATGGCGTATGACAGGGCCTCAACAAGATTGCTGACTAGGGCTTCAGAGTCACTTTCCTCTGTAAGGCTCTGCATAAAAGTGAGTTCAGTAGTTGTAGAGTAGATCGGTGCATTTGCTATGGTATCGTGAAGGTTCACGTAGAGGTTACTCACGCATGCGTGACAAACTTGTGAGTTCTTGAGGTGCAAGCAATATAAAAAAGCGCCAAGAAGTGCCCCCATTGTTGAGGATTGATCATATGAGTTTGCTATACTGGCCACAATAATGTTTGCAAGGTCAACTCCCATATAGCCATCTGTTTCATAAAAAGGCCGCGAAGCAAGGATTCCATCAACGACCTCTTCTATATTGGTTTCTACTAGCTTATTCATATACTTAGTAATTGAAGACGACGCTATGCCAAGGATATTGGGTCCGGGGGCTTCACAAGTGACGGTCTCCGTGATAGGGGCATCCTCTGGAGGGTGCAGAAATGCAGGGAGGTGATGCTCTTCAGAGTCTGCGCTGTAGACTGATGACGCTAGGCTGTCGTTACCTGTAGATTCGCCAGATTCATTATAGATAAAAGAACTCTGTCCAGGCGCAAAAAGGTCCTCGAAGCCATATTCCTGAAGAGCGTACTGTGCACCTTTGCCAAGGATGCGTTCTAACCGCGCGATTTCGGCATCTTCTGGATAGACTGTATCCTTCATGAGAATATTTATTCTTAAGAAAGATAACACAGAGTCACAATCAGTCATAGTTTGTTTCGTTCCAGCCTCGCCTGAGCTACACCATGCTTCTATCGTCATCGCTCTGGTGTCTATTGCAGTCTGAAACTCCCATTAGAACATCGTCTCAAAATTTAATGTCAGAGAAGCCCTTAGATCAACCACAAATCCCAGCCCTTGGAGCATTTACACAAGACCAGCTGATGACCTACAATATTCTTAAACGACTGAAGGAGTACGTCGGCGATACCAATCCGATTAATCTGGGTAATGTGTGTCTCAATGAGATCTGCAGAGATCACGCCATACAGCTCAGTAAGGACCAACTTACTATGTATGGAACCCAGGGATATCGGTCCTGCCGCTCCACCCACGGCGTTTCGGGCGGGACGTTCTACTTCGAAGCAATGCCCCATCCACCGATGGACATCACAGAGGAGGAAATAAACGCCATTTCTGAACTACAGTATCGACCACAGTGGCGTATCGGCATAGCATGTTCTGAGCTTGAAACGGGCTGGGCCGTGGGATATGATTCCTATGGGTTTGGTCTTCGGTCTGTCGACGGAAGCCTCTGCCATCTAAGGGAGAGACACACCAGCAACACAAGATTGGCGCGGAGGGCCCGGAAGCCTGGCGAGACACTTTCTATGGTGCTTGCTGAAGAGGATGCAAAGGATGCTGCCCTCTTTGACAACACATTGTCAGATAGCAATGCCGTGCACACATACGTAGAATTTTTCCCATCAGATGGACTAGCCGAAAACGTCTCTCGAGGACCCTTTTTCTACGGGCCAGGTGACACCATTGGTGTCCTGCTCCATCTGCCTAAAAACCCAGACTTGCCAGAGTTACCAAAAGAGGTTGAGCTGGGTATTGATAAGAGCCATGAAAAGTCACTTGTTAAGTCAGGAACAAAGGCCACCATACCTAGTCAGAATACAAGCATGCAGATAACTTTAGAAGCATCCCAGCTATCCAGTGCTGATGAATCCGGTATACCATCGAGAAAAAAGAATGCTGAAGCTCAAAAGGATGACCTTAGGCCGCTTTCTAAGGGATCCTTTGCCACTTTTTTCGTCAATGGAAAACCTAGGTGTACTATTCACAACCTCCCCCATGATAGATACTATGCAGCAGGCTCCTCATTCTTGTATGGGTCTATAGAGTTCAATTTTGGGCCACGAAACACCGTGAATGAGGCATTCCCGACTGACTGGAGGTGTTTGCCCTTTTGTCTCACCCCTGCGGACGAATCCCGCGAATCTCTGTCAAAAACCTTTCGCTATTACGAAGATACTGAACGCTGGTGCATAGCTACACGGGTTCTTTGTCCGTTTCGCGAGGATAATTCCATCTTATTTTGTCCAACAATTAAACCGTTGACAAGCCTGTATATTCCTCGTGCAGAAGATGAGTACAAGGACGTTCTGGATATATTTGCCACAAATCAGATGACGCTGGACATCTGGAACGAAATAGCAAGGGCCTATGGAGACACGGTCTACGGAGCATCCCGAAAACGGCCGAATAGGGTGCTGCACATTAAAAAGTAGCACACAAAGGGTATGCACGTGACAAACGGCACCTAGCTTCCTGTGCACTGGGGGTGTATTGCCTTGTTTCCCAAAAAGAACAACCGCCTTTTTAAGACGGCCTCGTGTTTCTGTCTCTGATCGTTATTATGCAATACTCTTAGGTTCTGCTTGCTAGTATTGTAAATAACAACTTTTGGGGACTCTCCTGTTTTGTTGTTGTGATAAGTCATTCATTCTAAGGTAAAAATGAAATTGCGGGTCGCAATTCAGGCCGTTAATAGTGCAAACTACTTATCCAGACAAACAAGTACGTCCCAGGTGTGAGTATCGGTAACGTGGAGCAGGAAAGTCTGGCTAGAGTAGTTGTTATATCCTTAGTTCAAGAAAAAAATATATTGTGCCCAGTGATGGTATCATTTGATAAGGAAGGGCTTGTAATTAAATGGTGAGACTACTGGCTACTGTCTTCTACGCTACAACGGTCTACAGGGACTTTTTTGGTGAATATTTAAAGAACGGGCGAATGCCTCTAAAGCCCCCAGTATTCTACAACGCCGTTGAGTCTGTGGGTCTCTACAAATGCTGGCTCGAGACAACAGTGAGCCCCAGGGCTCCATCAGCGAAGCTCCATACATTATGTGAAGATCGCTTCCAATCTCTTCATAGCGTTTTCCATTACATTGTACCGACTAGTCTTGCTCATTGTGGAAACGCGCCCCAGTCTGCAACGTATATAGTCAAAGTTATATCTCTGGATATACTCTAAGAGGATTTAATTGCAATTGAAAAAGTTTGATTAATCTGGAACCGGAATCTGGGGTAAGGAGAGGCAAGTTAACGCCAGAGGTTAATTCAGGAGGTCTTCTTCGTCGGCCACAGACATAACCAAGTTGCGGGTTTTAAGTTTATAACAATTAGCGCAACGCATACTAACACATTCTTCTCATACATATACGAATGCGAATAGTTTATTCGCAACGTTTCAGCAGATCAATATTCAATCCTAAAAAGTTTAAGTATCTTTTTAAAAATCCATATAAATATTCTTTAAAGCACCTCCCGCTAGTTAGTGACCTGATTCATTTCTGCACGACGGCTAAGCTTGTCTCTGCAGTTTCCAAGATTCCCGTTTCTCAAGTTATTATAATTCATTTTTTGGGTTCTTAATTAATAAATGTATTCTACCAACTCAACTAGTATGTCACATGGTATACAGTCACGACATCCGAAGGACAATAAATGTACTTGCAAGCAAGAAGCATGTCCTCTTAATTCGGCAAAGTTCACACTAAGTTCAATGTCAGATGGGGTTGTAGCCTGTGGATTGAACAATGTTCTCGTGAAACGTACATCAACCTGGGATACGAAGGACGAGGAGCTTCTCCTAAAGCTTTTTCTGATGTACTTTGGCAACGACTGGGCGCAGTATCGTCAGTTCTTTCCAACACGTACCGTAGATTCCATTAAAAGTAAGTTTCATAACCTAGTGAGGGCTACACACCGAAAGCGTTCTAAGATACATAGCAAGAGTCACCAGAACATTGTCATTATGATAAAACGGGCGCAGGAGCTCATGAAGGACGACGTGAAGAGAGGTCAATCTGACACCAAGCAAAAAGTACATGGTCCCGCGTCTCCTCGTGCAGCACGCAAGGACAAATCTTCCGAAGCTGCCCATAAAGAGCCCCATCTAGTGCCTGTCCTTCTCGATCCATTGAAAATCCTGTCTCCTGCAAAAGTACAATTAAATGAGCTGCCACCCTACCTCATCCAGCTTCCCTGTCCGCCTCTATCACCCACAGGCCCTCTGCCAGGACAGGGCGAGCTCCCTAGTCCAAGCCCCTTGTTATTACCTTCACACAATCGCCCAGTGCATCCAAATATTTCTCAACATCGTTCACCTGTAGAAACTAGTGCGATCTCAAAAGATTCTCCCATGGAATCCACTGGGGTGCCGCTGCTTTACATGGAGAGTGGGTGCTTATTCTCCTTCCCCATCAACTACTTTGGTTCTATAACACTGCCTTTCGTTTTTAGTGAGCTAGGCGGATCTGTACCTTCTATGGTACATCCCCTGCATCAGCATCGCGAAGAACAGAAGTCACCGGAGCCCATCTTCACTACTGTTGGGCTAGTAAAGCTCGAAGAAGGTTCATACCTGAATGCATTGTGCAGACAATGCGGAAGCATTCAAACGCTCCGTATCATGAGAGCTGGTGACATTCTTACCTTTAGCTCAGTACATAAAGGAGATTCTGGAAGACCCTCCGCACCGAACCCGCTCAGCCCAATTCACAATATTGTCTGCATATGCCCCGTTTGCACGACGTCTGCAGAGCTGATAAAAGAGGCAGGTAAGTATGTATGGAAACTACGATATTCTGCGGCTCCCCAAACACCATCAGAATCATCAATCTCGGCAGCGGCATGTCCCACGTCTGGTGCAGACCAGCTTGGTTTTGCAGCATCTCAAGGTCCTGCCTCAAGAATGCATGTAAGCTGCTGCGACGATGAGCCTCCACTTTGTCAGAACTTTGAAGCAGATTCTATCGATTGCTTCAGCACGTCGACACACTCTTCCAACACACACATGAGTGTTGGCACACCTTTGGGTGGCTTTGACACCTGTTCTAGCAGTCATCCAGACTTTGCCGTCTGGTCCAGTACATCCGTGTCAGCTGAGCACCTAAACTCGTCTACCAGTAATCAGGCACTTGAGCTTGCTCTGCAAAGAAGCAACTTATACTCCACTCACAGCAGCAGTCAGCTAGAAGCAGGCCCGGCGTCCACAGACGACCTCTCTGTCTCATTCCCATTACAGTATCAAGAATTACAATACCAAGAAGATCTTCTATTTAATACTGATGCAGATTGATAGACCTAATACATTTACATTAGGCGTAAAGCATAATAGAGTGATACCCTTTGTACTCTTCGCGCCAGTCAGCGTTACTTTGTAAGAGCAGATCACTGCAGTACCTCTGTGTAAACTACTGGCTAATACATTTTAGCAGTAACACCCCTTGGTACGTGATTCGTTTGTCAGGGCTTGAACATCAACTGTTGGCGGACCCACTTGAGGCGAAGTCTTGCTAAGCTCCATCCGTCCCTTTAGGTCCTGTGCAAGCTTACCCAGTAGATTGTCTATGTTAGTGCCATCTGCCGCACTGACTTCAAAGTATGCTCTGCATCCCAGAAGGACTGAAAGACGCTCTGCATCTTGTTGCTTTACAGCCCGGTGCTCTGCCTGATCGCTTTTTGTTGCCACTAGATAATAGAATTCTGCGGACTTGACATTAGCTGCAAGGTCCTTCCAGTATAATAGATTCTCGAATGATAACCGATTAGTCATATCATAGCATAATAAAACGACTACAGCTCCCCTTAGATAGAGTGGCTGCATTCCAGAGTAGTGTTCCGTCCCACCCGTGTCCCAGATATGGAGAGAAACCTTGGCATTTCCGTCAGGAACCTCAATATCCTTATAGAACCAATCCACTCCATAGGTGGGGGTGCATGCGTCTTTGAACACATTAGTCGTTAAGCGGACAATCAAGGATGTCTTGCCCACGCGCGCGTTCCCCAGGACCACGAGTTTGTAGCGCTCACCGAGTGTTGACATAAATGATAGCTAACAGTTTTTTCAGCTAAGGCGTTCACCACCAAGTATTAGTCTTCGCAGCTCGTAGATGCTCCCTAAGTTGTGGCTCGTATACATTCGTATCATGCGGTTGATAATAGTCATCTCCCCGCCCTTGTACTTGAACATGGAAACAATCTTAGGCTCTACTTCGCGTGGGGGGATTCCGGCTAAACCTTCGACTATAGGGCTTCCTACGCACATGCCTGTCTGAGATAGTTGGAGAGGAGTGGCTACATAGGATGATCCAGTTGACCCCGCGTTAGTAGAGCATACGGCAGAAAGACAGGGCGATAGCGGCAGTGCGAAGGGTCCGTGGCCCGATGCACCGAGGCCTGCACTCAGCCGCAGACTGCTCTTTTCAAGAGCAGGGGAAGAGTCCTTCTGGTGGGCTATAGGCCGCTGATACGCGGCTGATCGGAGGGCAGGGAGCCGAGTCCGAAGCTGCTCCTCTGGGCTGTTTTCCTTTGAACCCCCGAGGATCGAGGGTGGTGGCTTAGTAACAGACCCCCGCCTCATCTGGATCTGTGGCAAATGGAAGGCGTCCCCCAGGGGCATCAAGTTTTTGTGAACTGTGAACGGCCGACTCACTCTGCAGGCGCTTTAGAGCTCAGTAGTAGAGTGTATCAAGCCCATTCTATAATGTAATGCAGCTCTTTACTACTTATGCGAACTCAAAGGTCTTTCCTTCGCTTACAGAAATCTTTAGTACCCTCTTCAGATCTGCAGGATTGCAATATGGAGGTAGCTTCAGACTGTGGAAGCAGGTACTAGCAGATGGAAGCCGTAGCTTCTTCGGATCTATGTCCTCTGGTTTTGTGTCAGGTGTCTCACCGTCCGCAGCCAACCGTTGAACCTTCAGCTCTGGTTCAAATCCAATTGGTGGGATTCTGCTTGAGCCTGTAACAAAGCATAGAAAGTCAGCGCGCTCTTCAAAGGTAAGCTCATTGAGTACAGTTGAAAACGCTAGCTCTGTTGCTTGTGAAACAAGGCTAGAGGACACGTCAGGAGGAGGGTGAATCCATTTAAATAGCGAGACTAGCTGGCTCGATGATAGCTCATTAATTCCTGAGATCACAAGTCCCAATTCTACAGGGGTGAATATGCGGAGATCCACAGATGGAAGGGATCTTTGCACAAGCTTGGCTACGACATTGATCGGCACAGATCTGCGATTAGTAATTTCCGCCACCATCATATTAACGTGGTCCATGGTGTCTCCAGAGTACTTGATTGTGGAGTGCTCTGTGTCGATTGCGTCATCAAAGGGTACATCAGTAATATCGAGTCCCACACAATCTTCAAATCTAGATCTATCCACATTAAGTAGAGCAATCAGATTGCCATAGTACATCTCTGGAGACGACAGCATGATGTCCTGAGCCTTGAAGGATAGCCCTAAGATCCTTCGTAGGAGGGTCGTGGGAATGTCAAAGCTTAGAGAAAGAAATTCAGTAATGGATCGAGATATCAGATATGCCAAAATGATATACTCTAAATACCCTGATTGACGCTTCAAGGGGGATGCACTGGTTTTGCATGTCTTTGGCAGATAATTCTTACGACTGAATGCCTGACAGTGATTCATCAGATCGCTTGTAACAAGGTTCATGTATTCCTGTCGTGGACCATGCAAATCGAGAGCGTTCTCATCTAAGAAAGCGACCCGCCACGGCTTCTGGAGAGCCGCTTGAGACCCTGCCACATTTTGATCAAGGTACTCAATGAGAGATTGCAGCGGAGCATCGCGTCGCACAGATATCTCTAGCGTTGTGCTCTGAGCTGGAACATATTTCGTTGCCTCGACCATTGTCTCGCTCATTGTCTGCTCTGGAAGATAACAGTTACTCCCTAGACGCATAAGATGCCTAAACATAAACAGCTTGTCGTCGAACGAAAGCATGAAGAGTGCTGCCCCGTTAAGATAGATATCGCCAAGAGCGCCCAAAAACACCATCGAATTATATTCTTGCTTAGATTGAGCAGCCAGGTCTTCCATAAGAATCTGCGCAATAGTATGGTCATCAACACCAGAGCTGGGTAGGGTAAGGCCTAGAATAGTATGCTCCTCCACTGACTTCATTGCGTGCTGCTGAGCAACCAAGTGGCTATACAATCCCTCTGTCGGTGATTTTACGTGAAGGGCCTCCTTGAGCTCAGCAATATAGATGCATGCACGTTTCAGTAAGCACAGTTGCTTTCGATGGGCAATGTCAGCTTCGTCTGTTTCCGCATTTGGATACCGTAAGATCCGAGTGATTGCGATTAAATCAACCCCAAACCACACACTAGAGAGATGGCCTGCTTCCAAGCAATAGCATCTATGGGCGTGTTGAACCTCACTATAGAGGGCGTAATAGGGATCGGTCTGATCATCGACAGACATAATTAGGGTGCTTCTACGAAACAACGGATCTAACAACATCCTGAACCAAATGTGGTATGAACATAGTGCAAAGAACATCCCTAGGTGATCTCCATAAAGGCAGGCCGGATCTACAATGGCGTGAGATTGTAGGAAGAAGTATTCATTGTACTCAGAGGTCAAGAAGACTTGATAGCTTGTCCATACATCTGCCAACCTGGATTCTGCCGAAAGATACGAAAAATGCGTCTCTGATAAGCTTCCAGCCACCTTTGGCGCTGGAACGTATACATCTATCATCTTGGTACCAAGTGTCTGTTTTTCTGTCTCTTCTTTAGTTTCCTCTGTTTGCTCTTTTGCAGTATCTGTTTCTTCTGCATCCGTTTTGATAACCTGCGTGCTTGGTAAATCTATGGCGAAGCAACCGGCTGTTGAAAATGCTCCCAAAGGTGCTGAGAGAGGAATCAGTATCTTTGCCATTCGACTGGTAGAGTTGGGGTCATCAAACATAGACTCACCTGTGTTGCACACAGTTCCGGGCAGAGCCATGAGCATGCCCTGAAGGACATGTGCAGATAGCTTGTGTCCGAGCTGCATTGAAGAATCAGAAAGGTGGAGCATGTCGTACTGAAGCACAGATGTGAGAGCAGAGACAAGCGAACATATATTCTTGCATGCTGAAACAAGCTCCATTTGCGTGGAGAAGTAGCTGGTTAATGACTCGATATACTTTTCTGGTCCTGAATCTAAGTCAGCGTGTACAGACACACCAGCTAAAGGTACAGACTCCTCTGATATATGTATTTGATGCAGCATCCCCTCTAAACCGCCAGATTTAACGTAACCTAGAAGAAAATGGTATATCATCCAGCCGACGAAGTTACTCACAGCCCCATCAAACGTAAAGGCAGGAAAAAGCAGCGCAATAAAGGGAGTGCTGACCACATTAAAGTTAGGAGAAAAGAGACCAGGAATACTCCTAAAGTTCAGGCTAGATGCTCCCGCTGATATCCCTCTCAAGGTTGCCTTGGAAGCTGTGGACGCTCTTGATGAGGGGCGCAAAGCCGGGGAATTGGTATGCATCAGTGGAGTCGCGTTAGAGGTCACCGAACCGAACGCATTAAAAGATGCGGCGTGTTCTAATTCGGACGGCTCTTCAGGGGTGTCTCGCTGAATACCGTACCTCAATTGCGGAAAGTAGGAGAGAATTGTGACAAGCTGAGCAACGAGGGCACCATCATAGCATAGTGTCAAGTTTTGAGTGAGCCTCAACCATCCTATTAGGTAAATAGAGCATATTTCTAGTTGAGAGAGCTGAAGCAGCTCGTTTGTATAGATATTATAGAAGGGATAGGTCTGGGGTAGAGTAGATAATGCACACATTTGAATTGCGTTCGCGAGGGTAGTCCGTAGACATGCAAGAACCATCTGCTTGGTTTTAAGAGATACAGATAGTCCTCCACGCGATTGATTAATTGATCCAGTCATAAAGTATCCTGGCTTAGTGGTTAACGATGAGGATAGCGGACGGGCCGGAAGTATGGACCCGCCTGCCGACAAGGGCTTGGTTGCCAACGAGGAAGTGAGAGAGTGCATCTGCCCTGTCTGCGCCGACGGAGGTCGCATCAGCGAGAAGTATAATTCTCCTGGTAATAGAATACGGAGTAGCGTTCGTATGATGGGTTCATTGCCTAAGAAGATGGCCTCGTCAATGTGTGCCAGGCAACCACTGAGGAGCGTCACTACAGGAAGTGTTTGCTGAATGAACGGTATAAACGCCACTATGGCTTCTATCTCCCCTAAGATGATAGATAGTGAATTCAGCATGGTCAATCTATCAGGAATAGAAAAGGTCTTGCCTTGCAATTGGGATATCCGCTCAGCAGGTAGGTACAAGAACTGGCCGAGAGGATAACATCTCCAGTTCCCTAACGCAAACAGCAATATTACTATCACGTGCGTGAAGCTCCTGTAAAAAAGTTGCGCCAAGGAGGTATACTCTTCTAGTATAGCTTGTGATTGATACTGAAAGGCACACGTACTTTGCGTTCCCATGGATGACAATAGCTTATCAACAGGGGAATGTATAAGTGATTGGTCCAAAAGGTCTGTAGAGGCGAAGGAAGCAAGGCTGCAAGACGATGCTTCTGCCTGAACTTGGGTGGCAGCAAGTGTCCCTGGCAATCCCTGCTGCGCTAAAAGAGAGGCAGGTGCTTGCTCAGCACTATGGGGATCAACTATATCCAACGATTCAGGGTCATCTTTGGCCGCTAAAGCTGCCGCAATCCTTTCTGTGGGCAAATTGATAAAACCAAAATTGGGCAATTTTTCCAGAGTATTGTAAAACAAAGCTAGCTCAGTAGCTGGCAGTTCTAGCCAGTGGAATAGGGCATAAGAAAGCGTCATGCTGATGGGATGCTTTGAAAGCGTGAACAACGACACAATAAATGAAGACACCTTTGGCTTAATTCCTGCGGGGAAGCAGAAAAGGCTTTGTGCCAAAACGGAGTCTCCATCTGGTGGGTCAGCCAAGTGCGTAATTAGCTTTTTGTGGACAAGATATTCAAGGGTCATCAACAGCGACTCTAATGGGGACGCAGATATGGGTATGCGTGCTCTAGCGACGCGATCCAAAAAGAGAGATGCAAGAAGTATCCGTGGAATGGCCTTATCCACATAACGCAGATCCTCACTCCGCTCCCTTCCCGTCATTAGCTTGATACGATCGTAGAGATCAGTATTCAAAGTACGCATGCCCACCAGTGGTAGGTGCCCAGTCGTTAGTAGACGCCTAGCGATTCCACCGGCATCTGACCGAACCTTCAATTTTGGTATGAGAGCATACGACTTCTCAAATAGCCCAGCATAGCAGGGCTCCGTAATAACAGTCAAAAGCTTTGCCACGCTTGTTCCCTCCACAAAGTATATGCTTCCATCAACCTTGTTTCTGAACAGTTCAAAGGGAATTTTGATCGCCTTCCCACTGCCCCGAGCCGGCTTGTTGATTGTATTGAGTGTATATGTAATGCTCCGATCGGTGGAGTATTGTTGCGAGTACTTACATATGGATTGTAAGTATGCACAGATCAAGGTAACAACGTTGTCAATCGTAAACGTACTCATAGCACGAGTAGGGTCTGAAGTTATGTGTTGCTTTTCCATTCCTGCAGTACTATCTTCAGCCGTGGTTCCATCTGCACATGTCTCTTCTGGGTTAGCTACAGGACTCAGTAGGAGCTGCATGGAGTGAACAATCGTATCTGTATCCAGCAGTGAAAGAATGAAAAGCATTAGCAGGAAGTATGAAAGCCTGTTTCTGAGAGTTACGTCGATGTTCTCTGTTGCCAGTTCTTTAGCAGGCACATCGTTCAGTAAATTATCCTTGCAGACATGTAAAAGCTGGAGAAGCTGGTCAGGATTGGCAACGAGGAACGCTGAGAAGTCCTTTTGTGATCGGATAATAAGGTCCATAATGATGCAATTCAGGCACTGATGCTCTATCAAGCAAGAACTAATGAACTCACAAGTGGTCATATTGCACTGCTTCTCGATCAGCCTCTGGAGATCACGAACTGTCGCACTCAAGGCATCAACGTTTTGGATCCTAGACTGCAAGTTTGTCAATCTAGTGTCGCGAACTAGTGCAGGATTTTCTGCGTTGAGGTAATACGCATCATCGACGATACTGAACTTCTTGAGAAGAAAGTCAAATATCTTCTTATCGTAAGAAACAAGAGACTCTCGGATGTCCTCGTTCTGGAGCAGACTCATAGACTTTATATATCTGTTCACAGAACGGATAGTCTCAGAATACAAGTCTACGTGCTGAAGTATTTGCAGAAAGGTGTCAAAATTGATGCACTCGAACTCTCCAACAAATCCAAGGCTCGTGCAGTACAGGAAAATGCAGAGAAACTCGTGAATAAGTGCTATGCTCACACTATTGAGAGGTCCATCCAGAGATACAGTTTCTACAAACCGCGTAGCCAGCTTCTCAATTGCTTGGCTAAGCAAATATTCTTCTTGTTCCGAGAATGATTGTCCCTGCTGAGGTTCCGTGTTGATTGCCTCAGAGTCGGCTTCTGAGACAACGAGGGAAACAGAGGAAATGAACATACACATATGCCGCATTTGAGTCTCTAAAGACATGGCCATTTCGTCTTCGAGGAAGTTGTGACTCAGCCAATTAGAGACGTAGTCCTCGCTGATCGCTCGCATCTGTCTGATATCATAAACATCACTTTGCATAACGTCTTTTCTGGACTCTTCATCAGCCTGTTCATTGAGTTTGCCCTCAGGCAGCTGAGGTGTCGGCTCTTGATCATTTGGAGTATCGTCAAGTTGAGTGACAGGTCCTTCAATGACAGGCTCTGCTGTGGCTACTGTCGCGTTGCTAGGTACGTTTACAGCCGTGCACAGGCTACTAGGAAGCGCGACGCCTAATTCATCAGTGGGGTCAGCAGCATGACCGCTCTCTTCTTCACTGGAGTCTATGGCAGTAGTTGCAGTAGTAGTCGATTCAGCTACATCGGAATCAGAGTCTGATGGTGGAGAGGCCATCAGGCGGGCCAATTCTGTTGCAACAGCAGCGTCATCCTCATCCGAAGACCCATCATCACCAGTAAATGTAGGAGAAACAGCATCTTCCCTGGCCCGTTCTTTAAGGAGGTTAATAGCGCTGAGAACCGCTCTATCTACCTCTTTTCCACGCTTGTAAAACATATCTGTGAGCGTCTCCTCTGGCTCGTCGCTTTTGGATACATTGTTCAGTGAAGAGTGTTGCATATAGCCAGAATGGTTCACGTCACAGGGCGCATCCCTTGGCTCTTCCACCCCGTCCTCTGTCATGCTGTGTATCACATGGAAATAGTAGTCATGAAGAAGAAGTGTGAGGTCATCCAGGTCCGCATCAGCAGCTATCTCATCGCCATACTTGCGATACACACGCTGCGCCTGCAGCAAGAAAACCTTGGAGGAGGTATATCTAGCGATCTTCACGCTCTCAACTGAGAGGGGGAGACTTTGAAGGGACTCAAAAGTAACACCCCCGTGAATGAGCATGCGTAAATCCGGATGAAAAGAGACCAGGTCATTACATATAGTGAACAGCTGGCAAGTAAGTTTGCAGCTAGCAGCTTGAAGAAAAGGGTTTTTAAATCCTGCATCACAGAAGCGGCGAAGCAAGGAGTGCGATGGTAGGCTTGAAATGATATTGTCAACAGACAGCTTAGCCACCGCCTTGGAGTCGTCAGACTTACCGACTGGCTCTCCAGGGTCATCTATGCTTTTTTCCGATCCTTGCTGTGTAGAATCCAACTTTTGCATTGCCTGGATATACTCTCCAACTCGCTTTGAAACATTGATGCTGTAGAACTTTGTTATAGTGTTAAGGTTAGTAGAAACCACGTCGCAGATTGCTTTATCAAAAACTTGAGAAAGGTACACCCAGAGCGGCCAGAGTGCACAGACGAAGCTTAGTGCAGATTCATATCTGCGAGAGTTGCTAAGAAAAAACTTATTCGTGCGTCGGAGAAGCTCTGTAAGGAACTGTTTCTGGGCTATAGTTAAGACATTTGATACAGAGTAATTAGTGGACAACATGGCACCAAGTTCTACAAGGCAATCTCTGACGTTCCCAACAAAAGATGTCGTAACCAGCTCTGATGGCAGCAAGTTATTATTCTCTCGTAGCATTTGTGTGCATTGCTTCAGAGCAGCCGGATCGGCGAAATTATTAAGGCAATTGTGAAGGAATGTCTGTGCCTCAGCTGAACCAGCAGATGATGGCCGAGACGACTGGGGGTTTATTTGTGCATCAGAAGTGAGAGATAAGGGAACAATGGTAGGTGCTTCCATGGTGTCACAAACATGATCAGAAGCACTGACAAAAATGCTGTTATCACAGGGACAATTGCAAACTGCAGAAGGGCATGAGGTACGCTCTCGCAACCGCGCTAAAGTATACCTTAAACGGTGCTGTCTGGTCTTAAAGCGGCTGATGGATAAGATGGCCTCCCGGCCACAAGCCAATTCCACGTTGCATGTCTCTGCGACTAATAGCGGTGGATCCAGATCTTGCCGACGTAGAGGCATGGCGAATCTGAAACGTGATGGGTTAAAGTTGAGGAGGAAGTCTTTTATAGATTCTGGTTGCGGCGAGTCATATGGTGTGACGTCAGAGTCGTATTCTCCTTCCATTGTTTGTAGGAAGCAAATTTGCAATTTCGTTATTGCAAACTTTCCACAATGGAGAAATAATTTCAACTAACTTAAAAACTTGGATGATCTTCGTCTTGACGCTAGTGGCTCTCTGCACCGCAATCCATTGCCCAGACGGAGAGGTTGAAGTTGATGGAGCTTGCTATCCATCCAGCTGTGTTTTTGAAGACACAGTGTGCAACAATCATGGAACTTGCACAGCCTCGGTCTGTAGGTGCGACTCTGGCTACAGTCTTGGAAATCAGGGATGCTACCCGTCGATCTGCTACCTTGCGTCTGATGATGTTTGCAATGGCCATGGAAAATGTGTGGAGTCGGAACACGGAAGCTATGAGTGTAGCTGTGACCAGGGCTACATTAACGACTACCAGGTCTGTGTTCCAGAAGCTTGCTACACTGAGGAAGGCGTCTGCTTTGGCTACGGGACGTGCATTCAGCCAACCGATGGGAGCGCGCCATACTGTCGCTGCTATCCTGCGAACGCGGGCGAAAAGTGCACAGAGTGCTCATCTGAGGCTGTTCTTATTGATGGAGCGTGTGTTCACAAGTCTTGCCTGACGGAATTTGTCCCTGGAGAGACACTGGTCTGCAATGGATTGGGCCGCTGCATGATTATGCCCTTCCCGAACATTCACTATGTTTGCTCGTGCTACCCATATGATGGTACCTTCTACAATAACACTTGCATTTATAATGGCTGCATTACTGAGTATAACTTGTATGGCATAACGGAGGTCTGCTCTGATAGAGGTATCTGTGCTGGCACTCGCTGTGTTTGCGATAGCGGATACAATGGGCCCACTTGCGAGTACAAGGTCGTCGATTGCGAACCAGGGTTCGTGTCTGCTCAAGAGACATGCTATCCGGAGGCCTGCATTTCCGACGAGAGTGTATGTGGTGGCCACGGCCGCTGTATTTGGAACAATGATGGAGCGGCTTGCGCATGTAATGACGGTTTCGTCTTCTACGAAAACACCTGCATCTATGCCTCTTGCATCGTGAATGGCATTGTGTGTCCTCATGGCACATATGATGCTTCAATGAACCCTCCCCGGTGTATTTGTCCCACTGACTACATTGGTCGGAATTCTGTCTGCTACCCGTCCTCGTGTGTCACCAATAGTCAGACGAATCCGCCTCAGCTATGTCACAGTGCGGGATCATGCGACTTTGACACCGGTGTGTGTAGCTGTAACCCAACAAACTCAGGTCCTACTTGCGAAGAATGCTCGTCGGAGGCGACACTGATAGATGGGGTTTGCCAGCCATGGTCGTGCATTGATGAACGCAACCCTGATGCTCTATCGGTCTGCTCTGGCAAAGGTACCTGTATTGCATATTCTGGAAGAGATGTGTTCGACGTGTGTTACATGTGCAGTTGTGATTCCGGTTATGAAACCGTTCCAGGGGGGATCTGTGTTCCAAATAGCTGCGTGACTGCTTCACTTATAATCTGCAGCAATCGTGGAACTTGCACTGATGGCGTCTGTAAGTGTAACGAAGGATATAGCGGGGCTCTTTGTGAGTGGTACCAGTGTCCTACTGGCCAAACATTTGTCAATAACTTGTGTGTCCACGAAGAATGTGTGACGAGTTACGATGATGTGGCGCAGACGACGTCTGTTTGCGGAGGATATGGCCGTTGCGTAGAAGATGATGGCAGCTACAAATGCTCTTGTCGCTCAGATGCTAAGGTCATTGATGGCGAGTGCGTTAACGAGTCGTGTATTACCAACTCAGCTACTAACGAGGTGTGCAGTGGTCATGGAAAGTGCAATGGATATAACTGTGTTTGTTCTGTTGGATACTTTGGAAAGCACTGTAATGTAAAAACACTTTAGTGAATTGTATTTTGTCGAAGATTTACTTTGCCCTCTGTCACCTTCAGTAATCGGTTTTTCAGCGCTGTGTCCTCGCTGAGCTACGTGTAATGCTTGCTGCATAACATTATAGCTTCCGATGCACTTGAGTCTACTCTTAAGATAAAAAGCTTACCTAGCTGTTGTCGACCAGCTGAACCGTGTCCTCAGGGAATCGAGAAAGATAATCGCCTGCCGAAAAATAATCTGAAGGCTCGTTGATAAGTGAGACCTTCGGATACTCCATAGTATCTGTTACTGACCAGAAGGGCGTGTTATATTCATATGTGTCTAGCTGGTGTCGGACGAGATAGTATTGGCAGATAGTCGGTGTCTGTGATTGCCATTTATCCACAAGGCGACACTGTTCTTCCAGCCAGTCTATCATCTGCTCCTTGGTCTCGTTCGCTGTGTGCCTCTGCTCAGACACTCTGAACTTCCCGACTTCAGAAATATCATTGAGTATGGAGAGGACAAGACATCGTACATCATCTGCGGCACCCCCTGGATCGTCTCTGCTCTCCTTACGGCAGTCAAGCCGGCCTCGGGCACAGGAATCGCCTCCCGCGGAGCAACCTCGTTCCTGAAGCTGCGGCACGTGGTGATAGACGAGGCAGACCACATCCTCCTCAACGACAACACGTCCTTCCTGGCGCTCATCAGGGAGTTCTTCGCTCAACGGAACTCCACGGCCGTCTTCCGCGTGCCTCTCTTCTTCGCCCAGCGACACCGCCTTGGGCTCCCGACGGACAGGTTTGTCTTCCTCTCTGCGACCATGAAGTACCGGGCAAGTCTGCTCGAGAACATGGGCCTCCACGGCGGGTGCATGGTGGACTTCGACGAGGGCCACGCGCGCCTTGCCCTCTCGCCCAACGTCGAACACTTCGTCGTCCAGCTCAAGCGGACCTACTCCAAGATAGACATCGTATACCTGGTCTTCAGGTTCCTCTGCAGCCCCGCCGGGTCCATCACCAACTCGAGGACCACCCTCCTGCCCTGCATCGTCTTCGTCAACTCCAGGCACACCGCGCAGCGCATCGCCCACCTGCTGTTCCTGATGATGATCAAGGTTTACAAGGAGCTTCGGTACAGGATAACGCTGGTGGCCCAGGGGCACGTCTTCCGGAGGCCGAACTTCGAGTCTGTCCCGGCCATCTCCAACGAGTCCCTCGAGGAACACCCTGCAACGATCGTCCTGGCAACTGATAACTTCGCCCGTGGGCTCGACCTTCCTGCGGTTCGCTCGGTGGTCAACTTCGAGCTCCCAGAGTCGCTGGCCACCCTCACCCACCGCGTGGGAAGGTGCGCGCGCGGCCTGAACAGCGGGGTCGCCATCTCAGTGCAGCGGAGCGAGGTCGAGTACAAGTTCGACACGCTGGTCAATTTCGATCCAAGCCGGGTCGTCTCCATAGACGAGGAGAGCCTCTGCGACTACCGGAGCACAGAGGGGCCGCGGCTGTCCGACTTCTCCATCGGGGACAGCGATGTACTGGAGATCTCACGGAGGTTCAGCGAGAACATGGACATCTACCTGACCACCCTCTACGACGGGGAGTTCGGGCGCTAGGCGCTACACGCCCTTGTGCGGAAGGTTCAGGTTGAGGGGGCTGTGGAAGATGTACTCCGGCGCGCAGAAGTAGTACTGCATGCAGTACCGGCCGAGGAAGAAGATGACGATGGCCAGGGCCCCCACCAGGACGTAGTTCCACGCGCTGACCTCGAGGGCCTCGCACATCGTGCCCCCGTGCGCGTCGACCGTGTCCAGCCCGTTCACGCACCGCTTGATCTTGCTGTTGAACGGGGAGGCGCGGACGGCGTCTGCGATGGCGACCTTCTGGGCCTCGTCGGGCGCGGAGAGGAAGAGCGGGTGGACGCCGTCGCGGTCGGGCCCGTAGAAGCGGGGCATCGTGTACTCGACGGTCAGCTCGTGGCAGAGCGAGTTGGAGCCGCGGCCGATGTAGTAGTAGCCCGAGACGCCCCAGCCGGTCCCCCACGAGTTGCGCAGGATCCAGACGGGCCGGCCCTTGTACGCCCCGTAGCCGACGAGCATGACCTGGTGGTTCGTGGTCGCGCGCACGCACTTGACGTCGGGGAAGACGCCGCCTTTGTAGAGGTTGAACGTCAGCGCAGAGGCGACGACGGACTCGTAGTCCTTGTCGATCGACGTGTCGACGCCGGACTCTGTGTGCATGGCCGCCGCGACCCCGACCCCGCGGGCCAGGACGTTCATGACGTTCCGCTCCCACTCGGCGAACTTCCCCTTGTCCATCTCCCCGACTATGGGCCCCGAGGCCGGCACGCCCTCGTTCCGCAGGATCTGGTAGACGCCGAACTTCTTGGGGGTGCCTGAGCCACCATTGACATCATACTCATATTCGTCGGTAGCTGCAGCGCCAGAATTAGAAGAGCTGCCCTTCTTCTTCATCGGCATGGAGACGAAGGCAGGGTTGAAGTCTCCTATGTTGGTGTCCTGACACTTAGTACCATCGTCTGGGGCGGCCTTCTCGGGCGTCGCGTACTCCCTGTAGATGCACTCGGACTCCTTCGCGAGCTTGCTCAGCTTGTTGACGAAGTCTGCGATGGCGCGGAAGTAGTTCCCCCCGTTGCAGTAGTTCCCGCCGATGAGGTTGTCGAGGAGGAACTGGACGGAGAGGCGCAGGGTGGACGCGCTGTAGGACTTCCAGTTCTCGGGGATGTCGGTATAGTCCTGTTCGGTGCGATTTGTAACAGTTATCAGTCCTGTGGTGCAGTCATTACTCTTCTGGTCCCCGTCCTGACTCGCAGGGGCCGAGCAGTTGCAGAAGTAGTTCGACGGAAAGGGCTTAGGATCGAGGTACTTCCCCCTCGTGTAGAGGTCTGCGTCGACGAGCATCAGGTTCTCGAGGACCTCGATGGTCGTGAACTCGTAGCAGGAGCCGCACAGGCCCTGGTCCTTCGCGCGGGTCACGAGGCCCACCTCGCGGAGGTCGACGGAGTGGGGGAGCGTCCGCTGCCTGCCGTTGACGTTCATGTCCCGCACGTCGACGAGGAAGAAGCTGTCCTGCTTCTTGCTCTTATCGTCAGCGTTGGCACTCTGTGAATTAGCTTGAGTGTCTCCCTTCAGGTCCGGCCCCAGCTCGTATGCATCGACGTTGCAGTTGGTGTACTTATTCGATTTATCATCTCGTGTGCATGTGCCCGTGACTGCGCCCCACTCGCCGCCCCCCAGCGACCGGGGCGGGAGGAGGCCGGCGCGCGGGTGGCGGTCCATCCGGGACGTGATCCCGAAGGTGACGTGCTCGTGGCCCTCCCGGCGGAGCCTCCGGAGGTGCTCGAGGTGCATGCAGAAGTTCCGCTCCGCCTCCAGCCGGTCCCCGGGCGTGTCGTAGGCCTTCCCGTAGAGGCCGACGAAGCGCTCGAAGGCATGCTCGCACGCCATATGGATGCTGAACGGGTCCCGCTCGGCCGATGCCGCGCAGAGGAAAGACAAGGTAAGCAGCAACATCCGGTCCTTTTTTGGGCTGCGGGTAGGTTAGCCGTGTGCGGGACTTGTACACCCTACCGGGCGGGCGTCCTATGACACCTGGCCACAGACAGGAAGAGGAGCCCGAAGAAGACGGCCGTGCTCGCCGTCACCCCCGCCACGGCCCCGATGTTCCTCACACGGCAGTCACACAGATCCCCGTGGTAGCCCTCGGCGCAGACACAGGCGTCCTTGTAGCACTCCCCGTGCCCTGTGCACACGCTGGCGGCCAGACGGGTGTTCAGGCACTTCTTGCTAGCGTATAGTTTCACCAGATTGTGAGGCGTACAGGTCCCATCGACAGCCGTCATGCCCTTGTCGCAGAGGTCGTAATGCCTTCCAACGTAGCCCGGGTTGCACTGACACGTCCATGCGCCCGTGGCGTTCTGCACACACGTTCCGCCCCTCGCCTTGGGCGTCCAGTTGCAGGCAGCCCCGTTCTTCACGCATTGTTCAGCATCACGAATGATGGTTTACTTTCGTCACTAAAACCGGTTTGCCAGCTGCTGTCCAAGAAAATCTCCCATGCGAGCCAGCGCCGCCCTGGGCAGGTCTCTTGCTTACTCACTAACCGAAATCCAAATCCAGACTTCGCAAGTCAAACGTCGTCCACTTCAGCGGGAGAAGAAGCCCAAATGGGGAAGTCGGTGGTCCAACGCCTAGCCCTCTGCGTCCCCAGTAGACAACAAACCCGCGGCTGCTCCCACGAGTGAGCCGCTGAGGAAGGCCTGCGGGGACTCGAAGAAAAGAGTCTAGAGAGCATCCAATAGAATGAGCAGGAGGGCCAGGAGACAGGAACAAGAGAGCTCTAGCATCTTCCTCTAGCGAACCTCCCTGTCATGGAGAAGGGTGTATGGTGGCTGAGTGTGGGGGTTGTAAACCTAGAGCAATCGCCGGGTCGATGGCTTCAGCATGGCTTTCAGCAAGATGTAGCAGGGAATCCGAACCAGCTGAGCATTGGACCAGGTCCTGGATAGGAGCTAAGGGCTCCTGTGCACGGCTGGGCTGCTCTCTAGATGGGACAGGGCACGGTGAGCTGGACGGGTGTGATACTATAAGGTATCTATAGTTGTATCGATACAACTAGTAGGCCCACACTGGACTCTGAGAAGTACACTGCTAGACAGGCTGGAGAAGCCTGAGGGGCGATAGCACCATCTTGTTATCGCTATGCAGTGCTCTGTGGGCATGCATTCAAGACATCATCCCCTGGTAGCCGGGGAGGGGACAGAGTCAGGCGGTAGTGAGCATGCCCATCAGAATGCCTCTAGGTACTGACCAGCCACTCCCTAGAAGCGCAGATGTCTCGGCTAGGTTGCATCACATCCAGAGCAAAAGAGGAAGCTGTACTGTCCTATTTGTTTCTCAGAACAATGTGCGAATAGAAGGCGGCCCAGCGACTGATACTCTGCACCGTCCTCTTCATCCACAGCCTGAGCAGCCAGATGCCAGGCTCAATATGAAGACGGAGGCTGCGAAGAGTAAACTCACCACGGGGCCGATTGTCTGACACCAAAAAATCCGAAAGGACGACAGTAGCTGCTGTCTCCTTGAAGAGTGCATCACACACAGTATCGACCTTGGTCTCCTAGACGAACACTCTAGAACATTCTACACTAGCCCTGACTTCTGAGGCATTAAACCCTATAACTAGCACAGAGTGAGGCAACAGCATGCAGACGGTGCGTTATCTTCATAGATGTGTACTACAGCTTCCGACTGCATATGGATGTACCGAGATGGGCAGTTTGACCGGCTTACATTGGCGACTTGTCCGTCACCGTGTTTGCTGCGATGAGAAGCTGCGTCTGCCCGGCAGACTGAGCATAGATTACAGCAGCTTCTCTGCTGATGCATGTATGGCCATGCGCCGCCCTAGTAGGTGGCGTAAATACCATAATGCCTAACCTGTCTGTTGTTAGCGGAAAATAGCAGTTAGTCGTGTTAGAGATGCCTCTAAGTAAGCCTCTAGTCTTTGTGCCTACTCCTCTACCAATTATAGTGACGACCGTATATTCAGAAAGACTACGGAACTCTCCACCGTCTCTCAAGGAGACTAACGGCTCATGCATGGGCTAGCGACGGAGGCCCATGAACTACCTACTACGAGCCTAGCTTACTGAGCAGTCTGGATCACAGTGCACTTGATAAGCATCTATGCACTCATTTGGATGCTCACTACTAATACTGACAAGACTACAAGGAGGTTTGCTTTTGGTCACACTCCCCTCATAATGCTTAGCCCTTGGCACCACATTTCAACGAAGGAAGATGTTAGGTAGGTACGCAAAAGGCTATTTGTGCACGGTGGTTCCTGGAGAGCAAGTTTGCACAAAGACTGTAAAGGCGACTAGCAGATCAGTGAGGTAAGCCTGACGTTATAGAGACAAGCTGTAGATCCGGATTGCAATGGGGACGCCTGTGGTGTCTCTCTGGCCTTCGAGTGTAGAAAAATCGCGAGGTCTGCAGACAGGTGAAGCTAGTTTTTGATTTATGCGCTTATAGCAGTGTAATATTTATTGGGACCTGTTTCGTCTGAGGCCGAAGACGTTTATCTTTTCTCCGTATACAAGCAAGGATCTACTGTAGAGATATACTGTGCAGGCCAGTACCAATCGACGTGGTTGCTATTAGCAGGTGTCTCACTTGCACCTTCTCATAACGGGTAGCCATCAGCAGCGTCCTCGGCCCACGTGACATTCTAGATGCATCTCTGCCTTTGACCAAAGATTGACACACGCGTTGTGTAGTTTAGATTGCTCATCAGCCAGAGTGGCGTGGCTACCCCTTATCCTCTACTTGTCTATCTCGTACAACCATTGCTGATGGCCTTTCCAGATTAGCATGCAAATGCTCTTATCGGTCCCACAAAGGCATACGTCATACAAATAATCACTACAGTCTAGGGTCCTGTCTACCAAAGAAAAGGCCAACCAGTTTACCACGTAGGCATTCATTGTGCATCTCATATAGTCTGGCAAGTCTTGTGCTCCCCAACATTCCCTCGCAAGCCCTCAGCTAAAGCCCGTATGCATATCGTTATTGACAAGCGCCTTAGCTTCATC